CGAGTTCTTTTCCTCTACGGGAATCGGTGGTGGCGTTTCAGGGTCCATGGTTTCTATGGATCAAAAAATTTCAAAATTAAAAATTTGATTTCAAACCGGAAATTTCAAACTGAATTTACACAACAAAAACATACCAGTCGTAGTTGATCAGTTGGCATCGTCAAAAATGAGTAAGTCGGCCGGCTTTCCGTCAAACTCGTCGCCCCAAGATGGATGTACCGGTGGTGTAAACCCGCCCACCGTATCTCGTTTCTCTTCTCCCAGATCCTCCGGTTGAGTGAAAGGAACTCGTCCCTGTTCCAGTTTCTTCAGCTTTTCGAACTTGTCCACCCGTTGATAAAAATAGTCGAATTTTGGTACTGGAGGACGGATATCGTCGTCGTCATCACATATGCCAGTGCATGTCTCATTCCAAACTTTGACACCACTACCGTCAGGGCACTCGAAAGTAATAACTTGCTGGATACGATAGCCGACACTGGGGCAGGCTTTGCGCCATTTCTTGATGTGATACTTTAAATAGTTCCGCATACGACCGTGTGCCAAATCGCGAACGATGGGGCGCCATTCTTTCCAATTTTCATCCGTACACTTAGTTGGATTCTCTCGGAAGGCGATATTAGTCCCCTTTTCCTCTTTAGGATACAGTGCAAACGCTACTTCTCCAAGCGGCTGTTGATGGAACCAAGTTTCCTTAACAAACTGCGCTCTAACACCAATAGTGAGATCAGGATAATACTTTTGAGCGTCTGTAAAACGGGCAAAAAGATCCCGATAAACTCCTTGTAGCATATGAACGTCGTCCTGCTGAACGGTGCTGTAGTATACAACACCGTTTTTCATCATACGTTCTCCAGTTCCGACCGGGAACAGAGCGTTAGCGGCGTTTTCTAAAGACATTCTCAAACTCGCGTGAAAATAACGGCGAATATATCTTCAGTGGCACGGTACATCGGCAAAAGTTTCGGCAGAACTACTGTATGTGTGTGTGTGTGTGTGTGTGTGTGTGTGTGCGTGTCTGCGTATCTGGTTGAATATGCGTTCAAAGTCAGAATGCTGTTAACTCATCGTTTTGTTGCAGATGCACCGCCTACTTCAGGTCTTGGTCTTGCTGTCAGTGGCCAGCAGCGCGTGCGGTGTATGGACGCGCTGTTTCAGCCACTGTCAGTGCGAGCGCATCGAGGGCGTGGTGAACTGCGGCGGGCGGGACTTGACTACTCTGCCCACACTGCGCGCTGCAGAACACTGGGTGCAGGTCGTCCTGTTCCAGAAGAACAGGCTGTATAGTGTCCCGTACGCTGCTCTTGCCCGATTTTTCCCGCGGCTGCGCCTGTTCGATGCCCGTGGTAATCCGATCCTGGATTGTGGAGAGCCCGCGACCGTCAACTTTACGGTCTTATCAGACTGTGGACGGCTCCCCGTCACAGCCACAACGACCGTGCCGCTGAACACGACTGATTCGGGCACGAGTATATCGCCGAGCAAACCCGCGTCAACCACCACCGCGAACCATGATCCGGCACCGATGACCAAGCCGCCGACCGACGAGCCCGACAGCGCGTTCAATGTGCCCAACGTCGTTTTCGCCATCATCGGCGTAATTACCCTGATTGCGGCCATATCAAGCGCAGTGGTTTTTCTTAAGCGTCGTTGCGCTCCTGTAGCCCACGCTATCATGTCGGTGGTTAATGAGCATACCGACCTTTAATTACTGTACATATGCTTTTTGTACAAATTAGTTTCAGTTTTGTACATACTTGTTTCTGTACAGATTCTGTAGTTTGAATCTCTGATGTCTGCGCTTCCATTTTGATAATGTGATCTTCTGTTTTTGGGATATGTTACGTTCTGCGGTGTAAAAAAAAAATAATTACTGTACAGATTTTTACGAAATAATAAAAATTCGATTTTGGTTGGCATCACGTTCTGGTATGGTATTCGTAGATCAAGTTGCTTACCAAATTCGAAATTTTACATTATTCATATGTACTGTACTTATACATAGGTTGTAATGTAGGATGCAGTATTCGGTGCATTTTACTGTGATAGCGACGTATTCTGAGGTGTAAAAACATGGTTATTGTACAGATTCTGCTGAAAAAATAAAAGTTCGATTTTGGTTGGCATTTCATACTAGTTATGGTATTCGTAGATCAAGTTGCTTACCAAATTCGAAATTTTACACTCTTCACATATACTGTACTCATATACAGCAATTATGGTATAGGACGGTTTAGAGCAAGTATTCGGTGCATTTTGTTTGTTAATGAGTATTAATATCTTTTTTTTTGTTGAAGATGGAAGATTCCATGGAGATCCCGGAGCTGCTGCCCGTCTCAACCGGGCTACCCCGTACCACACCCCCATCGTCTACGGAGCATGTGATTCGTCGTAAGACTGGTAAACCACTGACCACGGACATCGGGGACAGCGACTCCTCTGATGAAGAGGAGAATGCCACTCCACAGCCCCAAGCCGGCACATTCGGACACAGTGAGCCACACACAGCCGCACAGACCGGAGACGAGTCGTCGATGAGGTACAGTACGCGGTGCAATAACTTCCAATTGTGCAAATGAAATATTCGAATTTGGTAGTCATTGTGCATAATCGTGTACGTTACAGTAAGTGCTGACCAAAATCGATTTTTTTTTCTAGCACACTGGCGGCCGTGAACCGTATGATAAGCGCGGTTCGTACTCCAGCGGTTGATAGTGTGGAGCTAGCCGGCGATGAAGGAGCAGACGAAGCGGACGCGGCAGCCAACCGGGCGGATTTGGAGGAAATGGGTGTTGGAGAGGAGCCCGAGGACGGTATGGACATCGCTGTGCAGTCCGATGCCGCGGAACCTGACGAAGATGCACCACATAGTAGTGCCAGTGGTACGACTGCTGACAGTGGTGCGCGTGCAGTGAGTGCAGCTGGCTCGTCGACACGTGCGCCGGACTCGGACCGCATTTTGACCCGCCGACTTGGACGCGAAGCCATGCGAAAACTTCGCGAAAGAATGAATTCTGTTGAGTTAATTTGCGGTCGCATGGCATTTCAGCGCCTCGTGCGGGAGATCATGGAAAGCATGCGCCCTGACTTTTCAATCCACTCCGCTGCGCTATTTGCTTTACAGGAAAAGATGGAGTTCTTCTTTATTAAGACTTGCGAGAAGGGCGCCGCAGCAGCTGATCATGCGAATCGCGTAACCGTCATGCCGCGGGATCTTGACCTTGTCCAGTATGCGCGGGAGGAGAACTTGCGCAACGATCCACGGTTCAGCCCAGACGGTAACCTGGCTAAATATCTGAACTATCAGAAACAGCGCCGCCAAAACCTGTATGTACCAGCTGCCGCACCACAGCGTTCTGCAACGGCCGTATCCGTGAAACCAACCGGCCACGCTGGGTGGAAGCGTCCTTTGGCGCTGGAGTCGTCTGACGAAGATGAAGAAGTCGCGCCGACCCCGACCAGTCCGACTTCGTGTAGGTATTCTACTGCGTTTACTTCTTAATTATGCACAGAACTGTTTTGTTGTAGGCACGCTTGGACGTGTTATGCAGCCTGGACGGGCCATTCGTGGGCGTGGAAAAGGTGTGTCGACCCGCGGCCGTACGGCTGCCGCTGAAGTGCAGCGCACTCGATCCCCAAGTAGAACCCCGGGAACTGCCGTCTGCTCGCGTGGGGCACGACGTGGACGTACAGCACGTGGAGCGCGCGGATCTCGCGGTACACGAACAACCGCACCGGTTCATCGACGGACACCAAGCCCAACCCCACCGCGCTCTGTTCAACCAGGTACCGTATTCTGAGTACAAATACTATACCATGCACATACGCATAACTTTGCATTCATGTGTTTAGCAGTGCGTCGTGGTGCCGGAGGCTCAAAACGTATCTGCCTGGGACGACCTAATGGGGTGAACCCCAGCCAGCCGCCAACGCCACGTCCACAGCATCGTATAGCCATCGGCCCGCCAGGTTCAGCGTGCTCACCATCGTTCTTGGCAAGTCGCAGAGGTAAGGCGTTGAACGCGTACACACACACACTCAAGCAAATGTACATTCTATGGGTTGTTAACACTTGTAGCGTATGACCGTGCGATAGCGGCACACCGGCGTCGCTTCGCTGAAGAACGTGCTGCACGTAGTGGACAGCGCCCAGCCGCTGCGCAAGATCCTTCGTCATCATCGTCTTCGGCATCGTCTGACCAACCAAGCAACGGTACTTTATTTTTACAACTTTAGTGTATAACAGAGCCGCAGTTATTTATGTTTTCAGCCAGCATTGATTTCATCCGGCCCCGTGAAGCGGAGGGTCCCGCCGAGGGTATGCAGTTGCTGGGTGGCGTTCGGAAGCCAAGCGGTGTTGTCGTTGCTGTGGACGGCAACATCACTCGCGTGCCAGCCGGCGAGATGACTGCGAAGCAGTTCCATAATCGACAACGTTTGTTCTAACATGTACGCGTTCCACTACCTAATTATTTAAAGAAAATGTCACCGTTTTAATTTTCACTAATATTTGTACTGTTGACAGGACGTTGAGCGGAACTGCGATGTGGCCGGAACGCGGAATTCGGAATGCGTGGATGCGTAGTTGTTTTGTTTTGCTTTGTTAATGCATCGGAGTGGTTGCTGTGTCATTTGTTTTCGTGTTATGTGTACGCGTGGTGACAGGGATGATTTGTTGTTTTTTGTTATACGCGCGGTACCGGGATCAGATCGTGTTAAACGCTGTGTGCGTGGTACGGGGTGATGTTTTCAAATGTGGTACGGGGATTGTTTCATGTATTTTGGTGACCGGGATAAAGCAGCGGGAATTTTTTCAATAAAGCAGGTGTAGTGGCCGTATTTTTTACTGTACACTAGTATTTTTTATTTCGTTAATTAAAAACCTAAAAATTAGCCATTGTTTAAGCTAATGAATTACGTAATCTAATTAAATTAGTATAAATTGCGTATATCTATTGTTTAAATTAAATTAAATTTAATTATATAGATAATTGCCGGCAGGTGTTACTGCGCGGCCCCCTGGGGTGTTTTTGGCGCCCAAACGCTGGTCACTCTACTCACGTGTAAAAATCGCCATGAAGCAGTCAGCAATGCAGTCATTATTCGACAATACAACACAGGCTGCATATCAGCTCAGTTACCGGATGCAGCTATCAACAAGATCAGCCGGATAATCACCAGGACATGGCCTTTCCCAGTTTAACGTGTGGCGTTGTCATCACGGGGACGCTGAGTGGCTGGCTGTAAACCTAAGGACGACCCACTAGAAACACCTGGGACAGCCAGGCAAACGAGCAGCGGCTCTGTAGTGAAGAATATTGGGCGATTCTGGACTTACAACATATCATGCATGAATTGTTTCCGCACTGCCAAATGCAGTGCCATTCGTTTTGTCGGAAGGTACACTTACTATGCTATGCTTTGTGTGCATAATTGGTTGTCTGAAAAATTTATTAAAATGAGTATTGTTTGATCGATTTAGTTTTTGGATCGATGTGGATGCCGGTGTGTGTGCGCACGTCTTCAGCTTCTGCTGCACTTGTGAAAACATCTGCAAGAAGAGGCATTGTGTGCCGACTGATGCTGCGCTTTGGGAATTTGTGCATCTAGTACCTGCAGTAATATAACAGCAAACGAATGTACTCTTTCGGAATATGACCTTATACAGATGACCATCGATATTTATCCGCAATGAGAAATGCCTTACATGCCTTCTGTGGTCCGCTCTGGTTAATTAGTTACTTCGGTTATCTCATCCTTTCAGTGTTGCCACAAGTGGGATATGTCCAGTCGTGGACAGAAGATACCGGCTCTGTTCGCAAGCGTAATCTAAATGTGTGTTTGATACTTGAGAATCCTTTACAGGAGGCACTGGACCAGTTTTTTAGTTACCGCAGAACAGCAGCTGCGCTGGACTTGGCAGTGGAAAATGTTAATACCTATATCCTTTCGCCGGCAAATATGCAGCTCGTTGTTTGGTTCAGGAGCGGCGGTGATACCTGTGACTCGGCGCAGGACGTTATTTCCGGTGGATTATCCCTTATTACGCAAGGGGTCACGTGCAATCTTTATATCGGTGCCGGTATGTGAATCACATTTGCACAAGATACAGCAAACAGTAAAAACACAATGTTTTAATTACCTAAAGTAGATAGCCAAATTTGGCCCAATATAATTCAACCTGCTTGTAACGTTGATAACTCGGGAATTGTTTGGACGCTTCCAGCTCGCTCGCGTTTTCTTCCGACAGAACACCACCGTTTCTGATATACATGAAACTCTACTTATCCAGTCGAATATTATGTATCAGTAGCGAATTCAGCGAGATCGTTGTTAAAAGAATATTCAAAATATTCACTGCATAATTCATACTGATTTTGTGGTAGGTTGTGGAAATAATGCTGATGCATTATACAGTTTTGCGGAATATTACAAGGTACCCCTTATTGCAATCCCTGCAGCTGGCCTGGAAACTACGGGACCAACGCGAGATACATACAAGTTTTTGGCCAGGACGTCTTACACCTTTGATGATGTTTGCAGTTCATTGATTCAAATTTTGCAACTCTGGGGATACTTACACACAACGGTTTTCACCGATGACAGTCAAAGTTTTTTTCATGAATTAAGTGACGCTTTCGTAGCGTCATTCGATAAGTACAGTCCAAATATTAGTTTACATAGCCGTTTCGTGTCCCTCAGTAGTGGGTCTAATTTATTGGATTCTGCCGGCATCGTCAATCGTATGCTGGAAGCCAGCACATCTTCCAGAGGTAAAGGTCCTTTTTGCATACGTACCCTGTTTCATATCTATATAGCGATTGGGATATGGTGGCTCGGATTGTTCATTTGTAAGACTACAAAGTACATAGCCGAAGTCATCTCGATTTGTTTTAGCAAATCTTGGTTAAATTGACAGTACAATCTCACCAACATATAATTACGCGGCAGTTTGGGATACTGATGTAAGGAAATACTTATTGTTTAATTACGGGAAGATCCCCTTATATTACTTTCCCGCGACCGGAGGTGAACAATAATCGTTTGATCGGCACGTTTCTCTCCTTGTAGTGTTCATTCTTTTATTTAACGCAACGATTGTCCGTGATTTTATGGTAAGTTTCACACGTCTTTTGAACAGCCTGTGTACAGTATTTGTTACGCACACGTTCTTTTCTCCAGCTGAAAGCCAAGAGGCTGGGGATGACGGACGGAAGTTACGTATATTTTGCTATAGAACTCTTTCCCAGCAATTACTGGGGATCGTACACCTGGAAGACCGGGCAGCTTAATGATCAGGTATGACGCCTCATTTGCTTGGAAAGGTGACAGTTGCTAGAAAGACGGTTCTGCCTTGTATAACTTAAATATATTAAAGATATCCCCATACGTATGCATGCATGATTAGCGATGAATACAATAGAATACGCGAAAGATGATATAGTTACACGGTTACACCCAATAGATTTCCACAGTGCCTTTATTTTCACTGCGTATTCTCATCGCTTTAACATAATTTTTATAATATTTATTTGCGAAAACTCCTATTTATTATCGGTAAAAAATTATTACTACTCGCGTTACTTAACAGTTTTCATCCTTTTCCTTTAAACTTGTTCAAAAATTTGAAAGCTTGATAGTTTAACGGTTTACCCATACTTCGTACTGCGTACAGACTACGTGGGAGAATATTACTTAACGATAAAAAAGCTAAAATGAGTTCATGCAAATATAACAACTCCAAAGACAGTACAAGTCCCTCTGATACCAGCATTCAACCATATACCGAAAATATATTTTAAAGAAGAACACATATGAACGGAAGAGAAGGCTATTAATGCCATATGCGATGATATGCACTGGAGACAGTGTGCTTAAACATGATACTGCTGTATCCCAAACGAGTAACGCACTTTGATACTTATCCGTTTTTTTGCATACCTTTGACCTTTAACATATTTATTATACAGGAAGCCCGAGAAGCGTACGATTCACTGTTTGTTTTGTCTTTGATCGAACGACAAAGCCCAGCATTCGAAGTATTTTCCACCAAAGTGAGAGTTCGATCACAAGAAAAATTTAACTACACATTTGGAATGTTTGAACCGGTATGCCATAATACAGAAGTACAAATTTAAAATAAGCACTTAGTAATTGAAGGTGGATTAATGGGTTGCATGTTATAAAGTTCCTGTATACGTCCGAGTACTTCGAAATTTTTTGTGTTGGTGTACTTTTTGCTTTTGATATCGTTTAAAAAACTTTATTTTATTTTTTCTTCTCTCTCGTTCTTTGTTTTAAACCGAATTTCTTTTTTTTAGCAGAACTCTAGATCTTGGTCAAAGGCCTTTGTCTATGGTCTGACTGCTCTAAATGAATTACGTTTAGTAACTCTCCTAAACTGTTTTCTACAGATCGATTCCGTTGTGACCAGCTACTACGAAGCAATTTTTCTTTATGGGACAATAATAAAAAAATTATGGATTGAAGAGGCTAACGTAAGCAATGGAGAACTGGTTGCTAAAACGTTCAAGAATTTTAACTATACAAGCGAATTAAGTGGAAACTTCCACATGGACAAATTTGGAGACCGCGATAATGATTATGTCCTGAAAGATCTCGACGAAGTTACAGGTGCATTCAGAGTAAGTTCACGAGGTACTAGCAGTTATTAATTTGTGAAAGCGGAAGTAAATGATTGATTAGGCGCATGTACATAAATAGTTAGTCATAAATAATTTACATGTACGTCTTTCGCAGTCATTATGCGCTTATGTACAGACTACAGACGTAAGATATCTGCTTGTACTTCTATATGATATTCAACTGCATTAAAAGCCCCAGTTATATACAGCTGTTCATTTTGATCCACATAAAATTCATGCTTCCTCCTGTAAATACATACTCCTTCAATTATTTGTAGCCTTCCTTGAAATACAATGTGGATCTGGGTTTGCAAGTACTGGCGCCAATACAGTGGCCCAATCGCTCTACACCACCACCCGATGTCCCATGGTGTGGCTTTAAAGGGGAAGCTATTGTTTGTCAAGCCCTAAGTTCGTAAACATTTTATGGTTTCAGTTGTATTTTGAATTTGCAAACAAAATTACTTTGTAGTGTCTTCCTGGAATGGTGGCCTGACTGCCGTGGTTGCTATTGTTCCACTTTTGGCACTAGCCGGCATAATTGGCGGAATAGTCTACTCAGTGCACCGGTAATTGTTCAATTTGTACAGTACTATGTATACAGAGTACACTGCACATCGTAACAAAGACGAGGCGTGTCTTGTTTAGGCGAGCTCAAGCAGGACCTTACGATCCGTACTGGTGGAAGATATTGGTGGATGAACTGCAAGTTCATCCTACCGGTCCAGCTGCTTCCTTTCACTCCAGAAATTCTGAGGTATATAGGCCTAAATGGTCAAACTTGTTATGATTCTAGTTTAAGCTTAATTAATTTTGCACTGTTTTCAGCTGAAATCGGAAGCTGTCGGGTCAAAAAGCACACGAAGCCGGTCAAACAAATCTTTCGTTGGGAGTTTTTTTGATAACCGGGCATTTTACCAGGGAGTTATGGTATACAGCTTCGTTAATCTGCGCTACAAAAATTTGCTTAACTGCTTACATGTCTTTAAATCTTTTACTAAGACATTATGGATATGGATTATACAGGTAGCCGTTCGTGACATCTCTAAAATTGTGACTGTAACGGCCAGTGAAATGGTAGACGATATGAGACTGGTACGCCCATTTGCAGTAGTTTGTCTGATTTCCGGTATACATATCTACACTTATTAGCCTTTTAAGGAGCATTCGTTATTGCACAATGGTACATGTTGCAAAAAATTGCGTACGAAACCCAACAATTATTGTATAATTTGATACGGTAGATAAGAGAGTGCGTGCATGACAACATTCACAAGGTTATTGGTATCGCCGTGTCACCATCCAATGTGTGCATGCACGTTGTGGCCGAGTTAGCATCTCACGGGAGTATCCAGGATGTCTTGACATCGGACGCCATCCGTCTGGATTGGTCTTTCAAAAATTCCATCATATCGGATATCGTTATGGTAAGGTCAAGTCTTTGTGGTCAGTTAGGTATTTCGAACGACGAACGGTGAACTGAATCACCATTGTAAGCAATAGATGACCGACCCGCTTAGTGTGACATTTAAATTAGCGCGATCAGTTTCACGGCGAATGATTATCGTCCTACGTACGCCACGGTGTGCGATAATTATAAAATGTACAGTATATCATCCGCTGCATCTGTGACGGTGCTGTACGATCACAGGTGCAGTTGTAATATTTAAACAATTGACTTACCACTGCATCAATTTCACTGCAGGCGATTTAAATTCGACAAATTAACTCTAATTTAACTTACAATGTTAGGGAGTAATATCTATCAACCGTTCAATAATTATTGATTTGGTTATCAATAAATATAAATTTATGATTATAATTATTATAATTATTGATTATCGATAATTATTAATTATTTTATTATCAATTTGTTTTGATTATCATGCTTTTCGGCCTTTATACGAAGATAATCAATTTTTTGCGATGGTGTGTGCCACTATTAATTTTGTGGCTTCTGTTACTTCAGGGTATGGATTATCTTCACCTCTCAACCATCCAATCGCACGGGGCGTTATCCGCTCTGACATGTGTTGTCGACCGACGCTTTGCCATGAAAGTATCGGATGCTGGTTTGTGGCGGTTACGAGATCCGAAATTGCTGCTTCCCCCACAAGCTAGCGACAAAGAAAGAGACTATGAGCCGCTTTTGTACAGGGCTCCAGAGTTGCTTCGTGGGAAGATGCCTCCCAAGGGATCTCAAAAAGGTCACTACAGCCTTGACGCCACCGCTCTCTACCAGTCGTGTCGTTTATTATATTTTTTCTCTTGCAGGTGATGTGTACAGCTTTGCGATTATTCTCCAACAAATAATACTTCGTGGCGAGGCCTATGAAACACCAGGCGATAACTATGCACTGGATTTAACAAAACACGAGATCGCCATGGAGGTACAAAAGGGCACGGATCCGCCGTTTCGTCCCCGCGTGCCTCGTGTTGCCTGCCCCAATGAATTATACCGCCTAATGGAAAACTGCTGGTCCGAGTACCCAACCGAGCGGCCGTCCTTTGTCAAGATTAAGCAGAACCTACACATGGTTATTGGAAAAGTAGGCGATAATATCGTTGATCATTTGTTGAAGCGGATGGAAGAGTACGCCGAAGAACTGCAGCAACAAGTGGCAGAGAAGACCGACCAATTCATGGAAGAAAAGCGACGATCAGAGGAACTGCTCGGACAGTTGTTACCCAAGTACGGAAACTTCGGCTTGATGAAATCATTAGAATCCTGACAGATTTTTATAGGAGTGTAGCGCAAGCTTTGACAAAAGGCCAGTCCGTCAACCCTGAAGCATATGAATCCGTTTCCATTTACTTCAGTGATATTGTTGAATTTACCAAAATATCTGCTTCCGGAACCCCAATGGTAATTTTTACGGGTTCCAACTTCGCCTCGAATTCAAGTTTGGTTACAAATTCGAAATGATATATGTGAATGCGTGTTCTGTTTTTTCAGGAAGTCATTCAGTTGCTCAATAATTTGTATACTGTTTTCGATGCCGTAATAGAGCATTTCGATGTTTACAAGGTACAGTAACAGCTCATAAACTGGTAAAAGTGCGTAATTGTTTGTAACCTTGATTACGTAGCGTTTGCACAATGTTGAAAGAGTCCTGCTGCTACAAGTAAAATTATCTAAACGTGTATTCTGTTATTCTGCACATGCACAGGTGGAAACCATCGGCGATGCCTACATGGTAAAGTTCATTTTCAGAGACACCATATTTTCTAAACCAGTAATATTATGGTACTTGGTATTTTTAATTACAATTTCTAACAACAGCATCCCATATTTTTCGTTTAGGTGTGCAGTGGCCTACCGGTGCGAAATGGTAACCGTCACGTCGTTGAAATAGCCAAAATGTCCTTACAAGTTGTCCAAGCTATAAGCAATTTCGAAGTACCGCAAAAATCCCATGAACTTCTGCGAGTTCGCATTGGAGTGCATTCTGGTCCCTGTGTTGCTGGTAATAAATGTTAAATATTATAATTAACATTATTTGCTGCGACTGCAGCTACCGATGGTCATTCCCACACACCGAATTGTTTAATATGTTATATGCAGTAAGAATTTGGTCCCCCTATAAACTGTTTAAGGCATGGGTTTCCAAGTCCATGCTTTTTGATTTCATAAACTTAATTGAAGTCGATTTTTTAATTTACTTTAATATCTTAAATGGTTCCGCAACATCAACTAATTAGAAAGCGATAGCAGTTTTGTAAAATTTTCTTGCCGTTCAAATGCCACACAAACACAAACAAAAATTCACACTCAGCATTTGTAGGAGCTGTTAGATACTACAAGGTCATGACTAATATGTTAATATTTATTAATCATTTAATTAATGTGTAGCGCAGCGCAGCCTTTTTTGTTATGTGGATTGCCAGATAAACACGCATATATTTATAGGTATTGTGGGCCTCAAAATGCCGAGATACTGCTTGTAAGTGTCTACCTCTTAACTTAATTTAGTAAAGCTTGCATAATTTGTTTAGTCATATACTTGATACGCTTCATTGTGCAGGTTATTAAGTAAGCTCGTAATTTTCGTAGTTTAAGAATGTATCACCTGTATAATTATACTTCTTCGTATGTGTACATAGATTTGGAGACACAGTTAACACTGCCAGTCGCATGGAATCTTCGGGAGAGGGTAAGTTTGACTTCAAAAAATATTTTCTTTCAGATTTACAACATATGAATAGAATTTTAACGTATTCGTATTAAACGTAAACGAATTAGGCTTTCGTTTGCATTTTCGAAAGAACTAGTCGAATAAAGCAATCGCAAAGTGCGGCTGTGTTTTTTGTCTTCTGTCCACAGCGAACAAAATTCACATTTCCGAGCAAACTTATCTGTTATTGGAAGATAATGGAAGTTTTATTATGGAAAAGCGAGGTCCCGTGGAAATAAAAGTATGGACAGGCACTCGGTGCCTCTTATGATTTTATGTAATTTGAAAGCACAGAAGTTTAGCATACAATTACGTTTCAGGGAAAGGGCATCATGGTGACGTACTGGCTTATAAAAATGTTATAATACTTCTTCTGAATACATATTGTATTGGAATAATTATTGATTACTGGGCCCGTGTAGAAATTTGAGATGCTATGTGTAATGTAGTGGATTCGAAATTGTACCGTACGCTGTTTCTATTGTATATTGCGTTCTTTGTGCATGCCAATGGCTCAAATTCGTTGTAACTTGTTCAGAAATAAAAACATGCTGATTAATATTCCAAATTGTCGTTTTCTAAAATGGTACCTAAAAGTAATAAAGAAAGACTACGTATAATAAGAAAGTCGACCTTTTTAATGAAGATACCGTGTTCTTGCATACACGCTAGAAAACAGTCGTTGGCTATTTCTAGCCGGCAACTGTCAAAAGTACAAGTCAATATTTTATCATCTGGTCATGCGTTTTGCCTGGATGAAGCATGCAGTTGGACAAAGACATTCATCATCAGAATAACATATCGATTAAAAAAATAGTGAACTTGTTATAATGGAACATTGGTTGTTGTTCTGCAGCCGCCTTCCCGGCAAACTTCCCAATAGGCAACACTGCTGCATGATTGCATCCCCTGTACATGCAGCACACATTTAACTATTCGTGCTAACTTTCACCCATTTGGTCCTACTTAGGCATGACAAAATCTTCCCGTGTAGGAATCTGAATGGGCTGTAAGTCGATATGGGGTGCAGGCTAGTTGCCTGTCTATGGAGCGGCTGCACATGCTGCACAAGTCTCGATCCTTCCGAAATCGAAATCGATTTATGCACAATTTTGCAGCTTCATCCTCTTTTTCTTCCTATGCCCTCCTGCTGCCGCTGCAGTGATGTGCGCTTGTGAACTTTTTACAGCCAGCCCAGCAACCCGCGCTGCTACAGGACACGTAACATATTGCATACCGTGAGGGGAGGCATTCCCTATTTTTTATGCCATAGATTGCTGGGACCAGGCTCCGTGCTGCCAAGTTGTACTTATTGCTGCCGATCAGCGTATCATGATCGGTTCACACACGACGGGTTCGGGTACCTGCAAATAAGCCTTCTATATTTTCCCCCATATTCCCCATCTTTTGTACCGCTAATTTAATTTGTTTAATCCAGCTTGACATCCGCCGTTAGAGCAGGTAAGAAATGGCGCGATAACCTTTGTAATTAATTGCTTACCAGTTAGCATGCGTAGTAAACTGACAGTATATTGTACAAGTATCTACCATTTAAGCGTTGTTCAGTGCACGCATCGGAGAAAGCCGCTGCAGACAGATTGCTTAAGATGCGACAGTTTCAACTTTTACACACTACAGTTACTGCATGAGGTTACCCAAATTGTGTACAACCATAAATATTTGAAAACTTATAAGCAGTGCTAGAAAATTTGCAGCAGGCACAACCATTTTGCAGCTGACCTTTAATAGAAAAGAGGTTTAATTTGGTTGGACCACTTATAGACTCTTAATTAAGCTTTATTAATACAATGCTTTGCAGACATCGTTCTCATATGTAGCTATCATAGAAAAGCTTGGGCTCTAGAGACCTGCAAGTTTTGAAACGATTGGAAAGTATTTAACTTAATCTTATTTGTAGGAAAGCGAATTTTGATATGTATCCTAGAATAGTGCAAAATTCAAGAAACGCAATCTAATTCAATATCTTAATTATTTAAGAAAACAGGGCAAACAAACTCGACAGAAAGGCAGACAACGAATTTATAACCGGAAATTGAGCTGGTCAGCATCATACAAATCTCTATGTGACTGTTAATATTGAATTAGGAGCACTGGAGCAGAAAAATAATTGGCATTCGTGCCATATCATAGTTTGAAAACTTACAAAGTTCGCCAGGCGTCAGTATAATTTTAAATTTTTTTTCCTAAAACTTCTTATTGGGTAAGAGATATCCGCTGAAATTGTTGAGTACCATAATAATTATTTAAACAGTTGTACTTTAACATGAATTGATTAAACAGAATGTTTACTGTGAAAATTAATAATATGCTACCTGCTTTAATTTCGCCAGATACAGTACCTCAAAATAGTGAATTATTCAATTAGCAGTTAAAGCACATGCCTTGACGTTTTGTGATTAATTCTGCCACTTCATAAACAACAATTCAACAGCATGCCAGATGTAAAAAATGATATGGTTAAGTTACATATAATGCACAATTCTCTGCAATGGTCGAATGTCCTGTGCGTGTGCTCGTGTTATCGTAATGTATTTTACTTAAGTTTGCACATATAATTATTACAGTACATATTTAAGAGTGTGATATTGTAGAGGTGAACAGATCAAGTATGCTTAATATAACAATTAATCGACTATGCCCAGTTCCGAATTCCAGATGTACAGTACTTGAGGTGCAAATAGAACATGAACTACAAGTCCAGGCAGTACAAGTGGGTGTAAAAGTACGACGAAATCCATATGTTTCGCAGAAAATGAGCAACACGCGCCGTGACTGGGATCAGTTTGGCGGGTCGGGAAGTGGTGGCGGTGGATCATATCCGAGTGGCGCCCCGGACTTCACCAAATCCTCGGGTCCAGCTGACTTCTCGCGTTCGGCTGGCAGCAATGACAGTTACAACACATCCAACCAGTCGATGTCGATGGGAACCGCCCAACCATCGGATCCATCGCAGCCCTTCGATGCTAATTATGCCGGTGGCCAAGTCCCGCCTCCCACTGGCCTAATGGGTACCGTGCACAATGTGGCAGAGACGGCAAAAACCGCCACAATGAACGCCATGGAAGGTGGAAAGAATTTAGCACGACAGGCATCGGAAAGCGCTAAGAATCTGGCGACCGGCGCCTGGGAGAAGATTTCCAGTATGACAGGACCGAAACCATAAAGTTTACCTGGGACAAGATAGTTTTTCGTTCGATCGAATTACTGACGGGACACACATGCAATCGAATATTATTTTCTTTCGTGTTTCCTATAATTCCAAATCTCATAAGCGTAATTATTGTTAGTAAGACTGCATTGCTTGTATTTCCACCGTTTAGTGCGTAACGATCAGTCATTTGTTTGTTTTCTTTAATTAACAATAGATCGATTTCGTGTGTTTGAAGTGAGATGAGCTAATATCCCATATGATTAGTCAAGTCTGAAAACGTATTGTGAGATTTTTTGTCTGTTCATTAGTATGGCTGGATTCATGTGGTTAGTATATTAACACCATAAAAACTACAATCATCTACTATATAGAATCAATGTCAGTTCTATAAATACAGTGTCTATTTATTTTAGTACGGTTTAACACAGTGGGTCCAAAACAAAATTCCGCGGTAAATCACGTACTGGAAGTATTAAAGTATTAATATAATTATAAAGTAAGTAGTTTCAAACTTAGGGCTTTGTACCTGAAGTTACATTAACATTATTAGCAGTAATTCCAAAACGCATCCTGAAATACTTCTATCAATACTTGTACTTGAACCGAACGAAACGGAAATAACGAAAATTGTCTAATCACAGTTATTATAAATCCTGAAAGGTATGAGTAAATTTACCGGTATATTAAATGCCAAATCCGCGACTGATGTTTATAGTTTCAGGTCTGCTTATATTGGTTATTATAACAACCAAAATTATTATTAGCTCACATTATTGCGTATTATTACCACAAAAGGTTTACGGTTGAAATCAATGAAATCATTGAAATATAATTCAGGGTAACTTCAGGTACAAAGCCCTAAGTTTGAAACTACTTACTTTATAATTATATTAATACTTTAATACTTCCAGTACGTGATTTACCGCGGAATTTTGTTGCATTGCACCCCCTTACAACTTTATTAAAGACCATTCTTGCTGAATGCTGAATCGAATTCAAGATATGTATAAGGTGCACGCACTTTCGCTCATATATTGTAGGTATACGAGTACCGTATAGTCAAGATTATTTCGTTTAATAAACCAAATGCGAAGTACGAGTACACAAATAAAAATTTATGTCACGCGGCATCCCCACAGTCATACCTCTGTTCTTACAGAGGACGTCTATTCCGGTTGCATACACGTGTACAGATATTTGTGAATCCGCTTCCAGAAAACGGTATTTTGCGCCGTTCAAGCGCTGCTTCATCGGTTGCATCAGTCCTTTTTGTCGTTCTCACGGTACGCATTGCTGATCCTACAGCAAAAATTTCCAGTGACGCACTTGATTCATTAGATATGGAGAAAATCGATTGCCATTTACGTAAATCCCGGCACCTTCCCCTAAATCCAGATCAGTCGTGTTCAAGTACATATCCTCTGTACAGTGACAGCAGCTGCTGCAGGGAGAAGCCCGCTGTATGCAACACATCGCACCAACGCTATAGGGACCTCTTCGAGCCGTGTCAGCACACACATCCTGTTCATTTTGTATCAAATATAGTCAGGCTTGTGATTTATCGGAAGACTACGACGAAAATACCCACTGACTGATAGCCACCATATGGTCAGCGGTTTTTGCATACAAAATCGCCAGAAGAGTCATGGTTGTCTTGCGCTTTTTCCTGTCCATCATATTCTTGGGAAATGCTCTGTGTATCAAGGTCGATTTTAAGCACCATGATCAGACGGAACTAGAAGATACGCTTGTTAGTGTGGCCGAGCAGTGTCCTAATATTACCCGCGTCTACCAGTTGGAAAACCCTTCGGTGCTGGGAACACCTTTATGGGTGTTAGAGTTTTCTAGCACTCCTGGCGTCCATGAACTGCGTAGGTCTTTCGTTCAATCGTAGTTGCTTAAAAAAAGTCTCGGCAGGCGTTAAGTAACGTTAACAGACTAGTTTGATGGTAAATACTAACGGCAGTTAATTAACATGATTATGGCAGTACTAGGGTATGTGCTTGTGTTTGTCGTATACTTCTACTTTTTAAACTCAAAATAATGTTCTGTTTATGCAAATACGGGTAGCTTCCACGTGTAGCAGCAGTTCTTCATAATAATTGTACGCTCATGGCGGTTTACTCTACGATCCCCCAATCAAAGAATGATTTGTTTCTGTTTATTAATTGTTGTGTTAGACTTTTGGGGTGTCTTATGGAATTTGACTTCCTATGCTCTGCATGGTTGTAAATAAAAGAGCATACTTTAGTACTTGATCCGCTAAATAATACAACACAGATTAAGGTGTTCGAACATTTTTTGGGAGAACTGCACAACAGGTGTGGCAAAGGTCAACAGAGACGAAACTATAGCTGATGGCTAATGTACTGTAATTCAGAAGCTATAATTATCTGCTAGCTTGTTAGTATACAGCTGCCGTTTTTCTGTTATTTTAAATTAGCTGTGACAAATGACAAGATCTATATACTTATGTTTGTCTGTAATTCATAACTTTTTAAGCATTCCATCAGTTCTAATGAGTAGGTTTAGCAACTGAATGCGGTATTGTTTTTAGTGAAACCCGAGTTTAAGTACATTGGCAACATCCATGGAAATGAAATCGTGGGACGGGAAATGTTACTGCACTTAGCCGGATATCTCTGCAATGAATACACAGCCGGCAACAAGAACATTAAAAAACTGATAGAACGCACGCGCATCCACATCTTGCCAACAGCGAATCCTGATGGTTACGCCGTAGCTGCGCAAACCGGTTCGAAGGGAAACTGGCTGGAAGGACGCACCAACGCCAACGATGTTGATCTAAACCGCGACTTTCCTGACCTTAACCAGCTGGCATATGACGCGGAAGATCAGAAGATTGTTGACGGGAACTACCGCAAGATTTTACAGGTTGCCAATCAGTTTTCTCAGGTAAGGTACTTGGAACACCGCTTTTCAATTTTCAAAAAATATTATCAGGTTAATATATTTCGGTGATGTTCTTCACCAAAAAACCAAGTTAAATGAGAGAGAGAAGCAAATTATTTTTCCATAACCTCTCCCCCTGTAGACTGCCTTATACGGCATCATATTCTTATTGTTCGTTTTCTTCTCCTTGTTATTGTATTGTCTCAGCAATGTTAATTATGAGTCGGACCCTTTGTTCTAGCATTCAAGAACAAGATGCACATGTACAATTTTTAATATAAGCATTATTGGCAGATGCAACCGGAAACACTGTCTCTCGTCACATGGATTTTTGATAATCCCTTTGTACTATCAGCCAGTCTGCACGGCGGTGACCTTGTCGTGAATTACCCCTATGATGAGAGCCGCTCCGGGAAACCAAGTGAGGAATACACTGCATCACCGGATGATGCCACTTTTCGTCAACTAGCCCTCGCTTATGCGGGCAAACATAAGCAAATGATGAACATTGAGCGGCATGCTTGCGAGAGCAATGGAATTAATTTTGCCAAACAACAGGGCATCACTAATGGGGCTGACTGGTACAGCGTGAAAGGAGGTAATAAACCGAACCCATGGCGGTGGAGTGGCAGTTTATGTCATATGCTCGCCTCATCTGCATTCCTTGAAAAAGTCATTACTGCATATTATTATGCCAAATAACCGCCTTCTTTTTTATATACGTAGGCATGCAAGATTTCAACTATTTGGCATCGAATGCCTTTGAGTTGACGATGGAGCTGGGATGTCGGAAGTTCCCAGAAGAATCGGAGCTGAAACGATATTGGAACGACAATATGGACGCTTTAGTCAACTTTATGTGGCAGGTAATAAGTGGGAATATGTACAAGATTGTGTAAACAAGACATAACGCTACAACCTGCCAAATTTTTTGGCTGGAATATGCCGATTTCTAAAGGTCACCACGTCAATACGAGAAGGAATCTAACAGAGGCACCGCGAAAGGCGATAAATATTACGCTTAAAGCAGTATTTCAACCTTGGGAACTGGTAGCCATTCCACAAGTCATGCTGAAAAATTAACAGTCGTTTTCTACTCGCCATTTTAAACGCTCATAGCTTATAAACAGGCATACGGCATCCCAATTTTGATGGACCTTCTGTTAAATTCTGGCTATGCTTAAATACAAGCAACAGAATTTTTCTCACATGCTGATAAAACTGTTTATCTGTTCATGGAAAGTCATAATTAATTTACACAGCGCACCCACTATGCAACCCGTGACTGCCGCCATAATAACCTACTTTTAATTTTACCGAAATGGGTGTGGCGGATATACGTGTTACACAGATACACACTTCCTTTTAACAGTCCTTTTTGTTTTGCGACGCTATTTTCGTTAAAGCTTCTTTGTAACAACTGAAACATGAAAAAAGAGCTGAATTAATAGTGTCCCCATCGCAGCAGCTTGCCCTGCTCTTTGTTCAGAGGAAAAACAGTACAGTATTTTGACGAGCTAAACCCGATTCAATTCGAGCTAAATGACTAACTGTTTATGTGGCGCATTTCTCATTGTTAGCAACCAGCTTTCCCAGGTCCGGTGATCATGAAAAGCGTTCATACCAAAACATTTTTCATTGGTATTTCGAATAACTATTTTCTTATTAGTATCCAAACTGTTTTGTAATTTCAGAGCCACGTGGGGATTAAAGGGCTGGTGTACGATTTGATCACTGGTGACCCCATTACAAACGCGATTGTTGTTGTGCGCAATGAAACGAACGGAGAACGCATTGCTCATAACACCACATCAAGTAAGTACGGTATTACTACTGTAGCTAGAGCCGTAATTAGAAACGGGCGCTCTTCCTCTTTCCGCTCCCCTAAGACGGCTACGTACAGCAAGGTGCAACCGGATACTATGAATTATCTACGACGTAAACGCACACACATTAATAGGAGAATACTGCAGTTCATACCTGATTCATTCAGTAATCAACAAAATTAATTACGGAGCAGTGTCGTAGTACTACGAGTAGAATATAGATATACTGCAGATGAGAACAATTTTATCTCTTTTGAAGCAGTATAGTTTATCTCTATATAGCATATTTTATCTCTTTTGAAGCTTTTGAAGCATATAACATATACCGAGAGAAAATGAGGTGACTGCAAGCAATGTATAACTTAACATAAAAGGTCACAGGATCTAGCTAAAGCTGCTTTTCATTATTTTCCACAAAGGTGCTGCTATTATGAATGATGAATTCATTAATTTAATTGCAGCTAAATATGGAGACTACTTCCGGCTGCTGGTACCCGGCAAATACGAAATCTACGTCGAAGCGCCTGGTTATATTCCACAGATAGAAACGGTCACTATACCAGTTCTGTTGTCCAACGAAAGCGTTGCAGATAAGAATGAGCTGATCATCAATTTTGCCATGATTCCCCGTGATGTCGATGAGCAGACTTACATGGAAAACGTGAACAAAGATCGGCAAGTAATAGAGGATGAACGAGATTACGAACCAGCCCCCGAAATGGCTAATCCTGCGTATCCTTATCAAGACGAGGAAATTCAGGACGTCTTGAACCTCCTGAGAAGCCCGATGAAAACCCCGGTATCTGACCAGAATGCTCCAAAATATAAAGGTCAAAAATCTGCGGACAATGAGAACAAAAAGGTTGCTAGTCTATTTGACAAACTGAAGACAAAAGAACGAAACGGTCAAGTTCTGCCACTACCGGAGAAGTCATCCGATCAAGAGTAATATTACACCTGATCATCACACACTGCAGAGCGTTCGCGTACATCCGCGCAAAGTTTTTGTACGCTTGGACGATTCGCGTCCATTCCACTTTGAATGCAGTCCATTTTTTGCAGCTTGAGTAATTTGTTGAGAAACATCGTCAACCGGCTAATTTTGTTTTGCTGATATCGTTGCTTTAAAAATTTTACACAACAATGATCCTTTATTGTAACAATAATGATCGCGGCAGAAGCTTGAAGTATTTGCCTAGAGTTTATTTTATTAATTTTTTATGCGTAGAGTAATGCTTCTAAATTGTCGACTGTCATGAAAACAATAAGTGCTATATGTACATCGCTGGGCGAAAATAAGACATGCGTACTGTAAGAAATCATGTTGCCAGGTCGGGCGTACGCAAGTAACTTCGAAATTATGTCCATAACTGTCATTTTAGTTCTGGTTACATTGCCGGTAAATTAACCTAGTCTTCCTGTCTTGGCTATATGACTGAACGACTGAGAGACCTTGACACAGACAGTAACGCTGAGTTTTAACTCAACTGAAGGATTTTTACAGGCACCAAGTTTCCATCAAACCGGAAGTCCGGTACTGCCTTGCTGTCACGTTCGCAATACTAATACCTGCATGCTGCAGCAAAAATTCGGCAAGTCGTAGTGACACCACAAGAAAACTTATGCAGAAAATTGATTAATTAGGCCACTTTTCGGTGTCCACACGTGCAAATCATACTCTGATATATGCGACTTGCAAGTTGTAAAAACTCGTACGAAATTTTTTTCATTTAATCAGTTTTTAAAACAGAATGTTCTACCTCAGCACTTCAGACCGCCGACAAATGGTGGTACCGCTATCGGCAGAATCGCCTTGCGGGTGGTAGTTGTTTTAATTTTGCAGAATTCATACTGCGCATGCATTTGTGAAATGAGAAAACCCAAACAAGATGAGTTGTTATTTATACTTATTTTTCTGAATTCACCAGTTCTTTCTTCTTGATATTCGAATAAGTAAAGCGTTTGGTAAATATTAACCGCATTTATTAGTTTTCGAGTAAAATGGAGGCTTTGTCAAATGGTGACGATTTCCATAATAATCATGCAGTTGATCTGGAAGAAATGCGTACGGAACACCCTTTCTCGCTGCGAGTACGAAGGATCTGCGAAACACCTGTGAACCAAGTACGTAGCTCTGGATTGCTTTTGCCAGATTTTTGAAGATGTGTACTGTTTTTGGTTTGCAGCGATTTTTTGGGGTTGTTTTTGTATTGTAGGAGTTGTTCGCCGCTTTGAATAATTACGGTTCGTTGGCCACGAACGTAAGGGAAATGCACGGCAAAAATCTTCAAACCGAAATTGAAAAACAGGCTCTTGCCGGACACAAGAATTTTAAGATGGACATGGAGAAAGTGTTGTTGGCAAGTACCGCAACAGATTTCTTCCTGTATCTGTATAACAGCATAATCCTTAAAATTAGGTATGCAGAACGAATAAAGTATGCATGTACGGTTGCATTATGCAATGTGCAGTTGTTTGTGTAATCTGTCACCGACTTTTTGAGAAAAAAGGTTTGCGTTTGCAGAATTTGGAACAAGAATACGCTGAACTGGGAATCGTGCACAGTAGCATTGTGGAAAAAATTGAATATCTTCGGGCATTGAAGGAGAGCTCCAGGAAATTTATGGATCGCTCTCGTGCGATTGACACGGCACTGTGGGTTACGTTTTTTGTTGTTTTGCTGACATTATTTGTACGCTTTTGCATTTAAAATGTCGATTGACATTTGACAGGAAGGAAAACGATCTGAAGTTACGGTTGGCGAAAACGTTTTTCGCGCGTTTCATGTTCACTTCTCGAGAAATCGATCTGCTAACCAGAGCAGATTATCCAGTAAACCAGGTATGTTTGCCAACTGTTTTAAAAGAATTGGATTGCTACCTTTGTTTTTATTAGTGTTTTGAGGTTTTCAGTTCTGCGTAGTGTTGCAGGTGCTGATTAGTCGTATTTTTTATTAATGATGTAATTCGTGGACACACCTGGGCTAACACTTACTAAACTGTTTAATAATATTGCGACAACCGTTTTCTTTCTGAAGTTTGTTTGCACATTTTTATAGTACAAATATTTGTCTGTTTAATGACTGTCCGTTTAATTCTCGTGCTTTGATCGATTTGTATAATTCGGTTAGTTAAATTCTTACTTGGCATGAAAATTTCATTTGTTCATTTTTTAATTTCATTTCGGGCATGAAAATTTCATTGGTTATCCACAGGAGTTTTTCGATGCTCTTAATCGCACACATACCATTCGCGAAGATTGCAAAAATCTTCTCCGTTTGCCATCGGCGTCCGAAATGTTGGGTCTGCATCTTATTGAATCAGTGGGAAAGTATCAGGAGACCGCATACCAACGACTATATCGCTGGTGCATGGAGGAATCTCGCAAATTGACTGGGGAAACTCCAGTTGTGACGCCATTGTTCTGTCATGCCCTGGAAGTATTGTCATTTCGCCCAGCCATTTTGGGCGCTGTCCTAGAGGAATACGCACTGATAAGAAAGACATACCTATTGAACGCTTTTATTAGCGCCCTTACTCAAGGGTCGTCCAGTAAGTTCCGTCAGGATGGTATGGTCGTATTAATATTTCGTGTGAGTACTTGTTTAATTATCAGTTCGTAATGCGAATATCATTGTTAAAATTTTAGTTATGCTAATACTGTAGTAATTTGCTGAAAAAGTGGAGTTAGCAATGGACTGCATGAGATGGGATGTTACCTTTGTTCTTACAATTTTTCTTGTGTCTTTTAAACTACATGGTGAATATTTATTCTGATATGAGCACCTTTGTATTGTAGTGAGTGCACGGCCGCTGGAATTGCATTCATATGACACACTTCGTTATGCCACGGATATTTTGGGATGGATTCACCAGGCCGTAGCCACCGAAAAAGATTACTGGAGTTCGTTAACGCGAAACGTTCCCCAGGCAGTAGCGGACAGTCAGATGTGTCAGGTTATGAACATGATAACAGAGGGCTTGGTTGGGGCTTTAAAATCCAGGATTGACCGGATTCTGCAGTCCAGTCCGAGCCCAGTGGTGCTGTATAAAATTCGTCATTGGATTAATTTTTATATTGGCAAGATCAGGTGGGTAAATATGCGAAGTATTTTGGGAAAGTGAGTAAATAATCGAGGTATTTTATCAAAAGTATTTCGTACTTTGTATAAAAACTGCTTCCCATGTATGCTTGTCAGTTTGAAAGTGTCCATGCAATATTATGTATTATGTTTCCTTTAACATGGCAGACAATCTGTGAAAAATGATGAAAATGCGCTAGTAAAGCTCCTTGTGGAATCTGCCACGGCCGTGCATACGCATTACATTGCTGGATTAAAGAGCTTAGCCGCGCATATCGGGAAGAAGATCGAGGTCCCTTCTGAAAGTCTGGAGCCCGTGCAATCGCTTACTAGCGCTCTGACACTATTAAAAGAGATCATTGTATGTCAGCAAACCTTGCATGCCGATGACCGGGAAGCCGGACAGGACGCGGACATTTTGATTGGCATTGTCCTGGAGCCGCTCCTGCAGATGTGCAATGAATCAGCTAGCCATGTTACCCCTTACAGCCCCAGCGTGTCCGCTGTTTACCTGCTTAATTGCTTGTACTTGGTTCAGAGTACACTTTTCAGTGGGGATAGACTGTTGGGAGATCCACGCAGTAATCTGATTAAACAGCAGGTAAATAAGTTTTGCAACGTTCTTAAATTTTACTCATAATTTTGAGTTGTTATTTCCCATTATGCATCTTTGCTTTACATTTTCAGTGTGAAGCCCATATTGATACATTGGTGAATTCCATTGTGCACTCCGTATTGACTTCTGTACGGATGCGACCTTTGTTAGAAACTCTAAAATCGCCAGAAGAAACAGTAAGACCATCTAGGGAAGCTGCAGCCAAATCAAACCACTCTCGTTTACATTTCACTGGGTTTTCAGAGAGTCATTCCGGACGATTTGGAAATGGAGCAGTTTTTGGTAAGACATTTCAATTCTTGCGATGTTTATTGTCGATATTAAACGTATCCTTTTGCTTAATGCAGACGCTTTTTGATCGTTATTTGGCCAGTTCAGATGAGTATAATTCAAGCGAGCTTCGATTGCTTATGTCTGTTCCCACTCGGTAAGGAGTTAGTGCAAGACGCTTTTTCTTTATCCAATACAGGTTACTCGGAATTATCATACAGCAGGGGAGTGCGATACACAGTTACACATTTCCGGCTGGAAGGCGGGTTGTGGGACATCATAATCCCGTGCTCGATCCTCGCAATGTTAAACTGTGTATCTGTTGTACGCGTACGGATTTTCCAAGCTGTGTGCTCTTAATTCCGTTTAACTCCTTAATAATTTATCAGTAACAGCTAAAACCTGAAGTCTTAAAATGCTACAAACATCAAAATTATGTATGACTCAAGAGGTATAGCGTTGTAATAATTATCTTTTGCAGAAATTTGATATCACAACGATCGCAGCGCGTCATTTCTGAGCTTTACGAGCAGCTGTACCCAGCTTTGATGGGCAGTCGATTCGCCGGTGTAGTCAAAAATCCAGATCTGGTTAAACGGCTTTTATCGACTTGACCGCCTTGTTTTGTTTTGTGTTCTTTTGGTGTTTTATTTTTTGTTTAGCGGCAGTTTTATTGCAATCTGAGAAACTTCTATGGGAGTAAATTTGTGTCCTTGTAAACTGAGACATTCGACTGCTGTGCAATGGGCATAGGTGCTCGTAGTTCCGAAATTCTATCGAAGATGTAGGTCAGGGATTTTACACGAGTCAGAATTTTAAATTTTCATGTAACTTGACACCTTCATGCAGGAATTCTTCTGATCACTCACGGTTAGGGAAAAAAATTTCCAACATAAATTTGCGAAGATCCATATTCCATTGTGGGGCTAGGCGTAGTATTTATAAGTTATTTGGTAGACTATGTAAATTAACGTAATAACGTTTCTGAGTCATAATAAAGTTAATCTGTTTGATGTTTTGTCTGTTTCCGTATGAATGAATTTCAATTTCTTTCGAAATTTAACGAGTTTTTCTGCAGTTGGCAGACGCCAGAATTTATCTGCTTTACTCTTCTTAACATTTTTTTAAACATGCTCCACACTGGCACAAATTTGTCTGTGGGAGAACAAAATCTGATACAGAGTGAAAACACGAAGTGGCGTTTTCTTGTCTGCTTCGCAGTCAGCGAAAACATTCCGTCGCGGACTCGCTGTGCAAATTACGTATTATTCGTGTACTATAAATTTGTAATTAACGTTATAGTTAGAGACCATACACAAACTACGTACAGAACGAATTTTCGGGAACGTAGTTTATAGATAGTCCTTTACAGTATCTTCCTTTGTGTAACTTGATGCTTGTGCTGTGCTAAACCACCCCTCTAACATGTGCGAATCAGAATCGTGTAACATTTTGGTTACAGACTTTCCATAGACCTGATGAAAACAAGCCGTAAACTAAATAGTGTTCAAAGTGTGTAAATACTAAATAATTCAAAGACTAGTCTTTGTAATTATTCTAGTTTAACCGACTGCCAACTGGTGTCAGTCCGCTCCGGAAAATACTGTAGCTGATTTATCAAGCTTAAGCTGCCGGTGACACATATCGGTGGATTTGATGTTATTATTACATATGGAACTTCCAAGTTAGAACAATTATTAGTTATTAGTATTCGATCTTTCGCCGCATCAGAACGTCGCTGCGTGGTTGAAAATTGCTATCACTTAGCCCGTATGGCCAAAATTCTGGTGCTGCTTAAAAGTTGAACACATACCCTTCAAGTACCTTGAGGTTTCCATGAAAAATACGCTGACAGAAGTGAGGTAAAGCTGGTAGTTATTCGGATATCTGTCCCCAGCTTACAAAAATAACATTGCGTGACTGCAAGTCCACACGTTTTCCATTCTCCTGTCATGAACCAACCTATCGCAACTTGAGCTAAAAAAATTTATCCTAACCCCAAACAGCCACGACAGGAAAAATGTATTAGCATTAAAAATACTGGACGGTGGCATAATGCGTATATACCCACCTTGACGGTGGGATATCTATTTGTTGCAGGGCTCTTGTTAGGTATGTGTTGTTTCTTTAAAATTCTGATTGCGGTGGCAGTGACAGCCCTGACAGGTAACCCATGAAAAACCTGCTGCATTATGTAGAATACAAAAAACAATTTAAAAACCTTCATATGCCACTTATAGTGTCTGGCCGATGAACTTACATATCATCGCTTAAATATCGAGCGCTGCCTTTTCTTAAATCGTTATTTATCCCAATGGGATTTTTTGTATGGCTTCCTCTGAGCGAAATCGATCAAAGATTTTAAATCGGTGTTTAGCCATTAACCGTTTCGTTGTTTCCGTCTTGGGTGTTGTTATTTTTATTGCAGTAAAAGGATCGAAAGCAAATTAGCATTGTCCGATGATCCATAATGCAAATGCAGTGTAGTACCATATTCAGCTACACAATGTTTACAATACACTGTAATCATTGTATAAGTGTAGTTGTACAATACAATACAATAATTATTATTATACAGTGTACTTAATATTATTATATCTGTACAATGTACTTACAGAGTACTTGCATACTTATACTCCTACATACCACTAGGCACTCCGTATTCTATCTGAACAGTTTTTGAACTTTTTATAATTCTGTCTCGTTGGCTTTCTTTAATTTGACCCTGCACATGGTAAGGTGGAATATTAATGTTCTCTATTATCCAAGATGTTCTATAAAATGTGTTGGAATGAGTTTCGGAATTCCGGCACCCGGCATTTAACAGTGCGTACAAACGGTACTATGCATGATCATGAGTTTTTAAACGCAAAACGCTTGTTAATAAATTATATGGAAAACGTGGCCATTTGAAAATAGTAGGTGTGATTTTTGTTGTTAATTACTGCAGAAGCAAATGCAAAGATTAAATATATAGCGAAATTAAATAATTTTATATAGCGTCTAATCACTTTTCTGATTTATTTATCGCATCTGCATTCTACACCGCTACGAGAACATAACTGGAAGTGCGCTAGGTGTCTGCTTGCTACACGCTGTATCAGTGTTGCTGCCGCTGTATCAATGTTTCCAGAAAATAACCAGCAGGACGGCAATGTTTTGTGGTCCGCAGCGTGTGATGTTGCTGTCACCGCGAGAACCGGTTCCCGAGCTCGTAATTTCCTAACATTAAGAACTGGTAAGGCACCGCTCGTAATATTATTGAATTCTTTCAAACGTACGGATGGCGACGAATTAGTCTTATCATTCTTATTATGTGCGGTGCCATTTGGTAGACTGTGTAACTAGAAACTGAACGAGTCCAGTTCGGTGTCAGATGTGCTATCTGTACTGAACATCTGCACATCACTTATTGCACTGGAGCTGTATAAATATGCCTTAAGAAATCTTTCAAATCGTTTACGTACATAAATATTTTACCCAACTTCAAAAACCGCTTTGTCGGTTGGATTGATGCGAAGGCGAATAAACGTTTGTTGCAAACCCGCTGTATGCGGCATCTTATAATCAAATTGGCTTCTCGACGCTGTACGTATGCACAGGCAATAAGGTTGGCTTTTGTATTCATATGTACGGTTTCATTTCAAATCGTTCGCTCAGATGGTTTATATGTTCAGATGCCGCGCTTTTGGACTGATTTTTTAAGCTTCTGGTTTTTATTCCATAGTGTTTCCGTTAATTCTACCTCTCGTGCCGGTTTTGTCGCGTCGAGGACACCGCAACGTCGACCCCGAAGGATTAATACGTTGTGCCGTTCAGAACTGTCGTGAAAATCGCCCATACTCGTCCCACTGCAGTCTTTGCGTGTTTACATGATACGTCCAACACCATAACTTGCGTGAATTATTATTGACAGCCAAATACACCGATTGCGATCGTTGTTTAATGGGTATATGCTTCACTCAGCCGAAGGTGTTGTGTGATGGTTTTATTACCGTAATATATACAAGACTGCGCAGGTAAATGTGTTCTTGCTACGAAAGCAAAGAACCAACTTTTAATATTGACACCGTATTTTTCGGAAACCGCGCGTTGTAGCAGTGCGCACACACCAGTTCATCGCCGAGAAACCTGTGGTGCGGATTATGTCGGTGTTTTTCTCGTTATCATGAGATTGCTTTATCAGTGCACCATATCGGCCGATCACCACTCAATCCCATGGTCACATCCTAACCGAGAAATGCGACCACTGGGTTGCCAGAATGACCACTTGCTGAGTCAGTTCATACGCTCAATGCCGTACTCATTGAGATGTGGACGCTTGTAAAATTAATCATCCTGCTGTCTGCACAACAATACCGGAAATGGTTGCTGGTGTTTACTCTCATATTGATCTCTCTCCGCCCCGCTGCTGTGGCTGCTGTTCAGCAAAAAACCAAACCCTTCAACCTGACACTGGGCTATCTGACGGCCATACAGGGCAGTGATACGGCGGCGGCCTTCCGGCAAGGCGTCGTCATCAGCGGCGCGATCTCCTACGCCATTGATCAGATTAACAATCGCACGGACTTATTACCTTATCATCATCTGAATCTAATCTGGAATGATACCGAAACCGATCCGTCCATCGGGACCAAAGTGCTCACATCGCTGTGGAAGCAGGGCGCTGTGGCATTCTTCGGGCCGGAAGATACGTGCGAGAAGGAAGCGTTTATTGCCGCCGCATGGAATCTGCCCATGATTAGCTATGTAGGTATTATTTGCTATTGTTTATTGTATTAGCTGGGTCCTTCCTTTCTATACGTTCTTACCGTCATGTACATCAAGTCTCATGACTGGTTAACACCTATGTTCACGGTCGTTAAAAACGTCGTAACGCAGGCCACCGACATAGTGTTTGCACAGATAAAGCATGTCTAGAGCCTCGGGTACTGTGGTACAAACGCCAATGTGCTTCTTCCGAACAAAAATTTTTTCTTCATCACAGTGTGATCACTGAATGTTTCACTGAATGAAACATTCAGTTAAAAATAAATCAAATATTGCAGGACGAAGTAAAGAGATAGAGATTTTGAAACGTTTTCCGAGTATTTGCTACAGTGGCTGAAGCATTGTTGTCCAGTTGCAAAGCTTGGCTCGAAAGCGGCAAACAAGCAATCTATCGCGTTACTAATTTTAAATCAACTTACGTAAGATTCAATAACGGACGAACTAAAAATCCTGTACCTCTTGCTTTAATTTTGAAAATATTCAGGTTAATGATGTTATCAGTAATACTCGGTGTACTTGTACTAGACCAGAATTGTTCGAGATTGATATTTCAGTTTTATTTTATAAGACAAATGCGCAGCTAATGTACTACTAATTTAATATGCAACTGGGTATTTAAAAGTTTGCTGTGGTTCACAGAAATTAAACATTTCAAGCACTTAGATATTTCACTTTACAACTGCCAATATGAGCAAGAAAAATGCAAAACTTGGCATAATCTTTGCGAACAAATCGCTGTCGGATATTTCGGTACAATTAACATTGTTAATTTAACAGTGCAGCATTTCGGGGATGATTAGCAGTTAAAAAATGCATGTACGTTTAAAGGGCTACTTTATGTGACCGAGAACTTCTTCATTTCATTCTAAGGAATAAGTACTTAGCCATTTGTAACGGTATCCACATACTGTATATGTTCAATGAATTCCACTGTCTATCTACGGTGCGCATCAACCGGCGAATTAATTAGTCTCTTGATAAATGTATTTTATGTTTCCAGAAATGCTCAGACCAAGCAGTGTCGAACCGGAAAATTTACAAGACATTTGCGCGACTGCAGCCGCCTGATATCCAAGTGACAAAATCAATTATCGCATTGCTCAAGCATTTCGATTGGCAAAAATTTTCCATAGTTTATGGCAGCACTCATGCGTGGCAAGCCATTGCCAAAAACCTCAAAGAACAAGCTGCCCTTTATAATATGACTGTGAATTCAGAAAGTGAATTTAAGGAACCGTATCAACCAGATTTCGAAGAATCTCATTTTCCAGAAATCATCGACAGCACCCACAAGAAAACACGGAGTAAGCTTTAGAAACCGTAGAAGCCATACTAACTGACCACACTTATTAACAAATCAAAATCATCATATATAGCTTGCGTGTGTGGAAATTAAGAAAATAATTATTAATATATACCTTGCTTACGTTTTCTGCGAATCTTGCTCAGCTCCAGCAGAATCGACATTTTTGGTTTTGCCGGCACATTCACCGCCCTTATCACTGATAGCCATTATTATCTTTAATTAATTTTGTACTCGAACAGGATATTCATATGGTGTTATTTTTGCAGTTTACATCTTCTTGGGAGAACTGAAAAGTTTGATCGATATGATGCTGCAAATGAATCACAAAAAGCTACTGGAAGGTGGCGAATATATTGTCATCTACTTCGATCGCCAACAATACAAGCCGGAAGATCCAACGTTTTATTTTCGAAGTTCATTGATTCATATGGAAGACAATATACCGGATAATTTCGAGGTTATTGAAGCAATGCAGAGTTTATTAATTATCACCAGCACACATCCGACGAATCCAGAATATGAACATTTTAAAAAGCATGTGAATGAATACAACGAGAAGCCACCTTTTCTGTTTCCCAATCCCTTCAACTTTCAAAAGCCTGTTACAGAATTTGCCGCAAATTTGTATGATTCAGTGTTTTTATACGCTCGCGCCTTGGATGGAATTATCAGGACGCAACTTGAAAACGAGACAATTACAGCCACCCTGAGTGAGGATGAATTGGGAAATTACCTGAACAGATATGTAACGGATGGGGAATTAATAATTGACTATATTTGCGGAAAGAAATATAAAAGTAAGTTTGTCCACTGCTTTGTGTTACTCATACAACGGGAAAATGAACCGTAGATCATAAAAGCACAGTTGATGTGCACGTTACGTAAACTAACGATATCTCACAATTAAAATAAGCATGTAGATGCAAAAATGATATGATTGATTGTGTTAGGCATACAGGGAACGATGCTGTTTATTGACAACGACTGCGATGCTGAAGGAAACTATACTCTTCTTGGGCGACAAAGAGAGATATCCACCAAAGCAAACTTCTCTATGAACCCTATCGGGCAGTTTCAGCTAGGAAATTCTACTACGCAACTCCCAGTTAGTTTATGACTAAAATGTTCAGTTTGTTAAGGAAATAAGCATACAGTAACTAAAATTTCAAAGCACTTTAGGAGTAGTCAATCAATTTGGTGCTGATTCTTACGGCGTGCACCTCCGTTTTACACACCATAGTATTTAATGAATGTTGTTGTCTTCCAAATTTTTATCTGCTCAAGGAAACGAGAGCCCATTGGTTTGATTAATTGTATACCAAAATTTCAACAAAAAGACCATTACCATTAAGAAGCGCTTTTACTGCAACATGTAAATGCCTTTAAAATTGCTTTTATAGTCGTTGCGGCTGCTGGCAAACACGGAAATTGATTGGGTAAAAACGCAACCGCAAGATGAGCCGGATTGTGGGTATTCTCATGATAAATGCGATCAAGGACCGGGTAAGTTATGGCCGAGTAAAGCTGTCCCCGTATTCGTTAAATAAAATCCAGGTTAAATTACTATAATGCGGTGCGATATTGTTTCTCATTTTAACCAGATAACACTCCACATATTGTGGGTGGTGTGGTGGGAGGTATTGTTGGACTTATCATACTCTTTGGAATATTCGTTTATCGGGATTGGCGTTATGAGCAAGAAATTGCTGGACTTGTATGGAAAATTGATCTCGAGGATATCAGTTTTGATGAATACGAAAGCGCATCCGGTAGCATGTTTGAGATCAGCGCCGAAGACGGTGCTGATGAAAGGAAAGAAGAACTGTTTGCGCAGACCGGTACATACAAGGGTCGCATTGTCAGGATTAAAAGGCTATGTTTTCCCACAAAGAAAAATCTGGAAGTCTCCAGGGAAATGCGGAAGGAAATGAAAATTGTACGTACCTAGCTGTAGTTGGTTGACGGTAAATGCAATGCTGTATAAAGTCAAAATATTGTTCACAGAAAAGCGTTTACTGCGAGACGTTTCGTGCTACACTTACCGTTAATAAGTAAAATGTGCGTACTTCAAATAATACGAAACAACCAAACTTTAGAACTGAAAAAAACAATATTTTTATGGTTTTTGTTCATGAAGTTGATGTGGTTATGCAAAAATTATTGTGAACATGGCTTTCGCAACAAATTATTCTGACTAATTTTAGTGCAATAATTAAAAATTTGACTAAATATGTAATTCTTATTAAGAATTGGACTCCTGAAACAATTACTGCTTTTGCATATACGAGTACGTATAACGAATCGTATTGCAGATGCGAGAACTGCGGCATGACAACATTAACCCTTTCCTTGGGGCATGTGTTCAGCACAATGCGATCTACTTGGTGATGGAGTATTGTACAAAAGGCAGTTTGTGTGTAAGTGGTATCCATAACAAGTGCCTTACGGATATGTTACAAATATTAATTACCAAATTCTTTTTTGTGAATATCCGGTTTTTGCTATAGTTTTATTTGTACAAACTTAACTGCGGAAAACTTGGCACGTATCAGATTTCGGTTGTTATATCCTGGAGTGCAAGGCATGTGCAACAGTAAATATGTAGGCTTAACACCTTGCAATTTGGATTTTGGTAAAAGCGTTTCGGTAAACAGAGATACGCATAAAATAGGTTCTTCTTCTTTGATTACGAAAATCTCGTATAATTGTTATGGTAGATTTTTGAAACGGTTGAGCGCAGACCATTGCTGCATTCATTTTAATTAATCCGTACATTCATTAAGATATTAACTTATTGATGTCCATCAGTAGTGAAGTAAACAGTAGACAAGCATAAATGGAAAACATAAAACTTTGCTTTTCAATTTATTTGTTAAAAAGCAAGAAAGCGGAATATAACAACATTAATATTATTAAGCATTCAATCAAACTTTTCCAAATTAGCACCTATCACGTGTTAGGTCTCCTCGTACCGGCATGCCTGTGCAATATGTTATACGTGTAATGGTTTTGCTGTATACTATTTACATATTGATAATAGAATCTGCTAATTATCTGCAATGCCTCAAAAGAGCTGAAATTTAGCTTTTTGGATTTTGAAAAATGTTTAATGTCTGGAATTCCAAGTAAGACTATAACCTGCGCCGCATTTACGCAGCGTTTTGCAACACGGTGTTTTTCCTGTCCGTATTCTCCGCGAAACGCTATTAAGTTTGTTGATCGTGCCCTCCTGGAGCGTTTAGCATGCATAATTTTTCTTCGTGCTTGATTATTATGCTTACTACCACAGGTGTCTGCCTTTCGTAACCAGTGGCGCATTTCCTGACCAGCGTTCTGTTCATTTAGGATGTTCTCGAGGAGCCGACAATCAAACTGGATCATACTTTCGTGGCGTCCCTCGTTTTTGATTTAATCAAAGGCATGGCCTATCTGCACCAGTCCGAGCTGAAAATGCACGGCAACCTGAAAAGCCCCAATTGCGTTATCACTAGCCGGTGGGTGCTGCAGATCACGGACTTTGGTCTGCGGCCGCTGCGCTGTCTGGCGTCGAAAGAGTTTAGCAGTGACGATGACCTTTACCGTGACTACCTCTGGACCGCACCGGAGCTGCTGCGAGTGGAACCGGAAATTGGCGCCACACAAAAGGGCGACGTGTATGCTTTTAGCATTATTCTCCATGAGTTTCTGACAAGATTGGGCCCGTGGGGCAATTCGGAGATGCCGGCCAAGGAGATAGTTTTGCGCATCAAACAAGGCGAAGTTGTACGGCCGTCGTTCGAGGATTTGGAAGCGCAGGATTATGTTGTGGAATGTATGCAGCAGTGCTGGAGCGAAGATCCAGCGCAGCGGCCTACGTTTACGGATATTAAGGATAAATTGAAACGCATGCGAGAAGGGATGGTGAAGACGAATATTATGGATAATATGGTATTTCTTTTGGAACGATACGCTAATAATCTCGAGCAGCTGGTTACGGAGCGAACGGCAGAACTGCAAATGGAAAAGAAGAAAACGGAGAATTTGCTTCACCGTATGTTGCCAAAGTAAGTCAACCATATGATTTACATCAATTACGTACAGTCAAAGAGAAAACGTACAACTCACATGAACTGAAGTATACAATGCAATACAGTACTTTGCAACATTTATGCCAGGACCGTTTAAAATTCCTCATTTTATTGTATGATATCAATTTGACTTTTTGATTTTTCCGTTATCGATACCGTAAAAATCTCCTCGAAGAGAGCTGAATTTATCACATTTTGAAACTGTGTACTACGAAGTGACGAAGTGACTACGTGTTGAAGTGATTGTGTTGTAAGGAATCTTTTTCTCAACATGCTGTTCTTAAAATAACCAATAAAAACAATTTCTTTTTGAAAAACGCTTCGTTGAATCCTCATGCAAATGATTGTAGCTTAATTTTAAGTAGGCAGTAAAGTATTATGTTGCAGGAGTGTGGCGGAACAATTGATCCGTGGATGTGCCGTAGAACCGGAAACGTACGAGCAAGTGACCATATTCTTTAGCGATATTGTGGGCTTCACGTCATTGTGCGCGGAAAGTACTCCTTTGGAAGTTGTGACATTCCTAAATGATCTCTGTAAGCAATTATTTATTCTAAATATATCTATATGTCAAGTTACATTGATATTTGCAGACACCATGTTTGACCACATTATAAGCCATTACGATGTGTACAAAGTGGAAACTATCGGCGATGCCTGTATGTGCATTTCGGCTTTTCGTTGAATTTTTGATATTATTTCCGGACATGCTTTGTAACTGGAACTTGCAGATATGGTTGCGAGTGGGCTCCCGATTCGGAATGGTGATCTTCATGCTGAACAGATTGCCACGATGGCACTGCATCTTTTGAAGGAGTGCGCAAACTTTCGCATCCGACATAAGCCGGAAAAGGCCCTGCTAGTGAGGATCGGTATCCACAGTGGTCCGGTTGTTGCTGGTGTTGTCGGACAAGCCATGCCTCGATACTGCTTGTGAGACTTTACTTATTGATCGTTTGTTTATAGAAGTGTAAATTTACGCGATACTTGATTTTCTGTTGCATTGGTTTGATAACATTACAACAAAAATGGAATCGCCATAAGGACAGAAACCACTTGCAGTAGATTGAAAATTTATTTGATTTCTAGGTTTGGAGACACTGTGAATACCGCTTCTCGGATGGAATCTACCGGGGAAGCCAACAAAATCCACTGCAGTCCGCATTGTAAGGAAATACTGGACCGGTTAGGTTCCTACGAACTGGTCAAGCGGGGCACTGTGCACCTAAAAGGCAAAGGCGACGTCCTAACCTATTGGCTAGAGGACAAGGCCACCTTGATGGACGAAATCACACCTCTGCCGCCCCTTCCCGTGCGCTCCGAATCTCCTCGCCGGGCGCAACTCCCTGTGCCCTCCCCGCATACTTCCGTGCCGCGCTTGTCCCTTACGCCCAGTGCATCCATTAATCTGGTGCCGGAAGAGCGACCGCATGTGGCGTCGCGGCGTCCCAGTATTGTTAATTTCGTACGGCAAAAGCTGCGGCATCACGGCAGCCTGATGGGAAATAAAGCCCATGATTCCGAGCACGGTCACCCGCGACTATTCAGTCGCCGAGGAAGCGGTTCCATGTGGTCTTCACGGGAGAAGCCGTCGATTGTGCTGCCGAAAATCATTGATGAATGTGCCAAACCGTTGTTGCATGATTATACCGTTAACGGACTGCCGGGATCATACGTTAGTAAAGTGCGCAATGGTGCCGTCCGGTTGAGCCGGTCCACGCCGCCATCGCGGGAAAACCTTAATGGTAATTTCATGGAAATGAGCCCGGTCAACCGAACGGGTTCACCGGAACCGCGGTTGTTGTCAGCGCCACACAGCAAGCTGGCGGAGAGCCGGTCGGTACAGAATATTCCTCGGTGTACTTCCTTTAGAAGCCAATCTCCCAACACTCTGGTCGCGTATACGCCCGGACTTTCCCAGACCGTTACGTGATGTTGCCACTCAGATTAATGCAACAATTGATACGTGATAACAGAATCTTTAGCATACTGGCTGCCCTTTTTGGTGGCAGTAATTGTTGACGACAACCGGTGAATTGCCATGACATGTTAATACATTTCACTTTACACACATATGTTATTTTGATTTTTGGTTTGATCTATTTTTGAGTGCTCACTGAAAGATTATAATTATACTATAATGAGAAAATACTCCAAAAAATCTCTTGGTATATTTATTTTTGTTACAGAAATCTCTTCGTGAAGTAAACTACATCACAAAATTGCCGCGATGTTAAAAATATCACAGTTTATTACTTTGAACTGCTGCACGTGTGCCGACCACAAGGTCAAGTAAACACTCTGGTTACACTTCAGACTGCACCAGATACACGCGCTATCGCGATACATTTGTACATGGTAGCGGAATTACAGACTCCATTAAATATCCACTTGTATTTATGACGGTGTCAGATATATAAATATCTTTCAGGCAAGAGCGATTTCTCAACGTTGTCGTGTCAAATTGCTTATCATATCGCGTCTGGAGTATGGATAAATTCTATTTGAAGAAGCACAGTATGAATGAAAACGTCATAGTGCGACAATTCAATTTGAGAGAAAATGTTATCTTCACACTAGCCGAATGCCTGTTCGCAGCCATTTGGAATTTGGCGATTCCATCGACAGGCTGTTAAGTTCAGCAGAATAGCGCTACCACATACCAAACAGTCATGTTTTTCATTTTTGTCGGTCACATTTTGCGGGAATTTAGTGGCTGAGGATGCAATCGAGCCAACAGTTAATCTAGTGCCTGATTTTGCAGAATAACATCTGCATATGCGCCAGAGCGCCGGCGTGTACAGAGATCTGTGATTGTAACGCTAAGTTCCAACAAACCGCTCCACGTTCCAATTTATTTTGCATGTTTTCCGGTGGCGTCACCCCGCCATTACTGCGATAAATTTAAGGAATATAACAGAGAAATATGCAGGCTTCAACGAAAGCATTGTTTGCATTTTTCGCACTGTTGGCCGCAGCAACATTAATAGGAATCGGCATACTGGTAGGCTATTATGGAATACGACACCCTACAGACAGTATTCTACCTAAACTGCCGGACGAAGAAGTTCGGCAAAGATTGTTTGCCAATATTAATAGCGAAAAGATCCGGGAACATCTCCGGTAAGCTGTTATAAAATTTATGATACGTTCCTTCACTGCATATTATCGGACGCTTTTTAATGAAATAAGGCGATAAACGAGTGCTTTATTTCACCGCATAATTAAATACCTGCTGTGCGAAACTGTAAGCCTAGACAAACAAATTTATACGATATATAAATAATTATTAAATACTGTACATAGTACATAATTAAAATAAGTGCATTAAAAGATGTAGAATATCTACCTATTTTATAATATTTGCAGCAGTGTTGCATAAATGGCTTTGAAGTTGCGGCTAGCGCAACCGCACATGTGTTTTGCACGGTTAACCGTTTCTCTACTGGTACCGTTTTTATGCCAAGTTTCGTACTCGTACTATTGGAATATTGTACTTTAAATTTGTATTATTTTTCGCTTTGTAGATCGCTGACACGAAAATCCCATCCATCAGGAACAATTGCCAACGATGAGGTCGCAGAGTACATATACAATTCTTATAAGAATTCTGGACTGGAAGGTGTCCATTATGCGAACTATGAAGTATTACTATCGCGTCCCAACGAAACAACACCAAACTCCGTCCAGATTGTCAATGCAGACGGTTCACTACTGCTATCGCTAAAGTATTGTGAAAACACAAGCGGCACTTTCGATAATTCTTATTTTGCTTACTCTCCCGCCGCATCTGTCACAGTAAGTAATACCCAGTTGCTAGAATTTCCGGTACTTATACGTTTCCACCGCATTGCGAATATTCCAATGTAAACTGTTGTTATTTTTTCTCAGGCTGACACCCTCATCTATGCCAATCTGGCACGTGATGACGACTTTAAACGCCTGAAACAGGAAAACCTGAATGTAAACGGCAGTGTCATTATTGCCCGCTATGGAGGATTTCGTGGAGATCAGGTGAAAATAGCGGCAAAGTATGGTGCCAAAGCGGTGATGTTGTTTTTGGATCCATCGGCTGTTGCTCCTTATGGTATCAATGAATCGCAAGTTTATCCGAACACACAATGGATGCCTGGTATGTCCGGACTGTAACCACGAAACTCCCTGTAGTAATTGTCTTTTTGCGGCATGGTTTTGGCGTGATCGCTGTTGTCCTTTATTTTGGCATTTACTCGTTTGACAGGTTTTTTCATCTATAGTTTTATTTTATCGATTATCGTGGTCTGGAAAAAATGCTAACAATATATTTTTGTATTGCTTTTAGGGTCTGCCATGGAAAGAGGATCGGTGTTCTTGGGGAAGGGTGACCCTCAGTCCCAGGGATTTGTTTCAGAACCTTGTAAGGCGTGGCAAATACTATATACATTAAACAAGGAGAAATGATACCGAATAATAATTATATATGTACATATATTTTTGCTGAAAGTGATCACTTTTATCACAATCACATTACATAATCAAATCACTTTTAATCACAATTTTTGTCATTTTCATGTTAAACTACAAATTTGGGTAAAATAAGAAAATAACAGCACGATGAATTACTATTAATATTTATATTTATTTCATATTGTACGTTAGATGACAAGCTGACATACAGGGCACAATCCGACCCAAATGATATGCCTCAAATTCCTGCCACACCCGTAAGTATTGCAAACTTCCTATACAAGCAGAGTGCTCTGATTAAGTATCTTCCATCTTTTCGAACCCTGCTTACATTAAATCCATGCAGTATTGGAATTATAACAAAATCCTAGTACATATTTTCTTTTTTAGATTGGGTACGAGGACGCTCAACGATTATTCGAGTAAATGAATAAATTTGAAGTTATAATAAATGTTTAGGCTTTACGGTGCACATTTGCATTTCAGTCTGATGCGTGACAGTACAAACAGAAATCTACCATCTTCTTGGACGCCTTCGCGATTCATGAACTACGCCTATGGAGGCAAGTTGTCGAATAATCGGTATGGTTTACGATCTCCAACCGTTTTCGGTGCGCAAAACCGGCATTTCTATAAGTCTTTGCTTATCCATCTGTAGGAAAATAACCCTTACTACAACCAACTACGAAGTCTCGAAGCGAATACGAAACGTTATTGGGCGCATACAGGGATGCGAAGAGCCAGGTAAAGCGAGTCATAATAATGTAATGAGCGCTTTTTTTCCAAAATGTTGTATCTAATCAATTTTGAAGAAAGTGACTTGCAGTGGAAAGGTTCACACGAAAATTACTTAAGAAATTAGTCCGTTTTAGATCGCTACGTCCTTCTGGGAAATCATTACGACGCGGTATGTGCTCTCAATAAATAGAACTATTTTTAGCACCATCTTCCGTTTTTGGTGTACAAATTTTTATAAGAATGTAAACGTATAATATATGACAAATATTGAGGAATTTTGCATAACGCTTAACTGTTCTGATATAGTGGACAATGGGGGGAATCGATCCTAATAGTGGTAAGCTGCAGTTCCCGTTCGCTATGTTATACAAGTGTCATGTTTACATCGTAATTCTTAGCTATATGCAAGTACTTACTATAGTGTGAGAAGTAAGTAAGTAACGTCTACCTATAGTAAGTTCCTGCTATATGGCTAAATCAGTTTCAGTTTATTTAAGATTTTTTTTATACTACAGGAACAGCCGTACTTTTGGAGCTGGCACGAACTGCCGGTGAACTTCGAAAGTCGGGTAAAAATTGTGCTACGTGCAAATCAAAAGGCTCTGCCATGCTCGCACACGTGTCGTAATCCTTTGATCCAATCAATAGGTTTCTGGTGTCCCAGGCGCACAATCGTCTTCGGTTCGTGGGATGCGGAAGAATACGGTCTAATCGGTTCCACTGAATGGGTGGAGGTAAACGCGTTCTATGGATTACTAGTATAGGGCCAACCCGGTGAAACGGCGATAATGATCAACCTCGGACTTACACAATTAGTAAATTAGTAAATTTGTTGTGTTGCAGGAAAACTTACAAATTCTTCAAGAACGGGCTGTTGCTTACATTAACGTGGATGCAGCCGTACGAGGTGCGTACCGTACATAAAACTGAAAGCCTCAAGCATTAAGGAAAATTAAGTACTGTGTCAGTTAAAGTTAACAACAAATGCAGTATTTCAGGCCGGATATCTTTCTGGGCATTGTCCATGCCGTTATTGGATAAGCTGATTTACGAGTCGACAAAATTGGTAAATTCTTGCACTTTATTTTTGTATTAACTGTGCAAATCACTTTTGCAAGGTCAGATTGTTGAAATACTAAGCGATAGGTGCCAGATCCCCACAATCTACTAAGCGGTGTTGCCAACCCGTCCGTTTACGACATTTGGGCCAACACAAGCGGTCGCCCAGAATCCGGTGGAATACCAATAATGGGCAAAGTGGCGGCCGGGAGTGATTATGCTAATTTTGTTAATATGGTGGGAATCACGTCCGGTAAGCAACCTGAATTCACCTTATGCAAAACAAATCAATTTTAACACGTGCGTTCATATTGCAGCGGATATTAGATATGTGGTAAGATGGCCGTAAATTGTTACGGTTGAATTTAAAAATTTCCGTGTATGGCCGTTAATGAATGGCTGCAATGGAGAGGTGCCCAAAGGTCAACTCTGTGATCCGCTTTAGGGGGAAAAATCCAATCCTGCATACCATACCGGTTTTGAAACATTTGAATACGTTGAGAGACATATTGATCCTGATTTTAAGGTAACGAGAAAACAATTTTTCAACATTGTTAAATACAGCTGGCGACTTTTTATGCAGTACCATGTTGCGGTTGGCCAAGTTTGGATCGAAATTGTGCGCGCCCTGGCCGAATCGGACGTTTTGCCGTTTTCCATTGTTGATTTAGCGAGTGATATGTATGCCTCGTGGGAAGTATTAAAAAACAACATTGCCAGTCAGCAGCACCCGTTTTCGCATGAAATTAATTTAGGTAGTTACTGTTGCATACAAATGGGCAGTTGCATGTAATTGCAAAATTGCACATGTAATTTCCAGGTGCGCTGTCAGATGCAGTACTGACTTTTGGAAATTACTCCCAAAATCTTAACACTCTGTTGGTCAAACTCAAAGGCGACGGTGGAATGCTTTTGAAAAAGTATGCCGTTTGGATGCTGAATTAATTATCTAGTATTGTTGAGAATTCAACTGAACTTACTGTTTTCATTTTAGTCGTACTCTTGTTAATGAGGTCAACAACAGGCTTATGAAGGTCGAACGGATGTTCGTGGATCCTTCCGGGCTGCCTAATCGACCGCTCATACGTCACATTCTGCAGGCTCCAGCCAAAGCCAACGCCTATGGAAGCTCTAGTTTTGCCGGTATTGCTGACTGTGTTGCTTATGCCAACGAAGCCATGGAAAAAGGTGACGAAGGCGGCAGGAATTATTGGATCAATCAGCTGAAACTCCATTATACCAAAGTGGTGCAGATGGTCAATCGGGCTGCTCGATTTTTGGCCGTGCCAGTTAACAATAACCATGAATACACAGAAAGTTTATCGCGATAAAAATCGTGGTTGGTGTTGCATTGTTATAATAGATATTTAACAATATTAATTTGTTATCCGTACTCTGGTACGCGTGATCTCACGTTACCATCTTTTTGTTATATTTATCAAGTATTGGGTGCTTCTCTCGTCTAGCAATGTTGTGCTTGCGCTAGAAGTGTTGCTGCTTATGAATAAAAGAAAGACGAGCGATCCAGAGATTTTGTTCATGTTGCGGTTTAATACAAGCCGTTAGGTTAATTGAATACAGATATCATAACTACGAGAGATGCTAATAAACTGAGATTCTTTAGAATTCTGCGCTCTCTGTATTGCTTTACACGATATTATTCGGTGAACCAAAATTTGTTCGGTTGCTGTTAGCAAATAAAAGGGGCTGCTGTTCCAGCATTTGGTCCTGCGGTTGTTCGTCGCCCGTATCCTGCTCCTCATCGTCTAAAACATTATGATGCAGCTCGGACTGTGCGGGCTGGAAGTCCGGTTGCATAGGCGTGAAATCCCTTCGGGGATTCATTCTCTGCACATTGAGTGACCTGTATCCACCGGAAGCCGGCTGGAAGGCGGGCGACGGTGCGGGCTGAGTCAGACTGCCTGAAGAAGGTGCGTAGCTGTTATAGTTTCCACTTCCGCCGCCGCCGCCTCCACTGCCACCTCCACCGCTGCTGTACTGTCCACCGAATGATCCCGACCCGCTGCTTAATCCAGCACTTCCTCCTCCACTGCCTCCACCGGTGCTGCTGCCTCCGCTCGATCCATACTGACTGTACTGGTTGCTGGATGAACCGCCGGCTTGTGCACCACCGGACACGCCGAATCCGCCGCCTGACAAGCCGCCTATGAAAAAGGTCAAGTTATAAGAAATGCTAATACAAAGAATAATTGGTCTGATTCTCACTGGAACCGGTAAATGTCGTCGAACCCGGTGCATTGCCGCCTAAGGTCAGACTGCCGAACGCCGAACCGGTACCGCTGCCGGTCGATCCGAATCCACCGCCCGAGCTGTACTGCGAACCCGATCCAGAGCCACCGGAATTGTACTGCGAACTTCCCGAACCGCCACTACCACCGGAAGTGTACTGCCCTGAATTTCCCGATCCGGAGCCACCACCCATGTTGTATTGACCTGAGCTTCCCGAGCCACCGCCAGAATTGTACTGTGAGCCTCCTCCGGACGATGAGCCAAAGCCTCCTCCACCACCGGCATTCAGTTGACCACTGGCACCTAATTTTAACCAATTTATACACTAACTAAATAATGCAGAAGTGATATCAAGGAGATGCAAACCTCCGGAAGAGCCTCCGCCTCCAGAACTGCTACCGAACCCGAACGACGAGTCACCGGTGTACATACCGCCTCCCCCGCCGCCTCCTGAGCCAAACGAACCACTTCCGCCACCGCCTCCAAATGAACCGCTGCCGCCACCACTGCTGCCGCCGCCTCCGCTTCCGAATGAGCCGCCGCCGCCTCCCGAGGTGTCACCACCACCAAAGCTGCCACCGCCCCCGCCGGTTGTAGCACCAAAACCTCCTCCACCCGATGAACCGAATCCCGAGCTTCCACCAGACGACCCAGAACTACCAAAACCACCGCTACCTCCGAAGCCTCCACCGCCGCCACTGCTACCGCCTCCGCCACCAGCACCAAAACCGCCGCCGCTGCCGCCACCGCCACCGCTCGAATATTGTCCTCCTCCTTGGATTAAATTGCCACTGGCTCCTCCGGCACCACCGCCTCCTCCACTACCGCCATCGTCCAAAAATCGCACATTTGCCCCGGCGTACAATCGTGGATTGGAATAATAGTAGAATTGGGCCGAACTGCAAAATTTAATTAATTCTTTACGTTATTAGTTTTGGGATAAGACTGACCTTTAAGTAATAGTAAAAATATGTCACTAATTATTATTTTAAAGGAAGTTTATTTATGAGCGTAAGTTGCGTAACTAATTAATTCTAAAAAGATAACAAAGAATAGCAGGTTATACTCACTTGCCACAGCGAACATTGTACCAGTAATCGCTGCAAAAAGAATAATTCCGATTAGCCCAGGCAACACAAAGTCAGTCCGCTAAGTTCCCGTCGTACCATGTAAGCGTGATCTGGTTGAACAGCGTGGACACCGGACACAGGAAAGTGTATAGCGGTTGGTTTGGTTCACAGCGATGGTAAACCTGGCAACCGGTATCCACATTGACAAAGTATCCTGGCGATCGCATATTGGAGCAAGCAAATGATAAACCCCGTGGAATCTGCATTAAATTTGGATATGTGGAGCCGGGGCGTGCGTTCAGTACTAAATTCAGCACTTCAGCCGCGTTATACGGACCGCGCCCACGTAACTGATCCAGAGCGGAAAATGCGGGAGGATTTTGGGCATTTTGAGCGTTCACCTACAGAAGAGAGTATGCCTAAATTTTAGCGTCAGTATAGAAAAATAATTGCCGCAATATCTTTCAAAATTTACATTATAAAAAAGCCATGCATATATTGTAAATGTACATAGTTACTTTTACGGGTGTTTTTGCATTGCATGCTTCCTTGACATTAGTAACAATACTTACCGAAAGGATAAGGTAGCCGGAAACTACAGCCGCTATAATTCGCAATCTTGTCCCCATTGTTGGCGTTAACATCCACCTCACTGCTGATAAACCCAGCATCGCGAAATCCAACAACTGAAACAGTCCGCCCGTGGAGACAAAGCTTGTATACTGTCCGTCTGGATATACAGCGGAACCGTACCGAATGTCAATACCTGAGCGACTGTTTGTCCACTCAGACTATCGCTTTTTATCAACAATCCTCCTCTGCCCCGGATGAGTCTACTGTGCTGGTAACTAGTCACTAGTAACCAGGATATTGCGTTATCATAAACATTATGCCAATGAAAAACCTGTTGCAAACGGTGAGAGCGCCGTCGAAGTGCACAGAATCTTCAACAGTCGGAAGATGAGTTCATGCTGGCTGTTTTGATAATCCGCTCACTGTTTTTATGTGACCCAGCCCGAGTGTATGGAACGCGATATGCTTGTCATGTCATAGGTGTTTTTGCAACCGTCAACACATTTTTAAGCCAATATTTATTTAATCTAAGACAAGCAGCGACAATGGGAGATGTACGCAACAATAGACGCCTATACGTTCTGGCATCCAAAATATCATCTGGCTAGCATCGCAAAACGCGGCTTTGTTATACACACGGGGCCATATACATATCTCGCATATTAATCACATCTACCCTTTCGAGCATTGTATTTTGCCCAAACAACAGGATACCACGCGTGTGTGTGTGTGCTGAGCAATAATCAGCACCTGCTGCCGCGGCACAAAAATCACCAAAGAAGGATCTTTAGCTGCCATAGAGAATTGATATGTTGATAGACATTATTTTGGCGGATTACGGGTTGTAGCGATAGCCAAAGTGCTGAGATAAATCGTGCTGGTAGTATTCAGTGCCCAGGGAAGTTCGTTCCAAACTGGACGCCATTAGCGGCTACTTACTTATGCAAATATTACTGAAAAATTAATGAAACAGACTATTATCATTGAAATTTCTCAGCACATGAAATGGCTGTAGCGCACGAAATTTTACTGAAGCCCAGGTAACAGGTAATGGAGTTAGCGTAGTCGGTAAGGTCACCGTTGATGTTGTTAAAGATACAGTTGGCGAAGGTGCCACCGATGTTGTAGCGGCAGAGAAATTCGATACCGTGTTATGCATAATCCGGACGGTTTCATTGGTCACGGCGGCCTCGGTACCAATTCGGGTGCCGTTGCCGACGGTAAGCTCGGTTCGAGTAATGTTCAACAGATCTGAGTTTTCGACAGCGCTCCCGTTTTTTATGCCGTCAGGAACTGTCGATATATTGCTTGGACGCATCATGAACAGAGCCGAAGTTGCGTTCCAGAGCGAGAAAATTTCTACGGTGGCATTGCCGTCTACTGGAGCGGACGTATCAGTTACTGTGGTGTTTGCATCCGTATGGATCTGCAACAGGGAAGATATGTAATGATTGTCATTGTTCCTTGCAAGTGCGCTATCTTATTTTAGGCGCTCTATTTCTGTTCTGCATATTGGTCGATGAAAAATTCGTGGTTGCGCTCTTCTTGAAACCCTGCGAATTTGGTTTTAGAACAATTTTATGTTGAATGAAAAGTCAGACGTACAATCGTGTCTTCAGTCAACGGGGGATCGTGACGAAGTCGACAAATTTACGTCATGCGCATATATAGGCAACCATTTCAATAACAAAATTAGTTGAAAGTCCAGTGCACAACCAGGCAAAACCTCGTCATCTATTCTTAAAAATTGTCTGCAAGTTAAGTACAATACATGGTGCCGTCTTGGTATTTTCCTTATTCAAGGTTACACATCTTAACCACTTACTTTTCTAGAACTTTGCGTTAAAGCAAAGCACAGCAACAGTTCGTCTACGAGTAGTTGTACTGCGCTTGCATTTACATCATGCGACGAATTACCGATTGAGAAGTACTTAAAAGTAAGCCTTGCGTTTATACAAATACTGCTATTTTTATTTAATGACGCATTGTCACGTATAATTTTGCATTCATTTAAAACAAAAGCGCAACAACAGACTTCGACTTTTATTGCGTAAAATGAAAAATTTATGTGTATTGTAGAGGAGTATTGTATATGGTTTTATTACCATTGTGCTTTGGTTACCGGCAAAAGGAGGGGCAATTAACTTCATGCTGGCATCGGCAGGTATGGCTTGTTCTGGGCTTGTTATATTTGCATCCGAGAGATTGCTGTACTGTTGCAGCTCTCGCAAATCTGCGACAAAGTCTTCTTGGAAATCATTCCCAGTGATGCCCTGTTCGGTAGTATCATCGTATGTATCGCCTTCGAATCTGCTCGACGCTGTGGTCGGCTCATCATCCAGGAATTTTCCAGTATAATGCTGTAGTCGGGGGTTTGAATACGAATAGAACGTTTTGACTCTGTCAGAGGTGGATAAAAATATAACAAACTTTTGGGACGTATCTTTTGCATAATCATTTTTTATGATTGTATGACCTTATCATTATAACCGTACGGTCCGTGCCACGACCGAAAATACAAGCTTATTGTAATTTATGCAATTTAGGAAACCACGCAGAAGCCATAATTAAAGCGGAATTTATAAAAGTAAAATCGTTCCACCTTATGTGAAAATGCAAGTGCACCTATTGCAGCTAACAAATATGGAAATTAGCATATCCTTACGGAGCATAACTATTATTTAACGTGACATCTTTTGGTTTTTATAGCTCAGTCGATCTGTACGTACGTACTAAAAAGTAAGTCCTATCCAGAATTATTTCCCAAAGGTCAAACATCGAGCGCACTTACTTGGAGCAGTCGACATTGTACCACCAATCGCAAACAAGAAGAATTTGGTTGAAGAGCTAAAAAAGGTCGCAACTGCACCAAAAGAATACTGAAACCACGAGAGGTGTCAATAGCTACTCTAACTTTTTGCATAACTTACTGTTTGATTTGGACATAAATACGAGTACATGTATTCATTCCTCTGTTCACACCGATGGTACACTTGACAGTCAGTCTCAGTATCAGCATAAAACCCTGGCTGAGGAACATCGTCGCAGGAGAATGTAGTTTTGGGAATGCGACTGAACATTGGGTACGTAATTCCTGGAACAGCCGCGTTAATCGCCTTTCGAATTTCCGCGACGGAACCGTACTTTAAAGTCCTTAGTTGAGCCAAAGCTTGTAAAGCTGATACTGATCGTGCACCTTGCACCACGGTTGACATCTTCAAGATCCACAACGTCATTGGGAGATGACACATAAGTTTCGTTTTATCATTTTAGCAATATATATATTGTCTATGCAATAAATGCTTCACAGTGTACTGCTATTAGACCCAGTTACGCTATAAGCTCATAAATCAATGGTATTAAATTTTTATCTATGTGTTTACCTTACCAGGCATACAATAACACATATATGGAACAATTTCCGACCATTGCCGGCACCGTAAAGGGGTTTGGTCATTATCATCTCGGGAATATCTAACGTCGGAGAAGAAAACGATATCCAGAGTTTGTCTACTAGCGTGCCTCTGATAAGGTTTAATACCTACAGCATTTGACTTTTATAAGCTTCAGAGTGCTTGGATATCAACGGCAATAGCTGTTGGATTTCCCTTTCTTTATTCTTTATTAATCCTTGTAAGCTAATTGAAAGATGCAAACACATCAAATATATTTGCCAGTTGGAAAAGTTGGCAATATAATATTTATTGCGCCTTAATTACTTGGATACTCGGCTTACGATTTGTTTGCAGTAGAGATTACGAATAATGCGGTATAAATCTGTTTGTCTGCATTCGCAAATATGCATGCTCGTTGTATTTGCACTTAATTTTGCAGTAACTTTTGGTTGTGTTGCACTTATATGCTGTTAATCGTGGGTGTTTATCGCGAAAACGCAAGAAAGTGCTGCCGGAACTAGAAGACCTCTGGGAACAAGCCCGTCAGCTCGGTCTTAATTTTATGTTGCTGTAAGACACCGTGACCTGGAAGCTCTTTCGGCCAAAATGAACACTAACAGTCTGACACTATGTACGAAAGTGGGCCAAGTCCTACCCTCAAAACGAATCCCTGCGGTTTGCCCTGAGTGAGAAATGTTTTCATTTCTTTGCAACAAAATCGTTTTAATCGTCAGCATTTTTGATACTCCACAGACAAAATCAATTGTATTAAGCCATCCACTTTCAAAACTATAGTACGGGTACGTACTAGTTTAATTACAACAGTCTTTATCTTGTTGTGCTGTGCTGCTTGAACATAGGCAGTCAACTGTACAGTGGCGTAGGGAGGTATGGGGCCACGGGGCCGTGGCCCCCCCAAAAGGAAAATTTTTAACATAGAGCCTATGGACGTGGCCCCCCCCCAAAGCCAGTACTTAAGGCCCCCCCAAAACCGAAACCTCCCTACGCCGCTGAGTCAACATATTCAATATTATGGCGTATTGACTGCACAAAGTTAAGGTCTCTCAGTAGTCATTACGATGCTGTACCCACAAAACACCACTCAGAATGAAGACATTATCGCACAATAACACAATCGTACAAAACTTCCATATTGCCTTCACATCAAGCGCTGTTTCTACTTAAAAACTGTTTGTCGCTGCCGAAATTGTTGTATCTCCTTAGAACCTCACCCTGCTGGCAATTCCCGGAAGAATTGAAGAAATTTGATGAAGTCATCCGTGCGAAAACAGAACAGCTGACCAATGTGGCAATGATCAGCTCAGTCTGGACACAAGCCTCGCTACCTACAAAATTTGGAGGCCTGGGACTGGTCTGTGCAGCGGACGTCGCGTTAGCTGCCTATGCGGCATCGGTTCACGGAGCGGCCGACATGGTGTGCTGCATTACGGGCAACGCCTCTATGAAAGAAAGGACCAACAAGCTAACCGAAGAGTGGAGTGGACGTTATTCCCTGGAACCCCCGCGGATAGAAAGCCGACACCTTCAGTCGGCCTGGACAGCACTGCAACAGACCCAGACAGCATCCCGCATGATGGAGAATGCCGACGTATTTACCTCTGCTCGCTTGTTGGCTGCATCCTCACCGGAATCGCGTGCCTGGTTGTCTGCTTTGCCGGTAACAATATTTGGAAATTTACTGGAGGATGCCCACTTACGAATAGCCGTGGCGCGCCGGCTGGGAGCTCCAGTATGTCAGATGCACGTGTGTCGATGCGGCAGTACCGTGGACAGTCTCGGACACCATGGCCTGGTCTGCAAGCTGGCGAAAGGAAGGCTCGGTGTCCACGCCGTTCTGAATGAAGCAACCAAGCGGGCTTTGACTTCGGCAAAAGTGCCTTCCTCACTCGAGCCGGTGGGCTTAGACAGAGGCGATGGAAAGCGGCCCGACGGGGTGACAGCTTTCCCGTGGAAGAATGGAAAGCCGCTAGTGTGGGATGTTACCGTGGCAGACACTTTTGCCCAAACTTACATCGGCCAGACGTCCAGAGCGCCGGGGAGTGCAGCGGAAATCGGGAAAACCGAAAGTTAGGAAAGTACAGCGGGCTGGCAGATCGCTACGTTGTTCAACCGCTGGCGTTCGAAACTACGGGAACATTCGGACCGCTGACGAAGAAGTTCTTTAAGGATTTGTCGAGAAAGATCTGTGACTGTACAGGCAACCCTCGCTCAGGGGAGTTTTTGCGTCAGAAAATAGGTATCGAGATTCAGCGAGGAAATGCAGTATCTGTTCTCGGTACTTTTAGTGACATGGTGGAGAAGGAGGATGTGTATTTTGCCTTCAAATTAGCTAAACGGCAATGAATGTCAAGGATTGTTGTTTTTGTTACTTGTGTAATACGCTATGTAATTCAATAAAGCGCTGAAGGCATTGAAACTTCCATACAATCGAACAATCCTTATTACCGTATTACCAATACCGTATTCTTAGGCTAACTGGTGTGCAATACATTTGATTTAACATTTCCAGAATACTACTGATGAAAGCGAAGGACCAAGCGGATAAGCGTATTCCGTTTTTTCGACAGGAAATCCGCACTCTGTTAACATAGTTCCCAGCAGCTGAACCACATGGACGTAGATTGGTCTGGAAGCAAATGGGGCAAGAGCGGCGTGATCACTTGCGTTGTACGGCTTCCGGTTATACCAGCACACCAAAACACTGCATTCCAGTCGGTGCACTTCCCACCAACACCACATCGAGAACACGCAATGCGTCACTTCCGTCGCTATTGTCACCAGCAAAACCCTCAAAGCTACCTCTCGATAGGTAGACGATTCAGTGGAAGAACAGCCTCCCAAAATCATTGCTGCAATCATGACAAAGTGGAAAAACGAGAACCCTCTACCACAAATTATTCTGGATTTCAAACAGTAGCACACCCGCCGTACTGATGCCAACGGCAGTAAATCACTTTGTAGATCCGAAATCAGATGTTGCCGATAATACTCTCCCAAACCGAAAACAAGGCGCACAACATTCTTTATCAGGCCGACTAATACCGACAGATTGCATAGCGCTATTAAAGATATCAAGCCGACTGAACCAATTTGCGCCACGTGTAAGGCGATTGCAGCGGTCAAATTGGGGTTTGTTCCGGTGGGCCCCATCTACAATCAAGTACAACATGGAAATCAGTATGTTGTACGTTGGTGACGCTTACATTGAGCGTAGTATCCCTTTTACAAATTTGTGGCTTGCCGTTGCAATAACAGCAATGAAAACTACTTTGGCATCTAAAATGTTAGAATGTACATCATCAACGCCTGCCGAAATGCGTGAGCGGGCAGCACGAGTGTCTTCCCTGCCATCGCACAAAAAATAACAACCCGGAAAAGCGTAAGGACCAATAGAACCGTTACGAGAAGGCCGATCAGTACCACTCGTGCCCATTTTTCTCTCGATCTACTTTTCTGGAGCTTGGCTGATAACATTTTAGCTGGATTCGAAACAATTAAAGCTGTAATAGCAGCCATAATCTAGAAAGAGCAGAGAAGATGGAGATATACGTTGCAGTCAATTAAACATCAGTCATGTATTTCAGATCTCGGACTAGTCGAAATAACCACACGTAAATACGTTTTGGAGTGTGACCACTGCTACCCAAACGATCGATACCTTCTGGCTTTGTTTGCCCCTCCCAAACTACTGATGCTTCATGCTGGCATGGGTTGCATGGCTGCGCCTTCTGATTATTAAATTTTCGTACGATAGTTAACAGTACAACTCCTGTACCGGCAAAACCGCAAAATGTAGATGCAAGAGTACATAAGCGCAGTGGCCACTGTAAAAACTGCTGCCATGTTGGCTGGGCTGAATGCATCAATTTCATAATATGAGTTGTCTGTTCTGAGCACTGCTTATTGTTTACAGTAGCGCCGTTTTTGCTATCAAATACTCTGTGTTTTTAACTTTAATTAGTGGAAAATGAAAATTTTGGAGTAGTGCAAATAAATCTAAAATTCGTGGTCGTAAACCCTTATTCATCCGGTTCTATGTTCAGCTTGTATCTATCTACAAGCGCAACACTTATATGCATCCATAAAGTGTTTAAAAAAAAGTTTAAATGTTAAAAATATTGCACTAAATGATTTCTAATTACTGTAGTTATTTCTGCCACGATATCTAGCGATTCACGAATTTGTAAGGAAACTGCAACTTAAAATCAGCCATGCATAATCGAGGGTGACCTTTGAGTACATACATTTACAATGTTTCCAGGGTGATTTTTTGTTCATTCTATATACTTTCAAAATCGTTTTGCTCTTTCTGTAATGTACCTCGTACTCGTATTATACATGTTTTGCAATTGTCTACTCTGCCGGCATCGCTGCCCGCCACTTTTGTAATAATTCTCACTGCTAGTTGCTCCAATCCTTACAGAAAATATGTCGGCTGGTTATTACTGTTTCCAATGCCGCAGTTATTTTGGCTCATTTCCATCGGTGCGTTATAATTTTCAACGGCTAAGCCGGTATTTTTGTTATTGTTGCGGAATATGGCTATGCATTTTGGGCATCCACTGAGTAGCCTGCAATAACGGCGCAAAATTTTATCCATATATTTAGAAGTAATAACTACATCGTATAAATTCTACACTCGCAGGAAAACATTTTTTGCCCTCGGTGTGGCCAAGGGTTTATACAGGAAGTTGGCAACACCAACAGCAACTTTCCATTTGGACCAACGGTGGAGGCTTTGGATGACAATAGGCCTGACATGCCGTCCCCTGAACCCACACCGCTAGAAATGCTGTTAAACAGGGTAACGTTTGGTATATCCCCATGTGGATATAAATTATGTCAGTTTCATACTTTTGTGCGTGTTTATGCTGACGGCTACGAGCATATTGCTGAGAATTAATCATTTATGACTGGTATTCTTTATAGTAATTGTGGTGCTTCGTTCAGCAGTTTTATCTAAATGTACTTTAATTGTATTAGTTCACTCAAAGATTACAACAAGAACAGGGAAGTGCGAATGCTGGCGTATCTGGAAGGAGCAGCGATTCTCGCAGTCAGCGTACGTGGGTATTTCTTTACGGGAACGTTTTCGTTATTTTTTGTAAATGATCGCAACAGTAACATATTTACATCCCAAAACAAGGCCTTATTGATTTCGCAGACGCACCACCTATTGGCTTCAGCATTCAACTTGTTCCCATCATGGCAACACCCAATGAGCAGGAGGTAGTGGCTTCGCCGAATTCCGTACCACAGAGCAGTCCAGCTATCCCGACGCATTCCACACTCCGAGTCGGTTCCGATAATACAGGATCACGTCCAGTGGAACTCGTGTTCCGAATTGACCGCGATGGCAATAATCGCCCGCAGTAGGTAATAATAGATCTTCCCCATTGAACACTGTACATGTCATACTGCAATACAACATCTTTGACTTTCCTCTTTACATTTAATATTATAAATCAAAAATTTAACTTATCACTTTTGGAGTGTGGCTGCCTAAACAACTCAAATGCATTACCGAAGATAATCGCAGAATGATGACCTTCTGTACATGATTATGTTTTGCTAATTTTTAGTTTGAATGTTAACGTCAGCCCCTATCTTTTGCGAGCTGTCCTGGAAAATCAGGCAGGCACACAGCAAGCCCTTAACCGTAGCGTCAATGACCTGATCGCCTTGTTTGGCGGGCTAATGGCCGGAAGTGATGGAACACCACCGGTTACAACAGACGACCTGGAACGAATTCCTGTAGCCCCCGTTACCCAGCAAATGATAGGTATTAACTTGATCGTGGCGCTCTTTGCACGTACATATTTATCTCTGCAACGTGTTTTGCAGAGGATGGAAAAGCTTGCTCTATCTGCCTTGACCTTTTCATTTTGAACGATCCGTTCAAGGAGATGCCTTGCCATCATCAGTACCACGTCAACTGTATTGAGAGATGGCTTTTAATAGTATGGTTGCCTTCTAGAATCCTTGTTCTGTGTTATAATACATTCTGCACATACAAAATTAGTCAATGCTGATTTATTTCAGCATGGAAACTGTCCAATTTGTCGGACTTCGTTGAGTGAACTGATATCACCTTTACACGACATCACAGAGCCGGATTAATTAAAGAAGCAGCATTCTGCCTTTTTCAGTAGGCCAAAACGGCGTTGTCTTCCTTTCAGATTTCTCCAGTTTTCCGTCGTCATCAACATCTAAGGTGGAATTGCTTACAAGTTACAATTGCTCTAGAAATTGAAAATAGGCCAATATGCTCTATAAATTGGCCAATATGCTGTAAAACTACTGGTATTATGCTAGTTAACTTCGGAGCTCTTTCTTTTTCTCTTCTTAGTTTGTTTTTCTGCGAGTATACGAACGATATTATTGAGCCTTGTATAATGTGATTGTACGGATGTCCCTTATCCCTATGTAAAATTTTGGGGCAGTAAAAGGTTTTTTTTCGGGAACTCGCCTCTTTGCAATGGCGCACGTGTATTTGTTTTGCAATGTACGGATATTGCAAACTAGGCACAACACACACAGTATATATTAACGACAGAACTAATCGAAATGACAACTATTTTAACTGCACGGCGCACTGTTACTGTACATAGCAGTGCAATGTTATTTTTACCCGGAAAACACAATTAGGATACAAGAACTTCTACAAATTTGCTTTTTTTATCCGCCAGTATTACAGATGCAAATTAAGACTTGGGTTTGTGCTAACAAGTGATTTGTCTATTTAAAAAGTGTGCCTTGTCCAGGCTGTTCGCTATGAGTAAAGGTCAACTTTGTAAGAGAGTCCGATGAAGGCATCGCATTAGCTTCTTTCCCCGGAACTTTAGACGCATCATCATCAGCAAACAAGAAATCGGTATTCGAGTTCAAATCCGCCCCTTTTCCATCAAACACTTCTAATGTCGTATCTTTAAGCGGCACTGAATTGAAATCCAGGCTGTCAACCGGTGTTGGTGCGTCCAGATTTTGTGGCAGCCGGAATCGGGCTGGACTGGGATTTGGTGGTGGCATACTGGTCATTGCCGGTAACCGCGGCTGTGAATTGGCTTCCCTTCCAAATGAAGCGCTCTGGGCGACGTTGCTGCCATTGGCTGACCAAACGTTGTTGTTCATATTATTCCGTAATTTCGATTGCGATGCTCTGCGTGACGCCGAATCATTGGGCGTGGCCATCAACCCAAATGGACCGCCTCGATCTGGCGTTTGGCCGTTCACATTTAGCTGACCAGGTTGAAGGAGAAATGGGGGAGGAGGGGGCGTGGGCACATCGATATCTGTAGGCTGTTGCATCGGCCCGGAATCGATATCCAGCGGACCTTGCCATTTTTGCGAATTTAATTTCCCGAGTTTTAACGCTACACATTTAAGAAACATGTCTAGGTTATTTATGTTTCACACAATGAGAAATACAGGTTTAACCGCAAAAACCGTTGGCCGACCTTGGGGTGGATTATTCCAAACACCTGGCGGTATGAAGACGTTGTTTAGTCTGGGCAGCGCAGTTGTGGTCGGGAATGCAGGCCAAGCCGGAAAACGATCAGAATCGGTCGTTTGATTCTCAGGCGGCACATTTTCGACACCTTGTAAGAAGAACTTTGCAACGTATACGACAAATTTTTTACGAAGCTTGGCATGTGTGATATTTGAAAAATTTTGAAACAATGTTTTTTTCCAAAACTTTAGCATTACCTTGCTGATTACGAGAAAATTCTGAGATGATCATGGAAGGCATAGTGGTCGTTGCAAGCAGATCGGGCTGCCAAACATTTTCCTGTTTATTCATCCCTTTCCATTCGTCGGCATTTGCCATAGGCTGCTTTTCCTTGTTAAAACTTTTCGGCACAATTTCTTGCTGGTAGTTTTCAATATATCGTGGCATAAGGTCACGAGAGCTCTCGAATGACTCCGATTTCCTCTGCGACTCAGATGTGGTCCATGATGTCAAGGGGTTTGGCTGCTGTGGAATGGTGAATTCCGGTATTGCGTTATTGATCAAAGGAACCGTAGAGATAACTGGCTGTTGTTGATTCTGATTCAACGTATTTTTGTTAGGGTCGTAAGAGAATCCTGGGCTTTCTGTGGGTGGCAGTTGGGGGCGTTGTCGGTGGTGCGATCGGCGTCTAGCCACGGGAAAGCGGAAAACACTACGACTGGGCGGTAATGTGGACGCTGGGGTGGTTAATATCGTCGACGCTGCTGTAGATGCCACTGGAACTAAAGGAGGATTATTCCATGAATTAGTAACGGCATTAGTGGAATCAAGAAAGGGCAGAAATCCAGGTTGTAAAGGAGGCGCAGCTTGGGAAGTATTTCCACTGTCCAGAAAGGTCACGTTAGGTCCAAGATAAATCCTCGGGTTAGAATAATCGTAGAAGTCCAAAGATCTACGCTTAATATAAATAAGCAAAGCTTTATTGTAACATTCACATGCTACAATATTAACAGGCAACGTTATTATGCTAAAGCTACCTGTACAGAACTGACGGCGAGTTGTTTACGATTATATAATAATTAAACAAAATTTTCGCAGTACTAGTAGCATACTTTGCGCACTGGACATTGAACCACCAGTCACCTGCAAGAAAATTTTTTTTTATTTTTTTGTAAACAAGGTATAGGTAATTAAATCTATTTAGAATTTTTACAGTTCAAAGTAATCTGATTGAACAGTTTGCCTTCCGGGCAAATGTACGTGTAAAGCGGCAAATCCAGCTCGCATCGGTGGTACACCTGACAGCGTGACTGCGGTTCTATGTTGACATAGTATCCCGGTTGGTGGACTTGGGCGCAAGAGAAGCTGAGATTGGTGGGTAATGCTTTCAGATCCGGATAATCGATGCCCGGGCGGGCTGTTTTTGTGATGTTGACTATCTCAGCATCGGTTAATGGACTTCGTCCACGAAGAATGTCCATTGCTTTGAATGCCGGTATGGTCGTCGTAAATCCATATTGGGAACACACCTAATAAAACACAATATTTCCATGGAGGAGCTAAAATAAATCTCATTGTACCGATGACCTGCATTCGGGACTGTTTAAAGTAATCACTATTAGCTGCGATTGCCAGTGGCCCAGCAGCATACTTTATACTACGAGAATATACGGCACATACGATTAGACACATACCAGACACAAAAATGCAGAAATCCCAAAATTCCTCATAATTCGCGTGCAGATGTTTAATAAACCTTTATATTCTGTTCCCAAAAATGGCACAAAAGAATAGAGCTTACGGGCAGTCCATTTAGAGACAAATATCAGAAGACAGCTCTTCAAGGTTTTTTCTTGGCAGTCTGAATATTTCTAGTTCTAAATTGTAAGTGCGAATGCTCGATTTGTTATGCTCGACTACTGACTACCCTTTATGAATTGCGTAGTGTTATGTGTTTATTAAGCTCCATGTTATTGTTTCTTCAAAAAGTCCAAGAGAATCTGTTCCACCGCCAGCTCATACAACAGCCGGCGCCGCCATAATGATTATGTCATTGTGTTTCCATGCAAAACACAATTTCTCAAGAACAACAACGAACCAATGTCAGGAGAGTCTAACACACTTCAGAAAATATAAATGTTGTTTTCGTTGTAGGATGAAGTAACAGATGCTTTGTTCTGGTAGTTACTGGACGAAGGTTGCATTTTCGGCCTTTTTTGGTAGTGTGTAGGAACTTTCAATACGCCATAGTGAAGCTGATTGTCTTTTCTACAAATCTTTTACTTTTTAGTGCAGAAATGTTTGTTTCTCATGAAAGTCTCAGTTCTGACCAATAACAAAAACCTTTTATCTCTCTATACAGCACGAACAATATAGGCTTATCAAGTACTGTACAGCTTATTCGAGCTGCAGAAATCGACAATGAAACGTAACACTCATACAAAGAACAATGCTAAAATCGTTGTACGGCAACAAAAAATACGACCATAAAACGTGGTCCTGTACGAAAGCGAAGACATAAAAACTACGCAATACTGCTGAAAGAGCAACTGGTTGAAATCAGCTTGGACTAATCAAAAAAATCTATCCGAAACTTTGGTGAAAACGAGAACAAAAAAGCCCGCCAACCGCGTGGGCGCTTAGACAAAGGAAGAAAACCCCGGCAACGGGTTGCGACTCCCGGGTTTATTGGTGATGTTGAGCAGCAGATGCCCATTCAAACTTGCACTGGTCGAATCACTGTCGGCAATACTGGCAGATATACTGGTGGCCGTACTCCGTCGATACGGTGGACGTGGTGGCTCTTCCATCATCCTCGGAGGCAGCCTTCGCTCACTGGTTCCCGCTCCCTCCGCCAGCCACGGCCGTCGCAACGTGCTAGTCAAATTCGCATAATGATTAACAAAGGAACTGCTCTGCTCATCCGGATCGCCCTCCAACCGGTTCTCCCCTTCGGCGCTCCCATCGTCCACTTCATCCGTGCTGCTTTCATGCATTTCAGATGGCTTTTCCGTCAGCGAGGAACTAGCGCGCGACGCGGATGCTGATCCTTCGTTGACATAGCCCCGATTGATATGGGGAGGGTAAATGTCGCTAGTGTCACCGATGTCCGAGTAGGCGATGCTAGGAACGATACCGGTGGGAGGGGCGGCAATAATAAACGGCGGGGGACGCGCTGTGCTGGCGGATGTCGTCTTCCGCTTCAGGGAATTTGTGGTGGAGGTGGAGTAAATGTTGTTGTTTGGAGGAAGTTTTCTAGCGGATCGGCGCATCGACTGCCGCAGTTCGAAAGCGGTTGGAGCAGCGAATTCGTCATCCTCGGGAAACTGCAGCATGTCGGCAGTGGAGGTTACTTTTTCCACTTCCTCTGCAAATATTTTTCTACTTTCAAAAGAGGTTCGACTGCTACATCGTAATTCGGAAATACGTACGTCTGTACTTTGCCGTTTTACTTTTGATGCATAAACACGCGATTAAAAGTATCACAAAGACGCTTCCGACAGCTGCTACCAAAATAAGAAACCACACTTCCATATAAAACGGCCGATTCCGAGCAATTTCGACAACGTGATTCGGGGTTTGAATTACGACAGACGGTTCACTGGCGTAGCTGATTCCTAGATTATTGTAGGATGCCACGCGGAATCGATAGCGCGTTCCCGGTAATAACTTTAAATAACTCAATTGATGAAAATCAGCCAAACCATCGTTCAATGTTTCCAGAGTATCCCAGCTGCCGCTTTCTTTCCGTCCTTGAATCAGATAACCCAAAATCGGTGCCTGGCCTTTGTCGCTATTTACCTACAAAAATTCCACCATATAAAAACCAGTGGCCACAGAATCACTTAGCATAAGCTGTAACCATCGCATCCAAAACTTATAACATTTCATGCTGTGAAATCGATGTGTTGAAGAAACTGTACACCCATCGCTTACCCAACGCATATTTACTGAGCTTTCCGACATCTGCACTGCCAAATCTGTCGGTTTTGCCGGTGAACCGGTCTGCGGCCCCACTGTCACATTGGCACTGCTCCAGTTACCAAAACCTCGTCCGGTTTCCGCTCGGACACTAATAATGTAAGCTAAGCCCTCTTCGAGATCCGTGATCGTAAGAGATCTATCAGTGGCAGCCGTCGTGAAATTCCTTGCCGCCTTCTCCACGGCCAGAGGGCGGCAGAGTACTTCATATCCTCGAATAATGCCGTTCGTTCGTTGCGGCTGCTCCCACATCACCGTTAACTGTGTCAGCTGAATACCGGCCAACCAGACCTTCTGCGGCGGATCCGGCGTCGACTCCAGGGTGGTGGCGTTCACTCCACCAGCGCGTGGACCATCCCCGGCAGAATTAAAGATCGCAATGGAGATCGTGTACGTCCGGAAGGGACGGAGAGAACGGATTTGATGACGATTCGATGATGGGGGAACAAAATCGGTGTGCTCCTCGCTGGTGACAGTATCCATATAAAACACTTTGTATCCCGTAACAGATTGATCCAGTACACCAACTGGAGCATGCCATGAGACCGACACCGCTGATGGACTGGACACTCCAACTATGACATCCGTGGGTCGAATCAATGGTACTGCAATCGAGTAACGTTTTTGATTCCAAGTTTCATAATTTAGTCTGTTGTCAACTTGCCTGCTTCTCCGACAAATGCAGCCACAATGGGAGTGAACGGTCCTCGGCCGGGCCGCGTAGCTGCCGCTATCCGAACTTCGTAAGTAGAATCTCTGGCCAAATCGGTAAGGTTGTATGTTGTGGCATTTTGCTTAACAATAACTTCTTCGAAAGGTATAGATCCACCAAATACGCCCGGCTGAAGCCGGTGGAACTGCAGGACATAACCAAGAAGGTCACCGTTAAGCCCTGAGATCGGTGCTTTCCACGATATGGTAAGGGAAGACGTTGTATACGGCGTAGCGGTAACTCCCGTTGGTGCAGATTCAGGGACTATAAAAATACAATGAAATATTAGACATCCAAACCGAAGTTAACAAAATCCTTCCTACCGTCTTCAGCGGTCTTCGCAACGTCAGACTGATCGCTCCATTCGCTAACGCCTAGGTCGTTGATTGCCTGTACGCAGAATCTGTAGCCCGTGTTTGGCAGCAACCTGCGGCAATCAAAATATGTTACAACACTAAGCTTATCAGCTGCACAAAAACGTCTAAAGTATTGCTTCACATTATTGAACACTTGACAATTCCATATATGACACCGTAAATTCATGTTAAGTATATGACAGTTTTAATTCCTGTTAAGTAAATTAATAGCATTACCATACTCACCCACGAACGCTAAAAGAAGTTATTCTTCCCTCGACGCGCTCATTCACTGAATTCCACACATCACTTCCCGCCTGTGCAAATTGGATCCGATAATACCTAACCGGAGCGGCATCATCCTGCCGTCCCGGTAGCCAACTAATGGAAAGGGCTTTGGATTGGACCATGGACACACTGACCGTTGGTTTACCCGGTCTTTCAGGAAATTCTCGCTGTAGTTGGGTTTTCACCAGCAATTCAATGGCTGGCCCCCATCCCACCGATGTATTAGCCGCTAATGTGAACAAGTAAGAACTCCTTGGCAGCAGATTATGTACCGTGAAAGAATTTAATTCCGGAGACAAGAACAGAGGTGCACTGTCGACAGCTAATTCTTCTTGTCGGTATGAAACTCGATATCCCAGGATGCGTCCGTTGGAATGCAAAGGCGGCTCCCATGCCATGCGCACCTGGGTTTCGCTCACATCCGGGAAGGTCACTTTATAGGGTTGATCGGGATAATCTTCCAATGTCTTTTCGATAATTGGTACAGACCGGCTGCCGGCACCCATTCGCGTCACCCCGGCGACCTGGATGCTGTACTCGGTGTACTTGTCCAAGTCGTACAGCGTCGCATGGTGAATGTTTGGGTCACCGATATTGAGAACGCGCTGATCAGGACCAGAGGCGTAATAGATATTGTAGCCCAACAATATACCATTATGGTGAACAGCGGAAATATTTCCCCACTGGACTACGATTTTGCTAGATCCGATGGCGTGTACTAAGATGTTGCTGGGACTTTGACTTGGCACTATAAGTTGTTAACTGTTAGCGATCAGAATGAATTCCAGCGACTGCCATTCAATCAGCAAGTAATCCGTATTCACATAGCGAATGTGTCCTTACAAATTCGCAAATGCATACTTACTAAACTCTTTCAAGCATGAAATATACGGTTATACAAAATACTGGGGAAAACCGCGAAGTATATGCACGTAGAATAAAAGGTCAAAGTTACAAAAAAATACCCACGTTGGCAATCATTAATTAGAATTAATCAAAGTTCTTGCATCTAGAAAGAGCGTTGCTTCAAGAACTGTCATTCTCTATCGAGATACATTTCGAAGCTAAGGCTCACTTACTTACGAAGAAAAATAAAACAGAATTATTTCGTGATGCATTTAGAAATATTTTTAAATTTTGTAAACCGCTAACCCGATTCTCGAGTGCTTTCCAGAACGGGAGTGCTCTGATCACTTGATCCGATGGCATTAACAGCGGCAATCCTGACTTCATACTGCGTGAATTCCTCCAGATTGGCCAGCACCAAACTGCCCACACTGCTGTCATTCACCACGACATTCCGCATGGATTGTGTCACCGGCGTATCATTTAGCGATCGGAAGACAAGCAAATAACTTCCGGTTTTCCCATTCCATTGGTCCGTAACAAGCGGCTAAACGGGAGGAAATGGAAAAGGCACAAAATCAAACTGGGTCAGCCCAACATTTCCGCCGCATTGAATGCCGACACTTACCGTCCAACGAGCGCGGATGGCGGTGGCATTAATGGCTCTTAATGTCAAATTGCCGGGCGGGTTCGACGGACTGTCGGCTAACGTCTGAAACCAATCTGCGGCAGAGAGAAGAAAAAACTATTTAATTAGCCAAAGAGGCCATCAACTGCACATTTAAACAAATCACACATCCATTCATCATTTTCAAAAAGAGGAAGCACATGCCGCGTACCAGAAGGTCGGCTCGGTGCACTTTGTCCGACCACATTGTCCACACTCAATCTTATTCGGTATTCAACACTTGGCCCCAGTTTTTCCAACTAGAAAAGAGCATAATTGTTCCGCTAAATAAACATTATTCTGGCCAAGAATTTTAGCAAACACGACGCTGATCGCACAATTACTTGTAAATTCGTAAGGACAGCAGTCTCTAACCGCAAGTTACTGTTAAAATCTGAGAAAAATTTGCACCAGCTCAGTTTGTGACATCAAACTACATACCTGCACCATCGGATTCGACGTGTTCTCTGTCACCTCCAGCAACCGCTTCCATTCGTCAGCTTTCATATCTCTAGTCTGGATATCGACGTTAATCTGCAGAATGGAAGTATTTCCATCGCAACCGGGATCAAATTGTACCACCGCCTTTTTCGCTTCCACACTGGTGATCACTAGGTTGCTAGGCGGACAAGGAAGTGCTGCAAAAGCGCACGCGACATCAGCATCACGTTTTAAATGGTCACAGGCCACTGAGCATAACGTATCACATACTTGGCGGCATACTTGACCGGATTCTCACCACTCTCACTTCACCGGCCCCGACTTTCGTTTCGGCCAGAACCTTTAGCGCGTAATTCGTCTGAGGTTGGAGGCTTTCGATTGTGAAACTGCGCCTCCATCCCTCCAACCGAAACTTCTGAACGTTGATCGTGGCATTGGTTTCCATTTCAAATTGGCCGCACTCGATGACGAAGTCAGTAACAATCCCGTTGGGATGTTCCGGTATATTCCAGGACAGTTTAATGGAGCGATCCCGAATATCGAACACATGCAAATTATGCACAGGGCCGGGTGTATCTTCCATGGTGGTCACGGGAACAGCGATACTTTTCGGACCGGATCCGGCCCCCGTGAAGCACAAAACTGTTACACTGTATGCTGTATATTTATCCAAACTATCCACAACAGTGGACAGTCTTTCCGACGGATCATAGGGACTGGGTGCCACCTCAATTTTCTTAATAGCGCCACCAGATGTGTTGACAGGGCGCAGCCAAACTTCCACGCGGTAGCCTTGGTTGACGCCGTTGATATGCTGCGGATCAGGTGGTTTCCAGCTGACCGATAGTGATGTCGATGAAAGCGGTGTGGCCACTACATCAGTGGGAGCAGCCTCGGGCACTACATCAGACAAATACAGTTAATACACCATGCATCTGTCATAACAGCGTGTCAATAATTTACTCCATAAATACCAACCTCCTTCTTGCGTTTTGACACGCACACTGTCCGACCAAATACCGGTTCCTTTGTTGTTGCAGGCGGCCATTTGGATTTCATACATCTTCCAGGGAATCAGATCCTCAAGCATGTAGTTACGCCGTCCCTCTTCGTTAAGGGCCACTTCAGTCCACGAGAGCTCACTGTAGCCGGCCAGTTTGTAGCGGATGGTGTAGCCGAGGAGGGGGCCATTCCAGTCGGTCTCGGCGGGAGGCTACCCAATACACAAGGCTAATTAACAGTCTCTAAACTACCGGATACGCATCAGGGATTCCATTTTCTGTTTTACAAATAATTCACACTGTTTGCACTAATCACGGCGCAAAGCTCAATAGCCTTTTACAAAAATCTTCAGAGCAGTTATTCTTCTCCTTCTGGACAGAACGTTGCTCTTGAAGAAGAGCCAATGAAGACTGATTTTCAACAAATTTTCAAAACCACTATCTATAAAAAATATAAAATATTCCGGAAAACGACAAGAACTCTTAAATTAAACATAACCGGCCCCGATGTACTTTGCATTCGAAGGCGGTATTTTTTATTCCATTTATAATAAAAGTACTAACTATTAAGTAATTACAAAAACTCCCTTGTGTTTTATTTAAATTACCACCGAGATTGTTGCGCCAAAAAAACTGAACGGTTTGCAAGGGCTGGACTAAGCTCACACAGAAACTTAGTTCTAGCAGCACCCTCTAAAATTCTACTTTGACCCACCTGCCACTGAATCATGATGGCTGTTGCATTCCTGGGACTCGCAGCCACTTTTGGAGGTGATGATGGAGGTGTTTGTGGTAACTCGATCGGCTGCGAGGGCGCACTGGAAGCTCCTTCTCCCACATTATTCACAGCGCTAACGCGAAACTGATAAGAAGCCGACGGTCGCAAATCTTTGACAATATAAAATCGATCTGTTGCCGAAAAATTGCTGAGCAAAGTTTGCCAGTCCATGTCAGTTAATGCGGTGGCAGAATCACTTGAGCTGGTAAACTGTTTGTACTGGAGGATGAATCGCGTAATTGGCGAATTTCCATCAAAATCTGGCAGCCATGATATGTTAACTGATTTTGTACCGTTAATGAGTTCGGCACGGACGTGCGGAGCATAAGGTAGTTCTATAAAAATAAAATTTTTGTTATAGGTCTTTCCAAACTGATACAATCAGCAAATTACAAGAATGCCCAATTAATTCTATACGAAATTTTCGTACCAATGACATCCAGTCGAGCCGATTGGGAATCATTTCCTGCAGAACTATAGACACGACATGTGTACAGTCCGATGTCCGAATTTCGAGCGCTGTTGATGATTAAATTCCCGTTCTTCAAAATTTGGCGCCTTGAAGTTAGCGTAGCAGGATCCAGTAATTTGCCGTCTTGCAACCACTGAATGTCCAAGGTGGTGTTTGAATTCTTATTTATTCCACAATGGAAGACAACTTTGGAGCCGATAATCAACTTAGTATCTCTAGGAGGATCCGTAATTCTCGTCCGTTCTAAGGAAAAGTCACGAAAATCGATTACAATAATTAACAATTTCAAGCCAAAATTAAAATTAACTTTGCAAAATATAAACGCCGTAGTACACTTGCATTCCGCTACAAACACTGCAGCTATTTGATACATTTTTCAACCGGCTTATCGAATTGCATTACAACTACTGCAACATAACCTCTATTGAATTCGCGCGAATGTCAACAATAGGATCAGACCAACGCACAAAATTCAATCGAAAATGCCCGGAGTTGTGACCAGCACATTTCGAACAAATTTTGTAATACTGTTGTTTGACTCCATTTATCTCCCTTAAATGACTTTATAAAAACATGCAAAACTCCTGTCTTACCGATAACAACCAATGTAACCGAACGATTTGTCATGGAATCCGACCGTCCAGATATACAGAAATAATTCCCTTCCATAGATTTCGAAGCGAATGGGATTGATAAACTCCCGGTTTCATCTAGTCCGTAATTCGAGCCCGACGATACAACAGCTGCTCCTATAAATCCAAACAATATCATTAGGGAATTCGCACATATACATAGAATTAAAGCATAATAAATACGATTCAGTCATTTAAGTTACTTCAAATTTACCTTTGAAATACCAAGCTACCTCCGTTTTAGATGCAGGCATTATGCCAGGACAATTCAACTGAGCCGACTGATTTTCTACCACGGTTATAACCGGAATCGTTGTGTCCACAGTAATCGAGCCTAAAATTTGGGCACTATAATTCACATTGACCATTATTTTTTGTAATTTAACTGACGATATTAGCTAGTGACGTTGCTCCAATGAAAAATTATGCGAAATATTTTTACTCATATCGAACCGCTGATATGAGTGATATATCTGATCTGCCGCTGTCACTTTTTCATACTAAACGCATGATATACTTCAATCCGTTGAACTACGTATGAATTAAAGAACATAATAAAGTCGTAAAAAAGTGACGAAGCAGAGGGATTACAAAAATATAAAAGAGTGACTGGTCAAATTACTAGTTAATGCAGGTACTCATAAAGCATCCAATTTGTGTAACGACTATAAATCTTACGCTTAATCCTCAGCAATGTGCTGCTCGATTCTTCCCCCACAGCATTACGGACAAAGCACTGATAAATACCACCATCTCCATCCTCAATTTTAGCCATTTCCAGACTGCCATTATCCAGCAGATTGAATTTGCTGTTTAGCTGGAGAGGCGTCATCGAATCTGGCGTAATTTGCAGTGCATTCTTGTACCACGTCACCCTTGGCGCCGGTTTCCCATGAGCCCCGCCTGTTCGAATCGCAAAGCATAAATAATCCATAATTGTATCTACAGGTTTTCTAACGTCATACATCTGTCGCATTAGACAAGTTACTAAAATAAATACTCATATGCGGAACGTGTACAAGCCAGATTTGTTATGTCAACAAGGTCAAACTTTACGCTTACACGGAATGGTAAGCGAGCGGCCAAGATCTGCGTGAATTTCCACATCGGGAGCTTGCACAATCTTTGGGCTTGCTACAAATGAGAAAAAACAGTGACCGGTGTTATTATTTGACCAACGTTCAATCGTGTGGTCTACAGAGCGTTAATTTACCGCGCGTAAAAAATAACACGACTGCCGCAAAACCTGGTGGCAAGAGCCACGCGAACGTGCTTGGCGGAAAGAAACACTCATAACGCTTCAAATGAATTTGTACAGCGTTACGAATAACCAGAAGTTGACTTACAAAATGTATTTGTAATAAATTCGCCACCAGTTGGTAATTAAGTACTCAGTAGTATTTAGCCAAGGTTTATATCTGGATAGGTTTTTCTAATAATATCTATCTGGCATCTTATTATTCCATATTCACTGCAAATTACCGTAATGTAATAATTCACCGCACCTCGGCAATTTTTAAACAAATATCGGAACACATAAAGAAGCCGTCATTCAATTAAAAAAAAAACGTTTATCGGCTACCAATTTATCATCAATTAAGGCGTTTCATTTTAATTTTTACCAGCAATGGATAAATGCGCGGCTGCAGTTATATTTCCAAATCCTTCCATTTCCGCAACACACTCGTATTCGCCCTCAAACGCCGGTCCCGGGTTGAGAATTGTCATTCGGTATCCATTTGATGTAATTAAATAATTGATGCCTAATCACGTTTATTCCAGAAAGAAATATCGATTAGGCAATAGAAATCACTGATGTGGGATTTAAATCGAAGCCCTTCCGATGCGGCTACAGTTACGCTTATGGCGCTTACCATCCGCCTGCAGTGATTGCCCATCCTGCCTCCGCCACAGCACACGCAGCGCGGGCAATGGCCTGTAAAGACGGGCTAATTGATTAAACATCAAAATACACATATTTAAAATTAAACTGGACGTGACGGTAGCCCCACAAAAGAAGGAGAACTAGTTTACTTTGCCACTAAGTCAAGATAGCTCATTTATCTAACCTCGCATTGACTATGCATTCAAAAACCGCTTGAGCATCACCCAGTTTGCCGGTCACATCGCTCGGCCGGATAACAAAACGCGGGCCGCTATCCACAGACACCGGGACATCTGAACGACAACAAAGAATCAGCATAATAAAGCATACACCATCAATAATATTTTGTGTAACAAGATCTTCAAAACCAACATTTAATAATAAAATTGTGGCAACCAACTTCAACGAAATGTTTTAAGATTAACGGATAGGTAAATTTACTGACTTTTGTTCACTTTAAATTCGTAATTGGAAAAAAAGGAAAATGATCTCGGAAAACCATAATCCCGGAAAACCATAATGAAACCAGCTGTATCATGCATGTTTAAATTGTTTAGAACTTAGAAGCGCTACAATAATTTACAATTACAACCGGTTATTTAAAGGGAAAAATCAAACGTTTAGGAAAACGCCAAAAGTAGACCAGCGATAGAATACGTGCACGATAGCTGAATATCTTAATAAAAAAAATCTGTAAGCGTAAATCTGATTTCTTAAACTGGGAAAAACTTTTGAATTCCAGAGTACTTCAATGCACAGTCATTCACTGCTTATTGTTAGCTTACCATTTACAACAATTCCGATGGGATCACTCGTTTTCGTCTGATTCAGTTGCCTGTTTACCGCTTCCAGCCGGTAATGCTTGGAATCACCGACATCTGCATCCAATATCACCAATGCGTTGTTCAGCGTCACCACATATTTCCGATGATTTCCGCTTGGACTAATCGGCACCCCATCCCCCGTCCAGGAGAACATGGCCGGAGGTATGCTATTAATAGCCGGCGGTTGCAGAATGACCGCTTCGCCTCGATTGACAGTGCGAGTGGCTTCGATTACTGGATCAAATTGTGACATATCTGCGCAGATAATAACAAAGTTTAATTTAATACAGCCGTACTATCACTAACGACAATACACTCTGCATAATGATCATCTGCGTGGGAAGATCAACATACGTGGCAGCGCCAGATGAAAGGCCGAGCTGACCACCGAGCCACAGGGATTTTCTGCCGTGCAGCGATACAGTCCATTATCTTCGCTGGACACTGGATGCACAATCCAGTCTGGACTGTCGAGGACTTCATTAATATTGAGTGTAATGTTGTCCTTAAGCCAGCGATATTTTGGAGGTGGAGTGCCGGTGGCGCTGCATGTTAGAATCACCCTTGATCCCGCTGCAAGTGAGTCCCAAGCGGGCGCCGCGAGATGCGGCTGGACGGAGAAACGCGGAGCAGTGCATTGCTCATTACCTTGAAAATGCAACCGGTGATTAGCAATCACCGCTATTCAAAGAGGCGCGGCAACAGCAATGAAGCATAAACAAGGGTTTGCATCTAAATTGCACCGAAAAAGGCAAAAAAAACGAGTGCAGCATTCCAACTGTCGCTGGTCGTTTTTTTCGAAACTCACGGGTTATTACCATTTCCTAATTAGACACCTGATGGTGCTGTGTTTAGCTATACGCTCTACGCACGGCGGCACGATATTTCGGACATACCAGATTGGTGGAAACCGTGGAATAATATTATTCATACAACATTAATTTTATGTATTACTGTAATACAAGTTCCGTAATCTGGTGTATTGTATCTGTTTCACATTAGGTATATACAGACTTTACAAAAAGATATTCAGTAACTGACTTAATAATTAATCAGATCCATAGTAAGAAAAATGCAGTACCATATATATAATCTTCCAGTTTCTAGTAAAGTCGACGAAACTTACGCATTTACATTTTTCATTTGCATTTTAAAGCGCTAAACCTTAATGTTACGAGTAAGTTTACATAAATTAAAAATTCATCGATGTCGGTCTTTTCATAGCACAGTTATGAATATTTAAACAATATCCATCACACCGACCTTGACAGAGAAATAAATCAGATCAAATCTTCACTTATACGCTTGCACAATTTACATGCACATCTACAGTAATTCTACATGATCTTTCTACACCGGTAATCTCTTTGTAAAACACCACCAACTCACCATCCACCGCATCGCAGACCACGAGGTACACAATCACAAAGGTTTGGATAATCCCGAAAAACAGCCGCCTCTCGTTGTTGTGAATACGAACAATATGGTGCATAATGAATAATCAACTAAGAACAACCATCATTACAGCGTCCCAGTTATTCGTTCCAATTATCAATGAAAAAACGCTCAAATACAACAAAATAAAAATCAAAACCAGCGGATTAAAGAGCAAAAAAATCTCATAACGCACACGCCGTAGTAAGACAAAAAAACAGCCGCGTAACTCTGACTGATGTTAATAGGAGTGTCTGGTAAATAATCGGTGTGGAACAGTGATTCACTGATCACAAAAACAGGTACGAATAGGTTAGCAATAACTCGCAGCGAATTGCAAAACAAACGGCACGTTTTTACGCTGGTACTGTAATTCGGTCATAATTTCCATACGACAAGCAATCATGCCATCCGTTCAATTCCGCATTCTCTGCCGTTCAAAATCACAACCACCTTTAGTAATAAGAAACACTCGCTAGTTCGTGGACGTTCGCTGTAAGTGAGCAACGCTTGAAATTTGTATTAATCCGCTAAATATCCACTAATGCATATAACGACGCGATCAACAGCAAACATCGGGATTAACCAACAGTTTATTCCGCCGCCGCTAATAATGGGCTAGTTCGGCCAGAATCTCTCATGAATAAAATAATCGAATTCCAGATGACTTATCCCATCGTTAAAATCCAACCATCTTGATGCTAAGAAAGCATTCTCCAGCAGACCGACGAAAGATGGTCGACGGTCAGTCTGTGCCAATACACTTCAAACTCATCAATAACAGTAGAAGCGACTGACGGGACTCGATGGACTTGGAATCAGATCATATACTGACTCCGGGCGATATGATTACACAAAATGGTCGCAGACGTCTTAAACTTTTCCTTTCATCAAGCAATAATTTGAAAATTCAAATCCCCAGCCAGCTCTGCACATGAGCCATTCAGTACGGAAGAAAGGCTCGGGGAAAAGCATTTGCATTTTCATAGGACCGACAGGATTTGCAGTACTGGCGCATGGTCGAGTGTGTGTGTTCTCACTTTTCCTCTTTCACAGACAAGCGTAAACGGCCAGGTCAGTTTTGCAACTCGTACGCATCGTTCAACGCGCATGTATTAAGAATAAGCCGGCGCAGGTGAATATAAACACGAATACACGGTAGTCGACTTAGGCCAGCACTGAACAGAGAATAAAGCTTGTGGGCGGAATGGCACCGCCTACGTGATCACCTCTTGCGGTTGCTGTACTTAATACAGTACTCGACGGGCCTGATGGTGAGCTACGCAATGGTCAGCGGGCCCCTGCTCTTGCACGACGAAAGACAAAAAACTGATTGCATTTGCACCTAATGAAAAACTGTAAAAAATCTGCAAAACTTTCATATTAAAATTGTTTTCCATATTGCACAAATACTGTTGAGGAGCTTCGTGACCCAGCCTCCGTCTATGCAACCGCAGTTAGAGTTTAGACTACCCGCATTTTACACAGAACTGTGACAGAAGTTACGGTAGAATCTATCGCAACATTGGTGGAGGTCAATTACATTTGGGTAAGCGTTGCGCGTCGGGTAACGGGAAAACGCGTAAAAAATGTGACGTAACAGCGCGTAACCAAGCAAACATTCTGATTCGCAGTCACAAAATCTGGGGTGGGTTTTCAGCTTACTTGTCCGCGTAAGCGTTGCGCTCTAATTTTTTACGCGTCCCTCCATTACCCGACGCGCAAGAGTTACCGAAATGTAATTGACCTCCACCATTTTGTGTATAATGTACTGTCCACTGTTTAGATGCGCAATGTGCACGTTTGTTAAGTTGTTTGGGGGCTGACATCGCGAAACGCTGAAACAATCATATACCATTCCTTGAGTTGCAAAGCATATCTTCTCCAGAATTTTAATATTTACAGAGACATAAAGCAGAATTACAAAATTATTAAGTCATACTGATTTGCAGCATAGACCATTGTATTGCATGTTGATCGCACCGGTAACAAGTAACAACTTACAGATGTAGAGCACTTGTAAAGGAACTGTAGAACAAAAACATCAGAACAACACATCCAACAATAATCGATCTGCTATGAGCAAACTGTGTGCCATATGAAAACAAGTAATAATTATTACTATTTGCAAATTCAGCCAGCAAGCTATAGTTTCTCTTGGACATTTGCGAAGTCAGTACTCGATACTGTTTCCCGGTAGAGTTATAGAAAGCTCTTCTAAACGGGTCTGAATCTATCACAGGCAAAGGATGTGCCTCGGTATTAAATACCCAGGAACTGAGTGGCAAAGGATCATCATCCACGAAAATTAAGTATAAATATTTTAGAGTCTCGGCCATGAAGTAACTTTGCTGGACATCGTCCGACCCTGGTTTTTCGTTATCCACATCGGTGACACCACTATAGCCAAACTCCTTTTTGCAATGCCTTTCCATAGCCTAAAAATTTACTGTTATTAACAATTCTCGTTTGAATGTTCACTAAACTTAGTGTAGTGGTGTAGCTCAATATAGCTAACACAGTAGGTAAAGTATACATAACTCCACAAAGGAAAAATTGTTCTAATTAATACCTTACCGCTGTGGCTGCTGCACAATATTTGTGCAAAGAAAGCGAAAAGGAATCTGATGCAGTACTCCTTTTATTCTTACAACCATAAAAAATCCTACATTTCATTTGAGCAAAATTATTCGGTGAAGGTATTAAGTTCTTCGGTTGATTAATCTACGAGTAATTAATGACCGGAACTTCCGGTTAACGCAGAGTGACTTTCGAATACTTTTTGTATTTACCCATGCCAGTACCTCGGCAGAGCTTGAAATCTTACCAGAACTGCTTCCCAAGCCCACTCCCTGTATACTTCATTTCCGGTGACCTTCCACAGATAATAATAACTTTCGACCACTTCCGGACGGAGTGAATATTGCTGATTACCGGTGACCGTCGCTTTTGGATATCCTTGAATGCCATCCATTCTGAAAGACTCTGGACCAAGACCAGTTTCTGCAATGATGCCGAAAGATACACACCATGCAAATTTGCAAATGTTTTCAACTAATAACTAATAATGTTTTCAACTAATAATAATTAAGTAAACTTTAAAATAAAGTACGTACTCTACAAATACGTATTGTACATCTGCTTGTACAAGTTGAAAATAAAGTGACTTAAAACCATGCAACATAATATGACTATCACACTGCATGTACTGTTTATACTGAAACTAATATGATTTTTGAATGACCTTTAAAATTTTAAAACTTTTGCGTTATATGAAAATGCTTTTCGGAAACACTATTTCTTACGAGTTAGATTATACGACAAATGACATGTTTTGGTAATTTCTTTGGCGAGGCCGATCATTCGTTGAGGTTCCGGTGAACTTTCCGCTGCGAGAGCGTACAGTCCGCCAATAAAGCAAGCCAAATGCTCCATATTGTGGGTCAGTAGTTGGCTTTGTTCCAGCTTCGCGAAATATGCTAAACCGGCTCTTGATCGTTTCAACAGATTTTTCTCCAGCGCTGTGAGAGCGCCGAAAAACATTTCTTTGGCTTCGGTATCCTCTCCGCTCGACCACAACCATGCTTTTAGCAGATATTCGTAGAAACTGTCGCCAAATGCTCCGACCGATGCAGTAAGACCATTTTGGCATTTTGAACCATTTAGATGGCGGAAGTCTACCAAATTCGGATACAGGCCTTCCGTACTGCGCGCGTGCTTCAGTAATTGGCGAATCTTTTTCACTTTCTCCAAGTAAATTATATTTCCGGTAATTTCCGACAAATATGCGAATTCCAGGTGAAGAGTACCGACATCGGCAAGGAACACGCAATCAAAAGACAGCCAGTTGTAAAGGAAGCCGAATTTTCTGAAGGAAATGAAGAATTACGCCTTGCACAACAAACAAAATCAGAGTACTGGATAAACTGTATACACAGATCAACACATTTTAAATCACTATTCTGCGATTTCTTTCACAGGTCAGAAGTACTCGTGTCTATCAAATTGGTATCATTTGCACACATCAAATGATGCTGGGACTTATAATTTGTTATTTGTAGTTTTGTACGCCGCCCGCGTATTCTTGTTATCCATTCTTTTTAAATCTGTTGAGACATTTATTGAATTACTGTTTTCAGTAAAGTTTGCCCTGTGCCGCTAGTAACGAATTCATATCAATAGGTGAACCAACTGTGCATGAAATCGTGGTTGAGTTATTCTGTTACTCAGATTTGTGCAACCAAAAACTGACTTAAAACAAAGTACATAATTAATTTTAATGCTGATTTGTGCAATAACGTGTATGCTATCATGCTGGATGGATTGTAAATTTTAAGTTTTGGCAATTAAGGATAAGAACAGCGTTTACGAAAAATTCTGTACCTATTCCCAGTACTTGTACAATTTTTACTTTACTGATGATAGGATTAGCAGTACCACTTATTTTTGGTAGTCAAATATTCAATTAAGAACAGCATACATGTATGTATTTAACTGTTTTTACAACAAAATTTGATCACTTAATGTGACTGGGTTGTGCTCATAACACTTACATGCTAGCATCATACAGACTCCAAGGAAGTCCGCTAGTCGTGTTGAATGCCAGTAGCAAAGTATCTGCAGTTTCGATCGCTTTGTCCAAAAATACCTACAATTAATAGTTTACAATATCGTAGTAAGTTATACTCGTAGCCAGAAATAATTTAATTCACCCTTCTGCCACTCAGCGCATGCGCGGACAGGAACCCGCCCAGGAGTCGGATATTTGCTTCAAAAACCGAAAATGTTGATTTCTGAAAATGCAGAAGAGCATACATATATGTACATAGCTCAATACAGAGGTCATACGATGAATGGTGTGGGCAGAATGTGAAAAAGTTGACACAGACGTCAGTTTAATCTGCTAAATGGTATGCTTAATGATTATGATTTTCTGACGTACCGCGTTTCGGATTTTAAATTGTCTCGTTACCCACTCGGTGGCAGCATCAAACTCATTGGTCAGTCCCATGAGAAAGAGCGTATCTAGTGAATCTATAATAGTTAGTCCAAGTTTGCCGTCACCAAACGGCGCCGATCCTGCAAATCCTGTTCGCGATACCGGTCTTAGCTCGTTATCGCCCCACGCATACTTTACGTAATTGTCCCACGCAAACTTCATCATCTAAAAAAGACACGCCATAAAAATCTAAATACGAATTTCATAGACTTGTTTTACGATTTTGCTAAAAATTCAACTGCAAAACGCAGATAAATGAGATGCACTATATAATTATGTCATATCTATATGTAGTTGCATGAGTACGCCGCTAAAAGGGAAATATTTTATATCGCAAATTCCCAAAACAGAACAAGCAGCAATAACTTATAACAATAACACATAGAATCAAAATTTAATACTATAATTATTATTGCATTCAAACGCATAACAGTTGCTACCTCTACAGTTCACCTATTTCCATGTATCTTTTTGTAAAAACTAATATCTATCTATGGTCACTGGGCTGATTATTTTTGGGCCTATGCGCTTGCAAAAAGCCTTTACCTGCTTGACAACGTTCTGCCGGTATACATTGCGCGGATCGACAGCATCTAATGATTCTTGGCGGCGTTGACCACTTTCCGTCATGGTGGTTTCATCGGTAAAAGCAAGTATTTGTCGATCACTCTGTCGTAAATAAAATATCAGTTTATAGTAAGTCATATTTGTTTCGAATTTCTCAAATCCCTATCCGTTTTGATTTGTTTTGCTACTTATATCATTCCGCAAACGGAACAAACAAACAAGTACAAGTAAGTACTTAATTATTCATATCCGATTCGCTTATTTTTTATCGCTCTACCAGAGACTCCTACCAGATCGTAACACAAATATAACATAATAATATAAACCCTTATTTTACTTCAGTTGCTTTAGGTTTTCATACTAGTTTCCTAATACATAAAGAACATTTTATTATACGAAGCTCTCATAAAAAAAGTAAACGAGAACTTATAGCACAATATCTATATTTCTGACGTACGCACTTCAGGCACCTGCTATAAAAAATATGCATACGTATTATTCTAGACGGCAGAAAATTATTAAGAATAAAGGAGCATGTACTGTAACTAATACGGATCTGTAATATTTATCGGATATATATATACGGATCTGTATATTCATCTTAACTAATACGGATCTGTAATATTTTAAGGCTACTCAGTATTTAATGGTTAGTAAAATTAATGAAAATATAGGCACGTACGTAATGCAGCAAAAAACTTTGCCATGACGACAACAGCGTACGTACCATAACTTTAATCATCAGCAGGGCTCCGAATGACAAGAGTATCAATGCGATGGGGTATCTTAACTTTTTTCTAGGAGGAAAGTACCGGAAAACTTCCATGATTTCCGGCGGGTAGGGACAGGAAATTAGTCATCAAACTTGACTGTGTATCGCTACTGTATCATAAGCGTAATGCAATGAAGTTAGCTCAAGCAAAAAATGCAGTCGAAGTCCTCCAGCTTCACCTGTAGGTTGCTATGCTTAGTCACCGGATATTGATTGCATGATATCACGCGCTACATGCTCCAGATCCACGTTAACGTTACAGCACGGCTGTGTTTGGTCAGTTTACCAGTCTGGTCAATGAAGCACGGCCAGAACAGAACGCAAGATGCCGAAAAAATAAAACACTTACAAAGCAGCCTAAAATACGCACTGGTTTCGAGAAACCCACTAAAACGGCGGATTTTTGCTTTGCAAACTCCCAGATTCGGTTCAAACTGTGCATGCGGCACGCACCTTTTTGTTGTAACTGTACCTTAGCAGTTTTCGCTGCATGCAACGAAGGAATGGCATCGACAAATAACTGACAGTACGCAGCCACCTTATCTTGAACGGAAAATTTGATTTGGGTTATGTTCAGTTGACTTATCAGAAGGTAAGGCAACATACACGCTCAGCTGTTACGGACAGTTGCTTAAAAGGCATTGAACAAGTTTCCGGACAGTTTAAAAACGCTGGTGTCGTATGCTTAATGTCTTGCTGCCTGGCACTTAATGCACAAGTTTCAAGATCGCTTTCCACTCCAGCTTGCGCTAACGAAATTCAGTAAAACCGGTACACAGCGTATTATAAGTTATAAGTTGTTAAACGTATTCGTCATGGTTGATAAAAACATCGTTCTTTACCCGACCCACACTAATTTCTGGGGACTGGCTAATGAACATTAAGAGCATGTAAAAGACTGAAAAGACTGCGATGATGGAGGCATTCTACGTCGGCAATATTCCATCGAAACCACTCTGGAAAATAAAGCGAGATGCTGTCACGAAAAGCCGGTCATTTGTTCCCAGTGCCGGCTCATCAACAGATCGAAAAAAATGATGGGATGCCAGATTACGTAATCTGCCGGCATCCATGGCAGGGATCACGGCTTGACTGGTATGAACGGCATCGTTTCCGGAACAATTGTCTGAGCGTACTTAATCTCGTGTCTGCTGTAGATACATCTTGACACACGGCGATTGTATTGCGGTTCTTTTTATCCACCAATATGAATCTGTTCGCATTCATTATGCTTGCTTATGTTGAAAATGGTGGTCGTGATGCATGCCATGTCACTCTTGCAAAGAAACATCAATTTCGATTTTTCCCGTAGCCAGCGATTCCTTTAAATTTTCTCCCATGGGTATACATGCGTTGTGCCTGGTAATATCTTTAACACAAAAGTCGAGAATTCTTTGAGTTATTAACTTTATGGTTGAATTTTGATTTGAGTGAAGCTAAGGAAGAAAACGTAAAAACCGTTAAAACTACAGCGCAATACAGAATAGAAGAACAGCTTCGGCTAATATATGTATGCACAAAATTATTACGTACACGAAAACCAAGTTGTACAGTAATTAGCATGTCAGTTACATTACTAGTACTTACGCATCATAGTAATATATATGAAACTGACAAGCACATGTAATGATCGCTACTTAAAGTACTGTACGAGTATGATTTCTACGTGCTCTACAGTCAGCATGCATTCCATGGAAAAAATTAGCAACGGTATGTATGCGGTAATATTTTCCTATTACAATTTAAATTTTCGCTTCCATGTAAAAAACAAAGTGAAAATTACACCGGATCCGACGGATAAAACCTGCGCTGCTGCAGATCCAGTACGGTCAGCACCAGACCGGCACATCAAAGCCGTAATGGAAATGTTGTACATAAGTTCGTAATGCCGTTGCCCTTCCGGTGAGCACGCTTTTTCCGTCCATGGCATATAGCATTCATTATGCAAAATCTGGTTCCTAAATGCCCGGTATAATTACGACAGATAAACTGACAATGAGTTATACTGTACAGATACTGTATTAACACCTAATTAATTCATTAACCGGAGGTCACGTTTTTCGCGTACCTGCACTCATCCGTAAAGTCCGTAGGTCTAGCGTTAGGCAGTTGTTTCGTGCATTCACTGAAGGCGACTTCGTTGTGACAGCGAGAGTATTCGACCGCTAGAAGACTTCCGTTGGATGTAGAACAGATTTTGGTAATCAGTCCACGAACAAGATTCAGCGTCATAATATTTTTCCGAAAAAGCGCAACTTTGGGATATGTGGCCATGGTATAATTCAGGCAGTCAGATGCCTCTCTCATAATGCTTCGAATTCGGAAAAAAAAACGAAAAGAACAAATGCACTGAAATTTTTTCAATGCTAGTCTTTATTCCCAACCATCACTTGAACACGTATTAAACAGCATTTAACTAGAAAAACAGCAGTCCATAACAAATTTCAGCTGTCTCAGTATGTTCCAGATTGCAACTTCATCTGGTAATTACGGTAAAATTTAATTTGCTATTGGCTCATCTTAACAAAATGTTTGGTGTTTGCTTAATTTTCAGACATTCTACTTTATTAATCCTCATCCAAACCTTACTCGCAAAAGTTGTGAAAGTCCTCTTCGGTTTCCATTAGAGGTGAACTTTCGAATTTGGAGCTCAACTTTGATATACAATCCAATTTGATCTTTTCGTCAACAACTTTATTTGTACGACAAGGGCAGCAAAAAACTGCTGTAACAGGCAAGATAAGAGCAATAATGGTAACCGGCTTATCTGCTATATAAAACAACTGAATAAACATTTTGGGGGGTTTTCATTAGATTGCGATTTCTGGCGGTTTCTTGGTACGATTTATGACTCAGATATTTCATAAAACCATGTTATCCAATAATAACGCATATATTCGAATATTCCGCACCTGACGCTGCAAGATTAGGATACACGTGCAGAAAAATTCTGCAAAAAAAGTTGTGGCTTATCAAGAATGGCCGAATTAATGGAGAAAATATTTTTGAAGTTTTCCTCGGGTTGTTTCTTAAAGTGCAGTAAATAATAAAATTATCTGAATTCAAATAATAGGCTTCTTCTTTAAATCAAACAAACAGTCACCGATGTGATATTATTGTTTATGTCGTGCGCGACTTGTTCTGTACACAAATGGTCGTTCTAATAAATTAACCAATTCATGCATTGTATTATTTAAAACGATGATTGTAGAAGTGTTTACATACTTGCATAATACTGGAGCAATTGAATTATACATGCTTCCAAACTTTTGCGTTAAGGCATCGTACCAACGACTGACACCATCGCAAACATGAAAAGTTGAAAACCAGTGTTTCTGTTACCGACATGACTGTACTACGGCTACATGACTGTCTTGTTTATGTTGCCGACATGACAGTAAGAAAAATGACAAATTAAAATTATCAGTACTGGCCAGTCTTTTTTACTATTGTTGAATATTGGCCAGTATTGGTTAGTATAGGCAAGTATTGGCACTTGTTGGGCTGAATGCCTGTCATCAAAGTTTATGTACATCTGCAAAAACGTTACTGATTACGGTTGTTTTTATTTTGTTTTTTGTAAAAGAATATTTCTGTACAATACGAAGTCCTGCTCGTAAAGGCAGCTAGCAGAATAAGTGATTAATTCTCTAGCCAGGCGGCCCAGGCCTAAGGTCAGTGTGGCCTTTTCCTTAATGTTAGTTCGAGTACACAGTTTTCGCAAACCCACCGTTTGAAGCATTATTAATCAAAATACATCCAACTCATTATCATCACTCGTCGATACGCAGAACCAGGCATCATCTCCGCTAACAATTCCAAGGCAGTCTTTTGGAATGGATTCTCTGACTTCGTACAAAGCAGGGGCGTCCAGAATTATTTTTCCCGTTCCTATTACACATGAAATAGCAAAAATCCACAGAAACAGTCGGTCCAGAACCATTGCAACGTATTTCCAGTCCCGAACAGTCTAAAAATTGTAATTCATAAAACGTGATTTGTAGCGAGTTAAGTACTTATATATGTGGCTACCAAATTATTGTTCCAATCTTCTTATATTGGTAATGTTATGTTGCAGCCCAAAACGCATGCATCTGTCTTAAAACTGTCTTATAAACACGACCACATACGAAACATACTGTAGCAGTAGTTCATAAGTTATTATTATAAACGTACAAGCGCGGGTGACCTTAATATAGCTTTGTTACAGTACTCACGCTTCCGAATTTGTTCGCCGTACGAACATGTTCCACGACAAAATTTATCCCATCGACAGCGTGTTGAATATCTCGGTTCAGCCTTTTGTGCTTCTGAGTAGTTTGTGAGGTGTTGGAATTCTGACGCTGAAGGGTATCGGCATCGGATGCAACACGAAGTGCTCTGTTATTTTTAAGGCTTGCTTCGCAGTCGTTGTCTGGGATATGTTGTAATGTGGCTTCCGGTGGTCGATCCATTAGCAAAAGTTTTGGCAAGAGGTCGATGAAGATCCGACGTATCCATGGCCGCATAATGTGCGTCGAAGGATTGCGAAACTAATGAATGATTAATACGGTTAATCATAGTTAATTGTGGGTGAACTGTAGTAAGACACGTTTAATATTCTTGTAGGTTGTACAATACATGTGTGTGTAAATTACGCATTAAACTTACATGAACGTTAATAACCAAAATTGTAATTGCGATGCTGCAGGTGACCATAATCAGCGTAAACAGCAGATACCTGCCCATTAGCGGAACCTAAAAGTTACAATAAAAGTCACAACCAGAAGCAGAATTGCTTGATAAGCGGGTCGCTATTCAATACGTATATTTTGCAATTATATGGCAAATTAAATATGGGGTTGCGTTTACGTAGTTCTTTCTTAAATAATTTTAGAGTATTTTGTAGAGTATTGTGTAGAATGCACTGCAATGCATGTTCCTTTATACGTTGGACCCTGCATTTTATCGGTTTTAGCGATACTTACTGCTAAGGATGTCGGCGGGATAATCTGCAATAAAACTGATGTTTTAAGATCAACTTTCAAATCGTGGTTTCGAAAGGGACTCACCTCCGCGAGCAGAAGAATAAACACCGTTAAGGACAACAGTATCGAGATGCACAACGTGACCTTTTCTCCACTGTCGATTGGAAGATAAAATACGAAAACAGTAAGGAAGGAGATCAAAACGCAAGGAATCATCAGATTGACTAAAAAACATATTTTCTAAGGTAAAAGTTGTTAAAAAACCATGCAAATCATTAATCAGCAATCGCAACAAATTAAATCTCAGTTAGAGTACTTATACAAGTACTCTAACTGAGATTTAATTTGTTTTTTTTGTACTCTAACTGAGATTTTTTATTTCTTATACAAACCTGTGTAGAACAAAGCCTTTCTGCGGATCTCAATGGTGTATGTGATGTCCACAAACGTGCCATAAGAGAACACTTCCTTACGACGCATTGCAGATGCCTGAAATCATTAGTATGTATAATTTAAAATACAACAACGATCACCTCACGTGGATGGCCCTTTAGACAAAAATGTTGTAAAGGAAATCTTGCCTCCAAAATATCCCATTCGATGCTGGGCTTGTATCTGTAAATTGGGTACACCGTATCATGTATGAAACTTCGAAAAATTGCTGCCTAGCCGAGGCCATTGTTGTGAAAAAATTATCGATTATGAGCAAACAAACAATATTTTATATATATATATATATATGTATAAATAATATATCACAAAATTATTAAACATGTTATTAATGCAAACACGTCATTATTATGTGCGTGTACAAAGTTACGTAACATCTGATTGAAAAGGAGCAAAATTATGCAAGAAAGTAGGCTGCACGGCAGTGATATTATTATTCTTGCTGCCTGCATGGATCAGATATTTGATCCGCTTTACTTACTCTGACAGATCCATTCCAATTAGTATTTCTTTAAAATCATCAGTAAATCCTCGTTCTGGTGTTAAATTAACTATACAGCAACACAATACAAAACGTTACACACAAACCTATAATTCTAGATCTTGTATATGATTACGTTCCGCTTTTATAACAAACATAGCAAATGAACACAAGCGGACAAAGATGCATAAAATATGAGGCGCGACGGTAAATTTCTTATGCAGACTTATTGCACTAGTATGTTAGTTGTAGTTTGCAGCAAAACTAAAAATTATTGTGCGTAAGCAATTTACAGTTACTTGCAGTACAATAGGTGCAAAATGCCTTATAGCTAGAGTAGAGATTTCGGCATTCGTAATATGGTTTTAAAGCGCGATACGTTGTGTTGTAGGTTTTGCACGAATTTTCCTTTTTTCTGTATTTGTGGAGTTAGATATATACCTAGAGATGCATCGTAAGTCCAGGATCCAAACTATAAAAAAAAATCTAAGTACAAACGTCATATGCATTACGCAGAACTGTAACTATTATGACGCACAATTAATCAGAGAGACATATGTACAGAGTAGCTACGCGCATATCAAGATTGATAGTACCGCGTGTTCTGGCATTACGTAGAATTCCCTGTTCGCATCCTAAATAATTCTTCCGCTCGCCAATTATCTAATATTTTATTAAATTTATCGGGCCGCAACCCAGTCGATCTTGGGTGTTTCGGTATTTGGTAACTTTCTTTAGGTACGGATGTCGACGTCCTCGTGTACCACCATGCACCTACCGAAAGTATGGTTTTAAGTGCGTTACTCTCGAAATACAGAGCATATTCCCACTCCACCGAATGTGTACGACTGTCATCGAATGCGTTGTCGCGGTGCGACTTCCGCACAGCATGTTATTTTTTGCACTGTTGTGCGAAAGGTCAAAGTTAGCAGTCTACCAGCTACCGACACTACGACTGATAATGCAGCTGATGATGCAATGGGTAACACCGGAGCATGGATTACCGGCGGTGCCGGTCACAACCGGTCAGTCCATAGCTACGACAGCGCGCCCTTAACTTAAACCTAGAATTGCACTTATTAATTAATATTAATGCAGCATCAAATTTAAATGCACTTAACACAATGTAAAATACTCTGTCACATCTACTAGCGCAGATACACTATTTCTCCAGCGCTGGAATGTACATCCCATCGACATACTCTGAAGGTTTTCTCGGCTGGACACCGGTTGATCTTTGCAGCTTTGCGGTCACCTCCGCTGCGTTAGCCGGAATTAGCTTTGCTAAATCAACTAATAACTATTGATACGACAGAGTGATTAGGTATGTTTTTCAGTACGTTTACAGGCTTCTTCAGAAACGGCCAACGTCAAAATACCGGCAGAATTTCCGTTGGTCGAAACGCGGGCAGAAGTTTTTCAACATTTTTAACTTCAAGTAAAGTCCTAATCAAAAATATTAAAAAATGTTAGCTGGCACGCGGTGTGTTACACATGAGGAAAGATTTATATTTAATAGCGAAATAAATTGTAAAGGAGAATAAAAAGAAAAAACTAAAAGACTTGTTTTCAACCCTTTTTTACTTTCAGTGATGACAATGCGAGCCGCAGAGAAGCTGACGCGCTGTGAGCACTAAAAGCGATCGCAACATTACTGATTAACTTTGTCCGGAAGCTGACGTAATGTCATGTTCAGTTCCCTTCCGATTCCGTAGATTTCGACCAGCAAGCTACCACCAGCGATGGAAACCGGTAAACAGCTGATGTGGCAGATTATTGATAATGCTTTAAAGTGACCACCGAAATTTCGGCCGGTGTTTTGACCACCGCAAATTCTGCCGGCGTTTTGACAGTGGTCCTCAGAATCACCCATTTTACTCTTCTTCGCAACATGATTATGAGAGGCCGCAACTGTAAGTTGTGCCTGCTACAACGTAAGTTGTGCTGTAAGCTATGCAGTAAGTTGTAAGTTGTGCCTGTTATTTTCCTAGTTAGCTCAACGATACAATTTGGACAAAAAACCACGGCTTATCAGACTCAAAGGTCGCGGCAGCTCTCATTTCAGACTGCAACTATTCCACGGTAACCAGAAGTCAGGAACATGCAGAAACGAAGCCGATAATACTGGAAAGGAGCTGTCACTGCTGTTGTTGATACAAGGACAATGTATAATTAGCAAAATGTCATTGTCATTCAACATTTCACGGTACTTTACGGGAAAGTGTCGTGCACTATATTACAACCATATATATAATCTGCAAAAAGCAGTTAAAAAATAGGTATGGAACCTGTATCGCGCAATCAGCAACATGGGTGCCTGTAATTAATTAAGAGACTGCGAAATAGGAGGGGGAGGGGCATATGCAATAAACGTGACTGTGGAAGGTTGCATATATCAACGGTAACGTTGGTGCACAATCCTGACAAGTGAGAGTACCGATTTTCATGGCAAATGAATGCAATACGTATTACCTCCGGTTGTCTCCTCAACATTAATATAAGTTTTTTCAACTGTATGAAAACACGTTTTTCCAAATTGTCTCGCGTTCCTAACAGCTTATTAACTAAAATTATGAGAAAACATAAGTTACGATGTAATTAACAACCAATCAAAAGGTGCAGTTAATTGTACCTTCATTTTGCATGTTTGTTTATCCTGCAATAGAAAACACTTCAGCTAAAACTTTAAGTTGAGCATTCTGTAGTATATTTTTACACGATGTCAGTTATGTTCAAGCACTTACTGGATATGGAACAGCTAATCATAATATTATTATTATTGGTACCCGGCTTGTTATATTTGTCACTTGCATTACTAAATCAAAAACAATTTTTTTTAATTTCTAAGTTTTTTTGTATTTAATGGCAGAAGTAAATTCAACAAGGATGCATAATCGCGCGCGATTATATAACTCAAGCAAGCGTACGCACTTACATACGGAAAGTAGGTGACGTTTATCGGGCAGTAGCTTTTGTAAATCACTGGTGGCTCCCAGGTGATGTCCCCAGTGTAATTGACCATTAATTTTGTCATTGTCGTAATTTGGTAGGTCCCTTCCGCACTAATACAAAACAAAGTAAATGCATTACACAGCTATGATCAAAATTAGGTTTACTGAATTTTTTTGTTAACTGAATTCCTTGGTCGTGGCCACAGTACAGTAGGAAGTACTAGGAACTACAACACTGACTCACTGAATACCGCAAAGTTGTACTTTCACTGACGGATCTAATGTTTAAAATACGTAAGCAGCTGTATTATCAAAATGTACTTAATAGCAGTATTTCAAACTCTAATAACAGCTTCGGTTAATTAACGAAAGTTATTGTTTATTCATCTACGCGACATTGGGCTAGATATGCTGTTATGCTTTATCGTACTTGAAATATAACACCACATCCGGCAGCCAAATGTTTTCGCTTGGAATGTCAAGATAATTGATTCCACCAAAGTGATCGGGATTCCAGCTCAATTTGTAATCGTTCCATTTCTGCAACGGTGCATGCAATGATAAAAATTTTTGGTATACATGCTACCTGTTTTTAAACTGTGTTTATTGCGACATGTTCTGTCTTCTTGAGCGCCACACTATTGTTAACGCATCATATTATAAGGATTTGAATCAGTGCTTGCAAAAGCGACATATCAACAGGTCAATTAATAACTTACCTGTCGCACTATCATGTTGGTAGTCAAAACTTGATTGACTTCGTCCTATAAAACATTCACATATTAAATTTTTTTATAGTAACATTGCAGTTATAAGCGAATTAGCTCATATTATCTGTTAGTTTAGAATTTTGTATCGTATAAACAAATTTGATAATCCCTCTTCTAAAATGACCCATTTTAAAAGGGGGGAGTTATTTCAGTATAAAAAGGATCTGATTAAACATGCTGATGGTGAGTAACATAACAAAATGTTTTTCTCATGCATGTGAATTAAAAACAAATGTATTGAACCGACGGTCTACTAGTAACGAGTAATGCACGATCTAACATAAAGTACATTAACTAAATGCTGCGGGCTCTTGTTCTTGCCAAGTACTATAGACAATGTACTCGTAATTTTCACTCACCACACCAATTAGCTGCGTTAGTTTTAAGCTCATCTTCAGTTCCAAAACATCCCCATTTGCAACGACCGGTCTCACCAACTTATTATAATCTCGCATTAAGTACGAATACAACCTTTCAGCATCCAGACTTGCAGATGAAAAATTTACAGTAAGTAGGCAAAAACTCAGCAAAAATGTGCAATCCTTGTTTTGCCGCAGCATTGTAAATCCTGGCATATTTACTACAGAATAACGGATGCCCATAATCGTAAGTCATGGGATTCTATAAATAAAACTGATCGCCGATTTTGTTATATTTATATATAACCATCAAGAAGAAAACCAGTCGTTTATTATTACACTAATTGCTAACGATTCTATCAATTTCCGTCTCGTACATCTTCTGAATCAGTCCACAAAAGTGGCTGCTTAGTAATGTATTATGCCAACAGATTCCCTCATCACACAAATGAATGTTAGTCAGGAAAAGATTATTAGAAATTCGACCGGACTGTCTACAAGCTGAGTTTTCCAATCTCATGGTTTAGCCAATTGCCGGGAATATCCGTCAGACATCGTACAGCATTCGATCCGGTAAACATCCTGTCTGTTTCCCATGAACTGCTCTCGATCGGCCTAGCCGGCAATATTGCTACGTCAGTCATTTTTTTGGGCTGTTTGTTTTAGATAAAGTATTTCGGTTAGCGTATTGCTTCTAGTGCAAACACAATCTGATTTTTTCCATGCCTTTGGTGTGTTAATCGTATATAATTCTCTTTTTTCTGCCATAAGCGGGTCGCCGTATTAGAGTTACTGCATGTGGCAGTAGATATTTATTGTAGCTAAGTACGTTTTAGTACTGCACTCTGTAGCTGCTGCACCCTTCCTTGGGCTAACTTAGCTAAAACATATCGAAAAAGCCAAGAAAAAGCAGTACCCATGCAAGAATAATCGTTTCAGATAAAAAAATAACGCTTGTTGGCTTAACTGTAAAGGATGTCTCGTAAAAAGCCAAAAAAGTGGTGTTAGCAGTGTTCTAGTTTGTTAGGTTTGCAAATACATACAAATACAATAGATATTTTGCCGAGAGAAATTTAAGGTGCTGTGGCTGAAGTAAAAGTTAAGATGTAGAGTAGTCATATTAATATAACTTGTATTTGTATATACTCGTGCTATATCTTGCGTTCATTATAACTGCTTTGGTTTTCTTGTTTTGGTTTTAGAATTATCATTTTTGCATTCCCAGAACTGATAGTAGAGTGGCAAGTGCTTCGCTACTGTGGATTTTAACATCACATCAAAGATTGTGAAGGTCCGTGTAAACGCACATAAATCGGTATAAAAATATGTCCGTATTAATTTGTTTGAAACAATAACCGAAGAAGCAGACTTTTCTGTCGCCTTGTTATACTTTGTTAAAGCCATTATACCTTGGCTAATGCTTCAGACTGCGCTTTTTATCGCAGAAAACCGGTGATATTTTGAGTGTGTTGGTTGGCAAGTTTTATTACTGCCTTCAGTTTTAAAGAAGCGATGCAATTCTTAGGTTTTATGCGAGCAAACTAAATCTGTTCAACAGAATATATACTTCTACATATGTTGCTCAGCAGGTCAATAATTTGAAATAAAATAATCTGGTTGCAAATTCACAAGTTACACGCGCAAGATGCAAATTTCTGCATGCACAGCGTACCGATTTGCTTTGACAGCAGTTTCTCGTCTAATTATAAGGATTTGATCATCACATAAACGCTTTTCATTTCATTGCGCAACGATTCAGTTTTGAATTTAAATTCTATATTTTTTAATAGCAGTTGTTAATCAATATTTAAAATGGTGAGAAGGGTTTTTTCACAAATAATAGGACGTCAGTCTCTTCTCTTGCAACCGGAAGCGTAGCATTAGAAGGAAAAGGATTTGCCGATTGCATGAACAAGATTATCACGGTTAGTACAATACTAATTGACTTGTTTATAGCACTTCCAGTTCGTCACCTTATATGTAGGAAAAAGTTATCAAATGTACGTCGAAAGGCAATTTTTTAGCTTGATTATGCGCAAAGATCAACTGAATTTCCGATGAAATTGAAGAACGTTTATATTCGTGACTGTGGTTCTGATTCCGACCCCGTCAAACTGCAAGAATTTAAGATTAGTTCAGGTAGGTGGTGTTTAAAAAGTGCCGGTTACCAATTAGCAACGTTAAGTGGTCAACTATTGGTTATCATTCTTGTCCTTCACAAATTTTTATCAGAACTGTACGTAGCAGTTTGCTGAGAGGATGCAAAACTTAATCGCAAGTTATGTTTGCTTGGTAAAAAGTAAGCTAAGCTGTATTAAACCGTGTTCTGAACATCTTTCGGTTTTAATTTAACAATAAAATTAGAACGATTTAATTCTTGACGTTTGAGCGAGAAATTGCAATGCCCTGCGTCAATTATCAGACATGGAAGCCTCTGTGTCGGTTACGGTTCAACGAGATTATATTTACTCGTATATGCACTCCAGGCGACATCATTTCGGTAAGTTTTCAAAAACACGATGAAATAGCAATACTTCCATGCAGTAATTTTTTATTTAAAAGCAAGGTTGTGCTACTCTTAATTCAAACGTATTTTCAACAGCACATACAAATTACAAATGCGTCTGCCTTTCTACTGCATATCTGTTTTATGCACCTGTTTTAATCTCAAATCGATACACGATAAAGAATATATTTTAATGTGTTAAAAAGGTTGTCTTGTATTTAACAGATGCGTTATGCAGAAATAAAATTTAATAAATTGCTACAGCTTGCATTCCCAGCAGGGGTTTATAAATCACAATTGTATGTATAATGTACATTAGGATTTTATATAACCAGTATAAAACGCAACATAACTTTTCCGCACCACATTGTATTACCAAGTATAAAGCATATCAAAACGTTTAGCTTTCTCACCTATTGCATATGCAAACTTCCGTAACAATGAAAGTATCCTAAGGATTTTTCAGCTTTAACAAGAAGGTCCCGTGTGTCCATGGAAAATTTGGTATGTATAAAACAATATTTTTTATCGTCGACACACCTACCGAAACCGTTCTAGCACTAGCTATATATAGGGTAGTGTGCGTACTTTCAAAAGCGTTTACAATTAGCATAATTATGTTTGTTTGCCGGAAACATTAGGTAGCTGCAATATTGATAACATATGTGCGGCAAAAGAGAAATGCCCAAACGTACTTGTTGATCAAGGTCTAAACTGCTCGCTACTAGTTAAAAAAGTAAGTAAACGAGAGACCATACATGAGTATATATAAAAACTTGTTAACGTGTATAAATTCATAAAAGTTAAATTTTTGGAACAATTATTTTTTTATAGGGAGCATACTCCATTAAGGATTTTCCCATACCTATGCCACAACTTCCGGTAAAAATTCCAGCATGGTTGCCAAATGGTACAGTAAATACGACACATGTATTAGCAGTGCTCCGAGCGTACAGACTACCCTAGAGACTTTGAGTTTATAATAATTATCACTACTATAACTATGTACCCTTATTACTCTACCGAGTAGTCATTTACAGTTTACCGTACCACTCACTAGAGTAGATGCTAAAAAACGTAGAAGTTTGAAATATTAAAGGTACTTTTATTTATATAAATAATTGGTTAAGGTTTTCCCGTATTTAAACAGGTGAATTTAAAGCGGAATTATCCTTTTACCAAGCTGGAAGCAAAACTGGATGCTATCGAGTAGCATTGTCGCTAAATTAATTATTGTAACAATTTCAGAAACTGCGCAAACTTAAAAACTATAAAAAGTAACCTCACTGGTCAGCTTTGCTACCAGCTCTGAAAAAGTAGATTCCTGATAATACATTCCTGATGCTCCATCTACGAAGTATATTAAGCTTCACATGTAATGCAAACTGCATTGCTCCAACTTGTAACTACTGACTAAATAACAGTCAGCAGTTGACTAACAAAATGGAAATAATGATAGCTGACAAACCCCATGGCACTATCATCACTAATAAGTCTTGATAAATAATACCGTACGGTACCATGTATATACAATACACACGGTACGCGGTATTTGCTATAAAGTACTGGAAGAAATGAGTAAGTAGTCATTAGTGCAACAAGTTGTTCGCGGTTTTTAGTTCACTTCATACCAGCACAAGCAATGATCCGGCAGCATTCATTAACATATTCTATAATATTGTCATGGTCAAACTCAAAAATGTGAGATGAAAATGTGCATCGGTCAAGTAAATGCGCCGACAAAAAAGCTAAGGTTTTTTTGTGATTACAATTAAGCAGAAGCAGCAGATTTGATCAGTTTTATTGAATGTATATATACAGAGTATTAAAGCCCGTTACATTTCATCTCGCGCAAAAGTGATCGGTAAGGAGAAATTTACCCACTTATGATTATTGCTATTCGAATACAGGCAAAGTCATTATTGCTGATAAAAAATCCATACATGCATACCATGCTTTTGTTATACAATTTCAAAACCGTAGGATACAGCACGCAAGGAAACACTCGGGTCACAGCGATTAGAGTTATCCGTCGTGTCACGTCAGCGTTTATCGGGGATAGCAGGAACTGTTTTTTGAAAGAGACCGCACACACGTACGCATCCTGAGAGATGCTTACATGCATGTCGGCAGCGGAGATCCGTTGAAAAGGGAGAGCAATGTGAATCGAAGGATTGAGCTGCCCTGTCGACTCTAAATCAGCTCATCAGCGATGCAACGTTAACTGCCAGAAACAAATGAGACAGAAAATTTCATCTAAACACAGTTCAGGACTTGGAAATTGTCCATCGCAGACTAGAGTACTTGATACCGGTCGATGGGAACAAACAAGCACTAACAAGTACGCATTCGTCAACCATCACGGGGAATGCACTGCTGGAAGCGTATAAATACATTGTCGGTGACTGGCTTTTCACGGATAATTACGCGCCATTATCCGGGTATACCTTGGGAAACGTAGGAATAATATTTCAGGTAGAGCCACACATCTATACACAATTAAATCGGCGTGACCTTTATTCCGGTAAAGAGGATTTAGTGGTGATCGTGCTCTGGCGGTCATGATGAATACGACGCATCCACTGAGCTCGAACTGCTTTCTTCAGAATTCGAGGAAGACATGGGACTCCCAGTACGGTCACGATGCACACAGCTGGATTCGTAGTGCTTGTTCAGGTACGATTTCAGCGAAAAGGATTTCGAGCAGTATTTGCAGATATGCTGCCTGGATGATGAGTGCGTTTGCATGTGCGCCTGCAATTTTTAAACAAATTATAAAATCTGCCGGCAACAAGGTCAAATGTAAGATGACTACAACAAAACAGATTTCTTACCCGCAAGTTGCTCCGATCAGCAAAAGATTTTCCACACCCGCAACGGAAAGGTTTTTCGCCAGTATGGCTGCGCAGATGACCCTATCATGTACAAACCACTTTTTAAAAACTGTAGACAATGACAATTTTTCGTCTTATTGTGTAACGTAGTTACGCAGCTGTGTCTAACAATTATGTGCTCCAACATTGTGCTCATCAAGCACCTCCGATTCCTGTTAATACCTATACTAGAATGAATACTTAGTAAGCGCTTGCAAGTCTGAGTAACGAGCTAGCAAATAACCGTAGTTCCAGAAATGCACTGCACGAGTGATAAACATAAAACCAAAATATTACTAACTAACATTCTTTCTTAGCATTAGTTATGCTATGAGGTTAATAGGATGAGAAAAATTAAAATACATACCTGCAATAACCATGGGCGACTGAACTGCTTGTTGCAGAACTGGCATTTGTAATTGAGTTTATGCGTCAGAAGGTGCATTGAAAGAGCGGGCATGCTGACATAGACCTTTCCACATGTCTGGCATTTTTTCGCCCCACCACTATCCAGACTCCGGTGCGTCTGCTTATGCCGCGATAGATTGCTACTTGTTGCATAGCTTTTACCGCATTCCGTGCAGGTGTACCTGGCCCCTGTGTTGTCGCTGTGCAGGGCCGGTGATCTATCTTCATGATCAGCGCTGCGTCGTTTCTTCCGTGACCGTCCATCCACAATCTTCAGGGAATCAACGTCAAAATCAGAGTGCTTGCCACGGGCCACCGCTGGCTCTCCGTTGTGCTTGCTTTCGCGGATGCGTTTGATAGATTTCGCTTCGGCATTTCCGCTCTTGGCCGCACCGTGAGACGAACGTGATTGATCGCGCTTTTTAGACTTCGAAGTGCTTTTCAGATTTTCGTCAGGTGAGTATGGTGGACTCGGCAATGCTACAAAGAACACGCTTATGTTAGAGTTAGACTAGATAAATGTTGTTACCCATTCATAAATAACTGCTTTCATAATATCGCAATAATGTACGAGTATGTCAGTAGTTCGATAAAGTAAAACCGTTATTCTGTTTTCCAGAGAACGTTCCTGATCAAACTTAATCAAACTTTTGTTAAAGTATTAGAAGTATTTCACATAGCAATACAATAATTAAAATTCAAGGGAGTACCAGTCCAGTCACATAGTCAAAACTCGAAAGGTAAAACGAAATTTTTCCATCATTCATCACCGAAATGTAACGATCGCGATATTATTACAAACTAAAGCCGAGTATGTATATAACACAGGGCCACTAATACTATTCGGCGCATATATAACTTGGAGAAAAAATAACACAAATAAGTATAGTAGATATGACAGTTATGAAATCTTTCCATCAGTATTCTTGTTTTAATTACGACGCTAACGGACGAATCACACCAACAGATTTTGGAGTAATGGTGACATACAATTTCAAACAATTTAAAGACAAAGTAGCCAAATAATAATTATTGACACATGCTTCTGTTCTACAGTTTTAAAACCGTAGGATGCATTGGTGACATTTAGCGTTGTACATAGATGAATGTTGCGGCAGGCTACATTGATATGTGATTGGACAAGATATCGCTTGTTGCCGCTGTTGGATCAATTAAATTTTAAAATGTTATGTTTTTGTGCGTGTAGAGCACAAATAGTAGTATGAAATAAGTTTCGGCGTACTCAGAATTATTGCTTCGATATGTACAAGTCGAATTACAGAGTACTTTCGTTCGACTTGCGGCAATCGAATCACCTTTATTCTATGCACTAAATGAGCTTCTAGCGATCTAGCTCCAACGATGAATATTCAAACTAATGAGCTTCCGAATTTATCGGATTACAAAAATTAATTAAAATGAAAAAGAGTAAAGGTGAAAATGGACTGTACACCTGAGCGCTATTAGTACTTACTCATAAGCAAATCTATCTACAGACTGTATATATTACAATTCGCACGAATGAACTTTAGAAAAGCACCATTAATCCACTGCCATACTCTGTGCATACACTTGCAAATGGATGTTGCTACGTTTTTACCTGTTGCCGTGCTAATGATAGTTCTGAGCGTAGTATTATCAGCGGAATTATGCCGATTGCTGCCCGTGGAGGCTACGGCATGTGGAAGGCACTTATTGTCATGGATCAGTGTTGACCTAGCCGCATTGCTAACTATCGTATCGGGACTGACGATGCTGCTGCTGGTTGATGCCGCCGCGGCTGCACCATCCGGATGATTTCGGGTTACAGGAGGAACACATTGATTTTGCCGACTAGATGGGCTGGTTGATGAAAGCGATTTTGTGGAATTGACAAATAATTCAAATGCTGACGATGAGGCGTGCTGCTGGAGAGCTGCTGCGGATTGCAGCGGTAATAGCTGCGATGTAGAACAGCCATCTGTTGATTTCTCAACACTATCGCACCCAGAAGACAATGCTGATCCACAATTTGTCTGGCTTCTCGCCTTCTCGGCGGCTCGCCTGACGATCCAGTAGCTTTTTTTCACCAGGAACGCTTTAGGCATGGTAAAAATACTTTAACAGTGCGAAGGTCACGGAAAGAAGAAACCGGGTATATATATTGTCACACCAGTAACGTGTTGCACATTTTGGTATTGCGGCACAGAAAAGAGATTCTTAATCGAACAACTGACGATAAGTCGTAGTAAATCCGCCAAACACTACCAGCATCCGAATTGATTTAATCCTGTTTTCCATATCGAACGGCAGCGCCATGTAATGTGGGTATGTTTCTCCTTTGCCGCAGAATGATATTTAGGATGCACTTTTCGAACACACATACACATGCGCACAGTAACACACAAGCTGCAGTTTCGAGATTGAACTCAGCGCGGCGACGATCGGCGCTGATGCCGAAGCATTCATCTGATGAATGTTGATATATATTCAGTCCAGACGATCACACCACAATCTTCCCCGTTTCCTAGTGTGCCGAAATGGGGAAGAGTGTTGTTGCGTTGTGGGGGAAAGCGGAGTGTGCTGCCTGCTGCATGGAGATTGTATCATTCATTGTGCGCTGTAAATGACAATCCGCGTATATGCTATGCACGGCTATACACGCCCGCACCAACAGGCGCAATCCCGTTTCGAAACAGGCGGAGCTTTATCGATCCTGCTGCATGTAGTGCGTATTGCTTAGTAGTAAGTAGTATTCTCTGGTTGTTATGTTCGAAATGCAAAGCGTGCACTCTCAGTCCCGTATTGAGGATGCAGCAAGCATCAGCTTGCCGATCGACGGCGCAACAGCTGTCAAAACCTGGATATTGCGGCAACAATCACGCAAGTGAAATCCATTTTGCTATGCTGTTAAGTCAAAAATACGTACACACGACAAATCTGCACGGCATCAATATTAATGTATATCGCTGCAAGAAATATCGACATGATCAAGAACAAAAAGACACCATTCCTTTAAGGTCATCGCGGTCGGCTTGTGATTAAATTACCAAGGAAGTCTCTTGATATCGTACCGTAAGCGGCAACATTCAAAATAACAATACTTAACTGCAAGTTGGCTGTTTTTTTGCGTTTAAATATATTAAAAATTTGATAATAGTAACAGTGAATTATTCAGTTAATTAGGTAATGCTAGTAGGTAATGGTATCAATTAGGTAATGCTAGTAGTCTCACAAGTCGCAAAAGATAATAATTATAAGGTTATTATTATTATTTTTGAATATGCTCGTTAGCGTTATTACGAATGTATGTACTACAAAAATATGAGTATGGAACGGCAAACACGAAAGGGACATGTTGCACTGTGCAAAATGTTTATGGTTGCAGTTCACTTGACTGCTGTACGGTACCAATTTTTTAGCGGAACGATTTGATTTCACTTCGGTTTGATAAGGTCGATATATCTATCTACCGCTGTTGCATTGGCCGCTGTATAGAATAACGACATCTTCCTATGAAACAGGGAATGAAATTCAATAAGAGCACTCAGAAAATCCTTTTGACGCTGTAGATCCAAATAAACCATGAGATATTCACAATGACCGTAATCACTTCAATTTCCTGTTCATTTGTCATATTCCTGGCTAACAAAAGATAAAAAAGCCAGTTGTTCAGTCGGACTTCGAAAGCAAAAGGGGTTTGTTTTTCTCATCTCGTGTGTCAACTGCACAGCAATTTTTTCCATATACTGTTTCCTCAAAATTGACTGGAGATTTATTTGTGTATGGAATACATGCACGAGATATACGATGACGATGATATAACATTTGATGTCCGTGGTAAAAATGATTTCTCATTCTGCATATTTCAAAAAAGCCTTTGCCGTGCTAGCACAGCAGAGCACAGCAGTAAGAAATTTAAATTTCTGTAAAATCATTAAAAACATATCCTTAACTGAAAACATAATTTTAGATTATGGGACCAAACTAACAGTTGAATACCTAGAAAAATACCGCAAATTGAAGTCGTGCACCCAATAACGGAAGTTTTTCAGCGTGGCGGTTCTTTTCTTGAAAGCAGATGATTCTTTCCTTGATAGTACGGAAGGGAAAGCACGGTCTAATACAGTGATATTCAGATTTAATACGAGTACGGTACCAGATCGCTACAGCTAATTAATATTAATTTTATAATGAAGTAAAGCTTTATTCAGCCTGCGCACTGTTGACAGCGTCACTTAAATACATGTTTATAATAGTGATTAGTGGACAACTTACAGTTGCACCTTTTCTCATAGCCGGTGGCCAAATCCTCAGCAAACTAAATTTTTATTGGACTAACTCATGCCCGCTGTGCAACAGTTAATACTCGTACTATAATTTTTGGATGCATTGTTTCGCAGCTTTGGGTTTCACCCAAATCGAGAGTTCTTAATTATTTTAAAAAAATCATGTACAGTTTTTCGTATGCCGGTTAGTTGGTTAGCTGTGTCGTGTCATACCATTTTTGTACAGTATTTATTGTTTTATTCACAGTAATAAGTAAAACAATTTTTAATTAGTACTACTAGTACTCGTAGTACTCGAGTACTACTTTTAAGACTGTACCGTAGTAAGCTTTGAAGTAAGGCTACCTAATACTATTGTAAAACCATCGACCTGTGAGTAGCGAAGGAACGTTTTTTAGCGAAAATTGAAAACTGTGCTGTATTTAACGGGATTTGCATTAATTTTATTGATGCTGAACATTTAACCGTTGCGTAGCAACGGGACTTTACTAAATGCGATCTTTTTGTTATAATTATAGCCATTGTCACAGATTGCGAAATCGGCACTGAACACTTAATATTATTATTTAAAAATTAATGTTAACATTTAAAATTATTTTAAAATGTTAACATGTTAAAAAATGTTGAAAAGCAGTACGCGTACTTACACTTGAACTTCCTTTTTCCAAAACCTTTGTCGAAAAAAAGTGCTTATGTAGAATTTAGCAGTAGTAAACTAGTAATCAGAATTCGTAGACCTTTTTTACCTTATGGAACTTTTTTTATTATACAGGTAAAACAGTAAAGATTACACAGATCTTTCCAGTTTTTGCATATGCTTGCCGTTATTCTAATGATAACCGACAGCGATTTCCGCAGTGCAAAGGTAGTCGGGCATCCGCTACGAGTAGGTTATTAATTCAGTTAGGATGCTACTTGTGATTAATTATTAGTTTAGTGATTAATTTTTATAGCACAGTTTTGAGTCTTTTAGTTAGTGTAACTGATACTTTGTACTTTTGAAGTGCTAACGTGCTCCTAATTAGAGCAAGTATTATCATATCCGTTTTTTGAGTACTCGGAAAGGGTTGCCGCTGTGAGTGCTTGTGTTATGTGTACAACAAATTTTGGTACACGCATATACTTGTTTCGGCTGTCCCTTCATAATTATCATAAAAAATGCTTTTAAGGAAATTTTTAGACAGTAAATCACTGCTGAAGTTGCTGGTATGCGTTTGACAGGCAATATCGGCGACTGCGAGTGAAAAAATTGTAGCGAATAAACACGAGACATTCGTATCGACCATGCAAACCGATGCGCGTATGGCCTTTTTATAATTGTTATTGCTCAAATAAAGATCAACAAATTTAATTAGGCACTTTGTTTTGATTTCCTTTTAACTACTACAACGGACAGTATGTGTACTATAATAAGCGGCATTTTAACTGAATCTATTTTTTGCATTCTCAGAATCAGTTTAACACTTTAAATGCAGGCGTAGCCAGGATGCGGTAAAACAAAGCTTAATTAATACTTACTCGTATATGCCGTACGAATGTTTTACAAAGCTCTCCACTAAGAATGCACAATACTCATGTTCTTGTCCCTTTGTTCCTTTTTCAGCATCAGGCCGATTTATGACCTCGCTTACCCGGCATAGACTGTAGAATAATTAGTGCTACCATCTGATTCGCTTTAAAATGAAGGTGGCTCATAAAAGCCTATTACTGAGTTTTGAACTTCAACATCTGTCGTGAGCTTTTGTCTACTTCAAACTCACAATCCGATAAATTAATGTTAGGCTTTTCTGGTACAATTAAAAATGCAAGTTTTGCCTACGTTTATTAATTTGCGAATCATAAGTGCAGTCCATTTAATATAGACATATATAATTTTTACTATTTCTTATTTTTTATACAGCCACAAAGATGGTGTACAACCATTTAAATATCTGCGGAAGGAGTATGTTTAACGGAAATGACAAAATGGTGATAAAATACAATTATACCGGTCATATGGCCGCAAATCTCGCTGCATATCGGTATACAGTATGCGCTAGTTAAACTATCCAGTAATTCCCGTTTATACCTAGCTGTTGTAATTCAGCATTTAAATTTTAATGATTAGCGCAACAATAATGGCACGTGCCGGTCAGGTGTACTGCTTGCTCCAGATTTGACGCTCGCTGTCGTATGCATAGTTTTATCTGGGCTCTATAGCTGCTGCGCATGCCGATTGATAATAACACCTTTCAATGGATGACCTTAGCAATGACCGGATAATAAGGATTGCGCTATTGACGACAATCAACAGAAGATCAAGGCAGCAGTAATAATGGCTAATTATTATGTCATCTGCCGTTAGAAAGGATGAGATTCATGCTTTACGTAATCAGACATTGACCTGTGCAACATGTCGATTGTTGCGCCAGACCGTAAAAACTTCGTGAGGTGTGCTACCAAAACATCTGTTGGTATATTACCGTTATTTAATTCTACGGTGTCCAGGACACCGTGTCCTTATTGTTAGCCAGTGTGAATTATCTACTCGCACTCGTACGAGTATATATAAAAATTAAAAATTGGATAATTGCAGATACAGTCATAGTATTATTTATTGTACAACAGCTAGATATATGTTTTTCACTTGGCTTTAAAAGTGTCAAATGCATTACAGTGGTCTATGTGGCAGCACTGCTGTTAAAATAAGCACATGTACGTCCAATTGTCCATTCGTAATTCGAGCACAAAAGTTTAAGTGAATAAGCGATACACTTGCAGAAAATGCAAAAAAATGGAATTTAAAATAAGGTGTATAGCCCCTAACAGCCCCCTTTGTTATAGCCCTTTTTATAACCCCTAGAAAGCAGCCCTCTTGTTTATAGCCACGCTTTGCTGCACCCCCTTAATTACGGTGCTTTTTATAGATATCTAAATCGTTTTAAAGCGCCATTTTTGCAATTATGTAAGTGCATTTTTAGCAATGCGATAGTATTATGATGATACAGTGGAGCTTGTAAATTAACAATACGTTGAAACTTTGAATATCTGTACAGATACTCTTGTGCGTGTTAGATAGGATTACCGTGATCGTTGAGGTTCAGAATGCACTTCCTCGTATTAACCAAAAATGAAAAAAAGAACCAGTATCTAGCGACCATTATAATTCTACAGTAAGTGCGCTCACTAAAATCCTAAGGAGCAACGACAAAGATACGAGTATCTGCCCCAACATTTCACTGGAGGGTTCCACTGGAGGATGCGGTATCGCCAACCGAGCTACTACAGAAAATTCTGTTTAAAGTGCTAAGCGAAATTCGCGTTGAAGACCCGAACTTTTATTTGCATCATAACTCGCCCGACTAAAAAGGTCACGAAAATCACCATAATTACCGCGAAATGTAAAAAAGTTCATTATAGAAATCGTATTACAGAAAAAGTTTTTAGAAGATAAAAATTTAAGTGGGTGTCTATAAAAACCAGAATTTTTATATTGTGGTGCCTATAAAAAACGGTGTGACTATAAAAAACCGGGTTGGAAACGGGTGACTACGAGCACAGTGATTTCTTTAAAAATATGTAATACTGAAAAATAAATTAAAGAAAAATCACTTTATATGAATGCTTGTACAATACCATTAATATGCCCGATAATTAAGCCGCCAGTTATACTTGTACAAAGTTAAGCGCTACCACTTGTGATCCTGATCATGAAACATATTACGGAAAGCGCAGCTATCTAATTATATTGCGCCACATGATGCAACTTCTGGTGTCTTTTTAAGAACCATCTGTTGCTTGACAATGCATCGTAATCCTGTCGGTCATTCGAGGTCAACTTATTGTCAGCTGCATTCAGTCCCCAGAATTTGTCATCAACTTAATTATGCGCAATCAATGCAGCTTGCGTAATTGTGATTTTGCAGGTCATGGACACCAAGACCACGTAGGTCGTAACTTATTTCTGCCCTGTTGCACTTGTAGGCTCAAAAATAACTGTTACATTTACATTTGAAACAGTTATTAATAGTACTCGTATACTGGAGCTTAAAATTTTTTACTGCTAAAATTAATGTCGTATCGATTTTTCGAGACTGGAATGTAAATTTCGTATCGAGACTGGAATGTAAATTTCCATTGTTTGTTAACTGCTAGCTCCACTACTGAGAGAAATTGCAGCATTTGATTTTTTACAAAGGTTAAAGTACTTTTATGTTACCAGCCAACGATTGTTGCTAAGTTTTACGCTGAAAAGCCAGATCTAAGGATTTTGCCTTTGTTCTGTGCTCGGCACAGGGAAGCAGCAGCAGTAATTTCACAGAAAATCAGTGTGCAATATTATACAATGCACCTCAGCAGTTGCTTACTTTAATACACATGTACAGTATTCGTGCAGATATTTATTTGGTAACTGAAAACTGACGTTGTATTCTTTAACTTACAGTACTAAATTCTGCGAGGTATGCAGATGCTCACCGCTGCAATTTGAGCGAAAAGCGAAATTAACGAAACGAAATAAACAGAAAAGACAACCTTAGCTGTATTATTTAGTCCACGCTGTTAGAAAATTTTTAACGCATCCGACGATCATAAAAATGTACAAAGAAACAACACCAAACTACGATCCCACCAAGTTGCAGCATTTGACAATACTTGGACCTACTAAGCACCGGCACAATGGTATACCCATCTGCGCTCTGCACTGATGAAATGGAATCCACTCAACCTACAAGAAACACAGCGTAAAATAATTAGGATTACGTATACAAGTACGTACATCTCTTCAATTCTGTAAACTAAAATATCGTATTAAGCTATTAGCGATAGAGTCACAAAAAAAGCTTTTTGGAAGGGATCAAGAGTACACGTTTCAAGTAAATATGGTAATTATATATATTTGTAGTAGTATACACACATATTTTGTAGTCCACACATAACCAACCGACACACGGCACTAGGCTGATGATCATAGCACGTCCGGTTTAATTTTAAAAGTTAGGAGTATGATTGATTTCTCTTACATCCCGACTGCATTCCATAGAACCACAAAACATTCTAGCCCATTTTGGACAATGGGCAGGTTCTACCGTGGTTGCACCAGCACCCGCACCTGCTCCGGTGACAACAGGTTCAGCGCCTGGAGGCGGCATCGCTGCAGCCGCTGCTAAGGCGTTCAGTCCAAGCGGCATACCCGGCATGCCGCTTCCGGCGGCTCCTATCATAGAGCGCATCATCATGCTTGGAGGAATCCCCATGCCCATCATAGATCCCATACCGAAAGCTATAATATATAGGCGAATGCGATATTTATCATATCAGTTTTCATTTGTTTTCTTTTTGCTAGTCAGCTGCATGTGATCAGGCCTTGTTACTGTTACAGAATATTTACTTAAAATTACGGCAATAATAAATTAGTTTCTGCAACAGCAGATCTTGCTTTCGCTGCTCGACACAGAATCAATACAATAAGTACGCATCCACCGTAAAAAGATAGTGTCTTTTGCCTTAGTTGATATTCTTCTCATGGTTATTTTTAATTGAAGATTATTCCGTATATTTATTCAATATTACGTAGTACATACGGTTCATATTGGGACTGCCGAAGCCGGCATGGAAGGCGGCTGATCGTGGTGACCCCGAGCCTTCACCTGTTGTAGCGCCGTTTGTCTGGCGACCTTCCATCAGATTCATGAAAGGCAGCATTCCAGCCATAGCTCCCAATCCTCCAAAGCCCATTCCGCTCATGCCCATACCTCCTCCTCCACCCATACCGCCCATACCTCCCATTGATCCCATTCCGGCGCCGCCTCCCATACCCCCCATGCCTGGAAAAACGCTGAAGGTTAATCTATACTGAAGTATGCAATAACAGTACACAACAGTTTGTGGAGTTTAGTAGAAACCTATGTTACTGCATCGCCTTTCTACCAGTTTTCTTTACGCTCCGCACAACCATCTTACGACTTACCACGTAGCTGGTTCATCAAAAACATATTTTCGAAATTCCTTTCCATTGTTTCCCGCATTGCTTCCATGCTAAACCCAGCGGAAGACGGTCCTGGCGGTAATTTGTAAAGTTAATGTAAACGATTCAGCTTTTGATCGTCTCACGATCTAGTAGAAATTAATAAATAAAGAACATAAAAAAATGCCTAACTGCACAAGTAAATTCAGATTACAAAAGCATTCTGATGGGTCAGCAAAAAATTTAAGAGGCCAAGTCATGCAATAACTGAATATCCTTGTAATGTGATAAATAACGAAATCTTCTGTGTGATTGCGCATTTTTAAGTGAATGCAAGCCATACCTCCAGCATTAAAAATAATGTCCACTTGTGATGCGGGATTTGAATGTAGTCCAGTGATATTTGTAGTCAAATTTGTTTTGGATGGATCTCCATTTTGTGTATTCGGTACCGATAAGTCTACTATCATTGGTATCCGAGTAGTAGATCCCGAGGGAAACACCTCTGCCGACAGTTGTTCTGCAGCAGGTGCCACCGTTGCGACGCAAATATAAGGCATCACAACAATCAGTAAACAACATGCCATATACGATTTATCTCCCATCGCAGCGCTAGCGGTGACCTTTCGGAAAATAAGGCCAGCCTACGTTTGGCAGGATTAGGCAGCACGATACAGTTGAGTCTTCAATTTTGCTAAATTAATTGAAAACTAATGAAATCTTGAGATGTATATGTGCAACTCCATAAAATTGTAAGTAATTGATTCTAAATCAAACTCAACGCTAAGTTTTACCCAGAACAACCGAGGAATGGCACAAACAGTAAGCATACGTTGTATCCGCTGCAACGCGCCTAAAGTGACTGACCACTGGATTTGCCGCTGGTACCACTGTATTGTTGCTTTCAGAATCCGTTGCGTACACGCACCGGAAATTGGATACGATTCTACCTGATCCTAAATACGGTACTTCTGGACGGCAGAGAACCTGTTCGGTCAATAGGAGTGGATCATTTTGAAATGCACTGTCCGATGTGCGTACGATTCCCTGTTTCACAATACAATATAATGGATCAAATCGGTGTTGGATAAGTAATTAATACCCGTTATATAGTAACCGTACTTCAGGTTGAATGGACATGTAGATGTGGGCAAGCTCGACATTCAACTTTGGCATGGATGCTGTGGACAATTTCCGAGCTACGTACGTACAGTGGTGAGAGAGTAAAAGAGCTCCGTAAGGTTTGCGCTTTCAAGTTTTATGGGGATCAGATATCCCATCACACATTTTATTATATACGATTGCTAATGCCGCCTGTGATTTTGTTAAGCGCGGTGCGAACACCGACAGGCTATCCAATGTCACTACTGCTTTGATGATACTTCAAGAAAAAAAGACAGTGACCTTTCCAGCACAATGCTGTGATGTAAGACTCTTGAATGAACTTTGCAAATCCAGAGAAATCAATTTTTGCGAGCTGTTTACATGTTAGTGCGTTGCTGGCGTACACGACGTAATGGCAAACGAAAAATATGCAGATAGCCGTTTAAAATTAAAACATTCCAGATGTATTTTATCTGAAGCTGCTCGATTTTTGCTGGGAAAAACGGTCTTCAGTGATAGTTATCACTCAGATTTTGGAAAACTCTGTGAACTTTTACTTAACCACACCAATGTACTTTGCAGAGCTATAATGTTTGCGCGCCAAACTGATACAAATAGGTAGAAATTGGTACGGAAATAAGACGTCCTATACTGAAGCTAGTATGTGTTGATAAGCGAAATAATGAAATACGAAATACCAACAGAGAATGAAATGAGAAAATATTAGGTATACTCGTACTGCACTACAATATTAATTGTGGCAGGCTATATTAATTATAGCTTTCTGTGAAGGACAATAGTTGCCAACTTGCAGGCATTGCGCATGCCACTTATATTGTAAAAGTAATAAAGATATACCGCGTCTATAGTCGTATACCGCGCATTATGCGAATAAAGATACGATCCCAATTGCAATAGAATTTGAGCAGTTTATATGTTACAATAACAAATAGCAAAAAACGTTTTCCTGCATACTTGTACATTTGCTCTATTAACAGAGCAACAACAAATCCGCTTAAAGTTGGCAAAGCAGTTTGATACGTAGTTAGTGCACCCGGCGGTACAGGTCTGTATGGTGCTATTATGATTTAAACTTGACTGGGCGTTAAAGCCGTTTTAATTGCATACTCATAACGCTAAAAGCAACAATAAAAAGCACCAAAACAATGTTATCGTTATAGGCAGCGGATCCAAATCAAGCGAAAAGGAAAAACGGTCTACGATCAAATCCTTGCGACTGGTATAGGCAAGCAAGCCTGCGTAGATACCACGCATATACTCATATATCCAGAAATAATCTTTACACACGTAAAGCATTCCAGTTTTAATTTCGAGAAAAATCTCTTATTGTAAACCCTGCACGCGTGCGTGCAATCCGATCTCGAAAATATAGATAGCATGCATGGATTCTCGGTCTCAGCTTTTTTTTTATTATGCTTTTTAGACAGCTTTAATAGCTAATGGAGCTGCGTTATTCCAAAATTTTAAAGCTGTTTGCAGTTACGGGAAGAAATGTTCTGGTTTAAGAGCGAAATCAGATTTTTCGATGCATGCCCGTTTGAATTAATAACCGGTTCACTAGTCATATAATATTCGGAGCGTACGAAGTTGTAAAGATGCGCGGTTCATCGACGGGCTGGCAAGTCGATAGCCTGCTAGGGTGTTTCCGGCAACATTTACATTGACTCGTCCTGTTTGAATGAGCTGAGGGATGACCAGTCTTTGGTGACCGGTATTCCGGACACCTGGATGATTGAGCGTTCTGGGAGAGGAAATCATAGATGCTGGCTTGGAAGCTAATACAGGTTTGTGCATTAGAGCGGCGGGTCGGCGGTTTGTCCGCTGTCTACTCGGTGCGACCATCAAAGGTGCCATTTTGGAGCGAAGTAACGATTTCGTCAGCTTCTTGAACTTATCATCTAAAAACGTTACACAATAAGCATTACGCATGTGACTGTTTAATAAGTATTTTACAAACCCAGGTCGTCCAATATTATTATCATTGAGATCACCACAATTTTATGTATGGTATAACTAAATATTAGTTATCACGCACGTCGGTAAACCGAGTAGTGTCGCAATAACAGATAACAATATTAAAAACAAGTGCCAACCCGTATTACCGTACCATTAACACTTACAGCAATGAAAAAAATTCTTAAGAACAAAAGAAAAATGAGACTTTAGAATGCCACACAATTGCTGGTTATTGATTAGGATACAGACGAAAACAACAAGAGGACTCGCCACGACCGAATGCCGACAAACGATGATAAACCAGAACCATTAATAAAGGATGCGCGCCCATAATGAACTAAAAAACACTCATCCACAAAGTATCGATCAACTAAGCCCGTTGTCGCAGCACTTTACCGTGCCGGTGCGGATACCGAATATGATAGCCATATTTCTATATGACGCTACGCACAACATCTCTATACGGTGATACGGTATAAAAAAAGACCAACCATTAAGAATGGTAATGGTATCTCTTTTAATTTTGTATTACCGTCTTTGTCGTCATCGTCATCATCATCGTCGATGTCTTGTTTACGTTTATCATCCCCATCGTCTTCGTCAAATTCGTCGTTCCAGTCATCGTCGTCCAAATAAGGATTGCGATTGCCAAAAAAAGTTTGAAATATTGGTGTACCTGCAGTTTTGTGGTACTGTAGTTAGCAACGTACTGTAAATCCAACATTTTCACGTTATTATAGCGCTAACAAGTAAGCGCTATCCTTACTATGTACCTTTTATTATGCTTTCCCATCTTGATCGTAAAAAGTGTCTTATGAGAATGGTTTAATTTTTTACCGATTGTATCCAACAAAACATCGCTGACTCCAGTGGCTACACCGTTTACATCCCTGTGCATGTGCATCTGCGGTGCATGCAAATTTGATCCGACATTAATTGGTGTTCCGACCATAACGTCGTGGTCTGGTAGTCTAGGGATTGCTTCCCATGGATCTAATTTAGTCCAAGCAAGTAGTAAGTGGTTTTCAATGTTTGGTACTAGTGTCATTGTCCAATGCGCCCATGCAGTCAAAAACAGTACGATGCAAAAAAAAACTAATGACTCAATGCACTGCACCAAAAATACGTAGCATTTGAGACAATTGAAAGTGCATTCATTTACGGTTCCGCCTGTATGTAAAAATATTTGGCTACTTATTCCTTGCCGTCAGTAATTAACTGCAATACATACGTAACTCGCTGACTTTCAATTTTCTGATAACTTAAGTGGACCTTCGAAAAATTTTTTACCGGAAATCCATTAAATTTAGCCACTGCTGCGAAAAAAAAGAGTTCAGAATTTAAAAAGGAAAAATATTATTAGTTACAAAGGAAAAACAGCACTAACATGCAACTGGATTAACATGTATGTACCCGTATATGCACACGTATTTCATAACTTAATTGACAAACATAAAATTGTGGAGAGTTGTTTCGAATGGTCCCAAGAACTTAAGAAGTAGTTAACGATAAGGATATGTACCTGTAACCGTGCAAATAAGCACTTTTCTTTTTACCTTACCGAGATGCGGGGCAACAAAATTTTCCAGTATTTTCTGGTCGGCACTGTTGATTAGATCTTGTACGACCGGAATGACGGAGTGCTCATTAGTTAGCTGAATGGCAGAAGTGGACAAGTGGTCGGATAGATAAGACGGTGGTTCGACATAAATTACGGGCACATCGATGCTCATCTGCTTTGACTTTTTTGCATCCGTTGCTTCTTTATTTGCAGCGCAGACACATCGTAAAATTAGTGCTAAATACGAAAACAAGCATTTTCTTCTGAATCAAGCGTTTTACACAAAAGCTTGTTTATTGGAATTGATATCGACGTAATCTACTGTACATAGATTACGTCCAGCAGATGGTAGAATTATTAAACTTACCTGTTATAATTACAGAGTGTCCCACATATATCTTATGCGAATTCATTATCTGCAGCTCTGTAACCCATTGGCAAGATGCTGATCAACATGTGCAAAGTAATTGATAATACCGGTGCATGGCTGACTGTAGAAATATCGTTCGATAATATCCACATTATAATAGTTCTTTATACGCGCTCAGGTAAACCATCGGGAGATACATGTTGCATAATTATATAGATAACCACGCCGCACCATTAACAAAATTACTTAGTTAATCTTGTATTCGATTCGTTTATAAGCAGCAAAACATTTGCGGCTCAACGATCCAGTCAGGAAACGCCGCCACGTAGTCTTATATACAATATTATTATGAAAAAATTCTCAGTTGTAGTCGTTATGCGGCTAATGTTGCACAGTAACAAGGTAAACAAGAAAATCAATATTGTGGTGACCGTCGGCTAAAACAATTGCGGATTACCTGTGCACCTGACCACCCACTCTTCCAAGGTCGAGCTCGAGACTGCTCGTCTGACTTGTGAGTGTCAGCCGTAATATATCGCCACATTAGTGCATCGCGGGTATTGGACTCACGTATCTCCTTCGAGAACGAACTTACTGGGTTCCTAAGGCCCACGTCATTCTCAAGGGTAAGATGTGACCTTTTGTACTGGATTCCATTTCAGCCTTATTCCACTTCCACCGCTCCGCAGCATCAGGGTCCGCCCGTCAGTCAACGGCGAGTAAGTATTAATGCAATTGTCGAAAGTTGTGCGGACTGTTATAATGCTGGATACTACTGACCACGGGTCCATCACGTGTGTCGCTCGATCGCGATGTACATGTTGTACAACACACCAGCTATCATTATGTGTCATCAGCTCCAAGAAAGCCCGCATTAGTTCTAAAGAAAACATTAAAATTAAAACAGCCTGTTAACATAGCAATTAGATTACATGTTTTTTGTACCGTAACTGGCCACAAATTAACGTAACGATAACGAAAATATATATCTGAATTTTGAGGTAGCTTTAAAACAAAAACATGTTTCACAGTGAGTGTTGTATTACATCGTAAATATTTACGAATAATTTACAAAAAAAAGCGAATATTTAAATTTTTCTTTGAAAATAGACAAAAACGGCTTCGCGAAAATGTACGTGGGTAGAAATATTGCACGTACATGCGTAAAAAAATCGTCTACGCGCAAGCGGATGTTATAAAAACAAGTTTATCGTACTTAAGAAAATTTGAAAAAACGTTGTCGGTGATCCATAGACCATATTATACAATATGTATACAATGTGACCTCAAAGACGGTATCCCGGTTCTACGGCCAGCAATTTTTTGACGTGCTTTAGACATCGTCGGAGCACAACACGCCGTCTTTAGAACGGCATGTTTCAGTATACTTATGGAGCCCCTTTTTATGTACATTTTCACGTCTAAAATACATGGTCTACGTAACTATATTATGGCTTTTTGAAACTCAAAAAAAAACCATCCAAAGGACATCTTTTGGATGAAGTAGACATGGGCGCTTTTTTCTCGAATAGAACCGGGTATAAATCATTAGTGTACGAATTAGTTACATTGTTATTAACTTATTTTGTTATAACGTATATGCAGTAAAATAACGGATTTACAGTTTTCAAAAGTAAACGGAAGATGATGAAAGTATCCCAAGAGTCCTACGGTATAGCTATCAATTTATGAAAACCCTACGAAAATACCTCATACATACCTGTACGGCCGTACCACGGTATGTCAGCTGTACGGCCGTACCACGGTATGTCAGGGTATGTCAGTATCTATAGAAGTACTTCTACAATATTCTACAAGTACAGGTAAATATTGTGCAGATATACCTACAGATACTACGAGTATAAAGTCAATTTTAATTGTCGGCTTTCCTGTAGATTAATGGTCGTCAGATTAAAAGCTCGATAATTTTTACCGCCCTCATTATCCTGGCATCTGTATATCCAGTAGCGTCGCACTTGCTCGTATTTTGCGACCTGAGGCAGATATGAGACCAAGAAGTCCATTTTGTGATCAGATATTAGCAGTAGATACCTTAGAAAGACAATTCCGGGAACACTGTTTTGAAACTAAGCTTTTCTTTGGAGTCACACAACTGACACAATACACAAATTCGCACACCTTCCAGTATCCATACCGTTTCATTTCGGTTCCGTAAAACAGTATAATATAAATGCAACACCTTTGACTTCCACTGCAGCTGTCAAAATAATTAAGAAACCTACTAAAAACACAGACACAAACAAGTGACACTAGGAGCCGAATACCGAAATAAAGCGCTGATCAATAACCGCGGGGCCACATGATGACAACAACTGACTATTTTCAACAATCACAACAGCAACATTCAAAACGCATAGCGAAATTCGGGGTATCAATCTGTCGGCAATTTAAAAGCTTAATACTAGAAGAACAAACAGGAAGCCCAGAGTGATGGAGAAGGACCAAGCAACATTGGCGCCAGTATTGCATTCGTCCGTTAAGCAGTTGTAGACATCGCTTTTGCTGGCTGCGACACCGCGATAATCATTAGGCCTGGTAGAATTCAATCCTTCAAATCCACAAGTTCGGACAACTGACAAAACAGCGTAGCCGTTGTTTTCCTTTTTGGTGGTCACTAGAAGAACAAAAAGTTTGAATCAAGTAAAGTCACAAAATATTCAACGAAATTAATTACAGCGTACATCAAATAGAACTAAATTTTTGAAATTTTAAGCTCGAAAACATTTCCGAAAGATCCAGCACGTCATACGTGACAACAACTAAATTTCGCTTTTCCGTGACCAACATTCATTCAATCAAATTCTGGCCATATTTCACAACACAACAATTATGTACCAATGCACTCTTGTAAAGCCAAATGGCACTTACCGCTTTGCTTTAATTTGCGACAAACGTGAAATTTTTGAGGGGGCACTGGACACGGTTCGGCAGGATAATTCCGCTGTATATCGGAAGAACTGGCAGGAGCACTGTTATTGTACACAATATAACCACCCCGGCCATTACACCACTGATCACAGTCCACCGAAGGAAGCGCAGCAGGATCAAACTTGGGATCGTCTCCACACTTAGGATTAGTCACGCTATCGCAAACAAAACATTTCAGACCGTCCACCCCGTTGCCTACAACAAAGGGAATAAATCTTACAATTCCAATATGTTTATCAGTTTATGCGAAAGAAACTTAAAAACCTAATGAAGCCATAATGTTAATGATCGAAATCTTAGCTTGTCTCTCCTGTCAAACCATCAACCAATAATTCGGATTCAGCAAAAATATTCCGAATTGTGGAACAGAAGTCAGACACTTATCAATTATCATAACTCATCATTTAAAACTTCTTACACACCTCAAAAGTGCCTTTCTCATTAAACAAGTATAAGCTGTACTCGTATAACTAAAAGCAACAACGTTCCAATGATAATGCTACAACAATATTTTCAAGCTTCAATAATGTCAACAATGAAACAGTAAACAGTAACAAACTTAACAATTTGTGCCTCCCAGTGTAGCACCTTACTACAAGTTTTGTATATTTTTTCCTAACTACGGACATAACTTTAAATCTAGTTATTTCAGAAGGAAAAAACTGAAAATTAAAATATTATACAGTAGAAAAAAAAATGCTGCAAGCTGAACATTAATTGCCCACAGGATAGAAGATGTGAAGTAAAAATTAGAAGATGCGAAGTAGACAGTAATTAACGTATTCACGAAATTATTAAAATAGGCTTCGTGAAAAAAAAACAATAAAACAAATTAAATAAACAAGAAACAAATTAATACATTGCACTATTGTGACATTGTCCGTAAACAAATTAATTATTTTAATACGGTGCATTACTGTCCGTTAACAGATTATACACATTCTCTTGTCACACAATTTCATACCTGTAATGCAAAAAAGTAGTGCAAAGGATGAAAGGATAAAAACGTAGGAGATCTCCATCTCAGATGCACGAAACTGTAAGGATAAATACAAAGGGAGGACTCCTAAAAAAGTGGTGGTCCAAATACAAGAAGAACCCAAAGCATGCGCCTCTCTGTTCAAAGCAAATCTGTCGGCTAGGGCTTGAGACTTTACTTAGAACAGTCGTCAGAAGGCAGCATGGAACCTACGCGAAATGTACAGCACGGTACGCTGGAACTTGGAAGTGTGTGGTAATAAGTACTATGATACCGCTCCAAGCGGATTTATCAAATGAAGCAATAAAAGGGGAAATAAGATAAAACTGCAAACGGTAGGGATTCGCAATAAAAGTAGTCTTCACGATTTCGTAATCAACTCACCACTTTTATTAAACCTGATCTAAACGTAATAAAACCCTTGCATGTACTGTACCTTTAGTTTTGTACTGTATATCTATATCGTATAGATTAACCAGTATTAAAGTACTTCAGTATTTATTTTGCCACAGTACTCGTACAGTCGTACTGCTTGCACCACTATCGGTGGATTTTCCACAAGCTCTACTAGGCGCCATCCATAAATTACGTCACGCGAAAATTGAACATTTTTGATACCCCCCTCCCCCTGTGTCACTTATGCTAACAAATCGAGATCCCCTCCCCTGAGCGTTACGTAACAAAATTAGAACCCCTCCATGATGGCTCCATCGATATAGCATGTTGACGTCATAATCGTAACAAATTTTTAAAGCCCCCCTCCCCCTTGTAACAACCAGTAACGCTTTCAGGATCTCCCCCTCCCCCTGCTTGCGTGACGTAATTTATGGATGGCGCCCTACGCCTACAAAATAAGTACGAGTACTTGATAGCACTACTAGTACTACATGGTATTAAAGGCCCAGTTCTGGACCCCATTACGTACCGCTGTGCGATTGTACGAGAAAATAACTTTAAAAGAATAGTCAATTTTAGTGTTTTAGTGTTTTCTCGATAATAAGAGTACCATCAGCTTTTCAAACGGAATAATATGTATAACAATTGCACAGATTCATAGTCTGTTACAGAGTCAGCCCTAAGTCGGCTGTCCGTGGGGATCTCAGCGAAGAGGGCGGTTCCGTGAGGCATTCGCAAAAATGGCGATGGAGCGGAATCGAACCGCTGGCTACCGAGTGAGATCCACGTAGCACAGCCACTGTGCCATCGCCGCTGTTGGCGAAGATCAAGATATTTGTGCTTGAGCTTGAGTCAACCAGGTAGGCGGCGGTATGGGCGGCTGTCGTGGGCACAGAGTAGTCTACTCTAATAAGTCTCTTTTAATAACAATCATTTGTTAATTTTGTGTACTATTAAGCAATAACAGCATTAATATAGATATTTATATGTATCACCGGTACTTCTGATAAATTCTATACATCACAAAATTGATTCTTACTTATAATTAACAGTTCAAAATTAATGACAATACAGTAATAATAAGTGTTCAAGTACTATGCTTAAATTAGCACTATTATTTATGGTACGAGTACAGACTACAGATAAAGCGCTGTTAATCCACGTTGTACTGTGTTCTAATTATAAGTCGATCTGGGACTTTTTACGTACAATAACTTTGGTTTTTGATGCGGGTACGCGACTCTTTACAATTTACAGTTATGATAAACTGCTGAAACTGGCATACTGCTGGCTCTGAAGAAGTCATGTTTGAGAATACTAGGATAATACATCTGTATAATTATTTTACTTAAAACACAACTCAAGGTAGGCAATGCAGGTCGCTCGCACTAAGTGCGAGCGACCTGCGAGTCTTATTTGTTATCTTTGCTGTGGTACATATCAGCGCCGAACAATCCAAAATTTCAATTTTACAAATTCGTTTTCTAATAACTGGCATAAGTTAATTGTAAGCAACGAAAGATGCAGAGGTAACTGTCGCTATATTGCGAGCGTATCACAAAGCAACATGGGTATTGTTAACGATCATACAAACAATAAAGGTTGTGTGTACGGTACGAAGCCGGAAATGACCGATCCAGGTGCCAGCTGAGCAGACGGCGGTGGACTGGAAGCACCGAAGGTGGCCATCCAGTCCGGTGTAACACATTTGGCTTCCTTTTCCCACCACAGTTGCAAATCAGCATAGGATTTCTGAATTCGAGGTTCAGCATGGAGCAAGGCGCAAAGTTTGCACAACGATACTGTCTCAGGGCTGAGGAAAGGGGCTAATTTCATTTGTTCCGGTTGGAAGCGCCATTTAAAATGACGCAAATATGCATTCTTATTTTGCGCAAGGTGCATCAAATACTCAGCCAGAATTTTCGGTGATCCAAAATTTAAGGCATCGATGACGGAATTGGGAGGAAAAATTGTCGAATAATTGGCACCGCCCATTACCACTGGAACTGCACCGGCATCGAAGGCTCGAATGATTTTTTCGCTTATGTAGTCTTTGCAGATACTGGAAAAGCGAGATTCTTGCAGTTATTTTATTTGGGCATTAACTGGCTTGTGCGGTAAATGTACAGATGCATTGTGTAAAGTGTATGACATAACACAAACTTTTCTTAAGTGTGTAAAGTGGAAGGATTATTGATCAGCTAAAAGTTAATTTTAAGATTGGAAAGTTTAATCGAAATTTATGATAGTACTTGTTACCTATAACAATGACAGAAAAATTACTGCGGATACACTATGTGTGCAAATGTAAATCATTAAATGTATGTATAGATATGTAAATGTTAATGGTAGCATGTAAATGTAAATGCACAATCAAAGTTTCGGATTAATTTCGACGTCAACTAAAAAACGCTCTCTGATCCAATCAAATCGTCAGAATACAACAAAAGATCTAATTGTAAACGATTCAGTTATGCACTAATGGTAAGCACCACTGTAAACTAGTACTTACTATTTTACACTACCTTAGACACAGCACTGTGAACTATGTAGTACTATTTTACGATACCTTTTACACTACCCAGACTTGGCCCATCTTTTGGGTGAGGTGAAAATTTTTCCCATTTTTCCCAGCCCATCTCACCTTTTAGGTGAAAATGAGGATGAGGTGGGAAAGAGCCGCAGATGAGGTGAGATGGGCTGGGATTGTTGAAAGATGGGATTGGATCCAGAAAACAAATAAAAATAAAAAATGTTGATATTTTCATCTGTTTTTCAGGCTAGGAGCATGTAAAAATGCACCATTCGAGCTCCAAAAACCAAAAATTTCCGCGCTCCGCGCGGATTTTATCAATAAGTAAAAATATTTTCTTGGGAACCAAAATTTGTTTTCGCCCGGCAACTCTATGGTATGCGGAAAAACTTGCGAAATTAACGGCGCTGAGCCTGTAAAAAATGGGGATGAAAATGAGGTTCAAAAGGTGAGATGGGCTGAAAATTTGAGTAGCCGGAGGTGGGCTGGGCTGGGAATTAAACTGTAATTTTTATGGGAACACTGGCGTAATGCGTGACGAATGTGCGCCAGAACCGGATAGGGAAGCTGATTGCATCGCTGTCATCCGCTTTTTCTTCTGGTTGGGTGCACCGGCGCGCACCCAACCAGAAGAAAAAGCACCCTGCTGTTCACCCTACAAGGTGGGGGTGGGGTGAAAGTGGGAAAAGCGAAAATGGGCCAAGTCTGCTACCTACCTATTTTACACACCTATTTTACACTAGTAGTATCAACAATTATCCACAAGAAAAACTCCCTTACCTGTTCTCAAACGCAAAATAGAATTTGTACTGCTTTATCAAGGCATCACAGTCTTTCTGTGTGCTTCTTGGACACTGTATGTCGCCGCAAGCCCCGTACACATCCACAGGCATATGCTCCTTCAGCATCGCAATATATTTCTCCCTTTGACTAGGCGCACCGCAGTTCGACATAAAGATAGCCGACACTTTTCTTTTAATTGCCCATAAATCATCAAATTCACCGGGACGGGTCCAAAGTACTGGACGAAAGTACTGGAGGTAATTATCCGCAATGATATCGGAGTCGAAGCGATAGGTAAACGTCAAATTAAAAAAACCCGGTGGACCGACGGCGCTGGCATGATGAGGTGATTCCAATACTGCAACACATATTGCGGACACCGGAACTCAGAAATGGGAACTATCTCTGTTCGCTTCTCTCTACCTCGGCACTTATGAACGTAAACCTGAGATCTTCTATAGATATTCGTTTAAAGCTTTTTGCTGTGTTCAGGCGTACAAACAATACACTCAGCCACACAGACAAGGACTAAAAAGCAGTTAACGAGATGCAGCAACAATGGCAAACATGGTTAAGATTAAACAATCTATCTGTACTGAAGTGATTAAACAAATAAAAAACGCAACACACAAATATGATTAAACAGTTCAGTTATATAATTAGCTAGTTAGTTGAAACGTAAAAGTTTAGACTTACCAAAATATATGTAATACTGATGCGGCTGTCGTGACACTGGGAGATCAAGATTATCAAAATCGATGGGATGAAATATCAGAGCATCGCTAATGTTCACATCTTCGCGGTCGTCCGACAGAACACAGTTGTTTATAGGACAATCCTTCAGTTTCAGCCCTTCTTCTCCCATGAAAGAGTTTGGTCCACCAAAAAATTTTGTCCAGAATAAAATTATTTTTGGATATTCTTCGGTCATCAAATCGACTTCCGTGTTAACTGCTGGTGTCCCCGCCGTTGACGGGTGACCGATGTCGTCCAAAGTACCGGCATTACCGTTGGCAGACGATCCAGGAGTGGTCAGTTTATTTTCGACCGGAAGTTCATTGCTTTTCCCACTTCCATTCCCTGCATGGCGATCGGATCGGAAAGTCAGCACAGCAAATATCATATATGCTGCAAGACATCCTCCAAAAATTGCCGGAGAAATACGGGATATTTTGGCTAATAACATTTCCGCCATCCATGGTTACTTGAAATCAAACTACGTGAGAAAGTTACTGTATTGTGAAAAAACGGTGTCCGATGCACTCTTATAAGTGAACCGAATTCCGCTCGTTCCATTACAATCAAAAACGCGCAAATATTTCGACTAGAACAAAGTTGGACAGGCGTCTGTGTCGACGTTCACACATAAAATGTAAACTTCGGAACGCTCCAGAATTACATCAATTACTCGTACCTACATCAGTAGCGTACAAAATTACCAGGAATTTATTAGATTAACAAATGAACGTCTTGTAAATATACCGTTTAAACTTTGAGCAAAGCATTAACTTCTACTGTACCATTTCGGCGACGGCAGAACGAAGAATGTGCTTCAATGGTTGTTGATGCCTTTTCTAAAGATTCTGCCGCTTAAGCAGTTTTTTGCTACAATATGCCAAGGTAGACGACGGCAGTTATACAACACACAATCCGTGGCAATTTTTGAGTGTAGTCGAGTCGAACTTGTACCGTTACACCCGCGGCGCTGGCATATAATAACATTGATAATAAGGCCACCGACCTTTTCATACAAAACAAAAAGAATCCGAATTTCAATAGCGACAACTCACAGTATTGTTTGCCGCTAACCTGTTAGAATCTCGATGGACAATGAAAATATTATTAAACTACAATACAGTGTCCAGTCGTACTGTCGTAGTTCAAATAAGTAATCTGTACAGGCAGTCTGATGACACCGACAAGTGTAGAATGGTCATGATGATTTAGAGTGCGACAAAAATTTCGATGCCAACTTACTAATTACAAATATTACAAATTGCACTACGAGTATAAACGACAGCCATCCAAATGCGATTTCTGAACAATGTTTTAGAAACCACAGCACACAGACGTTCTTTTGCGTAACTACTGTAGGTACGAACAGATCACGGACATAAGCTGCGACATTACCGGGCACAGCCGTAAAAGTGCGAGTACAGATACAGTTTTAGTTTACGGGGCTAACAACTTAGCAAACTTTATGATTTCCCAACAATAATGCACCATAACAATGACTAAAATACGCTTTTTCCAGGACTATTTGCACTGCAACAGAGCTTCTACACAATATCACAAGAAAAATTCCGTTTATTACACATAAAAAATGATAAAACTGAGAACTACACAAAATGTTGATCGCTGTATGGTTTAAGCGAAAGCACAAACAAATCAGAGCCGATATGGCAGACGCAGAACACCTTACAGCACGACAAAACACTCGTGAGTCAAAACATACATCGGATTATTCGGACGGCAATTTCAACTTCGACTGCGACGTTTTGCAAAACCCAAACTCAGATTGCAAAACCCATCACCACATACACAAAATGCAGACAAACCAATAAAATCTTTTATCCGAAAGCCCAAATTCAGCACCATTTATTTCACAAACTTTTTCAAAAGCATATGCTACCGCATATACTGCAATGGTAGACAGCGGGTACATCGTTGTTCCTAACCCTTTAGCTGGCCCCTTCTGTAGTGTTTCTTTTTTCCTCTGCTTTGACTTTTTTGGTCACCGGTCCGGAGCTGTCAACAACATCGCTGGCAGCAGCGGTTCTACCGCCGAACATAAGGCTTCCGACGGCCGCTCCCAATAATCCCGCAACTGCGACCATCCCGATACTTATCAATTGCACCACACGCCTCACCTATCCAAAAGTAAAAACAGTCAACACTGAACTTGAATAAAAAATTTTGAAAAGATCAGTATAAAATAGGTTTGAAAACAAACTAGTCTGAAACAAAATGTGCTTGTATTACGAAAAGCACGCAAGCAAGATCCCTAATACCACAAATACCTTACTTAATAATTAACTGCTATCAGAAAATTCTGAAAGCTTCGCACGGACAAAAGCAACACAAGCAATAAGAAATTATTTTTAAGCTTTCAAAATGAAATTAAGCAGATATAACACAAATGCGCTGCAGAGACCAGTTTGCGCACTCCGTACCTGGGAACTGGTCCCGCCTGCATGCACCACAACTGGGACAACTTCGGGTTCTTCGTTGGTTTTTCCGTCCTGCTTGTATTTTAAACTAGTGGCAAAATGCTCACAGTTGGAGGAAACTAGGGAATAGTCAACCTCTTGATCCTTAAAATGTCGCACAAGGGTAAAGATTTCTTGTGGTGTTCGAGCTAGCCGGTTTGGTTTCCGCGTCGCCACGTTGTTCACCCGAAATTTATCTCGACCTGCAAGTAGCCATGCTCAAAACAAACTTTCTGCGGTCAGAAATTTCACATATCGACGATGTCGGACCTCATAATCACTACTATAATATAATCAAATCATGTACGAAGCTAAACACCGACCAATGCTGTGCCAGGTGGCAGCAGATTTGAGATTATATATCACTGACTGCAGAATTGAATGTATCGTTATGGGCAATAATCCGGTATTATTAAAAACAGAAAACAAAAATTTCGCTATGCTTCATTATAGCAATAAACAATATTTAAAACTGCGTGCAAAGCCACCGTTTTCGAGGCACACAAGAAAGCGACCAGTTTGCTTTGATTGTTTCATCTGCATAGTTTCATTTCCATACCTGCTATCCGACAGATGTCTTCCACTTTAATGAACCACTTGGTCCGGTCTTCCATACCGAAACCCAAATCCAACGGCGAATGCTCGATAGTAATTTCTCCACACTGGACGCACGGCACCGGATGGGCGTTCTCCTGCACCGGAGCATTGTTGGCCGGGTTGGAAGCGTCCGGTCCTCCCACGGGCAACTGCACCAATTCCACCATTTCATCGGCCTTGGCACCAGGCAGAGTGCTAATTCCTGTCATCGCGTCCACTGTCGCACGACTGGATGCCTGCGATATGCCGCTCAGCCGTTCCGTTAAGGCTGCAGACGGATTCCACAAATCGAAAGAGGACACGTGCACCACTAGACCTTCTCCCAAATATAGTCCCCAATGCTGGAACAGTTTCCCTTCGCGATAAAACTCCACCAAATCACCGATCCGGAATTGTTCCTGGCTTTTGGTCCACAGTTCCGGAGATACCCAGTCGGAAATAGTTTTCTCACGATCTGTAACTAACATAGTGGAGAACTGGCAAGGTATATATGGAATGTACAAGAGAACAGAGATAATACTTCCACGTTATTAAGTAGAAGTATCATCAAGTATGCATTCTGAAAGCATCGATAGTCACGGACCTTCTTGTACGCTCAGTGCCTTTTGGCTATCGGACGAGGATCCCATTCTGGGATATAAAGAGTTTAAAAGCCTTAAAAGCACGCGATAAAGCAAAGCTGCTAAACGACTTTTGGAAAACTGCAGAAACACGGACTAGATCGAACAAAGACTCACTTAAAACACGTACTTTCTATAAATTTTATAAACTCCTGCTGGCGTTCTGATATAATATTTCCCTGAAAATATTTTGCTTTTACCACCAGAACCACATCGTCTTACTGCAGCTCCAACGTAGCCGTCTCTTTACCACGTAGCCGCCAGCCGTAGAGCAGGCTACAACGCAATTTTCCACACGTCAGCCGCGCGTGGGCAATGGGCATACCGAGTCGGCGGATTTATCGCTGATTTCGTCGTAAGGACTTCCGGTTGTTGCTGGCATTCTTTTTTCGAGATTTTTTGGATGCTATCTTTTAAACCGTTAAACGTTAGGCATACTTTTATATTACATAAAACACAAAATTTTAGGTTGATGCAATTTATTCGGTTTAATTTGCGGCTGATTCCATAAGCGCTATCCTTCAAAAGAAATTTCTGGAACGACAAACCTCTATGCAATCAGTTGCAGTTTTTCCCTCAGTCCCTCAATCATCATATTCTTCGTCAGTATTCAGTAATAATATCGTAATAGTTTATTCTTTCAACACGACACTCTCGTACTTGCTGTAGTACTTACGTACATCTGTAACAACAACAGTGAACAATCATTCAATAGCACTAACAAAATAACAATATAGAAAAGGTAAAAAAATGTAAAAATACAAAACGAATTGTAGAAAACCGTATGGATAAACAATTTTTCAATTTATATCACCGAAAAAGCAATCAATACCACAAAAACCAGTATGGATGCCATGTGAATTCGCTTCACATCCATTTTCTTTTCAATCCCCAAGGTTTAGGCGAAGATTTCACTTTTTTCGGTTGGACTGGGACGGTTCCGTTGAGAACTGCTGTATCAACAAATTCTATGTGGCACTGGAAATCCAAAACACATGGCGCATGTTCCAGTTCGAATATTTCCACGACATTAACCCCTTGTTTCAGAATCGCTCCGGGAACATACAGAGTTATCTGCAAAACTGATATTTCAGCCCTGTGTCGGTGTCTTAATTTTCCCAGACACCACAAAACACCTGACCAAGATCGCGATACATGAAGTAACAATATTCATAAACGATTACAAAAGTTCGAAGCAGTTCCTTGTACTGCAAATTGCCATGACACGCAAAATATTTCCGAGCGCAAACATTCATCTTTCTGATCACTAAAGAAATGAAAATAACCGCTTAGCGATACCTGAGGTCCTTGTACCGGCCAATATCGGCCCAGATTGAAACCATTGACGAATGCGTAGCCCTAGAAAGTTAGAAACACAACAATTTTAAACATCGATCAGCAAGCAAAAGAAGTTCCATTACATTGGTCCACCCGTCCATATTCAGAAATGTATCGAGTATCTGGTCAACCAAGAAAGATCCAGAGTAAAATCCGGAAATGCGAGTGTGCGACTTCGAATACAATTCCTTTTGCTCAAAACCAAGCGGAACAAGTTCTGACGATGGATAATTGGGCAAATCCAACGGAAACATTTCCCAATCAGTCAAGACAGTTTTGTCAATCGTAACGTTGCCCAAAATTCCTTTCATATCGTTGATTCCAGTTCCGTAACATATTCGCCCTAATCATAGATCATAATCCAGTTACATCAAAGCATTCAACAAACAAATAAAACACGTACTGTATTACAGTATTTTACGAAGATACCGACATTTTCACAATATATAAGCAGCAACCACAGAGAGAGTGGGTCAGTCAGCTTTTTAAAATTTCCACAGAAAAGTTTTCAGTTCTTATTTCATCTCTGAACTTACCAAACATTTTGTGATGTACTTTCGTTGTTTATTAAAGTTTGTTAAAGCAGATACTGTTTGATCCCGTTATTAGCCAGACATGTACAACAAGTACGGCACGATTAGGAAGAGTGTACCCAGCCAGCGAAAAAAGCGTAACGAAAACTTGGATCAAAATTTGAAATGAAACTTTATTCTAAGATTACAAAAAATGTGGCAAAACAATTATCCCACGCGTGTCAATATCGCGCTTGATAACTAAACCAAATAGCTAACGCTGCTAACCTTCGTTATGTACTAGAATATCTAAAGTTTGGCCAGGTTGAACGTAAATCGCGATCGTAAAAATATTTGCTGAGCGGCTCAGAATTCCAACAGGTTTCTAAAATGCAAAGCATTCGTCAGTTCAAACTGATTTAAACATGATGTCACATGACACAGGCCACTGCACAGCAAAATTACATGTATGCATTATTTATTTAAAGCTGGCGGCGATAAGAACCTAAGTCTCACCTGATCCACAAAAACAATAGCGCGGTCCGCCAGATTGGGAACATTTAAAATAGCTGGATCTCTGTGTCGCTCTTTCACAACTGTCCGATATAACACAAAACCGTATCCATGCTCCAACAGTTCAAACGACAAAGGAGTGGGCGAAACAACTGGTCCATCGGGGCACAACTGCTTCAGATTGTCGAAAACTGTGCCCGCAAAACTCATCTGAACTTTGCCATAAGCTGCTTTTGGAGATGGTTGCGGGACTGGACCGGGTGGTAACGGCGAATACTGCAAAACATTAAAAATTATTAACAGTAAGAATTTGTCAGACAACAACTCATGGGATGGTGCATTAAAACGTGTTTTCGGAAGTATCGGCTCTTATGGAAAGTATACTGTACTTTTCACATCGATGTAGCCGTATCTCTACTATTTTATGGTAAAAAATACTTAAGACTTTCTTTCTTTGAAATTGTTATAAAACTTCTTATGTCTTTCACGCACTTTGCCAACAAGCTGACGGAATTGGTAATATTTATCCCGGGGGTCACCGGCTTCGCTCAGGGGCGCATCGAAATCATAGCTTGTGGTCACCGGTTGGAATTCGCTTCCCATATTAGATCCAACCGAAAAACCGAAATTCGAGCCGCCTCGAATGGGATAAACATTAAAGGATGCGTTCATTTGTAACATCTGCTCAGCGGTCGCAAGCACTGGAAATGTTTCAAAAATTGATAGTTGAACACTCAAAAAAGAAAACTAAAGGACCGTTATACCATCGGCTGTGCTGACTGTGTTCCATGCTTCGCCCCAATGGTCAATCCAGCCAGGATAAAACTCACTATTAACAAGCGGTCCATCTATATTGAACTTTCTCAATTCCGCAAACTCGTTAGTGGCATTATCGCCAGCTCCAAAATCGCATGTCGTCAAAGTGCCGTCTACCCGTCCACATGATAACATGTAATCCAGTGGTCCGTCCGTGGTATACAGCACGATATTTGGGCCCATTATCTCCAAAACCAACTTTTTCAAAAAGTTCTGATATACCTTGTCGCACGCAGGGTAGCTTCCATACTCATTCTCGATCTAAAAACAGTCACAGAACCTAGCCAGGCATGCGTACAATACGTATGAACACGATAATATGTTCCATAACTGGTTGTTACTGATCTGTAGCATTCAAGCACAAAAAGCCAGCCGGCATGCAAAAAGATTTTACTACAAAAAGAGAGCAACCAAATACAACAATTTCCAGTAAAAATAGTTAAGTAACAGCAAACTCTAGATGAGAAACGCAATGCTGCAAAAACTGAAAAACAAATAAAATAGTGATAGCACTAATTAAAAGAAATTTGTCGGCTCACTTGTAAGCCTTACGTATTCCGCTCAGCTGCTTTTACCTGAACGGTAATGATTGGGCCTCCATTGGCATAAGTGAGATCTTTCAACATCGGGAGCACTTTCCGATACCAACGCTCCACATACTGCAAGTATGATGGATCACTGGTTCGTAACTTCATGGTGGAATTAAATCTCAACAGCCAGTAAGGGAGGCCACCCTGTAGAGCAAAAGAAATGCGATACATAAATCATAATTAACATCATACAAGAAATTACAAGTAAAATACACGTATAATTTTTGCATACCATATCAACTTCAGCGTCTATGAAGGGCCCGGGTCGGAGCACAACTAAAAGTCCGTACTTTTGTGCTAACTGGAAATATTTACGAATGTCCAGTCCACCGTCAAAAGTGTATTGCAGCGGTTCTGGTTCGTGAAGATTCCAATTTATATATCTAAAACACCGGTTAGCCACATTCTGTGAAACGCATAATTGTGGCAACGCGAATTTCATACACAATCAACATGCGAAAAATGCCGAAAGATACCTAGACAAAAAATTCTAAGTATCCAAATTCAAAATACAACTTCTGTCTTTGAAACTACATGCAAATGCATTTGACAAAAAAACCTTAAATGTCGATTTGTAGCATAGTCACAGTCTCAAGTTCATTTCATAAATTAAATGTGGACAGCGTGCACTCTTATTATTAGTTACAAGAGTAAACTTGAATTCTAGACTTCGAAATACTTTAAAATTTGATGCTTACGTTGATAAAGTGTTAAGTCCAGCCGCTCGCATTTTATTAAACGTGTCTTCCCAGTATTGCGGCAGCTGTCTCCAGTAATGTATGGTCCCTGCAACATCAGGCAATATTTATAGCAGTATACTCCGACTCGTACTGTAAAGAGATCCGAAGTGTGTACTAGAAATGCGTTAAACATTGCCATACCCGAAATGTAACGAAATGGCTGTCCGTCTTTGAGAAAAACTCCTTTGCCCACAGTAAACGATCTGTCCGCGTCGACCTAAGCAAATGGACAATCAACGAACATCGAATGCAGCAAACAGAAGACGGTTGCAGCATTCCTGTAATCCTGTTTACCATCATGCAGGCCATCAGGAGAATTCCACAACCAAGAAACCACCGCATTTTTGAGCCGCGATGAATCCAAGAACTGCCAGCGACAGATTCGCAGCTACCAAATTACAAGCTAATCACTAGAGCGAATTGCGAAGGAGTAAATCAAAATGTAAAAACGACAACAAATGCATCCGTTGGTAGCACGAAACAAAGTTTAACAAACACATCGCTTTTGCTTACTCCGAGTCAAAGTTTTGCAGCACAGACTATCTGCTCTTTAGCTGCAATATTTGCAATAATAACATAAGTGCGATACTTTGTAAGTTATTGACCATACTTCTATACTAAATATACAAACATCTAATCTCCAAAAGGATTTTGTAAAGAGATAGAGTGACATAAATAGTTCTATAACACTGGATAAAATAATACTGATAGACGAATGATTTCGAGCAAACTGCAAATCAGCAAACTTCCAATCAAAGTGTCAATGAACTATGATAAAGCCACCTACCAGCATATGCTTACAAATGCATTACTTATTTAATTTCCGCTGGTTCAAAGATAAAAAAGCCACGTAAACAAGTTATGCTTTGAAGATAGGTGTATTAGTACTAATTGAAATTGTTATAGTAGTATTAATAATTTCTGCACTGTTTGATTTTACAATGGACACAATACTGCTTATTGTGGTTTTTAAATCTAGATCTGTCACTATTGCTAGTACGAGTATACCGGGGCAATGGTATGCCGGTACTCGTACCGGAAATTGCAAAAACTCGATTTATACCAGGGCGTTAAAATAAAAAATGCATATCACGCTAAATTACTTGTCGCAGTAAATGAATTAAACTCGATTTAGCAGCGGAATTCTTTATACGAAAGCGTACTTTTCAAACTTAAGCAAAACTTAAGCAAAATATTGGATATCTGGAAATATTCATGCATTAGCTCTTTTAGCGGAAGCGTATTCCAATAGTATTCCAATAGACCTAATCATAATTTGTGCCTTGCATTGCTTCTTTTCAAGTGCCACAACTCGTGGCAAGTAGTGGTGGTAGCTTTTAGAATGTGCGACCATATTCAAACTGAATATTTAAGTAAAACTTTGTACTAGAGCAGAGTACCCAACAATCGTGTGTACGTGACAACAGGCCCGTCGAAGGAATGTTGTGACCGCGTCGAAGGAAATTACGAGAGCAACGTTAAAGGAAGTGTATTAATTATCCTCGTATACTTATTCAAAACAGTAGGGACCGTAGTACCCTACGAATTTAACTCGATGAGTAACGCATATTACAGAAGACCAAATGTCTGACTTTCTGTGGCTACTTCAATAATTCTTCTACAACTGCCATGAGGAGCAATAATTAGTGAAGCATAAAAAAACGAACTTTCATGTTTATTACATAAAATACGCTACAGTTAATTTGAGAATATTGCTCAAATATACCATACTCCCGAACCCAATGCAGGTCTTTACTGATACTACGTCTCTACGTGAATTAAGAGCTGATCTTGTCAAACACACAATAATCTAACATAAAGAACCGTCAGCGATAAGTTGCAAAAATGTCGTCGATCACAATCTGGCTTAATCTTTTCTTCTTAAAACCAATTTCCTTCTACGAAAATTCGGCACTGTTCCGTTTAAAATTGGGGCAGTGACAAAATTGACGGCACAGGTGCCACTTCCTTCGCTGCAAGGTGCTCCGTCCAACTCGAAAATATCCAGAGTATTTTTTGCATTCGCATTGAGGTATACCCCAGGCACATATAACGTTATCTAAGAAAGAAGTTCAGAAGGCCGCTGCACAAATGTTGTGTATACCGGTTTGCATGAGAACTTCAAGCGTACATTTTTGACGCGAAATGATATGTCAAATTATGTTTTTGTACCTGAGGACCCTGGACTGGCCAGTACCGGCCAAGATTTCGTCCGTTTATAAATGCGTAACCCTGAAGTACAACACGATGAAACATGACTGTTTCGCCGCATGCGCTGTGTAACGTAACCAAAGCTCGGAATGCCCAAATTACTTCAAAGGTGACTTACACTACGCCAACCGGTCATGTCCAGAAATGTGTCTTTGGCTTCGTCGATCACAAAATGTGTACTGAAAAAACTCGGCAGTGTAAAACCCCCGTCATGCCTCGGCAAGCGGACTTCACTGTCGTCTTTCAGCTTTAAAGACTTTGGAGATGTGACTGGAAATGAAGGTAATTGCAAAGGAAACATTTTCCAGGGGGTCAGGATGTGACCATCCAGAGTAGCATTGCCAATGATGCCCTTTCGCTCGTAATTCATGGATGGTCCAACGCATACCCGCCCTTCGTTGTGCACTAAAATATCCAACACGGAGCCCGGGCGTAAGGTGATCGGTAGGAAATTAATATTAATACTGCGACTCATTACACCGACTGGATTCTACGATTGAAAAAAAACAAGTATCCTACTGCTAATCAAAATGATATATGTAGACGGTAAACTGATTGTCGAAGTCATAAAGCATACTTTGTCTATAAATATTATGGCGCGATCGTGTAATTCATTAATTAAAAGCAGCGCTGGATCACGGAAGGCTGAAGTTATGGTTGTTCTGTAGAGAACAAAGCCGTATGGCTGCCGGAGATCTTCGAATGCCAGTGGCAAAGCGGCGCTAACCGGTCCATTCGGCACCAAATATTCCAGATTATGGTAAAGTGACCCTTTGTATTCCATTTGAAGTTTGCCGTACGCTGCCTTTTCTCGCGGCGGCGGAATTGGTCCAGGTGGGTCTGGCATATACTGCGATCGTCAAAATAACAACGTGGAATTTTGTGTGCACAAAATTTAAGAATCAAAACATCTGACTGACCTTTGCCAGCAGCTGGCGTATAGCCTGAAAAGATCAATATTTATATTAACATGGCTATGCAAGGAACGAGAATAATCTATACAAAACTTATTACTTAGTCATTACTGACCATAAATTTTTCGCTGCCCGCATCACCGGCTTCGGAAATCGGGGCATCGTAGTCATAGGATGTTGTTATGGGCTGAAAATTGAAATCTTGTGCGTTCGCTCCAGCCGAGAAACCAAAGTTGGTTCCACCATAGAACATGTATACGTTGAATGAAGCGTTCATCAACAGCATTTCTTCCATTGTCTTGACAACTTTTTTGTAATCCACGTATGCAAATGGTTCCGCCCAGTGGTCTAACCAACCGGGATAATATTCACTATTAACTAGAGGGCCGTCAATATTGTATAACCGTTCGATACGGAACGCATCGTTGACGTCCGATCCGGCTCCAAAATCCACCGTTGCCAGAGCACCGTCGATTTGCCCATTCTTGACTGTCCAGTCAAGATTGTTGTCTGTGGTGAATAAAACAATGTCCGGGCCTAAGAAAGTTTGTGTCCAATTTTTTAGAGCCTGCTTGTACTTGGCGTCATTAATCCCAGTGGCCCCGTATTCGTTTTCAATCTGTATGACAATACACTGCAGGATATTTGAAATGTTATCTATATCTGAATTAAATAATAATTTGAAAAATCTAATGATGGTAATCGCGTTTGAACTTACTTGAGCGGAAATGATAGGACCTCCATTTGCATAAGTCATGCTACGTAACATTGGAAGAACTACGCTATACCAACGCTGGACAAATTTCATATACGTCGGGTCACTGGATCGTAACTGCATGCCAGGGTTTTCCCGCAACAGCCAGTACGGAAATCCGCCCTAGACATTAATAGACTTTAATTTATTTCATTTGAGTGGGTGACCGTAAGCTTTAAAATCAATGAAGCAAGGACGGCTAATTACCATATCAACCTCGGCATCGATGAACGGTCCAGGGCGTAAAATTACCAAAAGATTCTGCTTTTGTGCCAACTTGACAAATCTCAGTATATCCAGCTGACCACTAAAGCGGTATTCGCCGGGTTCCGGCTCGTGCAGTGCCCAGTTCAGATAGCTACAAAACTTTCCGTAATTTCGTATTAGCCATGCACTGACAACAAGGATATTGAATATGAACAGTAATTTTTTTCCGAATCCATCGATTTTCAGTTACCTACGTCTGAATAGCGTTTAATCCAGCAGCTCTCATAGTGAGAAAAGTTTGCTCCCAATATTCCTGTGGCTGTCGCCTGGGAAAATGTCAATTATTAATGTTGTTTATTCTTATTGTCTTCAGATGCTCATTTTTTATTCGAAATTGTCCCCCACAAAATTCCAAAGCATGCTGCAATATGCTTTAGCATACTGCAATATACTTACCAATAATGGAAGCTTCCTAAAATGTAATAAAAAAGTCGTAATTATACGATATTTTTATTTTCAAGAGTGTAGCGATATATGTTTTGCTTGCTTTACGATCAGCTGCAATTATTATTAGATTTACCTGAAGCGTAACGAAATGGTTGCCCATCTTTTAAAAAGCAGTACTTGCCAACCACGAAAGACCGATTGCTTTTCGGCGTGTTCTGCAAATGAGGGAAAACCTGCCTTTTTCGTAATTTGGAATTACTGTAATACAATACTTACTACCATTAATATTTTTTTAGAAGTTCTTTGAATATTTTGCATTTGTATACAGAATGAAAATGTACTGTACAATGTCTATATGTATGTATTGTATACCTCCGCAGGATCCTCGCCATCAAATCCGGAAACTAGATCTAGAAGGTTTTGTTCGGCGGTCCGGGATGGTATTACAATCGCTTGCGAACAAGCAACAAGCGTCATTGTTGCAACGCATTTACACAAGAAAACAGTAAAAGCACCAGATTTCATTTTTGCTCAGTACTAATTCTGACAGCGTTCTATGGAGCCTGTCACCATGAGAAATATAGGATCATGCGATGGCCACAGAATAACGCATCCGTAGCAAAAGTTAAAGGAAAATATTATAAAGTACAGTAATAAAGAAAGTCAGCTAACAGCATCGGACATTAATACGTATTCATGTTCGACATAATTACAATTTGTTTACTGCATCGTACTTATAATTAGCAAAACAGTATGAAAACCATCACCTATAAAGAAGTCGATCATGCGGATAATATTATTATGTGGCATGTAAACATTGATACAACGCACTTCTGCTCGTAATTTTGTTAGATCGGCTACAATGCCAAAACAGCCAGATGTTATGCCAACAGCTGTCTGCTCCAAATCATACAACGTTGCGTAGATAAGATTTCCAGACAGTTCAATGCCCAAACAGTACTTTAACCACACATATGTATCAGAGTCGCATGAAAACCGTATTTTGATCGATGAGATCTGTGTAACAGTAGCATTCTCCTTACCCTCTTGAAAAAGGTCACGGGCAGCAGCTTGGTATTTCAACTGAGAGTAGCATTTGAGAGAGTTTGACATTGTATGACACTGACAATACGTACGTAATATGTAATCAGTAATATCACTAATATGTATTAAATGACTAATGATTAATATGTACGTTTACACCATTCGACCTAGTCGATGCAAGTGTTTTTAACTTGGTGCAAAAAAATTTTAGTAATGTGCAGAGTGCAACGTTGCAAACTGAGTCGGTGCAAACCGTTTAGCTGTTTTATGAACTTCTGGATCCCTCGCATGAAATCGTAAATAACTGCATCAGCCAGAATGAATTTTTGCAGCATTGATGTTTTAACTGCTGGAAAAGTTAACCAGATGATTTCTCAAAACAAGATTAGGCCATCACCTGTCACCACATTATTACACGACTGTGGGAAAACGCAAGCGAAAAAATGAATTATTTACAACAACAACAAAAAACAAATGTTAATCAGCAGCATTCACTGCAATGACAGCATTAGCATTTCGGCGGTTATCGTTCGTTTCCTTTGCGCTCAAAAGAACCCGTACATAATACGATTGATCCACGGAATGAACTGGGCGATGTCGGTGAAGACGTCCAGAACCAAGGACTGTGTGTCCATACCGCGGTTGGGCTGCAGCATCTTGGAGACCATGGTTCCCGTCTTGCCCGTGTCACACCGCTGCGTATTGAAACTGGACAGCAGACCCGTGAGATAGAACCGACCGCCATACCAGCAGGCCAACGGCCCACCTAATTCAATTCCCAACGTCACATTAGTTTTAAATTTTAATAGATTCTGGCCTTCTGAGCGTCGCATTAAAATTTACCTGCATCTCCCTGGCATGTAGAGAACATCTTGCCACGGGTAGTCGGTTGCGGAGCTGCACAGAAGGAGTTGTTGGGCAGAGTGTAGGTAGTCGGCACACCCTTCATGTTGCGAATGTTAGTCTCGCACATGGTGTCGTTATTGTAGATTGGAATGTACGGCATCTCCTTGATGTAGGCTTGTGGACCAGCTAGAGTGTACAGCAAACCAGCATTTAAAATTTGTAAAACAAATAAATAATTCTGCTTATCCCAACGGCAAATTTAAAGCTGGTTTTTCATGGTAGTATTTATTCATGTTCAGTAAAGGTCAAGGATACAGCTCGATGAAAGTGCGCAATACGTACTCGAGGTTCGTCGGCCCCATCCAGTTGCTACACACTGTCGCACGTCATCGCGAATCCATTGTTCGTGGTTGTCGCCCATGGAGAAGTTGCTGAAGTACATGATAAACGGCGATGGCAGGCAGATGGTGCAGATGTATTTGCCGTTGCAGGTGACCGGGGTCTGGAGTTCCATGATGGCAATGTTGTTATCCAGAGTGTCTGTGTCGTAATCCGGATGCATGTAGACATTGGCGATGTCGTAATCAACCGCGTTGGTCTCCTGAGCCTTCCGGATATCTGTCGCTCCAAATCGAATTTTGTAATCGGCAAACGTTCCCCTGTAAATGATAATTACTAATTTATTTTCACTAGAAAAATGGTCATTATGATACCGTAATGTAATGAACTTTGTAATAAGATTACACAAGTATAATTACGTGGTCTTACGTAGTGAAGTTAGCACAAGCGGCAGTGGTCAAGACATAACGTTCTCCGATGAGGGCACCACCACATCGCACGTTTCCGGTCCCCATTTTGTTCATAATCGCGGCCTGCCAGCACCATCCACGGTAATCATCTTCGTCGTCGTCATCATCATCATCGCCTTTTTTCGTTTCTGTTTCTGTACACAAAATGGTGCCGGCGATATATAAAAATTATTTGTACATACAAAGGAGCAGAAATTGCTCTGACTTAAGGGAGATATTTAAAGCACCTTTGTTCTTGTACAGGAAGTTTAAGCCGTTATTCCACATTTGCGGCGACAGCAATGTTTCGTAGTTGGGGGGAGTTTGGCTATATTGGTCACCATACGGAGAAAATGCTGGTTGCATGCCTGCAATCCAAATTTAGATTTTCTGAATAGGTATGTTATTTTGATACGTATTTGTTATTACTGGAAGCATTTGTCTGTCTACCTGTTCAACTATGCTACTCATACGCTTTTTAAATGCTAACAAAAACAGTATGGAAAGTCTCACCTAAATTCCAGCCAGTACCGGCCATTTGGTGCACAGCGGTTTTCCATGCCAATGTTTCATCGTCTCCACCTGATCGTCCAGTCGCGGTACCACTACAAGAGGAACATGATAATACATTTTTGGGTAAACAACTGATACGCGCAAATCATGGGCAGTCAAACTCTACTCTCACGGATTTGTGTAACGAACACATAATTATTAATTACCTATGGAATATTAAGATACACACTTGCCTACATATATTATAGAATATCATATTATAGAATCAGATGTTATTAATTGCATGTATATAAATGGTAGCTTACTATGAACTATTTAATGTCGAGTGTCGAACTTATAATCACTGTTATTATGTGCTTGTAGAAAAAGAATGGTAAGGCAGAACGGAATTCAAAATCACCAGAATACTTCACAGTAACTATTCGCTTACTTAAAGTTAAACATTCGACCATATTTCTGTCCACAGGTTTCGCAGCGACTGGGTTGTGGGAACAAACAGCAACGTCCACTCATCGGGCACTGAGAATCCCACCTATAAAACATTGTCAAGGTTAGGATTAGCTATCATGTTGCTGGATGTTTTCTCTCAAATAAATTGTACTGGATCCATTTACAGTCTTCGAAAAATATCATGAAATGCTGTTTTTTTAACCTACACACTAACCAGATGCTCCAGTTTGAGCTGGTGACTTGGGCAATCTGTCCACCGAATCCCAAGCACATTTGGTCTTCCGTGTCAAATCCTGGATCAGTAAACTGTCCCGTGCTGAAGGTACCGAAGGTGTTGGTGAACGTTGTCGCTGGCGTGGTCATAAACGCACCATCGGTATCGTTAAAGGGCATCAGCTCCGGCAGCATGCAGAAGCCATATTGGACGTTGCCGTTGATGGGATACGATCCGCACGTTCGTCGAGCGCAGCACACTTCACAACCTGGACCCCGGAATTCATCAGTTACTGGATGGGGAGTGGTGCCCAGGTGGACGCAGGCCTCGACCGTTGGGGCACAAATGCCATAGTAGGTATTGGTGACCTTTCCAGTTGTGCCAAACGTTGGTTGCTGTCCATTGAAAAAGGGATCGCGTGTAAATTCTTCCGTCGTGTACGTACACTGGGTGATGTTAGTCAATAATGTGCGAAAGAGTTCTGCAAACCAGTACAGAAGGTCAAATTCTGATCTGGGGAATCACGTATGTACTGCAACGTCAACATGTATTATATAATTTTAGCAGCTTGTACCAGTCAGTGTTCATAATTTTACCATTTATTTACCTTGACTGTTCGGAAGGGTCCAGTGGTAGGCCGAAGCCGAGCAAAAGAAAACAAATAAAACTGGAAAAAACATTTTGCTAACCAGAAAGTAAACTCTTAAAAAAATACCGAAGTGACTTCTTTATTTCGCTACTACTACTGAAATCGTGATTTCGCCCAACGGTTACGCAAATGGTGAAGTTTGGCCAAAAGCAAAGCGTGCACTGCTGGACTTCTCTCATCTCTGGCTGCCAACAAAAGATAAAGAGACAAGACAACCTTTCGCTAATCCATTGTTCGTGTTCTCTCTCTCAAGAATGGTCCAGTTGTCTCTACAAGTTAGGGCAAAAGAGAATCGAAAGATCTAATTTGTGTTACATAAAATGCGTAATGCTTGCGCATCGCTCTGCTGCCTGCTAGCCTTCATAATCGGTCAGTGTCCATTTTTGTCGAGCCTTTCTCTTTTCTCGTCGCGTCCAGATGTGATCCCGCACACTGATGAACAAAGAAAGCTAGGGCAACACCGGTAAATTCCATCAACGAGCAAAGTCGTGCACTCGGTACCATACGTTATTAGTGCTCACTGGATCGAAAGCAGGCAAATAAAGCCATTCCGAAGAAGGGAAGGACAAAAAAATAAAATGTGGAAGCTGCAATAAAATAGCAAGTGCCACAAAAAAATGTGACAAAATAAAAAGCATACATAGTCTATGCGTAGTAACTATGCTAAAAAGTAAACTGCTTGTAATTTTTTAATAAAAATGAAAGTTTATCAAAATTCAAAAATTCACAACGCGATCCCAAACAACAACATCACAATTAAATAAGTTTTATTACCTATTTGGTTAACATGAGCAGAAAACACCACAATTTGCCATACAGCACAGTTCTACCACCCAGTGATAATTTTACAAAGTAAATTCCAGTTCGGTGTGGCAACACAATGCTTTCCATCCAAACCCGACAGCCACATAGCCGAAATGCCATAAATAACGAAAAATTTGTACAAACATTCGGCACAGACTAGAACGCTGTCGCGGATTATTGTGACGTCCATTTCAATTCCCGGTTTTAAAATTTACTCCGCAGAAAGTGCTCGCTGTAATTCTTTGGATATATTAGGAATTTCCGTATCACTGAGGTGAATTTCGTCTTTCATCAGCCTTTTTACCGCATTCACTTTCCGCTTCAGTGAAGCCAGCTGGCTCGTCAACTGCGCCAAAGCTTCGTCCAGTTCTCTTCTCACATTCTGTCGGGCTGAAGAGTCTGATCGAAAGCGTTTCCGAGTTTCAGTATGCTTATTGCGCATCTTGTTCATGACCTTGATCGCTTTGGTGACCTTTGGGGTATTACCGGCGCTGGTCTTTTCAGCCAGTCCAACTGCGCTGAGTATCGCCATCTCTTCGTCGATGTTCTGAGGACCAATGTCCAAGGTAAAGGTCTGTGTTAGAGTTTTTGCAAACTGGCGTAGTTCCTCGGTATCGACAGTCGCAGATTCGATGATTGTCTCAAAAGCGTCTACTTTAGGCTGATCTTTGTTTTTTATACTGACCGATTGTAAAACATGTTTTGGGACACTGCTCGGAATAGGAAAGTTGATTTCATTTCGTTGCTCAGCGGACAAACTCGAAATGACTGATCTCGTTTCCACGTACAAAGTGTCCATTTTCCTCTGATTTTCCTTAAAACGTTGTAAAAAGTCCCAACAATCCGGTTCCTTGTGGTTGGAATCTGCAGACCATTCTTTTGCTGCCCGCTGCATTTCGGTCTCAGTGTTTTTCGAAACTTGTAATATAGAAACTATGGGACTAGCATTATGTGTTCCCGTCGACTGCCCACTGCTGCGCATCCTTCTCGATTCCCTATGACGTTTAGCGCCGGCTTTGTTGGGTATCGCAGGTCTTTTTGGTGTGCGTAATTGCAGTCGCGCATCGCTGCTGGTGTTCGCTGGATTATTTGATGCTTCCTCTGGCGAATACACCGGTGCGTCCGTATCAGTGTCGAAAATGTGTACCGGCAAAACTTTTCCTTCTGAAGCTATTTCTTCTGTGGCGTCGAAATGTGTCGCTCGCGCGTGGGAGGACTCCGCAGTCATCGAACTATATCAATGAAAAGAAAATTTAACTGGTAATTGCGGCAAAGGAAAACATTCAGGAACAGAAACTAAATAGACCAGTGCTTTAAGACGTACCTGTATCTACACAGTCGTACGGACTAAACTTTTTTGGGAAATACTAATAATAAATTAGTAATTTCCCTAATGATTGATCAGATATTAATATTTATTGCTTTCTCATCATATTTATTTCTTGTTATCTTTCTTGTTGTTTAATAATAATGGGATCTGCAGAGTGTATTCGTGGTCTGGACGATTAGGAGAAATATTTGCGATGTTTTAAAGTTTTTTTTTATGTAAGTGTAGTACTGTAGCCGCTAAGCTGCAGAAACGTTTGTTGCTTCCACAATATTCAGCATACTACTTACTGGCTACATTTTTTATAATTTCCCGAAGCTTTCCATGACAGTTAATAAAAATAAGTGTCGCCCAAAAAGCGCTGAATTTTTCCGTACCTGCTACTAACACCGTGCTCAATATTCTCTGCGCTCAAAATGACCGTGGATTTTTCTTTTGCACGCACGCGAAATGCCGGTACCATGTTATGTGTCGTACCGAGACTGCCAAATCCACCAACAGCCCCGGTCAGATGGTGCAGAGGATACTGAAAGCCACTTTCGGCCCCGGAGATTCCCATTGCATCCGAATGCATGGGCGCTGCATGAGCGAAGTAAGGTGCGAAGATGGACGCAGTCTCAAAGGCTGAAATATGAGCAGGCCGAATACCGCTGACGCTGGAAATGCCAGGAAAGACCGGCAAGGCCTGTGCAGCAATACCTGTCGGAAGAAAGGGCGCACATGGCTGCGGAATCACGGTGTAGCCCAGCGGTATGTGTCCGAACTGGTGAGGTGCTAACAGAATGCGAGGTCCAGAAAGAGTATCCTAAAACCATTCACGTACGTAAGGAATGACTATTCTGTGAATACCTGTGCAATAAAAATTTGGATACATTGACAGGTGACCCGTCCCAGTGTTTACTCGTAGATTTTTGCATTTTACGATTAAGTAGAAAGTATAACAATAATAACACTAGTAAAAGTTACAGAATTTAACACGGCCTCCGCATAATGATGTAGGATCGTCAGAAGTATGGAACGAAATTAAGTATTTTATGATAAACTTTCTTACGTGGAAGCGAAGAGGGTATGTTTGGTTTTGTTCCTGGTTAACAAGACGGGAAGCAATGCCAACAGTGGCAGACTGAGTTTGTTGGTCACTTCGATCTGCTCCACTGGTCCGGTCGCGAGTACTGCTCGTAAGAGCAAACTGATCGGACAACTGGACCGATGATGACTGAGTTCCAGATACGGATGTAGACACCATACTTCAAGAGTTCAAGTTTTGATAATCTAAGAAAAAGAAAACATACGGACATAGATAACCCTTCAAAGATTTTATCTAGACCGACGTTGTTTCGCTCATGAAAGATACCATTAAATCCATAATTAAATTTTTACAGTCAAGGAAATCCATAATTTTATTTTCTTCATAAAATTAATATAAAACTCATCCACGTATGATAGGTTTCTGATACTAGTAATATTTACAAATAGTCAAATAACAGATTCAAACTCTTATAAGTTCCCAGTCATGCTCCATCAGCCTCCATGTGTACTCGTATGTGTCTAGAATGAGGCTGGTGTTCAGTATTGGCTCTGCAGACTGCAGAGCAGATGGTGCGGATCTGAATGATCTTGTCGTTACGGATTAGCTCCAACAAGCTCCCACAGCCACGGAAATCTGCAACATTTGCTGCTTGCACAGCGGTAGACATGTGCTATGGCCTGAAATCACTACTGAATCGATTTCCTGTGGAATGTAATAGAGGTTGGGACTTGGGCGTGTCTAGGAGGAAGCGCTGGCCATGCCGGTCACGAGCATGATCTATAACTCATAAGGATGTACGAATGCCTGACTGATCTTCGACATTCGAACATCTGTACTGGAGTATGCAATAGGTTGATTTGCTACTCGGAAAATTCCCCTAATTGTAAAAAAATTAATTATGGAATTTTGATATTCATAAGACGGCATAATACTGTTTAAAGTTTAATCTTGATTCTTGGGAATCCATGGCGCAAAACAGGAACAGCAGTTAAATTCTCTGGGCGGTTGTTGAAATCTGGCCATGGTAATTCTCCCGCCCGCGCGTAAGAGCTGCTTGCACTATACTGTACTTAATAATATTATGTCGTAGACCATGGGCATGACACTGTCACTGGTGATAGGTACCGTACGGCGTACCGTACATAAGTTTCGGTTTTTGCTGCTAGTTGGCTAGTATATTTTCGATATTAATAAATTAATTTTATTTCCGTTTAAAGTGCACTATGGGGTTATAATTTTGAGAAATCTTTATGAATACTCATTTCATTCGCCAGAATGACTGATAATAATTCAAACCTTTATATTTTCCGGAATCTGGAAGACGTTCCAGTTTTGCCTGAACCGAAGAATGATTTCTTCTCTCAGGTGTTCAGACAAGGGCGTTCAGGCAGTTTTTGGCCCATAGCGTCAGCTTTGGGGGCTGCGTGGGGGGTTTTTGCTTGGAATGGCTGGCAGGGGTTACCTCCCTTTGCGAGAATTTGGCGACTTATTGGGTGTTGTACGGGTGCTTACTGGATTGCAGGAATGACGGATCATATATCCACTAAAGGATATTCTGAACGGGATGCTATGATGCACCACTATATCAACCTGCACCCTGAGGATTTCGTCGAGGAGGCTGCACCAAAATTGAAGTAGGGAGCCCCATTATTAAAACGGTTGTTTTTTATTTGCAGCAGTTCGTTTCTTACTTAGGTACGTGTTGTATCCTTGGGCACCAAAACGTGAGAGCTGGACTCCGTTTGACAAGGACTACCACATCAAGTGAGGATCCCTAAAGGTGTCTTGGATTTCTGCTGGGCTGCTCACCCGAAAGAACTGACATAAAGAACTGCTTAAATTCAGTGCGATGCCTAATGCATCGATACGGGAGCCTTTGTCATTGTATATACAATACTGTCTGCAACCGGCCATTTGATGCAAAAGTTTGAAGAAAGGCGCAGGTTTTTCGCAACCGGCAGGTGTGTTTGACTGTTTGCAGTTTAGTTTGAGTTTGTTACTGTATGTTCTAGTGTGGTGCTAAAATTTCTTGTGGTTTCTCGTTTGCCGCAGTATATTTAACTAGGACTCGAGACTCCGAGAGCGTGAAACAATTAAGTAAGGTAAAATAAAATTCCACTTTTGGATTTTTGGGAGTTTTTGCCACTTGCAGTACACAAATTGAAAAAATTTCAATGTGTAATCTTCAAATTATTAATAGAAAAATTAAAGCCGCAACTCGATTCATCAAAGTCATTTTTATCAATCGAATTATTTCCTTCATACATCGGAATCGGGACATGTTGGTGGTTAACAATTTTACAAGTAACAAATTTAACTTCTGTCGACGATGACTTCGAAAACACAGCAGACCATAGACATCGCTTTGGCAGACACAGTGCACTTTGTGCCTAATGCAGACAATGCACCACGGATAATTCCACATGGATATGCAATAAATCGCGCACTTGCAGGATAATACTGATCAATCCCTTCAACGCCAAAAAAGCTCAAAGGTCGGAAGCTGTTATCCGTTAACACGAAGGTGCCCTGGTTGTTGGTTCGCAGCGTATCCACTTGTTTCTCGTAGATATATTTCCACAGATCTGTACAGATGAATTTCATCACGTCCAGTTCATCTTTGAAGCGTGGATGATCCTTGGTCAATCGCTCCACTAGACGGAGGCCCACTTGGAAGCCTATAGCTTCTAATTTGGAAAATACAGCATCGCGATCGACATGGACAGTGGGAACAGGAACAGTGGGAGGGTCAGGAATTTTTTTTCGCTTACTGGGAACAGGCAGAGGAGCCATGTTCTCCACAGCCTGATCCAGTTCCCCCATTAATAGAACGGATAATTCATTCGCCAGAAGATGGTAAAGGAAGGAAGGCCCAGAAGACATATCCATGGTCAGAACAGTTTAACTAATGTTTACTTGTTTACTGCTACTCGTACTTCGTAGTAACCGAAAAATTTCGGAAACGAAATTCTTTTATTATTTTGGATTCCTATTATTTTCACAAAACAAAAAATATGACAAAAATCATGATAAATGAGAAAAATTAATCCACTGATAGCTCATGTGACTGCCCTATGCATGAGGTTACCGTATAACGCTCCTACCTACCTCTCTAAGGCTGCAGACTGCAGTCAAAATATTACAGCTCTACCGCACTGCTCTACCGCAAAACCAAAATGTATTCTTTTTATTTACATTTTATTTTTACCGTTTATTTTTTTCAGGGTTTTTGCACATACATACTTATTAGTATATGTCAGTATGTGCAAATAAAACGTTTTTTGACTTTCAAAGTAAACGTCATAGACTCATAGCTAAACCGATAGAAATTGGGAATTGACGTTTTTTGAAACTTCTTTGACAAAAAAATATGGCCTTGAATTTAAGGGAAACGATGTTCTGCCAGTTTCACAATCCTTTACCCAAAACCAAAGGGAAAAGTGGGGATGACGAGCGAGTCGGTTTCTGTCTGAATGCGGAGTTCCGGACGCTTGGGACGGGAAAAGAAGATGCTTTATTTCTGGCTGTCACAAACGGGGTTTGCGCATGGATTGCTTTGGGTACGTTCTGGTGACATGATTCATTAGGGACTACGACTACGTAGTACAGTATAAATATTTAATTTGCCCCTGTAGAGTTCCGCTACGTTTATTGGGGAATTTGAAGTGAACAGTCACTGACTTTGTCTGTTTCCTTTCACACAGTTAATCATAAGTGTTTCTTTTTATATTAAACTTCACCAAGAGCGAAAATTCTCTGACAGGCATGTTGTGTTTCTTCAGTGCGTGATGCTGACTTCGAGAATCTTGTGAATGGATGTCGTTTGGGTTCTTTTGAAACGTTCCGTTCTCACACAGTTAATGCGTTCAACCAGACCAAAGATCCCGCTGCGCAGTTCGAATACCTCATCGAAGCCAAAGTTATAAAAAACGGAGAAGAGTTAGAGGTTAAGTGGAGATTACGGCAAGGTGGCGTATCCCAGCTGATTGGACAAGCTTTGTTGTTTAAATCATCCAATTCGTCGGAAATCAATTTTCGTTTTATACAGTCTGCGTTATCAAGTGCAAGTATATGGGAATATCAGACTACTCAGTTGGAAAAAGAATTACACGAGTTGATCGAAGCAGAGAATAGATGGAGCGAGCTGCGGACAATGCCGGATATTTCACAGCAGATTACTGAACGGGTATGGACTTTCCGTTCATTTTAGCTTGGTTCTAATCACCTCAGTTCTACCTCCATTTGTGGCTTTCTTCATGTCGTTTCGTTGCAGACTGTTGAGATTTTGAACGAAGCAAAGCGCCGCAATCGGGAGCTTGGAGGTTGTGATAATAAAAACATGGTTGATGAATTTGATAGCCAGTAGCCGGTTTAAACCGTGTTGTTAATTTTAATGAGAAATTGACTGATTGTTGCCCAGAAATCAGACGATTGTGAATGTGTACTACTCTCTTATCCTTTGCAGGTTCCACGGAAGGATTTGCAAAAGCTTGGCAGCAGGCCACGCAGCATACTGAAGTGGAGTGACACGAAATGCCGTACTGCAGAAACAGCGGATACTTAATTTTTTCGTCGTAACGTTGTGATCTCATGTTTATCGAATATTCCTGAATTCCATGCGCTTTGGCTTTTTTATGTACAGTATGATTCTGTTCGGCGTGGTACTATCAGATTTTTTAGCTAGGTCAGAACTTGTAACAAACCTATGTTCGGCGTAAGATTATTGAAGTTTAAGATTAAGAGCAGCAATACATTGTGATTCTGTGAATGCGATTGGTTCTTAGCGTAGGCTGTTCAGCCTGTTCTGTAGGATACATGAGCTGTGGCCCGAAACCACGAAGAAACGATTATAATTTTTTAATCTTTTCTTTTCTATAGCAAACAATCAAGTAAAATGTTACAAATAAAAAAGATCATTTCTGATCTGAAAATCCCGTTGTGTTTACATAGGTACGACTTACAAAAAATTCGTCGCGAACAGGACTCGAACCTGTGCGGGCAGAGCCCAATTGATTTCTAGTCAATCTCCTTAACCACTCGGACATCGCGACTTGTTCGATACATTGCTTCGTTTTAACGCTTGAAGTTTCAAACTAGAATATTCAAATAAATATTAACTGGCAGTTTTACTCACTGTTTTAGTACTGTACTTATGTTAGTTATGTATTGTACTCTGTTCAGTTGTACTGTCTAAAGTGGTTGTATAACTTCCAAATAATAATGCGAAATAATACGTTTTGAATTTAAAAATTAAAAACAATATGCTGTACCAATACCACTTTGTATTTGTCATGATAATTTTTGACAAGTTTCCCCACACTCAATATCGTGAACCGGCATTTAACATACATTACACTGATAACAGTACCTCACTACCTCTTCTAATTTCGTCCTCTCAAATTCTTCTAAATATTCAAACTCACTTGTCAAAGACAAAGACAAATACAGTACAATTTACGAAATAATAATCACATCTCACCGAAATTATGCAAAGAGACTAGTTTTCCGATATCACGTTTTCAAAGGGCTCTCAGGTGGTGCCTACCTGGCCACCAAGAAAACCGGCCAAGAAAATTAAGAAGCAAAACAATTATTGTGTTCAGTTTAATGGTAGGTTTGGTAGGCCTTGCCAAGTTGCTCGTAAACAAAACCCAAATTAAGTAGATCTCGCAAAATGTGAATTTTAAAGTGTGCGAAATACTCAACGGAGAACAATTGGACTGGTACAAAAAGGAACAAGAGAACACTTCATGAACATTTCCGATTTTTCTGTTTCTATAAAATCAAAATTCCACAAATTGGAATTGCAAAACAGTCACTCATGGATATGAGGAAATGGCTCATGTGATCCATTAGGTTGTGTGAACCACAGTAAAACCTGAAATACATAGGTATGAACCGTATGATCAATAAGAACCGAAAATATCTTCGCAAACTATGTGCTCGTATGTGAATACCAGCCAATTACTTAGCACAGTAATCATGATAGTTTCATTTACAGCAGTCTAACCTTAAAATTTGGAGGAAAGTTGCGAAAATGCTTGTCTTTTGTCAGCATATCCATGTGATCTCTAGATATCGACAAAGCCACTTGATCAGGATTATCGCTCGTCCTGGTCTCTTCGGCTTCGTCTCCCACAAAAAACGTGTTAAACCAGAACTGGAAGATTTTTTCCTAAACGCAACACTGCGGTTAGACAGTACCAAAACCGTAAAAGGAACACAAGGTAAATAAGTTTCCAAAACAAAAATCCTACTCTTATACTTTTAAGTGGTTAGAAAAAACTTTAAATTCCATCTCACACAGTATGACATATTCTGTCGAGCGTTCCGAACAAAGTAATCTTAACGGCAGATAACTTGTACAGAAGCAAGAAAATTATACCCTTCTGGGAAATAAAGGTCCAAACGCCAGCATGAACGGTGCGTAAACACCGTGGCATTCCACCAAAATATCACCGGCAATGGTCAAGGATGGCCTGAGTTCGACCGTACAGTTGTCCGCCCGACTGTACCGACTGGACGGCCTTAGAGGAAGTACTTCGGAAGACCATATCTCGCGTTTCAGTTGAATCACCGAAAATATTAGACCACTACACGGGTGATCATCCGTGGAAGGTGTGTTCAGGATATCCGAACGGTCTAACTGGAGTGCAAGATCACGATAATTGAGACCCGACTGGAGCAGTCGATAATAGTAGCGTATGTACCGCCGTTGACTAGGAATCGTAACGCCGTGCGAATCGACAGTTCGAGTTTCACCGTAAAACGCCAACGCCTCCTCGGGTGTACGCACGAACTGCGAATGGAGCAAATAGCAGCAGATAATCAATCCAGTGCGGCCTTTTCCAGCCTTACAATGTACAGCGGCAATGTTATCCGGATCGAGAAGCAGCCAATTATGGATGTCCTCACAACAAGACTTAATCAAATCAATACAGGGTATCTGGTGATCTTCAAACGGATAAACAACAACATTGTGACGAAATCGCGATGGATCGTAACTGCGCTCGGAACACCTGCAAGTGCACAACGGAAGCTAACCAAATTATCAATTTTCCGTTTCTGACATTTCTGCGTTAGCGGCCAAACAGAACCATAAAAATGCAAAATAATACAAAATATTTTATAAAATTGCAAAGAAAACACAGTGGACTCTTTAAAAAATTGTTGCCTATATTTTCCAAAAAATTGCATCCCACCGGCTACGGCAGTGAAAGTGCTAATCTGGATGTCGACTAGTCGCATTTTCCTGACTGTGAGAAAAGCATAGCTAAAATCGTATTTAGAAAAAAAATAAATTCCCGAAATAAGTAAATTCGTCAATAATATTACGGCGTAGTCAGTGAGTCAAGTAGCGCTTTCCAATAGATTGCAAGTTTCCAAAGGATTTCACAGCAGCTTCTACCTTCTACTCTGATACATAACATTTTATACTCCGTCTGCAGTCCGATTCTGCGCGAACGGAAAGTATTTTATCAAATACTTATGCAAATCAGTGAAATCACAACTTACAGATTGTAAATGCGGTAGTGGCCTGGGTGTTTCATCTCGAAAAATCTGCAAATAAGAGAAAAACGGAACAAGTCGACCAGGGACGAAACACGTTGGGCGCATAGCCTAGTCCGGTGCAACTGTACACAACTGTACGGTGTATAATTGTATTATTTGATTTAATTCTGAATCAAAACAAAAAAGGAAAAAAGTTGCAGGTACCTCACTACATCGTTGATGTTGTTTCTGTAAATTCGTTCGTAATTCTCCGCTGGAAATCCCATCGCAATAAGGTTTGGCAGAATATCTGTCGGGATTCAGCTATGTCACCATGTGTAAGATGCTTTAGTGTAATATTAACGAAAGCAAAAAAACCACAACACCAGGCACAAAACCTCCTTAATGCCAGCTTTTGTATATGCATAATGGACAACTTACATGTCAAATCCAAATCGAAACCATCGCAAACGAGCCGCCGTCTATTCTGCGAAACAATTCTCCGTAATACTTGCGTCATATCAGGCTGACCATCGCGAAGGAAACTTGAAAGAGCAATTGCAAGCAGTCCGTTTTAGTGAACGGAGGTTTCCAATTGAAAAAGGGGAGAATCTTTATTCAGGGGTATAGGAGCAATCGCTCGAGCCTCGGAACATATTAAATTTTTTTTAATACTTTGTCACAATACGAGAATACTGCATAAAGATCTTGGAGGCAATCACGACATCCAAACCGAATTTTAAACAAGCTCGCTGCCCACAAAAATCCATCAAGTCTAAAATTTGACCACACGATGGAAAGAAAGCAAAGGAAAACGCGAGGATTTATCCGAAATTCGAAATCGCATCAAATATCTGCAAAATAAATTAAAATCAGCAGTTTTAACTTTTAACAAAATGTATTGCATGCACGATTCTTTTCAATTAATTGGCACTGTACTGTACGCGTTACCGTTTCACCATAAGTACGGTACTTGTTACCTTGTACTACGTTTCAAAGACTCAAGTCATCCAGTTTTGATAGGGTGCAGTGCACAATCACACAGCCGTGTCAGCTGTCGCCGGTCCCATTAAACTTGCACGTCTACGATACAGTACTTCCGGCTTCATAGTCGGAGCGGGCATAGTAGGATAACTCTGATGCACAAACACATCCCGGGAAAATAATGGTCATGAACACGTTTATACTTCATCGAAATCGTATGCATCAGTTTTCGGATTTTTTTTTTGTAAAACTCTCTGATTTACATCATGTCGATTCATGTGTATGTGTATGTTTCTGTTTTACTTAACTTTTTTAGTGAATATTGGCACAGTTTTCGTTCGAGTTCGTACTGTAGAAATCTTTCTTTTAAAAGTAAAAACGATCAATTTGGTTACAAACTACTTGCTTATAGTATCAACTACCAATTGGCATATTATTGTTTCCGTGTTTTTCACGCGAGCGTAGTTCCCTAGAACCGGAAATCCAACAAATGCATACAGTGTACAATACTAATTAACACGAATTGTGACAAAAAATAAAAAAAGGACAGAACTGCTCGCAGAATTGGCGCTTTGAAGCGAAAGTACAGATTAGAAACATTGAGTGAACGTCTGGTATAAATTAATAAAAAGTTGACACTCAAAAGCACAGCTGGTCTAAAATTGTCGTTCGAGAGTATCGTAGTGCATAAAATGGCATAAAAAAATAAAGTCGTATTACTGGGAAAAGATAAGACAATAATTATCCAGTCTTCGACAACTGAAGACGTGTAATATTATTATAGCATCCTAAACAGAGAAAACTGGATCTACTACTACGGTAAAATTAAGGTAAAAGAATGCTGTTCCTGTCCACATGTACCAAACGAATCTACCATTAAAAGGATATCCCGGAGTGCAAAAGCATCCTTTACTTGATTTTCTTTAAAGCGTCCACCAAAGTATTCATTTCGGCTGCAATTCAAAAGCACAATTAATGTTATGCGAATGTTACGTACCAGTGCAGTATAATCATGTTTATCATGAAAAGTAAAAATTATGGTGAAAAATCGCCAGTACATTACGGTAAAGTAATTCTACCTGTACGATTATTACGTTGCACCGTGATATTGCGTTTTACAGATACCAAAAGTATTTGCTAAAGTTACCTCGAATATCTCGAGCCAGCCCCAACACATGGCTTCGACGCTGCAAAACCTCCACGCTCTGGGTGTATGAGTTATAGCGCACGGAGAAAGGTCGAGGGATCGCTGCAGCCCATTGTCTGCAACAGAACATACAAAGTTCATGACTTTCAACTACGCGCCTTCATGATGGTACCGCACCCCGAGAGAACTGTACAACTTACGATACTTTATCCTTAGCGTCCGAAAAGCTTTCGGCAACGAAGTAGACAGGTTGATATTCGGTAATCGGGTACTTCTGAACAGCCATCTTTTCTGGATCAAATGGACGTCTGTCTGGCTTATCCGTAAGGCAATACTGTCAACAGATAAAATTAAAATGACACTTCATGTTTTATTCAAAATAAAGCTCACCGAAATTAGCATAGAGAAATTCGAACGTACCTCTAATTCACCAAACGAAGACAAGAGACCGGCTCCGTATGCTTTGTACTTGTGATCTTGCTTGCACATTCCGTACTCCACAGTGAACCAGTAAAGCTACAAAATTCCGAATTCAATGCAACAATTAGGGTGCAGCTTATACACGATTTTATCGATACAAACTAAATTTCAACGTTGATGGTTTTTCTGCAAAGACGTTATTTTACCTACCGTAGCCAACTTCTCGATCCATTCGTCGGGTGCACCCAACGAAGCCAGCCCGATCTCTTGCGAAAACTGAGCAAATGTTGGATCAGCCAGGAGTGGGACATGGCCAAGCAGCTCATGACAGATATCTAGCAAAGGTCACGATATTAGGCAACAACAACAAAACCGCGATATAAGCAACTCCTGTGCAGCTGTACCATACGCGAATTAGTATCGAACAGAATTTAAGTTGGGGTTTCCTATGAGTTGGAGTAAAAACTTTCTGACAGTCTGTCAAAAATGTATCCATTACCTGGTTCAGGAGTGTACATAGGATGACTTCCGTGGCGAATGTACTGTGTGGAATGAAACACTCGGAAGGCCAAACCCGCCAGGAAATCTCGAGAACTGAGCAGTCCAGCAACGGGTCGAATAGTAAATCCGGTGCAGTCTAAAAGTAATTAAGTTTTATGGCAAAGTGGCAATCCCTACACCAACAACAGAAGTACGAGTACACTCAGTACAGTAATGTTTTTCCGGTCTACCTTTGAGGAAGTTTGATACATCTTCTAACTGCGGAATATTGTCTTCCCGGTATCCGCAGTTCTAAAAATACAAGTGTTTTAACATGTTTTTTTGACTTCAGTAAAAGATTTCATCGAGAACATACCTCAACAAGGAGAGGAAAAACATAATTGTGTTCTCTGCATGCATGGGTAGGGTAAAGTTTCCGCAATTCCCGAAAAACAGTTCCCCTAATATGGAAAACCAGGTTAAAGTTTTTAAAGGTAGCAATTCTATGGTCTACTTTAGGAATTTACCGTACCATGTCTTTGTCTCCTCCTCAGTGTACTCTACGCGTTGAATTGACTGCCCGCTAAAAGTCAAACATGTAAGAAACGATTTTAAAAAACAAAAATCGGGTATTCAAATTTCAATATTCATTTTGTGCTTACTGTTTATGGTAAAATGCGATATCCGCAAATTCCGCCCGACGTTCACGGTACCTTGCGTCTGTGAAACCCTAAAAAATACGATCATGTTCAGACCTTTAATCACGATTTCAAACGCAAAATTTCTAATACCGGATGGTCTGCCGACAACTCTGAACCGTAGCTCAAGATATGATTTGCAAAGCGATCTAGGTCGCGGATTTTGCGTGGAAACCAGGGCACGTTGCTGAGTGTTCTGCCTTCCACTAAAAATTAAATTTATTCAAATTTTTTTGAGAGAAGATCATTACAAACCAGGAGCCACAAGGAATGCTAACTGCGCAATACCAAAACCCATAAAATTGTAAGAGCGGAAACAAAACTGACCTGTTGAAGCTTTCTGATCACGAGAGTGCACATACACGTAGATGGACTGCTCCTTTAACGCCTCGATGGCATCCTTGTATCCCGGCGCCGAGCGGTCCTCCACTTCTACCAGAAATTCGTAGCATCCTGGCTGGGTTTTCGATGGTCTGGATTCGATGTGAACCAGGTTGACCTGATGGAACTGCAGAAAAAATTTGCCATCTCGAATGAGATTTACAAGTGTATCAAGGCACCGTTAGCTGGATACGCTTAACATCAAAACTATGTAATACCTCAAACATTTTCAGAGCGCGGGACAATGCTCCAACGCTTTCTTTCAGGGAAAACACGATCGACGCATCACTTCGCAAATTTCTTTCAGGTGACTACAACAAAGTATAACTATGTAATTTACGTTATATTAGTCAGTCGTGCGGCAGTTCGTCAAGTCTGCATTCCAGTACGACATCAATGTTGGCAATTTTGCATTACTGTGCCTAATAACGTGAACTCTAGAGTACGTTATCGTCTTTTATTTGGCAAACGCCGGCTTACATAGCTATTAAATCATTACGAATTTACGCCTGCGCTGATGGATACCAATTAAAATGATTTGTTTGTCATATCGAACAATTACCAAATTTAGTGTACAAAGTATTAAAGAAAAATAGTGCGAACCATTTGTGAATATTTTAATACCGGAATGAGAAAAAGTGACCCATATGTCTATAATACAGACTAACTATTAGCTGTTATAATATAGACTCTATATTATAATAGCTAATAGTTAGTCGTAGCGTAGCAAGTTTAATAAGTACCATGACATTGTATGTAATCTACTCTGTATACGCGTTACTTTCAATGGCTTTCGTTTGCAAGATCCGAGCCACACCACATGCGCATAAGTTCTAACGTCCTGTATTATGTAGTATACTCATAATACAAATATAATAATTATGTGAAATTAATACCATCCTGCTTAAGGACAACTGTTGAACACTACCTCATTCCGTTTTTTAGCTAACCGCTTTTGGTAACGTGACGCATCCGAAGCAATCAACGCTCACCGATGCAATCAGCCAAGCACGAGCATAAATGGTAACCTCATGACATTCTGATGGCTCGAACCGATTATTATGGTGGCCCAACAGCAGACAAAGGTCATGTTTGCAACATCATATGCATAGCTGATGCAATTTTGTGATCAAGTTTCTTCTGATTGTTTACATTACAGTGAGATCATGCGCTATGAGAATTTTACGTTTTCTGAGAAAAGGACTAATTTGCGGAGTACCGAGCTTAATCTAGTGCGGCTCCGGAATTTTATCGTTAATGGTCATAAACCACCTACTCCTGAGCAGCAAACGTCACCACCGATGTCTGCAACATGGAGAAAGCTCTTACCATCGAAAACCATACGAATATATATTCATTTAAGAGCAAAATTTTAAAAATATTGTTTTTAAAACTTGAACTTTGAACTGAGCTGAGTGTGCATAACGCATTAAAGAACTAGTTGTGCGAAAACTTAGACTTCCTGCATTCTCTGATTGAATTGTACTAGGACAGGTATTAATCAATGGAATTTTGATTTTGACTTTGAACATTAACAAAAAGCAAGCATCGAAAACATAGTCGGAATAATAAAATGTACCGTCCAAGTGGCGTGAAATATTAAAATAATGTTTGCACACCTGCATGCGACTACCACCCCGACTGCCTCCGCGGCTCGAATAGCCTCCTCGGGACAGATGCGAATCCATGCGCCGGTACACTGGTGGTCTCCCTCCGGATATCAAGTGATCATCCTGAAGGCTCAACTGTTTGCCCACCGCCAAACCATTAAACACCCCATCAAGCTGGTCGCCGTTGACAGCAGCCATTGCAAAATGTAGAAAATAAAAAGCGCTTCAGTGTTATCAGTTAGTGAACTAGAACAAAAATGAATGAAGAAAACCTGAAACTTCGTATTTATATGCGTAGCAAATTGCTTTCAAATTGTTAATAAGCGATGCAGTGTCATTCTTTCCGATTGGTAGAAATACCGGGTGTGGAGTAGTGCTGTGGAAGTAAGTACAGGTTTATCAGACGAATCTATTACCCACAATCAACCATGGAACATCGAAAATGACCACCGCAGCGCGTATTCTGCGTTCAATTAATTGCACCAGCAAATTCTACCCTACCCTTTCTAGGCTTCTAAAAATGTAATCGACACCAACAATCAGATCATATCAGTTTCTGCCACAACCGCGAGAATAGCGATAACCAATTACTTACGAAAAACCAAATTACAATTTACACGGACAGGCGCTGTGGGGTGTACAGCGGATAGAAGCAATTCACTCACATGGTTTTCATTCAAAACTGTTTAAATTTACCGCCAGGGTATTAAAAAGAAATTTTTATAGCGGATAATATCGAAATGGACTGCAGTAATTTACCAAACAGTAATATTGGCAATATTGTTTGTAACTCTGCATCACTTTACGTTTGCGTAAAGCCAGCACGAGAAATTATAATAAGACTTATTAGTTACAGCTTCCTTTTAAAGACTCAATAATTATAGTATCCTCAGCTATTCAAAACTAAAGTACAATACCTGAATGAAATCCACTGGAGCCATGATCAGGTCACTGCTTTCTAAAATTTCGCGCTTCGTTCCCCAGAGGATCCGTTTTGAATACAACAAGCTGTAGTAGCACCCGCTGTGGTACACTTTCTCCAGGAAATCAACTACTGCATTATTGTAAACAGAAAAACTTGAAATAAATATCAGGCGGAGTCGCGGAGAATGCAAACTGCATTGGAGGTACCTAATTTGCTGACTTTACAGTTCACAACACTACAGTACGATACCTGTTTAGGTTGCAGACCCTGAACTCTTGATGATCTCGTGGCAAGACTGCATACTGCTTTCGCGTTACGATTCAAATTAACTCAGACAAAAAATTACAGGCACATGGCCCACAGATGAAAAATTTTTACTCGTTAGGATAATAAGTCGGCCATTCTGCGATTTTGCAGCATTTTCAGATTTGCTCGGGGCATCTTCGGGTACCCACTACCCAGTGCCCAAAGACTGTTTTAATTTAGACCGGAAGTCGAAGATAAAGGTTAAACGCTGCACGTAACTTCCTGAAGAGGGAGGAGAGCATTACGCGACACCCGGACTGGTCAGGCAGTCACCCAGCAAACCGAATTATGCAATTTTCTCGCTGTTGAGAAGGGAATCATTTTTGTGATTACTCATTACCTATTTTCGTCCCGTTTTGAAAATAGATTTGAAAGTGCTTGCACATTTTGGAGTCTTTGTGTTTGTTTACTGATTCAGAAAATTTCACTAACGTCGCACGATAGCGGTTTTGTTTCCTAAACAGGAAAATGGGGAAACCTAAGGGTAGGAAAGTGGCGCGGCACGGCGGAAACCCTAATGCATGGCGGGAACCCAAAGCTAGTTCACCCAGCCTGTCCAGTGTGACGACTGCCGAAGGATTGCTGGAGAAGGTTGTATTACTACTTCCAGGCTTTATTATCTAGATAAAATGCGTTACAGTTGCATTCTTTATTACTGCAGCTGCAATCCTACATGGAGTCTTGTGAGTTTGTCGTCGCAGAGAAATTTGCAAATCGTGCTCTGGAAAGATTCCCAGCAAATTCTCGTGTTCTGGAAGCAGCTGCTGAATGTTTTACTGAAACCGGAAATATCACCAAAGCGCGAACTATATCCTTTTTCTCAGGGTTTTTTGCAGCATGTTTTCTATGTTTAAGCGGATTCCTTAACTTCTGTGCACTGTTATTTGAAGGCAATTTCAGTTAGTCCACTAAAAGGATGGAGGAAGTATTTGGGCCTGGCGCAGTTGCTGGAGGGACAGAATGCCGTTTTGCAGTACACTCGGGGCATCGAAGTGATGGAGAGGGAGCTGGCGGAAGTAGCCGGACCGGCCCAGGTAGAAACTCCAAATGTTCCCTCTGCGTCTTCCAGTACAGAGAAAGACACAGCCGAAATCCCTACAGCGCGAGATATATCAAACGCTTATTTATCCATATCAGAACTGTACACAACGGATTTATGGTAAGCACAAATCGCCGGTTTGGTCGCATCCGCCGGATTTTTTGACGATTGTTCGTGGTTTTGTTGGGCAGTGATGATGACAATGCAGAGGAAATGTGTAAGTACGCGTTGGACAAAGCTATGATGGCCGATCCAAAAAATCCAGAAGCCTTCCAACAAATGGCCAATTTCTTTCTTATAAAGGGCGATAAAGAGGTATGTTATACCTGAACGTATGTGTCAGCTTGCCGTAAAAAGATTGCATTTTTTTATTTACGTTATTGTAGGTACTGGTATCTGTAGATGAGAATTTTTCAGTTATTGTTCATGGTTCGTATAGGCGGCTGCGCAGTATGTAAAAGGAGGCCTGACTCTGTGGTACACCGATCACCTGCCACCCGAGCAAAGAATCTCACCTGAAAACCAGCAGAAAGTCGGTGTTGATTACGAAGAGGTGTGTAAGCTACTCGTATGCGCCGGTGAAATTTTGATAATTGACAGTTTATTCACTGCATTATTCGTAGGGATCTGGCATGCCTGGTTTGGCACTACAAATTGATACAGCCAAAGCATTAATAGAATGTGCGGAGTACGATCTGGCTAACCGCTTATTTACTGAGTTCATAACGCATTCTCCCACTGATCCTGAGGTGAGTTAGTGCAACATTTCAACGCAGTTTGGACGGTGTTCGTGGCCCCCATTAACGTGTGTGAATGTTGCAGTTATGGTATTTAAATGGATTTTCATATTTTTTGCACGGAAACGATTACTACCCACAAGCTCGTTCAGCTTTGACGAAAGCGAAAAAGGTCAGTTGCGTATAACTAATAATATTGCTTAAGGGAGCCTCAACATTCCTTCTTATCTTTGAGATTTTGTTAAAATGAATGCGCGGCCGAATACGAACTTTTCCGGCTATCTCTAGTTTGCTACAACGCCTCATGGAATCTGTTATGATATAATTGCACAATGCGACGAACATCTCGAGTCGATTGCAAAAGTGCTTCCACCGACGGAAGATTCGGATAACGAGGAGGAAGTTGTCCAAACAGAGGATAGTGTCAATCGTCCAGAGCAGTCTAACTGTGAAGATTCGGACTGGGAAACCGATGAAGAAGGTTGCGAAGACGTGGAAATGTAGTAGTGGTAAATTCGACAGTGTGATTGTTGATTTTAAGCGAAATGATGTCTAACAAAACTTGATATCTATAGTTTGGTAATATAACTTTTACGGGTAAGTTGTGAAAAACACTCGCGTGGCGCGGCTCGTAGCCGCATTGCGAAGAAAATGGACGGTTTGATTACATAATTAAAATCGAAAAAAAATTTTGTTGTGGAATTTGTTTACTGGGAAGTTTCCTTGAGTGCATCGCTGTCGGCCCGTTTTAGCGAGCTTGTCTGCGGCAGCCACCTCGCGTACGCGCTTACATGTATTAGTCTGGCTAGCAGATCCAAGTCGCGACTGCCACTTGATCTCTAAAACTTGCAGCCTCCGTTTTTCTATGTCTCCCTAATGAAACATTCCAGTCAATGTTTCAGAACAGAGAATAAAATTTCAGAATTTTTTTGATATCTTGAGAGTAGGTTTTTATAGGGAACCAAGGAAGTTATGTTCGCTTCGGTTTCTCATAGACACAGCATGGGTCCGTGCGATGGGGGCGTTGCTTGCACCCTATGCATTGTCTACGAGAAACCAAAACAAGCATAACTTTCTTGGTTCGCCATAAATAATTACTAATCAGAGATCAAAAAGCTTATAAATTTTTTCTCTTTCTTCTGAGATGTAGGTTAACAAGTTTTATGGAAGGGTAAACGCAAAAATAGCGCTTGAAACTCTGGATCAACTGGCCATGGAATTCAGTGCATTCTTTCACCGTTCACATAACCTGCTCCTCCCATGCATCTGCACCCTGTCTGTCCTCAGTTACAGCAATTCTATCTCTCCTAAGTTACAAAAGTTAACATTTCTGTCTCTCCTGAGTTTACAAAAGTTAGTTTCTCTCTACTCTCAGTTAATTTCTGTCTTTCTTAAGTTACAAAATTACAAGTTACAATATCACGCGAGGTGGATCCATAGCTTAAAGCAATATTACATATAATTATGTAATATTGCTTTAGAAAATAAGCAGCGCTATTTTCTTCGCAAAATCATGTATCAAGTGGGAAGTGGGAACTGCAGTGCAGCGGTAGTATCCTACCCTAATGGGTGGTCGCCATTGCAGTACGCGAAAACGTTTGTTGTTTGGCAGATACTTGATGATATCAAACGAACTAAAATGGTGCAAATTCACCATCAGCACTTAATTACTACTTTCACTCGACTTGGTATGGTTTACAAATTCCACCAAGCTAAACAGCAGTCAGATTATGGAAAAAAAGAGACGTAAGCAAGTTTAATATCTCCAAAGTTAGAAAGCATGCGAAGATGCAGTTCCGAAAAGCACATGCTCCACGGTAATGCACACTGTATTAAACGCCAAATCGCCATTAAAGTTACACACATGCAACATAAATAAATGTAAGTACAAAATTTCTAGATCCATCGTATATATTCGGCTAAGTTTGCACTTAACAGTGCTATTTCATCCGTTTCACTGCGGCTTCCGATTCTTTTTGGATTTGTGAGATGCATCTTGCTTCGAATGCAGGTCCATCTTGGATAACTCGTGTCTAACGGCCTTATATTTCTTTTCCCTTTTCATCGCTTCCACACAGTCTGGGCAATACCAATTTTTGCCTTCTACCTCCTCTGCCGTAACATTGACGCAGCTCCCATGAAACCATTCAATTGGACACGAGGGGTTATCGCAGGCGACCATAAAACCAAAACTGGGATTTTTGCAGAAACAGTACGTCAGCTTGTCGTCGTCTTGGGTGTCTGTGCCGGTATCTTCGGTTTCGGTGTCCACCTCGGCTTTCCGCGATGCACGACTCCCTCGTTTTCGCCCACCTCTGGCTGGATTTTCTTCGCCTTCCGTGGACACCGCTCGACTGGTTCCTGTTGGTGTACTTCTGACAGCAGCTTCGTAGCTAGCTTTTAGAGAGGCCGTTCGGCGGCCATGAGACATCTGCTGGGTGGCGGCTATAGCCTGAGTAGCAGCGCGAGCCAAAACTCCCGCTCCTCCTGTGTGCAATGCAAATAAATTCGCTGGATATAAAAATGAGTATACGAGTACTGTAACACCAAAATGTACCATTCAAGACGTATACATCAATATCCAAGCCCGTTGCACTCATATTTTGTCGATATTTTAAATATGGGTACTGGATACATATCTGTACATGCGGGCATACGATATATAAATCACATCTAAGGACTTAGTGCTGGATATGATAACATCCACATCCCTAGAGTAGTTTATGTTACACAAGCTAAACTATAAAAAAGCGGCAACTGGGACGCAATTAATATACATTACTAGTGAATACGTACCTCCTTGTCCTTGAAGCAGTCCCTGTTTCCGCATTGCAGCTATTGTTCCCATATCTAAAAATTCGATACAGATTGAGCACACTCCACGTAATTCCACCATATCAAGCTGACATTTCGTTTTTCGCTTAGCCATTTCATCTTATTTTTCCACAACTTTGAAACATCACAAAGCTACCTTTAAACTCGAGAACTCACAAGCTGGAATCACTTAGCCATCCCTAACCCTATGTTTATGTTATGCAGTATTCTGGTTTTCGCATGGCAAGACCCACCTGCAATACGGCGAGAGCTTAAGTTGCGTGGAACTTCAGTGGAGAGAACCTTCGATCCGCCTTCGTATAAATTCTTCATTTCAGCTTCAGCTTTGGCCTCTAAACTTTCCGTAATCCCAGGATTGTCAGCTTCGAGTTCCAATTTGAACTTTTCCGTGTCGGTCGTCAACCTCTTATTGTACCTGTTCATCAGAACCGCGATGGTTATCCGTTATCCAATTCTAAATTCTGATGGTTACATGTCAACAAATGTGATACTGTAGAAGAAAACGTTAAACCAAACTGGAGTTTCCGTTCACCACCGTTCAATCCATTTTTAAAAAGCCTTTGCTTACGAACCTGATCATCATTTCCTCCAAACCTGCCACCAGCTTAGCTTTCTCCACTCCAAGCTGAACAATTTTGTCATACTCCATCTCAATTTCAGCTACAATGTTAGCTCTGTCATTAGGCGTCAAAGAGTCCGAAGAATGTTCCGGAACGTTCTGATCAGCCTTGGAAGTTCGTCCTGCTTTCTGCAGCTGCTTCTTAAGTTTCTCGATATTGTCACGCCGATTACTGGATTCCAGATCAAGTTCCCGAACTTTTGTCAAACGTTCACGAAATTCCTGAGGAAGGAAGGATACCAATTCAAGATAATCTTCCAAATACATTAGCGACATGGTTATTGACTGCGGGTCCGCGAAGCGACAGTAATAAAAAACACGATAGTTCAAATCCGGTTGGTTCCGCAGCAAAAATTCCAATGGAGTGTTGAAAGAAAACGCAGATCGATTAGGAGAGCAAATCTAGATATCGTAAAACCCACTACAAAACAACACTATTTAGCAGTGGAAACCGATGGACTGGAATGATCACGATAGGTTCCTGTGCGGGTTTGCACAGAAACTTGTGGAGAATGAGGAGGGTCCAATGTCTGTTACAAATTTGTACGTCTGGCAGAAGAAAGACCGAGATTTACACGTGTAACGGTAATATGATATGTTAACAACGAAATTATGGTCAACTACCAAGTTCTGAAATTTCTGTTGTTTTTATTGGGTTCGCAAGAATTTCTATTAATCTTCTAAATTTAGTCGAAAAATAACCCACCCCTGACGGCTGACGCCCCTACCGACATGGCGGCAGCCTGTGGTTTTTGGATGCCTACACTCGCTACGCACACATAACCGGAAACTCGCGTAAGACAGCTGATCTTGACGTCATCGCGCGTTTCGACACTTACAGAATTTTGCTGCTTCTTGTGGCAAAGTAATTACTTATCTAAAAATTAAAGAACTTGACTCGCCTGGCCTTCGGAGTCGTGATTTGTCTAGTAGAACTTTAGATAGCCTCTTCCCTTACATTAATTCCACTATCCGCTATCGCCTGTTGAAAATGTTCCTAATCAGGTCCTCTTCGCAAGCTGTGAAGGTAGGTCGACGCTGTACAGACAGTGTAATACTTACAGAAATTGCACCGTGTCTGCATTTACTAAGGAGAGCAAACCGTCGAGCCTTACGCATTTTTAGCCGTACGGGTCCGTGCATTGAATGCTGTTACCTTTTTACAGTTGTCGCCAATGTGTGCAAGAGCCTTTTCGGTGCGAACGGAAAAAAATGTAGGTACAAGGAATCGTCAGTGGCGAATTTAGGCACACGGACAGCAGGACGCCTGGTCCTGTATTGGGTGTTTGGAGTCGTGTGCCGCATTACGCGTACTCCGCCGTCTTGCAACCCCATCCTCTGCCAGCCGAATTCGCCACTGATTTATTGTGCAAGTAACCCGCGACACTATACAGGTTTTCGAATAATGCAGGACGTTTTCATCGTAAGCGCCGCAAGGACTCCCATTGGCTCCTTCCGCAGCAGTTTGGCTTCTCTTCCAGGTACACTCAAATAATACGATACATGTGTTGTTGCACTTTTTTAAATTTGTGTTGAACATTTTCCTGTTATTTGTACCTCATAACTATAAGAAATCTATTGTAGCACCACGTTTGGGAGCAATTGCTATCGAAGAAGCACTGAAAAGAGCACGTAAGGAGCACGTTTCTGTCTTCTCCGTTATCGATGATTTAAAAGAACAGATTTATGTTATTCAGAAATTGGGAAAAATGATATCGACGAAGTTTATATGGGGAATGTGTGTCAAGCTGGAGAAGGCCAGGCTCCTACAACACAAGCAGCATTGTTCGCCGGTTCGTTAAGCGGTGTTCTGCGGATTTTTGAAATAGAAGAATCAGAATGATGATGTACTGTGAATTTCTTCAAAATCAGGATTGCCATCAAAAACACCTTGCACTACCATAAACAAAGTGTGCGCTTCGGGCATGAAGGCCATTATGATGGCTGCGCAGAATATTGCCACCGGAAATGCCGTAAGTCTGCTCCGGCGAAACATTTTTCCCTTTTACTTTAGCGACTTTTACTTTTTTCCCTTTACTTGAACTGAATGATAAGAAAAAATATTGAGGCTATGATTGTGAATAAAAGATGGCAAGAGTTTTTTGCATTTTGCAGCGGATTTTGTGATTTCTTATTTTTATACGAGTATGTTTAGAGACTTGAAAGCTCAATTAGTAATGTTCTATAAAATAAACAGGAGCACGTTTCTGTGCTGTTGATGGCCTTCAATGATTTGAACTGATTGTTGAAGCGTTTTTGTTGCGCCAGGATGTGATGGTCGCGGGAGGAATGGAATCTATGTCAAATGTACCGTTTTACATCACAAGAGGAGATCTGCCTTATGGTGGAGGGCAGATTATTGTAAGTAGATTTTGACGGCTATCAGTTCTTCGTTCGTTTATGCAATTGTTAGTATTACCTTGTTTGTTTGATTTTGACAGGACGGCATTGTTTTTGATGGCCTTACGGATGCTTTTGACAAAATTCACATGGTAGGCGTTGGAGCGCTGCTACGCTTTATAACTTCGTAACCGGTTTTCACCTGCGAAATTATGTTGAATATTTTTTAGGGAGTATGCGCGGAAAAAACGGCGAAAAAAATGAATATCACCAGAGCGGATCAGGATAATTATGCTGTTCAAGCTTATAAGCGATCCGCCAATGCAGCCAAAGTATGATTGAAAACTTGGGTGTGTACACAAAATATAGTCTAAGTGAAGAGCTGCGCTCTTGTATTTTTAGAATGGATCCTTTAAAGATGAAATTTGTCCTGTTAAAGTTCAGCTAAAAGGTTAGGTTAAAAGGTGGATTACGGTCATACAGAAACCGTAAATTTCTATTTATCAAATTTAGGAAAAGAAACTGTAGTGACCTTGGATGAAGAAGTGACAAAAGTGAATTTTGAGAAGATTCCTACACTCAGGCCAGCTTTCCAGAAAGAAGCCGGTAATGTTATTGATTATAGGTAGCATCGTGTGGTTACTTGTCTCTAACTTATGTTTTAGTTTCGCTCATCTTTTGTGCAGGAGGAAATCTTTTGTTAATTAATTTGCAAACACATAAAAACGTTGATCGTGTGCTTACCTAATTGCTTAAAGCCTAAGGGGTAGTATGTGGTGACCACTATGGCTGCTTATATTGTACAGGCACAGTTACGGCCGGAAATGCAAGCAAATTAAATGACGGAGCTGCTGCGTCCATATTAATGTCCGAAGCTAGAATCAAAAAGCATGGCGCAAAGCCAATGGGACGAATTGTTGGTAAGTATGTGATTTCTTATCAGTTTTTTATCGAATTTGGCATTCGTTTTTTCATAGCTTTTGCGGATGCTGCCAGAGATCCTGTAGAATTCACTATTGCTCCCGCTGATGCTGTTCCCATTGTAAGTCCTACTCATGATGATTACGCTGGGCTTTCAGTACACTTTGTCAGACGGCAGACCGACGAAAGCATTCTTAGTAGTCCTGACTGATTATTTCTCAGTTTAGCAGATCACTGCAGTGTCTCGATTTGTTTTGTTAATAATACTTGAAGTACTCCCTTTACAGGCGCTGAAAAGAGCAGGATTGAATAAAAATGATATAGCCTTGTGGGAAATCAACGAAGCCTTCAGCGTGGTTGCCTTGGCCAACCAAAAATTATTGGATATCAATCCGGAAATTTTGAATATTAACGGAGGCGGTGTTAGCCTCGGGCATCCGATTGGGTAGGTTGTTGTTGGTTTTTCGGTTCTGGACTTTTTGTAATGAATACTTTTATGTCATGTGAATTCCCAACAGAATGTCCGGTGCACGGATAACAAACTCACTGCTTTATAACCTGAAGCCCGGTCAGTTCGGTTGTGCATCCATATGCAATGGAGGAGGAGGAGCATCGGCTATCATTGTTGAACGGCTTTAATTTTGAAAAGTAAGTGCAGTTTGTGGAGAAAAATGGCGTGATTGAATTTGCTGCATCTGGTACCTGGATTGCAGTGTAATCGGATGTGGACTTTGCATATTTGCCGTATCACGAAGTTGTATTGGACGAAGTTGCCGATTAATATGGACAGCTTGTCGTCTGGTAAACCGATTGCTTCTGTCTTTATCAATTTTGGCAGCCAGACAATGTTTGTCGCATTATCAACTCCAGAACGGTAACGATTGGTTTTGATTGTTTTAGTATCTGAATATAGTGAACTGTTCATAAGATGCTTTATTCAATTGTGTGCCGGAAATCTCAGATGTGAAATTACCATAATAAAGCCTTATTCCATTAAGCAAGACAAGTGTTGTAATGCTGGCCGAATTCCAAATCAAATATGTAAATCATACGAAGCTGAATAACTATCACCAAGACTACCCCTAAAAACGGCAACTTTAAGTTCAACATCTTCCATGGGTTCCGGAGGCCCAACAACAGTGATGACCTTTGTACATGCACAGGTTGCCATCATCCTGGACTTTCAGTTCAGCACCTGAAGGAAAAAAGTTGGACTTTGGTCGAATGTTGCTTTTGATAGTTAAACACAATTGTGAACATCGAGAGAATTTACTTCTGTTTTTAATTGTCAACAACCGTTTTCTTACCGTTTTGTCCGTAAGTGTTGCTGGCCCAAATGGGAGTTCCGTTGTGCTCGTACAGTACCAGATTGCCGTCGTGCTGCATGACGCACTTCTGGACAGGCTTATGGCAAGTGTTGCTGGCCCAAATTGGTGAGCCGTCGCTAGTGCGATACAGCACTAAGTTGCCATCGGTCTGCATAATCAAATCCAGTTTACCGTTCTTGGAGTGGATAGAACGGCCAGGAAGAAGCTCTTCGCCCGGGTGCAAAATGTCTGTTAACGAAATAAATTAATTTCCAAATCGTGTGTAAAAGAAGTGACGAAAGGGTAAACTTGACCAGTTTACTGGGAAGAGCAGTAGATTTCAAAAGCTTCAAATCGGCATTCACGTAACACCGTTGAACTTTCTAATCACTGACCTTGCTCGTGTTCCGGACACTGTCCATGGGTGTTCGATGCCCAGACTGGGTGGTTGTGGCAGTCATAGATTACCTATTTAAAAATGACGCTACACGTCAACCAACCGGAAACGGGCCAAATCAGCATGACAGATCGTGACGTACCAAGTTGGCGTCATTCTGCAAGACCAGTTTGCAGTCATGCTTTCCGTGGGTGTTGGAAGCCCAGATCGGATGTCCGCCCGGAGCGTAGACAACAAAGTTGCCATCACTTTGCATAACGGCTTCCACACCGTTTCGGCCTAAAAGTAAGGCACAGTTCTACTTTGGACACTGCACTGTCCAAATTAAAAAGCCGCAACGTTAACGCAAATCCATGACCATATTTTACTACGAGCCGTTCAACGTACTGTTATTATTTTTCAGCAACCAATATAAACTACTCGTACAAATAAAACCTCGGTATAATTAACAATAAATTAATGAGCACCAATACAATTTCCATCCTTCTATACAAACTCTAAGCGGCCTGGTTGTTACTGTTGCGGGATGCGACGCACATGTGTTTATTTCTTACCGTGCGTGTTGGAAGCCCAGAGTGGTCTCAGGTCTTTCCGACTATACAGCACCAGATTTCCGTCATCCTGCATAACCAATTCCAAGGCCTTATTCTGCGAATAGATCCGCTGTCCGCGATGGATCTTCTGGCTGTGTTTCCCATGTAAGCAATCTGACAACCAAAGAACCACCGGCTTTAGTGCTTTACACTCGGAACCTGGCTGCGTTACGCATGCCATACATGAACACTTCAAAAACAATATGTGCCACACGTCTTTACAACAAAACAACTTACACGGACTGTTTAATCAGTAAAGCATTAACAATAAGGTTTGTTGGTAAACAGGAGTTAGGTTGCAAGCGTAATATTAATGCCGGTATCCAAGAAAAAATTTAAGAGGCATAACAATAACAACATAAGTGGAATACAGTGAAACTGAATTAGTTAAGTATTGTTTCCCACTACGCACCGCGACTTTTCAGATCTATCCGACTCAGATTTGTGCACCTGCATAATTTTTTTATAACACTTACCGCCAGCGTACGCCATTTCGGTCTTGGTCTTTGGTTAAGAAACTTGCAAGATAGACTAGAAAGAAAACTGGACTGTGGTGGTGCGAGAACCGACAGCAAAAGACGAACAACTTCGCTGAAAATTCGTACTACTCGTAGACGGCCGGCGGTTTATATTTGACGCCTCAAACCACATTACGCTGATTATCTCTCCGTCATATCGGCTGCGGGTTCCGTGCCTGAGGGAAATCTTATCAAGTCCCAAATATATAAAAGACTTCAAACACTTAAGCTATGACTCTTCGATTGTCAGCTGGCTGTATGAATTCAGGAATCCATGCAAAGTTCACTTTATCTGCGTTATCGTCAGTTCCGCTCCAATAGGATGACTGCCACGCATTTCATCGGTCAGTCTTACATTAAAAGCTAAGACGATGAATCAACACATCGCAATCTGGCGCGACTTTTGTATCCATTTCAGATTTGGAAAGAACTGACTAATTTCCCTACAAAATTGCAGACTGAAGTTAATACCGTATTGTAATAACATTAACCATGGGGATGCTTCAGAATAGAAATAATTTTATTTATACCGGTATAGTGAAGATGGGTGTTTAGACTTTAATTTGACAGTGCCAGAATCCGCGCAAAGACAGAGTAAGAATTCGCAGAAGCTACACATTTATTACTCGTGTAATAGCAGTAAAATGTACACTGCACACAGGATTGCGTATCGAGTTTTTACTTTGATACTCACAATTCCCGTGACATTTTGGTTCCTTTCCATCGTCTTATTTTCCATAGACTTGCAGTAGAAGTACTGATCCACTGTATAGTAACTAGTAAGCGCGCCGGTCAGTTAATGCGTCACTAATTGTCAATACGTAATGCCAGCACAAAATTTAAAAGAATATATTTTGAGCTCTCTTTCAGAAACCAGTGCTGGTACATTCCCTCTTTTGCTTCAAAATTAAATAAAGTGTAGTATTCAAGCTTTAAAAGGCTCTTGGGATCCATCTTGGCTCCACCTTGGCTCTGGCTAACTATATACATTAGTTTTTTACAAGCTGAATTTTTTACTGTACTTATATATACTTAAGTGCGTATGTATGGTTATGTATAGTTAAATAAGGTGGTTACGATAATTATTTGGTTATGAGCATTTTAGTCTATGCAGTAATTACCATTACTGTTACCATGGGGTGATTGCAATCTGGTAAACTGTTTATATTGATTTCAATGCGCGCGGTGGTTTGGCATAGGTTACAGTACTTCTGTTTACATACCGTAAGTGTTGACTTGAGTGTATAAAGATATCTTATGCTAAAGGGAAAGCAACAATATCACCGTCTAAAATGAAAAGTTACCCTAGGTAAAAATCTAAAGCTTGAAATAAACAATGTTTTTGTCAACATCAATGTAAAACATTTGCGGAAAGCTGCCTGTGCAACAATTGGTCAATTTATAAACGCGCACATTCGTCAACGTTTTCGGCATATCGGCTCTACAAATATTTTGAAACGTCGAAGCTGACTCAGCTGAGTACTCTATTTAATTACCGTTATCCATTTTCCTGTTATTCTTGGATAAAGGGATTAATTATATGCGCGTACAAATTGAAATTTTTGCACTTATAATAATTATTAAATTCTTGGAAATGTACAAATCTCACGGGCGTTATCCATCAGCACTTCAGCACTGGTATGCATATTAACTGGGATTAGAAAATTGCATGACCTCTAAATCTAACTATGCACCTGACGGTGTCCTTAGCTTACTTAATTACTGTCGGCCTCAGCGCAATGCTTCGTGAAAAAATTCTTGATTTTGATCTTCTTTGGATGGCTAGAGAGAATGAACTAATATAATCTTTTTATGCTTATATTTCATCAGTTTAATCGATTTTTGTGCAATCGACAGTTTTGGTTTTTGGGCAACTGTTGGCAGTCGCATCACTGAATTATACGAGCGTATTTAGAGCAAGTGTGTACGCACGATGCAAACGGTGTTGTTGCCATATTCCAACGTGACCTATCCATCTTACCATTCTGATGCTGTCTATCGTTGCTCTGTTCCTGTTGAGAACCCGAATCACTCCACCGTTTATGAGCCAGATCCTTGGATTGCTCTGGAAATTGATTTCATGGCTACAGTGCAACCACAAAAGCCTGATCCAAGTAAGCCCTCAAAGGCACCTTTTACGGACTGATTCTCCGCTTTCGTAATTGTTGAAAATCGTGTTCTGATTTATTAGTTTTAAACTGTGCATATCTCATAAAAAATTTTTAAATGTTTAGTTGTATGTTTTCTAAATTCTCATGACAGGCGATCACTTTGTTGTTTAATTTCAAAAGGATCCAAACACGCAATTCTTGTAAGTCAAGAGACTTACAAACTTACCGTTATGTATCTACTGCTTTCCAGGAATCACCATACTTTAGGTGTTCTTACGTTTGAATGTAACTAATTTAGTGCTTACATTATGATCGCCTTAAAAAACTGTCATAATTGCAAATTTGTAATACACACTCATAATTATAGGATTCATAGCATCTCTGCAGAATACAAGTGCTGAAATCATCGATAATTTGCCACATTCTATTTTGGATCTGCTAAAAAGTCCGGTGAGTATTCGGTTTTCCGTATCTTCCTGTTCGCTTTTGGCACAATAAATTTCGAGCCATCCAGAAGTAAATAAGTAAATAATACAATTTAACGTAAGTACATTGCAAAATTGTTTTATTTTTTATTTAGAATGATGTTAAACTGTAAGTTTTACAGCTGTTTGTATGCAGCGTTAATTACATACGTATTTCCTTGTAGGAACTTGGTGGAATTCTGGCATTAACTGTTGTCGGACTTGCGTACACCGTTGCAATGCTACTGCTGGGTATGGTCAGATGTACAAATTTATAGTACAAAGTATAGTACGTTTTCTTAGTTTGTACAAGGACTCGTAGATTCATCATTAATCTTCTTCGCAGTAATTAAGTATTAATACACCATATAAATATTCGCCCTTTGTCACATTCTGCTGTAAAGTAAATTGTTTTTCTTTACTGTATTGATTAGTTAAATGCATAATATTACTAAATACTGTAATAATAAAATAAATAAATACTGTAATTTAGTTTAGTAATATTATGTTAAATGCTTTGCAATATTATCAGTACAAAACGGACGTGGTAAATGCTCGGAAATACGCAGTTCACTAATTAATATTCCGATTTCTGAATGTCTTTCCAAGAATACAACTTTTTGACAAAGAAACGATAAATGTTTTAGGATTACTTTGGTGCTGTTACCGATGTCTCTGCTATAAAAGTAAGTCTCACCTTTGGTTCAACCAAATCAAGACACAAATTAGACAATACATGGTGCATTAGAGATTCAACCAATCGGCCCAAAAGGTCATACTACGGGGCGACTCTGGACGAGCATACTTTTAATGTTCGCGGTGACGACTTTACTGTAAGTACCGGCATTAAATAAAAATAACGTTAAATAAATCATCCTGAAGAAGTCGTTTAATTAAAAAAATTTGTGAGGGCTTAAACCAGCGTATATTATCGTTTGCGCCAACATGTGCTGTTAAGTAAATAGCAGACTTTTGTTGAATATCTGCAAATAACTCAAACACGTGTCTCACAACTTTCTGTTCTGTTAACCTATTAAAGGGCAGCATCGGCGCTGGTTTTTATCAATGGATCCAGTTTTGTGAATTCTTCGGAACAGCTGCTGCCGGTGGTGGAAGACGCATTTTCCGATTTGGCAACCTTAGTCAACGACACCGAGCTACACATTGTTTTTGCCACGCGCCAAGGATTTACAGCAATGCAATACGCGGTAGAGACAAATTTAAATCGTAAATACAATTAGCCTGTCAAAGAACGTAAAAACAGATTGATTATATTAGTAACGAATACTTTTTTAACAGAATCTGGAGCGGTCATAGGAGATCTCGTTCTAGCAAGACTGCGCGAATTAGGCATTGTTGATGACATCTACTCTATGGTGCTCCTTTCTCAAAGTATGATTCTTAGCCTGGTTCAAAGTTTTGTTCCTTTCTGTATACAGCTGCAAATCTTTAGATGCCACAGTGGTAGTTTCGCCGTTAATTTTGGACATCAATACCAAAATTCAGAATCTCAGTTCAGAGGCGGTGAAATTAGAAGGTCAACTGGAAGATTTAACTGAGTCGTTGACGGAAAGCGACTGTCCAGATACCTGCGCCATAGTCAGTAATAACTTTATAAAACGAAATAAGAGTTTTTAAAAACGTAACATATTATGCTGATTTTAAGACAAATTACTGTACCCCGCCGAATTGTTTCGCAGATTGGGCCGTTGGCACGTCAGTTGAAGATCAATGTGGATTTGACCACTGTAAGTTCAAGCATCACTGCACAATGTGGCCCGACAAACACATACTTATCTTATTTTACTGAATCGCTGCGCTAATACTAATCCAATTTCTCTTGCTTGTTAAACGATAGTTCAACATGGACGTCCAAATGAGTAGACTGAACTCCATGCTTTCTGGTGGATTTCAGAACTCAACGGAGGAAGGTTACGCTGAACTTCTCGATTTGCCATCCATAATCCAAAACAAAAGTTCTCCGACGCGAACAGGTTTTTACCTCATAAGAATGATTATCAGTAAAAAAATTGTTCTAGTGTTATTGGATGCTGCATCCAAATATTACACATTCCCATTCAGCCCTCGTGCTGTGTTTAAAAAATACTCGTATAACCCGCAAGGTTCTTGATTTTATTTTTTTTATAACAATAATAAACTGAATAAACGGATTTCCTTAATTTTTAGAGACTTTGGAAAAGGTGCATCATTTTGGGCAAGATCTGGACCATTACCTCGCTGCAGTCGATAACTTTACGAATCCGTTATTGACAGTCATCGATAATCAATCGGACAATATAGATGGCTACGCAACCATTGTCCACAGTTATGGATCCTCCGCGCATACCGCAGTCATTGTTGTCGGGATACTCTTATTGGTGATCTCTTCCGTGACTCTAGCCGGTTGTCTGTGGGGAGGCATCTTTTTCGATCCCGTAATCTTGCCAACACGGAGATCGGGAAAGGTCACTTATGGAGGGTGTTCCCTGATGTGGTAAGCTACAATATATGCAATTAACTGAAACAACAAAATTTTCGGTTACTCTCGTTACGGTGCAGGTTCGCACAGGAATTTTAGATCTAGCATCATTGTATGTATTTGCAGCGCCGTATATACGATATTGATAATCGCATGGATTTTGATGATTATCACCACGATAATGTTTGTCATTGGGACACAAATGGATGCATTTCTGTGCCCGCTTCTTCAAGGGACCAGTAATAATTTCACTTTTCTTGATCAAGTAAGAAGACTAGCTTATTTCATAAAATGCAGTGACTAACGATTACGTCAGTTATGCAAATACATATAATATGTCATCTAAATATGCCAGTTTTAGTAGACGCTACGTTTAGTTTTCTTAGGTTTAACTTTATTTAGTTTAATTAAGAACGCATCAATTTTAGGTTGTAGAAATTATCGAAAATACGACCAGGGATGGAAAACCGATCACAATTATTGCTAATGAAACCCTTCGACCAGGAAATCTGCTAATGCGATGCATGAAGAATTCGCCTCTATATGGCTTGTTAAATCTGGGCCTGGTGTTCGACGTATACGATGTTGAGCGCCGTTTGGAGAAATTCAACATTAGCGGCGTTTTGGAAGGACTCAAAGTGACCATCCATGATGTGATTATATTCAGCCCGCAATCGGATTCGCTTGCTAATGATTTTTTGACGGCCCTGTCTGCGAACTTTTCCTCATATCTTCAAGAACTCAACGTAAGAAGTTAAGAACTTATTCATTATGAAAAAGCAATATCAAGGTCAAGCGTAACCTTTGCACAGACCAACAAATCGCTTGTCGCCGGGAATCTCACTGCTGTTCGCAAAGCGTTAAGCGAAAGTACCGGAACAAACGACTATATAAGCCGAAATATTATACTGATTGACAGAATCGACACTCATGTGCATGCTATGGATGTGTTGCGCGTACGTGAAATTTAAAATCACCGTTCACCATCGCGTGATCATTTCGAAATAATTGTTTTACTGTAGGCATCTTTAGCTACCGAGATAATTTTATTTCAAAGCACTGCTCAGTATTTTCAAGAGGAAACAAGACATATTTTGGAAAAATCAAGGATAGCTCAGCGTTTTATGGAAAACGATGCAACAAACTTTGTTTTCGAGGTACGACGAATGTTGCGGTTATAATTAAAACGACCGTGGTTTACCCTGCCGTAAATGTATGTCGTCGTACTTGTTAACCTCTTCGAATTCAGATCGCTCAGGAATTTGGGGATGAGATTTATGAAATTGCAAAAGAATTTGTGGCGTATGTCGTTGTTACGGTAATCGTGCTTTAAAGTGCTCCAATCTGCTTACATAATTATAACGAAAACCATTTGTTGTTGATAACTGAAAGGTAGTGGACAAGATCGGTCCGTGCCGGCCCTTATACGATGCAGTGACGGCCGTAGCCAACTTGTTGTGCAGTAATTTGATAAAATCGTTGGTAAGCAGCTTTATTTTGACCCAGTTGTACAGTAACCCAAAACCCTTGTGGTATTCGGAAATCCCATATTACTTGCTTAATTAATCTGTTGGATTCCAGCTCAGGTTTCAGCGTGAAAAACATAGCTTTTAAGTTACATAATGGCTTCGTTAACTTATGCACTTTCATTTTCGCCGTATGTGATATTGTGGGACATTTGTACAGAACGGATTATGGCTGGCATTGGGACTGGGACTATTCATCTGTGTCCCAATAATGTTTTGCAACTGTCACCTGGCAAAGTACTATTCTCGCGCTCAAAATACAAACTCCGACGTCGATATCAAAAACCAGATTGAGTAAGTATACGATAAATGTTTTATTTGCGTTGCAGTACTAAAAGCATAAAATCCGTTTTAATTTGGCTCTTTTTGCTCTCAAAAAGGAACAACCGGCCTGTCTTGCATAATCCGTTCAGGTAAACTGCACATATTTTGCGTAAAGTGCAAATTTATATTCAACTCAGCGTGTTCGCGCTTTTTTAGCAACGTTCGTAAAGTTCGACCGGCACCGGCTGTTATCACTGTTCAAGTTGCTGCTGAGCCGCAACCGTCATTCGGTAAGTGACGAAATATCAAATTGTTCTTCTACGAAAAGCTAATAAGTAATACGTTGCAGGCCGCACTTAATTGTCCGAGAAACAGTAACTAAAGTTTACGAGATCTGGAAGTCGGGAAGTAATGCCTGTGGCTGTGAGTAATGGCCTTGCAGAACGAAATTTCTTGCTGACAAACTCGACTACTCCATTAACTTTTAAAATACTGGGAAATTATAATTTTCGAATTTGCGAAGTGCTACAAACTAATTATTTTATCTACTACCTGGCTGGAAAGTTAAGTGTTATCTTCCAACAAGATTGCCAAACGGCTTCTTTATTATTTATCAAATCTAATGCTCAATTTACACACAGAGAATAAATAGTGTCAGTTTAAAATTGCACAAACTGCGCCCTCAATACATTACAAATCCTATTCTTTTTGCACTCTGTTTGCCATGCCATGCGCGTGAACAATTGGCCGCAAGGTTATACACTGCTCGGCTGCACTGTATTACCGCTGATTACACATTTCAAACCGGCTTTCTGGCGATTGGGCTTCCTGGTTCTTGTAAATTTCCGTTCGCATCGTGCGATTTTCACCGAACAAACTCGGATCATTTTTCTCTTCATAAGTGAACACATCTACTACAAGTTGAACGTAGATAGAGTGCGGCAAAAAATGAAACGACGCAGCATTCTCGATGGATCATGCTTTGTATTACCGCGTAATATCATGCGAGTGTTGTAAACATCCATAAACACAGCCATGCGTGCTGATTGCATCATAATCACAACATTGCTCTCTGTTTTCCCGGTGCTGCAGCATGTGGTCACTGGTCAAGGGCATCATGAGTGTCCATTGGGTTGTCGATGTGATTTCGAATCGCAGTACAAACGTGTTCGCTGTGAAGTTACGGACAGTGGAATTGTTATAAATTTTCATGATATCGATTCTGATATACATTTTTTAGAAATTTTACCCCGACAACGCGGTAGAATTGACACATTCGGCCCTTCATTACCCGATGTATTCTTGGATTTTCCATTTTTAGAAAGATTAATTATACGGAATAATGGAATTACTAACATTCCTTCTAATACAGCACGGCAGTTATCAAAACTGAGGGCCTTGGATGTATCTCGTAAGTTCATCGATCTCATCGAATTTATCCGCGTCTTTTAAAATTTCTATTTTATGTAGTAAATTATTTGTATACAAATTATTGCCCTTTTTGAAGCCATAAGTGAATGAATACATACTTGCTTTGCTAACTGACTTAAATAATTTGTGAATGTATCATCGCCGCATATACTACAGCAACTCCAAGTGAATAGTACATAACCAATATACGAAACGGGATTTGAGCAAGTTTTTGTGTCCAATAACGTGCATAAACTGGACATAAATTTGTATCCTAACTGCGACTTCGATTCTGATAATGCTTTTACATGTAAATTTAAATTTTGGCTTCTAATTACTGACGGAATTTTCATGCATTAAATTACCAATAATATATAAATTATAACACAGCCAGGTGCATCACGGCTAATTAAAACAAACAGTACTATATATCATTATTTTTCCAAGTTAAATTTGAATGATTATTTATTCAACTAAGGTTATGTACTGTATAACTGAACAGGGCCTGTGGGAGTTAAAAGGGGATTACAATGTGGCTGGAAATACCTCATGAAATTATTGTCGCTACGGGAAGTAGTGTTCCCAGTAAATAGTTAAACTGTAATGTGTTGTTGCAGATTGCAACTCACCAGTAAACTAATTTTACTATGACTATTAATCGTTGTCACCATTCACAGAACTTATCGAACGAGTACTCTTATTTCTGGCTTTCCGTGTAGTTCTGTTAGAGTTTTCCAAGTTCTGACATATTACTCCAAGTAATTACTTCCTTTAAGTTTAAGTATGCAACTGAAAAACCCTACGTAGAAACGGTCGTAGGATTGCATTCAGTTGAAAATGAAACTATTTTATGTAAGACGAAATTGATTTTAAGAAAATGATGATTTGATTGATAATAATATTAAAATTAAATGAAAAGATGCAAGCATCCGCATGATATTTCCAGAAAACGAGATCTCTTCACTGCGAGGCTTATCTTTGGATATTCTTTCTGGATTGGAATCGCTTGAGCTTTCTTCCAACTTTCTTCGGTCCATCGAGTCCGGAGAGTTCCAACGATTGGTCCGTTTGAGATTCCTTGGATTAAGTTCCAACAAGATTCAGTCATTATCCCCCACTGCCTTTGACAACCTGCACAATTTAGAAACACTAGATCTAGCCGGTAACCTTCTTCGGGATTTGCCAGTTGGTATATTGTCTCGGTCCGGTCGGCTACAGTACTTGGATTTAAGCGGCAACCAGTTTAGCTCGGTACCACAGGGTAAACCGGATACAATGACGATTTTTCATCTCCTTTCAAAACTCATAACTTGATTAGAGAATTATTGTGTCCTTATTGTGCTGTTTAAGGTGGTTAAATTGTACTAGTATCAGTAACGTGCCTAAAAACCGCAATATTAACAACACCAGCTGTACTACGAGTAGTTCCAGTAGGTGTTAGCGACTGTGCGTATTTTTAATAATTACATGCACCATTTTTTTAGAAACTCTTAGCATTAGAGGACTAACCAATTTGCTTTTGGACGATAATCAAATTACCACTGTCTCGTCTTCTGTGGTTACCTTTTGGAGATCACCATCTCTGCAAGCAGTTACGCTCTCAAACAATCCAATACTATGCGACCGTTCTGTTACCGACTTCGTCAGTTGGGTGCAGACGGCTGAAGGCGCGCGCAAGGTCTGCAATGCTGACCAGCGAGATGGTCGCCGGCGGCCGTGTCCGTCTTGTAGTCAGCCGCGGGTGTTAGCCGGTTTACCGGTTAACGAGCTTAATCTGCGCGATCTTGGGCAGTCGGATCAGCCAGGTGGCACAGGCAGTTCTCACCCGAACAGTGGCGGTGGCTTCGTGACCTTTCAAGTCGGCGATCCCAGCGAAAGATTAACAGCCGGATCGAATTCAACACGAGATACCGGAGTTCAACGGCAAATCTATGATCTGACGGATAGAGTGCGGAGAAGCCTGCCCGATGCTGGGGTGGAATGTTCAGCAACGAAATGCTACATTTTCTCTGCAGGGTAAAAGTTTTCAGAACATTTTTCAAGAAAGGGCACATGGCCGTTGACAAAATTTATGCCGCTTTGTCCGTGGCAGTAACGTCGCTGCAAATGATACCAGCTAGTACTTTTAAGACCAGCTAGATCCAGATCAATGTTTTCAACGAACACATTTGTTGTAGCGGCACAAGGAGTTGGTCAACTGCACAGTCAACGTGCCGTGATCTGGGGCTGGACCTGGCCGAAATCGGAAATCCTGCAGAACAAAAGGAACTTATGTCCTTGTGTAAGCAGTTTGCTGCAAAAGTATCGTTACTTCGTAACCTTCCGCTGTATGATAATCAGCAGCATTTCTGTAATGAGGTTTCATTAATTTCCGTGGATTAAATTTGACGAACGCTGCACACCAGGGTGAATGTTGTAGTGATTAAATCGGTTCAGGAAAATGCGCACCGCTCATCGCCTAGTCGGGGATGGTGGATTGGGTTGCGGTACAGTCCACGACGGCGCGAGACATCATATGCCACCACGGGACGAATAGCGTCTTATACAAATTGGGGTTCGTACGCTGCTGAATTTTTTAGAATGACATGACGTAAAATACGCTGTCTTCTATCGTGTTTCCAAATTATACCGTTTAGCTAATTTCCTTAATATTAATTTCAGCGGCTGGCCGGCCAAATTTAATTGGATTTAGTGATGAATGCGTGGAGCTCCTGGACATTGGCCAGTGGAATGATGGACCTTGTACCCTGCACATCGACAACCAGTTCGTCTGTCAGACCATGCTGTCTTCTAATCAGCAAACTGATACGCGCAGTGCGAGAAGCCCTTTTACTCCTCAAAGACAATCAGCGGATAGTGCATTTTTTACCATTGTGGAATAAGGACATGACGTTTTATCGAATAATGTTAATTGTCTTGTTGTCTCAGGAGAGCGCTTACGTCAGACGGTCACGACTCCCACAAAATTTAATAAAAACCGATAATTTTATCTCTATGAGTTACTAATTATGAACAAGTCGAATACTAAGAACAAATAGATATTTATTAATACCCTTCTGTGAAATTTGTGAGTTATGGATAAGATTGACATGCGTGTACTTATTACGCGGTTGTTTTCTTTTTGCGATGGCCCGAAGGCTACTGTAGTAACGAATACACCGGTTGAAAGAAGCTTTCGGCTAATTTCATAAAATCACATGGATGTGAGCGATGGACGCAGACATTTATGATTGTACCGAATTTCGCGATTATTATGATCGGGTCCCACCAGTGCATGTTCCAATAAACTGTGTGTACAAGTATGCAAGATTACGGCTTTCTGGTTCCATCTTAAACTGCAGGAAGTGGAAATAATATAGGTGTTTGTTTTGGATCAATTAATATACACTTAAACCATGGACCAACTTCGTCCACCTGTGGAACGACTGAGTTTTGATATGTTCACAGCCGCTTCGGATTTATTGCACGAAAGAGGGCAAGATGACAAGAATTTTGTTGTGGGAGCGTTTTCAGCAGCAGCAGCCGCTGCACTGATTTATGTTGGATCGGAGGGGACCACAGCCGACCGACTGAAAAGGATCATGCGTTTTGAACGGCTCTTCGAAAACCGCTGCACACCACAGCTAATTATGATTGCTTTCCGGCAAGCAGTCGCCCACATTACCAAGCGTCCGGATCAACACTTTCCGCTGGATGATCAGTCAAAGCAGAGTGCCTTCCAAGTTGTACTGGCCAGTAAAGTATTTTTCCGTGTCGGTAACGCGATCCGCAGTGAACTCTACAATAACGCCAAACACGTTTTCAACAATGATATAGCCGAAATGGAAGACATCAAAGACGGCACCACGCTGGACGAGCTGAGAAAAAACATCAATCAATGGGTGAAGAAAAACACTGATGGGGAATTTGCTGAATTATTAGCCCCCATTGATTTGCAGGATGTGGATGACGACTTGACAAGAATGTTTCTTCTGAACGTGACCTTTATGCGGGCGCGGTGGAATGAGTCGTTCATGTTTAGTGACGTAACCGAAGGTATCTTCACCAATGTCCACGGGAAACAGCTCGCGGTGCCAATGATGCAGGGAATTAAACATCTGGTATATTCGGAGGATACGGTACACCGGGTTAAATATATTGAACTCCCATATGCGAACAACGAAGCATCACTGTGTCTGATGTGTCCAACACCGTACCGTGGACGCCGCCGGACCATCAAAGAAATGCTCAGGAACTTTGAGTCGGATACCTTCGCAAGAATAGCTGTTAAGAAGAAATTACGAAAAGTTAACTTCAAAATGCCCAGATTTAAGGTTGATAATACATTGGATCTGAAGGATATTTTTCAGCGAATTGGTATGATGGCTGCGCTGGAAGGCGTATCATCGGCAGCCACCGGTTCCAGCGTAATGGACAATTCCGGGTTTTCTCTGATCGGAGCATTTCACAAATGTTCAATGGGTATAAATTCACCTTTATCGCAATGTTTACCAAAGCATACAAGTTTTGTATTTCGTATAATGTATGTATTAGATTTGCCGCTATTCATTATTTAGAACACTCGCATCCGAAAGTTATTACTTCATTACTTTTTGGTATGTATAAAAGTGCACGTAATTTTTGCAGAGGTCAACGAGTTTGGATCATCCGCCGATTCTTTTTCACGTAAGCCTTCGGAAAAAAGTGAAGTCCCTGAATCAAGCAACGATATTCGACATAATCGAGTGTCATCTATTAGCGAGATTGTGCAGTTTCACGCTGACCACCCATTTATATTCAGTGTGCGGCACAATTTGTCTGGATTGATTTTATTTGTTGGACGGGTGGCCGATTTTCCGAGTGCGCCAAGCGTCAGTAGCAGTGCAACGCGCAGTAGTTCCGCGTCGAAAACGTCGGAAACTATTCGGAATTTCTTCAGTCGGCAGCTGAGTGGCGGAAAATTCCCTTCGCTGGCCCCAACAAAAAGCGCTCCTAAATAACCTTTCACCACAAATTTTTTGCTATTTGTTGGCATGAAGTTAGTAATTAGAGTGTACGATGGGTGCATATGCAGATTATACGATACAAGAAATCATAGTGTACAATGCTACCATGAGTCCTCTTTGTAGAATCCTTAAATTTGCTCATTACTTGTAACGTAGCCACAATACCGCTTAAAACAACAGTACAAAAAAGTTCGTGAGCTGTGTAGTATAATTAATGCGACTGCTGTATAGAGGAAAGACACTATAAAAAAATGTTCATGCAATTCATTCATCAAGTAATTAATCAGTTCATTAATAATGTCAAATTTCGGTTTCTCACAGATAGCCTTACGGCTTTTTTTCAAACCGGATAGGTATTAAGAAAGTTTGTCTCAATACATATGAAATATGGAAATAACAATCAATATTGAACTGATGTGAGAAAATGTTCGTTTAAGTTATTTCATCCTCTGCAAGGTAGTACGTCTCTTGTGCCTTAAGTTAAATTAATAGGATCACTTGATACAAAGAGTGCTGTAGTAGTACACGTGCAAAAGCGCCATAGCGCAGCCAAAGATACGTACCTATGTACGTACGAACATCTGTTCTCTGGCTAGCACGGCGGTCCATAGAAACAGTGAAAACGTCTATACTTACCTCACATCGAATTCGAAACGTTACTTATTCCGGGGTCTTCAGTGTGAAACCGTTCTCAGAATTTTGAATTTTATTTTAATACTCATTCGAACATATCGCGTACTCGTACTTTAATTTGAACTTATTAAGTTAATTCGCATTTGCGCACTAATACTGTGCGAGTCCATGCCGCTCTCTGAAAATTCTGACCTTTCCACTGTTTGTACGTCCTCCGGTCCTCGACGTCTGCCTCGAAGATTCAATTTCCAACCAACAAAATATTCCCGCGAAGGACTGACCTCGCCTGGTCCCAGCGAATTCAGCAGTTTTACCGAAAACGACTCATCCTGCAGTCTGTCGTCCCGCAGCAGGTGTACAAAACGAAAATACCGCTCCAGCTCGTCGCGAAATAAGGAAAATTACATCAAACGCAGGAAACCTATCCGGGCACTTCCGATTCGCCGCACACGGACATGCTCACGAAGTCTGCACATTAAAAGTAGAAGCGCCCCGCGACATCATAGTGTTTTGTACACCGGCAAAAGCACTCGCCAGGTAAAACAATTGGGCGAAAAATTATAATAAGAACCAAGACTTTGTTAATAGGCTGACTGATTGGATAGTAAAAAAACTTGATCGCTTTGTAAAAGTAAATTGGAGACTGTACTTTAAAGCATTTTGTGCATATTTTCAACAGAGGTTTAATTTTTAAATAAAATTAATACGGTGTAACGTACAGAGAATGCAACTGTCCACTGAAAATTTCAGTCATAAAAACTATTTAGAATTTACATGGTAGATACATATAGATATGCATATCTATATTAGTCAGCAGTATACAATAATTATAGGTGACCACTCCGTACACACCCTTTCACACCCTTTTACTCCGTACACAACCTTTTGCACTCCCTTTCATTCCGTGCACAACCTTTTTGCGCTTCCTTTCATTCCGTACACAACTTTTAATTTTTTTTAATTTTTTCACAGCAGAGTTATTTCTGGAATAAAAAAAGTGCAATCTCGACCGTTTTTTGGATTTTGAACAGCAACGTTTTTCACCCTAATCTCCGCAAGATCTGCTCCGTAACACTTGTATGTTCAATCTTCGCTTGCCACGTGAGTTATTTGTCGACGCTGCCATACACCAGGACGTCTTCGTCGGAACGGTCCCATGATGTTGCAAAAACTTGCAAAAACGTAGTAATATTTTTTTTGTAGTTTTGCTTTTCTGTACTAATATAGATTACAAGTATTCAAGTACAATACCCATTCCGTGCACAACCTTATAGGTTGTGCACGGAATGAAAGGGAGTGCAAAAGGTTGTGTACGGAGTGAAAGGGTGTGAAAGGGTATGTACGGAGTGGTCACCATAATTATAACCTAAAAAAATTTCGCAGCAGCTGCTTGCCGCTTTACAGGCGTATAAACAAAAAAGTAGTAATCTTGCGACTACAGTAGTGCCGTCCGTCGAAATCCATTAATACCGTTAAACGGCTGTACTAAATTACTACTACATCGGAAACCGGAAGAAATCAAACTGGACTATCAGTTGTAAAAATTCCACTGTAAATACAAAGTGGTGCAAGTCCTAAAAACCTTTAAAACCTTTAAAACTCTTAAAACTGTAAAATTACTAAAACTTCTAAGACTCTTAAAATAAAAAAATTAAAAAAATTCTTAATTTGCAGTTGAATATAAAGAAGCGAAAAGCTTTTCTCGACCGCATTCGTGCTCAGGAACCGGATGTGGAAATTGGTTGCGTTGTTAGGAGTTCGGAGAGCGATGATGTTCTGATCGCAGAACATAAAACCGCCATTTCCGCCAAAACCTTGGCTCATGGTCAACACGAGATTACCAGTGTGGCGAGGCTCACCAACAGTTTTATCGGTAGAGGCGGTTTTGGTGAAGTAAGCTTCGCCAGTTATAGGACTTATATAGCTTATGTTTTACTTAATTAAACGTGTTTTCACGTGTTTTGGCTCTAAAGTAAGAGAAAATTAATATTTTGTCAGGTCTCGGCATGGCAGATAACGACAAAGGACGGAAAAGTCCATCGCGTTGCTGTGAAATGTTTCGATGCTCAAGACGAAGGTGTGAAATTAAAATATTCTTTTCATTATTTCGAAATCTAGAATCAAAATTTCTAAAACATTTATGAACCTATAACTTTGATTGTTTATTCCGCAAGTGCATTCTACAGCATGCTTTATATGGAATACAAGCACATAATTATAACGAAGTTCTGTTCAACTTCAAAGCATAAGTAGGAATTTATTCGTTCATTCAAATTTTAAAACCGAGCCATATTTCGCCTTGTACTGGCGTACAAGGCGCCCGCTCATACCTTTAATACATAATTGTATGCCAATGCCATAATATTCCGAAAAACTAGGATTGTATCTACCAGATTGCTTAATTGCATGTTTTCAAAACTTTGGAAAAGGTAATTACTTACACATTGTTATACTTCATAACGAAATGGCTAATACAAAAGTGACTGCAATAATTTTGCCTAGTTGTCAGGTTTGAAACTGGCCGAAGCCGAAGCCGCCGTAATGATGGAGTTTGAACAATTGTTGAACTCAAAATTGTTGTTGTGGTTTGTACCACGACGTCTCCGATGTTTTCCGAAAGATTTCCCTTATCCTGCAATAATAATGCCTCTGTATGAAAGTAAGTGGCAAGCAATCGCATGGCAAACCCGTGATGACTGAAAAGGTCAGTTTTGTGCAGCGCGCCGCAGTGGTCTTCATTCTAAATTTACATTCATGCTCCTTTACTCCTTGCACGGTAGTCATACTACATTGGATAAATTCACAAAAGTGCAGCACACTGCTTACAATATGGCCATTTTTCCAACTGTTACGGTTAGTGTTTTTCAGACCGTAAATGTATTTCACCGTCCCTGTACAATTTGGTTTTTGATAAGCGATTAATACGGCCCACAATAGCGTGGATCCTGAGAACAGCCATTCTGCTTTTGCGAGTCCTCGTCAAATTACATTCTGCCGGATGGGCGCATGGCGACTTACATGCCGGCAATGTCATGCTGACAAACCGTGAAATAGTCCTGATCGACTTTAGCAAAGCAAACCGCAAAAATCGTCCGTACATATACAGTTTGGTAATAACAAAATAATAATGTCCAATGGTCGACGTTTTCTGTTTATCCTTTAAGTACTAAAGCGACAGCAAATGCGAAGTATGAGAAAAACTGCGTACTCGTAGAACAACTTGCGTATCCGCGGCTCAGTAATATTCAGGTATTGATTTTTGACTATTTATAATGCGAAGACATACAGGGAAGACAGCCAACAATGCCAGTCTGGCATATAAGAACTGTTTAACTGGGAGTATTATAATTTTTTTAGTTCTAGCTTTTGTTTACTAAATGGGTGTGGCTAGGTACTTCATGTTGTATGCGCTTATCGGTAGAATAACGATGCGGACTGGATAAAACAACTGGACTGGATCGAACCCAAAGCTGTGATTGGACAAGACTGTTGTTCACGCGCCAGCGATATTTGGAGTTTCGGCAAACTTATCCAGATTTTGCTAGAAGCTTCCGGGGTTTCGCCATCATGCCTTTCGAAAAAGGATCTTGAATACCATCGACGATTAAATGCTGTGGTGCACTTAGCTTATCATAAACGCCAATATCGACCGGATGTACAGTTTCTACTAGATGTTCTTAATTGTAGAGAATTCGCTTCCCTGAGCATTTGTACCTGTCAGTCCGACTGTGAAATGTTGCAAAAATAGCGTCATGCTTTACAAACCACACGTTCATCTCGTTTCATTAATAATCTTTTCACATCACCTAATGGGAAACTCACATTCGCTTTTACACAACTACCCACAAAGGTTCTTTTCATTTATCAAAACTCGACCTTCTACCGGTATAAAAATCAGAAGATTATAGAGGTCACCAGTCGGACACAATGCTATGAAATGTCTAAAACGCAAAATTTCAGCTGCATAAAAATTTTAAATCTTAAATAAAAATAAAATTTAATCTGCATTACAAAGGGAATTATTCACGATCATTACAAATCGATACATGGATAGATCATCCATGTATCGTCAATGATTATTACAAAGGGAATCAGTCAATGATACATGGACTTTCGAATGTTTTGCCGCGCACGCGTTCTTCCAGGCCTTCTCCACCGTATGAAACCAAAGGAGAAATCTCACAAACCACTTGTTCGCCTTCATTGCGAATGAATTCTCCACCTGCCCTGGAAATGAATCGTGCATGCAGATCAAACACTGCGTTACGTGCAGTGGTAGGAGTATCGTCCGAAGCTCCATCAGCATTCTTCAGTGGGGCAAATTCATCACTACGAATTGGTTCCCATACAGCGAACCTGTTGGCAAACTGGAACACGTCAAAGATAAACTTTTCCATTTTGATTCCATTGGGTTTAGCAGGTTTAATGGTTGCGCCATGGCAGTCAACGTAAGGAATTTTTTTCTTCGCGATATGGTAAGGCAAATCATCATCATGCTGCCGACAGATATCGTTCAGAAAGTCGGTTGTGAAGAAATGGTTGGCAATGTTGCCGGCATTAAACATCAGAGAACCATCGGAAAGGCGACGTTGTGCGGTTTCCGGAAGAATTTCACTATACTCTACCACCTAAACGCCAAATAAAAAAGATGTTATGAAATCACTGCGTGAAACTTCATAATAAAGAAGCTCAAGTAATTTCATTAAGAGGTGCGAATTATCATCCCCGCAGCATGAGCAAATTACCATACTATCAGCTCCAAGTATAGTGTTACTGTAAACTAATTCTGTCAACGAAATGATTTATGAAAAAATGACGAACCAGGTCATGAGAGCCTAAAGCGAAACACCTACATCGGCGGCGCCTTACTCTACAAACCATCAGACGAAATATTCAAGTCAGAATCCATGCCAACTCTTTCTCACCTGCCATATGCCTTTTGTGCCATTTTTCCTCACTAAGCATACCACACCGACGGCTTCATTAGGATCAGTTTTGGCGACCACCTTGTTACCACATTCCAAATTTTTTGCTATGCAGTAGCCAATGAAATGAGGATCGGCCATCCGTACCAGAATGTTGTCCACACCACAAGCATGCACATATTTGATCCCATTTTGCGACATATCGTCCAACACTTTTTCCTTTAACAATGCTCGATACAGCCCACCATTGCCGCCGGGTGCAGAGGCGATCTTCGAGGGCGATTCCAGAATAATCTTTCCGTCGAAATCAAAACAAGGCAGCATTTCTTGTTCAAAAATCACTACAGATTTCTTGTCAAGGCCAAAGTAATCATGCTGGGAAAAGAATGTTTCTGTGGCATGCTTTGTGTGCTCACTGGTCATAATGTACCAACGAATTTTGCCAGATTTCCCATAGGATTCTTTGGCCAAGTCCTGGAGCCTTAAAATACGCTCGGCTTGGATTTGATAGAGTGTTTTGTTAGACGGAAGTCCGACACTATACATTCCTTTAGGATAATCAACTCCAAGTCGGGTGCCTTGACCACCTGTAAAATCGCACATCTCAGTTTCGATTCTGCAAAGCACAAGTACAATACGAGTATGAAACAGAATAAGTTTCTCAATTTAAATAACAATCGCTAAAAACTATGTTCTTCCATAAATTTATCGTAAGAATGAACGTACACTTAGTCATTTTTCGAAAGACTACCGGCATGAAACTGGATACAAAACTAAACTGCGGCATATTGCGCAATCGCCAACTATCAACATAAGGGAAAAAAAGAAACCATGCCATCAAGATGAAACTTTTAACTCACTCGGCAAACAGTGCAGGAGATTGCATGTCTATTCACAAATTCCAAAAATTATTTTAATGCGCAATTTAGTACTCCAAGTTGCCAACTATGCATATGAATGATATGATTATTAAGAAAAGCCCGTATTCCTGGTCAACACGTAAATACGCAAACGTTAAGCTAATGCGACGTCCAATTTTCAACTACACAAAACCTGTGCAAAACCTAATCTTAACCCAAATTTAAATGCAAGTAAATACCACCTGACGCTCCGAAATCTAGATGGAAAATGCAATTTCGTGCAACTAAAAATTTTATTACGAGTACGGAAGATAAGTTAGTGGACGAACGAATGCCACGTGGCACTGTTTACCGAAATAAGATCGTTATCTGCTTCATATCTTTTGCGTCCAGCTGCACTCTTCGTGATGAAAAATTTCAGAATTAAGAAAAAATTCAATTCATGAATATCTGTAAAACGGCGCCAATAATGAATAACAAAATTAAACATCGCCTGCTTACCAGCCAGCAGAATAACAGCTACTTCCCCATTGGACACTGCATGGAGTCCTTTGGAGAGGAAGTCTTTCAGCTCCTCCGCAGTGTTCCGCTTCACTCCACCGTATAACTCCGAAGGCACCGGTTCCATGAATTTGTCGATAGATTGAGCAATAATTCCAGCTGAGTCTTTGGTTTGCTGGTACATCTTGTCCACGTGCTGGAAATCGACATGTTCCAGCTGGTGGAGAAGGGACTGTCGTTCTTCTTCCCGCAGGGTGTCCCAAAACTGCAGCAGATGCTGCTGCCCATGTTTGTCCAAAGTGTGGGATATTCCGGCCATATCAAGATGCATTGCCAGGTAATGAGAAGGGTCGCAGTGAACTGATTCGGGTCAGTGAATTTGATCTGTCACCGAAAGATTTCAAGAAAGTCTGTGCATGACGGTCGACTGAAGAGAACCGGTTGCCGTCACTACGGCATGAACGATCTGGGCCACGAGGTAAGGTACAGTAGCTAATTCGTCGATTCCGCAATATTAAAAATCAGATCAAGCACACGTGAGCTGATGCCGTCTTTTGCACTACTTATTAATAAACCAGAAGGCAGTGATGATGACTTACGCATTCAAAAGATCAACAGTCTATCCTAAAATGTGCAGACAGACACCATACAGTACTGTACATTAAAGTGATTAAACTGATTGATTGATTAATATCGTGTGAAATTCTTTTTAAAAGATTTTTTTGAAGTCTTTCTACCTAATCCTGATTCCTGCGTTGCGGTTCATGTAACGTAGTCGCCGTCCTACGAAGGAGTGTTTTGTGAAAATTTCGATGTCTTGAGATTTTTATAAATTTATTTTGACATGATCAAGACATTAGTACTATATTATGTCTTGATACTTTATGAGAGAGCGAAACATCAAACCCTAAGTGATGATATTATTTTTTGTGTTTTTCTGTCACTTTGGCGCGCCCTTATAATTAAGGGATTTGGCCCGGTACATAGCGCTATAATCGTGTACATTGACGGGAATATTCGCTTTCGCGCACTTTCAAACACTTTTTTGGGTTGCTTTTTGACATTGTGTAGCCAAATGATTGGTGTACATAGGCGTGAAATCCGTTTTCGCGCGCAACATCCGGTTGCGGAGTTATGAGGGTAACAAAATTCCAAAAAGTTTAAATGCATTCAGGTGTACCAAAAGTCTCATTATGGACCGATCCCTTTCAAACTTTGCACGGAAATGCACATAACCATGAAGATCGTTTTGACACGGATCCACTGTTCTAACATGTTTTTCAAATTTTAAAATGAATTTCAAAAATTTTAAAATTCATTTTAAAATTTGAAAAAAAATCGTAGAAGTCTGGATCCGTGTCAAAACGATCTTCATGGTTATGCATTTACGCAAAATTCTGAAAGGATCGGTCCATAATGAGACTGTTACACCTGAATGCATTTAAACTTTTTGGAATTTTGATACCCTCATAACTTCGCAACCGGATGTTGCGCGCGCAAACGGTTTTCTCACCTAGGTAAACAATTCTTCTGGCTACAAAATACCATAAAGCAATGCAAAAAAGGTTTTGGGAGCGCGCAGCAGCGAAACTTCCCCTGGATGTTCACGATCTTGGTGCTATGTACCGGGCCAAATCCCTTAAAAGCAAAACATATGCCTTATGGAAAGCAACAGAAAAAGGGTAGCAATTCGTCAAGCAAGTTAAAAGTATAATCATAAAAAGAAAACACTGACAGTATCGGTTTCAGGATCAATAAAAAAATTTACACCACAGATTTGAGGTAGTCTTTAATTTCTGCTGTTGATAGCAAGCGGAATCCATCCTTGGCGGTTGCGATTCCCACTTCAATGTTGCTTTCCGTCATCTGGCCATCGAAGCTTTCTTTCAGGGTGAGTAAAGCGGTGTGAACTGCATCCTCGATGACCATGTCGTCAGAAAACCTATAATAATCACAAAAAGCTAGAATAATCACAATTTTCGTAAAGCCGAATAGGTACAGTAATTACAAAAAGTCAGATTCCTTAACAAACCTTTTTTCAAGAAACGTTTTAGCGTTGATATAGTTTTTTCCCATCGCCGTCGCTTTCCACGCAAAATATGACCCGGACGGATCAACTTGGAACAAATAAGGGCGATTATTGTCCCAGGAAGCAATTAACAACGAGACCCCGAACGGTCTCACTCCACTGCGACAGAAACAAAATTCAAGCTCACTCACTGCGACAGAAACAATTCCCTCACTGAGGAGTTATTGCTATATATCTATATCACACATGAATGATACAAGAACATGCGACTTATGCATTTTAGCCTACAACTTACAGGACTTACTCTTTTCGAAGACAAATAAAATATATATTCCAGAAAACACAGCCCACAAATTTATCACTTACTACTTAAGAAAAGTTATGGTATACGAGTTAAAATTTTAAATCTACAGGAATACTTCCGAATTTTGATACCGTGTAACGATCAGCACATATTTAGAACGTTCTCAACAATAAAACTTTTCGCACTCAAATCTTCAGAAACTCCGAAATTGCCCGAAAAGAAAGGAATTAAAATCACCCGTCCTGACCTTACCCCGATTGTGTATACTCCTGCATAACCGCAGCGACTCGCTGTACTAGTTGAACAGTGGGTGCGTTCTCTTGATACATCATCTTGTATTCCTGTGCGATCTTTCGGGCTTTTTTTACCAAGAGCCTAGAGCGAAATTCCGTTTCATATGGACGTTACAGGCAACATAAAAATCGAATACATACCGGAAATCTGGACCCATACCAGAATAAACCATTCCGATGTTTTTGGTTATCGCCTCGACTTTCACAACAGTTTCTTCTTCGAACAACTGATTCTTCTGCTTTTTCTCCGTGGCCACAACAACGCCATCAGCAGCTGTAGAACAAAATAATTAATTATTCACTGTTCACCGTTCAAATGATGCAAATACAAAGAGTCCACGTTCATAAATACACCATGCTCGAACCTCGGATGCCAACGGTGGGTGCTCCAGCGGCGACAGCTGCCAAGGCATACTCTATCTGGACCAGCTTTCCCGATGGACTGAATGTGGTCAGGGAGAAACTGTACTGCCCTCCTTCAGCCATATAAACGAGATCTAAGATCACCTGCTAAATAACGGCTTCTAAAAAAGGGTTTGCTAAAAAAGTTACACGAAATTTTGAAATGTTTTGAAAAGTCCGACAAGGATTCACGTCTGGTTTTGCTAAGTACTTTTAAATGATGAATTGATGCATATTTATATTCCAGTGCGCTGATTGTATGACTTCGCAGTTTCCAGTACCGTAGTCGCAGTCTGTTGTAGGTAGTACTAGTAGACCAGAGTATGGTTCAGTTGTCATTTCCACTTCCATTCCCACGGCTTACGTCTGTTTTTTAACTTTGCTAAGCAAAGACTGCAAACTGCAAAGTTAAAACGTTTTAAGAGCAAAGTTTGCTCTTAATTTTCGAAGGTGATGATGAATCTTCTCGTTTTGTTTCGGTTCTTGCAGTCTTTCTGTTACGCTAAACAAATTATCGCAAACAAATCAGCAAATACTGTAGTCTGTAATCCTTAATCAGCGCATGCATCTCGTTTTGTTGGGGATTTGGAGGAGGTCCATTTTTCAAGTATTATTGTTAGGCTTGCCGCTTGCGGATTGCCTTGTGGGTCGTAATCGGGGCCCGTGGTTTGTGACTGTGGTAAAGTCAGGTAGATCCTAAATCTTTGTGACTTTCCTTGGCGCGAGCGCTCAGTTATATCAGAATTAACGGGGAACCTGGGACGTTCCGACGTTGTCAAGATGTCGATGATTTTGCAACCAATCACCGCACGGCTCTTAGGAGCCGCAGTTCCTTTTCGTTCCACTGTTCGCGAATTTAAAGGAAACAAGCACTGGCTTATTAAATGGCGAGAACTTCGCAGGAAAAAATTCGTCAAGGTTAGTTTATTCCCCCTCGGTGAGCATGTGTAAAAAGTATTAGTAAGTACGCGGGTATTATAATCCCATTTTGTAGTTTTATCATTTTTTTAGTAATTACTAATTAGCTAATGTTAATGTCACTACAGTGCGTATTTATGTTTAAATAGGTATCGTGCCTTTACTTTAAATTCACTAATGAATATTTTCCATGGTTTGTTTGTTTGTAATATATTTGAATTTGCGTGGATATATTCCGTTTACTCCGCTGTTGGATGTTTAGTCCAATTTTGACTTAGTTATGCTTTTTTGTGATTTCGCCAGATTGAGCTACCGGACTACGATTTGATGCGAAAAGAAATGCACGGCCACCTAACTCCCAGTGAAGTGCGTGCCAAATTCAAAAAAGAAGGCATGGCTCCCACCCGCCCGTACAATGAAAGACCAATTCTTATTCAGACGACAGGTACTTTATTATGGTCTTAAATTAATATGGGTTGGGGTTGTGGTTCAGTCGCCGTCCATCTGTGACGAATGTTTTGGTTTATCCAGCTTTTTTGTTTTTTGTTGACTAATTAGGGTCACGGTTTTTAATTACAATTTACATAATTTTTGGGCTGACATACGATTTAAGCTTTCACATAAAGTAGCAAACGAATATCGAACAGTCAGCGGCTTACTTTGTACTCAGTTTTACTATCTTGCAGAAACCATTTTTGAACCCTTTCTCCCTCCCGAAGGCGATGGACGCCTGTCAACTTTGTCTAAAGAAGGAGCAAAACAGCGGTTCGAAGAAGCTGGAAAGAAAACCCGGAGTATGTGGCACCTTCGTAAGCTTAGGCGCTACGATGAGGAATTTGATAGTGGAGACTTTGCTGGGAAAGCTCAGGATTTGTACATCGACGCGCATCATAAATTGGCTGAGTGAGCGACTGATTGCGTTCGACATTCTCATAAACTGTGATGATGCATAGCCTGCCGAGTGCTGCGTTGCAGTGAATACATACCTGTTTCAGGGGTAAATTGGACGAACTGCATGACCTGGTGACAGAATCTGGATTTTCGGTAAGTTCGTGAATTTGCGGCCAATGTCCCTTCGAGTTATTGTCTATAGTATACTTCTGTCCGCATTTACCACGTTTTGTGTTAGTACCTATTACCTACCTTGTAAGGATACATGAAACTTTCAACTACATTGGGCTTTGACGGAATTGGTGTTCGTCGTGCATTTCGCATGGGTATGGAACTTGCGGCGCGATTTAATGTTATAAGCCGCTTTTTTCGTCTACAAAACTGTACAGTTTCGACCTTTGGCCGGTAAGTTAGGGTTTCTTAATGCTTCGCTTTATGTTAGGATATGGTTGATGGAATGGAGAATAAGACAGTTCGCTGGAAATGGCATGAAACTTTAGAGCTTCCTCGGATTATGCATATTCGGGTTGCTCCGGTGATCGATAAAACAAATTTGTTTGCCCAAATAACAGTTCGGATTCATGGAAGACAGGTAGGTGAATTTTTGGAATCGTGCGGTCCTTTAAATGTTCTTTGTGCTTGTAATCTTCCGAAATTTAAATTAATTGTATGACTGGAACCTGACGATGTCGTTACCTATACAGTCTTTGGGAATCTACGACCGGTTTGGGCGTTTGATGTATGGCAGCCAAAATTTAGTGAAGAACGTTCTTGAATATGTTGTCTTTGAGAAGCACGTATCTGATCCCTATGGTACATGGAGGATACATTCGAAAATCGTGCCTTCCTGGGCACCACCTCGTGATCCGATTTTGCGTACTTTCCGAAAACCGGAATTGATTGCGCCTTCTGAGTCTTACTTGGAAAAAGAGAAAAAGAAGCAAGAAATTGAAGATATTAAAGATGACGACGATCCTAAGCATGCCTCAGAATCCACCGCTGCCTCTGAAGGGAAATTGGCTACGGCATGAAAAGGCTGTGTGCGTTTTTTAACACTGTTTCGTCACCAGTTTTTTTATGGGGCGGATATGATGCCAGTGTCAGCCCGTTTCGACCGTCAATAACGCTTCCTTTCTTTGTGTCAATTAAATTCAGTAGTGTTTCGTCATGCTGTATTGGAAGTCCACACAATCTAACGACTTTTCGCAGGCAGCCATACAGAAAGCGAATTTTCAATTCATGTATCCTTAAAAAACAAAACCTACAAAAGCTGCGCGCTCTATCCCGTCGCAGTACTTGTTTACTGTGAGTCTGTGACCTCACCATCAGCAGGGAAAGTTTCGACAAATCAGTCCGCATAGTACTGTACTCAATAGAGCTTTGAAGAAGTTCTGCACTTTTTCTGCACTTACCGTCCTTGCTGTATGCCGTATGAGAAACGTGCTCTTCGCATGTTTTTAGTTTTTACTGGATTCGGTTTTTACTTGTGCAGTAACGTTAGTACCCCCTGCATCTGTACGGTCTGTACTCTCTACCTTGTGTTAAAAAAAGTGCAGCATTACATGTACTTATTAATAATAATATTAAAAATAAGTACAACATAATTATTATATTTCTGCAAGTTGTAACTGGGTGCGATACGACGGAAGGCTGAATGTGGTCACAACAGAGCATTTATTTGCGTCATGAGAACCAAAATTTTACACAAATTCCAAAGTGATTAATATTACTGTAATCACTTTGCAAATCCTCTATAAATCACGAAAAAAGGGCCAGAAAAACTGAATGTGGTTGGTGTCGCGGACTCCCTTTATTTCACCTGAGGTACAATCTAAATTTGTATTAAGTAATAGAAAGCATCAACATTTTTTACAACATCAAAATTTCATTAAACTTTTCTGCTCCTTCCATCGTTCCCATAACCGACGCCGCGTTGCCGCGCTGAATCTCCAGTGACAATCTTTGGCGTAAAAATTCATGAGAACGGGCTTCCCCCGTGTGTTGCTCGAGCCGTTTGCCCAGTGCTTTGATGATGGCGATAGCGGATGGCCCCAAGGGCCCCTTGTTTCGAAAGCTATCGGTGCAAAGATGTATCTGCCACTTAGATACAAATAAAGCCGGGATTTCTTTTCTTCCGCTTCCAACGCCGCTGCACCTGCGTTAGCTGCCATAGACTTGACGTGGGAAGGCGCAACCGTGTCGACACAAGTGACGTCCCATGCCAAGCACATCCCTCTCTGCCAGGCGAAGGTTGTGCAGCCATCAGGACCTCGTTCGGGTCCGACCGGACCGTATCGACGCATCTGTTGTTTTGCATACAGCCACCTCGTGCGGTTGAGCAACCACGCGTTCGCCAAAAATCTGGCTGGCTTCAGGATCACGAACTGAAACCAAAATGCCTTTGCAGGCTTTGCTTTTCACTTTTCAGATTTTAACGTAAACCAGAAAGGATCGAGAAATTAAATTAATACGGCACTACTACGGCCTTAACTTGCAGATCTGAAGTTAGCAAGCAACCTGGCATATTTGTAATTTGCGGACAAAGCTGATCGTGGATGTGTACAAAATCTCAGAATATTCATTTGCGAGTGCGATCTAACGACGACCAGATGAGATAATAATGTTGCTAGCATTACGATGATCACTAACGCACGTTACGCACCTGTGGCTCCTGTCCCGATTGACTGTGTCAAAACATTGTTTTGAGTTCACAGTGGAATGGCGAATTTTTCCGCGAATCGATTGTTCCACTTGCTTCGTTCTGTTAGCAGTAATTTGCTCATCTCAGGAGCAGGACAGCGGACGGTATTAGAGCCGCGCTCCCATGGATGCAGATATGTCTCTGCAAAGATGGGCAGACCCAGGGAGACTGATCCACATTTCGACGAAGTAAATATTAACCAGTACAGCAAGAATGATCCTGTCCTTTCCTTGCGAACATACATGTGGGGTAATGCGCAGACCGGTGCTGTTGGTGTAGCGGAGTATCCGCGGCCAAAAATCAATGCAAGGAAGCCACCCGTTTTACGCAAGCATCATCCAATACGGCTGCCGTTCTGTGAACTGACGAGAATTCGCTTCAAGCAAGTCAGTTGTGGATATGGATTTACTCTGTTTCTTACGAGCATACCCGATATGCAGAATAATTCAGTGTATGTTACGGGACTCAATACGGATTCCCAGCTGGGATTCCATCCAAAAATGAACAAGGACCGGTCGATGAAAACTGTTCTGGCGCCTATTCCGCTGGATCTCCCACTGAGAAACCGTAAAGCGAAAGTTTTACAGGTAGCCGCTGGACGTGCGCATTCTGTGATCCTGACGGAAGAGGGATGTTTTGCGTTAGGGAATAACGCTTATGGTAAGATTGCTGATTGCAGCACACCGTCGTGTGTTGCTGACGAGTCTCGTCAAGTGATTGCTATGATTATTTTTACAAATCATGTGGAATGACCGGTGCTAAATGGATATTGTCCAATTACAGAAGTACAACTATTGCTTCACTTATTGTTCTACGTTTCTGCCGTGGTGCCTGAACTAAAAGGGAATCCCTTTCTATACTGACGATCACTTACAGAATACATGTAACATATCTATTCGCATTTCGTACTTACCGTGCTGTACTTCGTAGGTCAGTGTGGCCGAAAAATTGTCGAAAAAGAAAATTACGCCAATAACTCCCGAATACACCGTGTCCAAGACCTTCCCGGCGACGTGATAAAAATTCATTGCAGCCAGGATACGAGTTACTTCCTAACCGCCAGCGGGCAGGTGTATAGTTGTGGCTGGGGTGCAGATGGACAGACCGGAAATGGGACCTATGACACCACAAGCGTGCCAGTGCGAGCCGTGGGTGATATCGCCGGAGAGAGAATTGTGCATCTCTCATCCGCTGCGGACTGCGTTCTGGCTTTGAACGACAAAGGCCAAGTTTTCGGTTGGGGTAATTCAGAGTACCAGCAACTGTCAACAGTGACGCGAGAGCCGCAAACGCCGTATCCGCAGTATTTACCATTTGATAAAGAACTTGGCCAAATCAAAAACGTTTCCGCTGGTGGAACTGTTTGTGGACTCATAAACGCACAGGGTCAAGCTTTTGTATGGGGCTTTGGTCTGCTGGGAAAAGGACCAGAAATTCAGAATGCTGACTTTCCGTCTCCGATGCCAATGGGGCTTTTTGAAGCAGCAGAATTCGATGAAAAAAATCCATTAAAAAGCATACATTGTGGAATGATGCATCACGCGATTATTTCGGAACGAGGAGATCTCTACACATGGGGCGCTAATGATTTTGGACAGCTTGGATTAGATCACTGTGGTAGAGATATTCAGTATCATCCTTTAAGGGTAAACATCTCCGCAAGAGTCCAACAGATTAGTTTAGGCGTCGATCATTCTGGCGCTATTTGTCGGGCTAATATCTGATATGTTTAAGGTTGTTTAATCTTTTGGATTCTTTTAATGATGAGACGGTATATAGTCAACCGGTAAAACCCAATAACAGACCGTGTTTCACACATTTTCAACAGCCATCGAATTCTCTGGTCACCTTCTCACGAAGAGATTTGTTAATAAATAATTCTACTGCCGTTAACGCCATTATTTTAGCCATTCGAAGACAGTACGGCTGAGTTTTAGAAGATCCGGCTAGTTTTTGAAATTCTCTAGTATGTATCAAATGAGATTCTCCCACGAAAAACCTGGGATGAATGGTTGGCACCACCATGGAGACATTGCCGATGTCAGATGATCCGTGCAATCCGGGATCGGGTCCATAAACGAGATCTAAACAAGAATCTGACATCAGTTTGTACACAACCATAACAAGTTAGCATACCGGAAAACAATTAAGTGGTATTTTTGGAGATAAACTGCGTCAACCTTAGCGACATTAATTATTATGATCTAATATCGTATGAAACAGGTTGCAGAACAATTTATTAGAGGATGTAAAAATAATCAAAGAATGTGGATTACTTTCTGCTTGAGCGAAATCACCGAAAGTGGATGCCATCGTCCTGTTTGATCGTAGGGGCAGATACGGTTTGGGATCCCAGGATAAGACCATGCGGCATCCTAAAACTTCGAGTCTTGCAACTGTTCAGTTCGAAATTTGTCGATGGCAACTTTAGGCAAGATTTCACATTTTAAAAATTAATGGTATTGTATTGACAACTTGACAGTCTGATACCAATGCCGCACGTACAGTATCACACCCGGGACGGTGCACCGTAGTCCGTACTGAATGGTCAAGATATACAGTACATACGAATTACGAAGACTACGTAGTACACTTTTATATAATTTTCCCACCACAACGTCCAAATTCGAACTGCGTGTACGTGCTTATAATAACGTGACGATCAAGGATACCTGCAAATTAAGTAGACTACGGACGCACCTGTTGCTTCGGCGGCGCATTCAAAACACTGGATCAATTTCGATTTGAGAATAGCCATATCCTCCATGTTCTGGCAGCGCATATAATACTGTGATTCAGAATGATCAGGTATCACGTTTGGGACAGTACCACCCTTCGCGATAATGGCATGCGCCTTAAATTATCGGGAAACAGATAAACTTAGGTAAAACCCGCTTTCACAGTGATAAAAACTGTTTACTCTCCAGTCCGGCTTCATTTGTTGTCGTGATAAACTGACAGCATTGTACGCCGATATTGCGGCATCTAATGCGTTAACTCCTTCCCAAGGCTGGCACGATGCATGCGTAGCCCTGCCGAAAAATTCGACTGTGCACTATAAAGTTAAAACAACTGTTACAAATCATTTTTCATTCAGTCCTGCCAACGGTAGTGATGACTGGGAAACTTACACGCTCAATTCCCAGAGTGATACAGTGCAAGACATCATGCGGAAATGGATGGGCCATCATGACGAAATCAATATCGCGAAAACACCCGAAATTGATCAAGTCAATCTTTCCACCTCCCCCTTCTTCCGCAGGACATCCCAGAACTACAACCTAACCAGTAAGACGAACTCTTAATGAAGATATTTCGAAAACCGAAGAAAAAAGCAATCCGACTGTTTACGTCAGCAGGCAGTAAGACATGCAAAAATGAGTACTTGCTACATATGAAAATAAATGTAAGTACCTTTCCCGGAAATTTCGTCTGGCTATTCGAGAGCAAAACGTCCCGTACAGCACAACCAGCAGCGATGCCGACTTCTGTATAATATAAAGTGATTATCGTTATGAGATATGAAAAAAAAGATGCAACAACAAGAAACTAACTTGTCGGCACCCATAAATGGCTCCAATCACGACAATTAACTGCCGAGTGATCAGATCAAGAAATCAGCAAAGAATATGGACAAGTGTAAGCATAAAAAGAGAAGAACATTAAGCTGTAAGAACAATTTAGACTACTTAAAATGTTAAACTATTGTCTACCGGCAATGAGATTATGTCCGCATGCATGGCCGATTTCCGGCAGAGCATCGTATTCGCAGAGAATTGCAATAACCGGATGGGACCCTACGACGTAATCCGAAGTAGCAATTTCTGCACGGAAAGCGGTAGGTACTCCAGCGTATGCTTTTTCAACAACGAAGCCCTCTTTCGAGAGGAAATCTGTCAGCAGTGCGTGAGCGAAGTGTTCGTCATATTGAGTTTCCGGGTGCGCCCAAATCAGCTGGCTCAGATTATTAAATTCTTCCTTATTCTTCGCCAAGGATTCGGATATCATTTGAGCAAACAAAGAAGCTTCCATGGTTTGTCACAGTTTTGAGAGCGATCGAAGGCCGAATACTTTCCATTCCATTCAATCAACTTCCTGCCAGCAGAGATACGGTACCGACCGTGCTCACACGTACCTATAACTAATCGAAAAAAGAAATTAACTTTCAATTTCAACAGCAAAATATATTGATTCCAGAATCCCAACTCAAAAACAAGCTCGAATACATCTACTCGTCACACCTCGAGCGTCGTCGAGTGCCACTGTACTGTTACTGTGTACAATAATAACAATATTTATACTGGTATAAATCGTTAGAAAATCCTGATGCTGATGTTGATCTGCTGACCTGTCGAAAATTGATAACAATATTTATACTGGTATAAATCGTTAGAAAATCCTGATGCGGATAAAAATTGCGATCGGATAATGTATTGTGTACTGTAAGTAATTAACCATAAGTAATGTTAAGTACTGGTAATCTGCGAGCTACGACTACGGTAATTTAGAATCTATCGCTATTCTGCTAATTGTATTTATTTCCGGCTGATTGTTAATTGTTAAATTACTAAAATATTTTCACTTCAGCGGTCAGTGTCAATATCACACTTATTAATATGCAACATCAGTTGCTTACTGTATTGCTGACCGAAAAGACATACGTATACAACATAAAAAGCATAAAACGGTGATTTTATCCGGAAACGAAAAACAGCAACGTTGGTTAGCGTACCTGTGTGCAAAGAAGCATCACTGCTTTGTCAAATATTTTTACTTTTTGAATGTTATAGGGTGAATGAATGAATATCAGTGAGAGAATAATAACTAAGATTAAATTTATAATAATTACGAAGCCCCGGCTTTGCACCTCAAAATTAAATTGAGCAGCTTCTTTACTGGCTTTTTTTCATCTAGACGACAAGACGATCGAGAACGCAAAACGGATCGTTTGTTTACTAAAATACAGTACAGTACAGTACATTTTTACATTGGAAGTGATTTGTTGTCGAACCACATGCACGTATTACTGAATCACTTCAAGGCTTTTCACGTCAATAATTAAGAAGAAAGCATTAACTTGTAAGAAGAACGATTATTACTCGTAACTCTGCCACCTTTCGCACTTCCGGAATAAGCCATGCTGTCCGGTGCCAGCGCTCGCAGTACAGTTAGCACCGGCAATTACAATTAGCACCTTTCTCTTATCCGGACATAAGTGTTGAAATTCGAATAATCGAGATTAAAATAATTAAAAATAATTTTAAAATTACCTATATATATAAATGCACAGGTGTCGGGTAATGTGGTACTTAGAATTAATACCAATTGTAAAATAATTCGTACTTGAGTCACTTGCGTGATGTGTGCCACGGATGAGACAAAAATTACTTATTAAATCATATCATTCAGATTCATTCTATACGATAGAAGTACTATACGTACGACGCTGAAATTATTTTAACGATAAAGTACGTACTGTACTAGTACTGTAAACAAAACAACTCAACTGTTACAAGGTTCCATCTGACTAAATCTCGAACTAGGGAATGCGTACTAAAACTCTTTGAAACTTCAAAAATTTCTTGTTCAAACGTGCTTGCCCTTGCAGTTTATGATTCTGATGCAAGGAGCTAACTTGGCCTTCTCCTGTTGCTGATAGACTAAAGCCTGAAAATGATGCAGCATTTCTTCGTTGTTCATCAAATCTGCGTCTAATCATCTGATGCGTAAAAATGTTTGCGAAGTCTATGCATCGATGGAATGCTGTTAATGTCGTTGGAACCGATCAAGTTATTCGGCGCGGTCTCGTAGTGGATAAGGAAGAGCTTGGATTGGTTGTCGATTTCGGGATCCGTGGAAAGTCTCCTGAAGTGATCCCGTTCAGAAGCGTGTACAGGAGCAACGAGCCTACCTCGGACGATTCTGACCAGCCGACGGACATTGGCGGAACTGTTTGGGTTTTGCTCAAATTGTCCCCTAAGCATCCATGGACGTGGTACCAAAGCAAACATTTGGCGGGTATTAATAAGGGCTTCATACTAGCGGAAATAACTATTGGTCCTGATGTTGTTGTGGATACCGTTCTGTGCAGCCGAACATGCACGAACCCAATCGCAGGCAACAGCGTGCGGAGCAATGTTTTCCTCAAGGAAAGGGTGCCAGTTCCTCATGGCTGTGCGTTCAGTCCGGCATTGGAAAATTCCTGGAATAAGCGATTTAGGCGCACCTATCCTATCGGTATTGCGGATGAATATTTCCAGTTTCTTATATTACGTTCGGACAAAGAGCCAGATGACATCGCAATTGTAAGTTTTCTGATTAAAGTTAAACACACTAGTTAGTTTTGCATCTAACTGGAAGTCACAAGCGAGCATGGAACCATACTGGGCCTTTTTCCAGCGATTCATTTTTAGTAATCGCTTATGGAAAATATCGTTTTTCACGTAACGCGAGTTGCTGCGATAAATGTTTGCTTTCAGCTCTCTGATTACCGTATGTTTATTTTGGGCATCACAATTCTTTCTTCCCGTTCTGGCGCATGCCTTCAGCTGTGATCATTTGAATTTTCGAAGATCGCAGATCTGATGATACTCTTCTTTTTTTGGAAATAATTGTCGTAATTTTATATGCAGAACAGTACGTGCGTAATTGCATAATTTATAAGTTCATAATGTGCTGCCTTCTTAGTTGATCCTAGCTTGACTTGATGATAAAAAGCGTTTTGTGAAAACGTTCTGTGAAAACAAGATGCAACCACTGATTGCGGGATTGACGTGCAAGTCAGTCTGGCTAGGGTAGTCATGGAGTTTCGTTTTAAGCTGACCCTAGTCACAGTGAAAATACGTCTTGAACCTGACTTGGTATCTTTAAAAGTTTAAATCAGAACTTGCCGTTACATATAATGCAAGCTGGCTTTGCTATACATACAGGAGGCGATCCTGCGAGAAGGCATACCGACCGGAATTCAAGCGCCGGTGGAAACCGTTCAGCCACGCGGCATCAAGAGACCACATGATGGAATTAGCGATGATGAAACACCCTCGGTGGTTGAGGAATGTTCCCTGAAGGACATTCCGGTGGATGTTCTTGGGATTGTGTTCTCATTTATGAGCGCAAAACAGCAGACTAGAGTTGGTCGCGTATGCCGCGCTTGGAATTCTGCGCTTCTGTCAGCAGAATGTGCGCGACTTCTCAAGATCAACCTGAATTACTACGAAGGAACGCACTATGACAACTACCTGCTTGCATCGTCGTTCTATCACTGCATGAAACCGTCGACGCACTACCTGGTTCTCGTTGGTAAAAAGTGCTACGAACTCCGTGGTGCTATGCGCTTGCTGAAAGAATTGTATGCATTCGTCTCCTCGACGTTGATCACTATCATCTTTGGCAGGATGGAGATGCGGGAAAATGATTCGGTTTTCGATACGCAGCTGAAACTTTTCTCGGAAGTTCCAGCACTATGCAAACGAGTCATCTTCAAGAACATCATATTGAGGTTTATTTTCGGTGCAGATCGAGAATCTTTATGGGATGCACAAATGCCGTACCGAGATTTGCGCGTTGCGTTCGGCGCTTTCAGTGCAGTTTCCCCGGCAGAAGCTATGGATGTCCTGGAACGAGCCGCTGAAAGCTTTGCTGATCCAAAGCACCAGAATGCTTTGGACCGTGTATCGAAGTGGATTCGGTACTGCGATACGGGCAATCCGTATGCTGCTCAAGATATACAACGATCTCACCAAAATGATATAGTTTCTGTAAGTTTAAAAATTCATTTATAACGTTGTTTGACGAGCGGTTGCCATGAATATAGGTTAGATGACCTTATTTTTACCATCCATATTTTTTTAGGTGTTAAAGGTCTGGCAAAGGGGAGACGCCAGGTTTGGTCCTACTGCTTCCTGGAAAGATGTTCAAGCCGCAAGACTCGATGCGAATCTGCTGACCTTGCGCAACTGCACAATTACCGCTCTGGTCTGCCTTGAGAGAAGTATGTTCGATTATCCCGTCGATGAACTGGTGGATGCCAACACAAGTAGCGATGATAGCACAGATGAGACGGAAAGCAGTTATGGAAATGATGACGAGAGTAGCAGTGAAGAGTGATATACTGGAGTTTAATAAAATTTTGTTCCTGTGTTTATGTTAAGATTACTCCAACTTGTTAATGCCATTGTTATCAGAATGTGATTCGAATCTTGCATAAATCTGATGCGGAGAACCAGAGATAAAAACGTTTTTTTTGCTTTCTGTTCGTCTTTGCTGGAATACGTTTTTACTGGAGTTGATAGTATAGAAAGTTCGTGTCTGTGTTATACTATAATTTGTTCGGATCAAAGTTAAAGGTTTTCTGTAAAATTAAAGTTTTCGATATCTTTGCCCAAAAATGCACTGCGAGTGGCCAAAAATTCTGCTTTAGCACGTAACATATCATTCGAATTCCGAAATAAGTGCAACGTGGTCATGGCCAGCGATGCTGCAGCGCTCAAAGTTTTGTCGAAAGCTTCTTCCGTGCGCGCCATTTCCCGAAACTCTTCGGTGTGGATCATGATTGCTTTTCCGATAGCATAACACGGATGGATCGAAGGTATGGCAGCGGAGACGCAACCCATATCCGTAGACCCGTAAAAATCACTTGGTTTACTACTGAATAATATTCCTTCGCCCGCGGCATAGTGCTGGAACAGGTCGCACAGAACCTCGTTGTGCAGTATGCCACAAACCGGCGGAAGCGTATTTTTTACATCCACGCTGCATCCAGCGGCTTCCGCTCCCGCTTCGCAGCAGCGGGTCACCTTTTCGGTCAAGACGTGCAGATCAGCCTGCTTCTGGGCTCGAACAAGAAAACTCAGTTTAGCAAATTCCGGAATAGCATTGGGAGTTGTGCCGCCGTGGGCTATGGTGCAACCAATGCGATGGTCGTGCGGAATTTGTTGCCGCAGCAAAGAGAAATGGTTATATGCGGCTATAGCACCGTCCAACGCATTTTTGCCATCCCATGGGCCACATGAAGCATGAGCGGATTTTCCATAAAACTCTACTTGCAGCTGTCAAAGATATAATTTTACTTTAATAATATTCAGTAATGTACCATAATTATATATTAATATTCAATATACTGCCCTCGTGCTATAGCTATGCTCACTTCCACATAAATGCGGTCATGCACAATTATAATTAACGCTCAGCTAATGTATAGAGTGTAGTGCGCTGTTAAACTTTCAAAGTCAATAGGACACTTTGGTTTAAACGACTAAACGTTAATAAACTGTATTCAAAAATTTTCTGTTTCCCAAAGTTTACTTACATCATTAATGCCCAGGGCCAACGGTTTCAAGTCGTTTGAGGGGAAAGGATGCACCATCATCGCACACTCCACACCAGCAAATGCACTTTTTTTCAACATTCGCAATTTCCCCACTCCTCCTTCTTCCGCAGGAGTACCGAGGATTACTACCTGAAAGCATGCAAATCACAAGTACGTATAACGCTTAATTTCGTACAAATACCAAACTGTTGGTGTAGATTGCTTTTGTATTATGGGCTATATCTTTCATCATTTTTGTTCAGAGTTTCCGAATACACGTGCACGTGTAGTGAAAAAATACGTTTCTCACACAATATTTTAAGTACACATTGTGCTATACCTTGCCATTAACTTCCGGATGGTCATTGGTATTATCTGATTTCAGCAAGCGTTTTAACACTAACGCTGCAGCGATGCCGGCCGTCGCGATGAGATTGTGTCCGCAGGCATGTCCAATAACCGGAAGTGCGTCATATTCACAGATTATTCCCACGGTATGATGGATTCGAGGATTGAAATTTTTGCTGGAACATTCCGCACGAAATGCTGTACTTATACCCCCAAATTTCGCCTCCACCTGGAAATTGTGAGTTTCCAGCACAGAAGTTAATAAATCATGAGCAAAAAACTCTTCGTACAAAGTTTCTGGATGATCCCAGATTTGGGTGCTGATATGGCGGAGTAGGTTACGGTGGGCCGCTAATTCTTCACGAACTAAGGCTTGGAACATTCTACTTTGTACTTCAACAATTTTCATATAATTCGAAAGTAGCTCCAAAATCCATGCACTGTACGAAATTAATTTTTTAAGGAATTGATGAAAATTTCCAGTGGTTTCACCCAAAAACTATAAAAACAAACGACAAAAATGTGTACATACTCGGCTGCAGTACATCTAAGCTAGGCTAAGTGCACCTAATGTTTGGCATAAATTATCTCCAAATACGCCTTTTATTTCTCAATATGTTGACACCTTTACAGTCACAGTTTAAAGGCTCATCGCTCACCATCAGTAAATATGGTAAGTCTGTAAGTACGCCAGCTGCTGTATTAAAGCCCGCATTCTACTAGGACCAGCCACCAAGTTGTTCGATTGCGCACTAAACTTTTTTGCTTCGTTGATACCGGTAATCAATTAGTAGTTGATTTCGCCAAACGTTGTGCACTTTGAACCTGCAGGCGTTTCAATGATAACGAAAATGTTCGCTTATGGTTTCAAGGCGCTTCGAACAGTACTCGTAGTCTAAATTTTTGCTGCATCCAATTTTTTGCGCAGTGAACCAATTAAAAAATTTTTTGTCATAACACAATAATCAAAACTTTTCATCTGTAATCGAATATAAAATAAATCTCAAATAAAACAATCACAATTACCAAAATCATTTCAAACCAAGAGTCATAAATAGCAAGCATCACTAACACGTGTGGCAAAACATTATCCAGTAAAGCTTTTCTTCTTTTGTTCGAACTCCAATTTCGCCTTGTCGCGTAGCTCTTTGCTTTGGTACAGCTCAATGGCAGTGAAAGCCATAGCCTTGGCCGCGTTTAAAATGTACGGCTGGGCTTGTGGACTTCCGGCCTGCTTTGCCATGTCTTTGGTGTGAATAAGATACTGCTGTCCAATGAAGACACACGGGTGAATGCTGGGCACCGTAATGGACACGTTACCCATGTCGGTCGAACCGTAAAATCCCGGAACATTTTCCGGGAATTCCATCCCTAAACAATTAACACTCACACAATTTTCCATTACTGAAAGCAGGTACTTTCCTACCTTCTGCAGCAGCATATTTCTTATAAAGAGCAGACATTGTGGAATTATGCAGCATTCCTGTGTATGGTCGTCCTTCCCATTCGATTTCCATGGTACATCCTAAAACGAATAACAAAAAGGCAATACATATTACATAGTATCACGATCACTGCTGCCCGAAACCGAATCAGATAAGCTTCAAGGTCAACAACTTATGTAGCCATAAAAACGATAAAACTGGAGCTTTACAGTTTACGCCCAGTCAGCTTCAGTAATCTCGCGATAGTGAACGCTGCGCTGTGAAATCTGAGCAATAAAATGTTCTTACCCGTAGCTTTAGCAGCAGCATTAAATATATCCATCAACCGGGTTTTGAGCACTTGCATATCAGCCGCATTTTGCGTTCGCATATAATAGTGTGATACTGTCAAATCCGGAATGATATTCGGCTTCGCACCACCGTTCAGAATGACGGCATGCACGCGCCAATTGGGTTTCATCTGCTGTCGAAACAACGATACGTCCTGATACGCGGCAACTGCAGCATCCAGAGCGTTAATGCCTTCCCAAGGTCCGCAGGAAGCATGCGCCGCTTTCCCGTGATACTTCACGTAACACTTTAAAACAAAAACCGGCGCACAAATTATTATTCTGCCGAATTCTAAGCAAACAGCATCGGTATAGTGCCTTTTAATCATTACATACACACAAATAAAACTAAAGTATCGATGTATTTCGCAAGATGAGCAAAAAGGGCCCGTCCGAATAACCAAATCAAGCGATAGAAGCCGACAATGCTTCTACCGTTCGTGGCATTCAGTTGCTCAAACACTTACGCGTTCTATTCCGAGGATAATCGGTTCCAAATCGTTCCAGGGGAATGGATGCACCATCATGGCAAAATCAATGTCATCGAATGCAGAAGCTCGGATAAGATCCACTTTACCGCCACCGCCCTCTTCAGCTGGACACCCCAACACCACCAGCTACAATACAAACTGCATGAACCGGGAATAAGATTGTGCGGGGAGAACCACGATTTGCTGTTCGTTCAGTTCGCGTTCACCAAATCTTACGAAAAATAAATTCGAAGCAAAGCACAATTAACGTCAGGCAGCAACGATAAATCAAATAAGACCACTAATATTAACTACGGGAGCAACAGTGTCACATTTCAATGGTCACATTATATCTAATAATAAATAATTATAATTATATGCCTTTGTAATCAAATTTTATAATACTGTAACTTGTAATTGCTCGTAGTAGTACTGTATCTACTACTTAGCTACTACGATATTAGTAATACTTACGCGTCCTTCCACAGAACCAGCGTCCGACTGATTTCTTAAAATATCTTGCAAGGCGAGACCAGCGGCAATACCTGATTCTGTTAATACCAATAAAAATATCCGTCGTACATTTCTTCTGGAGAAAGCTCACTGCACAAGAAGACAAACCTGCAATAAGGTTGTGCCCGCATGCATGTCCAATTTCCGGTAGTGCATCATACTCGCACAGTACCGCGATAGTTGCATGCAGCGACGGATCATACTTCGCACTCTGGAATTCAGCTCGAAATGCTGTATCCAGTTCCTTGTACTTTCTAGTAACGGTGAACTTCTCCTTCTCCAGAAAATCCGTGAGAAGCTGGTGCGCTTTGTACTCTTTGTAAAGGAGTTCGGGATTGTTCCATAGTTCCTGACTAATGTCGTTCAAAGCGTTTTCGTAGCGTTTCACGACAGCATCAATTTGTTTCTGAAATACAGCCATGCTGGCGATCTTCTCTGCAACAGTAAAACAGAATTTAAGACATGGATCGAGATTTTACCCATAACAAAACGAGATCGAGATTTTTTCTGCATAACAAAACGACCGTCACGAATAGAAATTAAGCTGATTTCTCATTAACCAGGACTGCAGAGACACGAATACACGTACCAAAGTTCGGAATATCTATAAGAGTGAAATGGTATAAGTTTATAACCGTAAAAGTGTAAGCACGTTCTGGGAAGTGCATCCAATTCCACGCTGATGTCAAAGCTCTATTTAATCACTTCTATAGGGTACTTACTTTGAAAGCAACGATTCCCTGTTCGAACTTTGAAACCCAGAACAATCAAATCGTCCGATTTACGATCCCCATCCACATTTCACTTGCAGCTTCGAGGTAAGAACTATCACAGCTGTAGCGGTATTTCTCCGTGGAAGCGCCGGGCCGAACTTCTACCAAGGGGATAAACGATAACATCAGCAGCCACTTGACCACTTCCGTGGCTTCGTACGCTCGGTGTGGTTAGCACGCACCAGGTAGCGATTATTATTGATGATAAGTGCCTAAGTCATAAAAACAAAACACTTCACAAAGACGATAAATGTAACTTACCTAATGGCTAATTTAATCTTTCAGCAAATATATATCGTAGGATTAGGGCACTTTTTTGATCCTTTTTTTGGCAGAACAACCCGTTACAACCATGATAGTGTTACGTTTAGGTTGTTGGTGCGCGTTGGAGGATCAGCATAACGTTGAAGTAAAAATGCTTTGTCCGCTACAGGTGGCGATTTCAGAAAAACCTTCAATACGAGTCAATATTAGTCAGTGCCACGGTCAGTTTCTACTGGCTAGCAGCAGCTCCTACTGCTATACAGCCTATGCCTGCTAGTTTTGCGATAAACTTATGGTTGTTATGATCTTATCGTTACTGACTTTTGAACTTCAGAACTTATCCCACACAGCGTAACATTCGCGAAAGGAATTATGGGCGACGCGAAGGATTCGCAGGGAAGCAATGGAATATTGAGCTCTTCTAACATGTGGCTAGCATCGGGAGCTTGTTTGGGTTTCGCGCTTGGCTGGATTCTGCGGGGAAGAACCGGGTCGTCTGTATTTCGGAAAATCCGTACAGTTGCGAATTATGCAGCTGCGCATGGAAATGTGAGTTTCTTTCTTTGATAACGATAGCTGTACGCCTGTACCTTGCTTTCCAATGGCCAACTGTGCGTGATAATAGTTGTTGTTCAGGTGCCGCAAACTAAACTCGTCCTGGTGGCTCGTGGCGATCTGGATATGTCAAGAGGAAAATTAGCAGCTCATTGCGCCCACGCCGCAGTTGGGGCCGTGGAAAATTTTAACGCTGATCGTGCGATTTTACAGCTATGGCTGAGTACCGGACAAGCTAAAGTGGTGCTGCGAGGACGTGATGCCAAACATTTGAACGATATCGAAGCTACTTGCAAGGCCAGCGGGTTAAATGCATTTTTGGTGCACGACGCTGGTCGTACGGAACTGGCAGCGGGAACGTCCACTGTCTTGGCTGTCGGACCAGCAGAAGTGCAGAAGATCGACACCGTTACTCGATCCCTGAAACTGCTATGAACAGACGGTATATTATTGGTGCGCGGCTTGTACCTGCTTTTTTTGTGAATTTTTTGTGAAAACTACATAAGACTGTATTAAACTTAAGAAATATGTGAGAATGCCGAATTGTACCCGGCTTGGCTACTCAATAAACAATCAATCAATCAATATCTAAAAATCAATTTTAAAAGTTTGACTAAACTACTAGTAATTCATTGTTAGTGAGTGGTTTCTTTGCTAAAAATCTCGGTTTCCAGTGGGAGACGGTTTTGGTAGGGCTTGTTGGTTTTTGTTTGTTGTTACCTTGGAGAAATTTGTTGTTTTGTAATACGAGCAGTCCTCCTAGCATGACGTATATGCGTGAGTAAGATTAATTGCACTGCGACAACTGAATTTGGATACTTTTTAGCTTGTTGGCAAAATGAAGCCCGAGCTGACTGACTGGATCATTATCCATGTTTCCATTGTCCGTACGCCAAAACAGGCGAAATCCGAAGATCTTGTTCTGGAACGCCTATTAGAAGACGCCGAAGCCAATCTGCAGTGGAAGCACTACTATCTGGAAGAGCGCGTGCGTCTTCTTCCCGAAGGCTTATGGTTTATGAAAAAGACTTTGTATCGTCGACTGCAGATTGTGGCCGCATATCTACATGCTTTAAAGAGTCGTCGATTACAAGATGGAAAGTCAACGCATTGTATTCCTGTTACTTTAATGGTGGAATTGCTTCTGAAACCCGTCAGACCCGTAGATTTTGGAGATATTGATAATGTTTTGCGGGCGACGGCAGTGCCCTTTTCTCCGGAACTGCGATTCGATAGCATGCGAAGGGACGTCATTCGTATCATGTCCTATGGAGAACTGAAGGCGCTGCGAGTGTTGATAAAAATGCACATCCGTACGCCGATCCTGAGGCCCAGTCGAGCGGTTGGAAATGGTGAGAGCGATTATGACAGCGACGAAGACATCGTCAAAGGATCGGAGAAATGGATCGAAAAACAGATGAGAATTGAAGATACGGATGGAAACAAACTGTTGAATTCGGGCCGGTCGACGATTGCGCATATTGAGGTAATGCTAGTGAAACCAGTTTTGTTTTCAAGATGACCGTACTTTATAACTGTTTTTTTATTTTTTTCGAAATGCAGTACCTAAGTATTCCCAGCCTTGGACAAATTTTTTGCGTTGCTGTTTTTATGACATTCGTACTTATTATTAAAATCACATCTGTGCTTTTATTTACTTGTCATCATGTGTTTTCTCTTTCCGTATTTGACCTTGTTCATCATTATTGGCGCTGGGACGATGATTTTTAATCAGGCAATTTGCGACAGTTTTAGGTTAACAGAGAAATAAAATGTGCTTGTGAGCTTAGACTAATTGTGATATTCCATATTAATGAAAGCTTACTAATTAAGAAATACTTACTCCCGTTTTCATGGATATGTTCCGACTTTTTGAAAAACGTTACGGTTACATACTATACTGAGTTTAGAACGTTGACAATTTACAAGGTTTCTTAGAACAGCTTCAAGTTTCAGAACGCATGCGTTTGTGTTGCCAGTCGCGGTCCGTGTGGTGGTAGATCTGGGCGCACTCTCTGGAGCTGCAAAATTATTAATTAATTAAAACTTAAGTTAGTCAATTTACATTGTACATAAGCTGACCGTGAGTTATTTCGACCGCACGCTAACATTATCATATTGTAATTTAGCTAGAAGTATAGCTGAACTCGTTCGACGCGTACCACTCCTCCAAGACGTGCTAAGCAATGAGCCACAGCCGATGGGTCTTTGCGCTCTTGAAGATCGATTGTCTGAAACAGATCTGTTCCAGGAACACCAATCTGGACGCACGCTTCCGTAAACAGTCCAATATTTTCTCGTTGTTTAGCCGGCTGATCGCTTGGTTTGTACTTCGTCATCAGGTCCGGCCGAATCCTTTGCATGAAGCTGAACAATTACAACGCAACATTGCACCAAAAACCCAAAAATGATGCAAAGAATTCTCGAATTTAATTTTAATTACTTATACTGCATGTACCAACAAAACGTCGAACGAGGCTTCTAAATTTTCATCAGGGCCTGATGAGGTAATACTGGTAGAGTAGTAATAGTAATGTACTTTTAAATAAACGAACGTTTGCTAAATGCTAATAATGCCAGCTTTTGTTAGGGTTATATTTAGAACCTAAATGGAGCCTATGAAAATCGTGTATCGTATAATTGAATCGTAGCCAGTAAATCGTAATCGACATACTGGTCGCAGTCCATATAGGTATAACTAACAAAAACCGCTAATGGTAAGCACGAAAACAGCTAAAGCGTCTGATTCCGGTATCTAACAGTGCTCCAGTTCCAAATGGAACACTACATACGGTGCATTACTGAAAGGTCACAGACCAAACCGTTCGAAATTATCGTTATTAAAGTATTAGCAAATTGTCAATCCAGTACAAAAAAGTGACTGCATGACACGCTAAACACTACACCCGTGTTACCATGAATATGTGGCTGTCAGTTTTTCCTGATAAATTTGCTGTTAAACATCTTCTGCCGGATGTGATTCCGCTACTTACCGGCACAAAACATTTCCATCTCGCAGAATATCATCAAAATTCCCTTGCGGAACTGGTTCGCCTAGGATACTAAAGACCCACTGCAAGGCAGTCTGTTCGTCTTCGTGATTTCTTTGCGGTCCGAACTATAACAAAGCATGCAGCATTTATAGTTGTTTGATATGAAAGGTTTGTTTTAATTGCACACGTACTCTAGAATTTTCTGACGCAGCATGTACATTGCGCATATATTAGTACACTGCCCATTAAAAATGACATTATATGATTTGGCAACTTACCCCACGACCCATGTTTATCCTGCAGTATTACGATGCAATATTATCGTCAAGCAGCAGACAGTCAGACAACTTAAACCTGCAAATGACCAAAGCGTTAGGCATATGGATCAGCAAATCCAAAATTTATCTGTTTTATATTGTCGTTACAGAGGGTCAACGATACGTAACACAGCTACCTATACTGTTATGAATCACGATTTAGATATGTACATATAAGCACAAAGATTAATTATTGTTCATTCGCTTACCGGCTAATATTATTATACGATGTTCTGCAAATATCTAACGTAATAGGCATGCACAGCTTATATTCCCGGTCCAAACAGTGCCGAGTTGTTGCGACTAAAAGACGCTAGTGTACTAGTGTCGCTGGCAAAACCAAAAACAAAAAATGTTGTCGAAGTGCAAATGTCTGAATCAGTCAACTGATGATTGCGATGGTGATACTTCATGAGTAACGATTTTGAATTAGTAATGTGTAAAACCAAAGTGTATTCATGAATAATTATGCTTCCGGCACTGAGGATGCAACCGCTCCAATCCGCTGCACCGCACATACGCCTGTATCCGATTTCTTTGAGCAGACTAGTTACGACGTTTGTTAGCATTATATTTAGAACCTAAATGGAGCTTAGTTAGCGCTCTAAATCATTTTTGACGCAGTTATAAACGTTTTAGCATAGTAATTTAACAGCTGGGTTTTCTCAACCATAATAAATTTTTTGCCGTTCCTAGATGTACAATATGTGTCTGTGATTGCAGTTATTACGATAAATCGGTAATTAATAAAAATATACTATTGTTGTGTCTTCATTTTCTAGAAGAACTGTTGGTAGACAAGACACAGAAAGCATAAACAATTGTCTTTTACATTATATGTATCTATAGAGGTTTAAATACATATTGACCGGCAAATTACATTGGAGGATTACATCATAGTACATAGGGACATCATATTAATCGTTCCTAGATGTACTGTACAATTGCGTCTATTAATCGTTCCTAACTGTTTACCGTTCCGAGTCAGATTCGCTGTGCAGACTAGTCCGTATATTATACTAACTTAAACTCCAGCGAACTTTGCCGAATCGTTGTTTGCTTATAATTTTTCACACACACATTATATTTAAAATATATCTATAGTCCCTTGACATTTTTTTTGTTGTTTTAGATATAAATGGTTTTTATTTATTTTTGCCATATGCCTACGGTAGTGTGTCACGAAGGATGCATGTCAAAAAACACGTCACATACGCCTTCTGACAGCAGCGGAAGCGCATCTGTTTACCAACTAAAAGCAACTGTCCAAAAATGGCTGGGATGATCAAAAATAGATCAAGCGTGTGTAAGTAAGTCTGGTTTAGACTAGCAAAACACAAAGCTAAAGGCATCGCAATGTCAATAGAACATTTTGCCAGGCGCTAACTGTTCCGTCGTAAACTGCCTTTCTTGCTGTTCACTGAGCTTGGGTCCATGAGGTGGCAAATCTGGTCTGGTCTTTTGCAACTATGACAAAGAAAACGTTACAGAAAAACGATCAAAGGTCAATGAAAGTGCTAAAAATATTTTCAGAAAATTTGCAGGTAGAATTGAACTTACTTTTTACTATAAACATCAGAATTAATTAATGAACGGGACTGTTACCGATATGTTTACAACTGCGGTGAATTTAAAGGCGTTGAACTACTCGTAGCTCTGGAAATTGTAGGTTAACAAATCGTATGAATTTTTTAAACAAGCAATAAAAGCATGTCTTTACTGTAATAAGAAATTAGATTACAATTTATACATTGCGCTATTAAAGGAATTCACTTTTGCGTTCAGTTCACTTACTATTCCTCCAAGCCGAGATAAAGTATTAGCCACGGCAGCCGGGTCTTTACCTTCGAAAAGGTCAATCGTCTGGAAAAGGTCTGTAAGCAAGCACAAATTAAATGAAACATGTTGATTTAAATCTATCTAACGATTTTTAAAACTAATTATGAAAATCTTAGCCGTTCAAGCACTTTGTTATCAAAAGAGCGTAGAGGTCTGTATTACGGTAAAACTGCTAATCTACTGTAAATACTGTAGATACTAACCGGTTTCCGGCACTCCCATCTGCTCGCAAGCTTTGTTGAATAGGCTAATGTTTTCGCGTTGCTTCGCGCCTTGTTCAGATGGTTTGTACTTGGTAATCAGCTCGGGTCGAATTTTTTGCATAAATCTGTAATTTTAAAAACTAAAGCAGAGAGTAAAGCATTGCTTAAATAGACCAGCCAGATCATTACCGATCAAGAAACGTTTGAAATCACTGTTATATTAAACTTACAGTTTATATGAGTGTAAAACTACTACTCTAAAAGCTTTTTCAATTTTGTTGGATTGATTGTAGAAGTACTGTATCAAGAAATTTCTTAATGAAGTGTCTTACCTGCAAAGAACATTACCGTCCTTCAATATTGCTTCGAAATCTCCCTGTGGTGCGGGTTCGCCCAAAATAGCGAATACCCATTGCAAAGCGGCTTGTTCGTCTGCCTGATTGCGTTTCAGTGCTTGCTAAAAATAAAAAAAACCTGCAAATTAATATAACGCTGTTGTATCAACTACCAGTTAGACATCGCGAGACTGCTGCGTGACCTTTGGGAGATCTAATAGATTGTACGAGACTTACATGTCGACCCATGGTTGCTCCTGTCGGATAAGAATCCTAATTAATTTATCGAATCAGTTATCCTATAGGCCCGTCTCTTTCTGGAAAGCAGCAGTGTAGCTCAAACTTCAGTCTTACGAGATAATCTGCATGGATGAGGTCGATGTATATATGCTGCCTGTGAGCCATATATATATGTGCGAATTTTGCACGTGAATTGTTTTTTTGCAAACCCGTGCGAATCATTTCCCAAACCATACATATGACTCAGACTCAAAATCCTATAATTATATCTAGACTGAGCAAGTCATCTTGCGTGCGAAGCCATAAAAATGCGGGTAATGTTTGTATCATAGTAATTACGTGGCTGCTGCAAATACAGATGCCGATGATCTTCCCTAGTGTGTCAAACAGTACCGTATGTTTGCATTGGACAACACTTTTTCATCGGAGCGGAGTGCTTACCGTTAGTTCCCAAACGCTTTAAAAGCACCCTTTAAGGAAAACTAAAGTGGTGATTAGACGGCCCCGTGTGTGGGTGTCAGTACGTGTAAGTTCATCTATTATTAATGCTAGTAGCTGAAGAGTTTTATTACTGTAATAAGTTTGTAGGTAGGTACGTATTGAACATTGTTCAATAGCCAGACATAACGGCACACATACACAGCAAGCATGTACAATACATAGCGAACTGTTTCATATTCATATTTTACTTGCAGAAAGCGGTTCCAAGAAATCCTCGAAAGCCATTGAAACTTTCCATATCAAAACTAAATTCAATACACTTGTACTGAACTTTTTTGAATTCAAACGTGAGTTCCGTCCATTTCGTTTCCTTGCACGGCTGCACCATAACCTTGAGGAAGTTTGATTTCGACCGGCTTTCTCGCTTCGAACGATGCCTGACTGATAGGCGTTACTGCATAATGTAATGGTGGCTTCGGAAGAGGATACTCTACCAGTGCCACCCACAACTCCAACTTCTGCCAGGGATCCACATGCTCCGGAAAAATAATATCAAAGTGAACATGAAGATCACCAAACGTCATTTTCCCAGCATCTTTTGCCAGTCCCTCGCCGATCAGTACTTTTGCGGTACCGGGATGGATTAGTTCTGTTAAATTGACCAATATCATTCGACCATCCAGGTGTCGAATTTGAACTGGACCAACGCCCATCGCATCAGCTAAACTGATCTGTAAAACTGACAATCGCACAAACACATAATTAATATTAATTATACAGGATTATTATTACACAGTTACTGTAACTGCCAAATCATGGCCTATCTACAGTTACAGATAGATATGTATTTAACTGTTGTAGTTTACTTCTAATGGTAAGGTATTTTGTGGCGGTGTTCTTATGGTTAGCCGATTGATTAAGATCGATATTGAAGAGTTGCAGATACTGTAGACGTGCGAGATGCAGTTGTTTCCCACACGTGCTTCGCAATTTGCTGCGCGAGTTCGTATTCAGTTACCGACAGTGTGAAAAAAATTTATCCGTAAATACGAATAATTTTGTAGCTGCAGAACACGAACAACCTTTGGAATATCATGGGTACTGTTTAATATTTATTATGGTACGACTTCGAAATTGCACTGTTTATAATTTGCTTACACTAACTGTGGTGTGAAGATCGAAATTTTGTAACCGGAAATTGGGATGGTCTTCTACGTTGATCTCAAACACCAACGGCGCAGTCTTTCGACAGTCGCTCCTGTTTTCCGGAGTAGAGTGCACAATGTGTGTTCCGTGTGTCCATCCCGGCAGGATTACCAAATCGACAAAACCCGTGTTGTGACCTGGTGTTTCGACGGTTTTGACTCTTCCATTGTATAACTCTTCCAAGGTCACGCGAACTTTTCGAACTTCAGTTTCCGGTGCCGGCGGTATTAAATCTTCCTCGCGAGCTTTCAGTAAATTTCGCAGATAAACTGCATCGTTTAATATCTGGAACAATAGAATCATACTAAAAAGTGCCTTCACATGCTGACCACTTCCTTAAAACTTTCGCAGCTGGCATATTCCTAATAACTTTAATGTAGTTCTAGTAATTAATACTACTGTACTGCTTTCTGGTATTCCATAGCCTAATATTCATGTGCAAGTGCTATGTTATGAAACCGGCTTATTACAGACATCTGGTAGAAAAAGAAATATGACGTGGGTAAATAAGTTCAAAAAACTTAAACTCAAACCGGTGTACCAGTCAAATAGCGGCTATCTGATTATTTGCTTTAAAAATGTATTAAAATTAAATTTGCGGAGCAGCATCTAACTTTAGGAATTCCGCTCTCCAAGTGCGCAAAATTTTGGAAAAATCTGACGGGATCTTCTTTGTTCTGTCGACTGTACAGGCCTTCGCGGAAATCGAATGACTTGTTGATGAATCCGTTCCTTGTTGCTTGTGGACCTAAAAAAAATTGTGCTCACACAGTCTGTAGTGCAGCAATAAAAATTAAACTTGAAACAGAAGTGGTTATTAATAGTCATAGCCTCAGTACTCAAGGTTCTTAATACCCAGTTTTTTACTTACATGTGATAGTTATTAAAAGTTAAGATTTTTTGTTATAGCCTCATAGGTATTTAAATACTGCACAACAGCATTGTCGCCTTATTCAAAGACATTTTTGCGGTTTATTAACGCTGGCACGGTCGTATGACTCAATTGTAAGCTCAATTTCATAGTAAAATATAACTGCATACTTATAGTCGTTTCAGCCAAACTACAGTACATACATATACTTATTCGAAATCTGAACATCCATGTAATTAAAGTTAGCATTTGTTGCTAATTTTTTGAAATACTGTACAGTGTATTATTTACTGAATATATTTTTAATTCGCACCGTAATAGTCGTAAATAGTCCGCGACTTGGAGTTGCCTAAGACTTCGTACGCGTCATTTAGTCTGGATAATTTGACCAATACTTTCTCTCGTTCTTCTGCACCATTAGACTTCTCTGCTTCGGAGTACAATGTTTTTGCACAGTAACGGTAAGCATTGTTCACCTGCTGGTGGGTTGCAGACCTGTCGACACCTAAAAGGTCATAGTAATCTGGCAGGTTGGTGACCACTTCCGCTCCACATTGTGGCGGTCTGCTGCGATGTGCCCGATCCTTTTTAAGAATCCTTTCATTTTTGAGTGAAAAAGCGATATCCAGATCTGATCCTGCTAGGATTGGGTCTGAAGATTCGGATGTGGCAACAGACATTCAAAAAAATTACGCAGAGGAAGTTCTTTCAGTTCATTATATATTGCGGCACCACACCACCGCGGTCGAACCATTTGTTTAGCGCTTACATTACGAGTAAAAGTATTACCATACTTTTGTACAGTAGGTAAATAAAACACATAAACAGAGCTGTACGCATCGTCTTATTGTGGTACGAGCTCCACATAAGACATGACATACCATTTTTATTTGGATCGGTTCCATAGATACGGCCGGACAAGGCGATCAAGCAATGTCGATAAAAATCTTCTGCATTGCACTGCATTAACCTATCAAATCGTCTCTAGACTTTATTTTAATTCCACCACCTTACTGCCAAAGCAGCAATATTTTATCAGCGAGAATAGCAGTTACAACACAGTCAAAGCAAAGCGAACGTGAGATTAACCAAAGACAGGCAAATTTAAATTAACATGATATAAACTATAAAGCATCTAAGCCGACAAATAACGCAAAACAAACTCAAAGCAACATCTCTAGCGAAATAATACCGATGTGCCAATCAATGCGTTTTGATTATTAACCAAATAAATTCCGTATAAACCATTTAACGCAGTCACTTTGCAGTTTTGAAGCAAATATCTTAATGATCCATGATGCGTAAGTTGCCAGAAACAATTTTGTTTTCCAGCAGTGCCCCAGATGGAATATCAATTCGTTCTCCATGATTGGCAATAATAATCACTGTACCTTTCAGGATAACACCTTTCCCAAATGTGACATCGCCCGATACGGTTAGATGATCCAAATCTAGCAAATCGGGGATCGTAGAGAAACGGTTCAAGAAATCGCGCACTTTTCCGAAATCCTTATCACCCAGTTTAACCAAAGGCACCGAAGGGAACACACGTTTGGGATTCATAATCAGCGTTCCTTGTTGGATACTATATAAATTACTCATAATCATCAGAAGGTCGTCCGTTTTCTTCACCGGCAAGAAACGGCGCCGTGGCACATTGATACCGCGGGCGCGATCGAAGTTCTTTACAGCGTCACCGCATGCGGTTTCCAACTGAATCACGTTGGCACCGGTGTCGATGTGCTTGTGGTTAACGATGATTTCCAACTGCATACTGTGCGCCTCCACCAAACGCTTAATGGCTTTGAGATTAACCCAGAGATTGTTCGTATTGAAGACTTTAAATTTCGAAATGCTTTTGAATTCATCCACCTGCCAAGGAAGAACAGGACAATTCAATGAAAACTTATTAAAGAAGAATTTCGTTCAATTTTTCCGGTTTTATTAAAGAACTGCAGTCTGATCACATGCAGCAGTAAGGCTGGACTTACATGTGATTTCGGTACTTGAGCAATTTCCAACAACCGAAGCTTATCTTCGTAAAGGATCAATGTTCCTCCCTTAACATCAGCCCGAGTTTTATCAGTTACTTCCATAACGAAATCCAGATTACGCGCATCAACGAGTCCCTCAGTGGCCTGCTGGGGATTCAGAAGCAGCTCCAAAATGCCTAAAAAGCAGTTAAAAATTCAAAACTCAAGATCTGAACGTAAAACTGCGAACATTTTCGCTGGTGAACATCAGCAGAACCAGTTCCTTACTGATGTCGACGGTGGCGCCCAGATTGTCAATATTCGACAGGAAGCAGTATTCCTTTCCTTCTTCGATGAAGCGGTCGAGGTAGCCACAATTGTAGAAGGCCTCGTAGAAATCACCGTGACCGGGAGGATACCACCTGTAAAACCCAGAAACACGTTAAAACCAAAACTTTAGCGCAACTTGAAAACTTCGGTTTCTACCGACGTGAAAATACCACCACCTGCGAAACTTACACTTCATTGGAAGAACCGCTAAGATTTTTGGCGATAGGCATCAGCGTTTCCCGATCGATACGGGGATAGCGACTCTGCAGGAAGGTGAAGATGCGCACACGTCGATGCTTGTAGCGGTGCAGGACTTGTTGGGTATCATCATGAGTGTTGAAAGAATTCATCAGAATCAACGGCACATCCACCCCGTAAGTCAGGTTCAGGCTCTCGATCTGATGGATGGTCATATCCAGGAACGTCAGATCGTTGCGCACCTGAATCAGCGACTTCGGCCCAGTGCAGCCCATACTCGTTCCCAAGCCTCCGTTCAACTTAACCACAACCAAACGGCTCAGCATGTTGGCGATAGCCTGCTTGTCTTCGGGGGCTTTGAGAGACGCATAGTCCAGCACGGCATTCTCGGGCAGGGACTGGATTTTGTCCCATTGGATGGCGGCACCCGATTCGAAGACGAAGCGCTTAAACAAACGAGAGAATCCATCGAACTCCTTGCGATCGCGTTCTGCCTTGCTGGGAGGAGCGGACTGCAGGAGCCTTTCCAGCTCCTGATTCAGATGCTCCACAGTGTTCTGTTTTTGAATGTCGACAAAGTCTCCCATTCTTGCTACTGTTTCCGACTCACGTTTTCCAGGATGACGTAGCGTGGAAATTTCCGAACTGGTGTTATTCACAGTGATGAATGTGGTTCTGTGAATATCACCAAACAACGCAAAACAGATCTGAATAGTCGCGGGATCCCCAGGCTGTAATAAAATCCGACAAAAACGGCTAAAGATTATACTGCTAAGGGCTGTGTCTATTGTCCCCGCGGCCACAGATAATAAACGAAAATTTCCCAGGAAGACTGTGGTTTTCGACTTTCACTTCTCCTTTTAGCAAAGGCGCCCTGGAGTTTTTATCGAGATGTGACAACCACTCAGTTAGCACGCTGATTCCAATACAGCAAATTGGAATTACTCGGCAATGGTATCAGAGCAGATTACCTGTAAAACAGAGCCAGTCGCCTCTTCTCGGCTGTAACGAAACTAAAGAGTTTCACTTTTTCAATTTTCCTTGAATTTCAGTGTGGAAGAATTCGAAAGATTTCCAGTTTTTGCGTTCTTTGTTTTGACTAATTTTAATAGATCATTCGATCACTTCCGGTTTTTCTTCTTCCTCGACTGTCGAACTGTAATCCAACGAGAATGAAGAAAAAGGTACGTTTGACTCTTGGAAATACGTAACAATGACACAATCCTAAATATTTTGAAGATTGCAGTGCTTTCCATTTTTCAATTGCAGGATCGTGCAACCATAAATGAATGTTTTTCGAAAACTTTCCTGCTTTCGAAATGACTTCGTTAGCGGTTAGAGTTTCTTAAAAGTTCTGGATTTTTTGTTTTAATTTGCTTTGTTGTTGGATGTATTAGCTGTGCTTGCGTCTAGTCAAAGGATTGACCATCATTTTGCACTTTCTCATTTCAGGTGTTGTTAATGGGCAAATCTGGATCTGGCAAGGTACTAGTAACACTTCAAAGTTTTCTGGAACACTAAATACGCGTCCCAAGAGCACGAATTGTGATTTTGGTTGTTCTTTTAATGTTTAAAATTTGAACCTTATTAATTAGTGTATTTCAGCGCGGGTATTTTTATATTGTCTTGGTTATTGCTGAATAAGATAATCAACTTTGACGAATTTTTTGTTTTTCTTTAGCGATCAGCGATCTGTTAAAAATTCTTGGTTTATTTGAAGTTTCTCTCAGTGATTCTAGCCCATAAAATTGTTTGTAAAGCATACATATATTCAGCATTCATATATTCATTTCCGACCTCAACAGTCAGTTGTAGATACAGTTAGGTACTTACCTAGCTCAGTTGTTAACTTTGAATTTGTTCACAGACCAGCATGCGTTCCATTATATTTGCCAATTATATTGCTCGCGACACACGCCGACTCGGAGCAACAAGTAAGTTTTTTTTATTTCTCTCCCGCAAAGTGTTCTACAACTGCAAGTGCAACAAATTTTCCAGTTGACGTGGAACATTCCCATGTGCGATTCTTGGGGAATTTGGTGCTGAATTTGTGGGATTGTGGTGGACAGGAGGCTTTTATGGAGAATTACTTCGCTAGTCAGCGTGACACCATTTTTCGCAATGTGGAAGTGCTCATTTACGTATTTGACGTGGAAAGCCGTGAACTAGACAAGGATATGCATTATTATCAATCGTGCTTGGAAGCCATTCTGCAAAACTCACCGGAAGCCAAAGTATTCTGCCTAATTCACAAAATGGATTTGGTCCAGGAAGACCAGCGCGATCGAGTATGATGACATTGTTTTTCTGTTTAAGCATAATTGCTGTAAGTTGGAGCAACGTTTTACTAATGAAGAGAATTTAATTTTGCAGGTTTTTAAGGATCGTGAAGACAATTTGACCAAACTGAGCAAACCACTGAAGTGCGTTTGTTTTCGCACGAGTATTTGGGATGAGACATTGTACAAAGCATGGTCCAGTATTGTGTATCAGCTAGTGCCAAACGTAGACATTTTGGAGCGGAATTTGCTACAGTTTGCTGAAATTATCGAAGCCGATGAAGTTTTGCTTTTTGAACGGGCTACATTCCTGGTCATATCCCATTGTCAGAGAAAACCTCACCGTGATGTGCATCGCTTTGAGAAAGTCAGCAATATCATCAAACAGTTCAAACTCAGCTGCACGAAACTTGCGGCTCAGTTTCAGAGCATGGAAGTGCGCAATGCGAATTTCGCAGCATACATGGATGTGTTCACTCCGAATACTTATGTGATGGTAGTGTGCAGCGATTCAACTATTCGTAAGTCACCCACATCAGTCACTTGTGACATTCAAGCTGTATTTATGTTGTTGTTTGCTGTCATTGTTTTCGTAAATCGTCACGCGTATCTTTTTTGACAGCCTCTGCTGCTATGCTGATAAATATACGAAATGCGCGGAAGCATTTCGAGAAGCTTGAACATCTGGATCAAGCACGCGCCACTTCTGCGATTTCCATGGGACGCTAAACCAGTTTCCACGGCCAAAAGTTTATTTGCTGAAATAACATGATTTACACAATTTATTAGAAGTACTGTTTTTTTATTATTTCTTTGGGCTTGCTGTGTAAGTAATTTTAAGTCACGAGGAGTGTATTCAGTGGTTCACCAGTTGTTTTTAACCCATCTGTGCAATTCTTTCGCAGGAATGTGATCTTATTAATTTTTTTGTTGGAACGATTCAGTTCATTAAACCGAAAACTCTAAACCAAGCATGGTCTACAGCAAACATGAATTTTCGGCAGTTTGACAAGTCAAAACTAAAAACTAGTGACCGCGCACCCTGCACTCGTCACCCGTGGTCAAAGTAAAAGCTCAAATCACGTTCTAATTCGCAAGAAGTAAGAAAAGCAGTATCAACAATTTACCAATTTTCAAGATGGTACTAGTACTACTTCTTTTTCAAGATGGTACTCAGTTGTAATTTTTCCAAATCCTTCACAATGGAATCCAGTCGTTTAATCTTATCAAGCTGGTTTTTCTCCATAACTTTCCCCGATGCTTGTTCTTGTTTCAAAACATTTATCTCCGCTAGTTTCTGTAATTAAAGAGAGCTGAAATTAAAGCAGGCCGACAGAGCGAAAGAATCTCAAAGCTGTAAGCGCAAGTAGTACTAACTGGTGAATTCATGAAAATATTTACCTTATTTAGACGGGCAATTTTTTTATCACGTTCTGGATCGCCTGATGACACCATCTGATTCTCATCACCATCGGATTCCGCAAGTCGTTCAGGCGATGCTGCTACAGGACGTGGAGCATTTTTATTCGGTTTAGGTTTCGGCGTTCGCTTCTCCGTATCCGGTTGGCTGGGACGCCTTTCCCCTTGGGATTCCGAGTTGCCGGTCCGCAAATGTGTGCTGTGGGAACCCTCGGTTTTAAGGGATGGTCTGCGTGGTGGTCCTGGTGGATACCGGGGGTATCGGGATGGGTACGATCCATAGGATGATGGTGAGCCCGAACCGAAATGGGAATCCGATGGACGACGATGGCCATAACCGGCATGATCTGCTCTAATGTTTTGGGGAGCACTACGCGGGACACCGGTATTTTCAGTGCCCTCGTCCCCTTCCCTTTTTTCGCCCTAAACGACAACACTGACTTTTTTATCAGCTCACATTAATTTAATCATAATCTAATTATTAGGCACTATCTTAGCTCATAAGGTTGTTGAAAGACCGTACGGCAACGAAAAAAATCACTATTTAATCCTGGCAATGCTCGTGCAAGTTCAGTAACACACTTCAACGACTCAAACTTTATGTAAGCAGGTAAGCACTTGTTAATTCGGCTAAAACTAAGTAAATTTTTTCCATTCAGAAAATCATGAACAACAAATCATCACAGTACTTGCCTCGCTTTCAGTCTTTGGCTTCTTTTTACGTTTAGCCTTTTTCTTTGCATCTTCATCCATCGTCAGTCCAGGTATGCCAGCCTTGTACCCCTGCCCAAACCCTGGACTGGATTGCACTTGTGCAGCGTAATGCACCGACGCTCCTGCTTCCGGTTCTAATCCCACAATGCCAACCCGGTTGCGCATCGACGGAGGAATGTAAGCCGCTGCTTTCTTTTGTTCGTTGGGCGTGAAGTTCTTCCCCAGCTCAACGGATGGATCCGGCGGTTTATACATACCCGGCGGAGCACGCCGCCAGCACACTTGGAACAATTCCCCAGCATATGGTTGGTCCAACAGTAACTGGCCAGTGTAGCTCCACACCTGATGCTTATTTCCCACTTTCAGCCGAGGCGATGTGGTAGCCACCAAGAACGTGGCGCCATCGGGCGCCCATTCAATGTACGTCATGTATTCGGCATCATGACTGCACACTTTCTTCATATGGGTCATATCCCACACTTCCAGCGCCCCACGAATATTCCCGTGTCCGTACAATACCAGCAAATTACCGAATGGGTTGTACATCAGACCGTTGCGATACTGCGATGCCCCGAAAGTATGGACCCGATCACCGCGTTTGTTGAAAATGCAGGTTTTCCCAGGCATGTAGCCGTAGATGACGCAAAACGATTCACCATTGGGATTCCACTCCCAAGCGTGCACCGGACCCTCTTGATCCAAGCTGATAACCAGTGAGTCACTCGAGGTATTCATTAAAAACAGCTGCGACGATCCATAATACGATTTTTCATCCACGTCCGTTGCAGCCAGGAAAAGAACATGAGTACCTGGAAATGTTAAGATTATGCACCGAATGCGGAGAATAACGTAAAAAAAGCAATTATATCCAGGCTTCCAGCTGTACCTTGGGCGTTCCACTTGAAAACAACTTGATCTTCTTTCATTACGCTACGGGCAGCTAGAGCAGTGGCGGGATCGTCGATGCTTGGATAGCGATATAATCGTACAAAACCGGGTGTGCTTTTGTATGGATTAAAGACGATGACGTGGTAAGGCTTCGATACCGGTGAGATGGAAATTTCACCAATCTTGTTGTTCTTCGGGACGCACACAGGAGTACCTAAAGAGTAACATATAGTGAGCTCCACGATATCAGCACTCAAAACTTTGCGATTTCAGCATACTGAAATCTGGATCACCGAATACGTAAGTTTGATCTTTTCCCATCAAAAAAAGAAGCTTGTCGTCGCTGGACCACGTAATTTTCCTGCAAAAGAACTTCCTAATTGCCGAACGAAAAAATACATTTAACTACTTGCGCTTACCATGTTGTTTCCAACTGCGAATAGACGGCCTTGACCGTCCTGCTCTTCAAGTCGTACACCGTGCAACTGTTATCTTCCTTTTTCGATGGCGCATCCCATAAAACCAGATATCCCTCCTAAGATTACCACAATAATCATCACAACGCACTTTCGCACATCGGTAAACCATTGTTTTCCAAGGAAGAAAACGCACTCAATAATTTAATTTCAATTAATAATGCGATCAAGGTATGCAGCTATGTATGGTGCAGGCTTGCAGTTATGATGGTACATTTTCCTACCTGCGGCGAAAACGCAGCATCGCGAACAAGAACGGTTCCCTCACCCAGTTCCAGGGTTTCTTGGTTCTGGATATCGATCAATTGCACCCTAAATTACATCAAATGATGATCAATCCAGACACTGTTTGTGAGGAAATCGAAAAATAAAATCCGAAGTCTGAACGCACAACAAAACCGGAGATGTCACAGTCACAGGATAAGTGCAGTTAACCGTACAACAGCGCTCATGTTCTTACCCAGTTGGAGTGTGGTATACCAAATATCGCCCGTGCGGGCTAAATACCATGAAACGACTATCCACTTTCACGCTGCAAAATAGGTCCGGACGTTAGGTACATTTACAATTTTAAGAAATATAGAATTAATACATAAAAAATCGCACAAAACAATATCACTATAAAAAAATTCGAGACTACCAACAAAACTGGGGAAATAATTTCATATATGATACACGATACAATAATTTATGACACACATCTCTAAATTCCAAGATTTTCAATTTTTTACAGGTAAAAAATTTTATGGTTTTACCGTTTACGGTTTTACCTGGTAAAAAACTCCACAGGCTGGTTATTCGGAGGGCCATACTGCAGCTGCACTCCCTGGGTTCCACGAACTGAAAATAAAATTCCTTAGACGTTTCATGCAATTCCAAAAATCTCATTATAATTTCCTCTCAAGAAAAGAAAACAATTCTATCAGTCATCAGATCCCCTTATCACTTCAAAAACCAAGTGCCAACTCAGCCCAATACTGCACAATGCAGAGTATGAACGGTACTGTAGGACGCTGGCAGCTGTAACCACTTACGTGCTAACATCAGAGGAGGCGCATCCGTTGTGGAAGCCATTCTTTAAATCAGATATTTTTTCTGGACTCTTCAGATGTGGATACTACTCGATGGAATTTGAAACCACTGGTCTCAGGTTCGCGGAACCAGTTCGTAAGCGCTGCCGTTCGCGAAGTGCGTCCTTCACGATTGTCGCGATTTGTGCGCTTTGGAAAATCACATACGTACGTCCGTAGTCCGTACGTACGAAAAGGCTGTGTTGTAGCAGAGTGGTTGTACGTAGTGTGTGCCGACACGTATAAAGTAACATGTTAAGCACGTAGAGATGAAGTCGTGCGGCCGTACCTCAGGCCGAAATTTCAAAAAGATTTTACAGTTTTACAAGCAAACGCGAAAAGTTTAAATTTTTTTCTTTATGATTCACTATAATTACGAAAAATTTAGAAACTTAGATGTATTGAAAGTTGGCACGGTCGGGCAACCCGGGGGACAACCGAATGGCGGCGAATAGTACTTTAACTTTACATATAAATACGGTATGCCAAAGGTTGACAATGACGTAGTCGTACGCAACTAGCGCACCTTCCACAGCATATGCCTATTGCCTGGGGAAAAGCTACAAAAATAATAAAATCATTTAAAACTTAAAACGTAAACACTAAAGTGACTAAACAGTTACTAAAGTAAAAATGAAAAATTTCATGGGATTACGTTGAAATAAGTTTATGAATGAGATAATTATGAGTTCTTGAATAGAAAGGACTTAGTTTTATGTTGGAACTGTAATATGGTATGTATGGGCACGCATCCAGGTTACTAACATAATTTACGTCTACACGTATTATGAATTTTATGATATTATCCTTTGACAGTTTGACTGATTTCTCAAGCGGGAGCTGGGTGGAAGCAGGAAGTTTTCAGTGTACTTTTCGTTGTGGACTCGCTCCTTCATTACCAGGCTAACACCAGTCATTATTCCTTCGGCATAATTGGCGAAAGCAATCTGTAATCATGTTTGGTGGGCGAGCAGCATCTCTTTTCAAACCGCGGTTTTTCACTGCGCCCGCAGTTCGCTCGAAATCGGATGTTTCTACCACAGTGATTCCGGAGGCCCCTACCACAATTGCACTGCAGGATAAAGATCGCATTGACCTAACAAAAAATAAGGCTCCAGAAGAGTTGCTGGAAGACGTAAAGACACATACAGGACAGGTGCTGTGAAATCTTTGTTCAAGTTGGCATTTATGGTGTCTTTAAATTTTGATCTGGTGTGGTTTACGTTTTATCATTAGGAGTTTTCTTTTGGATATTTTATTATTATCGACGCATTCCCATATTTTCCAGGAGTCTATGTCCGAAAGCTCTTTAAGTAGTTTTTGTTAGAAATTAATGCGTGACCATTTACTTACTGATTTACCCTTTGCGCCTATGGAATCGTTTTACTTTTGACAGCCACGTTTTGAAACGGGTGCGAATGGAAATATCTCAATTTTTTTTGTGGTTTTATAACTTATTACAATATTACTGCAAAATTAAGGTCTATAACGCATCCTTTCGCTGCTGAGATCCGCAACAACAGCGCAGTTCTCATATTTCGTGTAATAAACTTGCATTAAAAATTTATGTTTTATGTCTCATTGCAGAAGTGGGACAAAGGCGATTACAGACTGGTCCGGTTCGTTAATTTCCCAAAACTGGTGAGAGTAAAATTGTGTGTAAAATATACTAATAAAAAAGTAAATTTTAAAAAGTGGTGCATTTCCATTTTCTAGTAGGAACTAGACATTTCCGCTAGCGGTATAAATAACTCGTACCGTACTTATTATTGGTACTCGTACTACCGTTCACCGTAATATATTTATATATATTATCTATATTTTACTCTACCATCTGGGGTAGTTACAGTAAGTACTTATATTATTGATCACGGTTTATTGCTATTATCAATACTAAGTGAGGCTGTTATCATCCTGATGAACTAATGTTGAAGCGGTGGACGACTGTTTCAGTTCATGAAAAAAATTTTTTCGACAGGTTAACACGCGTCGGGCCATAGATTTAATTCACGAGGTGCCTCCTACGCCAGTTCATGGATCACGTACATTTTGTGACGGTGGTGGCGGACCTTTAGGCCATCCTAAAGTGTACATTAATGTTGTAAGTTGTTTTGTTAAACAGCATGTTGGTGTTAGCACTGTGAATTTTCAGCTTGGTTTCTTCTTCGAGTTCCGTTAACAGACGCTGTTTTACAGGATAAACCGGGAAACCACGCTTGCGGTTACTGTGGACTGCGATTTTTCAAAAGCGAAGACCATCATCATTAATCGGGAGTGGATGCTCCCAGCCTGTCAGTTGTGCAATAGCGGTTTAGCCTGCTATATTCTGTTTCGCTTTCACATACGTAACGTGCACCGAGTTTTATTTTAAGCGTAGATAGTGTGCAGGAAAGCCAGTCGGTGAGATGTATTAACGAAACATGAAAGGCATAATAATGCCAAATTTGCGCATTTACAAATTCTTTGGGTTTAGAACTGTACATAACTACAGACTGCAGTGATACAGAGTTATCTATCTTGAATAAAAGGATGAGACAAAGCATCACTCAAGGAAATCCGTTTTAAGGGATCCAATCCCAACATTTTATCCAACAAGTCGCGCAGTTGGCTCACTTTTTTGTACTGATCTTCTGGTAGATGTTGAGATCCGACTAGTTCTTTCAGAAGGTCAATAGTTGGTTGGATGTTGGTGACCACGCGAATCTTCTCCTGAAACGTGCAGAACTTTGGTATATTATCGAACAAAGTTGATCTAATCAATTCTAATAACGATTTACAAACGAGACAGGAAGCACCGTAGCAGTAAGTTCGCTATGTTGATTTCAATAAGTACAGCATCGTAACATGGAACTACCGAGTCACCGACAATATGTATCACAGCAAGCCAACGGGCTACTGAGTCCGTACATATCTACACTATAATACTTTATTATTATTTATTCGTAAACCACTTTACCTTTTGAGTAACCAAATCCAAATCCGCATACAGGAAATTTCCGTTAGAATCGAAATGAGCTTCTCTTAGAGTGCCTTTGCGGATAACCCGATTGGGGATCTTTCCCTTCACATCCATCATCAATTTTAACATCTGATTGTTGCTTTTGCCGGGAAACAATATTCGACCAGTGTACAACTCAAAAATAGTGGTGGCGGTACTCCACATGTCAATTCCGAAATCATACGGGCATCCGAGAACTGTAACACACCAATAGCAGTTACAAAAGATGAAGAATCAAAAATTACCGAAACGAAACTTGCACGAACAAAACTGACAGAAAAACTGGGCTTACTGATTTCCGGTGCACGGTAGAATCGACTGACCAGGTAAGGTGTGATTTCGCATTCATGAGCGTAGGACGCTGAGCCGTAGTCACACAACTTGACCACGAGTTTGCTCTCGTTCACTAAAATATTGTCAGGCTTTATATCGGCATGCAGAATATTGCAACGCTTCAGCATTTTCAGTGCCAAAATCAGTTGCTGACTGTAGGAACGAACAGCTTTAACGTGGAGTCCGACGTTTCGTCCAAACTTCTTCAAGACTTCTCTCAAATTCATACTGCAAAAGAACCGCTTTAAAATATAAAATTCCATCGCCAGATGTCGTATGGAAATAAATGCGTTTTGAATCGAAATAATTATTCTAATGACACTCACTTTAAGGGTTCACATACGAGACACAAATGCTTCTTGTGAAAAAAGCTCCGATGCAGTCGCATGATATGGAACTTATCTTCCCGGTCAGCATCATTCAGTTTTCTCAGAAATTCCAGTTCTCTTAGCCCGGTTTTATGCCTGCAAAAATTAGCACAATAAATTGACGACTTCAACGTTTCAAACGAACAGCAAGCCAATGCATATTGCGCTGCACAACTTACATAATCTCGTTGTTGCGGATGATCTTAATGGCCACCTGGTCATCTTTACCGCGAGCAGTGTCCCGTGCGCGAACAACATTACTGAACACTCCTTGACCAGTATAACCGAACACCTGGTACCGTCCATCCAGAAGTTCACCGACTCTGACTCCTAATAGGCCGAACATGCCCGTATCAACAATAAACCAGCGAATAACATGAAAAAACTCTCTTACGATAGTAGCCTTCGGCATCATCCCAGTTATCAGCCAGAGTCGAGTTTTCGTTCTTTCCACTTCCATTAGCCATATCAGCTGTTGTACCGGAATTCTGCAAACATTAAAAACTAATAAACCAGTGCAGCAATTCAAATTTTTATTCGACTCTAAAAGTTATGTCAAATTCAAGCTAGACTGTAAATTACACAATTCTGACCTGATAGTCCTCCGAAAACATATCCGATTCGGAGAACATATCGATATTCTGCTTCTGTGGGGCAACCAAACCCTTAGCGATACGCTTCCGCCACTCTCCAACCTGGTCCAATTCGGCCGCTAACTGCTGATCCTGACCTGCTTGATCCAGATCCTTCTGGTCCACATGTCGCAACTTATCGCGCAATCCGTCCTCCCAATCCTCGTCCGGACTATCGTGCACTTGGAAATCAGCATCCAGGGAGTCGGCTAGGCTCTTGCTAAGACTGGATGCAGGAGAAGGTTCACGTGATACCGAGTCATAAGAACGAGTCACCTGAGAGAGGATTTTATTGTGGATAACGGGGGGCTGAGATGGCTCTGATGATGGGGTGTCACGGGATTCTTTATTCAATTTGGACAAGAGCAGTTCGCGCTCACGTCGCCGACGCTCAATTACTGCCTCTTCGTCCTCTTCTTCATCGACTAAATCAACTGCCCTGGGGAAAAAAACATACTCCTTCAGTTCGAATTTTACGCGTTATAGTGTCAGGCTTCAGCTTGTCTATTAAATGCAAAATTTGTTAAACTAGAACAGTAATTATTCGTTCTAAATAAAATTAGTACCAAATTCTATTAATCGATAAAATTAATGTTTGGTGTTGTTTCACTTACTCTTCCTTCGGTTTTTTAGAATCCTTCCCGTGGGACACTATCTTCCCATTGTCAAGTTTTTTATCCCGTTTATCCGACGAATGCTTCGATGAAGCGTCTCTATCAGAGCGGTGGCGATCGCTGTACCTAGAGTGGTCGTGTGCTCTGGTCGACTGCGAGGAACGCTCCTTTTCGTTCCGTCCCTTCTTATCCGCAGCTCGTTCCCGGGAACGGGTACGACTACGTTTGCGTCTTTTTGGATCATTAGTGGAGGATGATACTTCCCTAATACGAGAATGGGAGGCATTGCGAGAGACTGAATTATGATCGTGACTACTTGACTGATGCTGTTTACGAACAGTTCTATCAGCGCTGCGTGATCTACTCCGCCGTTCACGAGTGGTCTTCCTCGAGCTCTCCAGATCCCTAGCTGATCGGGAAGAGCTGCAAAACATTTAGAATAATGTGATTAATGTCGGTAGTTTCTAGATAACAATTAACTGATAAAATCTCCATAAGCTTACCTCGATTTCACTCCGCTGATGGAATCTGTGGCTTTCACCCTGGTCGACATTGTCTCTATAACAGGACTACACTGAATCGTATTCTTTGCTCTCCGTAAGTATCTGGCGCTATGCTACGAAGCCAAACCTGAATCCTTATCCTGTAACTAAGGAATACTGGAAGCAGAATACACTGCGGAATTACCGAATCAATATCACTCCTAGACTGAAATTTTAAAGAATTCTCAACTCTTAAAAAAGGTCAAACAGTCAGACTGAAATTTTATTACTTACCATGCTACGGTCACACACCATACTCGTGGTTTGCTGTACAGTAGTATAAGACGCACATTTTGCTTATGCTCCACGCGAGGTAGATGCTGTTGAGTGTTGAGTCAACTTGAGTGTTGCCTGTGTTGAGATTTGAGAAGCATAACAAACGCAACGCAAGCATAACAAACCTCGCCCCCTAGTTACTATCTAAGGAAACTGGAACAGCTGCAGCCTTGTACCGTACTACTGTGTCTGTAACAATCAATCAGAGATTCAGAGCTGCCATTCTAAATTCAACTATTTTTACGCAGGCGCTGCACGGTTGAAACGGGCAAGCCTAATATAACATATGGCAGACGTAGTCTGTCTATATATTATATTAGTATAGGATCCAACGTGTAACTGAAAGGTTACTGAAAGGTCAGGAAGATTCTCTCTGTTCTGAGCTTTTGCGTCTGTCTATCCTCTAACGGGGAAAAGATGGAAAGTAAAGGACACTAAAGGTTAGCCTCAATCCTGCCTGTTCAGTTGCCGATTCTCTGTCGGATTCCCATTCGAAGAGATGCTGTACAATGTACTGGTACAGCATCTCTTCGAATGGGAATCCGACAGAGTACACTGTACATATCTTTGCGATACATGTACAGTACAGTGCACATGTATCGCAAAGCTGAACTATAGACTGTCGGTATTCCAACAGCAGTATCAGTGGATGACTTCCCTCATTCTCCATTCTATGTATCGGCGCTCAGAAAAAAATCATTGAACTAGAACACTTAATTGCTCGTTTCCCAGGACAAGAATGCAGTGTCCAGGCTGAGCAGGAGAATATGAAATGAAAAGGAATGCAGGTCAAGAAAACGTATTGCTGTACATCAGAATAGTTCAGACATTCCCAAATTCTAGAAATTCCACGTTAGATTAATTTGGACAACTCGTACGCAGAGTCGCAGATAACGCATTGTTCCGATTTGACTAGCATCAATGAAATTCAAATTTTCATTACGCTAATAACAAATTCTCTTGCACGGCTGCAGTATTTTGGTTTTTGTCGCATTTATTCTTAATCAATCCACGCGCCTGCGTAAGGCTTCCGTAGGAAGCGTTCCGAAGGAGTTTTTCGTTAATATTGTCTTTTTGATATCCTCGCGAAATATTTTTCCCGCTGATCGTTGGAGAATTGCTCAAAATTTGCTCCTGTTTTTAATGGGTTCATTTCTTCGGCCATGACAATACGGTAGGTAATGTATGGTTCTGAATGGTTCATATTTTAAATCAAAGTACAGCTGACAAGTTACAAGTAGCTTTTAGCCTTCTGCGTTTAGCAGTTTTAATGATCAACTATGCACGGCGGCTTGATGTTTGTGGGAATTCCGTTCAATAAAAATATTCTGCTTGCAGCTTACTCATCCTTTAAAGGATGGCCCCTACTCAACCATTCCGCCCCCGCGCAAAGAAAGGCCCGCAGAAAGAGGTTCACAAGGAGCCTTCCAAATCGCGAACCGATCACAGTCGGTCGACGCGTAATAATGATTCTAGCGCGCACGATAATCGCACGGTCGCGTCACGCTCTCCGGACCGTCACGAAAGAAAGGCAGATCAGAGGATGGAAAGCCAGGGAATGGTGCAGATTCTATAGACGGTGCTTCCAGTTGTGGAAGTGATCTTGACCTTGAAAAGCCTCTGTACGCAATTGGCGACTACCTGAATGATCGCAAAGAACTGGTGGCACAGATGTTCAACAGCATAAAAAAAGATACTCTGCTGCGCATGATACCACCCGTTCTGCGAGAGTTTTCTCTCAAGGAATTGCAGGAAAAATGTGCCTTCGAGCTAGAGGGATTTTCGCGCAAACGGGCACGAGCAGTGCTTAATGGTTTGGACATGATTTCCAGTTCTGGAACTGATGATTCAGACGAAGAAGTGCAAAATGAGGATCAAAACCAATTAGTGAATCTCGAGGTACACTATCTTAGCCTATTAGCGCCATGTAAATCTAAATCGCGAGTAGATCAGCTGTACAGTACAGTACTTGTATAACTACACGGCTCAGACGGCTGCATATGTACAGAGAACATAAACTGTACATAATACATAAAATACAGATATATAGATATTTTATATTATTATTATTTCTATGTATTGTATGTTCGGTAGAAGTATTTATGTATTTAGTGGTTAATTTTAGTTTTTGAAGTACTCCAGCAGTCCTGCTCACTGTTATTAACGATAAATTACTGCTTTCTCGTTACGGTAGAGTCGTAGGCTAACCGACATAATTATAGAATTTTGCTGTTTCCGTGCCCCCTGGAATGAATAGAATTGTCGGGCATCGCTAGACGATACATGCGATTGTTTTTTCACTTTTTTGCCTTTATCTCAATGGTGCCTTCATACATATCGCTTGCTTAATTGTCACGCTTAATCACCTGCGGTTGAATTTCAGATCATGGAGGAATCTCCCGTTCCTGCACTGAAAGAGTATGTTGCACCACTTGCTTTATCGCGGCAAAATCTTGATTCTGGTGAAATTATTATGGATTTAAGTGGGGAACCGGTTGTTTCTGAGTTGAATAAAGATTCTTGTCTTACTACCGTGGAGCCGTTGGAGATGGAGCTCGTTGAATTGGAACTGCGTGCACAAGCTATTCGTGCCTTAATGCAGCAGCTCGATGAGGATGATTTGAGTTTACCTGCGCCGAGACATCGTCGTAGCGATTCTCTGCGTTCCTCTGCTTCCCCGCAAAGCAATCCCGACGATCTTTTGTCTACGGAGCTTTGCTCCATGATTTCTTCAGATGTGAGAAAAAGTAGTCGAGGGGAAAAAGAATATTTCCAAATTCATGCTGATGAGGAAGAACTGGCTGAATTCGACTGAAATTGGGTTGCCTTGCTTTTTTTGCGAAACCCACATGTGATATTTTCCGAAAATGGTTCTCATTATGTTTATCGATTGTACCTGTTGCATTGCGCAGCCAGTTTATATTAATTTTGTGTATATAGGATACATGTTCATATAGCTATTTATGTAAGTAATTGTGATTATTTTGTTTTGTTTTGGTCGATTGTTGAACAAATACTGTTGTTTAAGGATGCTTGCACCCTTTTACAAAAACTTCTGGTCTGCGAAGTAGCATGCAACACACTACTGGTTTACGTACAGTACTGTGATAGTAGATTTATGGATGTCAATCAGGTTATCACCGGTGTACTTGTACGTAACTGAAATTTGAAATTATTTGTGTGCGAGAATTGTGTATTCAAGATATATAGTTGCGGGTACGGTATCCAGAAAGGTCATAAAATTATTTCACGCTGTGCTTTTCAGAGTGTTGGCAGACTTCATGGACTTCTTAGCATTTTATGGACTTCTAGTCTTCTACCTCAGTGCCTCACCTAACTTTAAACGTTAGATGGAGTCAAGTGTGGATAAATTTTGATCGTCGGATGTTTCAAATTACAGAAGTCATGCGAACGACCAGAAACACTTCCGATGCCCTGTATTTTGAGTCTTGACCCATTACACATAGTATGCATTGTGCATACATAGACTACGTAACACGGCTCGTAGTGATTATTATCATGTACATCTTGATCTACGTAGAGTAAAAAATTAATTAATGTACGGACACCTCGTCGCGGCCACTACCGGGCAACCACGGGCGAGGGAATTTTTCCGGCAGCGGATCTCCACACAGATTCAAAGAGGGAACGCTATGTGCGTGATGGGCACAACACCGGATCATGAGAAATTAGAGGAAATTTTCTTGTTATAGCCTGTTAAAACTGTTTTTGTTTTGTTGGTGTTTGTTAGTAGTACTATCATCAGATGAAGATACATTTTATAAAACCTTTATTTGCAAGAGTTTTATAATTCTCCGATTTATCGGCTGCTGGCGATTTGTTTTCCATTCCGAATTAATGTAATACTCTTATTTTGTTGTTGTATTTCCAGTTCATTAATTTTATCATTTAAAGTACTTATACACATTAAACACAAAAGTTTATTGCAGCAGTTTAGACGAAATACTCCAGTCAGCTGCATGAAACAGTACGATATACTAATAACAAAAACTTTTACAGATATCTCTTTATTGAATGTGCATTGACCTAGGGCTTTATAGGCTAAATCCTGAGGGTGAGTTGTGAAAAATGTGCAATAATGATGACCAACATACATTTTTTTCTTTAGTATACGGTAACACAAGTATTGTATTTACTGCCGATATTTACCACTTGGTCGACAGATTTCAATCGGGTAGTTACAACGAATATCTATACTTCTATACCTAAAGTAATGCATGGCACGTCATTGACATGAGAACGGAAATCAAAGTTTACCATCGCCATCCGAAACAGACATAATCTTATTAAAACATGCTCGCATGTACCAAGCAAGTGCTGTCCAAAGTTTTGGAAATCTGTAGAATTTACAGCAACCTACTGAACAGAAATGCGCATTGGTTATATGAACTGAAATGTCGCCTTAGATAATATTATTATGGTCCTTATATTATTCTACACGCAGCCACTTTCAGTTTCAGTCTGATGGTTTCCAGTTGCTTGATGCTTTCAAGTTTCAACGCAAAACCCGTGAGATACAGTACTCGTAGAGTTTTTTGTCCAAGAAAGTCTGTCATTGATTTCGCACAATCTAAGCGACTGTTTACAGTACATACTGTCGCGTCTTTGAACGCCGTATCCATGTGCAAAACTTCAGACGTCTATCTTTCTGCCATCCGTTTTACCCCTGATCTGCAATTTCTATTGTTCATTCCAGGTGTGGTAACCTAATCGTAAGATGCAATATGAAAGAAAATTGCTCACATGACCATCGTTAGTTTCAAAATGTTCTGATTTTAAAGATGTATGATACGCCCAAATGCGTTACGGTCGGCAACTTCATCTTGAAGTTTTTTATGTAGCATGTAGCGTCCATGTGACCTTTGTTATAGCTGACGTCCATATGACGTATGCACGCAAAAAACAACCAAAAGCAGTCATTTTTACCAGAGGCCACCATTCTGTTAATGTACATCAGATGTTATGAATGTTACCATTAATCAAGAAATTATGTGGCAGTTACTTTTGCAGTTTAATTTTTAATTAATAAGTACTAATAAGTAGTGATCTCGAGCATGCTATTTTGTTATTTATTCGATTGGCTTTTGCCTAATTAAAGTCGTTATACAGTGCGGTACAGCAGTTTATGGGCTTTAGGCTAACCTTCTTTCATTGCTTCAGAATAATTCAGATGGGTTATATATAATTCTGCACGTGTGTTCTATGTACTATGTACGAGTCACTACGAGTAGTATTATGGTGCATATATTAAAAATCAACAAAAAGACGGACGCACCGTTATGTACAGTTTGAGGTCGTTTTTGGCTACAGTTTTGTTGTTAATTTTAACAATGCGAAGGTTCTAATGATTAGTGAAGACCGCGAATACAGGATTATGAAATAGCTTGTCACAAATATGTTGGTGTTTCAGATGAAGGAATCGAAGATGAAACAGTACAGCACACCCGAAGTTCCGTCAGACGCTGTAGTTCTACAGAATTGTCCATCCGACCGCAAAGAGCGGGAAGTCGAAGGGGCCAACGCCTACGCTGCATTGCCATCAGGAAGCAGTTCAGATTTCTCGATTCGGATAAATAAAATTGCCTCGGACAGCACCCTTGACACAGTTACCTCCGATTATGGAAGTCATGATGAAAATCACGATCCCGAACATGCTGTACATGATGGACTACTTTTAAATATCAGCGAGAATAAAGAAACAGCGAGTACGGCGGATCACCTCCAAGATCCCCCGGTCGGCCACCGATCGGACACCGGTACCGGTCTTATAGGTTGGCCATTGCCGTTGCTATATATAACTGGCAACTGTACTTACCATTAGTATTTACCACACATAACGCATTTGTAGGGAGGTAATATTGGAACGATATTCTAATAATGGCAAATACCCAAGAAAACGGACGGTTGTAATAGCAAAAACTTAAAATAATTCGAATTGATTACGGTGAATTATTGAATTTTGAGTCAAAACAAATTTTCTAATATTGTATCAGCGCTAGCGATAGATCACATCATCATATTACTAACCTAAGTAATATTATGATCACATATACTTCTATAGCCAATGCTTCATGCGAAATATAGGAATCCGCTTTCTTAGCAAATTATGGCGTTTTGCCATTGCACGCCAGGATACTTGTAAAAGTTGTAATTCGAGAAAATTTTTTGTCGCAGGTTTTTTCGGTACACTTACTGATGATCCGGCAGTGGTTTTGTATTGTGGAAAGTTTTTACAGGCTTGGGTAAGTACAGTAGTTCCTTAAAATAATACAGTAGTGTACCACAAAATTGTATGTATCTGTGGTTAATTATTTTTTTAACTTTTTGTTTTTTAACAGCGTGTACCATGCTCGTACAAGGCACGCACATACTCGTACTGCGCGCGCGCACTACCACATCAGGTTATGAGCCGTGCTATTAATCCAATTTTACAAACGAAACGATACAGAGGTTCATTAGACATCGCTATTATATATTATCGTTGACTTCTAACAAAGGACGAATATGTATAGGGTGATCGCATGTGGATTTTTAGCATCCCTATTTTATTGCTGGAACTCCATCGCCATCCTATGCCGGCATTATTTCTTCCCGCTCTTTATGGATTCTGTTCAGGAGCATCGACAATCGTATTTGGTCCGTTAATGGGTGACTGGGTGGATCAGACATCCCGCCTTAAGGGTATTCTCACTGATCTGTTGACATAATTATCTCTATTTTATAATCGTGCGTTTTAGAAATTAAGCAGTAGTTGTTGTCATTGATTTAACGCTTCTACTTCTAAGTTCTAACTTGCAATACTGTTCTGAGTTGCAGCTGCAAAAGCGATTACCATTTTCCAAAACGGATTAATTGCTGCTGCCGCGTTTCTTCTAGCCGGAACCATCCGATTCCAGAACTTGTTGTCAAACGGAGGCTTATTTATATGCATAGCTTTTCTTATGCTCTTAAGCTTTTCAGCCAATATATTTTATGCGGTAAGTAAGTATTACTTTTAATGTGCAATTGTGCAGAATGCACCGGAAATTAATACGTTGTGTTAGGCCTTGACCATTAACAGAAATCAATATATTACAAATTAAAAAGTAACAATCAACAGCAAGTAACAATTTTAACTGTACAAAATTAACTATTTCAGGGTAGCGTTGTGGTTTTGGAAAAAGACTGGGTAGGAGTTATTGCCGGCGATAATAAAGCAAGACTGGCAGGCAGGCATCGACGATCAAAACGTCATTGGCGAACTCTGATATAACATGTCTAGGACATTTTGTAGTTATTATTTCTGCAGTACGACGGATAGAACTGATTACCAACGTAGTGTGTCCACTGGTTATGGCACAAGTGATGACCTTTGCTGGCAAGGATGTCTGCGCTCTGTTTATTGGGATGTGGAGCTTCCTATCCATCTTTGCGGAATATTTTACGCTCAAAAGAGTATGGATTCTAGCACAAGATCTTATGCTCAAACCACTGGAACAAAAACGCAAAAAGCAGAAAAGTGTACTAGTCAGAGCTTGCAATTCCTGCCGGGTTATTTTTTACGGATGGGGCACTTTCGCAGCTAGTCGGGTCAGCACAGCCGCGATTTCTGTTGCCTTTTTAGAAGCTACGGTTTTGATGTTCTCAGGAGTAACAAGTGGTGAGAGAATTTAAAAAAAAATAAATATGTGTACTTATATGTTGCTTGATTTTTTTAACCATGGTATGACTTTAATTTTCGACAGGATATGCCATTCAACAAGGATTTTCAAACACTGTAGTCGCCTTATTAGCCGGTGGAGACGCTTTAACAGGAATTTTCAGTACATTTCTGTTTCCCAAAGCGCGCGAAATTCTGTCACTCGAAGCGGTGACCCTCGCATCTATGCTTGTGCACATGATGTGCGGCCTGGTTGCCGTTAGTTCCAACTGGATGCCCGGAAGTCCATTCGATCCGTACTTTTTTATTCGAGAAGTGAACGAAACTTACGCCCTAAACTATACGACAGCAGTCCCCGACGTTACTCCTGCAACTTCGCCAATCATGACGTCGCTAGCGGTATTCTCCGCAGCTTTAACGGTTGGAAGATTAGCATTCTGGATGATTGACCTGGCGGGGTCTCAGATCATTTTGGAAAATATTCAGGCCAAAGAGCGTGGCATCTTCTGCGCTGTACATTATTCGCTGAAGAAGCTCATGAATCGGCTGAAATATCTTCTTGCACTGTTCCTGGCATGGCCACAGGTCTTCGGTTATTTAATTATTGCATCACAGGCATTCAGTACCATCGGGTACTTATTTTTTCTTAGTTACTGCAAAAGAAAATCAGTGAAGCAGTGAACATTGCAGTAAGCAGTGTGAGTAAGAAATCTACGCGGTGCAGTTCTGCTTTCCTCTTTCTTGTGTGCAACATTTACTCAACAGTCAATGTATGGCGAAGATTACTCCCGCAATAAGCAATTAACTCCTTTCTTTCGCAAATGCAATTTCGTAAATTTAATTGTCATTATCATTATTGTAGTTAGAAATCGCAAAATTAAGACTTGAGCAAAAGAAAATTAATCACAACTGTTAACGGAAAGTCGAAGCCAATCACAGACCTACGTCAAATCCTAATATCACAACATTTTAGATCTGGTCCCTTAAGCAAACTAATCCGAATCCGTTATACCGTCACCGACGCTGTTCGCGAAGGTTCAAAATCAAGATCCTCAACAGACGCTGCTGAAACTGGATCATCCACAAACTGTTCTTCGTCAATCAGCGCACTGTGCTCGTTTTCGGCTCTTGCATCATATTCTCGCAGCGTACGGTAACAAAACCTGTTTAAAACAACTGCTAAAATACAAGACCTTTTGAACTGCGACACGGCCTTACATGATAACTGAGCCAGGTATAACGAGCAGTCCCGCCGCAAGGGCGTATGAGAAACCAGGATACCATTCCCGAGTGGCCGTGTATACATTTTGGAAGATTAAAGATCCCAGTAACGAACTTAAATTTTCCAAAATTCCCAGGATGCCAAAAAGCTTTCCTGAAACGGTTTCCATTTCAAATTAAGTAAACAGAGCTGAAAGTAGCAGACACTGCCAAAACAGTTACCTTGGTCATCTCGGTGTATATTTCTTGAGCATATCGAGCGCCCGCATGCAGATACTGCAGCCGCGAGAAATCCAGCAACAACAGCTGAAACAAAGTAACACAGTCGAGTATTACAATTAAGACTTTCAAGACACGCTACAAGATATTTATATCTATACATGCGATACAAGATATACATGCATATTTCTTGTATCGCATTTATCAACGAATTATGCTGAAGAGAAGGTTACCGAGAAATATCATAACGCTGTTGACACTCGTCGCATATATGATAAACATCGCGATTTTGGAGATAAATCCCAAAACAATAATGATGAAATCCCGAACGTGAAAAAGCATCTTGAGAAGGGGCAACACCGTTATCAGAGTCAATCCACGAATAAACGCGTCCTCAGCCGAAAACAGATTGTATTCCAACGTTTCCCAGTTAAGATTCAGCGTCCGAATGTACAAATAGCGGATTTCATTCGTCCCTGCAAAGACACTTGTGCACTGAATCCACCACAAATGTAAAAACCGGCCCAATTTCTACATACCGGTTGACAATGTCCAGGTGCACATTAATGCGAACGCTGCCACCACAATGCACAACCGAGCGCGTTGTTCAATATAAATCCAGCGTAATAAACCATACATGTCCTTCAAAAATTCCAGACTCCACATCGTTCGGCAATTCTGCCGTATTCCACCCTTATGTTCATGCTGACGTTCCGGTTCTTGCAAGAAGAATATAACATACAGGGTCAAAATGATATTAAGAGACCCCGCCAAAGCAAACGCTAAGGGATATCCGCCGTATGTCGCTGAAGCAATCGCACCACCTATAAGCGCATCACTGAATTAATCATGATTAACTGACAATGTCAGTGGACAGCGGTAAATGACGGCGTTGTCATCAACAATTCTAGTTTTATGTAAGTTGCAACCGGGAGTTGAAGTTATCACTTAAATTTTCTTAAAGCTCGCTATTTAAATGTATTCCTCATACCGATCGCAGGGGCAATCGAAGTCCCGAGCAAATTGGCGAATTCCAGACATCCAAGACGAGATGTACGAACTTTAAGTGACGATATGTGCGACGCCCAGCTGGAAACAGCCATTATGCATCCCGTAAAGCCGCCGGTTATGCCTTGAAAGAAGTTTGACAACAACAGCAATTCCACCTAAAACGGTACTGAAATCGTAAAGAAAATGACATCCGATCCTTATACTGTTAGATTAAAACGACTGACCGGTGTGCTGGAGATCCCCGAGCATATGGCATAATTTACTGCCGATAACAAAGCCCCAACAGCTGGAAGGATAGCAGGAAATTTTCGACCGAATTTATCGCCCCATGTTCCCAAGAAGGGCAGCAGCAGGATTGACGGAATAGTTAAGCACAGATTGGAATAGAACAACAAACTCGATGCCGTTTCATGCGCCACCGCGGCTTCCGCTTTATGAGCCGATTCATTTCGCAGTAGATCTGCACAGAACGACTCGTTGGAATATAACTTCAAGCACACTTTCCGATAGATAAGGGTCTGCATTCAAAACAAGAACTAATAATACAGATCAGGTTATACCAGGTTATACTGACACTATAAATCCTGCGCGGTGTTGGTATTTACAATGGTAATCCGTATTACCACATATAGATATTCTGCTTCAACAGCTGACAGTAAGTATGTACCTGGAACAAATTGAACTGCATCCAGATGGAAATCATATACAGCAGAATCACTGGTTCCAGCAAAGCCCGACGCATCGTCATCCCTTCGAGTAGGTTTCTCCATCTGATGAAAGCCATTATAAGCCCGCACAGGTTCGGGGCTCCAAGCTTGAAGACCAAATTAATACTTTAAAATGCAGTCCAAAGTCTGCAGGAGACTCGAGTTGTTATTGCAGTGGGAAAGCAATACTTATCACACGAAAGTTGTCACACATTTTATCGCTTCCTTTTCTCTAGAAGTGAGTAATTTCTCAAAATATCTTTATGTAGTTTTCCCAAACCACAAAAGATCAGATCGTTCTAAAAAATGTTAATGTATCAAAAGTAATTAAAAAGGTATCAATTTTTTACGTTCAAAAACCGATGAAAACTGTCAGTTATCATTATCAAACAGGACGAGAATAAAACAGCAATCCGTTACGAGGGTTTGGGAAAGGGTCTCCCCATTACATGCCAACTGCACTTCGTGCGGTAAACATAACCACAGCTCATCGTGTTTGGGGAAATTTCATTTCCTGTAGTGAAGTGCGTACTACTGGCTTTTATACATTTAAAATTCGTGCCTTCTTGGCTTTTAGGGCCATCCAAAAGCGAAAAAACTTTATGATGGAATAGTAAAGCATTGAAAGTTTTATTGGTTTACTTTAGTGGTCAGTCCATCAATTACGCAGCCATTTCCTGCACGCCTCAACATCTGCTGTGGGAAAGCTGTGATTGTGGTTTCAGCTTGCTCTTGGACGCCCATTTGACTGTGGTTCTGTGGGATTTACAATTTTACATGCAGGTTTATTCGTAATCCCATAATAATTTCGTCACTTCCTACCATGTGGCGGAACCTGCGCAAACTCCCGTCTGCAACGGTAAGCCTTCCAAAGCTGTACTTGTGTGACTGAACTGTGGCGCGATTCCATCGCATGACCATTATGTGAATTAGGCGAGCTCTTCGTGGACGAGTTACCGTGCAGTTAATGGGGAGCTACTACCCGTATCGCGAAGTTCTCAGCGCAACTTTTGTTTAACATTGCAAAAGAGGCAGCAGAAACTGGATCCCGCTTGCGATACAAACCCGCCCAAGTATGTTTCACTGAACGTTTCTGACGGTTCTACCAGGTTGTTTGGGTGAATTGTGTGTTGTTTGTTTTAGATCAAGCAATGCGTTTGCAAAAATTCTCGGATCCACATTGTTAGTTATCGCGGTGCCTGTTGGTTATGCACTGTACGATCCCAAATTTCGCTCGACGCTCGAAGGATATCTGCCGTTTACAAAGCCATTTTTTAACGCCGTGACTGGGAATTCTGCCCCTTCTACAGATAAGTCTAAAGCTGCCAGTCCGTCGCTTCCCTCCATTGTGCGACCCAAAGAGCCTGAAAAGAAGAAGCCTGTGGAAATCCCTAAGAAAAAGGATGAGGAGATCAAAGTAGAAAAACCAACACCGAAACCATCCGCTCCCTTAGGTATTTATCGATTCTGTGTGGTGTCTTTAACTCAGTACTGAAAGCGTGTCTTTACAGATACGGTATTGACACAACTTGACAGAACCGAATCTGATTTTCAGTGTGTAATGTGTGGTTATGTTGATAGCTGGTGCCGCTGCTGCCACAGCAGCCGCTGCGTTGACTCCCAATAAAAGTGACACAGAAAAGGAAAATAAGGAATTGCGCAAAGAAATTTCCGCAGCCAATACAAAAATCGCTGATCTGGAAAACAAAGTTAAAACTTTAGAGGTAAAGGATGTCGTGATGTTGTGTGCGAATACTGTTGTACTGGTCTAGGTTTGAGTTGTTTCTAACGGGAACTTGTGATGATTTTTACCATAGGAATATCGTGCTTCTTCGGAAAAAGCTGCGGAAACCCCTATTATATCCGATTTGATAGCATTTTTAGGAGGTCGGAAATTAACTGATGATGAGAAGAAGCTTGTGGATACAGTTGTCGCCAATACCACGGAACGCTTGGAACAGGAATTTGATGCTTATGTAAATGTTGTTTGCCGTTTTTCTGTTTGCATGAACTAGCGAAATTCCGCTTATGCTCATTATATTGCAATCTGATCGAAATTTTTTGGGTATGACCGTATGTAGATTGAAGAACTGGAAGACGAACAGGAGTGGGAGTTGCAGCTGCAGTTGAAACGACAGATTGCCGCTCATGCCGATGCTATTGGGGAAGCCTTAAAGCGTCAGGAAGGTGAACTTGAGCAACACTTCCAGGTCAGACTTGAGAGACGGCTGGAAGAAGAGCGACAGCGGTTTAATTTACAAGTGGCTGGTGCGCTGGGAAGGATTAAAGGCATTGAGGAAGCACTTTCGAGTAAGACATTGTCCCTTATCGCTGATACCTTGCATACTTCTATCTGAATCGAATTTGCAGGACGAGCAAAAAGTGATAAAGCTGCACACAAAGCTCAATATCTGTGGCATACATCCCATGCATTTTACGATGCGGTTAAATACGGAAATACTGCTGGGAAAAGCTACGAAGAGCGCATGGTCCCTCTATCGAGATTTGTTAGCCTCGCTAAAGTTTTCAGTGACTCTCATCCGTTCGTATTGAGCATTTTGAGAGTGAGTTGCAGTTTATACATTGGGCATCCGCAGTTTTGGTATGGTTTTTTTTGGCTGATAGTGCATTTTTGCACTTACAGGCTGTTCCTGAAGAGGCTTTAGTACGTGGCGTGTACACCGAAGATGGTCTGCGTGAACGGTTTAGCCGGTTACGGAATGCCGCCCGGAAAGTGGCCCTGATTGATGAAAACCACAGCAGTCTTTATCAATATTTCCTTTCTTATCTGCAATCTGTTTTGGTTAATGAAACCTGTTACGATTTATCTTCGCAAAAAGAATTCGATTCAACCCAGTTGGACACTTTTCGCATATTGGGAACGGCTCGCAAATGTATGCAGCGGGGGGATGTGGAAACAGCCGTCAGGTTTATTGGTCAGTTGAAAGGCGAGCCGAGGAAAGTTGCGCAGGACTGGCTCAAAGAAGCACGTTTATATTTGGAAACGCAGCAGATAGCCAAATTGCTGCTAGCACACGCATCGGCCGTGGGATTGTCCACTGTGCCCATGGATGGCAGGAAATAGATGTGTTATTATGATCCAGTTTTCGTTGTGTATTGTGGTCGTTCCAGTGGAATATCTTAACGCTGACTTAACGTGAAATTTAATGGCATTTGCTTTCGTTTTGGTATTTATTATTTCTGGCTTGATTGAATGATTGCTGCGGTGTGTGATTAAACGAAGACAAGGATTTAAAATTCCTAGTGTCCATTACAAAACTGTTAGAATGATTTAAGTACGTTAAAGTACCAGTGCACTGATTTGTGGAACCATCCAAATTCCGTTTTCAAAACTATCAATCGTATTGCGAATTTCAGTGTGAGTAGGAATAAGCCGGTACAGAATTCGGTCAATTCATCCAGGAGTACATTTCCAGCATGGAATTTGCGACCGCACTTAATACTCGTACAAAGATTGTACAGTGTCGTAAAATATAAAATTAATAGTAAATACGGTCTGCGTGAACGTCTGCGTGTACACACAACAAGGCAGTCGCCCCTGAATATGGTGGCACAATTTTCTGGGGTCCAAAGGCCGGAAAAAGGGCTTTGTACAAGTACTTGTACCAATCAGTCAGTTACTGTACTGTATCAGTTTTGTATCTGACCCAGTAAATATCTATATAAATAGATTGTTAGTAAGTAGTAAGTACCGGACCATACTAAATACGGCATCGCTGTACTGTACTCGAAGTACAATAAATCAAGAGTCTGGTCTATCTGGGGCTCCCAACTTCACTGGCTGAGGATACGCCGGCAGCGCATCGGTATGCGTTCTGGTTTTCTTTTTGAATCGGTCTATCATCTGCTTTTCTAAAGATTTATAGGGACCTTCCACCGGATCGTGCTTTTCCCCGTTATTGCTGACATTAGCGACGCCAGGCTTTGCCTGGGCGACAGACGAAGAATTGCGGACGCCCTCTTTCTCTTCTTCGAACTGGATTTGGGTATAAGTAGTTTTTGTGACCTCTCCAGTAGTGTTGCTTTTCGCGAGCAAATCCTTCAGTTTTTGGTTGTGGAAATCGGAATCGAATAGTTGGTCAACCTGGCGGTCGCGAAATAACTCCGAGCTGACCGTTTCAATTCGGGATGCCGGCAAAATAAAAGCGTCCCGATCATTGGATACACCGTTTACCTGAAGATTATCGTCATCGGACATTTGCGAAATTTTTTTCGCCTGTGCATCCATTAAGGTGTCTGGATCAGCTACAACCCGTGGCAGCGTCTCCGCCGCCGGGCCTTTACTGAAGGCTGTATCGCTGGCGATTTGGTCGATTTCCTTATTGCACTGCTTCCTGGCTTCCGGTGGGAGCAAATGTCCTAGCTGCTCGATCAACTGCATGAACGTGAAATTGCCCAGAGTACCGTAAGACAGATCATTCTTGTGGGCGTCGTACAGTTCCCGGATGGTGCTCAACACCGATGTCTCCAGCGGCTGCGAGCTGCTCTCCGGGATGACATTTGTTTCGCCGGGTTTTGAGCTGGTTATGAGATCGGCTGGCGCCCATTGACCATGATGTTCCTGATGCAGATGACCGCCTAATGCATTTTTTGCAATTTCCAATAGATCGTCCTCGTAAATGGCTGCGGTTACAGCATCGTACAAGTTCAGTTTGGTATCGGTGATTCCGTCGAACGTAGGGAGTGTTTCCGGTGTTGTGTCTGCATCCGGATCGTCATCTTTTGCCCAAAACCGAATAAAGTGGTCAAACAAAACGACCTAAAGGAAGATAGCTTAACATTTAATAGACTAACTGCGGCGCTACCTGTACTTGTGGTTTACTAGTGGCCTAGACAAATGATATTCAACTGTACAACGGACTTCGGAAATTAATTATCGCCAGACTGGACCGGTTGCGCAATCGGCTGCATCCGCTAGCGTCAAATCATTTTCGAAGTCCATCGTACAATAATTATACATTTTAAAAAAATGTATATTGAGAAATAAATACCTGTGCATGGTTTCTCGATCTTAAAACAGTTCGGGAGGTATCTTCCAAATTAGGATTTTTAATTTTCCTGCTGGGGTTAACATGGATGATTCGTCGATCTTTTCTGCACTTGAGCTGCAGCCCTTCGGGGCCCTGATAAATAACATCGAAATTCCTTGTGTTGTTGCTATGTGTCACATTCGTGTCCCAGTTGAAATGACTGATGTCGGTTGCTTTTGCAACCAATCGCTCTCGACCAGCAAAAATCTCGGCGAAATCCTCTTCCCGTAACCTTTGTGCGTAATCAATATACGAGGAGATCTCTTGACCTTTTGCATTTCGATCGCGCAAGTAGATAATTGTCACTAAACGCCCATTAAGATTCGCCTCTTCGCGGCGTGCTAATTCTAGCAGAAAAACATCGCGATCCGTGTGGAGATATTTTGCGCCGGATTTGTGCTCTTCTATTTTTTTTACCATTGCTTGCTCCGTTTTCTTGCTGGCAAACTGTTCGCGTGTGACCTTTTCGGCGTTATTGTGAAAGCCAAGTTCCTTAATCGTCCGCGCAATACCGCGATCCTCCAAGTAGTACATGTCCGTTTCATTAATCTGACTGTTCAGGAAGTCTTCGTAGTTGGGAAACTTTTTTACGATATGCTCGATTCGCATCATGTTGACACCGCGTTTTTCATCGGGGTCAGTCTGCATATCTGCTTCTGAGTTGACAGTTTTACGTCGTTCAGTATTCGTGCTGGGCGTAAGCGAATTCGCCATCGCTAATCCTTCGGAGTATAGATGATCGGTTACTATTATTTCCTGGGAAGCTACATTAAAAACCTAGATTTCAGCAGGTGGCAATGCGGAATCGGAAACTGAACCGCATTAGATCCAAAATACAGTAGCGCACTGCTGCGTACCACCTATCAGGATGCACTTCTACATTTATTGCCAAGTTTCAATGGTTCCAAACGGAAACACGTTTTCAGGAGTGGTGCGGATACAAATCAAACAACCTAACTAAATATTAAACTACTGACCAGTAAAACTAAAGTCCGAAGTACTGACCAGTAAAACTAAATCTCAAAAAATGCGCTCACAATACAAACAGAAAGTGGTGCAGTAAAATCAAATGTATGTACATATAAAACCCAAAATCATACTGAAAAACAGATCAAAGGCGTGAATCACTTAACCACCGGACAGCGCAAACACAGTAAATTACAATAAGCCTATCAAATCAAAGACACATTAATGATTAGATGATGGTTTCACTGGAATGGGGAGAATTACCCTGAAACGTTCGTGGCGAAACTTTGGACTGCTGGGGTGAGGCCTCCGCAGACCGGTGCAACCCGTCGCCTATATCCATCATCGAGTCATTAGGCGTCTCCGATCTCCATGAGTTTTCATTCTCCGGAACTTCGGTGACGGAATCTCCGCCGCGATCTTTAGATCCAGACGGAACCATTGTTTCTTTACGTGACATAAAGGATTTTCGACGTTTCTCTCGCACAGAACCGCTGGAATGCGAGATTTTACGGCTTGGCTTCTCTTTCTCATCTTCTGCTGCGCTGACACCAATCGGCGGCACTTCCTCTAACTCGTCCGGATCTTGTTTACCGGTTTCTAAGCGGTTTTTTATGGCGCTAGCCAGGAGCACCACTGATGCCAGGAAACGATATTCACCTTCGTCCAAGATGTCGGTAACAAGACCCAAAGATTCGTCGAAGTATCCCTGGTAAGCTAAGATATACAGAATATCCAGAAAGTCCAACAAAAACCGTTCGTCCAAAATTGTTTTGGGCTGAACCACTTGACTCATCCTGCAAAATCAAAAAATAAATTTTCACAAGCCAGGTGCTATGTCGAAATAAATCTCAAAAATCAAAATTATCATTTCCAAAGCCTTCTCACTACACTGCAGACTCATGATGCCGACAGTGCCTAGCTGAAAAGACATTCCAATGATAATACGCGAGCTAAACGCAAGCCGTGAAACGAGAACGTTAAGTACCTGTTCTTATCTTTTCCAACCGAAAAAGACTTGAAATTAAGTTTATCAAAAGGTCTGGGTTCCTTGCGGATAGTTAGTTCCAAATCAGCACGGACGGCGCTGGCCGCGCTTACAGGCAGGAGCAACCGACCCATAATGATAGCACTTTTTTGGCATGCCCGTGAGTAATACGCTAAATCCAGCGCGACAGTCCTCAGCAGAACGCAGAATACCGTCCATTTTCTTGTGCGCGTCAAACTTTCCACCGGAGGATGGCTTTCCATGACCACGCGGCGCTCTTCATCTGTCTCGCTGCGACCTCGTCCGCCCGCACTGCCTTTCAAAATGTTCACCGTAAATTCGGCCGGATCATGATACAGGCTGAGATTAGCTAGGGACGGTATGGTATAGCTCTCGGTTTTATATTGGCCTTCGTTGTCAACAATCATCAAATTGTACACCACAATCAATAAGGCATCCAGTCCTGGTCGAATGGTGATGCCATACTGCCGGGATTTCATGGTGTCCTGGAAATGGCGCCATATCAAACAAAACACGAACTGGTGGACAAACTTGATTAAGTGCTCATCGTATGTTCGATAACAGCGGAGGAGCTGGTAATAGAAGCGTTCCAGAAGCGCCTGTTCTTCGGCCGACTGCTCCGAGAAGAGAAATTCCATCAGATTGCCCAACAGCTTTTCATCCGAATGAAAGGAAGATCCCTGTCTGATTAACGAATCTACAGACAACTGCTCCACGTCCCTCACGAAATCCAGGGTTACTTTGAGGGATTTGTGGGAATCCATTTTCGTCTGATTTCCAGAGCGATCACTCATGTTTAATCCTTTCAGAACTAGTAAAATCTAAACCCGCCTGACTAATTAATTATTTGGGCCCAGCTTCAAGCAAATGGAAGCGTGACAAAGGGTGCACAGGCAGCACAAGAATCCAAAATTCATGTAATGAGTCAGAATCCCACTTTCTCCGCATTAGCCGTCTGTGTTCTCCAACACATGTTGCCTTTCCGAACAGCATATATTATTCAGACTATCAAATTTTTATCCAAATGAACCAAACTTACAGCAAGTAGTGCAAAGTACTTGACTTCAAAGAATACCGTGATGAAAAGTTTCCATGTTCTAACCAAAAGCCCTTCCAGAATCCAGATTTTAGCTAAGAAGGAATGCTGGATCGACTACGCTTATACACATCAGACTGCCGCCTGATAGACGGGGGTGCTCAGTTCCGGTTTATCTTACTGTCCCCTCCACGAGTCCCCGATCAAAACTGCAGCAAAATGTGTCACAGCGACAACACGAACTTTATCTCGAATTTGCGCTTGTTGTGGTTTTTACACAGCAGAGAATTTTTCGTGCAGTTTATTATTTTATGTATATTTGGAAGAGTTCTGTGCGATTTTTGAAATCATTGATCACCGTTCTCGATGATTTATTTTCACGAAAGTATAAACTGATCTACGTGAGCCTGAAACCGGGTGCTGTATTATCGCAAAAATGGGGTTGATGAGGATTCTGAAGAAGCTTAAACAAAACGAGAAGGAGGTTCGCATTTTATTACTGTAAGTCGCTTGCCAGCATGCCATAATTAGGAAAGCGCTTTCTACGTATCTGTTGAATTTTCCACTTTTTCGTTTCATTTAATTTCTCGTGAAATAGAACATTGATTGCTAGGGGCTTCGACAATGCTGGCAAGACGACTATCATGTCTAAGTTTTGTGGAAAGGACGTTAACATCATTGCGCCAACCCTTGGATTCAATATCGAAACTTTGGAATTTCGAGGGTAGTATTCGAATTGTTTTCTTTTCACATTTATGCTTTTTAACTGGTTTTTATTTGCCATTTAGCTACAAGCTGACTTTTTGGGATGTTGGTGGACAGAAGAGTTTGCGTTCGTTCTGGCGAAACTATTTCGAGAATACGGATGCTCTGATTTGGGTTATTGATAGTGCTGATCGACTTCGACTGGAAGATTGTAAAAGGGAATTGCATTCCCTACTACTGGAAGAGGTAGGATGGTTCTTTATCTCACTAATGATAAGTTAAACAGTCATTTGGTTGTTAACTTAAAATTCTGTCTTTGGTGTACTGTAAGTAACTATTGTAGTAAATACAGAATTGTTTTTATTTATAATTTTGCAGGTTTATATTTAATATTATTACATACACTGCATACTGGTAGATCTTACAATTAGGGAGTTTCGAAAAACGAAGTTACGACTCCAAAGTTTCGAAGTACAATAAAAAAACCCAGTTTTGATAAAGAACACCCATGTGTTTTTGTTTTTTGTAAAGCATATTTTTCGACACTCAGGTAATCTTTAAAGTTGATTGATACAGACGAACATGTATGCGTTAAGTCCAAAAGGTCGACTTTTTAATCTGTTTGATTTGGATTCTCAGCGAAATTTTACTTACCTTGAAATATGAATCTTCATTAGTCTTTAACTACCTCACGGTATTACTGTCCTGGTATTATTTATTGTTGTGAATGGCTTTGTAAGCGCATTAAATTCCGTGTCTGCAGCACGACTGCAGGATCCTTGGAGTATTGATTGTACTCGTAGTTATTGTTTTGCAGAGGCTAGCCGGCGCCACCCTGTTGGTTTTCGCCAATAAGCAGGATCTGTCTAATGCTCTTCCCTCTCCGGCGATTGCAGAGGTTGGTAGACCGACCGCAGACCTCTTCTGTGGTTTTTGGTAGCGGTGCCGCCCTTCGATGCTCAAGACGGGCCTTTAAATGGACACTTGACCCGGCACTCCATGTAACTTCGTGTTTCTGTAACTAGATGCTTGACCTGAAGAACATTAAGACACATAATTGGATGATACTGCCGTGTTGCGCCATGTCGGGGGAGAATCTCTTAGCCGGAATGGAATGGTTAACCAAAGATGTTGCGTCACGGATTTTTACGCTTGAATGAGTGCGTGGACGGGACGGGCTGTGCTAGAGTGACGTCGTTATCGTCATCCCATAATTTTCTGCTAGGCCTGATGCACGACTGGAAATTATATAAGGCATTATCCAACGAGTGGCGATGGTGCCGGCGGTGATGATGAATTCGACTGAATGCCTCATTTGTCTTTCAGTTGCGGGACCATTTATCACTGGGATAAACTTGCTTCCGCATGCTTATCGATGGTAGAGACAACTGCGGAACCAGTGAAAAAAGTGGATGTTTTAGTAATTAAAATTAACATTCAGAGACTGTCGAGTACACATCGACGCAGTCTCAGCGTCTCCTTTCTGGCACGTCCAGATCAATAAAGTCTGAAATGGTATGATGATCGGGTATAATTAAGTTGGCAGTATATGTTACGTTGCCGTTATCAAAGTGCCGTTTGCTTATTGATTTGCCCATTCTTTTGGGATTCATCAGTTTCAGTTTTGTGTGTATCGATTTTATTCTCTCTTCCTGTCTCCCACTCTGACTCCGTCATCCGTTCGTTCTTGGAGCGACGGTCGCGACTGTCGAGCCGGCGACGATATAATATACAGTACAGTGTATCGTTCAAACTTTCTATTGACAACCATCACGTATTAATGGTTATTCAACAGTGGATCACATTATTCACATAATATACATACATTATCTGGCAGGCTACAGTACAAAAACAAAAGGGAAAAAACACCACAGACTCACACAGAGACCATTATATAACCGATTCCCTGTTTGGTTTCTCAAGAGTAGGCAAATTTGAAACAGTCAGCTCTGAAAAGTCACTTCCACTCGTGGGACTCTCACTTCCGGCGCATATATGCATCTCGATCTCAGCCAAGCGATGCTCCACTTCCCACTGCTGTTGACTTAGCTTAATACTCATACTAGCGTTCTCCGTCTCGAGCTGCACTAGGCGCTCGCGCAGCCGGCGTATTTCCGCTATTAACTCTTCGGTCGTTGAGGGAGTTACTTGACAATGATGTCCGTCATCGGCTATTAATGTTAATGCCCCCGGTGTCGTGGATCGGCTCACGGTATGCGAGCTGGTAACATTAACCGGTCGCCGGTTGGGAACGGTTAGGTGTTGCTGGAATGCAGTAGTGGTCACTGCGGCCACCGGCGCGGTGGACATGGGAACGGAAGGAAGGGGACTAAAGGAGGCCGTCATGGAATGGGGCGGTTGGGGAGAGTGGTAGCCGGTGCCGGTACGACTGGAAGACATGGGCAGCGCGGAAGGAACAATCAGCACAGCAGCGGTCTCTTTGGACCGGTCGGGCAACTGCAGCAGGGGGGCCTTGGTGGAAGCCGGTAGTGAGAGCGTGGTGGCGGAAGGGTCGGATGCGACGTGGGCGGGGCCCTGCTCATGGGGCAGGGAAGGCGTGTGGTCCATGAAGCTCTGTCCAGGAAGTCCTGCGGGCATTGAAGGCATGCGAATGATGGTGGCCCGGTCGATGCGCGGTGAATGGGTCACACCGGGCTCCACCAGGCCGGGAGTACTTTGACTCCGATTCATCGAGGCTGCAGTGCAAACAGAATAATTAAACAACGGATGCAAGGGTCGCAGGAAAACATTGTCCGCAAGTATCTGCAAGCCACACTTTCCTCCGTTGTCGACTAGAGCAGTTTGTCAACGGGTAATGCTAGAGCACTGCATGTACGCCGGATTTTGTCAATCACCATTAAACAAATTAAAACCCCGTATTTAATTTCACCTGCTTTATGGAAGTGCCCTGAAATGCTGATAACGTATCCAGATAAATGTTTTTCGGCAGCTGCCTTTAATACAACAGTAGATTCCTCAGTAAAGTATCAAGAGAACTCGTAGTACGTGAGTTTGAGCAGTATATATACCGATGTTTACGAGCATCTGCCATAAGCAAAAATTTTTTCTGTGACAAACTTTGAAGTTCAGTACTCGTAATCTAATTAATTTCTATTCAGAAAAAGTCAGGTGCGATTTGCGGTTCCGACAATATTGTTTGAGTTTATTTAAGAACATATATAAACCACAACCATCTACAAATAATTTTGTTATTTCCGATTTTTTTCTGATTGCCGAAGCGGTGAAGCCTAACCGCAACAACGTAATTTTCACTCACCTTTTTCCAGTGGACTTTTCTCGTACTTGCGCAAACGCTTTTGAGCAATGGCTTCCAATCTGACCCGCGCAGCGGGATACTCTTGTAATACGTCCCACATATCCTGTTTACTAAGGCAGAAAAGGTCTGAGTAGCCGACGGAACGCACACTTGCTGTCCTCCGGTTACCCAAAGTACCCATATTAAGTACTGAGATCTCTCCGAAGTAACTTCCGGCTTTCAGTGTGGCTAATACAGTTCGCCCATTGTCAGCCACCACTTGCAGTTTTCCACGAGCCACAATGTACATGTCTTTGCCAACTTCACCTACAAAAATGCACCATATCAGTAGCCAATATTTTAACTGCCGTAAACGTTGTTCTTATTTGTGGGGCTTCTAGTTAATAACCGACATATATTTTTCCTGTATTTGGTAGATTGACACATATGTATAGATTAAAATTTTATACTGAATATGTGTTATATAGGACCACGTTAACTAAACCAATTACGTAAGCCTAGCAAGAAAAGATATATTATTTTAAAAGATGCCATGGGCCCATGGGTGTGTTTTTTTAACCAACCTTTGCGACAAATGTAATCACCGGGAGAGAAAAGCACAGGACGCAATCGCAGTACCAGTTCACAGAGGAAACCAGCCTCGGTGTTCTGAAAAATTTCCACTCGCTTCAGCGTATCCAGGTGTACATGAATGGCTATTTCCGCTTTGAGTTTATCCGGCAGACATGCCATGACGGACTTTTCTTCGTCAGACGACTTTTTGGTCATCCACAGATAATCGAACCATTTAATGACCTTTTTCTGTAGATGGTCCGGCACGCGTCGTAGATTCATGTATGTCTTCACATTATCCAGCTTTGCTGCGACACAAAAACAAATGATGTTGGAAATTGATTACGTGGATTCCTGCGGCTTCGTTTATGTTAGATTATCCTCCATTGACAGGATTAGCCGTACTAGAGCATATAAACCAATGCTATTGCTTAAGCAAACGCAAGCGGAAATTTACTACCAGACGCAGGGATATAGGAACAAGTGTAAAGGATGCGGGGACGTGCGTAAGGTTCATTAAGAAATTTAGCGGGATGCTCTACAGATCATGATCTGCAATTCACCGCTTAACAGAGTTAACAGACTCGGAACCCGATACCCGCGCCGTTCCATTTGTTCCAGCTACAGTAACTTTAGATCTGCTTTCTAGTTTATCATGCCGTACGCATCCATAAGTTATACGGCGTAAGAAAAATTATAAAGTCAAAAACATCGTACTGTTTTCCCAGCTACAAAAACCATTTACAAAACTTCCTTCGTTCCAACAATATGTACAATTTTAGTGAAATGTGCAGCATGCCTGCAACTCATGGGATTTTGCAGTTAAAAAACGGTATGTAATATTAATTTTCGAAGTATAATAAATTGTAATAACAGCCAATTGCAAAAAAGCAATTGTTTGTTGTATTGTCTGATTGCCAACACATTTACAAAAAGCCTGTAAAGACATTGCTCGCACCGAATCTACAATACCATATTTTGCCCATATGCTGCAACGTTTTGAGCTCTGATATATATATGTACACTGCATCCGCATATATGTGACGGCCTGCCGCATTGTGCATGGGTGTGCAAAATATCAGCGATATTTGCATAATCCGCACACGAACGGGATGGTTGATATCAGCTGGGTAATAGCGAAATAGTAATTACTCTTCCCTGTTTACCGTGCGGATCCGGTCATCCGTTATGGCATCGTGTGCGTGCCTCAAAATGAATGTGGTTTTGACGAAATGTTTTCTTGACCTGACAAGAGATTTTTATGTTCAGTGCTAACCATTGCGTGATGTGTGAAAGTAGACTACGTTTTCTGCATGCAGTCTTTTAAGATTGTTAAGACAAAAAGTATCCTTTCCTACGTTAGCGTGGTCGAAAGGAGCATACGACGACAATTCTTTTGAAGATTGATAAGATCCATTTACAATCAGCCCTGTCATGGGAATTAATAAGCAAATAATTTTACAAATTTTCATTTTGACAGGATGCTGAGTTATTGCCGGGAAGTTTGTAAATGTTGCGCTGATAAATCCACAAATAACCGTCATTTTACTACGAATATGACATTTTCATAAAGTTCACATCTACATCGGCGAAAACCTCGACGGTCTGGGTAATATGTAATCTGACGTGAAAATAAATCATCCGCGCATGGATAGTACAACTTTATTGTGCTTACGCATCGCTACTTGCACTATGGTAATGATATTTCGATGAGCAGTTAGCATTAAATATTTAGCAAGACATCACCAGAAAACTCTTAGACCGATTTTCATTGCCTCTGTTGCGTAATTACCATACAGCCTGCAAATAATGCATTATAAACTCTTTTTGAAATCCAGTAGTTTGTTAAAACCTTTCCGTAATATATTTTGCAGCTTGATGTTCACTATGCTGATAACAGAGGCTATCGATTAGTTATGTACAATGTATATGTGCTGCATCATATAATCGGATTCACTATGCACACAGGTATAACAAGCCCTTTTCAGTGTGCGTTGCTCTTGAACATAAATGTTGAAGTGTTCCTTTCGCGATTGCTGCAGCGTGGCAAAACATACAAATGCGACTGATTCTGTTTTACCTTGAAATTCCTTTCGCGCAGCAGCAACATTAGCCACAATATTCGCTATGTGGCCCAGCACGGTAGCAAACAAGAGCAGGCCGCATATTAGCTCCAATATGACAAATATGTGTTCGACTCTGGATTCCGGTCGGGGAATATCACCCACATTCGTTAAGAACAGTGTTGACCAGTACAGAGCGTACAGGTACAGCCGCACTGTATCCAGCTGGTCTTCCGGTTTGGACCAATTAGCACGAAAGTCACAGAACCGGCACGAGGAGAGCAAATAATAAATGCATGCATTCCAGTGGAACAACGCCAACAGGTAATGAATCAACACCACACTACGGAAAACATTGGGATAATTGGTATGTCGTTCCGTGCGGTCCAGAAAGCCCCAGAATCGATAAATTTTCACCAATCGAAAACTACGCAGTGCTGAATTAAACCCCAATGACAAATATAAAATATCCAGCGGTAAGAGGCAGAGACAATCCACATAAAATAATGTCGTGTTCATGTAATGCATTCGTAATTTCGTTGGTTCGGTTTGTAATACGCCATCTTCCAGATAACCGGTACGAAAATTAAAAGCAATATCGCACAGGTACAGTATATCAGCAAAGTAATCCAAAGGCATCCATAAATGAACATTTGAGCTATTAATTTCTTGAAAGGAAAACCGGTAGACGATGACCCATAAATTGTACAAAAAGGCGATACTGACAACACAGGACCTAAAAATATAATTATGACAATGGTATACTTCGTACAGTACATACAGCGTTAATGCTGTAATATTGGCTTTGGTGGACCAAAAATTGCATCTTCCGTAGGCCGCAATAATTAGCTGCCTACGTGTAACAAACTGGAATTCTTTCGCGGTTATGTTTGCGAGATTGTTATATAGGTTACTTGTCAACTGTCAGCGATTTATCCTAAGTGATCCTGACAGGTGTCACACTATCGCCAATCGTTCCCACACTATGACGTATGTAATAACCATGTCCGCGATACGGTGATAACAGTCAATCTAGTATCAATAATCTACGCATATCCGCTCACCAATAATAAGCCAAGCGGCCGGAAGGATCGAATACAAACGTCCAGCGGCATCCTTAATTATAAGAAAGAAATGGTCAACAGAGAAAATTCATTGTATGTTCACTTATAACACATGCTTAGGTAAACATTATGAATTGTACTTATTATTTGGGTGTGCAACTTTTCTTCATGCTTTCATCTGTATTCATTTTTTCCACGCATTTCTACCATAATTATGCAAATGGATTCAGTTATTTTTTACTTACTCAAGCGTACTTGTAATTACCACGCAATATAGGGCAGATGAAAAAGCACAAAATCTACATAAAGTGCAGTACAAAAATGCAGCTGTAACAGTACCTGTCCTGCGATCAGCTGAGGACAGGGAACCGGCAATTTCTTGTGCATCCAGGGTTTGGAGAAAGCGCTTCTTTTGGCCAACGGAATGTCGCTTATCATGCTGGGAGCCAGCGGGACTACGGCTGCGTGATAGGCGACCGGCTCGTCCTGTCAAGTCCTGACTAAAGGGATCATTAGGACTGCAGCTCGTACTGGCAGCAAAGTGGCGTCGATTTCTCCGTCCCCCACCACCACGCAATCGATTCAGCTGGGTTTGGAACCAATTCCGGGCGCCCGATGACTTACGCAAGTATATTGCTTCGCTGGGGCGTTTGTTAGTGAATCCAGTTGAGCCACTTGGTGCGGTCATGATAGTGTGTGATTTGTGATCGCTGCTATTGCTTAGCTGATCCATAATGTAAGGTACTTAGTCGTAATATATCCCGCCACTCTCTAGCTATGTACCTCCGTACTACGCCAGCCAGCAAACAGTACAGGAAGGACCTGGGCCGGGGCGCCGCCTCAACAGCAGAGTATGGCTAGTTAACAGAGGCCGAGCTACAACCGCCGCGGTTGTTGTACAGGCACAGATGACATTTAAACTTGTTCCCGGCAAACTCTCCACTCACCCGACAATGTCTGCAGTCGTACCACAACGCCGAGGAGATTGGAAAGTGTCCACACAGGCCAATGTACCGGCATACGCAGACGCTCATGATGTTTTGTCTGGATCGGCATTCATAAGAGCAGCTCAACTTGCAGCGGATTGCAACTCTGTTTAACACATCCTCTACATATCCCAGTTTACTATGCGCTGGACACCGCGTGCAAATCTGTATCCACAACGTTAAATACCATTTCCGATTGCGTGATCGGTGGTTTAATCAACTGCAATAAAAGTTGAATAAATATCAATATAAGCTCGTAAAAATGGGAAATATTCTGGCTATTTGTGTATTACCCAGGGTGAATGATATGGATCGGCTGTGTGGCCCTTAACCGTAGGGTGTTCCCTATTCGGCTTTCGGGTAGATTGTAATGCGACGGCTCTATGTGCTCTAAAATTGTATTTTACGCAATAACTTTATACCGTTAAGCGGATATTTCTTTGAGCAGGTTTAAATCATAAAAAGGATCAGCCCTCCTGCTGTGTGACAAATTAAATGCGCTTTTACTCTTACAGATTGCCACCTGCATTCAATGCTCCATAGTCCATACCAAAACCGCGTGCTACTCGTAGAGTATTCTACAGAATGGATGAATATTTCTGCGCATTCATTGTGCATTAGAGCGCAGTTAAAGGCTGCATTTTACAGAGCATACGGTACATAAAGTTTATTAATTAACTACTGCGAAAAACGTTTTAGCACGGCAAAACTAGCGAATGCTGATTGGTGCATGTGCCTGATGACTTAGAAATTAACAGCTTACGTAAAAGCGACAGTAATAATACAAATATATTGGTCGAGTTTCATGTGGAAGCAACAAAACGTTTACAGTAAGATAAAACCTGAAGGCTTAATTTTATGAATATTGTTTGGTATCAAAGGCAAAAACCTCCAAAACGTTCTTCGCACGTACAAGTACATCTTTGTTCGCGTAATCATTCCGTTATGGTTCTGATACTGCTTACTAATACCATTTTCAGACCTGGTTTAGAATGGGCATAGTGTATATCGTACATAAAAAGGGCGTGTAGTGTGGATGATATTAGTGCCTATTAAGCGTATTGTTACTGTTCTGCTTCTTGGATGACAAGTAAGGCACGCGAATCCCTCCCTTGTGTATATGAGACCGTCGGAGCAAGAAATCTTTCAGGAAGTTCGCACTTGTTTGAAAAAGACGCGCCTGAAGAACTCAGTAGCATGCTTTTATTAAAAACGACTCATCCGGTGAGGAGGGGTGATGATCATAAACAACGGCGAACGCGACACCTACTTCCTATCCGTAGCATGAAATTCGTGTGAGTAGATTACATGAAATGATTATTACATTTAATCATCTATAGATTGCAGCGGACAATGGGTAACCCGGGCTGCAATGGATGCGCTGCGGTCCAGAACCAATACAAAATTAGCATACACATACAGTATCTTTAGCTCTGTAACTCTGTTAGATATTACAGTACTAGTAATTACGCCACAGCTAACCATCGTCACTTCAAAAACAACTGTAAAAAAATCCTAGCAGTACATACTTCGACTTTTGTTAACAATTGACCACTTGCACTAGAGATTTTGAACAATTGATCACCCACGTTTTCCAATCTCCTTAGAGCACAACAATTACACCCGCATGAAAGTGATGCGGAAAAACTATGCTGATTTGGTCGTGTTTCCGTATATTTCCAATTAAACTTTGCGCAAATTCGAGTGTTGCTATTATGTAGTTAGTTGGTCGTCTCTAAATCGCATCCCAGGTATGCGCTCAGATACGGACGCTTCATCGCTTGCGCACATTTTAACAGCACTTTGCAGAACGTCCAATTTTCCAACGGAGCTGGCGCGAAATCCGATCGACTTCGACCATTGAATTTCTAGCCAACTGGGCTTTTAATTGAAGGAGAAAAATATAATAGCATAGATTTTTTAAAAGTCGTTAGTTTCAGAAATCGTGCAGAATAAACGAATCCAGAATGCGCACGTTCGCATTCTGACCGCATCACTTTCGTGTGGGACAGAAACAATTGCTTTACATAGTCCTCACTTTGCATTTGACTGGTACACCTCAACGTGAAAATTACTTTTTTGAGAAAATGACGGATTTCACGCGTTTAGTTATAGAAACAGCTAGTCGCAGTTTTAATAAAGTGCGTTTTGGAAATGACTCTGAATTTTTAATAGACAAATATCGTTTTCTTGTGCGAAATTTGCGAAATTAGCATATGACACGTACTAACAGCTGTAGAGCCGTCGGATATACTGTACTCGTAGTACTCGCTGCATAGCTGATGTGAAAGAAAACACAGCGTGAAAGAATGAGTGCAATAACGGATTCTTTTTAGCTCAAAAAATTTTAATTTCTAAAAACATTTTTGGAGGTGACTTTGCGAACAAGGTTTATATTTACGTGGGGATGTGACAGTGATGTGATGTTTGCTGCAGACAAACTATCAAAAGATAACTTTTGCGCGAGAGCGGGAAAAATTCAGTAACCTTTCAGCATAGTAGTTTCGCGCATTGTCATCCTGGTGCTGTGACTGCTGTCCATATCAAGTAGCGTCAGCTACTTATCTTCGAATCCATTTGGGATACATCTCGCTTTAAAAAGTAATCGGAGATGATCGCTGCTTGCAGTAACGATACGTGCTTAAAACATTATTTAAATTTGCATTTAGGAAGTTAGTGTGGTGTTAGCTTGCTGGTTTTGGTCGTTTTCAAGCGATATGCCTCCTGCATTAATAGGTTTTTCGGTTTAACTACGCGCCTATACCTTTATATCATGTGCAAGCCGCAAATCATTTAATGGTGCAAAAAAATGATGACACGTTTATTTATTACGATAATAAACAACAGAGTATAAAAAATGTGCCACACAGACAGAATGTATGTACAAGGCAACGAAGATATTAGCGCTTATTAAGAATTTTTTTAGTTTTTCTATAGGTATTGTATAAAATATGACGAGATACAAGCCTTAATTTCGACGAGCATATGAAAAATGAAGTATTTAGCACATGACTTACTAACCATAAACAATAAAATTATAGGAGTTTTGCTCGTATTTTTTGTCTTTATGAATTGTAAGCGGTACAGTGCAGCTACTAATTATGTACACTGGCCATTCCTTTCATATTGTGCGTGAACGAAGTGCACAACTGCATATAGATACAGATACTTCGATAGAAGTATTATAAAAGCGACGGAAGTTACAGTGCAACTGGTACGTGAAATGATTTCTTCATAATTTCGTTGGATCTCAAGAGTTTATTTCGCATACTTTCGGGATGGATAGCTTGACAGATGGAATCATTTTTGACAAGAAAACTCGATTAATGAGGAGCCGAATAGGATGGGATAGTGCATACTACATGCTAACTCTAGTCACATATGCAAGAGCCCGAAGCCTACATGATTTCGATAAATAAGTCGTCTAAATTATGGAAAAGTAACCAGTTTTAAAAGGGACATACGCAATCCAATTGATCCCTTGAGGTCTGTGAGTACGGTATTAATATTCTGTACAAACCGACAGGAAACAAAAATGATACGAATAAAGAGATGCAAAACATTTAGTGCGTCATTATTTATGGTGGCCGTTAAAAAATCTTGTATGTTGGTTGTGTGTGATAAACAGCCACAGTATTAAAAAAATTCTGTAGGTACCCACACTCATCGCCCTTTTCACTGGCCACTTGTCACCAATTAATGTATTTATTAATTGTTGTGATATATATACTTGACAACATCGATTCATCAAAGCAAACACAAATTACAAGTGCCGGCATTACAAACAAATAATACTACAATAGTTTGTTTGATCGAGTATGTAATGGTAAGGACGTAGTCATATCTGTATTATTGTTCTATTTGTAGTTCTGCCCACGTGGTCGTTGGCCGTAGAACGAAAAAGGGGGAACGAAAGCCTCGACGTTATTTTCTTAATGCTAATGCCAAATTAATTTTATTTAACACAAAGACACGTTTTAGTAAAATCATAAAATGTGTCAATAGTAGTATAATATTCCAACCAAATAATACGCGAAACTAAATATCCGACTAAAGTTCAAAATGCTCAGCGCTAACAGATGTAATTACTGTAGTTTTTATCGTTGATTTATGGCTAGAAACAATCCATTCCACTATGTCTGTGGCTGTACGATCGAGTAGTGGTCTTACAAGTTTTAGTCATTATTACAACTGTTCGGGATGTGCGGTATATGTAATGCTTTAACGTGCCAAGTTGCTGTTCTCTTAAAATATAACTCTAAAACTATTTTCTGAGCAAACGCTTACTGTAGTTCCGTCAAAAACAAATGTACAGTACCAATTGTAGCAGTTCAACTGGTCAACACGTTTTGCCATCGTATGATAGATATTGCACGCAAACGCTTATTCACGTACTTTTAGTCCTTAAAATACAATACCAGTGTAATGCGAGTCGCACATAAAACTTAACCTAAACTGTTACATTTTATTTTTTGCCCTTGCCTATGGTGCTAAAATTGTTGTACATACTGTAATAAAATTTGGCAAAGAACATATAGGCACAACATTGTTTTAGACATAAAACCATACTGCAAATTTTCAAATGGAATATTTCCATAGAGTTAACCCAGTGTTGACAAAAAAAAACTTAGGGTATTTCAATATGTATTAAATATTCTATTAGGACTACTATCGTCATAATTATATGCCCAAAAACCGAAAAACAAGCCACGCCTGTCAAGTTTTTCGCCCTTTGAGGTTAGAGAGACTGAAAGTTACCGTATTAACATTTGGTTTGCAAAACGTCGCAAACCCGTTTAAATCGGCAGCGGCGTCTATCAATAATTTCCTGTTGGTTAGATAAAACATTTGGATCAACATCGTAATGGGATACCAGTAATAGTTCTTCCTGCGACCTAATATAACCAGCATAGCCGCAATCGATAATAACAAATGCTATTAATACCACAGCAATCATAACACACCATCCTGCCGCGCATATAAGCGCAGCGTACATATCTAACGGTGACATTTTCGATTGGCTATCTGCTCAAACCGCAGTGCATTAAACCCGTAAAAAACGGTTGTTTGTTGCGTACTTTCAAATTACTGTACAGTTGTTATTTTGCTGCTCACCTGTGTGCTTTCCCGTGCCCGCGTTCCGCGTTATGTAACAGTAAAGGTTTACGAGGACGAGGGTGAATGACGCTATCAGTATGAATATTATGCAATCCTTACAAATAGTGTCTTATCGCAAATATTCCCTGCATCGTTGATGGACAATATTATATGTCCCATGTTTTGGCGCATCCGCTTAATTTTCACGGCGGACAGACATTTAGAATCCGTAGTAATTAAGTTAACTAACGAAACACTGGATATTTTCCATTCATTTGTAGGCATAATAGAATAATCAACGATCAAATAGAAGGGAATGCAATTTCATGTTACTGGACCAGAATGCGATCGAACAAGCCGGCAGGGATCATTTTGGAAGCGTGCTACAAGGAAAATTCAGACTGGAACGAAAAGGAATATACATAGAACATATACTGTACAATACACTGTCTGCACAGCTTGCTCGGACGCCGCCGGAGCACACATATATGCAGTATATTCCCGATGAGCTGCCCGGTAACTAACTTGTCCCAACAAGCTACTCAATAAGTATTCACGCACTACATTTTTGTACACCCAGGGATATGTGCGGCTGTTAGAGAGGAAAGTAACGGCTACGGCAGTTTGTTCTCCAGTGTCTGCGTTTGCTCCAGGAAAACCAATCCCGTCCGCTGAATATGGCAATGCACATCTGCGCTCCGGCGCTTTACATGTGCGCCGGATGAGGCGGAAATCATCATCAACCCCGTCTTAAAGTCTGATGAAGTACAGGCAGAAAATGGATGGTTGGCAATTAGAATCGGTATGCACATGTATATACGATCCACCTCCAAGGCACTGAATATCTAAAAAGAATTGAATTGTTTTCGTCGTGGATAATTTCCATGAGCGGGGGCATGTTGGACTTCAAAGAACGTAGTGGTTGCAAATTAAACATTATTATGCACGACAAGTGCAATGCTGATTTATTTGAAAAGCACTTGCGCTATAAATGTTAAACGATGGATGCAGAGTGCAGATCTGTATTAGTCAATGCCATCATTTGCCTGGATTACCGGATCTTTACTATACACAGTTGTTATATAATTGTACAGTATCTGCTAGGATGCAGACTATTAGCATTATTATTAAGGTTATTATTCTTTGTACTGATATCGAGCTTGGTATCGAGCTTGGGCTGCGTATAATTCCCATATTTTCTTACAAACGTTTAGTTAATATGCAGTACATTTCTTGTGTTTCAAGTGAGCGGACTACGTTAAGTGTGGAATTCCTACCCACACTTGTGATGCTTACACTTTGTATATCCATATACGATATATAAATAGAATAGTCTATAAGATTATGCATATCCGTACATTTGCGTTGATTATAAACGGTTTTGTATATATTAAGCAGGTAACAGACTATAGTAATGGAAAACTTTTGCGGAAAAAGTAACGAGGAAATAAAAAAACATTCAGCATTGTACTTGCGGCTTTTATACAGCGTCGGAGACAGTACCCGTTTGTGAAAACAACCCGATCGAAAGCGCGGTACGAATATTACAATATAGGATTTCTGGGACAGTTCCTATATTGCGCATATTGATTAGAAACTTTGACGTAAATATACATACATTGTACGGTACTTCTACTCGATAAAAAAGCGAAAACATCCAGAGTAAAAGTTTCTGGCTAAAATGAAGTGAACATGCTTGATCCACTATCCAGTCTGTAAAGTAGGATACTGAAAGTGGAAGGACACAAAAGATACAAAACTGTTTCTGTGTAGCATGTTATTATTAAATCATCTGACGTTATTTCTGTCTCGAACTCCAACTACGATCAGGCCTGTTGCAAAAATCGATGAACTTTTTATGCAGCCATCCCTATTGATTAGTGTTGTAACAAACAAACAAGCAAACTGTTCATTTGCACATGCATGTGTACTGCATCCAGCAAACCCTTAACCCCATACAAATTTGCGTAAAACAATATTTCTGGAACAGTTTCCGTATGTAAAACTAATTACATAGCAAGCTATACTTGCAATACACTTGCAAAATAATACTTGCAAAAGCTTAATACGGATTTACAGAACGCGTAAGTTCCGCGCATATCAACATACAGATAATAATCATTTTTCTTAATTGCTCGATCTGCGCTTTCTTTCTGTGATACAACGTGTAACCAATTATTCACAATCGTAAAAACGCAGTTCAAAACTACGGAAAATAAGGCGTAATGTTAAAACTATGTGCGCGTTGATTTATTGTCACTTGCAAAATCAACGTTTACCGTTTGGAAAATTAAAAATTCTCGTGTACGTTTTAGTCTTTTGCACTGTACATGAAGACTATGAGGACATGAAGACTATGAGTAGGTAAGTAATTCCCGCCTTCCGGTACTACAGAAGAGAACTGAACATTTTAGACCGCGGCGTTGCGGCAATGTTAGCCGATCGGCAGTCGGCACACATTCAAAAAAATGTTAAGGTCTGTAATGTTAGTCAAATCGACATTTAAAAGAGTTGTTGAAGCGGCGAACCGAATATAAGGGTTATGGCTTATGATGGCAGGTAAGATGTAAGATAAGGCATGACCTTAATAAGTAATTGTTGAAAACAAGGTGTGTGGTGTGTTGTGCTCCCGTTTCGTCCCCCGGAAGCCAAGGCACTCTCACATTTGTCGCTTTACTTACCGGCTATGAGGCAGTCGTGTGGGCAAAAAGAAACGTCAGATCTCGAATATTGGGCTATGTCATCTACTCTGATATTTGCGACATCGGAAATTGCCGTTCAAACGGAAAATGCGTTGTCATCGGGGTGCATTACCAGCTGGAACGATCAGTGATTCTGTGTTATGATTGAGATTTGTTTCATTTGTACCGTAAATAGTTTTGCCTGATAATACACACCCGATCCCTCGAACTTTATTTCCCTTTTTTACCTGTTTCTGAAAGATTTGTGCATTACCCAACAATTAAAAATGGTTATCAAAGCTGTTGCCATTCTTTGCGGCGATTCTCCGGTGAAGGGTGTCGTACAGTTCGAGCAGGCTGGTCCCGGTGCACCTGTGAAAATCAGCGGAGAACTGAAAGGATTGGCCCCCGGTAAAAAGGTGTTCTGGGATTGCCGTTTGTTTATCTAATGTCGGCTTACTTTGCAGGAGAGCATGGTTTCCATGTTCAGTAAGTTACTTATAACGGCAGCAAACAGTTTTGCTGTTTGCCGGTTTGCAGGCTGAACTTGCAGAATGTATTGTGCGCCTGTTTGCAGGATAATCCCCATGCACTTCGCAGACTAGATTCGTCTTGCGTGTTTTGAATGGCCTAAGCTGATGCTGTGAATTTTTCAGTGAATTCGGTGATTTGACCAACGGATGCACCAGTGCGGGCGCGCATTTCAATCCATATGGCAAGAACCATGGTGGTCCTAAGGATACTGAGCGTCATGTTGGAGATTTGGGCAATGTCACTGCTGGCTGTAAGTATTTCGTCAGTGCTCAGCTGCGGAACAATGTTTAGCTGACAGTCAACATTAGATTGCCAGTGATTTTGTTGTATTATTATCGCTTTATTTTTAAGACGATTTTTGTCATTTATTGGATGTTTGCGTATTGCTGCATGTATGTTAATGACATTTGCTGGTTATTTACTTTAATCACTAATGTCGCGTCAGAAAATTTTCATAACTGTATGTGCTCATAGTAGCTCATAATGTGCTCATAATAGATTTGAAAGTGTTGTAGAATTATTGTATGTCTGCAGCGGATGGTAGCGTGAAATTGAGCATTGAGGATGCGCAAATTTCTCTGGAAGGACAGAATAGTATCGTTGGCCGCGCCATGGTCGTCCATGAAAAGAAGGATGATCTGGGCAAAGGAGGTGATGATGAGAGCAAGAAGACCGGTAACGCTGGACCCCGTCTGGCCTGTGGAGTCATTGGTGTCACAAAGTAGAATATTTGCGAAAATCAATTCAGCCCTGCGAGGTTTTTTCATTGATTATGGTTCAGAGTTCAAACTGTAACACATTCTTCTACCTTTCTAATGTGTTTTAATGCATGATTTTATAGAGAGTTCTCATAGCGGTGGTGGTGGTGGTTGCGAATTTCTTACCGGCTAAAATGACAGTTAACCTGATTGTTTTACATTTGCGATTGGTTGTAATAGCGAGTTTCGCTTTCCCGGGTTGAATTAGTAAAAGGTTCATTCCAGTGACCTTTGGTCAGTGCAAGTGTCTATGAAGATACTTTCTACTGTGCATGTACTCGTAGGATAGGAGCGACTAATTTTGCAACCAGTATCCAGTAAGTATAATTTTGTCAATAGATTTGACTGAAAATAGAGAATGTAGTGCGCACCTTTTGGTTACTAGCAAGCGGGTCCTTTTGGCTTAGATTTACCATCGTTAAAAAGACGCTAACAAACGAAAGCTATTCAGTCTGCCGGTGTTATTACGAGACAAAACTTCTAACCAACAGTATGCCGGAAGGTAAACGTCTTCACAAATGTGCCTCCCAGCTAGTCTTTGCTGCTTCTGGTGTAGTTTGGGCCTCAAATCATATTTTCATATTTTTCATGGTTTTTCCGCTTTTGGTCTGCCTTTGATGTTCTCTCGGGAGATTCGCAGGGAACTGGCGAGGTCGGCATGTTGAAAACTTTTTAATCGGAAGATTCATTAATTTTTTAAATATAAAGTCAAGATGTGGTCTGCAGTTATTGTTTTCTGTTTGTGTGGCGCGTTAGTACAAGGGCGTTCATCCAGAACATCCACAACCGCTAGCTGGCGATCAACGGGTCCTGCCGTTGTTGTCGAAGGCGAGCCGGAAATTGCTGGAGCGGCAGGCTGCGAAAATGGGTGCGTAAGCCAGCAGTAAACTTGTACAAAGAGGCTAAAGTTTTGGTTCAATTCATGCTTTGTTTTTTGGTTGTTCGATAGTTTTCACTATTAGCAGTAGTAGAGCCATATAATACGTCCGCGTATTTGGTCGTAATACTTTAATTATGCAGAAGTTCAAAACAGCTATGATAACGCTTGCTTTCCACAAGTCAGTTATTATTGCATTTAAGCTCGTTTTTTATGGCATTTGTGTGCTGTGTACAAGTACTGGGCGAATTCTTGATAATTAATGATGTCAAAACTATATAGATGACACAACGTTGTGTTGTTAACAACAGTTAAAACTACTTATCTACCGCTATACACGTATCGTAGAAAAACTTGGTATTTGATTCTTCCTTGTTTTCAGGCCTGCTTTCATCACCACTCAAGCAATTGCTGTCTTAGGAGCTGACGAGTAAGAAAATTAAATGCGTCAAATCCAACAAATCTGTTAATAAATTATGTCCCTTACATGAATACCTGCATTTCTTTAGATTTGTAACAGTCTACAGCTATCCAAGCAATAAGCATCCCTTTTGATAGCAGTCACGGCATTGCATACTTCTATATCTACAGAACTATATACTCCACGTGTTCTATTTAGATTACAATCCTGTTTTCAATAGAAGTACCCACTTCAACCACACCTATGCAAAAACGGCGCGTTACAATTACATACGAGTGCCGGTAGTGTCCTTTTGCTTGCTATTAATTACGTACTTAACTATCTATCGCTTTAGCTCGGATGTTTCTGGAACCATCCAGTTTGACCAGGCCTACGGAGCCGGGCCAGTCACTATCTCTGGAGCTATCAGTGGCCTTACAAGAGGTACAAAGGCTCAAGCAAACGATAAGGCTCAGTTCCCAGTATTTAATTGGGGTTTACTGTTTGGTATAATTTTGTATACTTTTTAGGGAAACATGGAGTGCACATACAGGTAAACGATAGGAATCGTAGGACTGCGGTTGATGTGATGGTTATTATAACCCGATAAGTGTGATTGTGACATAACTGGCAAGACATTTGGTTAAATTTGAAGATATTAGTTCCGCATTAAGGCCAATGCAGTGTAAAAAACATTGTGTCACCAGTCACTTCATGTGCTTCATCTGCATGTCGTTTATACAAATTTTTAGGAATACGGCAACATCAAAGATGGTTGTGGCAATGCTGGAGCGGATTACAATCCTGACAATTATCATCATGGGGGCCCCAGTGATCCTGAGCGTCATGCCGGCGATCTAGGAAACATTAATGCCAATGGTAAGTAAATTTCTGACCAGAAGTACTGTAAGACATAGCATGCAATTTAAAAAAACCTATTAGCGTGTAATAGTATTCAACCTGGAATAATGCGCAATGTTGTATCAAAAGCAAAGAGAAATTTTAGCGATGCCGCAAGGGTTACATCATGCCGTTATACTTTAGTTGCTTGTAAGTAAAGCACATACAATATCTTGCCTTTTTGCAGCTCGGGGCACGGCTGTTCTGAACATGCGAAGCAGTGCATTTAGTTTGAATGGAGATTACAGCGTCATCGGAAGAGCCATTGTAATCTATCAGAATGAGGACGATTACGGGCGAGAAAACAGCACGGAAAGTCTGGACAACGGCAACGTTGGTGAACCCATAGCGTGTGGAGTAATTGGTATCGCCACACAGGAAATAAATCCACAACATAATGTCAACAGTAACGAGCTGTAACCTTTAATTGTTTCGGTGTGTTTTACAAATGATTTGCGCATTTCTTAATGATTTTTCCTTTGGTAAACATTTATCTTGACTTCTTTTGCCTGTATTTTGGTTGCGGTCATGAAATACGTACTCAATATTCGAAACAGTGTTCTTATATCGGCAACAATGTTTTTTAAACAAAATCTGATATTCTGTTCGGAATTTTATCACCAAAGACTGCTGAAATACGAGATGGTGTGAACCTACTGGTGCGCTCTGTATTCGGCACTCATAAGGAAGTACCACAGAATACTAATATTACACTATTAATATCACATCACAATATTATATCAGACCACAAACTGTTAATGTTTCGTTGTTTTGTGACAACTTTGCATACCATAAGAAGGTGTGCGATAAGCGGTATATATATACTGCTACACAAATCTTCAGATGCTACTAGTTACCAAACTAGCGCATCTGAAAAAAACCTATCAAAAATTTTCACGGAGAAAGTTAAATCAATAGCTTTGTAGTTACAATTAGAAAATCTGGTGCATTTGATTTATTTGCAGTACGGTAGTACCGTACTGTTATAATTTTGATTGAATTACTGACTGAAAGTCTAGCTGTATGTAATACTTTAACGCAGACTTGTAGCCTGCCCGACATCGCAAGCCGATTAGCCGACAAAATTAAGCCCTCGGAAATTTTCTTTCGTTGCTGGCTTTTGCCGAAAGGAAATAAAGCACCAAAAATTTGCCCAACGGCCAAAAATGTCACCGTTCAGAACTCATATTTCGAAAAAACTGATACCGGTGGTTGCGTGCACGGGCGCAACAACCGAAAACGAAAAAAGACAGAACTTATCATAACTGTCAGTATTTACGAAGATAACCGTAAAATGTAATACTGTTTTTTCTTTATTTTATTTGAAATGGTGAAATAAGACAAACTCTCCGATACTACAATTATATTTTTGCAAGTTTGCAATATATCCCCTCTGCCAGAAGTTTCCAAAACATCCTTATACCTCTACATACTGCCATAATTTCGTGTACAGATTTGAGTGGATCATTGCATGATCACTGACGTGGTATACTCGTTCTTAACTGAAACCATAACTATTTTTATAAATATACTACTGTTTAACTCATTATTTAATTACTTATATTGACGGCGTTATTTGACCTGAAGACGTATTCGACGAATTCCTTTTTCGTCGCATAACTCACCCGATTGACTATTTCACCACAATGAACCGGCGATTGTTAACGCTTAGCGTTCCTTATGTAATTTTGTTGTTGCGGTTACCTTGTTTCCTCTGTCAACAATCACCTCACAACCAGGATCATGCTTTTATGGACAGGAGAGGTGATGAAGACCAGTCGGATACGGGGGCGGTTGCCCATGGAGGAGCGGGCGACTATGAAGACGCACACAACGGGATGACGCATCATCAGCACCAACAACAACATCCAGAATTCGAGCACCATGGCCCTGCACAAGGGGATCGGAAAATGTCGAGCACGAACCGCATTTTGGTGAGCATGGTCAACATCGGCCAGGCGGACCGGAAGAGGATCAAGAATGGGGAAATAATGCGGCACCGCATCGTGGATTTCAGCCGGAAGCTGGTTTCTTTCCAATTGGTGAACTTTCCCCGGACCAGCTACAAGAATTGTGCAAGTAACTAAAAAAACTTTTAAGATATTTAAACTTTTAAGATATTTAAGGTTTTGCATTTAGTTATGTGCAGTTCAGCTGCTGCGACGGATAAGTCAAATGATCACTAATACTAACTATTTCAGTTGAAACTATTAATAATAGCAAATAATGCACCTACTGACTTGCTTGTGGTTGGTAATTATCACCCTGAAATTCCCTAATATTGTATTCGCACAGGATAATTACATGCCATGCAGTAAACAAATTTGCAGTAGCTTCATAGATGTAAGTGGCCACTGCCCAAATTACTACTCCCAAATATCCATGTGCTTTTATAATGCGTAAATAATGCAATAACGGTATTTTGAACTATTTTCCCAATATTGAAAAACTTGCATGCGCACAAATCATTTTAACTTTCAGCGCTGCCAAAGATACTGTGAGCAAAGCGGCGGTGTCTATTTCCGGAAACAGTGATCGAAGTGGTAAAATATCGGGAAGCATCGAAATTGTCCAGAACGAAGGAACAGGACCAATTACCATTACAGGAAACATATCTGGACTTACACCCGGTAATTATAAATTTAATGCTATAAGCGTATACCAGAAATTAGCTTAAAGTACCATTGGTGAGATATTAAATCTTGGCATGGATTGGTATACTATTTCATGGATTGGTATTCTGTAGGACAACATGGATTCAAAGTTTACTCAGTAAGTCGATTTTGCTAATTTTGTCCTTTTTTTGTGAAAGTTGGCATGTAAAAATGCATGCAAATGCAAAAACTGCGCATATAATTTTATATGTAATATAGTACTTTAACACTTCACGTATTTTTCTACCTGTCAGACAACATGGAAGATCGATTAAATTTTACAGTATGGCAATTTGAAAGATGGATGCAACTCGGGCGGAAAACCCTTTGGCGTGCGCCAAAGTAACTCTTCCGGCGGCCAATCCAGTGACACAAAGCGATATGCCGGCGATCTGGAGAACATCCGTGCCGATTGTAAGCGCTTAGGCCTTCTGGTTCAAGTTCGTACGCTACTGTACACGTATTCAAATTTTTCACTTATAATGTCTGGGATCAATCTGTAGCCAGTGGGGCTGCAACCTTCACACTGTCGGACAGTGTCCTTTCGCTCAATGGTGACTGGAGTATCATTGGACGCATGCTGGTAATCAGTGAAGAGGCCGATAATTTCGGTGGATATGGACAAACCAACGATGCTTTCGATTACTCTGACTCATCGAAAAAGATCGCGTGCGGTGTAGTGGCCCGCGTCCAGGAAACATTTACGGAAATTAACGCAGACGATGTGGCAGCAGTACAAGTGGAAGATGTCAAGGAAGAGCAAGTTGCGGCTTATGAGGCAGCTCTGAACGGTGTGGAACAACCGATTTATGCATTTAATTTTGTGACGTTTGCCATGTTATTAGTTTCTATTTATGTTATCCAATTTTGAAAGCACAAATGCTCTCTAGTGCACAGATTTGTGGTTATCTATTCGGCAGGTCAACATAAGATCCACAGAGTAGGAAACCCGCAGTCTGTTTTATGCTCTGACGCAAACCTTTTAGCGCAGTGATCATGAAGACACAATAAACCACCTATCTGTCGAAACTGAAAAGTTAGCAGTGAAAAAACAACCATGATATTCCGAGAGAATAAAAAAGAAACAAAGTAAATCATTAAGTAAAACATGGTGTGAATTAAAGAGATGCGCCTTCAGCAAACGATGACGAACTTCCTTGCTCGTCAATAAATATCAAGGTAAATCTTAAAAAGCTGGTACCTACAGGCAATTACGGCAGAACATTGACCTTTTCTTGAAGAGCCAACTGCGCTTTCGCTAATTCTGCCAAATACATCACCATCAACACGTCCTAAAAAATTATGAATTTCAAGCTAAACACAACAAATCGTTTTAGCGATGATAAAGCAAATACCTTTCGACTAGAATTGACCATTTTCTCAAACGCTTCGTCATCCATCTTTGGAATGGTACCCATTATATCCATCAGCGCACGCCCAATTTCAGGATCAGCGGGCACTTCATCTTTCTGCAACATCGTCATTATTAGTCAAAATTCACCATGTACACAAAAGTTTCTGTAGCAAAAACTTATGCTCGAATAAAAATCAAGTAGGAATGGGTAAAGCTTTTGGGTCAAAAACTACCAAAAGTTAACAAACCAAGAACAGGTGCTAGCTGCTACTTACAGATATACGACGAGCTTCTTAATTAACTCGTAAGTACGATATTTACAAGATGCACTGTGCAGTCAATTCAATAACCGATAACAAACCTCAGAAATTCGAATACTGTACGGTTTTTTGGTGTATCGCTACTAATACCTAGAGCCAAGAACTGCTAGTAAATAAAATAAAACTAGTACCTAGTCTTAATAACATTTAAATATATAAATCAGAAAAAGATAGCACAGAGCAGAATAGCAAAAATTTAAAAACGCTTTGCAGTTGTAAAAGAAAACAACTGTAAGGTACATTCATTTTTAAACATAAAAATCAGCCACTCACCAAAACTTTACCAACATGAGACAACAGGCTTTCTAACATGTCATCCAAAAGCTTCGCTGTCTGCAATACTTGATCCGTATCAGTGGGAATGTTAACCACTCGAGCAGGATCCAGACGACCATTCGTAATTAAATCCACTGCAAAAACCCAGCACTTTGTCAAAAACCGCTAATTAACAAATGTTTTGAATTAACAAATGCTTAATGTTTTAAAGTAACCACCTACGTCCAACACGTTCGGCATCCCAGCAATATATCTCCACAGGCACCTGCGCGAAGAGAGCGGCCTGTTCGAACCGAGAACTGGGATCTTTTGGGTCTTTAGAGGTTTGAGGGATTCCCAGAGTAGAATGAACGTATGCTTTGATCGGCATCCGATCCGATTCTGCTGTGCAATCGATCGTAAGGTGGATAATGTTCGGATTACTTAGCCGGACATAGAAATCGTGAATGTAAAATGATGTGTCAAGAACTGCTGGTCGCGTGGAAAACCATCCAACGACATCTTCTTGCGGACTCGCTCGCTTCGTTAACTCAATCATATTTTGCGCAAAGTCAGTGTCCATACGTAAAGGGGTCTAACAAAGCATCAAAGTTAATATCCCTTAAATTTAAGTGTTCGGAGATAAGAATAGAATTCAACTTTATGAGAACCCACCTGTGCGCCTTCATCATGGGGAACCGCGAAACAATTAGTGACTTCCACCACATCCCCTTCCACTCGTCCCATCAGAGTACCCACTACACGATTAGCTTTGTCTTTTCTCCGTTCATACAAATCGCAAATGCCAACGATAGCCACAGGATGCAAACGCACAAGCATCGGCCGAGTGCCCGACGGTGGTGCTGAGATTTTCGTAGACGCCATGCTAACTTTTACTAATGTTACCCAAAGTGATCAAGTTGATTGCACTCAAGCCGTGGATGATAACAATTCAGCATTTAAATTTTTAACGACTCTTGAGAAATCCTGCCAATAATGCTGCAGATTACGAGGTCTAAAACTTTCAACACTTCTTCACAAAATTGATCATACATAACTTTTATAATTTTATTAGTTTTTCAGTTTTGTCTGAATTTTCTTCGTCTTTGCGCATTTTTCGCTACACGTGGATTTAAAGATTCGAGTAGTGGGGTACTCGTCGGCCACGACGCCGGCTGCAGTTACAGTACAGCCAGCCCCCCAAAGGGTTTGCAGATTTCGAGGTTGACGTTATCCGGCATACTATAGTATCCATGCTACTGATTTTGATTTACTCGTTAATAGTGAAGACCGACCGCGTCCCAAGGGCCAAAGCCAAAACCTAAGACTAAGAGGCTAATAAGTGAGCCTAAGTCAGTAAAGTCGTGTTTTGTTGTTTTTGGTCTTATTACATTATTTTGCGATATTTTTAATTACGTTCAAACTGTCACAGTTAATGAGTAAATAATTAATATTTTGCGGTAGTTACTGAAAGGACTTCTTACTGGCACAGCTGGTTCTGCTTGTGTGATAGTAAGATAGTTGGCTAAAAGTGTAAACCACCGAGCAAACTGCAAACGATGGATCGCTCTCCAAGAGCACGGGGAACTGCTGGAAAAGCTCGCGAAAACGCTGCGAAATTTTTTAATTTCTGTGGGGTTGTATTCCATTATGCCTTTATTCCTACAGTCATTTACTTAGGTAAGTTACGACTAAGTTGAACAGTAAGATACCTTGTCTGAGTAGATTTTCTAATTTTTCTTTCATTCTCTGTGCTTTTCCTTTCTCTATTATTTTATTATTATTACAGATTACTCATTTTATTATTATTACTCAGCCTACTATGTTAGTATCCAGTTGCAGCTTCAAGTATTACCAAATACTGAAATACAAGGCATGAACCGGCTTTTGTTGAAATCAGCGTTATTTATTTTCAGGAATACGCAGCGGAACTGAGCCCGGCATGCCGCCCATTACCATTGGGAGCATACTTTTCGCCTAGCACGACCAACGTCGGAAGCGTTTGGTCGTTTGGATAGCGATTTGTCAGCCAGAATCTTGTTGGATGTGTTTCATGGATCCCAGCGGTTTAGTTTCATCGGATACTCGTGTCCGGTTAGCTCCTTTGAGTCAGTTGAGTGGGTTTTGTATAGGTAGCCATGGAACTTGTAGGTCTGGTATTTCCCTGAAATAACTCAGGCTCATGTCGACGATGATGTCGTATTGCCGGTATTGGTACTAACTACTTGTACTAATAAGTATTTGATATGTTTTGAGTTTGAATCGTTTTATGTATGTCATGTGAATGTTGCTTCGGATAGGTGCTCTCCAGTTAGCTTCGTTTGAGTTTCTGCAATTGGTGAAAATATTTGTATGGAATGAATAATTCTGATTTAACTGAATATTTGCAATTTCGCATTAGATCAAACAAGACTATGTACGGCGGTACGCTTTTGTAATTTCAGTCATTTCACTACGATTATTGTGACACAGTAAAAATGACGTAGATACGTTTCACTGGATGAAATTATCGCACCTTGTTCTTTTCAGGTTGCGTGCATAACTCATAACTGGTCGAAAATGCAGCTTAAGGTGTTTTACGTAGATTGTTAACCGTTTTCAATGGAGTTACTGTATATTTTCCAAGACTGGCATCTGCCGATCAGCTCCATGGTTTTCTATCAGTCTCTGAAAAAGCTGGAAATCTTTCATACTTGTATAGATCGCGTACAACAATAAGTTTCTCCCTGATGGATATCGATATGGACATCCAGCAGTTCGTTGGTTAGCAGCCACTCAATAAATAATAATAGATAACAAAAAACTCATACTGTTGCGCCTTACCCCTCAAGTTATTCCTCTACTACAAGGTAACAGGAAGACTTCCTGAGGAAGTCTATGCACTGTTAAATTATAATCGGAGTCTCCGAATTAGTCGTTCGACACTAACAAGCAATTCCGGCCATAACAATCTGAAGTTCCTACTGTACAACTCCATATTGTACGCCCGGTGGAGATTTCGGTTACGGTCAAGAAAATCTTTATAAAATACAGACATCTCATCAGCGGATAACTTCCTATTTGGAAAACGAGTGATGTAGTCCTCCTTTTCCTAAAACGAAAAAGCCAAAATGTAAATAATAAAAAACGCAGCCAGGCTAAATTTTTTTCAGGTAATTGTTCAAGATAAACTAGTAATTCGTCGTAAAATTTATTCACCTTCAGAAATTTCGTATTGTGTCCGTGCCAAAATGTGTGGTTCCATTCGTGAGCTTCTTGGCGCATTTCTCGTAATTTCCTCTCTGCATGCGTTTCATTTTCCCGTACCATAAACTTAATATGAGGCAGATTCGATACTGGATCAGGTGGCCCATACAAATCACCGCGAATCCATACAGATTCGGGCTTCAAACTTTTCTTTGGAGTTGTCATCATGGGTCGAAAATGGAGACTGGAAGCAGTGGAAGCTAGAGTCTGCTAGACAGACACAGCCCGCAAGTGCCGAGCCAATGCCGTTCTCCAGGGACTTTATTGTATTACATGCACATCCACTTCAGTTTCTCAGAGATCCCTGAATTCAAGTTATTTACCTCGCCCGCTTTTGACTTTCAAAGAAAACTGCTGAATTTTTAATAAGAATTCTAACGATACCAAGCACAGGCTACAACACATATGCACTGGTTAACGGTTAACCACGTACTGTATTGTAGCTTACCGTGCAAATATTGTCGAGAATGCGCAGGCCGCAACAACGATTTATTTGTCACACCAATAATGTTGGGTTTTCCTTTCGCTGGCAATGGCACTGAAGTTTTAAGTTTTTAACAAGTTATTATTTATTCACATATGTTACCCGAACAACGTGAGCATTAAGGAAAATCGTATTGATTGTTGATATTTTTCATATTCTCGCTTGCTGTTGAAAATTGAAATCGAAAAGAAATAAGACGGTGTATCACTTCCAGTTGTAGTACTTAATGGAACTCTTAAATTATATTGTCAACCTCCACCCGGAAGTTGAACGAATCGTACCAGCGATTTCACTGGGCGTTATTAGTAGCCAACGAATCACCACTGTTTAAATCCAACGCAAATCCTGTAATTACAGTTCCACTCTTCCGGCTAGCTAAATTCTAATGTCGTCGTCGAAGAGTTCCAGGCTTCCAGCCCTTGAGAAAAGGTTCTTGCTTTCCTTTTGCTGTCGCACCACGATCGGAGCCTTACGAGTTACGACCGGTTTTTGTTATAAAGGGCCAGTAAGCCAATTCAGAATTTTATCAAAATGGTGCACTCTATTCTGAACGAAAAATCATCCTTGAACGTCCCTGCCATCCTGAAAGCGGAACAAGAGTATCATGAGGCCAAAGCTCTGGTAAGTACTTTGTCGTGATGGGTAGGGCTGAATTGCCTGCTTTTCAAGCCTTAGAGCAGCCGAAAAACAAGAGTATTAGTATTTTGAGGACTTCTAATTTCTATAGTTAAAGCGGAAATTAATAGTTCGTGAAATTTTATTAGTTACACTTTACAGTTTGGTTTGACCTACATTTAACGTTAGTTTTAATGTTGGTCCATTTGCCGTATTTAACCGCTTCCGAATTCCTTGTGACTTTGGCATAGCTGTTTTAAGAGGTTTAATTACTTTAATATATTTCTTCAGCTGACGTACATACTGCAACTGGTAATTATATAGATATTTTGCAGAGGCCAAATTTGTACACTGTTTCTGCTTGATACAATTTTATTTTAAGTAATGATTTGTGTATTCAGGCTAATAAGCAGCGTTACATTGCTGGTGGCGGTGTGTTTCCCCCGGGTGTGGGTTGTAAATCTGATCCCGTCGGTCAAGCGAGTACAACGACTTCCGGTCGAAAGTCCCAGCTGTTGGCGGACATAGACAAAATCAGGCGTGATATCCAGGAGGTCTTGTCGGGCGACGTACGTACGGTATCCTGTCCGTATTTGCGTACAGCTTAGTGCTGCATGCTCTTCGTTCCCTGGAATTTAGGCACATTAGGCTGCGATTCGCTTTGGCCTGTATTTTTATCGTTTGCCGCAATCGGTTCATGGATCATTTTCTCCAGTTGTTAGCTTGTGCACGAACTGCATGGTCTGCACTCTGCGACTGCAAAACGCGATCGCTAAGAAAATTAATACCTTACAATCAGATTGAGATGCACTTCGTAACTGGCTTATCCGCAATTGCTTTGCCAGCTACTCGAGGAGATGATCCATCAGTGCGTCGCATTACCTGGGATATGTTATTGATTTGCCCCTTCCGCTTCTTTCTTCGTGGGTGTACGCCGCATTGAGTTCGCTAAATTAAACATGTGAGATTGAGCATGGATTACTAAATTATACTGAACTTAACAGACGTTTTACTTTTGTCTAACGTCTTCGTCTAGCAGCTAGTGCTTACTTTAGTGTTAATAACATTAATTTTTGACAGTTTTTGCATGGTAAATTATTTCAGAAAGTAAGCGTGCACGTGAAATAATAAACACCTGTAGGTGATGTGGACAGATAAATTATGCAATTAATTACTGAATCGTTACCACTTGCACAGATTGACAGCATTGATAAAATGCCGGCGGCTTTGGATAAATTGAATGCCGTGGATTCTGAAGTGAAGGAACTCCGTAAAGAAATCGAGCAGTGTTAGTACTAAATTTTTTCGTTCCATTGCTGAAAATTGTAGAAGTGACGATCGTACTGGAACGCATAATTGTAGTATCGAAACATGTGATTGGAGCACTTGGCAAACTGGAAGCCCGACTGAACGGCCTGTCCCTTGCTCCTGCCTCTGGTGCTACCCAGGATTCCACACACGCTAAAAAAGTGGCTGGGGATGCCGACAAAAAGGAAACAACCGAAAAGAAAGATAACGATGACATCGACTTGTTCGGCTCTGATGAAGAGGAGGTATGATATTTTAGCGGCATTGTAAAGAAACACAACAAAAGCACTTTTGTGTATGTACATAGTTAGAAATTTTTAATTATTCGCTGATTCCGAACATTGCCGGTGACAGTTCTGATTTAGGTTCATATGTGCTTTCTAGGAAGATCCCGAAGCTATCAAGCGTCGAGAGGAACGTCTTGCCGCGTACGAAGCGAAAAAGGCAAAGAAGCCTGCTTTGATCGCCAAATCTATGATCATTCTGGATGTTAAACCTTGGGATGACGAAACTGATGTGAAAGAAATGGAAACCAAGGTACCCGTATTCTTTTCGACGTTTGTCGGTTAAAATCCACTTCCTCTTAAATGTTCATTTAGCACGAATTACCACTACATGAAGTATCATAAGTGCTAAAAAATGTAGCGAAAATAACGGTGTTACCGGCCAGTGGCCAAGATAGGATTACGTTATTGAAAACGGAAAGCACAAACCTCGCTGATAGCGTACTCGTACAGAGTAACGTGTAAAATTATCTGCATTACGCTTGTTTTTGCAGGTCCGAAGCATTCAAACCGATGGCTTGATCTGGGGAACATGTAAGTAAAATCTGCTAAGTTTGCCAACCCCAAAAAAAATCGATCTTTTTGGTGTTGAGAGAAATTAAATTAAAATTTTTTTCTGCAGCCAAGTTTGTTGAAGTTGCCTACGGCATCAAGAAGCTCCAGATAACTTGCGTTGTGGAGGACGACAAAGTTGGTACGGATTATTTGGAGGAACAGATTACCGGTTTTGAAGATCTTGTTCAGTCTGTTGATATTGTCGCCTTTAACAAAATTTAATAGAGGTGTTTTATGTAATGAAACTGGACACTGAAAAATAAATTTCTAACGGGACTGTGTAATCCACACGCGGCGATGTAAGGTCACGAAGAAGTAAGAACTGGCGAGTTAGCGACTTTTTTCCGTTTTTTTTCTCTCGTTTGGTGGTTGTGCTTTACTACTTTGACGTTTCTGAACGCAGAATGCCGGAATCCGACACCAAATGGTGGACAATAAAGTACTGTACAAGTACTGATAAGAATGCTTGTGGTTATGTGTCATGTCACAACAGTAGTTGCACAGTACATACTGTACTAGCGATAAGTTCCTGCTCATTAGTCACAAATTTATGAAGGAAATACAAGTACTTTGAAGAAACAATTTTGTAAATTAATTTTTGTTAATGAATTGTTTCCGGGCTCTTTATTAATCGTAAGCACACGTAGTCAAACATCATCTCACCACCGGCACGATCAAGCCAAACTCCCGTTGTCCGGCTCGTCCGAAAAACATCCTACGAGCACCTAGTGATCCTAATCTACCTCTTATCTCATGTGTAAGACTGAAGTGACTGAAATTTTTTTATCTCTCACTCTGTGCAGGGATTGAAATAACTACGGTAGTCGGAACTCGAAATGCAGAAGGGTAATAAAGTACGTATTAATGTATTCGCGAAGTCGTTTCATATTTTCTTTGTCAACCAAAATGAGTTACTGCAAGCTGGACCAGGCTTAATGCAATAAATAAGTAACTGAAATTCTGTTTTCACAGTAAAGTAGCATATGAACTTTGTGACCGCGACAAAAGAGAAACGACACGAGATCGCTTTTACAACGGTGACATTTCAAATGCAAAATATTGCGTACACACAATCACACCCACGATATCGTCTTCCATTCACCGGAAGTCCGTAACTAATTACAATTACACAAACAGTCATTAAAGGCCCTTATTGTAATGTAATTCATCGATTCCTTTCAAAGCAGCAACCTTTTGCAAATGAGGTTCAACATCCTTCACACTGATCGAGCTACAAAACCAGAACTGCGTTAAATGCACAGAATCAGACAATATATCACGTTCTGATTCACGTACCTGCGCTGGGGGAAAAGTGCGCAGCATAGAGGTGTAGCGAAGATCAAGCAAACACCGCAAATTCCAATCTGCAACGGGGCGGGAGCCCATGGATAGCGTTGGAAAAAAGTCGTCTTCTGTTCCAAGTGGTTCATAAGAATGGGTGGAAGAACTGCCGAAAATGTTCAGTTAAGCATTGTACGTTGCCGCAAAAATCTAGTCACATATGCTTCGCGGAATTGCTTACCCATGCCGGGCACAGCCATGCAGATTCTGGATAGAGCAACCTTGATGATAGCCCAATTAGCAGCGATACTGGAACTGCCAATTTTATTTCCATCCTTATCGGTAACTGGAATGCCATCTACCAGCTCGCTGCAATCCATGAAAAGTACAAACCTTGTAAGTTGGATCAACTACACGATTCACAAAACCATGAGCATAACACGAAACAATGAAAACACAGTACTTTAATCAAATATAATACGATAAAGGTACTTCAGACTAGGACGCGCACAACACGGTGGCAACTGGCAAATCACAATAATTTCGTAAACTAACCCTAACAAAGTTGAATTATTCCTTCAACAATCAAAAATATAACGCTTACGAAATGAGAAAGAGTTCACTTACCGTTGGCGAATGATAGGGATGTTAATGCAGTTAGCAGCTGCGACGGCTGCGAATGGCACAAATCGCCCGACAATCGGAGGAAATTTCTATAAAGCGATTCCTGGTTACAAGAAACCTTCCAGAATGAGCAATACTGCTAGAAAAAAACTAAGAATTGTATTCTAAGTAAAACGGTTTTGCGATTCGAATTGCTCTGATTTCTGGGAGGATGCCATTATGTGCTTCAACAGCATCGCGCTGGCGGTTCAAGGAAATATGGAAACTTTTACATACAGTACTTTAGTCTGACAACATTACGGAGCACTTGCTAATATTGCAAGCTGAAAAAGCGAAAATACTACATGCATTGTATTAATCTTTACTTTTACAGCGTACAACGCATATCTTACCTTGGTGAGTGCATTCAAAGATAGCGCAGTAGCAGTTGCACCAGTTGTAGCCAGGGCGTAAGCGGTTCCCAAAGTCTTGTTGCTAATCGGTGAATCCCCGCTTCTGTTGGTGTAATTCACTATGGCGTTGAACGACTGATTGAACCACTGCCAAAACACGACAGCCGGTGTGCTCCTGGAAGGAAAAAAACGACAACCTTTTGTAGTTTCTACTTTCTTCAAGTTATATCAATGGACGCAAGCAAGTAATGCAACGGTACGAACTTGTAGAAAGTCATCATCATGCCTGCAACAAAATACTTTCCTTTACAACCAAGAAGCACTAATTACATTACTGAATGCCGGTCAGCTTACCTGTGATGAACATGTTGCAAGGAACTTGTGCGCTCATGCGGCCCAAAATAAACATCTTCTCTCCCGTATCCGGATGGAAGGCAGAATCGTACACATGCTTGGCGTTCCACAAATTTTCAACCGTCAATCCAGCTGGAACATCGCCTTTTCTAGATGTAAAACATTTGCCGTTATAAATCCTACTGACAATTCAGCAAAGCTGTTGAAAATAGTGATATAGCTAATTATCTCTGATCTTAAATGGTTATCATAAATAAAAATTATCGACTTAAATGCAAAAAAACACGAACGCCGCAAATAGGATAAATTAAAATACTGCGAAATACTATGAGTACTCTAGTTACTAGAGTTCGGTAACTATAAACCGAACTCACTTATAATTAATGATAATGCGTTTAACTTCTTCCAGCTCCTTATCGCCCTTAAGGAGATTCAAAGGGTTGGTGGTAGTGAAGAAGTGTTTGGCGCGGCCGGAATATGTTGACTGATCCCATCTTGGTGCGTCAATGTTAATCTGTCCGGGCTTCACCACACTCTGGGCAGGCTCGATCGCGGGATACGTTTTCTCTACTGCTGATGCTTTGGTGGCAGACATTATAGGCTCAGTAAAACAGGAGATCCAACAATATTTATATCTGACGGAGTCGAATTAGCCAATTCCGAAAGCGTACCGATCACAGACCAGCAAATCCGCAAAATGACTGCAAAATCCAAAAATCGTGTTACAAGCAGCTTAGGGCGGAGATCGTCAAAGTCGCACAGAGCCGCTACACGGCCTACACCGCAACACGGTACCTTTTGATCCAATCACCGTAACAAGCGTACTCGTACAAACTACAAACGTTTTTGGTTAAACTCACACAGCAGTTTAAAAGATTTTTCAGTTCCTGTATCGAATTTCTGATGCAATCTCCCGATTTTATCAAATGCAAGTGCAAACCTACTTCGCAAGCTTGCAAATTAACTCTCCAATCCAAGCAAGTGGGCGCGAAAACTAAACATCCACACGTGACGTCATAACCAGCAGTAGAGTGAGCTGACTGAGAGGACCCATGCAAGAGCGGGACGCACTTCCGGTTAGCGCCGAAGCTGTTGTTTATATGCATTACACTCCAAAGCTACAGCCTGAAACGCTTCCGCGGCGGCTGAAGCGTCTACCAAAAATTTGACGATGAATAGCCTATATATAAGCATGTATATTTCATCCAAACCATTGCGCTTTCCCGCTTCTCATACTCTGGCCGCGCTGAGAAATCCATTAAAAGCCCATCACAATAATCGATACTTCGCACAGCTGTACGTACAGTGCCAGTGTCACAGTGTGCCATTGTTGTCAGAAGATAACCATGCCAGTCACAAGGGATGCTGGAAATTTGATCAGCTTAATGCACTTGTCTAAGATCGTGACCGATCGCAAACCATCGCGAATAAAGTTCGATATAAAAATCAATACGGTACGGGAAGTAGTGAACAATGTAGAAAGATCTTCTAGCATTAATGCTTGTCATGCAGTTAACATTAGTTCAGCAAGGTGAATTCAAAATTTAATGTGAATTACTGAATCTTCTTGCCAGAATGCTGAATACACCGGCAGGTGATCCAATTTAATTTGAAACACGAAACAAATTTATTAACACTAAAACATAATTTATCAACGGCAAATTAACAGCACCGGCAACATACCATGGAAGAAGCATCAAAACGTTTAGCTGAAATTTGTCCAGCCAATCCATCCACAAAATATTATTTTAGACCGCCACCACATAAAGAAATTTCAATAAAATGTTTTATTCGCAAGCGGCATGTGCCTCAGTACGCTCTTCCTCTAACTCCGTCGTAGTGATCTTCAATTTTTCCTTTGAAAAATCATCGATGGCTAGGTTAGGCACAATTTTCCACTGCCCGTTTTCCACGGTTACAGGAAAGCTAAACACCAAGCCTTCTGGAATTCCGTACTCTCCTTTTGACACCACCGCCATGTTGACCCACTGGTCCTACGCAAAAAACAACATTCCATTAAATGACTCCAGAATGATGATCAGCCTGACTCCTGTCCATTATCACGACATTCAAAAATCATACTGCGGATGAATAAACGGTTATTAAATCTAGTTAGCACACCAAATTTAACATCGTTTTGCTCTTCTCAAATATCTTCAAGTAATATTCTCTCTATAAGCAACTCCAAGTCCAAGCCTCCAAGGACATACAATTAATACAACATAAGTATCTACTGTATAATTGCACCATCACAGCCTAATACCTAGGCAAAGTATAATTACGCGCATAAAATTAGTCCTTGTGTTAGTTCGTATCAGTTTATAGAGGCAAGTTCAGCCAACAAAATAAAAACCGTTACAGAAATTAAACTAAGGATGACACTTGAATCGTTCCAGAAAACACCTTATCACACTGTAACAAAACGTCTTTCAATACTCTAACCAAGACCTTGCTCTAACGTAAAAATAATCCGCACAATATAGATATAAAGTATAGACTGTACGAGTACAGTACACAGTGGGAAAAGACTGAAGTCTAAAAATTAATACAAGAAGTCATAACTCATAACTGTAAAAGCAAACGACAAAGTGAAAGCTCGTTTCGGCTGTATTGTACAAATTTCCCATATAGACAATACTCAATACTCATAACACTTACTTTCTCGGTGCCGTTAAACCAATTTCGCATGTGATCAGCAGCTGCTTGCGCAGCAGACATAGCTGACGACAATTTACGGGCAGCGATAACTTCGGCTCCACGCTTCTGAACGAGGGGAATCAAACTTTCTTTCAACCATTTTTCATCATGCTGCACCTTGCTGATGGAAGTCCAGCTACCGTCCTTTTGAACTTCAACGAACCTGGCATCCGGAAACTGAGTGTTTGAATGATTCCCCCAAATAATCACTTTTCGCACGTCCTGAATGCGAGCTTGAACGTGTTGAGCAACCTAATATCCACACTCCGAATTACTTACTGAATAGTGTATACGGTTGCAGGTTTTGAGTTAAGACAATACTAACAAATATTTACTCATTAGTGGCTAAAACTATAGTAACTTACAAGGAGAACGAGTATGTACCACAAGTGAGTATCATATGTCTACTGTAAATTGAGCAATTGTACCTACAGTATATTCATGGAGATAATTAGTAATACGCAAAAAAACTTCCAACAAACTGAGAGAAGTAATAAGGATACCTGCGAAAGTCCCGTCTACATGACTTACATGCCCGTTTACGGACTTGGCTACTCGAAAATAAGTCAAATCAAATCAGTAACAGGTAACTGCGAAGGAAAGTCAGTATAAAACTGATGTCAGAACTGTATCATAATTTTAGTATTCAATTAGACCAGTATCACTATCAACTATCAAGTCACCTGAGCAGTAGCGCGATTTTGATCTAGTCGTGTCATAGCAGTGATGTTTTCCTTCGGAATCGACGGTGCGTATTTGCTGCAAATCAGAGCGTTCGTATTGGCTGGATTGCCGACCACAAGCACCTTGACGTCCTTTTTCGCAAACTGGTCCAGCGCACCTCCCTGATCTTTGAAAATGCGAACATTGGCTTTGAGAAGGTCTTTTCGCTCCATACCCTCGCGTCGAGGCATTGCACCGACAAGGAAAGCGTAGCTGATGCCTTTAAAGGCAGCAGCAACATCCGCAGTAGCAACCACGTCTGCAATATACAGTACTCGTTATTAAACCGAAGACTTGTATAACGATAACCACGGAAAAGGTAGAAAACTGAACTAAAAGATTTTGAAAAAAAATGCACGACACACCTCGTAGCAGAGGAAAAGCGCAATCCGATATCTCCATAGCCACTCCATTCAAAACCCCGAGCATCGGCTGAATATCCAAAAGGTGTAAGATGATTTCCTAGGAAGGGAAACCATGCTTTCAATACGGTAAGTTAAGTAATTAGAATTTAGAACAATTCAAATATTTACATTTATCATAATTTATGGCTATTAAAGCTAAAATCTTCTAATATCAATAGAATCTCTCGATGCATACTTCAACGGGCTCAACCTGTACTGGCTGCACCGAGTGAGACGACTTTTTGCAGGATGAAATGCTGCACCGAGTGAGACGACTTTGCAGGGTGAAATGGTGGACAGTAAAAAATTTACCTGTTTTTGCCCAAAAACTTCTCCCTTGGCGATTAGAGGAATCAGGGAGTACGCGATCTGGCCCGCGGCACCAGTGATCAAAACACGGATTGGTTCATTACTAGCAGTAGCAGGAGCCTAGGGAAATCGTACATGCTATATCAATACGTAACAATATCAAAATCAGTGTGCAAAAAACGGAGTTGAGATGAATGCTCTTACCATTTTTGAAGATAAAGAAGATGCGCCTTTTCCAGAACTAAACGAGAACGCGAGAAAATGCTACTGCAGAAGTTTTGGTAGAAGAAAGCCAGGAAGCAATCAGATAAATCGCGACGAGCAGCAGCTGATAGGATTTGAATGTCACCTTGATTTCAGGCTCATTCAGTCCGAAGTCGGTCTTACCCGATAGGCGCACCGCAGTTTGGGTTTAGAATTTTAGATAATTCGGCACCAACCATTTTCCATATTCTGTTTACCGAAGAAGTTGTATATAATTTCGCCACTTTTGCATAACAATACTGTTGTCACTGAGTTATACATTTTACGATCTAGTAATTGAATAAGGCAAATAATAATGTTCAGATGGGATAAAATCTTACAACAAAACGAAAAAGCTTACGCAGCCTGATACGGGGCTGTTGGACCGTGGTTTTCTAAGGCGGTCCGGGTTGGTTAACCACGGTAAAGCTTCCTATCGCCCAATCGCAGATTTTTGTGCTATTTGAACAACTATTGATGAGCTAGGCGGAGTCCGCTTTCGAGCCGAATGATTCACATGGTTCACTCACAATTTTGCGATATACCGTTTACGTAGGGAATGCTTCGCAAAATCGAGCTCTCCAGAATTGCGGCGTTTTTACTTTCTGTGACTAGCGAAGTACCTTCTATCTTCCCGTTCTTATGCAGTTTCTAATGCCAGTGTGAAGACCATCTGGATTTTTTCAGTATTTGAGCGAGTCTTTGAAGTAAATTCGCATCGTGAGTGGAAGTTCTTGTGTTGTACGCCGACAAAATCTCGTGTTTGGGTCGACGGCATATCAGCGAACTGTGGTTGTTTTGTAGATTCTGTTTGTTGTTCCGGAGCCATCATGGTGCGGATGAATGTGCTTGCAGACGCGTTAAACGCGATCAACAATGCCGAAAAGCGAGGAAAGCGTCAGGTTTTGATCCGACCTGCGTCCAAAGTGATCGTGAAATTCCTGACCGTCATGATGAAGCATGGTATCTGCAGTGGCTCCTTGACGTGCATTCGTTGTTGTACCGTGAGTCAATCGTGTTATTTCTATCCAGGTTACATTGGAGAATTTGAAATTATTGATGATCACCGAGCTGGAAAGATCGTTGTGAACCTCAATGGCAGACTGAACAAAGTATGAACTAATAATTAATTGATTCTGTTTAAATGCACTCACAGCCATGCCTTGTTTGAATCACGGTTCGTAACAAAAGTGGTTCTGATTTGATTTTACTTTGCAGTGTGGCGTGATTTCTCCACGTTTTGACCTAGCCATAAGGGATTACGACCGCTGGTTAGGTCGATTGCTACCTTCGCGTCAGTTCGGGTAAGGATCCTGCATTCTTACGTGTAATACGAGTACTGATTAGTGATTACTGACAGCTTACTATACTTGTTTGAATATTGAGCAAAAGTTGCATAGAGCCAGGGTTTTTCCCGACCTAATATCTTTGTTGGCCTTATTAGATTTGTGTTTTCCGATTCTTCAGTTGTTAAATTAGTGTACAATTAAAGCGTGACGGTCTACTAACGATTTTAAGAACTTTAAATTAGCCTGCGAGTCAGTTGTTGGATATTGGTATTTGGCTCCACATTCTGTTTTTGCTTTTTTCCCGTCGTTGTATGATTGTAGGATTAGGAGGTATTTTTAACTGAAATCAGGCTTGGCTTGCATAGATTGCTTTGCCATTGTGTTCGGTCTCACTGGTACTGACTTACTTGAATTCGTTAAAAGAAAACTGAGAAGTGCAAATAATGTGATAGGTGACACTGGTGATTATTGAAATGCTAAATGAAGCCTGGATTAGTTAATTTCTGGGGTTGACCTGTCGTTTCTTTTTTCAGATATGTTGTTTTGACAACCAGCAGCGGCATTATGGACCACGAAGAAGCAAGGAGAAAACACGTCGGAGGAAAGATTTTAGGATTTTTCTTTTGAGTCTGGACTATGAATGGTACTGGCGGAACTGCAAACATCTTATGTTTATACGGCGGGAAAAAAACAGATTAAAAAGATGCGGATACTGCAGATTTTTCCCAGTGAATTACATTTCTTCAGTAATTTTAATTAAGTGTTTTTACTGACACTCGTGCGGCGGCACAACCGTTGAGTTCTGTAAGGCATTCAGTAGGTGTCAGATTCAAAGCCATCGCGAAGGATAAAAATGGAAACTACTTCAAACTAAAATTTTATCTGAAGTTAGTAGTTATGTATCAACTTGGTCCAGCTTGCAGTAGCTCATTTTGGTTACCATGCTGCGAAAATACATTTCAGTTAAAGTTACTTACTTATTGCGTCTTGTCTCAGTTGAGCAAGAAGATTGCAGTCGTATATTTATCTCACAAAAAAAACAGATAAAACTTGCTAAAACCACTAACTCTTTATCTGCCTATCGGCTATAATTTCTTCGTTTTTGAGCCGTCGTTTTTCCATTAGAGTTCGCATTTCTTCGTAAACAGTTATGGTAACTGCTGATGCCGGCGTAATGCGGAGAACGTTGGGGATCATTCCTTTGAACTAGTTCGAATAAGTAAATGTAGTCACGTTCATTAAAAATTAATGGCGATGTTTGCTTACAATTTGTATCACATCTATTTTCTTGTGTAATCTACTAATCTTACAGTCGTTTCCGCGAGTGATGGAGCTACCGAGCTACTCTAGTAAACTATCACGCTTACGCCTCTGACTTTGATTGCAAATGCAGGCATCAATTCTACAAAAGAATTTAGGTACTTTTTGTACTTACAAATCCACGATATCCTTCCCGGCTGCAAAAAAACAGTTCCGTCATTATTTGTTCTTCATCCAGTTCCCCAACACATCGAAAAATATATGATCACTACCAGTAGGGTAGAATCAAAACACTACTCGTAGCTGAAGATAGAATATTTCCAGCAATTATTTGTACATACTCTTTGTAATCACAGTACGAAGTGAGCCACGAAAAATCGGTACTAACACAAGAAAATCCCCAAACTAATCTATTCAAAACGTACACCTTTTTTCATATACGAGTACTCCGGGCACAAATTTAAAAATTCAATAAAAAACCTGAGTTTTAAAGCACTCTTAAAAATTATTGAAGCATGCCGGAAAACTTAGAAAACTTCAAAACGCTAAGATTCCAGCGATTTATCAGTTTTCAACGTCGGCTTTTCTTTTGCACGCGGAGCCAGTTTCTCGTAAGTCAGGAAAACAAGGCAGACATTTGGTGTAACGGCAAGGAGGTAAGGCACGAGACCTTTGTAAAATCCCAGTATCCTTTCTTTTCTACAATCAACAAGCAGTTAACAACCAAGCGGTCCACGTTGTTTGTCACTGAGTTACGAGAACCAGCAAAACCGTGCCTGCTTCTTTCGATTTCGCTAAAACAAGCAACCAAGAAGCGCTTCGTTTCGCAAGACTTTCGCTTTATAGCATTTTTGTATCGTATCTGAGCAAATATTTAAGTACCTCAGGAGTTACATTTTTCTGGAAGAACTAAAAACAGGGATTGAATAAACTGCGATACTTGTAAATTGCGTTAACCAGATTAACAATAGCTACTAATTTGACTATCCCATTTTAGTCATTTTTTGCATGTAATGCCTCAAAGGTCAATGCGAAATCGTTCCGTGGCATATAAATACCGTAATATCAGAGAACATTGTGCAGCTTTTCGTTGTATTGAAATGGGGACGTACCTCCATGTTCTCACAATCACATCCCACAATCCGTTATAATTTTTATGTTGGTCCTGTAATCGAGCCCTGATAACTTGGTATGGGTACGTCGCGGTAGCCGCGAAAAGTTTCGATATAGCTGCATAAGTCAAATATTCGACAGTGCCCTGAAAAACAGCAGATACAGATACAAACATAACAGCACATTAATAACCGATCCTATTTCAGTAGGCATACCAATTTGGCTTCCGGACCCGCTCCCTTGAATTTATTGGCACGCTTTTTTAATTCTTCATAGGCCATAAACTGCAGAGCGCCGTGGGATACACCGAACATACCGGGTATTAATCCCTACCAAGAAAACTGGTAAGTAACAAATCCAGCTATTTTAAACAAAGTAACTTGTAAGCTTACTTTATAAAGGCCCCTGATGCCTTCGTACTTGTAAATCTTTGCAAAACAGTCCACAAGCCCTTTATAGCGCTTACTCTGCGGCAAATCCAATTCGGACTGATTATATTGCAGACATATTCTGGTCTTCACCACCCAGATTGGGTTAGTAACGAATAATGTCCAAACACCTGCACATAAAGATTTTATTTCCCATGCCAAACAACATTCTTACCAGAATTTTTACAGAATACATACAGATAAGCAACGCACTAACCTGCATTGGCAGCTGCTAACATGTGCTGTACCGGAGTCAAGTTTTCCGTGGAATTATTAATTCCAGCCATCCATTCTTTGGTAAGATTGTACCTACAAATGGCCAGTATTGCAAGAAATACTTCTAAACTAAAACAAGAACTTAAACATTTCCGCATCAGCATTTAACACAATATTTAGCAAAAAAAATTATTTTCAGGTAGCAATAAAAACTACAGTTACATAAGATGTGCGAAAACCGCCACTGCCATCTGAAAATTCCGCAAAAGATTCTAATAAGAGTGAGTTGCGCAAAATCGAATAGTAAAATTCTCAAGGTACAGACTACAGGCGCCAACTGTAATTCGCTCCAAAAAATCGGTGAAATAATAACGATTCAAAAAAAAGGAACTGGCTGTTATGATTCAACCAGGTAAAGTTACAAAGAACGAAAGACACTAATTTTAACAATAGTGGCATTTCATTCCACGTAATAATTATAACGTGATTGCGACGTTTGACTTACATCAAGAAATACACTCCCCATGAAGTCCCTGCGCCCAGACAGCTAGGCGTAACTCCCTGGTATAAGGCTCGGATTCCGCCTTCTCGCCAGGTATGGGCAAATGCATATCGGAGGCCACGCGAGACAACAGCACTGTGCGGTGACGTGCCATCGTTTACTGCAAAATACAACATATTCAAAACAATAGCAACCGGGATCGGCTAAGAACCACCTCACCGGCGAATCGGACTTTAATTAAGTCCAGTGGATGCAATACTAAAGTGGATACCACACCACCGCTAAAACGAAAAAATCAAAGTTTATTCACCGCACCAAAGCGAGCACAGTAAAGGAGCAAACCTCAAACTATCATCATCCGAAGCAGGAGTAATACTGACTGTACGTACCTGATTCCAGCAACAAGATGCTCCAACTGTTCAGGACGATGCAAAATTGAATTTAGCCGAGTCAATGCGCTCGAAGGAGCTATTGGAGGACTGTCGGCATCTCCGCTAAAACTCGAAGACATTCGAGCCATCCGATTCAATAAGAAGTAACAGCCAGCTTCGACTGCCTGTAACTTATTTCAGTATTTTATCCGACTACAAGAATCCAACTATTCTCATAAATGCGTAAATTCCAAGATTCAGTCCGCTCTATCACAAGATTCTCTGCAAGAGTACCATTTAATGCATTCAAAATGTACACCCATCAGTAATCCGAAAAAACAAAAATATACGCAGCTGATAAATCATACTTGTAGATCTTAACTACAAGAACTTTTTTGGTAACCCGTAACTTGATCTAACCTCAATCCCGCATAAATCTCAAATTTCTAAAATCTGATGAAGACTGGGACGAGGACTGCTGGAAAAATCCTAGTGCAGGGCTGTGTAATCGCCGGCTACGTGCGGTCGAACAAGCGGTAGTTCAAAATTTTTGTTACGATCCTATGTATTTCTAATTAGCAAGTGTTTTGTTATGAATTTTGTTTCTATTTTAGACTTTTAGTGCGAGTACTCAGTTTATAGTTTATACTTACATGGTTAGATCAGTTGCATGCGATACCTGTTAAAGATACTGTAACGAAAAATTAACAAGCAGAGGGATCTAGTAAAAAAATAGAAAAGGCTAGAAATGAAACTAAAAAATGGGATTAAAAACTAGAGAAGATAAGCATACGGCATTCTAGGCTTTCTTTTAACCCAAGACTTCCAGGTACCATATTCCGTTCGAATTAGACCGCGGAAACTAGGATAGGTCGATAAAAAAATTCCAGCTGCATAATTGTTTTCAGAATTTTGCTGACCAGAGGTCAGCTACATAGATTTTTGCTGATTTTGATGGCCGCTGCTGACCACTGGACGGAAGCAACCATTATCTTATATGATGTACTTTATTGTTTCGGCTATCTTTCGGTTTCGAGTCACTGTTCGAAATCATAGCTTCATGCATTCAACTGGGGTCACTCTGCTGGTGCTATGTAATTACTTAATTTTTCTAATTTTATTTATTGTATGGCTCTAATTAAAACACATTTACATTCCGTATGTCCGCAAAACTTTTACACAAAATTCAAATATTTTAGGTAGTAATAATAACAGATACGAACGCAGCTCCGTACAATGTTCCATAAAAAATGTAACAGGGACCTGTTGCTTTTCAAATCACGGTTTTATCAATTACCTATGGATGCAAGACCGATCAGGATTGAGAAGTCAAAATTGCTAATAATTATTGAGTTGTTGAACTTGGCTGCGCATGCGCATGCTATTCATAAAATACAAAAACAGCAAAAAGTTTTTGAAAAATTATGATTTATAAACGAAAAAAGTCCCCATTGCAACGACTTGTTCCGCTTAAATTCGGCCTCTGTTATAATTTCGACATAGTTTTGAACGTCTTCAAAATGTCGCACTGTTAGTATTGTGTGTATGCACCAGATATTGCCCGTTGATGACCTACGCAGCAAAGACTGTTTACACAAATAAGTAAACCTAAACGATGATTTCGCAAAAAAAGTTCGCCATCTGCCAAGTTTGTCGTACTAACTGTTAAAAATCTTATTGACTTGTGTGACTACTCATAATTCCCTTACTTTTCTTAGCCAGTTTTACTATAAAGGTAGGCATAACAGCAGAGAACGTGGATATTTGCGTTGTTAATCTTATCTACATTTTTCTCGACACAAATGGTTAAGGAAACACCGTCACCATAGAGTGATAATCCTATTCTTAAATCGGAAGTCACAGATAAGCTGTTAGTGAAGTTTTGTTACCGTTTTACTCATTTGAAGCTGTGGACTCCAGATGTTTCTTCGTTATACATAGCGCAAAGTAAAAATACGCGTTATGGATTAACTTAAGATAAAAATTAACTTGACCGTTGAGAAAACTTATTTTTGAAAACGGGATCTCACATCTACCTGTGCAATATTATGGCAAGCAATATATCAGATTTCGAGCATTCGGTGACGGTGTTGGAAAAAGATCAGGAGCAGTTTGACCTTAAGGACATTGCTTCGTCCAAGAGGGATCACGGAGAAACTGCTAAGGATGACACAGTGGAAATCAAATCTGAATTATCCAAAGATTTCAGCACTGTTTATGGATTGTTTATTGTTGTTTCTGCGTTATGTCTGGTACCACTTGTTGAATTAATCCCTAATTACCAGTCGGATTTCTTGCGTGTAAGCTTCGATTTGAAGGGAACTAGTTCCCTTCAAATTCCCTTCAAATTACCCTAGTTCCGAGTGTAGGTTAATTAACCAAATAATCGAGATGGAAAACTTGAATATTTGCGGGTGTAGGTGCACCTTTAGTTCGGTAGCGCACTGCAGTGTTAATATTTGAATTTTATACTTCTATACATATACGAGTATAGATATATACTTTGAAGTGGTGAAGTACATAATTTATTTATATTTGAAGTACGTATATATTTTATATACATAGAAGTATATACTTCAAAATACTATACACATACACTATATTTGAAGTAGTGATATGGCAGTGTTCCGGTAGCACAATCTTGAGAGGCGCATGTGCGATACTGCTGTTGTATCGACCAATTCGATTAGTTCGTGATAATTTAAAATAATTACTAGAAAAATTTACTATTTCTCGAGCTAGTAATGGAAAACGTTTTTATGAATCATAAGTTCAATCAATATGCAGTGGTTCTGTTATTATTTTATAGTGGATCGAGACCGGATTGTTGGTGATCGCAATAGCATTTTTGGTGTTCGCATTTACCTTCCTTTTTCGCGCTCCAACATCGGTAACAGTCTGTGCGCCGGACGAACCTGAAGCCTTGTCGGCATGGGGGCGACTGAAACTTCGATTGCAAAACAAGTGGTTGAAACGGCAGAATCTACCGAAATTAGATCCCGGAGTCTGTATGCGGGTGCCGGTAAACAGGCACGTGACTCTGCAGAACACAGACAGTGGCAGCATGTACCTCAAAGTGGGATGCCTTATATTCACCGTGGGTTCGATGATTTATGCCTGTGTAACTCTCGGGATCGTAATCGAAAATTCAGCTGATTTTCCATCTGTTATGGCACTAAATCCTTCGATTTTCATAATCTTTCAAGTGCTCCAGTTATTTTTCCTGTTTCGCAATTCGCACGTAAGTGACAGCAAATGATTATAGTGACTGACCTTTCGTTATAGCCTGCTCCGGGTAATCTTGAGCTTTCGTTTCGAAAGTCCTAATTATCCATTAGCAGTAAAAGAATGAATTCTAACCAGCGTTGAGTAATTACCACCAGATCGAAAACCCGCCCTTTTAGATTTTGCAATGGCAAATATAATTTATGCGAAGCTTTATTTAACAAAATTTTGTGTCCCTGTGCTTGTGATAGGCTTACAAAGTAGAAGAGATTTGTACCTTGATCACTTTTTATGCCTTAAAGGTAAAATATTACGAAATCATAAACGCATACGAAATCATATCTGATCTTTGCAGTTTACGTTAACCAAGTACAAAACAATAGGAAGGCTTGGTCTTATTCATCTTGCCGCAACCAATCTGTGCGTTAGTTTTCGCTGCGTTCTCGATGAAACTCTTCATGAGTTCGCGGAACTAAGGGAACACGAATTAAGCGCCAACACAAACAACTCCGATGCAAACCTTGGTCAACATAAATCTCGTGTGTGGGCACGTTCACAGTCTTCATCTGGAACAGGTGGGTACCGTAAAGTGTAGTGAACACATATGGTACCAGAAGGACTGTCTGATAATAATGTCGATGTAGGCGACGATCGAGCTGACTCGGTGTTACAGTGTATTCATGCTTTTTACATAGTTTTCAAATTTGACCATGACAGCGTTCACGCAAACCGTAGCGTTTCTTAATTCACCAGTGATTGCGCAGTGGTGTTTAATATGGCTTGGGAGGGTAACGTTAATACTGGCATGAATCGTGACATTTTACCTGAACAGAACTATGCACTTTGTACTTTTAATTAACCCAAAAAATTCTAGAAAGTTTGCAAACCTAATGAAAGTTTTGAATAGGCTAATGAATGCTTGTATAGGGGCCTATTTGACACCATGTGTGGGAAAGGATTCCATGATGTGCAGCATTCTTCGAAGTGCCACACCCATACTCTTTCCTTGCATAATAGAAATGGCGTTAATATGTGCTGGAATATTTTTTGTCATGTGGCGCGGCGTTGGAATGGTTTCCGATAAATCAGCACCTTCAGTACATGTGGTCAATAAAGGTCACGGCAAGAAGCCCGTCAGCCGGACAGTTTATCGTGTGGATTGTGATCAAGCACTGATAGGGCTGTTTGTTGGACTGATTATTATAGTGGGCGTCACAGTGGGTGTTGTTATGTTTTTCTGGGCTGTGAACGATCCCGAATGGCACTTCTTTGCTGTCATCGAATTTAACACCATGGATCTTACTTTGCACGGCATCAATTTGATTGCTGTGATAATCTGCGCCGTACAATTTTCTCGAAAGTTACAAAGGACGCAGGCCCATAAATCAGTTAACCAGGAACTGGACGATGCACTTCTTCTAATTGCAATGGTAGGATTTGGTGCAACTGCAAACATCGATGAATACTGTGCCATTCGAATTTGGTGTACCTTTACGTAACTAATTACAATTTTTCAGGGTACCGTATTTGTTTTTTTTGCAGATTGGGGTGTATGCGTATTGTATTATTACCCTACTGGGAGCCTCCAGTACTCCCGGCACCCTTTCCAACCTTTCGTTTGGTGTCGGAGTGCTGACTTTGGTACAGACAACAGCTCAGACGTTGTTTCTGTTTGATGCCAGCAAACGTACAAAAATGACTAAGCATGATGCCACAGGGAAACAGCATAAACCAGCTCGTCAAACACTGACACTTTTGCTGATCACAAATTTGGCTCTTTGGGCGGTGAAGGTAACCCGCTATGATATTTCATATATAGGGAATGACATGTAGCTTTAACTAGAAATCATTCCCTAAACCTAAACAATTTTACTTATGATCAATGGGCATTGCATACTTAAAAAATAATTTTCTTTGTTTTGCAGGTATTTTGTTCCCTGGACACTAAGGCTTCCCCAGTACAACGGGATTTTTACGGAGAACGACAGTAAGTTGACCGCGTGCAAATTCTGCTCTGATATCGAAATATTCTTCGGGTTTCGACGATACGTAAAACGTTTTGCTGCAACAGTTATACTGAGTGGGCGTATTAACTGATTTAACTAAAGTATCCGCTGAATTACGAGCCAAATTAATTTTTTGCGCTTAACAGATGCACCTACAGAGTTTTTTTATTAGGTGGATTGTTCTGCTACATATGGTTGTTCCTCTGGATGTGTTCTACAGGTATTTTCATTGTTGCGCGGAATTCATCGTCTAATCACCATAGCGGCCGGTTTAGCACATTACTCTCAATAGGACGTTGTTTTTTAGTTTCCATTCTACTGCCTTCATTTTTGAGATTTGGAAGCGGGCTTATAAATGACAGCAACTTTTGACTCCCTAGCCGGCCAATTTGAACGGATCTCTTTTTTTACCTGGTCATGTAGTAAAATTACGAATAACGGCCTTTTCTTTTGAATGCTGTTTTTCATAAAATTGAAATACTAAATACGTAAAGATTGTCATTTAAGCTCGCTTCTCTCCTGGTAACGAGCATACTTTAGTAGTTGATCGCGTAAAAGGTCACATAAATGACACCGTAATAAAATAAGATGTACTGTATGCCTCATTATACTGGTATGGTATTACGTAGCCGAAAAAAAATGTCCGGTGCCGGAATGTGGCGTTGATTGCTAATGGCTGCATAAACTCATAAAAATATGCTTACGCGATTTGGCCACATCGATGATCTGTCGGATAGCTGCACTAGTAACATATTTAATTGTGTCAGAAATCATTACTGTATTACCAAAAACCTTGACCAGCGACGATATCAAAGGATGTTACTACTGTATTAAAATTTGTACTATTTTCCAACCTAAAAGCGCGAGCCGGTTCATATTATTCGAAAGTCAAAACAACCGGACCAATGGAAACAAATGCCAGTGCCAACGGCAACGAGCTACATGCCGGTATTTACTGGGATATTGAGAACATTCCCATTCATGCATATAACGCGGACGAAGAAGCCAAAGATGCAGTAGTGGGAATGAATAAACTCGCTCAGACAAACCACTTCAATGACTCAAACTTTGCTGAACTTATAAAAATAATTAAGAAATTCGTCATTGTTGCCCGCAAAGATGGAGATTACATATCAACTCCTCAAATTAGCAAAGATCGCGTTGTGGCACATGGGGTCAGTATACTGATGCAGCGAAAACGAAAACGGTCGGTAGAAAACAAGCCGACTGTACCAGTGGTAAGAAATAAAGAAAAATATATTTATCAAACCTCAAAATGATACTGATTACGATCACAGTAATTTTTAATTTACAGATCGATTACTTTCGAACATTGATTGTCTACTGAGAATGCTAATAAGTGTTGTCTCGTTACTCGTATATCTGGCGTACCAAAGCGATATTATTGCTTAATGTTGCCTTTAGCAATAAACTCGTTTGTTCTTGATGGAAAACCGCAATAATTTTTACCGTTCATATTATGTTGTACAGTATTGTACGTCAGTTTGCACAATTGTATCCACGTTTGCAAGTTGCAACCCTACTAGCGACAATGCAAATTTCGCTAATTACAAAGAATATCGCAGGTGGAATTAATTGATTTGCCCTTTTCCCGAGCCAAAGATTACTGCGATAAAGAGATAATTCGCCGGGCCAACATATACGTGCAATCATATCAAAACGGGCAGAAAGTTGTTATTTACTTGATGACCGGGGATAAAGACATAATCCGACAGGTAAACGCCTTCAGTGCGCAGTTCGATTTAGTCATCGTCATTTTACGCGGAAACCGAGAACTCCGCAACGTCACCGGCCACTGTCGCAATGTGCGACGTGAAAACGCCGGACGAGGAAGACGGATTCAGATTTACATGTTTGAAGAAGTGGTCAGGGCCGGCAAGAGCCACGAAAACGATTTCCCTGTCAACGATGTCGAAATTTTTGCTCGAGAAGGCGTTCATGACATTGATCCTTTCGCCAATGCGAACGCAAACAGCCGCAACCGAAATGCAGTCAACCGCATAGAAACGAGGAATCGCAACACCGCGCAAGAACTGGATGATGCCGGCCACTTTGACATTTTGTTCCCTCAAATGTAAAGCTGGAAAACCCGTAGCCCGCAAAAGCTGGCAATGCCTGTATTCTGGATCTAGATGGGCTCATGATTTTGATATTTTTTTTACTAAGGAATCCCGTCACAATTGCAAAAGCATAGTCACCGATGCCAAGCTGCTAACTGAATTCTGCAATTTATTCGTATTTTATGTAAAAAGCACAAGTAAAAGATTCATGTCCTGTCCTGTATTGTACTTGTATGTACATATCTACTGTACTCTGTAGTCAATTTTATACATCAGAAGCAGCTGAAGTCAATCGAACCAAGCATGCGTCAACTAAACACAATATTAAAATCCATTGCCATCGATAGTATTGCATCTGTAAATTTAGAAACTCGAAGTCCAGAGACAAAGCTGCTGAAACACAATTTAAAGTGCGAGCAATTATTGATTAGTGAGACGTTATGCATGCGATGCAACGGCAACATCCTCCTTGGTTATCACGCGCCACACGGTTATTACTTCTTAGTATTGATTAAAAACATGAATGATTGCCATCTTACAACTGAAATATGCAGCACGGTCCAATAAAATAACCAATAAAACGCAACAAATCGGAATCGACGAAAAATTATTTAGGAACCGAGTACCAATGAGTGCGTACATAAGTTGATTAAGGCTTACGACTGCGACGGATTGTCCTCGTGGCCAGCAATTAGCGTTGCATAGGGGCCGTCCTCTTGTTCCGCATTACGAATCACCTTTTTCGGTTTGCTTTCTTCTTCCTTCGTGTTGCTTTTGCTCTTGTCTTTTACGGAAATGACTTCTGCCGAGTGGTCTTCATGGCTCAACATGGTCGCATACGGTCCGTCTTCCTGTTGAGCGTTCTGAATGACCGTTCGCGCCTTCTTCATCTGCGGCTCAACGTCGTCCGTAGCGCTCAAACGACGTACCTGCGAGCGCAGATTTTCGTTGACCTGTGCGCGTAGATCCTCATGCGCCATCATCCGTGCATATGGCCCATCTTCGTTCTCCTCCTCCACCACGACGGGCTTTTTGAGTGGCTGTTCCTGCCGCATATCGCGGGCCTTTTCCAGTTCTTTGCGCTCACCGGGATCATCATGCGCAATCATGTGCATATAAGGATCATCGTCCTCATCCTCATCCGTGACAGTCACCTTCCTCTTGTCCGGGACTTCCTCTTTGCCATTCACGCTAGCGGCCGGATGGATGATGATCGGCGTTTCCTGTTCGTGCGAGATCATTTTAGCGTACGGGCCATCTTCCTGTTCGGCATTGCGAATCACGGGCACTGTCTCGTTATTGCTGGTTTTCTTCTTTTCTCCCTCTTCAGTGGGCGAACGGCTGCGTGCTCGCTGTTGTGATTCTCCTTTTGATTCCATAACGCTGCCGGACTCTGCTTAAAAAAGGAGCGCGCTAAACGTGAATATATGAATCAGGGGCAACAGAAAAATGCCTGCTTGTTTGCGGTGACGTCTGTCAAAACCTTCCGGAATATATGTATATTGATTTAGAAAGCCACGTTAGCTTCCTGTAGATCAGCAGCAAGGAATAGAAAACTGTGAATACTCTCAACCGTGCACGCGCTCCAGAATTGGCACCGGGAGCAGTCGCCGAGAATCAGTCGATAAAAGCTCCGGCATCATAAAGCAGTTGCCGGAGCTGAAAACCATTTGCAAGCACGTACGAATGTTCGTTACCTGTAGAATTTGCCGGATAGCTATCGATCAGTTTTTTGCATTTACAGGACAGATGCTGATCACCTGGTGTGCTACCTTGTGTGTACGCTATTAACTCTCCAGTCTCCAGCATTCGTGGTTCAGCAGAAGCACGTCCCCTGCCTCCGTGATCTCTATCTTCCTGGGATCTTGTTGGTGTGTGCTTTTAACACCCACACATACTGCAGTTGTTGTGCTTTATACTTTCAGTTCATTAAATTGTGTCTTTCAGTCGCAGCCACTAGCCTTGCCCTTGAGCTCGTCAACAACGTAATTTTTCGGTCTAATTTAACGCACCGATAATTTCTTCGAAGCCTTTCTTAGCTGCGATGTGAATCTTGGATACTCTGCATGTAAGGCGACCAGGTAAATTGACCTTTATCACTTCTTATGAGATTCAAGATTGTTACAAAATATTTCAGAATTTTATTATGGCAAGTAATTGTGCTCTCTAAAGTTTATTTTGTATTTTATAATTATAATGGCATGGGGAACAAACAGCCTTTGTACAAGCCGCCAAAAATATTTTATCAAAACGTGCGCTATTTTTTCGAACCATAATAGGCGCAACTCCAGTTATGTTTAAACAGTTCCAAAAGTAAAAGGAATACTTTAATTTGCATTTAAAATTTACCTATTTCTATCTTTATCTGTACGCGAAATTCATTTATACGTCAATAATTTACAGTTGATTTTTACGCATTTGGCTGTTGTATCTGTATTTGCGTGCTTCGGTATGTTTCGTGTGCGTCTTATTCGTGCGAAGATACAGTACTAAAACATGTGTCGTCGACTTCCTTTAAAAAATGGGAATAGTTAGCATGGAACAAAACCGTCAGTACAATTTGATCTAAAACCTTTGGGTTTTAAGATGTGTTTTATAATTTAAATTGGGAGTGTGATTTTAAGTGAAAATCATTGAATTTTAGTTGGATAAAATCAATAACGAAATCGTCCTTGACTCTGCAATGTAAACGGTAGCTGTAGGAAATTCAGTGCTGCTAGCCGCGCTATCAGATTGCGCTGCAGCCGCACCTTTATACTGTCAAAAATTAAATTGGATACTTGAGAACATCAAGCGCAGAGGTGTTTTGTTAAATCTACCGCTTCTAGAATGGCGCTATATGGCCTGTGCATGGTATGATGGATCCAAGATTCTGGAGTACTGTGTTACATGTTACGCAATTCATTTGAACTGGTTCCCATATCAGAAACGTCTTTTCCGGAAATAAAAATTAGATTTTGAAATATGTGTACTCGCAGATGTTTTTCATGACAGCAGTATCGTATTTAGTTAAAAAAATCTACTGGAAAATGGCACATAATCGATAGCACGTTTTCTGTGAATCAGATACTTACTTAGTCAGTCATGAGCCTCGCACAACAATTTTGGCGAAAGTTGTACTTACATGCAGTTACAGAGATCTGGAAATGATGAAGACAAATTGATTAGCCGAGTGAATAAACGCTTGAGCTATATGTATGACTAGTCCAATGACCATTTCTTTGGCTACTACAACAAAATTCTGCGTCTTCGATGCTCGTAGGTGTTGTTATGTACGGACGACTGTGATTCTTGCGTACCGAGAATGGAGAAATATTCATGCTTTGAGAAATCCTAACAGTAGCAGTTAACAAAAATATTTATTGTGGACTACATGAGACAATGTTTTTTCCACTGTCAGTTTTTAGGATTTCGGGCGCTCGTCGATAAAAGGCAGCTAAAACTTTATCTGGAAACTGGCCTCAACAAAATAAAGTAGCATGAGCCGAAAGGTAAGAGTTATATTCTTTGAAATAAACTTTAAACGTATTTAAAGCCAGTCAAATTTTTCGCCAGTAAAAGTTTAACTACCAAGTTTTCCAGTATAAACACGACTTGCACCTAATTTAATCGTTTGGCTAGTACATATATACCAGTATGATATGAATAATTCTATAACACCTAGTTTGAGCATACTATTTTATATCAGCCGGTCCCCCTAGCATGATATTTCAAGCGGGTTTCCTTTACTTGTAAAAGTGTACGTATGCCGTATGGTAATGGTTTGATGTCTGTAGCTGTTTATGAATTATGATTATGAATGTATGGCTCCACGATATAGGCGAACACTGTTTTGCCGGAAGCGCTGACGAAAGGGGATTACTTCCGTACCCGTGCCCCCTCGCGGTCTCCCAGCCGACGTCCTCCCAGAAAGGGTGCCATGAAGAATGAACTTACTAATGGACAAGCCAAATCGCCTAGCACAGAAACCCGGTTACCGCAAATCGCCGGAACTGGTTCGGGCTCGGACAAAAGTGATCGAACGCTGAATAGTGCTGACCCGATGGTCGGTGAAGTTACCGTGGCCTTTATTGATTATCGGAAAGACAGCATTACCGCAAAGCGCAATACAAATGCTGATCCATTACACAATGTCAAAGTTATTCAGTATATTGGTCAAGGGAAGGGCGCCAGTCGGAACACCCATGAATTCTGGATGCAAAGCGAAAGTAAGTTTTTCATTTGCATTGCATTAGGCACAGATTTGGCCGCGCGCATTAGAGGCTTTTAGATCGGGTGTTCTCGTGGTGCCTGCCAACAGCCCGGTGTGCACGCCATCACTTCCGGCCCGACAGATGCATAAAGCTATAGTTAGGCTGGATAAATCAACTTTGATAATCAAAAGAATGACAAAAATTCTCGATTGTACTACAATATGTTGGCGTGCGTCTAACATAATTAAATTTCCCATATTTGCATAAATTGTTTTGTACATGTGCGTTGGTGCAATGGTAATGGTTAGTTTTAAGGAATTAATATAATAACGAACATTAATCTCGCATGAATATGCTTACAGGTTACCTATCGATAATCTGCATATCATTCTGTAATATCTAATGCAAATCTATGTCATACTGAGTATGCAGGAAAGATTGCGTATGTTTTTATCCCAGATCCACATTGTATGTTTGTAATACCTGGAAATTTACACACAGATGGCTGCTCTAATTAATTATTTAATTGCCTAATTAACAAAATTGCCAACCAAACTTAGTATTGACCTTTTTGCAATCCTTAAGCTTCCTCAGCGATCGGTTCGGGATCAGTACTATACTACTTCTGCAAAGAAGTTAGACTTGTTCAATGCGGTGTTCAGTAGTGCAACAAATAGTATGCAGTAGCGCTTTAATACTGGTATTCCTTGTTGCAGCTGCAGCCAAATTCCCGGTTAATCAGCAATCCATCAGCTCAAGATTTCCGCTCAATTTTGGTTTTTATCTCGACGGGCAGTTCTTTCATCGGCTTAACGTTTGCTGCTTAAACAAGCTGCGAACTAACCACTCCATGATTGGAACGAAGGCCGTTCACTTCAAAGTCGTTGACTGTACCAACGTGGTACTGTGCTTTCGATGTAAAGGTCACGAGTTTATGCTGCAGTCATTTAAGAAGGGTTCGAACCAGACAAGAAGTGCCAGTGTTCCGCGTCGATTTTCGGAAAAGCCGCAGATGTTGCCGTCACCAAGTGGTGACAGTACTGGACCAGATGATCAAAGAAACAGTCGAAATAATGGTACGGCCAACATTCTACGAAGCCGATCAATATCACGGCCACGCAGACGCGATCAGTCTCCGGCACCGCTCCAGAGAACAAACACTAAGACCTTAGGAAAAACAGGTGGGACATTAGGATGTAAACAGAACGCTCCCACAACCATAGTGGGTGCCAATTTACAACTCCTTGTTCGCTATTATATCAACTCTTAGCGTGCTTGGGCCTAAAAGGAAAAGAGAACACTTTTTGCCCGCCAATGTCAATATTACGAGTATCATTAGCAAAATCACACACATACGTCGCAGAATTCAAGCATGACGTTTCAATATTTTATACAGTGTGTGAAATTTGGATCCCTGTTCCCCGTAAATTTCAAAAATACTCAACAAGCGGGAGTACGTATTATAACGTAAACATGCAGTACGTGCCGCTCCGTATCGCGCACTGCATGGTGAATTAAAAAACATGCAGTACCGGCCGTACATTGCTTCTGATTGTACGTCTTGTATTATCATAAGTACTTAAGTTTTCCCCTTAATTATCAGAGAATTTGAAAAACGGTTTATCCACTGGAAAATCGGAAATCCCATAAACTTCAGTGCTCGAAGTCAAAAGGGATTGCAGTTATATAATGTGAAAATGGAATTAACGTCAAAATCGCGCTTGCATGAATGTGTTTTCGTAAGCACCGCTCTCGGTGACTTATATTTTCAATCGAATAAACTGACTTGTTCGAGCCATCTCAAATTCTCAAGTATATTTTACCTTATAAAGTTTTTGAGCCTTGACATCGTTAAACGATAGCCGAAAGAATAAGAATCGATTAAATATGTTTCGGTCTGCTTTTTTGTCCCTGTCTTTGTCAATATCCGTGCATTTCTTGTAACACTTTCTCTGGATTAACAGTTGCGGGGGCAGCCGCGATAAATGGCGTCGTGATGCCTGTCGTGAATGGAGTACGCGGTATCAATGGACCAAACGAAAATGGTGGACAAGAATCCAGCTCCGGCCGGTTAAGTCGGGGCGAAGAAGCCCTGGAAAAGGCTTTAGAGAATTATTGTGAAGACCGCATGAGCCCTAGTCCCGATGTTGAGGAAAGCGCAACACAAGTGCGCGAAGCAGAACCGGAAGAGCCGAATACCGCTGGAATGGATTCCCATGGAGATTCAAAATATCCGCGATTTGTTCCACCAGTTGACGACGAGATGGAAGGTTCAAATAAAAACGCAGAACAGGTTACGACCGTTCGAGACGATGGGGAACAACCGACTGCGGAAGAGACACCCACGGTTGTGCGCCCGGCTAGTGGAAATGAGGAAACACGTACCACCGTTCGCGAAGACCAGGCTGCAGCCGCAGACGCCGAGAATAACGATGCGACAAAAACCGTGGTTGCCGACGACAATGGCAACAATGACACACCGACAGTCATTCGGGATGCCGAACAAGAAGAAGGACCATACGCTAGTATGATCGCCGCGGATGACAGTGAAACGACAACTGTTGTCAAAGACGACACTGACGTAGACTCGGCCCCGATGGTCGTTCGCGATGTAGAACCGAACAACGAAACTACTTCAGGTGCAAATACTTTATTTCAGTCTATAGTTCTGCTCCATTGTAAGATTTAGGTTTAGCGTTTTACTGGTTTTACTTAAAGGTCAAGAGTTGCGTCTGAAACCGAAACATCTGTAGATTTTCTGTAGATATACAGTGATATACTAAAATCTAAATCAATAGCATCCGGCTGCAGGTAATGCGGAAGCGGAAACCCGTACAGAAGTACGGGATGACACTTCAAGTACACAAGCCACAGAGCCCGCTGAAGTCTCTGGTGGAACAGAAGTGGACACCCGTACCGAAGTGCGGGACGATACTACGAATATCGTACAAGCCACTCAACCAGCCCTCATCCGCAATGTAGATAATGCTGAGGATATGATAGAATTAGGTCATCGACGACCGTCTGTGATAAGCGACAGTGACGAAGTCACCGGTCAGAAAGCACGCCGCGGCAGCAACACCAGCTACATGACGGAAACAGGGGATGCCGATGAGGTCACTGGTCAGATGCCAGCCGAAGCTATTTATCACGACAGTAAGCACCATCCTCAGTCGTGGTACATGAAAAGAGATGAAAAAGATGGTAACGGGTAGTTTCTACACCGAAAAACATAGCTGGTGCAGTTATTTCATACATGCTACAAATATTACACAGAGACGCAGACACAAGTGCGCGATGCCATTGAAGTTGATCCCGCCTTGCCCAGCCTCGCCAAGGAGGATCCGGTGGCCTTTGCGTGGCCGGGAACGGAACCGGGAAAAGAAACCATGGTAAGAGAAGACAAAGATGAAGATGTGGCCACAGAAAAGAATTTCGAATGGCCGGATGCTTCACAGCGCAGCGGCAAAGGCGGTAAACAAAGGCAGATTAGCGTGGATATCGTGGATGAAGCGCCTGATAGCAGCCGAACAGGTACTCGTATATAAGAATATGTAGTTGTTGAATAGCTGCGCTGTCTATCATAACGTAAGTCTGGGTACCTCTGTTAACGTAAATTAGCGCCCCTTTGTTCTCATCCTTTAATTTTCTGTTTTTTACTAATTACAGCAACCAAAACCCAAGTACGAGATGACAGGAAAGATTCCGTAAAGGTGCGCACTGCCTGACTTTGACCTTATAACGCGGTCTTTATTATAGGGGCTGATGATGAGCATACAGTACAAAATGAATATAATAATTACTCGTACAATACGAGTAATTACGCATACTGAAATACGAGTATACGAAATGAATGTACTGTACTGATGTAATATTATTTTATATTAAAATATTGATTAGAATCAGCTCAAGAGATACGTCTTTTTTCGGAGAGTAACATACATTACTCAGATTATTAGAGCTGTTCATTGGTGTATTTTAGAAGACCTCTAAACAAGGAAGCCAAGAATCCTCCACCGATTTTGATCCTGGTCGACGGCCTTCTACGCCGCACAATGCCGAAGAGATGATCGAGCAGTTGGGATATGTAGATGAAGACAGACGAGAATCCACCGTTTCACTGGTGAACGTGAGTATTTGAAATTAAGATTATTTTTAACAGTTACTCTATTTTAATTTGCTTTTGACATAATATGCGAATAATGGCACTTTCCATAAATCACTATTGTCTGTAGAAGTAGCGTATTTATTCGGTTTTATCCACTACCTACCACCACAAGTCACAAATCTTGTGACGGGTTGAATGATGATGTGATCCTTTTTAGGCGCCTCTGTTGCTGCGTAGCGCTACCATCGAGTCTGCAGGTTCCGGTGGCGAAGAGTTAACCGAGTCAGCACGCGCAGCTCGTCGCGAGCGCCGTGCACAAATGAAACCGCCGCCATCGCCACACAGTGCCGAAGAATTTATCGATCAGCTGGGCTACGATACAAACGAACCGGATCCGCTAAAACCAGAAATAGTGAAGTAAGGCAACCGATGGTCCGACACCCGACACAATCACCGGAAGTGACTCCGCAACCGCAGATCACCTTGCGTATGCCGGCACGAGCTTTACTGGCATACCCTCTAAGCAGTTGTTTCTCATCAACCTGTGCGCTTTGCTGCTCTCACGCAACATCAGCATTATGTATTGCTCGTTATCTTAAGAGCCATGCGCATTTCCAGTGAAAATTCAGCACAAGATGCACCATTTTAGTGTCCTGGATGATGTTCGCTTGCGCTGCGTCATTGGTTTTCTTCGGCCGTCTTTAAATTTGCTGCGCATGTCTCCCCAGAATGCTTTAGCACACACTTGTGTGCCGTTTTGATTTGCCGCCCTCGCATTCGTCCATTGCCGATCCACTTACGTATGCCGCCCACGGAAGCTTTAACATAATAATAATAATATAGAACGAGATTATTTGCTACTGATTTATGTATTTACGTATCAGTTGATGTGATTTCTGATTACGTACACTATTTTCAATACTGTATGATCCTTTTTACCTTTGGCATTTGTGTCCCTTTCCTTGGTTTTGTGGCCAAAAATTGTTTCAACCACGTCACGCAATGTGTATTACTTGTCTTGCAGCATTAATTCGCGCCGGTAGTGACGGAAGCAAAATACTCAAGTTTATATACCAGTGTACAGATACTCTGTAGACAAAACTATCTGTTTACAGATTACTGGATCAGATCATCCCACATTACTGAAATGATATTGCGTGCATATGCATGATGACACGCGTAATTGTTACTGGGGATGTTCTTCTCTGAAGACTGCGCAAAAATAAGCGTGCGTTTTCCAAGAGTGAAAATCAGCTAACAATAAACCGGCAATAAAGTTGGCTTTTTCTTAACTGTGTAGTAATTAACGAAATAAATTTTACAAATCGAATAAGAGAGGCCGATGCACGGAGTTTCGTACACAACAGCTTTGCGATAATTTGGTTTTGACAAAGATCAAAGCGGAAGATTCCACTAGGTGCGATTTTACTGAGCTACTTTCGCAAATAAATTATTATGCGGAGCTTTCGCAACCAGTGATGGACGTAATAAGAATGTCTCTGTAATTTATACTGTATTTATTAGTTTGCCGCTTGGATATGTATTAAGCATCAAAGCGTATCAAGCTGCTCCTCACGAGCGACAGTTCGTACGCGTAGTGTAATTCGTAGCCGGTAGGCTTTTGACAGACGACTACTGTTGTCGCGCATTAGCGCGAAATCTGGTTCTAAGAACGGCACGCGCCGGATATGGTAAAAGCAGCAGCCTGCTAGTTCAAGATCAGGACCGGCGAACGGCGCCCACGAATGAGTTTGAAAAGAACTGATGACGAAGTAAACATTGGCATATGTTTTTCATGACTAATCGCACATTACCAACAAGACCAAAAACCTATACTATACCATAAAGGCCAGCTGACTGAACTGACAGTGAACTGCCACCGCACAATGTCAGGTCAACAGTTTCTTTGCAATCCAAAACACACACCGATTTCCCTGATCATGACGAAATTGATTTCTTAGCACAACATTACGAAATCCCTTTTGATCTTTCGGATTTGTATCGGCTGCCAAATAATTATCATCTGGGCAAATATTACACACGCACGCTTCCATCTACGATTTTTTCTGTCTCCTGTCAGCCGTTGTAATTCTGCGTGGAATTTATCCATCATCTTCTTGATCTTCCCGATCTAGTTGTATTCTGTGGGTGATCGGTTATCGGAAGGGATATTGTTTACGTACCACTTCACAAAATGGCACTAGTTGATTCAGCCCTTGCGGATTTTGACCAGTTGCACATTAGCGATCCGGATGGACAGGAGGCTGCCGGTTTTGGCGGCCCCCCGCCGCCACCCGGCCCGCCTCCTCCTCCGGGCGGTGCTGGACCAGCACCTCCCCCACCGCCTCCTCCTCCTCCAGGTCCCGGAATGTTGCCGACATACAAACAACAGGTGATGACAACGAAACTAAATATACGTAGAAAGAGTAGCATTATTGATTTTATACCGTACCTACATTTTGTAACAACAACCTACGCTAGTAAAATTAATCCGAGTTGCTTGCTTACCTTTATGGACGTTAGATTTGGTAGAGTAATATTGCACATAAAGATCACATTCCTGCTACATACCGTAGATATCGAATACATTGTATTTTAGATCATCTATAACCGAAACATGGGGAACAAACACAGACATTTCCAGTGCAACGAATTTCGCTCCGAAGATTTCTTTTCTTGAAATTACCTATTGCAAATTTACGATTTTCAGTATCGTACGCTAACGTCTATGCGGCTGGTCACTGGTCAGTTGCGCGTATTCTAAACATGCATGAGAGGAGATAGCGTTCTGCAAGAAAAACAAGTGGGCATCTAAGGAAATACGGTGTATTTGTGCAGTTATATATAAAGACAAGGATTTATTTGCAGCCGTTTAATCTAAACTACTTTTTCCACCGGAACTGTTTGCTCACATTGTCAGTGGTATTCTCTATACGTTTATTTACATACCTACTCAAGGCAATGATGGCGATAATTAATGTCACGGCGTATACAGGTATTGTTTTCATGGCGGCTTTTCCTCAATAAAAGAATTGTAATCAATCTCAGAGATACTATCACATGCATACATTGTATTCTGTTTTGTTTTTCTGCAAGGCATCTCAGCTCTGACTGGGATGCTCACTTCTGTTTTGTTGAAAACATCATGCCGGTGTGGCGGTGTCAGTTGTTTGTTGTCGTCGTACACGTGAGAATTACGTACAGAGTATTCAAGTCATAACTAATGTCAGACGATTATATTAGAGACTGTTATTCAAGTTTTGCGCAATAACGTGATACCTATTGTTATACAGTATTGAAGATATATTATTAGTACACAGAGTAGTAATTTTAAGTGCAATGCGCTAATACGAAATCAAAGAAAGTAACGCTACTAGAATCTATAGAAAACAAACATGTTGAAAGCATGTCACGCCGGCAGACGGCGGGCATGAACCATATACGATGTCGGACCGTCGGTAATCTATTGGCTTTTGGCGGCGGCGGCCACAGTGTATTGCCATGTTATTGTTCTTACGAAACTTTCCGGCTCCAGTAAATGTTTAAGAACAGCGTGCTCTTGCGAACTGCTTGTAAGCATGCAGTCTATCTCGTCACGCATAAAACATCGCAGTGATTTATGTAAAATATGCATTACATCACAACTCTAAGCAATAAACAAGGATTATTAGCGTAAGTAGCTGTTCAGTTTACGTTTTTCGATTATATTAGGCATGCATAGTACAGGCAGTAAAGCTTACTTTAGCAAATGCCAGATGCTACTTGTACTACTAAGTAGGTACTGTATGTCACAGTGAAAAATAAGTATTAATCCAGTATCCTTTTAACTGCAGAAAGAACAGGCAGACCAAGAGTCCGGAAAAAGCCTGGCAGAAAAACTGAGCGGTGGAAAGAAATCGGAATCAAAGCCATTTAATTATGGTAAAATAGACAAGTACATAGAATATGTAAAGCTTTTGCCTTTTTGACATTACTGTAGTACTACATACAGATGATACAGTGTTGTGTTTTTAATTGCCGCGTTATACAAGTGCAGTATTGCAATTAGATAAATACCGTATAACTACATGCAATCCCATGTATACCCAAACGGATAAAAAGCGTGCTCTAAGGCTTATTAACGGTCATGGACTACGTAAAAAATAGCTGGCAGTGACGCAACTACGCGCACCAAATTAATACAACGCAGGGCTGGAAATAGCTTTTCTGGCAGGCTAATCCCGTTCTCCGGCGCATACTTCGATCTGTTTATTTAAATACTAGGCATCACTGCTGATCAGCTGAAAACTCCAAGCGCAATCAAGCGGGAAAATGCGGCACGCGCAGCGGAAGGCACCCTTGGCACATCGCCCTCCAGTTCGCGCCCATCGACACCGGCTTTCAATCGGGATAGACGGCCCTCGGGAGAGCAGACCAACGGACAGCCAGCCGCGGGCGTGGGCAGCATTAAATCTCTGGCGAGTCAGATACAATCTCTTCAGTCGCGCCCTGCAGCTCCGGTTGCGGATTATACTTCGTCCAGTCCGCCATCGAACAGCGTCCCAGTACCACCGGCCCACAGCTACAATGCAACGTCTATCTCGCCACTGGCCACGCCCAACAGGACCCACACCCCGATTGCGGAACAGTATCAAGACGGAAGTGGGCAGTATGGTCAGCGAGCGCCTCAACAGTTGGTAACATCCAGTTCAGTGCGAGCTAAACCGGCGTCGCCTTCTCCAGCTTATGATCGACTTTCGGAATGGGCTACTAGCGCTCCCAGCGATGGTAAATCCTTGAAGAAATAGTGTGCCAAAAATTCGAATTTCTGCATTAGTGCATAACCAGAGTTAAAAATCTAAAAGTCAACGATATATACGTTGTGCGTCCGCTACAGAAAAACTGCATATCTGTCTTGCTGGACGGGAAGCGCAATATAACTCCAGTTGAAAGGTCAATACAATGCAACTCCTGTTGAAAGGTCAACTGGAGTTGTACGTTGTACAATACGTGGTGATAGTAATTTTTATAATTATCACGTATATAGATAAGTATTGTTGTTCTAGTAGCAGGATATCACAAATATATATTGCGGATGCATTACCTTCTGCATCAATCATTCCAGATGAGGGAGTCGGATTTTCGTCGCCGTCACCGTCATTCGGCTACTCAAATCCAGCAGCCCAGTCCAGCCAACCCTACCGGCAACCGGAAGCGCACGCTTATTCACACAGTCCATACCAGCCACAAGCACCGGCAACCTCGCATCAACCCCAACCACAAGCGCAGCAGTACCCTTACAAGTCAACCGCTACCCTTGTTCGTCAGGACAGTCAAGGAGAGAAATCGAGAGCCGCCCAGATGATGGAGCAGATCCGCACCAACTACACGAGCGGCGCCGGTGCTCCTTTCCAGCAAACGCAACCCTTTGAACCGACGCCGTACAATTCACCATTTCGAACTCAAGGTAAAGAATTTCTTGAATAAGTTGTTGAAAAATGTTCACTTTTCTCACAGAACTGCGTCCCGCTATGTGTTATTGATAGTACGGTATTTTACTTGTAACAAAGTTATTTTTGAGCAGGAAATTCATACAATCAGCCTCAGACACAGACGCAGCAGCAGCCATCAAGAAGTGTCGGCGGTTATCCACAAAATTACAACAATCAGAATGCCTACAGCCAACCCGCGTACAATGGTATGATAAAGCCGACCGGAAATAGCATTTCGAGATATTCCGGAGCTTGTTTCTAATTTAGGATCAAGCTCTCCTTACAATCAACAGCCAAGCCAGCACAATTTTCAGTCAGGACCACCATCTTCGCATCAGCATGTTTATCAAACACAAACTTCAAATCCAGGTAATATCAGCATAAAATTCTGTATTGAGCAGAAGCTAAAAGTTTGATTAGTTAAATATCTTAATTATCCCGCTTACTGCTAACTTAATATTCTCTTAAAAAGTCTGAAAACTCATTACTGGTTAATTATTTCTGGTATACCGTACTGATGTTTTGGATTTCGATCAAACCGTTAATTGCAGGAAACCAGCAATATGTCAATCAAAACTTTCACCGGCCTCCGCCGGAACCGAAGTCTTACGCGACACTTCCATTTTCTACCTTTGTGACACCGTCAAATGTCGATTTTGATACCGACTCCAGGTCCTGGGGCAGTGCGCCGTTTGGACGCAATGTCTCCCAGCCGGCACCTCCACGATACACTAGTCAACTGCGAACGGAAATCCAGCTGCCTGTGCAGCATCACTCCAGTGTTCCCATGAATACCGGTGGATATTCGAATTATTCGCAGCCGCAGCAGTCTTTTGAGCGCGTGATACCGGTGCAGATTCAGTACCAACAAATGCCGTCCCATCAAAACCGATCAGGTACAGCTTAAAGCGATGTACCTATTTTATGGGGAATGTACTGTTATATTCCGTTGTCGGCTGCATTAAAATTAATTTTAAGACGCTTTTGTTTTTTAGATCAATGGAGACAACATGGATTATCAGATTTCTGAACAAACTTACAATTAAACACCCGCTAATTTTTATTCTTGTACTACGCGAAACTGGCCGTATGAGGCGTGACACTGCATGAGTAAGCCATATGCTTTGCTAATCCAAGCTACTGCGCATTGTTACGCGCTTCTTGTACGACACCTTTTGATATGTCTTATCACCGGTGAAAAATATGTTTGTCATAAAATATTATACCCAAGTCTTATCCAAGCGAGCAGCGTTACTTATTACGTGGAAGTCTACTAATAATTCGCTAATAATTTGGTTTAACGTGCTATGTGCGTCGAATTTATTTGAGCTCAATTCAGCCGTCACCGAAACACTGAAAGCTTTCAGCTGTTCCATTAGTTTCCGTTTAGAAAAAAATGCTGAAAGCGAGCAACAATGTCTGTCTTCAAATTTGATCAATCGACCTTTTTTAACTGCATCTCAATTAAACATAAATTGTAACGTCTTCGTGCAGTCCAGCAGAATATAACCAATTCCGAAACGCGCTTCCATGTAGCTTCATCTAGCTTTGTACAAATGAAATGTGTATTTTATACGAGATTCTTGTAGCAACAGCCGGCAAAAGCCGTAATTTTCCTCGACTAGCGGCATATGCACGGACCACCATTTCGTCCTCCTGGACAGAAGCCCATCGAACAGCCTGGCGTCTGCCGGCACGCATTTTGACAAGCTCTTCCATAAACTGTTCAAAAATAAAATGTCTCATTATCTCACAATAAGTTATGGGAGACATAACTTTACTGACCACTAGAGTAGAATACAGGATGTATACTGCAGTCAGAAAGTATATCCGTTACAAGATAATATTATTATTACTCTTTGACTGTTCTGGCTATTTTCATAAAAGTATGCCTCTAGGATTAAAGTAAAACTTATGTAATAATGATATTGTAGCTTACTAGAAACGAGCTGGACATCATAAAGCGGCATACGTCCACAATACTGCACAATTCCAACTGGGCGCCCTGGGCATCGGGCTTTGTCGGTCATGTACGCATCAGACAAACAAACTATCACAATCAAAAACCACGTACGCAGAACAAGTGGAAAATGACTGCAGTCGAAGAAACATTTTTTACTCTAACGATTTTGCACTGCACAAAATTTGGGAAGCAATCGCCAGCAAGCGGAAAATAAATACTACAAAATAATTCTTCTAAATCTGAAGTAAGCATATATAATCTGATTGCTGAGAATTAACGCATTCAATGGTGGCTGATTTAGTCAGTTCATGGTCAATCTGGCGATGGTTTTGGCGATAACAGAAGTACGCTGCTTCGAAAATGATTAACAAACGGAACCGGAAACGAACCGGTAATGTGCACCCGAGAATCGCATTTTGGCAGAAACCACCGGGGCTTTTGCTCGCACATGACTTTCCTAACGTGCCATGATAGATCCCTGGATTTGATAAAATTTGTAACCAGTAAGCCCGGTTTCGGGATTCAGCAGACAAGCGTAGTGTGCATACCAACAAACAGCGGTTTACTACAGGTGCTCAACGTAAAACACCGTATCGATTTCTTATCGAATATCTCAATGCAGTTCATCAAGTTCGCTGTTGTTAAAACTCTTTATCGTCGTGCGCTCATCTTTTTTGTAAGATTATAAATCTGGAAACCGCACTACCTTCTGTTCGTAGAGTGTGCGGTGACAATATATCACGGACCCTGGACAAGCGGTGAATGCTCCGGGCCAGACCAGCCAAGACCACATCCTAAAGGTCAAGTTTATCGAAATGTTCTCCGTTCACATGTGCAAAGACAACTATGTCAGGGGCTCTGATACAATTCTGCTGCCAAAAATATGGTGTGAAAGTACATAGAGGGGCACTACATTTGTAGCAATTATGCAATCCAATACTGCAGTACAACTGTACGACTAGGCATATATATCAGCATAAGCTTCTTGGGCCGTGCGGATGTACGCTTCTTTTTCCTCATCTGTCATCCGCGCTACAATCTCATCGTTGATATCATGGAGCATGTACACCACATTCCCGACTTTAATCCTTGGCGCATCCTCGCCATCCTCCATGGGGTCATCTTGCACATCCTCAAACTCGTCTTCCGATGCCGGCTCGGGCCGCTTATCTTCCTCGTACACGCGGGATTCGTGCCGCATCAGCGTTAACATGACTTCGTCATCTTTCATAATCGCTTCCGGTTGGTCTTTGACATCTATCTCCGTGGCAGCCTTCTCTTCCGCGAAGACGGTACTCTCCGTCAGCCATACCGGACGCTCTTTGGCCTTCTGGCCCTTGCTCTCGGCCTCTCCGATTGTAATGGTGATATCCTGGGTAGGAACGTAATTGTACACGGTGCTCTTGGTGTCGTCGCTCCACGAGCCGGCCGCCCCGGGTTTGGCTGCAGCCTTGGCCGCGTTGGCCATGGATTCCGCCATGTCCGCTTGAAGTTCGGCGGGGGTGAGATTGAGGCTGTCGATTTCGTGTATGAGATCAAAAAAGGCACTGGTGGACTCATTGAAATGAGCCATCATCACAACTTGGGATTCTTGTGCGGGAACCACCTCTTCATCCACTTCTCCACCACAGAAGGTGCACTTGAAGCTCATTGAAAAGGGATCCAAAAGCTGCAAATCAAAAATAATTTCCATAGATTTTCAAAGGTGTTTACGAAAAAACCCACTGCAGCATGTGGGAAATCATGAAAGAGATACCTAACTGATTCAAATTTCTGTTATAAACATTTGCTCTACCGCAAATGATAAATAATTTTTAACGACGCGTTACACCATAATGAAACCCAGAAATTCGTAAATTATTTCCTACATGTGCAACTCTGGTGCGCAATTCATCACTGTCTTCGCGTACACAACATTAGTTCAGACTTCAGAAGCAGAAAAAAACTTTAATATTGTTTACTATTTATTGTATTTGCGTAAAGACCAACATAATTTACAGACCTGGTTGACTTCCAAATCCGAGAAAGTTTTCTCACAGTCTTTACATTTAAAGGATGCCCGGTTGGCTGTATTGCGCTCTTGCGTCTCCACTTTCTTGCGGACCAGCTCCAGTTTGTATTTCACCATATTGAGCAAGGAAGGATATTCGATAAAATAGTAATTACAACGCGAGCTCTGTCCGTCTTCGCCCGTTTCCACACCCATCTTCGTTTTAACAATCTGATCAGCCTTCAGGATAGCCAACAGCTGTCGCAACTGTTTCTTGTCCAGCTTGACTAGATCGCACAGGACGTCTTCTTTAACCACAGACAGGCTGCAGAGAATATCCGCAATTACGCCGTGCTCTTTGCCGTAGAATCCGTGCACCACCATTCTGGCCAGCTGCTTCACCTGGTATGGAACTGTGGACGCAGCGCCTGCAGATCGGTTGTTTTCTGCCATGTGGAATATCAATCATCAACAGGGTGGAGAGCCAGCAACCTGAAATTGACACAACAGGTTAACAGTTCAGAATTCTGAATGTGTTACCATCGGTATTGGAAACACAATGATAAATCTCTAAAGCGAGAAGTAAAGCAAATACACAGAAAATATGAAATGAAATCGAAGCCAAACCAACCTTACTCCACCTAGAACATCGTTGTTACGGTCGCAGATGCCTACGACTGTCAGAAACTGGCCGAAATGCGAAGTTCGCGACTTCGCACAGCCAGCGATCACACCTTAATCGTTACTGCCAGAAACAAATCACAAATGTTCCAAAAAATTTCTAAACCAACCGATCACGATAAAATCATAAAGGTTGGTTTCTTTCACTTTAAACTTCACAAATCAAACTGGCAATAAATTAAAACCAGTACAATGTTTCCGCATTCAGCATTTCACAATAATAAACACTGGCGATCTCATGCCTCGATGGTTGGTGATCTCATGATTTTCAAGAACCGCAAAAGGAATTTTAAAAAATACGTTTGGATTTCTGCAACTGCGTCACTGCGGTTCAGACACTAGTAGTGTAACGAAGTGCACAGAAGAACCATTTTAACAAAATTGCCCTTAATAGTATTAATGGGGCGCCAACTTTACTGCTCGGCGCTATTCACTATCCAATATTTCATATGCTGCTTCAGCTTGCATGTTTACAGAGCGCGTTTAGCACTTTTGCGTCGCGGTATCGCTTTTATATCTGAAGTACGGTATTATTTTTTTAGCTTGCCCAAGAACTTAAGTTTTGTCCCCATACTTGGATAGTTAAGCTTACTGCCAGTATTGGTCTGCAATCCGATCGTTGGAAATGTCGTTAGCGGACGAATTGCTAGCGGATCTTGGAGGCGATGGCGGTGTGGAGGATGACGCCAATGTTCAAGTGCGTGAAATCACTGGAGATGAACCGATGGACACTGGAGAATCTGCGGATGGTCCCGACGATATATACAAAATTGCAAGACTCAGCAAAAGTCCAGAGGTAGTGTAGTTTCCCTTATTGTTAATATGATGACCGGCTGCTTAAACCTTAAATTGAAGGCTCGAATTTGTTTTTCAGCTTTTATATATTATATATATAATTAGGAATTTATTTCTTTTTATTTCTGCGATTGATCCCCGGCGCTATTTACAGCTCGCTGAAGTTATGGATAGAATTCACAATGGTCCACGAAATTCTGCTCGAACTGAAGGTTAGTCGGCTAAGAATATGGACAATGAAAATTAATTAGTTGAAATAGACGTTTAAGTTTTTAAATAGGGACCGGACCAATGGAAGCGGATCCAGAGTATCAGCTGATCGTCAAAGCCAACCAGCTTGCCGTGGAAATTGACAACGAATTAAGTAAGGTGGCAAATCATAAACACATGTTTTCTCGTGTATTGCAGTGCATATTTTTTTCCCGTTCTCGCAAATTGCTTGACTGTTTGCTTGAAAATGAAATTTTCTACAGTTCCTGATTCCCTAAGAAATTATCAACAACTATTAGTGCATTCGCCGTGTGCGAATCGTTTCGTCAACATTATCTGATTATCTGTCACCGATTTTGCAGATATCATTCATAAATATGTACGGGATCGGTATTCAAAACGATTTCCGGAGCTAGAGAACCTGATCCAAATGCCGCTGGAATATGTTCGAGCTGTGCGAGTAAGTAAAGATTCGAAAATTTCCCGTTTTCAAGTACATAATATTCATTCAAATTTTCCAGTGATAATGGGGATTTTTGTTTTTAGGCTCTTGGAAATGATGTGGATCGGGCAAAGCAGAACGAAGAACTAGCCAAAATCCTTTCTCCCGCGACCATTATGATTGTTAGTGTGACCGCATCGACTACTACTGGGTAAGTGAAAGAAAGGACTAGATTGGAAGGCACTTGCAAAGTTGCAGTTACGTATGAGCCCCGCTCATGTTTTTCGACGACGGTGATCCCTTTAAAGTTTAAAACACGAAGTGATACGAATAAGCTTGTATATTTTTGTTGCTGTGAATTTGTGTTGTGTTATAGAGAATGCCTTTCTGAGAACGAACTGCAAAGCATCAAGGAAGCTTGTACCATCGCAGAAAAACTGAACCGCGATAAACTCACAATTTACGAGTATGTTGAATCTCGTATGTCGTTCATTGCGCCCAATCTGTCGATTATTGTTGGATCCTCGGTTGCCGCCAAGCTGATGGGTAATTAATTTTTAAACCTGAACACTTTTATGTGACTGTTATAGACATTTTTTTGTGGGCTTAGGTATTGCTGGCGGACTACGGAACCTTTCAAATATGCCATCTTGCAACATCGAATTGCTAGGAGCTAAGAAGCGTGGCCTGTCTGGGTTTTCGCAGGCCACTATTATCCCGCATACTGGAGTCATCTATTATAGCGATCTGGTGCAGGAATTACCTAAGGTGAGCTTTGATTGTATTTGCAGCAATAATCTCAAAACAATTTCCACAACAGTGTTACTGTCTGTTTTGAAATTATTGGAAAGTACCTCATATTTTTGTTCGTTTTGTCGTTTCTGATTGTCTAAAATCTTGGGTATCAAGGTGGTTAAATAATAACACTGCATACTGCATCAAGTTCGGTAGCAACAATGTTGAGAAAAATGAATTGACCTTCAGGTCGGTGTTGTTTGAATTTTGCCTTTTGGCATTCTTACTGTTATTTTCTTATACAGGATTTAAGGAAGAGGACAGCTCGCTTGATTGCTGGCAAGTGCGCTTTAGCTGCCAGAGTGGATGCTTTTCATGAAGCACCGGACGGCTCGATTGGTCTTGGACTGAGAGAAGAGATTGACAAAAAAATGGATAAAATGCAAGAGCCGCCGCCCGTCAAGCAAATTAAAGCGCTTCCTGTTCCTCTCGACGCACCCAGAAAGAAGCGCGGCGGTCGACGAGCCAGAAAGATGAAGGAGCGACTGGGAATGACTGACATGAGAAAAGCAGCTAATCGTGTGACGTTTGCAGAGGTAAGATGATGGCGTCGTTTGGTTTCGGTGTCAGTCTTTACACCCCCAGGTTCTTTATTTCTTGTTCCTTTCTGCAATTTAATTTCGTTCCCTGTAGATCGAAGAAGATGCTTATCAAGATTCGGTTGGATATTCCGTCGGTCAGTTAGGCAAGGCTGTGGGCGGGCGCATCCGCGGACCTCAAGTTGATAATAAAACTCAAGTTCGGATCTCAAAAACACTTCAGGTATGAAAGTTTTGGAACTCTTTTTTTCTCTGTTGGATGTATACTTCGTTTATGCGGCATTGTAATGTTTTGTTTATAAAAATCTTGTCATTACGAATTACGAAAGTTCTGTTTTTTTAATCTTTCTGCTTCAGTTCCTGCTTTTCGAGGACGCGGTTTTTGTAGAAACTCATGTTGTGATATGCAAGATTTTGTATTGCAGAAAAGCCTTCAGACTCATCAGACCTATGGTGGAACGACAACCGTTCGTCGCCAAGTGGCTGGCACGGCTTCCAGTGTGGCCTTCACACCTTACCAGGGAATTGAAATCGTCAATCCACAAGCCGCTGAGCGATCTGGAACTGCCACTACCAACAAATATTTTGCCAGCACATCAAAATTTATTCAAGTTACAAAAACGCCGGTACAAGAAAATAAATAAAACCAGGAGAAATCAAAATCTAAAAAATGAAGAAGGATTTCCTGTTTTCCGTTCATGTTTTCTTACGCTGTTTATCCTTGTATGTCATTCTGTACAATGTCAACGGAAATCTGTTTCGAACAAAATTGTACTCAATCGTCAGCAGTTACCAGAACTTCGGGAATAAAATCTAACGAAGTGAAAATCCTTGGGGCAGTTTGGATTTGTACTTGGCCATAAGACTCTTGAATTTGGCAGGATCGCTTTTCTGCACCTCCAGAAATGCCTCGCGAAGTAATTTCATTTTCAGTGATGGCCAGTCCATTTCCGTCTCATTATCTTCGTCGTTCGCGTTGCTATGTTTTTCGGCATCCAAATCTTCATCGCTCTCATCATCATCACTTTCGACACGTTTCCTTTTGCGGCTGCTTTCCTTTTCGCCTGTTTTCTTGTTGCTTTGAGTCAGACTGTCGACCACCTCGGGATACAAAGGACGCATCTGGTCAACCAGCAGATTAAAGGCACCACTATTCAGCTTGGACAGAGTGGTTAATTCTTTCTTGTTGACTTTCAAATGCATCTTCGTTGCGGCCAAGAACACCGCCGCGGCCACATTCTGATCTTCTCGGACACCTGCCATAAACAGACATAATTAACACAGAATCAACAAGTGTTAAAAAACCGAAATCTATCAGGTATCACACTCACTACTGGAAAAAATAAAATCGATTCTCTCGCAATCAACATCCCTCACATCCTCATACACAATCAATTACCAACCTTCGAAATTATGTCCAAAAGTGCTTTTAAAAGCTGTCAACAACTTGATCGCCAAGGGAATGCACGTCTCCACACCCTGGAGAATAGCGATTTCTTTCACCGACACCGATGTGTCCACTTGCAGGAGTTCTCCAGCGTACGCAACATATCTGTCGAAAACTGTTTTCGACACCCCGGTAAGCTTAACAGCTTGTTTGCCGGGGAATGTGTGGTTGAGCTCCTTTCCAGCCAGCATACACGCCGCCACACATTTCATTTCATGACGGTCGCTTACCGGATTCAGTTTGGATCCATGGACTTTAATCAGTTTAAAGTAGGTCTGAGCACGCTTCACTAGCGCTTCTTGCTTCACGTTGGAGGCATCGCTGGCAAGAGTGCGTACATACCGAACAATATGTTCGTCTTCTGATTTAGCAATTGTCTTAGTCGCCATATGACGATCGAGATACTTAGGGAGAGGACCGGAGGATCTCTCCAGTATGCAGAAGACCACTTGGCACTTGGAACTCACAAAAGCAAACACTCTGCAAATTACCAAAAGCTCACACTAAGTGACTAATCATAATGAGTATTGGATAGCAGTTACTAGTAGTCTAGTAACTGCTATTCGTTTGACGGTCACGGTTTACGACGATTGCGTAAATATTATAATACACTCCCCAACATCCTCTACACCAAATATTGCAGAAGATTGTTTTCTAGCAGTAATAGTACTCGTACTCGTATTCAGGTTTGCCGTTTAGTTTTCAAGGTTGGAATAATCAGCCGTCCAGAATTTATAACAAAAATAAAGGGTTTCCGCGCTCGTCGTACTTGATAAAGAGCTATCATCTCGCCAAGGTAAACTCCCTCCGTTGGGGGGTTGTAATAGAAGTTCCGATTTGCATTGCATGCGAAGTTGCGTCGACTAATTTTTGTCGCCAGGATTAAGAATGTGAATAAATTATTAAGAACGTGAATAAATTATTAAAGAAGTCCCGGCTTTATTTGTATCTAATTAGCAGATACATCTTTGCACCGATAGCTTTCGAAACAATGGGCCCTTGGGGACCGTCCGCTATCGCCATTACCAAATCACTGGGCAAACGACTCGAGCAACATACAGGCGAAGCCTGTTCTCACGAATTTTTACGCCAAAGATTGTCACTGGAGTCTTGAGATACAGCGCGGCAACGCGGCATCGGTTACGGGAGCGATGGAAGGAGCAGAAAAGTATAATGAAATTTTGATGTTATAAGGAAATGTCGATGTTTTCAGTTATTATAAATTTACGTTGTACCACAGGTGATACAAAGTATCAATTATTACTTCCAAATTTCCAGTAATAATGAATTCATAAGTTCTATTTCCGCAAACTGCGCACAAGAATAAATCTAAACCAGTATGCTGAAGTCGAACAACATTTCTGACCTAGGAGGAAGCGTATATTAGTATAGCGTTCACTAGTAAATTTTAGAACGGCCATACGAAATTCGCGATACAGACTTAAAGGTCGGAAGTTGGGTCGGGCTCGGGATGCTTACCGGTAACATACTACAACAAAAGGTTTTGCTTCCATACTCAGTTTATCTTTATTGGTGGCGGTGTGTTTCCCCCGGGTGTGGGTTGTAAATCTGATCCCGTCGGTCTAGCGAGTACAACGACTTCCGGTCGAAAGTCCCAGCTGTTGGCGGACATAGACAAAATCAGGCGTGATATCCAGGAGGTCTTGTCGGGCGACGTACGTACGGTATCCGGTATCATCCCATTTCGCCAACGGGACATTTCGCCAACCGGGTGATTTGCTCCCGTTTACTGAACTACAGTACTTTGCTATAAGACATCGTATATATGCCATTGGCATTAATGCACACGGCTCAACGCTGCAATGACGTACAGATTCTACATCGTATAATGTGATTCGAAACTGAGCGGCACATGAACAATTGCTGATGTAAATGAGTTCGATTCGAAATCATTACTCAGTCATATGCATATTATGAGCAAGGCTGATTAAGCGTAAAATCGAACCCTCAGTGCCACTTCTTATATGCGCACAGAAAAAGCCGTTGGATAATCTTAAATTTCGTATTAACCACAATTTTCCAGGTTTTTGTCTACGTATTTACATAGCAGGGCACAGATAATTAACTGCCTAGTTAATTATGACGGAAATAACGTTTTCTTTACCAACCGCAAAGGCAAAGTGTTAAATTACAAAAGTTATGAGTATATCGAATTCTGGAAACGCGCAGAAGACAGAACGGAGAATTGTCAGAACTGGCGTTGCCGAGAAAGGGCCCACTGCAGTGCTCGTTTATATTATGCCGATGGCGCAGCTGTTGAGCGCGGCCAGCATTCTCATGCCCCGGATGTCATAAAGGTTACTGCGAAATCAGCCAGACAGGCGTTAAAGGTTCGTGCAACCAATACAGTGGAGCGACCACGGCAGATTATTGATGAAGTTCGCGCCGGGATGCCTGTATATGCTGCAGTAAAAATGTCTTCTTACAACGCTCTTGCCAAAACCATTGGACGCCAAAGAAAAGCGGAAGGTATCCCTACCGGCCGTGTAACTTGCTTGGCGGATATCGATGGCAGTTATTTTCTGAAAGAAACAACGCGCAATGAATCCGTGCTAACTGCCGATACTGGTGCAGAAGACATTCATCGGATTGTTGTGTTCGGAGATCCGAAATGCTTCGATTATCTGGAGAGAACAAATGTTTGGCTGAGCGATGGCACCTTCAGCGTCAGCCCGCCTGTTTTCACGCAGTTGTACACGGTGCATGCTGATGTTTGTGGTGCAACGGCTCCGCTTATTTATGCGTTGTTGCCAAATAAATGTGAGCTCACTTATCGACGCTTTTTCACAATTATCCGTGACGCACTGATGCAGAAAAGTGGATCTGAAGAAGTCGGACCCGAACACATGTTGATGGATTTCGAACAGTCGGCTGTCATTGCGTTCCGAAATGTTTTTACCACGTCAAAATTAAGAGGTGAAATTAACATAATATTTTTATTAATGGAATAAATTGTAATTTTTTATGCAGTTTAAGTAAATATTAAAACATGAAATATTCAGGTTCTCTGTACGTACTTAATTTTCTTGAATTTTGTTGTTTTGCAACAGCTGTTATTATTTGTGCTAATTGTTATTTTTGTTTTTATGATTACAGATTTTTAATCAGTAATTATAATTATTTTAGATCGTTCTTATTTAGTTGTTATTGAGTGGCATTAATTAATACTAATTTGTTCCCGCACTTATGTCACGATTTTCAAAGGTTATACGCCGTTGCTAAGTTACTACTGCTGTTAGTGAAAGCAGAAATACTATTAGCATTCATTGATGATTAATAATTCTTGTCACTTAATCTTGATTATTAACTATTATTAATTTTTTTTTGCAGATATAAAAATTTTGCAAATAATTAATTTACAGGTTGCAACTTCCACTTCGGACAAAGCCTGTACCGGAAACTCGTTGCCCTGGGACACGGGCCTATTTATACAGAGTTCAACATTTCCTGTCGCATCGTGCCGGTACAGGATGTAGAACGAGCGCTTATTGAACTCCTGGACGCGCCATTTTTCCGTTCAAACACAACGATGTGTTAATCGAGTACTTGAAAACAACATACGTCGGCGAAACAACAACTATGTTTCGAGTAACCGGTTGTCGCATTAAAAGGCCTCTGTATCCTGTTGAATTTTGGAGCTGTGTGGATAGACTTGAGAGGGATATTCACCGTACGACCAATCGCCTAGAAGCTTGGCATCGCACGTTTTCTGATGTCGTTAATAAAGACCATCCCGGCATTTATCAATTTTTCAACCTACTGTGTCGGGAAATTGTTCACCAGCAAACAGAGGCAGCTTCACGCATGGCAGGTGAAATTCTAAACAAAGGAAGCAATACCTGGAGGTCACCAAGCGGCTAAAAACGTTGCATCCAACTACGGGCAAATCGATACGATCAGCTATTTGAGATCGGTTGCCATTAATCTCGAAATCATGTTGTAAGGTTTTCATGGTCAAACTGCAGCGTAGCAGCTTGTCTTATAATTCGGACTTCATATATATTTTGAGTTTTGCATTTCCGCCGAATTTAGTGTTAGAAGTAATCGCTTTTCGATACGTTCCTGCTAATATATTTTGAGTTTTGCATTTCAGCCGCATTTGGTGTTAGAAGTACATGTAATCGCCTTTCGATACGTTCCTGCTAATTATTTTACCTTGCATGGCAAACGGTCAGTTAGGGTGGAATGGGGAAATATTTGTAAATATTTTTCTGTTCTTGTTGTAATACTACAACGTGTGAATGTGCTGCAGTACGTATGTATTTATTGTACATTTAAAATAAAAATGCATGTAAAATGTGCTGCTTTGGCCAGCCAAGAGTGCCATATGCCAATTGTCCTGTAGACTAAGGCGCTAAACGTAAAGTACTGTAGGCTAAATATCCTGTAGGCTGTTGGCGAAATGTCTGGTTGGCGAAATGTCCGGTTGGCGAAATGTCCGGTTGGCGAAATGGGTGGTAGCCCGGTATTAGAGCCCTGCACGAGCCGAGCCGCTCGGCTCGGCTCACGAGCGCTCGGCGCTCGCGAGCACTTCGAGCGAGCAGGCGTCGTTTTGCGAATTTGCGAACGAGCTGAGCAATAGAAAAAAAATTGCGAACGAGCCGAGCGAGCAGGATGGTCGGGTGCGAGCAATCGCGAGCCTACAGGCTGACATTGTGCGAACTGGAGAAGTTTCTAGTACTAAATTACAATGACCGACCTGAAAACGATCTTAAACCACCGTCACCTTCGCGCTTCGCGCGAAGTGATTTTCAGTACCAACTTTTCTAGACCGGTTGGGACTCCGGACTAACTTTTGATATTTTGTACTCGTAGCCAACAAAAACATTATTTGACGGGTTTATGAACCAGTTGAATGCTTCCTAAGAAAGGCGCATTTTAATTTTCGAGCATGCATTCTATTATACGTATTTATTTCAGGCTGAATTACGAAAACTACATCCAGTTGAAAATTAGAGAAATGTATTAGCGAAAAAATGGAAAACTGTGATGAAATGGACTACCAGTATGGAGATATAAGTGATTGTCTCTGAACATCCAATTACACTTACTGAGTTTTTGTGTTGGTGAAAAGTTTGGTATAATTAATTCGTGCAAAAATGTTGATACGTAAATTTTTGCCGATCTCACGAGCGAGCCGATTTGCCAAAATAAAATTACGAGCGAGTTGAGCGAGCGGAAGCAAAGAAAAATTTGAAAACGAGCGAGTTGCGCGAGCGGCGGTTTGGGCGCGAGCGAGCTGAGCGAGCAGGAAGTTTAAAAAAGCAGAAACGAGCGAGTTGAGCAGCACTTTTGCTGCTCGTGCAGGGCTCTACCCGGTATCCTGTCCGTATTTGCGTACAGCTTAGTGCTGCATGCTCTTCGTTCCCTGGAATTTAGGCACATTAGGCTGCGATTCGCTTTGGCCTGTATTTTTATCGTTTGCCGCAATCGGTTCATGGATCATTTTCTCCAGTTGTTAGCTTGTGCACGAACTGCATGGTCTGCACTCTGCGACTGCAAAACGCGATCGCTAAGAAAATTAATACCTTACAATCAGATTGAGATGCACTTCGTAACTGGCTTATCCGCAATTGCTTTGCCAGCTACTCGAGGAGATGATCCATCAGTGCGTCGCATTACCTGGGATATGTTATTGATTTGCCCCTTCCGCTTCTTTCTTCGTGGGTGTACGCCGCATTGAGTTCGCTAAATTAAACATGTGAGATTGAGCATGGATTACTAAATTATACTGAACTTAACAGACGTTTTACTTTTGTCTAACGTCTTCGTCTAGCAGCTAGTGCTTACTTTAGTGTTAATAACATTAATTTTTGACAGTTTTTGCATGGTAAATTATTTCAGAAAGTAAGCGTGCACGTGAAATAATAAACACCTGTAGGTGATGTGGACAGATAAATTATGCAATTAATTACTGAATCGTTACCACTTGCACAGATTGACAGCATTGATAAAATGCCGGCGGCTTTGGATAAATTGAATGCCGTGGATTCTGAAGTGAAGGAACTCCGTAAAGAAATCGAGCAGTGTTAGTACTAAATTTTTTCGTTCCATTGCTGAAAATTGTAGAAGTGACGATCGTACTGGAACGCATAATTGTAGTATCGAAACATGTGATTGGAGCACTTGGCAAACTGGAAGCCCGACTGAACGGCCTGTCCCTTGCTCCTGCCTCTGGTGCTACCCAGGATTCCACACACGCTAAAAAAGTGGCTGGGGATGCCGACAAAAAGGAAACAACCGAAAAGAAAGATAACGATGACATCGACTTGTTCGGCTCTGATGAAGAGGAGGTATGATATTTTAGCGGCATTGTAAAGAAACACAACAAAAGCACTTTTGTGTATGTAGTTAGAAATTTTTAATTATTCGCTGATTCCGAACATTGCCGGTGACAGTTCTGATTTAGGTTCATATGTGCTTTCTAGGAAGATCCCGAAGCTATCAAGCGTCGAGAGGAACGTCTTGCCGCGTACGAAGCGAAAAAGGCAAAGAAGCCTGCTTTGATCGCCAAATCTATGATCATTCTGGATGTTAAACCTTGGGATGACGAAACTGATGTGAAAGAAATGGAAACCAAGGTACCCGTATTCTTTTCGACGTTTGTCGGTTAAAATTCACTTGCATGGTTTCCTCCGTGTTCAACAACAATGGTTATACTACGGTTACAAATTCCAAAAACAACCAAAATCATTCCCTTCCCCAAATGTACTTCTGCCCGGCAAAGTGCCTAAAACTGCATAATAAATTGTTATCGTATTGTGTCCATACTCGTACTGGAGGTTGACTGAAACAACTAGGGTAGCAGCAGATGTACAGAGTACTCGTACTGCAGACTTGATACTATACAGGCTAATACAGCATATCAAGTTTTGCATGGCTGTATCCTTTTGTTCCAGATTTATTCCACATTACACTTTTTAAATTCCTTTAACAACTTGAAAGGATAACACCAAGTTCACAACACAACACCGTCAAACAATACATCTTACAACGGATAACATGCAACAAAGCTAGTTCGAAGATGCTTCAACGCCAAAATTAAACCTTTGAACATTGCGTACAAAAATACCCAGCTGCTATTTTAAATACACAAAAATACTTCTACAAGACATGGTAAAATGTCAGTGAAGAGCTGCAATCAACATTAGAGAAAAAACTGCAAAAAGCTGCCAACAGGCTATCTTAACAATATTCGAAAAACTGCAGGGGCAACAAACGAAGCAAACAAATAGCAAAATATCAAAACAACTTTTATTCACATGGAATGGCCCATAATCGATGAGAAAAAGATATCAACCGGAATCATACAGTTTATTTATTAAATAGACTAAAGCGTTTAAATTTCGAATCTCTTGTCTTGTAGAGCGTGCACGGAATTTCAAAGGGGAATTCTGTTTTAATCATCATTTGAGTGGCCTTCCGGAATCTACACCCAGGTTATATCTGTATAGCTTGAGTTAGCGTTGTCGGTATGACCCAAAACACTTTCCAGATCATTGAAAATATAATCCGTAAATTCGTCCTGCGAATGAACACCAGAAGGAACATTATCACATGCACACCGCATAGCATACGATAATACCTACCGGACCACAATCCATGGCGGAAGTCTGTTGGGGTGGTAAAGCTGGGGCAGTAGCTGCTCCGCCTGAGGTAACATTCATCGCATTGACATCCCATCCCTCATTGTACAGCGATAATTCGTCCATGGTCTGAGCAAGATAGTTTTCCGGTGTTCTGGGGGTACTGGCACTGAATCCTGAATCACCGCTTTCTTGGCGGCCGTGATAACCGCCCAGGAAAGGATCAGTCTGTCGCATACTAGCCACTGGAGACATTGGAGAGCCGATATCGTAATCTCCGGGAGTACGTCGCATACTGGCGTCCTAATTAGAACATCCTTATACACAGCCACATTTATCGATTAACTGTTGCATATTCGTTAAAAAGATGTCGAAAAGGTAGTAGTTACAGTACAGTATTAAAACACGTACAATACGTACTGTCCATCAGCAAACTCCGTTAATGATTATAACGTGCCGTATTTGTTATAGTTACAACCAGCGTGCGACAATGGTTAAATAAAAATTTCTTGTTCAAATGCATACCCGTAGTTGGATCTCATTATTATGTTAAATACTGTATAATAAGAAAATCCTTGCAATGATATCAAGTTTTCAGCAAGCTTACCGTCGGAGATTGTAAAGGATGACCCATCTGCAGATGCATATTCATCTGCTGTTGTTTATGTAACTGCTGCAATCGAACATGGCAAAAATTAAATGCGAAGTTTTCAGGCCGTTCAACATCAAAAGACAACTACATAATTATACAGATACTACCAGCATAGAGATAAACCAAGTCAGTACAAACAGGAATTGTTACAAAATAAGTAAAATACAATGTATAAAATTAAAAACTAGAATTATTAGAAGAAACGATGCATTTTTCATAATAAACTTGTATCTCTAGATAGCAATCAATAAAAAAGAAAATCCAGTGTATCATGGAAAATCCGAATTATTAATATACCGTACGTAATATTGTACTGTAAAAATCAACAGCGACAGCGCAAGTAAGACTGAAAAGCTGCTATGAAACTGATAAACAAAAACCAAAATAAGCTAGTAGCACGCATTTTCCATTTCCAGTTAGTTACTGACACTTGACTGTTAATAACATACTCTGTAGTGTCTGTACCTGCTGTTGAATTTCTCTTCGACGCATTTTCAACATTTCACGCTCCATCTCCAGCTCCGTGGTGTAAAGCGTGTGTCCTTGCTGTGGCAATACAGCCGTCTGAGACGGACTTTGTTGCTGAACGTGATGGGAAAGGCTCAGGCCAGCTGCTCCGGCACTCGGTTGCGAATATGCACTGTTAGTAAATGAACTGGATAAAAAATTCATGCGCTGATTATGGCCCGGAATCGCATTAGCATTCACAGATTGGGAAAACGAATGCTGTGGTGAGTGCACCGGTTGGTTGCTGCTGATCGGTCGCGCATTAGTCGCTCCAGAAAACATTCCATTTTGCGCAAAACCATTTTGCTGCGATAAGGTTTGACCTCGCTGCTGTCGATTATAGACAGAAGACTTCTGAACCTCCTCAGCTGCAAAACAAAGAGTCAGTAAATTCACACCGCAGTTCGCCTTCCATTATACAATTCAATATTAGCAGTTTTAAAATTATATTAATGGAATGGTAACGAGAACACTACAATATGCTAATTTCTTATAACTTAATTTTTTGTATACTTAATTCATATTTACAGCTGAACGCCTCATGCAAGATGCGCATAACGTATATGTACAGTAGCGGGAAAATGCCGCCCGTTAACCGCACAGGTATACCGACACCTGATTCCTAATGCCTTCTATCAGTAATTTTTCTTGTTTTAATTTTCTACGTTATCTATGCGCAAGCCATGCGCATTTCACTTCTTGGTAAGCATTGCCAAATTATTAACCGAACAATACATTAGTGTTTCCCATACCCCGCGATCAACGGCAAACTTACGTAAACGCGGATCAAACCAGCTTGTCGTTTTCGTAGTGTGATCAACAAAATAAGTTTCGCCATGGTCGTCTTTCAACTCCGCCCAGCCGTCTGGAAGAGGTCCAAATAACTGGTCGCGAATACGTGGTCCATCGGGTACCACTTCCGATGTGTATTTACTGCAACAAGCACAATTGGCGGTAAGTTTTTAAACAAAAAAATCAGCACGGCACTTCACAAAGCGATATTTGCAGATATCTGCACGTCGGAAGTGTGTAAAAATGTGCGTAGTTGGCTCACTTTTGAAATATGATCCGTCCATCCGGTAGATTACTGGGAAAGTACTGGGGCTGGGAATGCGGTACGGGGACACTTTTCTGCCGGAAGTGATTATTAACCGGAGTAGCAACCTGTGGAAGAGGTGGGCGTGCTTGGCTGACGGAAGAACTAGAAGACTGCGGAGGAAGAGATAAAGTCTGTGTAATAGATGCCGGGGATGAGTGAGATCGCATATGCACACCTGCGTAAAATGAAATAAAGCTACAGCATTATTTCTGACTTCGCTTCTGTCTCCAGCACTAGCGTAGCCTACAGGCTACAGCGGTGCATTTGCTTAGCTAATGATGCACAACACTTCCGTCAAGGTATATCTTGCTTCCGTTGTGAGCTTATGCAGATTGTCACAAGTGGCAATATCGCACAAAAGAATAATTATTTAGATAGAATAATTATAGTAATACTTATGTGAAATTTATCGTAGGTCTTCTAACCGCGAAACTAACCGTATTTATAGCTCTGTATTCGCTAAACAATAAGTAATCTATAACAGCACTGTGAAATATTGGTATTTACAACTGACTAAGGATTCACAAAATACAAACATTCACTATTTTAAGAAGTTAGACTTTAGTACTTACATGGCTGAGGATTGAGTGGTTTGTCCGTTTTGGGCTGAATGAAAAAGCTAGCAGGCAGATTTCGCGCACGTAAAGGCACTGTGTTTTGAATTTTGGGATTCTGCACTCCCGCTTTGAATAATTCATCTAATATGCCATTTGAATCCTCGCGGATATGAATAACCTGATTAGGACCCTCGTGGCGGGTGATAATGTGTGATCCACTCCCTTCTTCCGCCATGATGTAACGATATTAGACAAGCCTGCAGTAGTTTGTGCAAAAAGATTAAAATTTCCGTCAATTCGGTCAGCAACATAAACGGTACTAGCAATAAGTACTAAAATCCACCAAGCAGCTAATAGTTACAACAATAATAACTTAAACAAAATATTGTGTTAATTTCTAATTGTCACAGAAATTTACCCGCAATTAATCACCCGCGACAGGAAGTACAATGTAGTAATCGGATCAGTATGTGCAAATTAAACAAGTGCAACAAGTGATTTGGTGTAACAAGTGCCCGTTACAATCCCCCATCATGCGCTGCACGCACTCCCCTTATTCTCAGGATTTCACTACACTCACATCAGTTCATCTTGGCACTGACTAGTGGCTAGCCTGGCTACCGCGACTGCTAAACCCTAGCAGTCTCAATAATCTTACACCAAGAAAGCCATAATTGCTGGGAGGTAAAAGGTCTTTCTCTTGGCAAATAGTCAGATAATTTGACTCCTTACCTCTGGTTCTGCCTGTCTCGCTTTCTTCCTCTCACTTGTCCTCGTCTCTCCAGTGCAGTCAAACTCGCATGCGATCAGGGATTACCGACTACGCCACTACGGCAGCTTTCGTAGTCCAGTTCCAGTCATATACAACCAGCAGAGAGTATCAGTGCTGGCATGCCTGAGAAAGTAAATTCAGCTTCGATGTCAACACCGAGGTCAGGAAACAAGATTCATGCTGCTCGCTAACAGAATATTTACAGCCAGATTGCTTGGTATAATTTCCAGTGCATAATAAGACGGACTTCCCCAACAACAAAACAAAATTCAGATCACGGTATTGGGGAGGTAACTTCAGCAAATAACAGTTCAGCATCCATGAAAGATCATGGCTGATAACGGAACACCAGATAACCGTAAATCCATAACCATTACATTTTGTTCCAGTCGTGATTAACAGGTGGAAATTAGCGAAAGAACTCCAAACCGCTGTTAAACTATAACCATTACGAAATTACAGCAGTGGTGTTATGACTGTTATCCCGCCAAAAGTTTACTAGCCTTCACTTTTTTTAAAAGCGCGAACTGGGATTTCTCAATTAACAATTGCTCGGTGAAGGCTCATAACAATTTTATGATTTTTACCAACGAAACCGTATTCTTGCTCTACCAAGCAGATTAATTTTCGTAAAGGCTTGATATAAACCAACAGTGAGCAACAGGTCCGTACTCCGCACAGTGGTACGGTACTTATAACTTATGAGATGAGAACTCACGTCAGAACTGATTATTATTGTGAAAAGTGCAATGCGATTTCGGTGCTGCTTCCCACGTGGCTCTCTGGCTAGCTCAACCGTAAACCACCGCTTAAAACACGTACGAAGTACTTGCTTTACTGATTGTGAAGTTTACTCGTAAGGAACGGTACTTTTATTAATAATTCATATTAATATGAAGTTGCTCTAAAAGAACTAGTACAGCGGTGTATAGTTTTACTGCTAGAAATGTATAATATTGTACCTACAATTTCCTGCTTGAATAATATAAAATCAGAATTTTTGTAAGTACATAAAAATTAAAAATACATGTCTCTTTCATTAATACTGTGTTTTGACAAGTTTAAGTGCTACTGTACTTTAACATACACAATATTAAACGCGCAGTGTGTTCAATGTTCTCGTACAAAGTAGATAGTACGTTTTGATTAACTTGTAATTAGTAATTAGGTACGACTGCATCAGTTTTTAAAAATGAAGACGTGCTGTTCAATATATAATAATTACTCAATTATCAAATAATTACAAAAATAGGGTAGTAAAATTTATGTCAATATCAGCAAAACGCCCAGTCTGTAGGCAAAACCCAGATGACAAACTTATCTCTGTTCTATTCTAGTTCCGTGTTACACTGGAAATATAGATAGTATTTAATTGTACCGTGTACAAAACACATACATACTAGTAATTAACTAAAAATATAAGCACTTTTATCATAACTTTTTTTTATTAAGATTTTACGATTTTGTCATCATCGTTTCCATCGTCTGGGTACAAACAATGGATTTTGTTTTGAACTGCTTTGTTTGAAATCTCACTGGAATTTATCATAATTATTATCATACACCGTACAATACATAACGTACTAGTGCATACAGTACTATGTACCAGTAGAAGGCTTTAAATTTTAGTAAGTTAGTGGTGAAAGTTTACTGTATAAGTTTTAATCGACATTAAAAACAATTCACAACCGTACCGTCCTGCTTGAAGTTCCAGTTCCAACAGGCTAAAAACTGACAAAAAGCAATTTGGTCAACGCTTGCTGACATTACAATGCAGCACACTACTACACGTAATACCACTTATACAATACTATATAATTAATTTTAAAAGATACAAATACAAGCAATCTTTTTAGGTTAAGTGTCAGCCAGCATTCCGAGACTCTAGGGCTTGCTCACGGACGGCAAGCCGAAATGAGTTCAATTCCCAATCGGATACAAAAAAACAAGAATAACTAGACAAAGCCTGGACTGCGCCGTAACATTACTAAGAGTCAAGAAATACTTGCAGCTTGTTTACGTATTCTTCATCGTTCATGTCGTCCTGCTGGCCCATGGGCCAACGCTCCATCGTTGCTTGAAAGTCGGCCCACATCTTCTCCTCAGGATACACCCAATTCCCAGCTTCCGCAAAATAATCTGGTTCGCGCCCCATCTCGGGGATGTGTGAAAACTCTTCGGGATGCTTGTCAAGGAGTTCCTTAATACTGGCCAGCAGTTTTTTTCTGCGTTCGCATGCGTCACTCTGTTTCGGCAGTTTCACGCTGTTGGACAAGTCGGATGCGGCAGCAGATGCCTGGGAGGATTTCAGACCTAGAGTATGTTTTATGTAATCATCTCTATATAATTATCACAACCTTTCAAAACAGCTCAGATCAAATAGCGCGATATCTGGACTTGATACCTTTTGAGGAAGTCCCAGAACTACGCGCGACGGCAGACCGATCAGAATGAGGCTCAACGACTGCGTCTTGCAATTTGTGTCGTTGGGCCAACGATGGCTTTCCATAGCCGCTGCTCCAGCTGGAAGGCTGTTTCTGACCACTGTTCTGGAGCATCCGAGGACGAGGTTCCTTTCCGTTCAGACCCTTGGCCTGTGGCATCTTGAATACGGGATCAGGGCCACTGGAGACCGAGGAAGGAGTGTTCATCTCTACAGCAACGCGAGATAACAGCAGCAACGTACACTACCATCTGATGCGTGAATCGAACTGACGGTGAGAAATCATTGATCGAAGACCATGAGTACTGTACCTGTCAATGTGTCAGCGTCGCGAAAAATGGGAAAAGAAGCCATTGTGCCGTTCAGTCTTCCTGCGACAGCGGAGTCGTTATGAACTTTCAAACACCTATTGTAAGTATTGTTAAATTAATGTTTTCACCACTCAAAGGTTCGCAAAATATCGGCAAATGTAAAGGTTATCGCTTGTTTCCCGTCCACAAAATTTTCTTCCACATAATAATGATAACAGCCTCAAGCCTGTGAGATTTGAGAGCCTGTAAGATTTAAGAATCAAAAGAAATTTCGGGATCAGGTCTTGGATAACAAATGTCGCGAGTGAGTGCTAACAAACAAAATCTTGAACGTGTGGGCACTGTGGGCATGCAGATAGCCGTATGGTTGGGCGGTCGAGTCAAGATACCAATAGCAGGACAGGACACCATACCGGAAAAGAATATTAAAATTGTGATGCCTGATCTGAGTGGTACGTATTTCTGTCTTTTGAACTTTTCTGTCTTTTCGTTTGATTTATCTAGACTTCATCACTGTTTGTTTATTTTCGAAGTTTAAATAATTGTTAGGTAAGTACTATACATAATAATTAATGATAATAATACTGTGTTTCTACACCAAAATGCTGCACCACTATTTCTTTGTTTGCATGACATGGCTCTCTTTGCATTCTATTGCTATGGTGTGCTTTTGGTTTGGTTTAGCGATTTTGTTTTCTGTGCAGGCTTGCCATTCGGAAAACCGGAAACCCATCTTTACCATGTCCAAGGTGCCATCGTTTTTGAGTGCATCGGGAAAAATCCATCGCAACTGCATCTCCGGCGTTTATCCAGCATCGAAAACAGAAAGGCAGACAGTCTCTGAAGAGAAAGTAAAATGGAATTCCCCTTTTCCGGACTATAATCCTCCAAATTATACTTCCGACAAGCTAAAAAAAGCTCCCTACGCGGATCCTGAAATTGGGTAAGCCTTTAAAGCCTTAAGATTGCCTTTAAAGAAGTGTACAGCAATCGTTAAGCAGCCATGAAGTGGTCAGGCGTATTGCATCTGTGAATTTAGTTAACGTTATTTTTGTTTGTCATTTCATTGTCATTCATGTGTTATAGCGTAATAAGATTTTCTTCAGTCAAGTATTTCACCTTCTGCCCATTGGGGCTTTTTGTGCTTTGATTTTTTTGCACTTGATTTTTTGGTACGCTTGGAATTTTTGAATTTTTTCCGAACTGGATTCCAGACTTCGAATTTCCAAACTTCAATTATTTCATACATCTGTGGTTTAGTGACAAGGAATTCCAGCCTCGCTGGAATGCACAAGACGGTCTAATTAACCGGAAAAGCCACGAAGGCGATTATTTGGTTGTTGATGAATATCCACAGAATCCAGTGGGCAGAACAGGCTTGCGAGGGCGTGGGAAGCTTGGCCGATGGGGACCAAATCATGCCGGTGATCCCATTGTGACACGGTATGACTAGTCTTACCAAGCTGTTGCGTTTTCTTAGAAAGTATGTAATTTTGAGTGTGCATGCCAAAATAAAAACGGAACAGAGTTTTGCATCTATTGGTGTGCATATTAAAATTCACTGCAGCAGGGCTGAAATGTCTGATGTTTTTATTTTAGCGCTCTCTTACGTTTGATTTACAGGGTTGGGTCGCCGAACTTGCAGATCATGTGGAATATTTGTTACATTCACAATTTCACAGTATGATGCATTAACTTTAAAGTTTGCCAACTTGGCCTTTGTAGGTGGAAATCGGACAAGCATGGAACCACTCATTCCGACAGCCAACGAGGAAAGCGTATTTTGCAGTTTGTGTCGATACAGAGAGGTGACAGTGGAGAATGGGCTTTTCCCGGTGTACGTCTGCTGAATTTGTTGAGTGAATTTTTTGTATTCATAGCATTCATTTCTTTGCTGTTGACCTGGGTTGTTCAAGATGTGTGGAATTTCAGGGTATGGTAGATCCAGGTGAGAACGTGGAGGAGACAATCAGACGGGAATTCAAGGAGGAGTGTATGGACTCGGAACAGCTGACGGAGGATGAAAAGTCAACCAATAAAAACTTGGTGGAACAGTTTTTCAAAAATGGGCACGAGGTAAAAAACTGCGGGTGGGGCGATGAGTTTAAAGAGTACGAGATGTTGTAACACTGATTTCATTCATTATTGTTCCGTAATTAGTTTTATTGGGCTGTAAAATTTCGCTCCAGTGACTGATGAGTGTCACGGGAATTTCAGAAAGGTTTTTAAACACAGCACTATGGAAAAATACAATAGTTTTATGTTGCGTATTTGTGGTTAATAGGTTTATCGTGGTTATGTTGACGACCCAAGGAATACGGACAATGCGTGGATAGAAACTGTAGCTGTTAACTACCATGATGAAACTGGTTCAAATTTGGGAACTCTAACTCTGAAAGCTGGTAGTGATGCAAAAAATGTACAGTGGAAAGACGCGACTGCGGATCTCAAGCTGCATGCAAACCACTCAGAAATTCTGCAGAAAGTGGTAGAGCGACTTGGGGCGCAGTGGTGAAAAATTTTTTGCGCATACCGGATGGGTTATTTTTTTGTGATCGATAGTTCGAAAAGTTTTTAGCATCTCGGCAGTGATGACACCGATGCGCTTTTTTTGGCTTTTCCTGTTGTTAATTTGGAGATTTTACAATAACGGCTGGTTTAACTCTGTGGTTATTACTCCATCTGATATTTTATTTCGATACCTGCCTATAGGCTATTCGTAACGGGAAAGTTTTATGGGGTTTTCATGAGTAAATTTAATGATGCTACAATATTGTTTCGTCTGTAGTTGTACTGTGAATACTACCGCATCTCCACATTATATCTATATTTGGATTGTCCATCGAATTTGCATAATACACAATTGATTTACAAGAACATACCCTAGCATGAGCACAGTTTTAGTACGGCATCATTATAGCCTGTATAGGTATTGTCATAATATTACTAAATACTGTTGTTAAAAAAACCGAGAAGTACCAGGACATCACCCACGATTACCTGTTCCGAGCGGTCGGCGTGGAGACAGTGGGGCCACTCGGACCGGAAGCCTCCCGGCTGATTAGCGAAGTGGGCAAAATAAAATGGCAGGAAACAGGCGAGAAACTTGCAACGGAGTTTTTTTTTTGCACCAGAGGTTCAGCATCGAAATTCAACGTGGAAACGCGGCATCCATCCTGGGAACGGCACCGGCCTCGGCTAATTTAGATCAAATGTTCTCTATAATCCGGCCGCATGTTTCTGCTGTTTGTTAATATTACGACGTGATGTTTCTTTTGTGAATTGTAATCTTGTCTTCGTATTCGATCAATAAAATGGAGCATATAAAAATACTGTTTAGTACTTAATATTTAGTTTAGTAATATTATGGTATTGTATATTCGTATGACCCGGTGTGTGTTCCAGGGTAATGTTGTATTAAATAATTTTCCAAACATGTGCTTAACGTGGTACGATAGATATTAAATACTTGGTAGTTTATGTTCTTTTTGTCTTATTCTCGAGTAGCCTTTCTCAACGTGTATAACTTATAAGCAAGTACGTAAATATCTATAACTCCACGCACTTGTAGAAGCATTTTTCATTTACAGTTTCCTTTAGGCTGCAAGCAAATTTGAAATCGGTTGCGTCTAATAGTCCAAAACCTGTTTACTGTAGAAGTAGAAGTACTGCTGCTGTCCTGATATATGGAGTTTAAAGTTCGGAATTCTTCGGCATTGCGTTCATATACGGCTAATTCGTTTGCAGCCTATAGTGTCACAACCAAACAGCAACGAGTGTAGAAGGTAGAAATGTGTGGTATTTGATGGCTCGTATACCATACGTATACATTGTAGTGATTGGCTTGGACTTTTTGAAGATATTACTTGATTTTCTGTAGAATTTTTAAAGCGCGCCAGTATCTGCTCCAGATTGACGTTCGTATTGCGATTTAATTGAACGAAGTCCTTGTTATTGACCTTGTAGATCCGAAGTAGTGAGAATCACAACTAATGTTTGGCGCCCTGGCTTTGTTTACAGTTCTACATATCTATATGTGGTGCTTGTAATGTTGCGTGGAACCCCATCAGATCTGTGAATGTTATATGTAGGGTTTCGAAGCGTTTGAAGTCTTTCGAGTATTCGACTGGAGCATAGAGGTTTTCTCTCTCGACTGCTTAACCGGGTCGTGAAGCAGAAAAGTTTCATAATGGCCGCCAATACATCTTCTTTGCCATCGCCAGGTTTTCTGGGCCGCGACTCACGTCAGTATGCCGACCTTATTAGAGAAATGCAGTCTCGCATTCTCATTATCGACGGCGCAATGGGAACCATGATACAACGGCACACTCTTTCGGAGCAGGACTTTAGGAATGCCGCATTGGCTGACCATCCAACGAATCTCAAAGGCAACAACGACCTGCTTTCCATTACGCGACCCGATATCATTTATGGAATACACCGAGAATATCTGCTCGCGGGTGCGGATATTGTGGAGACCAATACTTTCAGTGGGACAAAGATTGCGCAAGCCGATTACAAGTTGGAACATTTGGTTACTCGTTTAAACTTCGAATCGGCACATCTGGCGAGAAAAGCCTGCGATGATGTGGAAAAAGAGTCTGGGAAAAGGCGGTTTGTCGCTGGCGCTATCGGTAAAGATTTCCTATATACCGATACACTGCCATACAGTGTTCGTGCTTCAAAACTGTATTAACTTCCAATGTGTCCAAACATGCCCAGCAGCACTTTTGATTTTTGAGAAATATATGGTGCATGAAAACCTATGTGTAATTGTGACTTACGAGCACATTACATACTGATATATGATATTCATACAATGATACATGATATTCATACACGTTAATACGCTATTTTCATTTTTAAACATTTTTTGTCTTACAATTAGGTCCAACAAATCGAACACTTTCTATCAGCCCGTCCGTGGAGAAACCGGAATATCGCAATATAACTTATGACGAACTGGAAGATGCTTATAAGGAGCAGGCTAAAGCTTTGTATGATGGCGGAGCGGATTTATTTCTTGTTGAAACCATTTTCGACACCGCCAACGCACGAACGGCTCTTTATGCCATCCAGAAGCTGTTTGCGGACGGCTACAAACCCATACCTGTATTCGTTTCGGGTGCGTGAACGTTGCAACGGTACTTCTACGGAGTCTGTAATGCCGGCATTTAATAAGGCGTAAGAATCGTATCGCTGATTGCCTGAAGTCAAGTCGGTTACCGGCGCAAAAACTGCAAAAATCGCCGGTGCCGGAAGCTTGCGGCGGCTGAAGTGGTTTATAATTTGTAGTCGTATGTCTAGGAGTGTGTATGGAAGCTATGTACTTACTTCATTCTATAAACATGGCAAATATTACGCTATCAACAAAAGTTTTATTATATTTTAGTTATTTTTGTTAGTCCCATTTTGTTACTACAGCTTGCTTAGACTTTTGAAGTTCGTGAAATGTGATCTAAAATATATTCAAATCAAAGTCAAAGTTTTGAAATTTTGGTAAGCAGCACGCACAAAGTTCTTGAAGAAAAAACAAAAAAGCATTGTTCGTTAATTCAAACAGGACGAATCAATATTTAAAAAATTTTCCGACGACTGAGAATTGAACTCAGGACCTGACGGTACCTACAGATGAGATAGCAATCAACCTACAGCCGTCCGCTCTGCCAACTGAGCTATCGTCGGTTTCTTAAAGTTAGTTTGTTTATCTGTCGACGCATTTGCATTTTCAGGTACAATTGTTGACAAGAGCGGTCGTACTCTAAGTGGTCAAACAGCTGAGGCCTTCGTCATCAGCACCAGTCATGCGAATCCGTTATGCATTGGTCTCAACTGTGCACTGGGCGCCGCGGAGATGCGTCCTTTTATCGAGGACATCAGTCGAACGACATCTTCCTACGTTATTTGTTATCCGAATGCCGGACTGCCCAATACATTTGGCGGTTATGACGAGACCCCGGAAAAGATGGCGCAAGATATTGCCGGCTTTGCAAAAGACGGCTTCGTGAATGTTGTCGGCGGATGTTGCGGTACAACACCGGATCATATCCGCGCCATTGCAAATGCAGTATCGGGAATAGCGCCACGTGTTCCAACAAATGAGTTTCAGCAAGGCTTCTTGTTGCTGAGTGGTCTTGAACCGGCACGGATTGGTCAGAATACGTTGTTTGTCAACATTGGTGAACGTTGCAATGTAGCTGGATCTAAGCGATTTTTGAAACTTATAAAAGATAATAAGTTTGAAGAAGCACTGGATGTGGCAAAGAAGCAAGTGGAAAGCGGCGCGCAAGTGTTAGATATAAATATGGACGAAGGAATGATCGATGGAAAAGCGGTAATGATACAATTGTTAGCGTTAGTTGTTGAAATTTGCAACTGTAGTAATGAACTTCATCTTCGTTTTAGGCTATGACAAAGTTTTTAAATTTAATCAGCGGAGAACCCGATGTAGCCAAAGTACCGCTGTGTATTGATTCCTCCAACTTCGAAGTAATTCTTGCTGGTTTAAAATGCACGCAAGGCAAACCGATTGTGAACAGCATAAGTCTCAAAGAAGGACCGGAAGATTTCTTGCACAAGGCCAGCATTATTAAAGGCATGGGAGCAGCCGTGATTATTATGGCTTTTGACGAACAAGGTAAGCACAAGGAAGTTGTTTTGTGCCCTTTCATAAAATATCCGTAACCTGCTGCGTTGTGTTTCGATTGTATTCGCCTAGTGAAAAACTGCCGAACTTTGATACTACAGTAACATGTTTGAAAGACTTTACTGTTCAAGTAAATACGGACAGTGTCGCCGTTTTTATTGATATTCGGGTTTTTTGTTCTTTGTAGGTCAAGCAGCCGAAACTGATCGCAAAGTAGAAATCTGCACTCGTGCTTATAATCTTTTACGGGAAAAATTGGACTTCAATCCAAACGATATCATTTTTGATCCGAATATTTTGACGATTGCCACGGGCATGGACGAACACGCCAATTACGGCCGTTACTTCATCGAGGCCACAAAAATCATCAAACAGACCCTTCCGGGAGCGCGCGTCAGTGGTGGCGTATCTAACCTGTCGTTTTCTTTTCGCGGCAACGACGTCGTCCGCGAAGCCATTCACTCGGTATTCCTGTATCATGCGATTCGTGCGGGAATGGATATGGGTATCGTGAATGCCGGTGCTCTACCGATCTACAGTGAAATTGACCCGAAACTCCTGCAATTATGCGAAGATTTGTTATGGAATCGAGATCCGCTTGCCACGGAAAAAATGTTAGCTTTTGCTCAAGGATTGTCCAAAACTGGCGAGAAAACAGAAGATCAGGATTCGTGGCGGCAAATGCCGGTAGAACAGCGCCTGGAGCATGCGCTGGTAAAAGGCATTGATGCCTTTGTAGTCCAGGATACGGAAGAGTGTCGCCGCAGAAAAGATCTCTATCCGCGACCGCTGAACGTGATTGAAGGCCCTCTTATGAAGGGCATGTCCATTGTGGGTGACCTGTTTGGTGCCGGGAAAATGTTCTTGCCACAGGTGATCAAATCGGCGAGGGTCATGAAGAAAGCTGTCGCTCATTTAGTGCCGTTTATGGAAGAAGAGAGACAGGCAAAGATGAAATCACTGCTGGAAAAAGGTATCGATACAGAAGCGCACAGAATGTTCAGACTATGTTATATGCAATGATTGGTGATTATGCTAAAATGTGAAAGGTACTACTGGAGTGTACTAGTACTATTCATGTATGCTAGAGTGCTGCATTTGTTGGGGATATTAAATTAGTATTTTTAACGAATTTGAAGACAGCTATATTATAACGCAGTAAAAAAACCATGTTCAGTGAAAGTTGTGATACGTTAACCTTTTGATGATCTTACGCGCAGGTGTGGATAGTATGGAAAAGTTGTACCAAGGGACGATTGTGTTGGCCACAGTGAAAGGCGATGTACACGACATCGGGAAAAACATTGTGGGTGTCGTTTTGGGCTGTAACAATTTTAAAGTTATCGATTTGGGAGTGATGACCCCGGTGGAGAAAATTATTGAGATAGCCATAAAGGAGAAGGCGGATATTGTGGGAATGTCGGGACTGATTACTCCCAGCTTGGAAGAAATGGCCCACAATGCTTCGGAGTTCGAAAGACTGGGATTGAAAATTCCGATATTAATTGGCGGCGCCACGACCAGTAAAACGCATACGGCGGTTAAAATTGCTCCAAAGTATACGTCGCCAGTGATATACTGTGCCGATGCATCCCGCAGTGTTGTGGTGTGTAGTGCTCTACTGGATGAGAAGCAGCGGGATGATCTGGTTTTGGACGTGGGTGAAGAATACGAAGATTTGCGCGAGGAGCATTATGAGTCACTCGCAGATAAAAAGTATTTTTCGCTGCCGGAAGCTCGAAGCCACGCACCGAAGCTGGATTTTTCGTACATTAGTAAGCCTGATTTCATAGGAACGAAAGTCTTCACGGACTATCCTTTGGAACGCTTGGTTCCGGCCATTGATTGGAAACCATTTTTTGATATGTGGCAGCTGAGAGGAAAATTTCCAAATAAAGGCTTTCCGAATATTTTCAAAGATAAAGATGTGGGTGCCGAAGCGAAAAAGCTTTATGATGATGCTCAGATTCTACTGGATAAAATCGTTAATAAGAAAATTTTAAGAGCCAATGGTGTATTCGGAATTTTTCCTTGTAAACGAGAGGGAGACGATATTATCATCGGTGACAAGGAAACGATTGTGCTGAACACATTACGTCAGCAAGCCTATCGTGATGTCCATGACAAGTGCTTAAGTATTGCTGATTACATTGCACCCGCTGCGCTCAGTCTTAGTGATTACGTGGGAATCTTCGTGGTGTCGGCTGGGTTCGGTGTGGAGGAAGCGTGCAAAGATTTAGAATTCAATCTGGATGATTATGATTCTATTATGCTCAAGGCGCTGGCTGACCGGTTGGCGGAAGCCTTTGCGGAGGAATTACATTTACGAGTCCGCAAGGAATTCTGGGGTTATTCGGAGGAGGAAAATCTGAGTGTGTTGGATCTGCACAAGGTGAAGTATGCCGGGATCCGTCCGGCATTTGGTTATCCGTCGTTGCCGGATCCGACGGAAATGGCAAAGGCTTGGTCATTACTGGATGTGGAGGCGCAGACGGGAATTAAACTGACAGAATCGTATGCCATGCTTCCCGCTGCGACTGTCTCAGGGATTTATCTGGCACACCCGCACGCGAGTTATTTTAGCGTGGGTAAAGTAACCAAAGAGCAAGTTACGGATTATGCGGGACGTAAAGGTATCACAATTAAGGAAGCAGAAAAATGGCTGTCGGGAAATCTGTCGTATTCGTGACTTTACTCATTAATTTAGTTTTCGGATAATTATTCCGAAATATCTGAAGGTTGGTAACTGGAGATTAAGCGTGATTAATTAAGGGTTATTTGCTGTGTTATTAAGGTGGAGGGTTAATTGCTGTGTTCCGTTTTCTTTCAATGGACTAATTATTGGCCGGAAATCGCTTTATGAATTAAAAAAATTGTGACGGTCGGTGTCTTCCGAAAATTCTGTATAACATCCCAAATTGTTTCGCTTGTAATTAAAGGAATTTCTTTTCAGTGCGATATTGTGGAAGGCGCAGTTTACACTGCTGACATTTATAAAAATTGCACAGGTATTATTTTCCATACGGCAGTTAAATTCCAGTGCATCATAGTAACCTGTCACCTGAAGATCGACAGTTCATTTTTAAGCTTTCTGTTGCGCCTGTATTTATTTCCCTAATGCAGCACCGCATTGAATTTGCGAATGACACAATTACCGGAAATCAATCAATATTTAACGAGAATGCATGCAACTGCATTACGCTCTGTACATTGGTGATTAATCCATAAAGGAAATTCAAAAATGCTCACTTTTCTGGTCACGTCCACTCCAAATAATCACCAGTGCAATCATTAACAACCTGTCTCGTTCTCGATGTGCACGACTGTGACATTTCCCACCGTAGCCGGCTGCTGTGGAGACGATGCACTGGACAGGGAGCGATACAATCCGGCATCCGTTGAGCATAAGCTGGATTTTGCGCTGTGTTTGCGGGTAGACGTTTTGGCTTGTTGACCGGAAAATCCTGGGGACATTTTTTGCATATTCTTCAGCTTACGCTCCATTTTTACAGCTTCAATGTCAGCCTTGCAAGAAGTCCAGGATCCACCCCGACTGGAACGCACTACAAGCAGTAAAACCAACGAGCAGAAAATTGATAAAATCACCACCGTATTCAAGATGGAATCCCCTTCCTCATCCGAATTACTATTATAATCGTAGTCAGAATTGGTGGTATTGGTAATATTTAGTGACGGTATTTCGGGAAATGCATTGCGGACACACAGTGCTAATTTGGTCAATCGTTCCAGAAACCCGGCAGTCTCAGGATCAGGAGACAGAGTGACTGTATCGGATTCGAAAAATTCCTGCGATTTATCCATGTTGTACTGTTGATCAAGATTGATTTGGAAATATTGTTAGAATGCTGGGACTATTTACACTAAATGCCACCCAAGTGATGTTCATCAACGGAAATTGTGTTTTCAAATGTTTCTTGATGTCAAAGAGACTTCCGCTGGAAATGCCGGCAAAAATCAATCATAGTAATACGTACTGCACAAGAAGATAACCAGCAACAGCGGATGCGGTACGGTACATATATGATATATCTTCCTGGATTCGTGTTTGATGCGCTGGATGAAATACGGTTTGTGGAGTTAACTGTTTGTCTTGCCGGAAATGCAATCGGTGTATTACTTTCGGCTACTGCTGAGGCTGCAGCCAATCGTTGTAGTCCATGATAATCATCGGGTTATACATACGGAAACCAATTAAAAGATCAGTTTGATTTTAGATTCGAATTTGACATTCATATTGATTATGACCAAAGGCATTTATTTATGCCATAATCTAAGCTAGCTACTTAAGCAGCACTATTCGAAGGGCAGTGATTTTCTGGAGCCGTATGATCCGTAGGACCGTATCCATAGGCTATATAACAAATATCTAGATAACAAAACTAACTTAAAAAGTTTAATATCCGAAGGCTGGTGTAATTTCCGTGCGGTACGTAAAAAAAATTCGAAATACAAACGGTTATTAGGCACAAGCGTACGCTGTAACGCGACTGGAGTAGTGTATCAGACTGTCCAAATAACCTTAAAATATAAACATTTTGCTGTTGATCGCGTCGGTTTCATTACCAAGAGTTAATAAAACTATTTAAAGAGCAATATACTATATTACCTACTGAAGTTCGCAACAACCGGTACAATTCGACTATAAGTACCCTGTTACGTATACAAACTTAAAAGCTGAAGAACAAAAACGTGTTGCTATCTTGTAAAGCAGCTCATCCTCATAGACCAGCTCGCTCCTAGTACAATAATTGTTACGTTTTTCATGTATCATATGTGGTTTTTATCGTATTGTCTACCTTAACAAATCAAGCTTATCACAGTAACTAATTGTAGCTGCGGCATCACTAATTACTTTTAAAAGTAATTAGTGATGCTGCAGCTACAATAAATTTATTGTACAAATGCATACTGAAGTTATATAATACCAGAAAATAGATAGTAAAATTTGATGTCGAGAATTCATTAATTTTCTGTGACAAAGAATGTTCCTGTGCCCTTAATTGTGCTGGAAAAACACAATTTCTACCAAGCATTACCTACAATGTACAGTCTGCAAATCTGCGCCCCTGCTTTGAGAGTCACATACTGATGATAGATACTACAGTGTGATCTTCTTTCACTTAAAAAGCTGTTTTACGACATCTTGAATTTCTTATAGCAAAACGTTTCATACGTACTGCAGAAGAACTGGCGTGTTTATTGGCCAACTATTTGTAGCTCGAACAATAGTCACCTATTAAGAACTAATAATTTGATTTACTAATTAATGCCCGCCAATCAAAATTACGCCACAACGTTGTACAAGGAAAGTATAAAGGAAGTTATAGCACTAATTCATGGCAATCTGTACAAATTATAAGAAAGCAAAATACAAAAGAAATTCCTTTTAACTGTTTTGATGAGTAAATCTGGCTGAAATCAAGTGGCGGTAACTGTCCGGATGAGCGAAAATCAAGTGTTTCCGCAATTCTTCTAAAGTTTGGCCACAATGCTGTCGGCAGTGCTCTACCGGGCAAACAGTTATGAAAACTGGATTAGGATGCGAAGCTGAGTGATCGTGTAGGAAGTGCCGTTTTAGGTAATACATATCCCTGGCAGGAAATAATCTCTCGCTGCATCCCGCAACGGGACAGGGAAGCTTCTGTTTTCCAGCCTGTAATTTGCAAAACTGTATAGTCAGAAACAGTGTGTAATTTTATGAAATAACATCGGCATAATTTTTCTCGCAAGTTTTCTAGCGATATATACTAGTACTGTATTTACACGATATTAAGGGTCAGTGGAGCCTCCGAGTTTTTACGATTTTAAGGTTCAGAGGAATCCCCTGGCCTGCCCGCATATTCGTCGGCTCAATTGATGTTAAAGGAACCGGTAGCTAGTGTGGGAGGTCCAGGGGAATCCTCTGAACCTTAAAATCGTAAAAATTCGGGGGCTCCACTGACCCTTAATATCGTGTAAATACAGTACATTCACTGTATATAGACCAGTATCTGTGATAAATACGTAGTATGAAATCGCAAATACAAGTATATACTTAGTGTTACATTGGTATCTCCACTGTTTATTTACAAGGCATTCTTAATACGTATCGGATATTGACCGTTTAAATTAACGGTGAAGTTATATTACTAGTTTTTCAGATTTTGTGAATTGTATTACTAGCACATTGTGTTGCTCATTGTATTATAACAGTTTTAATACTTGTGACCTCTACTAGACATTGGTTATATGTCATGTGCTATACTCACATTGGGATCGCCGGGAACGAGAACACGTGTGCAAGTTGCACCTACAAGTCGAAGTAATTAATAGCTTCTTGAACATTATAACCCTTGTAAAGCGTTAAAAAAGAGCAGAGTGATATACAGGTGGTTTATTGTATACACGTAACAGTACAGTCCAACAACTACTGTAGCAGCTTGCAGTTTGGAAGCTGCATATGGCATGCCTAACTTTGCAAAAACCAAACACGGTCATCACTTTCTCTAACAATATAAATGACAACCTGTATAATTTCGCCGGTAATCGCTGCGTATCATTTAAGAAAAAAAGCGTTTACAAATGCGTGTCATTTAAGAAAAAGCAAGTAATGAATGCATCCAAAGTGGAATTTTAAAATTAGTAGTTGATTTGATGATTAAATTTTACCGTACCGGTATCAAGCGGAAGGATTTCACAAAACCACGCATTTGATGTGGATGCCGAGACGTTTGGCTGGTTTTCTTCGCTGACGCTAACTGCAACCTTTTTTCTCCCGGAATCATCGTGTGCGCATCAACATCGCTGACCGGAACGGAATTCGTGATATCTTGCAGAGAAACTTCCGCTTTAGCCATCACAACTCAGGAAAAATGATCCCAATTAAGAAACTTGTATTATGAGATTCAGGGAACTGCGCTTGCGAAACACCGTAAGCTGCCAGCAGAAGGTAACAGGGCAAATGATCACGGAAATATCGTCATCGTTTTCGCATCCAGCTGCAGCTTTGGGAGGAATACAACTGTGGATCTGGTTACTGCTGGTTTTGATGCTGTACATATCGGAATATCGCGAAACTAACATCCTCATGCGGGATATTTATACTCCATATAGGCATCCCTGTCCTAAATACAATACATCGCCAGATTAGTAATATGCAATGTAAGGATAAGAGGAACCTTTTGTAGTAACATTGCCAACAAATTATCGCTGATGACGAGCGAACATTGATCTTTTACAACCTTAAATCCCAGAGCAAGGAACGCGCAGTATAACATGCGTTCTACTAAATTGCTAGACAAACTGTTACTGTCGAATATCGCAAACTTTCAAGTTATCCTTGCAATAATATTTACTAGTAACATAAATACTACAAGTACATTGTACCATGCATCTATCGACTTAATGCTGATTGTGAGCTTACTGTTATGAAAAGTTACACATGCAGCAACAGGATCGGCGAACAAGAGACTGATAATTTGTTCTGCAAAAAGATCATTCTATCATCTGTATCAGCAGTCAACCGCAAATGAAATATAAGTACTTACCATAGCTACTGATTACAATATGTGCACAGACATCAGTCGTGTAATTCCAAAGCCGCAGTTAACCTGAATCGACAATTACCGACAAACCCCGTGAAGAACCGGTGTGACAGGCTTTTATTGCAAGTTAATTATTCACGGCGCGATAAGAACCTGCAACATAAAATTAACACGTTAAAATGGTACTCTGATTTCTCGCGCTACGCTGGTCTTGACGCTGCCTAGGGTTTTGCTAGCTCCGCTTAAATGATAATAGTGCTTTTGTGCAGAACGTGTCGACTTCATCAATTTTTAAGAACAGCGAATATTACCTAAGGTCATATTGACAATGCCTCGCAGTCGAACTGCAGTTTTATCAGCTGCAAAAAGTTACAAGTTTTTAAGCCAACACATCAGCTAAGCAAGTTACATACGGCAAAACATACTCCAAAATGTTTTTGAGTTACAGGCTCTTCCGTAACTCGATCGTAGGAATTAAATCCAGATTGCACTCAGCACAACAAAACCCGTATTACAGCCCTGTAGCAGCATACGCAAGGATAACACATTACAATTTACATAATCTCAAGGAAACTTATCCGTGCGCATAATTCTCCAGATTTGTATTAGCGAATGAAGATCAGTACTTCTTCATGCGCTACGGCATATTAATTTTATTTTCCTTTTGCTGCCGCACTCGCGAATGAACATGGATTCCGGCAGTGCTTACTGGTTAGTACGAGTATTTATCTGTCTCGCACGGAGGTAACGCCGAAGAGTAAGATAACGAAAACATCTGCAAAATTTGCAAAACACAAAAACAAATGTAGCACAATTTCTAACTACAGCTACGCAGTTGAGATAAACTTATACAATTAGGAGATGCAGATATCTGACAACATTAATACTTCTATTGCTAATAACATGAAGTTTTCTTGATGGGCAATAATAATTAGAATTATTTTTCAGCGCTGACGTTTTCCACCTGCAATGTATGCAAAATTCCATCTACCGCATCAGGATGTACAGTCTCGAATGCGGAAAAGGTTTACCCAGATCGATGCGCCATTTATACCTACTAGTTTCGCCAAGGTGAGCAGCATGCCGGCATGGACAACGATATATATCGATATGGACTCCACTTCAGTCAAGATGCTTTCGGGATTAAATGGTGCAAATAAGCTATATTTCGTAAGTAATAACTAACTGCCGTAGTTTAACTTCCGTATGTTTTAATAGACTGCCTAACAGTGCCTGTTGATCGAAATCAGTTCAATCAATCAATTCTTTTATTGTTAGCTTGATAGGCACTCACCTAGTAATAATTATAATTTACTGTTACTGAAATGTAATACCACAGTAATACTTGCATTACTCGCAGGTCCAAGGTTAATAATACCGTAATAATTCTTGCAAGTTATTTAACAACAAATAACACGTTCTTGTTTTTCCACATAATTTACGTACGAGTGTACCAATACGATATATATTCGGCGAATTCCACTCTTAAAGCAAAACTAAAATTTTAAATTACACATTAACTAAGTACTCTAAAGTGGGAAAGCAATTTTTGCAACATACGTTGCCAGCCCGTCTTAAGAACTCTCTCGCGTAGCATCACGGCATCATTCATATCTAGTAAAACTTTAATTCAAATCATGGATGAAGCTGGAAAGCCAGACAAAGTCCAAGGCAACGATAAGGTTTAAAGCTAGAAAGATGAAGGGACTAACGAATATATATCCAGGACCCCAAAAGAAAGCAAAACGCTCGACATTCAGCACATGATTGCAATTATACAAAACAGATTGGACAAAATTTATAATAAAATCACGCACAGAGTAAAGAGAGCTCCTTTTTATAATAATAAAAAATCAATACTACGCAAAAAATATGGTAAAAAAGTCAGACAAATAAAAATTTTAGTGGCAAGGCAGATATAATAAACCATCCCTTGACCTTACTAATATGAAATCAAAACCGGTTCGTAGACACCGTTGAATCCTGAAGCACGCTCTACTGGGACTGGTGTTCAGTATTCATCATCATGAGAACGGGGATTGCGCATCATGGGGTTGTGGTGTTTCAGATTGTCGGAATGCTGCCACTGCCAACAAGTTCCGCAAAAGTAATTGAAGCACTCCATGTCACGACAAAAATACGGTCCCATTTGTGAGGCGCACACGCTGCATACTGAATCCTCCAGGAAAGGGTCAATCTGGATCTTCTTGCTGAATTTTTGCGTCCGAATCTCCACAAATGCCGCACGGATCGCTTTAACATAACTCTGCGCACAGTTGAACACCACGCGGCCAGATCCGATCGGATACTTGTACTTATCTAAAAAAAGTCAACGAACTGCTTAAATAGTTTAAAACATATAGTAACTCGAGTTGACCAACCTAGGTAAGCAATACCGAAGGATCTATATGACAAAGTTACAGCACACTGCATCTGTTAACAATAACTTACACTTCCCTGCATATGAACTACAAGCATACTGCATTGCCCAATTTCAGGGATCCACAAGTTAGGCTTCACAAACGGAATCCCAAAAATTTAATCACCTGTGCTTCTACGGTTAACGGACTAACCTGTATCGATATTAGCCGTCACGACGCCACCAAACAAATCGTTCATAATGCGTGCCAGCCCTTCTGCATTCAGCATTCCATGCAGACTACCCACAAAAACTGTCTTGGTGCCGGAAGTCGAAATGCAGCCCGGATGAACGTAAGTGGAATCGGACAACGGCCATGGAATGATCTGCACATCTTTGCGGCGCAAACGAGTGCTGCAGACCTTGTAGTAGTAATTGCGGCCGCCTCCAGTGGGACTGGTGTCCACTGTACAGTTACTCAGCAGAGCCCGCACGGAGCGTTCGTTGTCGAAGATAATGTACAGGTAACCTAACAGAAATGTCGGTTAAGGTAGTAATTCAGCTCCAAAAAAGTTAAACTGCAACCTTTAGAGTTTCGTCCCGGATTTTCGTGGTAATTAGAGGGCCATTCCACTTTCAACGGTCCATATTTTCCGAAAGCCGCCGTCAGATTAGGTTCGGAAATATCCCAGGGAACGCCACCCAAAAATACCTACAAATCGGAAGTGGAAAATAAAATATGCAGAGTCAACAGGTTGGGCCAAAAACTGATAGGCCGGTGATGCAGGTAATGCATTTAAAATCACCTATGACAAAAATGCTCCCGTTTTGGTACGCCGGTATACGGCCGGCTTCCGAAATAATAAACCCAATTACGCTGAAAATGGAAACTTAGTGTACCTTGCAGGAATAAGCAGAACCTTTAGGAATTCGTGCCGGCAGCATACCACTCCACACGACAGTGGGATCATAAATGGATGCCGCCATGCGGTACGCATGAGCCTGACGCTCGACATTGGCATCGCCGGCCCAGCGCTGATCCTTCGGCATCATGTGCTGCTTATGGCCGCCGCGGAATCCCGCCACACGGGCATACTGCTCCACCATCAAAGGACTGCCACCCGATGCACACCCGCAATACCCGGAATTTCGTCCTGAACACGCCGCAATGTGATCGATCTGCTCCGGCGACTGATGCGAATAGTTGGCATGCATCAGCGCCGGGGTCACATTCTGCATGGGCACCGACACCGGTCGACTGATCGGGGATGATACCGGCGAATAGGAAATCCCATGCTGTGCCAAGTTGTAATCGGGAACCATGGCCGCCTTACTGCGCAGTACAGTCGGCGTCGGACTGCGTGAAGCGTTAACCGGAAGCCGACGCAGAGACTGACGTGGCAACGCTCCCTGATTGATGATGGTGCGCATGTTTCCGGAATTGCGACGGCAGTCTAAATTTTCCTGAAATTCAGAATGTTACAGCTAAAACGTATATATGCTTATTCAATTATTCATATTATCTACCACGGCGTTTTTTGCGATTTCGCATTTCTTTTCTTGAAGTGGAACAAAGGAAGTAATAATATTTCACACACAACGTTAGGACAAAATTAATTAATTCGTAAAATGTCGATCTTCGTGAAATTCTTTCTGCTTTCCGGCTTTCCTAATCTCTTTCGCAACGAACATTGTCAGTGTGCTAAAGCAGCTAAACTGTTGACTAATGGGACTCACTGAAATACGTATTCCGTAATTAGTTAAGCCTCACCTGTCCGGCTCGCTCCAAATTCGGCACGTACTGTCCACGGCGAGGATATCCACGAGTGGTAGGGCCGTCAATTCCTTCGTTAGCTGCATTGTAATCAGTCCAGGAAGCTGCACTAACAGGACCGGAACCGCTTAATGGAGTAGAGCATCGTTTAGGCTCGAAAGTCGACACATTTGAACCGGTAGAAAGAAAAGCCGCATCATAGTCACAGCTGGTATCCAAAACAGACTCTTGACCAACTTGAGATCCATCTAAACTACTTTGATCTTCAAACATGGTTATAACCTTTCCGACATAGGAGCAAATGCAAACTTCGACACTTTGCCCCACCTTCGAAAACTAAAAAGGAACTAAACGGTTAAAAATTCAATCTGGCTTCTTTCCTAATGCCAGTCAGTTATGTGATGCAGGTCTATGCAAATTTCGGTATTTCGTACAGCAAATAATTTCACAGAAAACGTACTAGTACTGTCGCTAATTGGCCGGCGCGCCCGTGTATGCATTACGCATCGTACGCATTATATATAGCAAAATAACAGCCACAGAGAAATGGGAATTTCCGACAACGTTTTGGTGTAGCTACTAATTCTAAACAGGTAAGTGTGTTCTTCCGTGTTATTTTGCTTCCTTCAGAATTTCTCTGTTCCACTCACGGACGCGATGACGCACAATAATCAAAGCGCTCCTTGTAGCAGGTCAGTGGTACCTGGGTAGAACGTCTCCAGCTTAAATTTGACAAATTAATCGCGAATGGATAACGGCATGTATGTATATTGAAATTTTTTATGCCGTTTGCTGTAATACATGAATCCTTGAGCCGAAAAAGAAGGGAATTTAGATTTAACCAGAAAATAATTTAATAAGTAAAATACGAACAAAAACGACCGATAAAACCAACAATAAAACTAAAAGAGAACATCGATAAAAAAAAACAGAACAACTGTGTCGACTGAACAATAAAACCATCCAGACATGCTGTACAGGTATTCCTACATTATAATTTCACTGGTCGCGTGTTATCGTGGCCATGTCGCAAGTTTTGAAACAGTTTCAACACACAGATACGCCTCGCGACTTCCGGGAAACTCTATTAAACACCTTAATTCCAAAGACCCCATAGCAAAGCACATCGAAAAAGAGGTACAATCCGATAAAGCAGAAGAATGTGATTGCCCAGCGAATGGATCGGACGCCGAGATAACGTTTCGAAGCGGAAGCAGCACTACGCAGAGAGAGTGCAATCTTGGCACGCAGCAATGGGAGGAACTGTGATCTCTTCGATACGCGCTGCTCTTTCTCCAGTGCCTGCAAACCAAAATCTGTATTTTCAAATAAAACGACAACTGAATATATTATATTACGCTTCTTTCGTAATTTGTTACCGATTGCTGCAGCGCCAAATCAGCAATTTGTTTGTGGAGGTCGTTGATTTCTGCTTCAGTTTGGTGTAAACGTTGCTCGGAGAGGGTCATCTCCAACTCGTAGTTGTTCAGCTCCAGTTCACGGACTTCCAACATTTCTCGAAGTGAAGCCATTTGATTCTGTTCCTGGAAGTAATACAAAACAACTTTTGTTGAAGCAATCTATAGATTAACTTTAGGACACAGTCCATCTAAAGTATAGTCAAAGTATGCGAAATCTAATTGTCGCACCTGTTCTAATTCTTGATTCAGTTTCGCAATTTGCGAGGTTCGATTCTCTAAATATAAAAGCTTCTCCTTCAAGTAGCCAGTGTCATCGGATGTTGTAGCGCAAAAGTCAGACATTTTAAAAGTTCACTGCATGCGGAACTTAATGCCAATCTTTATAGGCTTGCACGCCAGTACAATGAAAAATAATTCAACTGGCCACAAATGTATCGATATGGCGCAACGAATCTGTTGTCCCTGTACGGCTGTACCCAGTTTCCTCATGATATTCACATTACTACATTACTATTCACATTAGTACTTATTATTCTTTATCATTGATAATGTTACCGATATACAGGTACTGGTCGCATAACAGTCGCGGGCCAGCGTGGCCCAGCCAGCGGTCAATCTATGTATTTACACCTTTATATTATTTATTAGTAATTGCCTGTGTATGGTTACTTATGTATATAGAATATAAATAGTTATCTCCCTGTATTATGCAATCGGATCGATGAGTCGATGCATGACTACGATTGCCGGCTAAAACAAATAAATTTTCTTTGTTTTTGCTGGATGGATGGTTTAAATTAGCGGACAGCGAGCAAATATAAGTAGAAGTGTTTATGTTTCCAGGCTGACCAATATGTTGTACTCGTCCGAACAAAAGTTCGTTAGCTATTTTACTACTGAACAAATTCGTATTACATAATGATAATACACTCATCAATATTAACCATCGTGTCGCATTTTACGATGATAAATTAGTTAACAGTTAATTGCTCCGTTATTAGCACAGCACGTACTGCAACAATATATTCCTTATGTGGAAATACTGCTGTCGCTTGTGCAGAAATATAATTGCTGTTACTATGGTACATTCTTACCATCAACCCATTGCGCTGCACTGTTTGCGGCGCAATTTCTAATTTTTTCCATATGGTGTGTCATGTGTAGTGTACGTTGGGACATTTTGTTACACTCATAACACAAGGGTCATGTAATTCCTGGCAATTTACGAAGGTAGCAGCTTTACAAGTTTCACTTGGGACGTTTTTATCGAGACAAATGAGCCAAACGTCTATTCGTCTAAATTCAGATTGCAGTATTGGCTTTAAATGTTCCTGTAAATCGGAAGTTGACGCTTCGCGGCCAAACTTACTCGCAGTGTGCGCTGTATGCGTTCTTCCAGAAACCGAATCCGGTGACACGCAAGCAATGGAAAAAGTCTGTGGCGTCTATGACTGCGGTTATGTTACCTTCGACGATAACCGTGAAGTAAATACCCACCAGTTCTCCAGTCTGATAATTAAAATTATAATGCGCAGGTTTCGCTTTTGTGCAATTTTTGACATTTATATACTTGGAAAATAAGATCATGGTGCGAAAGTCCTCGGAAAAGACAGTAGCCGTACATCACTGCGGCAAGCGTTACACTACTGTACGCATTTTTCGATTTCCCGCAGGATTGTAGTAACCACACGCAGCACGAAATAGCGCAGACTGGGTATGATCTAGTACATTTCACCATAACGGGAACCTCTGCAAACAGTGGATTCACAAACACCGATTTTACGTTTTCCCTACGCGATCAGAAAGGTCATGTTATCTGCCATTTCCGCGCAAGGGATAGAATCACCCATACGATTTTATCCGTAGCACTGCAGGAAGCGGAAAAGCAAGCGCATCTGCTCAGAAGCCCCAATCTTGTATTCTCCGCCAAAATCTTTGAAGGACTTATCTTAATGAAACCGCAGTACATAGCACTGTTCAAGGACCGCATGTTCGCGCAAGGACATGGCAGTGCTGTAAGATTTTTTCCATGTAAACCGACATTTTTTATCCTGACACTACCCGATAGTTCAATGCGGTGTTTATTCCTTATAAGGTAGCGAAAAATCCCAAAAAGGAAGCAACCTTATGTTGCTCCCTGGATGAGTTAGAAATTCGCCCTTATGGAAATGACGGACGCGGAGTATTTCTTGAAAGAAAGCAATTTTGGAAGAAGCGTACCAGCATTTATTTATGGTTTATCACGCCCGAGGAAAGGTCACACTTTTTTGCTTTAACTACTTTTCCCCATCAACTGGACTCCGTTGCGGTTTTATCCAACCAGTGCACGGGAGCAAACATGATGAAGGCATTGAATCAAGAATGTAATCATCACCTAATGAAATTACCTGAAACTGAAAGTAATAAGGACGCCCAGGATAACAGAGCAAGCCAAATGCACAGTGAATCCCATCAAAAATTTGAAACCGGTGATTACAGTAGTATAGAAAAAATTGTTTAGTCGGATTATGCAATCCACATCATCGGTCATTTTTTACCAACAGCAATAGCTACTAATAATTTGTGATTTTCCTCACTAATAATTTGTGATTTTCTTCCAACTTTCCAGTGTTTTTAACAGATTAAAGTTATGATAAATTCATAAAAACATTACTAGCAATTCTCTGAAGCGAGTGCGGTTCTAACTTTCTGTTCTACCTACTTAACGGAGTTTGCCCAAATCTGTTAAAGATGGAAACTGGCCGGAACTTAGCAAGCGTGCACTGTAAACTAAGTTTATTTTCCGATGCAGGATAAGCCTTGTAAATCTTCATTCCGTAATAGTTATACTGCCATTCGAAATCGTTACAGGTTTTAAAAAGTCATAATTGTGTCAGACAGATGAATTTTTGAATATCCTGCTCATACTCGCATATCGATCAGTACACGTTTTTAAGCACATCGAAAATTTTATTGAATACAAACTCCACATAAGAATACTAAATAACAACAAAAATGAAAATAAACCTTGAAAATGGTATGCTCCAGTACTGGCGGTACATAAGAAGCTCCTTACGGGTCGTAACCGTTAATCCAAATCAACTGCTTAACTATGTACAAAAACCTCAAAAATAAAAACTGTCCTTAGGCGTCTTAAGGAAAACCGTTCCGAACGTTGAACTTTCTCATTAAATATAATAAATGAAAATAAATAGCATAATATAACAATCGTAATAATTAATACTCACAAAATTCGTGAGCAAATGCTTCACTGCCATTCCGTTGCAACAAACAAGCTCCAGCCAAAACAAACTTAACCGGTCACTTAGACGAACCAGGCATCCAATCCGGAAGGATCCCAGACAGGTCCAACTCTTCCATGTGCATTGTGCTGACCGGTAGCCGTGCTCATACCAGATGAAGAACGGCCAGGCAATCTAATTGTTTATATAATTATTGTAATCATATTTTCATAATCATACGAAAGTTTAGCACCAATACATGTAGGTATGTCATACAACGTACGGATTAGGCCAAGCCGCTGTGTTATTTCCCGTTGACGTTCGGGTGGACTGGTCCGCGATGGACAGATTGCCCAAATGCTGTAGCAACTGTGCGTTCATGGCTGACTGATCTCGCTGCATTTCCAGTGCGTAAGACAAATACGGATTCGGCGGACGAATCTCCGCATTACCGCCTCCTCGAACCACCTGTCAAATTCTATTATAAGTTAAAAGTACGGTGGCCAGGTCTTTATAAAGCAGGACGCACCACAGGATTACGATCGTCCTCCTGGCTTGAGGCTCGCGATCGCTGAGCAGAACCAGCGGAGTGGTGTCGCACCATGCCTTCGTACATGAGATCAAAATTCATTGGATTGCCCAGTTCAATCGGGCTGGCGCTCTGCACACTGCCGATGTCCGCGCCTTGGAAGTGGTCGTACTGACCTGCAGATGGTTATTATCAACACAACAAATTCATCCCAAATACCTGTAAATTTATGTATTTAATATTTATGCAGAAGGACGTGACTGGAATTAGGTATTTATGAATAAGCACGCGACTGGAACACTGCACCAGTAGAAAGAAGTGTGGGACAATTATCGCATGCTGGATTAATTAATGCAACAAAATAGGTAGTTTGATATTTACAGCATTGCACTTAGTAAGTACTTACGCAAAGAAACCGGCTTCGGGGTGGCGTCGTTTACCTAATGTATGGACATAATACATTGATTAATAAATTGTATATTGTCTATATAGTATAATTTTTATGATGTTTTATCCGGTTAAATTTACATTTTAAATACTTACTTCGATTTGACGACTGTGGAATACCTTGTGATGCAGCAGCATTTTAGCCTTGTTGGCATCGGCTTCCGATGCCATCGTAACGAATCCGAACCCCTAATAAAAGAAAGCCGGCAACTGTTAGCCGACATCAGTCAATGCTATAGATAAATTTGTCAACACACTACTGTTGTCACCTTTGAGCCACGGTCGTTGAAAATGATTTCGGCGTCCACAACAGGCCCGTATTTCTGTCGATCAGATAAAGCGTTACACGGAGTCACTGCATGCTGGCTTTTACAGCAGTAACGGCTTAACGTTTAACATTCTATTACACCGCGGCATCAAACCAAAACATTTTTTTCTCTCAGTTATCAGTCGCTGACTCACGCTGAAAATCTGCTTTAGATCTTCCTCTCGAAAGCGAAACGGGATATTCGACACGTGCAGACGCTTTGGGCGGACACTGTTTGGCAAGCTGCGCAGAAACGTCTCATCTTCCACAAAAGGTCGTTTTGGAAAAAATCGTATGCGTATCCCTAATAAAAATATGCGCAAACAAAAGCAGATCAGTTCCCGCTATCAAGCAGCAGGCTTTGACCACTGTGATCGCACGCAGACACAGTGAGTGAAAAGCAAGATGGCGGCCAGAGCCATCAGGTCATGACTCGCATGTCACAAGAGGGCAACAAACAAAACTCATTTTAAACTTCACTAACTTTAACTAATAATCGTCGCCGCTTCATGGGCAAAATTAACGGGATTAACTTTCATCGAAACTTAAAACAGAAATGCCTGCTTATAACATAGCCGCTTATTTTCTAAAAACACTTGTGTATTGTGCAACAGCCGTTAATTACCGTTAACCAGCAGCAAACAATTTCGCAATTCGTGTACGATGCAGCGATAATCTGGACAGTTTTTGACATCGTAACTCGTAAGCATAACTTGTTTTCAATAAACGGGTTCTAATAGTGCAAAGCCGGCATTCTATAACTTACACGTAAAAATGGAAATAAAAACACTACGTACAGAGTACTGTACCTGGGATGAGCTAGATGTAGTGCGCGAGGAATCACGGACAAAAGCATTTCCGTTGCCGAAGGACTGTCCGCTGCCCGAAAACAACGATCCTGATCGATTTGTAAACGGCATGGGGGTCTCCATGCGGTGAAGAGTTTCGCGCATCACCCCGTAATTGTTTCCCTCTTCCAAACCTAGAAACACCGCATCAGTAGCGGAGACATGACGATTGTCATCCCGAAAACGACAAGCCTGCGGAAAAACTGAAGCCGTTGTCATTCTTGAATCAACTACGTTTATAAAAATAAATAAAAACGACAACAAAAACTTTTTAATAACTCGTTCTTTGAAAAAATTATCTCCGGTCCGGAAGAGGTTAACATACAACCGTTAAGACTAGTGGCCACCTAACTAAACAGTCTAAACGATAGAAATCCTTTGCGCAACTGCGCATGCCTGGATACTACGGCTAAAAAATTTACAACGGTGCAGAATTTGAGATCTTGACAAAGAAGAGCTTTAGTCATACCATTGTACTGGCTCGCCATTGGTCACTGCCCAGTACGGTCACTCAAAAATACGTGCACGGGTTAAGCATACGTACAGTACTTTAATACCAGTTTAATAGCTCCCCGATAAGTTAATTTACGAGTATTACGTACAACTCTCGGTATACTCGGGCAGACTGACAATGAGCCAGCCAGCTTTAAGGATACCTTGTAATTAATTTCGAAGTTGAGAAAACCATAGCAAATTGATATTTGGTTTGTATTTTGTTTTCGCGGTGGAGTGACACTGCCCAAACATCTTTAAAAGCACTGCATTTGCGATTATTTCTATTAACGATATTTAATTATTGGCAATCCGCCCAATTAACAAAAGTTGCAGACGCTGGTACACTACATTATATTGACTATATGAAAGCAACATTAATTGTAGTCTAATGATGCGGTACGAAATTTTGGAAGTGCAGTACAACAAACACTAAGCTACTGCAAGCTATTGTTAACACTAATTATCAATAATTGCATTACTTACCTGCATTATGCCTAGTATACAAGTGTCTAAAAAATTACTATGTATTAGTGCTGTCGCAGTATTGGATCGGAATACGCACTGAAATCTAATTATGCTGCCTTTTAAGTTATAAATAACACAGATTGACATGTTGCGATGCGTACGGTCCCGAAATCACTTCGACTGCTAAGGAAATCGAATTTAATAAATTTTTTTATTCTAATTTGCTCCGGTCCTAAATTAACTTCACTTATAAGTGCAGTTAATTTAGGTGCTGTAATTACAGCATTTACAAGTTAGACTTACTTTGGGCAATCCATAGGAGATCGTTTATCGAGCGCACTTGATTATGAGGTAGATTCGTAATTGGCCTGGTCATTTGTGGGTGTAGCGCTATTCTTGTCCGTACTTGTATAGGTCACAACAAGCCCGCACCCTCACATTAATTATTAGCGTAGCTATGCACTAATACACCTATATAAGTTTTCGTTTATTAAAGAAATTTATTCAAAGAGCCGCTACACCGGAAAGTTGTGGCACTATTCAAAGGGCAAGTGCCCGCATTAATGTTTGAATACTAGAAGTCTACCGTTTTGCATCGTTACGCCAAAACGATACAGTGTAGCGGTTTTGATGATGAACCAATCCAGATGAAAATCGCCAAAGTCTGGCTGTATAACGGACAGTACGACATAATTTTTTTTGCTGAACGGCAAAGAAGAGTGCAACTCACACTCCCTGATAAAAATCTCGATTTGTTCCAAGCATGGGAATGTCTTGCTGCGTTCCGCGTCAAGTAGAGCTCGCTTATCGCAAAACTGTTGTGCCTCAATCGGCGCCGGTGATTACGCCGGTACCAATATGCACACTGACTCTTTTTTCTAAAACTTGCATCACATCACTGTGTCTAGCTGCGAAGATTGTAAAAATATCTATGCTTCGAAGCATACAAAAACTTAATATATCTATTACGGTACGGTACCTCCTTAATTGGTACAAATGTGGATTGGAACTCATGCCGAAATTGGAACTTAATTGGAACTCATACCGAAATTTCTGGATACCTTTCGATATCTGTTGTCAGAGACCGCTCACTCGAGGCGGTAGACACCTCTTGTGGCTTTGCTCTGTCGCCCGCCCGCACATGGCTACTCCATTCGTGCCGCGCTATTACGCTGCTTACTCAGCGTATACTTTGTCTACGCTGACCAATCAGCGCATTTCTCTGCACTCTTGGGGGTGGAGCCCTGCGCCTACGGGCGATTCCATGCTTTGCCGCATCAGCTGTTGCATACCCGCAGCACGCGGAATCATTAATCACGATTCCTTGATAGCGCACTGCAGGCACTTTTTCCAGCTTTTCCCGCATTGGGTTTTCTGTTGGTTTTTGTGTGTTGTTGCTTTATTGTTATCACAATAAAGGCTGTATTTGCCCCATTTCTTCCTGCTTCTGTGTCGGATCTGACACTGTTTGTTATCATTATCTACAGTCAATATCAAAATTTATTTTCAATATTTTTTGTATTCGAAGTTCGTGTAGCAAGTTGCTCAAAAGGTTGCATAATTAAAGTACCTTGCAGCTATTCCGTATCTGATCATGATGCATTATGCAAAACACAAATCATGACTTAAGTCAATTAATGCCAGACTTAAGTAATTATGTTACTACACCAGCATATTTAATAAAATTAATCGAGTGTCGGTACTTTTAGCTAGTTATTTGACAAATGTTTCCAGCTTTACACAAATCCAAGCTAAACAGTTAAAAGATAAAATCCGAATCACAATTAAGTTGGACGAACATCCAAACAATCACACTGACGAAATCTGACCCAATATATTTTGTGTCTTCATTAACTGGTAAAACTTGTAAAAGCCACAAGAAAAGAGGCTATAATATTTTCAAGATACTTCCGCCAGTATAATACTTCTCACATCGGCATAGGTATCCATATTGGCTTCATTTTGTTCACCGGCTGCAGACGTCTCTTTATGTTCGCTATCAGGAGTTGCGAACATTTCTCTGCATCGATTAATGATGTGGCTAGCATCCCCAGCCTAATTAAAATTTTAGAAGTATAATAAGACAGCAAACTAAAGTTTTATACGAATGCAAACCGCATTCGACGTTGTTTATTAACTTCTAAGCCAAAAAGTGTAACTGATCTGTCGTAGTGACTTACCATATCATTTCCGATTTGCGGTAGCACACCTTCCATAAATATTTTCCACCAAAATTTTACTAAGTCGCCGGTGTCATTGGGCAATCCGTGAATGCTTTGTATTGACTGTTTTTTCACATCGTAATACACATTCCAGGGCTTTTTAGCTCCAAGAAAATGAACTATCTTCACGCTTTGTGAAAAACTGTAACACGGAATACGTCAGATATATATATATACTACACTGAAAATACGATTACAAATACGGCAATCACAGAGTAGTCAATTGCGATTCACAATTAACTAGTCTAGCCGTCGTAATATGAAAATTTCATAAAGCGGAGAAGGGGATTGTGCTGCAGAACAAAAGAACACCGATTCTTACACCAGAATATCTATATTCCTGGTGTAAGTATCAGTTGACAGAACGTTTAAAAGCAATAAAAGTGTCAGTTATACTGTAAGGGCTTGTGCGAGTGAAGAAAACGCAAAAAGCGCACTTACAAGCGAAATGCCGGTCGGTAGGAATAATTGATGGAAGCAACCATGTTGTAAATAAAAGGCAAATGCTTTTTAATATCTGCTGTTGGCCAGTCATTGAAGAACATATTCAGTATGCCTTGGTCTCCGCCTAGAGTAGAAAAAATTAAAACGTGTATGGTATTGTACCGTTTATGCTATTAATACAGGATATAGATTTGCACTGTTTATTTCGATACTTCTATTTGTAAAACTATCCTTTGTACGCCTCAGTATTTTACCATCAAAACTCCTGTTGGTTTTGGTAAAATTTATCAAGGTCTCGTAAGTTTTCATAGAGGGTGTGTAAACGAAAACTCCTGAATTGAAGCAATCCGGCCATCCAATATCCGGTGTAGCAGAAAATTCATCATAATTTTCGAATATCTCATCGCAGTTTCGCACAACCATCGTATCGGCATCCAGGAATACGGCTTTCTGATATGCTGTTAGTGTCCAACAGTGCAGTTTAGTAAAGGTCACGCCAAGTTCTGGTCGCTCCAAAAGAGCGAGGTTAGCCGCATCTTTACTATCCAAAATATCATACTGCACAACGTAGTTGAAAAACTGGAACAGAGCGGCTCTAAACGAGTAAAATTAATTTCATTGCCTGCTGAATAGTTGTAGTACATTATCTCTTACTTCATATTGCTTGAAACATGACGGGTCACCATAACCACGGTTTCGTGCTGGGTTTGCACTCGCCTAAGAGATTCGCCCAGAACAAGACATCCTAGTGCGTACGTATCATTGGTAGCCAGTGTGACGTAAGCGTATTTATGACAAATATGCTCTCCCTGATCGATGTGGCATCCTGGTTTTGGAGCTCCAGTTCTGAAATTAGGTTTTTACTTCAGTAACATATTCAGTATTAATTAATTAGGTTCTATCCTTATAAAATCTTATGTGTTTACGTACGTGCACTGATGTTACCCCAGCAGAGGAAGTATATAAAACTATAATAGTATAATTTGAATTTAAGTAGTGCACCTTGGATCGCAAGAACCGCGTCGTAATTCGTATATCTGTAAGGGAGGCCCGCCCTTCGGAATGGGATGATGATGTCGGGTATCGGACCAGCATGGATTCCATTTTGACCTCCTCGTGCACTTGGTTTCCTCGTTTTGACTCTTCTTGCCGCAACAGGCTTCTTTAAGTTTGTCCATGTTAGCAACGCACCGAGGTTATGACGGATGACCACACAAAAATGAAATTATTATGACGGATGACCCCACAAAGATGAAATAACAACTGCGCATAAAGAGTGCGGCATACTGGTTCCCTGTTGCAAGTACACTGAATTTGTAACAGTGACCATTATTCACCTAGCGCATCAAATGCATACTAACCGTGTGAATCGAGCACTTTTAATAAATACTACTGCATCGTTAACAATTGTAAGCATAATGGCCGTAATAATGACATAAAATGTTCGACTGTTATACTCGTATATTTTCATGTAATAATGAAAACAGAATACTGTATCTAATAATTATAAGTATTATATTACACAAGCGCACCCCGGGTTTGCGTATGTATATCATTTTGCGTTCATTTCAACAGGCACAAAATTATTAATCTTGTTTGAATTGTTTCAATAATGTGGTTAACTATCCAAAATTGCGATGGGCTGGTCAGCTGAGCCAAAATGACTGTAGGCCTGTAGCGCTTATCGTTTTAAGCTGTATGCATCTCAGCAGCTATGCTTGTAGTCGTAGACTTGTAGTTAAAGTATTGTAGATACACAACCTTAACATAGAATAATCACAGCCAGCAGGTTGCTATAGTTATATTATCATGAATAATCATGTTGTAACATTAATGGTCCTCTAAGAACTACGCTGTATATTCATGCAACATGCGCTGCATGTATTGTACGACAACAACAACCAAAACATTCACTGGTTGTTGTTGTTGTTGTTGTTGAGGATTTTACAGCGTAGTCCTTGAATGGACCATTGCTCCAACAAACTAATTCCCTAGCTAATTACAACATTGTTGTTGTTGTTGTTCACTGTGGTTGTTGTTGTTTGTTGTCGTTGGGATACAGCGTAGTCGTTAGGTATAGATCTAGAACCATTGCTCCAATTAGTGAATTAGCTAGGGAAATACAGTACTACCCTCGATAAGAATAATATTATAACGTCTTGGGTTAAATGCATGAATGATGACCCTAAACGTATGCAACCAGTTTACGGAAAATTACATTCGTGATCATGACACAATTACTTCAATTAATTTTAACTAAGTACTAGTAATTTGTTATGTTGGACACTTAAGTTTTCAGTTGGGGTGCTTCCTGCTCATCGAACGTATACCGAAGTTTATAGGCGTGATACAAAACGGACATCTGTCGCGAAGGTCACCGTAATATCAGAGTACTTTTCGAAAGCGCGTGTTCGTGGAGTGTGCCTTTTACGGGTACATGGATCCAGGAGGCAGCTCACGGCTATGCGGCAAAGTTGTCAAAATTCGTGATAACTTAATTTTCCTGTAGTGTTGCAGGTATTTTAAACAACTGATCGTTCCACTATTGTCAAGGTCCCCCTTTCTGCACCAGTTTTTTTTTTATTTCATGGATTAACGATTTAATAATTTGTGTAGATTACTGCCTGTAAAACATTAACGTACGTACTGGATTTCCATTGAAGGGTGTGCAAAAAGTTTATGACGTGCACAGAAACAGAATTCAGCAGCAGTCAATCAAAGTTAACAAATCACCTTTAGAAATTTCAGGGAAGTTCACCGAAAGAGCACTTTGGATATACATAATGAACGATTTAAAAACCTAAAAAACAGAAAGTCGTCAGAGTGTCGGTGTATAATAAATACCATTTGAAAATAACTATCATACCCAGCTTTTCAAACTGCTGCCTACACCGGAAATATTTTTGAGTTTAAGAAGGAAGCCCCAAGAATTCGTTATCAACTGTTTGAGCTAGAAATTGTTAAATTAACGGCAGAAGGAATAGTTTCGGCATATCGCACAACATCCTGAACTATCGCCGAGGCATTCATGTTCGTCGCCGTATCATCATGCGCTTCCGATTCTTCGGCCAAACCAAAACCTTCCGCATGAACAACGATATCTTTCGTGATGTCTGCAGCATGCTTTGAGATATCGTCTTCTCGGTCGTTTATGGAAGTCGCTGATACCGGACGAGAAGGAGGTCCAATATTCGAGCGGATGGACAACGCCTCTCCTTGCACAGCATTGTGCCCAGTGTCAGCTACCTGGTGGAGTCGCGTAGTTGTAATTTCTGGTGACGAAGTGAATCCTTCTTTTGTCACTGTCCGTGCGACACCATTGGGATCCTCCAAGTAAGCGCCGTCTGGTAAATCCTCGTCCGTTTCATTTTCTAAACTGGGTGCATCCGTCACGCTCATAGTCTCGTCGGTGATAACTGGAGGGATGTCCGAAGAACTGACTGGAACTGGCATTTTTGATAAATGAGTACTCGTTGCCGGTGGCACTGACGATTGCTCCAGTGAAGACGAAATTACAGACTTTTTACCTAATAGGAACGTAAAACATCATTAAACAGCCATTTCTTGGAGGTGAGCCAACTTGTCTAACTAAACGCAGTGAGCTGTCGACTGACCGGTACCAGGAATTGGAATAGAAGGAACCGGAATTTCATGGTCCGACTCTTTCAAAGGTTCCAAAGCATGCGCATTTTCAATTCCCGGAATTTTTACGGTCGACCACTTCTCATGAGCTGCTACCATTTTCTGGAGCTCCGCCGATTTCGGACGATGGCGAGTTTCATGATTGTTGAAATTCATGTCGTGATGGCTCTGCCTTTTCAATTCTTCTAGTTCCATTTCTTTTGGCTTTTCGGCGTCAAAGACGGCAGACGGGGTTCTTTTGTCAATACCCGATAATTCAGCACTTCGTTGTCCTTTAGGGTGATCTACGTACAAATGCACATACGTAGTAAATATCATACAGGGATGATTTTTCACTCCTAGTTGAGAGGATAGTGTTGAAATTTAGCAAATAAGAGCCGACAAACGGTCGCGAGCAGGTTTTTGCATTTACGATATGCTTTTGACTGGCGGAAAACATTACGCGATTGTTTTAGTTACTCGAAAAGCCTTTTTTGCCAGTAAATTGCCTTAAAATTCACCAAAAAATTAACGGATTATCATTAATAGTTCAAGGGTCGTTCTGTTACGAGCGGTTAGCAATAATTTACGGTCACGAGTATATCGCGAAAAGTAGTGCTTGCATATTAGTAAACATTTTTTGCTTCCGGTCATTGTTGCTCCCATGTACAGCGGGAGGCGGTTTCACGACCCCCAGCATTTGCGTCTATTTGCCAGACTACTCTATAATATATAATATATAATAATATATAATAATATATATATAATATATAATATATAATATATATAATATATAATATATAAGACTATGCTTTATATAATATATAATATATAAGACGTCAGTACTCTGTAAACTGTAAAGGTATAGTTTGCACTTTGCAGTTTGGAGTTTGCTAGTTTGGACAAATATTTTTTTGATAGCTCAGCTGCATCTTTGGACACTTCTTACATTTCTGTGGCGGAAGTTTGCCTTTTGCAGCTGTTGTTCGTGCTCAAAATTGCATTAGTAACCGTCAACCGATTATAGTAACCGTAAGTGAACGATGTTATTACCGTTACTCTGGCTTCTTCAAATGTTTGGCAACAATACTCATACATAGCACGGTTTAGATTTCATACGGAGTTTCTATATCGCATATTCGGACCTTTAAAATATGGACGACCTGGATGATAGTTTCGTTAGCTCCGGACTTCCGGAGGCGCCTAAGACAGAGCCACTTTCAGAATCTTACCCACCCATTTCATCGACCCCACCAGAAAATGATGTGGTAACAGTAACAAAGACATGGTTTGGTATTCAGAATTTAGCGGAGGGAAATAACAACGTAATTTGTTTCTGCCGAATTTAGGGCCCCATGTGCATAGTTATCAGTCCGCTGATACGAAAGCAACTTATGCGCGGAGTACCTTTGATCGTCGGTACCAGTGCGGACGCTGTTGAGGTGAGAGAACGACCGTAAACGTAAACGGCGACTCCGGTGAAATAAATTAAGTTGATGAGTATTTTGTACAATGGTCTATAGTTTTGTTAATTGCAGTATTTCGCCAGTTTCTAGCAGCTTTCTTTCGTATCATGTGAGTAATTTCCTGTGCGTTTATTTTGCAGGCATTCTTCCAGCGCCTCGTTGCTTTATGCCAAGCAGAGTGGGTGAATTTTTTTTTGTACTTCTGTACAAAGTAATTTTTTGCTTTACTCGGAATGTCTCGTTCGTACAGTACATGTTAAATCATGGCAGAACTGTAGCTTTCGTACTGCCATGGTTAAATAAACGACATAATATTATGAATTTACAAGGTAAGGTAAGGGCTTTTCGCATGTGTCGGTGATACTGGCGATAATACATCAGAGGAACAGTTGGCAAAAGCGAACTGGCTACAGAAAATCAGTTTTCTTTTCAGTGGTAATAGATAGTAACGATTGCTTGCTTTGAATTGCAGTTCCCACATGCCAGTAATGTTTCAAACACTGGATGGTGCTGTCACGGTGGCCAACATCCGGAAAAAGAATGAAAAAAAGCTGAAGCCTTCAGTTAGTGAACGTAAGCCTGAGACGTCAAGATAAAGCCCGTGAGGCACCTTTTCAGTTGATCTTTTATAGCTACTTCGAAGTCGAACCCTAAGCGGTATCATCTTCCCCGGGGAAACACTACGAAGCCTCCTGATAAAAAGCCCAAACCTACGCAGCCGGATGAAATCTTTTCTGCAGCGCCTTCTGCCACCTCAAGTAACGTTGTAACGTTTCCGGCTTTTATATTTAACCACCTGGATATTTGTCTGCTGTTTAGAAGTCGTTAGGAAGCGTGTCAAAGATATTTCTAAAGCAGAATCTGACGACACGTCGGAAACCGCACAGGAAATGCTGGGAGAAGCTCCGGTAATGTCAGTACACTTTGGAATTAATTTTCAGAGTCCACAATAATCGCCATTTCTGAAATTGTATTGCAGGCTCCAAAATCCCATGCTACAAAAAACGATGAAATCCCCTTAGAAGCCGTCCGCTTATATCTCAAGTACCAGCGCTATGGTCCTGGGTGGAGCATGACCGAAAAAAGGAATCTCCGCAAACGTGCTAAGGATTTCTTGTTGGATTCTGATGGCACCTTGTTGTACAGAGCCAAGGACGGTCGCCGACTGATATGCGTTGAAGACCGAAGAGAACGAATGGATCTCATTTGGGAAATACACGAGTATGTCAGGTTGACGACCACAAAGCTGACTTTGTGCAACCTTTACTAAAAAAATACGAGTATCCATTATCCGTCTTTGCAGTTATGGTTTTCGCTCTTCATAAGTTGATTTTCTTGATGCAGTGAGAAACATCCGAAACGTGATGCTGTGCTGGAAATTTTGAGACGAAGATACTACTGGAAATCCATGTTTCGTGACGTCGTAGAAGTAGTAAGTTTAGCCAAAAGACGTAAAGAACTGCGAATTGGTTGTTGGCGATAAACATTGCATTTTACACATAATAGATTACAACTTGCCCTGTCTGTGCTGTTGAGCGGGAAATGAGAGTAGGCATTATAGCGCCGACGCAGGAAGAGATGCATCCTACTGGATCAAGCGCTAACGCTGACAGTCTTGACACGCAGACATGTGCCGCGGAAGAATATTTCTCCGAAGCTTCTTCAGGTGACCAGCTTTCTGTGACTGACGATTGTGATTAATGAATTGGAGCATTAAAGCGCACACATGACGTTAGCGAAATTGTATTACGTTGCACATAATGGTGCATGAAAATCGGTCTGCGATACCGACACGACGGTGTTTTACATGGGTACGAGTACTCGGTTATGGTCAAATTATGAATCTTGGTTACCACTGTAATGGCTTATGGAAAATTACAAGACAAAAAAATTTCTGTGCAAAATGCGGTCCAAGCAATTATAAAAAATATTTGCAAAAAATGTACCTAGTGCGATTTGCTCCAAAGCAAAATGCAACCGGAAGTCGAAAATGATCGTGCTACCGAAAATTGAAATTGACGTCACGCCAAGGAAGCTGTGATTGGTCAGAGTTTTAGCTCGGCTCGGAAATTTGCCAGGCTAAGCATTTTGGCTGAACCTGTCATCTTCTGAAAATTCCAAAAAACCGAATTTTTGGAATTTTCATTTTCCCGTCTTCGGGGAGATGCCGAGAGTGTCTGAAATTCCAAATCTACTGTGTCGTCGTGCCGTACTCCCGTTGTCTAGCAGTTACGAATAACAATCTTTGAATTTATGTTTCTCCATGCATATTGCTACTGCCTTTTTTCAGTCGCACAGCACCTTTACCATGTCAAACTGCTTAACTTAAAAATATTGAAAATTCCAGTAAAAAAATGGGCGTAAATCCAATTAATGGTGCATTTTGAATTTTGCCACAAGCAGCACTTTGTCATCGCACGCGGTCTAATGTTGCAGCCTGTGCTCTGGCTTTTTGTTGCTTTTTAAAGTTTGTTTTTACTCGGCAATAGCCAGTACCATGGCGGTACTAATATAGAGATTACTAAAGAGCTAATGCCTTCTATTTAGTACTGCCATGCCATTACCCATACAAATGCGTCCGCGCGGATTTAAACTAATTAAAATAATCTAGTTCAAACATTAAAAAAACACCCGTCATTCGTTCGGAATCTTACTGTTAGGTCGGATATTCAAAGTAAAAGTACTTTATCAAAAACATCTGCTGCAGTTCCTTTGACTTCGAAATTTCGAATGGCCAAAACTTAAGTTAACCGCCCCCACCGGAAGGTGCTGTGTACAAACTTGTAGAGATTCATTTTCAGCCAAAAAAACAGTACGCTGTGGCGCCACGATTAATTTTTAGTTTCCACTTTTCGCTCAATTTTAGCTTCCGTAAATTTTAAATTCTACGCTCACTCAAATCCATTGTTGTAGTGATTACTGATTAGGTTGAAGTGATCCATATTCGATAAAATAAATTAGTATTTGAAAACTGAAGGCGCCAAGAATTCTCGCTTTCCATTCTTATACCATTCTCAACCTGGAAAGCTGATTTCAACGGAATCATGGACGAGCAACTAGGAGCTATACTGGACGACGCCGATCTACATCGCGGACTTGGACTAAACGATACGCCTCTGATGGAATCCAATACCGCGGAAGAACCACCACAAATGGATGCACCAAATAGCGGCGAGAATTTGGTTTCTTTATCTTCCCTCCCCGCAGTTGATGATAAACTGGTTCGTTCTGGATTTACTTAGCGACTACTGACTAGAATTAATATGGTTTAATTGTGATCCAACTGCTCGAAAGAAATTCGCTCGTCAGTAACTACATGTTCCTAATTGCAGGGACATTTGTGCATTGTTCTCAGTCCACAAGTCCGAAGACAGCTGATGCGAGGAGAGCCCTTGATCGTGGGAACCAGTACTGCTTCTGTTGAGGTAGATTTTCCACTAAGTAATTTTTTACACTGTTTTTAGTGCAATAGTTATTAAAAATTTAAGATTAAGCGCTATGCGACATTTGCCCGTGCAGAGTCTGGTTTCGTGTGGGTGACAAACACCCATGTGGCTACAGGCTAACTCTAGCGAGTTGTTTGGATTCTTGCTGTCGCAGTGTTAATTTAATCGCCCTGGCTGTTTTCTTTCACAGGCCTTTTTTCATCGTCTTATTTCTGTATGCCAGATGGGGTGAGTGAAACTATTCAGTTATGCAAATCGGCTAATTGCGAGCAGTTTTCTTGTTGTTTGGAGAAATCGCCCTATATATGCGGAGTGCCGACCTCTCGTTTTATATACAGTATGTATTTTTGCATTTGCAGTGCTCACATGCCAGTAATGTTCCAAACGCTGGGCGGAGCTGTGACAGTTGCAAACATCAAGAAGCGAAAGCACGGAAGTGAGAATAGAATATGAAATGCTGATGACTGACGGAAATGATCAGTTCAACGTAGGGTAATTTTATCGTCGACTTTTTCGCAGTCATATCGAAGCCTGCTGCTGATCGATACCCTATTCCCAGAATGGGTACCATTGTACCTCCAACAAAAAAGGCCAAAACGTCCAGGTCAGCGGAAACTGACTCCCTCATCCCGACAAATTCGGGTACGCCTCTATAGTGTGGAAAAATGCTAATTCCTTTGTGAACAGTTTTATTTTACGCAGCGCCTGAACGCGTACTCGAAGTGCCTGAAATCGCCAACGCAGGAGTAGAACAGGAATCTGACAATGCGGCTGGAGTAAGCTTTACCGATCTCTTATGTGAAAATGCCTTACTGGAGTCTAGCAAATTTAATTTTTTAGAACAAGACTTTCTCCGAAAAAAACGAAATCCCATTGGAAGCTATTCGACTGTATCTGAAGCAAAAGTGCTACTATCCTGGATGGAATCCCAATGCAAAGAGAAATCTCAGAAAGCGGTGTAAGGATTTCGAATTGGATTCGGACGGGACGCTGTTGTATAAAACCAAAAATGACTATCACCTGATATGCGTAGAAGACCGTGCGCAACGGATGAACCTGATATGGGAATCCCATGTGTATGCAATACGCATATGTCGATGTAATTTGAAAGAGTACCCCCATCCCTGAGGAAACTAAGGTGATATTTTTAGAGTGGATCACAAGCGACGGGACGGATTACTAGCTGTTCTAAAGGAAAAATACTACTGGAAAGGGATGTTTCAGGATGTCAACAAAGTGGTATGTAAAAATTTTTATTTTAAAATTTACTGTGTGACCTTAAATGAAATTAGTTAGTTACTGAATTTAGTTTCGAATTTCATTTGTCAGTAGTTGGGTCTGTTTAGTTTGTTGGAAATCTTTAGGGCTTCAGTGTTAAGCGCTGTTTTTTTTAAAAATTACAGCTCGATAGTTGCGAGGTTTGCGCAGGGCATCGGGACGGGAAAGCTCGCAGGGAAGCATTCGTAGAAGAAGCGAAACAGGCTGAAGACGATGTTGTAAATGTGGACAGTGACCCAACGTATTCCGTGGAAAAGTTCCCCGAAACCTCTGAAGTGCAGCTCTTAGGGCAGTTTTTACCCGACGGTTTCCAGTGATTTGGTATTAATTTTTAATTTTTGATAGCTTGCATATTATGTAAAATTTTCTATAAGTTTAGGCGTCTTAATTTTCCGCATTGCCTGCTCAAAATAAGCATTGACTGTGTTTTATTTATTATTTAATCTGGTTGAGTTGTAACGTGCAAGATCGTTACATTCTTGCAGATGCTCTTATCTACGTACCATTGTATGCATCTTGTGCAGCTGACAGTGTGCTTTCCACGATAAAGGCTGCATCGTCTTCGAATTCTGTCAAGATAATTATGTAAACAATCGAGTTAGTTGCGGTTTTGATTTTTCTCCCATTTCAGCTATCCTGCTACAGTTACTGTGCTTTGCCGACCTGGTTCGTTTACGTCTACAATGGACGATCGGGTATCGACGTAATCTGCACCATCTTCATTCCGATGTAACATCATCGTGTTCGGCAGTTCTTCTACGGTTGTAGTTGACGTTTGCTTTGCCTGTTCTTTCTGCATTTGTTGCCAAGGCCAACTTCCCGATGGCTTTTTAGGCAAAGGATCTCTTTCGGGAGGTATCTGGGACGATTCTGTAAGGGTCACCGAAGGCCATATCATTTTCTGTACGAGTATTTTATACATTAACAGTGCCATTAATTTCACTTATGCGTCAATGCGACCGCACGCAACAGATACTGACCATAAGCTTCGTATTGTGCCGATCTGGAATAGTCCAAGGGAGAACTAACTGTGGCACGGTCAGGATTTAGTTCAGCGCTTTCAACAGCATGCACTCGCTTGGGTCCAAAATCATAAAAACTTATGGATTGAGGAGGTCCCTCTTCGCCTGACCGAAGAAAACCGGCAGCAAGATGGTCGGTCACGTCACTCGTTAGGTGCTCTTTATGGTCGAGAGCCGGGTGTTGGCGAATAGGCGGTGACGTATGCAAGATTCCTGGTTCTAAACCGAATCAGTTGAAAAGCGGAAAATTATTTATTCTGAGTCAGTTTCAATAATTTTTTGGTAAGTCTATTTCCCCTTATGGGCACTGACCACCAGCATGCCAAACAGACTAACCTGATGTGCCGATATCGACATCTTCCGAAGCTGTATCGAATCGCATGTCCCCATCGGATGAAACTTTGAGCAATGGATTATACGTTTCCGGTTCAACTGTCTTATCCGGACGCTCCAGCTCCGCCTTCTCCTTTTCAATCTGCAATTCCTTCCAGGGCCACGTTCCCGAAGGCGATTTCGGTAAGCGAAAATCTTTGTCTTGAAAATTCTTATCGTCGGCATCTTTGACCTCTGCTATACGGGCACACCAGTTCAATTACTCTCCACACACAATAGCAATACGGTATGTGCGGTTTGGTACAAAACATTTACAATGCACATCCGATTTTTGTCTGGATCGAGACGAATCCAGAAGACGTGCCGATGATTTTCCTGCCGGCACCGTCGCCGAACGCGTCGTCGACGGCGCTTTTGCTGTGCTCGGCTCGCTGTTCGCTACCGGCGAAACACTGTGTGCTCTCTCTGCTCCCTGTTGCTTTTTCCTGTGCTGCGCTTCAGCCGCTAATCGTTTGGCCGCTTTCCGGTGAATGTTTTGCTCGAAGGGATCCTCGAACTTGCACCGATGTGGACGCGGTCGTCCGGTGCTGGGCCGGCGTCTGGATCGACTGCGCTGCTGCGAAGCCCGGCGCTTTTCTTCTTCTTTTTGCCGGTACTCGATGGCCAGTGTCTCCTTTCGCGTGCCCTTCACTGCCGGGCGTGACTCTTGCCGGCGCCGGCGACTGCAATCAGCCAGTGCCCGTTCCTTGTTCAGCTTCATCCGCAGTCGTGAACCAGCGGTGGAATGTGCGCGTTCCTTGTCGTAATGTGCCGTATCGGGCGCTTCCGTGTGGTGATGCTCCAAATCCAGCATGCGCTCGGCACGGGTTTTCTCCAGTTTCTTAGCGTGGTGAGTGTGATAGCGGTCTTCCCAATGGCGAAAGGCACTCTGTTGCCGGCGTAATACGGCAACTTTTTTCATGTCCTACCCATAAGAACTTGCGTCATAATGATTGTATTCAGGAATTAATGCCAAGAAATTCCAGTGCATTGATCGTCTGAGACGCTACATCAAACTGATCAATGTGATCCAAAAGGTCGCACTGCGAAATCTTGAATATATGACAGCGCAGTAAAGTTACCTCTTCATTGTTAATATCAATATTTTTGTAATAGATATCCTTAAAGCCAAGATTTTTCATGTTTTTCATAACCTGGAAAACTCACCAGTTATGGTATTTCTGCGCATCTGAACAATGCAAAGAATGTCTTACCGTTGGCTGTTTAGCTTCGTATGCCGCATTTTTAACAGCTGAAAACACAATCTAATTCATTTTAAAAGAGTAGTTGAAAGTTATTGCCACCGGATTTGCCGGCAGTTACCCCGTAATTGTTCTTCCAAGCGGATAACAATGTAATCTAGCGGTCTGCTCATAATTTCAGCCTTGGCACCCTGCATGGATGCTTCGTTCATTTTCGTTCCCGCTCGAACTAAACGCCGCATGGCATCCGGCAGATACGGCAACAGTGCTCGTTCCGGTGCCACTTCGCGCCTTTCGGCTCTCGTCAACAAAGTTATTTTCCGCAACTACGAATGGAATTCCATGCGTGTATGCACGATTCAGAAATGTACTAATCTAGCATCCACATTTAGACTTCCAGCCAAAGATGTAAAGGTCAAGTGACAGAAATAACGCAACACCATCGCTGAGAAATGTCCGTAGCTGCTGTGAAATGCATAAGATTCTTGCGAGTAAAAATAATAGCCATTAAAAAATACATAGTCTAAGTTACGATAATATGAGCTCTTCAAAGCGTTGACCGCATTGAATGCTGGCACTGTCGTACCGTTTCCTGTGTACTTTGAGCCTTTCCCGATTTCGAAGGACCGAATATGACCTCGTAATCTTTTGGATGGATAATTCCATGCTCGAGCAGCACTTTGCGCATATTGGGTCGTGCATAATAGCTTTCCAGATATGGATCGTTAAGTTCATGGTACGAAGGATAAGGTGCGGGTGCCGCTGATAAATAGAAATCGGGTTTGGGGATACGACGCCGGCTATCGACTTTGAATGCTTCTACCCTTAACGCGCGATTGACCGCAGGATGGTCGCCCTAAATTGTTACACTTTCGGATTAATTGTGAATGTAAATCAAGACAAAAAATTATTACGCATTTTACTAAAACAGTAAACATTAACATACCAGCAGTTTACGGTGGTTCTAATAATATTTTAGTCAGTACCTACTTGGTGCGACCACATGGCCGAATCGTACAGCTGATGCTTAAATACGCGCTATGCTGCTCCAGATTCTGTTGCCAGTCGTTGCCACGGTTTTCCCAGCAGGCAGTTACAAACAACATACAGATTCAGTACTTGATCGTACCTTACCATTGGAGCTAACTGGTAATTACGTTAAAAGTGCTCTGATTTTAGTTTGTTTCTTTATTGTTACTCTAACGACCCGAACAGAATCAGTGTTTAATTCAACGCGCAAGTTCAGAACTGAATATTGTGCACAAGAAAATACAATCAGGAAGGACTCGGCCAAACATTCTCTACCGCTGTCAAAAGAGTAACTCGGAAACAGGAAGAGTGTCACATTACAATTCTCGTTCAAATTGTTTATCGTTAATTTTTAACGGGACCCTTGTTCCTCGACTGGATAACTGTGCGCTTTTGCAAATGCAGAATACCGGTCAACGCTCTGCAAAACCAGAATTTGGGTTAACCCGGATAAACCTGTACTCGTATACAGTTGGTCAACTGCAAGTTTGCACGCACCCATGCACCTGGAGCGAACACTTCCTTTTCCAGCTGTAACACCGCGTCCTTCTACGCAAACATTTGTTCTGTTAGCAACGACAGGGCTGAATTCGTAAACCTGATAGCCACATTCTTACTTCCGATTCACTTGAAGGTTTCAGATTCGTCAAAGGAAGCTGCATAAGAAACTGCCGCAGCTGGCTGTAATATTCTGGGTGGATGTCATCGTCTCGCGTGCGAATACTTTCCACGACAACATTCATTCGGCCAATGAGATAATAAACTTCGTCGCGATCACAGGTCCGTTTGAGCAGCAGAATAAGATAATAGAGGGCTTTATCGTATCCTTCCTGTTTCAGTGATCGTTCGTACAGCACATGAAACCCTAAATCACATACAAGTTGATGCAAAATTAAAATATATCGGTACTTCACATGCAACGCCATACTCACCTGGAATTCCTAAGCGGAGTAAAACAACCTCAGGCAGCAGAGCCAGAATCGTTTTGTCCCCGTCCACTATTTGCAGAGATCCTCTCGATCGACTGAGGCAATCGAGATAACTAAAATTCACAAGTTGAAATATAATCCAAGAGCAGGAAAAGCAGCTATCTCAAATATGACATACAGATTCGATACTTGAACCAGAAAATTGTCATCAGCCTGAGCAGCTGATTCCAGAGCACCTCGAAAATCGCGCTTTTTCAAAGCCTCAAATGCATCTTGCCGATTCAGCTCAGCCAAAGCAGACTGCAGTCCATCGATAGCAAAAGCGTTCTCTACAGCCCGTCGCGATTCCATAGTTTCAAAAGGAACTTGAGAGATCAGTTCAGCCACAACGGATCTAAATAACATTTAACATGACCAGAACAGGAAACTTAAACAAATGGATAACAATATAACTATGTGGATATGCAAAATTAAGCCGTTCACTCACTCTCCTTTAAGGCGGCAATATTTCAGGTAACGGACAGCAGGAAGCCAGTTATTACCGCTCACGTTCCAGGTGACGTATTCCACAATAATTGCCTCGCGAATTTCAGCACAATCTCCCTCAGTGGCCCTAGAAAACACCTGTCAGGTTAACTATCCGTAGATGCATTGTTCTATTAAAACCTCTTCGCTTACCGATCCAATAAAGACGACATTCCATAACAAAACAGCAAATCGAACGTATGCACTGTAAACCACGTATTCCGAAACAAAATTCTGTAAAACGAAGACCTAGAATGCAGCTTACCATGACATATTTTTGAAGATTATAACCTACCTAATTAAATCAAAGACTTTGTCCCAATTCATTCTCAGAATACTTTCGAAAATATCATCGACCAGTTGGGGAAAGGATCGCTTCGGACACATTGCAAATGCATCCTGTAACGAAACAAACAAAACAATTATAATACCGTATTGGTTACACTGACTGGTCATCTACGTAGCGCGGCGGTAAATTATGGAAAATATGCATGCGTAAATCGGCTTACCGATAATAGCTGAAGATTTTGAGCCATTGTGCTGGAAGCGCCAAACATTCCGATATGAAGAAAGCGGCTTATGTACAGACTTATCCAAGAAGAAAACTGATACCTACCACAAAGAAAAACCAATTTCACGCGCCGCAACTTGAGAAGACAATGCTTGCAAAAAATTAATAGGTTGCACAACTTGTGGTATACAACAATGTTTTTTCACATAGAATCGCACCCAAGTGCCACCCATTCGTCAAAGTCTCCCAATAAGACCCGAAATACGCGTGCTACCGCTGTGTTAGAGATAACTGTTTCCTCCTGCATCAGCTGTTCCACGCCACTTCTCCACTCAGTAACGCTTTCTGCTGTCGCATTTGAGCTCTACGATTTGATCAAAAGAATAAATATCTAAACACAGTTAAGTACACTGAGTAACATATTAAAATATTAAAACAAGATAAAAATATAACTCACAAACACAGGGCAACGCTCAAGGACTTGCACCATCGTCTGCACAGCCAAATCGTCCCTCTGTTCTGCATCCAAATTATCCACTGAGGCCACTGCTTCAGAAAAATTCCCTGCACAACGAAAACAATTAACCTCAAACCGTAAGTAATTAAGAAGGCAAGTCCGCAAGCACACCTAGCAGAACGTAGCGAATAATACTGTCCCAAATGACCGGATTACGATTCTGCGGCGAAGTGTTCGGCATTTTGGTCAAAGGTGGACCCAAGGAATCCCGAAATGCCAATAAGCGGATGATATATTTCGTTGAAAATTCGGCCGGGTCATCTGCAGTAATGCCGGTTACTGGAACTTTGTCAGGCTTTGCATTTTCACAACAGCGTCTTCGAAAATGATTAATCAAATTTTCCAAAACACCAATCGTTACGTCGATGAATACTAAAGTAGTGTGTCACGGGACGTACCATTGATTCGTTCAAAAAATACAATCTGGAATAATCTCCATATATACACCAGGTTTGTAAAGACATCCAACTGCTCCCTTAAACTGTTATCCTCGCTGAAATCCTGCGTTTCCAATGCTTCATATATTTCCTGTCGGATTTCCTCCAACAAGATGAGGTAACGCGACCAGTGGCTCAACATGCTGTAAGTTGTAAACGATAGAACAAATACCGCAGCCGAAGCTCCTGACTCCTCCAGCCATAAATTTCATGAGAAACTTGAAAAACATGAAAAATACGCACCTGACGTAAAACTGCTGGTCTTCTCGGTTTGAAACACAATCGGAAAGGTTCTGCACATCCCGAAAAATAGCTAGAAATTTAACACAAATCCACAACAACGATGAAAGCAGAAAACCCATGCATCGACACTGACAGTTACGATGAGCATTAACACTTAACAGCCGAAAGACTTAAGAGCTCTGACTCACTGTAGGAACGGTCCATTAAGCGTTTCCAGTATATTCCAAGATTCCTCGGAGGAATTAAGTCGCTTATGCCGTCGGAGATTTCAGGTTGCCGTGGGTATGCCCGTTTCTGGAGATACTGCTGCATACCTCTTCGAGAGGCATCCAGTTTATGTCTATTTTCAATGTCCATCTTTGTCGCTTTCCAAATGAAGTCAGTCTCCGCACCTTTAACTCATTCGGCTCCTTAGCAAAATCAAACGGAGTTGTCACAAATGTCCAGCAATTCAAGAGTACAGAATGGTTTAGAAAATAAAAACTGTCACTGTGTCGCACGTTATAGAATTTGACTGCTCGAAAAGTGCAAAAAAATATCAGAAAAGTTGAGAAAACTGCGGCTGGATATGCACTGTACAATGTACTTACATGTACTGACTTCAGATCGTGAGTTTGGCGAAAGGCCGGTACTTAAATGTGACCGTCATAAGAAGGCGATCAGGCTAGTGTCGAGTTGTCTATCAGCGATACCGCCCAGTCTTCCGGGTGTAACGCTAACGAAATGCACTTTTTGCTGCCCAGTTCCGCTAACTTGCTTCTCTTTGCTTATTTATCCAGGAGCCTTCAGAGTTCAGGCATGAGAGTCGTTTAAATTCAGAATCGGTGCTGTAATAAAATTGATGTTACAAATTTTTTTATATTTATTGTAATCTTTAGTTAGAATAATTACCAGGAGGAAGGCTTTATCTACATTTTCGCTGCTATTGCTGAAGCAGTCTTGCGTTGTATAAGTAGCGAGTGATAGTATACTGAGATGCCATGTTGAAGTTGCGGTTCCAGGTCCTGTAGTGACAATTGGAGATGGTGATTTCCATACGTTAGCGATCCCGAATTTTACCTTGGTCGACTGACAAGCTGGCATCACACATTATGGCATTCGCCACGGTATTTGCAAGCAAGACAACAAAATTATTCGCCAACGTGACTCGCATTTCTGAAATAGAATGCTTCAGGTGCTGTTTTTGTAGTTACGCTGTGCTCGCCTTGGCTGGAAGACAGCTTCAGTTTCCTCTGCGTCCGCTCTTATGCAGATTTCAGTGCGATCCGTGGTATTGGCTTGTGATCGTAATGGCGGTGTTGTTAAGGTAATTGTGTTTTTTTAAGCCAACGAAAGACAGCTCGGAAATGTAGACGTTTTTAGGGGATGATGCGGAGCCGCTGCGCAACCCACGCACTCGTGTATGATTTTAATGGCCAGTCTGGCCCTGTTTTGAGTTCTTTCCCCTCAGTTTCGCATGCACTTGGCAGATCTTCAGGAAGTTGTCATGCTACGGAATTCAGGTGGTTAAGCACCGGTAATCTACGTCAAAGTCCTGGTGATGCTCACAGAAAGCGTACGCGAACAACGCTCTATTATCTAATTTCGGTGGCGGTAAGCAGCTTCGTATTCGTGATGCTCTTTTAATCGAAGTGGTGGCAATATTTCCAAATTGTTAGGTGCTGCTTTTGGGATTGAGCTATGCGGCAGTTCCGATGTACAGAGTATTTTGTCAGGTACTGTTGTAGTGCGCAGTAAATTTTAATTAGGGCCGCGCCGCCCACGCGGATTGAATTATTTTGCTTAGTGGTCTTCTGTACTCGTATTTAAAGTAGTGGATAGGGTGTCAAAAGGCTATGGCAGCTATGCCATCGCGAAATTTTTTTTTCTTCGTTTACTGTGGTTTGACTGTTTTAAGCATTTGAACTTGTTGCGCCGGAAACCGGCCGCTCAGTCCCCTTACAGTTTAACATACCTTTTTCCAATCGTGATACTGCTTGCGTCGTTTTCAGCCTTCAGATAAGTTTACCATATTGAAAACATTTTTTAAAATTTTTTCCATTTGTTGCTACTGTTCTGCAGGATCTAGAACATAATTTGTACATGAAGCAGTTTGTATTTCTGTACTTGTATGTTTTAGGTTACTGGTATCGGTGGAGCGTCGAATTTAGCAAAACACGATGCTGACAAAGTAGAGTCTATGAAAAAAGTAGCGGACCAGAAATTAACGATTAGGTTCAATGCCGACACTGCTTCACATCTTCACTGGCACTTCAAGCCACTGCAGCGGGAAGTCGTGGTAGGCTGCATAAGAACGTACGATTTCAAGGATCTGTTCTTATGTTATTTCGTGCGATCAACAAGTGTTATGCCTACCTAATTTTAATTTGTTATCAGGGTTTTTGGCTTACTGATTTTTTTTTTTAGGTTTATCCCGGTGAAACCGCTCTCGCTTTTTACACCGCTACAAATCCTACTGATCGTCCGATTACGGGAATTTCTACATATACTGTTTTGCCGTATGAGGCTGCAAAGTATTTAAACAAGATTCAGTGTTTTTGCTTCGAAGAACAGCGACTAAACCCCCACGAGCAGGTAATCTTTAATATTACCTGATGTGATAATTACCTGATGATTATTAATATTAAAGATTACCTGATGTGAAATGCTAATATGTTTGCATACATACCTAATTCTTGGCTTGGCAGGTCGATATGCCCGTGTTTTTCTATATTGATCCGGAATTTGTGAATGATCCATGGCTGCAAAAGACTAAAACTGTTACGTTGTCGTATACGTTTTTTGAATCGAAAGAAGGCAACAAGTTTCTTGGAGGATTTCAACCTCACACTTGGAGCTCGGCAAAGCCGCAACCGTCAGTTTGAGGGCTGGGTGGATGATCGTGAGAGAAGGAAGTTATTTCTGGATAACGCCAAAATGGAATGGTACACAATTTGAAAATTACGGTTTGTGTTGGATACGTATTTTGCTTAAATTCCTTTAACCTATTTTCATAACACCGTTATACGAAAACAATTTTTCAAAAACATTTGTAGCGACGCCTCTTAACTGCAGCCAGTAGTGAGGATTTCTTGGTTAGTGCACAATTACATACGCACGTTTTACCGGTAGTACAATATAATGCAGCACGGTCACCATGAAATGTATCGAATGCGGTTGGTACTGTACTTACTAGTTACCTTTGTTGAATAGAAGGTTACATGACTTGTAAACTGCCAGTTGTTATTGTCGGCGACTAATAGAGATTTATTAGTGTTGCAGATGTATCCATTTAACTCAGTGTAAAAGTTTACTCAGTTTTCTGATATTGTAGATTGCCCATATTGGAATGCCGGCTGTTGTCACCTGAACTTCCAAACCGGCAGGTGAAATGTCTGTGACGAACACGGCACACGATTAAAGATGATTTTCCTTGTTGCTGCAGTTTTGAATCATGGTATCTCATTAAAGTGTAAAAACTTGTGTGTGTGCATCTTCGATAATTTTTACAACCGCAAGTCAAGCTGAGAAAATTCTTCTATGTGTGGTGTTAAATGACCCAGTCCATACTGGCATTTGCACAGTCAAGCATGACAATGAGAAAATGGCATCGTCTTTCTGACCATTTGTCAGAAATAAATAACTCCAGCTTTCTGCGTGCCGGGTGACCGGGGTGAGATACGCCTGATACGGTATAAGATGTACGAGTATTGTACATGTATTAATTTTGTGCATCCAGCGCCTATTAGTCTGTCTGTATTTTTAAAAAAAAAGTAATGCTGGACTCATTACAAATTCAGCGGCAACGAAACTTGAATCAACAGGTGCTGCCAACAACAGCGTACATCATTGCGGGTAGTAGATTCTAACCGCACACATACATTACGATGCTATAGCGCTGGCGTCGGATGTTCGCCGCTGCATATTTCCAGTGTTGTCTCACAATTAAAATACGCCAGAAACTCTCCCGATTAGCTGAGCTTTGTGTGTATTTGTTTTAGAGAGCAGTTCGATGTTGACAAGTTGTCCTTTGCTAACTGATTGTAACGTCTTTATGGGTATGAAGTTTTAAACTGACCAAACAGTGCGCATACGACTTGAAATTTAGCGGCGTCCTTTAGTAATAAAATCTCTTATCGTTCGTAATCGTTGTTTTGGCGTCGCGTCGCGTCAGTTTAAAGGCTGGAAAAAATAACCGGCGAACTCGCCCCGGTCTGTTTGGTAAATTTTCCTCCATTGCAGTCATAACCAAGTGATAGAGAAGCTGGATCCATTAGTCGGATTTTGTTCCTAGTTTATGTCACCCGAAACGGAACGAATTAGTTATCACTTATCAGTACTCAGTTTTTCCCGCAAAATCACAGCGTATGATTCAAACAGACAGATAACGAAAAACAACTGGGAAATTAAGTGTGAATTATTAATCCAGCCCGACTTTTTTTCTGTCCAAGAGTAGAACTTTGAACATGTCCTTGCTTTCTCATTGGCCGACTGGATGGCAGCCACTGACCCCACCCTTACTTCTCCCGACGGAGAGCGCGTCGTCAAACGTCCTGCCAAACCTGCCACTAGGAGGTATGCTAATACTAGTGATAACTATGTTTTGTGCTCTTCTTCCGTACGAATTATAATTAATTATTTCGTTGCTAGTTTTGTGCGCCTGGTTATAATAAATTCTGGCATTGCGAGTTATGGAGTTCTTTATTTTTATCCGTATTGAAAACAGACTGTGCCGCTAAAGTGATCTTTAACCTTTTTTTAATCCGCTCATTTCTCTGGAGTTTCCGGTGTAGTTGTTCTGCAGCAGTCTGTCGATTATCGCCAAACTTTGATACGAGACCGCGGGTACGTGATTAATTAAGCATTAAGCAGCTTCTTGTTTTATTTGTACTAAATGATGGGAAATAATAATATAAATAGAATTTGATGAAGCAGAATGTTGGACTTAATAATATGATAATATTAATGTCGAAATTCCGTTATCCAAATTTAAATTTGCCCTTCATTCTGTACCCACTGTTATTCATGTTCGGTTGCTTATGATACTTATATTGCGCTGCTGTGGAATTTTTGCAAACTTTTCGCCTGTATCGAGCAGGCAATGGATGCGCTCAAAGCCCTTTGTAGTGTTGTCTAAACAGTGAGTTGACCATGAGTGACATTCTTGTGAATTGTTTTTTCAAGTACTTTCCCTCGCATTATAGTCTTCTGAGTTCTGAGTAACCTTTAACTTTGAAAGTAATGCTGTGAGCTGTAACCTTTAACGCCGTGGCAGTTAGATGCACGCCTAAAAAATAAGTGCATTTTAATGTTTCACCCTTTTTTCCCGTTGTTGGCTTTTTCATTAATTTTTCGGCAAACTTTCACTAATTCTATAAAAAGTGTGCACTGTGCAACTGATTGGCATTGCCAAATTACATCCTCGGCAAAATTCACGTGCGTGACTCACAGCACAGCCGCAGGAGCATGCACCTTCGATTCGAATCATTCAATGCAGATACTTAAGTAATTTATACACACTAAGTACTAAGTACTGTATTTAAATTAAAATGTATAAAGTATGGAGTAAATACAATAATACTACATAACAACATAACAACACATAACACATACACATACACACATAGCACATACATACATAACAACACGTACCCGCCTACGATATTGTATAGCTAGTAGGTACTGGTACTGGTTTTTTTTAACTTTAGTTATTGCTGCCACCGAATTTACTGTAATACTTTTGTTTTTTGTTGCTAAATATCGTGCAGTATTTTTCCAAGAAATTTTTGTCCGTTGTAAGTTGTAACCAAGATATAGACTAGACAGTGCTCAAGGAAATAAAAATGCAAAACTTATACTATATTCATCCGTGCTTGGCTTGTTCAATACTAACGATAAGTGCAGTACTCGGAGTACAATATTATGTGAATGATGAACGTGCTTGCTTTAGCGGTTCTTCTCTGGTAGACTTGTACATATTAATAGGAAATTAGTTGTAATGATAGAGTGACATGACTGTTAGTAGCCTGGTAAGATATCTGCATTTGAAAGAGTTAGCTACTGTAGTTGGATAATAACAATAAAAAAAACTGTCTAAATAAAAATCGTCTAGGAGCTGTAAAATGTCATTGATTGAGATTTAAGTGTAAACTATTCGTATATCGATCGTATTTCGTATTTTACACAGTCTTTATTGCCGTATTGTACATACAAGCTGAACGCCATTTACACTTCAACTTGAGACGTTTTAATAAGTATACTTCTATATCTATATTTTCGTATTTTGTACTCGTACACGAATCAGGCAGTACAGTTCTGTCAAATCGGTCTGAACGAAATTGGGAAGTTCTACTGTACTCTATCTTACTATTTAAGATTTTAAGTTGTCTTCACCTGCTTTTTCAATATTACCGAGTAATCAGTAATAGTTCAGTCACTTCAATGTATACTACTTAAGTGTTTTTTGTTGTGGTACGGTCCGTATTTGTGTATTTTGTTGTGGTACGGATTTTGATGCTACAACAGGGTTGTAATACAGCGGTGTTTTTGGGCTTAAGCATTCATGATCATGATCAGCTACTGAATTTTTCTTTCCAACTGTAAATATCGGCATATAAACGCTATTATTACAACAGAACATCACATTATTATGGTGATCTGCTAATTTTTGTAGAACATAAAATTGCAGATTACAACAGGTTTGTTGGTTGGCTAGCTTGGCTTATAAATCGGAAGGTTCGAGAGGATATATCTATTTGCTGCTATAATAGCAGCAAATCGTAAGCAGTTTGCCAAATTTGAAATAAAAGTGGTCCATCACCGTCCGATCTTTCGAATCTTCATTTAGCCTTCACTTATGTAACAGTTTTGATTATTGCATAACGTTTCCCTTGAATTCTTCTCTTATCGTTTGTTTTTTATCCTCAAGCTTCTCTTTGCGATTGGCGGTATGATACTGGTCGTACTCTTTTGTATTATAAAGCGAATAAGTACGTAACTTGTTTCTGCATTCGCGAACGGTTAAGCCATAATAAGTAGAGATAATCTTAAGATGTTCAAGTACTTAAATAATGCTAGAAAATAATTAAGCACAGTGGTACCAGGTATAGCCTGCGACAAAAGGCAAAAAACAGAATATGCAGTAGTGCAAAGCAAATGTACCTACTCGCAGGAGGTGGTTTACGTACTTATGTCAGAGCGGCGAGAGTTGATTTACGCTTTGACAGTGGGTGAGGTGACTGATGTGTTGTAAAGAAGAACAGGACAAGGGCACTGGTCAAAAGGAGATTGCCTGATCCGCCAATCGCTGAACGCCCGGCATGGGCAGTTGACTTGATCCACCAGCCGTGAATTATTTATTAATGTCTTGTCTGTTTGCGAAAACCGCCGCAGTTGCTCTCCAGAGCCTTATGCGTGTATGTAGACATTAGACAACCCGAAACGTGACCTTATAGTTAGGAAGAGTGAGCCACTCCACAGTCCAGCCACTCTACAGTCCAAACTGTGGCACTCACTCGTGTGGCAAACCACCGATAGCAACGGTACAAGCACGGTAAATGAGGGATTTTCACTGTTTTGCAACTTACTAGCCGCTGTTTATTCACCATTCCAGATATCTTATTCTAGATGTAAGTGTCGAAATGGCATTTTTTTATAATAAAAGCTTTACGACATTTGATTGATTGATTGCCCGGTGATCCATAATTGTGTGTTTGTACTGGTACTTCGCTCTTTTGACCATAAGAACTTTTTCCAGTGTTTGTCGTCGCATGGTTGTCCTCTAGCTCTTTATAATAAGAACATAGCATCACTCGGCGTATCAACCGAAGAGCACAAACCTGGAATTCGTGTGTGCGATAAACTTCCGCCGGTACAGATAGTTTCTTGCACGTTCCTTTCATACGGTAATTCTAATGCAGTTAATCCGACTTGTGGATGTGTGCTTTGATTTATTGACCTCTAATAAGTATCACAATGCAAGTAAAAAGTACAGACTGAGTACGAAAACAATTTGATCTGATTTAATTGTCCTTTCTTGTCCGGTTTTAATTTATTGCACCCTTTGATTCACAGTTGCCGGCCGATCAGCATTCGTTGCACGGTCACCAAAGCTGCATGCCCCTATACCCGTGAAACCGCCGGCATCAGGAGTCTTGTCGCGTCGGTATACAGCGACTTCATCTATCAACATCTGGTCCAAGGACTCTGCGTTTTCCCTCGTTAGACAGGAGGTTAAGAAAGCGGAAATAGCCTGTCGATTCATAGTTGATATGAATTCTGTAAATGTCCCATTGCCATCGCCACAGAAACGCGATCGACGATACTTTAACGAACGACAAGGTCCGCTAGAAATGGTAAATTATGACAACAAAATGATACAGAATGTCTAAGAAAATCTAAACGCACTTTGTAGTTTATTGTGCGGTGGTTTAAGCTTCTCCGAATGCGAAAGTGCAGTAGAAGTATCCAACTATCCATACTGCATAGTGCATACATTACCCGTTCGAAGGGAAGTGGTCCGGTACAACTGTACATGATACCAAATCCGTAATACTTCTTGTACATGTACATACTGATACGATGTGTTCCTTCAATCCTGTTCATAATACTTCCTGTACTTCTCGTACATGGAAACTTACACTTTTGGGCGCTCCAAAACACTTTTTTCCAATGTTTTATTCATGCCATAATCAGATTAAATTTGTATACATTGGCGCGAAACTCCTGCGCGCGCTACATCCGGTTAGGGAGTTATGGCTGTAAGAAAACTCGAAAACCTTAAACGCTTTCAGGTGTTCCAAAAGTTTCACTGAACACCAATTTTCTTTAAATGCATATAAGTACGAAGATCGTATTACACCGAACCCGACTGTGAGTTCCAATTTTGTCAAACTGCGAAATAATTTAAAAATTTTTGGAATTTGCTTTAGTTTTCGAAAAATACTAGAACCGTGCTTCAGTGTGAGTCTACTGTGAGAACGATCGATTCTTAATACTTCTGTACGTTTCTGTGTAATATTCAAAAAAGTCCGGTTAATAATGAGACTTGGAAACCGACCGACTTTTGGAAACCTGCATGTCTTGAAACTTTTTGGATTTTCTCGCATACTTAACTCACCAATCCAGATGTTGCGCGCACAAACTGTTTTCGATTTTCACGCCAATTTTCACATCATCTGGCTACGGAATGTCATAAACATTCCAAAAAAGTGTTTAAGTAACTGCGGGAAAGTGAACGTTCACGCATTTGTTAAGTTCATATCTTGCTGTACTGTTATATTGTAAGAGTATAGTAAAATACAGTTTTTTGTATTTTTCGATACTTTTTCGGCTGATAATGTATTTTATTCTATCTTTATGTGCCTATAAATACTGGTATAGTCTCTGACTGCGGTTACAGCTTCCCGCTGCTAAACAGACTACCATTATTTTGTGTTCTAAAGATTAATGATCTGTGCTTAGCGAAATAAATACGCCGAACATGTCCATAAATAAATGTCCATAAATAAGTACAGTTTATAAGTAATAATAGCGTTTAGACATAATAATAGCGTTTTTTGATTTTGTCAGAATGGTAAAAGAAGCCATCATAAAGTTGGACCTGCTCTGCGCGAACTGTTTAAAAAGAAGTTCAACTGCCAAACATGCGGCAAGTATTTCCAGTATCCACGAAGCCTGGAAACGCACAAGCTTGTCCATTCGGACACCAGGCCACATGAATGTCCATACCAGTGCGGAAAATCTTTTCGGCAAAGTGGGCATTTGCAAACGCACATTCTCATCCATACGGGTGCAAAACCGTTCAAATGCCCGGTCGGAGGTAAGCCTTCCTCCGCTTATTTTCGCACTTCCATTTGTGTTAATTTCTGGATTATCACAGCGATACACCCCTATATATATAGATATGCAGTTTAAAAATAGTCACTCAAAGGTTTTTTTTGGAATTTCGTTAATTAAATTTTCTCTGGTTGATTGTTTGGTTCTTCGGTTGTTTCACGTTTTCCGTTTATTGTACTTTACTTTCCCAGAGCAGTTTACAAATATTGTTGTCTGAACTGTTTTGGTTGTACCAGAGTTATTTTACCAGATAAGTTATTTTACTTGGTTTGGTTATTGGAATTTCGGTTCAAGTGTAAATGGCATTGCCTGCATAAATTTGCAATAACGTTATAAAAATTCCTTATTGATTCTGATAACCGAGCTGGTCAACTACTGAAATTAAGTACGCATCTGAGTATAAAGAGCACAGGCAATTAGAACAGGATTGCCACTGTGCAAGACTCGAGTATTAACGATAAGTACCGTATATTCGGCATTTTCCAAATGACGTTTTGCAGGTTGCCTTACACCGGCTTTTCGTCACGCCAACCGGCGTTGTCCCCAACATCCGCATGAGCGGCTCAAGAAAGTTATTCCTGCGTTGGGAGAAAAGGCAGTGGATTTACGGTTTTCCGCTTCGCGATCCATCTCGCTTAGCCCGGCGTCAACCGAAAACCATCCCGAGGATGTAGCAACCGCCATGGCTTTGGTGGAACTGTCGCGAAATGCTTGCAATGTGTTCAGTCGACAATAAGTGAGTATATTCCGAGTTAGTATGACTATATTCTGTTAGTTGAATTAACGCGCATTTTTTGGGCTGTGCTCCCCTATTGCCCCTAAATTTTGTGTTTTTTACTGTATGGTTGTAGGTTTGAGTTTATGACATGTGTAGTACGATTTTTGTTTTTGTAGTATGATCTGGCACTTCTCGTTCTCAAAAATATTAAATTTTACTAGTCCATAATATTTTATGCAGTGCAGCCTTTTGTTATATCTATATAAACTGAATTCTGTGCAGCGAAAGACGCAAAACTTGCGCCAAATACGAAAAAATAAATTTTACTTCTACTTCTTGGAAAACAACTAACGCAAATGGTACTGACGGGCAGGATTGACGTATTTTAACTTTAGTACTGACGGGCAGGATTGACGTATTTTAACTTTAGTGAAAGCAGCACACCTAATATCTTCAAAAGTGTGTCCACACGATCAGATAAATAATACAAAATATCAACCTCAAGATTCTCTGCAATGTACATCAGTAAAAACTACAAAAGAAAGCACGCGGTAAAAGATACGCTCTATCGATGTGAAATTGTGAATGGCTCATGCAATGGCTGAATACAATTGGGAAAAAATCTGGCAAACCACCGATACGGCAATCTGCAAGAAACATAAACAACTTGATTTCTCGTCCGATATTTTACACGTAATAAACGTGGTGGTACATATTCCGATGTTTGTATTTCTCGTCAAAATCAGCCACAACATCCCCAATAATGTCGTCTCTGGAAACAAAAATTGCCAGCATAAGAAACAGATAGACGCGAATATTTTTTTATAGTTTAGTGCAGGTGAGAAGAAGTGCAGAAAAGAAAGCCACTATGGCTTTACTCACTAAACAAAAGTGACAGTAAGTCAGTACTCAGTAGCCATAAGAAATTTGTTGTTCATTACTTACTTATTAAAATATGACAAATTCCACAAAACACCACTAACACAGTTTTCGCTAACACAAAATTAATTTCATAACGAAATTTCAAAACTCAAAAAAACCTACCTAATGTAGACTCTATTTAAGGCCGCAAAGACTCTATTTAAAATGTACACTATACTGACTATAGTAAGTACTTATTTGCTTACGATTATTGTCACATACACAGATACTACTGAAACTCATATCGCACCATTATTAATATTATGTTGCTGATTTCGCTCTTGCTTTTGGCAGAACCGTCCAAACTAGCTGGTAAAACTATTGAAATACTTACAAATGTTCGGCCTCTTCCTGCAATTTCTGGCACAGTTCGCAAATAATAAATGCCGCTACGGTAGCTTCATCGTGATTATCCAATATATCCATATTAATAACATGCGCCGGACGAAATCCGTAGCTTAGCTCGGCCAAATGCTCCGTGACCTGGTCGAATACACGTTCTTCACAGCAAATAATCACATCAAACGGCTCCACATTATCCTGAAATCTTTCCGGACGAATTTTTATTCGACGATTACGATCTAACATGTTGAGTAGGCCATTGCTGGTGTACAGGTGCTGATCCTGATTGTATAAATCACGGTACATATCATCGTAGCTCACATCGAAACTGTAGACATTCGGACGATCGGCAGCAGGTCCCGGCAGCTTCACACAATTTCCAGAACCAAAAGACCTTACCTGCATTTAACGACATATCAACGAGAAGTCGTTTTCAACAGTTTGAACTTCTATAATTTTTATTATTATAAAATGTCATGTACTCGCAATTTACAGAAAACAGCTTACGTTGAAACCCCTTTTCGCCATGAAACTGTGGGCTTCCATACTTCTGTTCTGATTGCTTGAGCAGACCACGGCAAACGATAAAACGGGCCTTTCCATTTTTCTCTGAAAACAACAAAACACGAAAATGCAGTAATGATTAATCGTATCTAACAGTAACATTTATAGTACTGTACTACGTAGCATGTGCTATGATCGTCCAAGATGGTTGAAAATGACGTTATCTGCTGACAAATTATCATTCTATTAAACCACTCTTCTGTAACCGAACGTGAAAATTATAGAGAAATTCGACCAGTTCCTTTCAAATCATACTTTTCAGTCAAGAGTCTCAAGACTCAAGAGTCTCACACCTTGCGAATTGAAATACTCGTACCTCGGTTGCTGCAATCCCACAAGTGGAAACTATTATGCAACCTTTGGCGAAAACTGAAAGAGATTATGAATTTGTACAACAGCTTGTCGCAGGTATTATTACTACAAGAAATATTCCGAATACGCCAGAAACAGATGAAGTGAGCAAAAACAAAAAAACTTCCCAGATCACTGGGATCAGACTGCGTCACTGCAATATTGCAGAAGCAAAATGGAAATCGGAATACGCGCGATGACGAAATTTGCTCGGCGTTTACCACCAGCGAGTACGAATCCTGAATTCATGGTCTATCGGGCTTGATCTTTCCGGTTAAATACGAGTAGTCGGCAAACCGGATATCGGCCATTGCGACAAATAGGTAAGCCAAACTGCAGATTATCGTGAAAAATTGAAAATACAGTGATACTTGCTTACTTTTTTTATCCAGTGAATATGCTGTTAGGTAGTAAAATATTCAGTAAGCTTTGGTGGTTTTTGAAAACGGAAAGGTAATAAATATACTGTAATGCACCGCAATTTAACATTGGGATTGTTACTTACTTTGTACTTGCCATGAACTCAGTCACTCAGACCCTCACAGTTACACTGTTTAAGTGACCGAGATCTGAGTCGCAAGGGCATGGTAGAAAAGGTTGGCATTGATTGTTTAGCGACACAATTTTGTGCACCCCCTTGCCTCAGGCTCGGTGATGTGGCAATGAATATGTGGAAATCAGAGCAGTGCGCGAAGCTATAAAAGCCGTCTTCTGAAGCGCGCTTCTTGTGTTATTTTCTGCCGCTGTCACGTTGTCGGTCGAAAATCTTTGACTCTCTTTGATCGTGTTTTTTTGGGAGATTTTCAACATTAGCTGCATTTCTGCAGAAGGTAAGCGCATGCAAAAGACTACTTCAGGGGATAGTTTTGCTGTTTGTTCAAAGTCAGCGTCATATAATGGATGCTTTCTGGTTTCACGGTTGTTTTGGTTTGCCATTGTCATACGACAAAGTAGAGCTGCTTTTGAAGTGCAATTTTTTCACGCCTGTACAGGTTCCACGTAGCGAACTTGGCTGCTGATTCCACGGAATATTTAATTGGAACGCTGTTTTCGTTACGGACTGCTGCAAAAATGTGTGGTAAGCCGTAAGTTCTCTGGTTCCTAGGAAGAACTGGATGAGCCCTGAGCGGGAATGCTTCACGAAGACTCACTGTTCAGTAGTGCGACTGTACACGATATAAATAAAATTACGAAATCTCGGTAGCATGTTGCGTTTACAACTAAAATCAAAGCTGTAAAAAAGTCATGAAAATTTCTTGCGCTGTGTTAAATAACATATATGTAGAAACTTGTGTTAAATAACAATTATAACATATATAGATATAAATATGCAGGTACGCTATTTGTGTTAATTTAATTTTGATTAATGTTATAATCTTCTGTTTGTTTGAATTATATGTTTGATAAAATCATTGAAATCTCCATTTGTGGCGAAAATACGTATGACTTCCGATCCTCGAGGATCGAAAATTGGGATTTCTAGCTTTCTACATGAGTGCTTTCGGATTTATCATTTTATTTACAACACTTTTATGACGGTTGTACTATTTGTAGTAATTAGCACTTTAGCAGTGAATTTGTTGAGTACTGTACAGTACTAGTATTTTTATTTCGATATAAAATATTTATATAAAAATATAAATAAAATATAAAATTATATGCAATATGCGTCATATAATTTTGATAGCAGGGTATCTTCGGTTTAATAAATTTTGTTAAAATATTGAGTAGAATAACAATTCACTGCAATACTGTGGGATGTTCTCATTTTGACTTTTTGTGTTTGGTTACTGCACTCGCACCGCAGAAATACACTCAACACGGGTTTCCATGATAAGATGAGATGGGTTACGTGTTAGCTTGGATAACTGGCAGAACAGAGCCCTCAAATACTAGTACTGCTTATTAAAAAATTTGAGAGACTCGAATTGGTGAGAATTTTTCGACCGGAAGTAAGCGATATTCTTTGCCGAGGAAATCGTTTAGCTTTTGGTGATTTTAAATTAGATCAGTATTTGCTAAAGCGGTGTGTCAAGTCACGACTGCTGCTGTTTGTGGGTCAAGCGAATCGTGAGGGCACAAGATGGACTAGGCAGATTGCAGTGGTCTGCTTTTTTTCGGTGTCATTACTTCTCATCCGTATATGATAGACATGCCTACTTATTTAGAATTAATTAATCTACCTGGTGCTTTGCACTATAAAGCAATATCTCGTGCGCTATCCTCAATGAAATTCTTTCATTTTCGGTCGTAGCCTACGGCTCTCGGCTACTACAAGTCTGCAAGTGTGATCGTAGTTGTCGTATTATTAGTGACACGTAGGTACGATGTGATATAATATATCATGTACCGTACCTTTAATACCTTAATTGTAAGGTAAAAGCAATTTACTTACAGGACTGTTGCGTAATATGTTGCTTGACGGCCTCGTGGGAATGCATTTTAGACCTGGCGTTCTTTTTTCTGTTGAAACTACAGTATTTAACTTGACCCTTTACCGTATCTACTGATAACGCAATGTTACTCGGATTAGTGCTACGGTGCTACCATACTTTTTTGGATGGATAAGTTGTTAAAATAGGCAACAATTTTTAACAAGAATGAAACTGCATTAAAATGGCTAATAATTATGTTGAATTTCCGGTGTATCAATTGTGGAATTAGAGCAGTTCGGCTTGGCGTTTTAAGTTTTTAACTTCTAGGCATTTTAAACGATTTTGAATTGTTCCGGTTTTTCCGTTAAGCTGTTGCCATGGATCCCCGGGATCAGTGGATAGAAGTGCACATGTTTCGCGGCAAAAAAGATTACGAGTAGATGTTGTAAAAAACCTACTCAGTACTCGTCGAGTGCGTCGAGAATACTACTTAGTACTTACTACATACAGTTAATAAAAATTTTAATAATAATAGCATTTGCTTTTCGAATGTATCGAGTCAATTGCAGTTCAGTACAGTACGTACTTACTGCCAGCACACTACCACGGTACATTTGTGCCCATCCAAAAAAATTGTGTCGCCGTTTTGTTAGAAGTGTATGTATGATTTACGGTTATTTAGTCTGACAGCAACAGCAGTATTGACGTACACGGTTATTTTCCTGGTGTTACTAGTATGAAATATAAACTGTAATCCGTTTGCGAAAAATGATTATTATAGTTAGGAACTGGAAGCAGAATAGGTTGCTTTAGATCCACAATAAATGCAATGCAAACTCGAATTTGTTCTTCTGTGCGAATGCTGACCATACCTCTTTCAAAGCCCGGTTTTAAAATTAAATTCAACAATTCATTATTTTGCAAATGTGGAAGATCGTATTACTTAATTTCAAGATTTGTTATGTTTTAATTCATATACGTATGAGTACTCTGGGTTGATTTAGACAAGAGCGATCGATTACAGTACAAGATCGCGTGTTTTAATGTCGGGTAAATTATTTCGGGAATACGAGTGCAGATGCCAGTTTGATTGCTGAATAGCCTAAAGCAGCTGCTCACCTAGTTTGTTGTATCATTTATCTTTTTGTCATCAGGTATTTTTGCATACATCAACCACCTGGTACCCAAGAAACGTCGCGAAGTTCTTGAGTATATCTTCAACGGACTGCATCGTATGGAGTACCGAGGCTATGATTCTGCTGGGATAGCTTTCGACTGTGGATGCGATGCAAAAAGTATTCATGACACCATTGCTGTGCTGAAAATGCCTGGAAAAGTCAAAGTTTTGGAGAGCAGCGTGATGGGTGATGAAAAGTACGCCGATGACTACGTTTTTAATATCCACTGTGGGATTGGACATACACGATGGGCAACACACGGGGCGCCCTCCGCAGTTAATAGCCATCCACACAGATCTGATGACACAAACGGTAATAAAAACGTTTGCAAAAAGAGCAAAAATGGCGTTGCACTTTTGTCCGCGCATTTGTTACCATTGCCGGCCTGCTTACCTCTTGCTCACCTCTCAATGTCCTGATGACATAATTTGTTTTAGAATTTGTGGCTGTACATAATGGAATCATCACCAATTATAAAGATTTAAAGAAATATCTGGAAGCTCATGGATTCGTGTTTGAGTCGGAGACGGATACCGAAACCATTCCCAAGCTGATAAAGCATATATACGATAAACATCCCGAAATGTCATTCCGTGAACTGGTCGAGCAAGCCATCCAGCAAATCGAAGGAGCTTTTGCTTTGGCCATTAAAAGCCGTCATTTTCCCGGAGAATGTGTCGCAACACGGTAGAGTCAAAATTTCTTAATAGTTCAGACTATTTGGCCTGTTGTGGAACAAAACTTTTCTTTTGCTAAGTCGATCTCAAATGCGGTGAAAGTTTTCGTGACTGCTTGTGGAGAATTTCTTAAGCTCGTTATGAGATTCGGTTATTACCGGTGTACTTCTAAGTACCGGTACACCGGTGAAGTATAGTTCAGTGAAAGAAATTTCGGGCCTGTACATTTAGAATCTCCTTGCCTTTGCAGACGAGGAAGCCCTCTCCTGGTTGGCATCAAAAGTCAAAATCATTTGACTACTGACTACATTCCCGTACTCTATAGCAATGATTTGAAGCAGTCTCCGCCAGCTGCGAAGAAAAAGAATGGAATGCGGGGAGGAGAAGGCGACGGCCGAGAAGATCTTACTGAGTTTCGTACGCTGAGCGAACGAGCGGAAGTCGAATACTTTTTTGCCAGTGACGCGAGTGCAATCATCGAGCACACCAATAGAGTTCTCTATCTGGAAGATGATGATGTTGCTTATGTGACTTGTGAAGGAGGTTGGTGAATGAAAAACTGGTATCGAAGACAGACTTGAAAACTGCTATAATTTAGTAACTTACCTGATACCTAAGTTAGGGCTATTTTGTAATTCGACGTAGCCGCTTTGAAGCAGTTTTTCTTGTTTGACCTTCGCAAGAAGAGAAGCTTCTCTTCTGCGATGAGCTGACTAGCAGCACCTACCTCTAGGCTATAGTCAGTAACGATTTATACCAAGCCAGGTGCAGTCCATTTTAAAAAAGCATGCTTACTTGACCAATGCACATGACCGTTGATTCCTGGCGCTTCACTTTTTGTACACGGTACGGTAGTTTTGTTCTGCTTTGTGCCTTTAGTCCGGAATCCGGAGGGATACTTTTCGCGTTTCTTGCATTTTTAGTTTGAAATACATTTTCCACGATTACCATTAAGGTTAATAAATGCACGTCTTAAAATACTCGTTTTGATGATCAGTGGAGCGACCGCGCCGACGTTTTTGTTACTCGGGAGTCGGATGGCTATGCGGCTTATGCCTATTAAACACAGAATAGTATGCTTTATGTTACTTTTTCTTTTTAGGGCTTTCGATACACCGCATTAAGCGCACTCTGGATCCCAACGAACCAACTTCGCGGGAGATTACGACATTGCGCTTGGAACTGCAGCAAATTATGAAAGGAAGCTATGATTACTTCATGCAAAAAGAAATCTTCGAACAGCCAGAATCTGTTTACAATACTATGCGAGGTCGAGTTTTCTTCGATGAGAAGAAAGTAGTTTTGGGTGGAGTGAGAGATTACGTACCGGAAATCAAACGGTGTCGTCGACTGGTGATGATTGCATGTGGAACGTCATACCATTCTGCTGTTGCAGTAAGTAACAGTTGGCGCAAAAGACAATGGTGACCACAAGTAGTACAGTACTCTGACAGTACTGATACTCCATGGTCTGTACATATACAGTCACTGCAATGCTGTAAAAGCAAGCGTAACCGAGTTTTTGATAGAGGGACGGGGACGGATAGGAGCTGCAGCATACAGAGCGTGTGTACCAACTTCTTCCGATATACTCTCTCTATGTTGAAGCATCGGGTGAAATCAGAGCGTTCCCCGACCACCGAGCAGAAACTCAGTTACGCTTGCTTTCGGTAAATTTCGGTCTGCTGCAGGGACTGTATACAGACCATGGATACTCCGTACAAACAGTATTAAATTTTTTTTTGTTGAACTGTTATTGATCTGTTTACCTGGTTATAAAACAGCCACATGTTTACGTGGTACTACCATATGCAAAATTTTTTAAATGAAAAGGCTAGTTAGTGGATTACCGCGCGAGAAAAAGTTAGAGGGTTGAAACAAAAAATATTCTAACGATATCTGCTATCTAAATTTTTATTCGATTTAGACTAGGCAACTACTGGAGGAATTAACGGAAATCCCCGTTATTGTGGAGCTCGCTAGTGATTTCTTGGATCGCTCTACACCCATCTTCCGTGATGATGTGTGCTTTTTCATAAGTCAAAGCGGTAAGTTATTGTACTGCTTTTTATGCTCTTTGAAAATGCGGGCGAATACATAAATCTGGTTTGGGAATATACTTAATTAATAAGCATAAGTTGCATACCGTTCCTCGATCTCGTCGATTCAGATAGTGTGTTCGACTGGGGGCAGTGGTTTTTGTGACTTCTCATAAGATCTTTACATCACTGTATAGCATTTGCATCAGTTTTAAGTTTTGAAATATTTTATATTTTTTCACGGGTTCAGAACTTTCGTCAATTCGCATTTCTATGAATTTGAACTTTCACGATCCAGGCGATGAAGATATCATAGGATTTCAAAGTGTACACAACTGGGTGAAAGCTGCGTAATTTCTCCCTGCCATCTTTGTATCGGTCGTATGGAAAGATTGCAGGCATGTTTGACAACTGCTGCGGAGTAATGCGTTTATACGTTTTGACTTTTTGTGTACTGAAGGCATTGACAAAAATGTCAGCTTTTGTCTTTAGGACGTTATTATGAGAATAGGCTGAATAGCTGGTATTAGCTACCTTTAACTACCGCTTGGTATTGTGTTGTCAGTACAGGTGTCACGAATTTCGATTTTTTTCAGGTGAAACTGCTGACACCTTAAACGCTCTACGTTACTGCAAGAAACGAGGCGCCCTCATCGTAGGGATTACCAACACTGTCGGCTCGAGCATTTGCCGCGAATCCCATTGTGGAGTTCACATCAATGCCGGTCCGGAAATCGGTGTAGCCAGTACAAAAGCCTACACAAGCCAGTTCATCTCTTTGGTCCTCTTCGCGCTTGTTATGAGCGAAGATCGTGTCTCTCAGAACCCCCGTCGTATGGAGATCATTGAAGGTCTTCGCCAACTTCCCGAGCAGATTCAGCAAGTTTTACAGTTGGACTCGGAGGTCAAAGCCTTAGCTCAGCAGCTGTATCAGCAAAAGTCGTTGTTAGTCATGGGACGTGGGTACAATTTCTCTACATGCTTGGAAGGAGCCTTGAAAATTAAGGAGCTAACGTATATGCACAGTGAGGGCATTCTAGCCGGCGAGCTGAAACACGGTCCGCTGGCCCTGGTGGACAAGGGAATGCCCATTGTCATGGTCGTCACCCGCGATAAGGTCTTCAGTAAATGCATGAATGCCGTGCATGAAGTCAAAGCGCGTGAGGTGCGTTGTGCTACAAAACGGTTCTGTTGATTATAGTTGATTTGTGTGTGTTCTGTGCCGGTCGTAAAGGCAAGTATGTTTTATGGTTATTTTTGTAAATAGGGCCGACCGATTATAGTGGGTGAGATCGGCGATAAGGAGACGGAAAGCTACGGCTATCGATTTTTGGCGGTTCCACATACTGTTGACTGCCTGCAAGGTTAGTACATCGTATGGAATTTGTCCCATTTTAGCGCATTATTCGCACCGAAAAACATTTAGTCAATGTTTATTAAACCATGAAATCCCACAATTTCATTGGCGTGCTTTGTGCGCTGTTGATGAGCATGCGTGCACCGCCCGACAGAATCAAGCCGGTCGTCTACCGTAATCTCTTTCCATGTTGTGGCTGGCTTTTCGATAAAATGGGGGAACGGTCCTCTTTTCGGCGAATGGGTTCAACGACTCTGATGTTATTTTCACTGCAAATGAAATCAGCTCGAAGTAGATTAACTATCTGTGAAGGGGAAATGTGTACTTCCAGAGCCGTTTATTATTTGCGACATCCCTCCCTGCGTGGTAAAAACGAACTGGAAATTGTTTTCGCTGTTTAGTTTACGTCACCCAGCCAGCCAGTACATGAACGGAAATGAAGGTGCAGTTTGTTTCGTAATTTATGTTACCCCTTTATTATCAGTATTAAGCATCGAGAATGTCAGAAAACACTATAATAAGAAGAAATATGGAGCAGTTTTAGAGCAGAGCTGCTCTACTGCGTATTTAAAAAATCCAGGAAATTTTCTTGCCCTTTCGAAATCGGCGTTCGTTGTTGGCAAAACGAAAACTTTAAAATCGGCTTTCGAGGCTGCGACTAAAATTTATCAGCTATAAATACGATAGCTTTTGCGAAACGGAGCATCGCACCTGCATTCGATAATCCGATTTTTTTGCTTCAGTTACCGTGTTTATTGAAATTGCGGTAGATGTTTACGAGAAACGGAACATTGAACTTCGCATTATACTAATTAATTGTAAACCATATGGTTAAGAGATCGATTCTGTTTGACGCGCCCCAGTAATTGCGCGTATATAAGGTCACCACTGCCAATAAGCATAATGAATGTGACAGTCGTTGACCTGTTAATCATTGCTGATGAATGCCTGTCTGTAGGTATCCTGACGGTGATCCCTCTCCAGCTTCTTTCCTTCCACATCGCTGTTTTGCGCGGATGCAATGTGGATTGCCCACGGAATCTGGCCAAATCGGTCACCGTTGAATGAACCGTGCGCGTTTCGGTGACTGGATGGTTATTTTCGGGATAATTGTATCACCCTGTCAATGCGCTCTAGTTGTGTACCAGAGTTTAGAAATTTTTTATTATCTGAACCGGCTGTACGCACAGGTGATGTTATCGTGTTAATCAGTCGGTGCTTCGATTTGGCTTTTCCAAGGCAGCCCAGTTCTGAGTTTATAGAGGACCAATATTGCAGTCTTTGCTGTCGGATAGTTTCTATTGTCTTTTCTAGCGTGGCTTTCTGTGCAAATACGAAGTTGAATTGGTATGAATACTCGCTTTTTATTTTTATTGCAGTTTATCTGTTATAGCTTTTAAAAAACGCTTATGACGAAATAAAAAGTTAATTACTTGCTGCCTTCCCATATCGACATAACTTCTACAACGTCAGTCACATTTCAACTCTTGCTCTGCAGGTTTAGCTGTTGCTATTTTGCCATGTTTCTACCTTAAATTGGCTAAGCGCGGAATGCTTTAAGTTTTGATTTGCTCGTTATGGAATTTCTGTAAGGTTGATGCTCGGCAAATCTTAGCTAAGTCCAAACTGTTATGTAAAATGATCAGATTTCAAATTCACCAAAAAACAACCGAAATCATTTGCGTTTGTGCTAGCGCTATTGAACGATTTAACAATAAGCGAAACGTTCTCAGATTTAGATTGATCTTGATATCCAACTTCTCACTATCCGTTAATTACAGTATTGGCAATCAACCCTACGTTGTCAAAAATTTGTTTTTTCTTTAATCAACTAACTAACATAACTTAATGTTGAAGTTGTGGCTAATGAGTAAAGAGCCTAATTTACACCATGAAGGATACAAAAAATCGCAGATAATATTCAGATTTCTGAATCTTATTATGTTCCAAGGAAGGAGACGATGATACAAAACTATAGCGAATTATTATAATATCCTTAAGAGAATGCGAAAGAATTAAATGCAGTCCTAATGTTAAAAATCAGCAGCCACTATTTTCTCGCTTTATTACATTACTTAATCGGAAATACTAACAAGCGGCAGCCTTTGGTGATATCGGTCATAGAGATAGTTTGTAGACGTTCTTTACAGAAAACCTTTATCAAGCTTGATTGGTCATAGGTGACTGAGCGGATAATGTAGCGTGATCATAAAAGATATCTTTGGACTGGTGCAGGAACTTGGCAAACGGAAATATGGGCAGAGAAAATTAAAAGTTGAAACATATAAAAGAGAAAACAATCAAAAACGTTATACATCCTACATATACACACGACTGCAAAAATGGAACGAAAAACAACAAAAAAATGCAAAAATCTCTTATTGTCAAAAAATTTCCCCAGAAAGGAATTTCTTTTAATTACAAACACTCTAATTATCCACACAGCGATCAATCATCGGTCGCCGTCAAATCGGGTCGACTATCCAGAACATCCAGCACTTGGCGCACACTCATATCCGCCATGGGAAAACGGCGTGCCACACTCTTAATCCAGTTATTCCACACGAGCGGGGTACTGTTTAACGCCGGCTGTTGCAGCGCTGCGGGCTTAATAGCGGATGTGGAGCTGGCCACGGCGTCCTGTACGGCTGGCACATCCGGTGGAATGTACTCGGCAATTAGATCGGCCACTGCCACTGTGGAACGGACACAGCGATCCCGTCTCTGGCGGCGTATCGCGGCTGGATGATCGTGATCGGTGCCGGCTGTTGTCACACTTGCAGCTGCAACGACGACATGGGGTTTGAGAACGAAAGACAGAAAAAACAATAATATAATAATCGTTGACCCAGTTCGGACGTTATCGAGAGAGAGAGACAGAGAGGAATAGAGGATATCACTGTGAGCTACACACATGCAACATGCGAGCAAATACGAGGGCAAAGACCGCAGCGAGCGACCGATCGACAGATCTCTCGCGCGCGCGCGGCCCGACTCGTAACCCAACGAAACGTTATCAAGACAGCCAACGACCCGGTCTAACGGACAGTTGCAACCGAGTATTACCACAGCAGAACAGGCCCAATGTTCTAATGTCGCACTCAATCTACATAGCCCGATCGCCTTGCCAACACCTCAAATGATTTATTACTACTAAGTACCGAGCTCGAAATGTATAACAACCACTTAACTAATACTATCATGACTGATATTAATAGAAACACTGGGCACGCGTGACAAATCTTGAAAAGATTTCCATGGCGTCCTGATTGTATATACATTTTACAAAAAAACCTGGAAGTTACGCAATCACTTCACAACCCAATAACCGCAATGCATATTTCCCACTTAGCACTTGACCAGTCGAAATATTTATCGTAGAAAAATGAAAGACGTGCTTCACGATAAATTCTTCTTATTCTCCTGCACTAGTTGTACTTTACTTGTATATATACTATATTCCGAATAAGCTTACCTGTGGTATTGTGTTTGTACGGGTGCTTCCGTGCATAGCGAGCGGGCACTGCTGCTCTTTGGCGAGGCGGAACAACGTTAACATCGTGCGTTGTTGTCTTAGCGCTGGATATCCGCTGTGAGATACTGGGTAAACGTGACCGCGTTGTGGCGGAACTCGTACTACGATTGAGTGGACCATGCGCGGCCATTGCCGTAGTAGTCGCATTACTCCGCGACAGACTACTACAGCACGGGGAGGAAGTAAACAATGACGATGGACGATGGGAACAGGCCACATCAGTGGTGCTGCTGACGTCACATACGGAAATGGGCCGGTTTTTCTTCGACTCGACGTATTCATCCTCGGAAATCAAATTCAAACGATATTTCCCATCCGAACAACGATAGACTTTGTAGTAGGATCCGTACATTCCTACCCCGTTGTGATTCGGAGATTTCTGAGGCTCTAAATCAAAACACGAAGGATTGAATGCTGCATGCCACTTATTGGCACTTCAGCTTTATAATTAAGCGAAGTGGTCAAATCAGAACTGAACTGTGCATAAACTGCAGTGAAAAGAACTGAACAAACCGATAAGGATATGCAAAAAACAGCGAAAAAGCCCGTAATTTATAAAAAGCCAATAAATGCAGAACAGAAAATAATATAGGTTTACATAATATGCAAAAAAGTAACTGAAATTAGTACAATGGCCAATAAAACAAGTCTGCAGAAGAATCTCGCACACATACGAGTTAGCACATCTGGCAACAAATCGCTTAATAACAAAACGTTTACTACTTGCTACATCTATAAGAACTGAAAAACGATGCATGCGATTGTTTCATATCGCCCAATAAATTTCGATATGATCTGCCAGCATGAGTTTACGTATGTCAGCAATGTCCAGCAACAAATCTTGAATGCGAGTAGCAAGCAAATCGTCCATCTGAGAGCATTAGCCTGACCTGACAGGGCGTTGCCCGGTAGTGGTTCACATCAATGCGGTCTGCAGCGGCAGCTTGGGGCATACGCTAGCCTTTTACAACTGCAGCGGAGAGCGATTGCTACTGAAGTGACCACTGGGCCATGCCAAAGGTAATGGTCATAACATATCGGTAAGGCCTACATTATGTGAATTCTTACGAGTTAATATCATCAACTTACCGGATGCTTCCGGTAACTGGCGAGCCATGTGAGATTCCTTGTAGGTATTCGGGCAGTCAAGTCCAAGACGGATCGGAATGAAAGGTTAATCCACTACTTCCAAAAGAGCCAGTACTGATCGACCCCCAACAACAATATATACTTTCCGGAGCGATAAAGGCCAACAGAAACAATTTCGATGTTACCTCGTTCTCCACTTGACGACGCTGTTGTAATAACTAAGGGTAAGCGCGCTAGCACACGAACTAGTGCAGTGCTGCGATCGCTGTACCGTATGATCCAAGATAACGCATTTAGGTTGTTAATTTAACTGAATGTTTTAAAGTACCAACTTCCATAATAAACAGCTAAGCTGAGAAACACCATAACACATAAAACTGGAAACAGACGATATTGGCGAACAAGCGCGAACGATCGGAACAGCGATCTGAGCGTTGTTTGATAAAAGCACTGAGCATGCAGCGTATCACACAGTGCTGATGCCTGTCTCATGCACAGCAGCCCCAAGTAGTCAACCCTTATGAGTACGTACGAATCCTGTACAGCGCCGATCATTTGGTTCTTCTAAATAATTTATACACCACTACTAGTCCCAGACAACAAACACACATGTTCTCCTGCCGTGCGGCACAGTAATGCCACTCGAATGACCCTCACTATAGTACTAACTACTGCGCCGGGCCGTGGTTACAGCGGATCTTTAAACTTTGATGCGCTGTGGCGATTCGTCACCGCGCTCACAGAAAGACCGCCTTACCCCTACCCCAGGTCACTCACCGTAATGTACAGCCTACAGGTCATTATCCTAGACAGGGACTCCGTAGCCTAATTGCTTCATGCCTTCCAAAATATCCATTCATCATAATTAGCTATTATACAGATTGCCCCACAATATGAATAATTTGCAATAAATGATTCGACATTGGATACATCCGTATTTTTTATGCTACTCCCTGCCGGTGAAACATTCCCGGTAGAAGTACGCTTCCCTTTAATTAAAAATCTATCTATACATAATAAATAAATGCATAAATATATCAAATAAATAAATAAATATCAAATCCTTAAAAATATATATATCTATATCAAATAAATGCTCACGTACAGAGAGATCGAGAACTAACAATAAGCCGCGGTTCAAGTCATGGGATTCCAAAGATGCACGTATCCGTATTCTGCAGTTTTATGTATCTTGTTTTCTGCGGTTAAATGTATTTTGTTTACCGAGTTAGAAAATTCTATGATCATTATATATAATTATTACTAATTATATACTGTATAGCCTGGAAATGAAGTCTGGTATAAATAAAGGGAACTGAACGATTTAAAGGTTAGTTCAGGATAAAGAGATGTTTGTCTGAGGTCAATCAGCAGAAAGAATGTCCAAAGGCTCGATTGTAACTATACCAAGAAATCTGAACAATGATGACGTCAATTAAGTAAAAATGTAAAATAAAAAGTAACTAACGGTAAGATCCACACACAAAAGTCATGAATGCTTGTATATATATAATTATATATCTGTATTTACTCAAAAAACCATCTTTGTTCGCAACTTTCTGGATTCAGTAATGTACTGCACTTTGCCAGTGACCGCTAAAACAGTCCATTCGGAACTCGGAAAGGTAAAAGTCGGACCTGTTATAATAAAATCATATGCGCTTATTAAATAAGAAAAGAAACGGAATGGACGCTATTGAGGTATATAGCTGTTAGCTACTAACAATGTCATATATTCCAATGGTGGCAGAAATTATAAGGATGTTGCGATTCAAGGAGTAAATCTGTTACGGTCGTTGGCCTGATGCTTATATGCCGGCTAGACGCTATATGTTTGTTACGAGGGGAAGTACTGACTAATAACTCTTACTACGAAGCGCAAACTGAGCCACCATAGCCATAGCACGCCATAGCATGATAGCACGACAGATCTGTAGTACCGAATAACTAACAATCAGTAGTGGCATTTTATAAATTTTGTACTTTACGTAAAATCTGCATTACAGTATTCTGTGCTGTTGTACCATTATATTGTACCATACATAATTATTATCACACTAGAACACTACAGTGTCTCACTGCAGATCAAACCGTCAAACCCCACGTATGTATTGTAACACTGTGCAGTAGATTTTTCATTATAAACGCAAGCCGTTCTTCTTGACCTTCTAGTGAACTGTGAACCTACCAGATTGTCACCATATACGTATTTTATGTAAAAAAATACGTTATATCGGTACAATCCTATCGGAAATCTGCGGTTTTCTAATCCATATTTTATGCTGAAAAAAAACTTGAAAAACTCATCTGTCTCTTTTCCGGCAGTGAGAGCACAAGCATTCGTTTACTGTTATAGTGTCAGACTTTGATTTTAAAGCCGGGTTGTCTACCGCGCGCCTATGATGCTCCAGATTTCGCTCTCTTGAGTAGAACGCATTACGAAATCAGCAAATACGACTACATATTATACAGTGCGAGTACTGCTTCATAGGGAAAGTCCTAAAAGGAAGTCATTCACCTTTGAGTAACGATTCGCCTGTGTTACTGTTTACAATTTTAAACATTTTTGTTAGAATTACTGTACAGTATACTGGGACACTAGCAAGGAATACAACATCTCCGGTACGAGTATAAATAAATACACTTATACACAGCACACTGAGAACAGGTATATAGTATATTGTACAATACAACGGCAATGATTTTGTTTTGAAGTTTAAAGAAGAGAAAATTGCAATTCATTACTATGGTAGGTAGTAGGTACTACTAGTAGGTAGTACTGTACCAAACCCAGCAATCTGGAGTCGTGGCGCACGCAGTGTGTCTAGCAAGGCAACAACATGTAATTTGAAATAGAAGTGGTGCTTGTCCGTCAGGTCAGAAATTTTGGAAAACATCCGCTTTAGTTCTCGAAATCTCCTTCTCAGCGTTCATACCTGTCAGTGCTGTCACTAACATCGTTTTCAAACCACACTTCCCGTGAGATCAAAAGGTCATCTGCTCAAGTAGCTGGCCGTTTATGAAACCACGAAGAAAAAACCGTTTCAATTTGAATGAAAGCAAACCCGAAGGATTTCAGCAACCGACAAATCTTAAACATGCACCAAATTTAAAGATTGTCCGTTGGTACCGCAGGTGTAGCAGCGAAGAAATACTCTACATACGATACAGGTCATCAAACGTATGAAAACGGTGAAAAACCTATTATCTATTATACTATCAAGCAATAATGAAACCAAAATTATACAAAGGCACAATAATTCGATTCAAGGAAGATTTCAGGGACATTTCCGATTTAATAAGAGTAACAGATTCTTCGTCGCGCTCCTATGTACTCACAATCAACTGGTGAAAGTTGGAAACAAAGAAGTAGAAAAAAATGGATAAGTAACTTCCAGTTACTGAACATGATGAATACTTACAACTGTTAGTCCTACGGTCAGTAAGAAAACTCCAGAAGCGACAACAGTCCCATGCTCCCTAATGACAGAAATACACGAAATAGACCGCATCATTTCTTGGCATACACAATCTTGATTTTATGAGTCGGTGTCACTTTGAATCCCTGAAGATTTTCCTTTGCCACACTGGCATGCATCTCCGTCTCGTATTCCACAAAGGCGATATCCGGTCGACTGGGCACCATGCGCACTTCACGGAAACCAGTAAACTGTTGAAACAGCTGATTAAGGAGCTCCTCTCCCGAATCAGTGGGCAGATTGGTAACAAAAAGAATATTGTGCGGTGGCTGATTGTCGGGAATGTTCTCGGGGTTGATAGGCGCCGGTCGCACTTCCACCCCCACGGGGGCGGCCATGGGCTTGGGCTTCTTGGCTTTTTCCCCGGCCTTCTTCTTAGGCCGCGGCACGTACGTTCCGCGTGCACGGGTAACCATGTCAGAATCAGCGCGGGCAAACTGAATACGCATGGGCTTGTCGTAGAAAGGGAAGCCCTGCATGGACGTCAGGGCTTTGACAGCGGATGGCACATCGCGGAAGATCACCCAAGCCTGTCCCTTGCGAGACAGGGACTTCGGCCAACACTGAATGGCCAAAATTTCGCCAAACTGCTTAAATACGGCATGGAGCGATTCCTGAAGACGCTTCCTTTTCAGTTTTTCGTTCAGGTTATTTAAGTACAGAGTGTTGTTGGGAGAAGGCAGCTGTGTTGCAGTTGGATCCATGACACATGCTACCGAAAAGTAAAATGACAACGGATAGAATCATGGTGACAAGCTGTAAAGCATCCATCTAGCAGCCTGCTGATTAATTATCAATTTCGCAGCAAAACAGCGACTGCTGTTATGGTAGTATTAAAGCAGGCTACAAATTCCAGTTACTTATTAAAAGCAGAGCTTACTGCTTATAGACTTAAAAATAAAAAGAGACAAATGGCACAAACAGAGAGTAAACTAAACCTGTAGAAGATGAAACATCAATCAAAATCCTATCCTGTCATCTCAGCTCTTACTCTCCTCCACTTACCAGCACTTTTCTCCGATTACGCGTTCGATGGAAAGTCAGCAGAATATGCGTTACATCTAACAAAATAACTACTCTAGTAACTTTGTAGTTTACCCGAGTGTGATTATGTACTTCTACGGAAAATAAATTTATTTTGCACAAACCTGGCAAAAACTGAAAAATGGACCAAAACAAAAAATTCGCAAAGCAAACGTTGTTGCCAATTCAAATTCAAACAAATTCACAAATGCCAACGATGTTCTTTTAAGACCGCACCCGATGGTGGTAACGCATTCGGTAGAAAACGCGTACTAGTACAGTGACATCAACAAAAATTCAATTCAAAAAGTTTGAAAATTATTCCAGCGTCTGAGTTGTAGCACTCGCAGTTCCTTCCAGATTTTCTTTTATTCGGCGATGGGAATGGCTGATGCTGTAGGAGCCCTGGTCAGGCTACGTCGCAGTTCGATGCAAAGAAATGGAAGAGGTTTCGCACTGAGTTTGCCCGAAAGCGACACATTTTATTCTTTGAAAGAATGCTGAACGGGTTACCAGGATCTTCCGCTTCTCAGGAAACAAATCTGTAAGTGCGTCGGCGGTTATTGATTCGCTCATGTATTTAATGTATTAATGGATAGGAGTACGTCATGTCTTTTGTTTTAATGTGAGTTATCGGTTTTCAGATTGACACTAGTGTATTTCTGCGTTGGGGGCTTGGAACTGATTGATGCCTCAGACGCCCTGAAGAAGCGACGCAGGGATCTGATAGATTTTGTTTATTCGCTTCAGTCGCACGGTGAGACACTCCAGATTTGACCGTCAAAATATAAAAAATGATCATTTATCGTTTACTTTGGATGATCAGGGGAGATTGGTGGATTCTTCGGAAATCTCAATGATGCTACTCAGAACCGATGCCGAGAAAACCAACCAGAAGTCTGCATTGGAACGAACATCGCAATGACTTTCGCTGGTCTTGCCACTTTGTTAACGCTGGGTGATGATCTAACATCCATTGATCGCCATGGAATTGTGCGGCAGCTGATGGCTCTACAGACTGCCGAAGGCAGGTAAAACGAGTGTGCCCTACTAATTGCTTCCTATCTTCAAAAATCATTAATTTACAAATAATTAATTAATTGACAAATCATTAATTTTTACGCTCAGCTGTTGAATGAGTCAGTATGACCGTATCAGAACGTTTTCTTCTGTTAAAAAATTATTGTTTACAGCATTCGTTGTGGCTAATTCGCTGGCGTGGTTTATTTTATTTTTGGGCACGTTTTGTAGTTTTTGTGGCGCAGTGCCTTTAAAATCGAAAATGGACGTGGAAAGTGGCAGGCTGCCGTTGGATGGGGAACGCACGAATTCGGAAGCCGATATGCGCTTCGTTTTCTGTGCTGCTGTGATTAGCTTCATCATTAGAGATTGGAGTGGTGTGAATGTGCATACAATGCAAAAATTTATTTGGAGCTGTCGTGTGAGTAAAGATTATTCAATACCCCCGCACAGACATTCAGATTTTTATTGCCCACTTTTTTAAGTACAGTATGTACATGCAATATTGTTTGCATTATGTGTTCCAGAGCTATGAAGGAGGGTTTTCCCAGGTATCTGGGGCCGAAAGCCATGGCGGCTCGACATATTGTGCAGTTGCAGCGCTGTATTTGATATTCCTCTCGAAAAATCTTGGCCTGATACAGAACTCTTGCGAGCACTGCGACAGAATGACCACAGCTTTGTTTGGGCTGGGTGCGGACGGAGACGCCCCGAATTATATCAGGGACGAGTTGATTGCATGGTGTTTATTCCGCCAAGGCCGGGGTTTCAACGGTAGGCCTAACAAGCCTGAGGATTCATGTTACACATTTTGGATTGGAGCCGTACTTAAAGTGAGTTGTGGTTGATAAATTTTATTTTTTTGTGAATAGTTTTTAATGAACTGCGTACTCGTATTCAAGATGAGCCTGTGGAATTGTTTTGGCTTGATATCGTCTAGCCGCAGTGGTAACTCTTGTTTGTTACAGATGACCAATGCGTACGAGTTCGTATCAGAAGATTTACTCGAAGAATTTTGCATGGAAACTCAGGACGGTATTATAGGAGGATTTGCAAAATGGCCTGGAAGTCGCTCTGGTGAGGATGGTATATCCCGCAGTACACGGCAGACATTTTAGTAGTGATTTTGCCGTACTATTTATGACGTTAAGTACTGGAATGCTATATATACCGTACTCCAGCTGTTTGTTTAGCACAGATAATATATTACGATTGATTAGCGGTATTGCTTAATTATTCTATAGATAACAATGATTGCAAGCGCCGGTACACTACGTGAAAGTTAAAATTTAAACATTAAAAAAATATATCACAGTTGTTTTGTATTGTCCTACCATTCCTAGTCTCCTACATATAGATATACTGTAGTACTACCCGGTAGTACTTGTTTTTCAGATCCTCTACATGCGTATTTGACGATCAGTGGCTTGTCGCTTTTGCCAAGATATGTGTTTGTGGAAAACAGTTTGGATTTCGAAGATGGTAATACGGATGAGAAAGAAGATATCAGTTTAAATTTTGACGAGTGGAAATTAAAAGCAGTACATCCTGCTCTGAACATTAGCATGCCAGCCTTTTTACATCTCTCGACTTTGTTCCGTGCTGCTTGATAGTGAACTACATACTATTGGCCTGGTGTGTTTGTTGTTTTAAATTCTAAGTGCCGTATGCCTTTTGAGATATTTTTATCTGTTCCTCATCGTTGGTACGTACATTGATTTTATTTTTTCAGTTTCTTTTTTCCGAACACTTGTTTAATTACGACGTACGATAAGCGGCTGTGATAGTTGTTCCTCTAGTTTGTTGGTTTTTTATGACTAGTGCGACTGAGTCGTTTGTTTTTTTAACAGCAGTGACGAGTGAATAAAGTAGATTATCCTTTTTTTACAAGCCGAGCATTAGATTTTGGCATAAGAAAATCAAATGGGTTTAAGTTTTCAGCTGAGAACACAAAACAAGTACTCGTACAGTACTTATCTGTATGCCTAACGGTCACATCAACGAATTACTGAAGTTATTGAAGCACCAAGTTAAACAACAGTACGAGCTAATAATAAATAATAAAGATAATTAGTCGTACAGATAATTAGTCTTTACAATAATTCATAATTCATCAATAATTCATAATTCGTCTTCATAATTCATTAATAATTAGTCGTACAGATAATTAGTCTTCTATCCAATCACCACAAAAACTGCAGCAACAAGGGTGCAAGAAATTTAAAAGATCAATGAAGAGCAATCAAAGGTTCCATTTCGAATCGTTTTTTCACGATGCAGATTTTCTGAGCTTGCCGGAACACGAGGAAAATCGCATTATCGGAATACACTAAAAAAAAAGATGTTTTCTACTTTAAGCAGCGCAAGTGAAAGTTTGCAATCCAACTGAAATTTTTAAGAAAGCAACAGAATAAACTAGGCAGTATGCCCCAAAAAAACTTGCTCGCTCTCGCCTTGACGATCTTTGTCCAGCAACTAATATTTAAATACCACGAAAGCCACATACCTTGGACGCTTTGAAATTCTTCATCCTTGCAAAGGCTATTCTTTCCTTTCTGTATCGCTCGAAGTATACCAAGCACAGGATCCGATAAGGCTTCGTTATTTCGGAGCTCGCCCGCAGACTAACCCAATCACAAAAGTTGCAAACGCAAATCAATTCAATTTGCAATTGTCACCAATGCACTTCCAAACAGTGCCATACTGCCAACATATTGATGTCTTATCATTACACCGTGCGCTCCGAAATGTGGCACAAGAAGGCACAACAGATATATCCATAGAGTCCATACAGCCACTTAATTAATGTTTCTCTTTAAGAAATTTTATCCTTCTTAATTCTTATAATAACAGATACTAGTTACTTGTTAACAGTTAAGTCACTTACGCTGATAACTGCGCCGTCTTCATTGAGAACCAAGTGGCCAGTCACTCCAGTCATCCGATCAATTCCCAAAATCTGCGCGCTCATGTTTTGAACAAAATATTAAATTCGGTCGCTAAACAAATACCAACGAAAAGTGTTAACGATATTACAATGTAATGAATGTATACACAAAAACAGTTTCCAAATTTAAGGACAAACAAATCGGGCTGACATACTCTCTCCAACCTGCAAGAGAATTCTGGTAAAGTACCGAGATTCCAAAATGTTTTCTGGCTACTCGTACTGATTGTTTATCCAGCTGCCGCTCCTTTCCGGGAGACTTTCTATAGAATTCTGCGTAGGATCTTATCGCTAACTATGCAGTATGCAGAGTTGCACACTGTATACAAGTACTCGTACTAGAGTAGTTAAAGCTGCGCAAGTACTTACACCAAATACAATTATGATACGAAGTACAATACTAATAAGTATTATTATCGTTATTATCCCATCCCTGTAATAAATTAATAATTGACACTTGACAGTGAATATTGCAACAAATTTACAATAAGTTGAGGTTATTACAGTTATTACAGCAACAATACGGAAGAAAGGGAATCCAGAAATGACCGATGACCACTTTTGCGTTACGATCATGGGACTCACAGCTGTTTAAATACAGGATATACGTGTGACTGTGAATTAGTGAGAACTGGTAAAACTTAAAAAGTATGCAGCGTATGTATTAATTGTACGACTCGCAAAACAAAACTAGCGTAGTGATTAATATTAATAAAGTACTGTTTCGAAGAGGAACAGTTGACGTTATCGGCCGGCACATTCGATGGCGACCTTTAAACCGGCGCGATTCAATTTGTGCTTTATGATGGGGAACAACTGACCACTTCATTCGCCTTCGGGATCTGAAAATCGAACAACGGAATTTTGCTAGTGTATCCTGTAGAATTCGTGCATGGAATAGCTCTACTGTCTACTTGTGAGCCGTGACCGGTTTGAACGAATAGTTTCGTTTAATACGTTTGTTAATAACTATTAACTGTTAACTTCAGGTTAATGCATTTATTTAGTTAACGTAAAATTTGTCAAGCAAGGATTCGAAAACGGGCTGCTGATGCTACCTACGTGAAAACTGCAAATTCATGGACACAGCCAAATTTAAGTGATGCTTCTAGTATTCATCCTACTCTAGTATTCACTACCGTAGCTACAAATGGCTATTGCAGCATGCGCTAATTAAGGACAAAACAAACACCATCGCCACAGCCAAAAACCAACCAGACAAGCAAGTGATTTCAATAAATGTAATCTGTCAGCTGCGTGTATGTTGCAAACAAATCGCCAATTAAGGTAAAGTATCGCGATCGTATGCAAGAAATGCATCTAGCTAGCTTTTTGACTTTCGTAATTCTGTATCACCACGAGTATTACTACGAGCAGTATCCGGGTCTGTGTCAACATTGTTGATGCCGGTGCTATCATCCGGATTCGTTATCCGGGAATCAAGCGAGGAAGCATCACGCAGATCCTCCATCCCTGGGCCAGGATGGTCATCCCCTTCGTAAAACCCAACTCCAGTCGCGCCAGTAAGGTCAGCATCGGATATATTGCCGGCCCACAGCGCCAGTTGTTCATCTCCGAAATCTTCGTTGTTCACATTCGTTGATTGCGGTATGTCCTTATCTTCCGTAGGCGTTCCTTCTGGATCAGGTTCAGGACTCAGTTTGCCGGATTTTATACGCAGTGACGACAGATCGGTGGATAATGCGGAAGCACTATACCGTCCATCAACAATTTATCTTAATTACTCATAATATTTCTGTTTTTATTATTTATGTTTACTTTGCGGCTACTCTCACTGGTCAATGCTGTTATGATGCGTAAGTACAGTACTTGTCCGGTGCAGTTCTTACAGCTGCTCGCAGAACAAATCCCGGTCAATTTCCTGGCTAACGCTGTTCCAGTCGATATATTGCTCCAGATCAAGCAAGTGAGCCACTTCATCAAAACAACCAATTGGATAATATCCAAAGCGACGACCTCTTTTATGTTATAACTTACAAGAAACAGCTTCGCAAGACACGTAACGAATTTCCGTGTTCTTTTTTATTACTGACATGAAGTGCAGTAGTTCTCCTTACCTTCCCGAAAATGTGCGGCCGCTATTCCTCCAGAGTTGAGTGGGTCTAAAATACTGTAAAATGTGCTGATATTTTCTGGCGATAACAAAAACGGGGTAAACTGTGAATTCGATGATGAATTAGGTGCTGGAAGGTTGCCCTCGGAAGTGCGCACTGGCTCTACTGGAGCCTATAATAATAAGATGGTTGATAGATACAGTAATTAATAAGTACTGTCAGACGCAAACATAAACTACGTATGCACATAGAAAAAGGATTAGCGAGGAGGTTAAAAAAGTTTTCGGGAGATGTTCAGTCAACCAGCTTTGGTTAATTATACCATCAGGAAACTCTTAAGCAGATTGTTTATCCTGCCGTCAGCAAATAATATAAGGGTTACTAAAGGTCAATTCAACTGGTTGTGAGTCCAGATCATTATGTCAGTACTTAAACTTACGTAATCGGAAGTCAGATGTAAGAGCGACTCCGAGAAACGGGAAACGTTATCGAATGATTGTGGCTGTGTATTTTTGTGTTTGGAAATCCTTTCTGTCTGCTCTTCACAAGAAATGTTTTGTTCAGCTGCACTACCCGATAGTCGTATAAGCCACTCGCAAATGTAGCTATTAAGATCATCTGTCAATTATAGAGCGGTTATTTTATCAAGACCGAAACGCTGCATACATTAAAGTAAGCCGAAACGATGCAAGCTACCACATATAAAATGCAACAATTAATAAAAAAACATATTCCGCGTCGCCATATATCGATACGCATTATGCAGAATACAGATATTAGTTCTTACGGTCAGCTTAACAGCTTTCTTTGCACGTATTGTACATACCTGGGCGATCAAACATGATGGACGCGGTCAGTCGTTCAAAAAGATGCATCAAATCATGACGTTTTATGTAATGATTTATTTCTTTACGTAAAGTTTCGTTCTCCATATTTGCAGTCAACATGGATCTATGTATTTTTCAGGCAAGTTCTACGTTTCAGTCTGTATCCGTAAAGAAGCAAAAATTTAATGGTGAGTTACCAATCACTTATCCATCTATATTTTATTTGGGATCAAGATTTTGTCCGTACATATAAGACAAAACGCATAAGTACACAAGTTTAATATTTAGTATTACTCAATACGATAGCAGCAGAGCCAGCTTTCCGTGCGATACTTTATATTTTTTTTAGGAAAGAAAGTCACTCATTATAGTACCGAAGAAAGCACGTAGGGCTCACCACCCTGATGCCTACATTGCTTGGAAACTGTAGATTTTTTCAGAACGAACGACCCGCCTATGAGTGCCCGTACTATCGCATTTCTGCAGCGGCATGACTGCGTAACGTTAATAAATTAGAACTTCAAAAAAGGTGAAACTAATGTTATCGAGATAAGGCAAATTCAAAACGAAAAGATAGATATTTATGGAGCAAATTGCAGAAAAGCAACACTGTGCTTGGCTTCCTATACTTATTATGTGCATTTACAAACGATCCTGAGCGGCAGTACATAGCACTTGCCGTTAATTAAATATACTACCGCGGTATAGCCTAGGTAACTGTAGCGTTCAATTACCCTGTATACGCAAACTGCCAGCGAAAACCATCCGAGACATACACTTTATTTCATAATCTTTCCGAAACGAATCCCAAAGGATCTCAAATAACAGCTTTTCTTAAGCCTTTAGACAGATGTTCCTGATGCGCAGAGTAAGGTGTGGCAACCAGAGCGTTTTCTTTCCAAAGATCGGGGGTAAGGTAACTGTACGTTTTGCTCATCGCATCGTAGGTGGCTTTGGCTGCAAAACATAACAACAAGTCAACAACTGCGTAAATACATAACGCGTAACGCGTAAATAACGCTTAAATCATAAACGCGTAAATCCAACGCATAACAACAACTGCGTAAATACTGAGTACTAAGCAAACATAGTTACTGAATCCTTAAGGTGACCATACTCCAAATAAACGAGGAAAATCAAAAAGAGAAAATAGGGCATTTATCAGTAAAAACTAACAAGCGATTTGTTCAAACATAAAAATTGACCGAACACAACATTAAGCCGAGCGTACGAAAAATCTGCAAATACAACTGAAGCCTTACCGAAGTTGCCGAGGGTTCCAGTCGAGCCGGAAGCGGATGTGTGGCAGTCTTCAATTCCAGCCATGTGCAGCAGCTTCTTGGGAACTGGCCCACTGACAATACCAGTACCACGGGGCGCGGGGATGAGACGGACTAAGACACTTCCACATCGGCCGGTAACCTGCAAAGCGGCAGCATAAAGTTTAGGATCTAAGGATAAGTACTTACAACACATCAATCCGACACCCTTCCCGTCTACTCACCTTGCAAGGTACGGTGTGGGGTTTGCCGATTTTGTTACCCCAGTAGCCGCGGCGTACGGGGACAATGGAGAGTTTAGCCAGAATAATGGCTCCGCGAATCGCGGTGGCGACTTCCTTACTGCACTTGACACCCAAACCAATGTGGCCGTCTTGATCACCGATAGCAACAAAAGCCTGCAGTGTTGGATATTCACTGTTATTTAGTAATTCTCACAGATTAGCCATCAGTAATAATATTTCAACAATATGTGCATCGTGAAAACTGCACCTTGAAGCGGGTCCTCTGCCCAGCACGCGTCTGCTTCTGTACTGGCATGATTTTCAGCACTTCATCGTGCAGTTTAGGGCCCAAAAACATATCAATAATTTCGGCCTCCTGCAATATACAAAAAATGTCTGTGAAGTCCGCATCTCTTGTCAGCATTGTCACTAGTCTCATAACCGCTATCCTATGCAGCTATGCTGGTTTGCGAAGATAAGAATTTGGAGACAAGAGAATTCGTCACGGAGACTATCTCTGTTTCAAACACCATTTTGCAAATAAACTCACTTTAATAGGGAGCGCATGGTAGTAGATTTCCTCCAGTGATTTGATCTTTCCATCTTTCACCAGACGGCCCAGTTTGGTAACGGGAACCCAATCTTTCTCCTCCTTAGCTCCACGTCGGCCACGCCGTCCTCCGCGACGACCACCGCGGTCCCCTCGGTCTCCTCGGCCTCCACGATCTTCACGACCGCCGCCACGTCCACCAAATCCGCCTCGAAATCCACCACGATCAGCCATTATGACTTAATGCAAACAATTAAATTTTACTGCTGAAATCCACGGGAACGGCTGCTTCTTAAGAACCGGTAAGATCTCGACTGCAAAACTGAAGCGTGCTATTCGGAACACGCTGATGCACTGCTCAAGACATGTGCATACAGGGAAAATATCAGAACAGCGTTAACGCTATACGCTTTAAAAGGCAGTACGGGTTTACACCATTTGCGCCATTAAACCCTTGAGTGCTAGGTGCTAACGCGTGGCGCAGCCGCTTATCCATCGACCACGCTCGTTCTAATGCCTTGCCTTGTCGGCTTGTCGCGAGTTATCGTTCTGGTTTCTTTAAATTCAAAAATTTGATGTTATAATTATATTATTACAAGCCCAGCACCGATGAATACTGGCCGATGACTATTAAAAACTAAGTAAGTAATTCTAAGGATGTGTTGCTTTGCGGTCGCTTACAGACTGTCATAATATTTAATAAACCCGTACGTATGTTTAGTAATATTATGATACACTTTACATAAGTTAATCGAAACACGGACTGTCTACTTGTACATACAGTAAGTACATAACTTGCAATATGATCACTCACTAACGTGATGATGACTAACGTGTTAAGTTAAGTACATGAATTTTTACTTTGTATTGTACTCGTACTTATTGTTAAGTAGCAGCTCAGATATTTCTGCTGTTTTCGGTCAAATTGTGTTAGAACAGTGTGCATTTCTTATCGCGTCCATGGTAACAAGCTTATGATTGACCACTGGACCTAGACAAATGATTTTGGCAAAAAGTCAACAATCTTGGATCCACCGCTACACCTAGAGAATTTTGATGTACTTTAAAGCAACAAAATTGGTGAAGTAGAAGCCGAGATCCTTTGCCTCAAAGGATAGGGGCCGAAGTCCTGGCACATATAATCAGTATTCATATAACCAGTTTACGGGATCTACATCCGTACGTATTGTCGCAGCGTACTTTAGTTTCGAAGGTTTCGAAATTTTTTTGTTAATGAAATATGCGAATCTTCTGCATTCAGAAAGTTTTTTAAGCGTAAGAATTTAAGACGCCTAAGAAACCTAAGCAACCTGAAAAAACATAAGAAAACCTAAGAAAACTCAAGAGATCTAAGAAACATGAGAAACCAAAGAGTAATAAAAAATTAAAAAAACCTAAGAAGCCTAAGAACCCTAAGAGACCTAAGAAACATGAGAAACCAAAGAGTATTAAAAAATTAAAAAAACCTAAGAAGCCTAAGAACCCTAAGAGAGCTAAGAAACAAAGCAAAAAAACAGATTGCGCTAGTCGCCAGCTTAATTACTATTATTATTTTGCCCTGGTTTTACGATTTTTTATTTTGTTTGCCAAAGCGATGCCGAAGGCCGCGGACTGCCTCTGTCGCTGCGACAGTACAAATGAATAGCCCACGACCGTCTATGGGGGCCCATGGCAACAATTCCTTTTTGGGGGCCTCTGCTTACCCGTTGGGGCGCATCGATTAAGCAATAGCGTAACATTACCGGCGTCGTTGCGACGATTCTAACGCACTTTTCTGCGTGAAAATCGGGCCAGCCGTTCGGCCAATCATTCGGAACAAAGCATACTCGTGTATAAGATGTTACGGATGTAGATAACAAGATGAGCACGGATGAATATTGGCTTACGACTGGGCAAATAAATTAGTTTAAAATTCATACGTTGAAGCGTTTTCGAGAAAGCAGTAACAATTATTTTTTTTGTTTGAAAACAGTTGGTTTTTGTATAAGAAAACAGATTTTGTTCAGTTTATCGGATTTAACAAATGACAGGGAATGCTTTGCGGTCTGCGGTTGTATCAGCTAAATTTTTCCTTTTCTTATCGTTTGGCTTAGTGATTAGCCAACCTGTGGACGCTTGCTGTCATTGTCGGTTATTACTTTAGCAAACGGGGTCTATCAGTCCAGTATCTACTAATATTCAGTTCTTAGATTGATGACCTTTGTTGATAGAGTTTGTGTCGTTTTGTGGCTCGGCCGCTGTTTTTCTGTTTATTCTGCTAAACTCGCGAAACTGTAATAGCAACTGTAGCCAACGAAGTGTAGCCAACGAAGTGTCGTTCAGACAGCCCACGGAACATAGGAAACGCAGAGGCGCAGCCAAAGCTGTTTCATGTTTTAGCTGATTGAGTAAGTACAGTGTAATGTGATCGTGGTAACAGACTAGCCCATGTTAGCCCTATGGCCTCCATGGTAACAACTAACAAGCTTTCGAGTGACCACTGGGCTTGAGGTTTTGCATATAGCAAACAATGATTAGTCTTAGATCACCCGCCAGACCGAGCGGTTTCCAGAACATTTTAAAGCGAGAAAATTGGATGAGTGGGAGCTGAGATCATAGCGAACAAAGAGGAGAGGCAGAAAACCTGCAAGAGATGTATAGTATTCATATAACAAGATGAGCACGGATGAATATTGGCTAACGACTATTTAAAATTACGTCGCGTCTGCATGTGTTGGATTGTGGTGCAAAGTCAGAATGGCAAAGCCAGACAGCTACTTATTCAGGATGGTTGCCTGCGGTGAGAATCGTGGAGTATTGACCTTTTGCCCCTAAAGTTTTTTGGTTCATGGCTCAGCTGCTAAGTTTCTGCTTATTCTACTGAATTCTATTGAATCTGAGAAGCTACTGTAGTGGTTTATCAGTGGGCGAGGTGATTTGTAAAGTGTTTACTCAGCCAGGGGAGCACAAGAAACGCAGAGGCGAAGCCAAAAATTTTTCTTGTTCAGATTTATCATTCCCGTGGCAACAGAGCTGCCCATCTTAGCCCTATGGCATCCATGGTAACAAGCTTTTCAGTGACCACTGGGCCTACCGCGATCGCGATGGCGAAAGGTCAAGGGTCTAAGAACACTCCCCGCACTGGGAGGATTCTTGTGCAATTTGAAGCAGAAAAATCGAGTGAATAGAAGCAGAGATCATGCGTTACAATCAGGAGAGGCCGAAGGTCTGCAAGAGATGTTTAGTATTCATATAACCAGTTTACGGGATCTACATCCGTACATGACTTTTGTGCCGCTTCTTAGTTTCGAACTTTCGCCCTACCTTAATTCCGGCCGCTCAAGAAAACTGAAAGTATAACAAATCTGAGGAAACCTAAGTAACATAAGAAAATTTTAAGAATTCTCAGAAACATAAGAAACCTACGAGAACTAAGAAGCCCAAGAAAACAAAGAAACCTAACAAACCTAAGAAACCTAAGAAACCTAAGAAACCTAAGAAACCTAAGAAACCTAAGAAACCTAAGAAATCTAAGAATCCGAAGACATCTAAGAAAGCTTAGTTAACAGAACCTGAGATGATTAGGTATTTTGAAACGCCAGGTTCATAATGGTATTTTGTTGCGCGTTTACAATTTTTGCATGAATTGTTAGCGAAGCGAGGCCGAAAGGCGCGATTTGTCTTTGTCGCTCTGCGTTAGCTCATGTATGTCTATGGAGGCCCATAGCAACAAGTCGTTTTTTTGGGGGCTGTCTTGCCCTCTTGAGGCGCACAATATTCGCAGTGTTCTTATGTCACTCGCGACGTTGCGACGATTCCGGCGCACTTTACCGCGTCAAAATCGGACCATCCGTTCGCCCGATCATCGTGGTCGTCTGCTTAGCATGTATAAGAGGTTACGGATGTAGATAACAAGCTGAGCACGGATGAATATTGGCTTACGACTGGGTAAATAATCAGTTTAAAATTCAAAGGTTGCAGTGTATTCGAGGAAGCAACAGCAGTCAATATTTTGTTTGAAGACAATTGGTTTTTGATAAAGACAACAGATCTTGTTCAGTTTATCAGATTTAACGGATGACAGGAATGCTCTGCAGTCAACTTGCAGCTGCATCAGCTAAAATTTTTTCCTTTTTTGTCAGTGATTTGCCCTTTTTCGTTAGCTAATACATTATCGGTTAGGTTAGCATTATCGGTTAGGTTAGCAATTTTCACTTCTTTCTTTTGAGTCAGAACATCTAAAGCCTAGCTTTTGGAGTACTGATCTTTTGCCCTAAAGTTTGATTGGTTTGTCGCTCGGCTGCTGATTTTACGCTTGTTCTGCTAAACTATCCAAATTCCAATAAGCTACTGTGGACAGTGAAGTGTCCGAAGTGATTCGTTCACTAAGCCCACAAGGTTTTCTTTATTCAAATTTAATGCCCGTGGCACCAGACCAGACTATGTTAGGCCTATGGCATCCATGGCAACAAGCTTTTGAGTGACCACTGGGTTAGGGGTTCTGAATTCAGCAAAAAACCACTGGTCTTAGATCACCCGCCACACTGAGACGTTTTCAAAACATTTTGAAGCATGAAGATCGGATGAGCAGAAGCGGAGATTACCGCGGTCTAACAGGAGAGGCCGAAGACCTGCTAGAGATGTTTAGTATTCATATAACAAGCTGAGCACGGATGAATATTGGCTTACGACTGGGTAAATGAATCAGTTTAAAATTCATAGGTTGCAGTGTATTCGAGGAAGCAATAGCAGTTAGTATTTTGTTTGAAGCAGTTTCGTGCACAGCAGCTAATAGTCTCCTCAGAAGCTTGCAAATGAACTGAAGACGAGCTTGATCATTTGTTTGGTCCGATTTTGGACCATGAGAAACGCAAAGGCGAAGCCAAAGCTGTTTCTTGTTTGAGTACAGTATAATTGTGACCGTGGTAACAGACCAGCCCATGTTAGACCTATGGCATCCATGGTAACAAGCTTTTGAGTGACCACTGGGATTGCGGTTCTGAATTCAACAAACAACGACTGGTCTTAGATCACCCGCCAGACTGGGAGGTTTTCAAAACATTTTGAAGCAGGAAGATCGGATGAGCAGAAGCGGAGATTACCGCGGTCTAACAGGAGAGGCCAAAGACCTGCTAGAGATGTTTAGTATTCATATAACTATATCTATATTAGTTCTTTTCACTCTTTGAAAATACTTACTTACGTCTTGCCTACTAGAGTAAAATGGTAGTAAATGGCAAGTAATTACTGCATGCACTACTATCAAAATTATTGCAAGTATTCCGCGTGTGTCGGACAGGTGTTCCGTGTGCAGTAGAATTAAATTAGATAGTTGTAACAGAAGTAATTAAAGAACAGAATCATCCAGGAGATTTTATTTCATAGGTTTCAACTCCGTACCAACGCCTAAACGCCGCTGCTAATTCAAAATCTTCCACGTGCAATAAGGCGCATACACGAACCCGATAGTTAGTACGGGTAATAGTCCCGCAAATTACAGAATCTACATAATCTACACAAACGCCTGATAAAAACAATTAAAACGACATTAAATTACCAACGCATTAAAAAATCACATATCTTCGGGTGAATAAGAAGAAGTAATCCATAAAGCACAATTAAGAAGCTAAAACCACTGCAACTATAGAGCATGGTATACAAACTATCACCGCAATTAACGGGGCACTTTTAAAGAAATGACCGCTCTACGACATCTCCAAAACTTCGATCAAACCTTGGCTGTTCGCAGCGACCAAAATATTGGAGTCCTAGAAACAGCAAAAAATGTCAAATTTTTTCTTACTTTTATTTTCTAAGACTATGTGGCACTCTACTGTTTAAACACAGTCAATACCTTCTTCCATGCAACAGCACTCAAAAATTCCCCTCCATCCGTTTTCATCAGTGTTCGAGCGAGAGATTCACGTGGTGGTTCAAATTTATACTGAACAGCAGGTTTTGGCATCGCACGATGGTAAATGCAAAGAGAGTTATTTTCGCTTCCTGAAAGAGAATGATTCCATCACCATTATTGATCAATTTCGAATTGCTGCGCAAATGCAATTTTTTACTCAATACCAGTATCATTAGTACTTCCTAAAGTAGGTAAGCAGCCTATCCAATGCTAACCTGTAGCAATGTAATTTCCGGAACAGTCAAGACCAACAAAATTCTTTTCATTATGATGACCCGTAAAAGTTTTCAACGTAGCAGGTCCTCCAGCAGCCTTCAAATCCCACAGGCGCAGCGTGCTATCGGTAGATGCAGAAACCAATTCCCACTCGGCCATAAATTTCACGTAAGCAACGGCTTTCTTGTGGCTCTTGAGAACAGCGTAGGCATAGCGTGTGTTCCGCAAATCATATACATGGATCGAATGGTCTAAAATCAAACAAATATTTAGTAAGCAAAAACAGGCAACTCATTTGAAGTGAAGAAATTATACCTGCAGACCCATACGCCAAAATGTTGCGATTCAACGGGCTGAACTGAACACAGCAAACGTTGGCTTTAGCGTCCAGGCTATTGATAGAATGTTGGCTGTCCGTTGACCACACAAACACCTTCATGTCGTCTGAACCCGACGCCAACACTTTCGGATCTTGGTGATTGAAATCGACCGACCAAGCGCGCTTCTGATGTTCCTAAATTTGAAATTAAAAAATACGACACAAACCTAACAAACGGATAAATTGCTCTGTTCAAAATTCTGGCTTCCGCTTCTTGTGTTTCCAACTCGGATGGATAATTATAAGGTAAAAGATTTAGTAAATACAGTTACGAGCAACCGAAGATGATTGTTTCAAAACGCACCTGAAATGTGTTGCATTTTTTCCCAGAAAGTGCGTCCCAGACGGTAACACCGCCATCGTAGTCCGCACAAGCAATGTGGTTGCGCATGAAATCATTCCACACGACAGAGCTTATCTTTGCCGACGAGTTCATTTCTGTCAGGGGAAAGTGAAGGTGCATTCCATCCGCCACTACAGAGTTGTAATCGTATATCTTGATCCGTTTACTAACTCCAGCCACCGCGAACAGATCATAGTCCTTGTCAAACTCAACACTCGAGACAATCGTCGATGTGCCTACAGCGTCCGCAAAAGCAAATGCAGCCAGGCAGCGAATCGAGTTAGCGTTTGTAAATTCATGAAGATTCTTCTCATACGAGTCCAAGCCTGCATGTGAATAACCAGCTGTCAATAAAATTTCAATATCGCATAATATTTTTAAAATGGCTCGCCAAGTCTAAAACTCACCATTCTTTTCCCGAGTTTCCACATACGTATCACAGAGAGCGGGAAGGTGAATGTCCACTTTTGTCTTGCGTTCTTTCAGTGCCGAACTCGAAGCAGCCTTGGAGAAAAGCGGACTCAATGGAACTGGCGAATGCTGGGTGGGAGTTCCCAAGTCGATCAGTTGTGCAGAAGGGAAAACCTCATCAGGAACCGTTTGTGGATTAGGAGTATGAGGATTTGGAGTCTCAGAAATTAAAGAAACCGACTGCAACTGTTGGTCACCGATCATCGTCAGTTCCTCGCCAACCGCCTTTTGATCACATTCAATCATTGATAACTGCTTCTGAACTTCAGTCAATTCCTGCAAGAAATACACGTAAACACTGTGACTTGCGCTGATAAGAATTTTACTGCTGGTCACATGTGCAACCCATTTAAACACAGCATGAGTCTTACAGCGGCTTTCATCGCATGCAGTTTCTCCAAAGTATCCTTGAGAAGCAATTTACGAAAAATGGTACTGCTCTGAAATGTAAAACGGACTGTAATGCAATCAGAACAAAGCAGATCTCAGTGACTAATACCGTTATCAGATCATTTTTGCGGCGGTTCAGGGACTGTATCACACAATCAATTTGCTCCACTGTGGCCTGCCGATCAACCACCACAATCGGAGATCCGTGGCCTTCACCCACAAATTCAGTAATCGATCGCGGTCGCTAATCCGAGAAAAGATATAAATAAATTTAATTTCGGAACGCACGATTACATGGCGGCATGCATGGTGAGGCCGTGCTATGATAGCTGGCGTCAACACCAATTACGTACGCTACGGGTATGAGAAATGTTATGCAGGAGGGCCTCACCTTCCTCGAAGGACTAACCGACGGAATAGTCATGCCAGTCTTCTTTTCAATCAACATTTTCCACCGTGTCCAGCGAGTCACCAAAGAATCCACTAAATAAGTAATATGTACCGGTAAATACCACGGCAAGTTGGTGCAAAATTTCGAAATTTTTACGTGCTTCAGACATTACGTAAGCGGTATCACTGTAGTCACTCATATAGCTTTTGTTTGGTTTGCAACACAGACATACCATGACGATTACTGTAAGCCTGGTTAATGTCTGCCATTTCGGAAGCACAAAGGGGGCACTTCTTGCTGATATGGCACACCTTGGCAAGGCAATCATAACTGAAGAAACATCAACATAACATTACAGTACCGTTCTTCCAAGAGTACTTATTTTAACCAGTTTATTGAATTCAAAAGTGCACAAAAAAGAATCTGGAGTTCTAGGTTACGAAACATTTCGAAGTTCTAAGAGGTCTAACAATTACCAACCTTTCCCCGTCACTTATGGAGCTTAAGTTCTATGTACACACCAGTATTTACAACAGTGAACAAAATGATAAGTAAACAGTTTACTGTAAACTGAAAAATATGCTACAGATTTAAATAAAGGAACTAGTTACTACACCATAACCATTCTGATCGTCCAGGGTCACCCTTTTCGTTTTTCTGTTTGTTTTCTTCTATCATAAGCGTAGAAATTTAACCCATACAGACAAAATATTAAATCGAATATGACTGAACAACAATCTTTTTTATATCTACGGTTTACCACGCGAGAAGCACAAATTGATGAATATCATACCAGAAGGTGTGTCCACAGCGAGCGAGGTATGGCATCGTGAAAATTTCTCGGCAAACCGGACTACAGAAAATAGTCTCTTTGTGAGTTAGGACAAATTCAATAAAAACAAGAAATGTCATCACAAGTCCATAGCAGCTCTGCCTCTTCTTACCAAGTGAGATCCTCTTCATCACACGGGCTGGTTTCTGCACAAATCTCGCCCAGCACACGTCGGAGAGAGTCCCTTTCCTTGCCTTCCAAATTTCCATCCAGAAACGTTGAATCCAAAGAGTTAGCGGAGGTGGAGGCCAAAGACCCGGAAGACGTGAACAGAACGGATGTGGTTTCATTATCTAACCCTTCGATCTTCTTCGTTGGATCGTCAATCAGTTCTTCACGATCGTCTAACAGAACCGCATGTGCACCTGGTAGTGGAGTCAGACGGCGCTTTTTACGAGGACTATCCGTGGAAATATTTTTAGACATGGTAACTGAATAAGCAACTAAGCAATCATCCGAAAGACAACAAACTATAAAGGTTCAAATTAAATTTAATACCCTCTGCCCTTAAGTATGCTTTCAGCTGAAAACTGAAAAGGCAGGAAAGTTCATTGCGAAAACAGTACTTCGCACGCTACACTGAAACATGCGTGGATATCACTGATGAGCGTAATACTGCGTCTACTCTAGGTGTCAACAGTCACAACAGGATAATGTAACCTGAAGATAAAATTATGAATCAGCAGTAAAATTATTTAATAAAAATGATAAAACCTAGATTGAAGGAAAAGAGTATTAAAACATCATTTTCAAAATTCTAAAAGTAAAAACTGTCATCACAAAGCCACTTACAGACGAAAAATTAACTAAACTTGCTGCATGCCGTCAGTTTCGAATTTTCATGGTTCAATGACACAACAAGCCAAACATGCACTGTTGCGCGCCCGTTGCGCAGCGTGTATTTGCGCGCGGTTGCTCATTGTGATTTAAGTGCAGTCAAAACCTAACGACGAATCGTCGACGATTGAGGAAATTTCGATTTCTTTCCTTTTTCTGCAGCGCAGGATTAGGTCAAGAAAAAAACTTAAACGAAAAACTTAAATGGAAAATATAAATTAAAAACTTAAACAGCCTATAACTTTTTACCTTGGCAATGGCCAGTTCAAATGACAGTAACGCCCTGCGTTGGTAATAAACCTGGTATACACTTGTTTTTTTTCGACCCGGCTTGAAGTTCCCTTGGGGTTGTCTGCTCTTGTGCCGTTATAATAATAATAATACTGATAATAATAACTACAACGATAAAAAATTTCAACACTGAAAATATACCCTTTAAAAGACTTTAATAATCAGTTTAGCGTCACAATAGACCGGTACGCCAAAGTTTAAGTCGCCAATGTACGGCAAAATACTGTATGATTTGAACATTCGCTTGACAATGAGAAATTGCTGATCATCTCAAAACTGTCAGAATATAAATATAAACAGGATTGTTTCGAAAGAATTAGCCGAATAAAGCAATCGCAGAGTATGGCTGTGTTACTGGACCGAATGAAATGACCTAAAATGACTTCCTAATAGTCTAATACGTTCCTAACCTTCCTATAGATAGTAGACAAGAGTGGTACGTAGTAGAATGCTACTCTAGAATTACTAGTACACCGTTACTCACAGTCTCACAGACCACAGTCACCGTAATAGGCGTTTAATAACATTACATTTGAAATGGCGGGCTTATCGGTTGCTCACCCGAGAGTGGGTGGCTGCAGTGTCTCCACCATGATCTGTGCTACTTCGCAAAAATTCAAAGTTTTTGCTAAAAAGACTTTCAGGCCCTTTCTCCAGCAGCACTTGCAAGTTGCAATTTCAAGCGTTAAACCTATGTTACTATGTACCTAATCTTTATTATTCTTTCTACTGAGATTTCATCTCAAATCTTGGAAAGTTTTATTTTGTAAAACTCAGGCAACCAACAAAAGTGTTTTTACGAGTTTTTGAATTCAGCCATAGAAAGTGTAGTTCGTAGAAGTCAGAACTGCGCTCACCTGTTGGCTGTGCAAGGGCACGTTGTGAACTTGTCATTGTCGTATCGTTATTCACGGTTATGGTTGAAAATGTATTCGCATCGCATGGAGTTGTGATTATGGATTTCCTGGTCTCTTACCAGTGCGAAAGAATATATTATGGAAGCCTTTTCTGTCCAGATTCTGTTGTTTGAACGCATGTAACTTGGAAGACTATTTACTCGGAGACCGAAGCATCGTCAGTTGGACATAATGGCAATGAAGGCACCAGCTGAAAATTACATTCCCGATGAAGTTAGAGATCCCCGTACAAATATCGTGTACAAAAAGGGGAAGTTTATGGGAAAAGTAAGTTCCGATAATATTTTGCATTGATACAGTCTAATACTTATTCCGGTTTTGTTGTTTTGCCATAAGCGCACTGCAGCCGACTGCAATTTAACACCCACTGCACCATTTTGACTGTGTTCTTATAGGGTGGCTTTGCGCGATGCTATGAATTGCTGGATACCAAACAGAAGACAGTATGGGCTGGGAAAATTGTGCCGAAATCGTTGCTTCAGAAACCTCATCACCGGGAAAAGGTATAAAATTTGCTCCGTGCTGTTCGTGTACAGTGCTCATGCTGATTTTGCGATCAGTTCTCTGAGTTCTGTTGCAGATTTTGCAGTGTGTTGTTGCAATTTTGCAATGCACTAGAGACTTGAATTGTTGGTACACGATACGGTAAAGTTATAGTAGTAGAATCGAATATTTGGTAGAGAAATATTTGTGTTTTAACTTTTACGTATTTAAGGGTGTGTTTGGATGTGATATTCGAGACTTACTTTATAGATGTCACTGGAGATCCAGATTCACAGAGAAGTCCACCATCAACACATCGTCGGTTTCCATACATATTTCGAGGATAGCGATAATATTTACGTTCTGCTGGAGCTTTGTCGCAATCGCGTACGGTTGCAATGTGGATTTGATTTACGTGCTTTATAAAGTACGTTCGTAATTAGCCTCTACGTAATATTTTGCAGTCTCTGATGGAACTGCAGAAACGGCGGAAGGCTATTCAGGATCAGGAAGCACGATACTTTCTTAAACAAATCGTGGAAGCATGTATATACCTACATGGTCGTAACATTATTCACCGCGATCTAAAACTCAGCAATGTGTTTCTCAACGATAAGATGGAGGTGAAGCTGGGTGATTTTGGATTGGCTACGAAAATCGAATTCAATGGACAGAAAAAGAAGTAGGCAAAACGTTCTGTAGTAAAGTTTTCGAGTATAAATAACCGGTAGTGTCGTCTTGTTGAAGGACTCTATGTGGAACGCCTAATTATCTTGCTCCGGAAATTTTGCTCAAAAAAGGACACAGTTTTGAAGTTGACACCTGGAGTCTGGGCTGTATTTTGTAAATCGGAAGGGCAACATTAGCGGCAAATAACGGCCGAGTAACTATCGTTTTTTGCAGGTATACTCTTCTCGTGGGTCATCCTCCTTTCGAAACATCGAAGCTGAACGATACGTATCAGCGTATAAAAAACAACGATTACAATCTCCCTGCTCGTTTAACGAATTCAGCAAAAAGTTTGATCACGATGATGTTGAACCCAGACCCCCACCTACGGCCCACCATGAAAAAGATTTTGACGCACGAATTTTTTACAAGTGGTAAGTTTTCAACTTTCTATTGCTGCACTCGTTTATTAGTTTTTGTTATTATAATAGGCTTTGTTCCGGCTCAGTTACCTGTGTCTTGCCTCACTATGGCCCCCCGAAATCTTGGAGAATCCACTCGGAAACCGTTAATCGAAGTTAATGTACCAAACACCAACCAAGCTGCCCGAGACGAATTACCACCTGAAGGTTTGCCTACCTGTTGCTAGCGTCGGGTTTTGCTGGTTAATTGTCATGTGGATATTGGAGATTTAAGAGTATTCATTGTAGAAATCATGTATATCGCAAAGCCCTTAGCCAGTTTTGATTGACACTACAGGATCGAATCGAAGCCTGTTACAGTTTTATTTAGTATAGTGTTGCTATTCTCATTTCAGCTGTTCCCGTTGACCATTGGATGTCTGATCTGCATCAGCAGCTGAGCGACTTGATTGCATCGTTTGGGGAATCAAAGACTACACAAAATAATGGTTGGTCGCAGGTTACAACTTAGACAAACAATAATAAAATTACTGTACAGTAATAAATCTTTTGCAGACCATGCGGAAGATCCTAACCAAAGTCCTATGGTCTGGATATCAAAATGGGTTGATTACTCAGACAAATACGGCCTTGGGTATCAGCTGAATGATGGTAGTTTTGGTGTTCTCTTCAACGATTCAACAAAAATTCTCTTGTGGAACGACCAGCAGTAAGTGAGATTGTGTTTATTGTTGTGGACTTTGGTAGTTATTTCGTGATATGTTATATGCATGTACGCAGTGACCTTTGATGAGGTCGCTGTGCGGTGTGTGAATGCGATTATGTGGTATTTTGGTAGCTTTTATAGGTGCTGAGTACGATGACTGGCCATATCGTCGTATGTATTGTGTTTTAAAGGGTTGTGATAAGTATTTAATATTATATTTCTTTGCAGGTATGTGCAGTACATCGATCGCGATCAGGTGGAGCACTACTGTTCCGTGAAAGATTATCCGGAATCTATGCAGAAAAAGATGACTTTACTGCAGTACTTTCGAAATTATATGCACGAAAACCTCATGAAGGTGATTTCTGCGTTCATTTTTTATACTTATAAGATCGAGTAGATAAGTACGAGTACATGTAATAAAAGATTTACTGAGAACATTGGCTGTAACTTAGTAGTGACAAGGTATAAAATTTTGCATGTCTCATTAGACGGGAGAAAACCTGAGCCCTCGAGAAATGCTTGCACTGCAACGACTTCCATGGATGCGCAGCTGGTTCCGTTCGCATTCGGCTATTAACATGCATTTGACGAATGGAACTGTCCAAGTGAGTCGCTTCTGTTCTCGAAATAAGATTGTTTTAGGCTTTGCTAATTGCTAGAGGTGAATTTTCTTATTGTTAGATTAACTTCTTCAAAGACCACATGAAAATGATACTGTGCCCTTTGATGCACGCCGTAACGGTTATTTACCCCGACAAATCAGCCCGTACTTTCCGCATGTCCCTCTTTGCTGAAATGGGTTGTACGAAAGAGCTACAGGAACGCTTGACTTATGCCAGGATGATCTGCGAAAAGATGCTCCAGTGCAAAAGCGCCGGTTCGGGGAAGTTAAGGATGACTGGAAATGGAGAAGGAAAAGACAGGGCAGCATCGTCTGGGATGTCGGTCGCCGAATCCACTAAGTAAGGTATTTGGACGGAACTGACTTTTTTGGAAATTTTTGTTTAATAAAAATATGAGTTGCGTCGTATGTTGCTCACTTTTAATAGATTGTCGGCATTTGTGTACTGCAGAATATTTTACTGTGGCTGAATTGATTGCATTTGATGTTGCATTTCATTGTTTCTTAATAGCTTGTTTAATTTACCCTGTGCTTAACGAGGTGGATGAGCAGTGTGCTGACTGAACAAACGCTTATTTGAGAATATTATTATCGGAGTTCGATCGAAGCAGTCTGAACTCTGAGATGTCCAATTTATTCTGTTAATGCTACATGAAACAGTTCAAACGAAGAATTAATTCCGCAATGGTATTGCTCCGCTACGTATCCATGGATCGGTCCGCAGTTGGGAGGTTGTTGGGCGCAGCTTCCAGTCACAAGTCAACATATTTTCAATGACTGCAAAACGTTGTCAATGGAATGACACGAAAGTGCTGGATTTCGGCCATCTTCGTTTTAAAAATTTTATTAAGCTTAAAAAACACCTATGGCGTCTATGCGCTCTTGCCAGCACAGGCAGGCTTAATACTTTATACTGTACAATAAACGATAATGATGTGCAAATAGAGTAGGAAAATATAAGGTGTTTAATATGTAACAGTTTTTCGAAATCTGATATTTAACAGTTTTCGAAATTTGTTTGTTTTCGGAGTTTCAACAAGAGATTAATTAATAGAGCGCAGCTAAAACATTATACAGTGTTTTTTGAAGCAACTTTTAGATTTCATATAATTGTAGAACTGCTACAAAGCGCAAAATTTTAAAGTGCTATGATTATGTCGAGGGTTCTAATCCATTTCAAAACCGAAACAAATGACGCACTACGTGCAACCCTTTCGTACGATATACTTATCGTTAATATTATTAATATGCATATTGCATACAAGCATGTATACATACATGATACATATAAGCTGAAATTATGTCTAAACACAAAGATTTACAATCGTTTTTTGTAAATATTCATAAAAATGGGAGTAATTTCCTTTTAAGTATGATAAATCTGAATACCCTAATTGTTATGGTGATGAGCGATAAACTAGTCAAGAAAAGATATGGTGAAATTTCGTTCTGCAGAATCGTTCGTGTGGCCCGTGGTCAGCCTACTGTGGAGTGATGCGAGGTCATGCACCCAAATTTTAAAGTTTAAAAACTAATCTTGAGTTGGAAATTTGAATGAACTTAAAAATATACCTTATTACCAATATTATACAGAATTCAAAAATTTCTCATAAAATATAAAATAAATACAGTTAACACTTACTCCTCTTTGCAGCAGATGAGTGATTTCTTGGATTTCTCCAAACGTACACGCGATTTCGTTGGTTATATAGTAAAACGGACTGTTCCACTGTCTCATCAAATGCCATTATCCCGTTAACGAAAACAAAAAACACGCATCCCAGTGCCCAAACATCCACAGCTTGGGGGCTATATGGAACTGCCCGAATTAGCTCTGGGGCAGCATAAGCTATCAAAAACCCGAAATGTAGTGCTAGTGCAGCATCTTTCGTTGGCTTATGAAACGGTCTACTTCTGACTTCAGATATAATTATCATATCGTATCTATATTGTATACCACGTGTAGAAATCACAGAGCCAGTGTGCTTATGCGTATTGCCCACCTTTTGAACCACAAAATGTTGTGCTCAATCTGGCAGCATCATCCGTTGAAAATCCGAAATCGGTCAGTTTTAACACACTCCGTGTGTCATCCATCAAAATATTTTCCAATTTAATATCCCTGTGAGCTGCACCCAGAGCGTGAATGTACTCGATAGCATTGACCAACTGCCAAGCCCAGCAAACTACTTGCTGTTTTTCTGGCAAGCTTTTCAAGTTTTGTACATACGTTAAGAGATCTCCACCATTCATATATTCCAGAACCATATAGACTTTTCTCGGAGTGACGGTATAGTAATAAAACTGTGTAATTCCAGGATGAGTTAATTTTGACCACACTGCCAACTCTCGATCGAGGAAATTCTCGATAAACCGACTCGTGACCTTTTCTTTGTCGATGATTTTAACCGCAAATTTCGATAGACTTTCTGGTTTGCCGGAAAATAAATCCACCCCGAGTCTGACTTTAGCGTAGACACCCTCACCAATTTTTTCCCTTACATCAATACCGAAGGAGCCTAAGATGCGCTGATCATAGGTCAACTCGATGCCCTTATGAGCAGGTATTATGGAGCGCACGTTATCGCTGACTTTAACAGCCCTTGGCATGGTGCTCATATCCCTGGCTGACATTTGATTTTTTTCGTTTTCGTTTCCAGCTGACGGATGATTCGTCCCAGGTGATCCCGTTGCAGCGCGATCGAGTGACGAGAAAGGTGACAAACGGCCATTGGCCGTATTTGTATGTGGGCCAAGACATTTAGCATTTGCCACTACGTTTTTCACCAACGCTGGCTGGGTTTTTGTTGTACGCGTAGCTGGCAGTCCCGGTGTGGTGGCACGAATGGCTGGCTGTGAGGTTTTACCGGGTAATGGAGAGTTTTGTTTTGGATGTGGACTGGACTGAGGGGAGGCGGCCAACAGCGGAGGATCCTTGTCGCGATTAGGTTGTAGCGATGAGAGCCATGCTGGTTTAACTTTGAGCGGCAACTGGGGCATCGCAGGCTCATCCAGTCAGCTCAGCGGACGATGTAGTTAGGAGTATATAAATGATGCAGTTTGTTGGCTGTTGGGAATACGTGATGGAGAAATAATAAACAAATACGCTCAAAGGAATGGAAAATACGACATGAGCGCTGATGGCAGGAAGCCTCCAAAGGTCTCGGCGACCACATTGTCTTAGCGGTGCAATGCTCATCACCACGACGACAATACGTGTTACGTACTCGTATGCAATGCATAGCAGCTGCCCAGCCTATCATTATGATTGTAGTTATCTGGGATGACACAAAACCCCAACAAGCTACGGACCATCAGTACCAACAATCAAAGTTACTCCACAGTTTTGTTATAATTTAATAAGATGGTTTAATGCTACAAAAGATGCTGCGGAGATGAATCAGATGACCAACAAAACTAATAAAATTACTGTATTAACTATTAATATTAATCCGACATCTGCGATCTTTCTAATATGTGTTGCTGCTCTCGACAGCGCCCCCGAGGCGTTTACGCACTGCCAGTAAGCGCTTCTGTCACTTTCGTCATTCAAGTGTACTCATTGTACACGGGATATGTAAAAATAACAATTAACAATATCTGCATTAACTTTGTTTGAAAGTAATTGCTGGTGGCGCAGGCGCTTAACTTTTGAGCAATAAAAATTTTTGAATAATCTGCATCGTGAGTCCTAAAAATTACAGTGATTGCGCTTACTTCCTGCAAGTAAACCCGCAATGAACCGTTTCGTGCTATTGCGTCTTAGGATCTTCGCACGGCAGGTTTCCGTCCAAGGTTTGTTGCGATATTCCATTTACGATTAATGTGGGCATTCCACGCAGTACAGGTATGCGCTGTCAGTACTCGTAATATTTTTTCTGTTACAGGAAATTCAGCGTGTCCTTCGTGCGTTCAGCTTCGTGCTTCTGGGTTTCGTGAGCAGGCATGTTTGTTGTCCACGAGTGCTACGATTGCGCAGCAGAAGCTGTCTCCCCATGCGGCTCCTTCCGGAGGCTCCGCTGCATCCCCGGCAACGCCACCGTTGAAATCCGCGCACAATGATCATAAGGAAATGGATGGCCTCGTACGTGATCTGAAAGCCAAAGCCTCTGTAGGAAAATTGTTCTACGAAACTGAAAACGAGGGAGTCCGACAGGCTCTGTTGCGCTTGCCTGTGTATAAGGAATACTTCAGTTCGCTCCCGATGAAAATCGGAACGCGTCCACTATCGTTATTTGCTTCCAGGGAGCTCATGCGCGCTGCCGGGACGATGAAAGTGCGTGAACTGATCGACACTCTCAGCACGTTTTCGGGATATTTATCTCTGGGACGTGATCAGCTAGTCAAGGACGAGCAGTTTCTGGTATGTGCTGCAGTGTCTTTTAATCTTCTTGTGTGTTTTACAGTTTCCTTTTTTCAAATTTAGAATAATTATGCTGATCATTTTTATGTCAACATAATGGCGTGAGGATTTTCAGCCTGTTCAGGATATGGTGAATTAGCAGTAATTTTCCGGAGTTTATGAATTTATTCCATTTTTATTGGTTAAATTTACAATATTACATAGTGGGACTGCGAATGCTTTTGTTATTTGATAGAAAGTGCATAATAAAATTATTTTTTGAACTAATGTTATGCATTGCTTCCTATAGGAATTCGTCAAAACGTTGTCGCGGGAATTGTCATCTTATTCCGGCCTGACGTTTCCGGAATTGCAGAACCTTCTGCAGTCGTACCAGCGTTTCCGGTTTGATCATTTACCGCATAATTTTGCACCAGCAGGAATCCTGCGGGCAGCACTCGATGCGCAGTGTCTAGAAATGTGGCCGAGTTTGAAGCCATCGCAAGCGTTCATTTTATCCGATTTGTGGTTTTTATCCTCGTGCTCTCGTTTGGCTGAATTTCCAAAAGTCATGCTGAGCAGAATAAAACCACAGGTTGATTTTTTCAAGCCGCACGAGCTGGTGCGCTTGTTGTTCTCCGTATCGCTCCAGCGAACTGCCGATCCGGGTCTGATGCTACTAATCGAAAGAATGCTTCTGCCACATATCCAGAATTTTTCTATTGAAGAAATCGCGGCCGTTTGTGCAGGGTTTTTTAAAACTCAGACCACACCCGGTGCAGAACTGGTGGATAAAATTCTTACCCGTTTACTGAATATGGATGGTGATATTTTGGCTAACGATATTGTTCTGACGTCATGTTCGAAATTTGCCGACCGCTATGTTGTGCCCGCTCATCATGACCACTTGAAAAGATTAATCGAGAAAGTTAAGCCATTTACGGGACAACTTAGCATTACTACATTAGCTCATCTGAGCAGACTTTTGGAGACTATATCTACTGTGGATACAGATTTCCTGAGTGCTGTATGCCATAAGCTACTAACTCGGTTTCCCAATGTTAGATTAAAAGATGTTGCGAAAATTTGCCAGACTTGCAGTTTATTCAATTTCCGTCCGAATGTTGGCGCGGAGGATTTTTATACTGTCGTTAAGGAACTGGTAGCCAAAAACCTTCAAACCGCTGAAATTTCCATATCTCCCTCGAAATTTGTCATCCTATTGGTATCTTTGGCCCGGATGGAAGTTTTCTCCAAGAGGCTCCTCTGGAGGATTACGGCACCGCAGTTTTTGAAGGCTTACTTGGGTATGTGTTAATTAACTCTTTCTGTACGTTTTCATCAGTAAGATTTTTTTTTTCATTCCATTTAGGTCAGCCATACTCTTTGTTGGTAAATAAGGAGTATCTCCAGTTGCATTACGCCGTGAAAATTGAATTCCCGGAACATGATGGACCGGATCTCCTTCCTGAAGAGCTTTTGCGCCAGTTCGTAGCGGACGAGATATCGAAAACATCAGAGCCACACAGTGCAGTATCATCATTACTCCTTTGCTTGAGAACTCTCCTGCAACAGGAAAAGCAGGAAAAGATTCGTGGTGCTGTGGGAGTCGCTTGGCCTTTACCATACGATAAGCAAAGTAAGCGGATAAATGGTCTTATAACCTATTTCATATCTTTCATACGCTTCGTTATCCGTTCATAGCGCATTAGTGAAATTCGTGTGCTTACTTGCACGAAAACTTTCGCTTTCGCGCACTCCTAAATACTTTTTTGCCTTGTTATAAAATATATTGGTGTAGCTAAATGGCTTGCATATTTTGCCGTGAATACCGTTCTGTGTGCGCAACAGCCGGTTGGGGAGTTACGGTTGATAGAAATTCCAAAAACGAAGATAAAAGAAAAAGGTGAACTGGTGACAGGAAAAAAGTGAAAGCAGTCAGTTGTAATTTTACCACAAGTCTGATCGTGTGCTGATATTCTTCAAATTTTGCATGTAAACACACATAAAAATGAAGATTTTTCTTACACCGAACCAGAATTGCGCCACTTTTTCCAAATTTTGACCAACGGTTTTGTGCAACATTTTGATATAATTTGAAAATTTTTAAAATTATTTGTAATTTTAAAACTTAGGAAAATGGTAGCAGTGTGGTTCGGTGTAACAACAATCTGCATACTTGTGTGCGCTTATGGGCAAAATTTAAAAGGATCGCTACATAATGAACTTTTGGTGTACTTGATAGCTTTTAGACTTTCTGGAATTCTCTTTTATCCAGAACTCCCCAGCCGGATGTTGCGCGCATAAACTGTTTTCATGCCAATGAATGCAAATCGGCTTTCACGCCAAGTACCTTGAAAAGACTGGTATGAGTTTCGTTGTGTGGGAAAATATAAGAGCAAAACTTATTTATGTTAACGAATATCAATTTTTTTTATTAGTGCGATAAATATTTTTTTCATGCGATAATTTTTACCTTCTTACTGGGTACAGTAACGCGTTTATTGGGGTTAATTTATTGTACGAATAACTGCGTCTGCAGTTTGAAGATTCGGTATTTTGCGAATATTTCCCTGGGGTGTTGAATTTTAATCCGCAGGTAAAAGTTGAAAGATTCCGTGATTTTCCGAATTGATTGTGAATTTGGCTTATCGAGCGCGGCCGTGGCGCCTGTTAATGTATAAGTCTGCCAGTAATGCAAAGTGATGCGACAACAAACGACAAACGGAATCAGTTGTCTTAGGATTAACAAACTAGATGGAATGCAGTGTGTTATTGTGATCTAATTGTTGCCCTAATTTCAATCAGGCTCATCTTCATTCAAAAGAAGGTTGGCGCACCTTGGCGGAGTTGTTGGTGTATCATAAATCGTGCCAATGTTAATGATCAATTTCTTAGTGGTTTATTTGAAATCAGTTCAAGTCCATTTGTGCTTCGAAATCCGATGACACCTCCGTTCATCAGCTAATGACTTGCTTAATTGCAGTGATGCTCGTGAGAATTAACGACTTGCGGTCGATGGCACTGCCGTCCGAACTTCTTTCCGATGAGTCTCCTCACCTTCTCAAAGAAGCACCGACTGATGCAACATGGTATAGTTGATAAGCTAGCTGTAATTAATCGAGAAATAAAAAATAACAGATTTATATTGATAAATTTCACTGCTGCGCCCGTTCTTCCCGTTTTGCTACATAATGCTGAACAATACCGTACAGAATATGAATACCGTACCGTGTACATGTATATCTGTAATTTTATACATTGGGATTTACTGGATAGATAAATGGATCATGAGATTTCTCAGTTTGATATATGGAGGTACTATAGGCCATATCCGCTGTGATTGACCAGTGCACTTTGAATTTTTGCAGTATTGCTTTGGTATATCACCCGTGGTGGGACTACTTTAATCCTGGTCACGAACTGAATGGAGTTGGGAGAATGAAACTGCGCCATTTAAGAAAGCTCGGATATCGTCCTGTCAGTGTCGACCAACAGGAAATTCAGAATCATAATTTTCTTCAGAAGATGAAATATTTAAGAGACAAATTGTTCTTTAACGATTTCGAAGCAACAGTGACACCGAATGTTGATGTGGGATCGTTGGCAGATAATGGAGTTGCGCAGGCGAATGTGTAGATTCTTAATTTTGTTGTGTGATTTTGATGTTTTCAAAACAAGGTCGCAGGTGCTGTCGTGAATGAAAGCAGACACGAGATGCGAAGTACCGATGCGCGAAATATGTGACGAGTGGGAGCCATTAGCATTTGGTAAAAAGGTGTTGCATTATCTGCGGGTGCCGTCGTACAAATTAGACTCAAACGCACAATGTGAGCGATGATTCAGACTTCGTGAGTAAAGACTAGAGAGTTAAACAGATTAATGACTACAGAAAATTTAACATGAATACATATTTTAATTTTGCTGATCAAGTACATGTGAAACATTTGATTAATTCGAAGTAAAAACTATGTGAACCTGCGTTCACAATTAAACATCCCAGTATTGACCATATTATTTTTTGTCTAAAAAATTAGGATGCAGAAGACCAAGAATAACAAAATTAATAGCAGATGGTTTGCTTACAATTGCGCATCGCTAAAAAGAGGAAGCCTAACACCGTATACGTACAATTTTCTCAAAAATGTATCTAAAATCTTTTAGCCGGAAACAGCACAAACATGAACAAGATACCAGTATATCATGCTAGCGATAAAAATCTAGATGTTCTAACTGAATGCGGTATTCGTTGCAAGAAAGAGTTCAAATAATTTATGATAGTTCAAAATAATTTCGTAAGGGCGCGGTAATTGCACATGGCAGAGAAAGTGATGCATTTTTTCATCGTCGTCATGTCTGGGTTAAAAAGCTTAGCTTATTGCTGCGCTGGAATTATGTAAACATGAAAAACACAGTAATCATAACCTGCTTTAAGGTTACCGGAAACGAGATCACAGCTGCGCAGCATCTCTTGTATCGGCCTCTAAAATGTGCCGTTCTATGCGGCATGCCTATCAGCAGTGAAGCAGTTCTTAATCCTTCTGCTTTACAGTAAAAGAGTTTGCATTGTTACATAACCAGTTTTGTGTTTAGCACACATATAACGTACAATATTTTGTATTTCCATGCTTTATTTGGCAAACCATTACTGTATTCCGAGCGCCGCTGCAACTAATTGTAAGTGTAGTAAGCAATCTCGCCATAAGTGACGGTAGATTTGCGAAAACTGCATGAAGATGCGCACGTCGTGAAGGTGACGAACAATGGTGAAGAAGAACATGAATTGGTGCACAGTGCTAGTTCCGATGGTTGTCTGACCATAAAAAAAACCAAGCAATCAGCTTCGTCGTTAACATTTTGACTGGCCTTTATAATAATTGCCATACAGATTCGATACACCACAGTCATTTCTGCGTTAATTCAGCGTAATATGCAAGAGCTTTTCTGAAACAAAACCATCATATCAGTCACTTTCGGCTTATTAGACTCGAAAGCTTGAATTTGAGGGCACTCATTTTTACGTAATTTTCACTTTCGCGACTTCAGTAATAATGTCTTTTCAAGTTGTGGGAATCTGCCTGGCCGTTCTGGTGACCCTTGCTGCAGCATCTACCAGTGGACGGGTCAACCATGGACTGCGCTATTATAATCGCCAAGGACGTATTGATTTGCCGCACCAGTTCCTCCCTGCCAAACAATATCAAAAGGGTAAGACATTGCGTAAATTTATTGTAACTCGGATGTCTTATTTTTATATTCAGAAAAATTGTTATCATAAATCATGTATACCGCGCCATGCGGCGAAATCAGGCGTTTAATTCCAAATTAGTAGTATTTTAATAACTGTTGTTACCGCATTAATGTTGTTTGCAGTTTTGCTGTGTGCTCACTTTTCAACGTTTTCTAGTTTGTTCTCATTGTGTTGTAGTTTTCAAATTTTTTGCAACTTGCCTTTTTGCCTAAGCAACGATTCCAGTATTAAATCAACAACTGCTTACCCGGTTAGACGAATAAGTAATTTTGTAACGGCATACTTTTGTAACGGACAAAAAAAGATAGCATTCACAGTTTCCTAGACGTCCACAAGTAATAATTATTATAATATTGCTTAAATTGCTTTGTATTTTAGCAAGCGCCGAACGGTCGATAACAATTTCGAACTGCCTGGACTTCGAACGATTCTGCTGCCACACGGTGCCGTCCCAGTTTAAAGTTATCGGATGCATCAAGGCAACGCGAGGGAACACCGGCTGCCAATGCACCGACGAGAAAACACACAAGAATGGCCGAACAGGATAAAAAGATATAAATACCTGTAGGTATAACTTACTGGAGAGCCGGCTGGACCGCATTCCGGAAGCACATCGTGAAACTGGATCATACAACCGTTTGGAGGTATCTTGCGATAAATTTTTACAACGGCAACCTTTTGCAAAATTGTATTACATTTTATGCGATATTATTTTCTGCCATAATCATGGCTTTGCACGGTATTGTTTAAATTTGTATACGATTTGCGAATCCTTCTTATCCCACTTATGTCCATTTGTAAGTGTTCTCCTTCGACAATAAACATCCCACAGACAACTACAAATTGCTTATATCTGTACAATAGTGAATACTAGCACGAGCGGTACTCGGACAGTACTTCAAGTTGATTTGATAACACTACTCCAATTTGCATACGCGCATACTAGAAGTCTGTGCTGTTTTTAATCATTTCATCACTTATTAAGATAATAATTATTATCTAATGGCTGTTAGTTCGGACGGAAAATTGCAAGCGGAAAATTGTGAAACGATTTTACTCTATCAAAATTTGTGACACATTGAATTTGACACAAACAAACAGCTACTCGTAAATACGAAGGGATGCAGGTAATAAACATAATAAATTAACACAATGACTGCGGTGCCGTGCAGCGCAGTGCGCTGCTGTGCGCACAACGTTTTATTTTAACTATCTATCCAACTATAATTGAATGATATACAGAAGTCTGCGAGAAAACTGTGCATATACATGTATATGCACTGCTTTTTAAACATTCCAGAATGCAGAACAATTCTACCGATCGGTCATTTCTGCACTATCGTTGTGTTAAAGAACTGCATCTTTTGAACTAGAGCACTTGTAACTATTGTGTTATGAAGTACATGATGAGCACTCGTTATTTCTGTGCCGCCTAGACACTGTTTTTATTAACGCCTTCACCGGTTAAAACTCAATCGTGCATGGCTGCCGTTTTTTTTTCGGTGCAACTACGTAATTATTACGACACAGTGAGCCTAGTTGTCAAAATGACATCAGCCAGATTCCGCTGATTGTTAGCACTAATAAATAAATAATTACAGTTTTTAAAAACGATAGCTTTCCATAAATTCAATGCATGCTTAGGTTAACTGCTTAGGTTAACTGCAATCGTCTTGCTTGCATGCAACGCATATACTTTGTATATAGTCACCTGGAGGTTAATTGCTTGAGAATGCAGATGGCTTACGTACCAAATGCTACGTACATAAATCGAGATTTCACAACCAGGCAAAACCTTAAATAAGCTGAAATAAACTCAGTGAGAGTGCGGCTCAAGCAGTTTAATCAGTTAGCTTTAGTCCGGAAATGTACTCGTTCTCTTATTACTGAGATATTAAAACACTCTTTTGCATGTTTCCAGAAATTTTATTAAATAAAAAGGTATGCCATTATAGCATATTGCTGTTAGCCAACAACGAGTATTGCTTTACGTACCGCGCATACAAAGAATAAATTACAAAGAGTAAAGTAGAAATTTGGATCAACAAAATTAGCATAACAAATTTAATCAGATCATGATAAGACTGTACTTAATTTCCATTAAAATGTGCCGTTTAGCAAAATCCGTTGGGGCATATAAGGCGCTTTTCTTCATAACTCTGTTATCCTTTCTTTGCCGGACGGCGGTTTTCGCTTTTGCCGGGATCTTGAACGGGACCACGGAACACATCACAATAACATCCATGCACTCGTCCCGCTTTGAGACATCCGTTGACGCCAACAGTCACTTCATGGCAACAAAAGCGCGAAAAATCCAAGCAGTTGTTGACTTCAACGGTAGCGCCGGAATTTGCTAAAATTAACCCAAAGCACATAAAAAAAATAAAATGTGCTAAAAAATATACGTACTTTACCACTGTATGTTCTGCATACGTAAGGCAAACTGCTTGCTGGAACAAATGGATATTAACAGAGTACCTATTGTACTTTGTATTTCAGACTGAGGTGCGATTCGCAGAATTAAGCGAAGCATAGTTGTAAATACTCACGCTAGTAACAGACCTATCCGGCGCTCTACGTAACCATTACTTACCAATACTCGGTTTCCCCATAGTAATTATTTCGGATCGTTATGCATTCGTCGTCTAATCATTCAAAAATTTTAGAACCTGATACTAACTTACCCTTTTTGTGTTTGCTGGACGCAACCGTGCAATTCAAAACTGCCAACACGAGGAAAGCAAGCGAAAGCATTAATTTCATCTTGAAGGTGAGGAAGTGTACCAAACTCCGCGCAAAATACACAATGAAATGAACACACAAAGTTTCTATACAAAATTTAAATAGCCTGTTCCTTTAGGATTTTTGCGATAGCACAGTGTACAATATTATACCAGTATGCGTCGACAATGTCTGATCGAATGAACTTAAAGATTTTACCTTTATATTCATGCTGAAAAATATGCCGGTCGGTGTGTATAGGTTAATATAATACGGCGTGAACTTTCTTGCGGGTAAGATTTTGTCAGGGCTGCCAATTATGATAAGTTAATGACAGTTTTTTTTTATGAAGTTAACGGTAAACCGCCGCGGTTGCAGTCGGATAGCCACTTTCTGAAAAAGATGTCCTGATTGTAGCCGGATGACCTGACTTCGGCATAAAAATCATTTGTGAATTACTACAGGAAAAAATTTGGAAAGTTTGCTATACGGTCACACAAAGCGAAAATATTTTGGGTTTGGTATATATTCTATTCACTTAGAAAGTGATCTTGAAAGTGATCTTGATCGATTTGAATTGATCTTGAAAACAAAATACTTACGTTGCCAATGGAAATCCTTTTGGAAATTATTTTCCGTCCTAGAGTATGTCAACTGCAATGCTGTACGTAAACGCAATGTTTGAGAAACTTAATGTTTGAGCCTTAATGTACGAGTACGAGCCTTAAAAAGTCTGTGATCTATATAGGAGTCTATGCCCTCACGTTATTTCGGATTACTATTATAATTATATGTCGGAATGCGTGGTTGGTATCAATTTGCTAAACTTTAAAGTGTACATACAGGATGTAGTTTATCGCATCCGAGGAAATTATAAACTGTTATATAGAGGTGTTATACTCGTATATATGTGTTATATAGAAGATAAAGAAAGAAGCTTGCTATATAGTAAAACAAACGACGAGATAGTGCAGAGTTATTGGTGTGGAAAAGCAATGTGGTAATAGTATTGATTCGCGTTCTTCAAATTAAATGGTCGTAATGATACATGGATAAGTCGCATCCAAAGATCGTTGTGGTCAACGAGCTGCCCTACCGTAATTCAATGTCGGATGGAGTTTATAGTAAATGCGCTCGGAGTTCACAGTAACTTCACACATAGTTGTTGTACAGCAGGTGCATATTATTATGTTGTAATTAATCTGTCATTTCGGTATTGCCGTTCAGTATACGTACTGCGCATGTGCTAAATTGTGGCCTGATTTTTCATCATTAATCAGGGTACGTAATCGTATTTTGACAGGCGTAAACACCTTTGTGATGGCATTAATCATCACTTCATACGCTGCAATAGAAAAAGACCAGAATAACATTAGCCATAACTATAAGCGTGGCACGTGTCATACCGAAATATCGTACAATTCTACAAAGCAGCTGAAATGCCATTCTGCTGTACGTATAGGTAGAGGAATGCCAAATACAGAAATTAAAATTAATTAATTTTGCAAATGGAGATTAATTTGCTGAGATATCGACGCAGTATGCTTCTAAAGTTAGATTTGATAATTAATTTATGCTTGTTGCATTTGTAATGATAAGTAATGATGCTTCTTTGTATTTCAAACACCGCAACATTGTTAACCATAGTGCGTTTAAGAAACAATGTAGATTCTGGTAACTTTACGCAGTCAAATTGTGACTATTATTTTCTCTTCCACAAGTAGCACAAAATACAGGTTACACAGAGTCGAAAATTAATTGATTTTGATGCTCAGCAGCATATTCAGCAGTGGGTGTCGGCTCGTTCTACCAAAATACCTTCATTGCAGCATATACTGTAAGTATATTATTGCCCATGAACTTAGACAGCTTACCTATTTAAAGCAAATTGCACTACGGGATTGCACTACGAGATTATTCTAAACAGATGCGCAGTACAATAACTACGTACACCCGCAACTAACAGCGTCGTGCTTCGTTTTATTTGCCATTAAGCTGAAATAGGTTTTTTCTGCATCCCATTATGTCAGCGAGCGAAGGGATTAATCTTTGTCCATCACCAATAAATTACAACGTTCACATTTAGTTGGCTATAGCTAGTTTTAGGTTAATGCTCTGCAGCGATTTTGGTTGCAATTGATCCTACCTTTTGTTTTGCATCCATTAACGTCACTCCAATCTTACGGCTGTGTGAAAAACGTGATTACGAAACTAGCGGCGACGATTGCGCGAAATATAATTACTGCTTTCAAAAAGCTAAAGGTTGTGCGATAAAATAAGGTCGTGACGTCATTTTGCGAGTCATTTTGACTTTTCTTTGTTTCTCCATCCGGTGAATGTAGCACATATGCGACAACAACAATGTATAATATGTCCTTGATAATTCGGAACACGTCATTTATAAGGTTTGTCCACGACGGAGGTTTTACTATACAACTATACGTGCACTTGCGTGATTAAGTAAAGTAAGTAGATGTTCTCTTATGATGACAATTATGATTGATATTCTTTGAAGTAAGTAAAGTAAAGAAGAGCATTATTATTGTAACTTTTGTACGCGTATGTTTTGTCGATACATTCGTTTTGTTTTCAAAGTTCATCAGTGCAACAAAGCTGTTTTAAACGTACATTTGTATTTCGCACAAACAATCTAACTATTAACGTTAGAAGCAGCAACATGCATAAATGCACGCATGTAATATGTACATACTCTGTAGGTATAAATCGGCATAAATGGGAACGATAGATCATTCGTACACGGTACAAGAAAGCGGTACTAGTACTTATTAACACCGACAATTTTTCGCTAATAATTCATAAATGTGTCTTCATTAAGGTGCTGATCATGTCAAGAGGGATAGGAAATACAATGGTGGAATTCTTCTCTGCGGAGATCATATTTAGCGTCTGCAGATATCGGAGTTGCATTGCACCAGGTGATTCCCCGATCACATCCGCTGCTTCCTTCAGTGCGCGGCTGGCTTTCTGCTCACCTTCTGCCGCGATAACCTATTAAGTTAGTTAATACAGTTCAGCTATTTAAAATTATTACTAAATTTTACGGCCTTTTACTAATAATTTAATTGCACAAGAACTACAGTCCATACCATCGCTCTCGCTTCACGAGCGGCTTCTGCTTCCGCTGCCATCGCTCGCTGTAGCTGAACAGGTAGCCGTACATCCTTGCTGTATTAATCAAACAAAACACACGCGCATCACTAGGGCAGTATTACTTAATTAACCAGCCTGAGAAGCATACATTTCAACCCGTTCCACTTTTATGCCCCACGCATCTGTGGATTCCAGCAGGCTGTTCTAAAAGCAAAATAAAAAATGGAAACTAGCATTAGTTGAGCATTGAGCTCCAAATTCCCGATATGTGCCGCAACTGCAGATCACTAATTTATCAAATGATTTTATCTGTAGTGTAATCGTTGACCTTTTATAAGGAGAAAGTTGCAGATCGCTGGAAATCTTCTTAGAAACCATAAAATAATCGACTACCAAGGTTTTAGCGTTTATTTTTACTTGGATCATGCTGCTAATTATTTCGCGATCGGACAGCAGCCCATGCAGATCTTTCGTCCCAAGAACATTCCTTAAAGTGGTCTGTAAAAATAATGCAAACGTAAGTTACGAATTTTTACTTGAAATAGCCATAAAGTTGCAATAAAAAGCAATAAGCAATAAGTAAAAAGCAATAAGTTAAAATTATTTTGTGTAAGTGAACAGAATTTTTTACATGGATTCTCATTCTATTCTATATCGATTTTTATACATCTATTTATACAGTCTATTCCAGTTAGAAAAGTTTGATATACACCTGCGCTAAAAGCCTTGTGGAGTGATGCACGTTTTCCACATTTGCCACCTGCACACAACAAGGACTAATTATCAGCTTGTCAACAATTTTTTCAGATTATGTGTCAACTAGTCGAGGTTTTTAATTACTAACGACATATTTGATGATAAAATGAGTACTTATTGCATATGTAACCTCACCGACAACGTAGCATCCGAAATTCGGTAATAGACCACTGCAACGGTGTGTCCACAACATCAGCATCGTAGCGCAAGATATGTACGGTAGAAATTATCCATATTTACGGATTTATACAACATAGTACAAACACAGTATAAACATAGTATAGTATAGCAAAGTATTAGTACAAACGTAGTAAGTATACAATGTAGTATAGTACAATCAGGGTATTATATTAAGAGTGAAACTTTTATCACAGCCGCTGTTAGCTACGAAGAGCGAACCTTCTTCAGGTACGTTAATGTTAATTCTCATTCCGATACAAACGTTTTTTGGTATTTTGTAGCAGAAAAATTGGAACATGGATCTGTTCCGTTTATACTATTGCGTCGATTACACGATGATGGCAAGTAGAGTGTGATTAATCAGAATTAACCTAGGGTAGGTAGTACATACCCGCATCAACGGAAACCGTAACCTAAAGAGCGGGTTCAAATTATTAATCAGACTGAAAAGGTTTTTGACTGGCGACTGTGTTTTTACGGACAAGTTGAAACGTATTACCGAGTCTCTGGTTAGAATCTCCTGAAAAAGATAATACAATACAGCGTTAGTGGAGGAGTATTAGTATATCGCTAATCTTACATTTGAATAACTCTAACCGAATATACGCACAAGGTTTTACCGAGGGTTTTTCACTAACCTGTGGAGGAATCTCAAATAAAGTGCTCCTGGAGAAATTGTCCCGCTCAGTTAACACACCAGTAATCTGAAAATTAAAGTTGTAAAGCTGTCCACTTACCTCATATCAATCTTCGTGTATTCTTCTGGAACATAACATGCAGGTAAACCACTAAACTCGTTATTTTAGGTATATGTGTTACGACTGAGGTCACTCTAGTCAAAAGAAACTCAGTGATAGTATAATTTGCAAGAGAAGCACTGTAATTAACTGTGCAGGCGCGCAGATGCTTCACAAAATTTACCTATGCATGGAAGGACGAAAAAAATGCCGGGTCCTATTCAAAATTTCAGAATTCATCAACAAGAATATCGTACCGGCCGTTAGAGCTTGTTCTAAAATACTGTAACATTGCTTTGGAAATACAAACACCCAGATATATAAGTACAAATGGTGTTATCGGCAAACATGTTGTTGGTACGTGTACAACACTACCTTTTGAACCACCGTGCAGTAATCGACCAAGACGGAAAATGACGGCTCGTTCATATTCCTGAACAACCTGTTCTCGAGATACACCGGCACAGTTATCCTGGCAGATTATGATTTTGTCCATAATATATTCTCAGCTTACTTTGAAACACACGCACAGGGAGAAAGGAAATGTCAATACCACGAGTATCCACGAAAGAAAAGTAAGAAAACTAGCGCAAAATCCGTGAGTATGATCTGAGGAGTCTTTGTCTTTATATGCTAAAAACAGGTATTGATAAATGTACGAGTATTATGAATAAAAGATATGAGCGCTTACAGTTAGGCAACAGAGCTGATGCATTCTGTGACTATTATTTTGCGATAAGTAAGTATGTAAGGCAAAAAGAGGAATGGTAACGAGCGTACGTGAGCGTTCTCGAGGCTAGGGTTACAATATGATAACGACGCAGGAGGGAAATAAGTTACAGATTCTGACAAAAAGCGAGAATACAAAATTGTCAAATTCTGGAATTACCTGGATCTCCAACAATCCCATTCGTATGACTTGCAGACATTTCGTAACTATTTAAACTCCGCCCAGCAGAACTCTGCAAGTGCAATAAAGCCTTTGTTAACGCTTTATGTGTGCTGGTGACCTTTTGGCTGGTAAGTGCTATCAAAACATTCTTTTGATATCGCCAAGCGAACCTCAGAGATGATGTTGTGCAACATGTGGAAAATGCCAACTTTTGGACATTTACTTCTGCATTTTAGTAAACAGCTTTATGCCTAACAGTAAGCGAAGAAATGGTATATTAAAGCAACAGGCCGAGAAATGCCCCAGCTCTAAGCCATCATGAATACAAGGCTGACCGCGCTGGCTAGTAATATCCAGCCAGTAAAAGAACGGTCGTCGCCAAAGAATGCGACAAACCGGAAGAGCATTGTAAGCCAAAGGGATCATCCACTTTGCCTGGCATTTTGTGTAACCCGTACTATTTGCACTGTTCCTGTTGTTGAAAAATTTTTAGTGCATTGTTGACAATAGAACAGGTGGATGTCAGCAAGTTATGCGCGCCCGCCATATCCCGGCATGAATGCGTGATAGGTTCCGTTCGACGCAAGACGGGGGAGAGCAATTTCCCAGTTGGAACTTAGAACGACCAACCTGAACAAACAGCATGGGATAAAACAGGAAACAAGATCGTTCTTGAGGCCAATGATACTGTTCAGTACGAGATATTATTAACGCTATCATGTGAGTTGCTGCCCATAATTGTTACATGAGCACAATGCGATCTGGAATCAAAAATCGATTGACATTCTAAATATTTCTATTTTACGTAAAATACTTTCAGTTTGCCTCCGATATCTTGAGACCAACGATTAAAGGGAGATTGTATATGGATGGCAGTGCCTAATGCCTATGGATATGGAATTACTTTTATGCTAATGTCTGCACTCTCAGTCTGTAATTGTACAAGTAGTTCTACGTATGCTTTTCTCCTTGGCCAAACGAGTTTTACACTGATTCATAAGAAATAGGTACGCAGCCTTGAATTTGGACTTCTGATTACAGTGTGAACTAATTTTTAGCACGTTATAAGAAAATTAAGACAAAGATTTCGTTAAATTAATTTGCGCATTTGTGATGCTTTGCGTAAAGTTGCAAACCCATTTCATACAACATACTACGTTCGTATTTTTTATTGCCCATGCAATAGCGACAAAAATAACAGCAAATATTTGTATCACAAGAATAAAGAAACAACCGAAAAATTTTGTTGCATTCCCAACAAAAAAAGTTTTATACCCAATACGACACATCTCTACAGAAACACGCACTATAAACAGAATTAATTTTCTCTAAACATACGACAAAAATGGCCAAACTAACCGGGCACCATACTAGTGTACAAAGAAACGAAACCAACCAAGGACGAAACACAATCTTCGTTTCTTTCATAAAAGGAATTGGAGTGCTAAATCACTTCGTGAGACGCTTAATGGCCTCTTGGATTTGACTGGGCGTCAACTTGGGACTCAATCGCAGAATAATTTCCCGTACAAACGCTTCTGTCCAGCCGGGATGCGAAGCCTCTGTGGATTCAAAAGCAGTTCGCAGATCATGCACAGCACTGGACTCGGGAAGATCTCGGCGTTTCTGCTTCTTTTGGACTTCACTTATCAAATTCAGAACATTGGAAAGACAAGCCGACGATGCCTTGACCGGCGCCACCGGCGGAGGCTTAGCTGCACCGAAAATTTTAGCTCCATGAGGCGAGAGATTCTCGCGTTTGTGGTCATCGTTGGGTGGAATGGGAGAAGACGTCGCCCGACCAACGAGATTTACTGCGGAAGTATAGGGCGCACTGTTTGATACTTGCTCTTTCGTCCCGTTAACGTCCTGTAAAACATATCCGTAACGTTAGCGACAGAACACTTCCCGGATATGCGTTTTTAAAAACAGATTTCTATGCGAAACCGATTTTGCTATGGTTTCGTGTACGATGGTAACGATCTAATATGACCAACCAACATTTAATTTGGAATAATTTAAAGTACGAATAAGTTATACGCATTATTTTTGGCGTGCATTCTACGAAAGACTAAAGATGTTCAGACATACTTTTAGGGAAGAATTGCGTTGTTTGGCAGGCAGAGGGGTGGCATATCATCGGGGAAGCGACTTACGGGAGGCATACTGACTGGTCGTTTGACCGCATTCTCTTCCCGAGTGGCCACTTTGGACGACGCGCTTCTCTGCAGCGCACTAACGGCCGGCGTCAGCTGCGGTACTTCCTCGCGTGGCACAATGTCATGGCGGTGGGCGGGCGGCTTGACACGGAGCGTGCCCACTTCGTCCTCCAGCTCCCCGGCGGCAGGAGGGGGACTAATCCCGGCTGGATTGCGCATAGTCTCAAAGCGCCAATCGCCCTCATCGTTGCCAGAATCCTTGCTGTCCTCGCTGGAAAAGGAGATGCTTAGTTTAGTTTATGCTCTTAACAAACTGACGATTACGGATGAGAGACAGTCGAAGTGGCTGCAGCAACAGACAAGCCGGCACAAGAGGCGCTCTCTTACTTATCGGAATCACTCGAGCTTGAATCATCTTGACCACCACCGGATGCTTTCCATCGTTTGTATCTCTCAATGACATCCACAAGATAAGAGTTCTTCTTGGCGCGCTTAATAAACGGATGTCGCAGAAGATCTTTGGCGGACGGGCGCTGAAATATGAACCATTGCATCTACTAGCTAACATATACAGTCACGATTTAGATCTTCTACTATTTATTCAGATTAGGAAAACACCATCCTACCAGAACCTACACCATATGCTGGATGCATAAATTTCACTTTATCCTTTATAGGTGCAAAACACTTTCAACTGTCTGGAAACAATAATTTTGTACTCGACTTTTCTCGAGCTACCAAACAACCTGCCAACTAGAATTTCAGCAGAAAAAAATCTTTCATGTTTCTAAGTTTTGCTAGTAGCACAACATTAGACAAACGTTAGACACTTAACACTTTCTCTGCTGTAACTATTTTCCGGAACGAGGTTGTAGATTCGTCACAACAACCATTTCATATATTTATTACATTTTCCGGCTCCTTATTCAAGCAGATTTCGACAAATTCCTTGAACGGTCGGCTAAAATTTCCCGTCAGCTGTGGCGCATTATTTTTGGGAATGAGAAAAAGCACTCGCATCGGATGCAGATCGGAATTTGGTGGTTCTCCTTTGGCCAGTTCAATGGCCGTGATTCCTAAGCTCCATATGTCGGCCTAATTATCGTAAAAAAGAACAAAATTTTACTGCCGCTTCGCTTTACGCAACACTAAAACGCGACAACATTACCTTTGAGTCGTAAGCGCTCTGCTTTATGACTTCCTGGAAAGCGTTAAACTGTACAATATGCTTCGGTATGAATTTCAATAACTAATTCATAGTCAGCCATACCGGAGCCATCCAAAACGGTGTGCCGACAAAAGTTTGCCGTTTACTGGTTGTGCTAGTCAGTTGACCCGCGACACCAAAATCCGCTAACTTCACATCACCCGTTTCGCTCAGAAGCACATTGGCAGCTGCAAAACACAACAAAACATTCCGCTATCAGCATGATAAAAACTACAAGAATATAAATCATAATGCTTCAAGGTGCGGCAAGCCGACCACTGATATACAACCCACATCAAATGACGGTAGCCATCACGCATCAGTCGAGTCATCAAACAACGAAAAACTGCAGTGACTGACGAAAGAGTGGCTCATGAAAAACGCACAGAACTCAATCAACCACATAATTATTACTTAGATCGCTAAAAATATTCTAGTACATCTACAATAAAAACAACAGGCAAAGAATCAATAAATGAAAACAATAGACAAAGACCAAAATATGAAATATCTTTATCTATACAGCTGTGAAGACCACCAAAGTAATATGAAATCGTAAACGACCAATTTACATTACACCAATCCTATAGGAAAATATCCAAAAAAGAAGCTTGACAAAGCTTCACATGTATGGTTACTTTGTAAAACAAAATATGTTATTTCCGTTAGCGTTACGTACTACTCATTCACAGTAATTTATTATGATCTACTTTCACATTTACACATTGTATTCCATTTACAATAATTTATTTGCATACATTCCAAAACTGAAATAACACAGAGTCAAGATTTCCATGATAATTAGGGTAAAGTTTAGCCTAAGTTGGCTGATTACAGCATTTTCTTTTCACGGCCGCGGTGCCGCGCGTGAAGTCACAAGTTCACAAGAACAAGCAAGTAAAACTAATTACTTGTCAACTAACTTCCGGATTGATATTTTTGCCCGATCACGAGTTAAAAATTAAGACCGCGCATATAACAACCTGTCGCCGTTGTCAAACAAGCTATCGCTTTCACCAGATGACCACTAACACCGCGTTATGTAGGAGATCTTTCATTCATCTGTTTGACACATATAGGTAATCCGCAATCACACACACAAAAATGCCCACATTGTGCGCAGTATCATATCGTGAATTACGGCTAGCTTTACAATAATTATTACTGGTAACAATAAAACTCGAGTTACCGCGTGCGACAATACATGAATCCATAACACAGGTATGTGCGCGCAAAAACATGTGGCATGTATCCGGATGTTCCGAGTCTCCGATGACATTTTGCGAGATATTTAATTTTCATAATGCATACACAACTGCAAAAATGGCTGAACATCTTCATTTCATATGGTATTCATTATAACGGTTCAATCCGCCGACAAAACATACCATTAACTAAGATGCCTTCAAAGGGCCGTTTTATTCGGCGGTGCCGTAATGCAATATATACTGTAATTCGAGTAACAGCGACTACATTCGGCTGCGATAGATGAAATGGGAAGACAATTACCAACAAGAGTCCAGCAATCGAATAAAAACTGCTGTCTCTTTTAACTGAACGGAACCAAAATACACACCCGAAAACAGAATAAAATGTAATGCTATTTTACGATGCAACAGAATTACAAAATGATATATTCTAACCGAATTTCCCGTTCTTACATTTAATTTTCAGTAGATGCTATGAAACTTGACCAGTTCAATCCACTTCCAACTGCACCGCACCAGCAACGCACAATCCAGTTATGTAAGTGAAAAATGGTAAGGAAAAACAGTACAGTTGCTTACATTGACAGCACAAAGCTCTCTTTGCATGAAAATACTCTAAATCTATGCAGAACCCTGTTTAAACCGGTTACTGGCTCCAAAGAAACCCCTAGCATGAAAGACAGATATTACTACAATCTGCCAATCCTTAACCTGTCCATCACCGCGAGAGCATATCTTGAAATCACACACAGCATCGCCGCGACAAAGAAAACGGACAGACATAATTTGACTGAAAAATGACAAAAACTATTAACGATCTCATGAAGTTAGTGAGTTTCTCAATCCATGCAGAACCGTTGGCATCGTGAACGAATATGGTAAAGCTAGAAATAAACCAGAAATTACCAGCACGGCTACCGACCCAAATATACTCACGACTGTTACTATTACAGGGCACTGGACATATCGTCGTAAAGTGGCGCATACGGCTTTTCATCCAAAAAATGTACATATAATAATATGTAATTTCGTTCATGTAACTCATACAAAAAAGTTATCACAAACGAAAACGTCATTAAACTTTCAATCGTGAATATATAGCGTTTCCCTTCATACGTATTATTCGTGAACGCAAAATGTTTTTTCAACTTAATTTTTCAGTCTTTCAGATTACATTGTCATTTGTATAGAACTACGCATTCATCCGCGTTCCGCAGCCAGATTACCACTCGCACTTATATAAACGTGCACTAAATGAGAACATTCCGAATAAAATCAAGCACATTCCTAATGTGCGTAAATAATTAACTCTGTGGGTAAAGTATCCTACAAATAAACACACAAACAAGACAATACGAAGTACTGGTACTAAAAAGTATTTGCAATTCCGCATTGTAAGTTATGTAAAATAGTTTTGTGCTCTAAACTAAATAACTTTAAAACATAAAACATTAACTGTTTAAACAATAAGGATTTCCCTCTTATTCAACCAAATCGATGACAGAAATGCATGCTACCAGCTATATCACCACCAGGAACTAAATATTATTCTCAATTTATCCACATAGTCTGCATGACACTGGTTCCAAAGCGGTACCAGTAATTCCACTCCGGCCAAACCACATCAAATATATTGCTCACATATGGCAAAGCAAGCCAACCAGGCTTTAAGACTAATATAAAATTCTAACCCTTCAACATTCAGCCCACACTGGCGATCAAGTATTTCTAGCGCAAATATTTATCCTATGTAAACAACAGTCAAGTTAACCATAAGCTCATTTCATATCGAGGACAAGTCGACGAACAAATGGTATATAATTTCATATCAAACTGCGCAGGACGCCATTAATAACAGAACCAACCAAGAGGAAAAATCGAGAAGCGATGCCGATGATAATTCAAAAATCGAACCAAGTTTTCGAATTAATACTATAAATTAGAGAAATTCTAACGTGATTTATCAACTAATAATTGCTAACAATTGGCCTTCAGTTATGGTAGTCGAGGCGCCAAAGTGACGAAGCGCGACGACATGGTCATATGCAATGGCCTTGAGGAGCCGTTGCGTTTTACAAGCTGACCATTCTGGTCAAACACATATAAACAGTCTAAATTATCACACATATTACACAAGTACACATTCACCTTTGATATCGCGATGCAATTTGCCTTCCCCGTGAAGGTACTCTAATCCACGCAAGATTTCGCGCAAGATAATGCAAATGTTCGTTTCATCCAAACTTCCGGCCTTCAGCAAATCCAACGCTGAACCGCCACCCAAATATTCCATAATAATCCATAAATTCGTGCCCTAAATGGTAACGGTCACACAGTTTACCAACCGAAAGCAGTGAGTGGCCTTATGCTGTACAACTTGCAGCACACATTTATCATAGATAAACGAGTTTTATGCAATCAGAACACGCAAAAAATCACGTTTAGGCGCCAGTATAATCAGTTGGCCTGTCACCAGTACCAAATTCAACATGGTAATAGCAAGCATGGAAAAAAACAGCCACCATAATATTTTAGTATTGTAACAAAAAGCACCAATAATTGAACCATCACCTCCTGTTGCCGTTCTGTCGTGATTGTGATCAAATTTAAGTCTGCGAAGGTCCCTTCTTAACCTTAACCAAAGTTGCTTGAATAGTTAAAATTACTGCACACTTCGCACACAATTTTATGCTACGCGAAGGTGAATGTATCAGACCATACCGCGAAAAAAGCCTAAACCAATAATTAAGAAATGAAAACAAGGAAATATCCATAAAAATAGCATAACAACTGCATTTTCCGGTATCCCTTTTTAAAAAAAACTGGTACTCATAGCATACTCGAAAATAATCATCAAAATGAAACCTGCGAAAAATGAGTCAACTTGCCTTTAGGTAGGATCCATAGTATCTTGTTACAAAGGGGCTATCACACTGGCTCAAGACCATGATTTCCTGTTGTATATCCTCAATTTCATCTTCCGCCTCTTCCAAATCGATGATTTTAATAGCCACAACTTGTCCAGTACGATTATCTATCCCTTTAAAAACTTTCCCGAAACTGCCTTTGCCGATTTGCTCTTGTTTCGTGAAGATAACCTCGGGATCCAGTTTCTGCAAGCAACAACAAATTATGCCATCATTGTATTAGGCAACAAGCAAACCCTATCACCAGCGATCAAATTGCACCGTCGCAGCTGCGAACCATTCATTCCTCGTTTCCACATAACAACAGCCAAATAAACCACTTAAAACTATTCGCCCCTAAATTGCTCGGTTCAAACTCAATTAGCCGATGGTTTTTAACCGGGAAAATTACTTTTTCCTTGGGGTTTTTATCCAGACTTTTGGCTGAACCATTGGAAAAGTATCCCGTATCATGGCCGCTGGATTTAGACTCCCAGCTTCCATTTTTCACTAACAAATTTTTACTAGAGGGCAGATTAGGCAAAGGCGACAGCTTTGCGGTAGAAGGCTGTTCCATATCATCGAACTCTGACTCGTCTTCCTCTTCTTCATGCATCTCGGGGATGCGTGCAACAGGTGGCGTCTGCCCGAAAGCTAGTAAGGATGGGTTCGATTCCCAGCGCATCCCATTCGCATTCATTGACAAGGGACGCGGCTGCTGGGCTAGCGATCGTCGCTTGACATCGCTTTGTGGCTCTGGATTCCGTAAATCCCACTGCGATGCAGATTTCAATGGTGCCATTTTGCGCAAGTCATGCACATTACTGGACGAGGCCTTCTCCGGCATTTTAGCAATGTTAGTGGCGCTATTCGAAGGAGCAAAAGTGGGACGCTGTAAATCCCACTGCCCAGATTTCGGATCCCATCGCAAATATGAATAACGCTTCTGCAGCTCATTAGTGGATGCCGGAGGCAAAATTCCATTGGGAGTCTGAGATACATTAGCGGTAGATTCCAAATATAAATTTGGAGTGCTGGCATGTACTTTTTCCGATTTATGAGAATTTAATATCCAGTTCCCGAATGGTCGAGGTTTCCCTGACACCACCACCTGACCATTACTGCGTCCATGCAAAGGGGATTCTTTCTTCGCTTCATGACGAGTTTTAACTACAGATTCCCCATTTTTCGGTAGACTTCCGCTGCTTTTAGGATGTCCAATAAAAGACGTGGATTTCACAATTTCTTTCACGACTTCCCGATTCTCCGAAGGTGATCTGACCGGAGAATAACGCAGATCCATTTCGGAATGGTAAGTGATCTTCGAGTTGGCTAACAATTTGGGCGTACTCGAAGATTTCTTCTTACCGAACCCCATGTCAGAAAAGCTGAATCGCATAACTGCAGGCTAAACAATAAGCACAGTCGCTTTCACATCGACTGATACGGTTAAAAAAGTTGAGAGAAAAAAGAGCGATTTCCCAGTCAGGTAAATAACAGCATCCGCCTCATCAGCAACGAAAATTTCAAAAAAGAACGCACAACGTCTTTCCATGCAAGATGAGTACACACATACACAAAGTGATTGAACTCTAACGTGAATCAATCATTATCGTCTGATTCAGCGGCGAACTTCAACAAGCAGAATCAGAAACAAATCTCGTAGTGTTCGGTCCGTTGTCGTAAAGTCTACGAATGGATTCAAACTGCTCGATCTAGAGCTGGACAGCACTGAACAAACTGGCAACTGTCGAAAATCGTTCTCTCAGCTGAACGCCTGAGATATTTTCTTCGTCTGCGTCGCTCAAACAGTGCAAATATCAGCGCGACACGATCCGTAACAAGGCACAGCCACTACTACTGTGCGCGCTGTTGCGCCGCTATTAGTCGAACAGTCTTCATAGCACATTTTACGGGCAGAACAAACCAAGACGCGCATACTCGTATGCAAGAAAAGCCGAGCTAGAGCCCAAAGCTAGTCAAAACAAAGTTGACGATTTCCACCACACATGCGGTAATGGTCAGCCTCCACGCAAACTGTGCGGTTCATTTCGTACTGTTTATGCTCACATAACCAGTAGCATCGCCTCAAGCAAGTACCGGCAGTTTACGGTGTACGCCCTGCTGTTATTTGCAGTGGGTCTCCTCTAACGAATACCATCTCCAATTCCTCAACAATACCAGTTATTTCTCAGCCACATTTCCAGTTCAAAATACTATTACTACACATACGTTGTTTACACCACGCAAAAACGTTCGTTTTTGATCGAAATTATTGTTAGGAGAGATCCGATCGCAATCAACGTGAACACAGAAGACACAGCACAGAAGACACAGACAGAAGCCACAGCATCCTCTTCGAATGCGGAAATGGTCAGTTTCACCGATGGGATCGCGCTTTCCTTCAGCGAAAATTTACATTTCAAAAAACAGTTTATCGTATGTCATATAAATAGTGCGCTTGCTGCCATTAGCACGGCAAGCGTACAACTCCTGGCGCGGAAAACCCATGCTCGTTTACAACAAAATCGTGCCGCGGAAAATGCCGTTGTATTCCCTTCATTCCCTTGGATGATATATCACAATAACTAAGCAGCTCCACACGAAAACGCATTTTAATAAAGCACAACTAACACTGCAAGTTTGTAATTTCCACGCTTCGTCTCAGTTTAATGTCAAACGTTTTTATGTTGAACCAGTGCGAGGAAACATGCCGCCATAACGATCATAAAGCAGTGCACTTCATAACATAACAAGGAAGCTGCTACATTTATCTAATAATCAATAACAATTGCCACTACGTAATAATCTAAAAATTAATAATAAAAGTCAATATAGTGACTGTGAATATACGTACATAGGCATGCAGACTTTCTAAATATAGTAGTTCAGCTTGCGGTTGAATCCATGACGCTATGAGCTTGTAAAAAAACAGTAATAATGCTCTCACACCATAAACGAGACTGCTTAATTACAACAGCAACCAGGTAAAACCAATCCCAAAATTTACTAATGTAAGAACTAATCGCGATCGTAAGAAGCATATGACTAGTTAACTACTAAATGAGACTTCCCATAACGATGTGCCACAGTTCCTGATCCGCAAGTCAGTACCTAACAGCAAGAATTAACAATACGGAATAGGTTTTAAAACGAACAATTTCAACACCACACAAGATCCTTTTTCTACCCAACAAAGATAAAACACCAACGAAAAATAAGCCACAGTACAAAATACAAAGTACTTGCTATTACTTGGTATTTTTAAAATCTAAAATTTAATAATAATAATTTAATAATTTACAATACTTAATAATTTACAATACTTTTATACTGTACATCATAAGGTACAAAAGGTATACAATTAAGAAACTAAGAATGCGAGCAGTTTTTATCACAATCGTACACCCATGGCGTTGCCACACTAAAGTACAAGAGAATTGTAGTAAATACTATCTGTACATGGAGGTATTAAAGATTCTGTTGACTAGTAATACGGCCATGGTACTAAACAATTTTGGTGACCACTCCGTAAACAACCTTTCGCAACGTTTTACTCCGTACGCAACCTTTTGCTTTACCTTTCATTCCGTGCACAACGTTTTAGGGCACTACCTTTCTTTCGGTAGACTACCTTTGACACTATAGACTACCATTCATTCGGTACACTACCAATCCACGCTACCTTTCACTCGGTGGACTTCCATACTTTTACATCTATATATAAAGATATATACTTCACCAGCAGTCTTTTTTCGAAGATTCATACGAACTGGGCACTGCATCCAGTTCAGCCATCCCCTAAACGGCGGAAAACGATTCGATTCTACTCGTATAACTGCCGATGATGCTTAATCATGCTTTCAATTGCACTGCAGTAACAGCTATTAACGAAAAAACGGCATTTCCAGAAATAACTTTGCTGTGAAAAAATGTAAAAAATAAAGGGTATTGCATGCAGATAAAGGTAATGCCGAATGGTTGTGTACGGAGTTAGGTAGTGCTCAAAAAGATAGTGTACCGAATGAAAGGTAGCGCAAAAACCAAAGAGGTTGTGCACGGAACGAAAGGTAGTGCAATAAGGTTGAGTATGGAGTAAAAGCTAGCGAAAGGTTGAAAGGTTGTGTACGGAGTGGTCACCAAAAATTTTTTGAATAATTGTTCACTGTCGAAGTGTGCACCTTTTGGTCTTTCTAGAAAATCTGCAACGGGCTCGATCGAATCAACCGTCCAAGCTTGTTTGGGCGTCACTGGGCGTTTTGTTCGTTTCTAAAAACTGACCGGAAGACCTTCAAAGATCAACCCAAACGATGATGTTACGAATGTCCCATGCCAACCAAAATTCGAACATTTATTCTAGGCACATAGCTAATTTATTTCCGTTTCTCCTGGAGCGAATTGGCACCCACGGATCAACTACTTGAGCGAGTCCCTATGCGATACGTATTAACGCGTTTAATTTTTATTTCATTTCTTTCGGAATAAATAGCCGGCTTTCCATGATCTTCCAGTGTTCCACAATTAATCAAATACCTCTAGATCATCTCTCAATTTACATCAGCAGTTCGGCAAAACCAACCGTTTCGTGGTTTCACAATCGTCTCAAAACGAAAATTAAAAAAGTAAAACGTTTTGAGTGCGTTTTTCCTGTTGACTGGAATTCGGGAACACCTTTTGTGGTCTTGCGGCTCACGCCTGGTTGGTATATTACCGCGAGCAAACAGTTGTTTTCTGCGACAACTGAACGCCAAATTTTAAAATACATGAGCCAATTTATGATATGCTTAACCAAAAAATAATAATCAGCTTTCTACTGAGAGTATGGCAATGTGCATTAGAGAATCACACCGGTTCACACATTACAGGACAGGATAATACAAATAGAAGTACTTATACGAAGCATGCAGTACGCAAATATGTCCTGCTCGAATGGTAATCTAAATTCTTGGATTCATGCAAGGACATCAAATAAAACAATTTCTAGTTATGTCATCCTAATCTTTAACCAATTTCCAAATACCAACATTTATGAACGCATAGTCAGATTTATTTTTTATATATCGATCAATAAAAATAAATCCTGCCAAAGAGGGCCCACCACGATATTGTTAGTGTACCGGTATTACTAGACAGACGTTACTTTTCTACGTCAGGCAATAAAAGAATATATAATGACCATTTGCCAAAACTGCATCTGTAAAAATTCAAAAACGTACGGCGGGCCACTCTTAATCTGCATATAATTAAAAATCGGATCGCTCTTACAATTTTCTGTAGATTCCGCATCTCCACATTGCAGAATGTTGACTGAATCAGCAATCCAGCTGGACCCCAATCAGTTCGGTCGGAATCCCAAAACGGATTCGTCCGAAGGATCCACGTGGACTCATACTCATTCGATGGCATACTGGGGCAAATATCGTCACCAAAGCGAACAAATTCTTTTGTTTTCCTGATCCAATATTCGAGCAAGATGGTAAAAATTTAGCAGCATTGGACTGAAGATGTTAAGCAGTATTGTTGACCGTGTCAGGCAGCACGAGTCAAGTTCAAACCAATAATTAATACTGAAAATTGTCGATGCCTTTCTCACACTAAAATATTCCGAAAAGAACGATTAATAAATGCCTGAATTCCCCGAAATGGAAAGTTCATTTAAGTTAACCATAAGAGGCAGCCTGGGCCTGCCTGGTTATCAGCTTATCACAAGAAATTTCTTCAAAACTGGACTCGGCGGTGCTACCTACCCCTTTCAAAACAGTAGACTAAGCAACTACAGTGCGTGATCGAGTTCCCCAGTGTCGAAAAATTTGTGTATGTAATTTATTTACATACACACCACCACCAAGACACAATGAACTTTGCAAACACAAACAATATTTGAATAAATTGAATTAGTTGCATACTGAGGGACTGCTACAATATATTCACAAATCAAGTACAAACAGCGATGCGTTCGATATACCGAACCCGAGCGAGTTTTACACAAATAAACGTGAGAAAAGACTTGAAACGCAACATTTTGCTAATTTTTTGTCCAATGTCTTATTAGTTCAGTGTATAATTGTGTACTGAACGGAAAGAACAGCCTTTCAAAGAAACACTACATGTGGGTAAAAACAAAAATGTTTTTTCCAAAAAACGTTTGGGCAGCTTCGCAAGCGGTTTTGCATTTCAGCAACCGATCTTAGAAAGCAAACTGTACGAAAGCAAACCGGCCAAATAGTAAGAAGAGTATCTGCTAACCATAACTTTTCTCTAATGAAACCATTAATGATGTGCAGGTGCAGTCCTTGGTCGCAATGGCATAGTATCTGCAAATGCACTCACAAAATCCAATCGGCACTAACTTTATAAGTAATTTTCGCAGCTTGAATCCTGATTTCAGCCATCCCAACTCAAATCTAACCATAGTTTTGTCGAAATATTTTGTCACCATACTCGTATACCGCATACAATGAGACGAAAAATGCATGTACCGTCGAAATTCTCGCAAAATGATTAATAAATTTTGAAAGCAAAAACCGAACAAAAGGCACAGCAGCCGCAGGTATAAAAAAACTGAAAAAAAAAGAAAACACAGAGTTAAATTATAAAAAAACCGAGCAAGGCTGATCAGACATAAAGGAGAGGCGAGTGACTGCGGCGAGCACTGGAGTAGGAATGTGGAAATGAGTAATTAATTTTAAAGAAAATACGTTTACACTTACAGCACAAAGAAATTATTCAATGCAAAACCCTGTAGATGCAGTATTTTAAAGTAAGCTTAAATAACAATAGTAAAACCAAGACGTCTGGCCAGATATAACCACTTATCGCAACAAGCCGGACCGGTCATTACTTGCTACAAACACCACCTGCGACGTTACCATTAACATCTGACATCGTAATGTGAGCGGCACATACAGCATGTTGACTAAGGAAAAACGCTGAACAGTCAACATTTTTCTATGATAAATAACCTTGTAGGTACAGCATAATGCCAAAGAATCTAGCTGCTTAGACAGCATTAGACAAATGTAAAGATGCCTGAATCTTCAGTTTGCGCCGCAAACGACAACAAAGCACCGAAAAAACACGCTCGTCACATTCTGGATCAAGGTATGCACATCGACAAAGTAAAGAGCAAGGAAATAGTTATCCGGAACACATATTATGAGCAATACCAAAAAACTTATATGCCGCACAGAAGCCGAAACCCCCTGTTATAATCATATTCAGACCACATACTGCGCAACAATTGTGCTTATGATCACTTCCAAGTCTGAATCTGTTCATAAAGCGCAAATAAATGGGGGTGGATGATCTCGATGTGACATCGAACGCATCATTAATAATACAGATGGCTGACAAAATAAGGGAAACAGTGTGAAACTACCAAAGCAAAAACGGCACAGCTCAAACAGAGAAAGCAAACTATAGGCCTCAAAAACAAATGCAAATTAACCACCTTTGTAAAGCTTGCATTTTGATGAACGTGGCATTATAAACAAGAAAAACCGTAAACCATGGTATTTTTGCTTGATTTCAGGCAAAACAAAACAATACTAACAACCCAAACTGGCTTGTCAGCTGCAATAAATTAAACAAATTCCAAACCAAAACCTCTCCAGTTCTATCATCTTCGACTTCGAGCATTTACTTTGCACAGGAAAACCTCAAGTCGTTCAGGAATCACGACCACCCCGTGGATGGACTGCAGGATCGACACCGTGCAACAAGACGACAGAGAAAAAAAACAGAAATTTTCAATTCAACAAGGCTATTATTTAACAGTAATATCTTGCACATCTGTAAGTAGGCAGATCGAAAACCCTTCACGAAATCCGCAAGTACCACAAAAACAGGCGCAGCAGTATTATGGCGTCACCAAATTTCCTATATGAATGCAGCAATAGGCCGCGACGGTGCAGAATCGCGAGAAAACGAGCAAGGAAATTTTAAAAATTCGGGAACATTACTGTTCTTACCTCCGTGGATTCCGTCATTCTGTACGGTAATGCGAAGTTAGTAGCGCGCTGCTTGAAATCCCCAGCATGGGTTCCTTCACCCCGCGCCTCGCCACAGTCGTCCACACAGTGGGTAGTCGTCCAATTATGGGACTCCCAGTTCCACACAAAGAACGCGCTCCAAGAACTGCACCGAAGGAATCAATCACGAAGCGACCATTCTGTGCTATTTCACCAGGCAGTCCAACCTGTCCAAGGCTGATCCAAGCGCTATCGTCAACCTAACAATACGATAAGATAAGTCAGTATATGACGCACGTTGTCACACAATAAAATTCTGAGAGCTAAAATGTTTACTGTTTCGGAAACGACCAGGATCAAATTATATTGCACGCGTGCTCTCTGCTTTGTGCCATCCGATTTTCTGTGTTAATGCGCGTGAAATGCAGGCGCAAATAAATTCAGCCGATTTAAGGCGTCCGAGGATGCGCAGACGTATAGGCATTAGGTTATCGTAGGAGATGGGCCGATCATCGAAGGCAAACGACTTCTATTGGTGCTGAAAGTAAACGATCGCCAAAGCTTACGAATTATAGGTACGATAGATTCAGCTGTCATAACTGTTTTACGGGTCCGAGACGTTGACGCAAATGATAAGTAGCAATGTGAAAATTCAAAATGTTCACATGGATACTTCCACACAAATCTCTGTGATACCAATAATTAAACATTAATGACCATCGGTGATTGATGGAATTCTGATTTCTTTTGCGACTACGTACATTTCGCCGTGATATTTTAATCTGGCTAGAGTAGAATGAAAATTGTTATAACTTGAAGCCGGTCTTGCAGTAAACCGTATTGTAAGACGGAGATAGCTAAAAAAAACTATGCCCACAAGTCAGTTTAACTCCGCATCGAAAACTACTGTACTCGTACTGAAGTTCGTTTTCCATCTTTAAAAAGGTTGTAATTGCTTAAGTACTGCAACTCTGAAAGAGTGTGTTATTACCACGGCACAACGATCTTGCACAACAATGTTTTAATGCTGCCGTACTCTAACAAAATTATTTTACAACATGCGAAGTAAACTTTATTATGCTATTACGTGTACTTCTATATATGCTTATCTTCAAATTTTACAACATCGACCACTACTTTATTTCTAACACACGTTACATCGCACCCTGCAGAATTGGTGACCTAAACATTCCCTATCAGTAAGTAATCGGGTATCCAAGATTCCTGTTCATCTGCAATGGATGCCTCTGCAAACAGCTGGCTAGTGTCATCGAAGCTCTTTGTATGCGTTAAATTTTAATTAAGTAATACATAATCTTAAATGTCCCAACCTGAGCATGTTGGTATTGTCTGGGAAATGAACAACACGGTATAAATAATTATATAAAAACTGCAAGTATTCAAAATGTACTAGCAACATCATTTAAATTGTCCTTCAGATTTAAAATGTTTGATTAGTGGTTTTCAGAAAAATATAGATTGGTCATAAGTTCATCTGCGGGATCCGGAAAATGTAAGAAAGAGAATTGACAGCCTCCACCGTTGATGGCGAACGCAAAAAATTATCGTCCAGTGGAAGAGGGTGGCTCTTTGTGGACGATATCGAAGCCATCTCCGTGGCTGCTCCCGCAGCGAAAGCAAATGGACTCCCGTAAGTCCTTGTTCACTGTGCAAATTTGTCTGGGTCGGCAGATGACCGAACAAGCCAGACTGCAATGCGTAATTCGTTTTTGGCAGCTCCGATTTTGGTAATCGCGAAGGTACCCAAGCGCTTAATGATGGGTTTAAATCCTTCTAGCGGCCACTACTCCAATGCCGATTCTTTAAAAAATAGAGCATTCTTACCTTTCTGCTTTAGTTATCCGCCAAGAGACCATTATGGCGAACACAAATCGCAAGAAAGAGCTGGACTTGAAAAGTAGGTACTTTATAGATGGTGCAGTTTATTGGTATTTGAAAGCTTTTAAAGGGGGATGAGAGCTGTAACACGACATGTACAAAATAAGCCATATACAGTACAGTAACTACCGATTACAACATTTCTCGGGCCAATAGAAAACGGGAAAGGTAACTTGAAAGCCGAATCCTATCCGGCGCTACTGCGCGAAGATTTGCCTGCGTATCCAATATATCGTAGACCGCGATATAGACGATTCGAAGACATGTCACTGGAAGAAATGTTCGAGTTTGCTCGGTACTTCCGTCGTTCAAAGCGATCTCAAGATGACATTGCTCGTTCCGGGGCTTATCAGCTAGAAACGTGCGCTCCGATTCCACGAGGTCAGGTTCGACTGGTCGAGTAAACCTTCTAAAAATTGAGACCAGAGTTGATAGTGGTCAGTACAGGTGTATCTGATCTGCTAACATTGCTAACCTGGCCACATTAATAATATTATTTACTTTTCAACGAATCCACGTACGGTAGCGGCTTTAGTTGTGCTGCACTGTACAAAACTTAATTAGGTGTGCTGCCAGCCATGTAGCTTTCAGTAAAAGGTCACACAGCTTATCCCAGTTGCACGGCGCCCCGATGTGCCGTCTTTATTGTTTTTATTGGAGCTCCTGCGTAGGCATGGACCGTGAGAAAGAAAAAGACAGACTCGCAAAGATTATGACGTATGGGACAGAAGAAGCTGAGGAGTTGCTGCAACCTTATAAACCAACAAACAACGAGAGTTATAATTCCAGTACTACTAATACAAGCTCTGCCCAAGTGGATGAGTTTGAAGAATGTGCGTACACGTTGTTTCGCAGCTTATAAAGTTGTGTTTCGTTAAACGACAAGCATAATACATGTTTTCACTTTAATTTGGTTTTGTCTAATGTGTCTCGCATAACCCGATATATCACGTTGTTACTGTAATTGTGCAGTGATAGAAGAAATTGAAGAAAGGGAACAGTTCCTGCACCAAATGCATCAAATCGGACTCGATAAAGAAACACAGCAACGTGTTACGGCGGAGGTCATTGAGGTAGGTGATGGTATATGCTGGCATATATGCGTCAACTTCAGCCGCAATGACGAAATTGCCTAATTATGGTACTGTGCTGTTCATTGTCCACATGTCATTTAGCGGTAAATACATAGTTTTTGGTGTTGCTTGAATTCCCGTCAAAAGTTTTTAACTGATGCCTCTTCTAAGCAGATCTTAGTGAAATTAAAGAATCTGGATCCTGTCCGATATGAAGCGTTATCCAATGATTACCGATGACCGACTTTTTGGAACCGTGCATGCAGTACCGAGGTGTTCTGCTACACCGCAAAATAATGGTCAGACTTTGTCGGTCTTGTGCGCACTTTATATTAGCATATATCACAGAAAAATGTGGAAATCAATAATCAATCGTATGTTGCAGACTTGCAGCAGTAGTAAATTGCATCGTATTTGCCACTATAAACTTAAGCAAACAGTGTCTTGGATGCTATAAATTTTGACTTTGTTTGCTGTTGTTGCAGAAAATGCCATTGCTGAAATGAAGAGTTATCACACACAAATATCCCAACACTGGCGGAAGTGTTCAGTTGGGGAACGAAGGTCAAACATCCTCGCGACTTGGTATTAATAATCCGAGAACCCTAGAAATATTTTCAGACTACTTTGCAAATCAAGCAAACAATATAAGTTTTTCTGTTTAAAAATTATCATGCTGAACTCACGTCATACGTCCACGTTCGCAAATCTTCGTCCGAACAAAGGTGCCCTATGAGGGTATGTGGTTCTTGATCACTCTTTTCATCCAAACACCAATCGTCCCTCCGTAACTCGTTATTTTTGCTCATTGAAAACAACTGCATAAAAATTCGAATATAATGTTGAAGGTACATTTTCTACAGTAGGATTAATTGAGCGTACCTGCCACCAGTACGATAAATGAGAAGAAGGGTAGCATTTGGCAAGTATGAAAGCATTTGGCGCCACATGATCATCCCAGCCAGCGACTGATAAACAGGCATTATGAATAGGATTCCAGAGCTACACGAAAAAACAATATAGATACAGGGTAAGTAATTATTGAAATATCCTCAGTAGAAGTATTAATAATATCATGGATCATACAACAACGGTGCAGTTAAATAAGGCTCAGAAAAAAACTCACCTGGCCAAAAAATTTTGCGTTTTCATCCGGAATGTACTTTTCTGGGTAGATGTTGTCCAGAAACCATTTGAAATCATGACATTTCAAGTTCTGACGTAATTCTTTTCGCTTTGTCAAATCCCCAATGGCTGCATTCTTAAACAATCAGTCACAATTAACAAGTATTTTTAATTGGACTGGAATGTTTGATAAATCAGACATCTTTGTCTACATTTTATATACTCGTATACCAGCACTGCCGCTCTGCACTGTTATTGTAGAGCGGCATTGGTATCAGCAAAGAAATCTTTCGTACGCTTCTAATGAGTGGTACACTCTATTTTTTAATCAAATCAAATTATTTATTTGATTTGATCAAATCAAATCAAATTTATTCATTAAAACCAAGTACTAAATTAGGGCACGTTTAAATTAAAGCAACCAGATAGTCAGTAGCTGTACGCTGTACAGTGTCAGTAAGTACTATTATTAGATATGTTATATTAATTCTTACCTTGAGATTGGGTCGCGCTAAGTAAAATAACCTCTTATAGTCATCCAACCACACCTCCGCCACACGGGCCGCATTGGCCCCATGGTGCTTTTCCGCATCGTACGTGTGACCTCTCGACACTGTTGTAAATGATTTGCGATTAAAATACTGAAAATTTCAAAGCAAATCTAAACAATGCAGTTTTGATCCTACTATGAGCAACGCGAGAACAGGGTATAAACATTATGGATCCATTGCACATCCAAATTCGAAAAGACATCTCCAAGTTTTCTCCTACCGGCAGAACATTTGTTACGAAAACTGATGCCTTTCCTTTAATAACGAGATGGTGTAACACGTAGAACTCATGAAAACAATTTATAAATAACTTGATCATGAGCGCCCTTAGCCATAGGATAAAAAATAGGTTTGAAATTCTGAGCGCCGTGCACACACAACAACAAAACATTTCTGTGTAGCGCTAAATTAGCGCTAAGCAATGGACTTACCACCCCATCCTTCCATGCCTTCGTCATAGGCACCGACTTCGAAAAACCAATGGCGGTCAATTGCAAATATCCCGCCGGGGAATGTAGGCGTTCTATGAAACTGGACGTCAGCATCAGCACACTATGATATTTTAAATACTTCGTTGATGTATTCGTTTTGCAGCAAATTTGTCATACTTCTCGTAATAAAGAACTGAACATAATGTACATATTAGGGCCCAAAAAATCATCAGACAAAACTGTTGATTAAACAATTTGTTGGGTTATCCATAGGCTGTCAGAACGACTTATTTATTAGACCGCAGCTTACCGATGAGGCTCGTAGCCGGGATCTTTTATTCGTTCAGTTTCCGACTTCAGCATGCCCTTTGGCCCCCATTTAAAATACATGTTCCATGTAAACAATCCTGTAGCAAAGGTGGCAGATGGAATGTACTCATAATTTTCTGCAGTAAGCGTATCAACCAAAGGACACACAATTCGTTTGCGATCTTTCTTTATCTCAGACAACAGTGGTTCCAGCCTGAACAATAATGGTAGATTTTGGAAGCGGCCCATGGTCATTATGTCACTTTGATATGCTTACCATCCAACAGTGACCTCGCAATGAGCATCCAGAAAGATTAGTACATCACCGGAAGCATTCCGGGCTCCATACATCCGAGCTTTTATTAGCCCATTGTGGGGCACTCTAATGTGTTGTACCAGGTTGCCAAATTCTTTTTCCAGTATGAGGGTTAGGGTAGTCCGAAAATAATCTACAAATAGGTGAAGCAAAACCAATATCGAACACAACTCTGGAGATCAGGCGCTACTGTAATAGTAGTGGTATTTATTGTTATTAATTGCAACTTGCAAGTATGCAGAATATATTATGTGAACCAGCTATTAAACATCGCTCACTCGATCGGTTGCACTACTACACTACACTGTGTACTAAGTATGTATTAATAATTCGAACGTGAAAGTTTCGCCTAACAATGAAACATAAATTGTATGCCTTACTTCGATCACTTCCATCGTCCACGACTATAATTTCACGCAAATATTCTGGACGTGATCTGTTAATCACGCTCCATATTGTCCGGCGCAAAGTGGACAACGGCTCGTTGTAAGCAACAATAATCACGGTGGCGGTTGCAAGTTCAACATCGTATAGCTGTTCTCTGCATCTACAAAATGCAGTATTTACAATATTTTCATACTTTATTTTTGTCACAGTTGGCAAGTTGTCTACCTAGTTTAAAAATCGCTCTTTAGGGAGCTTCTAAGAGTACTTGTCTGATGAAATTAATAACGAAAATTGTGTAATTTCTCAAGTAAAGCATGCATACAGTAATTCCCGTACCTTTGAGATCGGTGCTCCTGTAATGATCTTTGAACAGACATTCGATCACTGCCCATAAGATTGAACGTTTCTTTTTTGAAGATAACTTTAGCTTTCACATTATCTGGCCCGAATGAATCCAGACGCACTGGCAATCCATTTTCCCCAGGGGCATCTGGCGCAACGTGATCCGACCGTATTTCGTAATTAGCTAACTGTTGGTGTATTTCGTGCGCTTGTTCTTCCCTTTCGTGCCTATACTTTCGAAATGCACCGACTTCGGTAACAGCAGGTGCCTGCATTGCTAAAAAAGCGAAAACTTCTCTCAATGTGAAAACGTAACATGAGAGCGCATTTAGGTGACATTCAGTTACCTGCGCCTCCCGATAATTTTGATAGAAGAATATCCTGGGGTTTGTGACCGCTCGGATCCCTTTCGGGAATATCACTGACAACATTGCTCTTAAAAATTTGAATGCCCAAATATGCGATTAGTGAGAAACTTGTTATCAACAAGAATAAAGTAGCAAAATAGCTAATTAATCGTCGAAAGAGAACTGGTCTCGGGAATCTCCAGCGATTAAGAAAAACATGATGGTTTAACACGGGAATCTGAAGTTGACTGCAACTTCCGTGCATAATACAAACATATCAGGATTTTGGCAAATGGGACTGGATGCGTTCTTCGCTGGAAAACGTCGTCAGAAAGAGGCAAACTTCAGTAAGTTGACCTCCCTAATCTACAGAGTTCGTATGCCATCGAGGTTTAAAAATCAATAAAATTTAAGTATACAGCTTGTTTCGAATCATAAACCTAGGTCCTACACGCCAAAATGTGACTACCAATATTCCGTGGTTTGTGTGACTGTTGTCTGTTAGCGAGCAGAATTAGTAGAATTACCGACTTCATACGTTCGACACGCAGAAGCCGGCATCTTCGACAGTGAGCACTCAAGCGTTTTCGCGATGATTCGCAGTTCGCACATCTTCCACTTCCTTGAACAACTCTTGAATAATAAACTGGCCTTCAGCGTTTAGCACTGAAAGATTACGCCAGTAACCGAAGAAGCATTCAGCCAGACAAAGAATCAACTGACACCAAGCACCACAAACACCAGACGATGACGTTTTGCTTTCTGCAGCTAGGCGCAGAACAGTAAAAAAGAATCACTTTACTTAAGTCTGCGAGAAGCTGACAATGAGCCACCGGCCCACCAACCAAAAACTGGTTTAAAACGTTGAGTACTACCGTGAGGAAGCAGTCTTTATTGTTGGCTGATTTTATTTTAAAATTTGATACACATTATTAAGGTGATGGAGTTGTAAGGGAATGAACGAAGTGTGAAAATACAAACCTTTAAATAATCACATTGAAGTTAAGTATGTCTGGAATAATTAAAAGATTTTCTGCTGGGCGATCGCTTGATTAGCGCAACACCGCAGTGTTGCACAAAATATACAGAGCAGCATGCGCAGAAAAAGCCGCAAACGTATTATTATAAAAAGCCGGAAACATATGAAATTTATTTTAAAATGTACCGCTATTTATACAATACTGAATAAATTTTAACACTTATATTATGTCGATCAGGAAGGGTCCTCTTTGTCGGTGCGATTTCAGTCAGTTGGGCGGGAGCTTTTGTGTTATGTAATTTTCAGCCTACCACATGTAATTTTTTAACTAAGAATGTGCGCTTGCGCTTTGCGGGCACTGCAGGACCGCAGTGTAGCCAAATTTAACATGATTTAAAGTGCAGCTTGTAGTAGATGCTAGAGCAATTTTAACTATTATATTTTGTACAAAAAAGCAGTAAATTTTTAAAATGGGTGTTATGAACCTAAGTAAACACACGACGTAACTGACAAGACAGCCCCGACGGGTGAAACGGATGGACCTTTCCAGTTGCTGAGAACGTTGTGCGTACGTATCTCGAAATTACAGTAGTAAAAAGATTAATTAGTCTTGCAAATTACAAGCATTTATCGTACACAGTTGCAAGAATCGTATAAATTCACCATCTATGTAAGTGTAAGTAAAAGAATGCAAGCCAGCGAACGAATGCAGACTCTGGTAAGTCAAAGGGAATATTAGACAGGAAAATAACTCTCCCGAAAAGAGACATATAGAAGAACAACAAATACAAGGACAACTACAAATTGTACCACCTGCACCAGCTATGCTTTAATTATCAAAAAAATTATTTTTCTCTGCTTTATTACATGTACATCAAAACATTATAATGTGATATCCTGGTGGAGCCTCAACGTTACGTTTACGTTCCATACATGTACCTAGCTAAACAATGCATGCAATGTATTCCGGGTCATCTATGGCTAGGGCTTCTCTCTGAAAAAAAAACAAAAAATTCTATAGAAACGATTACTGCTTGTACCAGCTACCATTTATTTACCTCTCTTCTGATTTCTGGAAACGTTTGGTCAGCAAGTTAACCCGATCTTTTCCCATAACAGGCAACAGGGCATTCTGAGCTTTCCCCAAGGACTTGAGTGTACTGCCGACGATTTGCCCGGTGCGCAGATTGATCCAGATTGTAATGATCTCATCACCGTTCGTCACATCCTTCAGGTGTCCATTAAGATTCTCTTCCAGTCCGATAATGGTGCCTTGCGGATAAACGTCCCGCTGGGCAAATCTTGGCACTTCGTCATTATCGCCATCGACAGCTATGCCGGCTTCCTTGCCATAACCATCGTTATCGCTTCCGCGGTCTTCGCACATGCCATCATCATCATCGCCGCTTCCTTCGTTGTCTGGTTCATCCAGTTTGTCGTGACACTCCGGGTCATTGGCAGGTGCAACAGGAAATTTCTCAGCTGGCTCGATAATCGGCAAATCCGTTTCGTCGAAATCCATAGGCGCCTCGTCATCGGCCTCGATGGTCGAGTTCGTCCCACCATTCGTAAATTCAGTGCTGTCTGCTGGAACAATCTCGACTTCTTGATCCGCGTCTGGATCATCCTTCGGTTTCAGGTTGGTAGAAAAGTTTCCCTTTTCCGGTGCTGGGACGATGACCTTTTTCAGGTCACTGAGGTTTTTCGCCTCCGCCATCACAAATTCATCTTTCCAGTCGTCATCTTTATCGAATTCCTGTTCCGCTAATCCCCCCAGAAGTGAAACATTCTGTAATTTTCTGGTATTGCCGAAACCATAAGGCTTTTGGGAGGAAGGAAAATCGGTGGGTTTCGAGCTGAATTCATCTTTCACTGTCGATGTATTGTCGGCGGTGCCAGGCATTCCTACGTCCAGTCCATTATGTTCATTGCTGGTATTCAACGAAATGATTAAGTCTGTAATGCCGACAGAAGTCTGATTGTTTCGCAGTTTAACTGGCTGAAAATCTTGTTCGCCAAACTTCTCTTGCAACTGATCGACAACTTTGTGTGGCTTTCTCGAATCGTCGGCAGTTTGTACCACCATTCCCTTATTATCAGCCGTTAGGACTATGCTGCCAGTGCCGTTATTTCGTTGTTCTTCTCCGCGAGCTGAAGTCAAGTTCTCCACTGTGTTCAATTCGATGGCGGCCGTGTTGTTCTCCATTCGAACCGTAAGCGTTAGCTTAACTGCCGTCGCTGTGCCGGAGTTATCAGACGAAACATGAACTTGCTTGCTCGCTGTAGACAGGTTCACGGGAGAATCAAAGGTCACAAGTTCAGATCCAGAAGGTCCATGCGCTGTTTCGCTTCCATAATTTATGGCCGTGGGAAGCGATTTCTGCATATACCACAACAGTATTCAGTTCATTTTCGCGACAGTAATTTTTCATCATAGCTCTGTCGTGTCGATATATTCGAATGACAATAAGTTGTAAGAGATAGTACTAAATGGGTGCTTCTGCGAATTGCGGTAGCCTGCACGATGCTTTGCTAATTCTATTATAAAATAGGTTACACATATAATCATATTAATTTTGGTAGAGGTGCAAACAGCGATACTCCGTAGACTATAAAGATTGCAATGTACTTATAACTCGGAAAAAAGACCAACTCCAAGAAGTATAGGGAGTCTTATGCAGCAAAAACCAAAACAGGAAAAAAACATCACGTGGTCAAAACTGATTTTAAGTTAATAGTGACAATGGGATGCGGCCAATAAAATTTACAGAGATAAGGATTTTAATTTTCATTACAACAGCAATCAGCAAAAGGACAAAGAAAAGCTATTTTAATGCACTCAAGACGTTATAACCCGTAATAACTACAACATAATTAAGTCAATCCACTTACGCTGTCCGTTGTAACCGGGTGTCCAGTTACAAAAACCGGGAAAAATATGAAAGCCAGTAGCCATAAAGTCCGCAGCTCGATAAAGCATGTGTACGGGAAGCGCGGCATGTTGTGCAAAAGTAAGCGGTTTCTGGAATTGCACTCTGCCTTTTCTTAAATATTTGCGGGGCCTTGCTAGCAATGACCAGCCAACTAAAATCGAAATGTAGACACAACAAACATAACAACTTGGCTTTTAAACCAACACCACACGATACTGAACCATTCCATCTGCCCCATCATAACAACATGATATCCTTACCATTTATGCATTTTTCTGAGAACAAAGTTGATAAGAAACCTTACTCTTAGAGAATTACATTACATCTGGATCAGGCTTGTAAATGCAAGCCCCCGTGATGCAATAGACTGTTGAGTATGTCTCATTTAGGAATCATAAACTGAAGGGATTAGGGTAAATTTATTCATTTTCGGCTAGGAAAGTCCAACAAAAACGGGCGCGAATAACGCGGCCTTCACATAATGCTTACAGTAACTGGTAATCAGTCTTCCATCTGATGTGCATAAAAATATTATTCAGAAATCTTCCATTTGCATTGCTAACCAAAGCATTCCAATTTATCATTTTAAACTAAACAACCATCAACTGTCAAAATTTCACTAGAACGACATTTATGAACAAGTGATAGCGAAACGCTGTTGAAATCTCACAATGAGACACATTATAAATTACTCCACGATAGCTACAACATTTTCGAGAAAGAACAGACGGTAAATAAAAGATTTATATCTATATTAGAAAATGAAAGAACACTGGGTTACAAAACTAGTCATGCTTTCAAAACACGCTGTACGTTGACTAAACTATCTTCCTGACTTGGCTTTTTTTCCTAGCACGCTCACGCGCCAATTCTTGGCGTTCCAGCTCTTCCTCCCGTTCATCTTCTTTCCGGCCGATGTAGGCACTAACAAAGAATAACCGAATCAGTGGGCAAACCAAGCAAATCACATTTTCCACGTTCATTTTCTATTTTCGACGCCTTTTACTAAGAGTTTAGATTAGCCAGATTAAACGGGAGGTACTTTCATAAATAGTCGGCGAAACGAACAACCCACGCGGCACACGTCAGATCTCACCTTATGGCTTCTTCTTTCCATTGCTGATGTATATTGCTTTCCATATTGTCAATATCATCTAAATCTTCGCGACCCACGTATCTATACAAGTTTCAACAACAGCACAATTTTTAACATTTTATGAGATGCTGAACAGCAGAAAACATACCTTCTAGGGTCATAACGGAACATTTTTCGAATTTCCTCGGAATAATCATTTCGATAGTCGTCATCGTACGGTGTATCGTCTATAAAATCATCCATATCATCGTCATATTCATCCTCGTCTTCTTCTCGCGTAGAAGGCACTGGCTTAGGACCTGAAAATTATGCAGAAAAAACTGAAAACAACAAGCAAGCGAACTTCCCAGTAAAATACACGATCCGTTATATCGGACTACACCACACTCACAGTTATCGCTCAACACGTGTTTTAAAACTGTTAACTAACAATAAGAACAGCTGTTAAGATGTAAAACTTGTCACCGTACAAAAAAAACCTAATAACTTACGTTTTTTTAAGCTGTCTCTGAACGGATCAAATTTTTCCGGGTACGCAGACTTGGGCGCTGGGCGTATTGTCGAAGTTGAAGCTCCACTTTTCGGTGGCAATTTACTAGGTTTTCCAGCAGGCGCCGATTTTTGTTGAGACGAAGACGAACTAGGGGCTGAAGGCTGACCACGCTGTACAATTGGATTTCCTCTATTGTCCCTTTTAACCCCATTCGACACTTGGTGGGGATTTTTAAGATCTCTTTTAGGGCCAGAAAATCTATCGTCTTGCTTTTTTAGCGGCGGTATTCTCCCACCAGATCCGGGCTTTACGTTCTTCGACTGAGTCTCACTGCGTTTCATCCCGTTACTAAGGCCGTCGGGCTGCCTTTGCCCTCTTTGAACAATCTGATTTGGTCGCTGATTTGAGTGTGGCGCTTGACGAACATCCGCTTTGGAGGAAACAGTAGAAGGGGGCTTCGTAGGCTTTTTATCCATAGCTTTTCCCACAGTTGCAACTTTAACCGGATTATGAGCGCCAGAATACGCAACAGCAGGTCTGATTTTACTATCCGGTTTAGATTTAGCCGGAGGAGGAGGTGGCGGAGGAACTGGCTTGGTCGCAGCCCGCATTTTCAGCGGATCAAGTAAAGGCACGTCATCTTTAACGGGCTCCTTCTGCTGCTTCTCCGCCAGCCTCAACATCTGCTGGAATGAAAGACCAGGGGTCGTGGTAGGCTTAGGCGCCGCAGGTTTGCTTGATAAAGGTTTAGCAGGTTTTGGGCGGTTAGGCTGGGGATCTGAGATTCTGGAGGATGAGCTGGACGGTCTGATCTGTTTATCCGAATTAACTGGCGCTGGTTTTCCATTAGCAACAGGCTTAGGCAGAGGTAATTTAGATGAATTAGGCTTTTCTGACTGTTTAACCGTTGAAGACGACGGTCTAGTCGCTCCTGATGCGACAGAAGGCGTAGGGTTGGGTTTTGGTTTCGCAGTATTCCCAGTGTTAGTCCTAGAGGGACCAGGTCCTGGTCTATCGACAGGATTAGGCCTCGCACCTGTATCCGATGTTGCTTGATTAACCAGAGTCGGGTATTTTTTGTGAGCGAAAAGTGACACTAACCGGGCGCTTGAGTCTTGCTCGACTTGGTTTGCTCTAATTCTTGGCGCCGTAAACGTTCCTGGTGAGCTTGTAAACGCGCCTGGATCGCACTCAAATTAGGCTTCGACTTCGTCTCTCTTCCAGGCATCTTAAATTCTAAAACAGGGTCCTTTGATCGCATTAACTACAAAACAAAGCACGAAAACACCGATTACCATTTTGGTTCGCACAAAATACATGATAGCACAGTTCGCATCGTTTACTTACTTGATCCTTGTTCACGTCTTGGTTCTTTTTGGCCAAATCTAACAATTTCCCAAAATCCATAGCTGCCTAAGACCGCACAAACAGCTATCCCCTGATAGACTGAATCGCTTAAAGATGGACGCAACGATTCAAACCAGAAAATGATAAGTGGATGGTAACTCTTACACCGTAAGAAAGAAAACTAGGAGCAACTTACGGTCGCAGCTGCAGCCTTTATACCAGACTGACCATGAATTAAATCAGGATGATCTCTAAATGATCCCGGCCTAAGCACGAGTAATTAGTACGAGCATGGTCTATGTATACATGTCTATGTATACCTCATGCAGTTACGCTGGTACGAGTACACTCACAATCAGTACAGTAGCTGCTGTAGTCGTGCACTTGTCATTAGCAATAGCTTGTTATGTTTCAGAACTTAGAAATAGTTAAAAGAACGATTAACGATAACAAACTTTCGAAAACGCAACGAAGTACAAGACTGGAAGTCTGTCAGGTTACAATTTTACACAGACAGTGACAGACCACTCTTTAAATTTTAATAACTTTGACTTTGTTATTAGTTTCAGGCGTTTCAGTTAATTCAGTACAAAATGTTCTCCTTATTTTTCTAAAAATTAATGCGACTTCGAAGATCAAGTACGTACGTAATTTTAATACTGCACGTATTTTCGTTATGAGTCTGCTCCGTTACGCCAAAGCCGAGGCAGGCTAGAAGCTGTCTCACCAAGCTTAAGGATTCAGTACTCCGTACTAGAGGAATACGCAATCGCCTAGCCGCATGCGGAAGTTACCTGTGTATCTACTATCTAACTAATAATATGTAACAGCTGTTTCCGGCGCTGTTGTGAGTCTGTCTGGATTCTGGTCTGCCTGTGGCTAAAATACCTAAAATTTCTAATACTCGTATTTACAGTTAATACGTACTTATGCGGCCCGTTTAATAACCCGTCACATCTATACCCGTCGGAGTATATTATGACTTTATTGTATCAATTAAAATAATGATACAGAAACAATGAACCAAAATTATAAAAGTTTAATATAGGTTATAGAACTGCACGTAATTATTTTTGCAGTTAATGGTGAATGATGATTCTTACTTTATCCGTTAAACTGCAATTATGAGAAAATAATTAGCTAACCTGCAGAAATTTAAAAATATTTTTAGAAGGACAAAAATATTGTGAATCGTAAAAATATCGTATAAATCATACTTATGGCAAGTGTTGTTCAAACTTCAAAGGAAGTGAAATCGCGATTTCGAACTTCGCAAAGGTAGTAGAAGCGATGTAAGTGCGTACCCTATGTGTCTCCAGAAATTTACGAACTGTGACACTAACGCCTAAACATTTGTTTCACTGCAGATTGCAAGCATCAAGCTGCAGACGGACGAACCCATATCAAGTGGATCGCAGAGGACTTCGTTTTACTGTACTTACTTCTACACGAAATCTTGGGGTTGATCTCTTTTCTGTTGCAATAATAGCACAACTCCATGCACATCCTCTACTGTACAGTACTGACAACGTGTACCTTCCGGCCTTCCAGATTCCAGACATTAAGTAAGTCCGAGGCAGTGTGTCTGTGTGTGCCAGCTGCGTTTTTTGTATGGTGCTTACGCCGAGGTACTGTAACGGCGCAACCATAAAAACGTGGTACCCGGTTCAAGTATTGTACGGTACTGTTCTGCAAATGGAATGTTAAGTGACTAGAAGTATGAAAGCAGAGGAGAGTGTTATATATATTTATACTCTTTTATTACGGTGACAGTTGGTTCGAGTAATTTCACGTTTCTCATTGCTTATAGCTGTTCTAAATTATATACCTTATGCAGTAGAAGAGAAGATCCAAAGATACTACAGTAAGATACTGTACTCTAAGATGCAAAAGATCTTACAAACTAATTTTGCGCAGCTAATAAATTAGTGTACAACATGTGTCGAAAGGTTAAAGTTCAGTGTAATTTAGTTTCGCAGGTAAAACAGCTTGTAATTACACGTTAAAGTAAGGATTCGGGTGTATGCTGCTGAACGTTGGGAACGATGGGTGAGAAAAAAACTTACAGGACTTATATTTATAGTCAGCTACGTAAACCTGTTGTGCATGCAGGCAGTACTTTGCACCAGACTATGAACTGTAAATTTTGCTGTTGATGTTGATCAAAAGATAGATGAGGGCTGACATGTTAGATGCCTCCTCATAATTAATTACAATTTTGGATGTGTCAGTATACAGTATGTGGCGTAACCATAAATTATTACAGATTCGATGTTTAATATTGTAAGTACTCGTCATTCTGTATGTTGAACTGTAAAGCTACCGGTAATAGGTGCACCAGCTGATAAGGATGTCAGCTGCAGTGCCTCGATTATCAACTTTTACAGCGCTTTTAAGAGCTTCTGCAGCCCTCTCTTGCAGAAATAAAGCAAGTGTGGAACATGTGAGTCCCATGCAGATGTGTCTTATTTAAAGTACGATCATTCCGTATATTCTGTTGAGGGTAATCTGAGACAGTTTCAAATCGTTTTTTACGATATAGTTGCAGGTGTTAGCAAATAAGGCAGAGGGACATTGTACCACCACTTCAAGCTTTATCAACTTGAATCATAATCGAGCTCTTAGCAGTTTTGCACAAAAGTCCCGTGGCCAGACAATTATGTCCCGATTCAATCATAAAGGATTTTTCGTTGCCACATTCACGCCCCTTAAGGAAAATGGGTATGAGTTTAAGACTTTAAGTAGTACGCGACCTTTAAATTACGCTTGACGGTATACCGCAAATTATTGTGTTGCGTCACCTGGATTTTGTGTTATGTAGCGACATCAATCCCGACGCTGTGCCGCAGTATGTGGATCATCTAGTACGGAATAAAATCACCGGAGTATTCGGTAACACATTAACTACGTGATAGCGAATGAGTGTAAAATTAATTGCAAATTATTTTTCTTGACTTCGTTAGTGTGCTATAATAGGTCTTTGTCTTTGTTATATTCCTGAGCCAGTGCTTTTTTCATTCTAGATCACCTGCGGAAATATTTGTACAACTGCAGTCATAAAAATTTCGTATAGTTCCATTTCATAATTCATTCATTCATAGCGAGATATGCATCATAATTATCAAGCCACAGTCATAAACGTTGACGTTTGTTCGTTGTGTTTCAGTAAATGGAACCGCTGGCGAGGGACTGTCTATGACCGTAAAAGAGCGAAAGGCTATGGCGGAAGCGTGGGTAAAAAACTGCGAAGGCAAATTGAAAACCATAATTCATTGTGGAGCTGTCTGCATCCGAGACGCTAAAGAAATGGTACGTACTGAGTACATACTGACAAGTGATGCAATGAATTTCTCTTATTAATTTTCGTAATTGCTTACTGTTGTCCGAGTTTATATTGTCCGGTACTCGTATAAAACCAAAGCAACTCCCTACGTTTATATGATATTATGGTTTTTTTTGCACATTCTGCTAACTGCATTTTTAGAAAAACTTGCCTGGTTAGGCGGCCCTCGGGCCGTGATAGATATTGGGATAATAATTTACGTATTAGTACTTCATTTGGACCAGGCGCAACGTCCCCGGCTGTAAGTATCCTAACACTGCATTGTGCGATTTTTTTTTTAATAGGCCGAACATGCTCAGTCCATCGGTGCGGATGCCATTGCAGCTGTTCCCTCTTTTTATTTTCCACCCAAAACTGTCGGTAACGATCCTTAATGCTTGTCACAGCAAATAACAGAATTCTTAGATAAGATAATATAGTTTTTAATCACGAACGGCGCATAAAATGCGTTGTTTTGAAGATGCCCTGGTAGAAGGAGTGAAAGAAATTGCGGCTGCTGCTCCAAAACTCCCGTTTTTGTATTACCACATTCCGCGAATGACGCATGTTGATTTGGATATGTCAGCCTTCCTCCAGATAGGAAAAGAGAAGATTCCCACCTTGTCGGGCATGAAGTACTCCGGATTCGACCTGGCGGGAGCTCTTAAATGCACTGCCAATCATGGGAAAGAGTTTGAAATTATGTGGGGGCGCGATGATGTGAGAATAACGGAATAACCTAACTTTCTGTAGGAATAGATTTAAATCTTTCTAGACTGTCCCTATATTGTTAAAAATTACAGTATGTTTTACTTCATTTATTGTGCTTTCTGAAGGTTCTTCTTGGTGCACTGGCAGTTGGTTTAACATCGTTTATCGGAAGCTCATATAGTTTCACCGCACCGCTGGCACTCCGTATTGTGGAAGCTTTTGAAGCCGGAGATTTGCAAAAGGCGAAAGATGCTCAAAGCCAACTGAAGCGGACAATGGATGCCACAGAAAAATATGGCGACCAGGTGTCGGCATTTAAAGCGGCAGCCTGCATGCATGGTCTTCCGCTGGGGCCAACACGCCTTCCCTTGCGAGCGCTGGATGTGAAAGAAGCTAAAGCATTTGAAGATGGTCTAAAGAAGTTAGGGTATTTTGATTGGATTAAAGAAAATTAACTAAGTTGGTGTTTTTTAAATGACAGAATTGGAGTTTTCGAGCTTAGGGCTGATGCTGTTGCGTTGGGCTAGTTGGTACTGGTCAAGCCTTTAAGGAGGCGTTTGATTGCTTATTTCTATGGCTTTCATTAGCTGAAAAGTTTACCGTATTTTAAAAAAATGAAATGGTGCCGAGAGCTTTGACTTTTCCAGCCGTAATTAGTGTTACGGCATACGGTACAGTCGAAGAAATACTTCGTTGTTGCGTACTTTAAGTGTGATAACATTCTGGAAACAGCACATTCGCGGCTTCTCTTGAAATTCTGTGAAATATTGTTATGATATGCATATGATGGATTATGTTTTATTTCGCGAATGTTTTCCTTCAATTCAAACAATTTTGCAATCGTTTCTGATCTTCAGCTTCTGAAACCTGCATGGCTGCAGTAATTAGAAAAACTATGGCTTTTATTTTAATTAGCTTCCGTACTTACTTCCGTACTTACTTCCGTACTTTTATTTTAATTAGCTTCCGTACTTCCGTACTTTTAATTAGCTTCCGTACCAGAGACAATAAAATATAATATGATTAATTAGTCCATGTAAATCGTAACTCTGAATAAAATTTATAGAAAAACAAATCAAAAAATGCAACCATCGACTTAGATTAAACAAACACTGTCGATATGCAATTATGAATGCACACAATTCAACGCGACAATATTCCCCCGATCAGTACCGTCCTGGTTAGCTTTTGCTGACAATCAGCTTCGTCATAGAGTAAGGCTTCTCTCTTTCTGACATTACAATATAACTTTTGCATTAATTTGCTCTCAAAATCCTCATGATCAACCAGATTCTTGTGCAGAGGAAAAGCCGTGGACGCCGATAATTTTCGCTGGAGTGTTTGATGTTCCATTTCCAGCAGGCGAAGATTTTTCAAATAACACATTCGCCGTTTCTGTTCCTCGATATTCTCTTTTGCTGCCAGCAATTGTTTCAGTAACACAATGACCTTTCCATCTGGATCGGCGTCTTTCACGGGCATATGGGGATCAGCGAACGTCTGGCGAGCGCGATACTGCAGGTAGACGTTCTCTTCTTCGATTCTTTTAGAGTAAGCCGATAGTGTGCGCATTCGGTTGGCAATATCCTCCAAGCTCAGTTTATGCTCATCCTCAAATGTCTAGAAAGTCCCTGAAGCTACCTTCGAATGCTAACGAGAAGGATGCCGCTCTTACCAGGGATTTACGCGACTTAGTGGTCGGCGCATCCGCTCGCAGTGCCGTTTTCAGGGCGGAAACCGGCTGCCTACCATTTTCTAGATTCCGTGCAATCGGTTGCGGACTGACCGTTCCATTGCTGTGTGGCGCGCCATTGCGTGCTGTCGTCTGTTCACTTGGTAGTCTGGCATTTGGCACAGCGGGCGCTGGTCTCCTGGACATGGGGCTTTTATTCTCCGCAATAGGGTTCACGGAAGGGGCGGCTACAGGGTCAACATGAGATTTCAGCGCCGGTGGTGCAGGCGCGCGGCGTTTTACGCTGCCGGTGCTCTTGACGGAGGACACACTGTCGCTGTCCGTATTGGATCTGTCAGTTAATTCCGCTTCGTTGTGACTATGTGGTCGCGCTGCGATGCGCTCCCGAAGAGATCGGTTGGTACCGTTTCGCACCACAATACCTGAGTTGGCGGGATACCGCACAGTCTCCGCACGCCGCAATGATTCTAAGAGCTTTTTCCGCGGTGCCGGAACGGGGGTCACTTTATACAAGGGAAATACGTCACGCTTCTCGGACTCCTCTTCGTCGTCGTCATGAAAGGGATTTTTACTTTCGTCGTATGCATTGTTATCATCATCCGAGGAAGAATCAAAAGGATTAAGATTATCAGGATACTGGACAGCGGGGAATGATGGATATCCGCGGGAACCCATATTCAGATGTGCTAAAGGAATATTTGTTATAAAATCATCCAGTCAATATTGACAGTGTAGAGTTATTAGCATAGAAATCTATAGCAGTAAGTATACGCAGCAGAGACTTACAGCAATGAGACTGGCTCGTGTCAACTGCAGTGTTTGCTTGGAAGTTCCGATTGGAATGCTGTCGGCTGCCGTGGCATTTGAGGGAACTGGTGTGAACTTTGGAGCGGAATGTCTACGAATGGAGGAATCGTTTATCGTATCGGTGAACTTGCTGACTGATTGCGACGGCTGAATAGAATGAGGCGGGGTGGAATTCGCGGTGAGATAGTTCGTATTGACGATGTTGTAACAGCTTCTGGTCAGTCTATCGCGTGTGGTACGCGGATACGTTAAGACGTCGACCATGGTACGGCGTGCCACGACTGGCGGCTGTGGTGGTGGATCGGTGTTGCTAACAGCAACGACAGCTGGATTGGATAAGCGTATGCGGAGCGCTGACGCCATCGGCACGCATGCGTCGTCGTCGCCTTCCGGTGGTTTATTTTCTGATGGCGACGGAGGAGACGTGGAACTGCTTGAGCAAGTGCTACTGCTACTGCTGCTGGCCGCGGAGTGGACACCGGTGTCCAGGTCCTCTGCGTTTTCTGAAAGCGCGTTCGTTAGCTCAGGTTTGGTGCTGAAAGTAGCCGAACTGCGGAGGGTCACAGGGAACGTTGTTCCAAAATCTTCCGACGCAGACCGACGAAACTGGAGAGTATAACGGCTGGTTATACTCGAAGTGGACTCGATTACGGACATCTGCGTCGCAAGAGATCCCTAAATCCATAAAAATGAACCAAAATGAAAAAATAATTTATTGTGAACAGTGAAGAATCAAAAATCAAACATAATTCTCCCATTGTTAGTGGAGAGTTGGAACTGCATTGAATCGCTGACCTTTCTATCCATGAACTCAGCTTCCTGGCCATTTTTTTTGCCTGAAGAAGTGGGAACCATTAGCATATTTGACTACAGAAAATTATCTTGCAAATACGGTGCCCAGTTTCTGACGTGCAAAAAGCATATTTAACTTTTAAACCATAAAAATACTTCGATGCCGGTACAGTTAAATTCATCATGATTCGCAGTTGTCAGCTCGGTATCTGAGCAAAGAAATGGATTTCTCTGGTGGTGGAAAAGGATTTCCTACTGTTTATCAATATTCTTGCACAATAAGTTGAGTAATGATATAGGTAATCGTGAATAACTAGATAGACGAAGTCATAAAATAAAATTCAAAACTCAGGCCAGTTTACGTAGCACTGATACATGTGTGTTCGTCACTTTTTATCACTCAGAGCAGACGCTTTTGTTGCATTCTAAAATAATAATTATACAAGTTTTGCATGAGCCCGATGACTTTTTAAACGATTAGTCATTGTCTAAATCTTAGTCATTCTTATTGTTTGCCGCTATTAATTGGAAAATTCGAAGTTGATAAAATCATATGTTCGATATAAAATTCGTCATAAATGTATCATCAAATGATACTCGCAATATGTATAATATGGGCATGCAAACGACACAATCATGATAGGATATATTGTATACGAATATCCAAGTTTTTCTTTTACGCAAAGAAGGATGAGAAAGCGGTATTGAAATTCTACAGTCTACAGCACTCTTATATCCGGAAGTTCCATACCCCCATGTGATAACAAATCGGGTAAATAAAAATATTTGTTAGCATACATGAACATCAGATCATATTCGGATCTTCTGCTTAGTCAGGAAAATTTCCGGAATTATGGGGTGAAGATGCCATAAAGCGTAACCATTAAGATCACTACGTTCAATACAATGATTAAGTGGTGCTCCAAGTTATGACAATATCCAAAGCAAAACTACCGTAAACCCATCTAAGGAGATTTGCTTCCCAGCAAGACAAACAGACCACCAACGATGTGCATCTATCTACTTGAGAAATCGCTGTCCTAGCTCATTAGATGCCTTATCATCACGTCCAAGAAATGCGTTTCGACATCCAAACTGACCAAACATACCAATATTCCTTATCATGCAATCATAAAATAAACATTATGCAAAACCTTTTATCGAAAAATCCCTCTTAGCAGTACAGAGAAAATCATTACGCTGTGTAACAGGCATTATCTTTCATAAAACATTAATTTGCGATTGTTTTCAGTGTATTTTACAGTTATAAAACGTAATTATACAACTATCCAGTAGAGTATAGGGTTAGGTGGTTAAGTGATATGGTTGTGCTACAAGCAGATCAAACACAAACGTTAGCTTGAACTTAGGTTAGTCAATAGCTGATCACAGTCTCTTAATTCATCCCGCGGTAAAGCACGTAAGTACTTAAATAAGCCATACATATGATCAATGTCGCTAATTAGAGCGCCATCGGTAATATTGCAGAGCATCGTAGACCGAGATAATCTTTTGTTAATAGCAGCGTAGATGGCATCAAAGAACATAACAATCAAAAATAATTTTCAATTCTGTAAGTGCTTTGACCTAATTGGACGAAGAACGGCTTCTGTTTCGATTGTTGTCATGAAAAACTACAATGTGCAACAACCAATGGAAGATCTAGATGCCGATACTGGAGACTGTCTAGCCTCAAATGGAGCAGACGGAAGCTAATTCTATTTGAACTGGATAAATGGGCAAACCTTAATTGAGATGATGCTTACCTGGAATTGGTTTCCCCTGGAAGTGCCTCTGAAACTGTAAAAATAGGTCAACTGAGATATGTTTGCATAAGTCCCCAAAGCAATGAAATGTAATTCGATAAAGCTGAAAGCATAAAAGGGAAGCCGGCAGCAACGTGTGTTTTGTGTGCCACAAATTCGATGTGCAGAAGAACTACCGTATCATGCGTATACGAACATTTTGCATGCGTTTCATGGTATAATTATGTAGCCCAAGCATTTATCTGTGTTGAAATTGAATATGTATGTATGGCCCATAATTGTTTAAAAGGTTAGAAAAGGTAACAATAAAGCCGTTCAAAAATAAATATTCTGAGTACGCCGGTATAGGGAAACACTTTCCAAATGTATCTACGAGTATTACCAAAAATAGCTACTGTTGTGCTACTCCATGTCAACAGTTTCTCAACACAAAAATTTTTGCGATTTTTAGCACTTAATTAAAAGCCGCAGTGCCTGTTTTAAAAGCAGTTATTCCATTACCTTTAACCGAATGCATTTGTAAACACAGTTTGCAATAGATTTAAATGACTGGAGATTTCATTGCACTTTGCTGTAGTTATTAATGAATCGATAACAAAATTTAATAACAGCAATAAGTAACAACGTCGTTCAATGCAATATTACATATTAATAATACTTCTGTGACTCTGTCTACCGAAGCAGAAAAATCGCTGGCAGTGTCTGATGCGACCTATTTTACAACAGGATGCCACTGCACTTACTTGGCTGACATAGAGAATGATGCACTTCCGGTCAGGGACTGAGTATTTAACCATATCGACAGCATCCAATAAAGCCGGGATTCCGAGTTTCTTTTCAGCAACATCAAACGCCTACGAACAATTCACCAGGATGAGACCCAGTAATTAATTAAGTCTCATTAGAGCCCTTCTGTTAATCGTCTATTGTTACCACTACGTCCGACATAATTGTAATTCAATGCCCTTCTCACCGACCCCAGCCTTTATTGTGCCTACTTTTCTCATCGTACACGATGCCAGTCAGTCAGATCATAAATCACAATAGGGAGTCCGGCTCAGGATGTCGGATTGCTGATTAATGCCCGCTCGTGCACTACGTCGCATTCCATAACTGACATTTTTAACCCACGGAGAATTTTTATATAATATTGTAACAAGTTTTGAAAGCTATCTCTTTTATTCACACGGTGCTCTTAGCACAAAGCCAGCTAGCTATCTGTACAACCGGTGACTTACCAGTTGATTGTTTTCCAGAATGTTGGCTTTGACCAATGAGTCAAAATCTCTGCAAAAATGGTCAATCGTTAAAATACTATCGTATTTCCTATTGATCTTGGCCGATTAGTGTGTTATTATCGTTTTAGAACCGGTTTCAAGATATTTTAGAAAGCATTCATTACTAGTTTGCATAGTCGTTAACGGCTTGCCCGAAGAATCTCGACAGTGTAGACGCCGGTGCAACAGCAGCTAACATCGCGACAAATTATATCTCCGTTGGGTTTAACGATAAATGAGCTCTGGCGGTATGATTGTCACAATGGACTGAAACATCACCGCAACCATCTTGATAATTACCGTCGGGGCGTTTCTCACCAAATTATAGGGATGTAAAATGCAAAGTGCTCGGTTTCGTCTATTGTGTCGGTGAATCTGCTGCACTGGCAAGAAGGACGCCGTTTTCGCAGACGCAAGTAGCATAAAAGTATGCGTATTATGGTATTAGCACTTATTTTAGAGTTATCAATATTTGCTTTGAAAGTTGGCATTTAAATGGTTAAAAATACCAGAGCAACACTGTTCCATTTTTATCCTAGAAAAACATGAATGCAAAACTTGTGAAAATGTTTTCTAACGATTTCTAAGCGCTAATTTTTGAGGAGGAAGCCGACATTGATGAATAATCAAACAGATTTAATTATGCTGACTAGATTGTTACTTTCCTTAATCATATACGTATAGTAACTTGGTAAGTAAGTAATATGGTAATATGTTAAATCATCGTTATAAGATATTTTGCTTCCCTGCAAACATCGCTGAATTCGTAATGCCGCCTTATAAAGTGAACAAAGCAATGCCAAAAGCTTAGGTAATGTCCGACGCACTTGTGCAGTATTGTCGCCGTTAGAAATGGACAACATCTTCCATTTAATAAAATCAAGACCAAAAGGTGTAAATCTACATCAGTTCTGTCGCCTGGTGGCTAGACCGCTGCTTTATAATTACCAACAACATCAAAAACTTTTATTATTCAAATTTGTAACAACAACTGCAATATGTAGGGAAAAAAATCTATACTGAACAAACAGACTGTATTAAATTTACGTACATTAATTCCGGCCGGAATCGATGAATAATGGCACAAAATGCTAAACCATCCCGGAATGATGTTGTAAAATTAGTGACACCGACTCCTTTGTAGCCATCCGTCACTTTCTGACACCAAACCTGCAAAGCTTTTATTTTTTCGCCGGCGGAAATCATGCTGCAATCGTTTTCTGCAAAGAATTAAACAGTTATAGTCTGCAGTATTACGACCACATTGAAAGTGGTGAACGGTAAAGAACCACATGTACATCTGACAATAAGTAAAAGTAAAAAAAATAGCCGGTTACGTTCTAGATGAATGCCTGCATAAATGGTCAATTAATAAGTCTATGTGCGCAACTTTTGCCGGTAAGCAAGAAAGCAAACTAATAAAATATGCCGATTCAAATTTTGTTTTAGAGTGCTCATCTAGATAGTCGTCAGGAGATGTGTGGCATGAAAGATTTACAAAAAGTGTTGATCTGCTAGTAAAATGTCATCGCAGCAGCTATTAATCAAAATGGAAAGATCTCTCGCGTATCATCCGAACAAACCTTATCAAGCTGATTTTACAGCTGATAGATGCAGATGCACTTAATGATGCGTAGAATCCAGGCTGGTATATATCCACACGTTTACATAATAATCTCTCCAGAAATCAAGTCAGATGATACAGATTCAAAAACTAGCCGGACTTTGTTATGATAGGAGGTAGAAAAACTGTCCGACAATCAAGCTGAACGACTCATAGTAAACGCACACGGGTAACAATTCCAACGCGCGGTATAATCACTGCGAGTAGCTGCGTAAGTAATCACCGTATATTGCAGTATGCGCAGTACATATGACGTCCAGTCTGCAACAAATGAACTGACCAAGTTCGTCCCGCCGGCAAGCTAAATAACCTAAAATCGTTTACGGAATGATTTTTTCAGCATTGGCAATGATCCATTACTAATCGCACTGCACTTGTCATAGGTATACATACAGTACATATGTAACACTATCGGGCCGCAAAAAGTAAACAGAAACCTTGCACCGTTCTATATTGTACAGTTCTGTTGTGGATATCTAGTGCGTATGAGCTGGATATTCCGCATTTCTATAACTGCGGCAGATATGCTTCAAGCGAATTATGACTATTGATACAAATGCAACTTACAAGCAGAATTGACTGCATGGTCTCGTCCTACTCTAGCATTGATGTCAGAGTGTACGGACGCGCAGTATGTACTTCTATGGACGCTAACTACGATGTACACCAAGTTGAAGTGACCGACTACAAAGTGGTGCATTCGCAACAGATGTCAAGGTTCACACTCAAAACTTGTCCTACCGTAATTGGCAAAATTTTTTGTGCGGCAAAGGCTGCGAATTTTTACCTATTACACCGGAAGCATTATCGACTGCCCAGTGTCCAGTACGCTTCCAAAAATCAGATATGCAGTGTACGTGTCGCCTCGATGAACCTCAAAGAGGTTTATAAAAGTAATTTTATAGCTGAGTTTTCTAGAACTGCCCGGTTAATTACTCAAAAAAACTGACTTCCGCCCTGTGGAAATTAGTTACAGCAGTCTTACGTCGACGAAATTATCTTATGCAGTAGCTTGCTTCAAGATTTGCCCCGTTCTTACCCGCACACATTGCCCAGAATTACAGTAGTTGCAGGCACTGAACTTTTATGAACTACAAAGTATTACTTAATACTAACGACTACGTACTGGAGCATTTTCCGGTTTTACTTTTTTGAGGCCGTATCATGCTGCCTAGCCCGACGTTTTGTTTTCGAATTCGAGCCGATAAAAATTGTTTGACAGCAATTCACAAAAAATGAATTCCTCACTTTTAAAAAAACTGTAATTCACCAATTTTATTTATTATTATATTCGCTTAAGCGTAAGTAATCTATACAAAGAAGATGCGTCGGTTCATAATCTTATCTTTACAACTGCTAGTTCCTTTTTTCCCATTTTTCCACCACCCATGCGCACATCGCATAAGTGAACGAACGCCTTTCAGGTGTCAATCTGTATTAATTTATATGCGGCAAGGTAAACATTAAATGGCTCAGAGCATTATGAAAACCGATGCCAACTGCCAGGTTATCTAATACGTTCAAAAATTTATGCTAATTCCAGTTAGAACAGCCAGTGATTAAGATTTTCTTCGAACCAGCCCACACCACTTCACATGTGACTAAATCGAGTAAATCCTCAAGAACAACTGAACTTGTCATATTCGAATTCTCTGGTCACCCTGTCATGTAGTTCACTGAAATTATTTAAAAACTTATAAATACATTTGTTATATAACTTATAAATACAAACTTATAAATCAACCATAACTATTCTGGTCACTATAATAATATTGTTATAACAACAAAGAAAGAAAAATTCAATGACGCACAATACAGCTTCAAGGATGACAGCGAACTTACAATTCAATTCGATCAAATTAACTTACAATTATTTAAGTACCAAAATCAGCTCTCTTTAATAATAATATTAACGACGTAACGTAATATCAAGCTTCACATACGGTCACATACTGCTTTTGTGGGTATTTTTATTTTTTTTTACGATTAGTTATACTAGGGTACATATCTGTACATACCTCTTTCCCGTACCATATTATCGAGACAGACTTCAGTTAACAATTTGCACGAAATAGGTCAGCAAACCGATAATTAAATAAAAATTCTAATGTACATCAGAAAGGCAAAAATACGGCAATTCCCAGAAGGTCGATAAGTAAAATGCCATTTGTCCAGACAACATCCGTCAGTTGGAAGTATAAATAATGCAAATCCCAGTGCGGCGAGCCAGCCTACCGTAGTTTCTGGAAACAGTTACACGATTGTTCACACTTCACCAGCATTCCGGCTCCGCCACTTTCTTATAGCCAAATAAACGTCCGGATGAGCAAATCACTTTTTAGGAAATACACTCAGGGGCGCCGCCTATGGTAAAAAATGTCCGAATCTGAGCTAAAAAATACCAATAAGTTTCCCCTCTTAACAAAACAAGAAAGATTCAGCCAATCATCATTAATGATATCGTACAGCACAAAACCATAATTTAACCGTATCTACTAGTATAAGATGTAATTTTTATATATAGGATATTTACATATTGTTATGATATATTTTTTATATTTAAATTATTTTAATGATACATGCATACTCAGAGCATTTAGGACGGTAAATCAATTCTGGAACCCAGATTCAGTTTCAAGATCCACTGCATACCATCGTCATTAATTTATCCCAAGGGTTCCATGTCACTCAGCATGAAATGGATAGTATTTGTGATCGCAAACACTACAGATAACAGAAAATTCACCTATACTAACTACTTCAAAATGCCGGAAAAAATTAGAATATGCACTTCAGCATTGCAGTACTACGATACATCTGCCCTTTATCCAGGGCCCTCAAACAGCTCATGTCCGGTTCTTCCAGTGTAAAATCGAACACCTGTTGATAAATCCAGCATTAAAAATATAAGGGCAGACTGCATCTTTAAATAGTTACTTACGTCGAAATTCTGTTTAATACGGGATTTCGTCACAGATTTCGGAACAGCAATCAGGTTCTGCTGTAGCAGGAATTTAATAAGGATCTAGAAACAAAGAAAATGTAGCGTATAGCCGCACTAAAACAGTAAAGTGTCACAGTTGAGGAATTAAGGCAAAAAACGCTCAGATGGCAAATTTAGTCCTGAGTCCACACACAGTGTTTACTGACTATCCAAACAACAGCAACCCATGTTATAACTAACCTGTGCCGGTGTTTTGCCGTACTTTTGGGCAGTCTCGTGGACCACAGGATCTGCAAGAGGCGATCCCAGATCGCTTCCCACCTCAGCATATTCACCACCAAGAGGAGCATAAGCAACCACAGCCACATGGTTTTTCGCACAAAAATCCACAAGGGCACGGTTCTGAAGGTAAACATTGACTTCTATCTGGTTGCACAGTGGTCTGATGCGGCAGTGATCCAGGATCCTCTTGGTCTGTGGTACGTTGAAGTTCGAAATCCCAATGGCACGGACTTTCCCGGAATCAACCACATCTTCTAAAGCCTACAGAATTCGGTATTGGATTGCACAAAGGATTACAGAGCGAATGCGAGGATAGCGTACACAGCATTCAAACGCAGTTTATCCTTACTTTCCAAGTCTCCAGGTAGTCGACGTCCGAGTACGATCCTGGATGACTGCTCCTCCCCTCCTATTACAATGAACCATGCATATCAAACTAATATTAATTTTCTTTTATACCGCTGTTCCGGCAACATCCTCACAAAATTAAAAATTATTAAACAACAATAAACTCGAAATTAATAACTGATTAGGTAACTGGACAAATTTCGAAATAATACGGTACATAATTCCTCCTCACTACCGACAGATGTGCTGCATTGTCCTCCGTAAAACGTTACCCAGATTAGTAACAAATCGGTGCCAACTAACTACAAAATTGTTCAAATTAAAAAGTAAATTAATTTTCAAGATCACATGCGTTGTTCGCCAATTAATCACTAGCAGATAAAGCGGTATATTTTAAGGCATTTTTTCCACCTGGCTGTGGGAACACTACTAATGCAATAAAATTTCTTACTTTATAACCCATAGGAAAATGTATGAGGAACAAATCCAGATAGTCCAAACTGAGCCTTTTCAGGCTTATGGCAACACCTTCCGCAACTTTTGCACGACTGTGAAACGTATTCCAGAGCTACAACAGAAAAACCAACTGCTTTATGTACAACTTGTTTAAATTTACAACAGACACACTGATCCCAGATTCATGTGCGGACCTTACTCGTTACAAAAAGTTCCTCTCGTGTCACGATGCCTTCAGAGATTTTTGCCGCATTTGCTTGTCCGATCTCTTTTTCGTTACCATACAAATACGCACAGTCGAAATGTCGATAGCCAACATCAATGGCATACTTGACAGCGGCACACACTTTGGTTGCTTCAGCCTAATTTAAAACTGAAACCATGTGCACAGAAGATCCAGAAAAAGTGGACTAGAATTAGTACTTAAAATAACGCCAACAAAATCTCGTTAACTACATACTAAAGTACTGTACTGTAGTTGTAATCGTCCTCATTCCCAGTTGTAGCGGTCTCATTAGCAGCGCCGTCAGATTAGCAGCAAGGAAAGTTTCATTGGTGCTGTTGAAAGCAATGGGAACGCCTACGCTACGCCCCTTTCTGGATCCAAACAGCACTGCAGATACTTACTGCTGCTGCTATCATTCTGGGTAGTGACGCAATATTTGCGTAGCAGTTGCTATTGCTGTTTATTTTCTTGGCTGAAACAAATAATTTATAAAATAATGTGATTTGAACTTTTGCATGACAATGGAAGAGAGGATTATATTTTGCAAAACTGCTTTGAGTTCTTTGTGTGAAACAGCTCGAACGTGTTCGTCCGGTTTGTATGTTCAAGCTGCAGCAATATGGGAGGAACTGGGTTCTCGGGGTTTCACGCTTGATTCCTTGAACTATCTGGATGAACTGAATCCAGGACAGACCGCAACTGAAGAAACAAAGCAACTCAGAGCTCTTGTTCCTATAATCTTTGACACGTCTCGCGCACTCCAGACCACGGGTGATGGAAACTGCTTTTTCAACGCTTTGGCGATACTTGGGAACGGTACAGAAGCACTAGCAGTTGAGTACCGGCTTAGAACAGCTCTCTGCTTGATTTTGGAAAGAGAAGCTTTAATTATTCACCCAAATGATCAAAAAGATTCTTGTTGTCGCTTCGAGAAACACCAGAAGACATTAGTAGCATCTCTTGCACAGTTTTGTGCCGAGCGGCATATGTCAAATTTGCACCTGAAGTATGTGGATAAAGAATCTCTAGAACCAGTAACGCGCAGAAACAATATTTCTGAAGATTGTATTTGGATCCTGCCATCGGAAATGTACGTACCGTGGCTTGATGAGCATGCTGTGAAAATTACCCAGGATTGTAGCTGGACCTGCTATATGTGGATAATTGCTGCTGCGGTTGCGCACGACAATAATATTATCATCATACGCCCGCAGGTCAGTTTGATCTCAAGATCAAATACGGAACTCAATAACAAGATTTCGTTGCTGTTATTCACATTGCATCTTTTACAGGGCTATCATTCGGTGTGGGTCCGCTGTAGAACCGATAAAGCAAAAAAGCCGTGGTGTTTGTTTTTGGAAAACAACCATTTTTCTGCCGTGCGACTCGACCTTTTCGCTAACGGCATTCTTTTGGAATACCTTGATTCTTTGGAAGCAAAAGATAAATCCCAAATGACTGAAGTTGAAGTGTGGTGCATCTGCGATTTTCCAAATATGGTACGCTTTCAAGAGCACTCACTCTTCCTTTCAACAAATAGCACTGCCGAACATGATCAGGATGTGGTCGATGTACCGGAAACCATAAACCAAGCAGAGGAAGTTTTTGCTTGTGAAAAGCGACGCAAACCTTTATCTACTACGATTTTATTCAAGAAAGGATTGATGAATTCTTATACCGCCGACATAATGGAGCCAAAAGGTCAACTATAGTCTATAAAAATGCATTTTTTAATATCATTGTTTTTTTCTTAATTGTTGCTTTTTAGGCTCTGGTTTTGCTGGTGACGTCGCAGCAGAAGGTAAAAAAAATTAAAGTTAAAGTTTCAGTATGATTTTCACGTTAAATTGCTATAGAAGAACGAGTCTTTGGAATTGTGACGCATCTGTTCCAAGGTCAGTTGGACTCTTCAAAATTTTCCGTCCGAGGTTTTATCAGCGACGCAACAATATCAAAAATTGAGCGCCTTACAAAAAGATTGAAAGATAAAGATGTAAGCAGTAATTTCTTGTTGTGATCTCAAGATCAAAACTAACACCTACTTTGGAAATTTAGGCACTCTCACTAGAGGAACGAAATCTTCTGCGGTCGCGATCACGTTTTTTTACTTTGGAAAGTTATCTGAAGAAAATTATAGGTTTCGGTATGACGATCTGGGAAATTTGCTGTACAAGACCAAGCCATGTCAGGAGAGAGTGTTCTGCCGCTTCCGCAAGGCTTTCGAAATCGTATGGAGGAACCATCTCTCTCCATCGCTGACATGTGCGCCAAAAAGCGCAAATCTATTGGCAAAGCAGTCGCTTCGACAGATATACTGCCCCTACGCCAAGACCGTTGCGGCTTCTATAAAAGATATTTGCAAGGGCTGTCAAATTACTCGTCAGGCTAAGCCAGTCCTGCGTCCTGCCGTATGTCCCAAAAATAATTCGAGTTCATGAAATAATGGAAAGGCTGCAAATCGATTTGATCGACATGGCGCCGGACTCTGATGCCGGGATGCGATTGAACTATGCTGAGTATCGTTATGTGTTATCTGTTACGGAATGTCTAACGCGGTACTGTTTTTTGTATCCTTTGCGATCTAAATCCGGCCAAGAAATGCGAAAAACCTTGCAGCTTTTTTTTATAAATGAGGGCGGCCCACAGCTGCTTCATAGCGACAATGGAAAGGAGTTTGTCAATAAGCGCGTTAAGGAGTTGTTAGAACCTGCTGGAACCGTTTTTGTTCACGGTGCACCATACCATCCACAATCTCAGGTTTGCCGTGTAGTAGCGTTCTATGTTCCTCAACCATTTCATTTTTGTTTACTAGGGACAAGTTGAACGGCTAAATCAAAAAGTGAAACGTGTTTTGGCTCATCTTATGGCTAACACGGATGCCGCTTTACAAGCGATCGCGTGGCCTTACTTGCTTCCAACAGTTCAGCGGATCCTCAATTGTACTGACCACCATTCCATTGGTATGACACCGTTCGAAGCATTTAAAGGATATCCCTCATTACCGGATGGAAACGAATTTGGCATCGGTAAACGTAGTGAATATAAGAATTAATAATATGCAATACCCTTGATTAACGCTTTGATGTAACTCGCAATCATGTGATCTCAAGATCAAATAAAGTTTTTATTTCTCTTAGAACTGGACCCTATCGAGCCGAACGAGTACCAACTGGACATGCTACGGAACCTCACTCCGGAAAAAATTTTGACGAAGAAGAAGAATTTCAAACCATTGAAGAAGTTGAGCAGTACGAAGAGGATTGCGATGAAAATATTGCTAGCCATTTAGACCGATTAGAAAAACTACCGGAGCCGGTGCGTTCCCATGCTTTAACTGGGCTGGAAACGCTTGCATTTCGTCGGGCCTGTGTCAGAGATACGATACTGGAATGTGTGGAGCGGCGTTTTTATCGCAACGTTTACAAGCCCGCAGTAGCATCTCGCAAAGTCTCCATTGAAAAAGGTGACATATTTCTTTGGAAGCCGACGTTTCGAAAGAAGCCTAAGAGCAGCGCACGGATTCGTTCAAAAGTCGTAAGAATAACTGAAACTTCACGCACACTCCCGGGTCGGTTTAGGATTGATTATTACGGGAACGGCGACAGAGATCCGCCATGCAGAACTGCTGAAAACGCAAAAATGTTCACAGAAATGTATGTCAACGGGAAAGAGCTTCTTTTTAGCAGAAAATCGCAAAGCAATGTAGATATTTCGGATTCAACGACTTTGGCTTATTCTGTGCGTGATGACGTATGCCAGACTGCTCCAACCAAAGAGGAAATCGAAAAACTGATACCAGACTTTGCCGACAAGATGCGACAGTATTTCAAAGAAAACGGGTTCCTGTCGAAAGTAATTCCTAAAGATTTGCCATCAACTTTAGAAATTGAAACGTATTTTGGTTTCCTAGAAAAGATTGCTGGTGAGCATTACAAAGAGACACACTGTCCGGGGTCAAGCATTCTGGATGCGGCGCTGCAGGAGCTGTATCAGATGCGTCAGGAGAAGGACATTGGGTGTTGGATGAGTGGCCTTGAGAAATGGGAATGCTTGACTAAACGAGACTGCTACAAGATTCAGAACTACTTAGCTGGAAGTGACATGTATCACAAAGGATCGTGTCTAGACTGCCTTGGTGGTATTTCAGGCTGCACTCATTCTTGCTGCGATGACCTTTTACTTAAAATCTGCGCTAGACGCGGTGGTACTTTTGTGCCAATTTGACAAGAATTTAAACTCGACTTTGATCTCGAGATCAGACAATGATTGCAAATCTCAGTTTTCTATTAAAAGCCACTGCACTACCGTTTAGCACTGTTATATCTGCAAATCATTACGGCTTGTAATCTATACAGCGTCTAACTAACGTGCCTCTAACTAAGGTGCCTCTAGACATACTAGATTTAGGTACCGGATAAAGTAAATAAAACAATCCGGACATAAAACACAAGAAAAAAGTTCTACAAACGCCTTGATATGAGCGAGGGTATCAGAACATTACATGATTTGGAGTACAGCTTAGATGATAGTACTCTGTATTTGTCAAAACTGCAAATAGTACGAGAATTTTCGAACTCTTAGGGATTGTTCAAACGACGAAGCTCTGAGCGGTTTTGCCAGCACCAGTGATGGGTTACTGAGTAGACAATAAGTAAGGAAAAGTTACTCAGTAAACAGTAGCGTAATATTAAGCGTTCAGTAACCAATAACGTTTTGAATCTGAAGTAAGAGTAACAGTAAGTAAGGTTTTTAAAATAATATTAAAAGTAAGTATAAAGTAATTTGCTCATCTTCGCGCTTCGCGCGAAATTTGCTTCCTAAAACATAAGTTTTAGTTATTAGTACTTGGCTTACTAAGTAATGTTTTGTAATTAGTAAAGAGTAAGTAAAAGTAGCGTTTGCGGCAGCGAAAAAGTAACAGTAAAGTAAATCAAAAGTTTTGCAAATTATCTTTCCAAAAAGGGCAGTGGCACTCTGCGTACCCGGCGAAAGGTCATGACTTATAAGCTGCCTGTCACTGACGCTTACGAATAAGAATTGTGGCAGGGTGCGATAAATCATATGCAGCCGAAAAGACTCGGTCATCTTTTGCATTCCGTTCATAATTCAGCACTTCAAGGATTTCGGACCACGTTCAAAAGGTAGTTGTGCAGGTCGTCGACATCGGTCATGACGATTTCAATGCTCCTACAGGAGTACAGGAGCTAGCGTCCTCGTCGTTAATATCCAGAACCTGGAAAGCGAATTTATATAATTGCGCACTTGCTTCGAAGAGGCAGAAACATCGTATGACTGTATAGTATAAAAAGATCATAGAAGCGCTATAAGTTTACATGACTGAGCACGGAACTTTGTACAGGTGGTTGGTGTACAGGTTGTCGTACGGACCGTACGGTGATTCGACTGTAACGGCAAAAACGAAAAATGCTTTGCAGAGGCTTACATCAGTTTCCACAATCATTGTCGAAATGAGAGCCGGTACGCCGCTGTCCACTTCCATAACTTTCACAACAATTTTGCTGTCCATCTCTCGATCTATCGTCGTTTCCAGCGTCAACCATCCGGATTTTGGATCTAACGCAACTGGCAATTGTGACGCGTTGACAAGGTCGTAGCGTATCATCGCATTCTGCCCATAATCCATATCATACGCCGAAACTGGAATTAATCGGACCGGAGCGGTGTAGTTCTCCGGCGTCTGGACGGTGACCTTATCGGCGAAAAACACGAGCGCATTGTCATTCTCATCGTTAATACGGGCCTGAAACTCCACATGGCTGACCAACAGCGGATTGTCTTTGAACGTCGCCTGTACGAATACTTGTTCTGCGCTTCAAAACCCAGTTCCTTAAACACAACGAGACGGCCGTCTTGGCGAATGGAAAACGGCAGTTCAGTTTGGTTTAACGCCGACGGGGGTATCACGGTAAAAATGACTGGCTAAGGTTATTTCAGTTTCACGGTCAGCAGAGTTGCGTTCAGTGGAGCGCTCTCGTGGATACTGAAAAGATACAGCAACTGGTCGATCTCGGGCAGAATGTTTGTGTTATCCACCACGAAAATTTCGACAGCCACTGAGGACCACTGCAAAGGGCTTCCTTCATCCGATGCATCGACGAAAGAGGACAACGTCTCGTTTGTGAATTCTGCAATAAATAAATTAGGTGCAACACATGCAACGTTAAATTTTTGTTTTCGCGAGTTTAATTTCATAACTATACTAGTATCTTCGACTAAACTTTAAATCATGCAGCACGTGCATATACATGTACCGTGTCACCGTGAACACTGTCAATTCAGTTAATACGGATCCGAGTCATCCGACACTTCGTTCGGCATGTCTTGAATTGTCTTCGTAAAAAATATATGATATGATAATTTCTGTTGTCTGCCTTACCAGTGCCAAAAGGTTTCTTCAGCTTAATTATGCCAGTTCGGAAGTCGATGTAAAATAAATTAAAATGTCTGGAATTCTCTGAACTGATGCTATACACAACGGAACCATTCTGTCCAAGATCTCGATCGGTCGCCTCAACCTTCATGAAAAAAACAATTCTTAGCGCTGTCATATTTGAGCAATCGTTCTCACCAATCCCCTTCAGTATGGCTGCATCAGCAGCAAGGTTATCGAAGACAGTGACAGTGTAAGTCTTCTTACAAAGATTGGCGCTTCATCGTTCATATCTGCAACACAAATTTATCAATCAGTTATTTGTTGGGGCACGTAGAAAGAGGTGGGTGTGTTGAAGCTTAGCAGAGATAAATTTAAATATTGCGGTTAAGTACCGGTGAGAGTTATGTTGACTTGACAAAAGTCCCGTAATCCGCCCAAATCTACCGCCTGAATCCAGAATAGGTAATCAGCTTGACGCTCACGATCCAGATTACCAGCCACGGAAATGATAGGGCTCTCGGCGTCAACAACAAAACCATCGTCACAATGGAGTATCGCAGCTGACCATTGCGTCCAGCGTCTAAATCACTGGCCCGAACCGCACCGATGACACTGCCCAGTGGGGCATTTTAAGCAGTAGTTAATGCATAGAATGGCCAGTCAAACTTTGGTGAATGGCGATTGGAAATGACCGGAAGAATCTTCACTTGAGTACACGCGACATGTACACCGTCCGACGCGGAAATATTCAGCTGGGCAGAACTCCGCAGGAAACCCGTTGCTCCAGAGAAAAACGCAACTATTCCTAAAGTACCACTCTGTTACCATTATGCTGTTTTTTATTCTAAAGATTATGGGCTTTTTTTGCATGTATCTACGAGTATATATGTATTTTCGAAGCAAACCATAAAAATTTAAGTATAATGATGTTATCTTCAGGCAAATTTAAATACAATAGTTTTAGATTTTCACAAATGCCTTCGGCCAATGGTGTTAATTGCCAGAGTTTAGTACCTTGTCTGTCGATGGTAAAGAGGCCGGTTGGACTTTCTTTACCGATAAACAAGTTTATTTAGTCATTTGTATCTCACCTTTCACTACGACGCGCAGGGTCATGGCTGAGCTGCGGCGAGGATGGCCGGCATCTGATACGATTATCGTCAGGTCAAGTTGGTCAATCATCTCGCGATCCAATTCGTTAATCAGATACACTGTGCCGCTAGTGAAACCAATCTGGAAATAAATCGCCGGCTTTGAACTCGTCCGCACCGCTAAGGCTCTTCTTGATGCCGCATCGGAAAAACACATCTTCATCCGATTTCCGGTTGCGAATACGGCTTACGGTTACACGTGCAGCGTCTTCCGAACATTGCAGACTGAAGGGAAGTTCCGCGTTCTCGCCGCTATCGGCATCGGATGCCACAGGCTGACAGATTTCTTTTTTCCATGGTGTAGTCTCGGCTAGTTTGATTGTTTGAAAGGTCACTCCATCTAAGAACCAATTATTTCATTAGCACTGTAATATTTATTCAATGTCTGAGAAATATTTCTTATTGAAAAAATTCGGTAAATTGTACTAATAAGATATATTAAGAAACTGAAAGTTTGTTTGGTTCATGTTTAATGTACACGTTAATTATAGCTCATTTTTGCATTGTGTCAGTCGAGAATGTCAACAAATACGACAATATCCGAGTATAAAATTTCCCATTTGGCCGGATCCATGGCACGTACACACAGCGTAAAATGTTTCTGTAGTTCGAAGAATCGAAGTCAACCGGCTCCAGCAGACGAATCACTCCTGTAATTACTGGCGCAATCATATTTCCGTTAGTTCACTACTCATATCGGCAATATTGATACATGATGTGAAATCAATGTCAAAATTGTTGAAGCGGTCGCCCTCCATGATAGTGTAGACGATCTCCCGGGAAATGTTGACCAAGCCGGCATAAGTCGCACTGACAGTAAGAAGCAGTGTCCCGACTCCGGCGGCTTCCGATACACTGGTGCGGTACGTATTTTGCGGGAAAAGTGGCACCGTATCCGCCACGATGCGAAGGAGAACGGCGGCGTCGGAATGCAGGCTGATGTTACCACTGTCGCTCGCACGAATAGTATACGAAAGTTCCTGTGTTAACTCCTTTTCGGTCAAATCCTTCGCCAAACTCGCATCGCCGGTGGAAGAGTTTATTGATATTAACGGCTGGTTTAAAATCACTGAGACTTATTACACCCTTCTTCCTCTCGTCCGCATCGGTTGCGGTCACCTAAAAAGCATAATAAAATTAATATAAATCAGCTAACAATTTATCGCGTATTTGTTATACTAATTTTATAATCATTAATCAGCGCTTAAATCATGATAGGTTCAGGCATTAATTACTTTCCCACAAGTAAACCTTTTTTGCCGTAAACCGGTGTAGCCATTACATAAACAGAATCGTTAAATTTGGGCGGATTATCGTTTTCATCTAGCACAGCACAATTTGATTTCCGTGCCCGCTTTTGTTTGTGGCCTCGGCAAAGCTGACAGCTTCCATAATAAGCGTTATCGTTTTCGCCTGCTCCCGATCGAGCGAAACATTTGTGGTCGTCATAGTCCCTGTCAACGAAACGACGACTATCCAGAGATTTTCAATCATCATTTCATACCGGATATTTTCCCCCAAAAGAGAATCAGGCAATGAAAGACCACATTTCGTAAAACTGATTTCAGTATGTAATTACCCATCGTTGATTTATTCCGCACAGTGTGAGCGGGATGTGCTGCTACAAAATTTACCTGACAACAGTATACATTCAAGTTTCACATAAAAAAGCTCAACAAAATATTGAAAGTCTAGCAGATACATATAAAATTCAAACTAAAGAACAAAGTGCTAACAGGGCATCAAATCAACAATTTGCTCGCATTATTCGAGAATCTCACTGAATTTTTCGATATCAATGCTGACAATTCCCAACTTGGACTTGTACCAGGTTTTATCAATAAAATAAACCTCATTTTTGTGAAGAGAAACCCGTTCCTGTTTAGAGTAGTCTCGTTTTCCTTTCTCCAAAATGCCGAACGAATCGGTGGTGATCATCTGTGTAATGCGATCGATTTGACCATCATGATACAGGGTACGTTTTCCATCCAGGAAGCACATGTGCCGTACGGAACTCACGATTGAATGAGCCTAAATGGCAATTACAGTTATAATAATTACTTATTAAGTTTGAAGACTAAATACTTACGAACTGTTTTTCGAGCCGCATGAATGGGAGTCGACTGCCCTCGGACGGCGTTGGAGAACTTTGTCCAGCGCTGCTTGCCTTCAAATAACATTTCTTGTGATCTCAAGATCAAACTTAAGCAGTCTGAATTTTAACTACTTTATAAAATCTAGAGTTGAATGTGAAACAATGGTTTAATGCGTACCTCTATCGCCCGAAGTTTTGCAAGCATTTCCTCTTTCTCTTTTCGTAGGTTCACCAATTCTTCCGATATGGTGACAAGAGCGGTCTACAAAAACATTTTGTAGCTCGAGTAACGCTTGACATCTGGCGTTTTGCATTAAAGCTGCCTGTGATCTCAAGATTAGATGTCGCATTTAAAATTACCTTCTCCTTCTGTAGGTTTGAAAGCGCTTCATCTATTGCCTCACGCATTTTCTTCAGTTCTTTAGTGAGGTTGTTAGCGGACATCTACAAACACACGCATATACACCAGCTCCAGAACAAAAAGGTGCTTTAGCTTATTGCGTACATGTTCTTTCTCAAAACTGGACAGCGCTTCCTCCTTCTCTTTACGGACAGTTTCCAGTTCTTTAGCTAAGTCGCTCTGCAGATAGACATGTTGACGTTACGTTGCAAAGTAAATATTATTATTTTATGGATCAAATTTGATCTCAAGATCAATTGTGCCAAGCTTGAAACTTCAGAGGACTTACTGGTCGAGAATCCACAGTGTCAGTCTTGGGTGGAGAAATCTTTGCGACGACGTCAACCGGCGCAGCTGATCCATCGGCACTAGCAGTTTTGACTTTCTTGGCTCGGGACGAGGGAGACGAGACCGGCCGTTTGGTTTCAGCGGTAGTTGATGTCGTCGCCTTTGTAGCGGTAGCTTTTGCTTTGGCTGAACACGCAATATAGTACTTAAGCATGTACAGCGCAACAAAATTCAGAAATTCATACCTGCTTGTTTTAACGCCGTTACTGGGGCATAACTCCTTTGAGCGATTGCTTCTTTCAAAACTTTTTTAATGACTTCGTCGGTTTTCAAAACGGTCTTGATATCTTTAAAAACAATTCCACGGTGCTTAGCTTCACGTACTTTTCCCTCGACCTTAACTTTTTCGCTCTTGTCTGTTTCAGAAGGAACGTCAGCAAAACCGTCTCCGCTTTCCACGGCAGTCATGAATTCTTCCACAACGGCCCACGTATCAGCTGGAAGTCTGGCCCATTCCAAGAAATACCGATGCGATGCACTCACATTCTGCAAAAGGATGAAACCCGGGCGATTATACAGTTTGATCCCAGGATCAGATATGCAACTATGGTAAATTTTGATAAATAAATACTCGCCAACGGCGTTTTGATCCCAAGATCAAACGGAAAATCTCTTTCTCACCTGAATCGACGTAACGGCAGCAATTTTTCGATTGCAGTTAATGACGACCGATTTATCATTATTCACTTCTACAGATTCATCGCCAATATCTTCCTGGTGCATAAAACAAATATCCCGAAACAAGCGGCAGAGGTCTCATATAGTCTCTTGGCGCTGGTTATTGACAGATTCTGCCTTTTGCCGCGCTAGACGCATGCCGGCATATTTTGACAAAGGCTTGTACACTTTCACAAGTACTTCGCTTTGTTCTGACCACGTCGAATCCTTTTCTTCAGCAAGTTCTTTCAAGGCGCGCAAACGGTGGTTACCTATAACAATTGTTGAATTCTGATTTTATTATTGCCAGGGCTGACACAAACATTACCGTCAATAATATACACGGGAATGCGATTCTCTTTGACTGCTTGTATAATGTCCTTGTCCAAAGTTCCATCGGGCTGCGCGTCAATGATTCCCGTTAAAAAGATGGACTGCGAAGACGGAGCTTTATCGCGAAAAGTTTCCTTGAAAGATTCCAAGTGCAGTGGATTTATAATCCGAATTCGGTGCTTTCCCTTAACAGCGTTGAAGAGATTATGCAGCGGCAACGAAGCTTCTCTTACTACAAAACAGGTGGAATCAGGCTAGCAATGTGATCTTGAGATCAAACAACCAATATTTCACATAATCATTAGCTTGATGCGCAACATACTCAGAACTTCTTCGCTTTCCAGGGCAAGCTTCTCGTGGATTCCGCCTGATGACTCATCTCCTGAAGTTCCAACCGCTCCACTAGACTGCAAAGAACAACTTGCGCTTCGAAAGCTGGATAACGAAGAATTTGCAACTGTTTCTTACCTGATCAGATGATAGCGCCATTATGATACAGGGTTAGCGGTTCTCCAGGCTCTTTTAGCAGATAAAATTCTTCACGTCTTTAAAGGGCCAACGCTAGGCGTGCTGTCGACCACGCTTCAGAACACCTTGCCCGTGATATGTCAACACCTTCTCAAAAAATTGTCTTAGATAGCCAGTTTGCACGAGTTTTCAGCTGTGTGTGCGCATAGAATCCAGAAACGTAATGCACAAACCTGTTCGTTAATCCGTCTGGACAGAGCTGGGGACAGCCTGACGAGTTGGTGGAACCGCTGCTCGTCACCGCAGATCTCCGCAGTCTTGACGATCCTAGCTTTCAGACACTGCAATCATGGGGCATTATTTAGTATGAGGGAAGGAATGAGCTCGCCCGTAGCGAAGCATGGAAGCATGGTAGTGGAAAGAACTTTGAATGCTCAGGCTCGTGAATCGGCAGAGAAATAATGCACTGTCACGAAAAGATCAAAGGAGACCTACCAAGGCTCACGATAATATACGGACAACACCTGCGGCACGACGCATCCAGCTCAGAAAAGAACGTTTGAAAGATGAATTTCAAATTTCACAAGAGTATTTGAATAATTCGCTAAAAATTCTTTGAAATTAAAACTATAATTAATGCAGAAAGCATGAAAGTGAGCGAATACGATTAGAGTTGAAACACAATGCAGGGTACGGCGGCGCTGCTGTTGCTAATTTGCAACTTGGACGCTGCTTGGTGACTGACAGCAATTCCAACCCCATTAACTTAGCAGCACCAATGGAAACAAGCCTGCTGCTAATTTCGCTGTGCTGCTAATGAGACCGCTACACCTGTTCATTCTTCTCACCAAGTAGGTTCCAAGGCCTATAACAGGGACCCTTTGGGCCATTCTTCCCGCAATCGTTCGATTTCGATTAGGCCATTCTGTGTACACTGTACACAACAGATAAAAACGTTCCGAATACCGCCTACTTACATAATACAAAGATTCAGTTTTATTGTAAGAAAGATAACAATACTCTGATGCTGGGAAATGTGAATGCAACTGTCGAGGGAGAAATTTACTACTGCATGTAAAATACGGGCTGTTTGTATACCAAATTGCACTCACTACAGTACAAAGTTACAAACGAGTCAAAGGAAGCGATTAACGTAAACGGCCGGCAGCCACCCTTGTCCCCAGTTACCAGCTATCTGCGCCCTACCGCCCGAGGCCCCGACCGGTTGGTGCATTTCCGTTTAACAAGTATGTACTGTAGTCAAGAACTCATCTTATTACACTTCACGCACATGACCCTACTGGAAGTGGAAATGATTACAGTACGAGTACTGTTGCACACTTTTACATTAGTGGAATTTTTTGCTAGAACTGATACTGCCATGTAGTACTTTATCCTTTCCTTTCTACGAATAATCCTTAAGAATCCCTTACTCGATTAGCTCTCTGCGGTTTACGAACCAGCATTCCGTTTCGGTTGGTTGATCGAGAATGTAAAAATCATTAGGAAAGGTCATGGTTTTCCAAATTTTCTACCGCATGCTGCACATTTCAACGTCACTAAAGGAGAAAATTATTGCTTAAACTTCAGCGTCCATGAATTTCCCAGCAGACCGTGGTACGAGCTTTCAAACTTATTGCAAGTGCTTCATGCACCCTTCTTTGCTGTTCGGTATTACACATACAAACCTTGGTTCTCATAACCGGGTAAACTGATTGCATGAAAAATAATATTAGCCACTAATTAGGATCATTTCCAGATGCAAACGGGATCGACATGCATATGAACTCCATTTCCTCAAGCGAAATCCAATCTGCTACGGCACTATCCCCAAGAAAATCGTCTTCGGACAGCGCAACGGAGTTGGAAGTGGGTGGAAAGCCCGAACACTGGAAAGAGCAGTCCCAAGAATCGTTCCTCGCCTCGTTTGCCAGCAAGAAGCCATCATCTGAAGAGTCGATCAAAGCGCGCAGCTCTGGCAGTGGTGAGCAAACCGATGCGGGCAGCGAGTCATCACTAAGCTCGCAGAGTGACGATGGCGAGGTCACCGAGGAGCATATCCGACAGATTAGATCGATCAGAGAGAAACTGCTGGATGATATGGAAAAAATGAAGCTTTATCCATTAAAAGATCTTCCGTCGGATGAACGACACATGCTAACCGGAGTGGAGTATCTCGATCGCACACTTGGTCAGGTTTTAGCTCAAGGACTGGGGGAAATTATCAAGCGCAAACCAGCTAATCCTGTTGAATTCTTAGCGGCATACCTGCTAGCCGATCAAGCTCGTATTGACAATTTGCAAAGCGATATTTCTCACGTATCCAGAGATAATGACACCGATGATAACGACTAACGGTCAACCAAATACGATATCTTTAAGAACAACGCATCTCCCAGTTAAATGTCGTGCCTAATTAGAATCGGCTTTATTAGATTTCTGAAAAAAAAGCCAAAGAGCAAAGGAACCTCTCATTAAAGAAATCATAGACGCCTTAAAGAAATCGAATTACAAAATTCGGTAAGCTACTGTTTATTATACAATTTCCGGGTTAAAAAATTTATATCAACAAAGTTACAAGTAGGTACAGCTCTGGTATTGTAACCAAAACCTTTGGCGACGTACAACAACGCATAATACTGGAACGGCCAGGAAGGCAAAGTCGACCGCAAATGCAATCGAACAAAAGATCCAAACATCACATTAATCCAGACACATACAGAACGTCTGCTGCGAAGACAATGCTTACGACTTTCACTGGTACTCCCAATCCATGTATTCATCGCCAGAATAATCAGTCTGACCGGCAGCAGACAATGATCCTTGGCCAGCATAGGGAGCAGATGTGCCTTCTCCATTCCAACCCGCAGACCTTTCAGGTTGATGGTAGTAGTCCCTCGCCTACATACATAACACAAACTGTGGTTAAGAACTCGCTTTAAATCTTCATTCACTTAGCCAAAAAAATTTTTTCTCACAGCAACTCATTCAAGATTAAGTAGTGTCTCGAAAATACGGAACACTACACAACAGACAAACTCAAGGGTGTAACAACCGAAAAACTTTTCAAATTAAATGCAATCTCAAATGAAAGGCAAGTCGAAGCAACCATTCGCGTTACCTGCTGGTTCACTGTATCGTAATACACATCGGAAGAATAATCTTGGTAGGGCTGACCCTGTAAAAGGAATGGATAAATTACTAAGCAAATACACGTCATCTGCATAATCTGTTGTTATTACTGGTGGAGGAGGAGGCTGCAGCTGTTGGGGTGGCGGTGGAGGCGGCGGCCAATCTGCTGCACGTGGCGGTGGTGGAGGACGGTACTGCGCCAACGGTGGGGGTGGAGGTGGTTTCTGGGAAGCACGAGGGGGTGGTGGCGCCGGAGGATATCCAGGAGGCACAACAGAACGACCAGCATGAACTGATTCCACTTCTGCCAATGTGGAAATATGGGGCAAAGGAACTTGACTAACGGGCGGCTCAGGAAGTAAACCCGGCGTCTGCAACAGTCCAGAAGTGGGCAGTAGAACGTTGCTAGACGACGTCGCCATCGGGAAAACGCGGTGCATTAGCTCTCCCACCCCTTTACTTTCTCGACCTGGCTTAGCCGTGGGAACAGACGGATCGTCAAAGTTTAAATCGTTTGGCGAGTACGATCCCAGGTCGTCTTCTGATGGCTTTTTTGTTGGAACGATGATGTTGTTGGGATTTCTTACTTCCGTGTCTTCATTGTTCTCTTGGAACGTATATCGGAACATGTTATTGTAAAACTGTTCCGCGTCAGCACCGGCTGCGAGATCTTCGTCTTCGTTATGAATGCAATACTCAGGATTATATTCCTCCAGCGCCATGGGGAGTTTGGGACTGTATTCCTGCTGCACAACTGCCTCCTCCCGTACTGACTTGACCTGTGTTCTGGAACCTCGACGATCTGAACGGGACGCTTTGTGCTTTACACTGCTTGATGGCTGATCGTTGTTATGATGGCGCTTTTTAATGTTCTCATACACAACAGGTGCCGGCGGCACCATGGGTTGTAGCTCTCCATTTGGAATACAGCCGTTCGAAAAGCTTTGCATCGGAAAATCCGTATCTTGATGCAACGCAAATGGCATTACTGGCTGAAAGGGAACTAACGACGGCACTGGTGGATAAAGCGGGAGTGGCGGCGGTTGATACCCATATTCTACCGAAGTCCGTGCAATCTGCTTTGCATGCCCATTCGGTCTGAAGGAGCGAGCAGGAGGGCGTCGCGAATAATCGTGGGCGTAAGCAATTTCCAGATCGCCATCTTTCTTAGAAAACCGGTCCTCGATAGTTCTTATGATTTCTTCCATACTACGGCGGGTCTTTTTCATAATTCGTAGCGCAAGCCATCTTCGATACTCATTACTGCAAAAAAATTTCAGCATAAGAATATGAATCCCTAGCTTCTCTAATGGTTACTGAGAACAACAGTGATGTACAAACCACAAGATACCGCAAGATGATACCTATACAGTATCGTCCATACGAGTATGTATAGGTGATGCCAGTTGCAACGATTTCGGATTTCAACAAATTCGCAGCATAATAATAAATTCGTACTTACAAACGGAATAAATCATCACAAGCCCGCAAATATGCATCAAAATTTTCCGTTGGTAAAGGCATCCCCACGAACGACTGCATAAAAGAGAGAATACAATAGGAAAACACTCTATGGGCAGGAGGTTTCCAGTGTGTCCCATCCTAAATTGTAACACATAAAAACCATAAGCAATGCCATCTCCGTATAAAAAAGAGAAGAGGATGTTCTTTACGTTCTCCATCCAGGGTGACAGATCCAAGTTTATAGCCAATGTATGCAGATCCAAATACACCACACTATATCCCCTTTCCGTTTTTTCTTTCACAACTTTCGCGCAGATAATATTAGCCGTCTTCACCTTTTTCCTACAAAACAACATAAAGTGCGTAACCTATCGAACATAGGTATTTAAATTTCAGATGTCAGAATTTATGCATGGAAAGGTTTGCACTTGTGCACCTCGTTTTCACTTTACAGTCTTTACTGCAAAGTACTGTTTATGTGAAAATGCAGAACGACCGGTTGCATGTTTGCATCCACATATTAAGCGCGATCAAGTACTTTAATTTAAACAAAGGTGTGCAGAGCAAATCCACAATGATCAACGTTTTTGCAGTCTCAGACATACCACAAATCACTTTTCTTGTCTTTATCTTCGTCCAGCAGAAATGCACCGGTACAGTGCGTGGAGACAGGAAGAGTGGACATAATCACCAAAAGAGTTTTGTTGTTGCTCACTCTTTTGAATTCATCAATAAACGTTTCCACACTATTCCGATATCTCGTTTTCATATCTTCTTCATTCTTAAAATCTCCGTATCTGCAATAAAACCCTAATTTAAGAAATACAGCATTTCCAATATGTAAATCAAATGTTTCTCATAGATCTCATAAAAAACCAGCTCGTTAATAAAAAAATGCAAAAAAATTCCACTTATTATCCTACAACTACGCTACTCATTATCCTACACCGCGCGCCCACCGTGCCAGATCCCAAAGGCATGAATTAGCGAACACGACATCAGGTTGGCCAAACTGCTGTCGGGAGTCGAAAAATTCGTATTTCAGCGTACGCTCAAGGTTAGAATTCCAGAATTTCGTGGTAAAGCAAAACTAAAAAAAGCAAATCGTACCGCATATTGCAAAGTCAATATTATGCAACACTTACGACATACCGAAATCATGCCGCGACAATCCATACAACGAGGAAGGAAAGCGCGCACTTCCTCATAGTCGATACCGTTAGTGGGCTCCCGGTTCGCCAGCTTATCGCCATGCAGTAATTGGTCGTGCTCAAAAGAGATTTCCCCCTTCTTAGCCAGATCGTATGGATACACCAGGGATATGGCGTTGTTAACCATGTGCACGAGATCCTTGTACATGGCTCGAACCACTACAGGATAGCAAATTATCACGATAGGATCACAGCTGTCTGGAAGGTACGTAATCTGCACCGGCAGAGCATACTCTCTTGCATGGCTAGTGCAGCGGAATATAATTTAAACTGTATGGATTATTTTAAAAATTATCTTTTATGCTAGCAGCAAAAAAAGGATGCAACGATCAGAACTTTCGAATTCGCTGCAGCACACAGTAAAGTTGCGATAATTCCGTACCAGAATCCCCGATAAAGACAACCCAGCGCCCGTTGATTAGCTTTCTCGTAGCCGCCGTATTAAAGTGCGCAAAATGCTTTCCCGTCATCTTTTTATTATCCAGACGAAGGCTGCGAGCGACGGGATCCGCCAGAGATAGCACATCAGTCTGCGTAGGAAGTGTCTCTTTGACGACGATTGACGGAATTCTGAACCGAGTGTTTTCACGTCCACCTGTGGCCATTTAAAATTCGATTTATACAAATCAACCACATGTTTCCTCAATCACGTCGAATGTCTCAAGAAGTTTACAGCAAAAAAACATAAAAGAAATTCCACAACTTCGTGAATCAATTTTTATGATCGACTTCTTTAATGATTGCACAATACCATAGATACAACTGGAATCAGGAATCGGAAGAAATTTTACAATACTCACGGACTTTACTGGAGCGATCTTTTTCCGGAGACGCCATTGTAGGATGGAATCGACGGACATCGCCTTCGCTGCCGTGACTGCTAGGTTCTTCCATTTTGTTAAAGTTCCGATGCAATACTGCGATCAGCGCAAGATGCAGTCTGAATACCACCGACACGCGCACGCTTCCAGTTTTAAGGACTTGGTGAATTTAATCATGGAAACGATGGAACACAACGCTGATAAGGTTGGAGCAAGGGACAGAATATCGATAAACATTCCATGCAATTAAGATGATCCTTCCAATCTCAATTCAGTTCGTAACCAAGAAATACGTAGTGCATGCAATAAGAATGAACAACAAAAAATCACAAAGACATCCTGCGATCAGAAAGCGTCAATGGGTGCGTAACATCAGCGTTACAGTGTTACACGAGCATCCAAGTGCCAACCGTTCCAGCAAGACCTTCAATGCCGTTCTTCAGCTCCTACCGGTATGATACCAATCTATTGAATATACATGGTAACATATAACAGTGCAAAAGGTGATGCCACAAATCGTGCATTCACGGCAGAACAAACCGGAGATCGAACAGATGAGATAGGAGATCTTAAAAGGAAGTGGAAGTTCAGCGATCGTGCAGAGTAACTTTTTTTTTCTAAATTTTTACCAGCTTATAGGTAAGCATAATCAGGATTCGTCATTCGTTCAGAGTTCGAAACAAATCTTACTCGGCTTAATTTTCTCCAGTTTCATAAAAACAATTTTACATTCTGGATATCTGACATTCTTGCGATTAATTTAGGTAACTAAAACTGTATCGGTGTATTTAAAAAAAAACCTGTGCAGCGAACAAGTTACTCAAGTTCGATTTATGTTAGACCGAATTTTCCTTGTCAAACTTGCTTTATGGCAGGGCGTTCGTCCTACTGCGCCGGTATGGTGAGCTGCAGGATAGTGTTAGCCAGTGGTCTGGTTTGACTACGTACTGTGCTCAATTTTGGCGGCTACCCAGAATTTGTGAAACTACGTAGATTTTTCATTCGATGTGATAATGTGATAAATTATTAGATAGCAAAATCTGCAGATTCCGCATTAAAGCTACCAAGTAATCGTTTTGTATCCTGAAAGAGGTTCCACTCAAAGTCATGAGTAGTTGAGTACTTATTAATTTCAATTACAGTACGTATTCAAAATTTCAAATACGATACATTAAATTATTATGCACTGGTGCCCACTGCCCAGAACGGCAAGGAGATTATAAAGTGGGATGGTCACGGTCTCGATCTGTATGTATGTAGTGTGATTAGTACTTCTACTGTAAATTATTATCATACTTATGCACTGCAAGGCGAAGCCAGCAGAATTTCTTTTAACTTTATCTGCTTTTCGCAACAAAAATTCACGTTTAATTTTTCTAACGTAACAATCAAAATTTGCAGTCATATAACAAATACATCACACTGATTCACACAGCTTTACAATGATTAGATCCACAAAATTCGGAAAGCAACAATTTGGACCATTCGATACACAATTTGCACCGGCAAAGTAACCGGAAGAAAGACAACTTAATACACGGCATCATCGTTGCCCGTCGCCAAAGCAGCCTGTGAATGTTGCACAGCTAAACGATTCTGGAACTGGAACATTCCATAGTTGGTGGGGAAACTAATGTCAGGGATATCAGCACTTAATGGAGCGTTTTTTAGTACAAGCGGTTCCGGAATTTCTATGGAATAATTGCGCAAATGGTCCGAAGTGATGGATGGATAACGATAACTAGTTTGCAGAATTTTCAACATAAACCTGTCCAGTTCTCGGAATGAGAGGGCATTGTGGAGTGTTTCCAAAGATTTGACGTTTGGAACATGGAAAATATTGGTTTCTGAAAAACATTTTTGTTTATATAATTACCATATATGCAAGGGCGTGCGCAAATCTTATTGTCAGGCTATCATCGTGTACAATACAGCACGAAACAACAAGATATTGTCATTACATTACTGACTAATAAGTAGGTGACCACTCCGTTCACTACCTTTGCATCACCTTCCCTCCATGCACAACCTTTTGCGGTATTGCCTTTAAATCCGTTAACAGCGTTTATTCGCGAGTGCGAAACGGATTTTACTTATTAAGTACTTAATTTAAACAAACTGAAATAAATCGCAAAGTCCTTTCCCACTTCCGCCCATGGAAGAACGTGAAAAGCGAAAAACTGAAAAGGTTGTGAAGGAGTGAATAGTACACAAGGTAGAGTGCGCAAAAGGCAGTGCACGAAGTAAAATCTAATGCAGAAAAACTGTGAACCGAGTGGTCACCTAATAAATAATTTATATCAATGTGCTCGTACGCAATAATATGTACGAGTACCGTCTTCATCGTCCAACGGAGACGCATGAGCATGTGCGCTTTGATCCAAGCCTTTAATAACTGCTGTGCTGAAAATTCGGTTTTTTATAATACCGAGCTCTCGAACTTTCGCAATTAAGCGGTCTTTTTTGGATTTAAAATATCCCGCTGTCGGCCCATTGTCCGCTTTTTCTGTAAAATTACACATCGCAGTTCAGTTAGTCGTGAAAATCTAAATCGATGAGAAATACAATAAAGTCCACCAGACCACAGAATCTGCATATGCTAGCTTACCATCATTCGAAGGTACAGAGAGAATGGTTTTCGAAGATGTGGATTTTGGAGCACCATCACTGACTGATTCTGTGGTGGAAACTTCCAAATCGTCATTCTAGCAATACACGAAAAACGTATTTCAAATAAAGTACCGGCAAATTTTTTTGTTGCGTTGAATTTCGCAATGCCTTGCCTGGATAGAATTTCTACGATTTTTACCACCATGCATGTCCTTGTAATCAGATCGACGGAGCATTCCCGAGCTAAAGTGAAGCTCCACGTGGAAACGATCATCCGAATCGATGGTTTTATTTGAATCTTCGTACAGCATAATCACTATTTGAGTCAGGAAGTTGAGTTCCGGCACTCTTGACAGATATTCCAATGCCCGGTTCCATTGTTTATCATTCTCCTGGAATTAATTAGAAAACAAAATCACAAAGCAGAACACAGCGCTTCTATATTGTTCCTAAACGACTTGCCTCAAATAAACCACCAAAGCGCAAAATGTTCACTAACGAATGAATATGGCTTTCGCTGGTGAAATACAGCCTACTTCGGACAAGACGACCGGAGGAAGAATCGGTATACCTACACAGATAACCCAGTTCAAACAACACCAATAAAAATTTGCGGTAAAATAAAACGCTAACCTAGGATGCAGTTTATTGGAGTTTTCGTTAGATTTGGATGTCACATCATCTGTCTGCGAAACAACTTGTCGCAGGTCTGAACGAATTTTTTCCAGCAGCGGTGTGGCAATTCCTTGAGCGATAGCCAGTTTTTCATTCGCGGTTATTCCGTATTCAAGAGGAACAACGATATCGGATAAATGTCTGGCCAAGGCAAACAGTTTGCTAGCAAAACCCAGGCGACTTATCCACTGATTATGATGCATATCGAAACGTATACAGTCATAGATGTCAGGGATTTTCGTAATATCAAAACTGCCATCCTGCAGACGGAAGTCCTTTTCAAGTTTGCCCCAACGTCGTTGAAGGAGTTCCCATGATTCACCGGCGTACAGCATTGGCACTGAAAAATATTCAATTACAGTATTACGGTAAAAAAATATCACAATCACCTTCCATTAACACTTAACAGGCACATTTCCAAATATCTACTACCGCATCAATGTTCTCTGAAAGTAAACGTGTAAGTACCTTTACTAAGTATCATATGATTTTGGAAAGTTGTTTTTCGAAACCAATTATAATTTAGTATGGACCGCCCAGTTCGTCTTCGCAATTGCACGTACAATAACATAATAATTCTGATACTCACGTTCAACAGTGGTATTTGCTGCCTTCTCCTTGATCGCTTTATTTAACTCGGTTATGTATTTATGGACTTCTCCACAGCACATAACCGGATTCTTGATTGCCTCCATGGCCGTTTTGATAGCCGGGGAGTTAGTCGGGTTTAGAGCTACCACATCCTCATCCGAAAAGGTTTTATCCCTTTTCATTATGGCCCTCAAAGTCTTTTTAACTCTGTAAAAAAATGCAAAACTAGCCAGTCGTCAACGATATGTGCAGACCCCAAAAATTAATTATGTGAAAACTTACGCTTTTTCGTGATCTCGTGCGTCCAAGTCGCTATCCAGCAATCCATTCGTATTTGCGCTTTTAACCATTTGTACTATAAAACAGCAACAAAAACTGCTGTGATACATTGATCCAAAAATGGCAATAGATATACAAAGTACCTAGTATCGGGGTCAGTTCCCCTTCCAGGGCGAGCAAACCCTAAAACCAGCAAAAATCATACGCAGGAAAAATGCAGACGCAGAGCAGATGCAACATCAATACACACTGACAATACGTACCTTTGCAAAGGCTGCAGCTGTGGTTTGCACTCTGCCTTCGTCAGATGCATAAATTTTGAGATCGTGGCGGAAGGTGCTGTGAAGTCGAAGAAGCCCATGTCCTCGTTTCATGGACGCCTAAGACAATTTAGAACATGAGTTACTTAATGATGGGATACTAGCTGCAGTGTGGTTCATACTTCTCCAGACCCTGGATACATGCATCGGAACATCTGCCCCAACTGCTCCGACTGATATTTCCCAAGCGGAGTTAACTCGCCTCCCCACTTCATTATTAGGAGAAGGCATCCAGTCGTAACAGGGCTAGCAGTATCTGCCACGGCTGGCACAGCCGATTCTATACATAAACGCACCAGTTTGGAAACGGCCAATTACATACGCGTGCCCTATGCGTGCAAACACTCCAGTGTTCTCGTACCTGGCAGATCTGGCGAATCCAGTGGAAGATATTTAATCTGTACTTTTCGATTTATCCCACTAAAATGCCCATACATCTCTAACACAGATTTCAGTTGAACGAGTTTCGCACGGCGCTCCTTGACAATGGCTTCGCTGCGGTGATTGAGCAGTAGATCTCGTACCACATTCAAAACTTCCTGCAGCTGGGAAGGTCTTTTTAATTTAATCTCCCGACCGTTATCATCAAACGTTCCACCAAACCGCAAAAACATATCAATGAATTTAGGATGATGAAGTTCCATCTTTAACTTTTGCTTAGGAGTTCGATCTCCATGCCGTACAACAGCAACTACACAGCGCAATTCCATAAGTTGGCCCAACGTGGTTGTGACAAAAGGAGGATCTTCCAGTTGATAAGGCATAGACCATCGAATATGCAATTCAGGTGCCAATTTCCGTAAGACCATATTGGCAACTGCAAGAACAAAACAAAGAATTTCAATTTCTGAACATTAATTTCAGAAATTTTTATTTCTTAACTATACGCTAACCGATTTTCGCAAAATCGTTGTAATAGATCATGGAATTCTTGACAAAGCTGAATCCATTCACATCACAGACATAGGAGCGACCGTTGGCCCGAAGAAGATCAAAACCGCAGACTGCTTGCTATATGAAAAAAGAAAGCGGTACTCATACGAAGACATAGAAATCCCACACATCAGCTGTATGGGAAATTCCAACAAAAATAGACAGTACAGGTAAATAATAATGCTGAGAATACAAAGAATTCAGGTCACCTGAAAGGCAATGCAGACTCGTCGAGCGATCAGCTTCTCCACATTATTCAAAATAATGGGAAACCTCAACTCTTTTCCTTCTTTATCTCGTTCAACGACACCGTCAAGTGCTGGCGATTTTCTAGCTTCGGCATGAGCGTACCTTAAAAAAATACAACTATGAAAAAATTTTAAGAACAAGGCTATGCAGTAGACTTAACTTACTCAGGTCCAACGGTGTAAACTTTGACATCCGTACCATCGGTTGGCATAAACTCCTAAACAGAGCTGCCGATGTGTACGAATATCAAGACAAAATTCCAAAGCAGTTAACCGGTTACTATAATTACACAGCTCATTATAAAGACTCTGGTATAATGAACTCAGCCTGATGCAATAATATATACGCGAGCGACAGAACATTTAAACGGAACAATCCTATTTCGTGGATACTATTACCTCATAAATGTACGATCCAGTCTGTCTAACTCTGCTCTCGTTGGAATACACACTGCTTCTTGTGCCGATCTTTAACAACAAATCTGATGTACCATATCGAAGCGAATAAGACTACGCAAACCACACAAAAATTTCCTCACCTTTCGAAACAGACGCTGACTCCCACTCCCGGCCGATGTGGGATAATAAATGTAGATGTTATGATCTTCTGCACACACCGGCTTCTCCACGAACGGCTTATTAAACTGCACTCCGTTTACAATAATATGGTCATCGAATTCTTCCAACCGTGCTTTACTAGGGTCTCCACAGTCCCGATCTAGTACAGCATATCTGGGAACCTCCACGCCCGCTTTTTCCAGAATTTCGTACACTTTTTGCCTGCAGAACATATCACCATAACAAATTTAATTACCCAAAAGTCAACAAACAGCAAAATGGAGAGACTTCCAATCATACCAGTACTCGATACTATTGTCGCTACCAAGAATATCCAATACGAACAAATTAGCCAGCACAGTTTATCGAATATCACAGCTAAGAAGCATGCAGCACGGAACAATGCAGATAAAGAAGAAGAAAAAAACTTTCACGCGTCAAACATACAAATTACTAATGCGAGGGCGAAATAAAACAGCAAAAAAGTGGCAAAATACTGCACCTGTTCTGAATAGCATACTGCATTTCCAAATCGTTAACCAGAAAAGGTTGTCGAAGTTTGGCATACTGGACCGCTTTATCCAAGGGGAAATGGCCGGAATAAAATGAAATTAAGGCATCACAAGTGGGCCATTTTTCCACCGGTTCATTCATAATAACATTTTCTGGGAAAATCACCATCTTGATCTGTTCGAATTCCTGTGTTATCCTGGACAGGATTTCCGTCATGTACTTCGATCGCGCTTTTTTCGCCATGGCGCACACTCTGTAATCGAAAACAGCTTGTTTTCTTGAAACAAGAATTCCAAAGATTCCAAAAAAGGTACCCACAAACCATCGTACATACCCCAAAAACACAAACGGCTCGTGGATCATCCCAGATTCCGTAGTTTTTTCTAAGGCAATCGATACCTATAAATGAATCAATACCCACTTAACAAGGCAAAATTGAGGCAAAATTATTTTACAGCGAATCTAGAGAAAACTAACTACATTCTATGAAAAAAGCAATTTCTACCAACTTAAACCGAAAACGGTAATGACGTTCTCGACATTCAACGTAAAGCATTTTGCTCAAACAACGCAGTTCAAAGTTACCTATTTAGATTATGGCACCATTTAAAAACCTTATTAGAAAGTAAAATAACATACTGTTGCATCCGATCATTGCATGATTTGCATCACTGCAGTAATCCTTTGCGAACGGTACCTTTGCTTCTTTGTCTTCAACACGGTCGGATTTTCCAAACGGCAACGCAGCAAACGCATTCCCTCCAGAAACAGTGGCTGTGTTCCCGTTGGGCACGACGGAAACACTTTCCGTATTGGGTCCTGTTTTATTCGCAGTGTTAACGGACAGCGTGGACGATCGGTCCGCACTCTGCCGTCGCAGGAGCACATCCTCCGCCACTTTGGACACCGTGAAACGGGTCTTTCTACTAGGATGGCCTCCGGAGACAGAGTGGCTTTTAATAACGGACAACGCGCTGTTGTCGTCCGATACGCTGTTGTGCGACACCAGCAACGGCACGATCGCATCGTCGTCCACATGCAGTTCTTTGCCGTCAGATCCATTCTAAGAATTATCAAAACACTGGAGCATTCCGAATCGGCAATGAAGACAGCTATAAAGCCGTATTTCAGCTGCAAACGTTTTAATGACGGCGCCTGCCAGTCGTAGTGACGTAATAAAGCGTCATGATGTTTTAATGCTTTAAAACTTAACTTCAACAAAAAAATTTCAATTGCGATAAATTTACACAAAAAAGCATAAGTAGGAAAATCGCACTTATGAAAAATCACAAGAAACAGGTTACCAGTCGAAATGTAGGGGATCCGTCGGGTCCTGATCCTGAACGGATGTCCTTCCTGGTATTCTCGCTCATGTCTGTCTTTTCTGACATTTTGTGGTGATAAGAATGCTGGTACCACCATACCCATCCAATGTTCCATCAGCTGGATAGCCAGAAAAGATATGCGGGGAATTGTCAGATTTTTTGCAGATTTCAGACAACAGCAAAACGGATTAAACTAGACAAAAAGATACCAATATCAGAAAAAAATTCGTTCGCAGCTTACAAAGCTGTTCAATATTGTTAGTATTTGTTACTGTCTGGAGCATAAGTTGAGCTCCTGAACTTCCTTACTGCATACAATGTCGTGAATAATAATCTGTCGTACGCTATTGAGTCTATCGAATTTGAATAATATTGTACAATCCATATCAAAAGTAGAAGTATGGATGCATTTTACAATACTGAACCGGATAGCGGAAAACTGCCGTCAGTCATTTACCACTTGGAATATGATATGCATATGGAGAAGCCGGCTGTTTTACAATTCTGATTTATAACGCCCAACGTTTCTCGCACAGCCAGCTGGATTTTCCTTACCGATGAGAGCTGACGAGTTGTCTACAGGTATTAGTTATTACCCAACAATTTTGTGAGCCGATCCAAAAAGCATCCGATCGAGGATTTCCCGTACGCCGGTATTATGGCTTATTGTAAGCCATTGAGTTTTTACTTGCGAGAATCAATAATCCTTAAAAAATTATTGTACAAGCTCACCGTGTTTGTACTTAAGGTGAATTTCTACTCACATTACGCCATTTTAAATTACACAGGAATCGATAGAGAATTCGTTTCTCTATCTACTGATGTGAATCAAGCTTTTACGAAAAAATTGTACACCGTTACCTATTTTAAAAACTATGATCGAGCAGAAACCGTTTACAAGGTTTTAATACTGCACAGAAGAGGAGACATCTCTGTTCTGGCGGGATGGCAAGTTTGCTGACCACAAGCCACGAAATTATCAGCGGCAGCAAATGTTTGTATAAGAACCAGAAGATACGCGCGCTATCATAAATGATCAGGTAGAACAATGAAATTTATTGCCCTGTTTCATCTCCATCTCCATTCACCACCGGCGCTTGAGTGTCATTCCTGCTCAGCTGAAACAATACGTGACCCAAAGAGGCCGGGACACAACAGAATGCGCAGCACTCGCACCAAGAATAGGTTTGCTGCCCAGCCTAGTCTATACCGTTCACAAAAAATTCGTTTTCTCAAAATAGCAAATGTGGGGCAAATAATTCGGTGTTTTATCCGACCCCAAGTTCGATCGCTCCATCACATGGAGTAAATTCTCATACACATTCTGAACCAAAATTGAAGCTGGTCAGATGTAAATTGACCAAGTTATAAGAGTTTAAAATTTTCGAAAATTCATTGCATCTGTGTTTTTTAAGGTATCATCACCATAATGGTTCAGAATGATCTTTAGATATAGATTTACCATAATGGTAAATTTGGTCGGAGTCGGATAGATAGGTGAATTATTTGACGCGTCCGAGTTTTTAAACTTTTTTCGGTGATAGTACAGCAGCCGGTTATTTCGCGCACATTTTGAGTTTAAATCGGTGTAGTTCAATGTTTTGAGCACCAAAAGCAGTAACGTACACTATAGAACTGTTTACGAGTCCGCAGTGGTGTTTTTTCTCGCAAGAGGGGTGCAAACGAGTAGAAACTCAGCTTAAGCGTAGTCAAATAATTGCAGTATTATATTTGCGCCGACGGATAGCACCGCATAACTGGTTGATTTTGCTACCGGTGTTTCCGGTCAGAACATTCTGTCGTCTGTGTGTACTCATGATTGTTTTAACTGTAAGATTGCAGTTTAAAGATTCCTTTCCCAGATACTACAGTTTTGCACTCCACCGTAATTCGCAGAATCTGGCTGTGTAATACGAAAATCCGTGAGAAATGAACTCTGTTTAGAGTAGTGATTTAACGTGATATAGCATATAAAATTTTATACATTCTACACGAAGTGAACGACGCTTTGACACCCATTCAGCTTCATTATTTAAGTAAATATCTGTACTTATATCCATTGTTTTAGTAGGTCGGAAAGAAAGGGAAGTATTAAAGGAAGACATGCTGTACCTCGAATTAGGAATACCTGGAATAGAAATCAAGAAGTAAGGTCATAAGAATCAGGTAGTAGGCTTAATTATACAGCACTCACCATGGTCAGCCGTGTGAAAAAAAGCATCCGGTGTGGTTTCACTGGGTGTTAAACATTAGATGAATTGTGATTAGAACATTTGATGGAAATCTTTCATTAGAGATGTCTCACGCTTATGCAGGGCTGGTTAGCAGAAAACACAGGAAAAGGACCTAAAAGGGCCATAAGAATATCTTCTTCCGCTTTCATCTGCTCATGAGGCAGAGAAGGTGTTCGTTCCTGAAAATTGGCCTCGTGAGTCCTAAGTTGAGTCCTAACATTGCTTAGTGTGCGTGAGTGGCTGCCCAAGGAGCCATTAATGGCAGTCTGCGTTTACGGTTTAAATTCAGAATGATTTTATTAGTTTGTACCAGCACATTTTATTTATACCGGAATTGGCTAAACACACAAACTTGGAAGTTAAAATTGTATATTGTTATCTAGATCTGCAACATCTGTTCCGCTTTAAGGAGTAAGTGGAGAAAAACAGTTGCAAAACCCAGTTAACTCGTTCACAAAAATTTTCACTATAGTCGCTATTAAAGTACTGAAATCCGCTTGATCTAGTCATAACTGCACATGCAAATACACAGACAGCAATGCGACATCACTAAAACAATAAAAGGTCATCAGATGGGAATATAGGTCTATCACAGATGGAAGCCATATTACTCCACATTTTCAGTCATATTCAATTTCAAACTGCAAATTAATTCACTTAATTAATGTACTCAAATACATATATTATGGTGCTACGAAAACATGTAACGCACTCCTATATGTTGAAGTATAAGGTGTCCTACCATCCGAAAATGTCTTTCGGCTGGATCGTGCAGTGTAATTAGAGCTCCAGCGCGAATCATTTGTTCGTTCTGTTCCTCTACGAACACTTGTACTTGCCGCATCGCCTGTAGATAAACATATTAATGAATTCATACTTTTTAAGTGCCGCTTTCATAAAGTAAGTAAATGCAGTTTACGTTTTTAACCTGCAGTTGATATAAGAGACTTAAAATCCATAATAAATACAGCAACAGATATAAATTATGTCAGTTTGCGGTATTCAGTATACCTGCTGAAACTGTGTATCACAGCACAGTAGCATGGTATGACAAGTCAACATACTAGCCACATTTTCCAGTATCGTTGCAAAAGTGATCCTTTCTGCTCTTGCATACAAATCGTTGAATGCATGTATTACGAATTCGAAATCTTCCTTGCTCATCTAAAATTATCAAAGACGACGTTAGTCGTTTATAATAATAATTACACGCACTTTCTTATTACTCACAGGATTATTACCTGCAATATATAACGCTCTGACGTTAATTTTATTGCCAGTACATAACTAACTTTGCTGTCAGACTTAAAATTACCTATTAAAAGGGTTTTCTTTAGCAGTTAGCATGCTTATTAGTACGAGTATTGTACTCGTTGTACAGCCCGGTACATAATAATTGTACGAGTGGCATCTTGATTTAAATTCGTAGGCACCGTTTCGCTTCAATTAAGTACACGTACAGTATAACCGTAAAAAATTAGTTGTTCAAACTAGCTGCTTCGTACATTACAGTATCGTTTAATAATAAATAATCGTACGGTACAACATTGGTTATATAATTTTGCACCTTTCTGTACGAGTATCCTTACTATTAGTTTAATTTCGCCTAAACTTTTCGTCTTTGTAATTGGACAAAAGATGAATCTGTCCTTCATCATATCAAGGAAGAGACGTCATAAAAACGAAGTAACAAAACTCCTCTAGTAACAAAGTGATACTTAGGAAGAAAGTTTACTTTTAAATACTAACTTTCTTCCTAAGTATCACAAGTAATCTTGCCTTTCTTTCTAACTCTTGGGGGAAAACACTGGAAAATCGCAGGGTTAATCCTTGAGAGTAGTCCCTTTCTATGAACACACGATGTCGACGAGGAAGTGGTTGTGAGGCTGTTGGATAAATTGGAATGTACCTGCCGACCTATACGCAGTATTGCAACAGAATTTTACTTATCGCACGTTATTATCTTAATCATACATTTAATATTTAAAAATATTGTGTGTCCTGGGTTCGATTTCTAGTTTAGGTAACTTTTACTTCATAAAATCAAACAAAAAAATGTAAAATTTTCTAAAATGCCAACAAAAACTTCCAATAGACTGCATGGTAAATATCTCAGTGAATAGAGTACGAGTATAGCTACTGTAGTGCAATATAATAATAACAATATAATAATAATAATAGTATGCACTCGTATATAAACACAAAAAGAGTATATGAAGAGAACTCGTATATAAACGTGTATAAAGAAAATCAAGTGATAGCTCGTATCGGTATCAAAATTTATATAATAATTTTGAATGGTTGTTTTGAACATTCCGAAAAATTTATTACGCTCGCACATTTTAAGACATCATTGTTTTAATGACTGTTCATTGCGCTGATAACCCAAGCCTTAAAATCTGTTATTTATATTAAGGTAAAGGAATTCAAGGGGCACGGCTGCGCAATATCTGTAAAACTTTGGCAAAATGCAGGTTCTCTAAGGAAATTATCCAGAGGTGATACGCGTTGTTAGCTCTTCTTAATGAAAAATGTTTTTTCTAATAATCTAATTTTAGTTAATAGTTAATAATATTAACTATTAACTAAAATTAGATTATTAGAAAAAATAATAACTAACATATTAACTTAACATAAAAATAAATAAAATAACATAACTTATTAAAATAACTTATTAAAATAACATATTAACTTAATATGTTTACTATGTTGACAATTATGTATGCATGTTTATATTGCGCGCGCCATGCATTGCCGTCGCAATTAGCGTTACCAATAACTCGCGCATAGATATAGAATAATAGTCTTCCTAGATCTAAAGGAAAATAATAACTTCGAACTAGTTTCGAAGTTTTCCGCGATGTCACAACGATTTGCGGTGCTCATTAAAACGCTCGATATAAAGGACCCTGCTCGTACCGTACTTACATTGGGTTTCATTGCTGGCTTGTGCATAAAGCATCAACATTCTCGAGGAAAAAAATGCTCTAAAATAGTTGTGACCTCAATAAACTTTTGGACAGAATTACTAGACATCTAAGCTTCCATGGTTGCGAATTCCTGAATCGAAATTGAGTGTTTACAGCGGTACAGTACAACAACGAAAATTATCGTTTGTTGCCGAATGGCGTTTTCACGCATGAAAAGTCTTATTACGACAATTTGACAATTACTATATTCTCGTAGATTATTCGATGCTTGTTGACGTGTTGCCTAGTCACAGCACTTCAGCTTACAATTACACAGTAGATGATTTCGCAATGAATTGGAAGTTGTAAACCGTAAAGTGTTAATCGTCAACAAGCTCTATTTGCGTAATGCGTACAAACGACTTAATTTTATTACTTATCACAAACGTTTGCAAAAGTCTTTATTGTTTCGAGGGAATTTCTTTGGGCTTTACCAACGTTTGTCCTTCATAAAACTTTTGTTACACCATTTACATTTGAAGTAGCAACTATCGTGCTTACGACGTGCTCTATCTTGCCGCACGTATCCGATAATCAAGCCGATTCGATTTTGGTTTGAAGATGTAGGAATAAATCCTCCCCTTCTTTTACTTCGCAATGTTTCAGACGTTCCCACAAAAGATGAGGCGACACATCACCGGAAGAAAGAAACGACAGGAACGTGATGAAACTCTTTGCAAACAAATCGTTGCCAAAACAGTAATACACCAAGCTGCAACCGCATATCGAGGCGGCGACAAGCTGGACAAGCGCCTTAAGTTGCATGTTTCCGCCAAACGCACCGCAGCCCCAATGACCAGTGCAGATTGTTGCCGGAGGCTTTACCAGTGAAAATCCTGTCCATGCTTTTAAAAGCTCTCGATTCAGGCAGTCTTCTTCGAACTGCTTCCGGAACGGTCTACCAAAAAGTGGCAAGGCATCCATAGCGATAATATGCCGGGGCCGCCCTAGTGTTCGGGAAACGAACCAACCGAAACATCCAAACCATACCCGCTTAACTCAGCCACTTTAAATGCACCGCTCATGAAGATCGCTTCGTTGTCCTTCATGGCTTCACAAAAAAGCATGGCGACACATAGTTCCGGTGTGGAACCGAAAATCATTTCTTCTTGCGTTCCCGTTTTACCGTAGCCGATATTTTTGTTAGCGAAATCAACTTCCGGCAGCGGAAGATCGCCAATCGCTCCATCCAGTTTTACTTCCACGCTACTGAAAGTACACTGCTTTAAGACATCCAACGGCAAAGCACCGCTGACTTTTTTTTGAAAAACTATTTCTCCACACAGAGGGATCTTCGCGGCAAAAGACCTGGAAAAATAGACGAAGAGTGTGTGCAAATAGGCAATCGCGCAGCACTGACCATCACGCAACCAAATTTCGAAGGTTATCCACCACGGATGTTGGGGTCGTTTTTTTAGGGAACATAAGGTCATATGGCACAACAGACAAAGCACTTCGGAGCGCGTCAGGACTTTCTTGTCGACCAGGCATGGCATGGATAGGGAAGGAAAGAAACATGGAAGTTTTAATGCATAGTCCTTGATTTGGTTAAAATCAAAACGAGATCGATTTCGTTTTTTAAGGCATCTAAGGATGACAGGTCTTCATTTTGCGGAATGTTGCCTAATGTTCTGATCAAGAATTTGATATCGGTCAGCGACGTGATTTCTGTTGCTTTGAAAGCGGTTTCCACTTTCTGCCATTCGGCACTGGTGAATATCGTCCACATACTGCATGCAATAGCCAATAGTTATTGCAATACGAACACGAACACCGATGTATAAAGTACTCTGTACATATAATAAGGTCGATAAAAGTACTCCCAACAAAATAAAAATTTAACAAGATACGCAAAGGTGGAAGTTCGTTATTCAATAATGGTTGCACCAACGGACATTCTAATACTTAATCATAATGATCGTAAAGACGGGGATCAGAAATCTTGTTTTATTCAATCTGGTGAAGGGAGTCATTTAAGCTCTGCTTGAATGACTCCGTTACAAACGCAGATATAGACAGCGAAAGTGGCAACTAGCAAGAAACCGATTCTTTGAACTTGTTAAAACGAGTTCTTACTCACATAAGATCATTCTATTATACCTGAGTACGACAGACAGGTCCTATGATACGTGCTGTGAACTTCCGGTACGTATGACTATGCACGTCTCTTACTTACTTTTAAGCGGTACATTAACAGCAGCCTGCTGACAACAGGTACAGCATTTTAGTCTTTTACTGGTTAGTTTTTACGCAGTGTGCATAGAATGCTGATAATTTTGCTGGCGTTATCATTTTTGACCTTGTGTTACATAACCTTCGAGGGGCGGTCTCGAACACGATTGATGGTCCTTTTCCTCGCCAGGGTTCCAACTTATAATGCAAGCAAACAAATCAGGGTACTGGTATTACTGCCAGTGCAGTATGTTACAAAGTACGTAACTTCTAGTTGCTCAAGGCTTTGATTCAGTACTGCAGCTAATTTAGCGAACTACAATATCACAGTTTTAAGGTGGACTAGAAGTACTGTACCAGTGGTTCAGATTTGCTATTATTTCGGCGCTGCCCTGATCAATAATAATAATAATAATATTGTGACCGGCCTTAACTACTAAGGCTGTCGTTTCCATTATTACTGGTTACCGGCATCGACGGTATACTCAACCTCTATATTATACTTACGACCACGACTTCCGATTTCAGCAGCTAGTTTGAGAAAGCCATCGAAATGAGCGTCGTAGTATTATTATTGATCCTAATTGTGCTACTTTTTTGCTTCCAAAGCAGAAACTATTTTCGGCGTATGTGGGACCGTTTTAATGGTGGGTATTGTGCTTAGGCTTACTGTTAACTGTAAGATGTGTTTTAATAAATACCTGGTGACTCACATTGCTGGACAATGACCGCACTCAATTGGTCAGTGTAACGACTTTGTCGTTGATGACATTGCAGGAACCGTTCCTCCTGGTCCACCAGCATTCCCAATCTTGGGTACCATCGCCATTGACCCTAAGCGTCCAGACAAAACGTTTCGGAAATGGGCGAAACAATACGGCTCGATGGTCACATTTTTTCTTGGTGACCGATTCTGTCTGGCCGTTAACGACATGGAGCTGATTCGCAAGCTGCTAAAAGATGACAGACTCAGTGGCCGCAGCCAGAAAGGCCTTCTTCCTTTATTGGATATTGACATCGTACATGGTATTTGTAGAACAGAAAACATGAGCAGCAAATACTTGGCGTTTAAATACGAAACAGCAAAATAACCATAAGGATAAACATGTTAGCTTAATTCTGCATTTTTTGTCTATACGACGTACATTTGCAATACTACTACCCGCTAGTAGTATGATACGCAGATTTTATTGAGTTGTTTATTAGCTAGAATTTTAAACATCACATTCGCAAACATTACAAAACAAAGTAAACAGCATTAAGACCATCCGAACGTGGGACGGTCGACGTAACAGACAAAGCATTTCCCCTCTGTATTTCAATGCTAAGGCGCTGGAGTAAAAACTCAAAAGAGCGTTTTTCTCCCGTAGCCTCGTTAAGTTTTTTTAAGAGCGTTTTTCTCCCGTTTTTCTCCCTTAGCATCCGTATGATACGTAATAGTTGTGTTCTAATACTTAATGCACACCGTAAGATGATGCTCAAATGGTGCTGCAAAGAAAAAGACTTGTCCGAGGCATTACCAGTTATCTATACTTTTACTACAGGAATTGTGCTCAGTGATGGAGAACTCTGGAAAGAACAACGACGCTTTTCGCTTACTGCCCTAAGAGACTTTGGTTGGTATAACAGTTTCAGCTCGATCTATTAATTTTATGTATTTTTAGGTTACATAGTTATACAAACTACGGTAATACGGCAAACTTTTACTGCGATATTGTCATTATGACTTAATAAATTGTATAATAACGGTACATCTGTCGGTTAAGCACCATTTATGAACAGGATTCGGTAAGCAAGCTGGAGAGGACTGCATCCAAAAAGAAGCCGCTGCACTTCTGCAGACATTCAAAGACCAATCTGGGCAACCGTTTAACCCTCGATTCCCATTAGCAAATGCCGGTATGTAAAATTGTACGTGCAAGTTTTATTCCTAAACATTATTATAGTAGTTTTAATTTAATTGTTGTTTTCGAAATCTCTCGTTTTAAAGCTAATATTCGCGCAATACCAAGCACTAACATACATATGTACGGAAAAATATTGTACGGGAACAGTTCCCATTATGAATTAAATTGGTAGCAAAAGAAATTTGGTGCAGCGATCATTTGGACTGTAGTATCCGGATCCAAAATATCCTTCGGATCGACTAATTTAATACTGACTCGATATTAAAAGCCTAATCCTAGATTTCTTTTATCAATACGGCGAGGTCCCACTTTTTGTTGTTTCAGTTTCCAACGTCATCGCATTTATGTTGTTCGGTGATACATTCGAAGAGAATGATAATCGTTTCAAGATGTTCGTTGAACATATCAATAAAAATCTGGCCGAAGTTTTTGGTGTGGCAGCCATTGAAGTTTACCCATGGTTGCGTCATATCCCTCCTTTTACCAAGCGATTTCAAGGAGTAAATGACCGGGTAAATATGCAAGTTACACTTTATTGGAATTAGGAGATAAGTGAGATGGCGCTATTATTTGAATATGCCTATCCGGATTCCTATCCGTATTATACTATTGCAGGTAAAAGAGGCACTGGGAGTACTGAAAGATTTGGCACTGGACCACAAAAAGTCCTTTGACAATAACCACATTCGCGATTACATCGATGCATTTTATTCAAAGCAAGCTAGTGGTAGCGCTTCCTTTACTGATGAGCAATTGGTACGAAACCTGGGTGACCTTTACATTGGTACGTGTTCGTGTAAATTAATTCGCTTTCAGTAGTGCATCCCGGCCCTATCCCAAATGTACAACTTGGCTCGGTACGTTTGTATTGCTTAGTTTCGCAAAATGTCTTTGGTTTACAGCGGGTTTTGAAACAACCACGACATTCCTGAAATGGTCAATCATCTGCATGATCAAGTTTCCTCACGTACAGCGTAAAGTGCAGGCGGAAATTGACAAAACAATAGGGCAACGGTTTCCAAATTACACGGACAAACCCAAGTGCCCATATACAGACGCAGTCATTACCGAGATCTTTAGATTTACCAGCTTTATTCCTTTTGGCGTTCCCCATCGCGCTTTGGAAGACGTTCAGGTGGATGGCTACTGCATTCCCAAAGGTAAGTTTACGAATTTTAATAAAACTTATTTGTAACACCTGTATAGCTATATAGGCATCTAACAATGAGTACGTGTATTGTACAAGATCACCCAGCATGTTGACTGTTGTGTTCAGCACAGCAGATAAAATACCTACTGTGAGCAGCAGCAATCGGTGCAGTAGGTTTTAGCTTATACTGTAGCTTTGTATCTTGCTGGTCAGTGAAAAGGTTTTTACTGGTTATTTTTAAAAACCCTTTGACTACGAAAATGCTGCCCTACTGAAATCTTTTATGATAGATGTTAACGTTAAGTGCAAAATCTAACTGACTACTCACTGAGTCTATGTGCCTAGCAGAAGATTTAGCGGAAAACTTTATGACTCAATTCTGTGTGAAAAGGCATAAGCATAAACGATCGACATCTTTGTCAATGAACACCCACAATAATCTGATTTCGAAATAACGATTTCATTTGGTGAGTTAATTTTTTCTACCATGCAGTATATAAATTCCTGTTCACAGATACCGAGGTCTGGCCAATTTTAACACATTGTTTTTCCAATCCTCAAAAATGGAAACAGCCTGAAGAATTTATGCCGGAACGGTTCCTGGATAACGATGAAAGAATTATCCAAAGTTTGGTTGACGAAGTCCAACCGTTTTCCGTTGGTGCGTAGAGCAGCATTCTTCGTGATCGCTGCTGTTTCTTGCACTTTATAGCGTTTATTCGCCGCAGACAATGGAGTTTATCAGTTAATTAAACTATAAGCCGCATGATTATGTGGTGTACTTGTAGGTCGCCCAAAGATGTCCTGAAAATTGTATCTAATCATTAGTTGATTCTGGCTGACTTAAGGTTAAGACTAAAGAAATTGATTAAGCCAATAATTATCAAATTTCTTTTGTGCATAGGCAAGCGTGCCTGCCTAGGCGAACCATTAGCACGAATGGAGGTGTTCGTGTTTTTTGCCGCAATAGTCCAGAACTTCACTTTGTTGCCCGATCCAGAAAACCCACCTTCAATGGAGCCCGTGATTGCATCAAGTACGAAAAATTTTCTGATCGATTTTTGTACTTTACTGCTAGTGTTTGCTAAATGGCAACAGCCTTTTTATTTTTCATTGGTGCGAGCTCGCACATTATTTCTTAACAACAACAGCCATGCTATACCTCCGCTATACTAGTACGTAATTGCAGTTCTTGGTCCTCAAAATTTCGAAATGATTGCTCGCCCAAGAGCGTGAACCAGAAGGACCAAACACCGGCACACAGAGCTTCACGTTCGTGGTCACTGCAGCGGATCTTTGTCGTTTTTGTCTTCTAATGCGCACTTTGTTAATTTTGACCTTTTTTTCCCCAGATCCTATAGAGTTATCAGTATTCCTGTTATGTACCGTGCTTATTTGAATTGATGAAGCATTTATACTGACTTCGGTTCTGTCATGAGAATAATGTCTTAAGTTACAGTAATACAAATAACAAACTAAAACAAGGAATAACGCAACTGCCATAACGAATAATTATGTGTAAGCAGTAAAGTTAAAAGTTCTACCGAAATCGAATGGGCTGCCGGTCTGCAAAAGAGACCGCCGTATCAATGGACGAGACGGACCTTTGGCATTCCTTATCAGAGAACGTATCCGATTTTCTCTGTTTTCTTATATACCGTATTAAAGCTATAATCACAATGCATACAAAAATGAAAATCCAGCTGGTAATGCCAGCTACGGTGTAAATGACGAAACTCTGAAAACACATGTAGTCCGGCTTTCTGATTGCTGAATCGCTGTGCAGGAAGGCCGTTCCCGTGGGTTGATGTAACAGGTTAGCTTCTGCAAACAGATAACTGTGACTAACTGTGAAATTTCATATTGCTGATATGTTGCAATCAGTGTAAAAATATAATGCAGTACAAATAATAATACAAAACCTAACACAAAGAGTAAAAATACAAAAAATTCAAAAGGTTGCCTAACAGTCATAATAAACTAGATGTGTATAAACTGCTGTAGGTAGGCACAGCACACTCATCATTAGTTTGTCGTTTAATAATAAATATTCGTATGTATAATGTGGTTATGCTATTTATTAACTAGTATAATTTCAAAATGGCGGATATGCCAGCCTATGGGATATTATACGGATGAATTTTGCTTAGAAAAAGGATTAGTTATTTTGGATTGACAGAATAATTACAGGATAATTTTATTAACCCCTTCTTGTTTTGCGTAGCCGAACGGGTATACAACATTAACAATCAGTAAGGCGCAAAATTAACAGTTTATAAACGTTGAATGTTCTATTTGCTCTTGATCATTTCATGAGGAACAGACTGTAAATGCGATAGTCCAACCTGATATTTCCAGGGCTTTGGATTGCGTTTGAGAAGCCACCGACGTATGAGGTACAACATTTAAGCGTTGCTTAATGGTAACGTATTCCCCACTTTCGCCTCCAAAAGCGCTCCGTCGAGACCGCTGCGGTGGCGCTGGAATAATTTTTCTTGGATAGGCCAAACGGAAGAGCTCTAATTCTGGGTTCGGCTGCTCGATGGCACGACCTTCGACTGCAGGTAAATCGGCACTTTCGCCGGTTATGGACGGGTATTCGCTCATTTCCTGGATGCTTCCTTCGTCAAAACATGGCTATAAATTACAGATAACAATAATAATTATTTAACATGTTAAATGTGTTAGCTGCAGCTGCCATCGTGCACATATAAATTACTTTGTTGTTGAAAAAATTAATTTATATCGTTTTTGCGAAACCGCGCCATTATTGCACATGTACATGAAGTTCCGATGTATACAGAAACTTGATATTTCGTTAATTAAGCCGATGCAGTAAGAAATTATAAGACTGCTAGGACGTACCAGTCCATTATGTCCCATTCGGTTCTGACAATCAGCAAGATGGGTTTTGGAACACACGCGAATCGTACAACTGGCCACCAAGCCTGTACTGCCATCAAAGCGAAAGGCTTTAAAATCGGTCCAGAAGACTTCCCGAAATTCCATCCCGTCAACATCGGTCTTTTTGGTCATTACATTCGTAATAATTTCAGCCGGTGTCTTCACTTGACAGCTACAATAGTTAAGAGCCAACTAATTTTTGTGTTGATGATAGGACATTCGAAATTTCTGTGTTATTCAAAGTTTCATGCTAGTTTTTAATTCACTTACCAATGAATGATGGATAATTCTGATACTGAACTTGCTGGTTAAGTTTGATACTCGTAGTACACGTACCAAATGTCAAAAAACAATTTTGATTAGAATAGCTGTGCAAACTTTGTGAATTAATCATTCATATGCTAACAACATAGTCAATGCCATGCATATACTAAAGAAGTGATCTTCTTATTCCTAAGAAACTCGCTCATAATATTTCACTCTTTGTTACTAGTTCACGGTTTTACATTTAATTTAGTTGTAACCTGATTTTAATCTGAGAAAGATGCTCCATTAAATTCAGACGTATAACTAACCTCGTGCATCGCTGCAGAGGTATGGAAACAATACACCACGTACCTGTTTTGAACAAAGGTCACTCTCACCGCTTTGTCATGATCGCCTTGTAATTCACAATGCATTGGAATTACTGCAAATTACAATTTTACAGTTCACTTACATGCGTCGTCCATGATGTACGTGGGCTTCGCACAACTTTATTTTTCTACATAAGTACATTTCCAAAGTAATGTTACCTGATGTTCTCAGCGTAGATCGATCTTCCTGGCGCACTTTCCACAAAACCAGCCTTACTGGCTCGTCGAGTGAGACTTCGGTCAGCGCCATCGTTGGATCGGAAGGATTTACAAACTTCATTTGGATCAGTTCGGAAAAAGGGATTTCTCCAACGGCTGATCCAATATGATCTACTCGGTGCCTATCATAGTTTGTGAATGTTTATAGCAAACGATTTATTTAATACAGAAAAGTAAAACTCTGGTAAGTTTTGATTTTACAGTTATACGTAATTCTATACCAAATCTCGATTAACAGCAACAGCAGTTCCTTTATTTACTGTACTTTTCCGCTTACACTTTTAAATCAGTTTTTATTGTTTGTGGTCCCGGCATTTCGCAGTGCAGATTCAGACGAAGTTTTGCTCCGGCTTGAGACAGTGGCGCAATCACCTCAATGTTGATTTCTGATTGAAAATATACCATCGTATCCTACAAAAAGAATTTACGTGTTAATTTGATTACAATTCCACTTTGACTGATCTGTTTAACAGAATGCCGGTACGTCTTTGCCAAACAAAACATGAGCAATAATTCTGTTTCCTATAAAACACTTTTAACTATTATTCAGTCTCATGTTTGTACGTACAAACTAGTTAATAGCACTAGTTCGAATTCTTTTTTCAAAAAATCGAAGTCACTATTTTCTGATTTTGGCAATTTTCTTAATTTACCTGATATATAATTAAGTGCAAAATTAAATCTGCGTAAAAGTTTCACCATTTGTTTTAGTTTTTATGGCTATAAATAGATTATTGGTTCCATTACTACAGTAGCGCTGCCTTTCGGAAAAATTTTAATTTTTGCTCAAATACGTACTGTACATAGTTACCGCTTTAACGGAAGTGACACACGCTTCAGCTTTATCTCGAACGAAATACGGCAACCAGCTTCCTAAGCTGATCACTTCCGGACTGGCAGAGATATTAATGCCGCGTTCTCCGTCTTCAAATTCCGTAATGGCCGCGTTTATTGACTTTCGCTCTTCCACCATTACCGGATCGTACAAACAGATGGCATCCAGTTTTTGACCGGTCACATAAATCTGTACGACTTCCACGGGATCTTTAGTGTTATCGGACAAAGCTTTAAATCTATCTATCAGTTCTGATTTAGAAAATTTGAACCCCATTTTCGTTTGTCCGCACATTGTTCCATCCGTTGGCACTACGAACAAAGAGTTAACTAACGTTAATAATGTTAAGCACTGTAAGCGACTAAAGCGAGTAATACTATGTATAATTTGTTCATGTTGAACACTTATAAATGCCAAATATCCAGAAGAAGCCGTGCACGGATTGTTACTTATTACACAAATACTCATATATATTAATATCTATGCACTGTAAAAAATGGTACGCAGCTAAATGTTATACAATCAAAGGTCAAAACCGTGCGGTACTCACATAATTTACTATTGGAAAGTTTTGCTGCATGCGATATATTAAAAATTAAAGCCAGCAAAACATAGGTTAAGGAATTTCCGATAACGTTGTGCCAGCACATTCCAGAAATAATTCCTCTCGCCATTACTGAAAGTACGTATAAGCCTGCAGACCGTATAATATGATTATGTATATCCTAGTGGTAGATATCTACCAAAACTTTTGAAATCGATAGACTTCGGCTTCAAATTACAGCAGTTGCAAAATAAAAGGCGCAAAGTTTGATCGTAACTGTTTTAAGTAAGTGTGATATCCTCAAACCGGTAAAACCGTCAGTAATCGCGTCTTTCCCTGACACTGGATTTACATAGTGATTTATTTATTTTGTTCTTGTTACTCATTCACACCGTTGTACAGTACAGCCAGCAGGTGGTGTTTAATCTAGTTATTTTCACTGCTCTAATAGTTGCGAGGACTACGAAAGCCATGATGATCTATATTTATTTATACATAGGAACTGGTAACAGTGTAAAAGTTTGCACATTAATAATCAAAACCGTGCAGACCGTTGCGTAGACGGTTACCGAGATGATTTAACAGGCACTTAATCTAGCTCCAAACACGGTCAAGGCGAACTTATAAATAAAAATTCAGATTTGATACTGAAGGACGTTTCGATCTGGCACACACGGGAATTAATTATATTACTGGCAATTGGATAAGATTAATTCAGCGCACGCCGTGTTTCGCGTTTTAAAATGTAAATACATCCTGAATTAATTTAAAACAAAGAACAAGCTGCAGTTGTATATCAAGATTGCAAAGTGCGTTTATTGTGGACTTTTTCAACCTTTCGCATAAAGCACAGTCCATAACTGGTTCTAGTTTTGGTTATTAAGTTGTATACTATAGTTTTTTTCTTGTAAGGGTAGCCCCTGCTCAGCGATGGTCGTTGCAGGAAGTAAAAAATGCCGCACAATATGGGTTATTCTAATTGCGAATTTATATACATACAAACAGTAGAGTAGCGTTTGAAATGTTACGTAATATTAATAAATCGCATGTACGCTTTCCATTTGATATGCAGATAAATGCATTAAAATTATTGGTTCCATTTGGACCAATCTGGATAAGCCTTGTTAAAGTTCCCAAGGGGATTTTCATAAAGTCTCTTGTAAGTTTTGTGTCACTCATAAAGATATGAAGTTGTACGTGCGAGCTGTCTTAATAGGAAGTTCTTTCTAAAATGGTGGGACGACAGAATACGGAGATGTTTTTTTGCATTTCAGACTAGACTCTAACCGGAACGTGTTGTCTTTGGCGAGATCTACTGGTAGGTATAAGTGACTGCGCATACAGTTGTACGGTTATAAAACCAAGTAAAAATTCATCCGCATCATCATCAACACCGTAATATACACAAGTATCCTAGGTATTATAGGCCGCAGCTCCTATACATTATTCTGCATGCACACCGGACAGTACCCTAGTCTCCCAAAAATCTCTGTACCATGATTAAAAATTTTCTGCGATTAGGCCGCCTGCAAGTTTCCGCCGCGGGTTACTGTGCCGCGATGGGATGTTACTTACAGCGAATAGTGTGTTTCAAATATCTGGCAAGACTTTCAAAAAAATCATACTAATTTTATGATTGTGCAGCCCTGTTCCGATGTAAAGTATCAGTTTTACACCTCCAGTCCTCACAGTAAAAATGTCCGGAGTGTGGGATCTGGTTCAGTTTAAAATTTTATCTTGTATGATATGATGTCTGGCGTAATGCGGTGCAAAGTTGAAAGCGTTAAGTGTAATGTGACTGATACATTTACGGAAAGCATTGGTCACCATCAATAAACCAAATTAAATAGTCATAAACGAATTAGGCATCTGGACATGTGCGTTTGTAACCTTTGCTGCACATGCATGTCAACTCGGAGGGCAAATTTTCTGTTTCAGTGCTTTCCCAGGGGAATCGTTAATTTTCTGCAATGGAACACGAAACGCCTTGTTTATCTATACCTAACGGCTTCCTATAAACTCCGGATCCGGATTCCTGTTGCTTCATGGATCACGCTCCTTGGGGCTTATAAATAAATGGCAGGATCGTAAGCGTATGCGGTTAAGCGTGGTCATGAAAGCGAGGATTAGTCATATTGTCCGGTTCAGTCAGTCATGAGAGGCATTTTTATTCCAATCTGAATTTTTAAAAATGTCAGAAATATCTAAAGAAAATGGATGCTTGAATACAACGTTTGGGAATACAAGCGATGGATCTACTTTGTTTAATTTCATCAATGCTATCAATTCGATTATCTCTGTAGTAGGACTCGGTGGGAATATTTTGGTGGTAATTTCAAACTGGTGTTTTTTTGATGTTTTGAATTTTCTGAAGGATTTGGGTTTTAATTTAAAACCGTGCCGTGATATTCTTGTCTTTATAGTTTTATGTGATATGCCGTTTTTCATCCATGAGGACAATCACAAATATCTTCATTATGGCTTTGTCATTAGCCGATATCGCATTCCTGGTTAATGTTCCTTTATTAATAGGTACGAAAAGTTGTTCATTGTGAAGGTTCTTCGTTTTCGAGCAACAATTCACTGAAAAATTGTGATTCGACAATCATCGTTTGACCCACACATACAATTGTACACATATTAAACATATTCCATAGGACAATGTTAAGCAGCAGCTTGCAGCCAATCCTTTTTTTACAGTGACCGCTGTGTTAGAAAACTGGATATTTGGTGATATATATTGCAAAGTGTAAGTACAGTAGTGCGTCATAATAATTATAATGCATTCGTAGTAAGTACGGATTTCATGACATATATTCATGTATCCAGTGGCATGTGTAAAATACGTGCTTATTACGCTCAGTAAATCATCCAAACGTTATATTTATGCAAATGGCCGCCACATCTTACTATAGCCATAAGGAAGCAGAATAGTGTGCCTTGTGAAAATTTCTTTTATTAGCGAAAGTAATGTTGCCGGACCACATATAAAAACCGTGCGCAGTCATATATACAGATGTTATAAATAATTAATAAATATGGGATCTTGCCTTGTAAGTCGTAACAATTGCCCAAATTCTACTCCGAATTTAACAGGCGTTGTCAAATTTTAGGTATTACGTAATGACAACGGTCAATCAGTTTGCGTCCAGTTTTCTACTCGTTACGATGTCGGCAGACAGGTAATTTACTGTTAGAAATCAGCCTCAATATTGATATTCCTTATACTGCATTTTAGAACAGCGAGCACTGCAGAGTAACACATAATTATTTCCTTTACATGTCAGAAAGTCAACTGCTTTAATGAAGATAACTACAAGATACAGTAGATTAAAACCAACTGCTCTATTGTTGTGTTCTAACAAATATCATGAGCGTAGAGATGAAGTGATTTCCGCGTAGTGTACGGGAGTAACGGGAATAATAGCATAAACCCAGCTTTTACGCTAACCCTAATCTAACCCTGCGAGTAATTACTGGCTTCTTTATTCGTACAGGTATTTTGCTGTATGGTAAGTGACAATTCAAGAAAAACTGAAAAGTTTCGTGTCATGTGTTGCAGTTCGGTGCCTGAATTTTGCAACAGTAACATCTAAATATACTTGTGCTAAAAATGTTTGATTTTTCAGCCAACCGGTAATTAGTCGAAAGATAAGAACCCCCAAAAAGGCAATATTAGCGTGCTGCCTGGTTTGGTTTCTCGCAATATTATTGAGTAAGCAATACCTGCCGCATGTTGTCGGGATAAATATAAATTTAAAGAAACATAAAGTAATCGCGACATAACTCAGCAAATTGCATTGACATAATATTGTGTGGACAGGTTTTCGTTTGTCGTCTTGTAGTGTGTCCGGTTTTTCTGTATTCTGGAACCATTTCTAAAGACGATGATGTCGGCGGGGAAACCAACTGCAACATCGTATGGCCGGACTTTTACGAAGTTCAGGGACCCAAAGTTTTCGCATTATACTGCTTTGTTCTGGGATTTGCTTTGCCGGTTATCTTCATGTTCCTGTTCTACGGGCTGGTTCTAAAAAAATTGCACATCAAACAGGACAATTCGGCTGGTTTGCGCAAGCATCCAAGCGGTTCAGTGAGTACCGACGACCGACGCCGGCTCAAATTTCGCCGAGTGTCAGCTGTTATACTGGTCCTGATGTTGGCCTTTCTGATTTGCTGGACACCTTACTGGTAATATTTTTATTATCATGATGACAAAATTTATATTCCAAAATGAATTTAATAAGAAACCTTACCTGTCAAAACCAGTGTAGGAGAAATTTAGAATATCCTGTTATAAGGTATGCATGTTATAAGGTTTAATGCAAAATATTCAGTGGATCGAACGTAGAATGATCAACTCATCTTGCTGCGTCAAACAAAGCCTAGAGCGATTTAGGCGTGTACTGCCGCCAACGAAAACTATGATAACCTGAACTACCGTATTGCATTGCATAATTATGGTAGTAATTATTATCTCACAACTGACGGCCATATTTAATTCCAGGGCTTATCAGATCCACATTACTTTCCTAATTGACGACACACCCATCACGGTGGACGAGTTTGAAAGTTGTCAACTTAATGCCACACGGGAAGCCAACATCCAACAGCAAATCATCTACACGGCATTGTTTCTGCAGTGTTTGTGTTATGCCAATTCCGCGATAAATCCCATTCTGTACTCTGTCCTCAGCCGGCATTTCAAGCAAAGTTACGCTAAGGCGTGGAAGTGCTACACCGCCGGCAACCGTAACCGCAAACATCATACCCCCAATCGAATTCCGCGTTCTCCTTACGCCGGACACCCGATAATAGATGCGCGGACATATCTGGCCCCGCCGTCACCGCCCTTGCAGTTATGTGTGTCCAGATCGTCATCGGGGTGTCGCTCCGAGTTCTTCCTGTGATACATGTACCTCGCTCACGTGCGCTGAATCAGGTATCCGATCACTTTCGACCTCATGAGGCTACATAATATTGACGGATGCTCTGCGCGACTGCATTATCTGATGTACTACTGAGTAGTAGAACTATTGTGTTTTGATGATTATCTTCTACAAACCCCTAATTTTGTAAGAACACGATAGCTTTTATGTCCGGATGTTGTACTTATTCTGTACATAATTTTTGTTGAACAGGAGCATATAAAGCAACACTGAGCTAGTAACATTTTTAAATGCATGTACCATAAATAAAATTTTCGGGTGCATGCGTTCCGATGCAAAATGTTGATGTAGCGAAGCCGCAGTCACTCTTTTCTTGATTGGGAATCCGTCTCGAATCTTAAAAAACCATATTGACCTATATTGTGCCACTTTCTGTAATACGTAATGATCTTGAACTGGCTTGCCGAAATACTTGTTTCTAGTGCCATCAACAGGTTAACGTTACAACCCATGAAGATCTACATTAAATTTGCTAGGCACACTTATTTTCAGACAATCTAGGATCGGTGCCTGCAAGCGCGCGATCGGCGTAGTACAGGGCAGCATTGGGAAGTTTATAAATTTGCTTCTAATAAAAAGGTAGCAACTTTCGCGTACGCTCTTGTCCGGATCATATATAGTAACAATCATGTGATTGTTGGGGCAAAATTAAGATAATATTGATGCATAAATTGATATTCTACGGAATTTCAATTGTCCTGTTACAATTTTCCACTAGATCTTGTAGCACACATTTTTGGCGCATACTGTCCGGAGTCTCAGTCGTCTTTCTTTATAATAATTCTTCCAAGCTGTCGGAAAAATGGGAGATGAAATTGATTTACAAGTGGATGACTGTCCGTGCTGTCAACAAACGGGAGCAGAAATCCCCGAGGAAAATTCACAAAAACTTGTGGTAAGAATGCTCGTGTGAAAGTTTGGCTACAGTCGGTTAGCAAAAGACCTAAGTCGTTATATTAAATTTAAAATATTATAACATCGTTACGTCTTGCCAAATATGCACAATTCAAGTGACATCTGATTACTGAATTGAATGAGATAAACAATAATTAATTATTACTTTTTGATGTAAATCATGTTCCACGTTATGAGCGGCATGCCGGCGCAATTAGTGAATAAATGTTCCGCACCGAATTTTTGAATTTTTTATGTATGTTCCAAAAACTCCTTAAATGAGACGACCTTTAAGGTAAAACACAATAATTTTTTTGTTAGCTACAGATAGATATGCCTATTCCTTTCCATCAACATCATGTTCTTCAGCGAAAGTTTTCTCCGCTATCTCTGACACTTTTTGAAAAAGAAGAGCCCACAGAAAATCCAAAATGGTCCGGAAAACTTGACTTTCTCGCTAGCTGCATTGGATATTCGGTCGGCCTAGGGAACATGTGGCGTTTCCCGTATGTTGACCTTTCTTCTACAGGCATAAGCCACCTTATATATTTTATTCTACTGCCTAAATGTCAAAACAGGCAAAGACAAAATGCGATATTAGCTTACTAACAAATTCAGCTGGAAATCAAATTATCATTCAGCTTATTAATGTAACAATCCTTTTTCTCCAGATATCTGGCCTACAAAAACGGAGGAGCAATATTTTTTATACCGTACTTAATAATGCTCGTATTTGTTGGATGGCCGCTGTTTTTTCTGGAAATGTCTTTTGGGCAGTATTCTGGACGGACTTCTATTGCTATTTGGAGCGCATGCCCCATATTTGAAGGTTCATTATACTCGTAACATAACTGCAAGCCTACCAATGTCGTGAACATGTTTCATGTGTGAGGTCCGTATATCGGTAGAGAAATCTTTTGTGCTTTTACTTTGAAGGTATTGGATATGCCATGGTTATAGCGTCGTTATTGATAACTCTGTATTACAACGTTCTCATTGGATGGGGAATATTGTAAGTCAACAATAACAAATTAAATTTTGCCAAACCATTGCCCTCTGGCTAATAATTTTGGTAATTACGTGTAATTACGTTAAAAGGATGCTCCGACGAAAAATTATGACATTTCAGTTTTGTTAATATTTGCTCTTGACCTGCACTGATGCGTGATAAACTAAACCCATTTCTCTGTATTATTATTTCAGTTTTCTATTCGATTCCTTTCGCTCGGAAGTTCCTTTTCAGTTTTGCAATTCAACTTGGAACACAGAGCGTATGTTTCAATTTATATATATTTGTCGAAATCCTTTGCACGAGTGATTACTAATTGCAAGAATTTGCTTTATCTTGCTTGGTAAATATGTCCACGTGCTCGTTCAGTTATTGCACGTGTTAAAGTTGATGTAGAAGTATTATTATATCTATACTTCTACTTAAACAAAATACTCGACATGAATACTCCACCTCCACCTAGATTGCTACCGGAAAGAAGATGACGATGCTTGCACGGGGGAAAATTCAACTAACCTATTCTATAATCAAACTTGCTTCAACGAAACGGAAGCACTGTTTCACAATGTCACCCAAGAGCTCATTAACCAAATACACCGCGTATTGCCATCCGAAGAGTATTTCAAGTATGCCATCTCATTACCTAGAGTTAATACTTTAACTGCATCAGCATTGCACATGCCTTATGTATGCCGTTACAACTATGGTTGACCTCCGATCTCTAGGTATAATGTGCTAGGTTTAAGTGATGGCATAAGCTGTTGGGGTGAACTGCGCTGGGAAAACGCAGTCTGTCTGGGGGCATCCTGGACTCTGATGGTTATCTGCCTTTTTAAAGGAATTAAAACATCTGGTATATAAATCCGCACGACCTTTGTGTATGATAGTTGAGTATATTGTTTTTCTTGCGACATAATGCCCTTTTGATTTGTAGGAAAGGTGGGCGCGCAATTTTAGTTACGGAATCTTGCCAAAATATCGCCAGCTTAATTCTAACAAATGTTGTCGTATGCAGATTGTATACTTTACCGCAACATTTCCATATTTGGTTCTCTTAGCATTTTTAATCCGAGGATTGATGTTAGAAGGGTAAGACACACCTGAAGAAATTACATCTGTAGGCAACAACAATAAAACTTTTTCAAAATAGTCTCATCTGTTGAATCGTTGCAGAGCGCTCAACGGCATAAAATACTATTTGATCCCCGATTTTAAACGCTTAGCAGATCCAAACGTCTGGATTGACGCTGCTGGACAGGCTTTGTTTTCACTTGGTATTTCCTAATAAGTGTGACTGTGTGACTAATGACTATGCAGTTCATTCATCTCAAGTTTTCAGATTATTTCAGATTTTAGTTTGCCTGTGCGTATGTGCAGATGTTCTTTCGTATTCCAGGTATCGCATTTGGGGGCTTGATGTCGCTGTCCAGTTACAACCGTTTCCACAATAACGCCCTACGGTCAGTAATTATCCGTCGTACTGACAATGTGAATACCATTTCGGACTTACTTTGCGCATTTGCATAGTACAAATATACTGCGCATTATCACTTCAGCTTACACTTTGAAAGTTAATGCAGATGGTTGTAACAGTGCTTATTTCTAATCCGTGAAATTTTTTTCATGCGGACGTTGTTCTGTTTATTTTAGAGATGCCGTGACGATATTTTTCGCTGATACATTTACAAGTTTTCTTTCCGGATGCGCAATTTTCGCAATTCTTGGCTTCTTAGCACACGAAACTAAACAGTCAATAACAGATGTCATCCAAGCAGGTGAGCTTTGATTTTGCCCTCGCGTGCCACCGAAAGTACCGGATATCCGTTTTATCAAACACATTTCTCGTAGGATCGGGGTTAGCCTTTGTGGCTTATCCAGAGGTTATAGTCAAAATGCCACTACCGGCTTTCTGGTTAGTCAGATCCTTCGAGATACGCAGCAGTTGTTTGCTTGTAATGTATGTCATAGGGATTGGCTCCACGTACATCCAAATGTTTGTATCTCATTAGGTCTGTACTGTTCTTCTTCATGCTCGTTACTTTGGGTAAGTGTGCAACTAATGATTCCACTACCGGCTTTCTTGTAGTGATTTTCCAAATTATCCTTGTGGTCGGTAGTTTTCTTGTTAAATCAGTGCGCATCTCAAGCATTTGTTTAAATTTCATCTTTATTACCCTACACAAGCCTTTATTACCCTACACAAACCCACCTAAACTTTGTTGGGCTTCATTCGGCACTAGCAAAGCGTGTCATGCTATCAAATTTCAAAGTATAAGCTTTTTCGGTTTGCCATACCCGACCGTGCTCTGTGATCAGCTGCACATTTGTCAGTTTGCTTGTTGATCTGATTAGAATTCATCTCAAACATTGGTTTGACACAACCCATAAAGGTCATTAATGCAAAACGAAGCTCACTCTGCGCATACGGCACGTAGTCAGCTTATGGTTAATCGGGCTGTATACAATGGTAAACAGTCTATTGTGCACTGGATGCGTAATCAGGTTGCGTTGCAGGGACCGATTCCGTGATCGCTATTCTGGAAACGGTTTCCATCACCCTTTCGGATAGGTTTCCGGTTTTGCGCACAAATAAACGGTATTTTCTGCTCGGATGCAGTCTCCTTTTATTCCTTCTGGCATTACCGCTGTGTACAGACGTAAGTGAATCGCAAGAGATTTAGTTTTATCAATAGCGATAAATCAGGTTTTCTTCTTAACCTTTTGATCTGTGATGCATTATAAACGCCCTTTACAGGCTGGATTGTACTGGTTTACGATACTAAATGTAAGTAAGTAAAGGTGACGCGGAAGCTTTGCATACGTAAACTGTAAATTTTATGGATTCAACAGGATTATGCCGCAAGTTGGACAGTACTCTGGATAGCCTTAGTGGAAGATATCGCTGTAATATTTGTAAGTATTCTTGATATTGACAGCAGCGAAGAGATCCTGCAACGTTCTGCGGCATGCCGGTATACGATAATGCGTACCATATTTTGCTGTTTTTCTCCAGGTGTATGGAATTAACAGATTCTGCAGTGACATCGAATCTATGGTACGATTATCGAACCGCTGGTTAAACCCGTTTGAATTCGAAAAACATTAAGGTCACCAATAAGTCCATCTTGGTTCTTCGTCACAGTACAGACTTTGCCATTTGCGAAAAGAAGTCTATATATTACTATTTGGCAGAAGTTCGGTTTGTCTGGCACAATGCCTGCCTGTTTGTTTCATGACCCCCCACTGTAAATGTTGCTGTGCGCCTCGTCTTGGCCTTCGTAATTCACATAAAACAACGATATTGTTAGGTGTTACACTTCGACGATGCCATTATAATCAAATGTAACGCAGTTTCGCATTTGTAACTTCTCATGAAAACATTTTCGCGGCGTTAATTACGGCGTTGTTTAGTGAAGGTGTAAAGTATAAAATTGCAAGTACTCAGTACGCGTAAAAAATACGATTTGTTTTCAGATCGGGCCGAATCCCTGGAGGAAAGTCACAGCCTACTGGAAAATCTGCTGGTTGATATCCATTCCTGGCCTGATAACGGTATGTGCACCTGATCGTACCATAGATACTCGTATGTAGACAATGATGCTATAGAACGCCGACTACCGTGACAATATAGACCAGAAAAAAATGTCGCCTCCGTCACCCGTGAAGATACAACACTAATTGTATTTGTCAGTATATAGCTGCAGTTTTTATTGTTGTGATAGTATCTCTAATGTTCCGGGACATGCTGCAAAATGCAAATAACTTGTGCTGCGCCACTTCTTCTGCTATACACATGATAACACATCCCGTTTTTTAAGGGAGTAATGGTTTTCTACTGGGCGAGCTACAGTCGCACGCCGTTTGAACCAGCCTTTCCTTTGTGGGCGGAAATTGTCGGCTGGGTGTTTGCCTTATTAACCATTGCCGTTATCCCGGCGGTCATCTTATACAGCATCTTCACAAAAAACCGACATCTAAGGATCTTCGAAGTACTTACTAATAAATATTTTACAAAGCAGTAAAATGAAAGATAAATCTTTGTTCGCTCATGGTTCCTTTATTACAGCGCATAACGATTTTGAGCTGGCCCACAGCAGACTGGAAGCCTGCTATTGCCGGTGGACTGTCTACAGCTTCTGATCAATCCACGACACAGGAATCAGTAGAAACCATAGAACTAACTATTACATCGTCAATACGAGATGGTTATTTAGAAAATTCTGTTCAAAACGTACAAGTTACAGAGCATCTGTAAAACAAAACGATATGTTTTAACGATATGTTTTAACAAGTAATAATCTGCCATAACACAACAGCAGAATGGGCTATCACAACAAAAAAGGGAGCTAAATTCAAAGTCCTTGCACAAGCTGTTCGTTTATAATAATTTATTCATCATCATCATCAGAAGCCACAGCCTCTTCTTTGCTCTTTTCTTGCCGCGCCGCTTGATCCCGGTATAATCCAAAAATCTGAGAACAAACCGTAGCATTAGCAAATATATCCACGACTTCAGTCTTCCAAACAGCAACTGCAAGGTTTGAATGGGAGCGATTCAGCTGTTTTAGCGTCATTCAAACTGCACATGCAGTAAGCAAAACTTATTTTCTTAAATTCTGCACAAACATTGTGGGAATACTCCAAACGGGAAAGCAAAACATATCACAATTACTATGCTGCGGCGTTTTCAGACTTAAAGTTTACATACTTCATCGCCAGTGGTGCTGTCTTCGGGTTGCTTATCATTGCGTATCTTTATGAAACGCGGAAAGCGGAGAGATATTCCTTTCTCTGGATCGGCCTAATAAATAAAAACAGAATGTACAAAACAAACAAAAAGAAGGCAAAAAGATTCAGTTGAGTTCCAATTAATTTTAAAGACTAAAATTTTAAATGGTAAAAAACTGATGCCCCATCAACGCAGCCAGTACTTACTCGGCCAATGCCTGCAGTATGTACTGGAGAAACGGACAAATCGGCACCCTTAATCTCCCATACTTGCACGGGTTCAAACCATACATCAGGTTTAATTTTCTGGCGATAGGTGTGCAGTGGTTTCGATATTACTTTGTCTTGGAAAAATTTGGTAAACGTTTCCAAGTTTTCGTCTGACAATCCGGTGGCAAGCTAAAAAAGATTGAGTTAACCCACTATACTTATGGTTAGAGACATTTCGTTCCCATCATACGAGTACTTTGTAATACATAAAACAGCGCCATCTCTACCATACCTTGCATAAAGTCTGGTACTCATTGCGATCGGGATCGTAAACAGCACAAATATACGATCCAAATGTCCCAGCCCGTTTTCCCGAGCCAAAAAATGCACCAATAACGGTAACATCGACAGTGTCTCCAATGGTATCCAGATAATCCTTTTTCAACTAATTATGAGACAAGAAACCATCATAACTCTTATCCCTATACTGACTGGCGCTCATTGATGCGCATATTGAAAAATAAATTATTAACTCCCATCATGTAACACTATTGCGAACAGTGATAAAAACCAACCTTTAGCCAATTGTTGGACCTTTTCGAAATTTCATATGGTTTATCCAGTGCTTTAACCATAAGGCCTTCACAGCTGTCTGAAAGCGAGATGATAGAATAGAAATATGGAATCAGGGTAAAAACCGTCAAATATTCTGTACGGTAAACAGAACATACTCTGAATTGCTTCCTGCATAAATATCTGCAATGCCTCCGGATCGCTGGATACCAAACTCTGGGCTAGCATGAATTCTCCAGGTGTTACGATGAAATTTTCACGTAGAAGTTCTCTGAAACACAGCTTATTAGTTACAAAATATTAGCTGACGGTCTAATTTAATTGTCGGTTTTTTATTGCGATAATAACTTACTGTCTGCGGCGCAGAGGAGTGGAGATCAATGATTCACCGTTGAAATACAGCAGATCAAAAGCGTACACGCAAACCTGGACGGTCACATCTTTTGCTTCCCCAACGTTCTGCAATTGATATGAAGTAATAAAACATTCTGGAAATTCATATAAAAATCGTATAAACACAAATTCAGACCACGAAAAGTATGGGCTTCCACGTTTTACGTCGTACCTTACGTTTCCGCGTACTAAGAACTTGAAAAGGGAGGATTTTCTTTTCAACCAAATCCCACGCCACCACTTCACTATCCAGAACGAAAGATTCCACACCAGCTTTTAAATGGGTGGGAATTCTAGCGACAAGTTCCGGGAATTTTTGTGTGTGGTCTTCCTGATTACGACTGAACATGGTGATTTTTGCTGTGTCCTGTTTGTGCACCTGCAAACACATACGACTCAGGCACTCAGAAGGCAACTCCATCGTACAGAATTAAAATTATTCAAGGAAATAAAGAGCATCAGCCACTAACCTGTAAGCGCTCTCCATCATATTTATATTCAACCACGAATTCCAAATCACCCAATCGAGCCATAACGAGATCGATCCCTTTCGAAGGATGAGCTAACATCGGCTTCACGGGTATTCCTATAAAGCGGCCATAATCGTAGGCCTGCTTATTTAGTACATTCACAGAGTGTTCCAATTCAGGTCTGAGCAAATTACACTGAAATGTTTTGAAAAAGGATTCCATACCTGCTCTTATCCGGCAAACCCGCTGAACTTCATCCAAACCCCCGCGCAAAAGAGCAGACACAAGAAAATCATAATCCGGATATTCACTGAAATAAAGAAACTCTATAAGTAAAACTATATGTGAAAACTTGAATACAGTTATACATGTGATTCACACAGAAGATGATTCATACATCCTCACCATTAGCAATCTACTTACTTAAATGCATTTTTTATGGTTTCTTCAGCTTTTTTGATGTTATCATCCTTGGCTTTTTTCTTTCCATCATCTGGAAATTTAATAAAAAATCCTTTACGTATTTTCCTACCTTCCCGCAGACGGTGCACGCAGACAAACCTTGTTCCACCATAAGGGCAGCATGTGCCAGGGCTATCAAAGCGGATTTCTCTGCTAGACCAATACGCATGCCTCCCTTACAAGCCCGCACAATAAACTTCGCTTCAACTGGCTTTCCGGCCACAAGCATACTCGTGATGTGCTGGATTTTCCTTTTTTGAGACTACAAAAGGCCAGCAAAAAAGATCATAAAACCAGAAAATCTTCTAAACAAACACCAACGAAGCCGGGGAAAATCAGAAACGAAACACAAGCTTATGGTCTTGCGACTCTTACCGCATTCCCTGATATTTTGCTGATTTCCCGAAACTTTTGGAAAACGTTCTCTATAGTGAGTTTTTTCGAGGCCACCAGCGTTCGCTGTGTATTCCGAGAAAGCTGCAATGAGAGAGATTACACACACAATTAACTGATCATACAGTGCGTTTCCGAGTTTCCACATACTGCAGCCGCAGACCCAAGATCCCCTTCTTGTTCTTTCAATTTCTTAAGTTCTGGCACGGTTTTCCCTAGAATAATATGAAACCCATTTTTTCGAAAACCCGATTATCAAGTTTTGGTAACCAAAATCACGCAACATTTACATACTCGTAATTCTTGCTGCAAGGCTAAATGCTAAATCATCGCATACGTAAGGAAAGCCATAAAAAAGCATATGCCATCAATATAATAATTGTTACCTGTAGCATCGGCAATCGCCTTCATGACTATGCTGTCTCCCACCCCCAATTCCAGTCCTTCCCACGATGGAGCGATTTTATTTAAACTCAAGTACAGGCATCGCACTAAATCATCCGGACTCAACAATATAACCGAACGAAAAAAATTCCGCATGGTCCGTATAATTGTCAAACTACAACAAATCATGTGAACAATAATTTTCCATAATCCATGCACTTCTCACAGTATTAAGGAATCGGACTCTAACAGTACCGCGAAGATATCTTTTCAATGGTGTCAAACGTCTTGGCAAGAGCGATATATGGTGTTCTGCAATTGAAATTCTTTCTTAATCAAAATTCATGATCGTTTAAAACCGTCTTTCAGCCATACTTCTCTCCTTTCTGCCAGCAGGCATCAGTCAAGGGATCATAAGATTCCGCACTGGGATCATACTGGCTCTCCCGATTATCAGACGTTGCAGATGTTTTGCCAGCATTAGCCTCCGATTTATCTCCTGGTTTTAATGGGGATTTCTTGGCAGCATCGGAAGATTTTGTGAAAAATGACCTAATAACAATAGTACAACACAATTCGGATTGTACAGCGGCAAACGCCTACGGCGCGCTCTATGTTCAAGAAATTACTTAAAGTAAAAAACCAAACGATTGTGGTAAATGCTACTCACGTAATTGAAGTCTGCGCCATGGTGAATCTACAACTCCTGTTTTCGACCAACAGCGAACAGTTTTTCCAGAAATATCCAACAAAAGGCTGTGGCGCACATACGGTAATTACCGCTCGTGACAAAAACGAACGCATCAGTCGCGAACTAGTGTTGTCAGTGTGTCACACAATCACAGCTGACAACGAGCGAGCAGATACCCAAGAACTCGGCGGACCAGTGGCTGGAATAAACCGATTTTCTCAATGCAGATACAATGTTTCATCAATAACGAATAACCAAAATCGCAACCAACTTACGTTTTTATTTTATTATGAATTTATGATATTATTAGTAACCAGTAATCAGTTTGCAAAAATAAGGAAAGTACAGGCGGATTTGTTCTGTTTATAAAGTATTGGTACGAGTACAGGAAGAGCGCTGGCGCTCCGGGTAACTGCTGCTCCATGCCGGCTGAAACGCGCTGAAACTTGAACAAGACACAAAAATTTTGGGCACCCAGTGCACCGTAGACTCTATGGTATAAGGAAAACCGCCCTAAAAAGCGGTTACCCAATCCGGCTCACTACCACCCAACCAATCCGAATTGCGTACAGATGGTCAGTACTCCCAAATTACTGATTGCTAGAGTAGCTTTTATTAGCACTGAGTCAGTGACATTCTAAAATGAAATCGAAATACTTCTTTTTTTTTCTGGATCAGAACCTAATATTTCATTAGCCGAAATGAAATATCCGCCACAAATGCATTTCTCATTAATTGATATGGCGACGAAAAGCAATATGCGTTTTAATTTAAAAAGTTATGAATTTTTTTGTAGAGTGATATACATAGGTAATAATTATACATATTTACATAGGTAATGATATACAAATAGATAGATAGATAATGATAAGTTGAAAAACATCAGAATTTTCATTATTTGCTGAAAAACGAATGAAAACTCCGTTCATTATATCCTAATAGATTCTATTACACTGTCCAAGCAAATAATGGGTGCATTTTATACGGCTACGAAAGCAGCATATGTATTTCCGTCACAAAAAAACCAAGTTTTCACTTTTTACTACAGGCCGTACACTGAGGTGTACAGCAGGCTGTACGGGAAGTAATACTGCAGGCTGAACATCAGGCTGTGCTACACGCATTTCTACTAACTAAACTTAGTATAACAGCTTAAACTACAGGCCATACGCTAGGTTGTACTACAGGCTGTACTACAGGTTGTATGTACTGCCTGTAGTACAACCTGTAGTGCAGTAAATATTACATTCTAGCAGCGAGAAACAATATGGTTATTAATTAAAAAAGGTTATGAATCTATTTTTAGAGTGATATGCATAGATAAAGATATACATACGCATAAGTAATACCCCTAATGGTAAGTTGAAGAATATAAGATTTTTGATTATTTGCTGAGAACTAATAAAACCTCCGTTCAATATATATACCATGCAAGAAAATACCGTGCAAGAAATAAAAAACAGCATTCTATATGACGACGAAAGCGGTATATGTATTCCAGTCACAAAAAAACAAAGTTTTACTACAGGCCGTACATTAAGGCGTACTGCAGGCTGTACGCCACGTAATACTGCAGGCTGAGCACTAGGCTCTACTACAGGCACTATTATTAACTAAACTTAGCGCATTACAGGTTAAACTACAGGCCGTACACTAGGTTGTACTACGGGCTGTACTCCAGGTTGTATTGCAGGAAGTACGATAGGCAAACAAGCGAGGCAAACAAGCAAGGCTAAGCTTCTTGAATATTTTTCTTAATTATGTTTAATTCTGCTAGTATTAGAAATGATTTAAAGCGTAGAAAATGTTTGGCACAAGTTTGGTACACAACATTTAAGATTTAAGAAAATTTCAGCAGTACATTGTATTAACTGTAGTTATTTAGTAAGACTGGTTAGTAAATTTGCTTAATGAAATGCGCCTCTTCTTTAATATACTTCTGTGCGCAAGATATAAATCACCCTATTATTTTTTTTTTTGTAAACAACTCAAGAAAACAAGGATTTTTTTATACTAAACACTACAATTTTTTGCGTTTTTGCATTTATGAATTTTTTTATAGCGCTTAATTTTGTTTATAGTACGGCCCGATGCACTGTTTAAAATTTATAATTCATTAAATTCTTTTTACATTTATAAAGTCCTTTACATTAAATTTATTAAAATCTTTAAAACCATACCAGATATCTTTCCGTTCTACCGGTTACAAATTTTTATTTTAACTTTTAAAATCATTTTTAATATGATTAAATATAACTAAAAATAATATTCAGGAATCAGGATGCTTAGCTGATATCTTATGCATTATAATCAAAGACCGGCGTGCGGGCTGGTTTGCTTAATGTATTGCCTGTAGTACAACGCGTAGTATAATCTAGTGTATGACCTGTAGTTTAACGTCACTTTAACCTGTAGTGCGCTAAGTTGAGTTGATAGTAATGCCTGTAGTACAGCTTAGTGTTCAGTTTGCAGTATTACGTGGCGTATAGCCTGCAGGACACCTCAGGGTATGGCCTGTAGTAAAAACTTCGTTTTTTATGACTGGAATACATATGCTGCTTTCGTCGCCGTATAGAATGCTGTCAGTATTTTCTTGCACAGTATAATAAAATTTTCAGGATACATCGAACGGGGTTTTTATTAGTTTCTCAGCAAATTATAAAAATTGGGATATTCTTTAACTTACTATTACTTGTGTGTATGTGTATCATTACCACTCTAAAAAGATTCATAACTTTTTTCAATTAATACACATATTGCTTCTCATTGCTCTTCAGCATGTCAGTTAATGGAAAATGGAAACAGTTGTGGTTTCATCTCTGCTAATAAAATGTCAGGTCTTTGTATTCAGAAAACTTGTATTATTTCGATTTCGTTTTAGTTGAATGTCTATTATGTCTTAAGTGATAAACGCTAGAATCAAAATTTAAACCTACTCTAGCAATTTAATAATCTGGATTCTGGAGTGCTGACCAGCTGTGCGCAATTCGGATTGGTTGGGTAGTAGTGATCAGGATTGGGTAGTCGTTTTATAGGGCGGTTTTCCGTCTACCATAGAGTCTACGGTGCACTGGGTGCCCAAAATTTGTGTCTTGAACAAGGCTGTCTACTCTAGGTTTTGGCTCATGGCTGACGAACTACGGAGCAAGCCGTACAGCAGCATGCCTTCAGCCCTTTTTGCTATGGTCGTCATTCGTCACGTGCCTGATTTAACCAATCACCTTGCCGCACGTCAATCATGGTCAGGCGGCTCGCCAGTTACGGGTGATCAGCAGCTAGCCGACTGGCCTAAAACGCTTGTAGAATACTGCCGCCATGGGTAAAATAGACCGACAGAAACTGTTCAGTCGGTTTGGAGGCACCCAAGGCAGATTCCAATCAGCACATGGTTCGAAGCGATTTGATGTTGTGGTTCCAGCTGTCCACTATGGTTTTCGATTTCTGATGTAAACACATACGACTGCGTTTTGCATTGGAATAGCACGAACTGTATTGATTTTATTTACTGTATTGTTTACGAAATATTTAGTGATAAGATACGTAACTATAACTCTAAGCAACAATATCTTGGATAATAGCTAAAAACTTGTAGTAAATAATAAATTCATTGAACTACCTATAGATTGCACGTCGCCCCATAAATCTGCAGTTCCTTTTTTTGTGATATTCAGCGATATCTTTCACTTGCCAGTTCAGGTTTGCATCTCAGTCAAGACCTCCAACAAAATGGACGGAGGCGACGGAGCAGGAGATGGAGGCAGCTTTGATGCGTGTGAATGCATTTACAGCCATCAAGCTGGGATGCAGAGGCTGATTAGTTATGTAAGTAACACGTCGAGGTGCGCCTATTTTTAAAAAAATTATTATGTTTTCTGTTTTTCTACTTGTCGTATGCCACCTTTGTATGTACATATTGCGAAGGGTAAGGTGTATAAAGGTCACATTTACTGTTTGCAGTTACGTCAGGCGCAGTCAGATTGCACAGATTCGGAATGTTTCAATGAAAGTAAGTGATAGTACAGCGTACGGAATATCAGAACGCTGAACAAATATTTACGACGCTAACAAATGTTGATTACATAAATTGTTTTACATCGTACAGATACATGCTTAAGCAACTTCGTAAAGACTAATGCACTGCAAGTATTAGTATTAGTCTTTAGTGTAAACTCCAAATGAATTTGTAGGGTCTGTTTGGTCACTGGTGAATTTAGATTTTTATTTCTGCAGTATGGGCACTGTATAACTTATCGTTTTTAGCTCCGGGTTCACGGGATTCCACGCAAGCTAGTGATCCTTCGAATTACACTGGGATTTTGCTTATGTTTACCTGGCTGATGATTGCACTCGTTTTGTACTTTATGCGACCTGCCGCAATGCGACGAGGAGATCAAGGAAAGGGCAATAACGACAGAAATGTATGTTGCGATAAGCGAGTTCAGTACTAGCGACATTGATAATCTGGACATTTTTAGTGAAATAAGCGCGTTGATCTATTTATCTTACCGGTTACGGTTAGCAATGTATTTCTGCATGCTGCAGTATTTCGTGTAGGCGTGAATTGCGAAACGTTTAAGTCCGTATAACGTACAAACGTATTCAGCGTTTGCGATTTCGAAGTGTGGTTTTTCGTCGCTTTGCTCAACCGAACGTGATAGTATGCGACCAGCTTTTGTATAAATTATTGAAGTTCCAACAACGATTTGGACGAGATTGTTATTTTCATATTTTGACGTCAGCTTGGCTGTTCACCTTGTTGAGAAAATATTCGTTCGGTAGGATTTGTTTTACATCAACCATAGGCACCATGTGTTCTGCAATTTTTAAGTAGAAAATGATGAAGTAGTTAGTAGTATGTGCTGGCAAATGTAATCCCTTTCTTTGCAGCACACTTATGAACACGATCGGCAGAATTATTATACGTGTTATCATTTGTACGATAGCATACTAGTAAAGCATTTTATGTAATTGTTAACGAGATACCGTGCTTCACTTGCGGCTATGTTATACGGAAATTAGTTTACGAAATTATGCGTTACGCAACTTACGACCAGCGATATTTAGAATGTGTTCTCAGAATCGAAAGGGCTTACGAATTTTTGTATAGAAGTAGTAATTAATTTGCGTCGTTTGAATACGGTTGCCCGTAATAATTATAATAATAATTTATTGGTTTCTCTTTAACAGAGTCACCAGGATGGCGACCATATGCCACCCGCCCCACCTGTGATGTGAATCCCGATGGTGTTATGCCTGGAGCCTATTAGAAGGATAAAAAAGCCGTCTACATTCGCATGTAACCTGACCACTTTGTTGTGCTAAGGAAGCAAGCGGAAGATTATCTTGCTCTTTCTTTGGAATATTGTCGCCAATACCATTCTATCTGACCTATGTACAGTCGATAATGCGCCCATACTTCACGAATTGCTGTTCGCTACAGTTTTATACTCTTATATTCTGCTTGCCTTCGTTTAAGTTTTGCTGATGCCAGCGTTGCCCGTTAGCATCATTTTATGATCCGATATAGATTACTTGCGAATTCTTTCGATTTTGTAATGGGTTTATCTGTCATTTCTATACCGTTACAAATTACAGTTCTGGTGAAAGTTTATGACTCGCCCTTTGTTTTGCAACTCGGAGCGATCATTGAAAGGTGATCGTTTAGCTTGTTAGGAAATGTAGTTTATGTTTTCGTTTTATTGTCCTTACGTGAACGACGTCGGCATTAAGCTTTTATAGACAGCCATTAAAGCACTATGTGTTCTGCTGATTTTTGATTTGAACTATATAAAGTATGTGCTGGCAGATGTAATAGCTGACAAAATTAATGTAATTCGACAAGATGTACTTACCAAGTGAAGGTTTTTTTAACATACTGTACGGTATATCTACTACTATATACAGTATGTGCAAGTGAAAGGTCTACTGTAAACTGATATGCAGTAGGAACATCCAGTGAAAGATCTGCTGCGTTTTATATATGTTTGGAACTTTAAAACAATATATTTTATCACGATCGGTACGATGATGATGATATCGATACTTGTGTTTTAGCAGGATGTCGGTGCGCAAATGCTCAGTGCTCAAAAGACAGATACTGACATCTAGTACCATTCTAACAGAATAGATTAGTATGGTGACTACTTTTTAACAATAAATAACAAATATGTACTTACTTTAACTTAGGTATATTGATACGGCCCATACGGGGTAATTATAGAAGGACAAATTAGAGAAGGGTAAATTTCTAGATATACACTGAAGATATCTGTTTCAGCAAAATAACAGATCTTGTTGTTCATGAACTGCGTTTGGCACAATTTACTTACAGTACTTGTGTCATGCGCAACCACCCGTGAAACGCCTTACGGTTCGCAGCTGTTTGGCTTGTTGCTGAAGTCTGGATGTCAGAGATTTGTGACTTTGTCACAAATTTTTTCGAATAAGTACTTAAACAAAGTATTTATTTCATGTTTAAAACTTATTAAATGCAATTTGTAAGTATCTGGAGCAAATTTGATAGTTCTTTTTTTCTACGTATGCCCGTACAGACATCTCCCACCAAATTTTAATGTATTTGCTGATCGACGCTGAAAGCGCCATAGAAGTAATGGTACAGATTTTCCAAACTGCGTACTGGTGGGTAAAATTGTTACTTTAATGCGACCTTATTAAAACCCGTTTTTAAATTTTGACAGATTTTTGCCGTAACAAGCTATAAGTTACATCGTACGGTCCATGTTCGTGACAGACCGCAATGAGCAATATCTACATCCAAGAACCGCCAACGAGCGGAAAGGTAAGTCACAAACTGTGACAAACAGTTTGAATTTGCGCTGGTTGTGCATTGGAGTGATCTGAAGACTGCACTTCTGGCAGTAAACACGATATTCTAATTGTGTCCTCGGCGATTGTTAGGTGGTTATGAGAACTACATTGGGAGACATCGAGATCGAGCTATGGTCCAAAGAAGCTCCTCTGGCCTGCAGAAACTTTGTTCAGCTGTGCCTCGAAGGATACTACGACCGGACAATTTTCCACCGTTTAGTGCCGTCGTTCGTCGTGCAGGGCGGTGATCCCACGGGAACGGGTTTCGGTGGCGAATCTATTTATCCGGAGCCGTTCAGAGATGAACTGCACAGTCGTCTGCGTTTTGTACGCCGCGGTCTGCTGGCCATGGCGAACAGCGGTGAAAAGAATTCCAATGGAAGTCAATTTTTCTTCACGCTAGCTGCCACACCGGATCTCGAGAATAAGCACACGATATTCGGGAAGGTTGTGGGGGATACGATTTATAATCTCCTCAAGTTCAACGATGGCGAAGTCGATGCCAATGAGCGACCGGTGTATCCGCATAAAATTATTCAAACAGAGGTGTGGTCAGTAAGAGTTTAATGTTTTCGATTTAAATGAACCCTTTACTTTCTGAGCCATAACTATCCATACTTCGAAGTATTTTTGTACGTAATACAATTTTGTGAAATTTTTTTTCTGTTATTTGTACTATTGGCGTACAGCTATACTGACCGTGAAATAACTTGTTCGATTTTCTTCCAGGTTCTTACTAATCCATTCCCAGATATTCAGCCCAGGACTTTGAAGCCAAAGCAGGATGAAAAACAAATTCCAGTGGCTGCTGCATCTGGAGCTCGAGCAACGAAGTATGTTGGGTTGTTTTCCGTGCATAATGCATTTTCATGCATTTTACATGTCGCTCGGACTGTTGAGCGTTATAAACAACGAGCATACGCTCTGGGAAAAAAAGTGTAAATTCGCAGAGCCAATGTGCGATAATAATAATTACTGTCTGCGTGGTTAAAATTGTAAAGGATTTTTTAAGGCTTAGTTCTCTTACTTATTTAATTACGTGCTCGTGTAATTACAGTGAATGTTGTTTTTTTCAGAAATTTTGGGTTGCTTTCGTTTGGAGATGAAGCAGAAGAAGAGGAAGAAGAAAACACAGCAGTAGCAACCGTACGCATAGCCCTTCAATGCGTACTGTAATTTGACTCGGTTTTAATGACAGGTTTTTTTTCAGGTGTTCAGTTCGAAGCCTAAAAGTAGCCATGATCTCGCGAACGATCCTCGATTAAGTTCTCAAAGTGTTCTAGATGAAGAAGCAGACCCGAAGGGCGGATATCAACGCGAATCACGAGATATTGCTGCGGATTCTGTTCAGAAAAGGAATGTTGATTTCAGTTCGACTTCTGTGATGGATCAGGCTCCGATAGAAGTAGGCCAGGTCACTAAAGTTCCCACTTTAGAAGAAGCCAAGCGCCGTGCAGCAGAACTTATGGATGAATTAACCAAACCAAAACCACAAAGCAGAATGCCAGAAGTGGGTGAAAAACATTCGGCAAACGGAGACACTGATGCAACGGTAGCCGAGTATAAAAATCAGTTGAATCAGTACGAGTCGATAAGGAGAAAGAAAGGCGAGAACAGAGAAGAAGATGTAAGTACTCATGAAGTATTGTAAAGCTTAGTTAGTATGTCTGGCAGGGATGGATATTTCAGCAGCTTGAATGCAGCGCGGAAGAGTTAAGCGAGCAGGTGATGGTTGTCAGGGCTTATTCCCTTAAACCTGAACTATTCAGGGTTTTAATGAATGAGTGAATACTCGCCTTCCTACGGGTAGTATTCGAAACATTTATTTTTTTCTCGTGAATGAATGCGGTACGTGGTTCGGGCAATCAAAGTTAGGTACAAGTAGGATATGCCAGACCGCAAGGACTTGAAACAGAATAATTAAAAGTAGAAAAAATGAAAGTTTTGACCGTTCATCTCGCTGTGCACTAAGTCTATCCTGAAGCATATCCAGTGCGTTTTACTTAAGTAGTTACACAGTCCGGCGAAGCTGCGCGTTTGAAAATTTTTGGGGTCAGCAGTAAAATCAATTGAGCAATTAGGTAACATCGAGCACAGACTCGTTCCGGTCTCATTCAGTCTCGTATTCGCGTTTGAACCCTTGTCAGTTCATGGGAATGACGTCAGTTCATTGAGGAAGTTCTCACTAGTGGGCTCTTCTCGTTTGCGGATTAGTAGTGGGATTAGTGTGGGCCAGGGATTATATAATCCTGGAAAGATTGACAGGGTATTAATTTGACACTTTTGACCTGCATGGTTTCCCCCTTCGGACGCGAAAATTAGTTGATAGCCTAAACTTTTTCCATGCGGATGTGTGGGCTACATTTAAGTAATTAAAGGATCTTAAGGCTCTCACACCGCATTTATGAGAAACGTTGGAGGAATGTGCGGTGACTGTTACGGTTACATTAACTTACAGATAGTTTGAAATAGTAGGTGCAGTAAATCGTTGCCGTAGATAGTTGAAAGGGTTCACAGTTGTGAAACAGAATGAAATCTTTGCTTAAAGTTGTTTTAGTTTTGACCTTTGGAATAGCAGTTGCTTTTGGTTTAACGTATATATTTTTTAGAGTTTATCAGGTATGTATCTCATTTCTCATATTGTTGGTTTTGTAGATCCTTAAGAGACTACAAAATTTTAAAACTATTCTTAAAACATCCATGGCTGATGAAAGTGATCTGGCACCACCTCCGGCTGACATCGATCTGGATACAGAAACCGGAACTAGTTGGTAACGTTTGCATTATGTATTACTTTTCTGTATTTTCTGTTTCACGGTTTCCGCGCTTACAGGATGAAAAATAAATTATCTTTCGAAGAAGAACGCTTGGTATTAGCAAAGGATGCAAGTTTGAAAGCCGATGACTGGTATGACTTATATGATCCTCGCAATCCTATCAATCGACGGAAACGCGAAGGAAAAAACGAAGAATCTACTAAGCGAAAGAAAGATTCCGTTGTTGATTAGTTATTGATATATCACGCACAGTTTGACTTCTTTTATTGGGTTTTAAACTGTTATCATGAAACTATTCCATTTAGCACGAAACTTTTCATGCTTTATGGGAATGTGAGTATGTACTGTACTATGTACTGCTTACTACTACGTAGTGCATTTGAGAAAGTTGTATGACCGATATCCCCGCACTGGCTTTCATCATTATTGTACGTATTACATACTGTTCTTGCAGAGTTTGTACATGATACAAAGGGCATAAACACCGTTTTCATGTTTAATAATACAGTACACTTTTAGGTAAAAGGGAAATAAAAAACCAAATCACGATTTAATGCTCATCTTCAAGCCAGGTCACGGAAGATCAAGTTTAAAAAGCGGATTATATGGTTTCATCATGGAGAAAAACATCATCACTTTCCATTAGTGAAATAATAGCACGAGTATCTGTACAAACGATTCTCACGGCCAGTGTTAAATATTATATCATGCCACCGGTGCTTATGCGAGCTCATCCGAAATCCAGCGTGCAGTTACGAGATATGCTGCTGTGTCGATTTCGAATGGTCGAAAGTATCCTCCGCGTCGTAGTACTCATCGTCACTTGAGTATGACACCCATGGCAGGATGTCGGCACGGGACGAGATTCGTGCGTCATCAGCATCCAGGAATCGTTGTTCGACGTGCGAGGGGATTTTTGAAGCTGGACGAGTTGCGTTGACAGATCCGGCTAAATCGGGTGCCACTTCACGTGCTGGTTGGGCACCCATTCGCACTTCGTCATTACCCAAGTATCCCACACCGGCTACACGGGGATCAGCCGCATTCAGGTCAAGTACAGGTCCTTCTTCAAATGGGGTACGTGGATTCATACATTCATTCTACGCACAACCACAAAAAACATATCAAAGTGGCACCTGCTGCTGTGAAGATTTAATAACGTAAGTTAACTAAACTCTTATTTTGACAGGTGTTTGTCTGCTGTTTAGATTAACAAGTTCATCTTATGTCATAGCAGCAGTCGTAACAAATAACCGGCACGCTAACCAACGGAGTAATACATTCGTCAATCGATGCCGGAAATAGTCCGTTTAAAGAACGAACAAACATCCACATGAACGGGATGCTAATACCATACATTTCCACACAAACCTTGGCAATCTGAAGAATTACTAGGGCATGCTTGATATATTCTGTCATCTGTTCAGCTCGCTCGATGATAGCATCCAATTTCGCTCTACCGGTCCCTTTCAACTGATCGCGCTTCGTCCTGAGTGCCTAACCGAAAAAATCAAGAGTAAAAAATGAATCAAAGTGGAATTTACGGTCATCAATCACGGTCAAACAGGGGAGCTGTTTAACAGAGGGTATATTAGGCGGATTGGATATCCGCTCCCAAAGTATAAAGTGTATAAAAAACCGCATATTAATGCTTGTCAGTGACGTCAATAACGCAAACTGGGTGAAACAAATGGGCAGAGCAAAGTGGCATTCCCTGCACACTATCCCCAAAACCAACAACGCCTTGATTCAATTTTAGACAGAACAATAATACCAGACAGTACGCCCCATTTACTAGAATTATGTAGGGCGACTGGTTAACAGTTCATAAATTGTATGTTTCAAACATAAAAAAGCGAAATATCATTAAAAAATGAGCAGCTTCGTACTCTGTTAATGGATTTCGCTTTCATAATATTTTTATAGCTAAGAAGACAAAAATGTTGCCATAAATAATTCACATAGTCAACCATGAAACTCGTAAAACAATCATTTTCTCGTGTTCAAACTTCAGAGTGAGTAACTGATAGCAGTGATTTTTTTCCCAAAAACCTCTTCTCCATTGAGAATCAAAAAGAACATTACATATCATGCAAACAGTGACAAAAATCAAAATGTTTCACCAAGAGAAGTGAAAAAATACCTTGATTTGTTCCAAAAGTAACTGCAAATAAGCATCACTTTCCGTCAACCGTTTTTCGAATTCTGGAAGATTTGGTTTGTACCGCTGCATTAATACCTGTAAAGGTAAAACGATTGGATAAAGACAAAACAGTCTGTCGGATGAGAGTTTAGTTTTAGTTTAGTTCTGCTAACCTTATTTGATCCATGATTCTGCAACCGTATCACGAATTCCAAGGCACGTGTCCACTGCTCCCTTTCGTCAGCGTCTCTAGCTACAAAAACGCAAGCAAATTCTTCATAACCTCAACAACACCCAATTCTTTATAGCAATCACCACAAATTTCACAAAATCCGCGGAGCATCGGTGACGATACTCTTGTTCGTCATTGCAACGGACAAACAACCATAATCGATCACAGTTAAGCACGTCGTCTTTAACTGAAGCGATAATTGTGCGAAATGCGGCTACGAATAGAATTTATCGACCACATCAGTGGGTGTCACTGGATGACACCTACGCAATCGGAAGGCCCAGTCTATAAATAAATTAAATAAACCATATTACATAAACAATTCACGTACCTTGAAAATGGAAAGTTTTATGATCAACTTTGACGGTGAAGGTTGAATCATCTTCGCTGTCAATGCCCAGGATAGCATGCTTCAGCCTCACACACCCTCGTCGCACGCCTTTGCTCATTTTCTCTTTCGACTGAAAAGCACGTCCAGGAAATTACGATAGACAGATGCTCGTAATAAGCGATATTATTGAGGATATTGCATTTTGCGTCATCCTCGACTCACCGTGTAGTACGACAATACTCCGTTGTATTCGTCCAGCACGAACCAGCCTACACACACGAGAATGTACGGTGCACAAAAAATCGAAATATCCGAGCACTACCACAGACAGGTTTTGTACATCACATTCTTTGTCAGAAAGCGAGAAAGCATGAAGAACCAATTTTGTGAACGCACAGACACTTACGATACTGCCATCCCTGCATAACATTAGTCCATTTTGAAAGCGGCCCCTCCTGATACATCGTCGTTTCGATAACTAAAACACAAAGACGACAAAGTCCCACTTTTTCGCCATCCAGCAAGGAGAGCCGACCTTCGCTTACCAATTTGCAGCAACAAAATTTAATGGAAGCTGGAAGCCGAAGCAGCCTGTCATTCAGCTCTGAACAACCACTCACAACAAAAAATTAAAAACAGTTCTAAATCCTAACTGTGAAGTCCAGCCGAACTTATTATCCTTCTATGGCTAGACTGCGAATTAATCTTAACGAACTTAAAATAGAAGTACTGTATGCAAAACAGCAAAAACATTCAAAAATGGTAAACTGCTGTACTCGAATCTAAAATTGAAATTTACGCTCATTAGCAATCAAAAGGGGCTTGTTCTGTTCTACTATAATGGCAACTATATTAATTTGTCACAAATTAATATAGTTACTAACTTTTACAAATACGAGTATAATTGCTACAAAAACACAAAAATTAACGGGAAATGACGTTACAGTAGTGAATGACTGAATGCAGGCGAAAATCGCTATCATCCTGAAGGTGGGCAGTCGCACGCGGGCTGGGTACCACGCCCAGGGGGAGATTTTGTGCGCCAGTTAGCCAACCACGAGACGTGGTATCTAGTGACGCAGTGCGGATCAAGTCTGGAGCGGACAGTCGTTCCCCCAATTTTTTGACGTGCAACCTTGTCCGTCATTCATTAAAATTCGGATCTCAGTCTCACAGAAAGTTTGTAAATAGATTGATAGGATTTGGAATATATCCCTGAAACCTTCTCATTTCTCTCGTCTACCATTATGTGACTTATCGCTGCCGTTGTGTGTTGCCGTAGATCCACTTTTGCATAATCTGAATTCTATGGTATCATGGCTTGCGGTTGAAGGATCGTGGGATAGACAGCAAAAGCTGTACCTACCAGTGTAGCTGTTTCTTAAAGCGATTACTCCCTTTGATAGCGAAAAGTTATCTTAAATTTTGGTTGTGCCATGGAAAAGATTGAACTTGGAGCGCCCTTTCGGGCAACCCGTCTGGTAAGCTTTGTAATTGCTGGCAGTTGGCAGAAATAAAAGTTATTTAATAATTTAAATCATGATTATGATACATTCTGTACTCTGGCTTTGTCTTTGTTTGTTCCGAACATGTTTTGATTGAATCACTTGAATGAATTTAAATCTTTTCTTATAACTTCATGGTGTAATACTAATAGGCCGTCGATTCTGTATTGAAATTTATAAATCTTGGCAGTATTGTCTGTTATAGCGCCTATAAGTACCTTAAATACACTTCACAGTATATTATAACTATTACCCTTTGTGTTTTCAAGGCCGTTTTGCGTAGAGTTAGACATACGGCACATGCCTACCTTATTTCAGTTTTGGCTGTTTAGCAAAAACATGTCGTGAAAGATAAATTTTCTTATTTGTTTTTCTTCCTTTTAGTGGAACATGGTAGCCAATGCCTTTACTAGACAAATGCCGGTTAGAAAACACTGGTCTAGGTTGCAGAAATACGAAGAGTGTTTTACGGGCTCGGAAGCGGTAAGCGTTGTGACGTTATCTGACCGATTAGCTTTCGATCACTTGTCATTAAATTAATTACAAACAATATTTATGCTGGTAATTTTTGGGATATTGGTTAACCGCAGACAAAAGTTTTGGAATCAAGATCTTTTAAATTGATCTGTTTTTCAAAACAAATATTATGGGTTGAAAGGACGTCGATTGCATTGGGCAGTCTATATATGGGTTTTCGTATTTTAGGTTGAATGGATGCATGCTTATCTAAAAAACAACCCCAATTTTGGTGAAAAATGCACCAGGTAAGTTCAGCTTGGTTCGAAACTTACCCAAAAATGTATCCTTTATCGTTCATTTTGCATTTTGAGTTTTGTGTTTAGTTGTCGAGTTCTGATTCCCTAGCTTGGCGTAGTTTTCAGAAAAAGTTTTCATTATGACTAGAAGCAGTACAGAAAAGGTTTTGAAAGAAAATTATTGCGAGACGGTATTCGACGAGTTTATTTTACTTTGCGCCGTTAAGTGTCCACTTCACGAGCTAAACTGGTTTCGTAAGTTCTGTAATTTAATCATGTAAACGAGTGTTTATGTTCTTTTTATAACTGTAGCTTCTCTAAACTTCATTCAAGTGGCCGAGGTTGTTTAAGTTGACTGGTCTAGCTATAAATACAGGTAGACACTGTTAGATCTAGGTACAAAGTATGTTAGTTCGTATATTCTCTTTGTAGGGCCGTTGCTGTTAAAATGCTACAGAAACTTCTTGCTCATGAAGCCTTTCAACCAGTCCGGCCGTCAGGCAAAGACAGCCATTCACTCAAATTCAAAGAAGACAGTCAATTGTACAAATTCCCTGCATCGCTGACCAGTGAGAACGGTGTTAAGTCTGTCCGACCCTTCTCACTATCCAATGGTCAGAGCAAATCTTTGTCTTGTGATTATACCACGCATCCGACCGAATCAGCCAAACTAACAGCGGAAGACATATGGACCGATGAGTTCTATGCTCACCTGACAAAGTTACTGCAACTGGATATCGAGGCCACAATATGTCCGTTCGCTGATCGTGCCTTGGAGATTCAGAATGTCATGAGCAATGTCACGCAGCAGCGCTGGCCGGAAATCAGTTCAGTTGTGCCGGAATTTGTGTTGATGGCGATGAAGGGGTTGGAAAAATGTACGCCATTCCCATCCTGTTTGAAAATAAAATATCATAATACACCGCCCTGCGCATTGAAATTATTAACATTTTCGCCTGTAATAGGGCCTAATACACCAAAGGGTGTGCCTAATAGCCTGGGATTTGAACGTTCCTTGATGCACGTCGTCGAGGCTTTTTTACGGGGAAATTGTTGCCCTTTAGTTGATGGAGCCACAGCCGATTTACTGAAACAGTGTTTCGGTAAGAGTATGATTTCGCAATATATTGAACGTAAATGCCCCCAGAATTGATTTAAATCAGATGTCTGAAACTAGAAGTACAAATTAATATTAACTAAAATTTGCATACGCGTTAAAATAAGACCAATAGATTTGCTGAATATGACAGGCAGCCTTGAACGCATCAAATTAATTTTGATATTGATCTAATGAGTGGCCGCATTTTGAGTCATTTTTGACACATGTCAAAGCTATCAGTCCAACCTGATACGGCTACCAAACGAGATGTCATTTCGGCGAGTTGTTTTTGTGCAACTCTTATTTGATGATGGTACTTATAAATCCTATTATGGTTGTGGAAATTTCCTATTGCATTAGATCTCCTTTTTTGTGATCATGAGATCTTGAACAGGAAGAGCTCTAATCGCCGGCAGAACAGTAGGGTTTAAATTGGCTGGGAAATAAAAGACAGCTGATTATTATTCTGCCATTCATGGGCGTACTTCCTGTTGTTGAAGACAGCTTGATTATATTCTGGGAAGTGGTGATCTGTGTTAAAGCTGCCTGTGAAGTCGTACTTGCTGCGGATCGCGCGTATTTATCAGCTTGTAAAAACACATTTATTAACCGGAAACATCCTATTTGCAGAGCTTTTATTACCAACTATCCCGAAGCGGCACAGCATCAGCATCGACACATCCTCGTCAGTTGAAAGCTTTATGATGGAAATTCTTAATCATCGTGACGCACTGAACGGTACGAATCAGGCTGAGTCAGTGGTTTATGAAACGGAATTCTCTGGAACGGTACCGGAAACACGACTCGTACGTAAACGGCCGCGCTCAAACAGCCTGTTTCCCAGTCTGGACTCGACATCCTGTGGTGGGCCATCCAAACCTTCGTCCAGCAGCCGATCCGGAAGTTCGGAATGTGTCATGCCCGTTTCAGCATCTGTCAGCAGTACAGGAAGTTCACCGATTATGCCCAAGATTACGCGCCATTCCATTGATCTGTCCATGCGGCCGGTCGGGTCGAGTCTGGAGAAACTCAATCCCGGATATCGTGATGAAAGTTTTGATGATTTAGATGAGCAGTTTTATACACCACTTGGCAAAGTATGTGGTGCAGCCGGCAACGGCTGCTCGGATTGGGATGATTTGCTGCTGACGTCACCATGCCCGAAACTGATCAGCAGTGTTCAGTTAGTGCTAAATGCACTGACACCCAAAGCTTACGCACTACTTCGGATGGTTCTGGGAATGTTCGAACATGTGGTGAAAAATAATCGACTGAATTTTTCCGATGACCTCCCAACAACTTATTTCGTAAGTGCCGACAGCCGTGTCTAACAGAATCTTACAGGGGGGTTTGCTCTGTGACTTGAATGGGTCAACAATCAACTGTTATATCTTGCTCTTGTATCTGTAACGTAATTTATTAGTGTATCAGTATCGTTGATAAAGTTCTCCTACTTAAATATACTGATTGGCGATTTCATAAAAAAATGGATGTTGATAGTGGGCAAAGTGAAAGTACCTTATCTTTTGCTGCGCTGTACTTTAAAAATAATATAGATATGAGTTTAAGGATTCGGTTCGGAAGACTTTTATTCAACCCTTTATTAATTTTATATTTGTGCTTTAACTTTCAGTTAACCCTGCGTGATGATTTAGCATGGTCCACTTGCTTAACTATCATTCTTAATTTTGATATGTGCGACAATCACGCATCATGATTATGGAAGAGATCATCTTCACTAATCTTCACATTTCGGATTGTGTGATACTCGTAGTTTAACGTTAAGTGGCTAACGGTTGGTTTTTCATGCAGATTGTTCGATGCTTCACGCCAATTATATTCCCCAGTTCTGATCCATCGTTCATGCATTTATTGCGGTTTATGATCTCCAATGCTGGGAGGTTGTTTCAACAAGTTGAAGAATTTCAGCAGATAGTGGAATTGAAAATCAAGGCAGTAGGCATCGTTTCTGCCTTTTCCCAGCGTATTACCAAGCAGGAGTACGATGCGCAAAAAGATTTGTTGAATGACCATATGGCCATTCTGCTCAACAGTATCATTGCCGATGCTTCGATGAGCATTAAAGACAAACGGAAAAAACTAAAACAGGTAAACTAAAAACACTATGCCCCAATCCAGCGTGCTTGATACTGGTAAAGTGTGGGTAACGAAAACTTATTTCTTTTGATATGTATTTTTTTGCGGTGTAGTTTCAGAAACAGTATCCGGACGTTTACGCAGCCCGCCTCGCCAACTCCACAAGTGAAGAGTCGATTTTTGCTGCCTGCAGTAGCAAGCCGAAACCTCGGTTGACTAAATTCAAAAGCCTTCGCATTTAAGGAAATCTATTCCGACATATGGAGGACTTGCCAGAGTGTTTTCCTTAGAGAAAGGAAGCGGAAATGTCCTTTCCGTTCTTCTTGTTTTTACTTTTCGTTTACTGATGACCAGAACCTGCCTTACCGGGATCTCTCTAATCGTTTTGCATTTTTTGCGTCCTTGTAGTCAATATTATTTTGACTTTTTATTGTATTGGCTTTCGAATCTGAAGTGCCTGCTTGTTCAAACGCGATAGTTTGCACAACATTGTCCTTTTGATAGGAACACATGTATTGATTAAATGTTTGATTTTTGATACACAGCTATTTGCTAACGAATCTGTTTGTCAGTGTACAGCCGAATAGCCGATACAGATTCGCCGTACCAGACTTGGTCATTAAGGTAGTATGTGCGATCTGTAATCTGCAAGAGTTCGAGTCACAGGTACAGAGGGAACTTAAGGTTAACTACACTACCTACTCGTAGACAGTCGTAGTCACTGTTAACAATTGGAAGTTCAACCGGAAATGGTTAAAATAGTCCTACTCGGGTTGTTATTCAAACAGTCGGTAACTGATAGTCACACGTGGATTTTGTGTACTCACTACTGATTGCGAGTTCGTATTGTTCATTCGTATTCTAAAGTATATACTGCGGAACACAAAACATAAACGATCTCGACACAATTTGTAAACGTGCCAGTACAAAAGTGCAAAAACAGTTGTAAAGCGTGACTGACGTCATGCCTTTAGGGAATGCTCATTCTGACAGCTATGTATATCAACATCAATTATGGACGACTGGGAAATGGAATATGGATAACGAACGTGTGCATATCAATAGAAAAAACCATCCCCTTTTCGGGACCAGCAATTCATGTTAACGACCAAAATAACCTGGCCTCTGGGAAGAATACTTCAATTACGGCCCGGCATTGGGGTTCAATCACTTAAAAATTCCAATACCCAAATTATCGAGACAAATCATCGTTGTGGTTTTGGCTTTCAATACAGGCCCGTCTTTTGCATGATTCGGAGAAACTCCTTCTCGTCCACTTCTCCATCACCATTGAGGTCAGCTTCTTCAATCATCTCACGCAGTTCTTCGTCAGTCAAATTTTCACCGAGCTCTTTGGCAACCCGTTTGAGATTCTGAAAACTGATTTTGCCTGTCTCGTCACTGTCGAAGAGACGAAAGGCTTTTTGGATTTCGTCGTGTGCATCCTTTTCGTTCATTTTCGTCGTCAGTATGGAAAGAAATTGATCAAAATTGATATTGCCTTCCTCGCTTTTGATATCAGTCAGCATCTTTTTAATTTCTTCCTTTTTCGGTTCAAATCCAAGGGCTCTTAAGCAGACCTAAAATTATTCCAAATGACTTCAAACACCAAAAGTTAAGGTAATACATATGTAATACATACTAACTTCCACGGAAAGCAGAAACTTACAATCAAACATCAACAAACGTGTCGATGATGGTAATCAGTTAATTACGCATGCAACAGTTACTTGTAAGAATGCTTGGTTACCTTAAGATCTTTCGCGTCGATTTCGCCAGTTCGTTCCGGGTCAAATAAATCAAAAGCGTCGCGAATTTCTGCAACAGAAAAAATCAGTAGAAGTAAAGCAGATTAATTTATGCTTTATACACCTATAAAAACAATTTGACAGTCTGGATAAAGCGAAAACAAAAGTAATAACTGTTGCGTGCGTAAAACATTACTCGACCGCTGACCATAATGACGGGGCTATCATCATTAACTGTAAATTTCGTTGTTATTTGATAATAACACTAACAATACGCATGGTATAGTCTGCCGAGCTCTCTCCAAATAGGACAAAAGTTGGCGTGTCAGTCTTTACCAAACATTTGCGCTAATCGTATCGTTTACCTTTACGCTTTGCTCTTGGGATTCAGCTCGTATTATTCCATGCACAAAAAAATACCATACATTCCTTTTGCACATTATAATAAAGGCGTAAAGCAAATAACATGCGGTGTCGCAGTTTTTGTTTCAACGAGCACTATTTCAGAAGAATGACCAATGAACAAATGGCATGCGACGATTAATGGTTACGTACAAATGCGGTACAAGAAGATGATAATTATGAAGTTAGAATCAGTTAAACGATAACGAAACGAAGTGCAAACCGCGCCCCGTGAATTTAGTAAAATAATTAGCAGGAATAACTTGCCTAGCCACTGCAAACCCATGAAAAGCAATTATTCCTAGCCCCTAATTATGCCCGAGCAAATTACTTAATCTCTTACGCGTCCTAAGCAGCATATTCGTAAAACAGACTGCCGTACAAAATTATCCACGAACTGCAGCAGACTAACCGAAATCATATTTTGATACGACGAACTGCAGATTATCTCATACAAAGCAAAAGCAGCTAGAGCTTAAATTACCTCAAAATTTGTAAATCTTTCTCACCTTTCTTTTGTTTTTCAGACAAATCCACTTTAAGCGTCTTCTTGCGCGATCCACTAGCTTGCCCGTATTTCGCAGATTTCGAAGCCATGTTATTAGTTTTCTGATGGACAGTGTTCCCAACTCCAGGCTTCTGTCAAATCGCCCAAAACAATTTTCTGCAACCAGAAACTCCGCAATGGCGTTGTTATTCTTTTGCAGCCAAAGGAGTGAACTTCCACGCACACCGGATTCCCAAATATCTACAATACAGGAGCTTGCACAGGAGAAATAATAAAGTCATATAACACCGAATTATTGACAATAATTGGGCATATATAGAAACAGATCGTCTGGAATGTCAAGTGCAACAATTTTTGATCCATCAACGAATCAGCTGCAGGAGGTCTCATTTACGCTGTTGTGATTACACAAGCACGTACAATGCCATACGAGAGCACACAACCTGGCTCCTGTACGTGTTGTTGCAAAGGAGTTCCACGCCCCCAACCACAGGACTGCGACAGGAGGGTAGTCAGGAAACGCAAATAAACCTGCTACAGCCGTCAGCCGGATCCACTTACAATTTACTTGCCACGAAACAGCTCACGTTTTTCCTGCAGTCCGGACAAAGCCAGTGTTATCCGACCTTACCCAGACTTTGTAGTGCAAACAAAACCGTTGTATAATTCAATGGCGAACGAAATTACGGACTTCCGTTTCTGCGATGGTCGATTATTAGCAGATCATAACAGGCAACAGTCAGCAGTACAGTACTGTATATACTATATTCCACGTTTGACGATTCCACCAAATCACGCCGCAAATTACTGAACACCTTTTACTTAAGTACTAGCTGAAAATAATGAACGATAATAATTACAATAATAAATAATATATAATGAATAATAATAACAAGTACACAGAGACTGACAGAGTCGAATCAAGGATGAATAAAGGACGAAGGAACAAAACTTGCGAAAAATTTTTAATTCCTTGACCGTGAACTCGGGGTGAACCGGTGAAGTACAAAAGATACCTCGAAAGACTCAGCAACGAGTCAGCGAAAAATCAGTGTAAGTATTTACGATTAATTATAGTACAGTACTTATACACAACACACAGCTGGGATTGGCGAATGGCGAGCGTAAGACGCTTTAAGTGGAAGTGGTTAGGCACTAGGCAGTAGAATGTTTATGATGATTATGATGACGATTAATATTAGCGAAGGCAAATGTGGAAGTGCTACATACTTATTTTTAATACAAAAACAAAAATCAATGGAAAACAAAAGATTTATTACTGTAGTGAAAGAACGAATATCAGCTCATATACTTTGCCCCAAATTGAGAATACTAGGCTCGGCCCGGTGGGGTATTGCGAAATATGCCGTTCGCACTTTCGTTTAAAACCGTGATCGAAAGCTTCCGGTACAGGAAAAGATTCTTGAAACTGATGGTTTGATTATCGCAGGACAGCCGTGAACTGTGAGGTTTGTTTTTTTAACCGCTTACATAAACAAGTCAAACGCGAATACTGAAAATCTACGAACTTTTTGTGCGAGTAACGAATTAAGTATTTACTGCACTGCACTCTCTTTACCCACTCCCACTGCAACCTGCGACTGGAGCTGTGTTATGGATCAGTTTTATGGAAGCGAATATTTTCGGCAGCGTCTGATCTTGGCGACATTAAGCGGAAAGTCGATACAGATTTCGAAAATTCGATTAAAAGAGGAGCATCCTGGTCTGGTTGGTACGGTGATTTTTTTCTGATTGAAATCATGAAAGTAGCAAGCGACAAGCCGTTCTGATGGGAGTTCTCACTTAACAACAAGCTGATCTTATTGTTAGATTACGAGGTGAGCTTCCTGCAACTTCTGGAGGCTTTAACGAACGGAACATCCATCGCGATTGACGAAACCGGTGCGTAAAAAGCTGGAAGAGCATTGCATCCTGACCTATTTAATTATTGGCTATGAACGAAAAAAGAGTACGGTACTTTTCTAAACTTTCAAAGAGTGAAACTGTTCAGGAACCCAAGTTACCTACCGTCCGGGGCTTCTCACTGGTGGCGATGTTGTTCTGGACTGTCCACCAAGCCGATCTGTGTCATACTACCTCGAAGCAATCCTTTTCCTGGCGGCTTTTGTTAAAAAGCCTTTGAATGTGGTTTTGCGGGGTATTACCAATGATGATGTAGATCCGTCGGTACGATCTCGTCTTTTACCTCGTTTTCAAGAAATATTTTTGATGTCTTTACTGCTACAGTATTTTCAGTCGTGTTTACTTTACCGTATCAACATGTACCCTTCAAGGGAAAAATGTTTGTATTTTTTATTTTATAGCAATAAAATTTCATTTTGAATTTTCCTTTCGCTTAATTACATCGAGTTTCAACTTCTTTATTCATGCTGACCACATCCAATGTTCGGATTGGTGAATTATTTTCAATTACATTATTAATTGTACATCCAAACCTGCGGCTTAGGAAATCGACTTGACCATTAGCACGGAACTGTCTGCATATGCTTCAGGTTGACTCAATCAAACACGCTTCTCTGCCGGTCCTCCAAAAATTCTTGGGAACTGACGAAGGGCTGGAATTGAAGGTATCCTAATTAATTGTTGCAGTCTACTCAACGTCTGGCTTGTGTAAAGTTTAACTACAAGACTAGTATAAGCTGAAATCCGCAGATAAACGTATGGTATCGAAATCGAAAGTGGATGACTGTAGTCGATTGTTTTACTTATTTACCGGCTGATAGCTGCCGAATTAAACCAAATTTTCCCGCATGGATTTTACGTATTTGTTGATTATTGTGTATCAAGTGTAGTTCATGCTGTTATCGCCTTTATTTGTTGGTAGATTTCTAAGCGTGGTTTGAGCCCAAACGGTGGAGGTGAAGTGCATTTTTCTTGCCCTTGTCGACTGAAACTCCGTCCCTTCCAACAGAAAGATGCGGGCATTATCAAAAGTATTCGTGGAGTTGCGTACGTAAAGTGTTCAATTTCCACACTCTTTTTCACAGTTGATTCAAGCATCTCGTAACGGCACTTGTAATTGTAGGCTGTAGCGATAAATTCTGTGCACGGAACAGTGCACCCACTGCACGCGTGATATTATTTGTATTACCGCACTTCTTGTTCTGATGCGCGCTCAGTACTTACCGTCTGATGTATGATGGTTTCATAAATTGTATGTGTATTCAATTTTTTTAGGTATGCTTGTAAAGTGTCGCCAACAATGGGTAATCGAGTGGGAGAAGCAGCGAAATCTAAACTGAAAGAATTCGTTGCTGATATTTATGTGTACACGGATCATTGTAAAGGGCCAAAAAGCGGATTGTAAGTGCTTACTATATAAGTGGTACTTGCACCATAATGAAAGGTAACGGAGTTATCTTTCATTATGCTTGCACCTTAACAAAAAAGTAACCATTTGTAACGGAAATAACTGTGCTTGCAGTCTGTGCTTGTGGGTAAAGAACCACTTCCAAGTTAGACATTACTGTTTTTGCTGACCATCGCTTCTGTTAGAATTGTTACAATTTTCAGACTCCCTTGATTGTGCTGCTTTTCTTAAATTGCTGCTTTTCTTTTCTTAAGTTGCTTTCTTAAGTTGTTTTCCTAAATTAAAGTCTTATTTAGAAAATATTGTGTAACCACTTACCAGTAGTCAGTTGACAAAAAGAATATTTAGATCACCTGGATTCGGAATAACGTTGATCGCCGAATCGACAACAGGTGTGAGGTATGCGATTGATGTTGCCTCATCTGTTCCCGGCTCCGGCCGTCCTCCTTCTGTGCCGGAAGATCTTGGAGAAAAAGCAGCAGATCTGCTTCTAGAGGAAATCTATCGGGTACGAAATTTCTCTCGAATTACTCAAAGTTGTTTACTGAACTGCTGCAAGTTATACTGATAACTTTATATCTGATTTGAGGATGCGTTTGTAACTTTGTACGTAGTTTTTATTGGGCATACATGGTGAGCCATTCAGATTCTAAAACCATTTGCGTTTTAGGGAGGTTGTGTGGGGATGGTTAACCAAAGTCTGGCTTTGCTGTTGATGGCATTAGGCCAGAGCGATGTATCTAAAGTGGAGATGGGTTCGTTGTCGCCCTTCTCGTACGTTAATACTTGCCTTTGTGGTCTGAGGATTCTAGGGTGAATTAATCCTGTTTTGGATTTTGTTTACAGAATTCAGTTTCTTCGTTATTTGAGGGATTTTTTTGGAGTTGTTTTTCGAATATCACAGGAGACCGACGGAGCTAAGAGCGACGGTTGTGCGATTTTTACGTGTGTGGGAATAGGTTATTCAAATATAAACAAGACTGTAGCATAAGTTTGTCTAACCGCTGCATGTACTCTGTACTGTAACGAGCGCTGAATGCTTTAATGTTGTGCTATGTGAAACCTTGAATGTTTTTTTACTGGGTTTAGCTGTTTATGAACCGCAAACTGAAAAACCTGTCTACTCAAGTCTGGAATACAGTGGCTAGGTTAAGCCTTGTGGTAACGTGAACATTAAAAGCATAGACCGTAAAGAAGGCTCGTAAACGTATAATTAATTTCATGTTGTAGCTTTGTACGAGCTTGGCCGCAGTAAACATCAGCACCTATCTGTACAAACCGAAAAAATAACCAGAAAAACGCCAAAGCTCGTAGAAAGCCACCCTTTGTGGCTCTGCGGGATCATTTATCCCAAGGTTTTATATTTCAACCATAGTACCAAACAGCTTCAACAATTTCATGGATGCAGATATCTGATATACAAAAGAAAAAAATAGAACTGAAAATAAAACGGTCACATCACCCGTTTCATGCATCGCGTATCTTTATGAATTTCTAAACACTTCTTCGAGCAGAACCTTTCCTCACAAGTGATGCACTTCATATTGCAAGGGAAACTGCAAACAGAGCATAGCAAGGGTCCAGGGTAGCGGGATCGAGGTGCTTCAGCAGTGAAATAATTACACACGGTGCTCGGATCTAGACATGTCTGGCCGTGATTGATCCAGAACCGTTCTTCATCCTGCAGAACCTGCGCGAAGGTTTTCTTCCACTTTTCAGATAGTTTTCCTTTGCGTGATTTCCGAATCTGTTTCCGTTCAGCATCTTCTGTGAAGGTGGGAATATTCTTAGCCATAATCAGATTCTTATGGGGATCCTCGAAATGGTTGTCCTGCTGTAACAACTCCAGGCGCTGACGCTTGGCTTCGGTCCGAAGTTTTTCTGCGGTGGCGCGCTCGCGAGCTCTCTTTTGCTCGATTTCAAAACTCCGATAATTTACTTCTTGAACAGCCATAATCAAGCGAAACACATAGAAGACAGCAGAAAACTAATGAAATTTCAGGAAATAATTAAATATAATTACATAAACGTAAAAGGTAAACCAGAAATCAGGAATGCAAGGGCTCCGTAGAGAAAAATATTTTACTGTTGACAAATTTCCGAAAAATGAAAACTGACCTACCTGCTATGGCAGCGAAGAAAAAATTATAATGTAAGGTAACTGCGGCCCTGAACCTGTCCTGCAGGGACAGGATCCTGCAAGTTCAGGACAGGATCCCTGTCCTGCGCCCACCTCTAATTTGTAGCACGACACGACGATGACTGATTGAGTAAACTGATTTCTGGAAGAGAACTGCGCAAAACGGGTCTCAAGTTTCAATAAGGGACGCAGACATCGTCTCGTGCAAGGTGCGGTCCCTATAAACCTTTCTACTGTAACTGCAATATTCTTGCATACATTTACGTACAGCGTGTCAAAAATTCGATGTGCCAAAATACATATCTGCATGCCCCATTCTTGTCAATTCGCAATGCGGAACGCAAATTTTATCGTCAGGCTTGTTCGTTATGGCTTCAAAATAATGAAAGTATGCAATTATATGGAGGCATTATAACAACGTATAAACAAAAATTAGTCCCAGCATAGGTTAAAGGCCTATCTTCTGCTAAAGACGAAAGACAATTGGTCTACTCAGTCTACTCTCTACTTAGATATTCAACCTCAACTAACAAACAATATTCAATTTACAAAACATTTTTTGAAAGGGAAATATCCGGTTCCGTTTTCTGGATTCGACCATTTCGGATACAGCATTTGGGATCTGCGCATCCGACAGCTCCTTTAGTGTCCATATTTGCCGCACCAACGGATTTGGTTTTAGCAGCTGAAGCTTGTAGCCGATCCAGTTCTTCTCTTTCCTCGGCATTCATTCTCCAGAAACAATCGCTGGTAGACGTCCAACAACGAGAATCATCAGTGTAAGTTTCCTATAAAAGTAATAAAACCACAATCTTGTACAAAGCTGCTATTCATTCGACATTACAGTACGAGGCAACATTCACGGATGGCGCGGCGGAGCAGCCCTATATTGACAAGGGAAGTAAAGAAATGAGTAAGAAATTATCTACTTAAAAATTTGACTCTTGTTTCGATGTTTGAGTTTGGAAGCCATGATTTATGCGCAGTGTCCAGTCTCACATTAATTGAAGACAACTCAGACAAGTTTAAAAAATGCATTTAAAATATAGTATATACTGGATGTCGCTGAAGTTGGCAAGTCCTACAATAATCTTTTACTTTTGGACAACAACTACTGTGATCGCGGTAGAATTACCTGTAAGACGGTAATTATAAGGTGCACAGCACACTGTACGTTGACTACGCTCAACTACAGTAGGTACTAGGTAGTAAACTTGTAACCTGAAGATTTTGGCGCATTACTCAGCGAATTCTGGGGTAAAAAATCACTCACTTCTTTCCACAATGGGAGCTTTTTTAGTTCCGCAACGGCAACATCCAGTGCCTGTCGTACTTCTTCTGATTCGTGACCAATGATACCCACAAATGAGTAGGGACAACTTGGGAAGACATACCTAAATAAACGGCAAGCTCGTTAACTATTAGCACACGACTAGTGGGTCACTGACAACGTACAGCTGGGCCGACCATGCTCATACTCTGATTCCAATATTTAAGTTGCGGAATGTAAATTACTATTACATTTTTTACTCGTAAAATATACCCGCAATTTGAAAACAACACTTATCAAAACAATCGTCTAAATTCTAAAAATACGGTAATATGCTGTGTCGTTTAAACCACTGACGAAGTCAATAAAATACTTGCTAAGGTACGGCAAATGGATGCTACTATGAAACTAATTAAACAGCTAAATATTTAAATAACAACTTTCACAAAGGTTTAAGGACGGTGAGACCAACTGTTACTGCTAACAGCTAAGGTGAAATCATTACCCGATCCGATGAACTAAAACGATATTGCGAACAGCGTTCCATTTCGCTCTAATCGTACAGCAGATTTCTTTCATCTTCTGTTCAGCCTTCGCGATATGCATATCGAACTGCACCATCTTTATCTCCTTGCCGTTGGTTTTTGTGGAGTCCAGCTCCGGAGAAACGCTAACAGTTTCTGGAAGTAATTCAACAAATTCCCAGTTAGCAGACGAAGATCAGAATGTGAAAGCTGGTGTCAAACCAATTTAAAGCGTAACTCAAGCTGTTGCGAACTTACGGTGAGTACCATGTCAGCTTCTTGCAAAACTGGTAAACGGTAACCATACCTAACGCGGCTAAAAGCACGTGACAATCCGCTGCTGACATCAGTTTTTCGATGTAATACGACAAGGGCTGATTATCGTTGGCGATATTGATGAAGTCCATGTTAAACTGTAGCGAGATACTGGCACTGAACAACCCCTGAGCTTTTCAAATCAAGATTCAAGGATCCAGATTCAAGAACCTTCGACAGCTACCCTAGCGCCATAGCGTCTGTGCCGCTGCACGATAATTGCTACAATTAAGACAGTACACCACCAATAAATCAACTATATGACGATACTAACAAAGCCAGAATAAAATTAATAACCCATCTGACATATTTGAAACAAATAATACAAATTCAAATACTGTAAGTAAATAAAATTTTCAAGCTTACTGTCTGCTTACAGTCTGCATACAGTCGTATGCCACTGCACAGTCTGCAGTGCAGACTCTGCACTTGCTTTGACATCTCCGGGTTGGTTGTCGTCCCGTCCTGTGTAGCGCGCAACCCCTGCAGGTTCGGTGTTTTTCGAAAGTGTTCAGCTTCATCTAATCCACTCAAATTATAACTAAAAAATGCAGAAAATCTAAGAATGAAAATAAATACAGTGAAAACCTCCAAGATACGTACACCTCCGTTCAAAAAATTTCGTACGTAACTTAGAGGTGTACGTAACACAGAATCGCCACCCCCAAGCCCCCCTGGGGGGCGACCGTATAATGAGGGCACTGCCCACTGCGGAGTGCTCAGTATACTGCATGCAACTATACTGCACACAGCGTGCAGTTCTGAAATGGATATGCTGCATTAGTTCGCACAAATTTTTTTCTTATTACAGCAGGCGGAAAAGTTTCTCCTACACACTTCGAACAGGAAACATCGTCCGAATCAGTTCAGAACAAAAGACAACCTACAACTCTGAGCTAACTTCTTTGTTTTTTCACGATTTTCCCATCGGATATTTTAAAAAATCAAATTCGTACTCGCCAGTGTACGCATGTTCGAGGTGATTGCGTACAGTTTAGTGCTTAGGCTAGAGATGGCAACGGTCGGCTAAACGGCTGACCTTTCGGCTGACGGCCGGCTGAAGCCCTTAGCCGGCTAACTCAACGCGGCTGGAAGTCTCAGCCGGCTAGAGCGGCTGACCAAATTTTCCAGCCGGCTTAGCCGGCTGGCGGCCGGCTAAGCCGTTTATTTTCTCGCTTTAAAAAATTTTGCAAAATTTTGAAAATAACGTTGCAAAGTGCAGTTAAATCACCAAAAATTAGAAGCTGTTCCGTTTATGTTGTGAAAGCACGGTTTTTCAAAACTTTCGAAGCCGAAAAACAGCGGTTATTCGGGAATTCCGAGTCTGAACGAGATAAAATTCCATAATTTTTTACAGTTAATGGCGTCATTGCTGCTGAAATGGCATCATGACGGCCGAGTTTAACAATATCACGAGCGAAAGCGACAGAAATTAGGCGCAAACCGAAGAAAATGTGACTCAAAGTGACTCGGTGGCGCCATCTTTACCGCCAAAAATTGCACAACGAGGCCGCCGTTCAAGCCGCTTCAGCCGAGTCGGCCGCCGGCTAAGCTGCGGCTGGCTGAAGTCTCATCCGGCTTAAGCAGCCGACCTGACGTCGGCTACGGCTTGCAAAAACCGTCAGTCGGCTGGCCAATAGCCGGCTAAGCCGCGGCTTAGCCGGCCTCGGCTAAGCCGTTGCCATCTCTAGCTTAGGCGGTACCGAGAGAGGGCCTGGTGCTTATGGCGGGCACCCGCCAAGGCGGGTGCGATAAGGCGGGTGTAAACCACCAGGCGGGCATCGGTAGCGGGCAATGCAGAAATGCATTTGCACAGTGCACTTTCCCGCTAGCTGCGCATCCAAGTTGCTAGTGCGAGTCATAACTAGCGGTAGCAAGGAACTTGCTAACGCTACTCCACGCTTTATGATTATTGATACTTTTAAACCAACCCTTACAGTATTGTTTACAAAAAAGATTTACCCAGATCTTTCTAAATCGATTTGTTAAGCTGCTTAGTTATAATTTAAAAAATATGCAATGCAGGATAAATGTCCCAGTGACCCATTACTTTGACTGCGGATTTATTCTACTGGCTCCAGCATTCACTTAAACTTAGCAGGTGTTTTTTAAATCACTAAAACGAATTAATTTCTTTTATACAAAAATACAAAGGTGAAAGCACAGACGCAAAATATTTAAATATATATTTTGTTTTTAAAACGCTTGCGTGGAGACGATGACAGTTATAAAATTAGGACAAGCAGTTTGATACTAATAAATAAACGAACATTCCGCATTCAAATACGAGATGGCAACTTCTCCTAACAAGCACCAGTATTTACGCCTACGGTTTGGAGCAGCGCCAGGTTAATTTAATTTTTAATTGTAGCCGTCTACAGTTAACAGCGATGCCATTTTGTGCATTTATGCACTGAAAAAATTATTAATACTTTAGAGCAAGCCAAATTATGCATTTATGTAATCAGTTTGGTTTTTTAAATAACTGTCCAACGTTAGCGCATTACAGAGCCAATTATATGGCTTTCATTTATAAGTTGTTGTGAGACGCAAAAAAAAATAATAAAAGATATCATTTTTTAAGCACGTGCTTATGAGCTTTTATCGCTTAGAACAACAAGATGATTTTATTGATATTTGAAAAAACGAAGCGATCAAAGCAGCTGCTTTGAGAAACAATTTTCGACCGAAGCGGAACCAAAAAAGAGGCACTTTGAAAGGGAAAACCAATTTTCCTTCAATCCTAAAACGGTCTTACAATTGCAATCTTTACTTGCGGAAGCTAAAAGGTAACAGCATTTCTTGATATCAAACGGAAAGCCTGTAGTATACTGTAACGAAATAGGCTGCAACCAAAATTCAAAGGATTGTTTCGTGAAACGTTTTGATTCAGGCTACCAACTTAGGCCACAGCCTAAATCTGATAACCGCTTTTTATTAAAAGAATGCATTTTAAATAAGCCTTTCCAATTTCGCTCGAATTCGAAGATCAAAACAGGTACTGTAAAAGAATGTTCTGTGATAAAGTAAATGAATGTAAAAAACACTTAGGCTGTGGCCTTAATTAATGAAAAAAATTTGGCAAACTGCAGTAATAAAAATAAAAGCGTTGAGTAAATCGCGTTTTTCTCAACCTTTTTATGTGATACAGCTTGAAACCTTTTTTAATTTGTTTTTGAAACCATCATTGTGTCAAACAAGGTTGTATGGGACTAAAGCAAAAACGGTTTACATATATGTAAGCAGTTAGTAGACCGAATTGCGTTTGCTGTAGCTATTCTCTGACTGGCAGCCTGAATATCTCGTAAATTTTAACGGTACGGCTAGAAGACTTGATCGAATGTTAAATTTTTTCATTAGCGATAAAAAATCGTAATTATTAGAATGATATTTGCTTAATTTCCGGGCATCAGAGTATGCCCGAGACTCTGTGGGAATACGGTACGGTTTCTTGAGCATTTAAATACATTATGCCTGCTAAATAGCTACCACTGACAATATCATTCTGTACGTTTCGAGACCGATTTGCGAAGCCTACTGTTATGTTAAAATTTGGGCACTTTTTCTTATCTACGTAACTCACCATTCTTAATTCTTGCTGTTAATTTTTATATAAAGGTCATTTTAGTTTGTTTGGTGCTTTAAAGTAGATAACCATATATAACGGCTGCTTGAAAAAATATATATGGTGTCAGGCTACGTTGGTTTTTATATTCAACTTTACAAAAAAACATAAATTTTGAAGGTGTCAAAGCGATCCACGTCATATAGCTTCACATCCTTGATCCTTTTCTGTTTTCAGGTGGTCACGTGATTGAACGTGTTGCCTACATGCAGGACAGTTAAAACAAATAGAAAGACTACAAAACGTTCGTTTTTTTGAGTTACAGTTTTAAAAGAACGAGTTTAGTTACGAAAAACAAAAAGACGAATACACAAAAGCTTTTAAAATTAAAAGGCTCGTGGCAAGTAGAACTGCACTACCGATTAGGCAAGTGCAGCGCACTTGATGCCTCAGTGCAATGTGCAATTCGGCGGTGCCCGCCACTGATACTGAAACCCGCCTTATTGCACCCGCCAAGGCGGGTGCCCGCCATAAGCACCTGGCCGTACAGGTACAGGTACAGGTACAGAGGGCAAAAGTGTACGTGTACGCATCGTAGAGGTGTACGTCACGTAGAGGTTCCCCCCTGTACTGTAGTCTACGGAGAGTTTCGGTACAGAATTTTTCGTACTTAAGTGAGAGGTGTACGTATCTTGGGAGTGTACGTACGAGGAGGTTTTACTGTAGTTTCTAAGCAAAAAGTTTCCGGGGAAAGAAGATATTGACGATTTAAGCTTTCTGCGTTTAACATAGTCGTCTATGGAGCGGTTTGCCGTAGACTTCTATGTTAAACGCAAAAAGCTTGAATCGTTAATATCCGTTTATATCTCTTTTCCGCAAAAACTTTTTACTTATAAACTTCTTGTTTTCGTTCTTACATTTTTTTTGTATTTTTTAAGTTCTAACATTAGCGGATTGGATGAAATCGAACACTTTCATAAAGCACGGAACCAGCCGGGGTTGCGCGCTACTTTTCACGGTAAAGCGCACCACGACAGCCACACCAGAGATGCGAAAACAAGTGCAGTGGCATATCGTCTTTTTAACTGGCTTAACACTAGCCTTAAATACGAGATACAACATCACAAGTGCAGTGGCATATCGTCTTTTTAACTGGCTTAACACTAGCCTTAAATACGAGATACAACATCACAAACGCAAAAAAGTCGACGACTAACTGCCCCATAGAGTAGTACGTACTAACAACAGGAGTAGAGCCGTAGAGGTCAAGGTAGATATCAGATATCAGATTCTTTGTACTTCTCTACCCAATGTGAGATTTCGTAGGTGGCCGTAAGTGGTCGCACACAGATGAATTGGTCATTTCACTTTCATTGGTCCGCCCAAACGCCCTGTTCTTATCACATGTACATCCCTTAAAGCCGGCCTTATACAAGGCGCGGCTTTTCTCCTGTCGGTTTCCTTTGTGGTTTTTTGCGCAGTTTGGTCTCAACGCTGCGCTATCTCTTCATTCCCACACAGATAAAATCATAAATGCAATTCTGCGATTCTGTGCCCACATCTTATACCTCAGCAGCTTCCTTGTTCACATCTACAAGAGTAAACGCTTCGTAGATTTCTTGAGTTCTCTTTTAGTTGTTCCGCCTCAACATACAAACCCGCCGCTGTGTTTCCTAAATTGAGAATTTTAATTAACAGCGTTAGGAAACTTAGTTTATAAAGTCATCTCACCCAGATTTGTCCTGCTTTTCCAGTAAAGATGGAAACGGATGATGGCCATGGGGAATCGAGGACAAATCTGATTTTTCTGTATCTGCCCCAAGAATGGCGCGATCAGGAACTGCGTGCGGCCAGTAAGCCCTTCGGGGACATAACGTCTTGTCGTGTGGTGCGGGACAAATCCACAGGTGAGCGAAGGTTACTTGCAGTTTGCATAGAGATTATGGAGAACTATACAAAAACTACGAGTAAAGAGTTAAATTCAGTCTGGATTCCTTCTTTGCCCGGTACATGTCCCTTAAAGCAGTACACAGACACTGGAACTTCGCTTTCGCACTTTCTGAAACCATTAATTTTATATTTTATTTTTATCGATCTGTCGTAGTAGCGTCGAATAAGTACATGTATGCGTACGCCTGAAAACCGTTTATGCGCAACTTCCGGTTGGTTGAGAACTATACTTTGTACCGTTACCGTAAGTCGAGGCACCGTAATTAAATTCAAAAAAATTTTGAACGCTGTACGTACCGGTACGAGTAAGAACATCAATAGTTACCATTAGGTTAGGTCGTTGTCCGATTTTCTTTAATTTAATTTACTTTGCTGTAATAATTTAATTTTTAATTTACTTAAAATGTAAAATTAATTCTTTGAATTTGAAGCCATGGCCCCTGCTGCATTTTCATTTTTGCTTTAATACGATTATTTTTCCATGGTGTTTGTCGCGTAACAGTGCCCGCGTACGAAGTTTTTTCAGGCCAGTGTTTGTCGGTCATTCGGCTGCAGAATAAATGGAAATGTTATTAATAACTATAAACTTAATAATATTAAAAAGACTGAGCATTTCCGAGTACAGGAATCTGAAATCGTCAGTGGATGTATCATATTATAGTATCAAGTGCATGAAACTGGTTTGAGTGATGTTTGAGTGATGTTTGAGGTTTGTGATACAAATATAGTATTTATCATGAGTTTCAACTTTCAACGTTATTTTGTTGGATTTTCAGTTACGTATTAACAATGTCTTAGATTCAAATAAAATTCCGGAGCACAAGTGAAATCAGTAAATTTATCTTATGTTATGCAGGTACGTACGTAAGTAAATCATAATTACACGAGTAAGTAACGATTCTAACGATTATTCGTAAGTACAGTACAATGCATTTCAGCCCTTACAAAGTTACAATTAGCACTGTCATTGCAGTACTTACTGGTTAAGTAAATAGATATTATCCCAAAATAATTTCCCCTTCTCCGAAAAGCGTAATCCTGATATGATGCATTTCATGCAATTTTCTTCTCACCATCAGGTAACTCGTTGGGGTACGGATTTGTGGATTTTCGTCATCAGCAGTCGGCGGAGAAAGCGATTGAAAAACTTAATGGGATGCGAATTTCCAATAAGACGATCAAGGTATGAATGAATGTTTCGGGAAAATATCCATTACAGTACATTACAATTCGCAGGTATCTGTTATATTTTGAAAAATCTAAAAGTTTCTCTTGATTCTTGCTTTTCATCTGCTTTCTCCATGTTCTGTAATAGCAATATCAATAATTCATAATTTTTAAATTTCGGTATAATGAAACTGCTGCTACTCTGTCTACGTAGTCTTTTCACGGTACGGTATGCCGGTATGTACCGTACAGTACAGTACCTTTTTGCAATAATGCAATACAGTACCTTTTTGCAATAGTGCTTTTTGCAATAATAAGGTGCTCCTGAAGCGACGTTACAATATTGATACGTCATGAAATGTGTACTACATTTTTGAAGCCTGTACTGCGCATGTGGAGAATTTGATTTTAATTTTATTTCCAATTAATTCGAAGTTTCGAACAATTCTGTTCAACCTTTGGAAATGCTCGTGGATATACAAGTATAAATGTAACGTTGTACGTTGTAAGTACACACTTGAGATCCTAAACTTTGATTATTTTATGGTACTTTTTCAAAATTTCAGGACTTTTCAGCTTTCCACTAGTGCAGTAGTAGTTTCCACGAAAAGTGGTAGTTTTGGCAACTGACACTGGTACACCCAACTGTGATGTACGGAACGTTATGTAATTTCAGGTTAGCAGAGCGAGACCCCGGAGGGAAGAAATCAAGAACGCCAATCTGTACGTGAGAGGACTGCCAACTACCTGGTACGAGGGAGAGATTTCCGAATACTTTTCCAAACTCGGAAAGGTCATTTCCGTTCGCATTTTGAAAGAAGCAGTGACTGGTGAGTACGCCTGCTCGGCTTGTTGGTTATCATGGTAAAATAATTGTCCGGGTTTTGAAATCTTTAAAGCACAGAAACGCCTGGCCTGGTACCGGTTTATAGACCTTGTATTGTTTTATCATACTGTAATTATCAAAGATTTTTTATTTTGTGTGACCTTTCTTTTTGTAGGGCACAGCAAAGGAGTGGGGTTCGTCAGATTTAACACTGCTGCAGAAGCAGCTTCCGCTCGCAAATTGTTGAATAGCCGTCAGATAGATGTGCGTGAATGCTTGTTTGCAGTGATATTTAGATCCCTTGCATGATCACAGGTTTACTTCCATTTACAGGGTCATACACTTCTGGTGGATTTCAGTCATCGTTCTGCTAATTCGGAAAGTGAATCATCCACAGTCGAACATGAAAATGTTCAGTGTGATATCAGTTTGCATTGGTATGTGATTATGTAGCAGTGTTAAAACATTACTTACCGCCATAAATCTGACGTGATCTGCTGCTTTTACTATTATTTTGACAGTCTTTATCGTATAGTATTGGTAACTAGTAAATGTGTTGAAAATGCTTATGGTTTGCGTATCTTGTGGCAGCGGTAACGCGTATCAACCGTACCCAGCGTACACACAACTGGAAAATCCTGCTTCGAGTCCTGCGGGAATGATTGTTACGCATGGTGGAGATGCCGGTTTCGGGTGAGATCATCGCGTTTGTCATTGTTCGGTAATCTTCCGGAAGAATTTATCGCTATTTATTGTTAGCAGGTTAGTATATCCTTCAGCATTCGGAATTTACAACAGCACGGTCAACAACCTGGTTCCTTACGCACCGATGGGCATTAACATGCATTCAGTGCAAAACGCTCCCAGTTACGCTCAGATCGCGCCCAGGTATACTAATTTTATATCGATATTATGTGAGATGTGGTATTTTATTTAATTCAAAGCGCATGGTTGGTAGAACTGAATCTGCACAAAATGCCTTAAAAAAGGATCTTGGCACTAATTTGTCTGTTTCCTTTAGCTTCACTGATCCAGTCTTCCCATCTCCTTCCGTGGTTCAGTTCGTTGGTGACCCTGTGTCACTGTATGTCGGCAATCTGGATGAGAGTGTGACCCCAGAGGATTTGCGTGAACTGTTTGCGCGATACGGCACCACAGTGTCGAATGTTGAGGTAAAAATCCAAACAGTTAATTAATCCTAACCACAATTATTCAACAATTCTAGATCTGTAGCATTGACTCATCGATACTTAGCAGGAAGGTTGTTATGTGAAATCTTTTCTAGTGTAATTCCTCGACCACAACTTTTCATTTTTGAGAAATACCGCCTTGGTTGTACGTGCCTTGAACAAATTTTTTCGCATTTAGTTGCTGCTGCGTAAAACTAGCCGAAACTACCGCGCGTCGAGCTATGGAATGAAGTATAGTTTCGTGGAATTGTTGAACAGTTCGGAAGCCGATCGGGTGATTGAAGCTCTCCATGGTAAATTTTCAGACGATAGGCTTCTGTAATATGTGTTTAAATGAGATCATGATTCAGACTGCATTTTATATTATATTAACAGGCTGCAAATGGAGAGGTCGCGATATCGTGGTTCGACGTAAAACTACGTTGAAGCAGAATCCCCGGTTCAGAACGCGTTGAAGTGACCTTTGTTACGTTTCGCCGTTTGCGTGCACATGTCGTTGGTTTGGGAAGTTACTTTGTGCCTCTTCGGAATGGACGCGCATCTTATTTTATATTTAAAGCTGTAGTGTAGAACTACGAGTAGTTGTTGATTACTGCCGGCCTAGGCCTGGCGGACAGTTGTTATGAGTTTCGAGTTGTTTCTGTTTGTGAACCGCTCGTTTTCGACTGATAACTTCATTATCGTTTTATGTTTTAGAACTTGTATTAGCCGGCCGGGCTTTTTATTCTTTGTGGTTGCAAATTTAACAGCATTTGTGGTTTAGCGTTGTATCACAGTATTTGAAATAGTTTGTATATTATGCTTCACGGTTTGTGATTGTGATGCTGCAGTTTATTGTATGCACAGGTTTACATGTTACTCGACAGCAATAATACTCAAGACGAGTTCTTGAGCTTATGATTGTTTGAGAGAATAAAAAGTTTTGGAAATTGTGGGTTCGTCCTGGTCATCTGGCAAACTTGCAACTGGTAGTGTTTTATTCATATGCTAGTGTTGAATGTCGATTGCTCAAAAAAATGGGAAGCAACAACTAATAGCTCTCATCCGAAGAATGCTTTTTTTCTCGTGTCCGTAATTAAAGGCCCACCGCTGGAAATTCCAGTTTTCCTGTTAAGTCAATTCTGTAACAGGTGTTTTTTTACTCTTCAGCTCGCGCTAAGACGTATGTAGTGTCTTCGAAGATGTAGTCATAAAAATTTAAGTAATGGGAATTTGGATCGCTGTACAATTTTACGAGGTACAGACTGATTTTACGAGATTCATTACAGATTTACTTTTGAGACTTTTTAGGAAATGCATTCTACCCGTAGTTACCACAAATAATTATAATTTGGAGACAAACGGGTCTCGTGCAGTTTTCTGGTACTAAAAAACCAAGAAATTAAGGTCATGTTAGTATAAAGTAGTGCTCATTAGTATGCCTGCATTATATGGCTTGGATTTTTTCTGTCGGTACCGGAGCGATTTAGTTTCCTTAAGAAAAACGAACGACAATAAAGAATGCACGTGTTTATATTCCTTTCGATATTTTTTTACAGGTTTTGTCTGTAAGTAACACTCGTATTCGTACCGTTAGGTTACTTTACTCTGATGGCCCGAAATTTTTATTTCCACTGACATCAACCCGCGAGTTTTCGACAGGTCTGGGTTCGTATTTTTTAAATCCGATCTAACAATAAACCATAAAATTATTCACAATAATATCTTGGATAATTTTGTTGTCAATACAAAACGTTATGGTGCTACAGTACTTCTACACTCTTCTACCTCTGTACTCGTGGTGATATCAGCAGAAGTGTAGAACTTGAGTATTCATGTTCGTAGTCTGAAATCTGAATTACGGAGTGGAAGAGACATCCTTTAAGGCTTAAGTGTAACTCTGGTGTAGCGCCTGCGACCTCGAGGCAGCTCCACCATTTACTAGACGACTTCCCCCAAAATCAAGGAGAAGATGTATTTTATAATTCGGAATTAATACGACGCACAGAACAATTTAACAATGTGAGTACTATGGCACAATTCGCCATTCGGCTGCTACAAAAGCCATCAGTAGTTTCAGTACAGGATAATTCGCGCTGTCGAGCGCTCATTAAACATCTTTTACTGTACAGGTACAGGTATCGGTAAGGGTTAATAAGGAGCTAACCATAAGGTAAGGCATGGATGTGTTCAACAAATTGCCGAACTATTTTTTTCAAATTCTTCGAAAGCAAAAGAATACTTAGAATAGAACTTCCGAAATTGCGTTTGTTACTGCACTGATATTACGCTGTCAAATATGGAGAGTATTGTAACAAACTCAATATAACATAACATTTCCTGTGTGCGCGTTATGTAAATCCCGAAGAAGTGTCTGTCTTACAATTAAACTTCCCCATCGCTAAATACTGTAATGCGACATTACGGACACAGTCGTTGTCCGGCTCGTGCAGTGATAGTCATTGGGTGATATTGTGTTCCAGATCTTCTAACGCATCTTGTATTCTCAGTGTTAATTTTACAATTATTCACAATTTATTAATTGTTAGTTAGCTGCGCCCATAAGCTCGCTAATGATTTACAGTTTACGGCTATTCGAAACGGTTTATTAACGGCGAATCGTTTTGAGAGTTCGTGAGAAGCTGTACGGTCAGTTACGGTTTGTTGCAACTTGCAAGACACACTTCGGAGCAGAACCTTCGTCAGCTTCGCTGTCCACAATGTCCCACGGGCAACAATTCCTTTCTCGTCTACCACGGAATGGTACAAAACCGTATAATCACTCTATATGTTTAATATTCTTTTTCTTTCGAAATTCGTGTCTTCTTTCAACTTCAGTGGAGCGTTAGATGGGTTTGCACTTCGTCAGAATGACTTACAGTGGGGGTGTTTTCTTGTGCGGTACAGTGTCGTCAAACGGACTGACAAGTGCGCAGGCAGATAATGTAAATGCTGGATCCCGTCCAACTCACGAAGATGGATCAGAAGCTAGGATAAAAGTTTACCATCCTCTTCCTCTGGACTTGTTTCCCAGACCAGGTATGACTTTGCCTTTGCGCATTGTTCACATCGAAACTGTCGGGCGATCTTGTTATCAGAATTTTCGCATGCACGCATGAACGTCTTTTTTAAAGAAGGAATTCAACTGAGTAGCCACCCGAGCAAAAAAAAAGCGATTCCATTACTTGAGTAACTTGACTCACTGTAATTATTGTAGAAGTAATTGCTGTATGATTGATCTTGGGTTTATGGATTTAGACCCGGAAAAGGAGATCGAAGAATCAGGACGAAGCTCGTGTTTCCGGTTCTACGATTTGGAAAAATACAGTATCGAAGAAGCCACCCGCCTGGCAAGTATGGACATTATACCAAAGGATGCCGTGGTCACGGTCTGGAACAAACAGGACATTCGTGCAATGCGCACAACCCGCGGCAAATCCAGTCGATACGAGCCGGCAGCAAAGAAGTCTAAGGTCAGCTTGTCGTCCCCTAAGATTCTCGCAATCGGTTCGCCTACTGCCATGGTCATGGAGGAGCAGAATGAAGTGGAAAAGAAACGCAAAAGTGAATCGGCAGATTTCCTTGATGGAATCCGTAAACGCGGTCGGCCACGTAAAAATCCCATGGTTTCCAGTGCAAATGAGTCGAACGTTACCGGACAACCCATCGTCTCTCATTGTCCACCACAGTGGTCCGGCAGCATCGACCGGAAGTCGTCTGATGTCAAGTTTACGGTCAAAAGCAGTGGCTTGGGTGATAATTTTGGAAAAATCACTTTCGTCCGGAACCGGCGACATTACATGTCTGAAACAACGGTAGGCTGCAGTCATTATTATCATTATAGCTAATTTATTTTAGGGTTATCGGTTAGTTAACGGTGGAATGGGGATGCTAACTAAAGGCTGAAGCCAACAATTTGCTACATGAGTAATGTGGAAATATACGCGCATTTGTTCTTATAATTAAGCAGTTTCAGAATTCTTTGGAAACTCCCAACTCTTTTGTGGCTCAGCAATAATTGTGTTCAGAGTATCCAAGTCTTCTTGCTGATGAGGTATGTACTTATTGGTTTTCAAGTTAAAGCTCGAAATGATAAAACCTGGTGCAAATCATCAAGTAAATTATAAAGTAAATCAAAAATGATGTCGCCGCTGTTGCAGGCATTAGCAGACATAGTCAAATTCAAGAAGCGGCAGCAGCTTCAAAATTTAATCATGATAACGAAACACATCAGGCACATACCACATGTAGCAAAAGCTTATCATCAATATGCACAAAAAAACGCATCGTATAAGGAAGGTCCTTGTTATTGCGTCTGTTTATTCACAGATTTACGTGGTGTATGTATTTGGCGGAAAGGATTTACCGAAGATAAAAGAAATACCGTGCTGCGATCCACTGCATATTCCGCATATTCCTCAAAACGGACTTCAGCGATCGGCTCGTGAAGAGAGCCAATACCTTAATTAGTATCAGAGTAGTACAAATTTAATGCGTGTCATTTTTTAATTCTCATGGACATTTTGAATCTTCTTTTGGTGTCGTTTTGCGCAACCAGTCGACTTTTTAAATAATCGACGGATTTAATTATTATGTAGTTGGATTCCTTCCTGACTGTGAGTGCAAGTGTACAACGTGGCCCTGTGACAGTAGTTCTTTAATGGTCGACTTTTAATCGTGATTATACGGTATCGGTTTGAATTAGTGTGTTATAAATGTATTGTACGCTTTGGTATATACTCGAGTAGATATTATGTATCGCAGTTGAACTAATGCAATATGTAGTAATTACGTAGTTACGTTTTAAATGATTTTTATTTTTCTGTTGAACAACAAACCAAATAAATATTAACATTGCAGTAGAGTAGCGAGTTATCACGTCGGCAAAAATGGTATCCCGGATCCCCGGTAGTATTAAGGTTGGGAACTTAAGCGTCGATTTCGCATGATAATTATTACTTTTCATCTGCATTAGATATTCACCTGCCGAGGGTTCTTTCACTCATCAGCGAAGATTAAGTATTGTAACGAAGAATAATGAATCATAAAGATTAATGTATGAAGAAGAATGTATGCTGTACTACATGTCATATTGCTTACAAGCATGTATTGTATATTAATATTGCATACAAGCATGTACACATACATATAAGCTGAAATTATGTCCAAACACAAAGATTTACAATCGTTTTTTGTAAATATTCATAAAAATGCGAGTAATCTCCTTTTAAGTACGATAAATCTGAATACCATAATTGTTATGGTGATGAGCGATATTAAACTAGTCAAGAAAAGATATGGTGAAATTTCGCTCTGCAGAATCGTTCATGTGGCCCGTGGTCAGCCTATGATGATGCTGCCTATCTGTACTGTAGAGTGATGCGAGGTTATGCACCCAAATTTAAAGTTTAAGACCTAATCCTGAGTTTGAAATTTGAATGAACTTAAAAATATACGTTATTACCAATATTATACAGAATTCAAAAATTTTTACAGAATTTAATGGTAATTACTTAATATTATTTATTATTATTACTTCTTAAGTACTCGTATTGTTGGTACTTGGTGGTGAACCGGTCTCCAATGCACTGCGTACATGCGTACGGAGTCTACGGACCAGTCCGGCAGGTGCTTGTACAAGGATTGAACAGTATGACAATTGTATCTGTTCGCTTTATTATTGTATTATTATAATTGTGAGTTTATTGTCAATTGTGTGTCGTACTGTAGAAGTGCTGTTGCTTTATTTTAAGCTCACAGCTGTAAAAGTCCAGATCAAGTTACCATCGTTCAAATTTTTCAGTGCGCTTTTTTGTATTTGCATAAACACTTTTTCGCGGCAGCGTCTGTTGAGCTTATTTTTGCATTCAGGCATACCACGAGCCTTCCCTTCAGTCGGTGTGTCTCTTCCCGGTGAAACAACAAACTTTGTGGAGCCATGCCAGCTGCCACTGGTTATCGGGGATTTCCCTTTTCCGGCACGATGGATCTGGATTGCAAAATCTCGCTCGTTGCGGGCTTCTGTGGGATGGATTGCAGTCGTAACATGAGTTTTTCGAAGAAGTAAATACGACCACAAGTTTCTGAGATGCGATGTCTTGCATTTGCACTGCCCTCCTTTTTCAATTTTATCCAGATCTGGCGAACCTCCTCCGCGTATTGGCAACACGGTAGCTGTTCGCGCTCACAACCTTGCTGTGGACGAGCACACGCACCGAGTTATGCTATCGTACTGGTTGCCAGACTCAAATGGAAGTTATCCGGCTGACAAGACATCTCAGGAGATGCACGATTTTTACAGCGGACAACGACAAGAACATAACCGATGCGCACGATACAGGTCAGCGACATGATTGCATTTTGCTGCTTTGCACATGTACATGGAGTGTGTATAAAACAGGCTTGTAAAAATCAGATATGAGCCGGTGTTTTGGGTTGTTGTCGTTATGCTTTTGTACATAAAATGAATAGTTAACACCTACCAATTTTTGATGAGTAGATTCAAGAACGATGATGCTGTCGCTGTCGACCGCGGATCCTGTTTTGAAGCACATTTGCGTTGGACACGAGGAATCTTCCGAGGATTCTCCGCTCATAACTGCCTGGTGTACTTGCTAGATTGTGGTTACGAAGGAGTGTTTCCCAACAACAGTATCTTCCCACTGCATGCGAGATTTCTCAAAGATCCCGTTTATCTGGCACAGTCTGCCGTGAATCAACTGGATGATACGGATGTGGGCGGGAGCATCTGCCAGAGTCTTCTAATCCAACTTCGGCACCCCAAAAATGAAATTATGATCAAATTCGTGAGGGCCGATCCGGAGACTGTGGATGTACTGATTAACAGGCATGAACTGGGACTTTTTGTCTGGATGGAACAGCGCCTTCTCTCTGGCTACACAGTTGCTGATGGCTTCCGTTTGGATGTGGGAACAGTCGTTTACGCTCCGAATGGTCGAAAAGTGTACGTTGTGCCACATAAAAACTGGCACTGCATGCAGGCAAGTGGTCATCTTCCGTGATATCGTTTCCTTGCTACGGTTACCACAATATTACGGACCAGTCTAATAAGCGCAAAATTTAAGGTATATCGTGATGTATGCACTGCTTGAATTGGTTTGGCTGGCCTTTTGTTGGGTGTCGAGCAGTCGAAAAACTGAAACTACGGTACGAGTATATCAACTAAAAAGGTGCTTGATTAAAATATCTGGTAATATTGTTTGCTATCAGGTATAACATCGTTTTCAAACCGTATTTGCCTCGTATGGAAATTTCAGAGAAAAATCTGAATTACACGAATCGAGCTCATTGTGTGAGGGCTATGTTTTTTGGGCGCTTATTTGCCAGTAGTATTGTTCCTCTTGAGAACTTCGGCTGTTTAAATCATGTCTTCTAGAATGTCCACAACGTGGTTAAGCAAGACGTTTCTCGTAACCTGCCGCCAGACCTCAGCATCGATGCCGTGAATGCGGTGACTTACACGGATGGCTTGGATTACCGCGGTGTAATTACTGGTATAAAAGCCAAAAAATATACCGTGCGCTTGATTGAGTATGGGAATGAATTTGAAGTGAAGGCGGACTTTATAAGTGGACTGTCTTTGGCGGCTCAGTGCATTGAATCACCAGTGATACAGTGTCAGTTAGCCGATATTCCTGAGGATAAGCTGGGTGATCAGACTGTGGTCGAATGGCTTCTGAAGTTTTTAAAAAGTGGAAACAGCGGAGAAAAGAGCTGCGTTTACGAAATCAGCAGGAAATCCGAAGAAATTGCGGTGATCAAGATTAAGCTGTGGAGAGACAATGGTGAAGATAGCAGCGCGATCTCCGTGCATGATTGGTTTCATTCAAAGCAAAATTCAGACGACAGCGGAATGTGGTCTCCTCAACGATCCGAAGCCGAAAAGTGTCAGCTGCAAACGGGATATCAAAAGCGATTCGACGATATGGCTGAAGGAGCAACATACAACATCGGTGACACTATTTCAGTGCGGACGTGCACGGTTATTGATCCTGAAAATGTTACCCTGTATAGCGATAATCCAAATTTTGGTGAGTACGTTCTCTGTTGACTTTTTCAGACTAAACTTAAACTTACCATAGAAGATGGTTACATGGTAGAATTGATAATCACGCAATTTGCTTGGATGTGAAACATCTTGATGCATTTTATTTTGTTACGAACTACTTACGAGACAGAGTGCGCCATTGAAGACTCGAGTGACCTTTGTTCAGCAGAATTGTATTACGAAATGGCCATGGAAATTGAGAACGTTGTCGACCATTTACCTGAACTAGATGCCTTACCTCCAAACGGCACAGTGATTTGCGCACGTTATTCCCTTGGTACAGTTGTTTATTTGGCGAAAATTTCTATTAAGGTTGCAGTTGCCTAATGAATATTGCTTCTGCACAGATGAGAAGTGGTATCGCGCATTTATTATCGAGTGTGACTCTGCCGTTAGGACGGCGGCCTGGGTGGGCTTCGTGGACTACGGGAATATAGAATTGGTGCAAAAGAAGGATATGAAACCACTGACGGAATCCTTGGCCAGATATCCTAGAATGTGCTTCACGGCTAAAATTAACGGTAAATATATTATTATTTGCTGTGAAGTTGAAGTCTGACGACACTAGTGAAATAACAATATTTTGGTGTTTTGTACAGGGATTCAGCCTCCTCGGCGCAGTCACTACACAACTGAACATACAAAAATTGCTAAAAAAAAGTTAATGGGTAAGCCTTGTATGTTTCGAATACTTTCCATTGATGGAAGAATTGTCACGGGAGACCTCTTTCTTGAAGACTCCAAAACTGGTGATCGTACTACGGTAGCAGATATCTTTGTTGAGGCGGGTATAGCCGCTGCATGCCACTAGTTTAAATGACTAACCCGACGGTTTTGACAGTTTATTTTTCACGGATGCTTAATTCAGATGCTTTTGTTTGTTTGTTGGTGTTTTGCTGGTTGTTTGTTGGTATTTTGCGTTAGTGATTTCATTGGAGAGTCTTCTCATGCTTTGTTTGTTTGTTATTTTGCATGAATTGGGAGCTCTTGCTGTTGTTTGCAGAGGCTGCAGTTTTAAGTTTAAAGTAAGCACAACACACAGTAATTGGCAAAGGTTATTACGTATTTAGCAGCATGACTTTTTGCGGGGTTTCTCCGTTTCCGTATTCACCACGCTTACTGTTTGTGTCTCCTCAGAAATTTTTTTGTCATTCGTATCTATTAGCCCTAATTTTACTTTGGTTAGAATTTCTTTTGCCATGTATAGAAAAAGCTCATCCACATTCAAATTGAGTTTGGCGCTTGTTTCGGCGTAAGCCAGTTTCATTTTTTCGCTGTATGCCTGCAAAAAATTATTTTGCATTAATGGTGTAATTGACGGTTTTCTGTTAAAATTACGCGACGTGAAATATCACTCTAAGTATGGTCCTAGTGGAATTAATCCTTAGTACGCGCACAATAGGCAAAAACGTAATAATTGTCAGTTTTTATTGGTGTTTGAGATGATTATGATTGCAGCTTATACATAAGCTGGCAGCATACTCTGGCAAGTGTGTAACTGACTTCCCGGCGACTGACAAGGTCACTTTTTGTACCGACCATGACCCGTATCACGTTATGTCCAACGTTGCGCTCCAACTCTGCCAGCCATTTGTCTAGGCGAAGGAAGCTCTCCTTGTTACTTAGATCAAATGTTAGGATAATACCGTGGGAGCCGCGGTAAAAGCTAGCCGTAATGTTCCGAAATCTTTCTTGCCCTGCGGTGTCCCACTGGAACGTAAGTACTCGTACGGTAATGCCCTGCACTTGTAACCGAATGTGAAGGCTTCTGCGTGTTAGTATTATGGTTTCCTTGTCCACATTGTCCAGTACTTACAATTTGCAGTTTGATTAGCTTGTCTTCCACCAGAAGTGTGCGAATCCTCTGAAACACTCAAAAGGTCATCAATTTTAACAATCACGAGAGAGCTAAAAATTCTTCTCGGTTTCGCTTACAAAATCGACTCCAATTGTGTTGATATAGACGGGATTGAACAATTCATCCTACTAACAAACAGTCAGTAAATATTCAAGTTTAGTCAGTAAACATTAATTCTGAGTATATATTCACTCCAGTATACATTTGCATACGGGTAATAACGGTAGCATGTTACAGCATGCGGACGGTAGTTATTAGTAAAGCAAGTTTCAGTGCATTTTTTTCCTACCACAAAGAGTGCTTGAGGCATAAAATCCATTAAAAGCAGAAGCATAAAGTATATATACTTCTATGACTATAATAACGTGCGGCATGAATCCCGCACGCTATATACATGAACCAAACTGTTTCCTACCGCATATCGTAAAAGCAAGGATGATTTTCCAACTCCAGCATCTCCCAGTATTACTATCTTGAAGAGGAAATCACTGTCGAAGCATTTTTTGTTAAAATATTGCCAGTGATCCCGAACTTGTTAGTTGCTTATAATACCCATGTATCACTTGGGTCAAGCCAAAATGTGCACTGCAAAACTTTTCTTACAGCTGACGTACAATTGATCATGTGCTTCCATACAACAATTCCAGCTCAAAACTCCTTGCAAATTGACTTCCGTACTTTTATTGTAAACAGAATTTGACACTTATAAATTATGTGTAATTTTTGGGCTAAATGATTACATAGCTAGTCGGTTGTCACAAAACACGATTCCGACTCCTTGTCGTTCACGATGATAAGGTTGAATCATACGGATTCGACACCTTTTTGCCAAGTGGGAAATGTCAGGGTTCGAAGCAGGTAGCAAGGTAAAGAAAGTCCTCGGACACAAAGCTGTCAAAGTTGCAAAAAATTGACCAAAATTTAATTAGCCAAATTACAGACAGTCCAAATAACCCTTTTTTTCATATCTTTGACAATTTAGTAGGAAATCCAGTCTGCATTTATTCGTGCGTATGCTAAGCACTCACGACAAAACAGGGAAGGTCATATAACTATAACTCCTGCCAAGCCCACATGTTTAACCAGGTAAGTAAATTTTTGACCGCCCATACCGAGAGATTTCTTCAAAAGCGAGAGGCAAAACTGTTTAGTAAAAGCATGCTTCATTCTACAACTAAATATTTTATTTGTCAGAACAAACGAATCAAAATTTTTTACAGCACCACACTTTTTGGCAGAATAGTTTGGAATATGTAAGTCACAATATAAATTATATCACTTACTTCGATTAAATGTTAGTGCACTGCATAACAAAAGTACTCGTAACAAAAGGATGTACTGTAAGTATTTGGTTAGACACATGCGCGTAGTCAAACTTTGCTCAGTCATGAACGATCAAGTCATGAATTTCGGGGACTTGTTTGCTTACGATAAATTAATTAAATCATAAGTATCTTGAACGTTAGTACGTACTTACAATTAATTACTGTAGAAGTACAGTACTCATTTTGTTATGCAAACTTAACGTAATTCTCCGACTTCGCACTTCGCAGTATCTAACTGCGTGATCATGGATTGCTTGTTTTTGTTTTCAACTTCGTATTAACCAATTATTGCTGCTTTTCAATTATTTGCTTGATAATCAGCTTATTAATAACTCTCCGACCAAATATACGGATTGGAAGCACCGTAATTTGTAAGTATTTCACACATTTTTGACATCAGCATGGAAAAGATAAAGGTGTCCTTACACCTGCGGGAAAAAACAACTGCCGAACAAATTAAAGAAGAAACCACCTTAAGTTTTGCCTGTCGTCTGCGGGGATTTTGTGTGTGCTACATTATAGGGACAACGTGCTCAATTGCGGCTTCCTGTCTGTTGTGGCTGCCCGTATATGGCCTGACAATTTTTGCTGTATTGTTCAGTGTTGGCAATATGTTGTCCATAGGGAGCACCTGCTTTTTGAAAGGTCCTGTGCATCAACTTAAAGAAATGTTTAAAGAAGTTCGCTGGTTAGCAACGTTGCTTTTTCTCGTTTTTCTTACTTTAACATTGATGTCTGCTTTGTGGTGGCGTGCTTATGCTCTAACAATAATCTTCTGCGTATGCCAGTATGTGGCATTTCTCTGGTATTCTCTTACATATATGCCATTGGTATACGCCGCAATAAAAAAATTCATAGTTCACTTTTTCGAAGAATAAATTTGACAGACTTGATAATGCTAAATAATTCCTTTATCATATTAAATCATGCACAGTAGTAGCCTGTACTCTGTGTACAATAGCTTCGCATAACGGCATACAAGAAGTTCGACTCAAAAAATACTGTACAGATAATCTGAATTCGGGTATTGTGAAGTATAGATACTTTTGAACATGCTTGGACTGGTTTAAAAATAATAGAAATGCGATGCTAAAATCTTCCATTAATTCATTATTTATGGAATTCAAAAAGGATCCATGCGCACTAAGAGATCATTACTAATATGCAATATGATTGCTTAACTGGAGTTGTGGCAACATAAGTTACACTTGCGTATGAAATAAAGGGACGCTTGAAATTACTTTTATTGGTCAACTAGTCAACATTATAAATTTTTGTTTCAACGTTATCATGGGATTTGTTGAAGATACTTCAAAAGGATTTCTTGTTTACCTCGATGTTTCCAGCATCAGAGACCATATCGTTAACGGTAACGACAAAAAATAAGAGGATAGCTTCAATACAGTAATTTTTTCATCGATAACTATTTTCTTATTAAAAAATACTGCATGTAATTTACAACGTTGCCACAAAAATATTATTGCATAATAAAAAGCGAGGCGTAACAGTGCATATATAGCACCTTGCCTAAAAAATTTTATCTGGAGTAGTAATTAAATTAAATTGGCCTATTAGCCTATACGTTGTCCAGTGTCACTGTTTTTGCTTGTTTTCCAGCAATGACGTTTAAATACAAAGACCAAACTAAGCATTCCAATCTGACTGAGTAAGTTTGCAGAATTAATATGCATATTGGCTATTGCATATTATATTATTATTTTTTGGATCACCGCCGCAGCTCTATGGCTGGAAAGTACTGTACTAGGTGTTGATTCATATGATTCACTGTTGGTTACTAGTAAGTTCCAAATTGTAAAGTCAATTACTGTACTTAATTTATAGGTACATTAAACTGCGTATATGCGCGTGCAGCTTCGATCCGGATACCCAAAAATTTGAAACTCTGCACAAAAGAATTGCTGAACTTCATGCTGCTGCTGAACAACTTTTTGAATCCAACAAAAAGTTGCGCTTTACTGTGAGCGCTATACAAGTAACTGCAAGATACAGAAGATATGCTTATGCTATACTTATGCATACAATCAATACAAAAGTATATATGTATTGTTAGGTTTTTGGTGTAAGATTTGTTTGAGATTTTTTTATTCTTTGTAATATTATAATCATTATTTAAATGCGATCGATATGTGCCCAGCTGATTAGGGTGAATGACAATTGTTAGGTACGAAGTACATTCGCAGAAAGAAGTCAAACAAAATTAACAAGATATCGTACAATTTAATCTTCTCTTACATAATATAGAGTGGAAGCTATGCTTCGAGAAATTACAGAAAGCAAAGGATGCTACTGGTTTTTTGTTTGTAAAACCTGTTTTATGCGTTTCTTAGCTAGGGATTTCGGAACCTGTACTATCACCTTCAGCTGCAGGAAACATTGATTCTGTACCCAGCAAATCACCGGCTGATGGTGCAAAGCCGCAGAATAAGTTGACTGGGGAACAAGATACTGATACTGATAACACTGGCAAACATTCTTCTAAAGGAAAGAAAAAGAAAGTTGGAGGATAATTGATTTTAATGCCTGACCATTTGATGATGTTCTTATACCGACATACATATACTTACAGGTACCTATATCTATACTTAGTCAGACTCACATGACAATACAGCGCCTTTTAGAACTGTCGTGCATTCTCCAATTATTTTTTTAAATTAAATTCGACTGGAATGGCGACTGTTATGAATGGCTTGATTATAACTAATACTAGAAAAATGCACTTTGGCGTGCACTGGAAGACCGGAGCGCAGCAGCTTTTCGCTTGGGCGAGTGCTAACTAATTTTTAACGTCCTACCAGTAGCACCCTTAACAGTAAATTATCATTGATTTTAACATAGCAACATAACCAGCCAGCACTATTTTTGTAATGACCTTTCCTAACGACCTTTCATAACGGACACAGACATTTTTGCATTGGCGCTGACTTGTGAATTAGAGGACCTTCGCTACGCTTCGGTCGATTAACGTGAAAAACGTAAGCCAACCATCTTTACAGATTTTGATTTGCAAAAATTGTTGATTTTCGATAATAACTGATTTGTTATTATCCTTTATTGTACAATATCCTGACTTATGGCCTTGGCTTGTATACACACCTATACACGTACAAACATATTAATTTCTCCATACATGTCACACTAATGCCTACTTGTAAGTTGCGTTATGCTACGTGTATATGTTAATTACTGTGATGATTATTTAGTATTTTTTAGTGGTGTTGCCTATAAATTAAGTTAACATGTTCATGTTGCTTAAATTTGCCAATAAAACTACAGTAGTTCTGAATTGCGCTGCCATTTTGCGGTCATAACCGGAATCGACAGAACCTACGCTATACAGCATACTGCAGCAAAATACAGAGTTGAGGCCATAATTTGAATACATGATTGCAAATCATCAGTTGAATTAACGATGCAAAATCAAAATTTATGCTATTTTAAAACATGTTAAATATCCACGAAAACATTAATGAAGGCCGGCGGGAACTGAAGAAGAAAACGTTTTCAAAGTGTCCAGCATTCTGTGCTTTTGCATGATTCCTGATCATCGTTCGGATTCGAAACAATTTGCGTAACAGACTCAATTAACGAATCTCCGTGGCCGGTAAGAACTGAAAATGCTAATATGGGGGTGGTTGCGAAGAACAACAGAAGCAACAAACTGCTTTCCATTTCCTTTCGGAAACGGTTTGCCAGTTGCGCATGCTGCACATAGCAAAGCGGCTTTTTGGAGTCCCAATGTTGAAATCAGGATCAAATTCTGACCGCCGATCATTCGACTTTGTCATCCTCGTCCAGGGAAAACAGCTCTGAACAAGCCCCATTTCAGGCACGACGTCGTCTTTTGGTGAATCAAACACATAGTGGCGTTGAGACAGAATTTGCTTTAACGTATGTGCTTTGTTCTGGGACATGGGAGCATGCATTAATGGTTTGATTTCGGCTTCTTGCTGTTCTGATATATACTTTTCTTCCGGCATTTGATGTCATACGGTTATTTCCGGTGATGCGGAAAAAAGATGAGGATGCACAAAATAATAAAAACTGAAGGTGTAAGAATGAAGGACTCTTAAAAATTTCAGTCACAGAATTATCCTCTAAGCTTTCGCCGAGGGCCGAGGCTGTACTAACAACAAATCAACTTCCATTAACAAATCTCAGCAGCATATTGTGGTTATTTCAGATACTTACGCAGTTCGACGCGAGTTGCCCTTACTACATACCATAATATAAATCCCCAAAAGTGCAAGTACAATATAGTACTACATACACAGTTTACAGCAAAATAGGTATCGCAAGTTTTCGTCTATGTATATTGCATCTTTTATTCATGCAGTGCTGTGCGGTATTATTATTTTTTCTTGATGTGCGACTACGTTTCGAACACAAACACCACAAAAATTACTGCAAACGTGCGAAGGTAAGTAATTCTGATACGTGCAGTTAAAAAATTGTTATCGTGCACCGTAAGTGCTTTTTTAGCACATTACCAGTAACAGTTAATACAGAGGTACTGTGATTCGTCCTTCTAAAGTTTGTGTACAGATCTGTATTAATCAGTCCCTCGCTTCTGTTTTTTTTTGTTTAGCTTTTCAGTCCCTGGCTTCTGTTCCCTGTGAATGGATACGGAGTTTACCACTTAACAAAACTAAAGGAAAAAATTTTACATAATTTGTTAAGATAGTTTTCGCCGGTTTTATTGCCAGTTCAAATAAGTATACAACTTACAGGAAGAGTTTCTAAGCAACGGTGTATATTCAGTTACGTACTCGCACAACGCAAAGGTCATCGCCAGTAAGGTTGATAATGAAGACAAACAGTACAATAAGTACGTACAGTACAATATAACAAGTGTTACTTTTCAGATGTAACGCCTGTTACGGGTTTGTAAAGCGGTAAGTTACGACTTCGGGTTCAACGTGTTAAAACAAGCTATAAAACCCCCAGCATTTTTTATATTTAGGCTGTTTAATTGTTAAAAGCCTGTTATTGTTAAAAGACTGTTTTATTGTTAAAAGCCCGGCTACATTCCCACGTATCAGGACTGAGTGAAATTACTGCACTACACTCACTGTAAATAACAAAAATAATGTGAAGCATAGGAAACTGGAATTATTTATAAAACAAATAAATTCGGAATACTAACGTTGAGTTTGTTCAACAGAAACACGAAGCAGTTATAATGTTGAGGTCCATGAGTCAATTTAATTTCTCGTTAAACGACAATTCATCGACTAATGCAGCTTGGAATGATGAAGAAAATGATCTATATATTAATGACACCGCAATTCGATCCACCAGCCGATATGACTTGTTCGGACTGTTACGCAATAGCGTTGGCATAGCAGAAAATATTTGTGACGATGCTAAACCAGCACTGCGAACCGTGACTCCTCCACTAGAAATGCTTGATCTTATAAGAGAACAGGACCAAGACGAAGAGGTTCTTGTTTCCCAGAGAAATTTTTTAAACTGGACATTTAGCGAGGGGAATATAATAGGAGCCTACTATGATGAAGGCGATTTTGACATAGACGAATACGCATCCACTGATCAAAATGATGGTCTTACGGAGCAGTCGCAAGGCGATAGCGGTGAGAGTCAAACGGGGAAAGAAATTTTGAAAACTTTTGGCCCGTATCAAAAAGGAAATAAAAATCCTGAAACCGCTTTAGAGGAGCCAGCAGCTTTTATGGCTCCGATGCAAAGTATGTCGTAAGTGCCAGAAAGGTCACACGTGAGACGGAATTAGCGGGAAAATTACTGTACTTTGAACCGGTACTAAACAGCAAGGGTGTTGAATGTACAAAGCTCTGTGGACCTATGATCGGACGAAAATTTGTTGTTTCAGATATATGTCCGATCCTTTGGTGAGGTATTTCTCGTCATTATTGAAGCGTGGATTGACTGAATCGTTCCGTCAGATTTTCCAGATGGTATCTGTAAATCAACGGCAATATCTTGCACTACATACCAAAAACCTTGTTACCGACAAAGATTTTTATATTAAAAAAGAACCAGGACTTCTAGTCCAGCTTGGGGATGCGTTCGGGCAAATAGAGTTCCTCAGCCAAAATGGTACATACATGCAGCTTAACTGAGCTTATGCACTTTCGCAGTAGTTCGTTGTGCTTCCTTCAATCTGTAATCGCATGCTAGATATTATTGATGCACTCGCACTACTCGTACTGTAATAAATTTTACCAGCTATATTTTCCCGTACTGCGTATTAATAAATAATACGATTTCAAAATTGTTCTTTCTCCAACCTAGGTTTGCATGATTCCGCTTTTTCCACTTGCTACAGCTTAATACAAGAATACCACCAACATCCCCATAACGTGGAAATTGTGCTCGAGACTCTGAAGTATTACTTACACAAACTGTCAAAAAAGTGTCGGGAAGACGGCGGAAAGTGTCAAGCCGTGGCATCATGTATTTTAGCTGATCACCTAAAGCTGAAAGGTACGGTGGCGAATATCAGTACCAGTCATCAAATCCAGTCTATTTTTGCTCAGAAATATTTTGTGTATCATCTAACAGAAACATTTTTACAGAAAAGGATGTGGAATTCTTCAAACTATATATTGACGTATACTTCCTGAGCAAGACAAAATCTTGGACACTGGACAATGAAATATTGTTGGCTGACCACGCCGCGAGGAATTTGTTTGATCTATACATACGATGGGGGCAAGCGCAACATTTTCCCGTTATAGCTGAGGAATATTACATTAAAGCCCAGAAAATGGCCGATCATAGTACGTGTGGAAAAGAATTACAGCAGTGATTTCAAAATAAAGCGTTAATCGGTTAAAAGTTGTATTTATCCCATATTATTGTAGCTAGAAACAACCGGATGCGGCTAACTGCGGCCTGTTGTCTGGTGGAAAGCAGCTTTCTGCTCAATCGGCTGGATGTCGAAGGATCGCGAATGGTACTGTACTTAACAAACTGGGACTGCATGTTGAGCTCGCTTAAATTACAGTACGAGTATTCTTTCCTGCGTTTTCTGAAGCACTGAAGTTATGTTTGATTTAGATTTTAGCCGACTTAAGAAATTCACTTGATAAGCAAAACAATGCATATTTTGCAATGGAAAACCTTATGGACTGGGCAGAAGCGCTTCTGTTGCTGCGGTAAGAAAGAGCAGGCTACAGGGTGTAGGCAAGCATAATATTATTACTGTATCAAATTCCACTGAAGTTTAAAAAAACGGACAATGAGAATTACAAAGCAAAGACAGTTATACATAAAATATGCTTTGAGATAATGTGCGTTTTAAACAACTGCATTGTGTATTCAAGTTACTTTTTAAACGTTGTAGTGAAAATCGTTACGAGAAATCTACCGCTCGAATGAAGCGATACATACACAGTCAAGAAGCTGAGGATAACCCACATCAGTTGCACAAAGCCTACCGCGAAATTGCTCTGCTTTATGAACAGCAGGTACTACAAGCATTGCAAAAGACTCCTTATAACACAAGTGATTTCAAGAAAATTCCTCGTATAACTCATTAGTCCAGTTAAAATAAGTAGTATAATCCGTAGATGCTGATAGGCTGTAGGAAATTTGTATCCCAAGCAGCACTTCCCATAGCTCTGTCGTGCATGCAGTCGAAGTCGGAAGCCTGCTCATACGTATTCCTGTTGTCTCAAAACAAACTGGAACAACCGCTTTTTGCAGGGTCACACACATGTCGCGTTCCATCTCTTTCAATCGGCCTGGCAATCGAAACGCCGCGCGCCGGTTTTGCCGGATGTCGGCGGCATGGAAGATACTATTAAACAAGGAAGCCCCGAAGCGGTCAAACCGGACAACAAACACCTGGACTTCATAAGTTACATTAAGAGTATCTACCACGACATCAGCGATCCTGCTCGTCGTAAACATGCCGTTGAAATATGCCAGTTGTACTTGGAACTTATGCGTCCTACGCGGAAGGAGATAGATAGCGAAGGTTACGGACATGTCAATATTGACGCTAAATTAACTTGCCTTGACCACGAAATTCGCCTGCCGCTACCTTGTGAACACAAGGCATAGTGTGGTGGATCTCGTGCATATAGATACTGTCTTTCAGTTATTACACCGTAAAACATTTAGATTACGGGTGACTAATGTTTTTGTGAAGTTGGCAAATTTCTTTCGGACAAATAAAAAGTCACAAATGCATAACACCAACGCGAACAGCAACAGGCTACGTACTTTGAGAAGTTTAGGTTAGGAGCTGGACATCAGGTTCATTCTTTGACGTACGTCACAGCATATTCACTATACCGTTAAAGGACTACATGTGTAGGAGCTGGCTGGAGGCGTGGCTTGATAAAAGGTGCGATGACCGTTATGGTCGCCGTCCACATATTACTAATTTTTCATTTTAGTCGCCTTTTTTCAGTGGAACTTTACTGATTTTGAATTTCGCACTCACTTTGTGTTGTTTTAAAGGATTTGGTTGCGAAATACTTTCTTTTTCTGACAAGTAAATATAATGCCAGGTTTTTTGGCTACTTGGTTATTTCTGGAAAGATATTATGATTAATTTGATTTTGATTTCCCTGTATTAATTTTGAGAAGCCCACAGCCATGAATCCAGCACGGGAGTCCGCTTCTCATGCGATCCATTTGAAAAACCATCTGGACGGAACGGTTTTATCGGATACGCTGCACCAACAGGCTTCCTCGTCGGTTAGCCATTCCTAGGCAAACTCTTCCTGGTTGATGGAACAATAATTTTACTGGGTTTTAGGGCACCGAATGTTCTATTTCATATTGCTCTGGATCAGTTGTTCGTCCAGATAAAGCAAGTGGACTGCGGTCGACACCACCTTCGACCTCCCACGATGAGGAAACATTACTGCGAGAGGCCGAGGACTTCATTGCTCAATATTACACATCGTTAAAGCGGTAAGAATTTTGTACTTTAACGGTTTAACTTAAGATAAAACGAAAGCAGTGTGATCTGCATTTTCATTCTGTGGGTTTTTTAACTGTGTTCCGCGCTTTTTGTGAAAGAAGATTTCAAGTAAAATATTTAGCTTTCTATTTTTAGTAAAGACAGTTTTGCGCATTTCACAAGATGGGAGGAAGTTCGCAACCAGATTGTGTCCAGCGGAACATATCAGCTCAAAGAAACCGAATTAGCATTCGGCGCCAAAACAGGTAGGCTCTGTCACCTTGGTGTCAGTGTTACTTTTTGTAATGAGACTGTGCCAGTTTGAAGTGGTCAGTTCTTGCCGATGGATTATTGATAATTAAAATACTCTTACAATTAGCTTGGCGTAATGCTGCGCGTTGTATTGGACGAATGTTTTGGAACCAGTTGCAAGTGTTTGATGGTCGGTTCGTGCGTACTAGCCAGGAAATATTCCAGATGCTGTGCGATCATTTGCGCTTTGCCACGAATAACGGGAATATTCGGTGTGTTTTGACTCTCCGCATTGCATTTCGCATTGTTGCAGTAAATCTGTTTTGGCTTACAGTTCAACGATCACACTTTTTCCACCCAGTGTGCCAAATACTCCCGATTTTCGCATCTGGAATTCGCAACTGATATCCTACGCGGGATATGGAACACAAAACGGCATAATCGGTGATCCCCAAAATAAGAGCTTTACGCAGGTACGAGTGCAGTATTATTTTTATATTGCCCATGATTGTGTTACGAACAGAAAAAAAATTCGAGTTACCGTACGCGAGACTGAAACGCACTTTAGTATGTCACTGCGAAATGTAGGGAAGCAAGTGCGAGTTTTGGAAAATCTTACGATCGCTGACAGATGAGTTACGTATTTGAATGCCACCAAAGATTCATGGCATAGTTAAACCACTTATTAGAAAATCAGATACCCTTTTCTAACTGTTCTTCATTTTATCATGGCAAGTTTTCGTTATCCGCTATTTTGTGCGTTATGTTTATTTGCGGATGCAGATTTGTTTGGACTTTGGTTGGATTTCTCCAAGCAATCAGCATGGGAAATTTGACATTCTGCCTTGGGTGATTCAAGTTGCCGGACAGGAACCTGTGTTGTTTGATGTGCCAAAGGATATTATTATGGAGGTGAACATAACACATCCGGAGTAAGCTACCTGTTACGCTTGCGCTCAGATTTACCGCCATTTGCACATTCTCGGGATGATTGTTTACAGACTCTCCTTCCTTTCCGATATGCATCTGAAATGGTATGCCGTTCCATGCATTTCAAACATGAAATTGCAAATTGGTGGTCTGAAATTTCCGGCTTGTGCTTTCAAGTATGTATTTTATTTATTCAAGTTACTATTTTATTTTATCCAATTCAATACAGAGGATTAACTGTACTTCTGAATTCTTGGAAGGTTACCGAAAATCAGTTTCTTTTGCATAACATTTATTTTTGAATCCTTTTTTTAATTGTATGACAATACGGTATATTAGTTAAGTAACCGTATTTTCTTGTTATTTTCTTCGGCTATGGTAGTGGATGGTATATGGATACAGAGATTGCTTGCCGTGACCTTTGTGATGAAAACCGGTACAACGTTTTACCGACTATTGCTGCTAAACTGGGACTGGACTGCTCACGAAGCAGCACCATGTGGAAGGAAAAAGCCCAAACGGAAATGATCGTTGCCGTTATTCACAGCTATCAGGTTGGCTGATTTAGTCAGCAGTTTGTTCCTGGATTAGGTGTCCAGTTCATAGCTAAGTGATACGGCATGCATTGCAGAAAGCGGGTGTGGTAATGATCGACCATCACAAAGCCTGTGAACTTTTTGAGGATCATTTGCGTAAGGTTCTGTAGTAAGCCCTTCAAAACACAACTGTTGTAGGTTATTCGCTGATTTGTTTACTTGTCAACGCAGGTAACGAAACGAAGATTCGTGGTGGATGTCCAGCTGACTGGGTGTGGATAGTTCCTCCATCTGCTACCAATCTAACTGTATTGTTCCATCAAGAGATGTTGAATTATAAACTTTTACCTTCTTTTGAGTACCAGGTATGTGACAGTACTCTAACTTAAATTTCGCTCTTTCGGGTTCGGGTATTCTACGGTTTGTGTGCAGTTATACTCGTCGTCAAGAGTACTCAACATATATTTAAGATTGCAGCTAAGCGCTATGGTGTGGTATTCTTTAAATCAGTTTGCTTGCAATCGATTTTAGGAAAATGCGTGGGATCTTGAAAACAATGCACTATTTTTGGGGAAAGGGACAGGCTTTCCCGCAATCGTGGTGCACGGTGTGTTGGATGGGCCTTCCACCAGGGAAAATGGAAAGAAACTGACGTTCAAGGGTCTTGTACGAATTATCATCGCTGGATTGTATATTATGCGGAAATGTATCAAACGACGCACCCGCGTCTTGATACTTTATGGGTCTCAATCTGGGCGTTCTCGACGATTTGCATCTAAATTGGCGCAATTGTTCCGCCAAGTTTTCAACGTGCGGGTGCGTGCCTGTTCCAGTAGCTTATAGGGTTCTCTTGCAAACATTGAGTTAGAAAGCCACGATATACTGCGAAATTATAATGGATTTGTGTATGTTACAGTTAGTTGGAATGGATGAATATGATGCGAATGAACTTCGTTTTGAGACCATTGTGTTAGTTGTGTCTTCCACATTCGGCAATGGTGATCCTCCAGCGATGGGAGAGGAATTCTCTCAGCAGTTGTTTGATCTTAAAATGGCCTCTCTGGCAGCTGGTGCTAAAGCTTTGCGGCGCTCTAATTCATTCACTGGTTCTTCACTATTCCCCAGTTTATGGGAAAAGTACGAACGATTAAGCTGGAGTTAAACACCATGTTTTTGGAATTCGTACTGTAGGTTCAAGGTTGTACTGTTTTCAGGGAGCCGACATCCGAAAAAGGTTTGCGGATGCGTGTTTTTTATTCAAACATTAGCGATGCCTTGCCCGGTGATTTGTCCCCGTTTTTGCAAACAATTCATCCTGCACTATCCACTGTCTTCGACATCATACGACCATCCATGGTGTACACTTCCGATACATCTAGTGGCAGTTCGTTTTCTACACCTGAAAGGTCACCACAGGTGAACGGCGCTACCGAGTGGTCACCGAACTCCCGACCCGTTAGATCAGCTCCAGCCAAACTGAATCCGAATTACATCAATGAAGAATTCCCGATGATAAACACTTGTTTCTCCGTGTTTGGATTAGGGTCATCTGCTTATCCGAAATTTTGTGGTTTCGCTGCATTTGTCAATAATATTTTCGGCGACTTGGGCGCTGAGCGGTTAATGTCGTTTAAAACTGGGGACGAACTGTCGGATCAGGAAAAAGCTTTCCAACAGTGGCAGCAAGAAATTTTTGAGGTAAGTTCTCTTTTTTATGACTGCCAGCCTGTTAATAAAAAATTTAGTGCTAAATTGTTATGGTTAATTCAGTACCAGCTTTCATCTGCGGGTTTGTGCTAGTGGCTATTGCTACTCTCCGGGTGCACAGAATGAGCACGCATTTCTTTTGTTCAGCTGGAAAGAGGCATTGTACTGGTGTAGCATCTTTTTGTTACGATACCTTTAGATTTGCACGCGGCGTTTCGACGTCCAGATTAGAAAAGCTCTGCAACTGCCGCATGGACACGTGCAGATGTCAACATTATGGTCACCTTCAAAATTTCGTGGCACTCCTGTAAAGCGAAAACTTGTGGAGCTGCCCGATAGCATTAATGTCTTGAGTCCAGGATCTCGAAATCTTTCTCAACTACTCGGTGGTCTTTCTTCTCTGCATCACAAGAACGTGCAGGGAGCACTATGCCTGGAAGTGCGTCAGTTGCTTCAACCTGATGCCGGGTATAAGAATTTAACATGCAGCAAGTTAAATTACTGTCGGGCAAAAAATTTAAAATTGTGTACAAACTCTCAAAAGCGAGATACACACGTAGTGACAGTCGCAGTTTATTGTCGCTTTTTTTGCAGGCGACAGATACTGCTAATACGGCTGGACATTAGTCGGTGTGAAAATTTCTCTTACGAACCCGGCGATCATGTCCTCGTTTTCCCCTCTAACTCTAAAGATATTGTATCCCAAATTCTGGATCGTTGCATCTGGGACCTAGGTGAACTTAGCCCTTCTGCAGCAAATCCGTTCGACATTATGATGCAGCTGGAGCCAGCTATTGAAGGATCACCTGCAAGCACAGAATGGATGGACCACAACCGTCTGCCGGGACCGTTGTCCGTCCGTTTCGCTTTGACATATTTCTTGGATATCGCCCAAGCACCCAGTCAGTCTTTTCTGTTGGAATTGGCGCAGGTTCTGGATCCCAAGCACATCCATGACCGGGAAAAACTTCTGCTTATTGCAACAGACTCCACCGCATATGCCGGTTGGATTGCGGAATCTTATCCAACACTGTTGGATACATTGCAACAGTTTAGTAATATCAAATGTCCCGTTTCACTGTTGTTGACCCAGTTGCCGCTGTTGGAAGCCAGATACTATTCTGTCAGTTCTTCAAGAAAAGCCTTTCCGAGGGAGCTGCACATTACTGCGGATGTGATCGTCTTTGGTCGTAACGGTTGGTTGGGAAGGATGAATCATTTTGTGTAATGTATGGATTAATCGCCATTGGCTTTTAGATGCGTCTGGATTCCCTCGCCTTGGACTTTGCTCAAAATTTTGGACCGCTCTGAAACCCGGAGACATCGTTCCTTGTGCAACAAGAGTGTACGTTCGCTTTTTGCTCTGTTTTCTTTAGTTTGATGAAATAAATTCTGATTTCCAGAGCAAATCATTTCCGCTTACCTACTGTTATAACTACACCCATTATGTTGATCGGACCAGGAACCGGTATCGCCCCTTTCCGCAGTTTTTGGCAAGAGCTTGGAGCTGAAAGTGTCACCAGTAAAGCTCCTCTAGATATTGTGCTGTATTTCGGCTGCCGACGACCGGATGTGGATGATTTTTACGCCGGCGAGTTGGAAAACGCTGTCGTGTGTGGCGGACTTCGCAAAGGTAAGAAAGCGCGTTCGTAGACGTGATAATATAATAGCACGTATGGCAGCGGTAGTTTTTGATGTTTTTCCAGTATATAAGGCATATTCGCGAGAAGCTGGAAAAGGCCGTGTGTACGTGCAGGATCTATTGCGCCAAAACGCTCAAGACGTTTATAGACAGTGCGTCACAATGGGAGGTCACATATATATCTGCGGTGACGTTCGCATGGTAACTGGCGTTCAGAATGCGTTGTTGAAAATTTTTCAACAAGAGGGGGGAATATCGGAAGCGGAAGCAAAGGAATACCTTGTTAAAATGACCGTAAGTCGAATCCCATATGCAAAGCGTAGTGTTTTGGCGCGTTGTAAAGTATTGCAAGTTGCAAAGTACCGTACATAAAGATAATTAATTATAATAATATTATAATATTTTATTGGAACTTTATTAGGAAGAAAATCGCTTCCACGAGGATGTATTCGGCCTGAATTCGAATGAAGACAGCAGCAACGGAATTTAAAAGGGACCCGGTTTAAACTGCAAGTCATGTGACTTGGATCTGATTCAGCCTCGTTAATTTGGAAAACCCATGTTTATTGAATTAATTAATTTGGAAAACCCATGTTTATTGAATTAATTTCTACGTATATGCTTTGGACCGAATTCGTTCTGTTTTTTGTGGGTTTTATCCGGGTTAAAATGTTGATTGCGATTCATGTCTTTCTGTTTCATTTGCATGCCGTCAGCCAGAATTTGGTCAATATTTATATCAATATCTTTATTAAATATCTTCATAAAGTAGAGCGAACTATGTACTTACATAGTATGTACGTACAGCCGGCACAGGTAAGTAAGTACTTGGGCGGTCACTGGTCATCATATGACATCGTGTTTCAGTGACCGGTAACCGGGGTGTCCTGTGCTACCTAGTATTTTTTCGTAACAGTTGTAACTGCTAACCACAACATGCCATACAAATGATTTTTTAAAAGTGAATACGGTTCAGTTTTCTTATTTTATATTTTAAAAAGTATTACTTAATAATAAGTAAAATGTTCTGTCGTTTGTGCGGATGGTCGACCATTTGGATTAACTCTGCAATGTGCAACTGCGCATTGTGCCCATTCCTGAACTCAGAAAATTGCCCATATGACGTAAAAGACGTGCAAACTGCAGACCATGGGGCATATCAGTCTGCATTGTTTTTGACGCTGGTTACCAAACCATGCCTAGCAAGCACCAGCTGTGAACTGGCTGTGGTTAGCGATCGATACCTGGAATTTTGGAGTCGCGGTTTGGGGAAAAGCACTTAGTATCCATTACGTTCTTGGCATCCAGAAGTCACTTATTAGCACCAGTTTGAGGTTAAAGTTCCTGACTACGCAATTAAAAGCTTGTACAATGGAAGGCAACGGAGACAACATGCCAATGGCTACCGCAAGAAACTCGGATGATAGTAAGAGCCAGTGTATGAATTTGGGCAGTGTATAAGAGGGGCAGGAATCTATGATAACGCTATTGTTGTTGTAGTTTGCATCGATCGGGATACTGGTAGTCCGATGCGAGTGCGCCGAAGCGGGGTGGCTTATGAAATTCTGCTGGATGGTGAAGCACGGGGCAGTCCGGGAAAGTCGTTGGGGTCGCCAGTTGCTCGACGCGTCGGGGATGTTGCGGAGCAGCCTGCAGCGCCGCCGCTGACCGCCGAGCAGCTCAATGAAAAACTCGTGGCTGCTGAAGCCCGTCGTGAGGTGAGAAGCGTGTACCTATTTTCAGTTTTTGCAAATTCCGCCTGTCTTTTTGATTTGGAATATTGTATGTCGGAAAAATTTTTCACGTACAATTACAAAATGCAGTTATTATTAAACATGGTTAATGGAATATTTGAATATCAGCTATCTTGACGCTGCACGTGTATGACTGATGCTTTTTGTGTGCTTCTTCGGATTTTTTTGTACGCTTGCTCTTGACCTCATTGTGCAAAATTTTATTATGCTTTAGATGCAATACTGCATACTAGTGCATAGTATCACGTGTGCCTTAATTATTTTAATGACTGACAGTCGGTGAATGTGATTATGTACTTACTCAAATACGGGCACTTTTCATTTTAATTTTGAATTTCTAATAGCGGTTTATCAGTTTGTTTTTTTCAAGGCTGCGATAAATGAGCTTCGCAATCGCTGTTTGGAACACAACGTGGGCAGGGTGCAGCAGGCCATTCAGAAGCGAAGTTTGGCGGAGAAACAGCAGGCTGACGAACTGAAGGAGTCCATCGACAAAGAACTGGAACAAGCGCGTGCCAATGTGGAGGCCCGACGTTTGGCACAGCTGGAGAAATTGAAGCAGCAGGTGCTGCAAACTGGCGCAGTTTTCCTGTTGAACATCGATATCATACTTTTGGTTTTGTTTAGGAAAATCATCATCGTGAAATCCAGAATCGACAGAATATGGAATTCGAGGAGCGTTTGCGCCAGATGGATACCAAGTATTCCGAGATCAACGGCAACCGCGATCGTATTCTGCAGGAAATTGTGGAAAAGTTGAAGGAGCATGTACGTTTGTTTTGGTTGTCTTGTAATGCTGTTTTACACCAGTTATTTTGAATGTTCTTCCAGAATGAGCGCGTACAAGAAGTCCACGAAAAAATGGTGGCCGCTCAGAGCTCAATGCCGGATGGATCGACGGAGACGGTCAGCGAGGAACAACGCCAGTGGATTAACGCTGCCAACGAGCGGGATGAGTACATTCGCGGAGCTAAAGAACGCATGCGTCAAGCGGTGAGTTTTGGTTTGCTTTCATTCGGATGTGTTTTTAACATACTGCTGGTTATCCGCAGAATTTCGATCTGGACACGGAGAATGTGGTTGTCGCTCAGGATCAACGCCATCAGTGATGCTGTGTTTGGCCACTTACGCTCTGCAAGATATTTGTGGGATGATGTTGACGAATTATTACTGCTTAAAACATTCATATGCCTTGAAATATTTGTTCGGTTTTCATTCATTCATGTGCCTTGAAATATTTTTTCGGTTTTAGCGTTTTCTATTTTTTTGCGTGCCAGAAATTTTGTACTGATATGCGACGGCATGGGTTCTGGGAGTTTTCTACGATAATTTGATCGTCCTTGCTCAGTATTGGCCACATTTTAATTAAATTGATTTTTATTTGATGGTATGGAATTGAATACTAGGATTAAAGTTGAGATCTCAGTGATGAGCGCAGTGATTAACTGAAATTTCATCTGATAATTTTTCGGAAGCAGCGACGATCTGTCTTTTAAGAACAGCCATGGTAACCATCTCCGAGGTGACACATTGCAGCAGGCGATCCTCGTCAACTTCCGGTTCTCTTTTCTGAGACCAGTTTGCTATATTTTCACAAAAATAGTTTTCGAGGAGACGTTGCAGCCTCGAATACCATTCTATAACATTTTCCTCTCCCTCATGGTTCGTTGATTCCTCCGTAAACCGATCCACGGTTACTATACTCAGCACTGCAGCTGCAAAGGTCATGCCGTTAAAAAAAACGATAGGCGTAGTTTGTACAAACCACGGTGGAACTATCGTTGTGATAAGGATGCTTACCATGGTTAGAAACGTAACTTACGTAACTGAAAGTACTGAGTTAATCACTATTGCTTAGAACTCAAATTAAGATTTACAAGAATGTTAAAAGTGTTAATGTGCTGTGGGAAGCTGTGCGCAACTTACCGGCAATTCCAGCATGGCGAGTTATACCCCCAAAAGTGTGTGCCTCTGGATCGAAGTTGCAGATACCGTACTTTGTCAGACATTTTTGAAAAAAATTTATGCGTTCAACATGACTGTAATCGGCAAAAGCTCCCGCTAGACGTCCTTCAGCTTCGTAAAAACCATCGACACTTAAGGTGTTGCCATCGATGACCGGTATTCCAAGACTTGGATTTTTCCGCATTTTAGCAATTCTTGAACGAATTCTTCGTCTAAGGCGTTTGGCAATTTCTTCTCTTTTCCCAGTACACTCTACATTGAAAAATAAAGCACTCACAAAATCAACTAGGAATAACCTGTTAACAGCATTATCTGTAGATTAGTTTCCGTATTTCCACAAATCAAGATTCCGCATACTTTGAAATTAATGTGTTTCTGCTTTATGATGTGCTAGTCATAAATTTTGATAACATCTTGCTGTCGAAAATACTAGTACTTCTGTATGAAAGGCCGACAGAAAAGTTACATTCAGAACACAAAAGAACTGACTTGCTGGCAGGAAGTCTGGAACAGTCCATTGTAGATGTTTCGCGTCACAATGACTGAACCCGGTTTAACAGCCAATCCACTGGATAATCCAACATGTACAGCTTTAATATGTCGCTGGACCCCAGCACAGAATAAGAATTGGAACAATTCGTTCAATAACGTTGACAATGATTCGCTGCCTCCAGGATGCTAGAACGTCGTAAAACAATTCGATGTTATTTTCTTCTGGCTGCTGTAGCACACCGAATTTGTCGTTTACCAAAGGTCATCAAAGACAAACGTTATTCAAATCAGCTTAGGATCTTTGTACATAATATATATGAGATACAGGCTCATGTTAGTGAACTGAACCCATCTATCAAAAAGTATGTTTACTAGTTTAGCAATCATTATTTAACTATTACTCAATGCTACAAGTACTATTTGGATTCGTGGTGCACAAGACGTACGAGCACTCAGACTCTGGGTGCATGCGCATTAACACTTAAAAGCAGACATACCAACGCAAAGAGAACGCATCCGGCCTTAAACATTGAGCAGGAAGATATCGGAGAACAAAGATCGATAAGAGATAATCCACCTGGAATACTGGTTTCCATACAAATCTTAGCACAGCCCTCGGCTAGTTGTTTTAACAAAATCCCTTGGGTGCTAATGCAGATCAGCTGAAAAAACAACAACGTAAAAGTGCAAACTTGTTTCTTAGCTGATATGTTTACAGCATAAAGATTAACCCAACGAAAACGGCACGAAAACAGCACAGCTGCAAACCTCTAAAAATTGAGGAACAAATGTTAAGATTGCGGCTGCACTCAACGGTACGAAGATCTGGTTCCCCCCAATAATTTCGGATTTAGATCTAAATACGCAGTGACCTTTAAATTTTTGAAAAATTTATTCGCATAAACTTTAGGCTGTTTTGATTTCATACTGATATACAGTAGATCATAAAAGTTAAACAACAATACCGGTTGCAGTAAAAGGAAGGAAATATGCTCCTACATACATTAATCATATACCGCAACGTCGTGAAATCTTTTCCAGATACAATCCATTTTGATTTTCAAACCCAAATGGCGAAAACTGGCTTCAGCTTTGGTGTTCAATAGACGTTTGTATCTAGCATTTGCTATCTGAAATGCACTAGCAAAAGGGTGCACACTGTTAATTCTGTACGGCAGAGTTTCGCGAATTTGTTACACGTACATAGTTTATGCAAAGATCCTGTACCTATCGCTACTTTCCCGCTCAGCCCGTTGGTCCAGTAGGACAGAACGGGGAAGATATTTGCGAAGCTGTAGAAACTGCCTTTTTAGAAACAATATCTCGCCGGTGGACATTGCAGCGCTGTGGTGCAAAAATGCGTCAATGGACAAAATAACATGCTGGATATTTTGACGAAGATTTTCCAGTTTAGAAGCCACTTTCTCGGTGCTTGCACTGTTCTCCATGGGTGCGGAAGTGTGGGAACATTGGAAGTCATCACAGACATCATTAACAACAGAAGAGCGTAATGCGTTATCCACCACACGTTTTGAGTAGGCGTCCTCCACGATATCAAAAAATCGAAGTTTTAATGGCGACTGACTGTGCTCGTTCATCGCAATTGTAGGTGCGGGTGACGCCCAAATTATTAGCACTTACTGCATGTACAATACAGCCCATTCGACTAGAAATCTAACGCCATTTTGATCTCGTTGATTCAGAATGATCAAATTATATTGATTTTTTACAAAGATAACCTTCTCAAAATCGAAAGTACAATCGCGGATAATACATTACTTTCAACATTTTTTGCATATATGTGCTAAGTGACAACTGACAAGTCCATATATTTTGATACAAAAAGAAGTAAGTAGTTTACAAAAAATCGTTTGAGCAGGAAGTCATTTCTATTTTGGCACCTGGTTACAAGAATAGCGTAACAATGTTGCCTGTGTTTATTAGTAAGTACAACGTACGGTACGTACCTATCCGATCAAGCTTTTGCGATTAAATAAGTATATAGTAAGAAATCCAGTTCTTCATACGTAATTAAAATCGTTTGGTTGAACACCCAGTAAAACAAGAATGTATTCTAACGCTTCCTTAACTATAAAACTCCTACATAATGCAAGAGCACTTTGTTGTTTCTAAAGTCAGAATTATGTAAAGCTAGATCCATCTCATAGCTTCGTATCTTTGCAGCTAATTGTTTTAGCGTCTCTCCTAGTTCATCATCAAATGAAGTAACGGTAGTATCTGTGGCTGGTTGATTCTCCGTTACGGAGTTTTGTTTTTTAGCTGGCTGTTCATCCATGGTAACGTCATGCTTTGTAAGACAGTAGTCCACATGTTTTTTTAGAAAAGTCAAAGGTTTCCGCATTTGCTGAAACTCGAATGCCCGATCGTTTCCAGTCAGCCGTTCTGCTTCGCGGTAGTAATCAGAAGCCTGGAAAAATATAAAAATTATGGCTCTCAAGATTAGACAAAAGATCAAAAAGAAATTGGCTTAATGCGAATTACAGAACAGTATTTACATTGGGACAACCGTTCACTTCCATATTAATAACTGTTCAAATTAATTTGTTTGGGATACAGAATTCACGGTACATGCTGATTCAAATCAGCCCAAAGGTCACCATGCATATATCTGCATGCATCAAGCAAACCTCTTTCCACTGATTGCAGGCATAGAGAATTATGGCGATACAGTAATGAACCATGGGAAAAATGTCGGGAAAATCTTTTTTGTTGGCCATTTCGAACTGCTTCCATATTGTTCGCAAATAGGTTAAGAGGCATTCTCGTTGCAGATAAACTGCATAAGATGTAAAACAGTTGAATTTCAGCGCAGAGAATTTCAGACCAAGCTGATATTAAGTCAGTTAAAAAGTAAAATGGATTAGGCATTCGTATGAGAATTCCGTTTTTGAAATAAACCTTTATGTGACAGCGTTAAATTCCTGATTTTACCTTGATATGCTCTTTCCGAATAAGGTGCAGGAGTTGGCGAGCTGTGTCGATGGACGTGCTCATCACCCATTTTCATTCCTGGCTTTATAAGGGGGTTAAGTTGTTCTTCAATAGCTTGATGAAGCAGCAGTGAAGCTTTGGTCAGATCGTTTAAAAGAACTGTCGATAAAATATCTAAAACTAAGTTATGCGTTATGTATTTCAGAAATTTATAACGTACTGTAGTTGCTTGAAACAAATAAATCTTTTACATGTAAAAATTTGCATCAAAAGCAGACTGCTTTCTGTACTATATGTAAAGCACTAACAATATGTGTAGTGCGTACTAGAATGTTTACAACATAACGAGACCTTCCATTGTAGTCCAAAGCATTATGGTAAGTAAATATGTGATCACAATTGCACTCACATAGCAGTAGTATGCATTTGCCGAAACGATATTATGCGATACAAAGCAGCAATATCCAAGATAAAATAAGCCATCCAGGAGTTCCTGAGAATTACTCCCGCGATCGAAGGAGAGTTCCGCAACCTGTAATCAATATTGGAATTGTTTAATGTACATTTTAAATCGTATATTTTCGTTGTTGGCTTATCCTCCTCTTCTTATTGTTAGTTAATGTCTCTTTTCTTATTTGACTGTCTTGCATAACTACTACGCTATTCTGATGGTACGCAATACGTGCCAATAGCGTAATTTAGAAAATCCGTCCGCAAAGTACGCGTATGTATAACGGCAACATGTACACATGATTTACGGAGGTTTTTAATCGCATATTTTTTAAACATATTTAAGGCGTCCACTACGCTAATAAACCAGCTAATTAGATAAAATTATTTAATTCGGGGATCATTCTGAGTGGTAAATAGTGGCTTTGGAAAAAAAATTGCACGTGCCTGTTCTGTCAAAATATTCATTGCCATTCCGAAATTCCCTTCTTCCACATACTGCCGCGCAGTCAGAATCTGTAATTGTAGCTCCTCGTTCTTGGGCAGCCTTCCGTGCAACTTTGCCAGTTTAACATGATTTACGAGACCGCAGTAAAACTGGCTTTTCTTTAGCTTCTTGCGCGCCAAATAAGCTGCGGCCATGGTCAAATAGGGTCCCACCATTTCCAGACAGTAAAGGTCACCAAACAACTCGAGAGTCAGCTTCTGGGATAGCAACGAACATGGAATCGCAAAAAGGTAATTTCCGCGATGCAGGTTACGATGTGCCATATTGTTAGCCAACTTTAGAACCATATGCTAAAAGACAGAAAAAAGTAAAATCACAAAATTCGCACCGATTACGGCACTAGAACAGTTTCAAAATGTCAGCCACTTCCGTATTACACACATAATAAATTATGTACAATTTCTTAAACCGCTTATGAAAGCACCGCGTACAGTTACTGTATTATTATGACACTTTCTGAATTTTACAAATTTTTTTTTGTGGTCAGTGAATTTTACAAAGTTTCTTAAATGGTTAAATTAACTCGAAAAACAATAAATTAATACTCAACAATTATGAATTATTTCCGATATTACTGTACCAACGGACCAAGAAACATCAAGTATGCATTACGCTACGACCAACATAACACTATGTCGACATACACCGAACCGTGCGCGTGGATTTGTGTAGCAATATATATATAGACCTTACTTTCCTTCCTTGGAGAATGGCGTTAACTTCTTCGGTTGTAAAACGTTTCCATATTTCGCTTTTGCAGTCTGGATTGCGAATTACTTTGATTTTGGTGCAGACGTATTTATGAATGGCGTGGAAATCCAGGATGCAGTGTTTAGGGCAACTAATTAACGGTTACTAGTTGACCTCATGCCGATAAGAGCGTTTACGTTACGGCATTCTGTTTTGTCGTAGAGAATGTACCAGTAGTACGTTTCACTGCATCCAGTACACATCAGTTTTGGCTCTCTTCCGCAGATCTCACAACCGAAATGCACACGTTTGCTTTTGTCCGTAATTCTGAAGTTGACAGTGCTCGGGTGAACCACTTTCGAGGTATGCTTTATGCAGGCGCTGCTAGGTGACAGCTAGAGGTCAGCCAGTGCAAATTTTAATGGCTTGTTTGCAACGCATACATAATAAAGTCATTTTAAGCGCGGTTGACTGTATTGCATGGCAGTTAACCAACGTACATTTATTTGGCAAAGATGATCTAATAATTAGTGCTAGCATAATAGCGATATCATCTGTCATTCCTTACTAAGTTTCTAATGTAGACTAGTCTAATGTCTAATGTCTAATGTAAACAGAAGTTGTACGTCAGTGTACGATAATGATTAGAGTCAGAATTCGTAATGCTTTTCTCTATAAAATTTTGATACAAATTGGATAAATATGGATCATAATTTTAGTATTAAAGATCTTGATAAACTAAAGTACATTGTTGCTCGACAAGGTAACTGCTGCTGGTCATCGACGGGATCATGATCCCAAACGTGTTTGTTTCGACAATGTGTTTGTTGGCATATGTATCATGTATGATATTTGTATACCTAAGCCTTTCCATGGAAAAAAATTTTTTAAACTGTAACTTAACCGTACATTTAAAAGAACCCTTTGGTACCGATTTGGTGTCCTTAAAAAGGTGGCAAAGATTCATGCTCGCCAAGCAGGACAAATGACGTTTACCATCGTTGTAAAAACGTTAACGCTGTTACTGTTGCAGATGTCACAACTTCAAATCTTTCCAATAAGTTACGCAAATGCACAAAACTGCTGTATAAGCTCTTACTGGATGCAAAGAAAGTAGAGGCAAATCGGCTTCTTTTATTGGCAGAAAACAAGCATCTTAAGGGTGGGTACAACATTGTGCGTATGACAGTTGAAAGCAATTCGATTATACAGATTGTAAAAAATTTAGGTTTTTGCATTATTAAAGTTTTCACATCGAAGTGCGATCTGTTGTCTATTTTTTTATGTGAATTTAAGAATTTATTAATTTTTGTAGAGCGGCTAGCGAAACTTGAGCAAGTACAAACACCCCCAGAGCAGTGTGCTGTTGGGAATGCTAATCAACTCCGTAATACGGTCGACCCGAATCCGCCAGCCTGTAATCGACTGGAAAGCCCAGAAATGATTTCTGCTAGCGATGTTTGGAATTTATTATGGACAAAATAACAGTTCAGGCATAATAATTATTATTAAAAGTTCCTGTTTATGAACTGCACAAGTATAAGATTCTTATAATCATGTCGCTGAATTATTTATTCCTTCTGTTTCGTTTGTGGAAGAACATCATCCTCTTCCTGGAACAACAAGAGAACATACACAATACTGATGGTTCATACAAGTTTGTACAAGAACGGAAGAGCAACTACAGCAACTACTGTAAAATTAATAAAGTACAGTACGTATTGCACCTACTTAAGTAATTATAGTACTGAATTACGGAACCTAAACCGAAAAAGTCCTACTGCATTGTTTTTGTTTATCCAACCTGTAAATATGTTGCTAAGCAAATTAGGCACGCACTGCATTCAGTTAAATTCAAATTACCGTACAAGTTCTTATTTATTGCACCCTGCACAGGTGTGATGCAGCCTGCAGCTATTTCTGTAAATAAAAATCGCGCTGGTTTTTTTGGTAGAACAATAAAGCTGATGTTCGCAAAACTTACAGTTTTATTGATGAAAGGATTGCTTTTGCTTAGCTGTAGAAGTAATTTAATAAAGCACACTTCTGATAACTGAAAGAAAAAATAGCCAGTAATATGATCACTTCTGACCCCGAGTAAAACGACTTGCAAAAAAAACGTTAGGTAAACGTTTGGAAACAGCTAAAATTGACACACATCCGTTCACCTAGCGGTAGTTACACGTTAAACTAACGTGTTTCCTACAAGCTGTTTTACTCGGGGACCCGACGAACATAGTATAAATAAATGGTATTATGTGTGCGCTAGCTAGTCAAGAAAAATACGACTGTTGATCATTTTGTGGTCGTTGCACTGTCGCCTAAGAGAAGCCGCAATTATAATAAGTATCCTTTTCTATTTTCGTGGATGTGTGATTGTTGCTGCAGAATAATTACTGCAGTATTGTTGCGTGTCATTTCGCGCCAAGGTGCATTCTGAAGATGCAGGAACGGAAATGGAATACTCTTTTCCGTCCACTCCGAAAAAGCTACAGTGATCCGTGTATAGGTAAGTATCTGACAACAAATAAAGTTATACGTTATTGGATGAATACGGAAACCCGAGTAAAACAGCTTGTAGGAAAAACGTTAGTTTAACGTGTAACTACCGCTAGGTGAACGGATGTGTGTCAATTTTAGCCGTTTCCTAACGTTGATCTAACGTTTTTTTTTCAAGTTGTTTTACTCGGGAAATGGTGCTGGCGGTTTTGTGTCAAGTTTTCTATGGCTGTTCTCTGCTGCTGGTCTGATTATGTAGTGCTTCTCGTTAATTTTTATAGATGTCGCTAGAATTACTGTTGGCACGTTTTTGGCTCCTTTGGTCACCGTGCATTCAGCAGTACCTGCTGCAGCTGTAGACGGTGGCGAAAAGGACATTCCGCGACAGGTACAACATTTATTTGTGCACGTGGAGGAACTTGCACCATAAATTATTTATTACCACACAACGCCTGTGCAATAGAAATATGCATATATTTGTATTACTGGACATGATATTAGGGCCTGCTAGATAAATCGTTAAGTACTGTATCTTTTTTTTACAGTTACCTAAAATAGTTTGTACTGCGAGGATGTTACTGCTTAATTTCTGTCATGCCATGTCTGTGAAAAGGGTGATAAATAACATGAAATTGAGGCGACAAAGTAGCTGGTTGCAGGTAGATTACCGAAGAACTGCTTCTGCCATCCGGATCACGCACTAGCCCCACAAAAGATGCAAGTACGCAGACAATTTTGTCAGCAAAAAAGCTTGCTACAACGCAAACGGGAATACACGGTGGACGACACATTACCGCAGCGGCATTTACCAGATTCTTAACGGGAACAGATTCCATTAGCATTTTTAATGGCGATGCTGCCGAGATTCGCTATCATCGTTCTACCTCAGCTTCGAATTTGAGTGACAGATACGTCTCAACGAAAACTGGACCGGTGCCTATTCTACAAAATCCACGGCAAGCCCGGAAATATAGACATTCCCAAGCGGATTCGCTTGGCTTTGGATCAGTTGTAGCACACCAGAGTTCCGAATGCGGCACTGTTGGCCGAGAAGGCGATGCATCTTGCCAGGCAGTGGCCACGGTGGCAGCCAAGGATTCATTTCAGTTGGAAAATGACGATATTGACGAGTTAACAACAGAAGATATATTCCACAAAGCGGACTACGTTACTGAGGAAAAACACTTCCGAAAGAAAGAAGTTCGCAGAAAGTCAACCAGAGGCAGGGCGGAAGGTAGATCTGTTAACTCCTCTAGCCAAGCAAAAGGTCATCTGGGTGAAACCGACTATGGTAACGATCGCAAGCCGGCGAAAATGAAAAGAAAAGTTACAGGAAAGGAACTAACAAGTGACGGTTTCGATAGAGAGCGTGACGAAGAAAAAAACTCTGTTGATGACGAGGAAGGTAAAGGTTTAAGGCTCGAAATGTATTAGAATAAGCGTATTGTATGAAATTCAGACATATACAGATTGATACAAGCCTTCTGACCGGTTTGTACTATATATACAGTACGTGTGCTAATTAATACTGCAATCTGAAAACGAGTACTTATGAAAACGAGTACTTATACGCAAAAAGGAAAGAATCATTAATTTATCAACCGTGGGCTGAATAATTACTATTCTGTTTCTTTTTAGATATTAGTGGAGAATCGCCAATGACTGCACTTAAAAAAGATAAGCAGTACAAAATACAAAATACTGTGATGCAAAGAATAAGTCAAAAAGGTCACACTCCTGCTCAACACAGTAAAGGAATTCGAAAAAAGAGCACCCAAGTGGCAGAAGATGTCATGGCAGAGCACGATGACCTCGAGGAAATCGCTAAGAAATCAGTGGACGGAACCTATGGAAAGGTCGATACAGTTAGCCATCTTAAAGATTCTACCAAACAGAAAACGCCAGCGAGAGCAAGAAAATCAGTAAAACACAGCAAACAACAGGAGAATAATGAAACGGATGATATTTTAACTCAACAAATGAAAACATTACAGAAAGAAACAAGATCCAGCGAAAGCGTATCAGCCAAAAGCTCACTTTCTTCGGTCAGTGATTACCAGCTTGTTGACCAGACGATCGCGGGAAGTGCTGCATCGGTGGCCTCGGGAAAAGCAGCTTCTGGACCGCGGGTGAAGGATATGCTGGAATTGTTATCCGAATCGTTGACGACACCAACCAGTTCGCCTAATGATGTCACGGAATCGCCGCTGTTTTCTCCAGACGTCCCGACGATGGCGACTGATTCCTTACACCGCAATACTCTTAACCAGAATACCCGGAATTCTGGTAACCTTCGAAAAAGGAGTAAATTATCAATGGAAACACAGACAGCTGCTGCACGCGCTTCATCGGGATTTGCCGGCGTCGATCTCGCATACATGCAAAAGCGCTTAGCAGACCAGGAGGAATTCTTCTCGACCATTATGCAGGGAACCTGCGAAAAATGTCACCGGCCCCTCAAGCATATGGAACTAACGGATCTCTTCAAACACAAACTGCTACATCGAAATACCGAATTCATGTTTGACCCAGAAGTAAGCCAAAGTACTCGACTCAAGTCGTTTACAGTACATACTAATTACGCTGTTCCGCTGATTAGTGTATGCAAGTTATCGTTTTCTGTCACAGCACTTTTGCTGTCCTGAGTTCCAAAAAGAGCTAGAAAAGCTTCTTTTTGCGCGGGGAACTTTTGATGCAATGGCAGACAGAAGATCTGGCCGGCGCAGCGGAGGAAGTGAGGACCATGGACCGAAAAGGCGCCGCAGTAGCTCCAAAGGTATGCGACATCGTAGTTCAACGGCGGGTAGTCTGCAGCACGAAGCAGGGCGTGGGCATCGTGGAAAAAAAGGAAAGGGAAAAACTGGCCACCGACGCCGGTCAACAACAGAAAAAGACACAGCCGGCGAATTAGCCGCTATAGAACGGATGCTGCGTCAAGCCGAACGCAAATCAGAAGAGAAGCCTAGGGTCACCGAAGACAACGACGATGACTCCGATGAAGATGAAGTTGACATTGATAATAATACCGTCGAGGAGCTTGAACCGTCAAGTGAAGTTTTCAGCCTTAAGAAACGTCGTACAAAAGAGAAGCGCAGTCTGAAAGCAGTAGCTGCATCCAAAGGTCCAGTCGGGACGAGCAAACTGGAGAAGGGCAGTCGTCGAAGCAGTAAAGTCGGGGAAAAGGATATGGCGAAAGACGCTGAATCAAACAAAACCACGCACGGTGGATTGCATACTTCTAAGAAAAAATTTTCATCGTCTTTAAATTGGAAGACATCGGTGAGCGGCAGCAGAAGGACCAGCTACAGTAAGTTGCATGTTCTTTAGCATATATTACTATGATTACTAATCGATGTCAACACATGCTGCAGCGCGATCAGTATCCGGCGACTTTCCCGACAATCGCTACAAAGGCAACACCATGTCTTGGGTATGATACAATGTAAAACATGGAAAGATATAGAAACCGCGATCTGAAGAAATATTTAAAGGTCTTGCATTAATGTTGGAGAACAATAATTACATAGAGTACGATTACAGCACAATACTAACTTACTACGACGTGTGATTTAATATTGAACTTATTGTATCTGGTTTCTCAGGCGTTATCGTCGTATGCTTGCAATAAATCAGGTTGGACGCTGCGGAAGCCCGTGCCACTTCGAACAAAAAGCTATTTGCTAAAAGAGAAGCCGGAACATGGTGATAAAGCGAACGAGGAACCCATAAAAAGTAAAGATTATTGGGTAAGTACGCTTTGTTTACATTTATGGTACCACTTCGAAGATTTTCCTCCGAAAATATAGCCATTATTGCCAACGGCCGTGATCCACTGGTACGACGACATGCTTGCATCCGAATTTACTTTGCCTTCACAACCGACTGGTTATTATCCGTAAGTAGGGAGGGAAAACTACAGTAACCATACACCGGTTACCTTTGAGTGGGCGCAATCTACATATCGGTAAATCGGTCATCAATATAACAGTCCGTTCAAATTTACAATTAAATGCCAGGGGAGTGTGTCTTACAAAATTATAATTATTATATACGTATACATGTGTATATATATGTATGAGATTTACGGGAAAGTACGTGTTCGGATCCATGAGTCAATATTAATAAAGTTTTGCGGTTTTATGTGCATTCAAGGGTATTTAAACAAGCGCATTATCTAACCACTTAGGATGTTGTGCGGTAAAATGAGTTTTTGCAGATACCTGAACGGAAGAACAGCATTTGTCACTGCAGAATATCAAAAAGGCCAAAGCATAGTGGCAGTTTTTGCAAACAGTAACACCTGGAGTGATTTGCATCCGGTAGAATGTCCAGTGTCAGCAATTATTGATACTGGATCATTTGGCATTATTTTTGGAAAAGATGTTGACTGGATGCCGCTGTAAGTTCTAGTACTGTTCCGGTCAGAGTTTTACCAAGTAATGCGATATCAAATCACGAGTTTAGGGTGATACAAGTTACACTAAACTTTAATGTATGTAATTGCGCTAGAATTTTGCCACAGGTATCTCGTTAGTCCTGATCACGTTCGCATTGTGCGAAGTGTTTTTGACGAAGGCGATAACATTGTGAATTGGGAGCAGTTCCAAAAGGCCAATCCATTAGGATCTCACAAAAACCCAGCTTATAACAATGGCGAAATTTCAGTGGACATTATTGGGCCCAAGGATATAAATGTTCAGTTGACAAATGATGCCATGAGAATACGAGCAAACTGTGGATTTCGGAAAACTTATGTATGTTTACCATTCCTATACTAGTGATTCAATGGCACTTATTCCAGATAAACTTACCGAGCAAAAATAAGTGCAATAGTTAGTTAAATAAGGAAACCTGCGAACCAATTAACTTTTGCCACTACGTGTATGAAGTTATGAAGTACTCATCAAATATATATGCATGTTTATTTTGTTTTTGGCTTTTTCACGTCACACCTCCGCCAATTTAGGCGATTCCAAAACCTGAAACAAGATCCCAAGCTGAAAGATGTGTCACGGTATTTAAGGGTCAACTGGCAAGCATTCGGTAGATTTACAGATTTCATTGACAACCAAGCGTATTAACATTCAACACTAAATTAAACGTAAAGAAGCCGGCGTTTCTCCAATTTCTAGGGAAAAGGGAGAGTACCTCACAAAAATTCTAGCGGAATCGCAAGCCTACTGGACGCAGAACCAGACTACAATCGTTCTCGCAATGGCCCGCACAGCTATGAAAGCAGCCAAATCTCCAATGAAAAGAGCAAATAAGAACTTGTTGTAGCTCTTCAGTATCGTTAATTATTGTTTTCATAAATCACTTAGTAAAAGTAAAGTCGGTCTGCCATGCTGAAACCTAGCCGCATCAATAACAAAAACAAAAATTTTTCTTATGCGGAGCTGTTTAGCAATGAAAAATAAAAAATTGTTTAGTAGACATATCGAACGTGCTATCAACTGAGAAGGCAACTACCGGTATACACTATACAGCTTTTATTATAATTTTATAGGGTAAAATATCACATGAATGCAAAACTTTCTGTTTGACTTAGTTTAAAGGGTTTGCAGAGAGTTCTGCAAACTTAATTTAGCAGGTACTAGTAAGTAAGCCTCATATTGAACCAAGTTATCCACACGCACATGCATAAGTACACTACACTACAATACACTACTTATACCGAACAAGTAAGAAAAACAAAAAAAAACTTATCTTGTTCACCACTATGAACTTAATATGCTAAAATATGTTACTGTATTGTTAGTTGGTACCTTGCATTAAATATAAGTTTTCGTTCTGAACTTTTGCGTCTGTACTCGTATAAAAGAAAAAAAATTATAAAATTCCAACACTTGCACAGTGTGTGCTCAAAAAATTATACTCAGGCTACATTAAAATTCGATTACTGTACCATTGATTACCATTTATCTGCCTCTTGGAGATTTACAGTTTTGGTAAAGTAATTACGCATTCTTCGCCCACTGCAGAAGTGCACATTATCGGTGAATGTTGATGTATGCCTCTCCCTCTGGATTTGTTACTGGAATTGCCAGAAGGGAATTTATCCGAGACGTATCTGGCCAGAATACACGAAGGTAAGTTTGGCAAAGCGTCTATAAACTGGTACCATAAATCCAGTTTGCTGTCGTACAGTTCTTCCGACACCTGTTACTTTATTCTCAGGCATTCGATGCGACGTTTGTGCCAAAGTCGGCTTTGTGGATCGACGTTACAAATGCCTGGTTTGTGCTGATTATGATGAGTGTGGCAAATGTCATGACATGAATCTCACATCGTCTCCTCACAGTCGCAGTCATCCCACTCAATGTATACTGACACCGTCCTCTAAAGGTACTGTAATAGGTAGTAGATGCACTTCGTTTTAAATTTTTCGAAACAGTATATCTACTCAGCTGAAAAAACGTACACGCAGCGCTGTTACGGAACTGATTACGGAACTGAACTGATTAGTGATTTTGAAATTACAGAATTTGATACTTTTGAGAGTGCATATTTATTTGTCTTTTTTTGGACGTCTTTTTAACTAGACAATCATAACATTGGCAATAAAAAAATTTGTGTAGTTATCGTCGAAAATTAGCGAAGTTTTTAAATGCACGGTTTTTCGCGATAGCAATTTATTTCGGAAACGAAAATGCCGCATCCAGGAAGCAATCGCTTACCTGCCCCTACTGTGGTGGAATTGGCCTGGAAGAAGCTGAGCTGCTCAGCCATCTGGAAAGGAGACATGTGAATTTGTCCCAGAACTCTGTTCTCGTCGTAAGTATCACAAATTTGTTTGTCCGTAGGACCTAGTATAGAAACTGTGCAAACCGCTTGTATTACCTACAAAGTTATTTGTGCTCAGTACTTTTTACGAAAGTTCAAAATCGATGCATGAAATATTCGGATCGATGCTCATTCTTTATGGGCATAAGTCTTAATATGAATCGATTCATATTTATGAGCAGGTACGGTTGCACTGTACTATGCTTGCTGACATCATCCAGAAATTAAAGCTTATAATTATGTATGTATTCGAAAGCCGAGTGGAATAGTTAAGGGTCTAAACCTAATAGTTTTCGTATTGCAGTGGTGTCCTCTTTGTGTTTCCGGCTGCGAGATAACCACGAGGTCACGGACTGATAATCTGATCGACCATATTGCCCATGAACATCGCTTTCCGAATGCAAGCTCTTCCATATTCTCTAACCACGTACCGCGACGCCTTAACAACAACCATAGTCAAATACCAGCCGAAGTAAACTTAGCACAGAATAGTCACTACTCGGACTACTCTAGTTATTTAAGTTTTATAATGTATTGCTAATAGTGATAATATGGATGCCAATTTACATGTTCGGCAGGCTGTAGACCTACCTCTCTCTCCGACCAGTCGATTTGATCATGGTCCACAGCTACGGCATCCACCATCCGCCGGTTCTCAGAGAGTACGATTCGGCAGTACTCCAGTAACTCGCGACTCCGCATTTGCTACTCCTGCTACCATTCCTGAAATTCCGATCAGTAAGAGAGTTGTTTGAAAATATTTGCAGCGCCATAAAATAATTAAGATTTTCGACGTTGGCTTATCCATTTTGAAAATTACGAGTAATATTTTCGAGGAAGTAATAACTGCGTGTATTATGCTCGAAGATTTGATTCCTCAAAGGGAAACGAACACGACGCCAGTGTTAAGCTCCAGTAGTCTTAGCCCTGCACGATCAACAGCAGTAATTCGTGTCACCAGCCCGGGAGGATCCCATTTGTTTAGTGCTTACCACCCTCGTCCTCGAGCAGGCACAGACAACGCTTCTGGTCACAATCAACATGCTACGCGGATAAGGCGGGGCTGGATAGAAACATTAGCCAAACCTACGCGCCATCCAAAATCACTGCCTCTACCTGCTCTGATAACGGCATCTGCTTCTGGAATGAATTCTGGTTCCATCAACGCATCTACAGAGCGAGACCGAAGCGCGCGGACAGATTTGTCTGAACGGTTTGTACTTAACTAGCTACGGTAACATATAAAGGCTTTTCCGCTACGAAGAACATTAGCGACGTCTAAACAAATATTAGTAAATTAGGTGCAAATATGTTGTGTGTACTATTTACGTATGCGTTTCCCGCCTCGAAAAAGGTCACTGGGATATACAAGCATTACAATGATATCACTCACAAGCTGGCAATTTTATATAATTAACGTAGGTATTCGCAAAACTTTGCATATCTATATAGCGATAATGCAATGGTAAAATGTTGTAACTGTAAAAAAACGATCTTTTGGGCTATTAATTTTGTATGCATTAATGAATTTTGAGAGCGCCAGTTTTTACAGTATGATAATTATGACAAAAGCATGATAATTATTTTTACAGTATGATAATTATTATTAAGTCGTTTCAAATGTTTACAGCATATTGAATAACCCGGATCACACAAAACCAGCCAGAAACATTGCGGTGACCACTGAAGATGCAAACAGGATTATGTTTTTGCGGGAAGTTTTGCTGGCAAGCCTTACTGGAGACAACGAATGCGCAAGATCACTGGATTCTACCTTTCTTTTGGTCAGCTAGTGCACGGCTCATCAAACGCACCTGTCAAATGCACTGATGGAACATGCTTGGAAAAGATCAACTGTTGAGTGTTTTATTCCACGTGAATCGTAATGGTGAAAAAACTATAGAAGTATGGTTTTGCGATGTAGTGAGATTGCACTCTCACGTACGCGTCAGTGTCACATGAACAAACGGTTTATGCATTGCGTGATTCGCCGATAGCTTTAATTTGTATGTTTTTATAAAGTAGCGCTGCGTAACACAAAGAGAACGTTCATAGTGGAAAATGGCCTGATTACTTACACTAGACGAAATTAATTCTGGGCGACCACGTTTCTTAAAACTGATCTGATCAAATGCAAATGGGAACTGTAACTTTAATCTTGTTAGCGTCCAGATCTGCCAAACTGATCCCAAAAGTGTTCGCTGGGTTGGTTGAAGCCATAAATATTCTTTCTGAAATGTTCATTCCTAGCGCGATCTTCCAAGCCTTTAAGGATATTGTCCTGGTTAAGTTGCTGATCCACGCGCCCTTTGTTTTTCAGAGCTTCGTGGTCGCTAAATTTCGCAAATCGCTCCTGCTCTTTTACAAATTGTACCCGATCCAGTTCATTTCGGGATTCTTTAGCCTTTTGTTGTCGCTTGACATCCTGTTGGTACTGAACATCGGAATACATTTGTTGCAGCTGCTCTTTTGTTTCTCCGCGCCAGTCCGTTCGCCTGAATTTATCGAACTTTTTGGGCTGCTCATTCAAGAATGATCCGTGCGTCCAGAAGCTGATTTCTTCCTCATCGCGCTTCCACTCTTCGTCCCTTTTAGCTCTTCGCAAAATCTTATCTTCTTGGGACTGGATGAAATAAACAGCCTGCACTTATAATTCTGTGTAGTTCTGTACAAGTAAAGTCCGCTGGACATACACGGAATACTACGCATATATATACTACTTGCAATTGTACATTCATAAAGCGTGCAGTTGCACTACGGTGTATTATTTTTCAGTGCTATCCCTACGAATGGCTCACTACTCTGTACCTGTTGCAAGTTTTGTTGAAAGGTACTAATTTCGTCTTTCTTATGCAGCTTTAGCAGCCGCCTTTGGCTATTATCAGCCGTCCTTCCAAGCTGTATTTCTTTCCGTTCCAAAAGGCTTTCTAAATCGTTAGCCTTTTCCCTCTCATTTGCCTGCTGCCGCACTTGCTCATCAAGCATCGAACGCTGCAGTTTTTTTTTCGCTAAAGGAATATGCGGATCCATATACCGAAATCCATCAAAACTAAAATTGTTGCGTTTGCGTTACCTATTCCAAAGGTCGTAAGCATCACGCTATATTACGTTCACATTTTCAGTGATACTTAACGCCTTGGATGCGGTGGTTGCTATTTTTACTAACTTGATCATAGCGGAAGGGCCTTGTACAGACGTATCTTTGTGATGGTATGGTTGCGGTGAGGCGTGCTTTTCCAACACCAGTCTGCTTTCCTGTTTTTGCTGGCTTTGTCGGTAATTTGTCAAGGCTGACCTTTCACTCCGTTCTGCTTGTCGAGCACGGTACATTTCGGCGTAATGAAGCTGATCTAGTTGCTGCAGATAACTTTCTGCAAGCGTAAATAAGCAAGTTGATTGGCCAGTATGGAGACGGTAGTTACTCGTTAAATGTAAATATAGACTACATAATATTGTGTACTCGTAGCAATAATGAAAAGTGGAAATTAACTACAATTTAAATTAACTAAGGTAAAGTGGAATGCGTTCTAGTGCTAAAAAAACTGACTGCGGTCGTAAGTGTTTGTAATGGTTATTTATTACATACAATTGCAAGTTCTCTTTTACGAGCTCTCATAGTGAAAATTTAACTGACAGTGCTAACAGGAAGCATATGCAGACAGCAGAGAATACCTATCTAATGTAATCTGGTGGCGATCTTTAGGAATTATTTTCATAAACCAAGTTTATATGAATTTTGACAGTGGCTAAATGTTTTGCACTACTCTGTTGTTGCTGCATTGACTACAAAGGATTGATATACTCGTAATAATGCTCTATTTTACGTAAGGACAGTGCCTCTTGCCGATCCGTGTCCATGCGTCGCTGGTGCTGCATCATTTGTGCATCAATATCTTCCTTTTTAATCTGTAAACTTAGATGAAGCTATATAGTTCTTTTAACTTTCAGGTGTAACTCTACTAAGGATTGCAAAAGACCGACATATTGTGATGATTTAACGTAAATAATAGGGCATTACATCCTGCTTTACTTACCAGTTAGCTATAGCACCGGATGTGGTCTTATTTAATTCGCTAGCAGCAAAATCGCTGTGCTAACATAATTATCAGCCACTGTAAAACTTCCCGAAGCTTACCGTGATATTAGCAATTCTAGGATCAGAGTGTAGAATACGACTCCTTCTAGCTTCGAAGTTACGCCTCATGGTTTCCCATTTCAGCTCCTGTTGTGTAGGTGGTCTTGTAAGCGCCATAGCTTTGTTGTTTTTAGTGCCGTTGTATGAAAATTAATGTTTGAATCGAAATCAGGAACTTTGCAAGCCCGCTGATGAACGCTGTACAGTACAGTTGACAAACGGGTTCTGACAAACGGCTGATCACTATCGTGGAGCAGTTCGTGTTCGACAAAGGTCAGTAATGCAGGTAGTTTGCAGGCATATGAGCAACTTTACACTGACGCATTGTGATACAATACCATAGTTAAAAATGTACAATACACAAAATTAGTACGCCTGCCTACAGTACGACTGTACGAGTACTTTAAAAATTATCATGATCATTTCTATAAAGTAAGTGTTGCTATTTTGGCAAAGTAGTTCTCAGCACAACAAGTTACCAATCGCGAGGCTGGAAAGTTATACAGCTGATACGAAAAAATTACAGTGCAGAAAATTACTGTTGCTAGAATACAGTACAGTAAGTATTTGCTTGTCTGTGAAAGCTACCGCTTTAGTGAATACTTCGCTATCGCTAATTTAGTGAATTGTGATTAAGTCACAATTTGATGAGCAATTTGTGGCTAAAGGTCATTAGTAACTCCACAAAATAGTGGTGGTCAAATCGTTCTTGCGTAATTGTTATAATATTAGTCGACCGGAGCGTAGCGAAGGTCCTCTATTTCAAGAGTAATACTTTTGTTGATTTCTGTCCGTTACGAAACGTCGTTACGAAAGGTTGTTACGAAAGGTTGTTACGAAAGCCATTTCCAAAGAGTAAATGGAAGTGTTTATGTTGCTAAGTCGTTTTGCAAAATAATATTAAATTTTATTATTCCACATATATACATATAGTAAAGTACACTGACAGATCAAATAATTAAGTTTGTAATAAATTATTAAAGTGTATTATACGTGCTATACTCAACGGAAAATGCTGCGCTCCGGTCTGCCAAATGCACGCCAACGTGCATTTTTCCTAGTATACGAGCATGGTCAGAACGCAAAAATGGTATATGGTCAGAACGCAAAAATAAATTCCGTACGAGAGAAAATCAAGTTATTTTTTTAATTTTAATTTTTGATTTTTGCGTACACCGGTACATGTACACTATAAATAAACGTGCACTATAACTCTGTAAATTTAAACAGATAATGGTAATATTAGATTTATTCTGGAGCTTGTGCTCGAACCGGTGCCGGCACGTTATCTATGTACAGTACTCGTACTTATTGTACTGTAAGCTATTGACATTAAATTTTATTATGTTGACAGCTTTGTGGAGTGTGGACGTGCGCGGTAATCATTGCAAACAAAATTTGGCAATACATATAACACTGGCAAGGGGAAAGCTAATTTCTGTAATACAATGAGCTTGTCTGTATTTGCAGACGTGAAACCTAAACCTAAACATAGCTTCGTAGTAAAAAGAAGTACGCGATAAACGGGAAGGTCACTCGCTCCGTTCAGCCGCCATGATGCTGACTCACATCAAATGGCAGTCTGTGGCGGTTGGCCAGTGAGGTCACCCGTCACATGCTGCTCTGCAGTCGCCGTGATTGTGAATAGTGAAAGTTCTCCGAATCCAGTTGAACAAATATCGTCGCATGTTCATTCTTGCGGCGGCACGAATAAGTGACTGTTGTTTTTGCTGTAGTTTTCTCTTCTCGGACTCCGCTAACGTCTTCGACAATTATAGCATGTTAAAATAACTTTTCTTTTCCTTTCTTCGCTTTGAATTTGAATGTATTGTTCAGCGAAATTAGAATTTTTGGACTTGTTTGCGTCTCTTCTTGAGCGTTTCTGACACTATATGCACTATGGCATCCCGCCAAGTAGGAAGTGGCCGCGGAATTCGGCCAAATCCAACTGAACGGCCTCCTGATCGCCAAGAACCAAGCGGTTCTCAGAGCCAGACTTCTCAGACTCGAGCCCGAGATAATCAGGCTACTACCCAGCGAGTTTCTACGTTGCCACTGGCACCTTCCCGTGGCGATCGAGTGTCTGTGGTGGAGCAGTACAGTCGCAGGAATCGTCCCCATGGCTCTCCAGGGGGCTCTTCCGATTCGGGGTCTCAGAAAGCCCCGTCTCCATCAGAACGCACCCGCTTGGTGAGTTTCCCGCTGCGGTGTTTTGGGGTTTCAGTTAGGGCTCCGAATAATAATAGATATCTAATTGTAATAAGAGTCGTTTTGTGGTACAGTGTGAGAGTTATTTTGCACGTGTGACCTGACGAACCGAAATAACTTTAATAAGATTAATATCCATCACTCGTCAGGGCTAAGGTAAAAGCCAACTTTTCATCCGCTGTGCAGTTTTGTTTTTGTGCGCAGTCCTCGATGGAACGTGCCCGACATCGAGCTGCTCATCTCCGGGGTAATCAGTCGCCGGAAGGAGAGTGAGTTTATTCATTGTCATCAATGACACATGGGTTGTGGTTATCAGTGTTTATATGCACTTGTTAATTCCAACAGGGAAGCGTACACGCGGGAACCAGTGCGGCCTCTGCATCGACAGGAAGGTTTTGCTGCTCGTACAGGTGAAGCTGCAAACGATGAAATAGAAAACAAAAACAAACAAGACCTATCATCATATGGATTAGGAAAATGTTTGAAATGCTAAATAACGACCGGTTACTAACTTCGTTGTTCAGAACTCGTTCCTCGTGGACGCTTTGGCGGAGCGGGCATTTCCGAAGAAAATCTCCGGACTCGTCCGGATAAGTTCAAAAACCAGAAAGCTGGATCACGTATGTATACAGTACTAGCGTTCTCAGAAAGATCTTGTTGATAACTAATTTTGCACTTAATCTGGTTGCATTGGTATTTTGGATTTATAGGAGATGAGGGCGTGAGCGTGAAGTTGCTGGCTAACTATGTCAGCCTCGACAGCAAATGGGACACTTTTGTTGTGTTGTTCGATGTCCAGTTCGAGCCGGCAGTGTTGGATGGCCGTCGTCGGCGGGAGTACGTTAAGAAGCTGATGCAGGAAAACCGTGTTGATGAGGTATCGTACGCCTACAACCGACAAGCCGGATTACTGCTGCAAGGTTTGGCGGCCAATCGGATTGGCGAGGTGAGCTACAGAATTTCCAAAATATTGTCGAGCACAGATGGCTTCAGTTCTTTGGTGTGTAGTCTGTGGAGAAAAGTTTCGCAATCAATGGAGGACATGAAAAATGCCGAATTGCGCGAGCTCGGGTGATCAATCAGAATGACCCGGAAATTCTGTTTGTTTTGAATAACTTCAAAAATCGGTACGCTAAAACCTCTGCAGTTCAAAGCAGTTGTTGGACATCTGGCTGTTTATCGTTTTCCGGTGTGTTCGAATTGTGAGATGTATTGTAGCTGGTTGGATGAAAACTTGAATCTTTCAATGATCAATCGTTGCCACTACGATCCACAGAAGAAAATACTGGTCAGCGACGGCACCGTTCGGTAAGTATAATGGCAGTATTTACTGTTTAGTGTAAAGGCGGTGTCAGTGAAAAGATTGTGTCACACAGGGTTACCCTATGGCCAGGATTTGCGACTGCCATTGGATTCCATGACCACGGCATTTTGTTGAACATCGACAACCGATTCAAAGTTATTCGGTACGAGGGAATTTTGATAGTTGATTCACATTGACCGTCATCAAACGTTTTGACATTTGACCGGAATAGGCATAACACTAATGTAGTAGCCATTTGTTAGTTTTCTCTCTAGGAAATTGGTTTGTCATCAACAGAATTGTTGTATAGGGAAGTTACAATGTTTGAGCTTATTGACGACGGGTTCCGTCGATTTCGCGGAAGCAGACAAGAAGTTGAGCAAATGGTATCGGAAGAGATCGTCGGAAGCATAGTCATCACCCAGTAAGTGGTTCTGCTTTGACGAAGATGTTTAGAAATCATATGATTAATGCCAGTAAAGTACATGCTGTAGTCTTCCGGACAATTTAAATGTACAATGTACGTATGTGATGTGTTTTGCACTAACGTGGGCACAGCAGTGATGTTTCGATCTTTACTGCTTCCTAAGATGTAGAACTATAACAGTGAGCATTATTTTCTAATTTCTAGGTACGCTGATAAGCCTCGTACTTACCGAGTGACAGGTGTTGACTGGGGTTTGGAACCGGCTACTGCTACGTTCGAAAAGAATGGTCAAAAAATTTCATTGGCAAATTACTTCCGCGAAGTAAGTTAAATAAGTTTTTGCACTCAGGTATTTCAACAGTTAAATTAGTGTAAATCTGCCAAACGTATGGATTGCATGATCGGTCGTGATAGTGTGCTTTGTCCTAGCAATATAACGTAACGCTTCGGCAAACACACCAGCCAATCCTGCTGGCAGAGGAGTCTGGAGCGGCTCGTTTTCGCGTTCAGGGAAAGGAACGCAAGGTTATGTTGGTGCCAGAGCTCTGCAAACCGACGGGGCTTACGAACGCCATGCGTGACAACTTCAGGTTCATGAAAGAGATGAGTAATCACACACTGCAGGCGCCAGTCGATCGAATGCGCACCCTCTTTGACTTTATGGATCGACTGCTAAGGTAAATGAACGTTGCAAGTCCTTTGCGACAATGTTATTGTAACAGCGGTACCTTCTTTTTCAGGAACCCCGATGTAAACAAGTTCGTCCAAAGTTGGGGAATAGACTTCGGTGAGGACTTGCTGGGTGTGCGTGGTCGTCAGCTCAGACCAGCTGCCTTACTGCAAGGGGCAAAAAAGGTACGACTTTCGAAATTCGTGTTACTTCGTATGCGTTTAACTGAACTTTAGTTCGTTGGTAAAGATTACTGACCGTCAGTGAATTTCTGTTACAGTGTACACTTCTTTGCACAGAACCCGTGTATAGATTTCCTAATTTTAGGTGACATACGACGCGAAAATAGCGGATTGGCAGAAGGATATTCGGGCATCCAAGTTTCACACCCCACCGAAGGTGATGCCTGCCAACGAAGTCATACTTGTGTATCCGCGACGCTTCGAACACGGAGCTAGAGGGCTCTTTCAGTCCCTCTGCGAGGTTGGAAGTCCTATGGGATTACGATTTGGGCAGCCAGCCACGTAAGTTGTTCTGGATGGAATGATCGTAAATTTGCTTTTGTATTTGTAAAGGTCATTGAGTTTTTTAAGTAAAGACTTTGTTTTCAGGTACACTTATGAATATGATCGGGATATTTTAGAGATTTTGCGGAAATATGTGAGAAAAACCGCTGAACTGGTATGATCAAAATGAAGCGCCTATATTTTACAAGTGTTATTCTAGTAGTATTAGCGTTATAGAATTACTTTTCCTGGTTTAGGTTATCGTAATTTTGCCAAGCAAAACAAAGACCAGATACGACGATGTGAAACTATTTCTTTGCCGAGAACTTCCAGGTGAGTTCGCAGAGAAATTCTGGTGTAGCGAAAGGTATTCAGAGAATTCAGAGTTAGGGTGAATTAGCTTATGTGGTATCTTGCAGCGGTCTCTCAGTGCGTTGTACAAAAGACGCTGGAGAAGCAGGCGATGCTGAAAAGTGTGGCGACCAAGATTGCCATTCAGATTGGTGCCAAACTGGCTGGAGCGCCATGGGCGCTGGATATGAATCGCTTTGCAATGGTACAGACAGATTCAGTAACATCAGTATATGAATACAAGAAAAAGCATAAATACAAAAGAGGCGCTTTAATCCGTTCTACAGAAACACAATATTATGTGTGTTGGTGTGGACACGTTCCACGATTCCGGGAGCAGGGGTGCTTCGAGATCTGCAGTTGCTGTCGTTGGTACTTTGAATAATGCCAGTACGCGTTTCAGCAGTACAGTGTTTTTCCAGTCATCTCGACAGGAAATCAGTGACGATTTGGCGAATGCTGTAAAGAGTGAGTTAGTAATCAAAAGTAAATCAGCTGTCTCAGTAATCAAAAGTTTTCTAAATTATCATCTTCGTTAATCACAGAACTCTTGGATCATTACAATTTGGCTGAGAAGGGTTTCCCGGGACACGTGATGTTCTACCGTGATGGTACAAATTAACTTCTGTTTTAAAAATTAAAATGGCTACATTAATACATTTTTTAATGCGTACTTTGGAGACTTGTTTGGTGCTTTCTCTGTGATTAGGAGTTGGAGCTGGGCAGCTGGAGACAGTGTACAGAAACGAAGTCCAAGCTGTCGTGAAAGCGATTAGAGAGAAAAGTCCGCAGTAAGTATCTGAATGCATGACACATTTTAAAAAAGTTTATGACACCGACATAGGCGTATTTGCTCCTCCGCCATATTTGCTAACGTAGTCTGTAATTAATAGAGCAAAAGTGACCTTTGTCGTTGTGACCAAGCGTCACAATACCAGATTTGTTGTGGACACAGATGACCAGAGGATGCCGTTCGTGAATCCTTTGCCGGGAACGGTCGTGGATAGTGCTATCACGAAACCTAATCGGTAAGTTGTGTGGATTGGCTATAGTTTACTTGTGAAAGATTTTGCGTGCTTCAGCGTTGGTTGTTCATAGGATGGACTTCTATCTTGTGGCACAGACGGTGCGCCAGGGTACGGTGGCACCAACGTACTACCATTGCTTGTTCGACGATTCTATGCTGAGTATCGATCAACTGCAGCAGTTTACATACGCTCAGTGCTGCATGTACTTCAATTGGTCGGTAAGTTAATGCCTGGAGACACCTTTTATACTAACGGGACATTTATCCTTTATTCCTAATGTTAACAATATTTTCTGTAACAGGGAACTGTCAAAGTGCCGGCGCCCTGTCAGTACGCCCACAAACTGGCTTTTTTGGTGGGGCAGAGCATTCATGATGTTCCACATCAGGATTTGGAACAGTTCTTGTATTACTTGTAAATGGAAGTGTCGGCTTTGGAAAGGAAGGCTTAGGCATTAAAAGCGAAAATTGTGTACGTCGTTGATTGTTACTTTATAATTGTTATCACTTCTGTTGTTAATTTTAGCGCCATTCGGTGTAAATAATTTTTGGTGCACCGTTGTTAAGGATTTTATCGTGTCATAGAGTTTTTTGTCATAGATATCGGTGAACTCTGCGATAGTGGCAGATAATTTTTGTGAGAGAAGGTTATTGCTTCATACGTACGGTCTTTTTGTTTGAAATGTGAAAATGGGACATTACTATTTTGGTAGTAATTTTTGATGATTAAAATGGAAGTGCCGTTAACGCGGTTTGAAAGGGTTAAGCATTTTAGTTTTATTTTGTGTATTTTCGTATCGCATGCATTTTATTTCTGTAAACAAGTTGACGGAGATTCAAATAAAACATGCTAAGTTGCTAACCGGTAAGCGTAGTTCAACACAATACTTAAAAGCAGGAAAGCCGCTTTTAAGTTGCTTCTTCTGCAGCTTAAATGTACATTTGCGTTATTTTCATTAAGATAGAGTACTAACAACTCACCCAGTTGGCCCCAAACGTGACTCCGGGACTTACCGCATTTTAAGGCGATGCATTACAACTGCAGTTTGTCGTGGACGAAACTGCTCAGAATTCGTTAATGAATAAACGTACATACGTGGTAAAGTATTAATAGAAACTTAATAAATTTAAGGTACAGTATGTAAGCAAGCTACAAAATTCGCTGGTTTAACCATGAAACTGAACAATCCGTTTTCTCCCAGAACATGGAGTAATTCATCCACACGAGTACAGGGCTACAATGCTCGTACAGATGCAAATATAATAATTATGTTAGCAAGTAATTATTATTGTAAGTGCTTACTTTTAAATAAGTCTTTTAATGGTTGCATGGCAGTGGGCGTAGACTCCACCTTAGTAAATAAGTAGAACTCTTAAGTTTTGCAAGTCATTAAGCGATTGTTTCTGGGAAATGCCATTATTATAATCAAATGTTTGTGCATTTTCAGTTTCTGGTAAAACAATTTTTTGACTATGGATACAATAGAGAAGGCCTCGCGACGCGTAAAGCAAGTTATCGACAACGAGCTGGGAGATTTGTTGAAGTGGGCTGGAAGCCAGACTCCCCAAGAAAATGAATACACTCTTTCGACTTGGGTACCCAGACACCTGAGAGGGCTTCTGAAGTTTGTCAATGATTTACGCTTGGGTGAAGGCAAAGGTCAGAATGGGCGACGCATGCAGGTATAATGCGTGTATGTGCGGACAGTCGCGTGCAAGGTGTGTTATGGGGATTACTTATGGTTACTTTTCAAGGAAGAAATCTCCAAAATTGACAAGGCCATTGCCAAAGGATTATCGCCTTATGACCGCAAGAAATACATTGCAAAAGTGACCTATATGAGGATACTGGGAGTGGAAGTACCGATTGGATATCAAGAAGGACTGGTATTTTTCCGTATTTGTGTAGACGCCATGAGCTATGTAATCGTACGAATCCGAAGTTTTCTGTAGAGATTAATGGCATCGGACAGCCTGTGGGACAAGCAAATCGGCTATTTGTATGTGTCGCTCGTATTTGATAACAAACCGGACATTCAGCGTCTCGTCGTACAGTGCCTGCAGAATGATCTACAGCAGCAAGCCTTATCGCATCCCTACGTGCACCAATTAGCGCTGAACCTAACCGCCCATTTTCAAAATCCTGAAATTTCCCATCATATCTCCCACACTCTGGACAAGTTCCTGTGCTGCAACGACAGCATAAGCGGGACACAACAAAGTGCTGCTTTGTGCCAAGATGTCATTGTAACGATTGACCCTGATTCTGTTACGAACGGCAAATGGTTTCAGCAAGTGTTTTCCTGGTTGGAGTCTGGGAGTTGTGACACTGCTTCAACTGTGCTGTCACTAGTTAAAACGTTGATCACCACCAAGCGGAATGAATTCGGCGTTTGTATTCCGCAGCTGTTGATCTATTTCCAAGACACTGTAAAAAAGCTGCAGTACAGCGCAACGAATACGTCATACTATAATTCACGTGTTAGTCCACAAGGATTCGTCGAGCTATTTGAAATCTTTGGCAGTGTACCACTGAACAACGCAGAAGAGTCTACTCTAACGGAGTGTATTAAACAGCTGCTGTTGTATGTCGCGGCTGTACGCGATCCACCGCGATTCAAAAAGGTCACCGATGAGCTGGAAACCGGTTTTACTGAAAGTCCCATGTTTGGCCAAAGTTATGAATGGTTGAAGAAAGCTTCGTCCTACCGACAGGAGACAGTTGTGTTTGCAGCGCTGCGTCTTGTGTTTAAGCGACTGTCCAGTCTGGAGTTGATGAAGGAGGGATTGGATTATTACGCACGGTATTTGCGTGACGATAAGGAAATGACAAAGAAATGGGCCCTCAGTGAAGTTCTGCAGTATGTGAGTGCTTCCGAAGCGGGCTTTGCTTTGCTGAAATCGCGCGAGCGATGGTCTATTCCCGCTTTGATGGAGTGCTTGAAAAACGAGTTTTCTGATGATATTCGTAATGATTTATGTGGGCTGTGCTTTAAACTGAGCACACTACCGGAAGAGTCGAACTTGTTGTGCCAGAAAATTTTGGAATTTGTGCGACGACAGCTGAGCGGACTGAATGTTGGACGTAGGTACAGTGTATATACAGCGAGATTTGCTGCCATTCTTTTAAACATTTAGTGTCGGCTGTTGATTAATTTTTAACGGATCAGTTTTTGACAACTAGATGCACCGTGTTCTTACTTGGTGAAACTGCATAAGGATGAATACAGTACTAGTACTTTAGGGAAAATTACACCAATGTATATTGTCACATCATTCACATCCTATCTAACTTATACGCACTGAAACCGGCGTTTGTCCCGTATTGTCGTACTGTGCTCAGCTGATTGTTTTTGTAGGTATTTCCGAAGAAGTTGTTCTGCTATACGAAAAATCGTTGATATCGTTCCAGAAATTTGCATATATGGTTATTGAATTAACCGACTGTGCGCCTGGCCAAATAAGCAAAAGGCGCTACACCTGACGACAACCGGCATACTCAACCCATCGTTGCCGGCGCAGTTTGCCACCAGTATATGCCTTCTTCTGGAAGATAAAGTGTCAAAGAAATTTTCTGATTCCATCGTTCAGTTGGCTGTCATTATTATTGGAGCACTACAGCATCGTAACGCGGGAAATGTCCAACAGCCAGATCAAATCGTACATTTATTTTGTGACCTTTGCCAGCGCACCGGATTAAGTCCTGCCACGAAAGCCTATCTTGTACTATACATTTCGCTGTTTAGCCTACAGTTAGATAGCACCGCTCTTCGTAATCGAGCAGTTATTACTCTCAGAAATGTTCTGGACAAAATTAATACACCGCGAGAATATCAAGCCTACCAGAGCTTTATGCTAATTGACGACACCATCGCCAACAATCAAGCACAGCTGGAAGCGCTGCGATTTATTTCTAGTTGTGTCGATAAGCACGATGACCAACCAGTATCCAGTATTCGCCCACGACCGCGTCCAAGTTCCTTGGCGGGAGATCCGTCCTCAATATTGCCTTCAAACTCATTGTCAGAGTCAGAGACGACCCGAACAGAACCCTATCCCGATGCATCACTTCCCTTCGAGTATCGCTCATTTCACTGGGATGTGGCCCAACCTAGTACCGCGCAAATTCCTGTTGCTAATCCGTGGGAACCGGGTTCGTACGCGTCAGGCTGGACGCCTACACCGGTCGTTAGCCATCAACTTTTGACACGTAATCAGAATTTTTACCCACCGAATGCGCCGAGTTCCGCCGGTTCCATTGCGTACGCAGCTGGACCACCGGGGTGGACTCCGTCCAGTATTTCCACGGCTACCAGTGCTGATGTGTCCCAGTCCGGCAGTGGGTTTTTGGGTTGTTCCAGTGCGGATGCGCTGTCCAATCCTTGGGGCAACCGTAGGTTATACCGTTATCTCGTGACTCTCGTGTTAAGTGATACGGTTCTCATAAAAGATAGTATACATAAAGTACACAGGCCAGTACATACAGTACACAGGATACTGTAAAACAACGCTTGTAATATTCTTGACCCATAAGAATAAGGGTTCGCTTTTCTATAGAATTGAACAATTGCAAATGATTTTAACGTGCTTCTACACGTTTTTTTATGCAGAGATCCAAATGGATTCGTTTGCGCCGATAACAGGTCCGACAATCTCAGGAGATAATCATGGCGACCCCGTTCCGAATACGTTTGGTATTTAGTAATTTACCATTGTTCGAAAAAAAACTGTACTTGTTCAGAACTCTACCTCAATAATTCGTTGTGTTAATCAGAGCCTCCTGGAAAAATGGCACTAGCTCTAGTGCCATATGTGCCTGCAGACAGTACCGGAACCGATGCCCCGGAACTATCTGCGTACGGCAACAGCGGCCATATGCATCCTGAATTTGATCCTCTTCATCCAGCTGCTGCCGTCAACGCGTCCAACTTGTCCCCTGATCGTGCGTATTGTAGATTATAAGGCGTCGTTAAATCGTTATTTTTCGAGCTAATGCGGGTACATGATACCTCATAGTCGCTCAAGTGTCACAGAATTCGAAGCCATATCTTACTCATAGAAAACCGTCAACCACTAGAGTAGTACGGGGATTTAAGAATGAGCTTTTATGGTTTAAGAAATCGCAGTTATTGTCGCTACTCATCCTGACCGTCCGTCATGGCTGATTACAGTAGTAAAATTTTTCAGAGGTCAATCTTATGGATTTCGAAGCAGCGTCGCCTGACTTCCGATCGCTATGTCGAAAAGAACATTCCACAGACAGCTCGGCTAACCACAACGCACGTCTAATGCATCCTCCGCCTCTTCCAGCCAGACCAGCCAACATAACAGCCGGACTGTCCGGACAGGATGTATCTCGGAAACGCACACCGCCGCCGCCTCCCCGATCCGGATGGAGCTTTACAAATCCCTGGCGCCAGTTCGACTTACACAGCGTAATCCAGGGTCTGAACCTAACAAATAATGCGGCCAGTGCCGACGACAAAAAAGCTAACGGTTGAAGCCAATCTCATAACTTCGGAGCAAAAGGCCTCTTTTTGTAAATTTTTTTGTTTGTGGTTTGTGTATCTACATCAGGATGTTGCTATAAGGACTGACGAAATGACCTTTGTCCTTTGTGCCCGGTTTGCCGCCATTTAAGATGATCCATCACGACGTGCCTTGTCAAGGTATCAATTTGTTACAATTATCAATTCCACAAACCGGCTGCACTAAAGAAATCTGTTTACTACTAAATTTACGAAATGACTTTAGTAATTTCATATTACTAGAACACAGATTCATTTCGATTTGGAATTGGCGGTTTTTTTCTGTAAGGCTTTTGCAGGTTGTTTCATTTTCTTTGTTTGTTCGTAGAGTTTTCTTGTTGTGTAACCACGCCAAAATCGCTGTATTAGCAATGCTGCCGCTGTTCTCTTCTCATGTAGTTGCCCAATTCTGAGTTTTTGTTCGACACGGGAATTGTGATCGGCCAAAAGTATTGCGTATTCTTTTCCGACAATATTTATTTCTGTCGTTTTCTGCGTTTCGAGATTATGTGCCGCGGACTCCAAATCACCTGTTACTTGATTGAACTCTTCCTGTCAACAACAAAATAATGCGAACGATTCGATTAATTTTTCGGTATCTACAGAACAGCTGTGCAGCAAAGATCTTATATTTATGTACAGTAATTCCTGATTAACAGCGGCATGTAACACTAACCTTAAGGTGGAGGGTTTTCTTTAACAGAGTGGTTTCCATTGTTTTGATATTTTGCTGTAGTTTAAAAAGTTTCTTACATTCTTCCTTCATTTTAAGGAAGCCCTGAATCAAAACGTCAAGGTTTTAACAATATATTCCACTTTGAACGCAGTAACGCTAACGTACGTATTGTAGATCTAGTAAGTGTTTATTACTACAATCGACAAAATGTTTCGAGGTCAAATGCAGTAGAAGTATTAGTACCGTAGGAGAAATACCGATGCAGTTTTAGAAAGAAAATAATCATATTTATCGCATTACAACAGGAAGCAGCATAAGTTGTTAATTCTAAATTATTATTATTATGGAGTACAGCTAATCTTCTTATCGTAATTAATTAAATTGAATTTGTAGCCACAGGAAATGTTATTACGGAAAGCTATTGTAGTTGACTACTAAATATTGAATAATACGGGAATAATACTACCTTTTCAACACATTCTCTAGTTATACTCGAAGACTCTTCTACGTTCTTCGTGCATTTATTTATTTTCTTTTGTGCCGGTCGGAGTCGTCTTCGGCTCGCGAAGAAATCAGTTTTCCGACTTCCGTACGTTTCTTCCGCACTTGCGACAAACAAGAGAACATTTTTGTCTGGTGAATCTGGATATTTCGATATAAGCCATCGACGAGCCGTTTGTTTTTTCGTAACTCATTCAGGAAATTTTGTCTCATTTCTTGGCATTCTTGGAGCTTATTGAGTTCAAGATTTTCAACTGCTGCAGACTTCCGTCTCAAAACGCTATGTTCGTATGGAGTCCTTTTGCTCTGCTTCGCAACGTTCAATAATATTTCTTCAGAGAACTCTGCAACACAAAGAAATCAAAGCATTACACCATTCCTGTTTCCTTTTAACGTGCACAGCTGCATTAATTTTTATTTTACTTGGTTCTGAAGAATATAAAACTTTTTCACTCCAGCTGACCATTGTAAGGTACGTACAGCTAATACGTACTTTATTGTAGAAGTACTGCATAAAATCAGGCCCTATTTAAACAATGTAACAGCACTTTCATACGATTTCCTTTCTTCTGTTACAGTATTTTGATTTTAATATCAATACTTTCTTTAAGGCGGCTTTATGGTAGTGACGCAAGCAGTGCAATGTAATCAGATTTCTGTATATTGTGTTATATGGTTTGCTGATCATGACGTATTTTTATTATTGTCAGGTGACTACAGATTGAGTCAGTAATAAGGAGTTTTTTGGTACGAGTATTCAGTTGTAATCCATTTTTATCGCTGATTAGGTGACGCAAGAAATTAAGTAAGTAATAATGTTTACATACATGCTTTAACAGATTCTGCACGGTGACTTGTACAGTACGTAAGTTTGTACTACATTTATTACTACGAGGTCAAAATACAAAATCTCGTAATCAGTATTACTGCCTGCTCACGCGAAACATACTTATATAATTATCTAATACAAAATAAAAATTTATATTGAGGCGTTCAAAAACATACGGTTTCAGCAAATAATGAAATTGATATTGATTATTTAAGTACTCTGCATTTCACTTATGTACGCCATACTCGACACCCTTTAAGGGCATAAACCGAAAGATACCTTGTGCAGGAGGAGAACTTACTAGACAATTTATTATTATGTACGAGTAGCTGCTGTCATAAAAACGTATGTTTAAATGGTATTAACTTGTTAAGTTCGACACACTTACGGTGCAGTTTTCCTAAGAAGAGAAACAACTTCAAGTTTTCATCTTGGAGTTCTCTGCATACGGCTTCCGTTTGCTGTAGCAATCGTCCCTGCCCTTCCAGCTTGTCAGCCACAAGAAAACACCGACACAATGATGAGAACGTTTCCTCCAGTGCCAGCAGCCCGCCCTGATCCGTGCTCAAGCACTCCACGGAATTAATATTATCATCCAAAGCCACGTCGACGCTAAGAGATTCTGTTGACGATGGCTGTCTTAAAGAAACGAAACCGGAGCCATCATGCCCGTCACGGGTGTCGCACAATATGTATTGTCTGCTATCCGTTCTATGCAGACAGCACCCAGTTTCCGGTGGCACAGGAACATGAAAAATTAGGTGCAACTGCAGTTTGATTAGCGCCAACAATCGGCAAACATGTTCTTCCAGAAAATGCAAACGCTCACTGGAGGTTGACAGTATTCTCGGGAGCAAGCATGCAATATGTAGTCTCGTGACCATTTCGCGAAGAACATTCCGTATGCGACTAGAGTCCAGACGGTGTGGAACATGAGGAACGGTACGCGTTATCGTATGAATATATTCTTGCTGCGCCAACGACATTGACAATTGCAACTAAGTGGCGATTTGAATAAGAACAATTGGTCTTTTTTAACACGTCAGTTTATGTAGGACAGTAGGATCACAAATATTACCTCTGAGAGCTGCAGCTTTCGTCTCGTTTATGCCGGTATCAAAGGTAGATTCATTGTTAATATTATATAACGACTTACGTACTGCCATTAGCAGTATGGCAGACATTGACCTTTCCGCTCTTCTAAGTCTCAGCATGACCTTTGCGCTATTACCATTATCACTGGACTTTTAACAATATGCAGTGTAAGTTGGTTGTATATTTTGAAAAGATTATCAACATAATTGTTGTTTAAAAGTAGACAAAATAACGTCATGCAAAATATTACATAAAACAACAAGCTTAAGAGCAACTAAAAGAATCATTCGGAAATTTTGACAATATATAAAACATGAATTATTATTGCAGTATGCACTCAAAACATCAATAATAATGAATTCGATAAACCTGCAACAAAAGTACTCGACAGGACTTAAGATTTTAAAATGCGTAATAAGTAGTTTAAGTACCGCCCTCCTGGAATTTAGGATCGTCCTTGCCGCTACTTACTACGGGAAAATTTTGAAAAGATAGCACTGGCTGGCACATTGACGCAAAAATTTTTTAGTTACTTTGGGCGTCTCAAAGTCTCAAAATAAAAAACAATCTGTAGCCTTATACGAGTGAAGAAAAATAATGTTATACGAGTTGTATGCTGCTGATGGTGAGTCCAGATGATGAAGTAGGCTCTGACGAAACCACGGACTTCTCATACGTACCTAACACTACTCTTTTTTTAACGCTTATCTATAATTCCGCCTGTGTAGTTGTGCATGGTACGATTCGAAGTAGAGTGTTTACTTTTTAGTTCTGATCACTTCCGAATTGATGAATTTAGGTTTAGATTTAATGGTTTAACGTCCGCACACATTCAGGGCAAGAACCCAGTTCGAGGCAGCAGACACTCACAACAACAACAATTCTCCAGAGTACACACTACACAGTACACAGTATTTCAGATCAAGCTTTAAACAAGAACAAAGTAGCGTATTTAAACACCACAACTCAGTACAATACACCCACTGAGCCCACTCCCTTACAAATATACATTTGTTGGTCAAATCTTATCTTATTCTTATGGTTAGGTTATGGTACGTTGTCCGGGAATTTTTTACCGTAAGTCCGTCGAGCAAAGAGCCAATTACAATGGCTTACATCAAAGTCTCTAAATGTATCATTTAAGGTCTAAATGTATCAATGAAAAAGTTTATGATTTTATCAAATTAACCCTAGTTAAAATTTTTTCTTCATCCTTAATTCATTCTGCTTGAAAAGTCAATGCTGTGCCTGTAGTCTGATAAAATGAAAGGTCATTACTCGTAATTTACCGCTATATATTGTTACACCAGGCCTCTCGCCGGCACTTCAAACTGTTCTGTAACTAAAAGCCTGTTTTGTTTCGGAGGTTAGTTTGCGATTGAGTCGAAGTTATGGGTATTCTATTCTTTAACTTTCGTGCAAGGAGCTCAGAAGATTCCATTTATTTACCGAACACTATGAACTTCGAATCTGTTGGTTGGTTTCTTCAAAGCAAAATCACTTCAACTTAAAATTATTTACTTGGAATGGCCAAATCGTACATAGGGGGAAAGAAACCCGCGAACTACAACAAGAAAATCAACAAGAAAATCTCAGTTAATTTATCCAGCCCTTCCATCCGTGCCCTTCCTTCCATCGTTGCAATACTTACCTGCTAGACCTCCTACTGTACTTATTTATTTAATTGTTAAAAATCTCGGTTAAGTAAAGATTAGTGACTTCGAAGTCCAAGTTGATGGCATAAGAAAGACCAAGATGGTTTCTTCGTGCTTTCAAAGACCGTTTCAATCATTAACATGGGGCTGAATGACCATTGAGCAAGTAAGTACAGTACTAACAATGGAATTATAATTAATTATAAACTTTGAAGTACCAAACGACACTCAAAAGTCAGAAGCGTATTATTCGATCGAACTGATGTGAGTACAGTACAGTACTACTGCATTAAACGGGGCAACGGCTACTGACTGACCAATCACAAACAAACAAACAAACTCAATCGAGCTCCAGATTCTCGGCCAGATCTGACGGTGATTTCCGCGATCTGACTTATGAGTCCACAGCGGACAAATTACACTCTGCAGTAGCCTATTAAAAACGATTTAAATCATTCCTGCTTGGCAGTTTGAGAAATATGTACTGTACTTCAATGCTTCGTATAGGTTGAGGCCATCGGAATGTTGATCTTTGACTCGAAAAAATCAAAAATGCATAGGATATTTCTAACACGTGACAAGTTGCAGCCACGATAAAATCTAGTACGTACTTGTACTGTACTTTATACTTGGCTAGTAATGGCTAGTAATATAACTCATACCTGGCTAGTAATATAACTTTATACCTGGCTAGTAATATCTATATAACTCATGTATTACGTACTGTACAAGTACCGTAATTAAAAATTTTTGTATTAGATGACTCAAAGACATATTTTTGTACTTTAAAGTACAATGGCTGCGCAGCTGGAGTTCACTGTCAGACGACCTACGTTTGTACTACGCGCATATAAGTACTACTGTACGCAGTGACGCATCTATCTATTCCAGGTGCGCTGGAAGCTTGAGCGCTGAGATTTCCGCTGAGCAGAGCTGAGGCCAGGCTCAGAGCAACGAGCGATCCGAGGTTATCCGGGTTCGAAAAAACCGCATTCCAGCGCTCACTTTGCACACAGCACGAGTTGACACTTCAATCGAGATCGAATCTTTACATCCATCTTCTTTGTTTGTGATGTTATTAATAATATTTGCTGCTTGTGGTTGAATTTGATTCAGTTTAAATTGAAAGCTTTTAATTTTCTTACTTCAGGATGGGTGAGAATAACTGGGCGAAAGCATTCGAGCTCGATAGCACGATGTTCATGCAAACCGTACCGGGTATGTTAGCGAGAATGCTGGGAACTCGTTTTCTCTGACTGGAACCACTGCACTACGATTCATTAATTTATTTATTTAAATACTTGTATTCCATAACTCTTAGCAAAATTCTGTTCTTTTGCATTTTTTAATTCTTAGTATTAATGGTGATGCTCACCCGCATTACCCCAATGATTTATTGGCGTATTGATTATTTTTAGAGCCATGTTTCAAGCCCAAAACCTACAACGGTATGATGTCGCGTTCCGCTTCTCCGTATTCAGCGAAAATGTCCAACATGAGAATGGTCAGCAATTACATGAGCAAGCAGCACAGTGTCGATTCGGACCTGTCACACTCGTCCCGTGGCAGCTTCATGAGCTACTCCCCGCAGCCGTCGATGTGTGGTTATCAGCAGCCGCAGAATCCGTTCAGCTTCGCTGAGGTACCAGATGCGGATTTTCAGCGCATGGTTCCCTCATGTCCATCGCCCGTGGAAAGCGTCGGCCGCGTCCCGGGAATGACCTTAAACGGGGATCCGCGGTGGAGTGGCGATCTGTGCGTCGAGCGTCAGGCGCAGGCCTATCGTACGGCAGCCTCGGGCGCCACGGCAGCGGCTGTGTGGAGCGGCGTGTTGCCTCCGCGCAATACCAAAGGATCCGCATTCTCCTGCAAAGTAAGCCTCAGTACTCTGTATATTAATTAATTAGCACTAATTGTCCAGGAAGTTACAGTACCTGTTGACCGAGAAGGATTGAAATCATTCAGTCATTTCCAGTAAAGTATATATGGATGCCTTTTGGTTACGAGATGGAATACTTGTATGCAGATCATTACAGTTAACAAAGCAATTTTTCAGGTGTTTCTGGGTGGCGTACCGTGGGACATTACTGAGCATGACTTGCAGATGGCGTTTGGAAGGTTCGGGAATCCGAAGATTGAGTGGCCGGCGTCACATGAACAGAGTAGTCGTAATGTCAAAGGTGAATCTGGTTTCCTTCTGGTTTATTGATTGTATTTGTTATTAATTCTGATGGCGCTAGATTGCGGCGTTTTCAGTACAACTGTATGTCATACATTACTGTATCTCAAAATTTCAAGTTAAGAATAGCAGTTACTGCCAGTTTTTCATGCTGCAATGAAACCATCTTGATTGTGATTTGTGGGTGAAAGATCTAATATGTAACGAGTCCAAATTATATTACATGCACTAAAATATTAAATTTTTATGTCTTTTCAGGACATTTGTATCTGATTTTCGATACCGAAAAATCGGTTAAGCAGCTGTTAGGATCGTGCAACTACGATTTTAACCAAGGCCACCACAACTGGTACCACAAAGTGGCCAGTAAGCGCATGCGAGTGAAAGAAGTTCAGGTCATTCCGTGGCAGCTGGCAGATGCCAGCTACGTGCGCAACGGGTGCATGACGACGTTCGGTACGAAGACGGTCTTCGTGGGGAGCCTGCATGGAATGCTCACAGCGGAAGGGCTCGCAAAGGTCTTGGATGACCTTTTCGGTGGAGTCGTGGCTGCTACTATCGACACAGGTTAGAGGCGTTCGTTAGCAGATCCATTTCGCATTTTTTTCAATCCAGGTCGCTTGGTTATAATCCTTAATAGAGAATGGTTGTTAGTCGTAAACAGCTTCAATTGCCCAGCAACAATTGAGCTCTAAATTTATTCGGTGTCTTTTGGATATCTGACCGTTCATTAATTCAAAAATCATAGTCTAGTAAGTTGAATACTGTACTAATCAGTACAGCAGCCGGGTGGGTTGGGAACTTAGGGTATCTAGAGTAAGCTCTTAAAAAGGCTTACTAACTTTTTTTGAACTTTTTTCAAGAATTTAGCCAGCAGTTTCGTTTTTAAATTACGGGCTTTACGGCTATACTCACAAAAGCGAATACTGCCTGTGCTGAATCTTACTAGCCCTACACGTATTCCTAAATGCACATACGGTAGAAGTATTGTTATCTCGTAGTACTTACGTTAAATCACGGAGGCTTTGATATTACTACTGCTACGTACAATGCTGACACTAATTGTGAGCGCTGTTCCTCAAATTTTCAGTTTTTAAAATCATAACATACGTTTTTCCAGGTATTGCATTTTATCAGTGTTGCTTAAGAAGGGAAAAGAGGCTTTGCGCTACCTAGCTGATGACAGCGCAATCCAACAGGGTTAACTTATGTCCGAGGCTGTTTTATAAGACTGTGGGCCTTTTCAGTTATTCACTGTCATATTATAGCTGTTGTTGAAGCGTTTGTCGCGATAAAATAATAAACTTCTAAATTTGTACATATCACACATCATCTGATCATCGCATTAGATTTATGTAATAATAGTATGCCAGGGATTCTTAACATACGTACTGTCACTTTTCGATAGATAAATACAAGTATCCAATTGGATCTGGCCGTGTGACCTTCAATTCGGAAGACAGCTACATGAGAGCTCTTCGTGCGGTGTTTGTGGACCTGCGCACTCCGAAATTCAACAAGAAGATCCAGATCGACCCGTTTCTGGAGGATTCGCCGTGCAGCATCTGCAATCATCAAGTGGGCCCGTACTTCTGCCGCGATCTGCACTGCTTCAATTACTTCTGCCACGCTTGCTGGTAAGTAACCGCTATTCCGAAATTGCAGTACTCCGCCTATTATCACCGCCGCCGCCACCGCCTTGACGCACTAGAGTAACTGTAGCTGAAGAGTTTCATATTAAATTTTTGCTTTTTAGGCAGTGGCAGCATTCAGCGGACAATATTGGCCATCATATCCCGTTGATGCGCAATCCCCGTCCATAAAGGGATATGTATTCCTGTCCGTCCTTTTTCTACCTCTTATAAACCCGTACGATTAGCAGTATCCCTCCTCTTCACTGACCCGAAACAGCCAAAACGGTTATTTTTTTTAGTTACTATGCCTTTAATCGGCGCCAAGCTTTTATTTAAATTTATTTTAGTTTTGTAATTAAAATTTCGTTTGTTTAATTTTTGGTTTTATAAGAATTTATTGTTCATTTTCGTTGTTTTCAATCGTACATGTGCGAACTGGTTCATGGTGCCCTTCTTTGTTCATAGCGTTGTTAGTTTTGATCCATCTTATAGAATTGTCTTCATGTGGTTTGATTCATTTTTCAGTCATAATTTTTGATGGTTTAATCTTTAAATTATTTATTTTTGTTCCTTTTCCGAGTGTACATTTTTGGCATTCACTGTCTTTTTCCTTATCTGTTTCGAATCCGGTCTGTTTTTGATTTCTTTTTTATTCCAGGTTTTTTTTATTTTGCATTTTTGTATATAATTGCTATTAAAGCTTTATCAGTTTTCGACGATGTTCGTACAAATAACAAAAGCACTGGCTTTGTGGTGTTATGCCAATATATTTAGCGTCCATTCCTGTTAGGAAGTCAAGCCGAGCGCATGCGAAATAACTGGGAGTCGTGGCGAATAATGATTACAATAAAACTGACAACATACAGAGGCAAGACTACCTAGACTAGAAAAAAACGGACTAGACTACCTAGCGTCTGTAGACTTCCTTGACACATTCTTACAGCCAAAAAGTAGTCGAAAAGAGGCGACTCAGGTGATCAGTTCTTTTTAATGATTAAGAACATTATTCTGAAAACAAGATTTTAGTTACAGTATTAGTGGAAAACGAAGCATTGTTATTCGGCAGAGTCAGGCTGACGATGTACAAGTACGTGTTAAGGCGGCGTATGTGATAATTCGGTAAGTAAATCTTCGTTAAATGTGATTGCGAGTTCATTTTGTTTTGCAACTAGCGGCACCTCGCGCGCCGCACGCTTACATCCGGTTTAACTTATGGACAAACTCCGAAGACCGTTATTCATTGTATGATTGTCCAGTTCCCAAAAAAACTGCGCTATTCGATCAACGTACTCGTAGCTCCAGATACTACATGCAGACTTACTAATTATTCAATAGAAATGTTGCGTCTCACAAGTCAGTTTATTGAACTGCCATTTGCAAACGTGACTAGTGACCATTCGACATTCAAAGTTAATCGGTTTTGTGATATTGTGAACATTTCTTAATTGTACCAATAAAAATCGCACAAGTTTTTGCATTTTTGTTTCTACTTCACTTGACTAAATTTCAAGAAGACTGTACCGTGTTAAATGTACAGCTGCGTAAAAGATGTTCGTGTGGCTGCCAACCTAGGTGTATTCCGTTTTTATAAGGCGGTGTCAGCGTTGGTGTATACGTTGTGATTGCCATGCGCACGCTTGTTCAGTCCTTCGACAGTCAATGCCGGTCGGTTACCCGGTATTAGAGAAGCTGATAGGAGGCACTACTACCGTATCCGTATTCTATAGTTTATTCAACTTTATTATACGAGACCAGATATGCAACATTCTGTAAAAGTACATATGGAGTTGTCCATTAACACACGATGGTCCCATTGAACTTATTAGTTATCACAAACAACAACACTGGAAAACTGATGCTCCTATTTCATTAAAAGCATTCTCTAGAATAATTGTTAAAGGATGGCACAAAGTCCCTCAGCCGTTGACGTGAAGCAGGAGCCAGAGTCTACACCGATTCCACCGAATGAGCCGTCTACTGTGGAAGCGGTACCAGAGATATCGGGTTGGCTAAAAGCGGGGGCTAACATGTTCAATCATTTTAAGAACGATGCCAACGCCAGTATTACTCTCATTGATTCCTCAGGAAGAGAATTTTTAACGCGTTTGCGCACAAGTGACTTCCAGTATTTGATTAAGCAGACCATTCTGGCTAATGTCAAAGCACAACTGGAGAAGTCCAAGTCCATATTCCATCGAGACCTGAATACAGACTCGGAGCTCGCAGCAACGAGATTACCCTCCAGCTCAACATCGTGGCTGGCGTCGAAGTCTTCCCGTAGTAGAATCAGTTTGGAAGAAAATGACGATTCTCAGCCGGTAGGTGAAAAGTATTTTTGCAATGTTTGTTTTTCTGGTTGAAATTGTTTTGCGGCATTTGGTATACAGCGTACGGCCACGTTACAAGCTGTATCTGAAGTTTACCGAGCGGATATGCGAACACTCCCTGTAGTGCATATTCATAATTTTCGCCTGTATAACGGGATATTTGGACTTGTGTGACTAGAAGGACAACTCAAAGATTAATTAAACATTTTTTTTCTTCTTATTTTATTAAAACTATAAACTGTAATAAACATAATCATTATGGCGATTGGAGACAACTGCACATTGCCGAGGAAATTGGACCGTATTATCGACTTAAATGGAACAATGATTTCCAGTTTTTTTTCTTTTTATGAACATGCTGCTAACAGCCTGTTCGGCATAATCACGTTTTATGCCATACATTCTGCCGCTTCGTATGTACTGTACAGTACAGTCGCGTGCTTACCGCTTATGCGCGCTGAATAATCTCGCTTGACACTGCTTACATCTTTGCAGGGTTCTGAAGGATCGTCTAGCTCCACTGGATCCACATACAATTTGGCTGCAAAACTAAAACTTTTTGAAAGGAAAAGTGATGAACCATCGACGTCAAGGGAGAAACATGGTTCGGCGGCTGCTGCTTCGAAGGGCTCATTGCACAAACCGGGCATCAGAGCTGTAAGTCTCTTGTCCAGAACCGACCGGGAAAAATAAAACGCTATCCTATTTATCAAATTATTTCTATCAGGGCGTTGGAAGAACTGCGGAGTCTTCTAATGGGAAAATACGTGGAAGAGGTGGTAAGCGGCGCATTCAGCCGATGCCAACATTCCACAATACCGTCACTACGGTGCCTTTTAAACTGCAATGTGATGAAGTTCTCGCACTGGATGAAGAAATGGTAAGAAGATAATTTACGATTGCTGTGGAGGATTAAAATGCATGCGCACTCACAATCAGTTCTACTGCATTGACTGATTTCTGTAGTCGCTGGCGCTGTGTTGTTTTTCGCTGAATTGTACGGTGGTCTTTCTAGCATGATTATTATCTGTGCGGTGAGGTGCAAGAAATTTCGAGGTTTTCTACGCATTCTCTATGCTTGACAGCTTATTGTTAGTTTTCCTGGGCTTACGCACTACTTTCGTTTTCGTCGCCGCTTGCTTCTATGGATTTTTTTCTGCCTGATCGTCTGCATGCTACATTTCTGCGACATCTTGTTTTCTAAAACTGTTGGTTGCTCTCGGTCCCTTTCTAAAAGTGAGCCCGTTTGTAAAAAGATATTTCAACATTTCAGACCACATTATCTTCGCAGCCAGGAAGCGGTGCCCAAGTGGGAAGTGCAGCATCTTCTCTGGGCGAAATCAGTATAAGAGTGACCAAAACTACCCCTTCAGATCGAACCGCCGAAAACGGTCCCCAACGGATAAAAAAGCGACGGAATAATAAAAATGGGGTAAATGCGGGTTATTACAATTGTCAAGTACTCTCACGGGACCGGAAGTATGCCGACAGATATTTCCGGCCCGCAGATATATTCTTCAGTTTTCCGTTAACGTGAAGGAAAGGAAAATCTGTATCTTGAATCTTCCAGGCGGCTTTGTCTGCTTTTTTTGTCGCTCGAGGTGTTGAATGCATCAAATTCAACCGTTCGAATAGGCTTGTTTTTTTTCCTGTTTCTTGCTTCAGTTCACCAGTAAGCTTCGAAAAGAATTTTCGGATCATATCCTTCAGTATAAACTGTTCCTTGTAGCCGTAACCGTGGGCCTGTGCGCAATAAGTGCCGTGGTTCATGTTCATGAATTGCTGATACGGTATCACCGTATCAGTAATACCGTGCTGTTCTGGTCTTCTGGCGTGGCTATAACAGATTTTGAGGTGCAGACAATGAGCTTCCTTAGACTAGTATTAATTTGCTTTGAAATTTTGTAGGTTGCCGGTATGAAGAAAGCAGAAACTGCCATGCCACCCAAGCTGAAATTAGGAGGATTGAGGAAGAGCCGGGGCCGTGGTAATCGTTGTCGGAAAATGTACGGAATATCTCGCCGTGATCTCTGGTGTAAATCGTGTCAGTGGAAGAAGCGTTGCAGTCGATTTGATGAAGACGGGAATGTTATCGAAGGCCAGGATGAGGCATTGGCATCTAGTGCCAACACGTTCGGGCTCGTTTAGTGACTGTGGGTTTTGCATCCACTTCGTTTACCGTGCATCTGCGTTGTTGCATTGACTGAAACGCAGCAGATACTAGTACTGAAATGTTTTTGATCTTGTACATGCATTATTTATTGTTTGCCCGTGTTGGACTAAAGTAACTACTGTTGTTGTTATTGTGCGTTGCTGCGCTGAATGTTCTCAGTGATTTCCTTATTTACCCGGACAAGAAATGATAAACTAGAAGTTGTTGATCGATTCTGTTGCAAGTGAATTAGCGCAATATTGATCTGGCTACTTGACAGCTTGCAGTTATTGATTTAGTAATCCCAGTGCAGGGCTAGATCAGGATTGTTTTCTTTGTATGGCGTTGTGTACGGGGAATGCTTCGAAGCCAGGGAATAGGATGGATAGCGGGGCTTGTTCATCATGGATGGTGTGTAGGCGGCTGGACCAGGTACGTGGAAACCCATTGGCAAAGGTCGTCTGTCCTGCATCGTGTAGGCCGGGGATCGCTGCTTGATTTTCTCCAAATTGACCGCAGTATAGGCCGCCGAGCCGGGTGTCTTGGTGAAGTCTTGCGTGAATCCTCCAATCAACGGTTTACTGCAGAAAGTTGTTAGCTTTAAAACTTTCCCAGGACGAAAGGCCAGGGATTTCCTGCTCGTTTATACGTTCGTAATACAAGCATGCAAAAGATACAGAAATTTTTTTACACCAGCTTTATTGCCACCGGTAGGCTGAGTAATTTGATTCGCTAGAACAGAAGCGAAGCATAATAATTTCTCAAGCACTTACATACGCATTGTGAATCGTGGCGTGTCAGTGAAACAAGGATGCTTGGTGCCGGTAATATACGGAATTTCGTACACGTTAGGAGCAGGATTGGAATTGGGTTTGTCCTTAAGCGCTGGTAATGCCATATGCCAAGCAGGAGATCTACCGACAAAAATTGTTTAGAGCACAAAATGGATCTTCTGAAACGTTGGTAAATTTGAGGACGAAAAGATGCCTGTATTTTGTTGGAAAATTCCTCTCGACGTTATGTGCGCCTGGCCCCGGAGTCTGCGAAAAAGCAGGGTCATTCGGCCCGGATTACGATGTTCTGTCATACATTGGAAAAATCGTAATTTTAGTTGAAGAAAAGCGAAGATATTTGACTCCTGTTTTATGATCACGTAAACATAGGTGTAACCGTGTTGTCACCTCACGTGTGTTGCCGTTAGAAGGTATTCTAAGCATTTAAAACTTCTTACAGCATGCAATAATATTGGCTAGCGCTATAAAAAATTGAATTCCACATTATTATGTACATCAGTAGCCTTTTAATGTTGCTTTGCGCTTCAAGTAAGGAGTCACCTTACGTTGTCGCCCCTAGCTTCCGGTAAACGAGCTCCCATGGAAAATGCCGGCGCATGGACAATTCCTCGGTTGGTTAATTTGGGTGAGAATCCATACTGCGGCCCCGGCGATGTGCCTTTACTCTCTGTATATTCCGATTAATAGTCCAACTTATTTCGTGTTTAAATATCAGGCTATGCAGATGTACTTAACCAGTTGCACATACGCCCATCAGAAAGATCTAACATTAACTTTTTTGCCATCACATCGTACACAACGTTGTCTGAATTTATATTTTTGGCTTTCTTTTAATCTGCTTATCTTTTGCTGTTTTTTTTGTAAGGTGTGATTAACTACAACAATTTAGCATTCTTATTTTATTTTCTGGTCAACGAGAGGGCAGAGAATTTGTTCTTTTATGATCTTTTATGTGAAGTAGTGTGCCCGTACTTGCACCTTATGTAGTTGTGATGGCTATTTAACTTATTTAATTGCTGTATTGCCTATTGAAGTTTTACGTCTTATCGCATATTATCGTAATGCAAAAAAGAATTATTTTGAAAAACTGCCTGTCGGGAACACTGAGAGCACGGCCAGTCTACCACCTACTTACTCAATTGACGCACTTATTGTGAGCAGCATCCTGAAAGTGTACGCTGGACACCGTTTTAGAGTGGGGTTGTGATTTCGCCATCCGATTGCACTGGGTAACAGATATGTTCCAGGCCCGGGACCTATTCGTAATTTAAAACTTAAATTGAAGTGCTCAGCGTACGATTATGCATGATGGTTTCATGTAGCCGCTAAAGCTAAACTTAAATCTTTCGGATACTGTAAACGACCTTTAGAGTCGTTTTATTGTGTTCTGACCTTTCAGCTTGGCGGCAATGGGATAGCTGGGTTTAACTGTCAATTCCGCCGCGGGTGGCATGGCTTATTTGAGCAGAATGGAGTACGTGCAGGAATAATAATAATATCAAATTAATTTTGTGTGCTGCTTCAGTGGCTTGGGAGTAAGCATTATTATAAATAATATTTCGATGATTTATGGCTTTGCAGTAATCTTGAACCAGCAGTGATTCCAGTGAATAAGTAAATATCAAAGTAGATAATAAGAAAAGCTAAAAACTGAAACTTGAAAGCATACGACGCAGCTAAGGTCAAATTGTGAGGGCTTCATTACTACCCTAAGTATTGACCATGCAATATGACAAAATAAGTATATAGTTATGCAATATACGGTTGGTAAGTCAGCAATTAAATATAACATTTTCATATATTAGTAGCATTTACGAGTATTTTTAGCGATCTTGAAATCGTTGTGCTTTCATGATAGCGCTTCCAAACGAGTACCGCATTTGACAATTACGGTTTCATGGCAGTTATATCATACATGTTGTTTTCGAGACCTCTCCTTTCCGTCAAATGGGAGAGGGTCAACGCCAAGCAACAAGTACAACTGTTCACAGTAACCAAAAACGATGATTTATTACGTATTGTTGTTGTTGTTTGTTGCATAAATACGTATTGCAAGCCAAGGCTAGACCAACGTGGTGACACATAACATACATTATGATACATATCACCGATACTTACGAAAAACTGAATTGTAGAATAATTCAATATACAAGCCCATCCAACAATTCTTTGACCGCTGTAAGCGCAGCGCATATAAATCGCGCACAGTAATGCAAATACGCATCGTAGTGTAGTGGCAGATATATTTATAAATATTCAACCAATAATAATATATTAGATCACAATTAATCGACCATTATTAGACCAACGTGGAATCAATCATCTTTAGCCCGGGCATGTTGCAATCAGTAATTTGAAAGTAATATGGATATTAAGTACCACCGCGATATTGTATTGCAAAGCAAAGATAATACTGATACAAAAGCATAAAATTAATATAAATTATGATGGCAATAAATAATGCTAAACATATTACGTTGTATATCACAGATACAGTAACTGCAACACATGCAGATTTGTTGCTTATTTACGCTGAATACGCAGACCCATGTGGCGTGACGTGTCGAAGCACATTAAATGGCTCAAGCCCACGTTTCTTTAAATTCCCGCTTACAGCGGTCAAAGAATTGTTGGATGGGCTTGTATATAAGTAACAAGTAGCAATAACTGCTGTAGCGGTCTCATTAGCAGCGCCGTCAGATTAGCAGCAAGGAAAGTTTCATTGGTGCTGTTGAAAGCAATGGGAACGCCTACGCTACGCCCCTTTCTGGATCCAAACAGCACTGCAGATACTTACTGCTGCTGCTATCATTCTGGGTAGTGACGCAATATTTGCGTAGCAGTTGCTATTGCTGTTTATTTTCTTGGCTGAAACAAATAATTTATAAAATAATGTGATTTGAACTTTTGCATGACAATGGAAGAGAGGATTATATTTTGCAAAACTGCTTTGAGTTCTTTGTGTGAAACAGCTCGAACGTGTTCGTCCGGTTTGTATGTTCAAGCTGCAGCAATATGGGAGGAACTGGGTTCTCGGGGTTTCACGCTTGATTCCTTGAACTATCTGGATGAACTGAATCCAGGACAGACCGCAACTGAAGAAACAAAGCAACTCAGAGCTCTTGTTCCTATAATCTTTGACACGTCTCGCGCACTCCAGACCACGGGTGATGGAAACTGCTTTTTCAACGCTTTGGCGATACTTGGGAACGGTACAGAAGCTCTAGCAGTTGAGTACCGGCTTAGAACAGCTCTCTGCTTGATTTTGGAAAGAGAAGCTTTAATTATTCACCCAAATGATCAAAAAGATTCTTGTTGTCGCTTCGAGAAACACCAGAAGACATTAGTAGCATCTCTTGCACAGTTTTGTGCAGAGCGGCATATGTCAAATTTGCACCTGAAGTATGTGGATAAAGAATCTCTAGAACCAGTAACGCGCAGAAACAATATTTCTGAAGATTGTATTTGGATCCTGCCATCGGAAATGTACGTACCGTGGCTTGATGAGCATGCTGTGAAAATTACCCAGGATTGTAGCTGGACCTGCTATATGTGGATAATTGCTGCTGCGGTTGCGCACGACAATAATATTATCATCATACGCCCGCAGGTCAGTTTGATCTCAAGATCAAATACGGAACTCAATAACAAGATTTCGTTGCTGTTATTCACATTGCATCTTTTACAGGGCTATCATTCGGTGTGGGTCCGCTGTAGAACCGATAAAGCAAAAAAGCCGTGGTGTTTGTTTTGGGAAAACAACCATTTTTCTGCCGTGCGACTCGACCTTTTCGCTAACGGCATTCTTTTGGAATACCTTGATTCTTTGGAAGCAAAAGATAAATCCCAACTGACTGAAGTTGAAGTGTGGTGCATCTGCGATTTTCCAAATATGGTACGCTTTCAAGAGCACTCACTCTTCCTTTCAACAAATAGCACTGCCGAACATGATCAGGATGTGGTCGATGTACCGGAAACCATAAACCAAGCAGAGGAAGTTTTTGCTTGTGAAAAGCGACGCAAACCTTTATCTACTACGATTTTATTCAAGAAAGGATTGATGAATTCTTATACCGCCGACATAATGGAGCCAAAAGGTCAACTATAGTCTATAAAATGCATTTTTTAATATCATTGTTTTTTTCTTAATTGTTGCTTTTTAGGCTCTGGTTATGCTGGTGACGTCGCAGCAGAAGGTAAAAAAAATTAAAGTTAAAGTTTCAGTATGATTTTCACGTTAAATTGCTATAGAAGAACGAGTCTTTGGAATTGTGACGCATCTGTTCCAAGGTCAGTTGGACTCTTCAAAATTTTCCGTCCGAGGTTTTATCAGCGACGCAACAATATCAAAAATTGAGCGCCTTACAAAAAGATTGAAAGATAAAGATGTAAGCAGTAATTTCTTGTTGTGATCTCAAGATCAAAACTAACACCTACTTTGGAAATTTAGGCACTCTCACTAGAGGAACGAAATCTTCTGCGGTCGCGATCACGTTTTTTTACTTTGGAAAGTTATCTGAAGAAAATTATAGGTTTCGGTATGACGATCTGGGAAATTTGCTGTACAAGACCAAGCCATGTCAGGAGAGAGTGTTCTGCCGCTTCCGCAAGGCTTTCGAAATCGTATGGAGGAACCATCTCTCTCCATCGCTGACATGTGCGCCAAAAAGCGCAAAAATGTATTGGCAAAGCAGTCGCTTCGACAGATATACTGCCCCTACGCCAAGACCGTTGCGGCTTCTATAAAAGATATTTGCAAGGGCTGTCAAATTACTCGCCAGGCTAAGCCAGTCCTGCCGTATGTCCCAAAAATAATTCGAGTTCATGAAATAATGGAAAGGCTGCAAATCGATTTGATCGACATGGCGCCGGACTCTGATGCCGGGATGCGATTGAACTATGCTGAGTATCGTTATGTGTTATCTGTTACGGAATGTCTAACGCGGTACTGTTTTTGTATCCTTTGCGATCTAAATCCGGCCAAGAAATGCGAAAAACCTTGCAGCTTTTTTTTATAAATGAGGGCGGCCCACAGCTGCTTCATAGCGACAATGGAAAGGAATTTGTCAATAAGCGCGTTAAGGAGTTGTTAGAACCTGCTGGAACCGTTTTTGTTCACGGTGCACCATACCATCCACAATCTCAGGTTTGCCGTGTAGTAGCGTTCTATGTTCCTCAACCATTTCATTTTTGTTTACTAGGGACAAGTTGAACGGCTAAATCAAAAAGTGAAACGTGTTTTGGCTCATCTTATGGCTAACACGGATGCCGCTTTACAAGCGATCGCGTGGCCTTACTTGCTTCCAACAGTTCAGCGGATCCTCAATTGTACTGACCACCATTCCATTGGTATGACACCGTTCGAAGCATTTAAAGGATATCCCTCATTACCGGATGGAAACGAATTTGGCATCGGTAAACGTAGTGAATATAAGAATTAATAATATGCAATACCCTTGATTAACGCTTTGATGTAACTCGCAATCATGTGATCTCAAGATCAAATAAAGTTTTTATTTCTCTTAGAACTGGACCCTATCGAGCCGAACGAGTACCAACTGGACATGCTACGGAACCTCACTCCGGAAAAAAATTTTGACGAAGAAGAAGAATTTCAAACCATTGAAGAAGTTGAGCAGTACGAAGAGGATTGCGATGAAAATATTGCTAGCCATTTAGACCGATTAGAAAAACTACCGGAGCCGGTGCGTTCCCATGCTTTAACTGGGCTGGAAACGCTTGCATTTCGTCGGGCCTGTGTCAGAGATACGATACTGGAATGTGTGGAGCGGCGTTTTTATCGCAACGTTTACAAGCCCGCAGTAGCATCTCGCAAAGTCTCCATTGAAAAGGTGACATATTTCTTTGGAAGCCGACGTTTCGAAAGAAGCCTAAGAGCAGCGAACGGATTCGTTCAAAAGTCGTAAGAATAACTGAAACTTCACGCACACTCCCGGGTCGGTTTAGGATTGAGTATTACGGGAACGGCGACAGAGATCCGCCATGCAGAACTGCTGAAAACGCAAAAATGTTCACAGAAATGTATGTCAACGGGAAAGAGCTTCTTTTAGCAGAAAATCATAAAGCAATGTAGATATTTCGGATTCAACGACTTTGGCTTATTCTGTGCGTGATGACGTATGCCAGACTGCTCCAACCAAAGAGGAAATCGAAAAACTGATACCAGACTTTGCCGACAAGATGCGACAGTATTTCAAAGAAAACGGATTTCTGTCGAAAGTAATTCCTAAAGATTTGCCATCAACTTTAGAAATTGAAACGTATTTTGGTTTCCTAGAAAAGATTGCTGGTGAGCATTACAAAGAGACACACTGTCCGGGGTCAAGCATTCTGGATGCGGCGCTGCAGGAGCTGTATCAGATGCGTCAGGAGAAGGACATTGGGTGTTGGATGAGTGGCCTTGAGAAATGGGAATGCTTGACTAAACGAGACTGCTACAAGATTCAGAACTACTTAGCTGGAAGTGACATGTATCACAAAGGATCGTGTCTAGACTGCCTTGGTGGTATTTCAGGCTGCACTCATTCTTGCTGCGATGACCTTTTACTTAAAATCTGCGCTAGACGCGGTGGTACTTTGTGCCAATTTGATAAGAATTTAAACTCTACTTTGATCTCGAGATCAGACAATGATTGCAAATCTCAGTTTTCTATTAAAAGCCACTGCACTACCGTTTAGCACTGTTATATCTGCAAATCATTACGGCTTGTAATCTATACAGCGTCTAACTAACGTGCCTCTAACTAAGGTGCCTCTAGACATACTAGATTTAGGTACCGGATAAAGTAAATAAAACAATCCGGACATAAAACACAAGAAAAAAGTTCTACAAACGCCTTGATATGAGCGAGGGTATCAGAACATTACATGATTTGGAGTACAGCTTAGATGATAGTACTCTGTATTTGTCAAAACTGCAAATAGTACGAGAATTTTCGAACTCTTAGGGATTGTTCAAACGACGAAGCTCGTCCGCATCGGTTGCGGTTCTTCCTCTCGTCCGCATCGGTTGCGGTCACCTAAAAAGCATAATAAAATTAATATAAATCAGCTAACAATTTATCGCGTATTTGTTATACTAATTTTATAATCATTAATCAGCGCTTAAATCATGATAGGTTCAGGCATTAATTACTTTCCCACAAGTAAACCTTTTTTGCCGTAAACCGGTGTAGCCATTACATAAACAGAATCGTTAAATTTGGGCGGATTATCGTTTTCATCTAGCACAGCACAATTTGATTTCCGTGCCCGCTTTTTTGTTTGTGGCCTCGGCAAAGCTGACAGCTTCCATAATAAGCGTTATCGTTTTCGCCTGCTCCCGATCGAGCGAAACATTTGTGGTCGTCATAGTCCCTGTCAACGAAACGACGACTATCCAGAGATTTTCAATCATCATTTCATACCGGATATTTTCCCCAAAAGAGAATCAGGCAATGAAAGACCACATTTCGTAAAACTGATTTCAGTATGTAATTACCCATCGTTGATTTATTCCGCACAGTGTGAGCGGGATGTGCTACTACAAAATTTACCTGACAACAGTATACATTCAAGTTTCACATAAAAAAGCTCAACAAAATATTGAAAGTCTAGCATATACATATAAAATTCAAACTAAAGAACAAAGTGCTAACAGGGCATCAAATCAACAATTTGCTCGCATTATTCGAGAATCTCACTGAATTTTTCGATATCAATGCTGACAATTCCCAACTTGTACTTGTACCAGGTTTTATCAATAAAATAAACCTCATTTTTGTGAAGAGAAACCCGTTCCTGTTTAGAGTAGTCTCGTTTTCCTTTCTCCAAAATGCCGAACGAATCGGTGGTGATCATCTGTGTAATGCGATCGATTTGACCATCATGATACAGGGTACGTTTTCCATCCAGGAAGCACATGTGCCGTACGGAACTCACGATTGAATGAGCCTAAATGGCAATTACAGTTACTACGCTTAATTACTTATTAAGTTTGAAGACTAAATACTTACGAACTGTTTTTCGAGCCGCATGAATGGGAGTCGACTGCCCTCGGACGGCGTTGGAGAACTTTGTCCAGCGCTGCTTGCCTTCAAATAACATTTCTTGTGATCTCAAGATCAAACTTAAGCAGTCTGAATTTTAACTACTTTATAAAATCTAGAGTTGAATGTGAAACAATGGTTTAATGCGTACCTCTATCGCCCGAAGTTTTGCAAGCATTTCCTCTTTCTCTTTTCGTAGGTTCACCAATTCTTCCGATATGGTGACAAGAGCGGTCTACAAAAACAGTTTGTAGCTCGAGTAACGCTTGACATCTGGCGTTTTGCATTAAAGCTGCCTGTGATCTCAAGATTAGATGTCGCATTTAAAATTACCTTCTCCTTCTGTAGGTTTGAAAGCGCTTCATCTCTTGCCTCACGCATTTTCTTCAGTTCTTTAGTGAGGTTGTTAGCGGACATCTACAAACACGCATATACACCAGCTCCAGAACAAAAGGTGCTTTAGCTTATTGCGTACATGTTCTTTCTCAAAACTGGACAGCGCTTCCTCCTTCTCTTTACGGACAGTTTCCAGTTCTTTAGCTAAGTCGCTCTGCAGATAGACATGTTGACGTTACGTTGCAAAGTAAATATTATTATTTTATGGATCAAATGTGATCTCAAGATCAATTGTGCCAAGCTTGAAACTTCAGAGGACTTACTGGTCGAGAATCCACAGTGTCAGTCTTGGGTGGAGAAATCTTTGCGACGACGTCAACCGGCGCAGCTGATCCATCGGCACTAGCAGTTTTGACTTTCTTGGCTCGGGACGAGGAGACGAGACCGGCCGTTTGGTTCCAGCGGTAGTTGATGTCGTCGCCTTTGTAGCGGTAGCTTTTGCTTTGGCTGAACACGCAATATAGTACTTAAGCATGTACAGCGCAACAAAATTCAGAAATTCATACCTGCTTGTTTTAACGCCGTTACTGGGGCATAACTCCTTTGAGCGATTGCTTCTTTCAAAACTTTTTTAATGACTTCGTCGGTTTTCAAAACGGTCTTGATATCTTTAAAACAATTCCACGGTGCTTAGCTTCACGTACTTTTCCCTCGACCTTAACTTTTCGCTCTTGTCTGTTTCAAAGGAACGTCAGCAAAACCGTCTCCGCTTTCCACGGCAGTCATGAATTCTTCCACAACGGCCCACGTATCAGCTGGAAGTCTGGCACATTCAAGAAATACCGATGCGATGCACTCACATTCTGCAAAAGGATGAAACCCGGGCGATTATACAGTTTGATCCCAGGATCAGATATGCAACTATGGTAAATTTTGATAAATAAATACTCGTTAACGGCGTTTTGATCCCAAGATCAAACGGAAAATCTCTTTCTCACCTGAATCGACGTAACGGCAGCAATTTTTCGATTGCAGTTAATGACGACCGATTTATCATTATTCACTTCTACAGATTCATCGCCAATATCTTCCTGGTGCATAAAACAAATATCCCGAAACAAGCGGCAGAGGTCCCATATAGTCTCTTGGCGCTGGTTATTGACAGATTCTGCCTTTTGCCGCGCTAGACGCATGCCGGCATATTTTGACAAAGGCTTGTACACTTTCACAAGTACTTCGCTTTGTTCTGACCACGTCGAATCCTTTTCTTCAGCAAGTTCTTTCAAGGCGCGCAAACGGTGGTTACCTATAACAATTGTTGAATTCTGATTTTATTATTGCCAGGGCTGACACAAACATTACCGTCAATAATATACACGGGAATGCGATTCTCTTTGACTGCTTGTATAATGTCCTTGTCCAAAGTTCCATCGGGCTGCGCGTCAATGATTCCCGTTAAAAAGATGGACTGCGAAGACGGAGCTTTATCGCGAAAAGTTTCCTTGAAAGATTCCAAGTGCAGTGGATTTATAATCCGAATTCGGTGCTTTCCCTTAACAGCGTTGAAGAGATTATGCAGCGGCAACGAAGCTTCTCTTACTACAAAACAGGTGGAATCAGACTAGCAATGTGATCTTGAGATCAAACAACCAGTATTTCACATAATCATTAGCTTGATGCGCAACATACTCAGAACTTCTTCGCTTTCCAGGGCAAGCTTCTCGTGGATTCCGCCTGATGACTCATCTCCTGAAGTTCCAACCGCTCCACTAGACTGCAAAGAACAACTTGCGCTTCGAAAGCTGGATAACGAAGAATTTGCAACTGTTTCTTACCTGATCAGATGATAGCGCCATTATGATACAGGGTTAGCGGTTCTCCAGGCTCTTTTAGCAGATAAAATTCTTCACGTCTTTAAAGGGCCAACGCTAGGCGTGCTGTCGACCACGCTTCAGAACACCTTGCCCGTGATATGTGAAGTGAAGTGAAGTGAAGTGAAGTTTATTGTCCTTATGTCAACACCTTCTCAAAAAAATTGTCTTAGATAGCCAGTTTGCACGAGTTTTCAGCTGTGTGTGTGCGCATAGAATCCAGAAACGTAATGCACAAACCTGTTCGTTAATCCGTCTGGACAGAGCTGGGGACAGCCTGACGAGTTGGTGGAACCGCTGCTCGTCACCGCAGATCTCCGCAGTCTTGACGATCCTAGCTTTCAGACACTGCAATCATGGGGCATTATTTAGTATGAGGGAAGGAATGAGCTCGCCCGTAGCGAAGCATGGAAGCATGGTAGTGGAAAGAACTTTGAATGCTCAGGCTCGTGAATCGGCAGAGAAATAATGCACTGTCACGAAAAGATCAAAGGAGACCTACCAAGGCTCACGATAATATACGGACAACACCTGCGGCACGACGCATCCAGCTCAGAAAAGAACGTTTGAAAGATGAATTTCAAATTTCACAAGAGTATTTGAATAATTCGCTAAAAATTCTTTGAAATTAAAAACTATAATTAATGCAGAAAGCATGAAAGTGAGCGAATACGATTAGAGTTGAAACACAATGCAGGGTACGGCGGCGCTGCTGTTGCTAATTTGCAACTTGGACGCTGCTTGGTGACTGACAGCAATTCCAACCCCATTAACTTAGCAGCACCAATGGAAACAAGCCTGCTGCTAATTTCGCTGTGCTGCTAATGAGACCGCTACAACTGCCAATAAGTAAGTACTGTTAAATATACAATACATCCAAATGGGTATGTATACCGTAGCGCACTGTATCAATTAGTGAGATTCCCCGCTTTAGAAACTAGCCCCATCCTGGGTTCGGTTTTGGGTTTTGCAATGCTACAGTACTTTGTTAGCTGTACCTTGATTCTAAATCCTGCCTGAATTTTGCAGAACCACCTCACTATATAATTACGGAACTCTAATCTGGATATTATTAACTTAACAACTGTGGAATTTTTGACAGTTGACCGCATATCGGGTATTCTCAAGAACAAAAATTCAGTTAAACAATGTATAAAAACTGGACTATGAGGGGATCGAACCCTCGGCATCTCGCATGCAAAGCGAGCGCTCTACCACTGAGCTAATAGCCCAAACGTTGCCACTACTGTATGAAATTTTTCAGCATTGAACGGTTATATACGTATGACTTCCATAACAACCTTTCGTTTGCTTTTCCAACCGGCAGCAACAACCACAGCGTACATAATTACATATAAGAGTTGCAAAAAATCAACTCATCAGCTTGAACAGTAAAGACGTCTTTGACTCTACACCGTTCAACGACTAATAATAAGCAATTCGCGGCTAGTGCTACTGATGAATAGGTTTGGTGACCAAATTCGTCACCAAAACTGATTTGAATGAACTTGTGACAGTTTAAGTTAAGTATTGTGGCTGCTGCGAAAACACATTTTATTTTCCGTGATCCATATTCCATGCAGTTAAGTTGGTAAACTTATATGCACACCCTTTCAGTTATCCCAAATGAGGATATTATACTTTAGGCAAAATAAAGTTTCCGCTCTCAGAAAAAGTGAACCACGAACCGAAAAGTATGAAAGCTAAGAACAGCAAGATAACAACCGCACACTCGTGGAGTGTTGGTTATTTTACCATAAACGGCGAAACTTATTTCAAACGGCAAAAGAACAGCGCCATCAGTTATAACACCAGTATCCATATTCACAAAGACTCCCCAGAAAAAATCGAACTCTAATCCAAAAGTATAATCGAATCTCTTTGGGTGTTTAGATCTACAAAATGAAATCCCTGTGGACACTGTTCTGACTTCAGAGAGTATAATATTATGCAGAATTATTACATACGATGCACTTACCAATGGTGATTGCAGGAGCAACAGCTGGTTTCTCACGAATTTTTACATTTCCGTTCTGCGCAATAATTTCAAGGGACTGCTGGGGCGTAAACCTCAGCATTTCTTCGGTGAATCTGGTAACAGAAACGTGTATTGAGACATTCAAAAGTACAGACTTGGAAACACCGTTAATACTACACAGATACTCACCCATCGACAACCAAGCTTTCCGGAGGAATGCAACTGTTGCATTTTGGACAGATAAATTTAGCATTAGTCCCAGAATTCAGTTCCAGGAACTTCTGTGCATCGAAGCATTCCAAATGATTGCAGTTTTTCCCTCTAACTGGAACACTGATACGCTGTCGCGAGACCGGGCATATGAAACTCACAGTTCGGTAATCTCCCGCTACGTCCCCGTCGTCGTCATTCATTTGATTATACACTAATAATAATTACTCAATGTAATTTACGTAAAGACAACTGCAAAATTTTCACGGTAATGTTCAATTCTTTTTTTAAAAACGCGTGTTTTTTACAATATTATATTACTACAGTCCCTGTCAGCCGTAAAGCTGCTAACCTTTTGCAACGCCATAACCAAGCGGAATCCTTCTATTCCCTATTTCCTGCATCACCATATCCAATGTTTTTCGCTCCGCTGTTTGAACGAAAACAAAAAATTCCTGCAATAAAATTGAAGCATAATCATTTATTCTCACAAGTAGACCTTTTATAAGTTGAACTTCGAATAACTCAATGCACAATTCCATGAACTAGCTTAACAGAACTTCACCTGGTCTGTTGAAGGGAAAGACTTCGTATTTCCTTCCACAGTCCATGATATGGTAAGAGACTGGTGAACACTTCCCGTGCGCAGTAGCGTTTTCGCAATCTCCACAGGTGGATACCAGGGCTTACGCTTTATGACACCATAATTAATGGTTTTCTGTGCAAAACATGAAATTAACAATTCGCAGTTTCGTCAATAATAAAAAAAATGCGTTCCATCCAGCAATATAAAAACGACCGCGCTTACGGCTTACCGGTTTGACAATTTCAGTTTCATTCAGGAGAACTGTTAGATTTGGTGGGTGATGATCAGGAGCGGCTCGTTCAGAAGGCACCGCGCAAAACCGTAGCAATATGCAAGCGCGTTCGTTCATCATAGCTTCTTGCGGACCGCAAACAAAGGACAACAAAACACTCCGGTTAACCCCACGCGAAGTCAGGGTAGGATCTCGTGCTGCGAAAAGCATGATGCAATAACTTCTAATTAAATCGCACTTTAAATTTCACTAACGTAACTACAAAGAACCCCACTAAAACGATGTTTAAAAGCAACCAGTTATCGTTATCGACAACAAAACGTAGGCTTACACCACTGTAAAGCATATCTGTGCGTAGTCACAATTATAATGAAGTCAGACTATGGGGCCAAGACAGAATGAAAAACAACTTCAAACTTACAAATATTATGGCATCCTATGAGTTGCGTCGATATCCGATAAAATGGCGGATCTTTCATCGCGGTGGGAATTTCCAGTACGGATAACGTGGGTTCATTCAACCGCACTTCCAGTTTACCATCCACAGCAAAAATCCGCTCCTGCGCTGGTCTTTCGATATTTGTGGGTTGTAATATCCGTGTTTGAACGGCAGGCCTCGGTATTTCAACTTTAACTGAAGGCGCATTCACATTCAAAGCTTGTTCGTTATTATCGAGATTTTGTTCTCCATTTCTCTGGACTAGCGGGGGCCCTGCAGCAGCTGCTGCTTCTGGAACAGCCCCACCATCTGCGGTGGGATTGTCGGCGATCGGATTCAACAGTAGATTTGCGGGCTGAGCGATAAAATTAGCGAAATTCGGCCCCTCGTCCACATCGTCATCTGACGAGCCTGCATCGGATTCTTCCGCTGCCAGCGGAGCAGGAGGGGGTGCAGGTGGCGGAAGCACGGCTCCTCGCTGTCGCACAGGCCGCTTTCTGCGTCGCCTGCCCGTAGCTTCGTCATCACTCCCGGATAGATCGGGCGAAGAATCGTAACGCTCTTCTCTGCGTCGCCGGCGACCCCTTGCAGGCTGTGGAGCTCGAGGCTGTCTCGGAGCGGGCTGTCGTTTACGCGGAGAAGCTCTGCCAGCACCACTGGCTAAGCGACGATAAGCTTGTGCCATAGAAGACATCCTGTACCAGTACGATCATCAGTATTTAGACCCGTAATATCGGACACAAGCGCTTCACGAATCACCCATCCAGTTCTGCTCTAAGCACTTTTCGTAATCGCAATCGGTGGACAGGTTCAGATTGGTGCACGGACCAAGGACTGGAAAATACAATGGACTTAGTGATTACACGATCCACTTAACATATCGTTGCGAGCAGAGATGTTCGTCGCTACATTATCACGGTGGAACAAATCTCCACTATCGAACACTACGACAAACAGTCATAACAATCGCAAATTAATACACGCATGCAATGGCGAAAAATCGGGAAAATTATCCGCTAGCGATAAAATAAAAGTTCTTGGGACTTTTTCCTAATTCACCACTCGTAATCTTAAACGTAAGAAAATCTTCAATACGGCTCTTGAATAGATGCCGTCTTGAATCATGGGAGCGATTTGGCTTGCTCGGACTCGAAAGAGGAAGCAGTTTGGTTTTTGGAAAGCCGTTCGAAACAAAGCAAGCGAGTGGGCAAGCCATGCCACGCAGATCAGAGTGTCTACTGTCTAATGTTTATTGCTTATATTTTAATGAATTTTTAATTTATGTAGCTATCTGTACAAGTTGTTGCTGAAATCTACAAGTTGTTGCTGAAATTAAAAATTTATTAAATAAGCCTACAACTGCTGTCTTTCACTTACGTGCTTGCTTGTTTTTGAAAAACCAGTTTTTCTTGTCCTTAAAAATGTTGGACAAAATTATTAATTATAGCTCCGCTTACTAAACAGTAATGAGCTCGATAAGAAAGCAGCAGCCGATGATTCTGAATTTCTGATGGTGATTGTTCATAACACTTCATAATTAACAAAGTATGAAAAATGCGTAACGCGGACTTTTCTTGCGTTCTCGCGTTATTTGTAATTTGTACGATCTTAATTCACAGAATTCAAAATCCGAAGATTCACTGCCCAGAGGACCCTGGAGGCAGACGGGAAGATATTATTTTCCCACCACCTTAGAACCCAAGCAGTAATTAATGTGGGTCGAGCTCCAACAAATCATGCTCTTAGCCAAACAAACGAAGCTGGAATTAAGCGTATAATCCATGTAAGCAGTAAGCGTAAGCGTGTGCCATGTGCGCAGGTACTTATAATTATTGGTATCAACGATCAATCTAATTATACTGGAAAATCTGTAGCAAATACAATCCTTCAACAAACTCTTATCTGCTAACCATGACCTGCAAGAAAAAATCAAGCAAACCAGTGTCGAAGGACTGGAGCAGCTGGAGCGCAAATTCCACTACAAATGGCAGCAGTTGCAGGAAATTGTCAAACGAAGAATCGACGATGTTGCGGATCAGGAAGCGCAAGCTATAAAAGGTCACCCGCAATTAATTAGGTGTAAATCGCCATTAACTTTTCTACACAGCGTGTTTTTTCTATTTCTTCGCTTTACTTCCAAACGCGGATCTTGCCCTTGCTTGATAAAACCGAACAATTAGCTGTCAGGTATTGAACGCATTTTGGAAATTACGTATTTTATTAACATTCTAGTGATGCGACTCATACGTCGTCATCATTTGGAAGTAACAATGGCGCAGCTCTCCTCGCATTACCATAAAGTGCAGCAGAAACGTCTAGCCGATATGGAGATTTTCAAGATGGATTTGAAAGCCAAGTTTGCCGAGGAACTACATCAGAAGGCCTTAGAAGTCGAAGAATATCGATTGTATTATCGCATAATGGAAAAGCAAGTGGAAAAACGTAAAGCAGACATTGCTGCTGCCGAAGTAGCCTCCGCCAGAGCGAAAACCGACGCGATGGATCTCATATCAAAAAAACTAATGGAATCTTTCGCCCAACAGGTTGACATAAGCACTGTTGCAAAGGTCATCAATCTGGAAGTGATTAAACAAACCCTCGCTGACATAATCAACGAAAGAGATGGTTTGCAAACGTCTGTCGAACATTTACAACAAGAGACGGAAAAGCAGGAAGTCTCCCTGCGGTTACTGGAATACCATATTGACCGCACAATGCAGGATATCATGAGCGCCAATGATACATTTAAGACTTATGAGTCCCAGCTGCGTCACAGTATTCACGGAGTGACTTCCGAGCGGGATAAAGTTCATGATGCGAAAATGCATTCGTTGGCTCAGCTGAACGATAAAGCTAATGTGGTACCGACAAAGGTCATCCTACAGGAAGAGCTAAGTCAACTCAAACAAGAATGCGAAGATCTGCTTGAAACAGGAAAAGTGTTGCGCGCGCGGGGACGGTTTCGTGCTGCCCAGTGGATGAAAAAGTTATCAGTTTTGGAGAACGCAACCAAGGAACTGAGAAAAGAGATGTTCAGGAGAACGTACAGCCAAAAAATTGCCAGGAAAGCTACCGGCATGCAGGCCAAAAATCCGGTTATACTGAAGGGGCCCATTTCCAAGGATGCTGCAGAAGAATATATTGAGAATATGGGTGCTAAAATTTTGCTACCTAAAGCTAAGCCGGGAAAGGTTTTCGGCACTCCAGAAAAAGCAAAACTACGGTTGATGGACAAACAAAGGTACCCAGTGCTTCGATCTTCTCGAACAAAGCTGCATGCGCATGCATTTCGTTGGATCCATCACTGAAAATTGTAACATATTTTTTTACTTAATTTCAGAGAGATCAAATTTGTCAGTGGTGCGGAGAGCTTGGAAGAAGTTTTGCGCAAAGGCGAAACCAAAAAAGATGGAAAAGATCTTGTTGCACTGTTCTCCCAAGAGTCGGATATTGATAAGCTCGTCAAAGAAATCGAACATTTAGAGATGCATGGAGAGTCCCACCGGCAGAGCGCAATGGAAGATGCCGATGTTTCCGACGATGCGGAAGGGGCGCGGCGTGTGACGCTGGTCAACCCATTTCTGCCCACAACAGAACTGACCGAAAGCCTGGTTATGCTGGCAGCGATCGAAAAAGATTTTGAAAACAAAAAACGCGATAAGCGCTCCTCAAAGCGGTTGTCGAAAAAATTTACAGCTGTTCAGCCGTTTTCGGGATTGCGCAATACACCTAATGAGCCAAAAAAGCGTAAACATCCGACAAAGCCAAATAAACGGAAATGATTGCTACAATATAAACAAGCTTCCGTTTGCCATCTTAGACTGGCAGTGTGTGCTAGCTAGTGATTTTGTTTAACCGTGACTGAATTACTGATTTAACTGCTTTACGTACTGTAGATATTTTTGCAAATGATCCAAAAAGGTCGTTGATATATTACATTACAATTTACAAATCATCCCGCAGAGCTTCATTTGGGGCGATTTTGGTAGCAAATTTGAAAGTTCAGACTTCACAGTGAACAGTGATAAAAAAACAACACTGCAAGGGATCATAATTACTTGTTCTTAGTTCTGCCCTTATATTACTTTGAGAAGCGTCTATTTTTTATTTTTACATTGCTTTGGGAGACATATTTTTAGATTTTTTTATTTCACTTATATTTTTTGGTGGGTTCACCTAACTGCACAGATAATTGTGTGGGCAAATATTTCCTGATGTTACTGTAATAAATTGTTACGGTGCCTGTAGCTTATAATAATTGATATTTTTTGAGGCAAATTGCTGTTAACCATAAGGTAAACTAGTTGCTGGGGAGTAAATGCACTGGAAAATTACTTACTGAAAACATTTTCTGGATGTTGCCGTGTTTGGTACACGCCGTATTTACGTACGTTTTACAGTACCAAAATTAATTACTTCAACAAAGTAGTATAACAGTACACAAACTGGCATAATAGTAAGTGTACTCTAGTAAGTATCTGTATATTAAATAAAAAATATATTTTGTGTTTTTATTTCTTCCTGGGTTAACCTGCTTAGCCGTAAAGCATTTGAGCAACAGTTGCACCATCCATGAACGCGGATTTTCAAATGGCACTTCTATGGAAAATCATTTTCATTTCGACTATTGCCTCGTTTTGCGCTGCCAACTTTGTGGACGATATTAAAGGTGCTGCCGGAAGCGCTTTTGAGAAAGTGACAGGCAAAACGGCACCGGAAGCCAAAGATGATGCAAAAGCTGCGCTGGATGAGGCCCAGGTTTGTAAAAATTTGTACGTTACCATAAATAACTAAAACATCTGGCTGTAGTTTATTGCATAATGTAAGTTGCTTCTAAATAATATATATATTAACAGTAACAAAACTGCAGTTTAGAATTTATACGAACTGAGACTTTTGCACAGCTAGAAAAACAGCGTTAATTTTGCGACGCACAAGTGCACGTAATTATATGCTTAGCAGTTTAATTATACCACGGACGGACGTAGCGTTTTTGGGAAAAAGTGAGGCAAACGTTCTCAGTCTCGTTGCAGCTCAAGTTTTTACTTTACAGTTAACAACTGCAGTATCCAGTAATTAATACCTGTACTACTTTATAGCATACGTTTTATAATAGTTTTATAATAGGAAAGCTTCAAAGAACGATGGACAGAAGCACAGCATAAAGGCAAGGATGTTAAAGATGCAGCATCGAAGCATCTTGATGACAAAAAAGAGCAACTAAAAGACAAGGTCAAGGAGGGCACAGCAAAAGCACAAAATTTTGCTGACGATGCGTCCGCTAAGGCTGAAAAAGCTGTAAATGATGGAAAGAAATTAGGAAAAGATGTAATGGACACCGCTGAAGATGTTAAAGTTAAAGCGGAAAAGAAAGGCAAGGATGTCAAAAAACAAGCCAAAGATGCCGCCGAGTCAGCTGGTGACAAAGTCCAGGAGCTACAGGACGAAGCGCTAAAGAAGGCAAAAGGTCTGAAAGGCGACGCAGAAAATAAAATGGCAGAAGTGAAAGGAAAAGCCAAGGAAGCTTTTGACACAACGGCAGACAAACTTGGTGACTTTTCTGATTATGCTAAAGAAAAGCTCAGTGATCTGAAAGATGCGGCAAAGGATAGCGTGGAAAGTGCTAAGGAAAACCTGAAGAAATCCGTTGGCGCATAATAGGGAGCAAAATTTGTGCTAATACATTTGTAAATTTCATGCAAACCGACATGTGCATTTTTAATGCACCACTTGCTCTAAGTTTGTGCCAGTGTTTTATTACCGTTTCCAAGTACCAAGTCGGCATGCGATAGCAGATTTTGAAATGAAAACTTAACAACAGAAACAATGCTTTCATTTTTGCTATATACAGTAATTAGCCGCGCTTTACTGTCGGACTGGCGCAGCAGAATGCCACTGGGAGCGATCGGGTTGCGATATATGCCAATTCTTTTGCTTAAGGTCACCATCTCGAAAAGTGTTCAGCTTCGTTTGAGCATTTTTTATGCGTGCCGGAGGTTTGATAGCCGGAAGTGGTAGCATATTATGGCCGACTCTTGACATCAAGCGCTTTTTCAAAACATGTTGACCTTTTGTATAGTAACCTGCTCGGATGCTATTGAATTTCGCTCCCAGCATCCTCTAAAATTCAAATAACGTACGCATAAGTTCGCAGTTTATATCGCTCTAGAAAAACATTTTTATTACTCCAGTTTGTTAATATCCTTACTTGATCAATTTGATTCAAAGCTGTTTCATGATTGGATGTAGCGTAGTGCAAGCGGAACCTGTGGTAACAATTTACTTCGTGAACAGCAATCTGATCCTTTAACCCGAGGAAAACAAAGAATTCTTTCGTTGTGCTGACGGATAGTGCACCGTAATTTCATTTACCATTCGCGGCCATAATCATGCGCCAAAACGCGGTAGATGTCTTCTCTGCATCAAGAAAACAAATTGGGTTTCATTAAATTGCTAGCAGCGCATGTCCGCAAAATCATCTGCTTAAGTAGTGTCAAATCTACTTACTGGTAACGCCAAGTTTTAGTAAATAACTAGGAATCACGATTATATTAAAAAATTTAGTTCAGTAAAGCAAGTAAAAGTTCACTGTGAGAATTATGCTTTGTCTATGAGCAAGCGAGCAGGAAGTATGTTATGTTTGTATTGTACTGCAGTACTTGCAATACATCTTTAATTACAGAATTCTTGACTTTTTACTACATATACCCTGGCAGTAGTCTTTTGTCAACATCTTCGGGAACACGGTAAGTGTGGGCCAGTTTGTATGACTCCTGGGTACGAGGCGGAAGATAGCACCAGAGATCTTTCTGCTGCAGGACGAACCGGTTCCATTCTTTTGGCGTATGCAGTTTGGCGTCCAGTGCCCGCGTATTGGCTGTGACGGTGTCCCGCCGACGATGGTATCTTTCAAACAATTTCAGCTGCTTGTCAGTATTGAAACTTTGCCAATCGTCAATGGCTGCAAATCTTGAAAATTCAGATGAAAAATAAATGGTCAAAACAGAAAGCAATTTGTATGGATCTTACCAGACTTTACGTTGTCATATTTCGCCTTTGTTTTGTACAAGCCATAAACGTGAGATTTTGGAGGTATAGGACCCATGGGCGGCATCTGTTCACCGGCCTCCATCTAAACAGCGTTCAAAAATTCCTGTTACAAGAATTGTACATTTCTCGTTAAAGTCTAATTACGAGTATACTCTACTGGCGGTTTCGTACTAAAAAAGATTAATTAGTGCTGTGGGTTGATACTAAATTCGGCACAACGACCCTTTTTAAAATACTTCAAGTACTACAAAACGTAAGCAGAGCACTAGAGTGGGAATACTAATGCAGTTAAGTGCATCTGCTTACATGCGGTTTGACGATAATCGGGTTCTTGGACATTGTTGCTCGTTGATTTCCCAGTCGAATGAAATCATCGTAACAGCCCAAAGTTTTAATGGAAGGACGATAGCTTGATATTTGTTTCGGGTCCCTGCGATTGGCGGGAGGTATGTAGCTATCCATCTTAAATTAACTGGACAGATTTATGATAATATTATGGTTAAAGATTTTGCGTAGACCAGTTAAGTGCGTTGAACCTTGCTTATTAAGCAGTTGCAATCAACCCTCTAAGGAAGCTTTTGTTTTTGTGACTAGGAGCGCATTATTATCAAGCCCTCAAATTTTTCAATTAGGTACTGCACCGTCTGCACGTAACTATTTTTAAAGCAGTGTACCGCAAAGTGTGGATTACAAACCTTGTATGAGTGTACTGCAGCGCACGCACTATTTGTGCGAGTACTCGTACTATTAGTTTGGTACCATATTAAATGATACATATTTGATAATTATATTGATATTATGGATTAATGTGCTTTAACTGCAATGGCACGAACTATTACCTATTCAGAATTGGCTAAAGGTCATCAATGTTGCCGGGATGCAGTAGCATGCAGTACACGTAGTTAATTGTGAAAACTGTTATAGTTCAAGACTTCAAGGTTCAAGCTAACCTTTTTGTATAATCACTGTGCCATAAGTAAAAATAGACAATTGCTACAACGTTTTCGCAATTTTCTAAAGACAGAAGCTTCGGGCGTGTCGTCGCAAAGATCAAACCGCACAAACCTACAGTGTTATACATCTGATAGAACAGTAAATGTTGCTCTTATTTATCCGCCAGGTTGACTTAATCTCGAGATAAAGTGGCACTGATGTTCAGAGCCTTATCTTCGTCATTTCCACTTCAACGCGAAATGTTAGACAGAGATGTGTAGTCAAATAATTTATTATCATTTACTTATTGATAAGCTTATAACAATATTTTTCTCTGTTATTGACTACATTTCAAATGTCTACAGAAGTGATAACCACAGCTTTGGTATACCCTCTCAGCCTTTTTTAATGCAGCTTTCGATCTGCCATATAGCAGATGAATTCCCACTAAAAAATATCTGCTGGTGTTACTTATTGTTTTCTTTTATATTGCGTTTGACTGCATTTTAATTATTCCCCTTTGATTTTTGTTATCTGCAGATTAGTAAAATTACAATTTGCTAATAATTATGAACATTACACGTTGACAAAATTCCAGAATAATATGAATACTATCGTTCAAGCGCTGCTCTATTTTGTTATTTTTAAGGCTTCGTCACTCAAAAATTAATATTCCCTGTATTTTGCGACAGATCACCAGTGGTCGGAAAAACATTTACCATTAGCTACATAAAAAGTTCAATATAATTAATGTATTACGTACCACAATGCTGCAGTCGAAGTAGGACAGATTTCAAGACAATTTTGGACCATACAAATCATCCGATTTTGCTATGCTCACAACATGTCATCTGTTACTGGTCGTACAAATTGCCGGTTCAGCTGTTTGTGTGTACTTACTTGCTTGCAGAAGTTGCAGTGACTACACTCTGCGAGTCCGCAGTCATCGGCAAAATGTGCAAGTTTCGAAGTAAATGCGTCCATGCAGAGCCAGATGGCATGATTGTTTGCCTCGGAGGTTTGTCAATTGCAAGAGGCAGTCAGTCAACGTTTTGCGGAGTTTTGTTCAAAGATTTTTAAAAATTTGTGATATATGTTAGTTATCGTATGGTCTTTCCACCGTTTTCCGATTGACAGTATAAGGTTGTGACGCTACGTGTGCAGCCAGTGTGCTCCAAATCTTTTTTTAGAGATTGAAAGCACTAATCAGCATGGATGTGCTTCATGGTTTGGTTAATGGAATGAAAGTGTCCGATGAGAAGGTGCACTGTGATTATGCAGGCGATCCAACTCGTTCATCCGAGCTGATCATCAACAGCAAGAAACCGTTCAACGCCGAAACTCCCGGTGGGATCCTTGTCAAGCATTTTGTAACACCGGTCGATCTTTTCTACGTTCGTAATCATGGTCCGGTTCCGGAAATTGATCCCAAAACATACGAGTGAGTAATTATTATTAGCAAGCAGCACTTTGATGCACGAGACCCACACACCGTTAATTACTCTCTTCTTACGGAATTCTTGTTCTTTATAATTGCTCTCTCCATGGTTCAATTTTGTATCAATGTTTTGTTAATTTTCGGTATCGTTCTTTGACTGCACTTCCTTGTGGCACATTTTCGATGTCCATATTTTCCATGAAATAATTTGTATGTTGCGTGAAGTGTTTCTGTTATGATAATAAAGTAAGTAAATTATGGGCTGGACAGCAATATTTCACGAGTGATAACTGCAGTTAACCATAAACTGTGTAAACACTCGTGAAGCTTACGCCATTCAGTTATTGTTTCATATCTTCCCTAGGGTAGGCAAAGGCCGCAAAGCTATAATAATATAGATATTATGTAAATGGTTAATAACTTCACACTTAACAGATTATTGATTTTTTGAAATTAATTTTCGTTGATATCAGGCTTTGGCTTTTGCAGGTTTTCTGTATCTGGCTTGGTTGGTCAGCCGTTTAAGATGTCCCTAGCGGAACTGCAGGATAGTGCGAATCATGTCACCATCAGTGCCACATTAATGGTAGATTTTTTAAAGAACTAGACTAAATAATAGTGAATATTGATATGGAATCGCACCTTTAATTTTATGCAGATTATCTTGTAGTGCGCTGGAAATCGACGAAATGAGCTCAAGGATATCAAGCCTGTGAAGGTGCAGTGAATCCATGTTGAAGAAGGCAAGCGTGAATGCAGCATACATAGCATGTTCTAGGGTGTTGGGTGGGAAATCGGTGCAATAGGTAATGCTGAATGGACGGGCGTACCATTGCGAGACGTTCTGGAAAAGGCTAAAATTGATCTCGTACGTTACGACCTATGTTTGCATTTGGTATCCTGCCATATTTAATTTTACCAAAAGTTGGTACATAGTATCGTCGCTACTAGTTTGCAGGATGATAAATTTTGCACCGATCAGACCAAGACCTTTTGCCGTTTTAGAACAACCCAAGACTGCATGTTGAATTTGTCGGCGAGGAAGATTGTGAAGAAATTACGAAGTACGGATCGTCCATTCCACTTTCAAAAGCCATGTTAGTGTTTGCTGTAGCCTGCATGTGCTGTTTGTATTGTAGCCCAAATGCAATATCAAGTTTTGCATTGGAATAAGGTTCAGATGTACTTGTACGGCATCCATATACCGGTATCGTTTTATGATTAAAACCTGGAAAAGGAATGTATCTGAACGATCTTTTAAGTTGTTATCTTTGCTTCTTTCATGATGTTGCACAGGTAAAACCACGTTTTTATATTCTGTGCGTATTATGTTTGCTTTACCAAATTCTACTTACCAGCGGATTTGCAGGGATCCCAAGGGTGATGTGATTTTGGCATGGGCAATGAATGGAAAACCTTTGTCACGCGACCACGGTCATCCCTTGCGAGCCGTTGTTCCAGGTTTTATTGGAGCGCGAAGTGTTAAATGGATAAAGGAGATCAACATCATAGACGGGGAATCGCAAAATCGTTTCCAGCAAAAAGATTACAAATTATTTCTGCCTAGCGTTGACTGGGACAAAGTGAGCATGTAGTGAAATTATGCTATTTTATTCTCTTTTAGAGTGTTATGGATTGTATGATTTAATTTAAATTCTAAACTATTTTTTGGTTCATAGGTGGACGAGCTATGGGATAAATCTGTTCCAATTTCTTGGCTGGCAGTGCAGTCTGCTATCTGTCAACCACAAAATAACGAGGTTATCCCTAAAGACCAACCATACAGCATAAAAGGTTATGCTTTATCTAACGGATCTCGGTAAGCAGTAGTAAATTTCATGCGAGTATCTTCTGCACTTAAGAGTAGCAAACGTTTACTACGGGATGCTATGAATGGAATCGCTATTTGAGTCTGAGATGGGATTGGTTTTTTTTTTGCAGAATTGTTCGTGTCGATGTGTCGCTGAACAGCGGCAAAGATTGGCAAGTAGCAGATATTGTGCATCAGGATAAACAGGAACAGAAAGGATGGGAAAATCGCTATTGGAGCTGGAGCTTGTGGACGCTTAATGTGGATAAGTTTCCTTCACCTTGCACAGTTGTGTGCCGTGCCTGTACGTGACGCTATTCGAAATTGCAGATCGAAATAGTGAAATACGGGCAAAGCAGCTTTGACCCCAAGCGTCATTATTTGTGTATTCTGTAAATCAAGTGGTTGCCGGCCATTGTGACTAAAACTGTACATGGTTTTAAATTTTAGGGGACATATGCTCCAATACGCAACCGGAAAATGCAGCCAGTATATGGAATCTGCGCGGTGTTATGAATAACGCTTGGCACCGTGTAAACGTCAAAGGTGCATAGTGCGGTTTCTGTGCCTTGATCGATTTCTTCAGGCGATTGTATCTTATATTGATTTCTGACATCTTCGTGCTATCAGTGCAGTAGATTTTCTTTGACTGTTCACCTATTTTTGTTCGATAATTTATCAAATTTTACTGGCTGCCATATTTTGTTAATTCCCGGTGAGGACTGCAGCAGTATAATCCTGCTTAACCTGTTGCATGATTGCAGCACAAACTGTCATTGGTGATTGCTGAGTGATTTTAATTTCCGAAATGTGTGGTGTAATGTTTTAATTTCTGTTTTTATTCTCCAGTTCATCAACTGTGTTATTAGCGATATACTGTGGCTTCGGTAGTGCATACAGAAACTGAATAGTGAATGCAGAAAGAACCATGATTTTTTGCATTCTGCTGTTTGTTTTTATGGGATCTGTTGCTGCCGATAACTCCAGTCTGAGTTACGAGCAGGAACCTGAGAGGTCACATCGTTTAATCATCAACCAACACGAGCCTTTCAATGCTGAAACTGGAGTAGACGATTTGAGTAAAACATTTTTGACACCATCGGAGATTTTTTATGTCCGTAATCATGGACCTGTGCCCGCACTGCAAGAACCGGAGCACTTCAACAGTACCTACATGTACTGTGCTTAGTAGTTAGTACTGCATACTGTACTTACTTCGCAATATCCCATGATACAGATTACTTGCAAATTGCATCTGCCACGCTCTGGGCGCTTTATTAATACAATCATTCTAATTTTCTAAAAGTAAACGTAATAGGATTTCTTTGTTGAAAATGTATGTGCCAGAAATCCTGAGATTTATATTTTAGGCTGCAGGTGAATGGCATTGTCGAAAGTCCATTTAACATCTCCTTGGGCGCTTTACAGAGGTTTCCGGAGAAGGTTTCCATGAACGCTACCTTAATGGTACACAGTTTATTGCCAAAATTTATTTTAACATACCCTTAAAAAGCAACATGATGAAAACTGTAGCAGAAAAAACAAGCACCCTAACCTGTACATCTGGGATCTATTTCGTCGTAATTGCACTTGTACTTATGCTTATTGGCAGTGCGCGGGAAACCGGAGGACAGAAATGAGCAAGATAAAGACAGTTAAGGTTTGATTTGTTGGGATTGTTATTAAAAACGTGAAATACGTCTGTGGTAATAAACGATAAATTTAACATGACGGCTAAGTATATGCTTATGTATTTGTATATTTGTGTTACTTCTGATTAGGGTGTGCCGTGGGGACCTGGAGCTATCGGAAATGCCGAGTGGACCGGTGTTCCCTTATGGACACTGCTCTCCATAGCGAAAGCAGACTTGGTACACATCATTGTTCATCCAAGCTGATTTTGGACTTTTTCGTACATGTCGTAACCAGTCTTTGCGAAAAGTGTCAACTGTAGACTAGGTAATATCGCTTTTTTTAGTAGGACAATCCGAATCTGCATGTGGAATTTTCGGGAGGTGATGTGTTTGAGGGTACCACTCACTATGCTCAATCTATTCCCATGTATAAAGCAGGGTTCGTAAATGGTAAAATAGCGTAAAATGGCTTTTGCACTTAATTAAGAAGAATACACTGAACGAGTATATGAGGCATACCAAATATCTCTAACGGATTTTCTCAGCAGAACTCTAAGCTGTATATAACGTACGCGTACGGCACACATTTCAACTGCAGTTCTTAATTACCGCTTGCTTTGATTTTTAACCGCAGAGATCGTAAAGGTGATGTATTAGTGGCATGGGCGATGAATGGTCAGCCGCTGACGTTGGATCATGGCTATCCTCTCCGAGTTGTTGTTCCGGGTTTTATCGGTGCAAGAAGCGTCAAATGGCTGAACAGGATAACGGTTCTGGATCATGAATCTCAAAATAGATATCAACAGAAGGACTACAAACTCTTTTTGCCGAGTGTCACTTGGGAAAATGTACTGTATAGTTCACGCACGTACTGCAGATTTACTTTATTGTAAATTTAAGGATTGTTCTATTTATGCTTAGAACAATCCTTAAATGTTCGCATTGATTTGATGTTTTGGTACATTGTAGGTGGATCCTCTGTGGAATATTACGCCGGCACTTACTCAATTGTCTGTTCAATCCGCAATAACGGAACCAGCCGATAATTCTACTATTATGCACGGCAGTCCGTATACGATAAAAGGATACGCCCAATCGAATGGAGCACGGTATTTGAAATTGTATTCTAGTCTAATACGACCCCAGTCATACAGTAACTGCTATGCATTATCCATAGAATTACACGGGTGGATGTTTCCCTGAACAACGGGATCACGTGGCAGGCCGCTGACATTGTCTATCAAGAAAAAAAAGGTTACGATAATCGCTACTGGAGCTGGACTATCTGGGCATTGCCGGTGGCGGAATTCCCATCACCGTGCGTTATCGTATGTCGTGCCTGTAAGTGCAGTGGTAAACGTCTGGTCAGTTTATAAGATCTTTTTAAACAGATAACGTTATGTTTGATTTGTGTTAATTTTTGTGCAGTTTGCGCAAATCTTGTTTAGGTTTGGTTTACAGCTATAAGTCACAGCTTTTGTTTATCGATGTAAATACTAATATTTATACTCGTGCATTTTGAACAGAAAAATAAAACCAGCTTTCGAGTGTTCTTGACATTTATCGTTGTAGGGGACACTTCTGCTAATACTCAACCGGAAGCAGCAGCTCATATTTGGAATCTTCGTGGAGTAATGAATAATGCGTGGCATAGAGTGCATGTACATGATGATAAACATGCATGAAAAGGAGCTTTACAGCAGATATTTCGCTATTATTCGTCAACGCAATATTTGATAATGGTTTTATTTTTCCACATAAGTATCGCTAATGTCGCGGGTATTATCCATATATGCTCGTAATGATTATTTAATTTCTTTGGATTTGAGAAAAAGTAAAATTGTACTATATTATGTCCAGAACATTTTGCCGCCTACATATAATTTACCGTCAAAGAAAGTCCAGTGTGGCGAAAATGAATACGGCATGAGCGACTGAGAAGTGCGAAATCATTTGAGATTCGCTGAGAACTTCAAATGAATTGTTTTGATATCGGCAGTCTCTGGAAGTGGAGATACAGCGGGAAAGCACAGCATCAGTAGTATGGACACAAATCCGCACAATAGAAGGAGCGGAAAAATTGAATGACCTCTTGCTACTGGGCTGTTTAGTTTTCAATTTCTCGTGCTTAAGCAGGCATACTCATTTAAATTAATAAGAAACTAAACTCTAAAAACAGAGGGTACCCGGCACGCAGTACTGTTAATAAGTCAGGCTTTTCTACGACCATTAATTTTCTGTCCTGATATGCGACGCTTCCCTTCTAACATAAAGCGGCACATCTGTCTTCTGGCGAGTGGAATGGATCAGTTTAATCCCGCAAATCCCGCGCCTACGCCTTCACGTGCACACAACTTGACACTTGACAGCAGAATAAAATAGCGCGATATTTTTCTCGGGTTGGCTGTACTTTGTTTCTTTGTAAATCACCTTATTGCTAGATTGGTGGTGTTGTCGACACTAGTCTTCAAGTGCGTTTGGAAAGTATCCTTCAATCTGATTCCCGTTGTACCTATCTGAAATGGAAAGCATGGAGGACAGTGTTGTTAACGAGGAGCGATCGAGCCAAGCAGAGAGCCAAATGGATAGCTCCACGACCTCCAGTCCGGACGAGGATGCGAAGCCAAAAAGCGACACCGACACCAACAAGACGCTGGATATGGGGAGGAGGACGTCAAGCCCAAGATCAATATTAAAAAGGAGGAAAAAATGGAAGAGGACGCGGAAGAGGAAGCGGACAATTTGGAGAATAGCGAGAATGAGCCTGAAAAATCGGAGGATAATCGTCGGGAAAAGAAGCCTCGCATTGACATTAAGTAAGTAAACCGCTTTAGATTAATTCTGATATCCACGGGGAGCAAACGAATCCGGTTGTGATAGTTTTCCATTGCAGAGTGTCTGCTCAAGATGGGAATGAAGTTTGTTTCAAAGTGTCCCGTAACGTTCGAATGCAAAAACTCATGGTAAGACCATGGATCTAACATTTGGATTTTCCGTTCTTGTCAATAGTTCTGTCGTCCTTTCTTTTCGTCCTGTTCTGGGGCACAGTAAATGTCATGGTATTTTCATTTTAGAACACCTTTGCGGAAACCATCAAGGCCGATGTTACAAGTTTGCGGTTTATGTTAGGAAGTACGTCGCTCTAAAAACTGTTGAATGGCAGAAAGACATTGAATGGTCATTCAAGTTCTTACAATGCTGAGTTTATTCTACTTTTCCAGGTAAACGCGTACGGGGGGATGATACACCGACTACTCTAGAAATCGATGAAGACAATAACGAGATCCAGGTGCATTTCCCTCTCCATGGGGGTTGATGCTGAGATCTTCGATGGCTGGTTTTTCGCTTGTCGTTTTTCTGTCTCATGGGTGGGAATGTTTTAGTTACTTTTATATGTGCACAGTGGCTTCCAATCATTTTGTAGTAGACCTGGTACCAGGACATTTTGCTGGAGAACTCTGTATAATGCATTGTTTTCGAATTTTATCTGCTTGTGCTGAGTCTTGCATTTAACGGTCAAGCTAATTGTTGAATGATTTTTATTATATGGACTTTTGTACCACAGGGGCGGCAGTTGTTTTTCCTATTATCCATGATGCAAACCGAGATGCTTCCGAGTATCAGAATAAGCTGAATAACGAACAGTTACAAACTTGAAAATGATCATGTGAATTCATTTCGAATTTCATATTTTGTTGAGTTTACTTCCTGTTCCGATGTATGTGATTTTGGCTGATTTCTCAATCGAAGATTTTAAAATAATGCAAAAACTAATTAAATTAATACAAAACAGTACTTAATGATACCGTACTGTGCAGATAAGTGGTCACCTCACCGGTATACCGCCTGATTTTGTCTGATTCAGTAATTTCTACAATAAAAATTTACCTGTCAACATATAGCACCCACACGAATAACCGCAGAAACAAGCCGGACTTTCCATGAAGCCTTTTAAAATCGGTAATCCGGAAAATTTCATAGGTGAAAACCGTGAAATCATTTAATCAGATCTTTATTTAAAAATTATATAAAAAGGAATGGTCTTGTGCTACATGGAATTGCTGAAGCGTACAAAGGCACGTGCCGCCACTTCCTTACAAAACTCTTCCAACATCACAACTGCACTGGCAACGGTATTGTCTGGATTTGTGGACGCCTCCGCCCATTGTCCGTTCTTGATCTCCTGGCGCATTTTCAGCACATCATCACGAAAGTATGGATACTGTCGGGCATACGATTCCATTTTCTGCACTAGGTTAATCAGACACCGGTAGAGCGACGGGCAACTGGCTGAAAGCGGTACTGTGGGATCGAGAAGATACTCTCGCAGCACCGGATGCGGAAGCAGGCAGATTTTGGAAATTATTCCCGTCACACGCAAGCTGATGGCATATGGCTATACAAACACAAAAAGTTTGCATAAAACGATGCGGACAGCCTAAGTTTCCGTTGTAAGTTCAGCCCCTTATTAGAAGTTATAATATGTCCGTTATGAACTTTCACACCAACCTGGTCAAAAAGACAGGACAACCGATAAAAAAGATTTTTCAGTAATGGTCCTTCGTTAAAACCGTTTCCGTCAAAAAAAGACGATTCCTCTGCAAGCAGAATGTTGCAAGGTTTTAGCGGACCAAACAAAGGCCAGTGAAGGTCATGGCATCGTTGAGCAAGGGCTACCATCTGCAAAGAACGACTTTAGTTGCCCATAATCCAGAATTGTTACTGTAATAATCGTTAAAGTTTTAAACATATATTCGAATAATTCGATTATTAATAAAATAACAGTAAAGGTAACATTAATTCCGCTTACGGAGTAATGTGACTCCCTAACATAATTTTCGGCGTCCTTTTCTTCCTCCAGCACAGTGCATGATTTAGCCGCAGTGGGAAATAAATCTCGGAACATGGCTGCCCTGTCGGTAGCTTCCGTGAGTTCCATGTCTTTCTTGCTCTCGTGCATACGTTGGTCCTTTCTTATATACAGCCGTGTTCCCAAATATTTTAATAACAATTCATCAACCAAAATAAACACCGGTTTCTGCAGCATCGTGTCTAATAAATCATAGACGAATAACGCCAGTTCCTGATTTCCTGTCAACTGCATAAACTTGTCAAATAATTTGGGCTGCAGAAAAACACTGGCCCACACATTAAGCAGAGCCAGCGTATCCGTGGCTTTGTACATGCGCATAAAAATTCCCAAGGCCTTCTGATTCCTTTCCCCGGAAGACGACAACCAATCATCGGAAAACCCACAGGATCGCAGTAAATTCTGTTGAAGTGTCGCGCCGAGTTTTTCCTCTAACTGGCCTTCCATAACCGCGAAGATCTGGTCAAGGAATGTAATCCACAGCAAAAAAGGCCGCAACAGCCGCTCTGTGTCCTCCGATGCATTCTGCACGCAAATCGTGTCAATCACATCGGCAGAATATGGAACTGCAGCGTACAATTTCAATAGGTGTTTTGTCAAAGCGTGCAATGTCCCGGACGACGCAATCGCCCGACATACGACGGGTTCACGGATCCGCAGAACACACACCACGGCCAAACGGGCTTGTGCGCTCACATCCACATCGGGATTAACAGCCAGTCGTAATAAGGAATCCAACAGTGGAAAAACAAAGGATTCGGAATCGCTGTTGTTAATCTTCGCACTGGGGCTGTCATTGCTGTGCAATTCGGATAAAAACGGATTGTGCAAATCCACGATAGCCGAGAGATCTGCATCGGCCTTCTCAACAGGCTCCTGACTGAAGCCGCGCAAAAACAAATTAGCCAAACACGGATCACGCTGTAAAACATCCACAACACCCAGCAAGAACTGCAGCTCTTCCCGATCCCAAGGCGAACAGTGACTATTGCCACAACACTGCACCAGACGGGATAACGGTTTATAAATGAAGGATTTCGGCAGCAGCGTGATGATATTGGGGGATTTCAGCAGGTTGGTGAGGAAAAACAGCACGTAACTCTTGATGCCAGCTGGTTTGTCGGACTTCGCCAGAGCCACTAGCCAGTCGAAGATCTTATAGCGCAGTGCCACCTCGAAGCACGGACCAATGCCGCCTGGTGGTGCTGCAGCTGATACGCCGTTCGACGTGCTGGAAGAAGTTGCATTGTTTGCAGGATACAGTGGTAGCTCCTGCTGCAAGAGATTGAACACCCACTGCAGTTTCAGAGGGACGTCCGTTTCCTCTACGGAAACCAGCGATCCGTTGCGACTTTTCAACTCCTTCACCAGATTATGCCATTGAAGGAACAGCTCTTCTTCGGGTTTGAGATTTGGTGCAAGGTATTCGGATGCAGTCTGCGCAATGCCAGAGATAAATTTGAACATAGCAAATTCAGCATGGAATAGGCAGAAGAGGAGATAAAATTCTTATTGAGGGTAAATATATTTTCCAAGGGACCAATTTGACCGAAAACAAGATCAGTTTCTGAAGATGCCAGATATTCCCAGAATTTACGACTTAACAGGGGAGATCCACACGTAAGCCTGAAAGTGAAGACTAATTGTATGAAAAGACTCCCAGAAAAGGAGGCGAAAAACTAAGAAGACAAAAAACAATTTGATTTGTGCAAAGCAACAGCAGTACAACAAATTTGCCCCTTACCGTAGTGAGGGGCATATAAGACGCAATCTACTGTACCTAAATTGTGGTACGTATGCACATGGCACGGTGATGCTGCGTGTCTTGAGCAGGCCATTAACTCCCAAATTTTGACACTTCAATACTCACAAACTTACTTTAAAAGTTGCTTTGTATTGTGATATTTTGTATTAACAGTGTAGGTACATTAGAAACGCTTGTGTTTCGATTAGCATTAGCTATACAGTAATAGATGCAAACGTAATTCATCTCGCACCGATCACAATATTACTACTATTATTGTTTAAAATGATATGGATCATTTACGTTTACCAATTTAAACTGCCGGTTTCTTGAGAATTCGTATCGAAAATTGCCAAAAATATCAGAAAACTAGTTTATAAACTACAGCATCTAACCTTGTTAATACGAAAATTATTAACTCGCATCTGCGCCGAAACTTGTATACGCGTAGTACAGACTTGATTATAAGATAAAAAAGATCAATTAATGCAAGATGCAAAGCTACAAATTCAAAAAATTTCGAGGTTACAGCGGTATAGTGAACACATCACCGTAACAGAATTACCGGCACAACTATAAAGGACTTTTTGATCTGTGCTAAAGTTGCTGCAGATTCGTGTTTTGAGGTTTCAGACGTTACTTCTTGTTAAATAATTATTGCTATTTTCCGCGAAAAAACCAACTTAACTGTCACCATTGTTTAGAACTGTTAACATTTCTATGTTGCGAAATTTAATCACCCGTGACGAAGTGTTGTAGTACATTAACCGTAACAAAATTTTATCATAATTAATTATACTTGTATTGCAGTTTTTAAATACTTAGATCCTGCAAGTTTACAAAGACCTGCCCCGAGGTATTTTAGCAGAATAAAAGCAATAAACAATTTCAAAATATAACAACATGTAAAAAAACAGCGATTTGCATAAGAAATATCACCCGCTTTCACCTGTTGTACAATTCTATTATCTTATACTGGAGATGAATACTTCTATGGATATTAATTACATGTGCACAAGAAACAGTAGTGTACAGTAGTGTTGTTGACCTACCGTGAATGTATGAAGCTTCAAATTTATCAACAAAAATTTCTGTGCACAAGAGGTATATGACTTAATCTTGGATGTCTAACATTCGAGTTCTGGTATTATAAGATTGCCGATCAGGTTATTGTATTTCCGGTTTATTACGATTATGAAAACAACAACTGAAATGCCAAACTTTGGAAATAAGATGCGCATTGTTTGTTCACTCCTTGCTAATTTGACATATCTGCGCACTTGCAACTTATTGCGACTTTATATATTTAACACTTGACTGTGATAGGCATTTTTTACGTTGTAGCTCAAGGAATCCAGCTATGAAAACTTCGCAATTCAGCTGGCTGAACACTCAAGTTTTTGTTGATTCACTGGCTTTGCGTAATTGTTTCGGCACCGTAACGGCAGTTTGTGCAGATTTTTGTCGTTTTTGACTGCACCCAAGCGGCAGTGGAATATGGCCCGTGAAAGTGGATATGATTGTCCGGAATTCTTGGCAAATACTAACCCGCTAAGATTCCATAGGATATCATGCTCCTGGCCAGCCGGATACTACCAGTACATCCTGATCATCATTACTTCTTGTGCTTAGCATTGCTATGGCTTTTAACTGCCCCCGGTGTCATAATAACGATTCCTGTGCAGTTATCGTCGGCTGCACATGGTAAACCCTCTGCGTTAGTTAATTAAGTTCCGGCCGAAGTTTTGCAGTAATGCGCAGCTTTCTGTATGTGTATATAGCGCTATTAATCCACCTCTTTATTGTACAGATTTCATGTCCGATGCACCGCAAAACGTATGGCTTCGCGAAAAAGGAGATGATCTTTTGGAAAACGATATTCTCGACCTTGATCTTGATGCATTGGTACGTTCGCGTTCTGTGCAATGCAGCGTTCTGTGTGCTGTCGAACAGAACTAACTTGTTAATGAGCAAACAATACGCATTAAATAACTCTTGGCCTTTCAGCCTTTTCTACGTATGCCGTTTAATGCTAATTTTAGTAAATGCCTTAAACTGCATTGATTGGCATGTGCGCAAATTGGTGTAATTTAAAAACTTATGTACGATTTTCTATATACCGTGTCTAATATCAAAGCAGATCAACAGAGTGGCAATTAGTTTGATTTTGAACCGCACTGCACGCTTATTAACGATATTATACAGATACAGTGCAAATCGTAATTACTAGTACTGTAAAACGTCTGCTTTCCAACTTTCAAGTAGACACTTGTATGCATATTGCGAAGATTTTCCGGCATCTTCCGGAGCCGTCTAAAAATATGAAAACTTAATATTTTATACGGGATAAATAAAACGCAAATTACAAAAGTTAGCTAGAAACCAAGCCAGCTAACTGCAAAATATAAGGTCATGGAAAAGTTAAGATATGTATTGTCGCATTTGACAGTGTATGACCCTTTTTAGATAGCTCAACAAAACAAGTTCAGTAAACGAGCTGTTCGCAAGATTTTGCGGCAACGCCGCAATGCCGTAATATTTAGCTACTTCCGGTGGCCGGATGGAGTGATACCTTATGTATTGGATCCAACCTACAATAAATCAGAGAAAGCACATATCATCAACGCCATGAATGAATTCCACCTCAAGACTTGCATTCGGTTTACTCCTCGAAAGTATCAGATGGATTATTTGTCGATAATAAAATTTCGAGGGTAAAAAAACGATATTACGTCAAAATTAGTGAAAATATTATGCATATGTTTGCGGTTGTACTAAAATGCTACCCGGGTAGCTACGCAGACAGCTAGTGAGTCTGTAATACTGGATTAAATAAGTTTGGGAAACTGTCCACTATGAAAACTAAAAGAATTAATTGACAGGTGCGCTTCTAAAATTGGGCGGCAAGGTGGTCGGCAACCCTTATATCTGTCTACTGAGTGTTTGGATCCCAAAAGACCGGGAATCGTAATTCATGAGCTAATGCACGGGTAAGAATGCATCTCCTCTTCCTGTAACCCATATAAACTATGCTATTCCACATGTGATATAAAGTAAAATGAGTACAAATTTTAAGAAGCGGAATTTAACACAACCGCACAATTGATTAGTATTACCTGCTAAATAAAATTTTGAAAAAATAGATTTTACTGTAACAGATTACGTATACATATTTAACAAACAACATATTTGTACATATTTATAACGAGATATACATATACTGAACAAAATATGTTATGAAAATTATATTTTACTGTTGTTTTATTAACTTTCAGGCTTGGATTTCTTCACGAACAAACAAGACATGACCGAGATGATTTTATTGCCGTGATTTGGGATAATATTGCAGCGGATCACCAGGATAATTTCGCCAAAGTTGATGAGCGACTTGTCGGAGTATACGATGCGCCGTATGATTATGGTAAAAACGTTTTTCGTCACATAAATTCTAAATCACTACTAACTTTTTAATTTAATTTAACTTAAATAATCTGACACACACATTTAAGCATACTTATTGTAAATTCCTGTCTCTCGAAACACTCTAGCATCGCAGCACTAATACTGCGGTATTTAATTAGGGTCGGTTATGCATTACGGACCGAACTTTTTTGCGGTCAATTATTCCAATCCGACTATTATCCCAAAGAAACCGACCAAAGTATTAGGGCAGCGAACTCGCCTCAGCGACGGTGACTCAAAGAAAATTAATAATCTGTATAACTGCAAACCAGAGAATTTGGGCATCAATTCACCGACCAGTGTTCCGCTCTCACCGTCGGCGGATACTTGGGAGCCACTTGATATTTTTCCGATCTTTCAATCGGAATCGTGATTTTGAAATTTTCTACTTTGTCGCATCTTATATTTGGATATCACGCATTTATTTTGTTTTGTTATTTTGTGTGTTTATAACATTTTACACAAACAGTTACAAGTACTGTCCATAATAAAAGAAAGTTACAAGTACAGTCCATTATAAAAGAACACTGCATTATTACAATCACTAGTACTTACATACTTCTCCACAAAAATTTCGGCGAGATCTTCTGAATCATAGCGCTGTCCGGATAGGCTATCGATCAGCTGGAATCTTGGAAATAACTGAAATAAATTATACTTATGAGGTATGCTCATGAGAAAAACAATGACGCGTTAAAAAATCCCATTAAAACTTACATGCAGTCCTACACTGCAAGGAACAACAGGAAGCGGAAACTCTAGAACTCCTCCTGGAGCAACACTACCAACCGCACGACCTGAAATGCCACACCAGGCAAATGCACGATCATGTCGATCAGGCAATTTCAGGACAAACTCCATAGGCCGAGTACTACAAAATACGACCACAATAAAATAAAGTTCCGGCCTTACTGTCAGACGTTAAATAAATCGGAATTTACGGAAAATCTGATACAAATACGATTTCAAACTTTTCGATCACTCAAGGTGTAAAGAATAAATAATGATAACAATAAAAACATAAATCAGTTCTTTTGCCTGCCAACTCCAAAAATTTCTACAACTTACCCAAGGGAAAATACTGCTACCGTTACCGCAAAAGCTTTGTAAAAAGTTCAACTTTGGCAGGTCGATTGGCCAGAGTTACGAAAATGTCCCGAAAATCAGGCACCTGGAATGTGTACACGGTACATCTTAAGGTGGTGATGATCTCGACGGAATGAATTTCCGATCAAAAAAACTTGAGATCACCCTTTAAAAGCGTCAAACGTTGGAACTTTCGCAAGTCTACAAATATTCAGAAACACCACTTACAGCTCGATTCAAAGGAGATGTAGTAACCTTTCCCAGATCACCCATGCGTGTTCGCCATAAAATTTCGCCGGGAGACGTAGAGGATTTCAGGATCTGATAAAGAGGCAGTGATACCTCTTCCGATGTGTACTCAGGAGAAGTAATCATCCTGACAGTTTCAAGGACAATACTGGTGTTGGTCAAATTCTGAATGTTAAACTCGCCGAAATATCCTCCATTCGGCAAACTAACAAACTTATTTTTAAAATGCATTGGTCGGGCCACGCTGTACCGGAGACACTTCTTCAAATTCACTCGTTCTAGGGGATTCAGTGGATTGGAGTAGGTAATACTGGCAATCATCCTGTAAAATGCTTACACTACAATCGGATTCTGAACTCCTGATGCGCTAGCAAAACACTTGACAGACGACAATGAGTACTGAAGATAAGCCTGTAGAAACATCGAATTACAATAAACATGAACAAACCTTACACAATAAGATACAATTTTAAAAAATCGAGTATCACTCTGTCTTACATGAGCGATCCAAGATCACGAATTTCTTTATTAATGATGAAGTCAAATGTTTGTTGCGGTTCCATGAGAAACTGCTTTCCTTCATTAAGAACCATCCCCGATCGGCGATCGCCCAGCAGCGGCGGACTGCACTTGAAACTCAAGTTTTACTTCAATGAAAAGACAAATTCAAGCGAATGTATCATATCCAGAAATCACTTTCAAGTACCAGTAATGTCCCGGACGGCAGAATTAGTAACAACGCTGACACACGCGTAACAGTGCAGATATTGTCCCAAAAACATGGCTCTACAAGAAAAAGTTCGAAGTAAGCTGTATTTTAGTAAATACTAAAATTAAAAATGCTTCATGAACCATGTTTTCTGCCACATCCTGAAAATTAAATCACAAGGTCTTCTTTCTGAAAATTAGTTAGGCAAATGCGATACTTGACGCCTACATTCCTAAATTCCATAATTAATGAATTTTTCCAGTTATTCTATCCCAACTTTCTTGAAACTTATTCCACCTGGTTTGAAAATGTTCTTAAAGAAAATGTGGAAGACAGTCAGAAATGGCGAAATAAGTAGAAAAAATTTCGAAAATAATAACAAATGAAACAAATAATGAGACACATTTCGAAAATCATTTTCTACTGTGGGATAGATCCGATTACGAAAACAAAAATATGATGATAATATTACTTATGACAATATTACTTATATTACTTATGATGATGATATTACTTATGGTTCAGCTTTTACCCAAACAACTGCGGTAAAACCAATTCTTCAGTCAGCGAAAACTGGTGCTCTTTAAAGAGAACGTCCGAAGTTATGGTCTGCTATCCAAATGTTGCAGTTTCGCGATCCTTGATCCACTTGAACAAATCAACTTCCCCACCATCCTCATAAAGCATTGATCCGGACTGAATGAAGGAAGGTTTCAACAATCGTAGCACTAAACACTAAACAGTGAACAAATTTTATAAAAAATTCGAAGATATAAAATTCTAACATATAAGTTACAAGCATAATAAATTATTACAGTAAGTACTGTACTGTGTATAAATATTATAAATAGAATAAACTTAAAGTATTATTATACTATAACAACCAGACCCGTACACTATAGGCATAATATGCTATGAGTACTTACTGTATTATTATTAATTACAGCATAGTATGGTTGTTATAATAAATTTTTTTTTTATAATGAATTTTATAATAAATAGTGCAGACTGCAGGGCACTCAGACAGTCCATAAGTAAAGTAATGTCGGACATCTATCCACGGATAACCTACATAAGTATGGCCCAAGCTTTAACCTGTTTTTGCATCTATGCAGACTATGCCCTGGGAGAAGCGCCCAGGTTCATGCAATTAATGCCCAATATGTCTGGTTCATGCAATTAATTCCCAATATGTCTGCATCGGGGTAGCCGGGCTCCAAGTAAACAACTTGTATTGGACGTGTGGTACAACAGTTACTTACCTTTCATATTCAGGCACTGATTTAGCTCTTTTGCATCCGGTGGAATATTATGCGACAAAGCCATAGTGCTGCCGTCGACCTGCATCCGAACGACACAGCGAAAATACCAACGGTGTCCCACGCAGTTCGTGTAAAAAGTACTGTAAAGAACTGAGGGTCGAAAATAAAGAACTTGACTTTTTTTGGCTGAAACATGCATCGGAATAATTTTTAGGTATAGTTATGTGAGTTATGAGGTATAGTTATGTGGTTTTAGGTATAGTTTTTGAGTGAGGAAAACATAAACAAGCTTCAGAAAAATTTTTTTTGGAAAATGCAAAATATAATATATGAAGTGTCAAGGAGTCCGTAAAGCACAGGGAAGTCGTTAAATTGACCAATTTGCTTCTAACGGCATCACGATGGGGGTTCCTCAGTTCCGCTGCAATCAGGCCCGCGTTGGAAAGGGGCGGCCGCCCCCCGTTTTCGACTTGTGGCCGCCTGGGGGGGGGGCGGATTTTAAAGTATTGCGCCCCCTCCGCCCCTACATTCGGCCTTTTTCCGGCGAAAAGCCGTTTGTACGATTTTCGCCCCCCCCCCCCCTACCAAAAATCCCCAGCGCGGGCCTGGCTTCAATGTTAGTTTTCTTTGTTTCTAATTTTTTGTTGAATTTTAGTTTTTCTCATGTTTTCTTATGTTTCTTATTTTTTTCCTTATGTTTAATATTTTTTTCTTATGTTTATTTTTTCTAATTTTTTGAAGTTTTTCTTATGCTTCCGCTGTGTTTAGCTTTTTTCTCGATATCTCTTAAAGTTTACTTTCCTCACTCGGTAATATGTTTTTTTGGATTCACAGTCAGGAGCAAAAGTTACTTATGAAACACTAAAAAGTAGGTCAAAAGGCCGCGCCCGGTATAAAGACAGAGGTCTCATCCACGTTAATTTTTCCGCCACGTAAAAGCCACAAACCACACAAAACCACTTAAAAAAACATTTCGAGCAAGAATTCTGAATTCTTGTATATTGGATCAAAGTCATCAGACGAAAAATAATCATGTCTTGCATAAGTAGTTGCATTGAGTCGTAAAAATGTCCAGAAGTACTTAACAAAACTGAGTCGACTCGTAATACGGTTTCAAGTACTACGTAAAGCCTTTATTCAAAAATTGTGCCCTTTATAATTCATCAAGAACCATTGTGCAAGGATTGGATAAATTGTGTACGTACTACGTACCATAAAGGGCGAAAAAAGCAACAAAAACCTCCACCGTTAGGAGGTGGGGGGCGACAGAGCTTTAAGACCTTCGCCGTTTGTTGTGGCATGTGTCGTATGACTTGCATATTCTGCGCTTTCCATTTTCTCAAGTCCCGTTGCAGATTCTGCTATTTTTTTTCGGGTTTCGTGGAATTAGTGTGCCCCGTATCGTTGCTGGTTGAGCTGTACATTTTGCCTGTGGTGTTCAATTTTATCCAAAATGGATCCCGATTTGGTATGTAGACAAGATCGGAACGAAAAACAGACAGTTTATTCTGATTTCTTGAAATAGGCAGCTCCGGGTTATACCCTGGAAATTCCAGAGAATGCTGAATCATTTCTAAACGCGATGGCCAATGATACTGTCGAACAGCCTACTTCGGCCTTCGCGAATGCTGTGTTCCAAGGAATGATCAAGGAAACGGGTCAAACAGTACCGCATCGTTTGTTGGGTGTTGGTCCGCAGTGCCACTTTGGGGAAAGTAGAAGCATGGCTTTTTAAACTGGTACCAAACTCCCGATCTGTCCACACTGATTTTCTTAAGTATTGCACTCATCGTACAGAGGCACAGCCCTATCACGAACGGTATAAGCATCAACCGGGCTGCACCGGCGCAAATGTATGCGATACTGATTCGGCCTTGCCTTTGAAAATTAAACTGCTATAAGGCTGTGCCTAAAACAGGCGGCTTCTAATCTATGCGTCACACCCAATATGCAGCGCTTGCCGTTCTTCATCCCAATTCAATAAATTGCTTTAAATTTGATATTAATTTTAGAATTAATAGCCACCGAAGGTTCATTTCGTTTATATCGGTGTTGATGGCAGGTTTTGATTAGTATTATTATCACAGCAGCTGTGTCCCTAATCCCTATCATTTATAAGTTTTCGTGTTACAAATGAAGCAGATGCGACAATAATTTTCGACAATCATAACGAAAGTTTTCACAGAATCGCTCAAAATCCACTGAATTCAGTAGGCATATTTACTACTGTTCAAGGTAATAGCAGCGTGCGATTTCGGTTTAAACTTTCAACCAACCAGCCAACCGATTCAAATTTTAGAGTATTTCTTAAGTTAACGGAACTGTCTGTGTTCCTTTAAGATACAGAATATTCGTAACTTTGCACGCAGCAACAAACTAAAAGCTGAAAACGCAATTTTTAAGTTACAGAGCACCTTAAGTGCGCACCGAGAGGGCCTACTGTGAACTTATTACTACACCACTACAGCACTATAAACATCGTTAAATAACTAAATGCTATTGTAATTATTGTAGTTGCCTGCGAAGGTTGAAAATAAACAATAACAATGGTGTCTGATTAATCAGGCAGTGCAAGATGAACAGGGATCGAAATACGGCGAAGATGCAGATTTTACGGTACACTCCAATGATTCACTGGGGCCGCTTAACTGGTCAAAATCATAAAGGGTGGCATTTTACAGGCTGTTTCTGAACTACTATCTGATGTACCTACGCTGGTAGAAGTAAGTTCGCTAGGAATATTCTGATAATTGTGTGAAAAAGATGACCAGATTACGCTTTCAGAAAAGATTGATTTAGCGATAATGCTTTCTCCCAGCGGAAAGCACCAAATGGCCAAATTCCTGCCCATATATTTACATGAGAGCAAGGGCGGTTTTATAAAAGTGAGCGGAAACAGTGAAGACATGCTGTTTGCAAATCACCGCCGTAAAGATATCGGAGACCAATTACGGGCACGTTTCCGCTATAAGCGCATGGTACGCGCCCTGAACCGATATGACTGGAAGTGCCTGTGGGGATCCTCTGGTGTCGGATTGCAGTGGGCAATCTGGTATATGTAATTGGCCGAGAAGAAGTGCCCGATATACCGATTGTATTCAACAGATGATGACGAAATCGCTGCGGTTGAAAAAAAAACCGTTAAAACCAACGAAGCATATGATTATCCCCTGAAATTCTGGGATCTGAACGTTACAACAAAGGCATTTTCCATTGGGCTCGGCTACGTGCACCAAAGCCTCATGGACCAGCTTCCGACTGTTGTAGGCATGGGAAAGGCACGCCTGGAAAGACTGAACAAGGATGAAGAATATTGGGATCAACTCGCTCAGAATGACACGCTGGATATGTCCGATGCAGAAGACAACTTTTCGTACGACCTTGACGATGGAGCCTCCGATTTTATGGATGATGACAGAAGCTCAAATTACACACCAGATCCTGATGAGAACACAAGCTCTTCTTATGATTCCATGCAGACTAATGAGTACGCTGCAGATGACTGACAACTGGTCACGAGCGGAAGGGAGTGGTGTGTATTGGTGTGTATTGTAATTTGTTAGCACCTGGTGAAAATTGAAGTTCTTCTGCTAGGATTTGGATTTGGTTTAATTTATCTTCCAGCCATCGTTAGCGTTACGCAGTGGTTTGAGAAAAAGCGAGCCTTTGCAACTGGCATTGCTGTGTGCGGATCTGGAGCCGGAACGTTTATTTTTTCTCCACTATCGAAGAAACTGGTTTATATGTATGACTGGGATGGAGCATTGCTGATCATTGCTGGCATAATCTTCAACTGCTGTGTTTTTGGTGCATTGTTTCGCCCAGTGGAATACAACACTGTGGCCACCGTGACAACCGTCCAAGATGAGGAAACCAACTCTAATTGTAAGACTGAAGTGGTTGAATTATCGGTGCGTAAGCATAAAATCAGCACTAGCAGTCTAAAAGACAAGTATGGAACCGGTGCTGCGGAATTGCGGCCGTTGAGTGCGTCGAGTATTGCCAAGTCGGATACTCATATCCATGTGCCCGATGGCCCACGACCTGGAAGAATCTCGCCTGGTACAGAGCCGCATTCGTTTCTGAGACAAACCAGCTCATCTGAACGAATGTCCCATGGGCGCTCGCGATCCCGGCTGCGCTTGGAAACCATCGGAGTTGAAGGTATGATGTTATAATTTGGTCTATACGACATCTTTGCAGCCGTCTGGCGATAATTTCTGCCGCTTTGACAATGTGATAATAATGTTTTTTTTTATACGGCATCGTTATCGACCATATATGGGCCATTCTGTTGGCCCCGATTGTTCGCTAACTGTTAGTGCATGAATTTGATGTTGGTGCAAAGCATCGCTTGATCGGTTTTGTATTTGGTTCATTATTTCTAGCCGAGTGCGTTTAATGAACTGGCATTTGGGTTTTAAACGACAAAGCTTCGCTGGCAGATAAAATTTTCTCGATTATATCGTTTTGAAGGCAGTAGTGCAGTTGCTGATTAAATGAATTTCTTTCAGGAGAAGTGACCGACGTGAAAGAAGTGGAAGTTCCTCCATTGGCTCATCGCGATGCTCTGTACACTGGTTCTCTGGCAAACATTGCCGAATACCGTGATAATCCTGGAAAATTCCGGGAGAGTATGTTGGATATATCCAAAGCAGTGGTAATTAACTCATCGGGCGATCTAACCTCCATCGACGAGACACCTCAGCCAGAAAATTTGTCGGCATGGGGCAAAGTGAAAATTGCTGTGAAGGAAACGCTGGACCCGGCGTTGTTGACGGATTGGGTGTTTCTGTATTTTACGGTCAGTAACTTTTTGACCAGTTTAGCCTTTCAAGTCCCGTACATCTTCCTTCCGGATCGAGCGGAAAAAAACCTTGAAATCGAAGGGGAAGATGCTGCATTCTTACTGTCCATTATTGGTCTGGCTAATATCGCCGGAAGGCTGATATTTGGCTTCCTGTCGGATCGACCGCAGATTAACCGGTTGTGGTTGTACAATGGAGCAGTGACTACTGCTGGAGTGGCCATGTGTGTCAGCGTTTGGTGCCTTGATTATGCGACGCTCGCAACATTCGCCACAGTTTTTGGTTTATTTATTGGTATGAACATCACTTTCCTTTAAGAATCCTTTCTCGACTGAGTTGTTGTCTCTTTTAGGTGCCTTTGTTACGCTTACGTCCGTTATTTTGGTGGATCGTTTACTCTGGAGAAGTTAACCAATGCATTCGGGATTTTGCTGTTCTTCCAGGGTACAGCTTCCTTCATCGGGCCTCCACTAGCAGGTTTGTTAAGTTTGATCTGATTATTATCTGTCGACTAGATAATCTTTATGTCGCCAGCTGCTTCTTAGTTATTACTTGTGCGAAGATGAACTTTGCGATGTGTACAAGTTTACTTACTATCGCTACAGCACATTTTTTGTAAGGATGTAGCTGCGCTGGTAGAATTTGCAATTGTACAACCGCAGTTTTATTCTATTTCGCAGAATTAGTGACTAGCGTGGTATCCCTTTAATTTTGATAGTTTGGTAGTAAATTTGAACCATTTTGGACATGTCTCAAGCAATTATTAAAGCTATGCCTTTGCTGGTTTCGCATGTCGCGCTTTTTGCTGACGATGACATGAGATCTATTTGCAGGTATATTGAGAGAAAGTTCAGGCGACTATGATTCAGCCTTTATTGTGTTTGGGATTATGATGGCAGTGAGCGGGGCAATGTTGTTCTTTATCCCTTTCGTGCGAAAGGGAGAAAAATCGTTCAGATCCCGCCGGCACAAGGACCGAGTGGGTGTGCTCGTGGCGGCTGACGATAAAGTTAATGGCCGCGCTAATGCTCAGAATGGGACTCTCGCCGAACGCAGCGTCCTGCTGGAAACGGATAGACGGAGGAAACACCGCGTGAGATTGTCGTGCCAGCCATTGTAATCAACGACAGCAGCACTTTGCCGGCAACTGCCGCGGAAATTACTGCCTAGAAAGTCCTGGAAATTGCCTTAGCGGTTTCGTTGTTGTTGTTGTAACCCTAATTATTTCACTCCTTCTGAACTGATGCGTCAAGAATCAACGCTACGATGCTGTGATTTTGTTAACCTTGGTGTTTGTGGTATTCCGTGTAGCATAGTACTAGTTTGGTTGATTTGGGGAATCCAACGTTTACGGGTACGATAATGCTCTGTTTGCAAATCAAAATGATGGTTTTGTTATTGCTGTTATTGATATAGTTTCGAGAAAGTTGCATTTTGCCTTTTTTGATGTGATCCTTTGCGTAGTTTTTCATATTAGTACGACATCGTGCATCACGAAAAGAGGTTTTCAATGAAGTGTTGACTTCTGGACATTGTTGCAGGGTCGCAGTTTTGAAATTTTTATGCTACTGCAGAAGCCAGCCAGTAGTCTTTCCCCTCCGAAAAAGTTCCTACTCGGGGAGTGTTACTTCAGCTTTGCAAGGGTTATCTTGATTTGCATAATCGCTTGCAAATCGTAGTTAAATGTAAACATCCCCGGCACAATGTAACGATTTTGCGCAATAGCGACAAGCTAAAGAAATCATCAAAGCCTGCGCACAGTGCAGTGAGTGCACACGTACCAACCGCTGATCGGATGCCGGTCTGTATGGGATTCATTAATGCTTGATCGATCCAAGCTTGGCTTTAGGTATCATTAGTATACTATCGCGTTGGCCGAGAGTTTTTCTCAACAAAGCACGTACACTATGAGCGAGCGAAATGATTGCTCGCACTGTGCGTATATCTGTGTGCGATCCATCCAGAAATTCCCATCTGCCTATAATTTGGCCCTGGCAACCAATAAACACAGCTCGAACACGGACAGAGACGCTCGTTATTACCGTACGTTAACCAAACATTGTGATTTTCTCATCACGTTGGCGCTCGCGCGCTGACTCCGGGAGAGTTGATTTCTTCCTTTCGTCGGCGTTACGTGTACAGAGCAGCCGCGGCCCGCACAAATTGAGTGTGCATAGTAATCAACACCGCATTTGCTGCTTGTCAAAGCCTATCAAAAGGTTTCGGCGGAACCGTATAGACTGCAGTCTGTCAGCAGTCAGAACGTGATGCTACACACATCTCGTCCCGCAATTTTTGGTCCGTGTATCTACTCGTATCTGGCAACAAGCAAGCGGCCAACGTGTGTCGCGCTTCCTCCCTGCGTTCCCATCCTCTCCGTCCCGGCTTCCCGCGGCACCCGTATAACAAGGCCACAGTGCTGTAATGTGTATACCGCAACCCTTCCTTCGCCAATTGGTTCCATTAGCATGCAGCGCGCAGAACGGATCTACGCTGGAGACACGTTAAATTGTCTGGCGTGCAACATGCAGCACGGCGCAGCATGATTATACCAAGTAGATATCACGTCGCTAGACATGGGAATACCGCGGCACATTTCACTTTGTATACCCCGGCCGGCAAACTTAATAGCCCTTGTTTAGTCATACTGTCACCGGAAGTAACCAACACGACGGCTCTGCTTTTTTCTCGTGCCTTTTCCATCATCCTAACCGATATCGCATCGTAAAAGCGCTTCGAGAATATTGGAAACAGTTCCGTCGAAGGTGTACGCACTCCCTTTTGGCCTTCGACCTTTATGGTCTGAGTGCGCGATTAAGCCAATTCACCCGCATTAAAATTCCCATTATCTTTACACCTCTCATACACAGATATCTCCTCATCGGGATCTGCTGTATAAGCGGATTGTCGACACCGTATTAAGCCTGTGGGAACCGCTATATATGGCGAGCTATGCGGGAAAAACGGTGAAACTGACGTTCAATATTAAAAGAGAGTCGGATGGAATACCAATATATTTTAAGGTTCGTTTAAACGGCTATAAAGTTCACATGACAATTTCCCTTCTGAACGCATTATTTCTTTCGTTTTCAAAACCGTAAGTTTTTGGTAGGCGGATGGTCAAAGATTCGAGCAACAGCTGACCATTAAACTCCAGAGGGATGAAACGGTAAGTGTTGCCTTTGTTTAATGATAAGACTTCTCTGATCCCTGGCTTGTTCGGATTATCTATGGTATTTTTTCGTTTCTACAGTATAGAATTGATCTCACTGTGCGACCGGCAATCCCTATCGAGTAAGTAGCACCAAAAGCATAGCAGATTTTTGCTCACACGTAATGGGCCGGGTTACTGTATGTAATAGTTGTTACTGTACTTGCTTGAAAGAATTAGTTATAACTGATGCGATTAACTAATTTATAGCATTTGGAGAATCTGATTATCACTTTCTTTAAGTTTACGACAAATTATCTTTTCGCATTCGTTGTTTTGTCTTCAAATCCGCAATCTAATACGACCCTGTAGTATAGGTAAATCTTCCTGTTGGAGTATTTTTTGTCATTTTTAAACTAATTTAGTACACAGTGTTTATTCCTTATCCGTCGTCGATCATCATGGTCCTGTTCCATGTAAATCGTATTAGACAGACTGCACCACGAATCGGTAAAGATTCATGAGCAGATCGTTGAATTATCCAGCCGAACGCTTGTAATTCCCAGGTCACAAAGATCATGAAGTCATATTAATCACTTAGAACAAAACCTAATCGCACATTTATCCGCATATCGATGAATCGTCAGTTCCTTTTCATGCTTTTGGTGCGAATGATTTGTTACTGATGAATGTGCTGAACTTTTCTGAAAGCCAGGTAGTACGAGTATAATAAACAGCGTATATCAAGGACCAGTGTATAGATCGGCAAGGAATTTGCTTGCAGAGGCATACCTTTAAAATTAATCGAAATTGTAAGTGCCATAAACTTCTGCATAATTCATGTACTCTATAGAATGTAGACAGTATGTTATGTTTCCAACATTCTGCTCTGTACCACCATTTTTTGTTCGCAGTGCAAAACCCACAAGCTACAAAGGTTCTTTCGTCGGGGCATGCATGAAATGTCGTGTTATGAATAAAAATATATTATGAACAAGTTGTCAGGAATATATTTGTTATAATTAGGACAGGTGGAATATTTATTTAAGCAGAACGGCTCCAGCAGAATACACAATCCCAGAGTTCTTGCCCGAGATGGATCAGATAAATTATATGCGGCGTTGGCTTTAAACACGCACCTTGTATGGATTTCCATCCAGATGCGTGTTGTTCAAGTGCATAATACCCTCATACTACAGTTTGAATTGATGTATTGAAGTGCATGAATATCCGCAATATCGATTAGCCGCCGTATATATACAGCCGCTGAATTACAAGGGACTTTTTGTGTTAGTATCTCTGAGATTTCTGATGCTCTATCATCAGCTTTACGATCCACTCGCTTCTTGGGTGCTAAAATTTTTCCGTAATCTTTTCCGGCTGCATGGATTTACTTTTAACTGCACTGGGCTTATACGTCTTTTTGCTAGTTACCCAGCATGACAGCGGAAACAGCTGGTCGTTGCTCTTCCGCGTAGATTTTCCCAGGCCAATCAATAAATGTTGTAACCAGCGCATCAGCGTTGATTGTTAAGGCTCGGCCGGGACTACAATTCCAGACGATGCCTCAGAGTGCGCCGTTTTTATACGTGCACCGCCAATACAACGTTTGCACGCAACGCAACAAAAAAAGGTTGCCTCTCAATTCAAGCACACATGACTTTTGGCAGAATTTCTTTTGACTTCTAAAAAGTTTTTGCATCATGGTCTGCATACGTTTATGAAAAGTTAGTAATGTTAAGGTGTGGGCAATATATTAACTAATTACCATATTACTCGTACTTGAATGCCACCTGGCCCTAATTTCGATATAGTGCGCCATTTGATGATTAAACGCCATACGTACAGCCGGTACTGGCGGTACAACCGCTGCAGAGAAGCGTTGACCTTTCAGATAATTCAGGATTATTTTCCAGAATACTCCGGCTGCAAGATGAGAATATCGGCTTGGAAAAGATATCCAAGTTTATTGATCCTAATGCGCTCAGCTACACGGGTGTCTGGAAGACCGCTCATTTTCCTTTAACGGAAAAGAATAAACGGGAACTGATTAAGATTACGGTGGTTATGAAAGCCATGCCCATGTTTTCTGCCATGATGCAATGTAAATTTTACGAGAATACCGATGCGCAACACGCTCGCTGGGGAGATAAGCTGACCAATCTGGAATACGATGGAGTGGTTACATCCGATGGAACGATCGTCGTACAAAAGCAGCAAATAATATGAAATAACATTTTTTATTGTTTCATTTGTGAATTGAACTTGCCGTTTCTTGTCACAGTGTCACTGTCACACTGAACGCTGATTCCGCTACTCGAAAGTATTATATGTGTTCAAAATTTTAGAATTTTAGAAGTATTTACTGTGAGTCTAAATGAGATGCAGCGAAACAATTAAATGAATTTTATTTACATTTTTACAGGGTTGTATACGGATATTTCATTTCCTGAACCGCATAATTTATCTGTGTATAAGTGCATGCTTATCCAGTTGTCATCTGCTGGCAACGATTTGACGGAACACGTTAAATATTATAAAGTAAGTTTGCAAGTAAGTAACGAACGTTCCTCAAAACAGTGATACAGCTAACCAGAAGTACTTCAAAAGTATTGATACTTGCATAATCATCCAGAACATGGCTGTGTCATATCACACGGTATACTTCTATGGTTAAAGCGCTACTAGCGTAGGGTATGGGATTGTGATGAGACAAGCGCTGTAATATGGGCAATATCCATTTCAGCCGCCGTACTCACAAATGCTTATTAATTGCGCTTCATGCTGTGTACATTTGTTTCGCTTAATTGTGGAGGTTCCGCTGCCAGTGGTTGATAGCCGTCGACGAAATTATCGAGTACTGGGGTGTCAAGAAGTGGAAATTCCAAATCTGCCGGTATTTGGTCTCACAGCCGATGATCGCAATTTAGGGTTTTATCGTCTACCGGGTTCCGAATGTCCCCGTCTGCCGCGATCCGCTGCCGGATATATGAATTCAGTTTACTATTCCAGCTATGAACTATTTTACTAGGTACTTGCATCGTGAAACGACGTACGCCACGCAGGCGATACCAACCAGCCCATTCATCCCGAATTCTACATCCCTCGGCCAAATGGGCAATGAGTATTATCCCATGGCAAACCCGAATAATTGCCCTGTCAACGGCCTGGACAATATGAACAGTCTACCGTCCCTGGGTAATCTCATGATTATCAATCTGAGCTTCGATGCTGCCAGCGACACGCACAGCGCCAGGGCATCTCTGTCGGGGAATTTTAAGATTTCCGTCGTACTTCCAAACCATCACTACCCCGCGGGTAATCTGACAGCGGATGTGGGCTTCAACATTAGCCACAATTTCCACCTTCAACCCAGGCTTCCGTTGGCCGCGGCGAGTGCTGCCGGTAGCAATGGGAACTACGCCCGCAGGTGACCTATAGTTATATATGCCGTGAATTCTTCGCTACAGATGCTGTCAATACTAGTGTCCGCACCGTTAGTTACCGTTACCCGGTTAGCGCTTCACCCAGCGAAACGCTCCATGATCATTCCACTACGACACTTATGGTTAGCGATTCGTTAATGGAGATTTTTTTGGACTTGGCGGCCGAATTTGGACTTCACTCTTGACACATTCACCGCTGCCGCCTCCATACAGCGCGCCGAATACCGTTGCTCCCGTACGTAGTAAATCCAGTAGATACAAGCGCTACAACAACACCCTTCTGACACTGAACACTGCATTGGTTTGGAGGCGAATGGATGCTTGCTGACCTCTGGAGTGTCCGATTTCGGTGCCGGCATGGATGGGAATGTCGCGAATGAAATAACTGCATCGCGTCGAGCTTTATACGGAAACAACGACTCCGACTGCAATGTTAACACACGGCAAAATAACCGCTGGCCGGTTTACGCTAGCAGTAGGCGTACTGAGGGAAATTTACAAGTTTCTGCTGTAAATTAATGATGACGGCAATGGCAATTTCGTGTACAGTACACTGCATGGTAGCTAAAACCACAATTCTCGGCCACGGCCTGGGAATCCTTCCTTACTCGGCCACCGTATGTACATGTGGCGTTGGTATGGAGAAATCCCGCGAACTTATATTATGCCATTCCCCGTGGTATAAACCGCTGATACTCTTTGATACCAGCTGGAAACTCTTTGTGACTTTTCCTGATAATCGAGTTCGGCGCCAACTGAAGTTCGTGGAATTCATATCAGCTTACGGAAAGGGATGTCTTCCTTGATGCACAGGGCGTTAATGATGTAAGTTATAAGTACTTAAGTTTTTCATGATGGGAATTTATTCGTACACAATTTTTACTTTCGTACACAATTTTTCGTACACAACATCCTTTTGATTCCTACCGGTGCTAGAAATATTTTTTCAAATTTACCAGAACTGTAACCACTGACCCACAGTGACTTTGCTAGGTTTGCACTTTACACGGTACACACTGAATAGTGAATACCGGTATTATTATTTGGTGACTGATCGTTTTGGGGAAATCGTAAGTTTGAGCTAGCGTATGCACTGTGATCAAATACGTCATTGCATCTTGCGCACATGTATTTTTAATAAAGACACAATGGAACAACTTAATTTTTATCTTTGTTAATATTTTAGTAAATTTATTGGTTCAGTTAGCATTTTAAGCGATTTTTACCCAGGGACTGTGAAAGGAGCGAAAAACGGACCGAGATTAAGTTGTTTGTTGGTTTTTCTTGTATTCTGTATATTTTGGTTCAACCATATCTTAAGAGAAATGAAAATGACTGTACGTTAACGTAACTAACCATAAATCTTCTGCAGTTTCACAATTAAGTTACTACTAGGTGATACTTTCAGCACGTCTGGTCGTAGTTGCAAACAATTTTTCCTGTGCACTACCTCTAAGCCTGTTCACTCCAGTGCTTTCTTTAACATTATAGAAACAGTGAGCGAGAGATCAGCTAGAAAAAAACGAAAATGTGAAGAACTTGCACGAGCCGTCTGGCAAATAAATGGACAGCGAGAAACTAACCGCGTTCCCTGATCGGCGAAGGGCCGCCTATCCTGTTGAAATAAAAAACCAGAAAAGCTAAATAAGGATAACTCGGCAAAGCACGTTCTTGGTCCAGAAAACATATTCACGACCAGATGGTGTTGTATATCCGGAAGCACAGATGAGCCAGCACGGGGAATCACTGCAAAAGCAATCTGAGCGTTCGTGAGCTGTCATACTGCAGATTGCAAGTGCACACTGTTACCTTTGGAGCCTTCACAAGCGCATCCGTGGCCACATTCCAGTCATCCCGATGATCGGCCCGGATGTGCCAGACCATGTAGTCGCGCTCGCACCCGTCCCCCAGGAACACTTTGTCGCACGGCTACACAAATACACGTTAAGTAATCTGTAAATGTACGCACAAGACAAACGCCATAATAAGTACAGATTTTCAAGTCTGCCAGGCATACCTTCATAGGACAGGTATAACGCTGCAGGTACATTTTCGCGGTTCCTTTGCTGCCGTCGCTCGGTTGCAAGCCGTTGGTGATGGCCTCACCGATAACGGCGGCGGGAATTCGGTCTTCCAGCGCTTTCAGATTCTGCAAGCATACGAGTACCCCGTGAACGCATCCTCCCAGCTACCAAAAACGGAAAAAGTAGCAAACCTTCATGGCCTGCTCAGAGTACTTGATGCAGTCTCTTCCTTTCCGCAATAGCTCTTCGTGCATCGCTTTCACGTGAGATTCCAGTTGTTTGTCGACAGCATTTATCAACCTTCCGCAACCCTACAGATACAGCCCAGGTCATGTGTTTGTATAATGTAGTGGACGTCCTTCCAGATAATGAATTTTTCTGGAAGTTCGTATTATAAACGTTACCGGGCATTCGTGGAAGAAGCTGGTGAACATGTCGTATTGTTTTCCGTGCTCTGTCAACATGTGCATGTGTAGGTCAAAAGCAGCGTACGGGCCGCCATCGCCGATAGGAGTGCGGCTGCAGGGATCGATTTTGCAGGTGTACTTTATTACACCGTTCTACACGAAATAAACAAATTGACTAGTGCACGGGCACCACTTCAACACGCTTTGCTACTCAGTACTTATACACACCTGGTCGATTTCCGCGGGAATGACGATCTTGTCGGGAATGATCTGACTGGGAAACAGCCGGTCCTTGTCGTGCGTCCACGCCGGAAAGTAGAGGCGACGGGCGTGCTGTCGGAAGTAGAGACGCTTCTGTAAAGTAAGTGTCAAGCAGGTATGCATGGCAAAATAATCGGTAACCAGCGCCAGGCTACCAGCTTGTCTGCTTGTATGGTTTAGTTATTCGGTCGGTAACTATCATAGAGCGCGACGCTCAGGTGCTCATCGGGACAGTAGGCAATCACTAGGCATTCCCTTTAATAGGCAATCATTCACAGTCTATCCGCGCTGTGCGCCTCACCTGTGCTCGCTGCGGATCCAGGCCGGGTTCTGGTTCAGCCGACAGCAAGGCCAAACGCATAACCTCGTAGTACTTCCTGTGGCAGCTGCGCAGATGCGCCAACATGTGCATGTCGCCGGGATCGAAGCGCACCTCGGGGCAGCTGTGGCCGTCGTTGCACTTGGCCGGACAGGGGCACACAAAGTTGAGGATAACGTTCTTGAGCGCGTGCTTGGCCTCCAGATGCGCCTCAAGGAAGTGCGGGGCCGTCGCGAAGAAGCCCTTGCAAGCCTCCGTCTGCTTGGCGAACGGGCACGCCAGTGGATCTAGGATGAACTGCATAAACAAGAGCATTGATATAACTATTATATGAGAAAATTAGACTAACTGGTAAGTCAAAATTATATAATAAAGACAGAAAGCCTCAGAAAGCCTCTATAAAGACAGAAATATAAAGACTATAATAAAGATAATAAATAAATTTATATCTGAAATTCAATGAAACAAACTGAAGTATGCAATTCGCCAGACAGCCTGCACTTAGCACTTAATCAAATCACATTGCGCTTCCTAGCATAATTACTCACATCAACGGTACCCATCACCAGCACGTGACTGATGCCAGTTTTTTCCGATTTGCGAATGACGATCTTGTCGGGGATGCTGATCGCCAGCCTTCTGGTCCTGTCGTCGGGTCTATTCAACGCTGCACAGAATTTCTAAAATGAAAGTTTCTTGTTTCAAGAACAACATTATTAGATAATAGCCATCAAAATATCATGAAGTGCAAACTCGAACTCACTACTTTACTGCTAAAATTCAAATAATGAAAGAACAACCAAAATCTCCATCCCCCCTTGGGTTAAAGGAGAATGTACTGGAACGTCACGAGACTTAAGACCGATGTAGTGTTTCCCTTAATACAACCAAACCAAAACGTTCCTAGTATACTATTGTTTGTAAAATTAGAAAACGACATTTCCTAAAACGTAACCTGCGAATCACAGTTTCAAGAAACCAAAACAAATAATTCACACATTTAAAAGTGTACAGCAACGCGCGCATTACAGCTCTTCACCTGCACCGGAGCTGGCAAGACGTTATCAGTGTGCTCCTTATGATTCCAGTGTACTTTCGATTGTGGCTTCTCTTTCTTAACACTCTGCAAAGGATGTTGGCTCAAACGGCTGGTAGCTGCCTCTGGCGATGATTTGGCTGATGACGAACCATAATCGCTGTCAGATATACGGTCGATGGAAGGCGAAATGCAGGTCGGCAAGTTTTCTGCGATTTCCTTATCATAATCATTCTCGGAAGATGGTAACACAGTCGTCTCGGACATGGCGTCCGTAAATGTTTGTGTTGACTCTGAAGAAAACAAAACAATGATACTACAACTTCCGTACGAGCAGAATTGCAGACTTAAATGATAAGTTCTGAAAAGTTACGTAAGTCACGATAAGTGATAAGTACTGTAGTAACGTGAATCTTAATTTTGAAATATTCAGCTTTGTAGGTGAGCAAATAAGCGTGCTGCAGTGTAGTGTGCACTGCACACTACACTGCAGCACGAACGTACGCCACTCACGAACATCAGCCTGGCCCACGCGGCCACGCCACATTCCATAGTTAGCGCCGCCGCGCCACCCTAGGGCGGTGGAACCATACGATTAAGCGACGACCGGAAGCCATGTGAGCCTGTAACCACTCCATCCTATTCCAGATTGGTCAACTTATCTCCCCAGCGTGCGTGTTGCGTATCGGTATTCTCGTAAAATTTACATTGCATCATGGCAGAGAACATGGGCATGGCTTTCATAACCACCGTAATCTTAATCAGTTCCGGTTTATTCTTTTCCGTTAAAAGAAAATGCGCAGTCTGGATTTCCAAGCCGATATTCTCATCTCGCAGCCGGCAGTGACGGTAATTGTATATCAGTATATGTATGGCTTTTAATCACCGAATGGCGCACTCTGCCGAAATTAAGGTGAAAATTTTTTTAGGCTATGTTATGAAAATTTTTTAGAAAGCAAAAGAAATTCTGTCAAAAATCATGTATACTTAAATAGAGAGGCAACCTTTTTTGCTGCGTTGCGTGCAAAATTGCAAAGGTTGTATTGGCGGTGCATGTACAAAAACGGCGCGCTGTGTGGCATCATCTGGATCCAAAATTCTACTCCCGGCCGTGCCTTAAAAATCAACGCTGATGCGCTGGTTACAACATTTGGTTGGCCTGGGAAAATCTACGCGGAACGACTACCGTAGCGGTTTTCGCTGTCATGCTGCTTAACTAGCAAAAAGACGTACTTCTATACCGTAATTATCGAATTATAGCCCCCCCCCACAATAGAACGCCCCTTTAGGTGGTTCGAAAAATATTTTCCCAATAAATGCGCATCTGAAACCCGGATACCTGCACGGATGCGCAAAATTGCTTTGAAAATTACAAAAGCCGTGGCTGCAGCTACAGTAATTTCAAGCAATTTAGACCTTGCAATTGAAAAGTGTAGAAACACGGAACTACAGTTTACAGCATTTACTTGTTTGAAATTAATTTTAACAGCCCATGCGGCATGCCAAGAAAATCAGTTCGAAAAATAACCATTCTTCTAACACGATTTACATGGATAAAAAAAATTTACAAAGTTGAATAAACACTGGGAAGTTTTTGGGAACGGGAAAGACTACTGGTACTGACTGGCATTATAATAAAATCATATGTAAAATTCCGAAACTGCAACAATCTCCAGAAGCCAACAATTCATTGCAAACTTATTTTTGTCCAGCACGATGTTGTAATAATATGGAAAACCACGCAAAGGATCACATCAAAAAAGGCAAAATGCAACTTTCTCGAAATTATATGATTAACATCAATAACAAAACCGTCATTTTGATTTGCACACAGAGCATTATCGTACCCGTAAAGGCGTAAACGTTGGATTCCCAAATCAACCAAACTAGTACTATGCTACACGGAATACCACAAACACCAAGGTTAACAAAATCACAGCATCGTAGCGTTGATTCTTGACGCATCAGTTCAGAAGGAGTGAAATAATTAGGGTTACAACAACAACAACAACAACAAAACCTCTAAGGCAATTTCCAGGACTTTCTAGGCAGTAATTTCCGCGGCAGTTGCCGGCAACGTGCTGCTGTCGTTGATTACAATGGCTGGCACGACAATCTCATGCGGTGTTTCCTTCCGTCTATCCGTTTCCAGCAAGACGCTGCGTTCGGCGGGAGTCCCATTCTGAGCATTAGCGCGGCCATTAGCTTTATCGTTGGTCGGCACGAGTGCACCCACTCGGTCCTTGTGCCGGCGGGATCTAAATGATTTTTCTCCCTTTCGTATGAAAGGGATAAAGAACAACATTGCCCCGCTCACGGCCATCATAATCCCGAACACAATGAATGCTGAGTCATAGTTGCCTGAGCTTTCTTTCAGTATGCCTGCAAATGGATCTCGTGTCATCGCCGGTAAAAAACGCGAGGTGCAAAACCAGCAAAGACATAACTTTTATAGACCTCTGAGATATGTTCAAAATGGTTCAAATTTAATTTAATTTCTGGTATACCACGCAAACCACTAATTTCACGAAATAAAATAAAACTGCGATCGTATAATTTCAACTCCACAAGCGCTACTAATGGTAAGCCCTTACAAACTTTACTTTAGTGGTAGGCTGGTAGCAGCTTATAAACATCGCAAAGTTAATAGTCGTAGAAGCAATATACTGTAATTAAGAAGCATTCGGCGAGATGAGAGATTATCTGGTCGACAAATAATAATCAGATAAAACCGAACCTGCTAGTGGAGGCCCGATGAAGGAAGCAATACCCTGCCAGAACAGCAAAATCCCGAATGCATTGGTTAACTTCTCCAGAGTAAACAAATCCACCAAAATAACCGACGTAAGCGTAACAAAGGCACCTATAAGAGGCAGCATTTCAGTTGAAAATGGAACCTTAAAGGAAAGGCATGTTCATACCAATAAATAAACCGAAAACTGTGGCGAATGTTGCGAGCATCGCATAATTAAGGCACCAAACGCTGAGGCACATGGCCACTCCAGCAATAGTCACAGCTCCATTGTACAACCACAACCGGTTAATCTGCGGTCGATCCGACAGGAAGCCAAATATCAGCCTTCCGGCGATATTAGCCAGACCAATAATGGACAGTAAGAATGCAGCATCTTCCCCTTCAATTTCAAGGTTTTTTTCCGCTCGATCCGGAAGAAAGATGTACGGGACTTGAAAGGCTAAACTTGTCAAAAAGTTGCTAACCGTAAAATACAAAAACACCCAATCCGTTAACAACGCCGGGTCCAGCGTTTCCTTCACAGCAATTTTCACCTTGCCCCATGCCGACAGATTTTCTGGCTGAGGTGTCTCGTCGATCGAGGTTAGATCGCCCGATGAGTTAATTACCACCGCTTTGGATATATCTAACATACTCTCCCGGAATTTTCCAGGATTATCACGGTACTCGGCAATGTTTGCCAGAGAACCAGTGTATAGAGCATCACGATGAGCCAATGGAGGAACTTCCACTTCTTTCACGTCGGTTACTTCTCCTGCAAGAGGTTCATATAATCAGCAACTACAAACTGCCTTTAAAACGATATAATCGAGAAAATTATATCTGCCAGCGAAGCTTTACACAAATGCCTGTTCATTAAACGCACTCGGCTAGAAATAATGAACCAAATACAAAACCGATCAAGCGATGCTATGCACCGAAATCACATTCATGCACTAACAGTCAGCGAACAATCGAGGCCAACATAAAAGCCCATATATGGTCCATAACGATACCATATCGAAAAAAAACATTATTATCACATTGTTAAAGCGGAAGAAATTATCACCAGACGGCTGCAGAGAGTATCGAATAGACAAAAAAACTGTAACCAAATTAAAACATCATACCTTCGACTCCGATTGTTTCCAAGCGCAGCCGGGACCGTGAACGCCCATGGGACATTCGTTCAGATGAACTGGTTTGTCTCAGAAACGAATGCGGCTCTGTACCAGGCGAGATTCTTCCAGGTCGTGGACCATCCGGCACATGGATATGAGTATCCGACTTGGCAATACTCGACGCACTCAACGGCCGCAATTCCGCAGCACCGGTTCCATACTTGTCTTTTAGACTGCTGGTGCTGATTTTGTGCTTACGCACCGATAATTCAACCACTTCAGTCTTCGAGTTGGTTTCCTCATCCTGGACGGTCGTAACGGTGGCCACCGTGTTGTATTCCACTGGGCGGAACAGTGCACCAAAAACACAGCAGTTGAAGATTATGCCAGCAATGATCAACAATGCTCCATCCCAGTCATACATATAAACCAGTTTCTTCGACAGCGGAGAGAAAATAAACGTTCCGGCTCCAGATCCGCAGACAGCAATGCCAGTTGCAAAGGCTCGCTTTTTCTCAAACCACTGCGTAACGCTAACGATGGCTGGGAGATAAATTAAACCAAATCCAAATCCTAGCAGGAGAATTTCAAATTTTACCAGCTGTCAATTATATTCAACGATATAATTATTACCAGTCACTCAGTTCGAAAGACACCCTTCTACAAATTCAAAATAGCCAAACAAAATTTCTAGTGATTCTCAAAATCAGATAAAGGCATACAGTTAACAAAGAAACTGAATGACGAAAACTGGCACATGCTGTTTTTAGGTTTAACATCAACGCCACAAATGAGACGAAGTGTAAGTACAGTACCTGCTACGAGGCCGAAAGAAACAATCATGAAGGCAATATTGGGCGACCACAAGCTGATTAAGGTACCGGCGGTGGCTATTACCGCTCCAACCACGGTAACTATCCTACATCCATACCGATTAACCAGAGCCCCGGCTATTGGTCCTATAAAGCAAAATTTCGAAATAGTAAATATCCCAGTGCATGTGCACACCAGCTGACGAAAACCATTGGAACATACCCACAGAAAGCGTGATGCCAAACAGCGTGGAGCCCACCGCGGCCGTAGCCGCTTCGCCGCCTTTGAACACTTCGAGAAGAACGGGCAATAGGGCTCCATAGGAATATGTGACACCGTCGGCTACCACGTGGATGAGAAACGATCCAAACACCACAACCCATCCAAAACCTCCATCGGGTGGAGGCACTTGCGCCACTGCACTTTTTACTTGCATGGTGTATCACGGAAATCACGACCCGCGTTGATTAGCAGTGCGGCATCCAGTAACGCAATTATGAAACTCTGCACGCCTTAGATTATCTGGTCGATTTCGAAATATGACTGGTTCTTTGGTCCGCGCAGCACGACTTGGCAATGCCATAAATGCGCATATCACGGCATGAAGAGGATAAGATAACAGTTTAGCTTCGTAAATACTAAACAGGGAGGCGCGGTTGAGTCTAAAAAATAATCAGGGCATGGAATCGGCGATCACATCAACAATGCAAACATGTACGGTATGTGCATACCGCTGTACCGCCAATGCGTTCGCTAGCCACCAGCTGATTAAGTTTTAGGTTTTAACTCGTAAACACAGTACCATATAAAAACCATTACTTCTGCAAGAATTAAAACCCAGTAAGCCGAAAGCGCCAACTGTTCTTCGGTTTCACTTTTCAATTAAATCCAGACATAAAGAAGTCACGCACTCGTTTACTGTTGAATCTTGAAGAAAAGCATCAGACAGCATGCAGCTTGACTCCAGTACTAGAAGATTTCACGACTAGTTTACCTCCCTATTAAAGCATTCAAAATGCTTAGCAGTTGCAATGGACTCCTCTCCATTAATCAAAACTACAATAAGTTGGCTACCGGAAACTGAACTTTCATTCGGAACTGGCAGCCCACACAGGGCTCTTGTTTCCGGCTCATTACAGTTATGCTAGTAAGTATACATCATCAGTGAATATCTATATACAAGTAACACTTACACAATACAGTATAAGCGTTCTACATTGTGCAGTGCTTCCTTTCTCCTTAAATTTGTCACCTGATGAAACCACAGGATCATGCATAATATGATAATAATAATGAAAAATCAAAAATCTGATAAAATTCGCACGGAAAACGGTTTGAATCCTTTAAATTTTTATTTAATAATGATGAGATATAGCTACAGAATTTTCTTCCCGGTCATCCAGGCAGTTATTGCGCCTCTCCGGCAGCAGACATTATGCGAGGCAACCTACAAACTGTTAAACAAAATAATAGTTAAGGTACCTACAGGCTGCAATATATGTATTTTTCAAAAATATAATTCCAAATCTCCTTCTACCACCGAAGTGTTACCACCGAAGGTGCAAGCCGGAAATACTTGCAAGGGCAAAATTCAAAAGGAAACTATCGAACATTTTTCTACATTATACTTTAGTAATTTTATTCTGCTCGCCGGTCAGTCTGGTAGCCCGTTCCTTCACACTTAAGAAATTGTCCGAAGAACGAAGAATATTAATTCTAGGAAAATAACCTTTAAACCGTACTATGCCCGTACGTCGTCTTGCAAGAAGCAACTGTGAGAAACAATGTGGAAAATACTACTGAAAAAGCAAGCCGCCATGACTACGTATCAAAAGAAGTGTGCAACAAAGCGCCCTGGACGCGTTGTGGAACTGAACTGTAAATAAATTAATTCAATTGTTATAAAGTTCGCAACAGATTATATCCTGACTTCCTCGAGCTAAGCCTTATAATAATGTTATAACACTCAAAAACATAAACGAATGCAAAATTAATAGAAGCTGTTCGTCACCAACCATACTATGAGTCCAGACAATTAAACAAAGAAACACCTCGCCTGGGAGCTGTATTCTTACAAATACATACATAGCTGCCAGCAAGATACTGGCAGATAGCGGATAGCCATTCACTTTGACGAACACATTCAACAGGCACTTTTCATCCCTTGCTGATTGTTGCATTAACGAAAATAACTTTATTCAGCATTGAAGTCTGCATTCCGCAGCTGCGCAGTAACGTGTCCTTAAACTGCACTATTCCTGGCCACAAAGCACTCCAGCTTACAGAAATCAGGCTTACCGCTTACCAGAAAAAAAGCCATCCTACTGATCCTAAGCGGGCAAAACATGCTGCAACGCTGGAACCCTTCTTTGGTCGTCAAATGCTGCAGGCATTATGATTAGCTAGATCAAACCCACTCAACACAGCCAAGATGCCAACTCATGAGTCCAGAAAATACAGAAAAGATACTACGATAAAATCGTATTTGCCAAAGCACAAAAACAATACCCGATAATAAAATGGTTTCTGAACGATCAGCTCAAATAAATAGACGATAGAAGTGATAGTAAAAGATCAAAATTAGAAGATAACGAGCTTCCGGAGTCCAGGCCCGTTTTATAGATTCCGAGGCAGAGTGTGTGTACCCACTCTACAGCACTTCGATAGCTGAGCTGCCACAGGTGGTCTCCATACCAGTGCGGAAAGCATGTAAGTATGTACTTTAGTCTTTTACCGTTTTACGTTTTACCTATGCTTTCACCAGTGTACTCGTACAGTAATTAGAGAATCCTTAATATACATATGTAATTAGTTTATGAGTTCTTATGTAATTAGTTTTCTTAATATACACTGCTTTTACTGTGCTTGTAGCTTGTACTTGCTTATAGAATACTGGACGTGGAAAGTGCAATCCTGATTATAAGCCCAGCAAAGCACATCCGCTGATGAACTGCAGGTTATAATTATGCCAAAAAACTAACACACAAGAAAATTTTTACAACAAATTGAAATGGAAAGGATAGATTTTTAATTACCGCTACTAAGTTATGGTCTGCCCCTGGCAAATCTCTCCGTTAAGGTCTGCCCATGGCAAATCTCTCCGTTAATTAAGTACTGTATAACGAGCTCTGCTGTCTCACTTCCGGTTACTACAACTGCCTGCATTTTCTGCAGTTTTTTTCTTTGCTGTTCGCGCATAATGGGGATTGGGGAGAATTCGTTGCCAGTTTTGCCACGGGTCCACGATTATAAAATTTGGTGTTAGTCAAAATAAAAGTAAAGGACATGTTACGAAGTTAAATTGATTTCAGGGATAAAGCGCTGAATCAGCCTGAATGTAATGTGCCGGGCCCGGAAATGACCGTATCCCGAAACGCCATATGCCAAATCTACTAGTAGTAGGTAAGGGGCATATGTCGGACACGCGCGGCATGTAGCCGAGCATGATAAGCATAGAAGGAACGAACAATACCGCTTAGCTCAATTTTTGTTCGTTCCCTTTGTGGTATAAGCTTAAGTAAGTGCACGTGTAAAACTATAGACACTAAACTGTACTCGCACTGCATTTATTTAATATTTTTACAGAAGTAGGTAACGAAATCCATTCCAATGCCTTATAATTGATTGTAACAATTAGGTCTTGTTTCAAAGAGCAAAGCACTAAACCGTAAACACAGGAAGAGGGGTCGCAAACAGCCAACCACAAAGCGAATCATTTAATTCGTAATAATCGGCATTTGCCTTTCTTCACTTCGCTATGCCAGTTATGACAACAGCCAGATAAATTAAGAAAAGGAACGCATCCAAAGAAAATTAGCAAAAGATAGTTTGCTGATAGTTTTTTACCCACTGATAGTTTGCTGTTACCAGTTTCGGTAAATCTTTGAGAAATCATCTCTCTGCTCTACTATATCAAGGAATTTGTTCAAAATATCGCTCGCATTCTCATCTAGTTGAATTATCTGCTTGGGCAAAAATTCGACTGCGCTATCCAGAACAGTGTATCCTTTCTGTTCCACACCTTTAGTCACATTGTTCAACTCCATGGGTTCGCATAAGAAAACTATCTCATTAGCACTGCTGCCCTCCTCCACATCCTCCGCACCGATTTCGATAGCATCTTCCTCTGCTTTCCCCATATCGGCATTCCCGTTCTTCATCACAGCAGTCACAATACCTTTTTCTTCAAAGTTGAACCTGATTCCACTTGCAGCTGCACCATCCACAAACTGAATGGGGAACTTTTTCGTAGTACTTCTTAGTTCCTGCTTCGTTTTGACAGCATTATCAGTTATAAGTTCCACAATCATCAGCGCACCTCCTGGTCCTTTCATTTCTAGAGTTGCCCGCGTATCTTTAGAAGCTGCCATTTTAGCTAACACTGATTTGATCCTTTCGGTCGAAAGGTTGTCGGCCTTCGCAGCTTCAATCAGCTTCGCAAGAGCAGTATTTTGCTTAGGATCAAAAGATCCGTGAGTCTTCGCAACAATTCGCATTTGGCTTACAAGTCGATTCATTTTCTGAGCTCGCAGTGCATCGTTCGCTCCTTTTATGTGCTGTATATTCTTCCAGTGACTATGTCCCGCATCACATTTAGAAGTCAAAGAGAAATGCCTTGACACTGTGATAAAAGTACCAAGTTGCGATGGGTGACTAGATAATGTGTTGGGGATCGCCGTCCAGTTCCAATGTTTAGAGAAGCGACAAAACCGTAAAACATCCTTAACAAAGATAGCCGTTCTCAGAGGATATATCCCGTGATGTCCGACATATGCAGTTACGGACATCTTTGAAAAACTATGCAATGCAATACGATGTTCCAAAACTCTAAGATGTAAACGATAAATTAAAACAACATGATCAACAAATAAGTCTCGATAAAAATCAGAAAATTACTTCACAGGATCTCGCGCAATACTACTAGTACTTTCCGCAACGCAATACTACGGTTCCGAACTAAGCCTTCAGCGCGGAGGTAAGTGCTTGCGGAGGGGCCTTATCCCCAGGCTCATGAGAAGGGCGCCTCTGTCTGACGAATTCGAGAACATAAAAATAAAATCTCCAAGTAGCGCACGTGATGTTCTAACTTACAAATTGAAAAACTGACAAAAACACAAACTTGTGAAATTTACGTATTAAAAAATATATTTTGAGAATATTAATTTTATTACGTTGTACTTGTACATATTGCCGCCGTCTGCCGGTAGGCCCGGTACTGGTAAAGTTCAAGTTGGAATGGGTTTTGCGCCCTTTATCGTCAGGCTTCGCCACAACCTACCAGCGAGAGCGGACAGCCTACGACTTGAAACAGGTCAACTCAAATTTGCGCACCGAAAACTTTTGCTTTGCAGCGACATCAACGAAATTCGTCTCATCCGGTAAACCTGAGCGTACTTCACCAAGTACGCTGATCTGCATGCAGCTAGAACCCAGGCATTAATTTTTGTGGGTCTTCACGTTTCGGTGATCATTATTAGCCTTTCCAACATCTGAACAGTTTTTTCGTATTAGAAAATGGTAAGACCCTACCAGACGTTAATTCAAAAAGTCAATGTGTTCTTGGGATTTATTACGGACCTGGTTTATTTCGGTAAGCCGCTGGACGAGTTCTCTGACGCTTTCGCTTATTTCAGGCCAAGCGAACGAAGAAAGTTGGGATCACCGGAAAATACGGTACCCGTTATGGTGCATCCTTACGGAAAACTGTCAAAAAGATCGAAATCCAACAGCACAACAAGTATACCTGTCTTTTCTGTGGAAAGGTATTTAAATTTTGTCTTGTAATGGATAAAACAGGGACGGTTCGCCATTTGATGCTCTTGAAGTTCTCTCCGTTTTATGGCCCCGTTAACACGTAAATCAGTGATTCATACGTTTCTACTCTAGGATGCGATGAGGAGGACCTGTGTTGGAATATGGCAGTGTAAACGATGCAGGAAGACCGTGGCGGGAGGAGCATACAGTTATACGTAAGGAACTTGAATTGAATTTTTTTTGTGCGAGCTTCGGTTTGCAGGGGGTATTACTAGAGAGTCTAGAGACTATTCAATTCGAAGTTCCCTCTTGTTTTGGAACTTCTTGAATCGTAGATTTGTATCGGAAAGTGCACGAATAACATTTACTGTTGCTGACAGTTTATTACCGAAATTCCTTCTACTTACCAGTTACCATTAGATATGTAGAAATAGCAAGTGTGGCATTTCTTAAACTGCAATTCATGCCACCCCTGCTTCATCCAGTGTTTAAAAGTGCGCAGGGATAACTTTTTTGAAACGAAATGTATTGCCGGTATTGGTGATCAGTTTTAACCTTTGACTCATGTTTGATTTAACTTTCCATTCTGTTTGTCTTCCGTTTGTGCACTACGTACGTTTAATTATGCAGGATACAGAGTAACGTTTAATTGCTTTACTTATCGTTAGATAAGTGCTATTAGCTTAATTGTAGCGGAAAAGTTATTATTTGAGATTTGGCATACGTGAAAAAAGTAATTCATTTTTATGGGTTACCTGCTACCGTGATGAAACTATTGAACTGTAAGTTTACTAATTAATAATAATGTACAGTAATATTTTACATTTTCAGGACCACCGCTGCCGCTACTGTGCGATCCACCATCAGACGTCTCCGCGACTTGAAAGAAATATAATTCCGTTTTCGTTTCTTCTTATCTGTGTCGCTTAATTATCTGACGTGCTCGAATAAAAAACGAATAAAGATTAAAGACCGTATCCGGAGACTTCAGCGTTCGTGTTGTCATAACAGGATTTCGTGGCCGCTTATTTGCTAGTCAATTACTTAATTAATTTGCCTTATTTTATTACCTTCCTTTAGGATTAATTATTTGCACTTCATTTCGGATTCACATAAGTGTATTATAATACACCGGACCAAAACTGAGATACAACGTGGTAATTCCTGCTTTCTTTTCGGACAGACCATTAAATTTTAAAAATCTGTTAGAAGGGAAGATAAGTCTATAAGGATACGATTGATTTAGAAAAAGATACTGTAAGTCTGTCACTTTCAGGTCGGCTTTGGACCGGGACATTATTGGTTTTGTAGCTGTAGTTTGTAGGTAGCGAATGTGATGCGCGCAGTATTAATGCATATCTATATAGTATTTCGGAGTAGTAAAAAAGTATATTTTGCATTTTTTAAAAGTATATTTTGCGTGAGTTCGATTTAACTTGTAAGAAACTTAACGCTGTAAAATAATAAGTACACCGATATCTTTTTAACTTTTAATACTGTACTTCTGCTTTTGGGGTACTAGTAAATAATACAGAGCAATGTACAGGGAAACAAAATTTAATTTGTCATTGATTATGAATAGAAAGTTTCAAAATACTGTACCTCTCCCACTTGTCGTTTGTATAACTGATAGGTAGATATTAACTGTCCGTGCCGGCGGACAAGTCAAATTTAGCGACTCTTTAATAGTTGTAGTCTGCATAATATTCCGGCATTCATTAGAAAAGCATTATTTAAGTTGTTTGTATCACTCAATATATATACATATTAAAAAGACTTGGATGTTAACCTATAGTGAATTCATGTCAATAAAATGGTGGTCCTAGATTGGCTTAATTATTTTGCCCTTGTTTTCCGCAGCACTCGCACTCATAAATCAGCGGTATGTTTGACGTCTCGTGTGGATGCGGTGACCTCATGGGAATTTGTATCATTGCGACACCGATGAGAATGGATGGCACTGCATGGATACAACTTAACCGTGCCAGACCGCTAATCCCGGCCGCATGCAGCTTACGTCTGTGGAATACTGCAGTTTATTGTATCATTTCCACTTTTCCAGTGTGTCAAACTGACATAATTAGATTCCATTGCGTGCAGCAAGCGTGCCGACTTTGTTAGTCACGCGTTTGGATGGTAAGTACAAAATTTTTCGGTCTGGACATCGGACGAAAGGGAATGGATGGATCGGGGTGGTCATTCATGCGAGCCTTGTTCCAGCTGCTCCTTCTCGCTCCAGATACGACACGCACGACTTTAAGTCTTTTTTAAAGCTTTTGTTAACATGTATTCTGTGGTAATAAATATTTAATGTGGCTGTAGGATGCGATGGATGAGCAGTACTAAAGATGATAGGAATTTCTTCTGCTTTTAAACATTAACAAAGTTCAACCTTGAATAAATCCGCGCCAGTGAATAGCACATAATACGAACCAATATTGCAAAATGTGTAATTAATTAACCATACTGGAGTTGAAATAATGTTACATACATATTGACACCAACGGACTTTAAACAATTATGCTGCACATTAAATTGCCGTTCCTGTTAAACTATTTTGCTGCAAAATTTTCGTGCCACACGAAAAGCAATTATCTGAAAAATTTTATTTTTACGAGCACATGTAGTAAGTATACGTACTTACTCCCATTACATATTTACAACATTTCGTAATTATGGACAGCTAATGCCGAATATGTAAGCAGTTATTTATGAATCAATTCTTACATATTCAGAATTAGCTGTATAAACTATAAAGCCTCTAATAAGGAGATATGTGGCTTAAGCTTGCTAATGTTTGGCGTAACGTGTCTTGTCAAAATATTTCACGTTGCTGGTGAAGCTGGCCCAGCGGTGCCATGTGCATTAGCATTATAATTTTGGACTTCTGCATTTCCGAATTTTCGAAGATATTTCAACACGGAATTTTTGCAATTTTTCAAGTTTTAGAATATAAATATCCAGAATCTAAATAAATGCTTACAGATGTATGAATCCGATATGAATTTGAGTTGCTATTTGGACGTATATACATGTGCAAGAGTTAGCATTATCCCGGCCGGCCGGGCATCTGCATGTGCATCGTTAAAAGATCCCATTCTTGCCGTCGATTGAATCTGACTGAACACTCCGAAGATCGGAATCGAGGACACATACCGGATAAGTACTGTCAGCAGCGACTTTTATATCAGTGCCTGCTTACATACGTACAGCACATGAACGCCTGTATCCGTCGTATAGTTCCTGTTTATTGGATCTTGCAAAGGCCGACCGGGGCCGAAATTAGTGACGACCATTTCCCGACTCCCTAATTCAAACATTCTACTTAACGGTTTCTGTTTCCCTTTCATTAGCAGGAAGATTGGGCCGGCTGGAAGCAGTTAATATGAGTATTAAGCTGCTGTTTAGCAGGATCCGGAGCGACAACGTGAACCGGAGCGCAAGTACAGCGCATTATATAGAGCGGCAGGCATATCTCTATATAGTGTTGGTTGGCACTGCTCAGCCAAATGATCCTTTTGCAATGTAAATGATGGGTTGGATTGTGGATGCAATGGACGAATAAATACCGGGTGGACCAAAACCATATTATACTCTCCAGATCCATAACGTGCCTGGACAATGAAAGTATAGCCTGGAATTATATGAGCGCACTTTCACATCATCAACACTCTAATCACAAAGCGTGATTTTGTGGTTTCGTATCGTTTAAAATCGTTTACAATTGGAACTAAATCCCAGCCGAAACAATTATTAAACCGTAATCCAATAAGTTATATATACTGGTCGCTATCTATTGTGACTCACGGTATTTGTTAATTCATTTATTTCTGATATCCGGTCATGATTGAGAGCGTGATGTGGTGGTTTCTTTAATTGTGAGGATGCTGTGCCCTTTATTGCCGACGACCCACATATCTGTACTGCGGTAACTGTAGTTCCATCAGCAAAGCGATGGAGAATACGCCATGCAGCAATCGACTAAATCTCCATTGGATATCGTTGACTATATTATATTGTTATGCGTTCGTTCAATCGGCTATCGTTTTCTGCGATTGCAAGGTAAGTGTCTAGATTGGTAAAATGAGATGCTTTTAATTCTACATACATATACTATTTACTAAACCAGCGCATACTCCTTTTACTCGGTTAATGGCGCTTGCTATACACATTATTAAAGGAGTCGGTGGAAATGTTTATCTGATTAATGTCTGATAAAGTGCGTATGGAATTTTACGAAAATTTTTAATACGAATAAAAATTTGCACAGCAAACACTCTGCAGAATTATAATTATCAATTTAATAGGCTATAGGAATTAACTAACTGCGGCGAGTCACGATATGGGCATTGCCGCGATTATACTTGACGCGAATATACTCGTAGTTATCATATTGTACTTCGCGAAAAAATGTTGGATTTCTGTCGATTTCATCCGATATCGATCCTCCATTGAATTAAGCGCGTATGAAATAACCATTAACAGCACTGCTGCGGTAATAGGAGCGCAACATGCTTCTGCTTTTTGTTTATAAATATTTTATCAATATTCTATAATGCCTTTTAACCCTAATGGGAACGGAGTGGAACAAATCAATTGTGCTGAGAATTGGGCTTGTAAATTATATGATTTTGTGTTGGTCGGCAGGGCACAGAAGTGTAAAACAGTTATTCCCTTTCAGGCAACTCAATTTATCCGAAATCTCCATTTTAAATTTCCCTTTTTAATCGGTAATCGATTTGGTTGTTTTTCGTTTCTTCAGTGTGCAGAAAAAGGCAATGGTGTATTTTACATAGTTCTTATAATTATTCGCGCCGGAAACTTCATGGATTGTGGGTTAATTTCTCTGTGCCGTAGGATCCCATGTTCAGAAAAGACTCGCTTCCGGCAGATGATCGATGATCCTTGTATTGAAAGAAATCAAAGGCAGGCTTTGAGCAGGGCTGATCATCAGTATTTACAGCATATTTAGCGCCGTGATTTTAGGAAGATATGGGACGTCAAACGCAATAAACTATAACAAGATCAAGCCACATAAACGAAAGCAGCCTAAAAGCGCAGCGGAATTATTTTAATTATTAGCGGTGCTCGTGTGCGAATTTGCGGCGGAATGTACTTTGTAGCTACTAGCTAGCGATCGCCTGCTCCAGTATTTATATAACTTTGTTTAAACCGAAATTATGAAGCACTCGTAATTGTTTTAGCTTACGTCTAGGCGGGCAAGTATGCTCAGCGGATAATAAAAACGAAACCCAAAAAAACCAAGCGGTACTTAAGCAATAGGCCGATCCATAGAATTTATCATTTTACAGTTTGCGTACATATCATAAATTAAATAAGCAGTCTGATTAAGTGTGTATGATTTTGAATAGCAGCATTAATTGGGTTAACAACAAGAAAAAATAAATTTTTAATATTTTGTATTAACAACTTTTATAATATATTATGAGCTCGAGCTTTCTGTACCCACTGACTAGTTTTAACACATAGATAATATCAGAAAATTGTAGCGCTGGCAAAAAACAACGAAATCAACTATTCTTGCAGGAGCTCTTTGATACCACTCCAGCTGTCTTTTTTAAATGTCCGGTCAACTGCCCAACGTGCCCCAAGCACGTGCAATGTCCCAGCGGCGTTAAAATACTGCGAGATCCCTGTGGATGTTGTTTGAATTGTGTGTCACCAGCCGGAGAAGATTGTGATTTATTCCATATTTGTGATGCTGGGCTGGTTTGTAGAAATGGAACTTGTCGTGGTACGAAACCGATAACTTTGATTCTGTTGTGAAATTAATTATTACTAAAAATAACTGTTGCAAGTAATTTTGTTTGCTAATTATTCATAATGATGGACCGTCAACTTCCCTAGCACCTCATTCTTTGCACAGCGACTAAACCAGCATTGTTATATGGCTGTAACTGCAAGTTGTGCTGCCCTTATGTGAGTTGTAATTATACGAGTAATATGCCGTCCTTCCCAGATATCCATCCATCCGGATGCCGGGTTGGTTCCAAATATTACCAGGATGGGGATAAATGGAAGCCCAATTGTCAAACAATATGCGAATGTCAGAACGGGATATATGGATGCAGTGATGTGTGTCAGCAGGATCAAAATGCATCTGAGTGTAAATACGGTCGTCAATTTGTTATGGAAAGTGCGTGCTGCAGCCGGTGGGTGTGCGCTGACTCGCCGACTCCTTGTGCAAACATCACAACGGACTGGACAGAGTGCTCCTGTTTAAATCCAGTGTCTTACCAATGGAGTAATACAAATCCCAGATGTCAGTGGGTGGTCCAGCAAAAATTGTGTCCTAACTTGCGATGTAAAGAAGCGCAGGATGGGGTACAGGGTGTATATCCATTTCCAGATCACACAGAGCGGAATGTATTGGCAGAGGTAACAAAAATTTTGTTGTGTTGCAGTAATATTCTGCGCTTCCTGTGTTACTTATGGATGACCTAGCATGCCGTGAAGACCTTTTCGTTAATTCTTCTAATTAAGTTGGAAAAAAATTGCGTAAATATTTTTTAAATTACATGTCTCGGCGTTTTAAGGCGTTAATTACAATAGCCCGATAGAAAGAAGCAAGGGGCAATTAAAATATTTCTATGATATGACCTTTTGGGCTCCAGTGCATTCCGACGCTGTTATATGTTGGTATATAACTTCGAAATTTAAACGCGCGCCTGGTTCTAAACGTATTTCATTCATTTTTAGGCAAAAAGGTACTGCGGCTCGTCTTTGTATCAACGGTACGAGTATATCGGTCAAGATAACTGCAAAAGCGTCGATCTGCATCTTCAGAAAACATGCGCGTCGGAATGTCATATTGCCAACGGTACTAAACTCTGTTGTTTGCCTAATGAATTTTCTTCCTTGCAAGTACAGCTCAAATGTCCCAATCAAAAAACGGTGTCACGCACTATTCCTGTGTTAGCCGGATGCCAATGCGATGTGTGTTAACTGGGTTGATTCTTCAGCTCTTAGTGAAATTATGTCTTTGTATTAAGATGCCCGCAATCTCGGAAGATCACGAATATCATGTCACTAATTTTTATAAAATACTCAAAGTGGCGAAAAATATTAGGTGAACAATGCGTAGCGCGTGTAAGTACAACTGATTCCCATTATTTCACCCATAAGCCAGTAACCATGTCGGACACTGATTCGTCAAAAACGCTTTATAAACCAAGACCACCCTCATCAGAGTAGCCAGACTCCGTAGTAGAAGTAGCTACTGTCGTCCAGGAAGAACGATCGCTGCCCAAAGAAGCAGACGAAATCGGTTCCGGGATTTCGCACACTTGGGTCGCGATGCTAGGCACTTCGCACACGGCTTGAGATCGCTGCTTGTCTCCAAGCTGTATCGGTGGTCTGCTGAGTGTTAAATCTAACTGGTGAAAGTGCGTTTTATTGAACGCATTTGGGCCTCCACGAAGTCCCGAGAAGAACTGAATATTGCGAGTTGCAGCTGTGGCAGTGGTGACCTTTGTTTGAATCTCACGATTTCTGAAGAAGCACAGGGTTATACGCAATTATCATGTCATCGGATGATGTATTAGTAGATCTTCCTTCGTTAAGGCCTTTTTTTCATTTTGCAAAATGCATATGCTCTTTACATACTATGCTTTGATGGCCATAAATATGCGGCAATATCCGCTAAACTTTGCAAATGAATTCGCGTGAAGTTGGTGTGAGCAGTAAGTATGCATACCTTGGCGACATCACGGTCTGCATAGAGCATTCGTTCTTAAAGGCGCTAAAATTGGTTTGAGAGGAGTGCGTAGAGCACTGCGTGATCCGAAACTGTATTTACAACCGAATAATTTATGAAATTGTTTGTGGGAAGCAGGAGTATGAAAACAACGGAATTCTGATAAGGGTTTCGTTCGTCTGAGATCTTACAACATCGTAGGCCTTTTTTCTTATGCTCCATATATTCCATTCATAGGATTTATCAATATTAGATGGAATCGGATGTAAGACAGTCTGCATCGAATTATCCACATTGATTCCTTGTTCTGTCCTAAACACGCTTTCCTGGCTATGACATACAAAGTCAGCATTATGCCGCAGCAGTTTGGACAGTATGGGGATATTCCGAAAAACTTCTTCCATGCCTGAGGTGTACCTAAAAAGCGGGAACAGAAAAAAGCCGGTCTGTAATTTAATCAAAAGAGTATGGCATTACCCTACCCCACCAGTAGTGTGGCATTACTGATTTTGCAGCAGGCAGCAAAATTATTCATGCAAACAAATTTTTATAAGTATTTGCACGCACTTCGCTGGATCATTCGCAAAAGCAAGTGCATCACTGGGACTCTTGAAGCAAAATATCTCTCCTGAATAATGCAATAGGCCCAGGTTTTTGTCCCCATCAAAAAGAAGGCCGTTGTAATCGATCAGCGTGGTCAAGCATTTTCCCTTTAAAACCACAGAACGAACACTCACAATTAGATAAACTTATTAAGCTTTAGTAACCTTACAAGTTTTAGCTCATGCATTCGTGCTCAACACGCCATTTTCAATATATGATGGCATATGATTAATTACTCATATATAAAACATTTGTATCTATATTTCCTAATTAAGTGAGTATCCGTACAGATGCATTCGAGCACAGTTACTGTACTGCCATGGTATTGTTTTAATTCTACTTTCTTCCGTAATCACCTTGAGCGACACGTTAATGGCTTCGAAACCAGGAGTGGTGTCCTTCAGTAATAGCCTTACTTCTGCAGTATTAAACTGATCTGCGGCAATCGATTTGTGAGATTCTTCCGGTGTTACATGAACATTTAATACAGAATTTAAATTCCTTGAAGCTTTCAGATCGCTCCACATCTACACAAGTCCAGAAGTAGCTTAGTACTGTAATAAAATGAGATCAATTAACAAATACAAGACTGACCACTGTATCGCTATGACACTATAAAGCAGTACAGTAAAACTAAAACCTACAACTAATTACATGGCGCAAAGGGATACGTTGTTGACCGCATTAGGCTTTTCAGATATAAAATTTCACCTGCACATTTGTAAGTACTTCCACTATTTTTAGCGCATACATACATAAATCACGAACTGTATTAATTGCTACCTGAAGCTTCGCCTGGATGTTCATAACTGTTTTATCCAAAAATTCGCACCACGCCAGCTCGCTCTGCAGGGATGACCATTCTTGTGCCATAGAAATAAACAGTGGCTGCAATACAAGCGCGTATATACTTAACTCAATCAGTTATAGATACTTTTTGAAGGTTGATGGGATTCTCACGAATGCTGTCCGTTCTAGATCGACACTATTATTAACTATACCATTGCAGAGTCTACTGCTTAACTTATTGTGAGTAAGGTTATACTATAACTACGTTTTAATATAGAAGTATACGGAATGCGCCGTATACTAATATGTTTTAAACTGACCACTAAAGAAAACATCGGAGGCTGTTTAGCAATAGTGTTTACTGTTTAATCCACAGCCACTTACAAAACGACATTTGCAGCCACTAATCTTTCGTTGCGGCAGTTGGATTCCAGCATATCAACGTTACGATTAAAAGTCTGCTGTGATTTTTCCAGCACACTAATGCTTTCCTTGACTTGATTCTAAGAAATGTTCAAGAATACCTTTCTGAACACATGCAGGTATATAATGCTTCAGAATAAGTATCGCAAATTTAGGAGCGTTATAATGTACTCCACGATATGACTCACAAAATTGTAAGGTACGACTGCATAAGGCATAACGGCCATAACCGCAAAAGCTGCAGCCTACAGAATTAAAAGTACGGTACCTGTACAATGTTCACGGACCAAGAAACGCGATTCAGTGGACTAAAAAAACGGACACTTACATTTATAAGCGTGAGGCTGTCGTGATAAACTTCCAAAAATATCAGAATTTCTTTAAAAACGTTGAATTCCTCGGCTTGCAGGGGATTTTTGCCGTGCATTAATTGTAGAAGATAGCCACGAATAAGCCTTTTATCCTCGTTTGCTTCCTGCATCAAGGATAGAAGCCGTTCGGCAATGGAGCTGATCTGTTCCTTGAGAATCTCCGGCACTAATGGCCAGAACGCAGGCTGTAATATCAATTAAATAACCAAAACCGCTTATTTGTACTCGATTGCGATACTTATATTTATTAATCAGAGTTGCATAGTTCATACTGACTGCACTATAGTGATACTTTATTCGAAATAAGCGAAAAATTTGACCCCGTTGGAAGCGTTAGAAGGTACGGTACCATTTATGAATGACTTTTCCATCTGTCTGCGTTATAAGTAAATTAAACTTTAACGGTTTTACAATACGCGTTTAGCTACAGCTTCTGATTGCTACGAGTAGATATTTCAGGGCCAGTTCGTCAATTTTGATTTATAAATTTTTCCGGCAAGACAAGGAGCGTACCATCTGTAATTTCAGCATTACTTCGCCGTTTTGCTTTATTGAAAAGCCTGACACCGGTCGACAAAAGAAGATAATCTTCGACTTCTAGTTTCTTTTGCGCCGGAGTTAAATAAAGAAATTTCTCGAGACTTCCATTTGGCCATACACTGGAGAGCGCGGCTGCAATTGTAAACCGCGATATTAATATTCATAACTTGACACAAAGAAGTTACTTCTCACTCAGTTATAGCCCCATTCACCAGAGATACTTTGACGAGGCTATTTATACTGCACATACTCGTACTTCACCTGTTCAAGGAGTGCGCAAAACACATCTTAATTTTTAACATACAGAAGGACGATCAAAGCGTTTATTACACTACTGTCAGTACTAATACCTGCGCAGTCTTGCACGGTTGCAGTGTCATTAGGGCTGCCCAGGCTGGACTTCTGGATAACATAATTCACCACTTTCTTTTGTAGTCTGTCCAAATCCCATGAAGACGTGACCTTTAAATTCATACGCAACTCGTGCTAATCTTACGGTATTGCACATTGAATTTTTGCGCAATATCGCATTTTAGATAAGGGTTAGCTGAATACTGTACATCGTCATCTGAAATTCCTAACATTTAAGATTACCTAGTACATTATGCTTGCTCGTAAACCTCACCAATGTTGTCAAAATGTCGTGCAGCGCAGTACGATTAGCAGCATCCTTTTTCTGTTTGAGACTTTTTAAGAATGACTCTGCAATAATTGAAACCCAGCACTTGTTTAGTTCTGGTGGTCACTTGCAAATTAGGTACTTCTACTTTCGTTAGTTGTTGGTGGAATTTAACGCTTGTGTATCTGGCATGAGAGCATTTAATAATAACTTGAACTGTAAGAATGTATTAATTTTAAGCATTCTGATAATAATGCAACAATAACAACCATAGTTTCATGCATGTATGTATGAGTGGTGTACGGCGTACGGCTGTACGGTACCTTTGTCAGCTACATCGTTGTGCACGGAAAAATATAGGAGCGCAGCGGAAACTTCGAATGGATGGTTGTCGATTTTATTCTGGCAATCCTATTACAGTTCCGTTTGTCGATATAATAGTTCATTTGATAATAGCTTGTCGATATAAATCATAACTGCATTTATGATTGATACCTAAATATCAAAATAACATGCGCACCAGTTGAATGTCACTTGAATCGCAAGGCGTTACGAAAGGTGATTAGCATTCTCGATAATATAAAATGTATTTATAATGAATAGTTATTTATTACCTGTATAACCTTTTCTACGAGTGAATCGGAAAAATTTTCATCCAGTTCAAAAGGAGGCACTGTTTGTAGCTGCAAAACATGTTTCCAGTAAGAACTCAGGTTGTTTGCTGACACTGACCACCAGTAAACAACTGTTAAAGAGTTCTCGCTGCTGCACATGTCCTTCTGATGGGAACGGTCGTGCGCTCAGGTTCTTTAATATTCACCAAGTACTCGCCCAACAAGGGAGGAAGTCGGCTGTTGTTGTATTTACAACGATTGGCAACTGTTTCCTTGATCCTCCAGCGTTGCAGGCCATCTGGCGAAACTTTAAAAGATGTACTCCACATCTCGAAACTATTTGATGTCTGTAATATGAAAGGTTGACTTCCTTATCCGAAGGCCCAAACAATATAACCAGACTCAATTACTATAACCAGCATACCAGACGTGTAGGTTGCAAACGATAACGTATTTGAGGACTACGTAGCGTGCGTGATAGCTCACCAGGACGAAGGGTTGTCATTTTGGAAGGCGCCCTTGCTTGACCTTAAGGGTCTTCAAGTTAGTTCATGTCCGGCAAAGCAAAATGTTCAAAGCTAACGAATTCGTCTTTGCGTCACTTTGTTTCCGGAACGCACACCGATAGGAAGAGGCAGCTATTTTACGTTGCCTAGAAGCAGCCGCTGCAGGAAGAATTAAAGCTGCTGTGTTCAAAACGCATTTTCCCGAGAAAATTTGTAGGCGAAAATATACACTGTAGCACTATACACGCGTTGCACACCACGGAAAGAGGCCATCTAAACGAACGAAATTTTGTTGGATGGAATCAGCTGACCAGTAAAACAAATCTTCGAAAACATTACGGTAACTTTCGAAAAAAAGTAAAAAACGACGCTCTCAAATGTCTCACGTTTTTTTCATACAAAGAATTAAAACTTTCAATAGGCTCAAAGACCAGTTAAACTCGAAATCTACTGTACTGCACGCAGCGCGAGAAATGGAACAATATAAAACAAGTTCAGCCCAAAAAGCCAAAAATCCCAAACGGCCAAACCCCAACAACAGGCTCAATCCCAAGCTCCATCCATATCGGTATCGTTGCTGGTACCCCAACCGCCCACATCTGTCTGGTCATTGGGAGAATTGTTCCCGGGAAACGTTGGACCGGCGGCGAAGGGATTTTTCGCCAACCCGAACTCCGTGGACGATGACCTTGATTCTCTGGCATTACCAAGCGGAATGGATGACATTTGTTGAGTTAACGAGAGCATCCCGTTTTCGTCCACTTGTAATATCACCCAAATTGTGTCTGCAACAAAATATATAATATAAAAAATAAATTATGTACGAGATAAATCGTTACAAAGGCAACAATTCGGAAAACCATATCTTACCTATCTGTGATTCACAAATAAGAATTGAAACTACAGATTACAGTTATGAATCGTAACTGTAATCTGTAGTTTCAACTTACGAAAGCATTCATTTAATGTCTTCGAATCTGTTTGAAAGCTTCCAATAAAACGGTGAAAGAGAATGCAGCTTGCAAAAATAAAAAAGAGTTCGCTGAAGTTTGCCTTCGTCTATAATTTTCTTTTTTCACATAGATAATTTAGCACACTTCGAAGAATGGCCAGAAAATCAGGATCACGATTAGGATTTTATTAAAATTTTTAATACTCGTATGGCGTAAGCTCAATTAATAATACACTATCCGCAGCAAATACATTTCAACTGTACCACACCAACCTCCACAATATGTACCAGTCGGGCTGCACATCCGCCATTGCCCCTGATACATGCCAGGCTTATCCGGACTTTCCATTTCTACACTGGCGTCGAAGGTATCGCCGGGTTTCAGCGAAGGAAGTGCAATTCGTTCGATGTGAGTCATCTGGTGACCGTTCCCTGTAAAGCGCAACGCGCATCCAGGAGGCCAACTGTCCCACCCTACGAAATGGCACCGTTAGTCAGTAGGTTTCGGCAGTCATTTCTGACTCGACGGAATTTTTAAAAAAAACCAAAAATTGTACACCACTTTGTAACAGTGGATTAACGTCTTGTTTTCAATAACTTCAACAAGCCACAAACTTATTTAATTGTTAAATAACATTATCATATCTCTAAGGAAATAACAGTAGATACTAGATACTTTGAAAATGTTAGTACTATAACAAATTGAAAACCTATTAGCTGCGAGATTCGATATTCAGAAATGAAGATCATTCGACACGACCGAAACAAACTAAAAAACCATTCCTTCCAGTCCGTAGAAGAATCTGCTTGACAGAAATCAGCGAAATGGTCTACTCACAGCACGATTTGCTTACCCGGATTTCGTATTTTCCATGTTTTAATAAACTTCGTTTTGGGAGGTACAGATTCTCCTTCGCCGATCGTCACATCCTGCACGAACACCATTTGAGGAAGATGCTCCTGACTGTTTTCCAGGTCGTAATAGGAGCATATAGATTGTTGGAGGTTCCTGTAATATAATTTTAGTGTCCCTAATGAAAAACTTGCAAACCTTGTAGTTCAACACATGTACAAGTATACAAAAACGTAAAACCGAATTACCCAGGATCATTATACATTTTTTTCAATGAACACTCCTAGGACGCGAAAGCAAGTTTCAACGTCGTTTCTCAAGAATTTAGCCGCCAGTTTAGCACATCTTCGTCTCACAGGACAATGTCCCAAGCCTTGTTAATGGTAATGTGGCGGTTATTATAGTCTAAGTTTATGTTCATATAGTGCTACCTAACACTTAACAGCCACATTTTCAATTCTCACCAGTTGTTCATGTCCAAAAAGAACTCGCACGTTCCACGGTTTACATTCTGCCCAATCAAGGCCTGAAACTGCGTTATTAACTCGTTTCTGTCGGTTGTGTTCATGGAGCGAAAGGCAGAAAGCAGACCCTGTTCCAGATCATCCACATCCATGGTAATGCAATACAAAACAACGGAGCTCTCACTGCCCGAACCTGATAATAACTTCCGAAATGGTACTCACAAAGCTGACTGGAAAGAACAGCTTAACGATTAAAACGGTTTACCGTTTCAGTTAACTTAAAATTTTTGGCTAACGGAATTGCCAATTCAACACAATATCAGCCAGCTATTGTTAGTCGCAATCCATTTCGGAGAGTAGAAATAACTGATTTTAACGACTATCGCGCACTTTGCAGAGATCTCAACTACTGTAATAACACGAAATAAGCTTCATCATATAAACGGAATTTTTAATTTAAGTAAAGTAGCAAGTACTTCTGATAATACTTAAGCTACAAAGTCGAATCTCTACAAAAGTCGAATCTTAAAAACGTGCACAGAAAATAAACCTTGCAAAAGCGGAAAGCCTCGTTTCGACGTAGACGGTGAATAGTACGGTACGTAATAACGTAAGTACATGTCCGTAGTTCTAACGTTGCGAGTGCTAGAGTCCCGTTCTGAGCTTTACTGCTACGCAGTGCGTACACGTAAGAAAACGGAAGTACAATACATTACAATATTCCTTTCATTTACAGATTTACTTATGATATTCCTTTCACAATCCTCGGCCGGTTATGCTGCAATATTTCTGTAACGCGTCCCGAATGGCCGAGCAAAACCCGGAAGCATGCGTTTCACAATTGCTTCTCAAGAATTACACGGCCCTCCATGACTGCGCTACATCCATGTAATCCAAATTTCCGATAATCCTCACGGTCGGCAAAATAATTAAAAATGGAAAATAAATGGAAAAGTGCACACTGTACTTCAGTATGAACAAATCTATATACAGGTATGTACAAATAAAACCAGAAAATCCTTAAAGCTGTGCTAGAACAGTAGTGCAACAGCTTAAAATCTAAAAGAAATGTGTGGCTTTGCCGCCGCTATGAAAACGCGATCTAGCTCTGCGCAGCAGCCCTATGATCGACAACTAAACACAGGTGCGAAACCGCGAAGTCCGGTCAGAATGCTTCTTACGCTGGGAAAATAAGCTTCTCTAGGTAGCGGGCGGTCCCCACTGGTTCAAGCGAATCGCGTGGAGTCGTCGGCTTGAATGAATGTGGATGACGCCAAAGACGGAATTCGCACAAAGGATCCGCAAAGACAGTTGCGCCAGACAAAGTTCGCCGACTTGGGAGCTAAAATCTGTATAAGTCCACTTCGTACGTAGCCGTATGTAAAGTATTAATTTCTCTTATTCATTGTTACGACGTTAATTGGTAGTTCACTACGTATACTGGTGACAAATGTAATAATATGTTTTTATTGCCATAATTACTCCTATTAATAGCCGCATTATGGCCCGCATAAAAATATTAGCAGCAGTGAATTATACTTATTTTTAATTTTGTCGCCGACGGCCAGTGGTGATATGCCCATTATACGATATCGGATATTCTGATCGGTTTTCGGCGGCATTTTCGCAGTGATTTGCCACATTTCGTGATCCGCGTTTAGCCTGTCGAAGCTTACCTTTAGTGCGCCTATGATCCTATCAAACAATGCTTCTAGTTTCTGTGGTCATCCTGTAGTTCTTCCCCGATGAGGTAACGGTTTTCGCAGCTCGCTCTGGTTTGAATGGAAGTCACTGTGGTGTGTGAATGCTCTGTACTTCTTGTTATCACTAAAATTTTTGCTTTTCAACTCGGGTACTGATCAGCCCTGTTCCAGTGTCAGCACAAAACATACAAAAATTTTTTCTCACTTATGGTTAGAGTTGGTAACTTCATAATAATAGCACAAACATCACATCCAGCATTATGTAATACAAGTTACCAGCATTCAAATCACTAAACAAATCCTGAACACTTGCCAGAAAGCTGCTTCCCATTACACTGTTGAAATTAAGAAAGAGATCACTCGTCGTCGGCATTATCTTCTTCGTTTTCCGAGAGGTCCAGCGAGAAGCGATCCCCCATGGAAGCGAAGGCAATTTTGAAATTGCTGGTGCTGTACTCTGGTGCATTATACAGTAATCTGAAAACGTTCACGTAATTTGTAGCCGAAACATCGCCAGTTCGGATATACATCGTGTAGCCTATGTCCAGGAGCCTTCGTGCGGATCCAGGTATCCATCTGCAACGATTTCAAACAAAAACAGTTTCCTTAAATGGCGTCATGACGTTTTTAGTTAACTTATAACATACCCTTCAAGCCACACTAACAGAGGTCTTGTTCGATTCATCAGAGCCTGGCGAAGAAAGAAAACGTATTCAGGTATCAGCGACCAATCCAGAACCTGCTCTCGGCGTGCAGTCAAGCGTATCAGTTTCCAATTGTCATGAACATTTTGCGTTTTTAAAGATGGCGGTGGCACCAGCTTGTTGCGAGGCACTTCTTCCAGTGGTAGAATCTCAAAAAACGTTTGCAGAGCAACCGTGGTAAAACGGTAGCACTTAAAGTTGGTACCGGGCTGGCCGACAATGGTATGGTACAGAGCCGGAGATACTATAAGGTAAAATTCTGGCCTACAAAAGCAAAGATGAAATTAATGCTCTTTTTTAATCAATAATCAACGATTTGGACAAAAGCAATGAGAAAGAGTCAACAGCTAACAAAAAAATCACTTAACATAAAGTTCAATTTATCGCATCGAAGATCGGACAATGAATTTACAAAATTTATACGGTCTTACGCTAGTGTCCGAATCAGAATATCTGAATGCTGTCGAAAAGCGTTAACGAGGTTTACGAAACGACGGGAAATATACGGTACTTTTAAAACAATTAAAACACGTGCAGTCGCATTGTGCACGGCGCAATTGTTAAGTACAGATAAGTAATTCCGGTCATGACAGACGCAGGTCTCAAATCTCAGTTCTGATATTCTGTAAGGGTCTTCTTACCTTCCAATACTGCAGAATGCATTCCTCCTCGCCATAGAATATACCAAAGTTCTCAGGAAAACCGCATGCGATACTTCTGGAATAATTCCAAAAAATTTGAGCGCTGGTGCAACATCTGTCCAGGGGCGAGTAGGCAGACCAACAGCAACCATTCTCTCTACTTTAGATTCCCAGGGGTCCACAGCCGGGGAGTCACTACTCCCAGGTATCGTGCACGCTTCAGAATTTGCAAAAAGGTCAGCCTTTTTGAACTCCTTTTTAATCTTCCCGCGCTGCCTGAATTCGATCACATTGAAAGGACAAGCGACTTCCAATCGGTCGGCACCGTAATCCGCTTGTATGTCCTGCAAACCCGAAACACCAGTAAAGTTTAAATAAAATTTCGATATGAGAAAGACAACATGTCCACAGTTTAATTTTAAGCGCAAGAGCCTCCGGTAGTGTTGCACATCTGGCCGAAGACAGCAAACGCCGTAAATATGGCTTTGTGGATGGAATGGGTTACCTGCTTTACCCCCTAGCAGTCGAGACTTTTGGCGCATTTGGTTCGCCATTCGCGGAGCTTATTCGTTTCGCCGGCAGAAAGATTCGCGACATGACAGGAGAACCCAGCTCTACTGCATTTTTAAAGCAGAGGTTTAGTCTGGCACGTGTTAAAGGAAATGCTGCTGCTGTTTTGGGCACTATGAATATGCGACCTAAACGGCCAGACGGCGCTAACGATTTTGGTTGTTTCTTTAACGTTTAAATTCGAATCATTTTATGTAGTATTACGCGTATGCATATTTTGTTATGTTGATGGCCTTTTGCCCAATAAAGAAGATAATGTTTTCAGTTATTGCAACAATTACGTTGTAGCACAGATGAAATAAAATATAGAAGTACATGTCCAGACCAATTATTATCAACATGATACCATCAATTTGACGTAATTTTATGCTTGTTTACGTAAGTTATTTTATGTATCACCTATGATGCAAACACGTATGCTATTTCGTGACGAAATTTTCGTCAACTGCTGTACTTACGACTTACGAGTAAGTAAGTAAGTCTACAAGAATGACTAAAATATCCAATATCGATGCGCGGGCTCAAGCGTACAAATAATAATAATAAGCAAAAATCTACAACTCTGAAATCACACCAGTTTGCGGTCATATAGCTCACCTGTAATCTTTTCAGGAAAACAGGATTGCCTTCAAAAATGCGGGCCCTGTGAATTCCCTTTTCCATTGCTCGCCTTGTTACCAAACCCAATCCAGGGTTGGCTTCCATATAGACAGTTGACGGATCAGCGGGCAAATCCATATGCTGAATCACGCTCTCTACGGCAGAAGGGTTTTTAAAGTTCAAGATACATTATCTGCCGAAACATAATTCCAACTCTATCATTAACGCCATTGATAAAATAAATCATAAGTGGTTACCGCAGATATAAAAATAGCAGTACCATTACCATACTTTCTCGATTCAGAACCCCCCCCCCCCCAACACCCAACCCCCAGCCCGTAAGAGCAGCACAATTCAAGGCAATTTTACACGGATTTTTTACTCTGATCGAAATAAAAAATCCGAACTAAGCAGTACTAAGCCTCCCTTTGAGTTTGAGAGGTTCCTGAATCTTGCGCGTGTACGTATCACGGCATCTAGCAGCATGCTAATCTAAAAAGTTAAAAACCACACTCGAAGCACCATTCCGAAATACGAAGACGAACGAACCTGCTAACGTTTCGAAAATCACATACATTTCAGGCGGCCTCGTCTTTGCAGCTGTTAAAGAGCGGCGATAAATGTGGATAGCCTCATTCAAGGGTTGGTTCCCCGATAAATATGCGGAGACTTTCAACAACTTCGCCGACTTTTTTGGCGTAGCGGCCCGTCCTGTTTCTGACTAAAACAACAAAACCCTAGCATGCATACATATGCGCCATCAGCAGAATCAAACAAAAGCGACCAACCTTTGCTGCTTCCGGAGCCGATGTGGACTCCAAAGTGGACGAAAGCCGAGAGGCGACAGCAGGTATACCACGGCAACATGGACAGAGATTCTCCGGGATCGCCTTTTCGGCAACTCGCGCCAACACCGACGACATCAATAATCTGCTTACTTTTTTGTGCAACATTGCTGTCTTCTACATACTAGGAGCAAGAAAATATAATTCCTCCGGTTTCAGACGACCCGTTCTGTAGTTCTGTGCGCAAATGAAATTGTCGAAAATTAAGCATATTCAAAATCGCACTACCTTTTAACTTACTTACGGCTTACCGGTCAAAAGTGATTAAAAAATTAGAGGGCCAACCTACAACGGGAGGTGCTCGAAAGAGAATTTCATTTCTCATAAGTCGTAGTTAGGCTTCGCTTCTGTTTTCTCATTTTTCTGAAGTGTTATAATGTTATTCCCGCTGATGATATAACTTGAAACTTCTATAACTTGATCTGTTTCCAAATCCATTGTTCCTCTCACAGTCAGTTCATTCTCGATCGTCGGAGCCTGTTAGCCATGGGGAAACGTTCAACAACATCTACAAAATCCGGCAGGGCCATGAACCCTGCGGATCAGGCCAGTAAGTCACAGACTCGTTTGAATTGTCATAAGTTATTCCTCGTTAACTCGGTGTAAAGTACAGCTGATGTCGGAAAACTACTGCCCCGAAAGCTCTTCATTTCGGATTATTTTGATCTTCAGGAAAGGAAGCAAGGCGAAGAGAGCTGAAGAAGAATAAAAAACAGCGCCAGGTCGTGAGAGAAGCGGTGATCAAGTCGAAAGATCCGAAGAAAGTCATCGAAGAACTGGAGCGATTAGATCAGATGGGTGAGCACACTGAGCAATGGGTCGTATTGCTTGTGAAGTGCGATCCTGATATTACGAGAGATAAAATTTAGTCTTATACTGTAGAATACAACATCCACGAGATACCACCACTGCCAGAGCACATTTTAGCGGAAAGACGAAAACGACTATTGGGAAACTTCAGTCGTTGTTTATCTCTTTACGTAAGTATGAAGTCTATCTCTTTTAAGGTATAAACGTATAAAAGTGATGAACTTATAGAATACTTGGTACGGATATCGGATTGTGAGTTTTCAGTCTTGGGCTAAGTGTTTCTGCTTAATGGATGTGTTTTTCATTATATCTGCTGCATGTTCCAAGTGCTCACTGGGTTTTGTATGTTTAGTATTCTTAATAATTTTTACAGGAAAAGGAAGACAAGACCAAATACGCAGACTTGAAAAAGTTACTGGCTGCTTACCATCGAAAGCACGACGACACTAGAAGATACTATGGTATGGACTATGGACTGTTAATTAATACGCTGGTATTGCATAAAAATTGGTACGAGACACCAGCACCATGAGCTCAGTAGATTCAGATAAACAGAGTGCAGACTCATTTATTTACAAATAATGTGCATCTTCAGTTGTTTTAGGTGGTCTATAATTTCTCGTGTGTGAATTACAGAATCCGTACGGAGAGCGCAAAATGTCAACATTGAGGAGATTACTTTGCCTAGTCTGCCAGCAGAAGATGGCGACAGTAGGTTTACAACCAGTGCATATATTCTGTGAGTAATTCATAAATCGCAGATTTTGTACTCTAAGGCTCCAGCCACCCCCAGGAAGAGAATCTCTCGTCTTTCCGATTGCCCCAGGGCCCCGTTGTGATAAGCGCTCCTAGAATTCCTTCATGGGAGTAAGCAAAATTTAATAAACTATACACGTGCTGTAGGAGCGTTTTGTATAACAAGATTTCATCGAAGAAGCCACTACCATTTCGCGATGATTTTCAGAGCGCTTTCGGATGATTTAACGGAGCTAGGCGGTCGGCGGCCACCCGGTCCACCCTGCGGTCCACCACCCTCTTTTAGTGACGACAGCGATGACGAAGGTTACGGCCAGAAGGATGCCGCACATGAGGGTGAATCAGAAGAGGATGAGTATGACGAAGATGAAGAGGCGGACGTTTCGGAAGCGAAAAAGAAGGAAAAAGACCCTGCTGCTGGAGACCATGAAATGGATACCGACGAAGTGGCTGAAGACAGCACCAGACAAGATGAATCTGACCCAACCCAGGCTGTTTCAGAAGGTGCGAATGGCGACAGAAAAGGAAGTTGCTTATCTAAAAGATGAACTTCTTACGTACAGCTTAGGACAAAATGGTCGCATACCCAACATCTCCACATTCAGTACGAATGCAGCGCAGTGCACTGTACGACTGAGTTCAAAATATCCGTTTCGTACAAGTGCGCTGCACCGCTTGCGTACAGAATGCTGGGCATGGGGCTATGCGACCATTTAGTCCTACATTGTACGTTTTGTTTTGCAAATGTAGGCATCTCTCCAGAAATGCGACCACCTCCGGTTCGACCGGCACCATTTAACCCTAGATTACCGAATTTTCGCAATGTTCCTCCTCCGTCGTTATCAAATGCTAGGTTTGCACAGCCGCCTCCTAGGCCTGGTGAGTTACGGTTAATGCGATGAATTTGGATTCGTTTTTGTGTAGATATTCGCATCTGTATTTGCTGTGTTTTAGTGCGCTGTTTTTGAGTAACAAGCAAATTCAGTATCTGCGTATGTTCACACTATGTTGTTAGTTTTTCTTACTGTACAATACCGGGGATTTTTGCTGATTGTCAGGCATGCCTGCTCTGAACCGCATGATGATGATGCGACCACCTCCCGGATTCCCCGTACATGGATTGGCTCCCATTGGGCCTATCCGGCCGCCAATGATGCCCGGTGACGTGATCGCGCAGCGACCAGCACTGTACAACCAGCCCGTACCTACGCCTGAGAGCAAAACGACAATTGCCGCAAAACCCCAGTTGCGGAACACCATGGCGGAAGTGACACGTTTGGTTCCCACAGCAGTCAAAGTTAAACGAGAAGAGCAAATCAAACCTAAGCCCAAACCAGCAGGTGAACGTGCTGTGCTGAGTCTTTTCTTATCTGTGCATGTCCAGGTTTAACTTCTGTTTCTCGAACTTGTACAGGCTCTCTCGGACCAAATGTGGAATTGATACCACATCGACCAGCAGGGAGTAACGAGAAGCCGAAAGGTAGTACGGATCAGGCTTATGACGATTTCATGAAAGAAATGCAAGGGCTTTTGTGACACGGTTTAGCGCTGGCAGTAGCCGTAACCGTGAGTGTTTTGTGTTTTTTAACGCTGTATCATTATGAAACTGCAATTGTCATTGTTTTGATTTTAATCCATAAAACAATGAGTGAATGACGCAGTGAAGTCTGAATGGAATACTAATCTGGATAGTTAACAGAAATTGGTATTAAGTTATTAACGAGGAAAACCGATGTTAAAAACTGTAACTGCGACTGTCGTTTGCATAAAAGAAATCGTTACATAGTGTGTGGTTCCTTATTGGTAGTTTGTAAAAATGTTTTCATTCTTCTTCGTTTTCATCGTTTTCTTTATCGTCTTCTCCCCAGTATTTTCTTTTGAGATCATCGTCGCTATCGTTACCCTTCTCCGACCACTGATATTCTGGCTGCTCATTGGTGTCGTCCCTTTGGAGTGGTTCAATGTCACCCTCGTCGTCATGTTCGACTACTGTAATTCTTTTATGCTCCGGGATGGGAAGATCTTCCATGTCGGGAACTTCCGAAGGAATGATGTGCTCGAACAGCTTTATAACAGCCATTTTGAGGTCAGTTTCTTCATGATAGAGACTGTCCAGTAGTAGCATTATGCACCAGTCGCGATCGTATGGCAGGATTTCCTGCTTATCGAGCGTTTTAAGACTGGGAATGCGAGCAATCATTACCATTCGATATTCTTGCTCCAGTTGCACGGGATTGTCTGTAACGAACCGACAAAAGTATTTCGCAAACGAGTTTACATGTAGTTAAGAACGGAAACTTGATCTTCCAAACGTTTGATGTAAATCATGTAATACTGTTGGTTTGTTATCGTAACCGTAGAATGTTCTTACCGAGCATAACTAGTGTCTGCAGTTTGGGCAAAACTGAAACGCCAACAGCTTCATCTAAGAACGTGACTAGATTGTTCCTGCAAAGCGAAAGCAGTGGTTACGAGTGGAATTTTTGTAATTGATTTTGGGTAGGTCTTCGCATTCGCAGTCTAACCATCGTTTCATAAGTCATTTTACCTTAGATTGACATATTCCAACTTTGCGTTTTTGCGCGAAAATCCCGTCACTTCTAGGATCTGATTATCTCGCAAATGTAGGATTCTGAGATTGGGGCAGTTTTCCAAATCTTCGATTTGTCTGATATCGTTTTCTGCCTGTGATCAAGGCACAAACATCTTTAAGAGAGCTAGAAACCGGTGCGACCACGGGTTAATTTAAGTAAATACATAAAAGTACTTGTGTTACAACTACGAGCGCAACCGTCTCCGATTCATGCACGATTAAAGACAAGTAGACAACATTGCTATATTCTTACCAGATAGAGCTCTTCCAGCAGCGGATGTTGTATCCCAGCAGTGCTTCTTAGCCCATTTCCCCTCAATTCTAGTTTTCGTAGCCATTTTATTTCACTGTGTCTGACAATCGCTAGCGTTCTAATCCGGTTAACTGCAGGTCAGCATGTAAATTTTTAAGGATTCGGGTGGTCAGAGAATTGAGTGGAATTTTTTTTATCGCAATCTTATTTAAGTGAATGACGAAAATCTGTCTTTTGTCTTGCGAAAACTTTCGTACACTGCCAGATTATTCGGCCAGTTACTTAAAATCTCTGGTTATGTCGCGCTTATATGCTTCTTGCGTGGATAATGGTTTTGCTGGCTTACAGTTCATTTTTAGCCTTGTTAACCGAGGTGTAAAGGATCTGTCCAGGTCTTTGATTTTGTTGTGACTTAAATCCAAAAATCGGACCGATCGGCTTCGCAGAGAATCCATCACTCGAATACCGTTGCTGTATAATTTTATGGTACCCAAGAACTGCAATCGACACCGTCAGCTACGACACAGATGGTGCTTCTGTGCTTTAGACCTGTTTGCTTTGTGACCTTTTCTTACCGGAAGATGGTTTAGGGCCGAGACATCTCGTAGGTAATTTTTACCAAAGTCGACGCAGCGAAGATTGCGGAACTCACGTACACTGGAGATGTCGACGAACCGTCTAAAGAAAACTGTTTAATCATATAGCACGGCATGGCGTCTTGTAGAACTTGCTTGTAGGGCGCGAAACAAACCGTTCTGAATATGCCCAGATTCGATTCGTGAAAGGGTGATGATTTCTTCGGGGTGTTTTGCAGCGATTTCATCTGTGACGGTCTTAAATGATCTCCGTCGTCCGGCTGCAACATGCTACCATTTTTAGTCCGAAAAACGTATGATGCGTGCGAGTATATTATGTTGTGTGCAGAATATCAGAGCACAATTGGAACACAGGGAAACATTATGTAGGTAATCAAATAAATTATTCGTCAAATTTTATAGGCAATCAAATTGCTCGTCAAATTACTGTACTTATGACAAGGGACATGCATGTTTAGCTAAACCTGTAAGCAACCTGATCTGATGTTTCTTCATCGCTTTCTGAGTCGGAAAACTTGGATCCCTCTGTTGGGTCAGCTTCCTTGTTCTCCAAAGTTTTTGCAATTTTATCGACATAATAAGCCAAATCTTTCTGTACAGATGGATCTTCATCTTCTTCCGGTTCATTATGTTCAGGAATTTTTTCCAAGCCTGTTGTTTCCGGTGTTTCTTCAGTGTTTTCTTCGACTTCATCCTCATCTTGTTTTTCGTCGTTGTCGACATCCTCCTCGTCTTCGTTATTGGACATTTTCGTAGTGGAATTGCGGATACAAATACTGCTTAAAGAGTTAAGTTTTAACTGATCATTCAGTTACACAGTCTGTCGTAGAAAACGCTCTGCTGCCGCGACTTACCACGTTCGAATTTCGACATTTTCCGGTTCACCTCCTGGCAACTTATTGCAAGGGATCTCGTGTCTTGTTTCTCCACCCTGGTTTAAGAGCAGCAGTTACGCTGTAAGTCACTGCAGCAGGTTTTCATGATTTTCCTCAGTTGTATACTGTATAGTACTTAATTTTATCGTTAAATTGGATTGTGACCTTTACAAACTGCAGTTTTGACAAATGGATATTTTTTTTAATCAAAATATTGTTGAGTATTGATCGTTTTTGCATAATATTCTAAGCCGTCGCAGGTGCATTTATTTACAGCTATGGAAAAACCTCAGATAATTTTACATCACCATCAGTCGTTAAACTATACCTGCTACGATTGTAAATGGATACCGTTCAGTCCGCGATTCGTTGTCCTGGGTGGTTTCCCACGGGGTACCGGCTGCATTGACATTTTTCAGATGTCCGTTTCCGAAGTGAAACATGTGACTCAGGTAAAATACCTTTGCTACTTGCTGTGGAATGATTACGTGAAAGGTCGTGGGCATATTTACCTTTGTGTTAGGTAGAAAAAGCCAAGAGCTTTAAATGTGGGACATTTGGAGCATCGTCTGTGCACGAGCGACATTTGGCAACTGGAGATTTTGATGGTCGATTATGTGTATGGTGAGATATGTGCTGTTATAAGTGGTATCTAACACTGGCTTTAGTCATCGTGCTTGCACAGATTATGTACTAACATGGTTGAAGTACAGATATAAATATTAAGGAAGTGCCTGCATAAATGCATAAATCAGACGGTGTGCTGTTTAGCGAAATAATCTCGAAGAATTTTTTGTGACACCGCAGGGATCTGGAGAAACCTGAAATGCCAGTGTACCATTTGCACGCTCATACGCAAATTATCAACGCTATCGACGGAGTGGGTGGGCTCAGCTCCGGGGCCGGGGCTCCGGAAATTGTAACTGGTAGCCGGGACGGTAAGTAAAGTTCAAGAGACACATTCGTATTTTTTTGGGTTTTTTCCCGGTATTCTCGGGATTTCTGTATTGGTTGCAACGAAATTATTACTCGCAGGACTGGTAAAACTGTGGGATACTCGGCAGAAGAAGGACCCGGTAGCGGTGATGGCTCCGAATGGGCCGCAAGGAGACGGACAGACACTACGCGACTGCTGGACAGTGGCCTTCGGTATACACCAGTAAGAAGATTATGTTACATATCAGTGACAGTGTTATACGTTGGCAGATCTCACTGTCTTAAATTTTGTTACCTCGTGCATGCGTTATTGTTAGCAGCTTTTATGCGGTGTACTAAATTGCGGAGGATAATAGTCCTGACCGGGTTGGTGATTAGTTATTTAAACGCAGTGTGGTTGGTTGTTCTAATTGCGGTTATATTCGTTGCAGATTTTTTATGAATCCATTGAATTGCAGCGGTTGCTTTGTAATAAGAAATTTTTTTCTTCGATGCAGGAAATGCTTGTAGTCCGGAGGAGCGCTGCGTGGCAGCTGGCTACGATAATGGCGACATCAAGCTGTTTGACCTCCGCACGATGTCCGTGCGGTGGGAGACCAACCACAAGAACGGAGTAAATGCGATGACGAAATAGCTGGTTACTGTGTGTTTCTTCCTTGTTTCTTATATTTTACTTTTGGTACACTTTTTAGGTTTGTCACTTGGAATTCGATCGCAAAGACATAAACATGAACAAGCTCGTCGCTACAACAGTAGGTTCGATTTGACTTTTGTGTACTGTTGATGCCGTACTTGACGTGACTGCAAACATACCACTAATGTATCGCAGCATTTTGAATACCACTAATGTATCGCAGTTGGAGCAAACATTTCACGTTTATGATATGAGAACGCAGCACGAAAAGGATGGTTTCGCCAGCAAAGCTTTAAAGGCAAGTGTGAAACCAACGATTGCATTTATTATGCCTGATGACATTCCATCCTCAACTTATCGGTATGGATAAATTTAATTTGTCTACTTTTATCAGGCGCATGACTCGACGATTTGGGCCTGCCGACATTTACCCCAGAACCGTGACGTATTTATGACGTGTGGAGGAGAAGGTTCATTGAGCCTATGGAAATAGTAAGTTTTCCGGTGACTGTTTCGCAGCTGATAAGACACGGAGCGCAGCTACTCTGTATACTTGTTTTGCGACTAATATGTGACCTTTATTTTTTGTGGTTTTGCAGTAATTATCCGACCAATCGGACCCGAGAAGACAGTGAAGGAAAATCAATAGGGGTTGTTGGCGACATCCAGCTAATGCAGGACCTGAAGTTGGGAAGTCAGCCAATCAGTGCTTTGGACTGGAGTCCTGATAAGCTGGGGCTAGCGGTGACCACTGGCTTCGACCAGTGCATGAGAATCGTCATTGTTACCAAACTGAATCGGCTGTGAGTTTTCTATATGACTAATTTTCTGGGTGGAATATGTGGAAACTGTCAGAACTACGTAATAAGTACATTCACTTGAATTTGATTTCGTGGTCATATGCTTGGGACAGATGAATATTGCAATGGGTAATCAGAATTTATGTTCTTGTTAACCCTAACAGATTCTGCACAGAAATATTTGCGGTCAATAACGATCGTACTGTACTGGCTGAATGCATTTATATTTTACTGAATGAAAATGGACGTATGCAGTCATCCGTTACTAATACTCTACTGCATGCAATATGCTACTCACAGTATGATTTCGTATTTCGTCCTTTGAAGATTCGATGAATAAATGTGTAAAATATTGTAAACACACTGTACTTTGTTCGGTAGACTTTTATAATCACGAAAATAAATTATTATCAACAAATTGGAGCAGGCAGGTAGACTGGCCCGCCCGTAGACAGTATTTGTTTCCATCGACTGCGTACGCATAAGTATTATATCGAGCGTACAAAGCAAACGCTAAATTCTTTTTATGTTCGCGGTATGAGTTTTTCCTAATTTTACATAGCTAGTATTCCGTTTTGCATAGCTTGTATTCCTGTTTTGCATGACTCTGTATTCCGGCATTCCCACCTATGCCGCACTGGTTGAACTACACGATTGCGGATTCTACCTGTGCAGAAGTATCGATCGTAATGGTTTGTTTAGCAGTCAGCGTATCGACAAAATTCAGCATCTGGTTGACAGTATGCTTTGAGTATTTTGCAAAGTACATGAGTCTTCCAGATCATTTTCCACGGTGCAGCAATGTCGCTTTTTGTGGATCAAAAGTTAGATTATCCCCACCAAGTGTCAGGATTTCCAGTCGGCTTATCATGGCATTCATCGTTAAATACCATTGCATCCATCTCTTACAACGACAACCTGCAGACTGGTTCGGTGCTGGTTTTTACTGAAAATGTAATTAGTAAACAGAATACGTGTTACTTCCAAACTAACAGTTAACATTTGTTGCAGGGAGCAGTCGTTGCACTATCGAAGCCCAGGAATCGCAACAGCTTTCCAGAATGTTTAGCCTGGCATCCTACGAAAAACTGGCTCGTTGTTGGCTGGAAAGATGGCATGGTTTCCCAGTATGATTTCGAAAACGAAGGTGCACATGAGCATCTTGTCAGTAACAGCGCAGTAACAACTGTACTATGGAATGCGTCTGGAAACTTTTGCGTTGCTGTCAATAAGGTAAGTAACGTATTTTGCTCTTACTTTCTTGAATTATACACGTATTGTACACGGCGCGATTACACATTGTGCTTAGTGCTTACGCGCATTTCCAGTTTTGACCTTTTACCTTCTCAAAATTCAATAAAATGACAAACTTTAAGGTCTTTCTACACAGCTTTCCTATAACAAATTTTAGTGTTGGGATCCAGATTATTTCGAACGCGCAGTTATTTTTCATTTTAACTGTTACTTAGAATAATCGAATTTTTGGTTGGATGGCCGGAAGCAATGGCTTATTCCTGCCTAAGCCATCGTATACAGCCGATTCCCCGCAAAGTATTTCCTGTATCGTTTTCATGGAGCGACTGCTGACTTACTCGCGATCCAGGAAATCTTTTGACAACACGGTTGGATCGCTGGGCATGCAGACCTCATCCAATCTCGATGTTCTTGTCGGAGGAAATCAAGGTTTGAAAAATGGCTTTTGCGTGCGCATTCGCTCTGTTGAAGCGTAGCTCACAGCGTAGCTGTCTAAAAGTAATTCATTTTGTTTTGTTGCGTGTGCATCCCAAAAGCTGCAGTGCCGGTTAGTAAAAAAATTCGACAGATGCGTATGCGTTTGATTTACTTTGCTGCGTTGGACTACCAAAAAACTATGATCCGTTTTAATGTGAAATCGATTTTACCATCTTCACACATTTGTATATTTGTAGATTAACTTGTTATGTTTATAGGAGGTTTATACAGCGTCACCGATTGGCCAACAGTTACGGAAGTCATACAGCTAGGAGATGCAGTGATTTCCATGAAATGTTTCGAAGTGGTTGGCAGTCGCAGTCGAACAGCGGTGGTGATTACCGCTGCCAACCGTGTGATACGCTACAGCATTTCGTCAACTTTTGCACTGGAGGAAAAACTTACGGCAAGCATCTCGTCAGCAGTCTGCAGTGTTGCAAATTAATTTGACCCATCATTGGTTGCGTTAGATTTCGCTAACAGGAAAAAGTCCACTGTCTTCGGTGTGTTGGTTGGGAATTGATCTTCTGGCTGTTGCATCCGTGGAGGATGTCATTAATATCTGGGATGTCAGCAAAGGCGAGAGTTTTCAGCTGGCAACCACTCAGCTGTGCAAATCGGACACGACCGAACTCGTCCGATCCGTGGCTTATAATTCCTTTTCCGGTATGTGCGGCCTCAAAACAAATTAATTTTTGAAATACTTAAATGAAACATAATTGAAAGGGCTATAATTATTACTTCGTATTAATTTAAACATCTGTTCTTGTAATTAATTCGAAGGCCGAATTAATGTTATGCCACCTTAAAATATGGTCATGCAAACTAGTAACCTGTGATTGGTACGTTCACTAATGCAAAATATTTTGAATTTTAGGGACATTGGCGGGCGCTACAAACATCGGCAGCGTGCTGTTCTGGCAGATGCACCCGAATGCCCCCGACAACCAGACGTTTCGATACGGATTTTTCCCCTTGGGCTACCTGAAACTGACAGCGGAAGTGCGCACTTTCACCAGTAGTGCAGGCACTTCCGCTTTTGCGGCCATCAGTGCCAAACATGCCTACATCCTGCAGCAGCGCCCACTGGCCTATTCGTTTCTGTATCCCTTTGTGGCTGTACAGTCAGCGGCTGATGCATTCTTCCTAGCCAACACCACTTCCCAGCGGGCAGCCAACGAAAAGGTCACCTTTGCGGTGGATGGCCTTATTGTTGGTGAAAAGACTGTGGTGGTGTGGGGAGAGAGTAAAGCGATTCTGTACCAGATATCCAGTGAGACAGAGGAGCAAGGCTTCAAGCTGACGGAAATGGGATCATTTGAGAAGAAATACTTGGCGATGGCGGTGCACGGCAGCAACGCTGTGGCTATTACGAGCGACACGCTTAGTATTTTAAGCATGCAGGTGAAACTTTAAGAAACATTAAGCTAGTTTAGAGATTTACAGTATATTTTCAAATTTACCTACGGCAGTGCAACATTTATCTACTGTGTAGTTCTAGATCACGCATAATACGTTCATAAATTAAGAGTTCTTGTAGGGGATAACGAAATTTGAGTTACGCGTGCAGTCAGTGGAAGGAGATTTGCAGTTGCTCTCAGTGCGAAATAGCATGTGCGCTGTTGCCACATCCGGTGGATATTTGAAATTATGGAATCTATCCAAAGTGGACACCAAACACTGGACGAAATCTAAACTGATCCGAGACAGTGTTCCGCTTTTTGGAGAATTTTCGATGATCAACATCAATTCGGACGCTAGTTTCGTTGGATTTCTCGTACAAAAGGTGGGTATAAGTGACTTTCTTATTTTGTTGTATTTATTCACCGGAGATTGTATGCTTGTAGTTCATATTTCATGATGTTCTGCAAGTGTATGTGTTGATCCACAACCCATTTGCAGCTGGACAAAATGCGGGATACGTGTGTGTATTTGTGGAATACGGAACGCAATGTCGTCCTTCACTATGAGTGCTCACCATCGATTGATCCTGCCGAAAAATCTGTGACGTCCAAAATATCATTGTGAGCAGGGAGAATTTTATTCTCTTCATGATACAAAAACAACTTGTCCAAAATTTACTGCAAATTTGTGCTTTTCTGCCTCATCGGCTGTACACTTGCTGTAAATCTACATTAAAAGCCAGTTTATTTTCGAAGTTTCTTTGTAGATGTACTATTAATAACGCCCGTCCGTTATCCATTGAATGGCAAGGCGATGATCCGCGCATGTTGTGTGCATGCATGGAATCAAAGGACATAAAATCCGGAAATGAAAAGGTATGAAAAAACAGTATGTGTTAGAAAACTTATAGAAGTTGTCGTCTCCTTGAATTACGAGCAGATGAAGTATCTGTTGTACAGATTTGATTGATTTTGCAGATTCACACTGTCATTGCAACATTTTTTTCTACATCCGAGAAAGGACTGCTACTAAATTCCATTATGACTTTAGAGGATCCAGGACAAGTTCTAATGTTAGGCTGTCAGATCCCGTTTGTGTATTTGTACACCAATCCCGTAAGTCTTTATGAACAGCCCCCGATTGCTATGCAGTTTATATGTCACACCGGTATACACACGATTGCAGACTACGGATCCCGGCAAATTAGCGATTACTCGGCGATTTTTACCGGATTACTCGGGATTTCAGCCGGAGAATGTCGACGATTTGAAGATTGTGTTGGATTTTAGCTATTATTCCTGTTTGGGTAAAATTTCCGAAGCCTTAAGTGCAGCTAAATCCGTAAAAAAGTAAGACCGCTGTGAGCTGTACTGTAGAGTATATTGTAAAATGCCTTTACGAAAAATGTAAATTTGGAACTCTATATAGTGTGATGGTTTGGCATCACTTGGCTCGGTTGTGTGTTCGTCTGGGAAAGTTGGACTACGCGAAAGTCTGTCTCGGCAAGTTGGGACGCGTGGATTTACTTGAGGATCTACGGCATTTTGCCAAAGATAATGCTGACCCTGACCTCCAACTTGGCCGACTGGCATTAATGCTGCAACTTCCGGTAAGTCTTCGCAGTTCGCGTATACATACATATGGTTGCACAGCATCTGCAGTGTGTTTTAAATTAATCAAGTCAGTTAAATTGTAGGAAGAGGCGGAAACCATGTTTCAACGAAAGGGAAGACCAGACTTAATTCAGCAATATCGCCTAGCCAGTGGTGATTGGAGTAAGGTGATGGACAATCTGTCCTTGTCGACCATTGATCGGCTTCGGCGTCGAGCTGTTCTCCATAATATGGCACGGGATGATGTCCAGTTTGGCGAAGTTGATGCAGCCATAACAAGGTTCGCTTAAGTTACAGTCAGCTACCGCATTGCACCTTTTTTAATTTATATCTATATTTCTGGACTTTTTAGCAGGTGCAGTACATCTGTGCCTGTAACTGGAATGAAATCAACATTTGTTTTTTTCTTTCTGCCGACACTGTTGCCAGTTGTCCTTGATTTACAAAATTCTTTTCTTGATTTAAATTCGTGTGATTTAGTAAATTTTCAAACTTAGATTTCCGGTTACTTGTTTCCATTTCTGTGTGAACCTTGTTTTATTTCCACTTAAAAAATGTTGGTCATTGAAGGTTAGTGGAAGCCAACTGCGAAGCCTTTGACGTGCCCAGGTTGATGTTACGGATGAAGCCAAATGACTTGGAAAACTACATCGAGAAGCAACCAAACCGGTATGCCTAAGCGAAAGGACGTGGCGAAGTTTTCCGAAATTTTTCAGAATCCACTTTTTCGGAAAATATTAGGAAAATCATCACTTGGTATGCTCAGTTGCTGGAGTCACAGAATCAGCCGGTGGACGCTATGGAATACTGCCGAAAAGCCGGTGACATTAAATCCATCGTGCGAATGTTGACACAGACGGACCAGATCGACGCCGCCATTGATTTGGTTAGATCATCTAAAAACTCCGCCGGAGCGTTTCAGTTGGCGCACACGCTTGAAGTAGAGGACGAAGTGGATCCGCAGTTAATCATTGAGATGTATCTACTATCCGAAGCGTATTCCAGTGCCATAAGGATCTGCATGGTATGCCTTGATGGTTTTCGAACTAGTCTTAACGCGTTCATAGGTCCAATTAATTAACGATGGTCGTGACCCGTTTCTTTATTTCCAGCAATACGAACTGGACGATCAAATTATGCCGATTGCGTTAAAAGGTGACAAACCAGGCATGGTGGTAGCGGCGAAATATCTGGAACGCAGGGGATACACTGATAAAGCTATCAGTCTCTATCACAAGGTATTTGCAGAAAGCGCCTGACGTTTTTTTTGCAATGAAATACCGAAAGATAATGCAGAATTTTGCAACCTGTACTATTTAGGCTGGATATCTGAGCCAGGCCAGTGATTTAGCATTCGAACAAGGCTATTACACGAACATCGAAACCATTAGCGAAGATATTACCGAGCATACCGATCCTAAGTTAATCGAACGATGCGTGGAATATTTCGCTGGGAATAACCAGGTGGATCGCGCTGTACAAGTTCTACTTCGAGCCAGAAAAGTAATTCTGTATTTCGTAATTTAACACGTTTCAGCTGCCAAATTACACTTCGTGCAATTCGTTTAGGTGAACGAAGCTGTTGATCTTTCCATTCGCTATCAAATGACGTTTGACGAACGATTTATCTCGACAATCCTGGAACACATTGCGGAATCTAAAATGGATGCATCCCAACGCGTGGTTGTTACAGAAAAATTAGCGGGAAAATGCTTGGAGCAAGGATTGTATCACGATGCGGCGCGGATGCTGATAGAAATTGGCCGACCGGAAGCTGCGATGAACGCCATAGCAAAAACCGGGGATACCGACGCGATCACACGATATATTCGTATCATACGAGATCCGACTGCTCTTACTGTTGCCGGTAATAACCTTCAGGCTCATCCGTGGCACCAGAAACGGGAGATTTTTGACGCCATTGTATTGGCATACAAGCGGGCTGGTGCGCATCTGTACTTGGCCAGTTTCTATGATTCCTGGGGAGAGGTAATGACTGACAGGTCTCTCTTTTCGTTTAGACTAACCAAGAAAATTTCGCTGTTATTAATGATAAGTTGTGTTTGTCAGTATTTTCGAAGTCATAATAATAAAACAACTGTTTGCACTACACGTGCCGAACTCATGCTTCATTTATTGTATAACAATATGACCTTTGCAGACGGCGTGCGAATCCGACCAATATGACACCGCTTCCGAAGCATTTGGAAAAAGCTTGGATGTAATGAAATCTGTTAATCCAACAAGAGATAATAGTGCTGAATTGGATAGAGCAAAAGAGGAGGTGGAAATTAAGAAAAAAGTGGTGGATTACTACCTTGATGTTCGACAGTATGATTGACAAAAACTGATTAGTAGGGCATATGGTTATTATCGGCAATACAATGTATTTTTGCAGCGAGGCAGAAAGTAATGCTCCCGGTGCAGTTGCTGCCGCAGAAGAGCTTTTGAAACACACTAAATGGGATTCAGGAGTGCGCACCGGACATGTTTTTGCTTTCTTAATACGAATGACTTTGAAAGAGCAGTCTTTTGCTAAGGTATTTTTAATTAGTCACCGGCGTTTAATTCGTATTTTTGCATCGCTTATTATTTTTTTGTCTCACAGAGTCGAAAGTATTTACAGCGGCTGATGGACAGCTGCCCAGCAAGTCAAAGCCTTGCGGACTTTCTGGATCAAAGTATTATCGATAAAGTGACCCAACTGTGACTGCAGGGAAGCTGCACACATTACCTACGGTACAATCAGGAGTTGCTGTTTTTGGAAACAAGCGCGTTTCATATTGGTACTGTTTTCTCACTGCTGATAGACAAACGTTACAAAATATCGTTTTCAACCTCTCACGGCAGTTTTATTAAAAGTCGCTTTACGCTCTGCTTTTAGATTGATTGTATGCCTTTCAGTAGAATCTCAGCCGTCATTTAAACTGGCGTTTAATGGTCGTAACAGGTGGTGACGAAAACTCCCGTGTCTTTTGCATTAAACCGCTGGTACTGTACTGCTAAAGCAGTAAATCCAAAGCGCTACTACCTCAGCGCGACGCGTAAAACACTGTGATAAAACTTATTGAAAGCTTCGGTTCCCAGAGGAACTACATTAATTTTTTTCACCGTACTGAATCATGCCGAATTCATTCTGTCGGACCCATGCGGTTGCAGTTCTACGGTACTACAAGTCCGCAGAGTGGGCAGTGCAGTCATAATGGAATGTGCCGTGTCTTAGCAGCCGCTTTTCAGTATCTTGACACATTAATTCTGTTTAAACCAGTTTTAAAGAAACTAATTAGTAGTTATTGTAGACCTAAGCTCCCGTATAAATTCATTGGTGAATACCACTGCCGTATTCACCGTCGTATTGGTGAACCTTATTATTAGAGCCGTGCCCTTAAAGAGTACTCGTACAAGTCGATAATATAATTGTGTTCATACGGACTGTGAATCTCAGATATTGAAATAATTTTTTCATCAATGATTTATCTTTTGTATCCTTTTTCACGCTAAAAATTGGTTGACCTTCCAGAAGCTTATCGGTTTGGGTTAGTGTTATCTGTTTTCCTTCGACTGATTATAACGACATCGAACTCTGATTTTCTATCCTAGGCCTTTCCGGTAACCTCGCTCAGCGTGCGACATCGATTAACAGTTCTGATTGTGAATGCCAACGATAAGTTTTGTTGTTTACTTATCCAAATGTTGGTAATAATCACTGTCAGTCGCTGACTACAAAGATAAGAGCGGCATCAACTCGAGTCGAGTATTGCCGTCATTGGCTGCCGTGCTGTTACCGTACACTCATTAAACAAAAGAATGTTCATGCAACAATACTCAATTTACCAAAATGCCGATGACTTCTTCCAAAAACATTTTATCATTCCTTACAACATTGGTGAAAGATGGCGAGGACTCCAATTACCAGCTGGGACGAAATTCCCACTTTTCACTGGGCTGATTACCTGGTAAGCTACAGGACTATTGGAACTCGTATGTGAAACTGACTGACTAAATAATTCCATTAGTATTATATTGGGTACTCATTAATTTATTAAAATTATGTAGTTGTTCCAAGTTCCAAATTGTCTTTTTAGGTATTGGCTCTGATGTTGGCAGCATCCGGTGCCATTGGTATATATTATGCCTGCACCGGAGGAAAACAGAAAACCGCTGGAGAGTTTTTACTCGGTGACAGGAAAATGCAAACTTTTCCGGTTGCGATGTCACTTCTCGCCAGCTTCTTGTCTTCGGTGACGTTGCTGGGGATTCCTGCTGAAGTAATGTGAGTGTTCCCTTGTGCGTAGCCTTAATAAAGTTAAATGGTTTTTTAGGTATATATGAACGGTGCCGGATATTGGTACATTGCTCTCTCATTTTGCTTTGTTATTCCGATGGTGGTTTGGATATATATGCCGATTTTTTATAACCTCGGATATGTATCAGCTTTTGAGGTAACAAGGTGCAATCGTACAGCTCCGGGACATCGCTATATAAAATTAAACATTGCTAACTGCACAATCTGCATCCTTTTCATAGTACCTGGAGAAGCGGTTTTCGCGACCTTTACGTGTGTATGCGTTCGTTCTCTTCTGCGTCAACATGGTAAATCTGCGCGCTGCCGGTTCTAGCACTCACTATTGTGCACAGTTCGGGGCTTGGCAGAATAACGTTTATTCGTTATTTATAGATGGTTTATCTTGCCGTGGTCCTGTACGGACCAGCCATAGCTCTCAGTGCAGGTACATGAAACATCAGCAGTCGGATATTACATAATCGTCGGAACGGTAGAATGTGTTTAAACAGTTTTGTTTGCAATAACACACTTGCCGTCTTATCGTGTGTTGAATGTCCACATTGTAAAACGTTCGTGCTTACGCAGTTACTCGGATCCCCACATGGGTATGCATCCTTATCGTGGGATCTATTTGCACGTTTTATACCGCCATGGTGAGTTAATTGCATGGGGTCAATCAGTTTGTGTATTCGGAAGTGATTATGGCTCCGTTTCTGACAGTGAGCTTATGACTTGACCTTGATCGCGGTTTGACAGGGCGGGGTGAAGGCTGTTGTCTGGACGGACACTATGCAGCTGGTTCTCATGTTTGGAGGATCTATCACAGCGTTGGCCGTAGCGGTGCACTATGCCGGTGGCATCACCAATGTGGCGCTGGTCGCTAAAGAATCTGGACGATTATATGATCTCTATAAGTGAGTCACAATTTTAAAATTTCTCATCAGATTTTTGTCAGTTTTATTTTTTCCCTACTTCATGTAGTTTTTCGCCGGATCCCAAACAAAGACATACAGTATGGTCTGTTGTGATCGGAGGGATTTTCTTCTGGACGTCTGTGTATGGTGTCAACCAGGTAGATCTGCTAATATTAAACTGCATATGCCATAGTTGCGGTAACTGCTAATGGACAGCAAAGTCGCCGTGAGCCCTGTAAAGGGGAGTGACATTTGAACAAAAACAGCGTGTAATTAATTTCAGACTCAAATCCAACGCTACCTAAGTATTCCCACGTTACGACAAGGTACAGAAATTAAAATCTTGGAAGAAAGTTTAACGCACAATTTCACCTTCTAATAAATTTGAACAGCTTCTAGTTGATCAGTCTTGATTGTTATTATGCAGCTCAAAACTGTCTGTGGATTGGACTGCCAGGTTTTGTGGTTATGCTTACAACCACTACATGGTAAATGGTACTCTGCGTTATGCTATTTTTTGACAACTGAGATAACGGGATTTTAGCGAAGGGGGTATTTTACAGGACTGGTCTAGCGTTGTATGTATATTATCAGAACTGTGACCCGCTTTGGCAAGGACTTATTTCCGCACCCGATCAAATATTGCCAATGTTTGCCCTGGAAACATTAGGACATTTACCAGGAGTAACGGGGCTGTTCGTAGTGGGCGTATTTAGTGGCTCGTTAAGGTAAGAACAATTACAAACAAATTAAAAAGGACTCCACCTTTCCGTTTAAATGTAGAATCTTTTTGCAGCACTATAAGTTCTGGTGTGAGCTCTTTAGCAGCCAATTTTCTCGAAGATTGCTGCCGCTTAATGCGTCCGAATATGACAGCACATACACAAGCTGTTATATCCAAAATTGCCGGTAAGATGCAGTGCGCAAAATGTGGTATCTACGTACATAATTAATTGAAAATGCTTAGCGTGTATAATATGTCGTATTTCCTTTTCAGCGGTTTCCTTTGGGCTTGTGAGCATTGCCTGTGCCTTTATTGTGGAACAGTTGGGGCAAGTCTTAGAGGTACAGCTGCGAAAAGTGAGCGTTTGTTGATTTGACGATATATGACCTTTTGCAACAGTTTGCCTATGCGTTGTTTGGAATGATCAGCGGACCGTTGTTGGGTGTTTTTGCGCTTGGAATGTTTTTTCCTTGGTCCAATAAAAACGTATGCTACTTAGTACTGTATTATTATTATCGTTTTAAAAAGTTATAAGAAGTAAAAACTCTTGTAATTTCAGGGAGCTTTGGCTGGCTTCACGACCGGCTTGGTCCTGACTATCTGGATAGGACTAGGAGCTAAAATTACCGGTCCGATGCATGTACAGCCCGTTCGAGGCCGGATAAATGATACCGTAGCGTGTCCTGCAGTTAGACCGTATCCAGCGATAATCGATCCATATGAAAATAAGTATGGAAACAAGTTTCTGCTTTCTTTTTTAAAAATGTAATCCCAGTTACTTGTCAGTGAAAACTTGTGGACTTTTAACTTTTCAGTGCCAACATACTAGATGTTTATGAAATGTCCTATTTATGGTAAATCTGGTTTTGAACTTCCTCTGAAAAGAGTTGTTATGCGGTTAATTGAAAATTTGGTGTTTAGGTATGGGCCGTTTGGTTGCAGCGTTGTAATTGTTACTGGGCTTATTGTCAGTTTCCTAACCGGTGAGTTCCTACGTCCATGTAATTATGCAAGATAAGACCGACCACGCACGTATCCCCTTAATATTGTTTCAGGTCGTTCTCACGGGAAGCATATGGATCCTCGCTTAATGTACCCACTTTTCTACAAATTTGCCTTCTTTCTCCCTCGAAAATACCGAGAAAAGTTGCTTTTTGGCGTTCCCTATTCGGATTTAGACGGGGATTCGATGGGCAATAAGGAAAGGAACGGACACGCTATGGGTTCATGTGTTACCATCACCACTGGAGTGGATATTATCAACAGTAGATCTGGTGCAAAACTCGATGACCTTTCGCAGTATCAAACGTCGGCTTTATAAAAACAGTCTTCTGGAGAATTATCTCGCTGTTTTTTATCGATATGTCACGGAAATGATGACTTATTAAAAATCATTCCAATCCGATCTACTCTATCGAAGGATTACATGACTTTCTTGTGCTGCAAAATACAATATGCTAGTATAAAAATAGCGTGAAAACCGACCGGCCAGCGTAAAAAATTAAAAACGAAATAAAGAAAATATTAAATTGCACATGTTACCGCAAAGTTTGCGTAAAAAGACATGAAATCAGACTAGTAGGAAATTCAAAATAAAATCATAAAAACTTAATAGGAAGATAAAATCAATATCTGCCGTTCCGAAATAGAAGGGAAGAGATAAAACAAAAAATGAGCTAAAAAATCGAAACTGATTCTAACGGAGAATGTAAAAATAAAACACACAGTAAGGAAAAGGACATCTGGATACTGGCTAGAACTCATCCGCGTATTCCGACTCCGCGGTTGCCATATGATCGTCATCCATTAAAATTTTAATAGACGAACGCGGCGATGCAGCCCGCTGTGGTTTCGGCACCACAACACCTCTTATGTCTTCCACATACGTTGTCTTTCTGTTGTATGGCACACTATCCAGGCAGTCCACGATCGCATTTCTTCGAATTCTGTTGGGCGGCGCTGTTGGTTGCTCATAGGCATCCGGCTCGGCGACACTGCGTTTCCTGTACGCTTCAGCCCCCGCGTAAAGGTCACCGTAATTTGGTTCATCTTTGTAAGTGTCCAACTGATCTTTCAGGTGCGTCGACACGGCATTCCAAAATGTCTGGCGTTCACTCAGCTGATGCGGTGGTAACTGGTTGGCATCGTGCATTATATCATAATAATCCGGCTGACCTTTCTTGTCGGGCTGGAAGCGCTCGTCCAGCCTTTGTCCAGAATATTCTACTGCGTATGACGTTTGATAGTCGGATGGCATTTGATAAAGAGGTGGAAGCGAGATTTTTTTTGTGGTATTGACGTCAAGTTCCTTTGAATGTCGAGGGCGTTGGTGAAATTTGGATGCCGTTGTTTCGCTGGCTTGGAAAGCTGGTACGAGAGGGCCGACAATACCGACGGACATATTCCGCCAGTATTTACGGCTGTACTTAGATTCCGGTGCACTGAGAGTGGCTTCTTCCAAAAATGAAAGATCCCGTGTGGAAGATCGCTTTTTCTCGTGCTTGGAAGTACATTGCGGCTGGTATTCTATACTAGTTTCCGGCTCGGAAGGAAGAACATCAGAGAAGTCTTCCTGTAATAACATAAAGAAATTTAATCATGCTGACACATACATATGATGCTTTAATTAGGTAATTACATACCGTAGTTATATATGGAGTTATGTTAGTACTTAATTTTGCGCTTATACAGTAAGTACATTGTAATTATTCAGTTAAAACAAAGTGCGAATTCTCTCGTAGAATACGAGAGAATTCGCACTTTCGTATTCTACGAGAGTGCGAATAGATATCGACACCGTAGATATCGACACCATATACCCCTGGTATGTATATAGATATAACATTTGTCATATATATATATATATTTGTATAATATGTAATGTATCTGATAATATTTATGCTTAACATATTTAATAAATTTGATAGATTATTATCTAGCTAAGAATCTAAAATTGAATTGCGCAGAACCTTTCACGCAGTTTTTGAATTCTACTGATTTATAGGACCATCGTATGTAAAAAGTACATGTTCTGCACGCCCAGAGCAAAAACTAGCCTGTGTAACAGATGTCCTCTGTCTTGTTCCAACATGCTGTTCCGGAAATAGCCCTACACTTGGGGGCGCTGTGGAAATTTTACGAGGGAAAAAATCATTCTGTTCACGGTCAAAAGAATAAGAAGTCTGGTACATGCTCTTTCGATGAAGGGAAGGTGATAATTCGGAATGACCATTTTCCACACCGATCCGGTCGGCGCTGTATTTGCTGGTATTTCCTTCTTCAAGACCTTCGTTCTCAGTTCCCGTAAATGATCCAAACCAGGCTGGAATTCTGGGAACATTCTAGGAAGGAACAAACAATCGCAAAAAAATCGCAGTCCAAGGGTCAGCTACGCAATTGACTTGTGGATGGAATAAAAAAGAAACAATGCGATCAAATAAGGCTCTTTTGTGTCAATCTTAACACAGGTGCTTACGGAAAAATCATCTTCATACTGAGTAGAATATTGAAATGCCCGTGACGGTTGCAGCAGCTCCTGGTAATGCACGGACTGCGCTGCTACTCCTTCTTCACCAGCAAAAGTCTCTTGATAAAGAGAGCGTTGTGGCACCAGAAAATTAAATGTATTTTCCATTATATTCGGCGCACTTCACACAATAAAAAAGAGGAAAAACTGAAACTTCAAGTGTTCATGTTACTGCTCACAAAATATAATTGCTGCTGTACATATTTCTACATTAAATATCATCTGTGTCTTCACTGTCGGTGAAAAGCTGATGACTGACTGACGGTCATGATTTTTTACTAAATTTACAAATTTTCAAAGTGGAATACCATTCATTCAAAATGATAATTACTCTTTCAGAGCTATATCGACGTCGGTAACTGGACCCTCGGCGATGTCCACGCTCAACTAAGAAATTAAGAGGTAAAAAAATAACTGATGTGTACGAAGACATGCGACTGCGATGCAACAGAATTGTATTTTCAGTAGCAGAATTGTATTGACAAATGACAAGTCTAGAAGTACCTCGGTAACCTGCCTTAGTTCCGTGACCTTTGATGAATTGACCTTTCGTATTTTGTTACACAGCCATCATAATTATATTGAAATAAAAACGATTTTGAATCTTCGTTAGACTGCAGTAGACTCAATAAAACTCCGTGCGTCTCGTACATTCGCAGAATGCGAGTTGCATTCATTTAATATTACTGCACATAAGTACTAGCAAAGTGCGCCTTCGAAATCATAAAATTCAGCCTACTTTCTTGTTACATGAAGCTGCTAAATTTCAGTGATGGTGGTTAGTCTGTTTTCAAAGATTGGTTAATTACAGTATTAAACATAAACCATAATAATAACTTAACCAATAATAAGTGAGTATTGATTAACGGAGTTGCCTTATATGGCCATATTGCCATATTTGGTTAAACGTCATTGTGCTTATCAGGACAAAGAGCGACTGTACGACATACAGTACTGTACTCTGAGTGTACTCACTAGTCACAATCACAGTTAACAAGCTCTATGTACATATCAACCACTGACAGGCACCTGATCTCAAGGGCAACGATTTTTGATATCAATTTAAACTTTAAATTATGGAAAAAATATTGTTCATTATAATATTATTATGTACGATTAGATGTACAAGCAGTAAAAGTAAATTACAGCATTATCGTCAGTTATTTTAAATGAGCATAAATAGCCAAACAAGGAAATACTGCAACTTTCCAAAATTACTGTAATGATCTTCCTCGCTTGGCTCGCTTACAGTTCATGAGTTTTTGTCATGATGGACCATTGATATGGTAAAGATGTACGTACGCGGCTCATTCAGAACATGTACGGTCTAGCATCCAGTCTCAAATGAAGCTCATTATACAGACTGTGCTGCAATTATTTGGCGGAGACGCCCCCATGAGGTATTCGTGTTCACTCATCCGCCGTCTCATTTTGCAGTCTCGTTATCGCCACATTGCCTGGTTAAAAGTTTTGCAGGGTACGCCAATAAAGCAGCCAGTTTCCTATAAATTGTTATTCGAAGGCTGCATATTCCATACTTACTGGACTCCTGTTTTACTTTTGACTTGAGACAAGACACAACAATACAATGGTGCGTAAGAGACCCTTAAACTTGATGGCTTTCGGATTTCTTTTGGGACATTATCAGGCGAAAACATCGCTCTAAGTCGGGATCACTTTATTCCATTCAGTATAACCGGAACATTTCAGCAGGTTTGATTGACTTTTACAATATGCTGTTGTTTTCAGGCGTCCGGTGTTACCATTGCGGATGAATGCAAACAGCAGTTTGAATCAATCAAACGCGATAAAAAAGCTCGGTAAGCTTACGCGAGAACGCGCGCAGGTCTGTGCGGACATCTTAACCGGGGAATTGTGTTTGCAGCTATATCGTTTACATGATCAAGGATGAGAAGCAGATCGTCGTGGAGAAGGTCGGGGAGCGCAATGCCAACTATCAAGACTTCCTGAAGGATCTCCTCGCTGCTGGCCCTGATGACTGCCGCTACGGGGTCTTCGATTACGAATACGAACACAAGGTCCAAGGAGCAGCCACTGAAAGTCACAAGCAGAAATTGATTCTGCTTTCCTGGTAAGTCACTTATTGTGTGATGCAGTCTGCAGAGTAACTTTTCCCTGTTGCATGAAACTGGTAAAAATAAGTCGAAGTTCCTCTAGTTTTAATTAAAACTCAGAATACCACATTTAACCGTTTAACGATAAAATTCTTTTCAACTTCTAAACATAAAGCGTTAATATTCGAAATGTACGAACAGTTTAATCCGCGTGAACTTCATGTCACTTTTTCGAGTTATCTATTTTAGCCATTTTTGAATGGATGCTTATTTGCATGGCACTATATATTTTTTATGGTAGTTTCACATGTACCATGTCTCTCTGACGTGAAAGTGCAATAACACGATCAAAGCAATGTTAATTTTACTATTATAAAGACTAAATGGCAAATGTGTAAGTAAATGGAAAAAATATATTGATATTTCTGACTGGATTCGAGTGGCACTAGGTGCACGTTTTTAAATGTTTGGTTGAGATTTTTTGGGGAGATTATGAGATTTGATGGTGTTACAGGTGCCCTGATACCGCCAAGGTGAAGAAGAAGATGTTGTACTCCAGCAGCTTTGATGCGCTGAAGAAAGCTTTGGTTGGCGTGGCTAAATACATTCAGGCTACGGACGAATCTGAGGCCTCCAAGGAAGCGGTGGAGGAAAAACTGCGATCAACCGATCGTTCTTGAAGCGATTCTTGTCCTGACTGAAGCCCGTTGTGGTTCTTTTTGATCATATTCGTTTCATGGTTTTTATTCCTGTTTTGCTTGTTTCTCGGCTGTGTTTGAAATCTGAACGGACATTCACTAATGAGCATTCCTTTTTTTATAACAAGTTGGACAAACAGTATGCGTTAATTGAGTGCGCTGTTGATGTTGTTTAATTTTTTATAACGATCAGTTCGAGTTAGTTGAAAGCAGTTTAAGTAAACGCTGAGTCACTTGCAAGGGGAGCGTTTGCGAAAGATGCGAGACCGTCGCCCATGAATCATCAGATGCAAACTCAGCATAACAGTCTCACAAGAATTTATATACGTACTACACGAAATAATAACTGATGCAGGAAAGGTCAAACACTTCCTCTAAAATTGCAAGCGATCTTGATGCAAACTGTTTGTCGCGCAAAAGGTATTTCCACGTTGGATCTGAAAGCGCAGTTATTCTCAGGCTGTCGGAAACTGATCAGCAAAGTACGTACAACAACACCTATGCATTGTGCGGTACTCGTCCGTGCGCTTCTGTTTACTCATGTTTTAGATGTTGATTCACATAATTATTATGAGTACTTCACAATCTTTATCTTTAATTTACAATAAATACGTTAAACAATTTGAAACCTACTCGCATTTGCCACTGAAAGAGAAATTTTTGAAAATAGTGCTGGTGTGGCGAGATCACTGAAAAAGATGCGGAATAACTATACGAGTACGTATAAATTAAATAATAATATATAATTATTTGTCCCACAAAAACCTCTGCCAATACTCGTACCAAATTACCAATCATTTGATTCAATTAATCATATAACTTGATTCGGTTTATTAGAAGCTCCACTCTGTCCAAGCTGACGATTAAATTGATATACAACGCTCTTGTCATGGAACTGTTTACCCCCGCAACATGCAAATTTAAACCAATAAAACAGATCATGCGCTGAAAAATAAGACCCCGCATAAGAAAACAGCACTCAGATTTTAGTTAAGGAAGATACATCCTCATGAGATCCATTATTTCCTTTATTCAAAACGGGACTCCAGTGGATTATACCAGAAGCAGCTCGTTTCATTTTCTTTCCAGATGATTTCCCGAAAGACGCCACCCCGTGCAAAGCACTGCTGATTGCTGTAGCGGTGCTTCCTCGCTTTGCCTTTTTTCCGCTAGGAACAGCTAGAAAAAAAAATATGCACTGCAACAACATTTTAACTGCCAACATTTTTGACAGAGTACTGAAATTCCCATACTTACTTTGTCGCAAGTCCCCTTTCATCCCGCTGTTAATCGTCTGCACCACTTTATCGGTGTCATGGATGGCCCTTTCCAATTGGTTCACGTCTCGCATGGTGGAACTGACTTTCTTGGTTGCTTCCAATAAGCGCTTAAGGAGCAACAGTACGGATGGTAAACGCTGAACGGGCCTGATCAGCAAGTCGCGCAAATGCTCCCGGAGGTGTTCAAAACCCGGTTCTTTACCTCGTTCACACTTCTTCAAGAGGCCTTGAAATCGCGGATACTGCTTCTCCCATTCCGAAATCAATGATACCAATTTGGGCTGTACGCTAACAAACGGCGGATACACTTCCTTTAAACGTTCGCATTGTCCAATGAAAATAGGCCCAATATCACAGTCTTCTTTCCATCCGAATAAGGTGCTCTCCAAATCATCAAGAATCTGCTGATGAACCACATGAATAGCATTAATTAAATGGATGTACACATGCATCTGCTCCGCCGCCGAGGCTTCCAACAGTGCTCCTGCAATCTGGTTTGGATCAAGCGATTTTTTCATAATCTCCAGTATACTCTCCAAAATGGTACAATAATTTTTCTCCGTCTCATGAATCTCCTGGACTATGTTGCGGCGTACAGTACGCACGGGTGTGGGACTGTACGGTACAGGGCTGGAAAGTGAATCATCCTCCGAAAAATCAAATGATGCATTCCTGGTTCTGGAACTGGACGATTCGGCCAAAGGTGACAGACGAGGACGGGAACGTCGTGTCTTCTTCGATGAAGCCTGATTTTTTCGCTTCTTTTCAAGGCTTCCCTGACTCAAAGTTTCCGCGGGAGTGTACTGTGGATAACCAGCTGGAGCTGCACAACTGTCTATCTGTACGCTCTGCCAAAACCATTCCGCCGGCAAAACTGCGCCATCCGACTTCTGCTTGAAGAACAACGGTCTCGGGAGAGCAAAGTCGCTATCGGTGTCACTTTCCAAGTCTTTCTTACAAATTATATTGATCATCCGTTCCTTCTTTGGTGAAGAGCCCTCAGTGGAGGTCACTTGCCAATGTCCCCCTTTCAAATCTTCTAGTACGATATAAGAGGCATCGTCTTCGTCAGCAGCAATTTCTCCACCGTTTTTCTCACACAAATCCTTCACATTTTTGGTTTCGGTTTCAGAAAAACCATGAAAAAATACCTTCAGCCCCGTAAATGGTTTAAACCGGAACTCGGCAATTAAAGCGGGATCATGGGGGTTTATGTCTTTATCTCGGTTTTTCCATAAATGATGAATCCATGCCTTTCGGAGAACGGGAATTCCGATAGCGACAGCGACACCATATTTGTCACACTGAACACCGCTGGCTATTACATGTGTGGCTCGGTCCCCAGAACCAGACTTTGGAAAGCGGTCGCGTGCCTACAGGTACACAAAGATTTCGTCGTGTCGGCACATATAGAATACATATAAAAAAGAATTTTCTTTTTGAGGTGAACGCTTTACGCTGGGCCACCAAAAAATCGCGTTTAACTTACGGAAGACATGGAGAGAAAAATTGCTTATGGGGTAAATTTACAGAAAGTTGCGAACTAATCCTCTGCTTCCTGTGCATACAGTTCTGTACTAATTGTAGAATTCGGCGAGAAATTGTAATTGCATTATTTCCTTGTAAACTCTAGAAGTATTAAGAATTATTAATGCTTAGAAGAGACTTAACTAAAAAACTGTGAATGAATGATAAGAATAATAGCTAATAATAACATATTGGGATAGTTGGCGACTACAGATAAGTACTGTAACGAGAAAGCACGTGCCTGTCCACCCATCCACTGTATCCAGTGTACGAGCTTTTCCAGCTCTTTGATGGCATCATCGTCTTGCTTAAATCCAGTAAGCACGCAAACGGTGTCCTTCATGCACAGATTATACAGCGCCATCGGATGGCGGCCACGTCCCTTGATACCCAGTTTGACGTCGCTGTTGTTTTTGCGGGCGGCTGCGAAATGCTCCAGTGCCGGTGGTGCTAGTACCGAAACAGACTTACGTAGACTATCGAACTCTGGTAGCTCATCGAAGGCACTTGTGACAACTACTGTCTTCAAATCTGAATGGCTTTCGGAATGCGCAGCACGTGCAGCCAGAAACTGTGCTTTAGGAATGATGGTCCCTCCAATGTCTGCGACCAGGGAACGAAAATTTTCGTCCGACGGTTCATCATAATTAACGACACGCAGCGGGGTTTGTGCGGCCGGGGTGTTCTATAATAAAACAAATGAGCAAATGTGACTGGCAAATGTGAGGATCACTATAAAGGAAGTTAGGTATTTAAAACGTTCTTGCAATAAAATTAATATAATATAACAGCAAATGGGACAAAAGTCACAAAAGGAATAGCAATACGAAAATAATAGCCAGTTTCACCTGTTGCATGCTCAACGTGTGTAATCTGCATCATATCCACATCGCCCATTTTATGATGCAAACCCAGTAAAGGGATATTAAAATTTTCTAACAGCAAGGAAAGTCGCGATCGACGATTCCACCTGAAAAGATGCATTCTGCAGTAGAGTGGATGGCTGACAATTACAAAAAAAGCCGAACAATCAACATTTCGGAAGCGAAGACCCGCTGCTCTAAACTTCAAAGAATCAAGACTAAAAGAACATCTGTCAAATGCTAAACAGGATCATGATCATTTATGATTTCATTAGACCATTAGGGTATGTTGCCGTTCAGTTTGTAAACAAACTGGTAACAAGGATTTCTTGGTTCCTTCGAACAGACGAACACTCACCCAAAATTCCAAGCTAGAAACACTCCTTAAAAGTTGTCAGTTTTGTTGCCGAGTCATCGGGCTAGGAACAATCCGTTACTCAAAATCAAATACCACGTAATTCTATGAATTCAGATCAAAAACCTGATAATTCTCAACACTTTGCGGAATGAATGTGAAAATTTAAAATTAAAAACATAAATTTTCAACAGTATCTGCTAACAAATCTTGACACGGAAGTGATGGAACGTGCAATGGTAGTGGTACCAAATTTTAGCAAAACAAACAGGTCTTTTTTGTGAATCAATGAAAAAAATAAGAAATGGTGTTCCAGACCGACAAACCGCAACTGAAAAGAGCCGCCGTTTTAGTGACGTTTTAACCGTTGAAATTTACTTAAGTACTGTATATGAACAAGTATTGTACGAGTACCATCAACATCGCGTGCTGCTATGGACGCTGAGTTCTGAGACTTAAACTAGGTATTCAGTACTCACTGCGGGACAAATTTGTTTTGTTTGGATTAATGCCAAACGAAATTTAGGATTGCTCGCATCGTCTAATGGCAAGACGTTGGCCTCCGGAGCCAAAGAGTGTGGGTTCGAGTCCCATTGCGGGCGTACTTTTTGGTTTTTTTGCACAATCTTTGCAAAAACATGTTGACTTATAAAAGTTGAATCAACAACTTGTTTGTGCCTGCTAATCTAATTAGTCTTTTGCGATTTCAAATTTAACATCAACGGATTAACTGTTAGGCGGTTTATTGTAACTCAGCATTTGTAGCCATCATTTTGTTTTTCGGGCGGGTATGTAAACATCCTGATCAAAGCATTACCACCCCTTGCGGTTGGCGACGCTTCGTATGTGGGCAGGCAGGCTTCGCAATCGCAGCCTTCACTTTCGAATTTTTTTAAAAAGTACGTAAGTTAAACCGTTGATTGTTGAAGGTACGCGTGTTATTACTATGCGATGAGGCGGAAATTCGATTTATGGCAAGCAATTACATTCGCAGCGTAAAATTAAGCTGTGGCTTGGCTGTCACCAGGCACACTACTTACGGGTGTTGACATTTTCAACTGAAAATTCCAGGTGCGGTAGATATAATGCCGCGATAAGATAAGGAGCTTCGCGTGGAATGAAAATTATGGTACTACTGAGAAATAAAAAAAACGTCGGTATACTATAAGCAATTAATTACGAAAATAAAATTCGGCCAGCCTAGCAATTCATAGCAAATGGAATTTTCAGTTGAAAATGTCAACACCCGTAAGTAGTGTGCCTGGTGACAGCCAAGCCACAGCTTAATTTTACGCTGCGAATGTAATTGCTTGCCATAAATCGAATTTCCGCCTCATCGCATAGTAATAACACGCGTACGTTGAAGTTTATGCTTCGCTATTTGCGGTTTGCTTTTAGAATTAATTTTATTGTTTTGTAACTTGTATTATTGTTTGTATTTATTATTTGTTGGAATCCGTACATACGCAGCAGCTGGGAGAATTACTGGGAGATAGTATGCTTATTTGGGCGTTCCTGCATTCATCAGTACAAGTGACGGTTCTGTATCGTCCTAGAGTAGCCTGGGAGACTTGATTGAAGAAGACTTGAGTCACTTGATTGAAGATTGCGGATTGCCTCAGTTGTGCCACCAACTGGCCCATTGCGTTCCTCGGCTCCCGATCGGACATATTTCACTTAAAATCTGACAATGGACTTTATTTTTAAGCCATTTATGTTTACCAACGACCTTGTAGAAGAACCCGTGGAGGTTGTCGTTAATGCAGGTAACTTTCGGATGGCGCTTGTGAATCCGTCTATCAAAAATAATGCATTATACAGAAGGTGCTCGCACTTTATACAGGAGATCTTCCATGGCCGACCGATGCGATTCTTTGCGTTCCTCCACTTGGTGAGTTTGAGAATATAAAATGCGACTTTGTAACTTTCTGTTACCTATTGGTAATTGCAGGTGTGCAAGTTACTCTCCATGAGCAAGCCGAATGTTTGGCAACTCAAGCGTTTCTACGCATGCATGGTTAGTAAGTGAAATGAACTTGACTTGTGACGATTATGTATTGATTAAAAGTTTAAGTCGATTTGGTTTTTTGAATTGCTAGAAATCAGAAGTGAACGGTGTTGCAATTTTCAGGTCTGAAATTTGTGCTCGATGAACGCTCGAATGCAGAATTCATATCCGTATCTGGTAAACTACCTCTTCTTAAGGTGGAAAATCATTTTGTGGCTGGCTTCGACGCCATTACCGCATATGCTCGACTGCGGGTAGGCACGACACTTATGAAATGAGTTACTTAGTTCAGGAAAGTATTGCGCATATTGCAGACTTTGATGTCGTCAGTAGGAAGATTACGGCTTGTCATCTGATAAATTATTGAGAATTTGGGTTTTTTTCATTTTTCACATGTACTGCAGGGTCTAGTTACTCTAATAGTACTCGTAATATGTATTCTGGGCCCATCCGCCCCGGCATTCGCTTAGAAAACTGTTTCGGAAGTCTGACTTACTTTAATGACTTTTCACTGCCTGAGAAGTGAGACCAACTGAATTTGGCCTTTCTGGATTATCTATCTTGTTGCGTTCAAAAAGCAGTTTGTTTTTGCCTTCCGATCGTTCTTGGTTTTAGATTCGTCAGCAGTTGACTAATGAACAGGAAGGATCCATCCGACCGTATGTGGAAATGATACAAATAACCGTAAAAAATGCCGAAGTGCGTAATTGAATTGAAGTCATTTGCTACAGGGGTAGTTAAGCGGGTATCAGGTTTATTTATCTACCCACTTCCATTTAATTTTTACACCTGTTTTTTTGCAGTTGTATGCTGCCTGGTTGGATGATGCAAATTATAAAGCTGTCACGAAAGATCGGTATGGCTCTCCATATCCCGCACCGTTGAATAAAATTCTGCCGTTTTTGAAACGCTTGCAAATCAAAGCGTACTTAATGGAAATGTCTCCTTTGCGATCAATTGAGGACGTTCGAGAGAGTCTTTTAAGTGATCTGCGAGCTTTGAGCGAACGGTTGGGACCACGACCTTACTTTCTGGATGATGTGTAAGATTTTTGTTATGTTTGTCATTCAACCATACTTTGATATCTTGATTTTATTTGATAAAATTATTTTTTCTCTACAATGACTGATTTATAATGAAACTGTTATAACTACAGGTTTATACCGTTATAACGTCCTTTTAAAAGTAGATCCGTCCTTTTTTTTATTCATCCTTTTAAAAGTAGATCCTCATCTCGCTACGAATTGTGCTAAAGTGTACAGAAGTAATGTTATGCATTTGTGTAGTTATTCGAAATGCTTTGCACTGCAAAGTGTAATAATTAGCAACGTGTTGCCTCCATTATGCGTTGATGATAGCTAATTAACGTGACGTGATAGACGATTTTCCTCATGTAAAATTATTGTAGGCATACAAACGAATTGGATGCGTTGGCATTTGGACATCTCAGCGCTCTCCTGACATGCCATCTTCCAGAAGGAAATCTGAGCGAACTGGTTCAACGCCATCAGAATTTAGTGGCATTCTGCCAACGAGTGGATCGGTTATTTTTCGCCAAAGAACTTGGACTGAATACCGAACTTTACAATGCCACTGTAGTTACGGGAATGCGCCGACTGCCTCCGATGCTAATCAAGAGCGACATTTAATCTGAAGCACCGGATTACCATCTAGCTGCTCGCATAGTTACTTACTCGCGGCAGCCACTAATTGCTCTTTTATTGTTGCGCAAAGTTTTCAGAATATGTTGAGAAAGCGATCAAATGTTGCGGTGTATTAATTATCATATAGTATTTGTGACGGTTGTCTTATTACGAGTGATCTGTATCCGTAAAGCAGTAAATTCTAATATATGCCTATAAACAAGCGGACTTGTGATTTTTAAGGTGCAGCATGTGGTAATCCACAAACTCCATACAATAACAAAAACTGAAAAACATTTATTTCAGCACTATTTTCGTCATTTTCTTTCAGAATACTTTTTAGATTCCCCTATTTCAAGAAATGTTCAAATAACGAAACTTTAATTTAACATTAATTTTCATTGCTGTTGAACTGTTAGTCGTCAGTCGATGGGAAACTAAACACAGTGACGGTAAACGAAATGATTACAGTATGTACTAAAAAACTTTAGGACGAAATCAGGCAGAAGCAAAATGTACGAAATGACACGATTCTTCATCCTAAAACAAGAAGTAACGCTGGGTCAGGGGAAGCGTTTTTGCAGGCGGACAGGTCAAGTGTTCCTTGTCTGTGGATCCATCAGTTTTAGAGATAATATTGTAGACTTTATAGTTGTTTGGATTAACTAAAAATCAACGCAATCGACTCATGAAAGCCATTAAATTTAATTAGCTGCTACCGGCTCATTCTGAAACTTACTTTCTAGCCGAGGAGTGGCTGTATTCAACACCATGGATGCCTTGCTGACTTTAGCGCACCCATGAACGGCATATCGTTTTTTGGTTGTAGTGAAATTTTTCCCTCGCTGACCTATTTTTACAAGACCAAAATCAAAACATTAGAGTCAATAACGGTTTTAAAGTAGCCAGTAATTCGAAAAATTATTGCGCTGCTGCATAAACCAACCTTAGAGATAAAAAGAATGGAATTATGTGATGGACTTTTCCCATAAGCACCAAACATTTTACGCTGCTTCACTGGTTCAGGAGTTGGTATAGAAGCATTTGGCATACCCATCTGAGACCATGCAATCTGCAAAAAATTCCATAATACGATGATGCGATCTGAACTTAAAAATATTGTAGCCGATATTATTTCAATATGGCAGTTCCCACACCTTATGTTTACGAGTATTTACAGTTAAAAGTTTAAAAAGATTCGCTGTTTAGATAGCGCTTGTGTTTACTGTGCACATCGCAATATAGTATATGTACCTGCCCACCCTTCAGCACCATGGCCGGCTTTGCTCCAAAGAACGCCGGTTCCCATAACACTAAGTCGGCAAACTTTCCAATCTGCAGTACCATAGTTATTTAAATTATTTATCCTAAACGCCTCATTTTTGTGTAACAGATCCGTTTTTGTGGTAAATGAAAGTCCGTGACTAAACGAAAGAAGAGTTATGATGACCTTCTAGACAATTGATTGCAGAGCGTAAAGACGACCATCAGAGACGGAAATGTTGCTTATGTATGCGTAATATCTTTCTTTAGTCATTCACCTCAATGGAACCAATAATATCGCGCGCGCCACTAACTATGGCAGGATTTATAGTGTACCTGGAAAAGTGAATTTTAAAGTACCCTCCCGAGATTCAAGACACCATCACACACTTCATCCACTTACTTTGCCACGTATCGACGAGCCCGGAAGTTGTCGTTGTCGCCCTTTAATCACAGTGAACAAGTGAAGAACCATATTCGAAATACAACAATTCATTCACCGTACAAGAATCACTTCAAACGGTGTTTTTTTTGCGCCTTTACCGTTTCTTCAGAAAGTCGTCCGCGGATGCTCTTCATTTTATCTGCCGTCTGCCACGTTCGCGTTATGACTTCGCCAATGCGACCCATTGCCTATCAAAGGGCAAGAATTCCGTATTTCACTTAAAAAGAACAAAGTCTTATGATTCGATTTATAACATTAAATGAAAAATATAGGTACAAACATCGCTCATAACGAAGCATATATATAACGCACAACACAATACAACACACGGTAATTCTAAACAGCTGAATGCGCATAAAGCTAGAAGTTTATGGTTTTATAATAATCTTCGTTTACTCTTTTGCTGTGCACGGTAGAAATAGTTGAACACGTCACTGCAAACCAGCTCAAGGTCAAACGCGTCACCTGACCTGAGAATCGGAACTGATTATAGAAATGGCACCCAAATCATGTAAGATATCTTCTGCAGCAATCGTTTCCGCTCGAATTCGACTTTCAGCAAAAGCCAAATCTTCTTTGAGATTCCTGTACAACACAAAACCTTCTAGTAGGAACCAGGTCCTATCATTCTGAGCTAAGATACACAGATCTAGATAATCACTATACCGGTATCATGGAAAGTTTTCGCCCAACTTACTTATCCAGATGATGGCAAACCAGCAGCATATCCTACAGCTCATAAACAAATAATTAATTTTGCTTTCACACAAAGCACACGGACTACTAACTGGATTAAAGCGTTAACTTTTAACATTATTCATACCAAATGCTCGTCGATTGTGTTAACGGTGAATGGTCGCGTTGGGTTGGTACTGCTAGGTATGACGTTTTGGGCGCCGACTACTTTCATGATGTCCTGAAATTAAAAAAGCAATTCTTCAACCACGACACCGAACTCCAGAATTCCAGGTTTTTATGTAAGAACGACACAAGTCAACAGAAATAGTCATGATACTTCTATAATTGCATGAATTCCCAAAACGCTGATTAAGTAGCGCGTGAATATTTTTGGCAACTTGTCTTACAGGAGCATGTCCACCACCGGCCCCTTCCGTGTGGTAAGCATGAATCGTTCGTCCATTTATCGCTTCCAGTGTGTGCTCTACACAGGACGATTCATTAAGGGTGTCGGTGTGGATTGTCACTTGGACATCGTACGCCTCTCCAACTTTTAAAGCTGCATCGATGGCAGACGGTGTTGTTCCCCAGTCTTCGTGCAGCTTTAACCTAAATGTACAATAAATCGGAAGTGTTTGGCGACTCTTTAAAGTTTTCTTAGCAATGACCTTAAAATTACTCCTTTTATTACGATGTCTCTGAAGTACTAGTATCCGTATTTTATATTTTACTGTCACTTCCATAAGAATTTTAAAACGTATAACAGACCCGATAGCGCCAGCCTCGATTTGTTCCACTAGTTCAGGGGCTAATTTTCCCGATCCGGTACCACTTGAATTTCCTTTGCCGGTAAACCCGAAATTCATTGGGAAATTATCCGTAGCCTCCATCATCTGCCTGCAACACAACATCAAAACGCTTTGCACAAACACCTGCAAAGGCTACGTTTCGTAGTTCGTCTTCATTAGTTGCTCTTGCTAAATTGTATGCGTACCGAATGTGTTCCGGTCCAGGAGAACATGTGGTGGCACAAGTACCTGACGCCGGACCCTATACAGTGTAAAGAGAACTTGAAAATTCCATGCGCGAGCGCGGATTAGCATGCCCGGCGGTCAAGTGTACAGTGTACACTTTGACAGACCGACAAAGCGGAACAACTGAAAGATTTCCGTGATTTCGAAAAAAAATCGTGTGTTTAATTGACTTTTGATTTAGGAACATACAGTTCCGCCTCCAATCATTGTGGTAATCCCTGCAGCAACGGCTTCTCGGACCAACTGGGGACAAATAAAATGCACATGGGTATCAATAGCACCAGCGGTTATTATTAATCCCTCTCCGGCGATGGCCTCTGTTCCCGCACCCACTATCAAGTTAGTGTCAACACCCTCCATTACGTCAGGGTTGCCGGCCTTTCCAAGTCCCACAATATGCCCATCCTGTAACAACATCGACCAGATTAGACACAACTGATTTGTAAAACTGGTATACTATAGGGATCGACAAGATGACATGCAGCTGTACTGAGAAAGCTTCGGTAAATATTACCTTTATTCCAATATCGCACTTAAAAATTCCTGTCACGCTGTCAACAACCAGAGCATTTGTGATCACTGTATCCAGGGCGGTGTGCGAGCGTTCAGCTTTGTTGGCGATACCCGCTGCTTGGCCCATCCCTTCACGAAGAACCTGAAAAGTGACGCTTAATTTCATTTCATCCAATTAATTACCGTTTCATATGATACCTTGCCACCGCCAAATTTGCACTCATCTCCGTAAACTGTGTAATCCTTTTCGACTTCTATGATAAGACCGGTGTCGCCCAGTCGGACACGATCTCCAGTTGTCGGCCCGTATATCTTGGCGTACACTGGCCTTGGTATTCGAGAAGGATCAGTACGGATCTCCAAATCATGCTCTTGTTTGGCATGTCGGAAGCCTTGATTCAGAAGCTATTAAATGCAGATCAGATTACCAAATCGGCAGTCTTCTTCCCCGAAACCACTATAGTAAAACCAAAGATTCTAAATTTCATGTGTTAACATACCCGTTCCATAACGGAGGGAAGATTTTCTAAAGAGAACTGTCCATTGCACAATCCATTTCCTCCTCTGATGACTTGATTTCCGGCAATTTCGGTTAGGAAGACTTTCCGGATGTCGCCTGGTTCGAACCGGACTGCGGTACCAGCAGCGATGTTGAGTCGCATTCCATACGCCCGAGCACGATCAAACTGAAGGAATTTGTTAGCTTCGATGAAGTGATAGTGACTGCCAACTTGGATGGGGCGATCGCAAAAGCTCTGGACTTCCAAAATGTCGGTGCGTCGGCCTTGATTGATTTGAATGGGATTTCCTTTGACCGGCATAATCTGACCGGGCGACTGACCATGAACATCCGAAGATCCACGCTGGAAAACGTTATAACTCGGAACGGGCAAAAAACTGCCGTATAACGCCAACTGCAGATCGCCATCCTGAGCTGATATAGGGTGATGCACCGTTATAAGTTTAGTGCCATCTGGAAATGTGGCTTCAATTTGGATCTCGTGGATCATTTCCGGCACGCCCGGCATAACTTGATTCGTACCTAGCATGAACACACAATGTAGGTATCACACCTGGGCAGTTATGGAAAATGCAACCACCGTTAGAGTTACGAGTTACAGGTAGCGTGCGAGTTACGCTACGAGTTACGCTATTTATGCAAGTAAAACCGAGTTTCGAGTTATACCGCGAGTTACGCTACCATAGACAATGTATACAAATTTCTGGCGAGTTACGTTAGAGTTAAGTGTTTTGGGTAGCGAGTTACGCTACAGAGTTACGTTAAAACTCGATAACTCGCAAATAACTCGCGTTAAGTTATAGAGTTAAGTTATAACTGCCCAGGTCTGGTAGGTATACATAATGTCCTGATTTTATCACTATAAGTCCTAGGTATGCCTCTATAATATTGCAAGGTTAATTATCCACAAATTCTGTGATTAATGCTGCACCACGGACCGCATTTCAAGGCCAGCTACAGCGTTACAACGTAGAGTGAAGAAACAGCAATATCTATATTATGTCGTTTTACCTGCAAGTTTACAACGAGCAGCCTGATTAAACAATTGTTATTCATTTTAGCGATCGCCACTACAAAATTGCCGAAGTACAACAACATGCCATACGACTATTCAACATACAAGTACTTATTAACATACTGTAATGTACTGCAGTGACTTAAAGCAGTGTTGTTGCGTGCACAACTTCCGGTTTACTTATTTACCCAGCATTTTTGCGCCAATGTCCATCAACTCCGCAACGCTGTGGTTGCCATCCCTTACTAGTTCTTGCAACTAAACACGAGCAACAAAGACCAGAGTATTTCTGCGGAGTATAATCGTATAATCCACCGTGGCAAACATGCAATGCAAGGATACAGTCGCGTTTAACCCAGTTTACCTGAGCGGCAATCAGCGCTACGCTTTCTGGATGGTTTAGCTTGCATCCTCGCGCTAATCCTATAAAACATGGATTAAATTCCTGTACATGTATTCTAACCCCTTAGCACCCAAGCAATTACCAAACTTAATAAGCTGTCACGGCAGAGATTTTACCCGACGGACTTCTACAGTGTGTTATCAGGTACAAACAGATATACGAGTTTAACGAGAACTCACTCTTTTGGGCTACAAATCCGGCGTTGTGGATAAGAAGACTTTCCTGCTCCCGTGGACTCAAGTGCATGGCTATGGGATGAGATTTTTCAATCGGCTATTCACACACTCCAGTGCAGCTTGGCTTTGGTTGGTATGCAGTTAGTACAAATTGGATTAATTTGATTATCAGCCGGATACCAGGGCAAAAACACTGCCTACCCTAGAATAGTAAAGCCTGTACAAATCAGCGACATATCAACTTGTATATTGCCACTACTGCACAGCAGAGATTGGAATTTAAACTTTTCAGCTGCGGCAGAATACAATACCGCTATCTGGTAATCAGATGGTCGTAAAAGATAGGAAATCTGTGCAAAAGAGCTGTTAAATACAGTCGTATTGTATTTACCGAAATCTGCACTATAGTCGCATCGGTGTTATCACAGCTGCTCTCTAAATCTGGAGCCGGGTATGTTGTTGTATTACCGAATTTCTTTTCTTGAATGGTGGAATGTTTTGTGTTGTACCTGAACGAGCTAAAATTTCGCCAGAAGCGTAAGCTTAAAAAAGAGTTCCCTGAAACCGGTTGTGACCTTGCAATTCGCTTGCATTTACGGTAAGGTAAGGAAGTGTATCACGTCTACCGTTTAAAAATCTACTCCTAATCTATTGCGAAAATGCCTTCGTCAATCTTGTGCAGGAATCATTTATCCATTTTGCCCTCATTGTTTTGCTACAGAGAAACCGCATTTATTTGCAAAAGGTAAGCGAAATGAATTGTGACTGCGTTAGTTTGTTTTGTACAGCGGCTCATGCAGTGTAGTGCAAAGAACGCGAATTGAACCTAAGAATTCTATTTTAGGCGATAATCGTTGGAAGTATTTATATGTCTTTTTTGCAGCCCCTGCGATTTAATTTTGGCTTCGAACGTACCTGAATCTATACTTAATTATGGAAACACAGAATGTGGTTTTCCAAAAAGGTAAATTTCCTAAACAAAAAAAATATGAGATGTTGTAAGGCATCTTATCGTTGTTTGTATGGCTTGTAGCCTGTAGCAAGTGTCCAATACAAACATATTGTACATGCTACAGCGTACCGTCCTACGGTACTTTACACACTTTTTTGGGGGTTATCGTTAGTGTGTTTTTTAAATACATTCGGGTCCACAAAAGCACAATAATGTGTTCACGGTTCAGATTTCATAAAAATTAAGTTTTATGTTGTTTGCAAACTAGCTCTACAGTCACGAGCGTAAGTAATACTAAGTACATGTACTCGCGCTGTGGATTGATCAAAATTTGTATCACAAGGAGGATCTCTCGTTTCCGCGACATCTCAAGGTGGGCACCATCATGGCCATGATCATTCTCATGGTAAGTACTAGTGGACCGGAAGCCTTGTTTAATTGACAGACGCCTCATTTCTTTGGCGTCGAAAATTTGAAATGTAGCACTTAATCTAAATGGGCATAAATTTTAGACCACGGCCATCACAGTCATGAACACGAACATGGCCATACCCATGAAATCATGGACAATCCCGGCAGCTATGAGCACCGTGAACCGTTGCGTCATCGCACCAACTGGAAGGAGGTCAGATAATACGGCTACACTGCTACAGATCTATGGAGTACTAGGTAGTAAGTCTACAAACCACCTACATTTCGCTAAAATTGTACATGCTGTCTACAGCGCGCATTCACCGTGGGAATAGGAGGGCCAGTAGGATCTGGGAAAACTGCGTTGGTGCTAGCGTTATGCCGATACCTGCGCGATTCCCACAACATCTGTGTCGTGACAAACGATATTTTCACTCGGTAACTTGCTTCAATTACTCTGCATCAGCCCGCCAGACGTCTGCATGACTAACAATTGCAGGGAAGATTGGGAATTTTTAGTAAGAAATAAGGCGCTGGAAGAAAAGCGGATGAAAGCTGTCGAAACCGGAGGATGTCCGCACGCTGCTATTCGCGAAGTACAATGCATCCTGCAGCTGTGATCCAGAACGTTCTTGTTCGTCTTACGTAACATGCACATCTTGTTTCTTGAAGGACTATTCCTTAAATTTTCAAACTGTGAAAGACCTAACAAAAGAGTTCCAGCCGGAAATAGTATTCTTGGAGTCAGGCGGCGACAATTTAGCGGCTAATTTCAGCAGGGAATTGGCGGATTATATAATCTACGTCATCGATGTGGCTGGTATGTTTTAACCGATATAGCTTATCTGTCTGTAGTATTAACATCAGCGCTTAGCGATATGTCTTGGCGAAACGTTCTGGTTCTGTTTAGGCGGGGATAAGATTCCCCGGAAAGGCGGACCGGGCATTACCCAAAGCGATTTACTGGTAATCAACAAAACAGACTTGGCGGAGGCAGTGGGAGCGAGTCTGGATGTCATGCGGCGGGATGCGGATGTGATGCGCCAAAACGGTCCCACGATATTTGCGCAGGCTAAAAATATGGTCGGAGTCAAGGAAATCGCAGACTGTATTTTAACTGCATACAAAGATTCTGCCAACTGATCACCGTGGATCTTGCAATGCATGATATTTATTTAATAAGACACAATTCTGTCCGGGTTTCAGGAGCAGTACTCGCATAGTATTAATATTAATGTATCTCATCATGCCGTTTTAAAACTTAAACTTTTTAAACTTAAACTAAACTTTTTAAACTTTTTTGCATCCGATGTACTTGTACTACACTAAATACAGTAATGGTTTCGCTGACCGGTAAAGGCGGCGTAATGTTACTCTGGCGCTACCGAAATGATGTTTGAGGACATCATGCGAACAAAAACGTATTGCTGTGACACTTAACGTGCACTGTCTAACCATATGACTTTTTTTATGGCGACTTGTTGGACAATTGCAAAATCCTGTAATTTATTACTGTAATACGTCGAATTAAAAGGTGTAGTGTGTATAATACTGTATACTGGTAGGTACAGAATCACAGATAGTGTGTCAGCGAACGCAGAATAAATTTGGCATTTAATTAATCGTAAGCAATAACTGATACTGGTATAGTTATTTTCAGCTTGCAAATTGTAAGCGATACTGTAATTATTCGATAGTTTCTGTGGTTACCGTATTGCAAACTGAGCGGTCTTCGCAAAATGCATTTTTATGCAATTTTTTCTTAATAATAATTATTTAACCTTATGAAAGACTGCTAATGCAGGATAGTTAAAGGCCACCAGCGCGCACCTTTGTATTTTGAAATACAACATGATAGTTTTCTTTTCACAGGTTGTGGAAATTCAGGTTTTCATGTTTCAAAAGGTATTTGACTAATGTAAAAAATTTTTGCTTAACATTTTATAGGCACGTATACGTGCTACAAAACGCACGCGTAGATATTTTATTTTTATGAATTTTGTAGAGGCCTCAGGCATGTATATATAGTCATCAAACAGACTCATGGAATTCGGTTCCTTACTTTTAAAGGGATTAGAAAACCGGGATAGCTCTGATCGTGATAGCTCCGATTTGTCATCACTAAGCGCACAAACCTTACGGATTAGACTTAAGCTGACAAAGGAAATGTCTGAAATACCTTTAGAAAGTTTTTTGGAATGCTGAGACGAAACATGACCGCTAAAAAAGCCAGTCGCCAACTGCATTCCGCTTGGGTGCGTTTTACAATGTGATGAATTCACAAAACGATGGTAAATCCAACAATGAACCGCTTCCGGGACCAGCATCTGGAAAACCAGGCGACAGCAAAATGGTTTTTATTGCCGAGTACGGTTATTTATTAGCAGGAGGAAGTGTGTGTTTCTTATTGGGAGTTATATTAACCCTGGTTTTTGTTTGGATTATCATTTTGATATGCAACCGACAGATTGCTCTCGAGCGAATAGGAACGCAATCTAAAGTGGCCCATGCGTATGCCGAATACAGTGTGCAAAATGAAGCAATAAAAAAGCGTAAGAATTCATAACTTACGTTACTGTAACTATCTCTCGTATACATATTTTCCGAAAATTCTCTTACAGTCGGTTCATTTTTGAAGCACACTTTTTAGCATACATCAACCTGTCCAAAAGTTTTAACTGCACTGCAACACAAAGGCATCTGCTGCTAACGGATTATCAGTACAGAAACATGGAAACCCAAATGGAGCTGTCCTTTGAACTGGGAATGAAATGGGCGCAGACCATAATCAATAAAACCGCTTATGCCGGTTTATTTACTACTATACTGGCTGCAGCCATTATAATGCTGTTTATTGAAGTCCTGTGTGTGATCGTCTTCATGATCTATGAGCAGAAATTTAAAGGAGTTACGACTGCTGAAGAAGCCGAACAATTAAACGAAAAGTACAACTTTTTAATTCAAGGCCCAAAGGTCATCCATCATGGAGTGTTCGAAGTGACGAACAGTTTAAGCAACGCCAGCTTGCATGTAAAAAACTTGGTATCAAGAGCCAGTAATTCAATAACCGACATCAAATCCAAATTCACCCCGCGCACGATGGCCGCAACCACGGATATGACCATTACTGTGCGACCGCCGGCGCCCACCACGCCACCCGTACGCCCAACAGCTTCGCCTCGACCGGACCAGATTTCTTCCGGCCCGCCAAATTGGCAGTACCAATTTCAAGCTGACTCCGCTAGGGCAAGTAGCAACGCACCGGACGCGGATGCAAGGACGGAATTTTCCAAGTCAGTTGGCTTGAACACGCTGCGCGATCATTTGGATAAGCATAACCTGTTGATTCCTTTATCAGAGCATAATTCCGAAATCTTGTCGCATGACCTGCCCAATGAGCCTCAGGTCAGACATGTCAGATATTCCGACAGCGACCGACGATCCCATGATCATACAGCGGGATATTACTCCGGGGGAAACGCCACGCAGTACAACTACGATTGGAATCGTGCTTCCGGGGACGACCTCGAACAGGACGCGCAGTCTTGGAACAGCTCCAGATAGCGTATTTGTCTGTTATCTTTTAACTCTTTATTTTTATGCATAGCAGCGTGAATCTGATGCACTGCAGTCTGCAGTATTGTTTTGTATTTTTGTTGGCACTTCGTACATCAGTACATGACGACGTATTAAATCGATATCCGATTGTAAAAGTTTACTTTAACGGTAGCGGGTGGAAGTACAGTACCGGTAGGTTACCAATCCAAAAACTCAAGTACTCGACTATTCAAGTAAGTACTGTAATTTACCCAAGATATACAGTACTCGTACATGGTTCTCAGTTTGAAAGCAGCCTTATTGTAGCTGTATCTTTTAGAGTCAACTAAACTAAATATGCTCCAGGTCGACGGTTGCACCGTCGTCCGTCGGCGTATTTCCTGAACAGAAGCCGCTTTTCGACACTAAATTTCTATGCTTATCCTTATCCAGTGGTAAGCACACAGTGGCTCGTGCCAGTCGTGCACGGCTTCCAGTCCGAATGTCCTTGAGCTTCGCAGCCCACAGGCCGGCCACAGGCACACGGTCATTCATGGCAAGGGCGTCACACGCTTGGCAAAAGAGGGGTGTCGAATTTTGACAGGGGAACAAAATTTGACGAGGGGCAATCGCTTTTGCAAAACCGGTGGAACTAAATTATTCCCAAAACTTTGCCGGCTGATGTATTTATGCAGCATAGGCATAAGGCTCCTTTGGCGCCCCTGGACCATGGGGTATTATGGTGTGCCTCGGTACTTGGCCGGAATCAGCCTGCGATGCTGCTTCATCAGCTCGCGTTGTCGACATATTATGCAGTGAATACAATTCATACGACACATCCCAGGTCAGCAATTTTCCTTTTGTCATGGATCTGAGCAGGCCGGGCTTAACTGCCCGAAGCAAGTCGGTGGGATAGCGCGTTATCGTTGGTGCTTCCGCCCCAGTGGGAGCTGGCAATCCGCATTTAAATTGTTTGGGGCGGCAGTTACTTTGTTGTCGCTTACTTCTCTTTTTATCGTCACTCGTCAGTTTCGTTCATGCAAGTTGTCATGATACTCGAATATGGAAAAGGGAAAAACCTACCGTAGTTTTGCGAAAACACAGTTGAGACTGTAATAAACTGTGGACTGCCGTCATTACTGTTAAAGTTTTTTTCTTATGGTTATTACTGTAAATAAATAGTTAAATGCTTACTGTTGTATGCAAAAGCTTGATTCGTAATTATTTTCCCTTGATAGGTTTTGCGACCGTGTGTTTGCGACCCACTTGGCGTGGATTTCCGTGATTCGAGCCATCATCTGGAATATATTATATTATATATTGGCTATCCGAAAATGGATTCGGCGGATGTATCCGTGGGGGTTGCGAAGGACAATCGTCCAGCAGTACGCCGTGTCAGCCCTATAAAAGATTTCCTAGCTGGCGGATTTGGGGGAACATGGCTAGTTATTGTGGGACATCCCTTGGACACTATTAAAGTGCGGCTGCAAACGCAACCCAAAGTTGGCCTTGCTCAGGTCCCTTTGTACAGGGGAACTTGGGACTGCTTTCAGAAAACTATTAAAACAGAGGTGAGTTTTTCACAAGAAGAGGTCGGATGTCGGAGTTATTATATCGTCTATGATTGCAAATTGTTCGTTATTTATCCACTTATGTCAGAAGTTAGAACAAGTGGTTCCTGCTACTGCGTCCAAATCCTTTCAATTTCCCTGATATGCTTTCTTGCCATAGGGCGTTTTGGGCCTATATAAAGGGATGGCAGCTCCCTTAACCGGTATTGCACCAATTTTTGCTGTTTGTTTCTTGGGATATGGCATCGGTAAGAAACTCCAACAGAAAACGCCGGACGAGGAGTTAAGGTGGGTGAATTAAATAAAGAGTAAATTAAGTGGGAGTTAATTAACTGTACCTGCTGATTTTGCGATGCGATCATCTCACTGTTTTCCGCAGTTATCTGCAGTTGTTTCAAGCCGGATTGTTAGCGGGGGTTTTCACTACCGCGATTATGGCTCCCGGTGAACGCATTAAGTGCTTGCTTCAGGTACTGGAAATCAGTAAACAGTGGTGAACTAGCGGATAATCCTTAACCGTACTGGTATAGATAATGTTTATAAGCAGGATTCATGAGCAGATATCATTATTTTATAATATGATCTGTAATGGTAATATTGATTCAGTTTTAAGAGAGCGAGGAATATTTTAATATTTGCAACCCTTTAATATTATAGAATAACCGTTTAATTTTTGCACAGATTTCTGCAGCATAAGGTGGAAAGTATAAAATGGTTTTGTCAAAATTCTGTTTTTATTTTGCTTGGCACTTCTGAAGCAGTTCAATGAACGGTAATGGCTTCCTTGGCTGTGGGCGAAGTTAATTTTTTGATATGTCGGCAGATCCAGCAAGGAGCAGCTAAGCCGAAATATTCTGGCCCAGTAGATGTCGTTCGCCAGCTTTATCGGGAAGGTGGCATCCGAAGCGTTTTTCGTGGAACGGGGGCAACTTTACTGCGCGATGTTCCCGCTAGTGGAGTGTATTTCATGACATACGAATGGTTGAAGAAAAAGGTTACCCCTCCTGGTGGGAATTCGACCGACGTGAACCCATTGCGCGCTATTTTTGCTGGCGGTACTGCCGGCATTTTCAACTGGCTTGTGGCATTGCCACCGGATGTTCTGAAATCCCGGTTCCAGACGGCCCCGGAAGGAGCCTACCCTAACGGTATTCGTGATGTGTTTCGAGAAGTCATGCGCGAAGAAGGAATAGCTGGTTTTTATAAGGGAGCTACACCAGTTCTGCTCCGTGCTTTTCCAGCAAATGCGGTAAGAGACATCACTTGACCATTAACAAATAAAAAAGTAAAACAGAGTAAGTAATGGAAGTGGTATTTTAGGCGTGCTTCTTGGGTTACGAAGTCGGAATGAAAATCCTCGACAATATCGCTCCCAATCTCTAGTTTAGTGTTGGACAGGAACTGCGGTTTCAAAACTGAAAATGGAATCGTGTTAGTTTGCGATACAGACAGTAGCAAATAAGGTTTACAGATAATAACTTCTGTGCATTTTTCGGGTTGTTTTATTTTTTAATCTTGTTCTGTACTTGCCTTCTTGAGGAATTCCTCGGCACAGACTCGAGCGCGAGAGTTCAGCGTCAGCTTCATGTCGCTGATTTCTTTATCGATTTCCTCCATAAAATTTATAACAAAATCCACCAGCTTGTGCTTGTACATTTGTTCCGTATTGAAGTTAGTGATGAGGAAACTTATATCATACCCCTACAATTTCCCACGCCCTGATAAGTGACTAACGGTCATGATTTAAAATCGTACAGGTATGCCTAAATATTGAGTCAATTGTCAGCCAAGTACTCTGAATGAATGCAAAAAAAGCAATGAAATATTATGCATAATAATTATTAGACTGGGTAATTTGTGGTTTCGTAAGCACGCCATACGAGTACAGATATACTTGGAAAAATCATGAATAACTGTACGGTACTATACTTCTGTTACTATTAATATGAAGCAAAACGAACTTAATTAATTTTGATACTTGCTGGTATCTTTTTCATTTGCTCGTCTACAACTGTAAATCATAATATTAAAATAATTAACAAATAGCCATACCTCAACTGGCTTTCTTCTCATGACGAAGAAGTGTTCCGCTCGCATCATCATGAAACGCATAAACTTGTGACACAACAATTTCTCAATCTCATCCGCTTGTTTGATGGCTATGCTCACTCGCACAGAGTTAATGGAGCCCTCGATAAGAACTCGCTCCTTTTCGTTCCTGCTGATCACAACAGGATTCAGCAACAATTCTTTGGACGATCTGCAGATACAAGAAACCGATACCCCTTCAAACCAAGAACGATCGCAAAACATTTTCATACAAATGCATGATTTAACAACAGCAAGATATGCAGCGAATGCGTCGAATCAATTGAAGAAAATAACATTTATGAGCATTGAGCAGCCTACCTCACTTCTACTTCAGGTTTGTTGTGCCTTTCCACTACTTGGCTGTCGAAGTTTTCCACACACATGGCAGCCGTCAAAGTGGCCCTGACAGCATTCAGGTACGGACGCAGCGTCGTTGACTAAACCCAATAAAGTAACAAAGCCGTGTTATAGAAATTGTTACAGCACTAGCTGAGCAGCAGGAGAACCTCATCACGAATCGCTGTGTACGGCCAAATCCTTCTTCAGCTTACCATTTTTGTGGTACGTCTGCTAATGTCTACGGCTGGTCTGATGGATTATTAGACCAACAAGTTTAACTACGCGACGTCCTGATGGCAAAACGAAACAGAATTCCGTGATTTCTCGACCGCGGCGCCAGTCTCTGCTGAGACAGAGTACTGAGCACTTGGCAGTAAATACTCGTTCAATCTAACCTGTACCAAACGAAAAAGCAAATTATGCAAATCCCATGAGGAACTGCATAAACAAACCGTTTTAAAGGCAAGATGTTGGTGGCGAACCATTTTAACACAGTTCATACCATACTCGTACCTTCAGATCGCGATATAGTTGCAATCCAAAAACTTTACTACGGAGAACAGAGGTTTACAATTTTAAAAGCAAAACAAAAATAGAAAAAGCTCAGAAGTACTTCTGGATATTTTGCTGCTAATTTTCAGTTTTCATTCTTCGGTAGTTAAACATTTTGTTCGCATCCTGTACGCGAAAACAAATGCACGGATACGCCTGAAGTTCATTCCGAGCGACAAAATTTTTTGTATATATTGCCGGCTAGTGCACCGGGCTAGCTGTAACCTCGCGGTAGGGGGGCTTGGGTAGAGAACGGTGGATCACGTAGGATCAACTGAGGGGTTCTGCTGAGATTAGGCTGTGCCTTAGCATGCTGATTGTTAACAAAGGCACTTCTGCGCAAGCGAAGTGTCTTGGTTGTTGAAGAGGGGTCTACCAGGCCAGGCAAGAAATTGAGCAACCGAAAGCCCCCGCAGTTTGCAGTGCTAAGATAACACGGACGTTCAGATTGCCCAGCAGCCTGCGTACGAAGTAGAACTCTATCCTTTTTTAGTTTTTTAACTTAATGATTTATTGAGGAGCTTGCAGCTATGATAAGTAGTTCTTTGGGTCTAAATATTCTGAAAAGTAAAACAGCATACATATGTCACATATCTGCACTCTTAATCTACAAAATTCGAGCGAATGTGTTTGCTGTCAAGTGTCACATAAGAAGTAACGTTACGTTTGCCGCGGTTTTTTCTCCTGGCGCGATGGCCGAAGTTCCAGACCCGGCGCCGGCGTTTTTTCTTTTTTTCCAGTTTTCTTTTTCTCACTGTCCGATACAATAGCAGAAAAACAATTTTTTATGTTTATTACTGTAATCATTATTACATCACGAAAATGTATGTTTAGTAGTGAATTGTCGATATGAAATTCGTAGTATTTAACATATCATTTATTACAATTTCAGTCATAATTTTTACTCTTTTATTCGTCAATAGTACAATAGTGCATAAGTGGTCCAAGTGACATTTACTGTGATGCACAAAATACTGTAACAGTGGCCTATCTGGCTACTGTTCTAGTGGGGTGGCGATCAGCCTTTACCACGATTAAACGGCTGTTGGTGTGAAAGGTGGCACGGCCGGCAACGATGCTGGCCGAGGACGCTCTTACAGATGTAACGCAATTACACAGGTGGCTCCGATTGGGATGACACAGGTTCATCCCAAGCGGTCAAACACAACAACGTAACTCAAGGCATGTTTAATGACAAGGCGTTCAAGAAACGGAGCAAGGTTGTTAGCAAGGGTTTCAGCAAGAGGAACAATCAAGTAGATGCAAGCTGTAGCAAACTGAGCACAAGAATGAATTCTAGAAATTCATGAGAAAGGAAACTAGCCGGTAACGGGGACACAAATTCATAACGCGATGGAATGAATCATAACTGGGCGGTCTTATCGTTCGTACAAATACTATCGCTACAATACTGTACACACCAAAACCCGCACGAAATTTTGTTATTTGTAATACGTAATCGATGTCATTGTCGAAGTCCCATGAATGGGTTGTCTGCTCCAGGAAGATAATAATAATAATAAAAAGATAATGCTTTGTCTTTATGCATAACAGCATAAGTTGCGAAGCATATGAAATTAAGAAGCTTTATGCATACTTCTATGTTGCGAATATACTTACATTCAGACTACATGCAGTTGTTGTAACTGTTGTTCCCAACACAAGGAATATTTTAACCCTTCATTTTAACTTAATTGGGAAAATTTTTCACTAATCATCTCGGTGAGATCTTTTAATTATCAGCAGATTCTGACGATACTAACAACAACAAAACGGGTGCAACTTTCTATGCACTTTACGTGCGTAATAGTAAGTCCTAACCATAAGTCAGGTGCTGGTTTACAATTCCATCACATTTGCATCATGATTTTTTTCGTCTGCAGATTATTAAAGTGCTGCAGTTTTTATCACGGAACCGCATCCAAATCATTTTCAGATCTTTTTCCACATGCGCTAATAGTTTTTCGAAGGAATCGCAAAGCCTGCTTGTCGAAGGTTGTTTCTTCTTCTTCTGTCGTGATACTGTCGGTAACATCAACTCCGTTTGTGCCATCATTTTTATCCTTTTTATCTCTTTCTCCTCTTAAGTGAGTGTAAATATACCCAGACCATTTCTGGTTTTTCTGGGGAACTCGCATCCGAATTTTTCGGATTTTGTAAGCACTCGGTTGGGTTTCCATTTCATCCGTAATTGGCCAGTAGCAGTTAATTAAAAAGGTCACCACCGCAAGAATGCCAAAGATAATGCATATGATGAACAACGGAAATGAAATAGCCTTCTGGAAATGCCTGTTAGCCCAATGAACACCCACAGTGTAAAATGACACTTGGAGAGCCGACTCAGTGGCAGTAATCTGGCTGAGTTGTGCAAAAAATAAGGAAGGATGTGGGCACTTGGCTAAACCGTCCACTATAGGAATGAAAACAAGATTATTATTGTAATGCGACTGTCCGTAATCATTTCTTAATGCTATAATTTGTTATAAGAGATATCTTATATTTTTTACACGGCAGCCGTCGTCGAGTTATATTATTCGTAGCGAGATATGATCACTTACGTTCAAACAGGCGACTTCGATTTACAGAAGTTTTATTACTATAGTCCAGAGAAAACAGTGCAACGGAAGATGAATCGGAAACTATCTGCACCCCGAGTAAATGTAACAAGCAGCTAACGCCTGTGGTCATACATATTCCAAAGGACATCCATGCTGCAAAAAACCTAAACGGAGGCAAATTTTCCATCTCCAGTCATGGTGAAAATTGTTTTTGTTTGTATTAATCATTCAAATTTATTTAAATTTACTATAACATCTGCAAAACCTGATACTGAAATGAATATTTGCATACAGTGTAAACAGATCACTTGCTCTGATTAGTCGAATTAAGTAACTAATTGCTTTAAAGTTTAAACTAAGGACAATTTAAATTCCGTTGTTCGTTTATCATCGGAAAAATTACATACCGTATAATCTAACCGTAAGTGCATAATTTACTTTTGTGTTACGTAAAGTAATACAGTACTAGTAATAGTAATGCGTACTCATGCACACTTGTAACCAGGTTCTGATCGGATTCGTACGCATCTTAAATTTGCTACTGGAAATGTTGTTGCTACTCTACAAGCGAAGCAGATGCAGTGTTGATTCCAGCTAACTATTCAGTAATCATATACTTAAATACTCGTATTTTTATTTTGTGCCGAACGCGCCACGTTTATAGGCAAAATTGCGTTCAGTACTAGTAATAAACATTCATATTCGTGTAAAACAATAGACTTTGGTGACAGAAATACGAAAGGCAACGCATAAAACTGGAGCGCATATTGCTCTGTATATTACAAGCAGCTTAAAAAGGTCAAATACGCTTACTAGGATTATAAATACTCCGCCTTTGTTTGCTGCTGATCAGGAAGATCTGAAGCGTGCTTTTCCATTATGAGCAATTAAGAACATCAAAAGCTTTTTGAATTCGATGTGGACGGTGGGATACGGCAAATTTATTCTGTTTTTATGTATGAGTACTTCAAGTATCGCATGGAGTATCATTATATTGGTTGCTGGCTGGTTATGTTGTATGTTGCTAAGTTAAAAGTACTGATTATGTTAATGTTATTGATTAACGTTAAGAGTGCTACTGGTAGCACGTTAAAAAATAGTTATTCGCACAAGCGAAAACCTGCTGCGCTCCGGTCTGCCAATGCACGCCAACGTGCATTTTTCCTAGTTTATAAATTCTTCTACGCCGTTAAAAATCTACAGAATAATGTAATTTAATGCATATTGCAGTGTACGCAGATATTACAGCATACTTAGATCATCGTTTAGCTAGACTTGTTCTAGTATAAAATCATTCATATTTGATTTTATGATATGCAGTATCTTACTTGTTAGCAAAAATTAACAGAAAAAGAACAGCAAAAACAAATTGTAGATTAAACAGAAAAAATGTATTGAACAGAAACTGTTGTAGATTTGGAGTACGAAAGTGTGGTTTACGCACCGTTGTATTCGGTTTACCAGCCAGTATAAAATGATGAAGTTAATGAATTTTGGTCGGACCTAATAGTGATTTCAGTTCCGAAGAGTAAAGTAATGACAATGACCATGAACTAAAGGAGGCATAATATAAAAAAAACACTAATTGAAACCAGCACAGATATGCAGCGCCGCCAAAGATGTTGATGGTTTTGAATTTTAAGAGTGAGCGTTCACAAGACTGGTTTGGAATCTTTATGATGAGGCCAGCGCCACGTCTGTTGGTCAGGGTTTTAACGGCGGCATATCTACTCGGTAGGATGCAGATGTTGTGCCTAACTTAGGAACTGATCCAGTAAACAAAGATTCAGCGAAACATTAAATTCTATGTTTGACATAATGAATGAGTCTAGTGTTTTAGCTACCGCTCAAATCAATCGAGGAGGCAGTAATAATCTCTCAGCAGGACATCCTCTTATCCACATGGTCGGATCTTGCACTAGTCACCAGAATAAACAATTCTCGGGGAATTTTATGCTTGTGTACTTCGCCTTGTGTGGCGCAAATACGATCAAGAGCGCTCGTTTATGTAAACAAAATCTATAATAGTCTTCTTATTTATCGTCAAAACCGGTCAAGATATTAAAATTTTTGTCTTTAGATTTGAACTTTAATATTTTACTTTTACTCTGCTTGAAATTGTTTTGTGAAACTGGGAACCACAATTGCAGTGCATCTTTATTTTAAAAATTTATAGTGCATTAGCAATACTTCGAGTATGTACAAAACGTTAACGGCGTGCAACTGTATACTACTAGTAAAAGGTATGCAGTTATTAAAATATGAGTATTCTGGGCCAGTGTCGAATAGTTCTTAATAGCCGCACTTTAATATTACATAAGCATGAAATAATTGCTTTGGCAAGGGATAACCTACAGAGTATATCAACTCACATGTGCTTTTCTTGTCTAATTAATGCGATTAATACACGTGCACGTGTTTCGTGCAACCTAATTCATTCCACAGCTTTAATTTTATACTATATATCTATGTACAGTACAGTACATGTTGCCAGATTCCAGATCAAGCATATTATATGTGTGTGCAAGAAAGTTTGCATTAGGAAACCGATATCTTTCCTATTCGAACTGGACTGATTTAATTATTTCATCAACTTTCAATGACCGCAGCATGAAGCACCCTCTCCAGCTGACACGACAGTGTCAGATTCAATGGATTATTATCAAAACAAACATAAAGAATGGCTCAGGCATATTAAAAAATATGCAGGGAAAGATATCCTTATGTTATTCAAGAAAAACAAAACATTCTTTTCTGGTTAATGAGCGCCCGCTGGTTAATTAACAGCTGATTAATATTGCAAAGTATTAGTGTCCCGGCGGTTGCCAGTGACCACCCATGCGCCACACATTGAAAGCGTAACTGAGGCGTTCATTGATTACAAAACACGTGTTGCTTCCCACTAGTGAATTATTGTACGGAGGATGACCCAATAACTTGATAGTCTCGTACTCCTGAGGCACTTGAAGGGAAGATAGATATTCGTTATTTTGCAGAACATGGCAGAGGAAGTCAATGTAGCGGCTGGCTAACTTTAGAGTCTGGATTTTGCTTAACTTATCGGACGGCAATGTGGGGACCACTTTGCGTAATGAACAGAAGGCATCGTTTAGGCTTTGTGTGCGCTGCCGCTCACGCACGTTGGCCAACATTCTTTGCTCCTGTAAATCTTCGGACGAAACAGGTTTTTTGGCAATCTCAAATTTTCTTCTTATTTTAAATGAAGGCAGTGCAGTTAGCGCCGATGGGTTGTCGAAGTGATTCGCGTACAAAAACTGATTCGACATATGCATATCATTCGAAATGTTCGCTTCGCGATCAGCACGCTTTCGCTTCTTAGTCGGTGGCCGGCGTCTGGGTTTACAATTCGTCTGTTCCTGTGCCTCGAGGGATGAGATAATCGTCTCTGTGGAGTCCTCTTTGCCGACAATATTGTTTTCGTAGCACGTTAAGCCCTGCAACAATGAAACGGTTTTATTCTTTTAAATTATTAATAATTGGTATTGCGCACATTAAAGTGAACTACTGTATACTCACCCGCAACTACTGTATACTCACCCATAAGTCATAACAAGACAATTATTTGTTAACAGTGCTGAATAGCATATAATATGTGCGCACTGCGGCCACATGCACGCAGTGACCTCTCTATATACGTGCAGGTTTGGTAAATACTGTACTTAATTCTCCAAGTAAGCTTTATTATTATTGGAACTCGCAGTCAGTATAAAAGTTAAATATTGTATGATATTTTTATTGCAGAATCTATATATATAGGTAACAGTTGACATCACCTAATATAATAAACTGGCTGCAAAAACTTGATCCAAGAAGTGTAAGAATACATATTCGTTTATTGCATGTAAAATAGCTAGAGCGGGGCTGAATGATTTCAGACTTCGGCTACCGTGCTCATACGTCTGCCTGTGGTCTTTGATTTGCTTTTTCTATAGATGTGCAGAAGATAACCGGTGACCTTACGAAAGTATTCCTCAGGCAGAGTTCGGCTAATTCACTTCAAAATATTAAAATGTGGAGCACCAGGTGGATTGCCGGCCCGGTCTAGGTTCCTAAACCGGTGGTTGTTACAATAAATCACGACAGTCCTTGTTTTCCTTTTGTGGGGACAAAAAGCTAAGAACATAAAGACAAGATCCGAGTGGCTTTCACTGCTCAGAATATCGGATTCGCATGTTTTACCCCGGTAGCGGTATTCTTATTGACACCCTGACGGCCAAACACGGCGCAAAGTTTGTTTGGTCGAGTTATAATAATTTTATTATATCGTTTATCTTAATATGTATCACGTTTTAGTCGATGTTGGTACCGTACATTAAGTTTTTCGCTTACCTGCAAGCGTACAGCACTGCTTACGCAGGATGCTTCCTTAGGAGACATATTAAAAATCCAAGATTCCATTGCAGATTCTAACTTTGACAGAATTCAGTTGACAAACATAATAATGCGCATTTTAATTTCGCTGAAATCGGTTCGGGTTTAATCGAACTTGACCCAACAGAAAGCCAAAGATGCGGCGTACGCGTTAGAAACTCAATCTTCTAATATTACCGAAAATTTCCAAATAGACAAGTGATATAAACAAGAAGACCGGCAATCAGTCGACAGCATAATATGCTCAGTTCTTCTTAACAGAAGCGAATCTTAAAAGTGCTTTACACTAAGAGTTATCGATACGGAAAATTCACAGCCTCTTCCGTTGCAAAGAGGAATGATTCGTTAAGATGGTTTGAGCTCAGTCGGCCGCTCAATCAGCTCCTTCTCATGATCTTTACAGTTCTCCTTATCTTGTGTAAGTGAAGAATGAGCAGGAGGGGCGAAAGATGCAGATGATGTACAAGATTATTTCAGGCGACTAATCATTATGACACCAGCCTTTGACAGCAACAGCCAAAATTAATTGCTTGGATGCTGGCTGGTATCAAAGTGCAGTATATTACACTTCAAGGTCTATTTAAGAATCTGTATAATTACGAGTACATACGTAGAACCTGTTATACGTCAACAGATACACTAGAAGTACTCGTAGGAAGAAAACAGTTCGTGAAAGTTGTGTGCAAATCTTACGAATTTAATTACAGTATAATATGCTGTTGTAAGAAAATCATATCGCCAGGATTACAGTAAATACTTTAACAATTGCAGTATAAAAAATATAAATCTATCTACAGTATATGCGGCATGCTTTTTCATGAGTTCATTGGCAAACAAACCAGAATAGAAAATGTGATCTATGGCTTACTAGTTAATTATAATTATTTAGAGATGAGATATAATTATTTAGAGTTTATAATTATTTAGAGTTTGAGATATAATTATTTAGAGTTTCTTATAATTATGAGATATTATTATTATTATTATTATTACATCAAGAGCAGACAACCCGCTAAACGATAATATAATTATTTAGAGTTTCTTACTGCGCTTACATGCAGATGCCATTTTTCGTACTCATTTGAGTAGGCAGCTACGGTATATGTGGAAGTACTCGTACAGTAGTGTACAATAATGTGGAATAGATAATATTATGAAATTTTGATTTATTTTAGTTAGTTTCTAGATATTTAGTACAATGTACACGTATACAATGTACAAACGTACAATCATAATAATTAAATTATTGTGTGGGATAGGGTTATACTAGTACCGGCGCACAGATGTCAAACTTTGTTCATGAATAATAATTGTAATTATATGAATACTAATTATCTGTGCCAGGATTTCGGCCCCTCTCATTCGGCGCCGGCGATCTCAGCTTCTGCTCATCCAATTTTCCGACTTCAAAATGCGTTAGAAACCTCTCGATCATGCGGGTGTTCTGAGACCAGTTATTAAAGCTTGTTACCATGGATGCCATAAGGCTGACAAGGGCGGGTGCTCGCTCTAGGAAACAGCTTATTTCTAACGATGTTGCAACATACTGCTTGATTTGACGGCAACAAAATTCTAAAAATATTCGCAAGCCAATATTCATCCGTGCTCAGCTTGTATAATTATTATACATGAACAAAGTTTGATACGGTAATATTATTACCGTATTGTATAGGTACGAACTACGAAGTACTTATAGAAATGTATTCTACGCATATCTATATTATAGATATTATCGAATATATATGCTTGAATACAGCGCTGACGGGAGCAAATTGAGATCAATTTTCTGTGTGATTAGGCAACTTCTGTCGGTTGATGCTGAACAAATAAAAAGTGATGGTTTTTGAAAATGTTGAAAGAATCGATATGTATGCTATTCTAGTTTAAAGAAGACCAATAAACGGAAAGATAAAAAAAAATTTCAAAAGCACTACACGACGTCCCCCGATGGTTGCTGCTTATGCCAGTTATGTACGAGTAAGTACAACACTGCACAGTTCACAAGATGCGTACTGTAATTGCGTATGTTTTGTCCACACTGGAATTGGTCTTTGCGTTAAGGGATTTGGCCCGGTACATAGCACCAAGTTCGTGCACATCCAGGGGAACTTTCGCTGTTGCGCGCTCCCAAACACTTTTTTGCATTGCTTTATGGTATTTTGTACAGAAGAATTGTATACCTACGAGTAGGTGAGGAAACCGTTTGCGCGCGCAACATCCGGTTGCGAAGTTATGAGGGTATCAAAATTCCAAAAAGTTTAAATGCATTCAGGTGTACTAAAAGTCTCATTATGGACCGATCCCTTTCAAATTTTGCGCGTAAATGCACGTAACCATGAAGATCGTTTTGACCCGGATCTAGACTTCTACGATTTTTTTCAAATTTTAAAATGAATTTTAAAGTTTTTGAAATTCATTTTAAAATTTGAAAAACATGCTAGAACAGTGGATCCGTCTCAAAACGATCTTCATGGTCATGTGCATTTACGTGCAAAATTCGAAAAGGATCGGTCCATAACGAGACTTTTGGTACACCTGAATGCATTTAAACTTTTCGGAATTTTGTTACTCTCATACCTCCGCAACCGGATGTTGCGCGCGAAAACGGAGTTCACGCCTATGTACACCAATCATTTGGCTACACAATGTCAAAAAGCAACCCAAAAAAGTATTTGAAAGTGCGCGAAAGCGAATATTCCCGTCAATGTACACGATTTTAGCGCTATGTACCGGGCCAAATCCCTTAAATTCAAATTTCCCGATTTATGGGGAGTTAGCCGGATACCTTTGACTAGACTTCGTCACATGTAGGCAATATCAGCCAAATCTGGAGAACTACAATCAGTGGAACTTGGATAGCTCAGAACTATGAAACGTTGCAAGTTTTTAATTTGATCGTTGGAGTTATTTCGTGACAGACAACTTATAAATCACACACCGTGTGTGACACACGAATACGAAAGTTGTTTTGTTTGTTGTGCCGTATCAGCGGGTTGCTTATGCTCTAGCATGTTCCCCGAATGGATATCGCTGTCGTCGACTTTTTGCGACGATGATGTGGCTATGCGTAGCCCCTTCCAGTCACTGCCACGGGAAGTGCTGGTGGAAATGTGTCGCAGTGTCTGCAAGAACTTGGCGGATCGACCAGCAGCTGCGCCAGCCAGCCATCCCCTTCCCAGTCCCGCACTGTCTCCCGCAATGTCGCCTTTGTTAACATCTGGGACAGGCAATGCCCGGACTGAGTTGCAGATGCGATTAAGTAACAGCTCCGTGCAGAGTGTATCCGTTAACCTGGACAGCGGGAGAGCGCAAACGGGATTCTTTCAAGGAGGCACTCACGGGATGCCGTTGGGATCGGAAGAATTCATCCAATATGCAATTGAGGTGCGTACAAATCTACTGGTAGTCTTTCTGCTGGCTGTTCACCTGTCGGACAACGGGACAGTTATTATTTATTGGACCTGACGTGACTTCTCACACGTTGATATTAATGCTGAGCTTTTACTTCACGGATTTGCTCACCAATCCCATGAGGCCATAACTACGGATTTTTCGTTTTGTTGTATCTTTTTTGTGTACTTCACTCGTTTGTTATGTACTTTAAAATCGTATCGTGAAATTTGTCACTTATGCATTTTGTGATCGAAGTCTTTTCCCTAGATCGTGTGCTATGCACTAACTCTGGATTTCAGTGAACATGAAATTATCCGAGATGCAACATTTATTTTTTGCGACTGGTTGACTGCACTCTCGCCATCACCAAAGCCATCCGTTCCGGAATGTATATTGCAAAACCCAAACCTGTACGCACAAAGAATTATCAAGAATTTATCCAGTTTGTTTGTTCCAAGGGAAAAGCCAGGTGTGTATTGGTACACTTTCTATCTATATGCACGCAGGCTAGGAATTGTTTATAGTTGTGTACTCGTTAGTATTTTCGTTTGTAAATATTTTTCAAAATTTTTAGAAGTTGTTTTATTCCTTTTTTCGTGATTTCAACAAGTTCTTATGTTCTCTTTGTGTAGAGACAATTAAGCATATTTGTATTTCCGCACATGGTTCCGGTTACGGATTTTTCTTTATTACACAGTTTGTTTTCAGCTCCGGAACAAACGTCCAAGGAACGGGAGCAAGTTACTAAGCCACAGGAACATACTTCAAAGCAAGACCAAAATTCAAAGCACCAAGAGCAGATTTCAAAGCAGCTGATGCTCTGTCATCGGGCTCTTCGCACTATTCCGGATGTCTTTCGCTCATCTACTATTTTAGAAACTGAAACATGGGAAGTCCTTCTGCAGATGCTCCTATCAGTTTCTGATACCGTACTGAGTCCGCCTTCCGATCCCGAAGATTTTGCTCAACAGATCTCTAAACGCCTTCTTGCTGTTCTGTTTGATGTGTGGCTGCTGGCGTGCCAAAAAAGCTTTCCCGCTGTGGTTTACTGGAAAACATTTTTCCACATGTGTCGTATGTGGAGGCATAGATTGCCTGTGGTTGAAGAATGGCTTCGGGTAAGGCTTATCCACGGTGTTAGTGAACGATCCTGTATGCGTATGGTTATGAAAGCGACCATTTCTATGCACTGCATTTTTCAGATTTCAACTCTGCTTTTTGAAAAGTTGATCCATGAAATGAACGGAAAAGGCGGAAAAAATTCGATCATGTTTGCATCACCCGATCCAACGAAATCGTATCAGGACTGGAAAAATATGGAAATTCCCCCAGGAATTTGTGGAAATGATTTATTGATGCAGATTTTTATCCGATTCTTCCTACTTTTGGGAAATGTGGCCGAAGTCGCGAATAACGAAAGCGGGAAAAGGCCGCCAGAGAAACTTATGCATATGGTAAGTGCGACTGGAGTAGTAGCCAGTTAGTACTAACGTAAAAAGTTAGTAGTATTTTGTCGTTGCCTGCTTTAGCGGTAGTGTTTTTTAGATGTAAAAGGAGTTTAGAAAGCCGTAACAACATCGTTAGTTCTAGGAAACATGGTTTAACATTTGTCAGATTTTTATAAAATTTAAAAATTTGCAGATCTCGATTAACACATTCGATTCGGGAGCAACTCTGTCCAGTTTATCTCCCCGACCACCGTCCAGTGCGCCGTTAATTTTTCTGAAGGCCATGACGGGGATCACGGTGATGGTCGATCTCGCTATGGATATGTTGGCCAGTATGGACGCATACTTGGATATCTCATGGCCAGAGATGAGCACGAACGCACAGGATATTAGTACTGCTTACCAGACTCATTCAGCAACTGTCAAGGAATCTCTAATGCTTCAACGTAAAGGTCGGCCTTTTCGGTGTGAAAATCGGTTGCCGTGTAAAGGACTCCTGTATCTTTTTGGGCCGTGGTTATTTCAAGCAAGCGTGGTTGGCCGACCTAAAAGTAAATGTTCCGCTTATAACCTTCGATATTTTTACATCGACGAGAATTTCAATTTCCTGAATTTTGTTACTGCAGGCAGTATTCGCACACGGTCGTAACTGTTTGTGCCGTTTTTGTGCGTAATGTTTGTTTTGAATGTGATTCTTGAAATTTGCATAACTTTTTTGTTCCTGTTAGGTGCAAAACATTCCAAGCAAAAAGATGACTCATTGGAGCACAAAGATCCACTGGACATTATATTCCAGATGACTGCCGAGAGCGCTATTTGGCAGCCAGGTTTTGTACTTTGATCATTTTCATGCACAGCGGTGACCTTTAAAATATGTGCCTCTTATTACTGTATGTGTCTTGATGCAGGTCGAGCCGAAGCCATTGGAACTTTATGTCGGTTGTATTCCTTTTTGGCGAATGGCGAAACGCTGCATCAGGGGTTGTTAGCGCGCATGGGACTGGTGTTGGCTGAGGCATTACATTCAGAGGTACACCATGGATTTTTGTAATATTGAATTAGACGGGGATCTTCCAGATAATGTTGTTTCTCTAAATTATTTTTACACAGGATTCAAGTGGATTTGTAATGTCCAGTGCAATTCGAAATTGTCATGATATCTTCCGGGCTAATTTTGTTGGTATGGAATCGCTTTTGCCAGTGCTTGTTCCTGCGCTGGAAGTAGTCTTGTTGCAAAAACTGGAAAAATCACAGTGAGCTCGCATCTGCAATACTAATTTGGCTGTGCATCTTTTATCAAACATGTGATTGTAGATTGTACCCGGAAATTAGTCCAGAAGATCTTCGATCCGCGGCATTACATATATTGTCATCGGTTGTTTGTTTGCCAAAATACTTTGATCTCTTGGCTTGTCAAGGTTAATTATCTTTTGCACAAAAAAACAGCACAATTTAATCCCAGAGTGTGAACAGTCCTGGTTTCCAGATATTCGCGCTGCATTGGAAATGTACCCTGCACGACCTGACAGCGATACTTTTGGTTCGTTGTCTTACCGCCTCCTGGATTTACTTTTGCAAAGTATTTTCAAAGAAACTAACCCGGCAAACTGTATGCTGCTTCTGGGTAAGAGAAAGTGCTGGTTCGACTCTTGGAGCAAACAAATAACTATTTCTTGGTTGCAGGGAGTCTGTATGTTTTATTTACGCAGTCTTTTACCCACTTCAGTGTGGAAGAAGCTCCGGGTAAGGAATATCTCATTCTAGCTGTTCTGTGCAACGTTTCATAATCACATGGCAAATCTTTTTAATATCCGCTGTCACTACGTATAATTTAAAACTACTGGCACTGTCGCGGACATGTGTGATGATGTCAGTAGTGAACACTTTTTTTATTTTTGTTTTCTGGACTGTTGCTTATGTAGAAATATATTAATACGGCTACTGAATAATTACAGAAATCAACAGCAATTTTGGACACAAGGTATACACTGCCATCACGCACTTCTTGCAGAATCCTGCGTGGCAGCAAGACAACAATTTGTCGTACGCTTGCTTGGAATTCCTGCATACATCGTCCCGCTATGGCCATCCGTCCTATAATCTGCTCTCGCAGCCCACTATAAAAATGGTGGTTCTAAGTTTATGCCAATATATTCGTGACCAGGCACAACGTCCGTCGCGAAATCACTCCAAAGATCTGCATAATAAAATCGTTTTAGCTTATCAATGCTTGGTGGCTTGGATGCATATTCAACCGGTGTTGATGCAAGATCAGGAGGTTTTGAGCACGGTGACCGAGGTAGTGGAGATTGGCCTAACCGGAAACAAACCTAATGCCGAAAGAGGTGCCAAAAACTACGTAGTAAATAAAATGTGTACGCCTACGGTAAGTAGTTTTCTGTCTATTGCAATTGTCATGATTGTTTTCCGCATTGCTTAATTGCTAATCGTCTTGCGTTTTCGTTGTTGGATTTCCACCATTCCTTAATCCTAAATACCGGCTTTTTCGTTGCAGTACTCTTTCCAGTGATTTCCACGCGTGTTGTGACGCGGCTTTACAATTGCTGGTACTGTTGGAAATTGGTTCCAACAACGATCCGGGACCGCTTCTGTACTTTAGATCGTGTCCTATGCATTCACTCGGGATTGGGCCGGTGCATGTGAAGCGTTCTTTGACATGTCGGCGCGCGTTCGTTTTCCAACAGTGGACGGCAGTGGTCGAAGAAGAAGGCGGAAAGGAAGAGAAACCTGAGTGCGCAGTGGCAGAGCAACATCATGACCAGCAGGATATCCGGTTGGGAAGGGAACTGATGGGATTTTGTGGCTTTTAGAAATGAAGTGCCAGGATACAGCAAAATCGAAAAATGCAAGGCGTAAGAAGAATAATATAGAAGTGTCGGTAGCTGTGTACGCGTCCCGGATTTTATGCATCTGTATTATATTTTTATACTGACTTATAAGTTGGCCAAAACATAATAACAGAAGTAGTCATTTACTGTACCTTTGCGCAAACTATACTGCAGAGAATAAAGAAGAATATTTGCCATTGCGTATGGAAAAGCTTACGGATTTTTCTTTAGACACAGTGCCGTTTTCTGATTTGGAAAAACGAAACACTGGAAGGAACTAGCCATGTTACGAAGTTCGAACAGGTGGATCGCAAGTAGTGTTTTCTTCAGAGCACCTTATGCACCGTACAAACCCCTCCATCCTATGACCATCATGCTCTTGGCACATTCCGTTGACCTTCCGTCATCTAAATATTTCGAATTGGTCTTTCTTGTAGCGATGCGGAAGCTGTAATTGTTTCAGTTCCTGTATCATATGGGACTGAACCGCCTTCGATCCCGATCGCTTACCGCACAACAGTTGAGCTGGACCATACTAATCCTGCACTGAAAGAGCCATGTGAATTTGGATCGAGTATCCTTTCGCTTGGTTGGATGTTGACATTCATATAAGGAAAGGAGGAATATGTCGAGAAATGTTCAGAGTGGTGAAGCTGTCACCTTCGTAGGGCTTGTGAACATTAACTTGTGTACATCCTGTATGCATTTATTTGAATCAAAAGAAATTCAGGTATACTGCAGGTATGTATTTTGGATTTGACCTCTACCAAACATACGATTTATCCGTGTCATGAAGCATGCAGTTGTTGATTGTTGCGTTAAGGTTTGCATCATATTATAGGAAGAAAGAGTATACCATAAAATCGTGGAAATTCCATTAGGATGCGGTGGAAATGAGCGAAGATCGGATTTTATCCAATGGCATGGCCTGTTAAAATGAAAGAATTATTGATCGGAAGCCGGCGAAGTCCAAAGCTGTTCCTAAGTCAGTTCCCGAAGGTATTGTGATCTTATCAGATGTTATTAGATTTAGTGTGCCGAAAGGTTCTGCTGATCTAGTTGCGTACTTGCTGCAACTCTTACTTATATAGTAGAAATAAAGGTAAAATTGAAAGAACGAGCAATTTCAAATTCAGAAACATGGTTTAACATTTCCCAATTTAATGTGTTTCCTGTTTAATGTAATTGGAATAGTCTTCTCAATTAATTAGTACTCGTATAGATAGTTAGTTATCCGGTACATGATTTTCACACGTCTGTCCAGTCCATCGTTATTTTTAGGATTTCCATGATGGGGATGGTGCTTGCTGGTCGATGTCGCTATGGATTGTTGCCGTCTTTACGGTGTTTAAAATCTAATCAAGGCGGCCAGAGATGAGTAATTAACGCAGTGAGGATGTGATTAAAAGTTTAGAGTATGATTTTTTTTGTGCCAAAAATCTTGTATGTTCATTCTTATATCAGTTAAAATTGGTCGGGTAATTTTTTTTGACGGTACTACCATTCGGAGGAGAGTCTTGGTTGAATTTGGTTCCTTTTGTAGATTCTGGGCCGGGTTATTACTCGTAGCTTGCATAACGACATAAAAGTAAATGTTCGGCTTATAACCTTCGGATCTTCGCATCACGATCCAATCCGCTGTCCTGGCTGCGTTCCTCCCAAGCCAGAATTCGCACTTCGGTCGAAACACTTTGTGCCGTGGTCTGGATGGAATGTTCGGACGATAAAAACGACTTCGTATTTCCCGCACGTATGTCATGCTCCATATTATTATGTTTAACAGCCAGTTCAGTCGGCCCTGGAAGCTATGTAAAACATAAAATCACAACAGTTAGTTTTTTATGCGGGCGTTGTCAGCAAGCGTAGCAGTAGTGCTGTTTTCGTTGTTATCGATGAATTTAAAATTTGATTTACACTGCAATGCAGTCTGGAGCGATGAGCAGACGCCATCAACTTTATGACGATTTGTTTCCGCTGCTCGAATGTATGAAACGCTGAAATATGGATTGTAAGCTACGCATGATAGATTTTATTTGTATATACCTGGAAGTTCGATTTTCAGCCACCACAAGATTGTATAAAAAAAATTTACTATCGGTGTAATTATTTTCGTAAACCAGTTGGAAGATGCGTCTGTCACTATGTTTGTGCCCTGTGGTCAGGGTCACTTAGCAGGATTGGTTATTAGCCAGGAAAATTGGTCCCCTACGTCGAGCGATTCTCCTTTTTAAATGTTTCGAAGGAGTTTTATATAAACACAAGCAGCTTTTTTAGTTGTGTGGTTAATCAATTTTGTTAGAACGGGGCCTTCAGTAGATGAAGAAATAATGGTTAAATTACGGTGCTGACAAGTTTACTTTACCGTTATTACCTGTGTACTTGGTACGGTGCTAATAAACGATTTCTCTTACAGCATTTTGGCGTTTATACCGTTGGTAAACGGCATGATTGTGTCGCACGCGGCATTAGGCGGATTGATACGTGATTGCGTCGCCAATATGTTCAGTCGGAAGCGCCTCTCGCTAGAGAATTACACACCTGGCATTATACGGCGGAGAAACGTTATTCAAGAGATAACGAATAGTCCGGAAAAGAATCACCGAAGCTCGTTGCAAATGTACAATTAAAATAAGTGTTAAGAAATTTTGTTTCGTGTATTACTTTCCTGGATTTTTTTTTAAAGATTTGCAAGAACCTAATATACTGACTGTCTCTGCTTCTGGGTGGTTGGCTTGTTTCATCGAGTTATTAAACGGTACGAGTACTTGTATAGAAGAACACCTAAAAGATAAAGTTTGCCTTTTCCGCTTCTGGAGTCTGTGTAGGCGTGTCGAATTTTATTGTAATGTAAAAATCTAAAATTCTGGTGTTCTTAAAAGAAGTTTAAATAAAATATGGCAAATCTTAACTACCGTATAGCGCGTCATTACGTATAATTTAAAATACTGATACTGTCACGCTCATTTAAAACTATAGCCAACACTTAACCATATATATGGTTATGGACGTTGGTATGTGAATACCATAAACGGCTATGGTGATACTTTAAGCTCCTCAACAGCAATTTAACCAGATATACACTGAATAGAGAAAACTTTTGTAAATGTTATTTTTGAAAGAGATCGTTTCACGCAGTGCGAGGCTAAATCTAAAGGGACCCAGAGTCAGCTATGGCCTGTTGAGCATTTTGTAATCACCTCTGGCGGCCCACTACAACGATAGTGATGGCTACGGTATGGTTATGGTGTTTTCTGCCCAAGCCTCTAATAATACGAGTATTATATTGCATATAAAATATTTTATTCTTATAAGTTAGTATCTTGGTCTTTTAACCGGTGTTGATGCAAGATCAGGAGGTTTTGAGCACGGTGACCGAGGTAGTGGAGATTGGCCTAACCGGAAACAAACCTAATGCCGAAAGAGTGCCAAAAACCACGCAGGTAAATAAAATGTGTACGCCTACGGTAAGTAGTTTTCTGTGATCTGCAATTGTCATGATTGTTTTCCGCATTGCTTAATTTGCTAATTCGTCTATTTGCGTTCTTAGTGTTGGATTATCTGTACCATTGCTTAATCCTAAATACCTGCTTTTGTCGTTGCAGCACTCTTTCCAGTTGATTTCCACGCGTGTTCGTGACGCGGCTGAATTAGTATTGCTGGTACTGTTGGAATTAATTGGTTCCAACAACGATCCGGGATGTTTCCAGTTTGCGGACAACGTTGTAACTGAAGAAGATCTCGTTACGAGCCCGTTAGACCGCTTCCTGTACTTTACGATCGATGGAACATCCATTATGGCCATTCACTGCGGCCCGGGATCCGGTGGGCCGGTGCATGTCGTACAGCGTTCTTTGACATGTCGGCGCGCGTTCGTTTTCCAACCAGTGGCAACGGTCAGTGGTACGAAGAAGAAGGCGGAAACTGTGGAAGAGAAACCTGAGTGCGCAGTGGCAGAGCAACATCATGACCAGCAGGATATCCGGTTGGGAAGGGAATCCGATTGGGATTTTGTGGCTTTTAGAAATGAAGTGCCAGGATACAGCAAAATCGAAAAATGCAAGGCGTAAGAAGAATAATATAAGACAGTGTCGGTACGCTGTCGTACGCAGGTCCCGGATTTTATGCATCTGTCATTATATTATCTTATACTGACTTATAAGTTGGCCAAAACATAATAACAGAAGTAGTCATTTACTGTACCTTTGCGCAAACTATACTCGCAAAGAGAATAACAGAAGAACTCATTTGCCATTGCGTATGCAGAAAAGCTTACAGGGATTTGTTACTTTGCTAGAGACGACATGCTGCCGACTTTTGCTGATTTGTGCAAAAATAACGAAACACTGGAAAAGGAACTAGCCATGTTTAGCGAAGTGTTCGAACAGGTGGATCGCGAAGTAGTGTTTTCCTTGCCAGAGCCCAGCTCTTATGCACCGTACAAACCCCCGTCCATCCATATGGACCATCATGCTTCCAGGTTGGCACAGTTCCTTAACGTTCAGACCTTCCTGTCATGCTAAAATATTTCGAATTGGGGTCTTTCTTGTAGCGATGCGGAAGCTGTAATTGTTTCACAGTTCCTGTATCATATGGGACTGAAACCGCCTTTAATCGAGTCCCGATCGCTGTACCGCACACCCTACACGGTTGAGCTGGACCATACTAATCCTGCACTGAAAGAAGCCATGGTGAATTTGGATCGAGTATCCTTTCGTCCTTTGGATTGGATGTTGACATTCTGTATAAGGAAAGGGAGGAATACTGTCGACGAAATTGTTCAGAGTGGTGTAAGTGCTGTCACCTTTACGTAGGTGCTTTTGTGAACATTAACTTGTAAGTACCATAACGACTCGTCATGCATTTATTTGAATTCAAAATGAAATTCAGGTATACTGCAGGTATGTATTATGGACTGTTGACCTCTACCAAACATACGATTTATCTCGTGTCATAGAAGCATGCAGTTGTTGATTGTTGCAGTTAAGGTAGTTGACATCAATATTATAGGATAGACATAGAGTTATACCATAATAATCGTGCAGACAATGATCTTTTTCATTAGGATGCGGTGGAGAATTGCAGCGAAGAATATCGGAAATTTCTACTCTCAATGGCATGGCCTGTTAAAATGAAAGAATTATTTGATCGGAAGCCGGCGAAGTCCAAAGCTGTTCCTAAGTCAGTTCCCGAAGGTATTGTGATCTTATCAGATGTTATTAGATTTAAGTGTGCCGAAAGGTTCTGCTGATCTAGATTGCGTAACTTGCTGCAACTCTTACTTAATATAGTAGAAATAAAGGTAAAATTGAAAGAACGAGCGAATTTCAAATTACAAAATACCGTATGCGCTCTGTGACCCTTACATTTTCCCAATTTAATGTGTTTCCTGTTGTAATGTAATCATGGAATAGTCTTCTCTTACAATTAATTAGTACTCGTATAGATAGTTAGTTATCCGGTACATGATTTTCGTGGATGTCTGTGCGCATGTGTGCATGAAGTTGTATGAACCGTCGTCCATTACCGATGTCGTTTACCGAATATTTACGCAGCTTTAGCTGATTACAAGGGATTGGGCTCTTATTTTCTATGGGACTTAATCGGATCTGAAAGGATTTGGCCCGAAGGAAATTCGGGATTTCTTCGATCGACAAAGCCGCTGCGGCTGGCGAGTGTTGTGCTGTAGTTAGTGGGGAAATTTGTTTAAGCACAACCCGGTGGCATTACATCGTCCCATGCCGGAAACATGCTCTGTTGACACAATTTTATGGCGAATTTCCGGATAAGCCGATGCGGATGGTGTCGTGGGGGAAACGTGTTGTATTGTTGGGCATTGTTTGTCTAGTCTGTGTACAGTTTGTACACTTATTTGGAGCCTATTGTCCGGAATGGCTTTGCCGGGAAAACACGGTGACTGATTACCTGGACAGCAACCGCAAGCCATGGTTGGACGAGGAGAAATTGGGAAAAGTGGCGCGATCGCAAAAGGCAGGGCTGGGGAAGGTGGGAAAAACGGTGATGGGCCGATATCGTGACAACGGCATTTCCCTGTGGCACGCCAACGGGACTCTCAAGAAACTGGATGCGGAGTTTTCCGTCGACAGCTCGGATGTATTAGTATTTTTGCACATTCAGAAAACGGGTGGTACTGCCTTCGGGAAAAATATGGTAAAGAATCTCATCGATCCCAGCAGCGGTAACCGAACATGCTTCTGTAGAGAAGGGTCGAAAAGGTGAGTGTTGAATTTTCATAATTTCGATAGTTTTATTACGAATACTGAAATGCCATATGACAGTTTTGAGATAAAAATTTCGTAAACTGTAAATTAAGGGAACACTCGCTTAAACCCGAAGCATTTAAAAAAGACGTAAAATTAGGTGATCTGGCAATATGGACTTTAATAAAATTTGGAGCGAAGTTTATGCGTTTATACACGATGTAGAATAGACGATTAGTGGTTACATTGCACTTAGTAGTTAATGCATCCGTTCTACCGAATGCTCTCGCGGTTTTTAATACTTCGTAGCCAATTCATAATAAATTTGTGATTTACAAAGATTTCTGTATCTTTTCTTTTCACGTCAATGATAAAATTGACATCTAACAATACTAATTAATTTTGAATGAATTGGTAGAGCTATGGCGTGGAATCGCATGAATGAACCTTATGGACCATACGTAATGAATCAGTTTTAATTATTTCATTATACTGTTTCATTCCGTGGGGAGCGCAGGATTGTGCATGATTCGGATTGATAGCTGATTTGCGTGCTGGCTATCAATACCTATTGCTTTGAGCATTAAAAATCGATTCATTAAGTAGCTGTTTGGTGGTTATTTATGCGCAGGGATTAAATAATTTTCATCGATTAAGGTTATGACCTAACTACCCCTAACCATCATCCACTCAATATGTCTCGTATACGGGTCCTTTGTGTATTTAGATGCAAATGCTATCGACCATCGAATAAATCGAAAGAATGGCTGTTTAGCCGATTCTCTACGGGATGGAAGTGTGGGTTACATGCTGACTGGACCGAGCTAACCAGCTGCGTAGATCAAGTTTTGGATCAGGCTGAAGGCGTTCCGGAAAAACGAAGGTAAGTAATACTAAAACGTTTATTACTAAGCATGTGAAAATTAGGTCAGCAGAGCCCCTGTATTGGTCTAAAACTGGCAGTCGAAATTATTTTATCTTTATGTAAACATATGTCCAGATGTTTTCTTATGGTTAGTTCGGGAGGGGTGTTTATGGCCGTACTTTTTTGGTTTAGCGCTCCAGTTTTCGATCCATTAAGAGAATTATCTCGTATATGTGGTCGTGGTCGTACATTTTTGGAATTGGATCAACATGTTATCAAGCCCAGTAGGCAGTAGCTGAAAAATGTGCTTACTTAAGGGATTTGGCCCGGTACATAGCATCAAATTTGTATACATCCACGGCAACTTTCGCTGCCGCGCACTCTCAAACACTTTTTTGCATTGCTTTATGATGTTTTGTAAAGGATTCGTATACATAGGCAAAAAAATCTGTGCATGTAACATTGTTCGGGAGTTATTAGTGAAACAAAATTAAAGCTTAAACGCGCGGAGGTGTACCAAAGTCTCATTATGAACCGATGCTCTTCAAATTTTGCACGAAAACGCACATTACTATGAAGATCGTTTTGGTACCGAACCAGCTTTCTACTATTTTTTTCAAATTTTAAATGAAATTCAAAAATTTTAAAAATTAATTTAAAATTTGAGAAAAATGGTAGAAAGCTGGTTCGGTACCAAAACGATCTTCATAGTAATGTGCGTTTTCGTGCAAAATTTGAATAGCATCGGTTCATAACGAGACTTTTGGTACACCTCCGCGCGTTTAAACTTTTGGAATTTTATTTCACTAATAACTCCCGAACCGGATGTTGCGCGCGCAAACGGATTTCACGCCTACGTATACAAATCCTTTGGCTACAAAATGTCATAGAGCTATGCAAAAAAGTGTTTAGGAGTGCGCGACAGCGAAAGTTCCCATGTGGATACCCGAATTTGGTACTATGAACCGGGCCAAATCCCTTAAAACGTTAAAAGTTTTCTTGTTGCGGGCACGGTAATTTTCAATTAGCCTTGATGTTTATTGTTAGGGCGCAGTTGTGCTGTTAACTACCATTCTTCAGGTACTCGTATTGTTGTACGTTTCGCTACGCGTGCTTTCGATGAATTATACAGTTTTTTTCCTATTGCCCCCTGACGTCTGATTAGCTAAGCAATTGTATGCATTTATCGCATGAGGAATTTTCTAGTTAAGCTGGTAATCTGTGTGGCGGAAAAATTGATTGCCTAGGCAGAAATGGGAAAGTTGCATCGGGTAGGAGTTCCACTTCAGCTTTGTGGAGTTATCGATTGGCAGTTATCTTGTAGTATCCTCTCACCATTTTCTGGGCATGGGAAGCGTTGGCAACTCGTTACGCCATATGATGGAAAGCTATTTGGTTGGGTTGTAAAGCGGCCAGTCTGAAGTTGTTTTGCGCTTTCATGGATATTTGATGACGTTGTCAACTGGGAATGAGAGGAGTGTAATCGGTCACTCTGGAATCATTTTCTTACTCGGTTGTGCATGCTTAAATTGATCTACCTCGTCTTTCTTTGACATTTGGACGATCATGGCAGAGAGGAGAGAAATATTGCTCAGTGAAAAAGCACTGGGCAAAGTCATTAAGAATAATGGGCGTTGTGTAATCTCTTTTTGTCCATGTATGACACATTTATAACAGTTGGCGGTTTGGCGAAATCTGCTTTGCGTCACACTGCCGGATGGGGTTTTGATTAAATGGAAAAGTGATTTATCCACGGGTGCTAAGAGCAGGGACAAGTGAGGAAATGACCCAGATTGGTCGAGTTCTCACTTTTTCTTGTGTTTCGTTCGTCGATTGCCTACAATAACCGGTAGCTGCTTTTAGTGGTCTTTTCTTTTCTCTCAGTAACATCGCGAGAAGTTTTTAACAACAAGGTTATTGATTAAGCTGCAGCCAGCCAGCGGCCCATCAGTACACCTCATGTAGCGTTTTGGGCATTGTGGTTTGTTACAGTACCAGATGACTGCGTACAGGTAGTTCATTCACTTCCCTCATTGTTCCCGCCTTCCCGGTATACTATGTACACCTATTAATTTACAAACCGTTGAAATATTGCGCCGGTTTATGTACGTATCTAAAATCTGGACAGCACATCTGAAAAAATATTTCCGACTGCTTCGGTGGTATCACTGCCATAGCTCATAGTATATAGCCTATAATATAGGTAGCATGTAGTGCATGTCATAATATATAATTATCTGACGATGAGCTGCAATAAATCGTAATTAAAGCTGAAGAGCCCTTTAATTTATTGTAAAAGCGCTTTGTGTTCGACCTGCTTGTCAGCAGTCGGTAGTGGGAAGAGATAATCATATTTACCAGTCTTGTAATTTTTATTAAGGAGAAACAAAAAAGCACTTTGCTTTATTGTCAGTAACACATGACGTGAGTATTTTGCTGACGAAATGTTGAAATATCCGTAAGGCTCTGTAGATATTCCCTTAATTGTTGAAATACAGTTTACCCTTAATATTTAACACGAAATTTGTTGATTTTTTTTATAAATTGATCTTTTGCAGATATTTTTATATGACGTTGCTGAGAAATCCTTACCGAAGATACCTTAGTGAATTTCTTCATGTCCAACGCGGGGCCACGTGGAAAAATTCCAGGCACTGGTGTGGTGGCCGATTCGCCTCTCGTAACGAAATCCATCCGTGTTTCGAAGGCGATACTTGGGGTAAACAGATGTCAGTTTTTGCACAAACAGTGCTTATTGAAATACATTTTTTGCTATAGAGGGCGTTACTTTGGACGAATTTCTTCAGTGTCCGGATAATCTCGCCGTAAATCGCCAGACTCGCATGTTGGCCGACTTGGAATTGGTTGGTTGCTACGACAGAAACTACTTGAACGACTTAAAGCGGAATGATATGATCTTGGCCAGTGCCAAAAGCAATCTCCTTAAAATGGCTTTCTTTGGTATTGTGGAGCAGATTGACGAAACTCAGTTCCTGTTTGAAGAAACATTCGGGTTGCATTTTGCGGAAAAGTTGAATGGATCCTACTTTGCGCGAGGAGAGAATTTTACGCTGACACCGGAGCAGCGCGAGCTGTTCTTGGAACGTATTGCCTTAGATGTTCAGCTGTATGAATTTGCCGTTAAGGTATTTCGTCAGCGATTAGAGACGGTGAAAAATTGGACATTTTCTGTTGGGCAATAGTCCGCCATGTTTGACGGAGGCCAACTAATAAACCTGACGTTTTTGGATCATTGTATGCCATTCAAGCCCGTCTTTCAGATTTTGGTCGTCCATGTTTATTATTATGATTTTCTATGGGGTTATGTTTGAGTTTTTGTGTCCTGTTTCTTGGTCGTTTGGTAGAAAAATTCATGGTTTGGGAGAAGTGATGTGCCATTTTGGCTATTTGCGTACATGAGTGACTTCGTCTGTTATTGTTCCTACTTTCAGTTCTGTTCCTTTAGTACCAGTATTTCTTTTTTGGTTTTATGTTCGGTAATATTTGATCCGATATTCGTGTTTCTAGTTACTGTAATACCGGCAAAATGAAAAGCACAAGTTGCAGAATGCAAAATCAGTGTGATGCACTAACCAGAAAATTGATGTCGAGAGGTTTTATAACTCACCACCGTTCAATAACATCTAATCTTCGCAGAAAAAGGTGTATGGAAGAAGAAGCTGTATAAAATATAAAAATGAACAGTTTCTAAACTATTCAACAGGCTTTTCGGGCTTCAGTGCAGTCATAGCAGGCACCCGCCAACGGCGCCGGGTACTACGTCAGTGACATTTCCGACCTGACCCATGCTCGAAGGACGTCAGAAATATTTTCAGTCAGTGTAATAGTAGAAGTACGCTTGCAGTTCGTTATTCAATAAAAAACCTCCTGTAGCCGTCCGGTTTTGTTTTGTCGTTGTCATCGGCTGACGCGCACACAACGACAGTATCAGAAAGGTCACACCGTACCTGTCAGATTATACGAATTCTATCTGATGATCCGTACGTTGCTGTATATATTGAATGTGCATATTATATTATAAAAATAATTATGTGAATCACAGTAAAATGAATATTGGATACTTATTCGTAATAAAATGTTAAATTAACGCACAATATTATTTGTACTTTTGCATGCAAATGCACTGTGTGTATACGAGTAAAGAAATTTAAATGTTAAGGAACAGTTAGGTAAAATTACATCCTAACCAAATAACCAAAGAAACTAGAAATCAGGAGCCCGTCAAAACGTTATGGCTAAACCTTGTTCTCGTCCAGTAAACGTTTTGATATCCAACAAAAGTGTATAAAGCGGTGTTAGCTATTACAGACCGTAAGTATATACCGATGTGCTCTGTTTTTCGCAATCGTATAGTGAATCTAGCCTGCGTACAATTATACGATTAATTATGAGCTGCAAAATTTGTCCTTTTAAGTTTAAAGTTCGAGTTTGGGCTTGGAAGAGCCGCGGAAGGCTTTTTACATTAGGCCTATAATTTGCAAGGTACCTACCGGCTACCTATACCTATTGTCCTCGCATAAATCGGAGACAGTTGACGTCGATCCGGCGCGGATGGAGCTGTTCGCACTTCGCAGTACCACAGTCTTTATAATAAACTAGCACCCAGGATTTATTACTGGATAACGTCATAATTATGTATTCCATACGTACGTGCTAAAATGCTGATTCGTAGCACAATAGCATTCAGCTTTTTAATTTGCTTCGCTGTTTTGAAAATCCGCAATCGTTACCACAAAGATAACATTAAATTTGTTACTGCGCGCAGCTGGTTAGCACTATTCTTAGGTTTCATCAAATTGCAGTGAAATACGAATTAATGTTTAAAATTTGCCTGTTTGTTCTTGATGTATTTCTAACCGATTGAAGGAGTCGCTTACTGAATTTATTAAAACTTTCCAGCAATAAAAAAATTTCTGAATATATGTGCTTTCGTTGTGCATGCACCAGTTTGCAAAAGGTAGCAGTGTACAGTGTACTTGTCCAGGATCACATCGACAATATTCGACATAGGATCATGATCTTTACTGCATGTACAAGCACAAGTGTATTATGCAAGTACATAATGCATGTTAAAACGATAATTATAAGTCATTAGTCATATCTACATCATACAAATACAAATACTCTGTACATCGTCGAAATTCCAAAGCTACAGCAATAGTTTGAAAACAACAAAAACCAAAATTTAATGGGACAACTTCCACACTGTTAGTTGTCACCTCTTAATATTCCAGTCATAACGCGTGTGATATTTGCCATTTAACATCATACGAGTATAATCCTGTATGGCTTATACAGCCTGTTTGGCGTTATCGGAGCAAATTTTTCGTAAGAAAAACATAAAGCAAGCACTGACAAATTTGAATGGCAAATTCTGAGTGTCGAAGTATTTATTTAAGTTATAGCTCAGAAAGGTTAGCGTGATTTAGAATATGAAGTTAAAAAATTATGATATTATGATAGGCGTAATAATTATAATAAGCACTCACATTACGACAGCACCTATATTACATTAGGCAGTATGGATGATAATAATACGAGTAGTGACATTAAATTGTATTGTAGTTGTCACAATGTGTTTTACTTTTACATCGTCAATGTTTTTGAGCAAAATGCTTAATTAAGCAGCTGTTACATTATATAACATCAAACTTCGATGGCAAGCAAATTAGACGAAGTTATGATTGCTTTAAATTAATTTTGGTAAGCAATACTTGCACATCTGTGGATCGCATAATTATTATAATTATTGCACGAATACGCACATGTTTTACTGCATTATACAGTATAACATGTAGACCACAATAAAACGCTCATCGAGAGAAACAAACACTTTTCTGCGTGCATGCTGAAAAACTTAGGTTAGTTTTATAAAGTGCTTATGGGTAAGTTATAAACCGGTGCTTGTTTTTTAATTTTGCTCTGTCAGTTTCTTTGCTTATTTGTAAGAAATTGTATAGTACTACCACGGTATAAAAGAGATAAATCTCTGGTAGCGAATGATGCTGAACTTAGCATGTACAAAAATTCAGTACTTTTCGGCATGTTTTCGTCAAAGGCATCAATGGTATTTAACGTCTACGACGTTAAATACTGTTAACGCCGGGCGAGTTGTTTCCCTAGCAACGTGGTGTCGTTTATCATTGATCTATAAGAACTGACAATAAGTTCGTAGATGAATGCAATAAGATCAGTTCGATTAGAGAAGTACACCTAAATTTGAGTTCTTGCGAATTGCAAAATGGGTCCGAAGCCACCCGCTACGGTAGTTCCGAAGCAGAAGCCTAGGCGAGGGGTTACCAAGAAGAAGAAGGAAGAGCAAGATTCACCAGACCTGGCGTCTCTTCAGCAATCTCTGTCTCAACTTCAGACACAAATGTCAGCATTGGTGACTCAGCAGACGGTCCCACCACGTTCCAATGGTCCTTCACCTTCATCCAGCTCCCCAGTACTGATTGACCTTTCAACTCCTGAACTCAGTACGTCTTTGAAACCACCCTCATATTTATGTCTTCCTTCTTTGGATAATCCTACTTTAAAGTGTTTATCTGACCGTCATGGTTTCGTGAATTTGCATAAGTTGTTACCGATCAACCGGGGAATCGAATCAGTCCCTGAAAATACCATGTACGTCCCAGATACCGATGGAAAGTTGATACCAACTACGGCCCCGTCCACTCGGCGTAAAATTGACAATTTCAACAGCTGGTTAGACGCTTTTTTACTTTTCGCTCGCTTTCGTGTATATTTTCATGCTGATCTGGCTCTTGCTTTATTCGCATATGCCGATATCATTCGCGGTTTATCGCTGTCACGCCCGTTGGCAATTTGGATGGAATACGATCGGCGCTTTCGCGATAAGATGAGCAACCGAGATGTTCCTGATTTTTGTTGGTTTACGGAAGATTCTACTGTCATGGCTGAAGTGTTGCGTGCCATTCCTCTCCATTCAGCAAATCCGTTGTTCAGATATGCAGTTGCACCCGCGTACACTTCTTTTGGCAAACCACCATTTGGTTGCTACATCTGTCGTGATCCGAATCATTACGCCACTGTCTGTCCTCAACGCCGTCATTCCGCTGAACTGCCTTCCGCGTCTCAGCGTAATGCACCTGCTGCGCCACTTCCTCGCGACTCGGCCGCTCCACAGCGTCAAAACCAGCCCTTTCGCGGGCCCCGCGTTGCAGTATGTCGGGACTACAACGCGGGACGGTGCCCAAACCCGTGTCCCTCACGCCGCCTACATGTGTGCGAACAGTGTTTTGACCCCTCCCATATCAAGAGTTTCCATTCCATCGAACCGCCTCCCACCTAATCCTTTTACACCTTTGCGGCCGTACAAGTTCCTTTATTACCTTCGTGAGTATCCTCTTCGCAGTGTGGTTTGGGATTTTATTGCAGGTCTGCTTAATGGTTTTTCTATCGGTTACACTGGTCCATATGTTGCACGTTCCACTCCCAATGCGCTGACTGCACGCCAGTATCCGGAGATCGTACGCCGGTATATCGCAAAAGAAATCGAGCTGAAGCATACTCTTGGCCCTTTTTTGTTTCCGCCGTTTGAGAATTTTGTCTGTTCATCGTTAGGAGTCAGACCAAAGAAAACCGGTGGTGCACGGTTAATAATGGATCTTTCCCGGCCATTCGGCAGTTCGGTTAATGACTATATTTGCAAGAAAACGTATACAATGCGATTCTGTTCTGTAGATGACGCCATACGGATCATCGTTAAATTAGGACGTGGTGCACTTATGGCGAAAATGGACTTAAAACATGCCTTTCGGCTTATTCCGGTCCGTTATGAAGACTGGCATCTCCTGGGATATGTTTTTGATGAACGTTACTACTTTGACGTCGTTTTACCTTTCGGCTGTCGTTCTTTTCCCGCGATTTTCGACCGCATGGCTACGTTCTTGGAGTGGATAATTGTAAACGTGTGTCATTTTCGCGATGTACTACATTATATGGACGATTTCTTTTTCGCCGGACCGGCTGGTTCAGTGCTGTGCCGTTTAGCCATTGAACTGATGACCTTGGTGTGTTCTGATTTGGGCATACCTTTAGCGCTTGATAAAACTGAAGGTCCGTCTACGACATTGACGTTTCTTGGTGTTGTGTTGGATTCCGTAAACCAAACAATATCCATCCCGCCTGAAAAGCTTAAGGATTTGTCTGACGAATTCTCCGTTTTCTCAGCTCGACCGTACTCCACCAAACGTGATCTTCTTAGTCTCATCGGCAAGTTAAGTTTTGCTACAAAATGCATACCAGCCGGTCGCATATTTCTTCGGAGAATGATCGATTGTGCAAACTCCGTTAAACTTCTGCATCAAACCGTGACCTTGACTACTGAATTTCGTGCTGATCTGAATTGGTGGATTACTTTTCTGTTGCTCTGGAACGGTAAAGCATCATTTATTGAGGTCGACTGGACAGATGCGGCGGAAAGCCTGAATTTGTTCACTGATGCATCTCATATTGGGTGTGGTGGTATTTTTGGTGATCGTTGGTTCAAGTTAGTGTGGCCGGGTGAACTTTTGGCTCTACATCCCCATATCACATGGCTTGAGATGTTCCCGATTCTCTATGCGTGCAGATTGTGGGGATCAAGTTTGCGTGGCAAAAGGTTAACATTCTTCACCGATAATCAAGCCGTTGCAGCAGTTTGGCGCAAATTTTCATCCAAGCATCCAGGTGTTATGGCGTTGGTGAGAGCTTTGCATTTTGAAGCAGCACGATCCAACTTCCATCATCGTATTCATTATCTACCGGGTAGAGATAATTTTGTTGCGGATGCGCTTTCTCGCGATCAGATCGAGCGTTTCTTTTGCCTGCATCCATCAGCCAGTCCAATTGCCGATGAGCTTGAGCTCAACTTTGCAGACTTTCTTGACGGTTTAACCAAGCCTTGCAAGTGTCGTAATCGTCGGTCAAAGTATAGAAATTGTTATTCTTATTACTTTTAAATCACATGGTGTGTTACTTGTGTTTATTTTTTCCAGAAAATGCTCGCGTATTTAAGACACGTTTTCATATTGTCATCAACTCCTTATTACAAGCCCACCTTTCCACCTCCAGTCAGAAGGTTTACCGGATTGCAGTCCGTGCATTCCATTCATTTTGTGTCCGTAATCGCTTTCCTTTTGCACCCACGGATTCTAATACCATCCAGAGTTTCATTGCGCAGCTTTTCACCGATTTTCTTAAAGTGGCCACTGCCCGGGTATATGTGTCAGCCATTATTACATATAATATTTTAAGTGGTCATCCGGATCCCGTTCCGGATAAAAGGCGTATTGCTCTGCTGTTCTCTGGTTGGTCCAGAATCCGTGGGTCACAACGTAATAAACGTGCCGGCATAACTTTGACCGATCTTCGCAAGTTATTTTCCTACATACATTTCCTGCCCACATGTTTATTTGATCGCCTGATGTTGAAAGCTGCAATGATGGCAGCGTTTTATGGATTCCTGCGTGTATCAGAGTATTGCGCTACTACAAAATACCGTGCGTCCGATCAGTACCTTCGTGGCTCTGATGCCAACTGTGGTCAAAATCATCTGCAATTTACACTGCGGAAAACGAAGACTTCTCAACATTCACCTACGATCATCACCATTCCTTCCCTATCCGATATCACTTGCCCTGTTACTGCTGTCTCTCGATATACAGTTTTCCGTTATTCCCGATTCCCTTCAATGTACCCTTTCTTCTGTTTTGCAGATGGCACATTTTTAACTCGTCAACGCATAACGTTAATTCTACGCCAGTGCTTGGGACATTCAGTTTCATCTCACTCATTCCGTATCGGTGCAGCGTCCACCGCCGCCGCTGCTGGTTTATCCTATACGGACATTCAAATGATGGGTCGATGGCGTAGCAGTGCTGTTAATCGATATTTGAGATTGTCTACTGCTGAAAATTCTCATTTATATGAGCGTTTGATAACAAAATAAATCCGTTTTGTTGTGTGTTTTTGCGCTTCCGGTTGGGGCCGCGGCTTCGCTCTGGGGGTGTTCGGCGCGGCTCGTCTCAACGGAAGCCGATGACCAACGGCGCCGTTCAGTTGCGACCGTTCGGACATCGTCGGCTTTCGAGTACTTGCCCCGACATCCTCCGAGCGGCAGATGATCAAACGAGCACGAATAGCGTTAATGGTATTTAACGTCTACGACGTTAAATACTGTTAACGCCGGGCGAGTTGTTTCCCTAGCAACGTGGTGTCGTTTATCATTGATCTATAAGAATTGACAATAAGTTCGTAGATGAATGCAATAAGATCAGTTCGATTAGAGAAGTACACCTAAATTTGAGTTCTTGCGAATTGCAAAATCCCGCCCTCCCACCCGGAAGTCGTGTTGATTTACTCCTATATTCTGCTGTGTCATATGTCTTGTTCTGAAGTTGTGGTGTGGTTCAAATTCAATAAAGGGGTGTTCGGCGCGGCTCGTCTCAACGGAAGCCGATGACCAACGGCACCGTTCAGTTGCGACCGTTCGGACATCGTCGGCTTTCGAGTACTTGCCCCGACATCCTCCGAGCACGAATAGCGTTAAGTTGTAATTAAGGGCGTAAACGTGTGGCACGGCCTACAGCCTCAACCGCTTGGAATTTTTCAAAACGGATTGCACATTCTCTTGTTAGTTTTTTATGCTTTCCATGCTCGTTATCGGTTTGATACAAAATTATGATTTTTGCATAACTCGAATTATGAATATGAGTGAGCCTTATATAAATCGTAGCAGCAGTCGGAGTGAGTGCGGTTGTTGGGCGCAGACAGACTGTCGCTAGCGCTCTGCCTGCCTGGCCTCTATGTATACATGCCCGATTCAAACCACATTTCTACTACTTGACTCAGATGTTTTTTGGAATTTCAAAAAACAATTGCAGATTCAGAATCAGCGTAAAATTTTGCTATGGCTTTCTGTCTGTAAAAAGTTTGTAGCCCTTATGGATCGTCAGAAAATCACTGCCACACGTTTTCAACTTGATGGCCGTTTCGCCCATTGTATTTCTTTTGTCTTTCAAGAAATGTTAATGAGGTGTGACGGCAAAAAAAGTACTGAATTTTCCTACAATGTCTTTCGCTGAATCGCTACCAGAGATTTATCTCTTTTATACCGTGGTACTACCATAGAAAACTCTGCATCAGGTACTTCAGCAAAATTCATGATGTTTTAGGCACTGCACTCATTTTGCGTTACATACCAATACCAATATCATTCGCATCAGTTTATTTACCATTCAAAATGGCATAATTTATATCAGTTCTCTATTTGAGCACGAACGACGACCTTTCGTAAACCCGTATGACAACAGGCAAAATAGTTTCTGTTTTAATTGTTTTGGGTGTTGGAATACATGTATAGGACTGTCGACTTAATAATACATTCAAATTTCAGTATTATTTTTAGTAGGTATGTGGGATTCAGTGGTCCATGCGTAATGTAAAGGCTTTAAACTAAGAGTCGAAAGCAAAATATCGACCAACAAAAGGTTAATGATATATGCGCGTATCATATAAGTTTAAAATTATAACAGTGTGGCCATATGAGGCATCTACCGGAGCAACCGAATTTATTACCAAAGCAAGCGCCTGGTTTAAATGTGCATGTAATATTGAATTCGGGTTCATTGAAAAAAAGTTGATATATCTACAGAATTTACAACAAGATATTATGCCATTGAACTGTATTCAAAGAAAATGTAAGGCACTGAGATCTGACGACAATGCATGCTGTTGTGGTAGAAGTATTGCAAATTGCCACTATTCAACTAATCATGCGCAGCTATAATATACGCTAAAATGATGCCACACTTTAAAAATATTTTTGTTAAGATTAGATTGACATAGAGAATCGTCAGCGTGAGATCATTTTATGAAGGAATATTCAGCCCATGGACCGCTTCACAATCAGACAACAGTGAGTCTATAAGATGCCGGTTCGTGAAGAGTGTGAAGATTTTTCTGGTTGGATGCCAACACCAGTGCGGGATTAACGGGATCGAATTGCTAGCTACAGGGGGTCTCTCAAGTGGGAAAAGTGCCTTAATAGGTTTTCCATATTAATTTGCTCTCCGTTTAGCATATTGCATTAGGATAAAATCTCCGCTAAATGTTCGCTCATGCTGAAAATCTCCTTTACTTAAATTACTGGACGTACATGCGGCTTAGCACAATGTTCATGACCTCTCGAGCGCTTCACGTACTGTGGACCTGATGCAATCTTGCACTACTATATCACGTATTTTAAAGGCTATGCCTATTTGTTTACAGTCATTTCAGTTATATCAAACAATAATACACGGCGGATTCTTTGTTTCTTAGACGTGTAGTAACATGCGTAATCATAAATGCATTTGTGCAATGAGCAGGTGAATTCTCAATTTCGATATCAGCTTCACACACGAGCTGTACCACTTTAGTATTTGCAAGTGTAAATGGGCTGCAAAGTAAAGATAAACTGCTTTGAACAACGTTCCCCGCTTGATGCGCAACTAGAAAGTTATAAGGCAAATTTAGGGAAGAAGCACGGGATGGCCGCATATTATGATGGAGGAATATTGGATATCACTCTGTCGTTACGTCTTCATGTCGGGGTATAAACGAGCTATTATTCACCGACAGTACAAAAGCAAGTGTTTACATAGAATTATAACTGCAATTCATGGGCTATGTTTGGTTTCAGTGATGATATTTTCCATGGTGTAATTTTTCGTCCTCTTTTGGACGATTGTGATGCGTGTTGAGAGTCGCACACTATTGAGTTATGTCCACAATATTGTATTGAACAAAATGAAGAAAAGGATAAAATGCCAGCGATATAGAAACGAGAGAGGGTGAAAGAGAGAGAAACGCCCAATAATGCTGAGCTGGTCATCCATTTTCAACAGTGTTCATAGCCGGTGCACTTTATATATTTGTGTGTGCACTGTGCGGTGCGCCCGCTATGTCGTTCTCGTTTCGTTTGTTTTGTACGGAAGGGTCCTGGTGCTACAATTGTAATCAAAATCCATCATTATAATACGCATATCGATATGCATACACATTATAAGTAATTGTTAGAACGACCCGAAAAGCAGTTTTGTTCTTGAGTAAACATAAGCTATTTTCACTCCGGCTTTCACTATGCATCCGATTCAAAGGTCCTTTCTCACCGCTTCTATGCGTTTTATGATCCAAAGACCGCATTCAGTTTACTTCATCAAACTTGGCCACATAATATCGCTGTGTTCATGCTATTTTCCTACCGAACACTGGCTGAGGCTGTTTAGATTTAACTTTACTTTGCGTACGCAGAATGCAGACTCGTATCTTATTTTTACACTGGTAGAAATAAAGATATTTATCGTATGTATGTGTTTTGTCAGTTTGACTAAAACGTCCGTAATAAATAGTACAAATGAAATCGTAAGACGACGAATGAAGTGACAAATTTTGGCTTGCTGAATATTTTGTCGACTTTTGATACTTCCTAATACTACAAATCTGACAATTTCAATTTATAAACTTAAATAATAAACAATTCCAACATTATGACGACTGTTTCATAATCACCCAACGGACCATGCAATGCGCATGTACATTGACCTTTCTTGCAAAGTTTTGCGAGTCGAATGCCAAACAAATAAATAAATGTGTGACTGTATGAATAATTTTGCGCCGATTTTATGAAACTACTGCAGCTAAAAAACTGATTTCTGTATCATTAATAAAGACACCAACAAATACCAAAGCTGCCAAAATACCGTTTAATTAAAATATATATATAACTTTTACATACAATATAACGTCATTCGTTTTTCTCGATCAGTTTACCAAAATAATAAAAGGGTACTAGAGAAAGTGTTGAAATATTTCCGCAGCTGCTCCCCATTGTCATTTTATGACTAATAAAATCATCATCGTGCACGACAATGCGGTTCCCATTTTCTTGTAAAGACTTGAATTTAGAGCTCTAATAATAGGGCCATTTTGAATACATTGTTTTCCTATCAAAAGGACTGACTATCATGCGAGCAAGACTCAATGGACACCAATTTAGTGCACAACAATGGAGCTCAATCAATATCGACCCTACAGTTGCTTCTGTATCGGCATAAAAATGTTGGCTGCCAAACTATGCATGCGGAACAGCAGCTGAACGAATCGAAGCGGCGAGACTTCATATTTTACCGCTTACTACAATATACATATATCTGCAATTATAATAATTAATCGTAAGTACTTTATATACAGTTCGTACAAAGCTTTTACACAGTTTTCTAATACAGCAGTAATTTGTAGTTGTCGACTGCCTTTTTGTAAAAACGGGCGTTGAATGCGCATCTCTTAATTGTAGATACAATTGTCTAAGCAATAATTATTATCCTCGGCATATCCATAGTACTTACGCAAACCATCTATAGATGTAGTTAATATTTTAATATTATAGAACAGTTATTAGAATCTGTGTAATTCTTGCTGGTACATTTGTAACATTTGTTGGCTTAAAGATTGTATTTGTTGAACACAAATTCTGCTAGTTAATTATCAAAATAATTTTGGTTTTGTGGTAATTTTATATCCTGGACCGTCAAATGTTCAGTAAAAATAGTAGATTTTAGATGGATCGTATTTTACGCGCATTTTAAAGCAACATAAACATCTATTAACAGTGTTTCTCATGCTCTCTACGTTGTGTATTTCAGCACGCACATAAGGCTAACCGGTCAGAAAGCGGTTTAAATTGTTACTGGGTATATGTACAGTATCATCAAATAATCAAATTTATTGCGCAAACTAGCTGGCCAAACCGGTAATGCTTTGATACCTTTGTGTAAATTTGATGTTTAAAGGATAAAAAGCACCTTGTACGATGTGATTCAAAAATCGTATACAAAATTGCCAAGCAAATATGACATGGTGAAAGCTATGTACAGGAAGGAGTATCCATCAACTTATTCATCAATTTTTCTCTAGCGTTTGTTTTCTTAATACGCGCGCGGCAATTGCACCGTGGAATTGACGGACACATGAAAGAATACAAAGTTAGTAAGAATCAGTTTTTGTTACGGATTGAGGATGATTGAACGATGTTATCATTTCATCATCGACAAATGTTTGCGGCGAACAAGTCTCTAGAGGTTGCTGTAAAGTTGATTATCCATCTTAGGCTAAAACTGACATGACCGCCACCAAATCTCATAATATGCTCGAACAGATAATATTTACCGCAAGAATTTATTTATTCTACTCCACTGACAAACCGGCAATTTTCTCATTTCCTCTGAGCCAAATACGTATATGCGTTTTGGGATGCACAGTTTGCAATATGTACGCGTAAAGCGGCTTATGGGGCGATTTAAAGCGGCTAAAATCTTTTCGAACGAAAAACAATAAACGAATAAAAAGCCACAAATCGTGGAATGGAAACAGCCGCAATCCAACAAAGCACGAAAAATGGCATCTCGCGGCCACACTAGATAAATACACATAGAAATATAATAATTATTTAAACAACGAAAACAACCAAAGTAGCCTATTAATTTTTCATTTCAGGCAGAAGGTAGAGCAACAATTCGTTCTGTTCAACAACTACCAAACTGGAGCGCTGTTTGAGAGAGGCAATACAATTTCTTCGGGTCAGAAATGAATGACTTTTCTGAATGTGATCCAAACATTAAACGACGCAAGTTTCATGCAACTATCACTGGTCAAATGATCAGGTTTATTTTAAATAAAAAAACCGGCTATGCATTTTTTAAATCCTGTAACAGTTATTCTTAAATACATACAATATGTACGTGTATCTAATAATTATTGTACATCTGTAAAGTTTTCCACGGCTGCAAAACTGACACCAAGGTAGAATTATCTACATAGTAATCTACATAGTAAAACACAAGCACGGTATGTGTCGTAGTCTTGTAGATAACGGTTTTTTTAGATGTTGTAACTACAAGTGTATGCTGCTACAGTGCATTTGCAAATACGTACATTATTCATTGTTTTGCAAAGTGTTCGTGGTAAAATTAATAGTTTAATTGGCATGTCCTCTTGGTATACTCTTATACATTGATGTCCATGTAGCTTGTAAATATAGGCACTGTGCAGTGTGCATATATAAATGTTCGAAAACGCTTTGGCGCTCAAAGTGAACAGCTGAACCGCGTTAGAAGAGTGGTGCTTGAGCAGTTCCCTGACGCACTGGCCACAAATCTTCACAACAACTCGCACTTCTCCGACATCCGATATTAAAAGGCCAAACTTTCCCAATCAACTTCCTTCTTCACCAATGTTTGTTTTTGTACGTTTATTGTAGCTTTTTGTCGTAAACTCTTGAATTTACGTTGTGATAAACATAATACTGCAACTGTCCTCGATGTCACAAACGTACAATCCAGTACTATGTGACCTTTCTTTTTGTCGCTATACTTGAATCCGCCGGAGACAAGGGTGGATGTTAAACTTGATCCTTGTCATCAATATACCGATTCACGGTGTAAATAATAGTCTTGTACCAGCCCGAAAATCGTGATGTAAAGCTTATTTGCACTCGATTGGCTAATGTGGACCACATTTGAGATTACCGCCACTTGTAACACCTACGGGTAAAGAAAAACCGTATTTTTTATGGATAATGCACCTACACCAATATACGAAACGATGTTTGATGCTAATTCATCACAACAAAGAATTAATCCAGCTGCCAAAAAAACTTTTTCAGGCACATACCCAGAAATTAAAATGTTTAACCACAATTTTATTTCTTGGTCACAGCACGTGAACAGTGGTGGCCTTAAGCGTGCAAAACACACGGGTGATTTCTATCAGGTGCGATAGTAAGTAAGTACAGTTATAACTCATGCGTTATATCCATTACCAGCATGACAATATCCGCTGCCTATATATTTTGTTATATATGTGCACATCATTGATCTTCATAACAGCATCTAAAAATCGTCGGATTGCACACAATAGGGCTCAATTTGATGTAGGCTCTTGATGACCAGCGGGGTGTTAGGGTGTCTTTTTTGTGTCTTGTGTGCGCTGCATTATATGCTGTATTGATGATTTCTATACTTGCCTGAATGCTTGATGCACATAACACAACGTATGCCCTCTGGCATTTTGTCATTCTTTTCTGGTTATAGCTCCGCTGCGCTCTAAAGCCGTGGCTGCCTAGTTTCTCTCTCGGGCTTTTGTGAAAAATCTTTGATTGTATACAGTTTTTATGTTCTCATAGCGCAATGAATAGCACTTTTATATTAATAAGTCTTACCAGCTGATGCTACTGACGCGTTCTTTTCATCACCAGTGTTCATGGGCTTTTAAGATGGATCTGACTGTAACGCTGTGCCCTTTCATCGGCTCATATTTATCCTATTATTGTTAGTCCTGGCTTTACACAATTTTTCTTTGCTTTTCCTGCAATAACAACCTAGGCATTTCTCTTGTATAGAAAAGGTGTAAGAAATGAGATCAATCCATTCAATACAGCGCACACTACTCGAACAGATTACGCACGCAGTATATGTCCATCATGAACACACATTTTACGAATAAGTAGTACTCTGTATACATACGCAACAGCGTGTCCAGTCAACGTTCGCCGGCGACCTATTCGCTCGACCCTATCGTAAATTGTAAATCTTACCTATGTTATAATATTAACAACAACGTGTACGCTGATATATACCGCAGTGCACAATTAGTTTTTCAGCTGACAAGAGCCCTTCTAACACAATCTATACCCTCTCACCTGAAACCCAGACAAAAGCTGCTACAGTTTCTCTGTTTAACGGTGCATATTATCTGAAGGAATTATGTAGGACAAACTTATCAACAAAATGGTGGTGCGTGCCATTAAAATTTACACACAATACCGGTAATTGTTGCCAGCCGCGATAATGCCGGTCATAAGAGAGAATTCTTTGCCCCATGCAACCACTTCGCTTTTCACCAATATAACTGATTAAAGCATTATAAGCAATTCTATAGCCCAGTATTTTGCTCACCATATAAAAGGCTCTTTGTCCGTGCACACAAGAGAAATATGTATTGAGACAAAAGCCATCCTTTCTGTGCCTATTCTCCTGAAAGGACTCTTGAGGTAATTGTTTTGTGTACATATTACAGTAATGGTGAGTATTGTTCTCACCTGCAGTAAGTGGGATAAAATGGTGCGAAAGAGGGATAGAATGCGTTTCCGCGGCGCTGTCTTGCTAGTGTTACCACTGTGCTTATCCGACCGCAGGCCGAGCTCTAAATTCGCAAAGCTTGTCATATTTGCTATGCTCGGATTGAATAGCATCCGCACACCTGGGATGAAAGCCGGTGTTGACTGACACTGACAACACTCTTTGATTACCTGCTAGATTTACGTTTACCACTTTAAATATGATGATGTGGTAGATTAGGTTTTAAAGGTTGATTTAACATTGCGTTCCCAAACACAACGTGTATAATGCAGTGCGCCTTTGTTCTGCATACATGCACTGATCCTGCGCAGATATTGAAAGCCACCTTTTTTCGAGTATTCTTATCAAAAGCCTTAAATTTTAACAATAACAAAAATGAATAATTTCCGTTGTCTTTTATATGTACGCTTCTTAACTATCTGAATACCTTGTCATAACGGAAACTGTACAGGTACAACGCCATTTTTATTGCTTAAACTTTTCACGTGTGACAAAGAAATCAAAAAACAATAATGTGCTGCCTGTAAATACAGCCGTATTACAGACAGTTAGGAACATCAACGCGACCAAAGACGACATCAAATAATACACAGCATCGAAACGGAAAATAACAATTGAATAACTGGATATACACACAAGTACTGTAACCTTATTTTCTGGTTGGCCGCAGCGCACGCGCGGCCACACCATTTCGATTAATCTCAAGGAGAGTATCATTTTCAATCGATGACAAAGCGGCTGTGTTTCAGTGTTAACGCTGAGTATGTCGATGACACGTCGAGTTATCGCTGCGACCAACAGAAGGAATCCATAAGGAAAATGACACCATCGCAAGAGACGAGCCAGATGCTTCTGTCGCCAATCCCACAAATCAAACATAACGCACACACAAAAATACAGCCGATGTACACAAGTAATCAAAAAAAAGAATTAATCGCTTAATTAAATCTCACAGTTATGCTTTAATCCCATTTGAAACGTTATTGCAGGAAGAAATACGCCGGCCACAAATTTGTCTGCACACTGCACTTGCCGATAATCCATAGAGTTGCTTATAATGGTCAGTCGCGGAGATACTGTCCAGGAAAGACATAGGGCACCGGTCGTCGGAGGCTCTCGTTCATGTCGTACTTCATGTTCATGGCTGCGGTCGCGGCCGCCGAGCTGACCCCCATCGGTTGTCCACTACAGGCTTGCGCCACCGCCGCAGCGGCCTGCATACCCGGATGCAGATAAGCGGACATGGCAGCAGGTGGATTGTGGTAGAACTGGGATGAATACAGCGCTGGATTGACCGCCGCAGCGGCATTCATCCCGTTCATCATAGACGATTGTGCTGCCGATGAGGCGGCAATTTCCGACAGTTTAGCCATTTCATTGCTGGCTGCTGAATAAAAATTACTGCTGTATGGACTGCCGTGTGGGAGGAAAGCGCGAGCTTTTTCCATCTCATTAACGGCCGACATTTGTGGCATGAAGGAACGGAATGGATCACCAAAGGGGACACCGTAGGGAAACTGCGGGCGGTCCTTCTTCAACAGAGTCTTTGGCTTGCGTCGTGGTCGGTACTTGTAATCGGGGTGTTCCTGTGGAAGCCAGACATAAATATCTCAGCTAATTGAAACCGATTCACTAATTCACTACTAGAAACATATAATACAAACTTTGTTATTACGGAATTTAAGCTGATTTATCTAATCTTAGGACCATAAAATACCAATAAGATGCTTAAAAAATTCCTGACTGAATTCGGCGGAACCAAATACTTTGAAAGCAACCTACATACTCTACTTAGATGCCGACCCCAATTCGTTCCCCGCTGTACACTGCTTACGCATCGTACAACTACAAAGGTCACAAGCGGCAAAAGATGTCGGACTGCCGTGCCGTTTACATTGAACTCGTTATGTTCTATCGTCTGTCATAAATTCTTATAATTATAGTAAAACCAGAATGCAGACTTTCTACAAACACAATTGCTACATGGCATAGAATGTGTACCATTTTTAAAAACTATTAAACAGCTTAGATAATGATAGTCTACGCACAGGTCATGCTTGACGGCTGTTTGATGACGGTTATACAGCAAAAATGCGAACTCACTCAGTTTTTAGTTCATTATACTAAAACGGCAGTAAAATTTAGTAAATTGTAGTTATAATAATTTAAATCACGAAAGAAATGTTCCGGGAAAATTACAATTATCTATCCGTTTTTTGGCATTAGATATTTTTGACTAAATTAGATATTTTTAGGTCGTCTTAAAACTATTTTTCGCGAAGAATTCGAGAAGACATTCCAACTACACTGTAACCGGCCCAACCGAACGCGTTAATTGAACACATAAACAGTTCTTCGAAGGAGCGAATAGGTTAACTAGGATGTTTATTAACGGCGACAGAGGGAGACATAGAGGGAAGACGCACAGAGGCATTGAGAGAGAATGAATGGGACATTGTTTTGGCGAATTGTCCACGCTGACCGCGATTATCGCATCCTTGTATGCCGCACCATTGGGCTAATTATACATCCTATTCTTTGAAGCATTTTCTCAGTAGTCAATGCAACCTACTTAGAATTTATTCTTTTCCCTGATGAATTGCGGAAACACTGGCATTAAAACAGACCATTGCATCACAGCGAACAATCCGTCCATTGTAGGACAGCTGTCATAAATGTGGCAGCCTAACGGCGCCAGCCGATTTGGCCCTTATCATCTTAACCATTGGGCTTAAAATCACCTTTATATCGCTAAACAGTAGCACATCGATACTCTATGGCCATTTTGTCTTGTTATATAAAAGCTTTATCGGGTTATTTACAGCAATTTCCAATTTTATCTCTATACTTATTTGCTCAAACAATTCAACTCTCATCTCCAGTTCCATATTTCACTGATTTGATAATTTCAACCGGGCACATATAACTCATAAATTTAACCAGGCGAAAACTTTGGACTGAACATCAATAAAACCTTTTACTTATGTACTGTTTGTTCAAGTTTGTTGTTCTAACTATTGAGAAAGGCTTTTTTATGAGCTATAGGCGCTTGCAAACAGCAGCAATGTTATCATAGGTTGTAAAGTATACGGCGTGTGATCGTGCTAAATAATCGTGCCCACAAAATAACGCCGCCACTGTATACGGTATTCCTTTGAATGGGAAAACAGAAGCGGCAGACTGACTGTCTAGCGTCGGCTTACCTTCATATGCAGAGCACGTAGCCGTTTCGCTTCGTCTATGAATGGACGCTTTTCCGAGTCACTCAACATCTTCCATTCCGCTCCTGCAAATACCAAAAAACCACACATTTTGAAAATTACTGAAGTTCAAGTTTGGTATGCTAGTAATGTTCCTCAAAAAAGCGATTTTATGTAGAAAATCACAGAATACTCAGGTTAGTAAGTATCCCGTCTTACCTAGACGTTTGCTGATCTCCGAGTTGTGCATTTTGGGATTTTCCTGGGCCAATTTGCGGCGTTGTCCACGTGACCACACCATGAAGGCATTCATGGGTCGCTTGATGTGACCATCGCCTTTCTCGCTGCCGGTGGAAGATTTAGGGGATGTTGGGGAATTAGACATATCCATTTGCATGATCCGTGGTATGGAGTACGATTTTAATTACGAAGGCCGATTATCAAAAGAAGATCCGTAATTTGGATTCCGGTCAATGGATCAATTGAATATAACTGTTTACTGGTTACAGCAATGGCAATCAGTCTGAATTTACAGCAGAAAAAGCCAACACACATCCCGATTGTTACCGGTGAAGAACTAAATCGCCGCGTCGAAAATACAAAAAGATGTCCGATCGTGAACTACACTCCTGATTCGCAGCAATAGCGGTTACTGAATGCAGTCTGGTCTCAGGAATTGCGGCTAAAACACGCGTAAACACAATACATGCCAATACGGAGATAGGTGGAGTTAAGAGTAGAAGTATGCCGGGCAACCAATAGAAAGCTTCTCTAGATTTTCGGCCATTCCTTTATCACTTTACTTATACAGTTATACTTATTAAACCATATTTAATTCTAAGTCCTCTTAATATACACGATTTTTTTTGTGATACAAATACTCATAACATTTGTAATTTTCTTAGCTGTTGTAAACAATGTGGGTATAAAAGTGCACCCGGTAAAAAATGGAAAACAGTATTAACTGTCGTTGCACTCAAAACTACAATGTGGTATAATTAATTTTAAATTACGTGCAATATAAATTATAATATAGAATGTAATATATTGTTTAAATTACAATATAAAACAGAATCACGGAAACGAGCAAAAAGCGACCAAACCTTTTTGTTCACAACCTTTATATACTGATATACACAACACAGTCGAACCGATGAGCCCGACCTTCCGCTTACGTACTCAAATTATCCCAAATTGGATTTATTGACTTTAATTGCCAATTCCATTTGTTTGGAAATGAAATACATCCAAATTTTCGGAATCTTTCAAAGAAAGGCTAATCAGAATTCTTTAACTGTTTGAAAAATGAAAAAGGAGTGTTTACGATTATTATTGTTTGCAATACGCACATAAGATTATAATAAAATGGCAAAAGTATTTATATTTATGCGTTTAAAAAGTGCGAGCAAGGTGGTGCGAGTATCGCCAGTACTCGCGCATTATTCGGTAATAAAATACAGATACACTATTTCTGCGTACGCTTGCGTTCACGTGTTTCCCGTACGATAGTTACTTTGTATGTATGCAATCTAGTTTACATAGCGGAACGATTGTGTTTCATGTTTTTTCAGTAATCGAGTCTATCAGCAAAATCTTATTTATACTGACAATGACGGCCGGTCTTTCAGATTGTCGACTATGTGAGTACAAAAATGACAGACATTGTTTAACACAATGCAGGAAATCTGGCGGTCGTTTGTGATCATAAACCATGTCAAAAAAAGCTGCCTTGTCACCTATAGAAATGTTAGTTCAGAAACATTTGATTAATTGTTTGAGCCAAGTTTGTTGCTGGTTTCGATATAAAAGATTTCATTATAACTCTGTGAGCGTGAATTAATGGCAATTTTCTCCTATTATTTTCACACGAGAAGTGGCTCACTGTGTCGCTAGAATAGAACTATCAATAGCGGAGAATTATGCCTGACTAAATGCCATCATATTAATTGCACATATTTTGGTCGAATGGCAATTAATTATTTCTTACCCTGATACAAGCCAATTGACCTAACCTGGAGGGAGAACACCTGTTGTCTTTCGCGGTTCTTTGCCGCATTTTCTATTATGTGTACAAAAGGAAGCCGAATATGCTACAATAGGCTGTTTCAGTGAAATGGAGATTAATCGCACTTTTAGTACCAGCTTCAATACTCGCACCATTCACGCCCAGAATTGTTGATCATGCCATATACACAGTGCCATCCATAATCTAATGCTGCGGTATGGCACTTAGCCCTCATCAGCACGATTGATACCGGTGCAAAGAAGCGTGCAATTCCATTTATATCTTTGTTTTCCTTGGCTCAAAAGATCCTTTATGCGTTGTAAAAAACAGTCATTATACTGTGCAAATAATATGCGCTCCATAAATGCGTAATGCTGCAGAAAGAAAGAAATTGCCATTATTGTTATCAGTACAATGGAGACTATGCGCATAACTGTTTCATGCATACTTTGCAATGCCGGCTATAGAAACAGGTCACACATGGGGCGCAGCATGGCGTAAGACGGTCAACACGGTTTGAGTAATTCATTTAAATTTTTACATTTAGGTAAATTACAATTTACAGGGGAATGGTATCAAGTTATCAACTCATTACCATGAAAGCGATGCGAGATTTATGATTTATACAGAAAGCGGAAATAAAGATTTAGAAAATATTCTAGGTGAATCACTCGACTAGATTTATTACTTGCTTTACATTATTTTATTAAATTATGCTTCAAACTTCCGAAGCATTTTAGTACTGAAAAAAAGTTACGTTGTAATATAACTGTGCGGTAGGTGAACAACTTTATTAAATAAATGCGCTGGCAGCGAACAGTTGATCTGCGAGAGTAACGGCACGCAAGGTACTTAATACTGTAGCAGTACAGTTCACCGTCGGTGCGGATCAACTAACTTTTCTTGTTTTGACATTTATAATACGTATTCATTAAAACAGATAACTCTAAATTAAGCGATATTAGCAAAAACCATTAAAACTGCTTGCACCCATCGTGTATGCCACCAACATGCACATAAACTGTGTATCAAGTTCAATTTAGTCGAAATGCAAATGCGCCGGAAAAGCTCTCTTTGGGCGAATGTGCACTGCATGTGTAGTTTGTGTCTTGGGAGCATGGGCTGTTGAAGTGAAGAGAATGACTGGTAGTGATACAAAGAGACAAGGGAAGAAATTGATTTTAATAACAAAGCACACAAAGGCAAAGATAATGGCTACATAATGAAATTTTAAAGAGCATCACTCCCCCGTTGCAGCAACAACCGTTTCCGGGCGTCCCACATGTAACCGCACTAGGAAATCCATTGACAACCATTCAAAACATCATCGAACAAATTATCAGATCATTAAGCTGCCAACCGATTTACATGCTGGCTGGGTCTAATTGGCCCTCTTCCCTCTTTTCCAGGGCATTCTTCCTCTCTTTGATCCAATTGCCATTGAATGCCAATAGTACACTAGTGAAAAGCCAGCGTTTTTCTCTTCATTTAGTTTTTATCAATCAAAGAATACGAGTACCCCTGGTGACTCGGTCTGCATGGCTGAGGTCACTCCACTATCTATGAATCCGGTTCTTTCATTCGCTTTGACTTATTCCATTGCTGTACAAGTGTATTTATACCCTTAAGCCATCAGCCATCAATATAATACCGCAATATCATATTGTGTATTACGGTATGTATTGTGTATGTGCCGCACTGCACCATAACTGTTGTAAAGACGACTCGGCCACAATAATAAATATGTCAGCTTTTGCAACTGTCACCCATAAAGATATTAATATTGCCGTCAGTATTAAAACTCATAACATACTTGAAAACTTGTTCGTGTACTTTGCGCTTGTTCCGGCGTCAATGCCGGCTATTTATGGCTTTGTTTTTGGCTGTTTTCTTGTGCCGTAATGTTAATTCACAAGCAGACAAAGCGCTAGATTTACAATTTCTTTTTGTGTCGCCAGAGGCTGCATGCACATTGTAAGTGTTTATAATATTAATGCAAGCAGCACCACCGTTCGCAAGTCGCAACAAATTCTTGTTATATATGCAATAACGAAATAATTATTTATACACATTTTATTTGTCCTTCTTTGATGTATTGATATATACGGGTTAACCAATATCAAACAAACAGAGACAATATCTCTGTTTTTTTTTTTAAATTAGCATTCAAACTGAAACCGAAACATGATAGGATAGGTTGTTTTTTCTTGCCGTTATAAACCAAAATCATTCAAAATCAGCGGAAAAAGCAAGAAAACCGCCGTATAAAATAACAAAGTCCCAATGACGAAAACAAAGAATGTTCGATCTCACTGGTCAGTTCGAATTTCCGGCTTTGAATTGGTCGGTACAAGGTATGCTCTAGTGTAGTGACCTTTGCGGTGCAGTACAATAAAAAAACAAGAACAAACATTAACAACAAGCTAAAAAAACAACGAAATTTTATAAAATGCTGTTATAAGCGAATAAAAGCAAATATTATGATATTGTGGCGCTTTGGTACATTAACGAATCGGATAATGTACTATTTAGTATTTATATAACTTGCCAATCTGGTTGCCTTGTGCTATCCTAAAGTTCTGCAATTAAAGAACTGTATAAAATATATTGCGTTCTTTTCTGTCTTTTGAATTAGGCCGGGTACATCAGTTAAAAAAACCAAGTTTGCCGAAAGAGCAATAAGTTATTACAGCTCCGGCACACTAAATATTCACTTTCTTGTCTAGATGAGGAATCTAATACGAGCTTAAAATTTTACATCCAGGTGATTTCCACATAAAATATATATTTCTTAAGCTTCTCAAATTGCTGCATTTAAGCATTTTTTTACGAGCATCCAACTGGTGCTATCTACATACAAGCAATATAACTAATATTAAAAGGCAAACTGCGCTCATAGTTGTCAGTGCACCCGGTGAATTGTACACCTCGTAATCTCGCATTCTAAATACGAGTAAAAATGCATGCAGGTGGATTTACAACAGTTGTAACACTAAGGCAAAGTAATAATAATTTTGGAATATATTGATGCCGGTATCGCAACTGCTATTCATGTTCATCGAAGGGAAAAGCATGGCCTTTGTTCAGAATATACAATCAGCATATTATGCTCTTTTGTGTACAGGTTGAATATGATGTATAAAATCCATATAGTCAGCTTGAAATATATTCTCTATCAGGCTTTCTCTTCCATCAAGAATTAAACTGGAAATTGCGAGCTTTGCGCCCGAGTAAACACTACAGTGCCACCGTTCTTCATATATTATACGGAGTATTATACATTGTATTCAGTAGGCATGGAGCACTTCGTGGTGGGTGCAAACGGCATTCATGTGCAGTGTTCACGCTCTAACAATGCGACACGCAATTCTTTTTGTATTATCGCTGAAAACGAAGTATGAAAGAATGGGAAATATTTGACTGTTGCCAGTGTATCATGGCTGTTGCTGGGCGGACAGCGTGAACCAGATATTCAATAGTGGGAATCAACGCCTTCCGCTCTCTTCCTGTCAGTCCCGGTTGCGCGGCCGAGAAACACCTTTTCTTCAAAATCAGAATTATGATGACCATTCATTGCACCTTTGGGCCTCCAGCTGTGATGATCAATGAACCCAGCTTCGTATGGCATCTAGCCGACGATTCCACACATCAACTACACAGTGCCGCTTTTTCGTTACAGTATACAAACTTAATATGCATTTTGCGATACACTTTACCCAAAGTTATTGATATGAGCGTTTTTTGCAGTGCGTCTGGGATGGTGCTTTACAGTTGTTAGCTTCCACAATGTCAATGCAACAAAATTTTTGAAGTAGTGATTTAGATGAATGATAATTTTTCAAAATCAAAGGCCAAACTTTGTAAGCATGCTTGGTTCCGTAAAAGTACTGCAAATCAATGTTTTCAGTCGTCGTTATTAATCGCGCTAAAGCTTCCCTGAAATTGCACTTCCGGTAGTGTGATTCGTATGAGGCACGCTTTGCATGCACAGAAAAAACATCAAAATTATACATTTTACTCTTATAATAACTAACATGCTTTGCAGATTTTTACAGTAATGAAGTTCCACTGTGTCCACTGATACAGTAACAAATACAATATTTATTATAATACTTACAGTACTCGTACACGCTGCATTCTAGCATTCCAAAATCTTTGGTAGGAGGAATTCGGCTGCCAGAAATATCGATGAAATTGATATCTTCGGTTAGCCGAAGTATGCATTGTGAAACGTTGGATGAGCAGCAGGGATTCTACATTGTCGTTGTATACGCATATGAAATCAATAGAAAATTAACAACCACCTTCATTTGGTGGACACTGCATATCGCCCATTTTCGATGGATGTCGTCTGTCGCTACCTGCCTAGTTCCCACCTGCAATGTACCGCCCTCTATTACGCTAAATCCTTTGAATACTTTTCATCCCAGTCAAGAAAATGTGATTAGGCCAAAACAAAATTACACGTTCTAGCGCGGTAACAACACCTTGAAGGCATCGCGAAGGACGTTTCCTATTCTTCATGACTGTGAACGCGGCTGAATGAGTAGCATAACAGGGGCGGAAGACCGGTGGCCGTAATTGGTATGCACTATGTGCAGTTACCGGCCATTTAATATTACACATGGGTGCTTTGGACTTTGCGTAGGACGTCTAAAATGGCCAGCCGGAAGTCATTGTTACGTTCTAGTCACTTGGAATTAGCATAATACATACATTCAAGATGTTCTGAATTTGCTGTCTGTGCATGTAGTAACTGAAACCGTATTACTGACAACAATTAATTTCTCATTTAATTAATAATAACTATTGTTAAATCCTAATAATTATTTTAATTGCACGCCTGTATATGGTTTATACTAAAGAATAATTTGTCATTATACGTCTTTTGCCAATGTCTGTAATGCAGATCCATATACCGCTTTTGATGTCAGCATGCACTTTAATTATCAGAAGGATTAATCATACGGAACAGTTTACGCACTAATCGAACGATAGAATACTGGCGATGTTTGCGTAAGTAAGTACCTAATATTATTAATTGTTACGATAGCTGAATGGCGGAATTCAAAACGACCCACTATCTACAATTTTCATTTGCCGTGGAGCAAAGAAAGAGCCACGATACGCCGTTCAGGCACAAAGGTGGCCCGCGCGCCGGATGCTGAGTTTTTCATTATAATTTAGTGCCGCAAAATGCAGAATTATTGTTGTGCTTCATTCACAAATTTTGCGCAAAAAAATGCCAAACGTATAATGAAATTAGGGATATTGTAATTAGCTAGCGTTCGGCTTAAATTTCGGAACGTTTGGTTCCTTTAGCACAACAATAAAACAGGGGCCGGAAATACGTCATATTGCTGATTGCGTTAACTTCGGCGTAGTCACCTGTGCCGGTGTGCACAACTGCACAGAGCTAGAGGAATGACATCACATTGGCCGCATCATAAACTGGAAAAAAATGCAACTCATCATCAGCTGTAAGCTGCTAGCTGTGATTTTCAGAATGAAATCTTATTTTTGAACATGTTCAAACGAATGTAATTCTGGAACCCAGATCTGTCGCCGCTTTTGTGGATCCCTTTATTGATTTCCCTTATTTGAAACCTTTGGGAACATTTTGAAAATATGTAGGAGCTCGCTGTGGCAAGCTGATCACCCATAACCTTGGGGCCATTGTGGACTTCAGTAGATCCGAGTTGTTTCCTGCATTTGCCGCAGCGAAACCATGTCGGACAAACGAAAACTCCTCGGTACGTGCGAACAACTTGATTTTAAAAAATTCCGGTGCGCGAATTTGTTGAGGTGTTGCCCAGGTTAATTAGCTTATGTGAAAATTGAAACAGAATTTTTGATGGTCGAATGTTGCTGTAATACTTTTGTCGGCAGCCGAGGTGGATCGAACCTTCAAAAAGATCTACGAAGGCATCGAAATCTTTGACGAAATCTGGGCTAAGGTGACACGCTTATAATTGAGGAATTACTTATCCCTGTGATATGGTTTTTAACCGATTTTTTCCCCTTAAAAGCTGCAAGATGCATCCAATCCCAGCTTGAAGGAAAAGTTCGGGGAAGATCTGAAGAAGGAAATAAAAAAATTGCAGGTGCGTGTGCCATTGTAATCAAGCGCCAGTTCACCGTGGGTTCGCTTTCTTTTTTATATCCTGTGATTTATTAGAGACTAAGAGACCAAGTTAAAACATGGATTTCCAGCAGCAACGAACTAAAAGACAAAGAGCCCCTCTTGAAAGCCAGACGTGATATCGAAACGGTAAGCAAGGCGGCAATTTTCTTAAAAATTATTATTAATTAATTTGTATCGGTTTTGCTTGGTTGTTTTATTCTGCTTTGTCTGCTTGTTTTAGAAAATGGAAAAATTTAAGGACATTGAACGGGAAGCTAAAATCAAGTTGTACTCCGATATCGGTCTGGCGCAGGAAATCAAAGTTGACGTTAGTCTAAAGAAGAAACACGACGCTAGAGCTGGACTTTCTGTATGTACAGATGCTTTGACGTTCTTTTCGTGATTTGTTCTATATTAAAATTGTTAGATTCACAATTTTACTGTATTTTAATTTTGAAGGCATTAATTGAATGTTTATTTAGCAATTTATTGAGAAAATGCAGCGGGATTTGGAGCAGTTTGAAAGCGAAATGGAAGTTCTCACAAACGGCGGCAAGAAAAAGAAAGTGGAAAAAGAGGTAGAGCGGCTCTTTGATAGCGGGCCCGGACTTTCTCATTGTGATAATTTTTGCTGGTATTAATGGTTGAAGTCTTAAAGATGATATAGATCTTTGCTGTGAGTTACATGAATTTCTTTTGACGGTCTGTATTTTGCAGAAATTGGAAAAGGCCGAATTTCTGAAGCAGGTCATGGAATCTCATCGCAACCATATTGGGAAAATTGAAATTATGTTGCGTATGGTGGACAATGATAGCATAAATCCCGATTTCGCTGAATCTGTTACGGATGACTTCGATTTTTACCTCAGTAAAGTGCAGGAAGGGCATTTGGAAGATGTCACCTATATTTATGCAGGAATAGATCTGGAGGAGGCAACAGGTAAAACGGCATATCCCAGAAAAGAAAGGTTGCAAGAAAGGTCAAAAATGGGTTATACTTTATTACTGGTCTTATCCATGGATATTCGCTGCAGTATTGCTCTTAATTGGGTTGTTTTGTACTTGGTAGGGTATTACCGGTTTACTGTGATTGTAACGCAGTACATTATTCTTAATCTGCTGCAGTAGTGTGTTGCAGCTGTAATGCTGAAAACGTCTTGATTTAATTTGTTTACGTGACATTTAGGTACTGAATCCCGTGTGCTCAGCAGTCCTGAACCAAGTGTAGCGCCAAAAGAAGCCGAAGAAATGAAAGTGAAAGTTCCCCCAGAAATTACAGTGAGTTTAGGGATGTTTCAAGTGGTCTTTAGCAGGCATTAAGGACTGTTATCTAATTTCAGGCGACGGAACCCGTTACGGTGAAGCCGGCATCTTCCCCTGCTTTAACAGCTGTAAATTCAGCAGCCCCACAAACGAAGCCAGTTGAAACAAAACCAGCTGCTCCGGCAGCTGTTCCTCCGAAACCGATGTAACAAAAACTTATTAGTTTTTTATTATTTTTAAGGGTACTCCTTACTGGAGTACCTTTTTAACGCAAACATTTTTTAGGGTTGCAACACCAAATCCTACTGCACCGCCTGCACTGCTGAAGCCGTACGCGGCGGTTGTAGGTAAACTCTACCGGTATATGAATGTGTTCTGTGTAAATCTCAATAGGAATATTCATTGATATTTGGCTGTGTATAATAAAAGGTTGTCGTGGTTGTTGATACCAGTTCCACTGGAGGCATTTTATCCAGTTTATATTTTCAGCAAGAGCCGTACCGCAGACCATGGTCAAGCAGCCTTTGCCCGTGGTCAAGCAGCCTTTGCATAATCCTCCTGTTTCTTTGGGAAAACCTGTAAATAAGAAAGTCTCGGCGGTTAAGGGCAACATGCCGGCTTTCAAGCCGAAACCTCCTTCGAAAGTTGCTGCCGCTCTGATGAGAGGTACAGCGCGCACGAAAATTCGAAATTAGCCGGTGATTCCGTTCTTTTGGAAATTCATACAGGAAGTGCATGGAAAAGGCCGCACGGAGATTCTCACGCAAAACCTCAGAAAAAGCAGTCTGTGGCGCTGGCCAGTCAGTCCCCTTCACCCATACCGACCGGTATTTCTGGATCCAGTTACACCCCATCAGTGACGAGTAGCAGTCCATCCTGCACACCCGAACCGCTTCTCGCCAAGGAACCCCTGCCGGAAGCCACGCAACTGACAATACAGAACGGCGTGCGAGAGCAGCATTACTCGGTGCAGCCTGTTCCTCCGCCCAGTACGCCACCGTTGCTCGGATTGCCACGAGCGGAAGATGTGCGGAACCCGTGGTCATCGTTTGTGGTGCCTGTGGATAATAATAACGCATCCATAACTGATGAGACCTTGCAGGCGGATTGCAGTCGGAGTCAGTCCAGACATTCTTCTCTCGATCTCGATTTAGACCGGACAGATTTTACCCCACTGGGATCGCTGCATTCGAGTATTCATACGGCGGCAGCGCTGCCAAATACGACGCCCAGAAGGCTTGTGGAGTCGTATATAACCCGCGTGGAACTGGAGTCGCAGTTGGCGCCGATAATTGGGCGAAGGGTACTGGGTCTGGATGAAGCTAGTAGGGACATTTTGCTGCAGCATAGTGGACTTGAAGCGGCCCTTGGTAATCCACCGAAGCCCTCTGATTCTGAAAGACGAAGGTGTCATTTACATAGCATCATATAATCTAGATCGTCTGCTCCGGTTTTGATGTTGTTTTACTGTAGCCGTTATTATTAAGTTATTGTTGTAGCACCACGTCTTCGTGTATAGAATTATTTTCTCATGTTATACTTTTAAAGAATTTAGAGTTTTTTTTGCTGTTGTTGATTGATTTTCCTTGTTACTGTTGGATTCTCAGCATCAATCGCACATGATTCCTTTTCACCATTACAGTATTGGATTATATATCTGTTTGACCGTCTTTTGTAATATTTTCAGATCCGTAGTTCCTTGTGTACCCTGCCCAATTCCTACTGGATGGCCGGCAAGTCCTCCTTTGGCGCTTATCTGTGATAGGAAATTTTATGCTAACCTCGCAACGGACGTCCTGTTTTACATTTTCTATTTTGGAGAGGTATCGTGCTTTGCAAGTTTACTGTTTTGCCGTAACGTACGTATTATATTATTTTAATTCTGCATGGGTCAAAATATCGTAAAAAATGCCGTTATATTACTCTGGGTTGTATTTAGGGCAGCCTGGCACAGTTGTTTGCGGCTACTGCGCTGAAAGAAAAATATTGGCGATTTCATAAGAAGCTGAACTCCTGGTTTAGAAGACTGGAGGAGCCAGTTGAAATTTGCGACCAGCATGAGAGAGTAAGCAATACCTCTTTTGTTTTCTTCCTGTTAAGTTGCAGTTTGTTAGCTAGGGCCAGTAGTTTCCGTTTTCTCCTATCGTTTCGCAGGGGAACTACGTGCTCTGGGATTTGGACACATGGTCGGAGCAGGAAAAAGAAGATTTTACTTTCGAATATTGCTACCTCGAAAATGTTAACCTGGACCGTTACGACCATTCCGCTGACTACTTTTCGTGGTCTGCCGTTCCGTATTTTTCTGTTGTGAAGGACAGTTTGCTGAAGTAAAAAATTGCAGTATGAGATGCATGACAGGTGTATAAATCAGTGACTGAAAGATTAGGTTTTATAGAAATGTCCTTCACGGTTAGCAAAATAGATTTTTACGTTTGTGATAATAAAATTATTTTGTCTTTAACCGGTAGTCCGCCAGTAATCCGCTTTCGTCTGGGACGAGATACCACGGCCGTAATTTCTTTACGTACCCTGACTGACCGGAAAAGCGGTTTCTTTTCACATTCCTCGTTTAGATGTAACTGGTGATAATGGTATCCACTAAATTCTGTTAGCTTGGATTGCTAAGACTACATATGCAACAGCGTCAGTGCCATGAAATAATTCACCGATAAAGCAGCACTGCGAACGATACCACCTGCATGCAATGTGGAAAAGGTCATCATCGCACTTTGCTGTTTTTCGTATATTTTAATAGTTAACACTGGAAGTTATTTTACATTTTATCAAGCATCTTAACTAAAATTCATCAGGCCAGCATAATATTCATCCATGCCGCGTCACACGTTTCCAGCTACTGCTGTTCGTATGGGATTGCGAAGTTGCGGACCTGCAGTCTTGTTACTCTTCTACGGTATCTATACGAGTACCGGGTAAGGTGTTACCTAGTGGCTAGAAGCGTACCGCAATGGTTATCATTACAGTCAACGAAACTGAGACAGGACTCAAAAGTCTCAAATTATTCTTAATTCTTGCTAATATTGACTTTTTTGACGGCTTTTTACCCAGTCAAAGAAATTTGTCGATCTCCATAACATCGGGCTCTCTTTTAGATCGTAGTGGTACTTACCCCTCCGCGCTTATCCATAAAACACTAAAGTGACATTTCCTACGGAAATAGCTCCGTCAGGCCTGGATGGGAAAGGGAAATAATCGGGATAAACGGAAACTGGATACAAACCACATGGAATACATACTTCTATAATTATTAGGCTATTAGCCCAACCACATTCTAGCGACAGCTATGCTGACTATGCAGTATGCCCGTATTAACTGGCATACCGTAAACCACACCCCTAACTTGTGCCAATCACAGGGGTGTAACATTTTGGTTACAGATTTCCCCATAGACCGTGCAAGAAACAAGCCGTATACACTCTTATACAGAAAGTCTCACTTTCTGTTTTTTATAGTGTATAAGTCCTGCAACAGTGTGCAGGCCTGACGGAAAAGATTCCATACTGTGACAGTGTGGCGGGTTAGTAGCAAATACTGTGCAGTGTGCAGTACACTACAGTCAGCGACTTTGCTACAGTACTCAGTCGACGAAGATTCGAGTTTTCACTTTTCCGTAATAATTTTGTTTTCGTTTTCCACACTTTAGTAACCCAAGTGAATCTGTTGGTGTTAATTGTCAGATTATTGACGAACGCATATAGTTTTCTCTTTGTTTTTAATCCTGATTTTGCATCAGCCTCTCGAAATGAATATAAGATGTGCACAGGTGCGTTATCCCTGGTTTCGCTAGATTGAAGTACTGGTACTTAACTGGTGTCATGTCTGAAATATTTTCTTCCTGAAGGTGGCGGATTTAATGAATATGCAACACTGCAATCTCTTGTGTTTACCGGAGAATTACCAACTAAAATACTACATGTACCACGGTTTGTCGTGGCCACAGGTAGCGTTCGCCTCAGATCCCTAGTCCTTCGGATGTATCAATTAGCGTGCTGTTTTTGCAGCTGTCCTATATTGCCGAAGATGATAAACAGCGTATAGTTGGTTATGTTCTGGCCAAGATGTGAGTTGACACGAGCTAGGTTGTTTTCCCTTCAGTAAAAACTGTAACATACTCAATTCGTGCTGTGCAGGGAAGAAGACGACGACGAACCCCACGGACACATCACCAGTCTGGCTGTGCAGCGGGAATATCGACGTCTGGGATTAGCGCAGAAGCTGATGAACCAAACCGCCCGCGCCATGGTGGAAATTTACAATTGTCGTTATGTCAGCCTGCACGTGCGCGTGTCCAACCGGGCGGCGTACCATCTCTACTCAGTTGTTTTGGGCTTCAAGTAAGCCCAAGCTATTATTGGGTTCACGAGTGCGCAAGCAAATATTGCATGGCACTGTTTCTTGCTTGTTTTATTTTTTCCATTGAATTTTCTTTTTTTTGTTTTGCTCGTTAACAGTTACTTAATAGATGGGTTGAAAAATTACAATTATTTTTATGCTGTATGGTTTATCGAACCAAATTTCGTTTTCTTCCGGAATGGAAGATTCTTGAATTTTGAAAGCATGAATTTATTTTCGTAGGACAACTGAAACTGAACCGAAATACTACGCCGACGGCGAGGACGCGTACGCGATGCGTCGGGATTTAGTTGACTGGGCACGCCAACTGGATATCAAGCCGCCGCATCCCGTAAAGTTTTTTCAAGTTGACCGCCGTCATCGTCGGCAGGGCAAAGAGAATCAGTCTGCTCCAGCGGCAGCTATCGAAGCCGCGCCGTCGGTGCAGGCGGTGACGGATGACGTCTCCCGGATGCAAGTGACTGACGCCGCTGACACTGATCAGCACAAAGATTCTGCTGCTGCTGGAGGAAAAACTGCAGAGGCATCCAAAGAAAACACCACTGCTTCAGATCAACCGAGTGCGACGAAGAAGAAACACAAGAAACGAAAATAATATGCAACCCCTAGTCCGTATGAAATCGGTATATTTAACCTGTTTCTTACTACGTGGTTGTTAACCAAGTAATTTGCTTTTTTTATAACAAACTGGTTAGCCATTTGCTGATTTATTTCGTTAGATCGATTTATTTAGTAAAAAGAAAGTAGACAAATTTAAGGACAATTTAGCTTTACGCACTGTATTGAACGGTAGTACACACAGAAGAAGAACCCATAAAATAAAATGCACACAACTCAACTTAGAACAAAGCCGTATAATATTCGAAGCACAGTGAGCAAAAAGAATCTATATTAACCAAGCACTCAACGGTGATTCCACTGATAAAATCACTATTACAAGGACAGATTAGCCAGCTCAGGACAAATGAAACGAATGCTGACCCTCTTTGCATGCTGTCTCCAACCGCTTGGCCATAATTTCCATGCTGGAATAATCAGGTAATTTCAGATAGTTGACGCACGTCATCACAGATGGCAGGAATTGATCCGCATTCTGATCGCCGGCTACAGTTTTTCGCACCACAGTGAAAGGTGGATTGAGGGCTTTGAAACCTGCAGTGCAATAACAATCAACAAAAGCAGAATGTGATCAATAAAACTTTCACCGAACATGTACTTAATCAACCACATTGTTGCGGGTGCATATTGTAACATACGAGAAGAACTAGTCACTATAATGTCGTAGAGAGTTCGTAATGCAACTTTGAACTGACCTCCCACCGGCAGTTTAGGCGATCCTGTAACAAACTGCACAAAATCACGCCGTTCCTGCGCACTGTACTTGGCCATAACTGTAAAGAGCCACTTCACAGCTTGACTGTCCACCGTATAACCATGATCGGGATGACAAGATTCCGTCAGGGTTCGCACGTCCCACCCTTCCTGTATGTGCTCACCATGACCACAAAACAAGGCATCCAGTTCTTCAGCACGGAACAGGTGAATATGCTTCAGTGGGATGATAGCATTGAAGGCATCCCTAAATGCCTCCATTTGCCGGCACACGCCTTCCCTCAAGTACCAATATACAACAAGCTGCAATGAACATGAAAAAATGATTACTTCCAAGCATGCTTAACTTCAGAAAACTGGCAATGCCACTTAAAGGTAGACCATTTGAAAAGAATGCAAAGCGTCTTACATTGACATATTGTTCCAAATTTTCAAGGCTGACAGCCTTATCTCGTCCGCCGCGGCATAGCTCAATATCATCATAACCAGGCAAAGTGAAATGCAAACACAGATCATCCACTGATGTTCCGTCGTACAATAGTTCCTCATCCGAGCCCATTCGTTTCCGATCACCCATTTCACTAACAGATTCCAGCCATTTTTTTCGACGTGCAATACGATAAAGCTTTTCCATAGTTTTCGCCATTTCCGGATCGATATGCGCCAAATCCGATAAACCCAATTTGGACTCTTCGCCTAACATCCATTTGTAGAAAACTGGGCTGAATGGGATATCCGTCTAAACACCGAATAAACCATTCTTACGTAATTCTAGCAATGGCAAGATTTCACGGCTTACCATTCTGAAGTCCATCACAGCTTTTGCCATAAATTTACCCAACAAGCGAAATTTTCCTTCGATTTCTGTCATTTGCGCTTTAAGGGTGCATTGTCCAATTGGTTTGGGAAACAATCCACAAGGGGCGTAAACATAAGGTCCAGTCGACATATGATTGGAAGCACCGTGCCACAATCCTAGTTCGGTTCGCTGGAATTCCCTTTGAAAGATGTCATAGTTAAAAATACAAACACAAATGCATCGAACCTTTCGTTTAGTGGCACTATAACCCAACATAATCTAACAAACGAAGTACGTATTTGAATCTGAAGCTCCACTCAGGTACAGCTCTTAAAGACTACAAGTTAACCATTTTCTTACTTGGACACCATCGAATAATATTCGAGCGTTGGTCCCAAGCCAGTTCCCACTTCCTCCTGATACTGAATTTCCAAAAATTGCCGGGTATGGGCGTACTCATCCATTATCGTCTGGGTCTGGACGAGAAGATTTTTCCGCGAAACCACGCGTTTTCGGCGTTCGATGCGCGGCAAGACATGATCATGTCCACTGGACGAGCTCTGCTGACTATTGCTACGGTGCAGCGCCATTTCGGGGTTGGTGTCCATTAAACGCTGCATAGCGCGGTCCCGATCGAATGCCGTAAGAAAAAACAGTTGCAGACGAGATTCAAAGGGAAAGAGAAACGGAGCATAAACGGCAATCTGAGTCATCCAAGAAGGTACTTGACCCGTAATGACCATCATAGGATCCTGCATCTGCCTATTCATTTTCGTTACCAATTTACTGTTCAAAAATTCCAGTTCTCCCAGGCGGGGTAGAAGTTTCGACTGGGGCTGATAAATTTCCGGCCAATAATAATTCAGCGCAAATAACACGCGCAGCAATGTAATGACCTCCACAGAAGGATCACTGATAGTAACAAATTCCGCAGATTTCGTATTTAACTGCGTATCAAGAGCTGATTCAACAGGTGGACAAATGGCTGTTTCCCATACCGTATTATTACGGTCTTCTTCTCCTTTCGGAGTGGCGTCATCTAAAAACAGAACCGATGACAATGAATACCAACCCATACATAATTATATACACAGCATTAAAGTTAACATATTGATCAACCTAAACACATGATACATCACTGCTTTACTGGCAAATACGAGTAAGTATGTTTACCAAAAAGCAACAGTACATACTATTCTGCTCATTCTGTCCACTTCCAGCCAACTGCGCTGCCGCTTCATCTCGTGCCAATCGATAATGTATCGTATGCGTGTTACTAAACAGTGCCATCTGACCGGCACCAAAATCAGAATCTCCATCCGTATCTTCTCCATTACCGCTCCTCCCAAAATGTCGAATACACTGATACAGACTCCAGTTATATGGCAGCACGTTGTTATTATATAATAACTCCAATCGATACCGGCCGTTGGCCCGAGCGGCATCGGCAGCCATCGACATAGAATCCAGCTCATCTTCATCGGATACCTCATCCGTATCCGGCGCATTATCATCCGCTGGCCCACTTTTTCCGCATCCTCGTGCCACCAGATAGCGTTCTATCGTATGAATGGGTGCTAGCGGTTCTACTCGTACCATGCCTCCCTTCCATTCCCGAATGGTAGTCACATCCGGATGACGACTCAGAGTACACTTCAACTGACTATGTGCGAACATTCGCATGATCGGATGCCGCCCGCCCGCGGCACCCAATCCTAATACCCCAGGCACCGTTAAATCCATTACCCGTACGGGGAACTGTTCCAGCTGGTTAACACAGGCGCTCAATTTGGAGACCAGGGCACTGAATGCTGGCACCGAATCAATGCAGTCAGCGACATCGAACACGTTCACAAAGCTGGATTCCGCGTCTTCCTCGGACGGACCGTCGAAAAACACATGCAGAAATCTTGCAAGCCTCCTGCGGCGAGGCGTTCCCGTTGACTCAAACTTCGCTTTCCGCTTAGCGCGTTTAACGACTAAATTAGCATCGAAATTATCATCCAGCCATTCCGCCTGCGTAAGGTACCGCAAAAGTGTTCCGATGACATTACTGTGAATGACTTCAAACGGAGAGGCATTCCCATCCAGAATCACTTGCTTGATTTCTTTCAATGCCGTGAGTTCCTTTTCCGTACGCAATTTTTCAACTGAAGCATTGAGAACCGCTAAGGAGCCGGACTGGGAAGAATTTGAACCGGGTATATAGTCAACAAGGAATTTCTGCGCGTGGGCTTTGATCCACTCCGTAGCTTGATGACGATAATTCTGCATTGAAACCGTGCTGGCTGGTGGAGCCGAAGGCGTTGCAGAGGAACTACTGGATGGAGTCGATAAGCTAGAAGAAAGGCGATCCAAAACTGCACGGCCTTCGTTCGCTAATCGCATGCGAGCCAAAGCTATACGGTTCAACGGTGTTGTCCCCGTCGTAGGTGGTGGAGGCGGTGGTAAAGGATCCGTTATCGGTGGACTGGAGCCGACATCCGTATTCGAGGCAGTTTCCGTTGGACCTATTACAGTCCAAAGGTGCGCAACAACATTGAACGTTTAGCAAACAGTTAAAAATACAATCAATGAGGCTGCACACTCAAAGATATCACAAACAGGTCGGTTGTTCACACCTTTTATGCGCAATCAGATCTCAAACATAAAAACAAAGATTGCATGCGTATGAATCTCAAATGACCTAAGCGGTCAGAACCATTTAAAACACTTAAAAAAAACGTGCAACCAATTACCTGCTGGATGACGACGTCGTCCAGTAGTAAGAGCTGTCCAATTGCCACGTCGCGTAGTCGATCGTCGGGTCGTTGTCTGGGTTTTACTGCGTGCTGCTGGGGAGCCGCCACCTGCGCTGTTATCCCCATATGTGTCTCCGCGATTCGACGAAGACGGAGTTGCGCTGTCCGAAGATGAGGGCTGCGAGCTTTCAGACGAAGAAAGCAATAAATTGCTGGGCTCTCGTGTGTCACTATTCAGGGGGTCGTTATTATGGTTCCTGAATATGACACTTTCATTTTTCGCGCACAAATTCATTTGATACACCACACCTATCACACAGAAATAAACCACCGATTTAGCATACTTGTTACAGAACGCAAAACATGTTGCAAATTGTCTATTCCTGACCTTCACGGCGAAAATGAACACTAAAAGTCTGCGGTAGCTTCTGCATCAACAGATCCGCGAGCTGGATGGCATGAATCACAGATTTTATATCATTAGTAGCCAAACTGCTAGCAATATTGCTGAAAAAGAAAAATAGGGTGGTTAGAAATCGGAAATTAAGGTTGCGACTAAAGTAAGCCCCGATAACGGGCATACCTAGATACGGGCAGTCGCTGCATGATACCAGCCAGCAAATCCGGACTGGCGTGATAGGTCATGCGCAGTAAGGCTTCTGAACATTTATGACGGATAGCCGCTCCAGCTGAGGTACTGTACACTTCATACAGCACGCAGAACAGGTTGCGGATAAAAATGGCAACATTAGGATCACACGATTCTACAAACATAGCTCGCAGCTAATTAATCCCATAACTATAACGGAAGCGATTGAATGAAGTAAACAATGACATCTTTACGTCACGAACCCAACAAAATGATTAATTTCTAGCAGTAATAAAGTAAATCGAAAAAAACGTACGAGCAACAGGTGCCGAGAGGCGGAGGGATTTAGCCACAGGAACCACCTCCTGTCGTTTAACCTCGCGCGACGTTCCAGTATCCTCATTAATCTGATGCATAGCCACCAGATCGATCACATACTGAGCCTGGGGAGTATCAATCAGTACGTCCTCCTGGTGCGTGCGGAAAGCATTCTGAAGCGAACAAAAACCAGTGACACATGAGAATTAATAATAATGAACCAGGAAATTTTAACAGACTGGGCGAAATCTATGGCAAATTTGTTAGTGGTTAGAATGCGGCTGTTGCTTCGGTACACACCTCAATTGTTGCGCACTCTGTATTCGTGTACGGTATCCAGGCATTAGAATCGTCTTTCCAATACCAAATCACTTGCTGATCACTACTACCGGAAACTTTCCGCAGCAGATCATCGACAGCGAAAATTCCATCTGTCGGCAGTTCCGGCAATAAAGCACTGCAAAAACAACTGAGTTCAAAGCCTGCTACGATCGTTCAAAGCCTGTTCAAAGCCTCGTATTAACATACAATGCTTCGAAATATGACGGAAGTATTACGTACACTATAAGTCGAATTAATTCATATCCTTCTTGAGGTGATCGAGCACTCTTTGACAATTCCACACGCGTCCCCAATGTGGACGATCCAGTCAACAGGAAACACAACGTCTCCGTAATTTCTGTAACAAAATTTTCACTATTCCTCCGAAAATTCGAAAGAGTATCTGGAGCCATGATACATACTGTTATCGAGCAAGTGTGCCGATAAATCCGGACAGGCAGTGCAAATATGAGTCAGCATCTGAATAACCATAATAAAGATCTGACTGCTCAGCACTGACGGAGAAGTGATAAGAAGATGCTGTATATTCTGCAGTAATCCATGTCCGGCAACTTCCCGTAAACGATCGGCATCGTTGCGGAAACATTCCACAATACGAGAGAAAGCCGCGCAGGTGTTCTCGATACATTTTTTGTCGCTATCTTGGGCCAATCGCTGACTCAGCAATGGTAACACCGGTTGAATAAATTCAAATTCTTCGGGCGTCAAATTACTGCAGCAGCTGGATGTAATCATTAGGGCATTTCGCTGGGCAGTCGAAGAAAAAAATTCAATGTAATTCAGAACTGCCTGGACTCCATTCTGCAACCGGCAACAAAAAAATCAAACGCGGAACTTACTTACTTGCAAACGAATATGTCAAGCACCGTAAATGATACTCACACACCGTTTGAAAATATAAAAATCAAGATCCAGAAAGTAATAAACGTTTTAAAATATACTTACCGCCCGTAGTATCTGCTTGGTGTGTCGGCGAGAAAGCATTTCTAAAGCAACCAGACTCTGCTCTGCAACGTCAATGTATTCGATAGACTGCAACTTATCCAAAAATGCTGGAATTGCCCCGACAACAACTGTAGAAGAGCGCGGCAAGGATTCCATCATGTATGACAGAGCTCGACAGGCTTGGGTCACCTATAAACAAGAGTACAGTACTCGAAATGTGCAAATTGAGTATCAAGAAATTCAGTACTTATACATACCAGTTCGTAATTCCCTTCCCCGGCGATTACTCCCGTCAGTGCGGCAACAGTTTGTTTAACCGGAAATCCGTGCAGTGTATCTTCGTTACCCATAACTAACATTTGACACAGTTCCGAAGCAGCAGCCAACTGAGCACTTTCATCAGTGCCCTTCAGTGCGGTCAGCAACTGCGTACATTTGTTGTCTAAAATCATCAAAACTAATTATTTTCAAAACTGGAAATCACAGTAATAGTAGGATGGAAACATACAAGCCAAGACAAGTATCGTACCTAAATGGAACTTGCTGTCATTTTACAGCAATACAACCCTAAAAAGTTTTCACGAGATCCATCGAAATACTTTACACAACTTACAGCACTGCGTACTGCCTCCAGCCTGACTACCAATTCGACCAAGCATCTGCTGGAATCGAGGAGCGAGATTGCTGAACAGAGATGACGGCAGTCCACGGGCTTCCAACAATGCCTGCAGCCGATTTACATCAAATTCGTCTCCTCCAAGCGCCTCCAAATCTCCCAACGCGGAAAATATGTTACTGGCAAGGCCAGCTATCATACGAATAAAACAAAACGTTTGTGTCAATAAAAAAAAGTTGAAGAATAACGTATAAAAAGTAACAATATCTACGTATCGTTACAGACGTCTTTCAAATAATCATTTCATTATGTGATGTTTGTAATTATTGTTTCACATTTTTATGAGTCAAATATTTACCAGAATCACTCGCAGCAGAACGATTCGAATTATTCTGCGCCATGCTGTTAACCAATGCAACACCAGGAGGTGTCGGAATAGGCTGCTCTACTGGCTGTGCAGATTTGCCACTGTCTTTGCCCAATAGGGATGCCGCTTTGGCTTTTACAGATAACGATTTCGCTACCGACGGCTTTTTGTCCTTATCCTTCTTGCTCTTCGACGTAGCTGATAAACTTTGAACCACCGGACTGGCAGCACGCTTCACTGACGCCACTGCCGCTCCTGTTTTGGACGGATTACGCTTATCGACGTGATGCTTTCGAACCCGCCTGCCAATGGTGTCGTCAGCAATATCAGTTGCTACTGCTGTGGATTCCGTGGGTGCAACAACAGCCTTGGCGGTGCGGCTTCGGGTGACAGGGAACGATTTCGTCGACACTGCCTTGTTAGTCGTCTCGTCTGAAGACACGTCTGCCACGGAATCCGCTTTGTGTAGCGCTGCGCCCATGCGCTTGGATGTTTGCTTTACACCTAGTGGATGGCATTAATTTCATCAGCCCTTACACAAACGGTAATGATAATTCAAACCAAACAGCGACTAATAAGAAGTTCTAAAATCAACAGTTACGAAAGTGAGCGTGGATGAACCATTTACCCTCCCGAGACCTATCCACCTTCCGACTGCGGAGATGGCGAAGAGGTGCCGTTATCTGCGCTCTGGGACGCAGATTGTGTCCTCGCTGAGCAGCGTCGCCGTCGTCTTCGTCCTCGCTCTCAACCGGTCGTTTAACGGGTGGTTGCTTCAGCTCTTCGTTCAGTTTGTTACTGCCGGCGCTACTGTGCTTCGGCAATCTGGATCTGCCCTTGCCTTTAACCACAGGGCCGCCCGTGTCCTGTTTCGCTCGCTTTGTACCCACAGTGGACAGACGCTTGATCGTGTTACTGCTAGCGGTTGGTTCTTCAGATGGCGTACGAGAAGTTGATTTGGATGTGGAAGGATTCGATCGTGATGCTATACGACTACTGCGACGTAAAGATAACTCGTCATCGACATTTCCACTTCCGCGTCTCCCAGCACTGCAAATAAGCAAAGTATATATAACCATCCATGCAGGAAACAACGATTTTACACCCTCAATTAATTAAAAAAAAATTACTTAGAAACTTTGAAAACATAGTCGCACTCACTACAGCATAACTACTAGATAAAATTTTATGCATTACTGCAAGCAAACTTTTCCAAGATTTTGTGACAACAGATTTCAAAGCGAAAAAAAGTTTCACAGACTGCTGTCCATCGTAATTGCCATACGTGCGCATTGTTTACGTTGGTTACAGAGCTAACAACATCATCAGGAAAGACCGAATTACGTAATGAACAAGCCCGCGACCTACTCTGACGAAGATGCACCCGTGCCTGTTGACGACACCTTAGCAGGATGGCTTGACGATGACATCAATAAGTTCCCCGCAGGTGTTCATGAAGTCGCCGAAAAATTGTTCCAGGAAATGACTTCGTTACGCGTCCTGTAAAGCAAAGTCGAAATTGCTATGATATCAGCTTAATATGCATTCGGGCCGCGATGTAATACGAAAAATGCAATGAGGTCCATAAACCATTGCCTGCCACGCTGCACACCAAAACACAAACGTCAAAACTCAAACTGGTTCGAATCATCAAGGCAATTTAATTTGCAATTTCATTCGGAAATCAGTTTGTTGTAAACTGAACTCTCGACTAGGACACTAAGCTTCTGGACAACCAAACCACACCGCCGTGACAAATAAGCTCTTCGAAAAACGAACAACCTAACACCATCACTCTTTAAATGATAAAACTGAAGTATCGCGAAAGGACATAATTAAGACCACTTCAATAACTGTTTCTGTAAATTCTAAATTAATAATATTTATTACTTACTAAAAAGTTATTTCCAGAAATCAGGGAAAACGAGAAGCTGAGAACTGGTTTTTGCACTTGCCCTAATATTACTATGCTAATAATGCAGCTAACAAAAACATTTCTGCTTCTTCAAGTTCAAGAAGCACACCACAGAAGTATTCGCAGTCATAATAAAAATTATTCAAAATGAGCCAAAAGATTGTTAAGGCCTACATAAAATGAGCCCAAAGTCCCCAAACCTAAAATTCTCACAGCGAATCTTCATGTACTTTACTCTCATCCGAGATCACCAGCTTCCCCTGCCAGTAGGTTACAGACAAGGTCAGCAGGCACCTTTGAGTCTCCAGCATCTGATCGATACTCGTCACAAAACGCAGGAACTTACGACGCCACTTCTCACCACGTTCATATTGTTACGATTCTCTGTTTTACGGTCCAATTACTGCAAGACCGCGACATTTTGCCATTGCTTTCAGCCTGTCACACATCCGTACGGCGATATAACGATTACTTTTGTCAATTTCTTTTATAACTTATTTCTTTAAAAAATCGGAATTCACTCATCCTAGCAATAAATACCACAGAGCAGCAGGAAACTTACCAAAACATTCAAGCTCTCTCACAAGTCTCTGAAAACAGTTCTCTGCTAAAATCTTTGAAAAACGCATGGATTCAAGAGTCTTTCTTGTGGAATAAGACGATTTACATTTTTATTCTGAACTCGTCAAACATCGACTTTTTGTTTCCAGCTTTGAGCTTGTTACAAATCAACGAAAAAGCAACGAACGAGCTTTGCTCATCCAAAGCGTGCAACATGATTTGACGCAAGCGTACGCCGTACGCATTGGTCGTACGCATCGGCGTATGTTTGTACTAGGAAGTACACGGTCAGTTCAATATAATAATTATATAAAAGCATAGAAAATCCACCTATACATGGATGGACATGGATTTTTATTTTACATGGATGGTTATGGATTACATGGATGGACATGGATTTGCATTTTTTTGGATATATATATATATACATGGGTTTTTTATGATAAAAGCACAACATGAATGTAATGACGACTTGATGCAATCTAACACGGGACTGTTAGAACTAACTCACTAACCATAAGACATAAGTACTGTACTTATTGTGAGTAAAATAGCTAATAAAACGCTTCCCTTTCAAAATTATTTTTCGTTGTTGTCGAAATAAAGAAGTGAACTTTAGTAAAGCGTGGGAAATAACTTTCTGGAGTACTTACCGATAAGGTACCAATAGTACCATACATACACACATAACATCATACTATCACAAATAAGCAGCTATAAGATGCTGATGACATGAATGTCTAGTTCTTAATTTGGAATCCTACGACATTATTTTATTTATTTACTCGTTTTCTGGCAGGTAACTTGATGTAAGTACTGTAAAACATTTACGGTTAGTTACGTATGTACTTTTATGTCACTTCAGATAATGAGAGAACAAATATCGAGTAACTGTAACGAATTCTCGTACAGTTTTCGCTCCTCTCACAGTCCCTGGGTAAACATCACTTAAAATGTTAACTCAACCAATTAATTCATTAAAATAATATTAACAAAATATTAAATAAAAGCATAATGGAACAACGTAATTTTAATTACATGTGCGGAAGATGCAATGCCGTATTTGGTCACTTTACATACACTAGCTCAAAACTATAAAAATTTCAACAAAAAGGTCAGCTACCAAGCAGTAACAATACCGGCACTCGTATTCAGTTTGTACGGTGTGCAATAAACCCAGCAAAGTGGGTCAGTGATTAAACTTCTGGTAAAATAGAAAAGTATTTCAAACACCGGCAGGAATCACTCCACAAAAATTTCGGCGAGATCTTCAGAGTCGTAGCGCTGTCCGGAAAGGATATCGATCAGTTGGAATCTTGGAAATAACTGAAAAAAATTATACTTATGGGTTGCTCATCAAACGCTACGTGTGAACGACAGTCATGCGCTAAAAAATCACACTAAAAAACTTACATGCAGTCCCACACTACAAGGGACAACAGGAAGCGGAAACTCTAAAACCCCTCCTGGAGCAACACTACCAACCGCACGACCAGAAATGCCACACCAGGCAAAAGCCCGATCATGTTGATCAGGCAATTTCAGAACAAACTCCATAGGCCGAGTACTGCAAAACAGGTCTACATAAAACAAATTCATTCATCAGAATATTTCTAAGTTCTTTCTTAATTAACCCGTTGACGGGCATTGGCGTCAGGGCGCAACATGGTTTTCTGAATTTTTTCCCCAGTGATTGCGAACAGTTAATGAATATTAATTAGCATAATTAGCAATTAGAGACTTTAAAGTAGCAGTAAAAACATAATTCAAACTTGCATCTCAAGCCAATCACAAATGACCGTTGCCCGAAAATGGCTAATCTCGGACTTTCCAAGCTCTCGTACGTCTTGCTAATTAACTAATTAGTGGATGAATAATTAAACCGCAGATAAATCAACAAGGTACAATTAACAACGTTCTATCGAAAATTGACTAACACGGGTTCTGTAAGTTGAACAGTGGAAGACCACAGTCCGTCAAAAACTTGTGTTGCGTGCCAACACCATTGCCCATGAAGTGTCTCAGATACACAGGCGGGTGCAATTTCGACTGCTTCTCTATATCACGTAGGCAGATCAAGTTAAGTACTGTCGGTTCGTACGCAAAACATGCGTCACGCGATTTTGTTGATCGGAAGCTTGTGAAAAACGCTTTCGCGTATCAACACCACGGGCGGTCGGCGAAAACCAAAATCGCCTCTAAATTTGGCTGCTTCAGGAAAACAGAACGCTTAGGGAAACCGAACACGGTAGTCCTGATTGTAAATCTACCGTCACTGCAATAACAATAGTTGTAAAATGGCGGTACAACACCGTGCGCTTTACCGCGTTTCTACATATTGATGGATCGTTTGGACATGCGAGAGCGGCGCAGCTTTGCAGAAAAAATGAGTTTTGATCTATCTCGGGCGGTTGAAAACTACAGTAACTGTACACTGTACGTGCACGTGACGTTGGTGATTTTGACCTTTGCGGCAGCCTAACTAGTTTCTTCCGGTCGCTAATGCGTTCGAAAAAGTGCTAGTGACCACTAACTCTCAGTTTACGCCAATGACCACTGCAGCTGGACTATCCGCGCCGCATTTTAGACACTGGCACTTGCGGCCACACCAAAGAAAAATGCAAGCGCGGCAGTATAAAGGCGGCTATGCGTGCCAGAAATGCAGAACAATGCTTCGTGCAGTCTTATAATTATGAGAGTATAATGAAAGTTTTGGGAGAGGAAAATTGTTAGCATTTTTATTTCCTATATTCTATCTGTAATAGTGGTCAAAATACATGGTAACGGAATCTGGAAGTTTTTAATTTTTTACTGACCAGTGGTCACCTTGTTGACCACTACTATACTCTTGTTTTAAAGTGCTTTTTTTGTTCTATTTGGTACAGTTATTGCTTTTAGGTAATTTCCGTTCGTCTATGTATTACAAAATTAAACGTTTTTATGCTGTAGACTGTCCGTGGGCATTGGCGTTGGCAAACACCCTAGTCACCACGGCTGACCTATGGTCAGCACAAGCTTACAAAAAATTCCCTTTCTTAATTGATTTTTTTCATCGGGAAATCCCGATTTTCAAAAGGAAACCCGCACTCCGTCGGGTACCGCCCGCTGGAGGGTTAAATATTAAGCAGACTGAAATCTATAACTGTAACCGCTATAATTACGCTCTAGCTTTTCGATCATGCAGTTCTTCGCTAGTGTATAGAAAGCTAAAAAAGGTAAATCATTCAGTCCTTTTACCCGCAAACTACAAAAATTAACTTACCCAAGGGAAAAAACAGCCACCGTTACCGCAAAAGCTTTGTAAAGTTCAACTTTGGCAGGTCGATTGGCCAGGGTTACGAAAATGTCCCGAAAATCAGGTACCTGGAATATATACACGGTCATCTTACGGTAATGAAGCTTACGGGTCCCAGGAAGCTCCGCATATTCAAAGCTACGGATTTCGAAGTATCCGTAGCAGATTACATTACTTGCCAGTTTCAAAAACTTACACACTTTATGTTAAGAACAGTTTTCGATCTTTCGATGTTAAGAACAGCTCTCGACGGAATAGATTTCTGATAAAAAAACTTGGATCATCATTTAAAAGCGTCAAACGTTGGATCTTTTGCAAGTATGCAAATATGAAATATTATGATGCAGACACCACTTACGGCTCGATTCAACGGTGATGTTGTAACCTTTCCTAGATCACCCATGCGTGTTCGCCATAAAATTTCCACTCTGCCGGGAGACGTGGAGGATTTCAGGATTTCCCCTGTTCGAGTTCGATCGGTCAACCGTATTCGAAACACGAACTGTCGCGAATCATTGGGTCCCAGGAAGCTCCGCATATTCAAAGTATCCAGTGGATGTTGATAAAGAGGCAGTGTTACCTCTTCCGATGTGTATTCAGGAGAAGTGATCATCCTGACAGTTTCAAGGACAATACTGGTGTTGGTCAAATTCTGAATGTTAAACTCGCCGAAATATCCCCCATCCGGCAAACTAACAAATTTATTCTTAAAATCCATTGGTCGAGCCACGCTGTACCGGAAACATTTCTTCAAATTCACTCGTTCTAAGGGATTTAGGGGATTGGAATAGGTAATACTGGCAATCATCCTATAAACTCAACTCTGGATTCTCAACTCTGATGCAGTGATGCATTAGCAAAACACTCGACAATGAGTACCGTAATTTGAGTACAAGCCTCTGGCAAGCTCAGTTACACTAACAATAAAACCTGACACAATATGATACAATTTGAAACTAATAACCTGAACCAGAAAACGAAGACAATTTACGAACCAAAATACATACCTAAATTAAAAAGCAAACAATTTCGAAGTATCCGTAGCAGATTACATTACTTGCCAGTTTCAAAAACTTACACACTTTATGTTAAGAACAGTTTTCGATCTTTATGCTCTCTGTCTCTCTCTCTCCCGAAAACGCGAGTGCTTATCACTCTGTCTTACATGTGCGATCCAAGATCACGAATTTCTTTGTTAATGATGAAGTCAAATGTTTGTTGTGGTTCCAGCAGAAACTGCTTCCCTTCATTAAGAACCATCTCCGATCGCCCGGCAGCAGCGGATTGCACTTGGAACTCAAGTTTTACTGGAATGAGAAGGGACAAATTCGTGCAAATTCAATCAAGCAAATTTGTCATAAACTGGAAATCACTCCAAAGTACCTGTAATGTCCCGAACGGCAGAGTTAGTAATATTACTGACACATGCGTAACAGTGCAGATACTGTCCCAGAAACATGGCCCTACAAGAAAAAAACATTTAAATTAAATACTGATCATCCGAAGTGCTTCATGAGTCACGTTTTCTGTCATATGCTAAAAATCAAGCGAAAAGGCGGTCCACTTCCTGAAAATCAGCTCGGCAAATGCGATATATCACACATACATTTTTTAATCGCATAATTACTGAATTTTTCAATTATCCTTCAATTATTTCACAGCTTTTCTAAAATGGTGAAATAAGGAAGGAAATTTCGAAAATCCTTCTTTAATTAACCGTGATAGTTCCGAATCCGAAACGAAAAATATGAAGATAATTTATTACTTATGGTTCAGCTTTTACCCAAATGACTGCGGTAAAACCAATTCTTCCGTCAGCGAAAACTGCTGCTCTTTAAAGAGATCATCCGAAGCTATGGCCTCCTGACCAAATGCTGCGATTTTACGATCCTTGATCCACTTATACACATCAATTTCCCCTCCATCCTCATACATCATTGATCCGGACTGAATGAAGGAAGGTTTCAACAATCGGAGCACTAATAAAAAACATACTTATTTTATCAAAAATTCGAATACATAAAAATTCTCACATATAACTCATATTTTTATAACTAACCACTTACTATGATAAATTGTTATAACAACCATATGTTATAATTATCAATACCGCATATGTTACGTTATAATACATAGTGCAGACTGCAGGGAGCAATCCATAAGTAAAGCAATTGCTGGACATCTACCCATGGAAAATCTACATGAATACGGCCTGCTCCTGCGTCTAGGGATATCCGGATATGTCATATGCGCCCAGAATTCAGACAATTTCTTCCCAATAGGTCCGCATCGGGGTAACGGGGTGACGGGTAGGTGGTAGTAGGTACCTAGAGCTCAAAGTGCCCAGTTTCTATGTGTGGCACAATTTACCTTTCATATTCAGGCACTGATTCGGCTCTTTTGCATCCGGTGGAATATTTTGCGACAAAGCCATACTGCTGCCGTCGACCTACTCGCAAAAACCGAACGATACGGAGCAGATGGCTCCACAGCTGACTACAACTACCAGCGTACCAGTAACGAAGATACCAACAGTTTCCCACCTAATCCGTGTGAAAAATAAAGAACAGAGAATGAACTAACCAAATACACATAGCGTTTGCGTTTGTGAACTTCCAGATTGCACTGGATTTACATAACATTTTTTGATACGTGTTACTGTAATTTTAGATTCCAAAAATGCAGTGCACGGTGCATCCTCCTCATGGCGGCGGACGAGCAGTCGATCGGTACAATTCTTTTTTCCACGTCTTAACAATTTAAAATTTTAAGCAATCTGTCTCAAAAATTTTAATTGTTTAGGCACTTTCAATCGAAAATTTACTTTATTTCTGCGGTTCATGCCGTGCCTGCTTGCCTCAAAATACATCACTGTGCTATATTACTTAACTACTGCAATAAAATTAATGAAAATTATAGCTTAAAAGGAGCTGCTCCAAAAATAATGAAATGGCTACAACCATGTGGTTTTAGAAACCACTATCCTGTTTGCAGCTACAGTGACTGTAAGAATTCTGATATGAGGTCACTTACATTAAAAGCGTTTTATACTCCAAAAAGAATTTTGTGTGTTACGATGTATGCAAAGTATAATCAGGTTACATCTATACGATAAATACAAAGAACAGTTAGCAGTGTATGTTTGCGGTGAGCTCTGAGAGTAATTTTTTTGCAACTTTTTATGGGTACAATTGGCGAACCGGAAAAGCTAAATTAACTCTGGCTGTTGTAAAGTGTAGCTTTTTCGCTTGCTTGTAGTAATGGTTTTCTTTTATTGGCACATGTGTACCTCGGTTTTGAAATAAAAATGCGCTGTTTTTTTGCAAGAATCTTCTACAAAGTTCGCACAACTGGACTGCGCCGGATTATTTTTCACATTTTTTTTACACTTCAAGCAACAACAAATTTCACAACAGTAAATAGTAGGTCCTAGGTAGCATCGACAGCAGCATAACCATCAGTATCAATACACATGCAAGCGTAGCGTAGATCATACATATCCGCGGCCTGCACAGCGTTTTCATTTTCGTGCCAAATTCCACACTCAAAACCGACAAAAGGTTGACCACCAGCAACTTTAACAGATATAATATTTAAAACCTAAAGAGTCTTATCTCCACACGCGTTAGTTTGCCTATTCATTTTTCCCAAAAAGCATTATCCAATCTCCGGTCTAAATAACCAACGGGAGATAATAATAAGCTGAATCTCCGAACAGAGAAAAATCACTGCTGATTTTTGGTGCAACCCAGATTAACCGGCAATACTCGAGAGTGCTCGTAGCGCTAAACACTTCCGCGATTCAGGGACTCCTCGTGTAAGTACGTAGGAACTCCACCTTATCCACCATATAAAGACGCACCAGAGATAAATGGCGATCAATGAGGATATCACAATGCGATCAAAGCTGAACTAATGGGGAACAAAATACAGAGCGCTTGAATGTAGTTGAGATGAGGCGCTGGAATCAACAGTACTACGTAAACACGCTGTCAGCTGTCTCGAATTCCAACACCGGACGTTCGTTGATGTCCGACATTTGCATCTCCTCAAAAATCCTCTGAGACGACTCAACCGGATAAATTTTGTAGGCAGGTTGATTGGCCTGCAGGCTCTGTAAAAAACAAACGCTGTCAACTTGTCAACCCCAACTTCGAATATTCTTTTTTGTCACAACCGGAGAATATTAACGCTGCCAGAATCGATAACATGACAGCAGTTTTATGTTCAAACCAGGGACAATGAGGTCCACAGATTAGATACACAGAATGCCGCGAAAATTTCTGATCGAGCGAGTTCTTTGAACTCCATGTTGATGGAGTGCAATATGCACACGCTGTATGGCATTTGTTACGAGAGCGACAACTAACACCAGTCTATAAATCGTGATTACACAACGTTATCAAACCCCTTGTAACACGTGAGAGGAAATATTAGCAATATTAGCAAGAATAATAATGCGACCTTCAGGATATAAGTTGGCAGAGTTTCAGTAACCCATTAATCAGCTGTATTACGCAGCAGGAAATTCAAAAAAAGGTAACTGTACATTGTGTAAAATCCGGTGAAGATAAGTTAAAATCAGTATGAACAATTTAGCGGTCGTTATCCGTTTTTAGAAAAGGCTAAACACGAAGCCGTAGGTAATCGTTAACGGAAATTAGGAAAACAGACTTCCATTAACGAGCGTAAAATGTAAATGCATGTCGTGTAGGTAGAACAATCTGGTTAATGGTTAGATCACGGTATAAAAGAGATAAATTCCTATTTACCGTGGTTAGACTATCTGTATTGCACTTTTATACCTGGCCCTGGCTGATGATTCGCACCAGCGTACGAAGATCTTCAGCAGTTCCTTTAGGGACTTCAACAATCCTTAGCTGCTTGTTTTCCACCAGATCACTTTCCGCCGTCAATGAGAATTCTGGTATGACCAGCACTCCACCGTCCATAAGACATCCCGCTGAACGCTTTTGCAGGCGTTCATCGTGGGCCAGACATATGGACATTTGAATGCCACCCCGTACGTAGCCTTTCATTCGCTCCACTAAAACCTGCTCATGGCAATCTTCTCCCAGAAACAACACCTCTTCCGCACCAAGCTTTTGTGCTATCTTCAAACCCTCCCAATCGTCCGACGCAACAATAATATGAATGCGGTCGGCAATCCGACTGTGAGAGTACCGCAGCAGACGGATCAGCCAATGCGTCAGTGAACCGGCCCCAAAGATCACGATGTTACAATGCCCTTCAACGAAAGGAAGCACGTGTTAACAAAGCTGTCTTCAGGCCTTTTTAACACAAAAATGACAAATCAGCAGAGCTCAATAAACGCTGCTGTTCTTTAAAAAAATTCTTTAAATTGCAAGATTAACGATTTAGTAACGCTCTGGAACAACATTTACCTTTTGCATTGACAACTTCTTCCAAGTATTTCTGACAATGTATAACTGTGGACATGGCCAGTGTGCCTCCAGTGGGTAACATAGCCCCCACGGCAAGGCTGATCGAGGAGGGAAGTTTGACTATGTTATTCAACTTCCTGACGACAACGAAATCCGCATATCTAAGGCACAATTACTATGGTTTAATTATCAGCTTACTGTTAGAATGTTAACAATTGTTAGTAATCACTGCTCCGGTATTCACAAATCAGGTACTGTACAAATCGTTTTGTTTACCCTTGTTCTGTGATTTCGGCATCTGGAAAAACAGCCACCGGGTCCCCCACGGACAGATCGTGAGTCAGGACACTTTCACCGATACATTCAATCACTCCAGAAATTTCAAACCCTAAAATCCAAAATAAGAAGATAACCGTGAAAAACGCAAACAACGAGCAACACGAAACTGTTGAAGAAAAACTCAGTTACTGCACAGTTGTACCAGATATGTACGTAATAATGATAAGTATATCATCTATCTGCCTTGCGGAAGCAACACTTTCTTCCTGGCAAATGGCGATTATTGTTTAGCACTTATAATTAGTCCGTCCAAAAAATCCGTCAATTGAACGAACAACTCACCATCAGAGCAGGGAATATTTATGAATACAAAGTATTAAATCACTACAGTATCGCACAGTGCAAGAAACTAAACCACCGCACACAATAACAGTTTACTATGGGCGCGGAATGGGCTAATCTCCTCAGATTTTCTTACTACGAGATACGAAGTATAACGCAAAAAAATTTTACTCACTATTTTAGAGCTGGAACACAGATACCTAGTTAAAAGTGATACGATTAAACAGCATCATATCTGAAGCTGCATACATAAAACTGTAGTTACTTGTTGTACCTTCGAAAAAATTTCCGTTTCTGTATCCAGCACATCCTTTACGCAATGGAGAGTTACTGATGGACTAATAAATAAGGAAAACACACTAAGCGATGAAAAGTCAATCAAAATACAACTCTCGTGCTTTTCGACTTACCGGAACATAACATAACCCCGCATAACAAACTCGAACGCGTATTCCATCCCTTGGGCAATCAGGGATGGCACAATCCAAATAAGGACGCTCCTCCGAGTATCCGAAGCTGAGTTTTCTCATCCCCACCATGCTGCCCGTACTTGCCGTACTACTTTGTCCTAAAAATGATTCGATTCTGAACAAATTCAACAATCACTAACGCAGCCTCGGGACAATAACACCAAATGCAGATCATGTGCAATGATGACGATATCGTTCATAATAATCAAAATTAAAACTTTAAGTTACTAACTTGAAACAGTATGCGAAGTCATCTGCAGCTGTTTTTGCGACTATTCCGACCAGCAGCAATAATAATTCGCAGCCTGATTCTTTATATATGATCGAGAGCCACAAGGAAATGACTCCTACGGGCAATGCACGTATGGATAAAACAGAAACACCCTTCAAAAGAGTGTTCGCCTTTTAAACAACGATAGTTCCTTAACGAATAAGCCAGAAAACGACAAACGAATACCCACGAGCCGTTCACGTTCGCAGCATCGTAGCTGAACACAGCATTCGTAGCCTGCGTAATAAACTGGTATGAAAGTCAATACAGAGCAAGTTAAATAATTATGGGTTTGGTTTTGCACTTTACAAGCTCCTGACTACACTGTTGCAGCACTCTACAGAGAGCAGACGATCCTAAATACTGTGGTAAAGCGGATGGCACAGTGAATGACTCTATATTATGATTTTTAAAGTGATCACGCAGCTCGCACATGGGTAGCACGTGAATGCCGCTATATTGAAATTTCTAACTTCACCCAGTTTACATGTTAAGTAAAATAAGTTCCTTCCTTTAATACAAGTTGAAACATGTAGCTACCGTATTTAATTGTAAGCAACAACGGAATATGTACATACTATTAACGCCAAAAATTTAACGTCCAAAACATCAAAGTGAAAATTAATATGACAATATCCGTAGAATATCCAGTGTCCAGTAATATGGGAAACGCCTGTACATATTTGGATTTGTATTACTGTATTACTGTACACAAGTATTACTGTGTTACTGTATTACTGTGATTTGTATTACTGTACACAAGTTTAAGAGCCACAAAAAAGTCCACGCTATTGTTTACGGCGTCCGCCATTTTGGTGGCTCTTAAACTTGTGTAAATACAGTATTTACCACACAGTTCGCGCGCGCGTTTTTTTCACTTCGAATTTCTTTAAAATACTCCTGTTAGCTTTACGGAAAGCTTCAAGCAAGCCAGGTTACGATTAACATAGCCACTTAATAAAAAAAGTATAAACCACAATAAAGTTTACACCAAAACATGCCATCGATAATTCGTGCAGTTTGGACTAGAGTTTCTCGCCGAAGCTCCAAGATCCAGCTGCAGTAGCCAGTAAGTACTATATTTGCAATTTATTAACAGGTAATATACAAGCATTATTACATAACAGGTAACATTATATTAACGGGTAAATTATAAGAATTTATGAAATTTTTGTCACCAAATTTTACGTTCCGTTCTCACATTCAGAGGAGATCAAGCTTCGTTGGACGATAAATAAAAATAAGTACAGCTTTGCATAAAGGTTGCTAAAAAGTAAAATGTAAGAAACCTTCTCATGTTCAGTTCTTGCAGCAATAATTTACAAAAAAAGAGCGGTTCGCTAGTTTCGCACTTAGACTAAGCACTCTGGGTCATCACACTGGGAACTGTATCAACCACAGGAGGCTGAGACACAATACACGAAGTAAGTATCTATATTTTCGCTTTTTCTGCCTCTTTTCTCCCTCGACTTCGACTTCTCTCTTAATCATATCAATTTTGAGCATGTAAACTATGACACCTGAGCACCGAAGTTTTACGGAATTCTACTTAATGTTGTTCCCATCCAGGTTTCTGAACCCTCCCCTTCCTCGAAACTTTTTAAGTAAAATCATGTCTATATAATGGACCAATTACATATATATCTCGCATCCAAAACTATGGACACCACTCGCATCGCCGTCCACCGTCCAGCTGCCTATTCGTACTGCACAATTAGGCAAAATACTGAACATAGCTACCGCCCTACCGGTATTACCTAACTACGTGGAACATCGAATCAATTTTACATCTGGAAAAGTTGCGACACCACAGACCATATGAAAAAACCATGGAAAGACAGAATTTCTGATTTCTTTATCTCTAATCCATAATCTACTCCACATTTTTTTATTTTTCCAACGGCACACAAAAAAATTAATGAGTTGTATTCACACAAGCAATCACCCCAACTACTGTACTAGACTACTACGAGTAGTAGTATATATATTTTTGTACATTCAAATTTTAAACCAGTTCCAACATACACCACAAAATTATGACGAATGGGTAGCCACTCTTCATTACATGTAGGAGCAATACCATTAATTCCAACGATTGCCAATCGCAATCAGCATGTTATATATTTTAGCACTTTGACTAAAGGAAAAACCTCAACAATGCAATTCTTCAGTACATCAAATCAATAAATGTACACAGTATACACTACAGTACGTGGGCTGTTGTATGGCACCGACTGGACCGGCGCACTGCCCACAAAATCATTTCCGAAGACCAAACCAGTTAACGTTCGGGTTACATGAGTAAGTTTAAGAAGCCGTTTGTCACTTCCTTTTATGGCCGTGTGCGGTTACAAGTCAATAACAGCTACGTACTCGGGCAAAATCGCTGAGTACGGCAGTTCCGGCAGTTGTGCGCTACACGACCAAGGTACCAGATTCGGTTTTACATCAGTATGCTCCTTATTTACCATCAGTTTTAAAGACCTTTCAGTCATTGGATATACAGATACATAATCCATGCCGCAATGACAAATAACAAATACCATTATTCAAATTCGAGGCCAAGATATCTGTCAATTTCCACATATTATATTATTTATATGTTCAAGAGGTGACCACAACTCACAAATAATATTCGTATTAATTAACGATTTTGCTTTAACCCGACTGCAGTCCACTTTCACAATTCGCACCGATCCAGTCTTACTTATTTTTCGACCCGTGTTCGAAACTTTATAACCGTAACCACACCGAATAAATTGCACATAAATTTTAAAAAAAACGCTCACAGTATTTAAATTATTTATAACGCTTTCAGGTTTTGTTAGCGCTTTCAAGTGCAACAAAATCCGGTAAACACTAAACAGCATTATTCTGCAACGTGCACTGCGCACCACAAAAGCTATGGTCATTTTCTTATGAGTTATGCCGGTGTACGGATGTAATAAGTTAGTAAGTGCGGTAACTACATAGTTATACGTGTCTCACTGTTTCCTTTTTTGATTAAAAAGGTTGCTGCTACTACCACTGCTTCTGCAATGAGTAATCACGACTAAAATGATTACTTGTGTTCAACAAGAAAAAATTAAAAATGCAAACACGAAGCACATTTCCCGCCCACTACGCCAATGAAAAGCCGAATCTCATCTCTCGTGTACTTGCTTGTTGTAACTATGAGCACTGGAGAGGAGCGAGCGAACATATTGAATGCAGCCGGGTATGTTTTGACTTCTGACGGACTAGACACAAACGGCAACATAGAGTAGTAATATTGTAGTGCACATCGTACTGCACAGTGCACAAGGTGGAACATCCTTTACCAACTTGCCCGTGGACAGATCTAAAAGAAGGAGACCACGCGAGAAAGATTTTTGGTTCTCCCTGTGAAGGCCCACATAGCGCTATATTGCGTGTTTCTGATATCTACGGGATTCTGTGGGCCATCAGCTGTGCAAGCTATTTCGTACGTAAGATCCATCCCAATAATCTAATCTGCTTGCTGCGAAGGCTGGCCGCTTTCGCGGACTATTTTCGCCCTGTCTGTGTGGATTAATATCAATCATCGATTATTTTCTAGAGGAATAAACGCAGCGTTCGATCGTGACAGTCTGGATTTGAAAACGATCTGAAACACCTGTAACCATGCCGGTTTTTCATACAAAAACCATCGAAAGCATCCTTGAACCGGTAGCCAGCCAGGTAATTCTTTTTATTCGCAGACAGCGTTCTACCGCTTCTGAGTCCAAATACGTAGCTTGAGTATGGCGAAACTTTCCCCGGGCTGATATTGCTTCATATTATTAAGTATTAATCCATGGAACTGGATTAAAGGAAAAAATATGATATTATAGGACTTCTTTTGCGCCTGTGCGAACTACGAAAACGCCCAAAATAGTCCACGTCCCGTTCAAGCTTATCAACCAGAAGCCCATTCATTGTCAGTGCTGCTTGACGTACATGTATCTGTCATATTTTCATACTATTTTGGTTAATAAAAAAAATTGGCAGCAACTAACAACTGTACAAAATTATATTTCACCAAAGTGGCTATATATTTAATTATTTATACGGCGCTGAATTTTGCGCAATATATATTTCTGTGACTTGTTGAAAATGATAAATTTGAATTTCGGTCATTACTAACTTATTTTTGCAGTTTATTTTAAAACAAACTTATGGAAAAAGCTTACCTAAAAATATACGAATTCAATCTGACCGAATGCAACTCAGTAACTGCAATGAATTCACACAACTTTTCCATTAGAAATTTAAAAATGCATTATTATAAGTATTAATTGTATTGCTTTTAAAGTGTGAGAGAAATCCAGCTGGTTTAAGACGGCAAATGTTTTGTTCGAATGACTACGTTTACTTTTTGTTTTCCCGCGCTCCAATATTTTTTAAAAAATTCTGTACAGTGTTAAAAAATAGAAACCCACCGGCATAAAACCGATGCACAGTGCACTGAATATCGAACCACGGGTACCAAATACAGTACATATGCACTTGCGCGGCAATGGTGTTATTACTCAGGCTCTATTGCGTGGAAAAAACAAAATCGTCCTCGACCTGAAGCCATGATATTCAAGAATAAATAATTTTAGAATGATATTTTGTCTTATAATAATTTCCTTAAGGTTTCCTACTGTAACGCCCTCCTATAATAAAAAGCGCATTATAATGGATGCACTGGTTTATATTTTATTACTAAAATAATCTTGGCTCAAAATACCCATCCTTGTGTACGTACCACAGTACCACTGTACAGTGTACACGCAAAATAACCTGCTGCAGATGTTGATTTTTACCCCACCATGCGCATAGCGTAAACTTGCCAAATGTCACTTGCGCATTCGATAGTTTGAACTTCTGTGATGCTACCGCTGTTTGGCACATTAGTACGAAAAAAGGATGACTAATGATTAGAGATAGTGGCTGCAGAAGAAACTACGCTTTGATATGTTAACGAACTAAAGGAATACAACCGCATCCGCTCTTCGCTGTTAGAGCTACCCGATGCGTATCGATCGTCGTAGGCTGCGTCACTGCATAGGACTTCAGCAGAACTTACTGTCAAAAGTGACCGTTGTCGCCAGTTTTAACGAAGCTGAAGGTAGCGATGTGGAAAGAAAATCAACAATTAGATATCACAAGGAGGGAAACGGCTGCTCCACAGCGTGAGGATAGAATAACGCGACGTCCCGGAGAAATATGAATGATTTCTGACAACAGCACAGTACAAGGCAGCAATCCAGATCACACGCTCAACAGTTCCAGAACATTAGTCAGAGTAGCGTGAAGCTTGGCTGTTGTTCTTCTTTCTTTTCAATGGAAAGATTGCAGGATGATTGCGCTGTAAAGCCTGTAATAATATTAGAGGAACTGGACCGGTCTGACCGTAATATCAATCTATCTCATGGAATGGCATTGACGTAATGGAAGCACTTGGTGATGCATAAATTCGGCATCATCTCTATGATCAGAAGCAGGTATCACAGTAATTTTTACAGTGCGGGCAACATGCAAAATGTACTTACTGTAAACCTTTTGTAAACAAGCGTATCAACATTTGAAGTTCTACCGCAGCATCGGAACAGTGATCTCTGATCAGCTGCACAATACGTGCTCATTCGGAAGTAGCCAGTAGGAAGCACTAAGCGTCCTGAAGGGTGCACGTGCCCGGTGCGCTAACCAATCATAGCGGTCGTATCCTTTGTCGCTTTACGCTGTTCCCTAGCGGGGAACACAGATCATCCTTGTTCTATGTACATAGAACAAGGATGAACGATCGTGCGCCATATGGCCTTCAAATACTTTACATACAACAAGTGAATACTTACTCGCTGCAATAGCGTTATTATGGAGGTCAACGCTCGAGCTAGTCTGGAGAATCCTGTTGTGTTCTTCCCGGTTCCCGTATTAACGCAAGTCATCCTTGACGCAGGGCTTTAAAAAGTTCACACATACGTTGTTTTCACCATAGTAGAGTTCAACAGCTAAAAACTGTGCTGCTGATGGCTAGATGCGGCAATCTTGACTGCGCATGAAGTCGAGCAAATTACTGTCATACTCAAAATTTCGGAGGTGGTATATTACGAAGTACGAACAATTAGCATTCTGAATGATATTATTTCTATTATCAGATAGTATGGATTACATTGTTACATTACACATGACTCGTATGAGCGAGACAGTCGTTTAGGGCGGCTCTGTAAAAATTTGCACAAACGGACATTGGTCACCCGACAAACAAATGAGGAGAATTTTGCGTTGGCAAAATGGTCAACAATTTATTACTCCCAAGTGTACGTAATTGCGCCAGTAAAAATACAGATAAGTTTGATTAGCAGAATGGAAGCCGTGATACATCGGTAATAAACTAGCCTCTAGACGGTGTGTACCATGCAGTTATAGTGCTGTACAACGCTTCGATAGGTATTCCTTGTACGGTATTATTATTCCGAAGTATGTCACTCAAATAGCTGTTTGAACATAAAAAACACTGTCGAAAAGAGTGATTGGATTATCGGAGATACTGCGACGCTTTTACTGGGCAATAATCCAAGTGATGCACTAATTTTCTTATGTAGGTGTCACGCTTGGTCATCCTCCATGAAGAAGCTGAAGATGGCGGGGCCATGCCGGATCTGGAAAAGCCAGTACAAGCGGTCAGCAAGGCGGTGGAGAATCTCGTGCGGGTAAGTCGGCACTGGTTGCTATCATATTACGTGCTGAAGCTTTCTGACAGAAAAAGCCAATACGACACTCTTAACTTGCCTGTGTTTATTTTAAAAGAGCTAAGCTAAGAGATGCATTAGGAATATATTTTTACCGGCCTTTGGCATAATTTTTTAGCAGTTTGAGTTCCTTTTTTCAGGTTGGACATGAGACGATTAACCACAGCGACGATCTGATTCTAAAGCAAGATATGCCAGCATCCTTACGCCGCGTGACGGAAGCCTCCAAGACGTTGGAGAAGTCTTCCGATATGATCAAGGCCGATCCGTATTCCAAACAGGCGCGCCGACTGCTCATTGACGGCGCCCGCGGCATTCTACAGGGCACCAGTTCGCTACTGTTGTGCTTCGATGAATCAGAAGTGAGGAAGATCATCCGCGAATGTAAGAAAGTGCTGGATTATTTGGCCGTGGCGGAAGTGATTGAGAGCATGGAAGATCTGGTGCAATTTGTTAAGGTGAATTTAATTACAGACATAAACCTAAAGCCGAATCCGCTCCTGTCCTATAAACCAATATTAATAAACACATTTTATACTACACACATCGATGATTTCTCGTGCGTGGTGTGGTATCTGATCGTGGTAAAGCCTCTACCCTAGATCTGTTTGCTAGTGCTACTGTACATACTGTACGCTGTACATAGTACATTGTTTTACACTCCACAAATTTCTCCATATCCGGCAGGCATTACCGGCTTGTACTTTATGTCAAAATCTAGTCGATGTCTTATCGTTTTAGCTGTTTTTTATAATATTTACGCTGTAATATTACTTCAGAATGTTAAATACTGGGTTCGAAGCGATTGTTATGGCATTTTAACTGACTATGGCATAAGTTAACTAACTTTGAATACACAAGAAAGAAAAGCGTCTGTTCATAAAAATAATTTAATGTGAGTCTTCTTAACCTTCTCGTGAACAGAAAATAACGGGTTATTTTAGTCGGCACATTATGATGATTACGAGTGCGCAGTGTGGCACCATTGTAGGATCTGAGCCCTTGCCTGACCAAAGTTTCCCACGAAGTTGACGCTCGCCAGAAAGAACTGACGCACCAGCCCCATCGGGAAATTCTTATACGCTGCCTGGATTCTGTCAAATCATTGGCTCCTATCCTAATTTGCAGCATGAAGATCTTCATTCAGATTCTCCAGCAAGGTTCGTCAGCTGTTGTCCGTTTCCGCTGCTAATGATCTATCGTGACATCTGTATACAAATGCGCTAAATACTGCTTTTATGAATCGTGCCAGAGGTGCGATGGGCGTTTAGCTCGTAAATATAGCAAAGATATTTTACTGGCTGTGATATGAATGGCATGTTGACGGTAGCAGTGATTTAGGTGGTAAAGGCATCGAAGAAGCGGCGGAAAATCGAAATTATCTTGCTCAGCGGATGACAGATGAAATTAACGAAATCGTCCGAGTGTTGCAACTGACTACCTACGATGAAGACGAATGGGATGCCGATGATCTGGCGGTTATGCGTAAAGCACTTGTAAGTCATAAATTTCTTAACGACCAATACGTTTGCTGCATATTTTGTTGTGGGTCCGATTACGCACAGGCATGCGAATGTCTTCAAGACAGCTGTGCATGCGGTATCCAGTTTTTCATAGGCTGAAGCGATGTCTAGAGTTGCCAGAAGTTTTTTTTATTTACGTTGAGTAGCCGGTAAAATGAAATTTTCAAAATCTTGCAAATGGCAATGGTGAATTAATTTCCTGTAAATTATATTTGAACGTTTCTTTTCTATTCTAAAATGAGCAGGGAGATTGACGATCTGAAAAAAGTTTTCTTACGTCTGCGTGCTGGGACTGCTGGCATCCTAGGTAGCAGGTTAACGGGGTGGTTTTGCCTAGTTTATTAATTTTTTTTGCATGTATTTCAGCGTAATGCATGTCTTTTGTTATATTGCTAATACCTAACTGCTCACAGAGCGGAATCGAGAGCAAGATGCAGGCGGCACAAGATTGGTTAGCGGATCCGCGTGCACTCAAAGGTGGAGTGGGTGAGAAGTCCCTCCGACAGATCTTGGAGCATGCGCTGCGAATCGCCGAACGTTGTCTACCGGCGGATCGTGACGCTATTCGCAAAGCGGTGGCCGACATCTCCAACATGGTGGATTCGTTATCGGAGCTCCGAGCCGAAGGCAAAGGCACTTCACCGCAAGCCGAATCGCTGGCCCGCGGAATTGGCCAACGTCTAGGTGACCTTTCGAGAATGTGCGCCCGGGCTATCCAGAATGCTGAGCGCAGTGGCATCCAGCAGCCGGCTCATACGATCCTGGGCAAATTGGAACAAGCCAAACGGTGGCTCAATGCTCCGTGGGTTGACGACAAGGGCTTAGGTAAATCGGTTATAAATTTTACTGGGTACAGTCAGATACTACCGTGTCTTTCGTTTCCTTTCTGATTTGTATCCTGAACACGCAGTTGTATGCAGATGTAAATTGATGATGTTCTCTTTTTAAAAATATTTTTGAAATTGTTAAAGTTTTACATCTTTGTAGGACAAAGCGCCATTCGGCAGATCACGGAGGAAGGTCGTCGCATTGCGAAACAGTGTCCGGAACCCCATCGCACGGATCTGGTGCGTTTGTGCGACGAAGTGGACCAGTTAGCCGGGCAGCTGGCTGACTTGGTGCGTCGCGGTGAAGGAAATTCACCGCAAGCCAAAGCTATCGCTCAGAAACTCAATGATAAACTGGATGAGCTGAAAAACAAAATCCAGAGCGCTCTGCTTCAGCGTGTGGTGGAAGATTTTGTGGATATCAATACACCGCTCAAACAATTCACCGATGCCGTTTTGGCGCCAGAAGGTGTGAACTACGATAGTTAGAATCGGTTTAAGTTTGACATAATAGAAAAATTCTTACTTCGAAAATGGAAAAAATTAGGCTTATACCGCACTGGCTTCTATTATGGCTGCGTATTGCATATTGTATTAACGTTATTATGCCAAGTAAAAATTACCGGCATTCGATATGCGGTTCTTTACAAGGTTCTTGCAGGAACTCCCAATCGGGAAGGAAACTTCCACGATAAGGCTCGCAATCTGACCGAACATGCTCTGCGTGCAGCGGACACAGCGCGCATGGTGGCGGCCGGAGGTTCCAATCAAAACAAACGCGCAGTGGAGGGCCTTATGAACGCGGCTAACCATGTACGCAACATATTATCATTTACTGCACAATGTGGGGCTTGTTGGCGCGATGGTTATTTTGTTGATGGTTTTTTTTCAGATCGAAAGCCTTACGCCGCAACTAGTCAACGCTGGCAAGATTCGCATGGAATATCCCACGAATAAGGCTGCTGATGAGCATTTTGAAAATCTTCGCAAACAGTTCGCCGATGGAATGCAAGCCATGCGCAATTTAGTGGACGATCAGATGGACAGTGCCGGACATCTAAAAGCCATCGAAGAAGCTATGCGGCGTCATGCAAAATTGTGCGAGGATGCTATTGTGCAGAACAACCCACAGAAAATGGTGGACAACACGTCAGCCATTGCACGCTTAGCCAATCGAGCTCTGATGATCGGGAAACGGGAGGCCGACAACTCCGAAGATCCTAGTTTTATCAATAAAATCAACACAGCTGCTGATCGCGTGCAAGGAGGTAAAATTTGGATGTACGATATGAAGCAACGCAACGAATTCTAACCAGCTGATGCTGAATCAGTAGCGTTTCCCAGAAAGTTTAGATAGCGAATATCTGCGCGCATTTTACTCTGGTATATGGAGGTTTTTATATTTTGCTAAATTTTATATTAATTTTCAGCTATTGCTCCCATGGTACAAGATGCCAAGGAAGTGGCTGCTAATCCGCAGAATGTTGCTGCCGGAAATCAGTGGAGGAATTCCAACAAGCATGTACGTAGTACATACTTAATTATCTTTTGCTAATGGCGAGTATTGTGTAGAAGTATGCCTAACGGAGCCCTAAGTGTGAAAAAAAGCCTTCAAAAAATTGTGATCGTAGTTGAGGAGATTTAAATAGACCGAACTAAAACTTCGTTGTATAGTTAACTATTTTGTGTTGAAACCTTTAGAAAATTTACAATTTTGTTGGGTTTTGTTCGACTGTGTAAGACTGCAACGGATATGTCCCTGTTGGTTGTTGGTAGCACATTGATACATCTGCATCAGGAGTGTGTAAGGGCATTTCATAAACTTCTGGATTTTGTAATGCACCGATTTCCATCATTTATAAAATAACCGTCATGCAGTATTGTCGTTCTTTGTGCACAAGATTAAGCAGATGCACTGGGATTGTCATTTATGGAGGATAGTTTGTGCCATTAGTTGCGAAGTTATAACTCTTTATGAATATCAGCTTTTTTAACCTGTTACTTTTTTAGTTACTGGACGCTGTGGGCAAACTTCGTGAGGCGGTTACGCCGTATGCTCCCCCACCGCTTCCACCTGCACCTGATCTAAGTAATTTAAATATCGGTAAGTCAACGCGTTACGTAATCTCGGTCCGTAGATTGTTTTCACCGCGCACTTTATCCGTTTACCGTTTTATAAATACTGGGTGCCGGGCACCGGCGTTAGACGGTTTTAGAGCACGACTCTGTGCGAGTGTGCAGCACCGTGTGTTACTGTACTTCGTTGGGAAACATTGCTGGATTACTGTAATCTTACCATTAGAGTAGATTGTGGGTGAGAAGTCATGAACCTTATGGGATGCCAGTCAGTCGTTGCAGTATGCTGCTTGTGACCGGAAATGATGTAAATGGAAATCCTAGAACTTAGGTTTCACCTGATATTGGTTATTATCTTTGACGCTTGCTTCCAGATCGTCGTGGTGGCCCACATGGCTACAGTAGTGATCACAAAATTGCACCCCAACCTCCACCCAAACCAACAGACTTCCATAGGGATGAAGGTAGTATATGGGCGTTATCCGTATACTAACCTGTGTTTTGGGTGTCTGTCTTGTGTATGTTTTATTCCCGCGAAAAATCGTGCAGAAACCTTTGCATCGGCATTATTTTTGTAAATACTTTTATGTGAACTGAAATTTGCATGCAGCCATTTACAAACCTTTCTGACAAACCGGTCCCTAATGGCTCCCAACTGTATGTCAATAGTTTTGCTTCTTTTTTGCTTTTTATGAGTTACGAAAGCCTACTTAGTGGCGCTGCGGAAATGGTGGCAACGTGCGAAAGTGTGAATCAATAACCGTTCATAACCACATCATTTGCATACGAGCCGTGTTTGTTTTTAATCAGGTTCCATCCATAAAAAGTGAACTGTGCTAATGTGACACCCAGTATGCGGCTTATACAAACTGCGGCTTTTATTTTGATTGTAGAATGAGTGCAGAGTGCCCTATGTTGATACGATCGTAATTTACAATGTAATGACATTAACGTACGTTGCTCGTTGAATGTTCGAAGCATCCATGTGTCTTGCTTGTTATTGTCTGCTGGAGTAATAAACTGTAGTAGAGATTTGCGAGGCAGTCCGTAATTATGCAATTTTTCCTTAGCTCCGCCTCGACCTCAGCCTCCCCATGGCGGTGCTCCGCCGCGACCTCCCCCACCATCCAGTGGTCATCGCTCAGAGTTCGAAACCGATGATGAAGGCGATTTCGACTTCCCCGTCCCCATGGATAACCAGCCCATTCTGCAGGCCGCTTACGGTCTGCATCAGGACATCCGTCAATGGTCCAGTAAGGACAACGAGATTATTGCCGCTGCTAAGCGTATGGCCCTGCTCATGGCCCGTCTAAGTCAACTGGTTCGGTAAGGAAAAGGGTTATCAGAAGTGACCTTTATTGTGTTACACGTGGTTTTGTTATTGCCGTACATCAGCCATCCCGGGAATGCTTGTTATATTATTTAGTGAGACCAAAACGTGGTAGTTGGCTTCAGTCTAGCCGTTGGTTGTTTGCACTGTTCGTCTCATTGGAACTGGCTGCTGGCTATCATAATTTGAGTTTTTACAGTGGAGAGGGTGGTAACAAGAAGGATCTGATTGACTGTGCCAAGCAGATCGCCGCCGCATCCGAGGAGGTTACTCGCGCCGCTAAAAAACTGGCACGGGAATGCACTGATAAGCGAATGAGAACGGTACGTTGGCAAGGCATTTGCTACCTATTATTCTGCCGCGTGTATTTTTGTACAAAGACGAACCCGAACCTTCAGATCAAAACTTTTTTAAAAACTTTTAACATAGTGGTAATTTTAAATGAACTGCTATGCTGTACGTGATACTGCACTTAAATGTTACTTAACGATTGACCTTCTTCAACATTTTTTGACCCTGTCTGGTTGATGGTGTGACCGGAGCGAACACGAAGACTGTTGCAAGTTGCAACAGTTTTGGCTTGTTGCAGCACACATACTGACAAACGGTATATCTGGTTAGACGTGTCTGCTTTTAAAAATCTGTTTTGTCTGCGTGGGTGATTTCAGTTTGTCATAACTGAGTCCTCTGAACACTTTCGCACTCGAAATGTTTTTTTGTGCAGGTACCTTTCTGTGGATCCTAGCGTTATATAGTGCGTCGAATATATATTAATCATAAACTGAAACTGTCCCAGGTTTAACGTTTACAAAAACTAGTTGAGTACGCATAAGTAACGTATGAGTGCAGTATAATTTTTCCGCGAGCTATGGGTATTTCTGGCTTTTGTGTAAACTGTTCCTCACTAATTTGTCCGTTTTTCCTGACAATTATTTGCTTTCTAAATCGAATTTCTGTGATTTAGTTTGAGATTCTCCAAAAACGATTTTGATTTGATATTAGATGACATGTTAAATTAATGTCGATTTGTTCTATTAGAATTGTATTAGGTCCATAAGGAAATATGGGACGCTTACGCAGGCTGGGAGAGGAACGCATTAAAACATTTGTATTTGTGCCGGAAGCTGGGCGACATAGTCTTGCGTTGCCCAAATAGATAACCCCGTTTAAGCGCGAATCGGTTTTAAATGGGATTAAGCAGTCCAGTAAACCCTTGCACTTTGATTAATCCGCCTGTTTGTTTGTTGTCCCATGCAACGACGAATCGATTAGGAGTATACAATGCGGGAAATGAGGCCTTGATAATTTTGTATTGTCCGTTAATTCTTTATTGGCCGTCAAAGTCGTCATTTCCCCAGCGAGCTTATTAATAAATTTGATCGACGACATAAGCTTTGATAAGGTCACGGCTTACGTGTTATGTGCTTTTATCCACAGGCGCTCCTTCAAGTCTGCGAACGCATCCCGACAATCGGCACACAACTGAAGATTCTATCAACTGTCAAGGCCACGATGCTGGGAGCACAAGGTAAGCTGTGTCGTGAGTGTTTTATAGTGGTGGTGAATATGAACAGAGACGACCATGGCCGTCAGCAGCACACAGGAGAATATATGAAAACCACAGTTACATCCCAGCACATGTGCGGGTTAATTTGTTTGACATTTTACAGTCCAGTGTATACCCACTAATCGTGTCGGCATTATAATCCAATCCACAATCGATTTTTTCGCTCATGCTTCGCGACCGAACAGTGGCGGCGTGCACATATTTGTTCTCATTATGTGTGTACGTGCACATAATCTATAATTGAATAAGTCCGTTTCTTTTTCCTCTAGAACCCGTCCCCAGCCCAGATGGCAGTGAAATCCAAGCCGGTAATTATTTTCACTCTTCTTGTACTTCATATTTCTCTCTCTGGGGTTATTGGTGCGTGCAAGGATTTTTACGAGAGTTCTTGGTGTGAATATGGAAGACAGCTTCCTTGATTTGAATTTTGAACAGTCATTTAAATTGGTCAACAGCGTTTGAAGAAGTGAAATGGCTTTTACTACTCGTACCAAAGAAAAGGGGGTGATGGTAGAACGAGTTGTCTACTAGCGAAAAACATGTTTATGATTGGCCCTGAAGGTCGTTATGACCCGGTGAAAGCCTCCGATATTTGTTCGATGTTTATTGTTGACTCAGCTTTGTTACATGCATATTTCGAATATATTGTATTTTTTGAAATGGTAAAATTTTTGAAAAAAATGAAAGCGAGGCTAGTGCAGTTTTGGATAGGTTAACCTGGCGGAGAGGTATGTGAAACAGTTTCGGAAAGGTACAGTGTATACTACTGTAAATCAAGAAAGAATAAGGACTACTAATATCGGACTACACTTTAGAATCTCGGAAAATCCTTGTATCGCACCTGAAGATCACAATATCTGCCAAAAAAAGGGCTCAAAGCACTAACACGCTTGCTCCGTTTTTCTGCGCACTACTCTTCGCTGATCGAACGCCGCACACTAACAGCATCCAAATATTCTCGTGAACTCTATATTAAATTCTTGTAAACAAGTTAGATGGTTTGGCTAATAACCCGAATATTTGTCTCGAGCATAGCTAATTTGACGACTAATGCTAGGGAGTGGTTGGCATAATTAGCTGTGCGGTTATTTGACCTTGCTGGCCATGAAAGAAACTGTTTCATCTAGCACTAACCGGAAACACTTCCCTTCATGATTTTTCATGCCGATTAATCCGCTGCACTGACACTGGTCTTGTCGGGACTATCTGTCACTCAATTGTGGTTTCAAACTCTGTCTTCTGTGTGTGTGCTACTAACATATGGCTTGCCTTTTTAAGATATGCCACGGTCCGGATGTTTCGTAATTGTATTTTGAGGTTTGGAGCAGTTGTTTTTCCGCCATGTAATTGTCGGTTAATAATGCTACATTCCGGTCGAGTTGTAATCACGTTATCGCACATCGCTTGGTTTATGGAAAAGATCGTGTTAGTATTTGTAACATTTTTTAACAGCATTTGTCTAATTTTAAATAAATGACCTTTGTCTGTAACTCAATGATTGCTTTTCCGTTTTTTTAATGTGTTGTGAACTTGTGAGACGCTGTGACCGTGGCATTCGTAAGCATATAAAAATAACGCGACTGACATAATCTGTTTACTTGTGCGTTTTATTCATGCTGCACTTCTCCCAGGCACGGTGATTGGATTCAGTACGTATTTTCCTCTCTTGTATTCTATTGTCATCTTCGTAACATGTAATTTGCATGACAATCCTTTCATATTTCATCCCGTCACAACTGTGATTCAATTTTCATTAATGTTGGCCTTTCAATGCTGCAGCGCTGTTTCGTGTGTTGTCTCGTTATTTTTAGCTATTTTTGCCGAGTTGAAAATGCCAATTAACTTTTCCACCTCATATTGCTCTTTCCGCTCCACTGCATGGAGCTGTTTACAGCTTTTTTTGGGTGTTTGTACTAGACACGGGATGAGTATGTTGTAGGGCATGTGACGCTTGTGCATATGAAATTTATTTACGTCGGTAGTGCAGTTTGTGGATGCATATTTTGTTGTCAGGTTCGGAGGAGGATCAAGAAGCTACGGAAATGTTGGTTGGTAATGCGCAGAATCTCATGCAGTCGGTTAAGGATGTGGTGCGTGTGGCCGAGGGAGCATCAATCAAAATGCGCACTGACTCGGGTTACACCCTGCGCTGGGTGCGCAAACGTCCATGGTACACGTAGACAAGCCGGGATCATGCGGGGCGCAACAACAACGACAGTTACTCAACTGCCACACATACGGTTACGCGGACCTTTTATTAAACGATATTCTGACTTGTGAGGGAAGACAAGACGCTTACTTAATTTGCGATCGGGATGTTTGCCTTTGAGAAATAGAAAACTATAGATTTGTAGGATGGTTTACACTAATTTTCTACTGATTTCGTTTAATGGCGTGATCTTCTCTGTTGTTTTTTCTTTGTAACCCGGTTGACCATTTCTAACTTTTGCTTTTACTGAATTTAGATTATTATATACTTTAAATATACACAATGTCACATACATTAGTGATGAGTCGTAAAAAATTTTAATGTTTTAAATTTTAAGTTTTATTCTGTTTCAAGTCAGTTTTCAGTAATGTGACGTTAGCTGTGTGTATTTGGCTTGTATATGTGGCATTGCGGTTTGGGGTAGAGTTATGTTTGATTCTTTTTAGGTAAATTTTCCGTGCTGTTTTTATCCGGCAGTCTCCGTTTTATTTGTGAATGTTTTTCTTAGCCGACTGACGGACCAATGCGTTCGTAATAAAACCTGTTTTTTCAGATTTGTCGCCCAAATTTTTGGCGTCATCGATGTACCTTTGGATATCATAATCCAGACTTTTTTGACAAATCAGACTACATGACGCAGAGGTTGCACTTTGCATTGTTGCACTTTGCATTATAAAAATTAAGGGCTGCTTAATCGACATTACAGTTCCAAATTTCCAATGAATGTACCGAATCTCTGAACGAAAAAGATTTATGTTTGACTGTACAGAGGACGAAAGAAAAATGTTTTCGAAAGCAATTACAATAATATCAATATAACACCACATTACCCCGCTGCAGAAAACAGAAGAGGATCACTTTTACAGACTTCAGAAATCCCCAAACAATAACTGACCAAGTAAGTGCTGTAATAATTTTTTTAGAAATCTCAATCGGTGCACCGTGTTCGTGTTCATGTCTTTCGTAATTCTTGTGTCAAACGGATAATTTGCACTGTTCATGAGATTGTGTAAACACGGTACAAAAGCATTTTTCTCTACAGTTATAAAAGAAGCTTTGCAAATGCTCTGGATATCCTGATTTCCTGCTGGTGCGATTAACATGTTGACTATCGGTTACGTAAATTTCCTGGCTTTGGCCATGTTGGGTGATGTGATTGGGATTACTTCCCATGGTTGGACTAGCAAGCAAGTGCAGTGCGAAAGCTGACACCTTGACTCTTGCACGGCCATGTGTACATGTTTAGTTTTGTAAATCGCTAGTGTTTGTATGTTCCTGCTGTTAAAACATGAGTACATGTAGTACGGTAGTATTCAAGTTGTCCAAAAGAAAACGAACTATAATGATTTGTCATTGGCTTTCTGGCACGCAAAACGCCGACATATGCAAGAAGTGCCAGGAAAATCTGGCAGGAATGGAAGATCAGGCTGAGCGCTCAGCGCACACTGCTTCATGATTAAGCGTTCTTAACAAGTGTTTCTAATATAGATATACAGATCGTATTTTATTTGTTTACCATGATACGCTCTAAATGATATGAGAAAATTAAACAGTTCATCGGTCTATATATACCATGCTAAAACCATCCCGGTGACATAACACTCGCAGGTTTCATTGACAAAAAGAAACCGCTTAGGAAACGAACGAGAGCTAATTTCTCCATGCAAATATTATGTAATCCTCATAACATCTAATTATTCCATTGGGAAGGTGAATGAACGGTGCCGGCTACAGCAATTTTTGTTTCCACCTGCTAATTTTTAAAACTCTTCCCAATCAGCGCAACGACGTCGATGTGTACATATGTAATTAAAAGTTCTATATTGATTCTTTCGGTCTGTCTTCAAAGCAAGTCAGTAGTAGTTAGTTCTGTTGATTTTTACAATTCATAATCATAAAATTTGTGGAAGATGTATTAAATGCAACAGGCGTGCCAAACTGACCAAGCACTTGTCAAAACAGAAAGGTTACCTTAATCAGCTGCCGAAGACCTTCGTAGTCACGACCATATTAAGGGCGGTCACGTGAATTGTCATTACTTAATTAATTATTTGCACAATTGCATCGTGGATCGTCAATGGATGCAAACGTAATGCTTTAGTAAAAATATTAAAGGCTAACCAGACCGAAAACCATGGGACTAGTACAATAAATATTAGCCTTAAACTGTTAAACTGTTTCATAACGAACGTTACTGTTTGTTTGTGAACTGGATGAAATCACTGTCCTTAAAAACGTTATGCAATGCAAGATGCTTGTTAAAAAAAGTGTCTAATCGCTGATGCTTCAGCAGGACGCCCGACTCGCCAGCGCATCCATCGGATCAACTGGCTCCGGCGGTTTGATTAGTTATGGGAATGGGCGGTACCCGGTGTGTGTATGGGTATATACGGCGGATGTTGTGAGTAACGAGAAATTTTTGGCACAACCGGCACTGCCACACGTCTTCCAACCCGGATGCTGGCGCTAAAAGTGCATTTTATTCCAACACATCTATTTCTTTTCTCCCGAGTTTTTTCCTTGACGAGAATGCTGCCATGTCTAAGCCAGCGGATGAATACAGTGACACGCAATAGCCATACAATTTTCAGCGTGGTAACCTGATGGAGGCTAATATTCCTCTCTTTCTCTGGATGATTACTATTTATCCCGCGCAGCTGTTGCGCAAGACGCGTGTGCAGTGTGCGGTGCACGCCTAATACCGCATCATCATCATCTTCCAAGGGGAGACTGGCCCACGGAGTATAAGGCTTGTAATACCGCAAGCCCAAAAGGAGAGGAGAAAGGCCAATCTTGACAGCTGCAATCTGCAGGTTGACGAGTTCCCGTACGTATGTGCAGTGTATATGTGCTGGCCCGTATTAACAAAGCCCCAACTGTCGTCAACGCTAGCGGCTGCATTATATTTTGATTGTTAAGACTGTAGACGGTTTTACACGGCACACATATCATCACATATACGGCAACGGCGGCCCGGGAAATCAGTAATATTGCTCCCATGTTGCCGGAACGCGGAACGGGATCTTTAAGGATGCCGGTGGCCCTGAATTTTCTCGATCTGGCGGAGCCACGTTTGGCCGACAATCTGAAGCAGAATGGGGAAACTCTGGTCAAGTTCATCGGTGTCCGTAAGTACTTACTGCTAATAATGATTTTTTTCTTGTCCTGCCAGGTAGTGTTGTGTAATGATAGTGATTGATTTACAATGTAATCAATTGATTTATTTCGAGGATTTGCGGTAGATTATGCAATTCGATTTGTTCCTATACTCCGGCGTGTTTTCTATGGGGTTTGTTTGCCCAACCAGCATCTGGGCTCTGTTTAGCACTTAGCCTAATGCTGTGCCGTATTTAAAGTGTGTAATGGGTAAATATTTTTACTCTGCCGTAACGGCGCGTTCTCTCTGTCATCTGTGTGTATGTTTCGACCGGTTAGCGTGAGAGGAATACGAATACATTGACAATGTTTTTGCATATTATATGTTATCTGAAAAACAGATTAAATTTTTATGGCTTTTATTACAACTAGAAGTATGTGTAGCAGTGTAATAGCGCAGGCCATTCCTTTTTCGGTTAAATTATGGCAGGCGCTGGCGCTGATCCTGCGATATTACTTGTACGATCACGCTCGGAATTGCATTAGCGATCATCTATCGAAAAAGTGGGCCAACCGCTCAAAAATTGATTCTCGGTGAAGTTTGCGAAATGCCGATCGTTATTAGAGGAACTCGATCTGTCATTTTATAGGAGCAGCTTATATTTCAGATTTTTTCAGTGGTGACGAAAACCGTCAGCGGCTTTTTTGAAGCGTTCTTGTTATGTTTCATTTGTCTGTTTATCGGGTGGTCAACCAATTGTTTGATTGTTTTTAGCAGAATTATTTATTGAATATTCGTTTTGTGGTTTAGAATTAATCAAAGATATGTAGGTGGCTATATATCGATAAGTTACGATGATGAATTCGAAAAGTCACCTGCAGTTATTTAAATGCAAACTAAGACAATACTTCGTACAGTGCTTGAGGGTCGAGAATCTCCCTATAGCGCTTTTCTTACCCACAGTGAAGTGTGTAGAAAACTACGGTTGACCTATGGTTCTAACCATACTTCTACATTATGCAGTAATGCTAGATTCTTTTTACGATCTTTACAGCGGTTTGAATTTTCCCACAATTGTTTTGGTATATGTTTTTTGCAGAGACTAACAACAGCTGTGGCAATTTGATTCATTGAGGTACCTTTACTAAAAATAACATATAACCAGCCAGTACAAAGGAAGAACTGTTTAGTCCGCATTTGACGGGACTGCAAAGTTTTCATTTCGTAGCCAGCTGGTGACATACTTTATTACTGGAAAGTGGAAACTTCCTAAGGCTTCTTAAATCACTAACGAATACGGGCAAAACTGTGCTAATTCTTGAAGTCACCGACAAGACTTGACGTCGTAGCAGCCTTATCGTTTATGTTTAATTAGGATATATTACTACTGGTAGTATTCCATTGCGACTGCTGTCGAGCAGGCGTGGTAATATGCCGTCGTATTCCTTCTGTTATTGACGGATGTGGCTCATAATTATGACAACACGCTTTGCCATGGAGCAGGGTGATGAAATATGTTAAAATACAGAACGCTACTGCATATATATATGTACTGATTGAAATATTCATAACGCAACAAAAAAATTCGTTACGTTAACCTCGATATTGGTGTAACGTATGTCCTATTTTCCGAAAAAAAACGTTACATCAGTCAGGACAAAATTATTGCAGTAATTCTCTTTAAAATTTTTCAGGATCCTGGGAGCTCTTTTTTTTGTGATTGTTCATGTTGTATTATTTCTTATGGTCTACTATTTTGCACAATAAATAACGGCTAGGTTTCGTAAACAGAACAACTGTGACATTCTCTTACGCTTTCTGCTGTGACATTCTCTTACGCTTTCTGCATTTTAATTTATGACGTCTATGTATGGCACACGACGATTCGTAGATATAATTAATTGTAAGCTCATATCCTCGTAAATGTAATATACCGGTAATCATCGGCGGAATCGTCGAAATGGTAGGCCCAAATGAGATTTGAAGAGACATCGATCGTCCAACTTTTTAAAAAGAATATTAATGAACCCTGCTACTGCTGAATTAAGCACAGCCTAGCCTAGTTGGTACATGTAATCATCGTTGCTATCATTAGGATCATCATTATTATCATCAAGAATGGCTGGTTATTTCGTGGTCAGTTTCATTAAACTGATTTCGTCGTATGGACAATAACACTGCGCCATAAATCTTTTCCTTTATCGTTCCCAGATTTCGTTAGTTAACTTTTCAACACCGGGCGTTGTCTATTTCCTCCCGGAAATGTTTATCGCTCAATCGGCGGTAGATGAGGCTTGACAGGCACTTTAGGTAAACCTCCAGTGCATCAGAGGGGACAACAAGGGAATTGTTAAGTGCCTTGTAACATCAACGAAAACAACTGCGAAGAATGGATATTTTTGTCCCATTGATCGTCACACAAGCGATAACTAACGCGCCATAAAGCGTGTGCAAAACACTTTTATGATGTTAGCACTTTCACGATACCGTCCATACTACTGCCGACTAAACTTATTGCTTAGTATTAATACTGACATTATGAACATTAATATTGCCAGTATTAATTTTCTGTATTCATGAATATAAAAACTGTCAGGCAACCACTTGACACTGATCGACCGCAGTGAACGCATTTAGTTCACAATCAGTTGCATCTCGTAACAATTTCGAATGCGTTCACAGTTACTTATACTGTACTAGAAAGTAATTTTTATCAAGTAAATGCTTACTGTAATTTATTTTCTTTACCAGTTAGTACAGTCCAGTAAGATGCGCCAAAATGTGCAAATTGAACAGCTCAGTACAGCGAATACATTAAAATTAATAAGAACAACTACAAGCTATTTGCTGCACTCATACTCATAATTCCAAACTACGAGTAGTAACAAAGTTTTATCAAATTCTGCGCGTCTCCTTCGCTGTGGTGTATAAATTTGTTTGGCACTTGAAAATTAATTACGCTTGCCTGCCTGGATGCATGCGATTTGTTGTAAACAGTGTGGGAGAAGCAGTAATACAGATACTTCGTACATACTATTACTGTAATTCAATTTTAATAATAATTTCACTGTATTTTTTCGACCTTTAAGTGTAGTAAGTTCGATGATTATTCAAATTTTACCGTGGTCAGCAACACGTACAATATATCAAAGTTAACGGTAGGGATAAATTAAGTGCGTAGATTCATTGACAGCTTCGTTAGCACTAGCAATTTTTGAACATATGTCCACTCATTGCAACCTTGGCACAGCCGTTGATTTCGTTGAACTTGTCAGCTATTCCAGGAGTATCCCTGGCAATAATTAAAAATAACGTTTTGTGTATTAGGTAGACACATTAAACGAGAGGATTCTGTTTTCTGTACTGCAGCGATATGGAAATATCATACTCCGTCGGCACGTGAAAATTCGTCGCCTGAACAGTCTCACATTTTTAGAATCCGCCTACAGTGGTGTCATTTGTATCATAAGCGTTGTCCTGAAATTTAATGATGTCCGGAATTTTTATGACGCATTAAAGAGATCTAGTAGGAAAAGTATATTTGTCAAATTAGTTCTATAATTAAAGGAACGTAATTTCCGTTGATCATTCAGATGGTTGCGGTACTGCTCGCGAGCGGTCGTACCTGATGAGTTTTAAAATAGCCTGCGTACAATGCTCCGTGTTTCTTTTGCAATTTGTGAATTATACTATAACTATATCATAAGTAGACTTTTATGGAATGGACAGCTATGGAATAGCCTGCGTATAATGCTCCGTGTTTCTTTTGCAATTTGTGAATTATACTATAACTATATCATAAATAGACTTTTATGGACAGAGGGAACTACAGTCCAGTAGAGTTTCACAAGCTTAAGAGTTTGAACTATTGTACTTTAAAGTTAATCCGTGTAATGTATGTATACGCTGCAAACTAGCGCATGGGACTTTTTGCACTGCAGTACGCCCCACGTATACAAAAGTACTTGTTTACCTGTATTTGTTGTCAATAACCGCTCAATAACCGCTTATGGTTAGCTCGCCTCCGAGAAAACATGTCTGAATCTTGCATTTTAAGCACCATACAGTCGCAGATAAGGGAATTAAGTAATTTTGTAAGCGACGCGCGGGTTATTTGACAATGAAAGTCTGAAAACACTGGAAGCACAGGGAAACGTTTGTGTTATTTCTTGCAGTTGGAGAATATCTCCAAAAAAGCGCTGCTTTATACGAACAACATGGAGAAGAACTTAAATCGCTCGCCACACAAGGACGCCAACAGCTCCAAAAGCTCGCCAATGATGGGTGTGTTCGCAAAAATGTTCTATATAGGTCACTAGTAAATACCCATGCCAGCGCGATAAAGGTTGCTGTAACCAAGCCATGTTTGACCGTTGTTAACATTTTTAAATCCTTATAAAATGAGTAACAACACAAAGTATTGTGTATATATAACGTTTTCGTTCTACCCGTATCAATAACCTTTCGTTGTGGACGTTTGTGTTGTTGTCATACATATAAATCGACTGTGCCCGTATTTTTCTCCATGAATTCTTTAAAGAATGAAAGTACTGTATTAAACCAGCTATGATTTCAAAATTGATGTGAATACAGATGTGATTCATTTTTGAAATCGTAAGCTTATTTGCTTTCTCAGACTTTTTTTCGCGGTCGCTATGTATTCAACGGTTTGTGTGTGCTTACAGAGATTATCTGATACCAAGTTTATTGAAAACATGGGATCAGATGCTCAATTATACTGCCATCAGCGGAGAGGTAATTGCCGATTAATGTAGACGATGTCATTGTGCATCGTCAACGTAACGTATAATAATTATTAACGTATAAACTTTGCGACTGCTCTTCGTACAGGAATGTGTGGATTTATCCAACAAGATATCCTCCGACATTGTAATCCGATTGTTTAACAGCACATCACACCGTAAAGTGCAAACACAGAAGCTCTTCGAGGAACGATCAACATTAGAATCGGTGATCAATCAAGCAGAAGAACAGTTTTATCAGGTTAGGAACGCTTTCTCGTCATTATGTACCTCTGATGGCTAATTTACTGTTTAGACTTGCTTGCTAACCATTTAAGCCGCACTTACCGTATAAGGTCCTTATATGCTTGATACAAACGCTGCTTGGCTTGGAGTTCTGTAACTGCTATCAATTTACACAAAGCTAAAAGTTAACACAAAGGTCATCGGTTTTTAGGCACAGAAAAACTACGTCGAAGCATACAGCAACTTTCTTTTGTCAAATGGCGATCGCGCTGCAGATTCCCAAACAAAATCCCGCTATTTGAACGCTCACAATGCATACGTCCTTCAGCTTCACCGCTATAATAGTTTAATGGAAGACTTTCAAAACAATATACTGCCCCAGTGGTTCCAGGTAATCATCTGAGTTGTCATTTAAAAGTCATCAATAGGTGATGTTTGTTTCAAGTGGTTTTTGCGTTTATGTATGCCTTTCTATGAATTCTCTTTTCCGGCAGGAAGTGGAAAATATGTACACTGACGTTTATTCAGTTTTATGCACCTCCCTTATTGATCTCAATCAGCGTCAGGGTATTAAGGTGCGCTTGCGTGAAACAAAATGCTGTAGTCATCCGGATTTCAGGGTATATTCTGTCCAATACAAACCTGCACATTTTTTAGACTGTTAACGAAAGTAAGCGCTGTGAAGAGATAATACAAATGGCTAAACAAGTCGACAGCAAAACCGATCTGATTATGTTTGCGCGCGGACTGGATACGGTCGGAAGTCCGGTCGGGCGAGGAAAACGCTTTGAATTTCAGCCCCCTGCGCATAGTGCTCAGGTACGCCGACAACCATTTTTTTTCTGTTCTACCGAAATGCCATGAAATGTTTAGAGTGTTATTCTTTAAATAAATTGCAGCTATACCTTTATGCCGTAATTGGCACTGTTTTGTGTTAGTGCATTCATCGACGGGTTTTATCGTGCGCCGTATATAGAATAAAATTGTAAAAGTATCTATATTTATCACATGACAGGACGGCCCAAAGGACGAAATTGTCATGGATAATTTTACCACTAAAAATGTGCGCTCTTTACTGGAAACCCTAGCCGACGAGGAAGGAGCCCTGGAGGGACAGCTGAAAAAGCAATACCAGATTCTAAATGATCTCTTGAGTGCTCAACAGAAGTATGCTGTTTTTATTGTTAACTCGAGGGGATTCATTTATTAAAACATCTACTTTATCCCTTCGATAGACATATGGAAATGCACCTGTACAGCAAAGTTTCGGCTGTTCAGGAGGAAATCAGCGAAACACGCAAGATAATCCGCACTTTGAAGATAAAGATATCGGCCGTCCATGGGCAGGTACGTCTATCGCGGGTTATAATTCTGTTACGGGTACAACGTATAAGATCAATGTATTATCCTTGGGCTCCCTTTTACGATTCACTGAATGATGTGCAACGCATCTGACGACAAAATTACTTTCTGCTTAACCTTTTCCTGCTTTCTTGTGACGAAGAAAAACATTTCACGGGGTCCGGAAGTGACCGCTGCACAGCAAATCCTCATATTTCAGTTATGACGCACAATCGTAGAAATAAGTGAGACGGGTGTCTTTTTGCGAAATAAAGGCGCTTTTCCCGCTTTTTCAAAGTTTGGAATGTATGGTAACTCGCTTTCTTATTCATACTACGTGTAATTACTGCGTACAGGTGCGCACAGGCACGTGACGTTTTCTTCGACACATGTTCTTTATTCTTTATGCCTAATCAGTTATTGGTTTACACCTTTAGTACTTCATTGGAAAATAACGTAAGCAAATACGATGAAAACTGCTAACGCTTCACATGAGACGGGTACATAAAATATACATGAAAATGGCTCATACCGGTACATGAAATGTGCACAGCGAACAGATATCAGAACATTAAAAATTAATAGAAAAAATAAAAGAAAACTTTCCTACCGCTTTCTCTCATTGTACTGTATTACAAAAGCTATAAAAATTATCACGAAAATTTTGCAACAAAACAAACCGTGAAACGATTCGCAAAGGCGTTGCTTACTGGCATTTCAAAAATATTTATGTAGATTATAAGATTTGTACAGCAGGGCGGTGTGCTATGGGCATGTTACGTTTTCTGCGAAGATTTTCTCGTTCTTTTATGTACTCATCAGTCTTGCACGCATGTTATAAAGTAAGATATAACACATTTGTTAAAATAAATTAGTTTGTGCAATTGTGTATGGAATATGAATTTATGATGATTACAAACGCTCGTATCGTATCCATGCTCTTTTTTGGATAATGAGTAAGCAAATGGATAGAAAGAAATGCAGTGACTGAATTAAAAGCTACTTTGTAGTTGACGCGCATCTGCCATCGAGTATTCTGTACTTATCCGCAAATTTATATGGAGTTAATATGTTGTTGCATAGCGTATTACTTGGTTATGTTCTCTTTTATGGCAAGAATTTACAACGAAAAAACCATATTTTTAACTTCCTGTCATATGCATGCGATGCAGTTATTTCACTACTTGTACTTGATGATTTTCTGCTTCTAGTTTTTGCACGTTGTGTTGCACATTATGCCAGGTGAACATCACGGGCATGTTTGGTAAGGCTACTACGAATATTTATCTTCCTTTCACGATTTGGGATGGGATTACTTGCATGCCGAAACCGCAGATGTTATATTAGGCTGCACAGAGCTGCACATCCGAACAGCAAATGTAAAAAAGCTCTTCCCAACGACTGCAACACACTGCTCACAGGAAATGTAACATACGTACGCCTTGATCGTCGGAAATTGATTTGTTTTGGTTAGCTCAAGTTGGTCAGGTCGAGCGGTAAACAATACAACCCGTTTGAAAGTTAAATTTGAAACGTGAAGCAAAGGACAGAAAATACTGGCTAGACTCGCTATACTAGCAACTGTAACCGCTTTGTACAGTTTAGCGAGAGCCATTCCTCTGCTAGTTGTGAACTGCGTACGATAAGCTGATCCTGCTTGTAAAATATCAAATCCCAGATGGGATTTCCGTTCCTTGATGGGCGACTTTTGGTGCACTTGACTGCTTCGGTTGGCCACGTCTGGCTCAAAACGCATTTCACGGCCGTATCAATTATTTTTCTCATTCTATAAATGGGACGAAAGATTTTCCTTCCATCATTTCTGGATGCAGTATGACACTCTGCGGAATAGTAGCGCGTACTATGATTTTCGATATTTATGTCTTCCTTTGCCAGTTGGAACTGCATTGCATAAGAGAAATTAGCTATCAAGCAGTATTTTTATAGCTCCTGCTAATCGCGTTGTATATAGCATGCTGTTTATAAGCCATAATACACTTCCTGATTAATTATTACCAAAATTAATTACTGCTCAAAGTTGTACGATGGCATATCGAGACCGGAAGCACTCTGTTGATTCTCAGTTATGTATCCTGGATGGACGGTATGCTTCGCGTCGCTCGTCGGTTGGATACATTAATCCAGCTGATTTACCAGAACCCGTTATGAGCAATGCCGGCATGAAAACCAAATGGAAGCGAGCGTTTTTCAATCTCAAGCGCAATGGTACACTGAAGCATAAGGAATCTCTTGAGCGGATCCCACAAGAATATGTCGGCAGTATAAGTGACAGCAAACTGCGACCTGGTGGACAAAAAAGCGTAAGTAGTTTCTTTGAAATGGATAACGTGATTCATAGAATATCAGCTCATTAAAAAAATTCCGTGTTTCAAAATGTCCTTAACCAATTAAAAACAGTAATAAATCACAAATTTTTTGCTTAATACAGCCATATGTACATGTACGCAATACGCATGCTGTAAAATAAAGTCTTATTATCAAGTACGAACATAAATACTTTAGAATGAATATCGTGTACGAATATAGTGCAGTATTAAATCGTAAGAGCCGGCTGAAAAAATAACCTAAAGCGTCTTGAATTAAAATTTCTGCATAGATTGTACTAGTACACTAATACGTTAAGAGGTGTTTTTAAAGACATCTATATCTCGACGAGACTATGGTTAGGATTAGTGATAGAAATTATTATTATCTTCATTATTATGGCACTGGAGCACAAGTACAATTATTTTTTTGGCCATGATTAATTGTTGTGAATCATGTTTTTCAGTTAGACTGATTTGAAGTACATAATCATGCACGTCATATTTATAGTTATAATATCTGTATGCGAAGTGGCTCATCAGCTTAGACCACAGAGCGTGTGTACGGGAAAATTGTGTTTGGTATACTTCCGATTCAGTCAGCAAAACAAGGCTCTATTCCACTACAAAAAGATTAAGTGCTTATAAGGATAATGATAATGGTCCGCTTATGTGGAACTCCTGCTTTATTAATGCTATGGTTCGCTGGCTGCCGGTTCCGGTCAGGGAATCCTAATTGAGACCGGATGAGATTGGAATTGCTGTATACGTAACCTGCAGGAGCGCATTCAAATGTTTTTTATAATGGAATTGGGTGCCCTTGGCAATGGTAAATCTTCCAGTGTTACGTCTGTACACACGCGATAACAGTTTCACATTGCCTGTATGGTTCACACAATGTTCGCGAATGACAGGAATTACGAAATTTTTACAAATTTCGTAAAAAGAAAAGTAAAAGCAATGGAAAAAATAACAGTACTGAGTAAATTAATTTTGTGAACATTAGTTTTGCTTTTCTAACTATAACCTAACTGGTATTTGCAGAAGAAAAAGCGATCGTATTCGTGATTATAGTACGTGTGTTGATACTGACTGACATGAATTACGTATATATAATCGTAAATACATGATACATACATCCGACTGATTCGAGTATGCATTGTAATTGTTTTTATAGCCAAGGCTCCGTCGAAATTTGTTCAACCGTTCAGATCCACTGGGTAACGATCTAATTGGTTCATCCAAGACTTCTTTGGTACAAGACGCCAGTTACAAAGCAGCAATCGGAAATGGCGATGATCGCGACATGGATCCCGTTTATTTGCTGCTAAAGAAAGGTTCTTATTTGCAACTACTGTATAAACCACATTACCAATTGCACCAAATTTGCAATCTCAAGAGCCTCATCTGTATGATTTCGTAGGAGCAAATTTGAATAGCAAACCGCGACCGGATGGGAGCGATAGCGGCTTCAGTTCGGAATATAGGAGATCAACGCCCAGATCCAGCAATGATACCCTTCCCAGTACATCTGGCGCAGGAAACACCACATCTTCAAGACGGTTAATTGGTAAAAATACTCAGTAAAGACATCATGGTTTAAAAAGAAATTTCTTCGTTTTGCTAAAAAACCAGTTCTGCACTGATTCAGTTAGGGTTTCTACAAAAGCGAATATGCATCGTTGAGTTTACGATTAGTTGCTTTGCTTTTATTAACAATAAGTGATATTCGAGAACCTTAATAAAGAAAAATCAATTAAAAAATTTTACAACCGCCAAAAATTTTGATATTCAAACTTTCAAAATACGGCTGTTATTTTAACGTTTGCTACATTGTTGTTCTGCAGATCGCAGAAACAGTTCCATGTCAGAACCGGAATCAACAACAGCACAAGTTAGAGCCCCAATGCTGAATGCGCGAATGAAGAGCATATCGCTGGATAATGAACCACCGCAAGAACTTATCCAGGGTCGTAAAGGGAAGCCGGCGCTGGAGCGAGGAAATAGCACTGTGGCAGCTGTGATGCAAGGTATATATACAACCAGCCAAACATTTGAAAAAAGAAATTGTAAAAAACAATTTTAAGATATACGGAATGCAACCAACGGAAAGATTTACATAAGTTGTAACTACCGATTCGCTGTTAACTCAATATCAAACCGCACGCTGAAATAACATTTTAAAATAAATGAAGTTAGCGTGTTCAGAGCGCTTATGTCATAAAACACAGAACTAATACTCGTACCAATGGAATATGTTTCCGGAACAAGACCCCGTATTTGCCGTGTATGACCTTTATCAGGAGTATTCCCTATTTAGCTCTAACATTATTGACATCGAAGCAAATTTTATATTCTCTTGATTTAAATCTATTTTCTAACTGTAGGGGCTCAAAGTCCCGGAGCAAAACAACGTCTCCTGCAGAGTATGAAGATGTTGCGGCATAAATCACTTGATTACGGTGAGAGCTCGGAAAAGGATTCGGATATTGCACTGCTGGCCCCAACAGTTTTACCGGTACGTGATAACTGTACGTGATAACTGTACGTACGTGTACTATGTACGTGATAACTGTTTTATAGCAAATTCTGAACTTGCGGAATTAGTACAGAAAATAATGAAGATTTTAAAATTTATTAAATTGGTGTGATCACTGTGATGTCATCTAACAAAATGTTCCAAGTATAACGAGTGCTGTTTACTTGGCATAGGCAATAGGCTTGGCGAGAAAGACAAAAAAGCGTAGATATTCATGATTCCCATAATTTATGCTGATTTTTTTTCAGAAACCCGTGGAACGTTCGCTTCCACTAAATGTGTTCGTTGCTCTTCAAAGTTATCGACCCAAAGGTTAGTCTGTAGTTAAACGCGTAGCGACGATAACAGTACCACATATGCAGCGCAATCGATTGACTCCGATCCGCGCTGTGTTATGTCTGACATCTTAACAACATTTCCAGAAATATCGCCAATATTGCCGCATCTATGCCGCAACCGATGCTAATTTTTAATTAAATTTTTCTTAGGGCCGGACGAACTTGAATTAAGACCCGGTGACCGCATAGTGGTAAGTTGCACTGATAGCAGATATGCATGACGTTCTTTCTCTTCTATTTGTTTGATTTGCTACACTTTGTTGGAAAAGCTCACGGTTTCGGCATTATCCAAAAAGTTGCAACTTTTACAGGTAACGGACACATCGCAACCTGACTGGTGGAAGGGAAAAGGTTTTGGTACCTCGGCAGGCTATTTTCCCAGGTTAGAAGTTAACGCGAAGCTGTATATTATATTAACGTGTGTAAGTACTGTAGCTGCACAGTTGTGTGGGTAGGCAGATTGTCGATACGACTGGTTTTGGAAAATGAAATGCATGTGCAAGCAAAAGCGCACAAAAGCGACGCTTTCTTTTTCAGGGAATGTGTCGCTCGTGTTAACCCCAATGAAAAAGTCTGCGTTGTCACACATGCGCTGCAGCTGAATGAAAACGGGACGGTTCTTCGACTATCAAAAGACGACGTAAGTTGACGGATAGAAAAAGGACTTTTTCCCATGTTCATAATTAAATTTCTCGCCTTGGGATTCGGTGCATGTCATTTTGCACGTTGTATATATGCAGTCATGTTATAATCACTGCAGAATTTCCATATGAACAGTTAACTACATGAGTGTGCATGTAAATATACTTATTCTTCCGCATTCGTTCTGCAGCTGTTTCACTTGTTTTTGCAGATTGTTATGACCACAGGACCCGACGAAGCCGGCATGGTCAGTTGTTCGGTCAGCAGCGTGCGCTTTCTGAAATGAAACGTTCCATTGTTTCACTAGGTTCCCATCAGATGTGGAGGAAAGAGAGCTTGCTGTCCCTTGAAATATTTGCAAATGCTGGGCTATTTCGATAATAATCTACCGAAAACTTACGACTAGCAATACCTCTGCGGCTACCCCGGAAAAATGCCAATATTATCACGGGCATTGTAACATGATACGTAGCTAGCACTAATTAGCTCATGCTGTATTTTCCTTTCCGCATTCTGCAGCGTTTTAAGCTAGCGAATAGCAACTGTACAGACAACGTATATTTTTCCTGCTAACGATTTTAGATGATACTGACTAACAAATACGGAATTCTAGTTATCCTGCCAAATCCAGATTATATCCCTTTCGTATGTCAACTATCTGCAAACCATTGATGTTGATGCTGCAGGAAGTTCAGATTTTTATTGATTCATATGTATTACGGCTTAGTTTTTGTATTATTAAAACTTTCAGCACTATCTCGGCGAAATAAAATGCTTTCTCACTGTCCTTCAGCACTGCTCTGTTACATGCTTGTTGTCAAACAAAGTATCGAACAAATCGCTCGCAAAGTGTATTATTCATAACATCATCGTAGAAAACAAGAGACACAGATAGCAGCTGCCTATAACGATAATTAACGTCCATCAGAATTTGCAAAAAACCAACATATTCTACAAATTAATCTAGATTATCAATCCATTACAACAACCGGATTAATAAAGTCTAATAACTACTCTTTTCGCAAATGTACGCTGCGATTAAAACCAGTAAAAGTCAACTGTAAAAAACAACAGGTAGGAATACTGCCATGGAGTACTCTGAAACTTCGATTCACAGGCCAAAATAAAACATTTTTTTCTCTGTTCGGCTAAATCTTGAAAGGTGCGCTTTGAATCGTGATCACTTCATCCGTACCAAACGATCCAACCAAATAGACGAATTAGGTATTCAAGGACGCAACGCGGCTATGGCAAAACACTTGCGAATCACACCAAATCATCATAAAAGTGACATCACTCCATGTAGTCCCATTTAAGATTGATGCAGCGTTTAGGCCAAGGAAAGGGATAGTTGTAGCGCAACGGCAATTTCCCATCGGGGACGTTCTCTTCAAAGAATATCACAAACCGGAACCACCACATACGGGACAAATGATTGTTCTGAGAAAACGCCTGTGAATGACAAGGAATCATATACAATCACACACACAGAAAATCGATAGCCGGAAAGTCAAAATAAACCGGAAATAAACAAGAAGTGGACAATCAGCCAGAAACAGATGGCCATAGCACATCTTTTATGGAAGCTTGAATCGTTCAATTTAAAAATCGTTATTTGCAGGCCATTCACTCGGCAATACTTAACAACGTTTTAGCAAAACAGTTCGCACAACCGAATGCAAAAAGAGCTAATGGTTAGTGCCTTAGTCTGAGAAACCGAACTCCATCTACAGTAAGAGTTAGCGAACGTTAGCGAGATACTCAAATTTAACACATTAACCGCTTCGCTGACCTTTAGTTGAGGATGGGCGCAAATGGTGTGATAGATCCAGAACACCACCGTGGTAACAACGTAGGCGATAACAATGTCCACAGTGTAATGGCCGCGGGAGATGGAAACCAGAATCACACCTAAAGTGCTACAGGAGTAGAAAAATATCCTCAACGCCTTAGCAATCCATCCCTTCCGTGGTAGATCTACAAAGCATTTTCCATTAACACCGTTTTAATACGTAGGCATGGCATGGACCCCAAACTGGATTGTTTCTCTAACATTTAACATAAAAATTTCCTGGCGAACACTTTTACTGCACATGTTCACACTGTTAGCACAATAATGAAATTACCAAAGCACTTACATTCACCATAAATCAGAGCGGAAAGGACCAACATACAGGTATGGCCACTATAAATATAATCTCCACAGTAGTAATGTTTGCCATTAATTGACATGCCAAATCCTGATAGTAATGTCCATGCTCGTAGCAGAATGGTACTTGGTCCAGTAATATTCATCTACAACATCAGCAACGTTATCACTTTTATATCTCCTCAGCAAAGAAGTCACTTCATGATTACACATCTATAATTTGTGTCGTGACAATTAACAACATCCTGGCAATTTTCTAACCGTAAGCTGTTTTATGTTATTATTGTCTTTCTGTTACTTTCACTGATTAACGATTAGGGAAAGCAGTTTTAATCAAATATTCCTCGCAGTAACCACAAGTTCACAACAGTAACAAAAACCGATGAAATTAAAAAGTTGTAAAAAAATATGTAAATAAAAGATATACCTAATCTGTGCCAGAGCTTCGTAACAATCTCTCTAATAAAGGCAAGACTTATTATCAATTTCTCGGCTTCTGATCTTAATGCGACAAACCTCCCCGATACACATGAGATACACTACCCAAAATCGCATTTTTGAGCTATCTTCAAAATCTTTTTACGCATGCACCAAATTCTTTTTACTGACTCATTTCCACCACCACTACCAGTCCAACTGACAAATGTGTGAAAAGTCAAAACGTTTCCCGCAAACATTTACATAATACCGTACTTCGCGTGAATTTGCTAGCAATGCAGAATTTTTTATAAGCGAAATTGTAGTTTGTTTGTGCAAAACCACCCTGCAATCATACTACGGTAAGTCCGTGTAAATTCGTTGGAACAACAAGGTTGAAACTTTCGCGCTTTCCCGAATTAAATAATTTACATTCGAGTCAAGGGAGAGTAACAGGCTGATTGTGACCAGATTTCAGGTAACAAGCACTGAATAAATTACGTGAGACAGATTTATATCATAAAGCTGAGAAAATCTCTCGATTGATTCATATGCATAACGCTCTCGCTTCCGTGTACGCACCTTTGGTTGGCAGAAATAATGCGTATTGGCCACAGGAACCGCTGTCACCAGCATGGTAATACTGCGGCCGAGGTAGAGCAGACCCACAATGACGAACACTCGTCGAAATACGATCCACCTACCGATACAGAATGCAAATATAGTCAAGCATCAAATAAACGATACAAGATAGCCAACACTGTCAAGTGCAAGGCATGCGTTCGGTAAATCGATCGGCAGGTATTCCATCGTCAGCACCTGACATGTACACCGAAACTTACATCAAACGCGACGACAAGCAAGCGCCCCGTGAAGAATGTAATGAGAAATCCTACACAACTCTTAGCATCATTATATGGCTTGGAGAATATATCGAAAACTTAGCGCCACTCACTTAATTTTCCTTGGAAAACGGTATTGATTTAAAAAAGGTAATGGAAGCGATGGATTGAGCAAGATTGTTGAATCATCCACTACATCCAAATTACATAGTTCATAATGTAATGCTTTTAACGAAATTACCTAGACAAGGCAGGCCCCCGTGCACAAAGCGCCTAATCAGGCGTAATTTCGAAGAAAAGAATTTGAAGAAAATCAACTTTTGTCAAGTATGTCGATTTAAATGCGATATCAAAAATTCCGCTGCTGGGGATTCCCATAGCTTTACAAAATTTTAATATTTAAAAAAGGAGCGCAACAAAACCCTAACAAAAAAATGGTTGAATTACCTGTGCCGGTGAAAAGCCATTAGGATAATCGTAGGGTACACACAGAGCATTAACAGGTACTCGGACATGGCCAATCCATAATCCCATTGGGGAACTAGACTGAAAACGACATCCGGAAGTGGCGGTCCATCCGGCAGTCGATCATGAACAAACGCCAGTGCCAGCGTCGTGCAAAACAGTCCAACGAACAGAAATCCCAACGCTAGCAACGTTTTCAATTTTTCTTCTGGATAATTTCTGACCGTGGGACGGAAATCACTGACGGAGCTGGTGCTGGATTGGCGCGAATGGGAACCGCGGCATTCCAACTTACTGTCAGGTGTCTCCACGAGGAAATGAGTATCGCCATTCTCTCCACAATACACTGAGTCATACAGGCTGGAGCGGCTGTCCCGCGATAGAGGGATATCGTCGATCTTAATCAGCGGATCACAGTTGCATGTGTTCAGACTGATAACCGTCTCCACGGGTTCCGGGTGGCCTGGTCCGACCAAGGAGACATGCTCATCTGATCCGGAGGTGTAGCTACTGTTGACAAAACTTCCATTACGACTGTGATACGTTGCGCTGGAGAACAAACGAGTTCCCATCGTCTGGACTTCTGCTGGAGGAATTCGCCACTGGACGTTGTGTAGCGAAGGATATTATGGAGAAGGATGTCGATTTCAATGTAATCGCACAATCCAAAAGTGTAGGCGTACTGTGAGCCACCAACTAAGAACGGAAAAAGATCAACAAACGACTCGCAGTGACAAATCAATAGTATATCACGCGCAGAGTGGATTGAATAGAATCAAATTCGTCATGTGGATATTATGGCATGAAACAGAAACATACAACTGATTTTTACAGGTATGTAGGTACAGTATACGGTGCACAGCTACGGTAGTCAGCCAGTTCCATTTGGATGACGCATTAAAACCGGAATAGTGAATACACTGTCATAACGGGCTTCTATTTATTGCCCTGTCTCAATGCAAGGTGCTGATTCTAAGAAAATTTCTCCACGGTAATGTCATGATCAGAAACTGCTGTAACACTGTTCGTGTACAGTACTGTACTTACGATTAATACTACTTATGTTTTACACCAACGAAAAAGAAAGACAGCAAAGTAAAACTGAGCACGGAAAAGCTGCACCTACTTAGTAAGTACAGTAGTGTCATTTTCTCGATTAAAAATAACATTCCACATAACTTATGTGGAATGTTATTTTTAATCGACTTATGTGACATAAGTCGCACGTTCTGCAAATTCGCTTTAATTAATTACTGAATTAACGCTGAAGTGTAATTATTCAATTATAAGTGCTCAAAATCGGTAAAACAAAATGCTAACAAATACCTAAATATTCCCTTAATATGCACTGAAACAAATTGCTCAAAGTAATATTGCGATTTCCCCAAAAGTCTTCAAAATCTCTGTTTGAGAAGCCACTTGCTTACCTGCTAGATGTCCAAAGAATGTTTAAATAAAGTGGCAAACAAACTACAAATTCAATAAGAAAACTACCACGCATACAAAATGCTCTTCGCAGACTGTTTTGTGCCGCAGTGCAATGTTTAATGTTAGAAATGTGGGTTAAAGGTAAGTCATAACAGAATCAAGGTCCACAACTGTGACCCATTAATTCAGGTCGCGGTACGAGAATCAGATATATTATGCAAGATCAAACGCTGCACGATTGCACTACAATCAAGCAAGTTCTACGTTCAACTTACGGTGATTCGCAATTTCGCTGTGCTGTCCGTTCTGTCTACGGCCTGCAGGCACACAGAAACACCCTCGCAGAACTCAAGATCATTACGTCCACGATGTCTCCTATTTCCTCGCCAGATCTTCCTCAGCGAAAGTCGAAACGCCACAGCGCTCCACCAGAGACACTTAACCATACGAATTACCCAAAATCAACACACACAGGGAGAGAATAGATCTGACAAATTCTCAAAATGCTTCAGATAATCAGTTGACTTGCTGTTGTCACAATGACGAATGATTAAGCTGATTAGATAGCACGCTACGTTCAACACTGTCTACGAGTATTCTATACTATATTCAAAAGCCAGTTAAAGGCTAAAGTGGCAAAGCCACTCAACAAAATTTTGTTATCACTTCTGGCGGAAAACAGCAGATTACTTCTTGGTACGGAACGAGGTAGATCAAGCAAGCTACTTTTACGTACAAATTAATCCAAACTAAATTCCAAAATTTGCTCAAATAGAATAAGAAAAAGCAGAAGTCCAATCCACATAGCGAATACGATCAGATTACAGCGAAAGGTACAGTACTCGTATAACATGTACGGTACGAAATGTAAGTACGTAATTACGTCTGCCTTAATGGTGAGTCGGTGACTAATAGATTTATAAATCTATTAGTCACCGACTCACCATTAAGGCAGAGGGGAGCGATGTGAAAGTTCAGCATACAAATAAAAAAAATATTATCATAAGTTTTCCAAAACTAAGAAAAATTTCTTTCAAACTTTGCATTTCCCGTTAAATCAAATACACTCGCAAAAGCTAAGGAATGCACGACTCAGCGATTTTTCAACGTGGATTAAGCAAGAACAAAATTGAAAATACTACTCTTACACATTTACACATCTAAATTTAATGTACTGATATTCCCAGGCCCATCTTCAGCTTTTTGGGAGGGGGGGGCGCACCATTGTTCTCCTCGAAAAAGAACAATGGCGCCAGTTGCGGCAGTTCCAAATTCGCCTTTTTTTAACATGTAAGGTCCGACGCCAGTTTGTTTTCGGAAGGGGGGAGGGGGCGCACCCCTTAAAGACGGTCCTGGATATTCCATGAGAATACATTTTCTTACACAACTACGAGTACACAATAGTATCGCACATCGCACTCACAGAATTCCGTATTATTTCAAAGTTTTATTTCAACGACTAAGTAGACAACTACAACTTCCTGCAAATACAGTTGAAAAGAAATAAGAAAAACGACGCGTACATAATTACGCAAGTTGTAAACGAAACATAAAAATTAATTATAGATTATGAAAACTTCCAAGGATGCAGATGAAGTGAACTAACTATATAAATCGTCGTCGTTATTTTCTTGGAAGCCTCCTGGACGTCCACCTGGAGCTCCTTGCCCACCACCACCAGCCTGATCGGGGAAACGGAACTGGCCACCAAATCCACGCGACTGTTGCAAGGTTTGGGCAAAAATCTCGTATTTGCGAATATCTGCATCGCTCACTGAACGCCGAGCAAATTTCATCGCCTCTTCAAAATGATCACGGCGAACTTCCGGTACGGGATCACTGTCATCCATCATTGCATCAGGATTGTCCTGACGCCGTCGCTCGTTGCGAATTTCAGCTTCGATAGCTTCGCGAATAGCCATTTTACAGGCTCTTTGACAGATTTCCGTAAGATCAGCACCACTGAAGCCGTGAGTGACTTTGGCCAGATGAATGAGGTCGATTTCCTGCAAAACAGTACTAGATGTTATTGTGTATTCTACGCGTTACGGAACACGTATACGAAGTACACAAACATAACGTTTACTGGAATAACGGATACACAAGGAGACGAAGCTGCAAATTTGAAGGCCTTACCTTAGCCAATGGAGTTTTCCGCAGCGCAGCTTTTAGAATAGCCACACGCGATCCTTCATCAGGCAAGGGGATATAAATAAGCTGATCCAGTCGGCCAGGACGCAAAATAGCGGGATCGATAATATCGGGACGGTTGGTGGCGCCGATAATGAAGACGTTCTTCTTCTGATTCATTCCATCCATTTCTGTCAAGATCTGATTAATCACGCGGTCCGCCGCTCCGCCGGCATCTCCCACACTACCGCCACGAGCCTTGGCAATCGAGTCCAATTCGTCAAAAAACAGCACACAAGGAGCAGCAGCTCGAGCTTTATCGAAAATCTCTCGGACATTCGCTTCGGATTCACCAAACCACATGGTCAGCAATTCCGGGCCCTTGATGGAAATGAAATTAGCCTGGCATTCGTTGGCGATCGCTTTGGCCAAGAGAGTTTTACCGCATCCGGGAGGTCCGTAAAATAGCACACCTTTCGATGGAGTCATACCGAACTTCAAAAACTTTTCTGGGTGCTCCACTGGATATTGCACCAATTCTTGCAATTCTCGCTTGACTGGTTCCAGACCACCGATATCGCCCCAAGTGACATTCGGCACTTCCACAACAGTCTCGCGAAGGGCAGATGGACTGCTCTTGTTCATAGCGAACTGAAATTACGAAAAGCATAATCAATAAAAAAGGCAAATCTCTGTACGATCCACCATAGGAAGGAAAAACGCAATAAATCGTAATATTATTGATGCTAGAAAGTGAATGTTAAGGTTGAGTACAGACCGAAACTAACCACAATTTGCTGAACTTCACTCGACTTACACGGAAGTTTTCCATTGTGACAGCCAAAGAATCCAAAACCTGGGCATCAATCTGCTCTTCTTCCAAATCAATGAGATCCATCTTTTCACGAATCTGTTGAAGGGCAGCTTCCGAACACAAGGCAGCCAAATCAGCACCGACGTGACCGTGAGTTTCAGCAGCCACGCGTTCCAAATCCACATCCCGAGCTAGTTTCATGTTCTTGGTGTGAATACGCAAAATTTCTAGACGACCAATAGCATCCGGAATGCCGATATCAACTTCTCGATCAAAACGACCTACAGAAAACATTATTAATTTTAAACTGTTCCAAATTCAGCAGATGAATGAGTCGCTGATTAATGATGTTCGCACCGAAACGACGCAGAGCAGGATCGATACTGTTTGGACGGTTAGTCGCCGCCATAACAATGACATTCGAGCGCTGTTTTAAGCCATCCATCAGAGTCAGCAACTGGGAAACTATCCGGCGCTCAACTTCTCCATGAGTCTAAATTATAGAACAAATATTACGAGAATATTACGCTAATAAAATAACAGCAGAGGTATATTGCTCACTTTTTCACGCTTAGGTGCAATGGAATCCAACTCATCAATAAAAATGATAGCCGGGGCATTCTTTTCAGCTTCTTCGAAAGCTTTTCGTAAATTGCTCTCAGATTCACCAGCCAATTTACTCATAATTTCCGGGCCGTTAATGAGAAAAAAGAAGGCTCCAGTTTCGTTGGCGACTGCACGAGCAATGAGAGTTTTTCCCGTGCCAGGTGGACCATACAGAAGAATACCGCGCGGTGGCTTTACACCAATCGTTCGGAAGAGCGTCGGATGTCGTAAAGGCAATTCCACCATCTCTTTGATCTGAGCCAGTTGCTTACGGCATCCACCAATATCATCGTAACCAACCTCAGCCAGTGCTTCTTCTTCTTCCTAAATAGTAACAGCTCTGGATTATGCACTATTCTTACGCAGTTACGCTTGACCACGAGTCCATGACAAAACGGCGTTTACTGTAGTAAACCGCTGCTTATACTTAAAAGAAAAAAATGAGCGATAACAATAAGTAATAATTATAAATTCCCGAAATTAACTTACATTTAGCAACACCGAAGTATTAAACAAAAATTTAGTCAGAAAACAGTATACTGCTGATTGTAAGGAAAAGTTACCTCGCGTTTGATCGGCTCTCCCTCGCAGTGAATAACGGTATCCGGCGCAACGATACAGTAAGGACTGGGATCAGTCTCCACAACCTTGAACTCGACTGATCTCATTGCGCCGCGAACCAAAAACAAATCCCCCTTCCTCAATGGTCTGTAGGCTTCGAGGAAGTACGGCTTCAAGTAGACTTCAAACAGGTTCCTAGAATCGAGATTGAGAAGTCTAAACGATTCACGACCACAGGAACACAACGTCGTAATGGAAATGGAAAGTGCCTAGTGACCAACCCAGTCAAGCCTTCCACTGTGTCATCGATTGGCAGAATGTGAACTCTTTTGGCGTACTTGACTTCGGGACAATTCTGCACGCTGCATAATGAGAAACATAATTACAACAATGATAACACCATAGATTTTCTTCAATTTCTGATAACAGATAAAACTGTACCTAACAACATCCCCGAGTCTCACGCGCAAATTTCGACGAACCACACGGTTCATTCGGATTCTGTCATCGGGTACAGTGTCATCCGTCAGAGCAATACAAACTGTATCGCGACGCTTTTTTCCTTTAATCAGCACAGTATCCCCTCGAAATAGTTGAAGTTCGTCCATCTTTTTCTGTATCATAATATACAAACTGGAAAGTGCCATTTGACAGCACTGCATATTAACTGAAGAGGTTGCAGGGTTTCCCACTTACAGGAGACATACAGACCACTGAATTATCGTCATTTACGGCCTCCTCCACCATCAAACGATTAGGCTTCTCTTTTTGTTTAAGGATGGCGGTAGCCAAGTCTTCCTCATTGCTAAAAGCATTCAAATTTCAGACACATCAATTTTCACACTCAAAAAGTCAAAGAAAAGCTCTAACATAAGCATAAGCAGATTCTTACGGTTTCGAGTCGTCCTTTGGATTCGCCATTTTCTCGACAGCTTCTCAATGCACCGATATGAGCTAAACTTCTACAAACGAAATTCAGTTTCCAAAAGTGGGAAATATCTTAAAGTACCACGCACAACAAAAATCAAACAATTCCGGAGCCAATGATTTTATGGGACAAGAAATAAAGCACCGAAATGCTATAACGAGCGTAGCAACAGAGTATTCAAAAAAGTGAAAGTCATGGGCCGTCCATTTAGCTGGATTGAACCACGTGGTCCGTGACGCAAGCGTTCTATAACGGGAACTAACGCATACGACAGAATTTTGCTGGCTCTGCTGCAACTTGCCAGTGTGCCACCGTCATTTATTAACTAATAATTTATTAACTTCATTTGGTGATTTCAGTTGTTTTACATGTAAACCTAATACTAATAGTTCATTTGGGTTCTTGATTCAACCAGTAAATTCGAAACTCTTATAATTCGAAACCGAAATAAAAGTTAGGTCGCATTTTACACCTCACAAAAACAACTTCTTTGGGCCGCATTAAAAATCATTTCCCCGTATAAGGCGGAGTTTGAGTTTCAGGTTCACTTTGGTTCGTTAACCTCGTGGATTGGGCGTAGCGTTCTGCTGGCGGAAACGGATTGGATCCTCGCAGTGATTAATAACTGAGAAGTGACTCATCATTACGTTGCAAAATTAGAATTTTAACAGCACAAATTTCTGACCTGATGTTCCTTACTTGACCTGAAAGATCGAGAAAAACCGCGGCGGTATGTACGTACTATACGTATGGCGGTTCTTTCTGTTTTTTTTCCAGAGATTAATGAAAACGTACTGACCAAATTTTTTGTTGTGCTCGAAGGGTATTGTTGCGCTTAGCACATAGTTGAAAAAGCAACAAACAAATTGTTTCGTAACCCGTTAGCCTATCTTTTGTAGCTGTATACAGCTACAATCGGCGGCTGGCGAATCGGCGATGAACCGCTACGTAGCGGTTCATCGCCGATTCGCCAGCATGTACTAGTATTAAAGTCGTATTATGGTCACGGACTCACGGTGTCCTGAATGTCCTCCCGTTTTGACCAAAGGACAGTTCATGAACCAGACAATTCATGTTCTTGATCAACTACAGTAATTAACCAGTTTCCCTTGAAAAATGTTCTAAAAATCTTATAGCGAATTACGGCATAACTGGAAATTTCTAATTAATTGCCGTTTATCTGTTCCAGACTTTTCAGTAGCCACCGAAGTATAATTACATGATCTAATTTACATATACAAATAGATACAATAGCTGCTACTAATTACGGAGCTGATGGGAGCCGTTTTGGTTACTTACGACTTACGAGTACAGATCGCAAATGATCCTGGCGGTGTGACTGCATGCCATAATAAAACATTAATTCGAAGACCTTATGCACAAAAGCACAAGTTTTAAAGTCTTTCATTTTTTATTTATTTAGTTAAATATAAAAATTTGGAAGAATTGCCGGAATATAATAGAATAACGTTTATTAAATCTTTATTTTACAGTACTACATACTCATGCTGCTAACTTGTCGCTAGGTCGACCGTAGAGCTGGGCGCAGGGCAGGGATCCTGTCCTGAACCTGCAGGATCCTGTCCCTGCAGGACAGTTTCAGGGTAAAATGCTGACCTGAAATTTGGCTCAGGTTCAGGTTCAGGGCAGTTGAACTCCCTGAAAGTTCAGGGACAGGGCGTACCTTAGTCCTGCAGGAACCTGAATTTTTTTAAGAAAATTAAGGTTATCGAAATTTCACAAAGTTTCGAAAGGGAAACCTGGCGCCCGTAAGTTGACAACTGCGGGTGATGGCCCCAAGAAGTGCATCACGCGCTAAAAGCGCATAAAAACTACCTTATTACGCTACTCTAAGAAATGCGAGCTTAGCTCGTTTCGCTACTGGCTACATATCGCTTTTGAAATGTGCCGATACGGAAAAAATTATACAACTACAATTTAACTTATTTAACTTAAACAGGCTCAGGATTTCAGGTCAGGCTCAGGGTGAATAGTTTCAGGCTCAGGACAGGTTCAGGTAATTCAGCACGGTGAGTTTCAGGGACAGGACAGGTTCAGGTAGGGAAAAATTGAAAAATTACAGGTTCAGGGCAATCTAGCCGTCCTGTTCCCAGCCCTAGTCGACCGCTAGGACGAAAGTGTAGTGAAAATGCCGCCAGCCGGAGGCTGCACTTGGGGGGGACCTTTGTTGTGCTTTGAAGGGACGAGAACGGAGAACATTCAGAACAAGTTGAAAAGTACAGTAGAGTCAGCAGATATTTATAGATAGAAAAAAGTTAAATATGATTTAAAATTAATAGAATGGTTGATTTCTTTGGATTCTTGGGAAGTTTGTTAACTTGTGCAACGTTGATGTAGACAAGTTAATCACAGCTGGATATGGAACGCTTGCTGATCTGCTGGAAGCTAGTCCTGAAGTGATCTCTGAGAAGACCGCCATTTCCATTATGGTTCGTTCATCGCGCTCTGTGCGCAATTCCTACCGAAAGCGGAAAGCTCGAAAATTCTGGATTGATTGAGATATTATATGTCTTTTCATCGCTCAATCCACACGCGCAAGATTTCGGACGGTAATCTGGAGTTGGTTTCAGGTTATACGTGTATGGCAGGCAAAACTGCGTGCTTTGGTACACCATCCTTATACTTCTGCTCTGGATCTCTATCCCAAGGAGTTACACGATGCCTTTATCTGCCCCATTGGACTGCCTTCTCTGGAGAATATATTTAGCCAGTTGCTTCGCCGTTCAGAGGTAAGTCAGTGCTCCATGGAACTAGGTATGGCGACATGCCTGCTCGTTTATCGACTTTTCACTAAATTGATTTAAGATCAATAATTAAAATTATTTTTCTTATTAATTATTATTTAAATGAATAATGGTAAAATAAGCGATGTTTTTCTTGGGGATCTGCATAGTTTGTTTTTCGAAAGACTGAGGGCGTTCAGTGCTTTACGGTTTCTTATTTTCGCTTTATTATTTTGACGATCGCCTCTTGCAGATTATGGAAATTTGCGGTGGGCCTTTGTCCGGGAAAACCCAGGTCTGTTAGTACGAGTTGCGTAGAAATGTGCTTCAGGTGCCATTGTCATCGTATCACCGTTATTTTTTTTTGGATTCAGACTGTTTCACTTTCCGTTGGAAATAAAAATAATCATGTAGTAATGCTTTTGGTTTTCTCTCGTAGTTCTGCCTCCACATTGCACTGAATGCGGTGCGTACAAGCAGCAGAAAGGTGCTATACATTGACACCGTCGGCCAGCTGAGCGCAAGAAGATTGAAAAAAATGTGCAAATCATTGGGAGATTTGCCAAATGTCAGTGTAGTGCAGTCTCAAAGTTGTGTTTTTTACATCATGATACCATGATTAGTCTCAGCGGATTGTGGTTTTATATTGCAGAGATTTATGAATTTGCTTGAATGCATCTATACCGTACAAATTGCGGATATTTACGGGCTGTTCCAGTTTCTTGATTTCCTCCCACACTGGAAGGGCTCTTTCCTGGGAGCAGAGGATGAATTGTTTATCTCCGACCAACCTGATATTATCATTATTGATTCTTTGTTCGCTATTTTGGCTCCGTTTGTGGGATCGAAAGTTGATCAAGGTTAACTTTCGAGAAACATCATCGATTCTTTTGAAGGATATATGAACGTTTTCTTTTTTTCAGGCTATGGTTACAACCTGATTAATGAAATGGCTTTCACCCTTAAAAACATCGCATCGGAAATGGGTGTTCTGGTTATAGTAAGGGTGACGGTTATATAAAGTCGCTCTTGTCCGTTTTATCCTCGGATAGTCGGATTTACAAGTTTTCTACAATGTTGTTTTGTCACTGTTTTCCGAATTGCAGTATACTAATTTAATGCCAGCAACTGTTTCCAAAACGGATCGACATGCAAACCTGGGCTTGTTTTGGCAGTCAGTACCACACCATCGCATAGGATTGGAGAGTGATGATAAAGCATCCAACGAGAAATTCGGAAACGGCGATGTACGCCGGTGCAAGGTGATCCGAGGAGTTTTGATGAAAAGTACTACACTGGTACGTTGGTGTGTGTTATGTTACTGTTTCTAACGGCTTTGTGCTGTGTTGTACTGTGGAATTGTTTTAGGCTGTTGGAACTGAAATAGTATTTCTTATTACCGAACAAGGGCTTTCTGACATGCCTGGAGCCGAAGATGATTCGGTTGTAATGGAGCTATCGCAAGAAGTGTAAAGACTCTGTAAACGAATGTGGAGAAAAGTGTGGACAAAAGTAACTTATTTTTAAAATAACGCTTGACGGCAATCGGCTTTGAGAGGAACTGCAAGCATTTCGCTCTTGATTCTGTGATACTTGATGATATCGCATGAAGTATATATAGACTTTCTAAAGGGATGTGAAAAAGTAGTTTGAAATAACGTTTAGAGGCATTCCGGACGCTTTGAGGGGAAAAAATTAGAAAAAGCACTTTGCTCTTGATTCTGTGATACTTCGATGGTTTGTTGTTTTATTACGGGTGTGTACAAAATTTCTTAGATCCAATAAAAGATTGACAGTAGAAGTTATAAGATACTGTACTGGGGAATCGGTTAGGCAGTCATTCTAATCATAAGCAAATTACATCGACAAAAATGCATGAAAATCAATTAAACAAGAGATTGTTTTAAAAGCTAAAAAGAGATGAGCTGCACACACACACGACAACACAAAACGATTGTTCACAGCACAGACCGGGGAGGAACATGAAGACAAAAACATGATCACGCGGGGCACACACTGAAGTCGAACGAACGCGGGGAATACGGAAGAACGTGAGTTATAAGAGATTCCTCTCTTTTCAGGGAAGACACATGCGAGGGAAACATGCGGCCTGAACCATGTGCTGTTCTTCTACTCTGTATACGAAATTAGACCAAACGTTACAACCAACGAAAAAGGCAATATGTTCATGTACACATATAGACTGAAATAGCAAGATCCTCACGATGATGCGCTGGAAGCAGGCAAGATGGGTCGAATTCGTTTGGCCGCTTCATAGTGTTTCGTCAATCGCCGTCGCAGTTCACCGGGGAAGTGGTTATAACACTTTTTACAAACCGGAAGCATGTCAAATTCGAAAAATTTTGTCCTGAAATATGAACTGGGTTGCAAACTTGCAATCGACTCATGAATATGGACTAGTAAACTTAATAAAGCTCACAACTAAACATGAACACCGAAGTAGTCTCAAGTCACCGTGAAAAAAACCCATGTTTATGACAAATCGCAAGAAGTGAATGCTTTACCTGTCATCCAATGGTGTTTCGCAAGACCAGCACACAAAATTTTCCGGTTTCCATGTCTTGTTAAGAGCACTTACACAAACTACGAAAAACGTTTACATATTAGATTAAATATTACCATTTCATATTCAACTTATGCAGATCTATTAAAAACAACTGAAAATAACTTACTGTCTTCGATCACTTCTCCGCTAACGAAGTCGATATTTCCAAACAGCTGATGATAATGCAACTCGCAGTATGCAAGACCTTTCCGTTCAAAATGTTTGGTACCCAAAAACGGTTTCTCGCATTTGGCACAAACGAAATGCTATTACGAATAATACCTCTTATAATTAGCATAAATATAACAAAAAAACGAGCACAAAACGAATTACACGGTACCTCAACATGCCAATGCTTTCCCAACGCAGTGACCACTCGATCTTCCACAGGGCGTCGGCACGCTCCGCAAATGGGAATACCCATCTTGTCATGGCATCTCAAGCAGTATAGTTCACCACGGATTTCCCGAGCGTCTGAATCTAATTCGCGCCTGCAAATCCAATAATTTAATCAATTCATCCGTATTCCACACACAACAAATGGCTTTCCTTTATTCCTTTATTTACACGAGGCCAAATGTTCTAATAAGCGAACTGTAAAGGGCAACCATACAAATATTCAAACAAGCTCACTTAACATACGCAGCATAACCATATAAATTATAAACCCAAATATCGGTAAAAAGTAACAAAACTGTCAAAATATACTAAAAAAATCTAGAGAATTGTAGCAAAGTGCATCTTCCTCGCAATACATACCCGCATTCTGGATTAGAGCAGTTGAAGTGATAAGGATGATACGGCTCGTTTTTATATTTCAGCGGCTTATCATCAATGACGGCTCTTCAAAAACAATCCGGAAACTAGGTTAAATTTATTCAAGACGGCGAAACGATTAATGGAATTTTCAAATAGCAAACCTGCAACGGTAACAAATGTATTTTCCGGCCGCCTCAGCTCTCACTCGATCGTTGCACGGGTGACATAATGCACTACAGAGAAACAGCGAGCGGTCTTACCAGTCAGTCACATAATTCCACCATTAGAATCGTGCAGAATAATAAATACGATCATAGCTGATGGTTATGGCTTAATTTTACGCTCCATATTACGCATTTTACAAACATGGCCGAACACAAGAAGACACTACTGGATGTAGGCTGTATAGTGTGTGGTATAATAGGATTAGAACGCGCAGTTTAATCGTTTCATGATAATTATGTACGCCCGATAAATGGGGGAATCAAAAAAATTACGCAGATCCCAAATAGCATACGAAGAGAAAACATTTAAAACTTTTAAGCATTTTATTAAAAACATCTAAGAAAATTAGAAGAACAGCTATGATGCGAAAATACTCATGCGTTTACTCAAAACGTAATTTTTATAAAGGTGGTAAAAGCAGGTTTCAACAAAAGTCATTCGAAATTACGTCGTAAACCGAAAAACTAGTAATCATTACCAACTATTCAAACTATTTTGAAGCTTGCAGCGTCTGAAGAAAGAAAAGTTCACCAAGAAAACAATTAAATTAAATAATGAAATTCCTTACCGTCCCTGATTTCGCATGAAACCAATATCCGACAAAATTCTTCCGCAAATTTCACACTGAAAATGCTCCGGATGCCAGCTCGTATACATGGCCTTAATGACTCTTCCGATAATAAATTCATCTAAGGAACACACAAGGAATGTTGTACGTAAGCAAAGTAAGAACAACTGAGCTCTTTCAGTCTCCTTACTGCATTTGGCACAACAAGGCGCATAGAGGACCTGGAAATCGTGTTCGCAATATTTCCTTCCTTCAAACTAGAGAAACAAACCAGACATCAATACCAGCAGAACGCAAAACTCCAGGTATTAGCGACAAGACCAGTGAGAGCGAAACCTGAAACAACAGTAGTAAACAGCAAGCATTATCTGTAGAAAAATTCTTACCTCGTAATACACGCCATCGACGAAAGGGCGAAAACACTGGGCACACCTGATCAATCAGCGGTAGAAAGTTTCATCAATGGGTCACAACTGCGGAGCAAATTTCAGATCTTGCAGCAACTTACACAAGACACTCCTCGTGGTAGCTTTCTCCTTGACTGTTTAGAATGGGCTCATTCGCGTCGAAACCTTCCCTGCAAGTTTGACACACTGTTCCGTTGGATACCACATAGTTATGATTGTGACTAGTCAGAACCCCGTTCATTGTGGCAGGTAATCAGTTAATAATCACACAATACCAATAATCTGCAATCTTAAAGAAAACCACAACAGATAAAGAAAACAAATCGTCATAGGTAAGTACAATTTTTTTGCAAAACAGAAGTATTCTGTGCACCAACAGGGACTGTAGATCACTGCACAAGTAGTAGTGATACCGTAGTCCGTAGTACGAGAGCACTACAGCAAGGCAGCAACACCGCCCACATAATTTTGAATGTATGCATTTTGTCAAACCAGTCGGCGCGGACTGCGGGTCTGCTATAAATAGTTTCGTTTATAAGACAAGCATCGTTCAAAACAAACTTCAAACACACACAGAGCACGGTACAAAATTACGCAGTTGCTGTTTGTACTGGAGCATAAGCATATTTTTATTCAAAAAAGAAGAAAATCTAGGGAAACAGCTATAATGCGAAAATAAAAAGAAACGGAACCACGGATTCTACGATAAAATTGTTGCTCTGGTCGTTTCATGTTTTAGATAAATATAGGATAAAAGCTACGTAAATCTATTCGTGTTCTGCAATCTGCAGTATAAATGCCGCTCATGCCGAAACTGGTACCGGCCGATGAATTGCAAAGCAAAAAACTACAACCGCAAAAAACACACCAATAAAATTTACACAAAATAAATTAACAGTACGATTAATGACTTGGGCATTCTTTCACTAAGTTGTTTTGGTGCTTTTAATAACCACCCCAAATAACCAAACGCTAACTGGTCAGTGGTGACTCTGTCTGTAGACTGTAAGTATAACTCGTATCAAGTACAGATACTTGCTATAGTGTGACACCTATACCTATACCTATAGCAAGTCCTTGCTCGTATTTGTATTCCTTATAATACTCTTATTGTATTAGTCTTATAATTATAATTATTGTATTAGTCTTATAACAGAAACGTATCGACTAATTTGATAGTGATTCTTATAGGTTTTGTCCTGCTGCCGGGATCGTAACTTTTCGCTACAATTAATATTATAACGCCGTATTTCACAAAGTTAAATTCCAGTCGCGCATATTTACATATGGTTTTACGTAGTAATCTTTACCTTGACGCTTCCGGAAGAGGAACGTAACCTTGGACAACCATTTCGTTATAGGCTCAAGTATTAGGTCACAAAAAATGCGAGACAAGTTATCAGTCCAATGAGTGAATTAAAACATTTATAGGAACTTAGGAGTACAACAAAATATGTATGCAGCGGAAAGAAGCGTTCTCACTGGCTCCAGTTTCCGACCCTAATATTTGTACTGCATGGAACAAGGAACAGAAAAAGAAGCACGCACAAACATAAAAAATGTCAGTGCACATATAGGTAAGGGGCTATATAACGCAGAACTGGACTTCGGATGTATGTACTTACATAAACCCTACACACTCTATTATTATACGTATATGAATATAAGGCAACATCTGCAAGTTATTTTCAGTTTTCTCGTGTGTCAAACGCAACAAATGTTCCAGAACCGAATGGCTACCAAGAACAGCTATCCTGTTGGACTACACTGAAGCAACGTAATTATTGTAGTTTGTGCGCTTATTCCAGTTCTGCAAAGTGCAAACCAGATTTCCTGTACGTACTGCATGCTGAACATATTCTCCCTCTATTCCGTACGACCTAGGAGTATTCACAAGTCAGCTACATTTACGTTGCTTACAACTGCACGCGTTTTAATTGTGTTCGTATAATCGTAATAATTATGTAGTGCGCTTTGCGCAAGAAATTTCATATTCTGTTACTATTTTTCAAAGTGACTAACCAAAACGGTACCGGCAAGATACATGTACCATGTTACTTCTGCTGTACTACAACGGGACATACAAACGTTGAACGATATGATACACGCTGCCATAAAAGGTCTTACCGAGCAGCACCGATCATCCGATGACAAACCGCGCGACATACGTACGGAGTGCGGATATTTAAAAAAAATTTACCGATCTTGCAAAAATCCAGCTAACTGGAAGCCTTGGTTGCAAGTCGAAACAGACGTACGCAAACCACTAAACAACTCACTTCATTTGCTGGGAATTTTGTATTACCATTAACATTTACTTTTAATAAGAATTCGTTTAACTCAGCTAGCCTTGCAGTTGGGAGCCAGAGCACACGAAATAGTTATGAATTTTGTTTTTTATACCTGCTTGCAGTTCCTAATGATTTCCATTCACTTTTTTATTGGACTTTATGCAAACCTCATTTTCTGAGCCCAGTTATAAGGGCGCACAATAATATTAACCAGTTAATGCTGAACGGCATTTCGTATCAGCAGCTCGATCTCGCCTAGTGTTGAACGTTGCTTTATATATACTAGCCTCGACTTGAACTATAAAAAAATATAATTTAGCAAATTTCATTTCGCCTGCAAGACAGTGCGATCCAAACAGCTAACGTTTTCAGAAACTCCGCGGACGCACTTCCGGTGAGCGAGGCCGAAGCAGGCGTTCGGATGCTTCAAGATTTATTCGTTCAACCGGGGAGGGTGTCGGGCGCTGTGAGGCAACGGGTCGCTTGTTGGGACTGTGACTGCGCGGGCGGAAAGCTAAACCATAAAATCGCTCATTAAACTACATATCTGTATATGCACACTGCATACGGTATGCAGTGGGCATTATAATTACTATGGGTAGTACAGAGTACAGTAAAGTCTTACAGCTAGTTTCAACAATGGACTGGTGAAAAAAGGAATCGACTTTCACTTCTGTCGAATGTCCCATATCATTGAAGCTTTCATTTCGGAGAAACCGAGTATGACCTCTTAAAAATAACGAACATGCTTTCACGAGCTTCCGCCGAATATCCGTAAACATTTGCGCATGTAGAAGAGGAGTAAGAAAACTATTCGCCGGTAGCACTACTATCGCGTAAAAGGAGTGAATATGATCTGGAATAAAAGGACGTTTTCATTAAAACTTCCATAACTTATATAATTACAACCCAGCAGTTTTTTTAAGCACGTAAAACTATGTGAACCCTATTGAAGACTTTTAAAACTTGCCCTAGAACTTATACTAAAGGTTATAAGCATGTGATCGAGTAGTGCACCGTAATTTTAGATATGTGATCTTTCACTTTGGTATCATAAACGGTGTTAGAGGGACATACAATTTTATGAATATCGACGAATACTAAATATTCATATAAGGGACTAAAATTCATAAACGTTAAGAGGAATTTACAAAAACTGAAAAAGTCACGAACTTGCGATGTCAAATGATGTAAAGGCGATCATCTTCACCACAATAACCGGCAACCAACAAATGAGATTGACGATCATGATGATGAGATAACGCCGGAAGTCATAGAGATCCCATTTCAGTTCGGTCAGCAGTTCTTTGGAATGACTGTTCGTTGCCAGAAAGTATTTTATCCGCATTCCACAAAATACGGTTATAATCAAACTGGCGGTAAACACTCCGAAAAACAGCAAAGACGAGTACCACCAGCCGTTAAGATAAGGCTCATCCAGGTATAATGGAATGCACAATCCGTTATTGCCATAAAAGCTGCCAGTAACGTTATCCCATACTGCAACGGGGATTCCAAACAACATCAGCCCTGCATGCACAAACAACAGGTTAACGTCGCTTAGTAAAGCCAGTGATCGGATTCAGGGCCTTTATATCCATATAACTACGAGACTGTAATACAGTACCTGCAAACCACATATTGACTATCAACCAAACAGCTCCACGGGAACTAAGGTGGTATTTCCGGGGTTTGGTGATGCAGATGCAAAGGTCAGCAAGGATAGCGCACATGGTAACCAGTGAAATGAATATGGACAACGACGCTAAAATTTTATTAAGAAGATAACGAGAATTCATGAATAGCGAATTTACTAATACGCGTTTTACATCTGTACATTTTTATGATTCTAATCAATTAGATAGAAAAGAGAAACATATTACTGTAATACTTTTGTGATTCAGTGCAGTTTTCATTAAATTAAGTAGTAAGTACTCGTAGTATTTCTAGTCACCCAGCATTCCCGCGGCTTGGCAAGCAGTTCCGTGCAACCATTCGTATGCTTCCCGGTGATAATTTTCTCTGAACTGGATGTCATAAATGGCAATGACCAATAAGTAGACAGCCATGAGCAGATAAGAAACTGAAAGGTCGAAATAATTTCCTTATTATCCTGGCGTTCATAATCTGCCTGTTCAAAGATGTTTATAATTTCTTTCAAGGTATTTTTATGCGTAGCAAGCTAGCGTATCGCAATATTGTACGTTACCAAACAAATTGTATCGCAGTTTATTTGTAACATCTTGTTCGTGTCGATGATAGCGCTGAGGTACGTCCGATGTCATTATCGGCTCAGTTGAAGCGATACAGCACCGCGCCAACAAAACCGTCAAATTCACCAATGGAATCAAAGCGATAAGGGCCCAAATCATTATTCGGGGTATAAGAAGATCGATCATGTTTTCAGATGATGAGATACCGTCGGATTTAGGAAAACAGTCGACAATATGCGCGGCATAATAGCAATAATGAAACTTGCTAAATATTCTGAAAATATAACAGTTAACACGAGATCTATATTAATTTTAAAGCAGTTGGAATATGTCTCCTTGTTCCCTTCCTCACGCGTTTGCAATAAAGGTCAATCTTACATGAGCGCTTCGTTGGGAATGTCCTTGAACATATCTTTATGAATGTTGTTAATTGATACTCCCGACAGGTTTCTGCAATTTAAATTACTAATTGAGTCGTATAGATCGTATGCCCAACAAACATTTCTTACAACCATGTACATGTTCAGCGTACAAACGATCTAGCCTGCTTAGTCCTTTGAAAATTTCCATTGGAAGACTAAGGATACCGGGGTTAGCTGACAAATTTCTGCAACGACAAAAATCTTATATGCAAAAACATTTTCTATTCAGCGCAACAATAAACTTTTTGCTAATAATTGCACCATATGAGACCAGCAAAAAACTCGTGGGTGATCTTTGTATCACATTCCCACTTACAAAAATTGCAGATTTTGTAGAGGAGCGAACAAATGGGAAGGAAGTGTTGTAAATGTGTTGTTTGCTAATGAGCTAAAACGCATTTGGACAGCACTATAAACGCAACGTCCAACACTCCAGTAAATTAAGACAAGTATTGTTACAGTTCTTCCAAGCGCGGGGTGGCTTCGAAGGAGTTTTCTTCAATATTTTCAATAAGATTGCTACTGAGGTCCCTAGAAACAAATTTCATTGTAACCTCATAGAGTTTTAAATAGGAGTACGGTTGAGACAGAGTTTCACTCGATGGCAGCTTTGAATTAATCTACAGAATAAACTGCAGTAAGTATAGTAAGTGTAGTATAGTATAGTAAATCTATTTAAACTACGTACAAGTATAGTAAACTGGTGAGTCCGTTCAAATGATCTTTTGAAATATGGCGAATTTCATTTCTTTCCAGTTCACTGCAATAAGGGGAAAAGTTATGAGCTTGTGCTTCCATAGATGACCTTGGCGCCGTCCAGAAGCAGATCTATCCTTATAGTCCCTAATATGCAAGCTTACATAGGATGCTTACAGGTAATATAATGAACTAAGTTTTGCAAACATGCCGGCTTCCAGTGATATGCGATTTGCTTTGAGGTCCCTGCAAGATACCTTATTAGTAAAATCAAAACGATACAGTCAAACTGCAAAAAGTCAAAAAGTCGAATGAGCCTTTCGTACAACCAACGGAGTTTCTTGTTGTTGAATGAATTAGGTTCCCAGTTCTGAATAAGGTTTTGCCCAAGCCACCTGAAATTGTAATAAAACCGTTCTGGTGTCCTTTAACTAATTTCCGTAAAAGACATAGTTTGTAGTTCACAGTAAAAGTGTTATTTCGTAGTTGCAGTACTTTTAGTTTTGATGGATATTCGTCTATATTACTGTAAACTCAAATTGGCGCTATAAACTTTTAAGCTTTTACGCTCATTGTTATATTGTGAAATACAAAAAAAATTTATTATAAAAATTTAATTGCTAGTAAAACATTTTCTGAAATTAGGGTAATTATTTCCCTTACAGAAAGCAGAGATTTCGTAGATTGGAAAACACACGAGGATCGATTTTTGACAATTTGTTGTAGTCCAGATGTCTGCGGAGGGGAAATCTCATATACCGCGTGCTGAGTATTGAGACACATATTTCTGGGGACAGAATAAAAAATACAGCATATTTACAAATGCCTGAGTTCGCTTAAATTGTTGAAGGCCTTGAGATTTAATCCCGAGATTGAATTATGCCGAAAATCCCTGCAAAACATGAACAAAATAAACGATAAAACACACAACAGAAAAAGTTTTGGTATGTATACCCCCTAACAAAGTGGAATAAAATAAAATAAGTAATCTGAGACGGTTTTTTGGGCTTATGTTATATTTTTACAGACGTATGTAAATGATATTATAACAACCTGAGAGTTCTATGCCCAAACAAAATTGTGCTGGGTGCAGGAGTTACATCTTACAGGCTCCAACTTACAATTTCTGTAAATTAGGAAACATGGCCAAGGCATCCTCTTGGATAAACTGAATGCGGTTTTTCGAAAACGTGCTGCAATGTTATGATTCTTGCATTGCAATGCAATGCAATGTTATATGCAATGCAATGCTATAATGCGAAATATAAAAAGGCACTTACTAAATAGGCGAGCTGGTATCCGTGTACTCCTCGTTAAAAGGAAATACGGATGTAAGGGATAAATTGTCACATTTGATTTGATTGACCACGCACTGACATCGTTTAGGAAATCGTTTGACAACTATCACATAAAAAACAAGAAACAAAAGTCAAGAATGTTCCAATTGTTCATATACATAGAGCCGTACGCTGTACCGAAAAAAATAGTTCATCAACTACTCTAGAGTAGAATAAGAACGTCACCGCTTCCCATCGGTGTTACGGTCATCTGTTGCTTTTTACAAAACAGTAACCGCGTTTTTTCACTTACAGCATGTAACATTTCCAGTCCCGATATGATGATGAAAACCCGTTCCCGGTGGCAGAAGTGGCTCTGGTGCCAAACAATCTTCAGTCGTTTCTTTGTCCGAGTCCTGAATACGCCGGAAAAAAGCTCTTCCGAAACCGGAAGTCTTTTCTCCTGTTGATAAAGATTCAACGAAAATCGATCACAATAAGTCAATCATACACAAGCCATATTAATATTTTTACCGCAGTACTTTTCGTTTTCATCGTCTCCTTCTGGGCAGTCTTTTATTTCATCGCACCTAAGTGATCAGTGGGTCAACGGCGGTCGTATATTAAAGCAAGCCCAGAAAACTGTTATACTTACCTAAGCTGTGCCACAAGTTCACAACTCACATACAATTGTTCAAACTATTTAAATTGTAATTAATCACTATTTTGAATACGAGTACTAACTACTGCACTGAACACCGAATTCTTGGCTTGCAAGCATGTGCACGTGCAGTATATGCTAGTAGTGCAAAACAGTGTCATCCTAACTACAAACTTGCATCAGAAATGCCTTTTCAATACTTAAAATATCACAACGTGAAACCGCAAAATCGAAGATATGGGTACTGCGCAGACTCACTACGAATCTACGCATAAAATTACCAGTAACGCTGAGCAAGACACTTCGAAGAAGTTGCGCAAGGGAATTCGCCGGTTTCGCATTCATGATTTTTATGGAATTTGATTCCCTCGTCTTTGGTCGTTAACGGCATCAAATTCTGTATGCAGATTAGAGGAACTATATCTGTAACCAAAATGTCATGAACGCGTTGCGCCGGTGATATTCTCGGATATTCGTTACATTCTCACCTTATAATACGTAGATCATATTTCAATCTTGTACTTACCGGTAAGCAGGAGTAGTAATCGAACCACGAAATAATATCTCCACATTTTTAACGGTGGAAACAATCCAGAAACTAGTCCAACTGTAAAATTTTTTAACTATCGCTACTGATTGGGAACAAAAATTGGTGCAACTGCGACAACCAGTTCTGATATTATAGTTGTCCACTGTCCGGTGTTTGTACTCATAAGCCAACTTAGTCCGTATAAATGCCGCGTAAACGTGAATACAGGTAACCTGACATAGTATGCTTGCAACAGCTGAAATAAAAATAATGAGATAGAATCATAGAAGTAAACGTGTGCATGCGCATCAGGTTGTCGCTATCGTGATCAGTACGAAGATTTAATATATTCATTAAACAAGACCGTTTTCCACAAAAAAAACAGCGGGATGTCCATCATTATTACCAGTATATACTTTTGTTAAATATTACCTTACCGCATATCCACTGTCCTCGTGCTCGCAATCCGTTTCCAGTAATACACGGCACACATGTTTTGTAACTTTTGTTCAAGTCACCATTCCCGCTATTTGCAAGTCCAAATAAAATCTAAATTTTAAATTATGCCTGCAAGCGAGATTTCAGAGTGTAATTTCTAGAAACTATTCAGCATGGGGGCATATAACGTCATATCTTACAAAGTGTGTAGTTCAGTGTACTGAGCAACCGTTAAACTGATCATAGCTTCAACATTATGATTCGGGTATTAAATGAAGATATAAAATTAATTTTATGTGTAAGAACTTTCATACAGAGTTTTCTAAAAATGTGAAATCACTCGAAGAAGATCACTGATGTCAATAAATACCGCCAGTTTGCTATGTTAATGAATTAGAGTACTCTGCGTACCACCCGAAAATCGACATTTATTCGACTGAGAAGCTTAAACCATTTGTTCTAAATTTCCGCATGAATGATCCAGTTCAGTCCAGCATGATTTAATTTACGAAAGAAACCAGTTTCCCGTTGATTGCAAGTATTGGAGAGGAACATCAAACGTGAATGGTATATTCCAAAAGAAACATGCGCTTAAGTCCTTATTGTTACGCATGGCCTTTGCATAATTACATTTTGTAGGTATTGTAAATATATCTCAACAGAAACTTTGTACATCCGAATACATGTGCTGTATGCAAACTCATACAAGATAGTTCTAGGTCTACTAAGTCACTACAGTTTCACAGGGCCATAATATCGGTCGAAATTCAACGTTTCTAAAAGTGGCGGAATTGGTTAGAAATCTTTGGTATTCACTAAATTTTCGGTTTCCTGTCGCACTTTCAGCCGTTTCTGCAATAAAATAATTGATTGCTAAATGTTCGACAACAGTTGAAAGATAAAGTTAATAAAGTGCAATTAAAACTGTGTTAACAATATTTGCGCTGACAGTTGTACTTGCACGTATATCATATCTATATGTAGCTAGTTAAATGTGACGCATTATATAGATATACATAATATAATATTGCATATTTACAGTACTTGAGCTATTTGCAAATAACACGGATTAAGGAATATACAAGTGTATGGGTAAAAAAATATTCTTACCAGGAACCGAGCTTTTTCATCACAAGCAATTGGAGTCTGAAAACAAATTTTACGGGTACATAAAAGGTTGTGTACCCGTGTTGTGTCCTAAACATAATCGTCAACGTACTTCGTCAACATCGTTGTAACAATCACCAGCGGAATTTAATGGCCGTTTTCCACCAGGACCGTATTGGCATAAACGTTCAATAGGTAGTGCTGTCAAAATTTTCTTCTCTTTTTCTGACCATGCCTTCGTAGGGCAGTAAAACACCTATAAAATTCATGCGCTGAAGAATAATTTACTATATATAGCCACAAACCAAGTAACCAATCTTCACCATGCACTGAGCTTTGAGCGCCAGTACATCCATAATATCTCAAATATCCATTAAATAACAAATAGTTTATAGTGTGCAAAGAACAATTACCTGTGGTCTAGATTCATCCAGGACAATATCCGAATTTTCCGTTAAACCGTGTACGTTGTCTAGACACTGCAAAATATTATGATTATAAGCACACAGACATGTATACCGCTTTAAAACTGAATTATAATCCCAAAATTAGTTAATCGGATTTCATTACTTTCAGATCCATATAAGGAAAGACGGAAGTACGCGAAGAAATGTTAAGGCCATGGCTAGTTCGGCTTTAATCATAAGGTGCCATTTTGCAAAAAGAAGCAGCTGTATAGATTGAAGACTGCTCTATTAGATGGCAACATTATCAAAGTTATAAAACTGCAGGGTTATCAAATATGAATTTTTCAAGTTAGCTGCCTAAACTGAATAATGGTGCAAGCAGTGACTGGCCCGGCTTACCATTACAAACGCTTATGTAAGTTAGCGCACCTGCGATGAAATCAATGGAGAACGCAGAATTATGATCCACATCTTTTGTTTTACTGACAGCCATAAAACCGAGCACTGGTCAGTGGAATGAAAGCAAACACCGAAGACAATAGATTTTGATCACACCGAAGTGTGGTAGGAAGGGAACAATCGGCTGTCTGGACAGTCAATATGGTTTGGTTTGTGTGGTGGGCTGAAACAGTCAACGTGCCTTTGACTGATGTAAACTTGCCTGAACTTTCGAAAGCTAGAAGTACCGTTCAAAATGCACCAAATAAAGTTTGAAAACTAACTCCTAATTCAGGGGATATAACAAAATTTTCAAACTTGATGCGTTGGATTAAGAAAAACCATGGAAGTATAATTGCGAGAGCGATTTTGAAAAAAATCGTTTTTACTCAAGTTATGTACGGAAATCAAAACCCTAAAAGTGTTTTTTCAAGTTTTTGAAGTTTAAAATTTTCTTATCAAAAAAAGCCCTCGCAAGGTGCAAGAGAACTGCGTTTACGATTTTCTGGGTGGTTTATCTAATATTCTGTATGGTTCCCTGCAGACTAGTTAATTTTTAAGCGTGATTTTTTCGATTCAAACTTTAAACTGTGTGTTGTAAACCGATCTTACCAGTTTTAAGTTGTGAATTTTTCTCGATTTAAACTGGACAGACAGATGCATCGAGAAACAGATACGATTTTAAAAAACTTATAAAACCGGCCTTCTTCATCTGAATTAAGCCGAACTAGCCTTGGCCATCGGGCAGCTCGTGCATGAGTTTGAGATAATGTACGGACTTGTCTACCGCTAGCTGTACCGCACTGTACGTGTATATTGTAAATGAAAAAAGAATGCTATATATTGTACAGGTGCAAGCGGCTACGCGACAGGTCGTCGCGGGACATTTGGTTTTACGGACATTTCGTATAAGGACATCCAGTTTTTGTGGCAAATGGTCATATGACAGTTCGTTGCCATATACCAGTCGATAATTTTTCGACAACCCAAGAGTCGCGCGATCAAATGTGCCACAACAAAACGGCCACAAAACGAGTTGTCCCAAAACACATTGGCCGCTGCGACGAAAAACGTGTGGCGAAATGTCCCACGACGAAAATGTCCCGCGACCACTTGGGCTGTCACGGTGCAGCACAGTGAGGCAATTCTTTCGTGAGGGACTTTACCAGCAAAAAACCAATTATACCGACGAAGGAGCTTATTGTGAGACTTCCTGATGATTCTGTTTTGAAAAAGAAGCTGGTCAATGATATGTCTTAAATGTTTAATGAAACAATTTCAAATGCTAAAGACTTACTTGTGCGCATCTTTGTATTGGTCGAAAAGAATTGGCGAACGAAAACTTCCAATAACAGCGTGAATCAAGCACCTTGAAAAGATAAACAGTACGAGTAAAACTAAGCATAACGTTTTCCGAAAAGTACAAAGTCTGAATAAAATACTGCTGTATTAGAAATTGGTCTAATATGACTGCTTCCCACAAGAAAGATGCATGCACGGGTCAAATGCAACTTATACAAACGAAGAGCAAATTTAAAGAAAAAACATATTATAATCAAATTTTTATTTTTCACCCACCAAACGCCAGATGTAATCGCAGTTTAACAGTCAGCGCATGCATACATGTATGTTTCCACTTCCACCATTAGCAAATCGAAAATGTCTGTCAGGGATTCACATTTCTAGTTGACAAATTTCATGTTCGCAATACTTGGTTACGGATGCGTGAAGTGCTAATGCTCCGCAGGCGATACTGTTAAATATTCAGTTGTCGGCAATGCGTATGTACAGTATAATTTTTCAACTTTTTCCGGTACGAACTCACAACATGGTAATGCAATGGTTATTTACATCTAGTGAGACGGGAAACAAAATACATACCGAAAGATCATGAAGCTTTATTAGCAATTTAGCGCATTCGGTGAATGAACAAAAAGCATTGCTCACTATAACCCCACACCCACCCACATTATTCACAGCTTGTCGCTCCCCACTTTTGTGCATGCAACATAAAACGGAAATTATCAAAGGCACATCAGTTATACGGTCAAATACCGCTAAAGGTACTGAGCGTTAACATTCACAAATTATAATTAGACTATAATAAAACTTTTCTTCAAATTTTTATGTTAAAAGCCAGGAATGTATTATTTATGCGTATCACATACGAGACAAACCCGACAAACTATTTGGTACACTAGCATGACTAGCATCAGTCCACGGTTCTTTGCAGTGCGAATATTCTGTCACTTTCATAAATCATAAAGTCTTCCGACGGTGCGGTAATAACGTAGCGTTTATTGGAGGTCACTCCAATTTTACGGTAAATCCCCAACAGCAAGAGTCTTTTATTGAGGAGAGCGTCAGTAAACAGCCCTCCGTAAGTTGATCCCTAAAAAATTCTCATATTTGGCTTCTTCCATTAAATAAATAAACCCGAAGACGAAAGCAACGAAGTTCGGAACCAAAACATGCATTGTCAAAAATATCCATTATACTTACAACATGCATAGAGAACAATTCATCACTCATCTTGAACTGCTTCACTCTGACTTGATCGCCTCTCTCATGGCTGCTAATTGTGCTGGGCCCAATCAGACCGGCTCCTTCCGCCATGATCTGTTCCAGTTCCGGTGACGCTCCACCAAATATTACAGAGTGCAGTACCGTGTATATTATGGGATTGAAAAAGGAGGTAACCATTAAAAGATCCAGGACACTGGCCGAGAAGGCGCGGCCTCCACTGTACGGTTGGGTCAAGTAGAATTCCGTTCCCGGCAGATCTTCATCATCATCATCCAAAAATTGGACATTCGTATCACGCACTACAAAATAGATTCAAGATTCCAGTAGTCTACAATTACTGTAATGGTTTCGTTTTCCATAAAATACTATCTGAATGCGAAAGTGGCTTTTTATAATTAACTCACTTAAATCAGTAATAAGAGGAACTTCAAAGCCGGTTCGGCGAGTACAGCGTTTAATAGTTTCGGTTTGCTCATCCAGGTTCGAGCGTCTGGAATGATTATTAGCTTTCATGTTTTCGTCCTCGGAAAACTTCATGGCGCGAACGTTTAAGGTGGCGAGTATGACTGACTTATCCAACAATGTCGGATCCGTTGACTTTTCGTGGGGGTTTGCTGCACCAATTAGTACGCACATTTTGCATGTGTTGAGATTTACGGAACGTAGATCCGCTCGGTTGAGTGGACTTCCCTAAAAGGTGGTAAAATAAAACATCGAAATGCACAAATAAGCACAAAATCAATAAAAACTACGTGCCTTGACAACAAATAATCTTGGCAAATTATACAAATATTTCCACTCTTTTTCCACATATTTATCATCTGCGAGAATGAGAATATCCGAAAGTTCACCGCTTGGAATGGCACTGGAACGCAGTGGCATGACAAAACTGGCCAATCCGATAGTCTGCGATGTGGACTGGCTGACAACGCACACAACAATGTGATTCGCAAAGTTCTTCCTTGCGGCTTGCAATCTCGTCTGCAGAAACCAAAAATGGAAGATAATACAATTATCACGTAACAAACAAAAGGCAAGCCGTTTAGCTTACTAGTCGAACGCTGCACAAAGGTCTTGCTGGAGTCCAGTAAAACAAGCCACTGCTATCATACAGTACACTGGGCTTCGGTTGATCACCGTCCACATCGTCCAAATGTATGTTTTCCGGTGACTGCATTACGTTAAGCTTCTCTCGGCTATTGTTAACCGGTCTGCAAAGAAAGAACAGTTACCAAAACGTTACGTTATAGAATGAATTTCCTACGAATTCTCACAATTCTGGTCAGGCTCATTTATAACTGTTAGTATGACAGTACTCGTATACGTCGTACGAGACTATGTATTCCCAACCGACCTGAATATAAATACTGCTATGCTAACTTGTAATGTTCTTCTGAGTTTCTTGTTTCTTTACAGAAACCAATTCGACTTGCATTCCAAATTAACTGAACAAAGCAGCATGGATTGCAACCAACTAATATTGTGGGTAATTACGTAATAACATACGTGTTAGGATGTTCACAGATATACGACCAGATTCTAGATTCGACGGGTTCTCCGTTCAGATGTATAATAGGTTGCGGCAAAATGGCAACATTCTCGTCTGGACTATCTTCAGCTGTATATGAAGGAATCCAGTACTGGCCAGGCCGATTTTTCACTGTAGTAAAGGTCAATACATTCATTCCATTATAAAACGACAGCAGTACTCGTGCGTTTTGAAATTACAGCTCGGGCATATGGAATTTGTCACATACAGAATCAAATCTTTCCATATTTCTGATAACCACAATTATCAGTAATTGTAAAAGGAAATAAAAATGTTTATTTGGAAACTAGTGTACATACGCGCGCTTTTGAATCCAGCTTGACAGGAACATTGGGTTATTTGCGCGGGATCCGCAATGTCCTCGTGACAATACTTACAGTAAACCGCTGCACTGTAAAAACAAATGGTAAAACACATGCAACTGTAGTAATTTCAGCGCGTTGCACAATTCTGAAAATAATGGTACAATACATCCATACCGTTGCACATCTAGCCGGTGATCCGCCAAAAAATATGCGGCTGTGTTCGGTTGAATGATGGACTCTGGATTCGGAAAAATTTGTGGTCTGGAATCATAGATTTCCGGATCGAGTTGTATTGCTAACATGACGATTTTCAACCTTCGAGCACAGAATTCACAAGCTTCCACGAATGTTTTTCCATAAAAATATGGGCTTAAACGACGAAAATATAATTCCAAAGATGCACCCTTTGCATAGTCTTCCATCCAAGTCTCCGAAAACTAGAACAGAAAAAAATTATAAAACACATTCGTGACAATTCCCCGGTAGAGGAATTGAATACGTAGGCGGTGGTTATATCATTATTACATAATAAAAATATGCAGTGAAAAATTTGAAAAAAAAGCTAAATTTCACCGTCTCACCGAATTTCTTTTGCACGACTGCAGTATTTTACAAAGTAAGCCTAAATAGATCGAAAAAGTGCACCCATACCACCGGACCATCGCTTCCAGTGTTCCTTTTCATTATGGCTACACCGGTGACATGGGTGCAGTTTTTCGATCTATTTGGGCTTCCTTTGAAAAACACTGCAGTCGTTCAAAAGAAATTCGGTGTGGATACTGGATACTGAAGAGGAAAATACACATTTCACTGATGCCAGTTAAATCGGAATCATGCGTTCTTCTGCGTACGAGTTGTCTAGTTCCAACGTGGATTTTTTAGGGTAGAATTTCGGAAATGTATAGCAATACGTTATTGATATCTAGCAGTACGTTATTTTGACATGCACTGTTCATCCTGGACAGTGGACACAGCATTCTTGTCCTGGGAAACGAGCAATTAAGTGTTCCAGTTCAATAATTTTTTTCTGAGCGCAGATAGTATGGAGAGTGAGGTGAGTCATCCGCTAATACTGTCGCAGGACAATAAGAATGCAAGCCTGCTGCCCTACGTGTATGATTGTTGTTGGAATACCGACCGTCTAGCTTTGCGATACATGTACTAATGTGTCGTGTATAAGCGTTCACGCCGTTTAAGGCTCCATGAACAATCTTTACTCTTCCACGCCTGTATATGTCAGTCGGTAGGCACTCGTACTCTCAAACTGTAACAGATAAACTACGGTGGAAATAAGACGAACGATTCAGGAACGCGAGAACTCAGGAATCCCTCAGGAACGAGCTAACCACAACTTCCGGTCGTAAGTCCTGTGAGGATCGGCAAGAGCTAGGACGATTGTGTCACGAGCAAACCTGTATACTAAGCGATAATCCGGGAACAACTATGCACTTCAGTAGGAACAAGTATTGCTGTCTCTTTATCCAATTCACATCACAGTTCACAACGCTAGGAAATTGTAATTAGAAAGCAGTCTCAGAAGTAAATCCCAGACTACTGATTCCGATATTAGGCATCACAAGAACTTATATAGACTTCGCGTTATGACATCATATACATCGCTAGTAAAAGAGAACAGCAAATCACAGCATTGATTGACTAGATTATCCGTTGTGTTGCAGGTGGAAGGCGGACAGTCAGCATCCGTACGTACATCCGGCGTATGATCCTACTCCCATACGTCACCCCCACGAACGATGCTTGGCCGTGCCAAAATAAACAATCCATCCCGCAACATCCCAGTGCGATTGTGCACTTGCATCCATCCTGATCCCGATCCACCGCACAATCCACGCGTCCATCCGATGCCCAATGTGACTGTACGCCGCGATTCCCAGAGAGTTAGTGTGTGGAATCCTTGGCGAAGAGGCATCCGGAAGTCCACGGGTTTGGCAGGGCGGAGGTCCAAGGATCCAGGAAGGCGAACTATAAATTACTGACATTGTGCCGCTTGAGTTTTAGATGGTGTTTTAGTATGTACAGCATACGACATAAAGCTTTATTAATTGTGAAATTAAAATCGTAAAATGTAATTATGTGCGATACTGTAGAACTATGGATTAAACGAGCGAAAAGCACCAAATAAACCAACCAGTAGTATTCTTACGAATTCTCGAGTACTACAAATCACATCGTATAGCAACAAATGTCAACAACAACAAACAAGCTACAAATAAGCGTATAAAAATGGTGAGTGCAATCTACCAGCGCACTGATACAATAATGTAAACCAGTAAAAGACAACAAAATCAAAAGTCAAGGCAGTGCAACAAAGCCAGTAACAATATGAGATCAAAGAAAGCAACCAAGGTCAATGTCAGAGGTGAGTCAAGGTTACTTGCCAGCACTGGGAGCCAATGAAAAGAGGCCAGTGATACCAGAGCCAGATGCAGCGGCATCCAAACGGCGAGAAACTTCCGCAGCCATCTGACGTCGGCGATCGGCATCCAATTCCCGCTGCTGTTGCTGAGCCAAATAACCAGGCACAAAATTATGCTCGGCAGACCCAACAGGACCGGAAGGTGCAGACGGCGCACGTGGGCGATCAGCCGGAGAACGGTCGCGGGCATCGCGGACAATCGGTACTTCAGGTAGCGGCAAAACATTTGGTGGCAGACCGGGAAATTCAGCGTTAGCCAGGGCCTGCACAGGTGGAATGACAGCCGGAGGAACGACAACGGCATTCAAGGGTGGTGGGCCATGTAGATTGACAGCAGGGTTGAAACCATTGGGCTCACCTGCAGCCACATTTCCGTTGCCCTGGACCGGATTCGGTGCATTCGCTGCTTGGTTGCCCGGGTCGTCAACCTCCATGTTTGCGACGGCAGCTTCCACTGGAGCAACTGGGTGAGCGTCTCCATCAGGTACTTCAATAACTTCCGGTGCGCCCAGAGGTCGGCCATTACGACGCCAATGATCGTTTCCACGACGCAAGTTATTGTCTCCAAAATTCCTATGATTTCCTCGGCCGTACGGACGAAAGTTGCCACGGTAAGCACCACGGGCTCCACCCCTTCCTCGGTGATTATAACCGGCATTATACTGTTGTTGCTGGTTGGAGGAGGAATGAAAAATAGCGTCAACCAGCTTATCAAAAGCTCGGTTAGGATCAATAGGCGGCATGCCCAACTAATGAAAACTAGTGACCTTTTAACACTAAAAGTAAAGAGAAAAAGCGTTAAAATCACAGTCTACATACAGCGAAAATCCAGCATGCCAGAAGGCCGAAACGAAAAATCCACAATGCCGATTTCTGCACACTACGCGCAAGTGATTTTATACCTGTCTGCTAGAGCGAAATTTTAAAGTGCGGCAGATTCCACACAGGTAAGAAAAACAGCCAATCAGCGCTTCGCGCTATACCCTTTAATTCAACTTAATCATCCGATCAGATCTATCCAGGTACAACGGAAGATTCGGCAGTGATAGCCACAGTGCATATACAGCACATGAAGACCAGTTCATTGACTCAAAGCGCGAAAAACGAAAAAAAAATAAAAATTCAGACAAAAGCCTCAACAACGTTGTATAATTTCGACGACAGCAGCGGCAGGGTAAAAACTAAATGCAATTTAATACTAAGACGAAAGGAGACATCGTCAGATCATGGCAAAAGGGCGATTAAGGCAAAACAAGCGAGAACGGCAAATTTACAATTCATCAGAGTGTGGTTGCTGATTACCATAGACTACTGGTTCCGCAAATTCAGGTGAATCTTCACGCGCAACAGCCGGAATAGGCATTACAGCCGGGGCAACTGGCTGCAGAGACGGCAGCGGATCAACATCCATTTTCTCGAAATCAGATGCATCATCATCGTCACAATCGACCACCATATCTGCATTCTCGTCAGCTTCGACATCAGCATTCTGCTCAGGGGATAACACCGCCGAAGGATCCTCACGATCTTCACCATCATCCGAGACAGATACTTCGCTTGGCGCCGAAGACGAGGACGGTGAAACCTCCTTGTACTTGCGCTTTTGCCCACGAGTGCGAAAGTTATATGGTCCAGCAGAAGTGGATGGCTGCGGTTCCGCATTCGCCATAGCACCCGCATCAGCAACCGCTTGACGCGCAGCTGCATCCACCTTCTGGCGATTGGCGATTTCTTTAAACAATCCAACAAAAACAGGATGTAAATAGAGATATTGACGACGCAGCTCTAACGCAATTAACGAAGGTAATTTCCGAGTAGCCACACACAAATCATAACGATTGATTAATACTCCGTTTTGGTATAAAGTGAGACAAATACAATTCCGGAAAGCGAGGATGAAAGCGATTTAAACCGGAGAAATAGGCTTTTGTAATTGCCATCTCACCCTGCTTGTCCGCAATAGCCATTCTTGGAAACACTCCGGAATGCGCTCGTTTGCGAGCCGTCTGCTTGGTCTTGAAGACCGGCCGTGGTGCATCCGGGTTATACGGCACATAAAGAATTCCGCCTTTGCGCAGATGTTCCTCGTCTAAACACAGTTGAAACGACAATGAACGGAAGCAAAGCTTAACCATGATCAACTGCAGAACTGGCAGAAGGAGCAACAAAACAGAAATGAAGCGACATGACAACGATTGTCGTATCTCATGAGTGTAGTAACGAAAAACTCCACAGGTAGAATTCAGACTTGTGAAAAACCACAACATTACAGTAAAACAACGGCAAACACGGCAATACCTCGCTTCGCTTTTACAGACGGAGTCTCGGAAGACGATGGCTCTTCTTCAGACAGGTCTGGAGTTCCCAGGTGTCTCTCCGCCTGCGTCTGCGGTTTCTTCGGTGATGGCTGACGGATCTCAACGTCAGGGCTAGTAGGGAATGATCCCCGACGGGCACGGCGGCGAACCACAGCAGCATTGCGTCGTAAAATCGTTCGTCGCCGTTGCTTATCATATCGGCGCTGTAAAGCATCGACTATCGCATCTGCCCGACTGGTTGAAGGTTGCTGATTCACTGTTGCACTCACCGATCCCGATGACCCAGAAGATTGCGCAGAAAACACTGGTTGGGCGGAAGTACGACGGAAGACGCGAGATCGAGTGACACGCGATGAAGAACGGGCTTCATCGCTGTCCGGAGAATAACCAAAACTTAATCCCGCTGTTGCTCGACTCGGGCGCGGTGTTCGCGATGCAGTCTTGCGCAGTTGGCTTCTTAGCAGGAGGCGACATTTTCAAAACATAAAAGTGACAAATCAGTCGCAAAAGAAGGAAAAGGAGAATAACAGGATTGCCAGCAGGTTCAGAAAATTGAAAAACTGAAGTGCAGAGAAAAGCACAACAGACAATCTACACTGGCACCGACACCGAAAACTCAAAATTCACTGAGTATACCACCAGGCGGTTGACAGGCGACAAGAGGATTTTGTGATTTTTTCGCCACTTTCACCATTTGCCATAAATCACACAGAATACCGCTTGTTTCGTTGAGGATTTGTAAATTGCAACCACAAAGACCAAATTTTAATACAAA